CCCCCACCCCCACAGGCTAAGTGAAAGATGGCTCACAGGACAGGTGTTGCCGCCAACAGGCGACATGTTACGACGACTCTGACAGGTCTCGCTGACTCGGCCCTAAATGCAGTGTGATTCCCAGCATGATAACTGATGCTGGTACTGCTTAGGGATGGAATGGGGACGATTTTCTGTATACCCGGGCCATAGCTTAGATAGCGGGTGTCGGGCGACTGGTAGCCTGGTCAGCAATAAGGCCATAATGTGCTTGGTCCACTCCCTCAAAAGTTTCGCATATCATAATGTCATTCCGATATCATAGTCCTATTCAGTTTCTGTCCGTGCTCTCTATATCTCGATCAATATACCAGTATGCTGTTGAGGGTTCTCAGATCCGACCCTGCTTATGTTCCTCTCCTCTCCCTCCAGGCATCATCCAAATCCTCCTGGGTGACCTGATATGCCCAATGATGACAAGTCTGATGCATGACGGGGCTGACATTTTTGCTACCATCACCATCGCCGTCGAAATCGTCGTCGAAGATACTTCTGACCCCCAGCTCGACATATTTCTTCAACAAAAGGCGTTTCCACCTCCCCCTCGGACCAACACACCTCACCCACCTCCCGACCTGTCTCTCGTCCTCGCCATCCTCGCACCGGCGGCCAAGCCAAAAGCGAATATACCACTCAAACCAGCCGCGAGGGTCATGGGTGAAATTGATCCACCCGGCATCTTCCCACTGCGTCAGCGTCTGGCCACATACCACCCCGTACCTGTTCAGCGAGGCATCGTAGATCGGCGACGTCAGATACTTTGTCACGGGCTGGAGCTGGGCCAGCCACGCCGCCGGCAGCGTTTTCTGGTGGTCGCCTTGGAGGGTCAGGCCGAGTGTGCGGCTGTGCCAGGGGGAGAAGTAGTGGCCGCCAAAAGCGCCCTCGAGCAATATCGACAGGGGGGATTTGTTTGGCTTGAACGTCGGGTGCGATGGGAATTGGTATGTGCCGTCAGGAAATAGGGTGGGCTCTGGGGCCGTGGGGGTCCAGTTGTTGTATCGATCCAGGAGGGTGGACAGGTCCGATTCGGCATATGGTGGTGGTGGTGGTGATGGTTGCTGTTGAAGTCGGCTGGATATGGTATGCTTTCGCTTGGATGTCTGTGGTATCCTGTTCGCCTTGAGAGCGGGCTCCGGAGCAGTCTCATGTCGCTCTTCGGTGTATGATACCCTGGTGCCGCTAGCTGCTATCCTTGCAGAGGTCCTTGATGGTAAGGAAGTGGAAGTGGAAGTGGACGTGGAGGGGTTCAGACGCCGTCGTTTGCCGCGTTGTGGTATTTCCGGTTCATCGATCCTGGTCGATCTGGATCTGGATCTGGATCTGGTGGGCTCCGAGTGGAGATTGAGATTGAGATTGAGTTCTTCTAGCAGTCTTTGCTTCTGTTGCAGGTTCTTCAGGCGCTGCGCTTCGAGGCCGACAGGTACGGACATCGTAGCCACTTGGGTTGTGTAGATGCGCCGTGGGAGTCGGGGCTAGAGCGAAACGAGACACGGAGATGCAGGAAAAACAAACAGATTGGACCTACTCAGAGTACAGCAGCTGTAGATTGATCCTTGTAGCAATGATAGCAGTTATCCTTGCTTTCATGGTCAAGGTCAAGGTCAAGGTCAACGCCGTCCCGCGTCGCGAGAACCGCGTTGCGCGTTGCAGGCGTTCAAATTGTACGCCTGTGGCCTTGAGTTCTTGGTGACGTCAATGATCTTTGCAGTCGACAGGAAGCGACATTGTTAGAATGAGAACATCATGATTAATTGACAGCTGCAACGGAAGTGGACGGGATCGTGAGAGAAGCCTGTTGCCAACAGAATAAAAGAACATCTCCTTACGCCTGGTGGCTGCGCCGACTGCATATAGCCGGGGAGGTCAATGGCGGTCACATAGTACTGCGTAGTATTCAAGCGAGATTCAGAGATGCGCCTGGCGGGCAGATCAAATCTAGTGCCTGGAGTGAGACTTGCTCCTGGCGTACCTATCACTGTATAGTACTACGTACTAGTAGGTAATAACTTCTATGGTAGGGAAATAATATGCGGGACAACGACCCCGTCCCTCTCCTCATCGTAGCCTGCGATCACCTTGATCGAGACCTTGCATGGGGAGCAGACTGCTAGGTGTTCCTCATCACCGCTCGTTCTCTCGTTCTCTTGCTGTTCCCATCGGCCGTGATCTGTTCTATGTTCAGTCTTATGTTCGCCGACTGGACTGCTACCGAGATACTTCACACAGTCCCTGACCGCTGCCACAGACCGCATCCCGACCTTTAGCCACGATCGATCCAACTGGAGCTTGAGGCTTTCTCTGATTTGACTTGCCATCGACCCGTCATCATCTGGCTCCCGTTGTTCGCGTCAAAGTCGGCTGCCCATGCCACTGGCTCGAAGGCAACTTGACGTGCGTCGTCTCTCGCAGTGACCAAGCCTGAGAACCCTATGTACAGGAACTTGAACATTCGCTCGATCGGTGCACATCGGACATGATCACTGCATCATCTGTCATCGACGAGTCGCCTGTCCTCTCCTCAGCCTCGCATCATCCCCACGATGTCCACACGCAACCGTCGTTGTCGGCCCGGGGCCTTTTGTCTGACCGCGATTCCCCAGACCCCTCGGTAACATACTCGACCGAGGAACTGCTGCGCGCGCTCCAGCAGGAACAAGATATGCCTGCGAGTACTTTGGCTTCTGTGAATGGACTCGACGGGGCACAGAAAGAGTTACCTCGACTACAAACCAATGGTCAACTAGACAATGGACAGCTGGACAACGGCGACCGCCTAGAGCCGGTGCTGGAGGACGATCCCGCTTCGTTCGATCTCGTCTCACCGCCACCGCCAGGTTATAAAGAGCAATTCTCCTTGGAAAAGCAGACGCAGGCACTCTTTTCCAGAGGTCATCTACAAGTCATCTTCGCCGAGCCCACCTTCCTTTTCAAATTCACGTCCTTCCTCGGCGTGCATCGACCACAGTCCGTACCCCTCCTCGTCCACTATCTTGATTCTCTCAAATCGTTGCGAGCCATACATTACGCGAACGCCATCTGTGAAGGACTCGACCCTGTCGAGGGATTGGACTTCACTCTCAAGCCGGTCAAACCGACCATCAACACGTCGTTGGAAGAGAGGGCATACAAAGCTTTTGATGTCTTGGTCGCGGAAGAACTGCCGGCCTATATCACACACCAATATGTTCAGATTGTTACTGCTAGCATAACTGCCAGGGTCACGGGGGCTCTGTCGCCTCACCTGCGGGAGGCTTCGGACGGGTTGGCGGAGGTGTTCTGTCTGACGGATCCGGCAAGGCACGACAATCCCATTGTCTTTACTTCTGAAGGTCGGCTGGGTCTCGAAATGTTACCATGTACAAACAGACATCTAATTGTCGGCAGAATTCAATCGTACCACCCAGTATGGGCTGAATTATGTTCTCGGTCGAAACTGCAGGTTCCTACAAGGGCCGATGACCAACCCACACAGCGTGAGGAGGTTGAAGGAGGCAGTCCAGACCGGGAAACAACACCAGGAGGTCCTGCTGAACTAGTACGTGCCACCGCCCATGCAGTGCGGGATGCCGTCGGATACTGACAGGGTACAGTCGCCGAGATGGGTCGCCGTTCGTGAACCTGCTGATGATCGCGCCTCTGGCCGACAGCCGCGGCGTGGTTCGATATTACATCGGCGCGCAAGTTGATGTCAGCGGGCTCGTCAAGGACTGTGCAGAGATGGAATCGCTGCAGAGGCTAGTCGACCTGCGCGCCAGGGGTGAAGACCCGCCTCTGCCGGAGAAGCCGTCTCCCGAGAAGAACGACGAACTGCGCGAGTTGAGTGAGATGCTCAACCAAGGCGAGCTGAACACCATCCGCCGCCATGGTGGGAAGATGCATCGCGAAGTGATGGAAGACGATTCGGAAAGCGTGGCCTCCCACCAGCCACGGTTGCTGCTCAAAGATCCAGATACATTGACGGCTTCGTCTGGCAGCATCAATGGCAAACTCAGTGGCATCTACCAACATGTAAGTTTCACCGCGGGCACCTCGGTCCATCCGCGTATTGACCTGTTCTCCCCGCAGTATATGCTGGTACGACCGTATCCTTCGTTACGGATCTTGTTTGCCAGCCCTTCGCAAAGACTTCCCGGTGTTCTTCAGTCGCCATTCTTGAACAAGATCGGCGGCTCCAATCGTGTGCGGGAGGAGCTGACGGCCGCCTTCGCCGAGGGCAGAGGAGTGACGGCGAAAGTACGTTGGATCACACGAAGCGATGATCAAGGTAAGAACAAATGGATCCATTGCACGCCCCTGGTGGGCAATGGAGGCCAGATCGGAGTGTGGATGGTGGTCATTGTTGACGACGACCAAAAGACCGGCCCTGAAAGGTGGCCGTCCGGACGCGTCCCGCCGACCGTAGCCACGCCCGACGCAGACAGGAGCCGGACTCCTGTTAGTGGCTATCGTGGACAGCCCTCGAGTCATGTCAGATCCTCCCAAGCCAACGGCACAGCTTACGACGGACAGAGCGGCGGCAGTCTGGCGAGTGGTTCTGGCAGTGTGACGAGCTTCAGGATCGGGTAAGGAGGGTGGAATGTTATTCGACATGTGCCAGCATCGTCAACTCAGCTTGTTGATGACGGCACAGATACCTTTATAATTGTATTTATTTTAGGGAAGACCATCGATGCTTTTGAGCGAGAGGCGTGCACGGGGTGGGTTTTGTATACAGGACGATGGTTTGGGAACATTACAGAGTATCTATCTGGCATCGAAAAGCCTGGTTGTATGCGATGCTCACGCCGTGTCAGGGGTCTTGAATAGAAATATTGAGTGGGAGGTCCATTCGGTACCACAGTAAATACCTGTATCTTACCCACCAAGCGAACATGATGGCCTTTCCAACCCTCACAATGACCAATATGACTTGCCCTGACATGAAATGACGATATACTGATACCCATCACTGCAAGGGCTCTGCCACCCTTTGGTACCTACAGGTACTGTACATAAGATAACAGGCACACCTGCTGCACTCTGTAACTGCCTTCGAAGGTTAGTAGTATGGCACTTGCACTGCAAGCCACGTCGTGCTAAGCTTTTCTTCTGTCTTCCTGCGGCACTGCAGTCAGCCACCCGTCAAACCCCTGTCATGATCTGATTTTGGGATTGTTGACAGCGTCAACATTGAGAACCTTGACATCTGACAGCGACAGGGACCAAGTTTTGCTCTTCCACGCGTCTCTTTTGTCTCATTCTCCTGTCTATCAGTCTCCCTCTTTTCCCCACCAGGCGGAGTCGATTGCACGCCGCACGGCCCTATAGCATGATACTGGGGGACGGGAGGGACCTGGAGCGGCAAAACCACCTACCACCTACCACTACCACAGCTACAGACGCATCCTGAATTCGTCATCGCTCCTGCTCAGGCCGGCAGTGGGCTCAAAGCCGTGTGTTTCATCGACGACGACTGTGGAGCTGCATGTCGGCCAATGTCCTTTGTCCAGGGAGCAGTTTTGTTTGTGTGAGACCCGGAAGAACATACTCTGTAAACGCTATTGACGATCCGAGTCCCTGTTTTTGAGCGTCTTGCATCTTCCTTTGGGTGAGTGCCTAGCCTACTACCTCGCAGGACATCTCGACCCCATACCAGGATGTCTGTTTGATCATCCCTTTTCCAACACTAAAAATACACCACATTTCGAGCTGACTGGTTCTCTTTCCTTTTTCTTCAGTCCTTCGACTGGATTCCATGGTGCCTTTTGGACCACCGCAGCGATTGTGGTCACATCCGTTGGGTTGTGACTCTGTTCAACGTGAAAGGAGAGAAGAGCACGGGAGAGTCTTATTCCATTCAACAACCTCACGCCTGAGGACGACCGGACACAGGCAGTGGCCGACCCATGACACCCTCTCCGCATATTCAACAGTGATTGTCGAATGAGTTCTCGGTGGCAACCAATTTTTTGTACATATCTCGGCCATGCTCCACGCAAGGCGTGCTGTCGTCTGCCTTGCTGTGGCGACCCTCCTTAGTCTGTTGATTTACTATCGCTCGGCCAGTGCTTCCATCACAGTCAACTCCTTGCGCAGCACCGTTCCTCAGGTCATTGGTCTGGGAGACTATTTCAATACTGCGGACAAGGATGTCGGGTCACAGAATTCAACCACCTCACAGCCAGAGTATCCTCATGCCTCGAAACCACCAGCTGATGCCGGACCATCCGAGTCGGGAGGCTCAGTTGTTCCGACGAGCAGACCTCCCAAAGCGAACTTCACTCGGAGTCTGGTCATGGCACGGACGATGAAGGAAAGTGTCGAGTGGTTAGATGAAGTGGACCTGGGCCCGGGCATCACCAAGCAGATATATGTCGCCGACGATCCAAATGCTCCTTTGCATACCCCCAAAAACAAAGGCCACGAAGTCATGGTCTATCTGACATACATCCTGGACAACTACGACAACCTGCCCGATGTCAGTATTTTCATGCACGCGCATCGCTACGCCTGGCATAACGACGACCTGTTGAACTTCGACGCCTCGGAAATGATCCAACGGCTCAGCAGTGAGCGGGTGCAGCGACAGGGATACATGAATATGCGCTGCCACTGGATGCCTGGCTGTCCGGAATGGATTCATCCCGGCCAAATCGAAGAAGATCGAGAAAAACTGGAGCAATCCCTGATGGCGGATGCCTGGGCCGAGCTGTTCCCGCTCAAACCTATCCCCAATGTCCTAGCTCAACCCTGCTGTTCTCAATTCGCATTGAGTCGCGACAAGATCCGGGAGCAGCCACGAGAGCGGTACTTGCATTTTCGAGATTGGCTCTTGAGGTCTCAGATCAGGGATACAATGAGTGGTAGAATCTTCGAGTACCTCTGGCAAGTGATATTCACCGATGAAAGCACCTTCTGTCCCAACCAACGCACCTGCTACTGTGACGGGTTCGGCGTCTGTTTCGAGTCCGAGGAAACCTTCGACAAATGGTTCGAGATCAGGCATCACATGAGAAACGCCGAGACCGAGCTTCGTGAGTGGGAAGACAAGGCCAAAGAGATTGAGGCTTACCGAAAAGATGGCAAGCTGCAAGGAATCGAGGCGGGAGATGTACAGGTTCCGGCATTTGGGCAGAAAGAGCAGTTGGCCACGCTCATTCGAGAGCTGTCGGCAGACCTCGAACACAGGAGAACGGAAGCCATCCAGAGAGGGACTGACGCCAAAATCCGAGCGGAAAGCGATGGACGCACTTGGAAAGAGGGCGATGGCTATTGAGGCCGATTGAGCATGGCGATTGGAATCACCCACGGGCATCTGGGACTGGGCATTTGATGGGACAGGACTTGGTCTTGTGCAAATTATGGCAAAAGTACAAAAGAGCATATCAGTGTCAGCGACTGTCTGCGTTTCTGGGACGGGCTCGACCTGATGAGGCATTGGCGTCTGGAGTTTGGCTGGCTGTCAGCATGAAGCTGGCATAGGCAGATTGTTACCAACACATCATAAGAGTGAGGTGAAGGTGATAGACATGCATTAGATCTCTGGGACATAACGGTACATAGTAAACAGATATTACAGCACTCTAGTAGTGGAACTTTGAGGCGATACAGCAATAGAGAAGAGGTGATACTGCGACGGTGTGGTCGATGGATAAATTGCACTCTCGCTCGTGTGACGCCATTTCCTGTCTGCGGAGGAGGATTCAAGTTGGAGACGAACAGAACACGGTGCAGTCAGTCAGTAGTACGTTGCTGCTGCTGCTGGTGGTGGTTTGTAACCAACTTGAACTCCAAGTTGCTTGTAACTTGGTGCCTGTGATAATCAGGAAACTGAACACCTTTGTCGTTCCTCCACTGCACCATCCACCAGCTAGACTGATGCCAACTGCACTTCCTGTCTTCTGTCTTCATTTGGTTATCACGTCAGTCCCTCGAATGTCTGTCTTGTGACTAGGAGTGGGATCATTCACTGATCCTCATTTCTACCTCGTCATCCGCGTATAGGGATGGCCCCGATCATCCAAGTCCAACGTCGATAACTCTGAGCGAGCGACAAGCCTGTTTCGCGTGTTTCGCAACCAACCAACAGCGACAATGCCTGTCAGGATGAGGATGAGATGGACCGCTTACGCCGGGGTAAGTTATGACATTGCGCTGATCCATGGCGACCAGAGGGTGTGTCTGAGAGTGTATGGACTAACATGAGATCGCAGGCGTCTACTGCCCTGGCCGCGGGGGTCATTCTCAAAGCTCTCACGCAGCGCCCGAACTTCTACTCGGCCGCCGTCTACCTCTCGCAGTCCTCTGCCAACCTCATGATCCTGACCAACCTGCTCTTCGTCGTCGCCTGCACCTTCCTCCTCGGACTACAGAAACTCCTGTATGGCAGCCTTCGGCCGATCGAGATTGAACAGCTGTATGAGAAAGCATGGTTCGCCGTGACCGAAACATGTCTGGCCATGACCGTCTTCCGAGGCGAAGTAGGCCTCCCCTTCCTCGCCATGTTCTTTGCCCTCTTGACGGGCAAGGTCTGGGGCTGGATCGGCGAGGGCCGAGTTGAAGTGCTGGAGCAGCAACCACCGCGCAATCCACGGCTGTTCCATACACGGCTCGCTTTGAGTCTCGGGTTGAGCGTCGCTTTCGACCTGACCATGCTCGAATACGTGGTCAAACAGGTCATGAGGATGGCTCGGCCAGACATGATGGTCATGTTTGGTTTCGAGTTTGCCGTCTTGTCCGTCATGAGTATCAGCACTGCGATGAGGTATGCCATTGACCTGGTGGAAATCGGCATCGTCCGCGAACAAAAGAGACTCCGCATCGAAGAGATCAAGAGGGAGAGAGTGCAGACAGCTGTGGCGGAGTTCCAGGAGGCGCAGAATGCCGTGGTCACCGCCAGTGATGCGGACACCCCGACGACACCGACGCCGACACAACGAACTCTGGAGCAGGTGTCCGAGGACGTCTTCAACCAACCGGTGGACGAGAATGAGGTGGAGGTGGAAGGCTGGGAGGAGAAGGGCCGTTACATGTTCTACCTGAACCTCACCACGGACTTCTTCAAGCTCGTCATTTACCTGACATTCTTCTTCATCCTCCTTGTGTTCTACGGTCTACCCATACACATTTTGCGGGACGTTTTCTTGACGATGCGGTCGTTCCTGAAACGAATTTCCGACTTCATTAAATACCGAGCCGCGACCAGGGACATGAATGCGCGGTATCCAGACGCGACGGAGGAAGATATTGGCCGAGAAGATGTCTGTATAATATGCAGGGAGGAAATGCGGCCATATCAACCCCCAGTCGCCGAGCCTGGTCAACCACGCCCTCGGGGTACTCCGGTGGCGGAGCGGATGCGGCCCAAGAAACTACCGTGTGGACACGTCCTGCACTTTTCTTGTCTGAGGAGTTGGCTCGAAAGGCAACAGATCTGTCCCACTTGCAGAGCAAATGTGGTCCGGAGTGGGAGGGCCCGAGGTGACGCGGGAGCGGCCGGTCAACCCGGAGGTGCGCGAGGAGGAGACGGGCAGGCTCGACCGGCGGGTAGACAAGGCCCACGGGTGTACCAGTTTGGACCGCTCCGAATTGGTGTTGGCGCCGTCAGAGGGAACAATATGTTCGAAGATCTGCAGCAACAGTTGGAGGAAGTGCGGCAGGCCGGGGGCCCCGGCCAGGCTCCAGGTCCTGCGGGTGACGATGTCAATGCTCCTCGTCAATTTGGTATTGGATATCGATGGCAGACTGGTGCTCGGCGTCAGCGTACAGGAGAAGCGCAGGATATGACGACCCAAGAACAGCTTGACGCCTTGCGTGGCCAGCTTGATCGTGAGATGCACGAGCTTGCGCACAACTCGGCCGAACTCAGTGTGCTCCGGTCGATGCAGGCGGAGATGCAGCGACTGAGAAACATCAGACCTGGGGAGACTCTGGATCATGCGAATACAGAAGCACCGGGCGCCAATCCGGCCGCGACTTTTGCTGCTGCTCCAGCTCCGGCACCACCTCCACAACCCAGTGGCGGTCAACGGGCTGCCCGGACGACACAATTTCTGTCGGCCGGCGGTCCGCACGAGGTCATCTACGCAGGAAGCGACAGGCTGCCGCCAGGCCTCACACTACCGGAAGGATGGAGTATCATGCCTCTACGGTCGACCACCATTGAGGGTCTTCGGCCGGCGTCGGCGGCGTCGGTGCGGAACCTCGCCGCGGGACTCGAGATGATGCAGAGACAGTTTCCAAACCAACACTTTGGATGGTTTCCGCAGCCTCAGCCATTCCAGCATCCAACAGGACTGAATGGAGGCGGTCAAGGACAAACAGCTACCTTTCACCTACATCCCCAAGGCTTGCAGGAGCAACCCCAACCTCATTATCAACCTCGACCACAACCTCAACCCGCACATCAAAACCACCCCTTATCAGTAGCTGGAGCACATCTTTTCCCGCCCTTGCAGCGGCCGGCTGAAAACAGCAACCAACAGCCCAGTGGTCCGACCGAGGCTTCGACCACTGTGCAACCCACTGTGAATGGAGCAAGTGTGGCAGCCACACCTGGCCTTCCCGGTGTTGATCGAGGCGTGTCTGATGTGGCAGTACCTCCTACTACTCAAGAACCCCAGCATTCACCTACTCTGTTTTCTATGCCTCTACTACCCACTACCAACACAGCCGTGCCAGCTCCAGAACACCAGCAACCGCCGCCGTTCTCGCCTGGTGCTCCAGAAACCAGGGGACAAGGCCTGCCTGCTTGGGGCCGTGTCGCCATGAGCAATGGTGAGAACAGCACTACACAACCAGTGAATGGTGGCAGCGGCGCGAGCACTGCCGAAGATGCCGAGCCAAGTCTTTCGAGAACAGGGAATGGCGATATCAGCCACACTGCATTGGATGATGGCCACAGACACGATGCCGAAGACGAGAATCAGGGCCACGTCAGCGCTGCTTTCGCGTCTGACAGCGCTCTCTCTGAGCGACGTACTCCAGGTCCATCTTCTGAGCAGTCGGCAGCGAAAGACAGGCACGTCACGGTGGAGGACGTGGTGGGTGATCCCGACTGACATTGGGAGACGCAAGCGTGAGCGTGGACGTGGACAATGGACAAATGCATTGAATACTAGGAGCATGTTTGAGTGTAGCGGGCCGAATGAATTTGAGCCTCTCTCTTTTCTGTGTTCGGTTGGTCCTTAGACTTTCAGGCAAAAAAGTCAACACAGAACTACCTTAGGTACCTAGGTAGTCATGGCAAGTCGTTTCTTGTTCCTTTCCTGTGGTGACTTGATAGCATGAAGTATCCTGGCGCAGGTGGTGCAGAGTATCTCGAAAGCATACCTACCTCTACCTAAGGTAGGTTACGAGCATCGAGATAGATACTAGAACGAGGTGATTCGGTGCCTGGTACTTCATAGATGTAACCAGAGAGTTAGATAAACCAGTAACATAAAACGAGTAGTTCCTATATACCGAGGTACCTTAGGTCGGTATACTACTACTATGTACCCAGGTATGTAGTAGTAGTAGTAGATATGTACTAGGTACCTATACTCTATATATATATCATCCCGACAAGAGTCCTTTTGCACAGGTTTCAAATGCATGCGTGAAGCGGGTCCGAAACAAGCTTCAAACACTCGCTGTGTTGGCTGGCATCATCGCCATCCATCGCCATCATGACGCTTCATCTGCCTCGCTGCCTATCTCTGTACGTACTTGTCATAAGAACTTCCCCTGTTGCTGCGCCACTCTCCCCCAAACAATCGACGGGCGATCAACCAACTTCTGGGTACCCAGCAAGCCTTGGTAGATACTCTAGGTACAGAGCAGGTGAACGTGTAACTACACTGCTACGTTGGTTTGATGTGGATTGTTTCTGCTCCTTTCATCTTCTGAATGAACACATATTCCTCGACGTGTGCTTGCGATCTCTCGTTTGAACACTTTGCAACTACGTGCGAGGCTCGTCATAACTAGGTACTCATATACTCGTATACCGTGCAGTGGTACAACTGCTTGACACCTGACAACTTTGACAAACCGAACCTGACAGCCGGCTTGGCCACCCTCAGACAACTGAAGGAGAAACCGACTGCGTCGCTGCCTATCGTGCCTGCAACCCCCTGCGTCCGTCTGCCCGGCCAGTCTCCGTTGCACTTGGTGTCCCAGTTTCACTTTGAGCGTCCCATTGCATAATACTACCTACCTCAGGTGGTGCTCAACAAACACTACCTACCTAACACAGAACAAGGCCAAACCATCGAGCAGTCTGTTGTTGGTAGACACGACGACGCAGAAGTCTTACTTCATTTCCATCCTCAGACGCCACAAGTCGAGTCGAATCCAGGCCTCTCTTCAAGTTGTTGACTGCACGTCAACGCGGAAGGTCGCCTTCTCTCCTCTCCACGTCGAGTCCTCTTTCCTCGAATACACATTGAAATCCTGGAGGGTACCACTGCACTGGTCATCTACCGCTCATCGACCTTGGCTTGGTTCACCATCTTACAGAGTCGCGTTGGACGGTCGAAGGACGTTTTGGAAGAACCACGAGTCCTGCCAGGTCTTAGAGGACCATAATCGAGAACTGTGGTCTACAACATCCAAAGTACCATCCGAGACAATTGGCACGTTTGCAATCCAACGAAGAGCAGTCTTAGACATTCCGTCGTGGGTACAAAAATACAATCTTCGAGAATCCGGACTGGACATAAACGATACAGACAATGGATACACCGAGGATATTCCGTCGTCAACTCACCACGGACACCGACTCCGACACCAACACCGATTCCGACACCAACAATAATGGGAATAATGGCAATCCCAACAACTACTACTGGTGGTATGGTTCGGTACGTATATTCTAGTTGAACTCGGAATATCACTGACCAGGCTGGCTGTGACAGACTGCCGAGGCCATCAAATGGGCTGTGATTGCGGCCGTCTTGGTGCTCGTGTTTGTCTACTTGATCGGAGGTTACCTACACGCCAGGAGACGGATGCGAAAGGGTCTTCCTCCTTTAGCATATCATCGGGTATGTACCTTCAGCAGTGCTGTTGCCGGCGAATATGAAGGGTGAAGGGTCTGTACTAACTTGACCGATGTAGTGGCTTGTTCCTCGTCGACAGCGCATGGCCTTCGCGCAGCAACATCCCCAATACGCCAACCAATTCTCTTTCTACCGAAACAGACAGTCTCCCTACGCCTACGGTCACGGTCAGGCATACCCAATGGCCGCCTACGGACCGCCTCCTCCAGGTCAGTTTTCTCCCGTGCGACCTTGAGTTGGATCTATCTGACCTTATTATACAGCCTACAACGAGCCAGACTACGTGCCCGCGTACACCCCCGCCGCTCCAAACAAGGTCGATCCCGATCAGAACTACACCGCGCCACCCGGGCCACCGCCGAGTGCTGGCTATTCGGTCCCACCGCCCACTGATGGTCCGAGTCAGCCTCCCAGAGCTCATGTTGGAGGTTAATCACAATATGGGTTGTTTGGAACAAGTGCAGCACAATATGGTTTATTTCGAGACAAGCGCAGCATGGAGTAACGGGACATGAATCATGGAAAGTGGTTGGCGGACAAGCACCCAGGGCGACCCTCAAGGCTAATGTATATGTATGACAACTTGGAATTCAAATGGGTATCTGTGGTACGCAATAGCAAATCATTTCCCTCTGGGCCTCTGGGGAGACCAACATATTCAATACTGGCATCGTCAATCCTCTATCCAATTTCCATGGCGTCTGCATCTAGTTCTTCGTCGTCTGCTGGGGCCGTATCTTCGTATATTGCATCATCCAGGTCAATCTCGGGCGCCGTACCGCCGGTCTCGCGCAGTGCCTCTTGTCTTTGTGTTTCTCTGAGTTCTTCTGCCTGTTTCTCCCTGGCCCGGGCGCGGGCTGCGACGATAGCCTTTCTCACCGCATCCATCTCCTCCGGAACAGTGATACTGGTCGGTTCGCGGTACAAGACTAACGCGCTGCTGAGGTTCTCCGGCGGCGCGGCGGGCGCCCGATGCCGCAGCACTCGGGACGGTATGGCGGACACCTTCTTGTCTATATCCGGCAGAAAGACGGCCGACGCAGCGGCGGCCTCGTCGGCCTCGATCTGGGCGATCTCGGCGTCAAGATTGCTGATGATGACCCGGGTGGGCGTCTCGTCCACAGGCATGAAATCCCCATCGGACATTGTAGGCATCTTGACGTAAGGTGCAGAGGAGGAGGAGGAGGAGTCATATTGTGCGGAAGTGGAAGGATGGGTCGTCGCAGCGCCCACATTGGGAGGAATGCTGTTCTCCGGCCGGAATGAGACGGCGGCGGTGGTGGTGCTAGGTGATATCTGCGGTGAACTCGAAGGAAATGATGCACTGCCAGGGTGCGGCACGGCTTGGTTCAGCCGGAGTTTCTTGAAATGTGACGATATATTAGACTGGGATTCCAGGTCGTCTTCCGCTCTGCGCTTCCCGGTGAAATGGTTCCGGAGCTCATTCACCGGCAGCCATTCTGCCGTGGCGTAGGATGCCATTGCTGGTAATCAATCATATATGAAAGCGGAGGAGAAGGTGTGTTGCAAAGTGTACAATATACCTTGGAAGGTAGGTCGGTAGGTAGGTAGGTAGAGAGAGAGAGGTAGATGGTACTTCTGTCGCTCTGTAGGGATACGGATCACAGCGGGGCGCAATTAGGATTCAGGTGTTGTAGGCGTTACAAGGTGGTGTGCACCGGTGCGGCTTCTCCAATTTTTGAGTGGCACTGCAGTTCAACGCTTGCGGGTAAAGTACCTAACTATTATTTCCGTCTTTCCTCTTTACTTCTCTCTGCAGCGTCGGGCCCAGCTTGGTTCGCAGTTGGAGACGTGGCTTGTCATTCTTGTCGATGTCGTGAACTGGATAAGACGCCCTCGGACTCTTCGGCGAATTGATACATATAAAAGGAGTGGGAAGTGTTGAGCGTCGCGATCGATCGGCCTGGGGAGGTGGTTCTGTTAGGTCTGGAAACTACGAGAACAGCGAGGGATCCAGGTGAATTGGATGCGAAGAGGCTGCCAGTGCAGCGGAGCAGCTGCGGCGAGTTGGAGAGCTGCCACTTCTACTGCCAGTGGCAGACTGCGCTTCTCCTCGACCACAGCACCACGACCAGCACCACCAGCATTGGTCCACCACACCTCGCCGCCTATCACTGCGACTTTTACCACTGCTACTCGCGTTCCCCGATTCAGAAATTCTGGCTTGACTCACGACCCTCACCGACGATTCACTCCGGCCCTGCGCACACTTGTCCAGGAGCCCTCTACAAAGCGGACGCATTCGTGTCTGGCGCATATTGATTTTCCTGCCAGAAATTGCAGTAGCCGAGGACCCCTCCTTCGAGACTTATCGACTGCCACTGTTCTGCGCACAACCAAAGTGCGGCAGCACACAACTTTAAGAATGGCGTCGACAACATCGGGAGTTCCGCAGCAATGGACTGCCACCAAGGTCAGAGATACCTTTCTGCAGTACTTCGAAGACCGCGGACACACTTTCGGTGAGTATACTCTCGCACGAGCTGCTTTGCGCAGTTTTTGCTGACCGGGTGGTGAATTAACAGTCAAATCCTCCCCTGTGGTCCCCCTATCTGATCCGACGCTTCTCTTCACCAATGCCGGAATGAACCAGTTCAAGCCTATTTTCCTGGGCACCGTCGATCCTACGAGCAAAGAGGGCCAATTAAAGCGGGCGGTCAACTCGCAGAAATGCATACGTGCGGGCGGCAAGCACAACGATCTCGACGACGTGGGTAAAGACAGCTACCACCATACCTTTTTCGAGATGTTGGGCAACTGGTCGTTCGGAGACTACTTCAAGAAAGAGGCCATCACTTACTCGTGGGAGTTGTTGACCAAAGAGTTCGGACTCGACCCGGATCGATTGTACGTCACCTACTTCGAGGGCAACGAGGCTGGGGGGTTGGAACCGGACATTGAAGCCAAGGAGCTGTGGAAGAGCGTCGGCGTTGCGGAAGACCACATCCTGCCGGGAAACATGAAGGACAACTTCTGGGAAATGGGTGATCAGGGCCCGTGTGGACCTTGTTCGGAAGTCCACTACGATCGTATTGGTGGTCGGAATGCCGCCAGTCTCGTCAACCAGGATGACCCTAATGTCTTGGAAATCTGGAACAACGTGTTCATCCAGTACAATCGAGAGCCTGACAAGAGTCTGCGGCCGCTTCCCAACAAACATGTCGACACGGGTATGGGGTTCGAACGACTGGTCAGTGTGCTCCAGGACAAGCCGTCGAACTACGATACCGATGTTTTCACGCCTCTGTTCGATCGAATCCAGGAAATCACTGATGCTCGACCATACGCTGGCAAATTCGGAGACGAGGACGAGGATGGCGTCGATACCGCCTACCGAGTCGTGGCGGACCATGTCAGGATGTTGACTTTTGCCATCAGTGACGGTGGCATTCCCAACAACGAAGGACGGGGCTATGTGGTGCGAAGAGTGCTGCGACGGGGTGCCCGATATGCCCGAAAATACTTCAATGTCGAGATTGGCAACTTCTTCTCCAAGATCGTGCCAACGCTGGTGGCGCAGATGGGCGGCATGTTCAAGGAAATTGTTGCGAAGGAGGAAGAAGTCAAGGAAATTCTGGATGAGGAGGAAATCTCCTTTGCCAAAACCCTGGATCGTGGCGAGCGGCAATTTGAAGTGTACGCTCAGAAAAGCCAGGCCCAAGGGCTGAAGAAGCTGCATGGTGCCGACGTCTGGAGACTGTACGACACCTTTGGCTTCCCGGTGGACTTGACAAGGCTCATGGCCGAAGAGAGACATCTCACTATTGACGACAACGAGTTCGAGACGGCCAGACTGCAAGCGAAGGAAGCTAGTAAAGGAGAAAAGAAGGCCGCGAGCGACCTGCTCAAGCTGGATGTGCACGATCTCGGCGAATTGGAGAAGATGCCCGGTGTGACCAAGACCGATGACAGTGCCAAATTCGGACGCGAGAACATCAATGGGACCATCCAGGCCATCTACCACGCCAAAAAGTTCCATGAGGACACCCGGAATATCCCGGAGGGTGAACAGATCGGAATCATCCTCGACAAGACCAACTTCTATGCCGAGCAAGGTGGTCAAGAAAATGATACTGGCCGGATCGTCATTGATGGACAGGCCGAGCTTGATGTGGAAAATGTGCAGCTTTATGCGGGCTACGTGCTGCATACGGGGTACATGAAATACGGCCATTTCTCGACGGGCGATGTGGCGATTTGCGAGTACGACGAATTAAGGAGGTGGCCGATCCGAAACAATCATACCGGGACGCACGTTCTCAACTTCGCGCTGCGGGAAGTTCTCGGAGACGGTGTGGACCAGAAAGGATCTCTGGTCGCTCCGGAAAAGCTGAGGTTCGATTTCAGCCACAAGGCGGCCGTGTCAGATGCGGACTTGAAGAAGGTTGAGGAGATCTCGACCGAGTACATCAGACAGAATTGCCCCGTGTACGGCAAAGAAGTGCCTTTGGTCATCGCCCGGGAGATTACCGGCGTCCGTGCCGTCTTTGGCGAGACGTATCCAGACCCTGTGCGGGTGGTCTCGGTGGGCGTTGAGGTGGATGAAATCCTAAAGAATGTCAAGGACGAGCGATGGCGAACGGTCAGCATCGAGTTCTGCGGTGGCACTCACGTCAAGAGCACCGGGGACATCAAAGATCTTGTCATCCTCGAGGAAGGCGGGATTGCCAAGGGTATCCGCCGAATCATTGCCGTCACCGGTGAAGATGCCCACGCCGTCCAACGCGCGGCGAACGAGTTCGAAAAGAAACTCGACCATCTGGAACAGATGCCGTTCGGACCCGCCAAGGAACAAGAATCCAAAGCCGTCCAGCTGGAGTTGAGCACCTTGTCGATCTCGGCGCTGAAGAAATCCCAGTTCCGCGACCGATTCGCCAAGATCAGCAAGGAGATCCTCGACCAGCAGAAGAAGTTCCAGAAGGAAGAAACCAAGAAAGCCATCGATACCATCACCGAGTTCTTTGCGAAGAACGACAAAGCATCAGGCGCGGTGTTGAAGCTGCCGATTGGTGGGAACCCCAAGATCATTCCGGACGTCATCAAACATGTGCAGACCAAGATCAAGGATAAGAGTGTCTATATCCTGGTTGCCGATGAGAAGGATGCCGAGGGAAAAGTGTTCCACGGGTGTTTTGTCAGTCAGGTAAGTCGATTCAGTCGAGTTGTGGTTTGGTTGAAGAACTCCTTGTTGTTATGGTTGGGTCGAGTAGTGGAGCTACGCATGCTAATATTCTGTCTGTATTCCAGGCTCATACCAAAGCCGGACTGACGCCGGCAGACTGGTCTGCCACCGTGTCGAAATTGGTAGGTGGCAAGGCTGGTGGGAAAGCCCCTGTTGCTATCGGTACAGGGACAGAACCGGCGAAAGTCGACGAGGCGGTGACTGCTGCGACTGAGCTGTTGGAGAAGTTCAAGCTGTGATACCCTTGTTGCCTGAAGAATGGTGACGCATGATGCGAATCTGTGACTTTCTTCGTGACCTGCCTTGCCTCGAGCCAGGAGCATAGATCCAAGCAGGATCTGCTTGAGGCTGGTTCGTGTGGCTGTTGCTTGCTGCACTCACCGTTGTGTTAGTGGCCCGACATTGGACCAGCGGTGCTGTTTTCGACAGTCGCGCTTCCGCATACCCATACAGAGGCTTTTTGCTTCGGACGCGTGTCCTGTCTAGATCCGGCTGGGCTGCTGTGACGGTCAAATTAAGGTTCTGAATCTGGTTCTGGTTCTGGTTCAGCGTCTGGGTCGGTGGCATTCCTTCTTCGTCGCTATCTCACTATGGTGGAGGGGAATGGTCAAACACTAGAAAGATCTCTTTGATCCTACTCATGGGCGTCGAGCGGGAAGAATGGTAAATAGCTACAGTACAGACAGACACTAAGCCGCCTCTGGGGGCATATTTCATGTCATGTCATGTCATGTCAAGCGGAGGATGGCTTGTGCAGTGCTATCGCGGTTTCTCGACAGGCACAGGCCCTGTGGGATATGGCAACTCATGCAGTCGGGGTTTCACACTGGCGTGGATAGATAGATACCTAGATGCCTAGGTAGCTGGCGGCTTTGGTTGTCAAATGTACCATCACGGCCAACCTGGAACTCAAGGATCCTAAAACCGATACTGAATCTCCCCAAACCCATCCGCAGCAAAGACATAAAACCACGTCAACTCCCGCTCAGGGTCGGTGTTGCGGATCCCATGTTTCGCGTTGCCGGGAATATACACCACCGTCCCGGCCTGCACGGCCGACTCGACGCCGTCGATCTCGACGACGCCGTGCCCTTGGGTGACATGGTAGATCTCTGCCTGTCGGTGGCGATGGGGGCACAGATGGCCTGTTCTCGGTGGACACGTCGCGATCCCGGCCGTGAGGGAGTCGGTCCTGGTCTGCGGCGCCGAGATGAGTGTTTTCCAGGTGACTTGGCCGCGGCCGCCGTCGACGCCCAGACCTAGGCTTGGTTCAACTTCAAGGTCAAGGTCAACTTCGGGGAAGGACTCGGGCTCTTGCTTGGCTATTGACTCCGGACTGATGATCAAGGGTGAGATGAGTGGTTTGTCATTGTCATTGTCATTGTCATTGTCGGTCTTCACGGTTGGAGGACTCATGACGGACTTTGAATCGACCGACCGACGGGGGTGTCGTTGATGGGTTCTCGAGATTGGGGTCAGGGTCAGGGTCAAGTGCACCACACCAGAGTAGGTGTAGGTTTCTAGTATGGTATATGGTACACGGCGCGGCAGTATGAATGCCAGTAAGTAGGTATCTTTCTTTATCAAGCTGAATGGGCTGTTTCACGAGAAAGTATAGTAGGTGGTGCCTTGGTAGTTTGATTTAGGTCAAGTGGTCAAGTACCTTATATATACACACTAATACGATTATATGGGATATTCTGACTACCTACAGTACTAGGTAGGTACTGGTATCCAGGGCTACCTACCTACCTAGATATGCCGAGAATAGTATCTTTCCCCCCAGATCGAGGACATACATGAACCCAGAACTAGAACTAAAAAGCCTCGTTGTTACTATTTTCAACTCTGAAGTTCGAATCATTCGGCCTGGTCTGCGCCGTCTGTTTTGTATTCCTAGTTTTCATCATATCCTAGTATTCGGTGCGTTATTCTTGTTTCTCGTGGATCTGGGAGGCTCGCCATCGCTATCTTCCCTTACGCCGCCACACCTTGTTGTATTTTTATACCTAAGGGCAGTATTGTCATGGGTGGCTTCCTGTGACCACCAGCCTTCAGAGTATCACAACTCTCGATAGCCATGTGGGTCCTCATTAACGGCTTGCGTGCTCCAGGAGGGCAACGGTGTCGTATCACCTACTCCTGAATCTTCTGCTTGTGGAAGATACCTAGCAAAGCAAGGTTAGCCAAAATTTGAGTCGGTGCATGCCATTGCCGCGCCATCAGACATACCAGGGACTTCGGGCATCCACGAATCCCGCTTGCTGCAGAAGAACTCGCCCTTTGGTGGAAGTTCTGTGGGATGGTCAAGAGTGCCGTAGAAGATGTAGATGTTGTCTCCCGCGTTTGCCTGTTTCATTTGCCCACCTATTAGCCTTTTCGCTTCTCACATTACACCACACCACTTCACAACAACCGAAATATGTGGTCAGACTCACCCCATACTCCAGAAGCCCGCTGCCACACTCTGAACAGAATTCGCGATGCAGAATGACTCCGGCACCATTGTCGGCCTCGTGGGTCTTGATTACCTCCTGGCCTGCGGTGACCTTGTAGCTTGACTTTGGAATCTTGGTCGTGATGCCGAACGGGCCACCAGTGAATTTCTGCACAAGTCAAGAGTGGTCAATTAGAAGCCATACATATGACTCCAGTAAGACCCAGGAACGACGAGAGTCTTAGAGACCCGATATTGGTCTGGAACCAACTCACCTTGCAGTTCCGGCAATGGCATAAACTCGTTCTAGCTTGATCTTTGTCCTCTAGGTCGATCTCATACCGGACCTTCCCGCAGTAACATCCGCCTGGGAACTTCATCTTGACTGCGGCCGAAGTTGAGAACTGTCTCAATGAATCCGAGCTAGACGGTGTGGGAAGAGTCTTGGAGACGACAGGTAGTCGCAGAGCCAGACGCCCAGGTTGCGAGATGAAAGAGTACGATGGGGCTTGGGTGAAGTGAGAGATCACAGCCCTCGTGCGTCGAAGGGCAGTAGCTGTCGGAAGTGGAGATGGTGCTCGTGCCTAACTTTCGCGTGGTGTTGCCGGTGGTAAGAGAGAACAGATTTCGCATGTCCTCCACTGGCAAATGGTCAAGTCTTTTCTTTCCTCCAAAGAAGGAGGTATTTGAGGTGGATGAGGGACGTTGATCAGTATCAGTAGTTCTACGACACACTTTGATACTGAAAGGAAACGGAAGATCAAATAGAGATTATAATCAAATCTCGTCTGCCAGTCTCACTCTCTGCTGTAGAGGAATCGTCATATCGTCGTCGTCGAAGTCATTCGAGCTTGTTTGTACACAGCGACGTCATTTCCCCTCGCATCCCTCAAAGCGTCATGCCTTCCTGATTCGGCGGGCGGGACTCTCTGTGATTGGCTGACAGTGGGCAAGTTGGGACATTCATCCGATTGGTGGCCTTGTGGGTCAGTACTTTGTACGTGTTGCGAGTTGACCTGTATCTCCATCTTACCTTACCCTACCTGCTACCTCATGTACCCAGGTAGTTGAACTTCCTGCTGTAAAACTGTACCGTTACCGTCACTCGCCACATCTCAACTGTGACCCCCCAGCCCGCGAGCAGAACATATCCCACCCGATCTCAGTGGACACAGACATGAAGACAAGTTGATATAAGCCTGTGACGAGACTGAGGTTATCCATTCGCTGTTGAGATCTTTGGCTATTGGTGCAACATTCTGAGCAAGCACCTCCGAGCCGGTGTTTGTCGCGTTGGCTGGACTGAGTTGGGGAACATGGCGGACACCCGGCCACCAGCTTTGAGCGATGGACTAGGTGAGTATGTCCAGATTGTGGCGAGGAATCAAAGCAGCCCATGATCTCCCTACTCAAGGACTTTGAAATGCTCGCTTGGGCTCGGCTCGGCTCCACACTGGCCATCACCAAAAGTCTCCAGACTCCAAGGCCAGACGCCCATGTCTCGCGCTGAGCTATGCTTCAGTCCAGTGACAGCCTGCGTTCGGACTGGCCCATCATGCGCCTGGGCTCACACCACCTTTTGTTGTGATGTCCCAAACGACGTCAGGTTGGGCCAATCTAAATTTCACACAGAGGGTCAGTCTCGGCATCCAGTCACCCATCTGCTGACAAAGCATGGGGAAAACTCACCAAAGACAGTATGCTCGGCATTGCACTTTGTCACGAACGCCTCGGCGCCGACATGTATCGCCTTACCCAGATCAGTGGGAGTCGAGCAGAATCCATACCTCCCAAAGACAGGACTATATTTTGCACCCTTATCGACTCTTCGATCTTTATTGAGTTTCTTCCACACCTGCCCTTGATCACCTTCACACGGCTTGCCCGTGGCATAGTCGACAGTGATACTCTGGCATCTATAGCAATTGGCAGTCAATGGCATCTTAACGCGAGTATTGTCACTGACAGTAAACGTCAACTCGGCCCAATAATCTTCCGCGAAGGGCCCCGAACTCCCAGAGACCACGATGTTCGGCCTGAACTTGGTCACGTCCATCACTTGGCCATTCGCGAAGCGGGACGATACCTGGTCGTTCGACTCCTTGGTCACGACCAGGTAATGCGCAATGTCGTTAAACACCAATCTTTCGGCAGGCAGGATCCTGGCGTTGATGAAAGAAGGAAGTCGGGCACGGATGAAACGCCATGGCCATGACGATTCCGGAATGGCATCTTTGCTATGTGGTGCGATTGAACCCAGTACCGCTCGGGAATTGGGGCCGATATATGTCAAGCGTACATCGAATCCTAAGTGGCGTGAGAAGAAAGATGCCTGTTCGTCGCCCATGTCGTAAGCCAGCGTCGGACTGCCGTGCAGACTGACCTCGATGGTCTTGAGAGCGGTCAGATCTGGCTTCACGGGAAATCTGGTCTGGTTCTGTGTTTGATTGTCGGAGTCCGGTCCTGAGAAATTTCCTGAGTCGCTACCAGTGCCGTCTCCACTACCGGTCCAGGTCACTAGTATATTCGAGGCTCTCCTCTCGTCTCCTTCGATCTCGAGGCACGTTGAGAACAGGGCCAGTCGGAGGTGATATCCAATATACATGGTCTCGTATTTCGGGCTCTTCGAGTCCGAGCCCGTTCCGGTGTAGTCGTGCTCGACCTTCTGAAGACAAAATGTGCGGTCCCCTTCGAATCCGTATTGACCGACGGTCGCCTTGGGTAATGAGCATCCTCGGAGGCCTTTGACAGGGTAGATATACAGCTAAAAGCACAAAAGGGTGGATGTTAGAACTCGGTGTCTTAGTCATGAATCACGACCCATGCCTAGCTGGGGCATGCAGTTGTTGGAGTGAGACCTACAGCTTCGACTTTGAGCTTCTCCAAAGGCTTGAACTTCATCCGCCATGATAGCAATAAGCCTGAGATGATGGTAAGAACGAGAGCGATGCTGAGATAAGTCGACTTATGGTCCAAATTGAAGAGATGTTGTAGTAGCATCGCTTCCGAGGACATGATTGCTATAGCGACGGCGACCCGACACCAATTTTAGCAGTGATTCTTCTTTCTTCTGGATTTGTGAGACGAGTAGGTGTTTGTTCTCGAGCCTCAAGGACGGATGCAGACTCGTGCTCTTTTGAAGCTGGTTTGAGAGCGGGTGAAGTTAAAACATATCCAAGCCTCTTGGCCGCCTGCCAGTTGTATGTTGTGTATACACATGATAACCCCGGATAGATAAGGATCTGAATCGCGTGCTGTTGACCATGACCTTGTCAACGACCCTGCCACACCGATGTCGCATTTCTTTCATACACTTTCTTGGAGTGCTTGTCTTCGCATTCGGGTTTAGCGATGCAGGAGGGATAAGTGCAAAACTGGTTAACCGGTGCGTGCGGCGGCTGGATTGAGAGTGAATGAAAGTGGCTGCTTAGGTATGTTGAACGGATTTACGCGACCCGAGAGCGCGACATGTCCACCCTCCTTACCCCAACTGGCGGACGCTATCTGTTCAGGCTATCGTCCAGTGAGATACCATCGAACTAATCCGTAAGGTCCACTGATTATTGAGAGTCGAATCTCTCTCAGAGGTTCATGGAGGTGCTGAAAGATGGTGGGTCGTATTAGTGTGGCATATCAACCTTACCTTTTTATCAATATGTGTTCTTCTCAAAAGTGCCCTCCTCCATCGCTAGTTTACAGGCTGATAGAAGAACTCTGACCGAGCCCGGAATGGCGACCACCAAGGCTGCCCATGGCCTGAGCCAGGACACAATATTGGTTCTGATGCCATGTGACCCTATAAAGGACTTCACCGATCGCCTCGAGGCCAAGTTTCCAGGAGTCACGATCCGCTGGCAGAATACAAAAGTGGCATCAGGCCTCTTGATGACGAAAGACATGCCTGCCGAGTTGTTTGACGGGGTCACCATCGTGTGTGCTTTTCAGATTCCCGATGCATCGCTGGTGCCGAAGCTGCGCTTTGTACAATTGACGTCGGCGGGAGCCGACCAGTGCGCCGAGAACGCCCATTACAAGAACCCAGATATCCCCTTTTGCACGTCCAATGGTGCTCATCCGTGAGTGACTGTTCTTCTGTCCCATCACGCAGAGTAGAAGTTAGCTGACTGAGTTTGAATCTTCGTCGAAGACCGCAAATCGCCGAATGGGTCATTGGGAGTTGGCTGTCTCACCAGCACCAATTTCCCAAGTTCCGCGATTACATGAAGGATGGCTATTGGGAGCCTCCATATCAAACCCGCGTTCAAGACTCACCTGGCCTTCGCATGTAAGTGGTAGCTCGCGGGAAATAGGCTCAAAGAAGAGTAAGAGTTCTGATGGAAAACAGGGGGGTTCTAGGCTATGGCGCTATTGGGCGGCAGTGTGCCAATCTCGCGCGAGCTCTGGGGATGGATGTCGTGGCTTTCACCATGCGTGAGAGGCCGACGCCAGAGTCCCGGAAAGATGATAGTTACTGCGTACCAGGGACTGGTGATCCGGACGGAGTCGTCCCATCCAAGTGGTTTCACGGAACGACTAAGGCAGCGTTGAATGAGTTCTTGGCCCAGGACCTGGATCTCTTGGTCATTTGTCTTCCACTGACAGCGTTGACGCGTAACATGATTTCGAGGGAGCAGTTTGAGATCCTGGCGAAGAGGCAGGCCTTTCTGTCTAACGTCGGCCGCGGCGGGCATGTGAATACCAAGGATTTGATTGAAGCTCTGGAGCAGGGACTGATTCGTGGGGCTGCTCTGGATGTCACTGAGCCCGAGCCGCTGCCGAAAGACCATCCACTGTGGAAGGCCCCGAATCTGTTGATCACTCCTCATGTGAGCTGGGTCTGTGGTGACATTACGAGGCGGATCCTTCAGATCTTCGAGCAGAACTTGACAGCTCTGAGTAGCGGCACGCCATTTGTGAATCAGGTCAACAAAGAGCATCATTATTAGACCGGGCACTGTGAAGATGAATTTATCACTAGACATACTTCAGCGTTGATAGAAACATCTATAGAAGCACTGCAACTGATGCCGTGACCGGAGACGGAGAATACATTTATCCGTCGCCTTGGCCATAGTACTAGTAGTTCCTTCGACGTCAGGAACTTCAACTGCCACTGCCACTGCCACTGCCACTACAGGACTTGAAGCTGAACAACACCGCGATGAGCAGTGTCAATCACTGCATCGTATCTTGCCATTATGAATTCAGAGCTGCGAAGGCAAGTCATCAATGTATACAAAGGTGTGGCCTGACTCGAGCAACCTGCGGTCCACACGTCTGTTTACTGACTGCAGGCAGAACTCCTGGAGATGGGGAAACACTATCCTCTAGGTTATGAGTACTTCCGGCCTCGCCTACACAAAGCTTTCATGTCCAAGGCACACTTGACGGACGAGGCCCAGATTCGGCAAGGCATTGAGAGGGCCGAGTTTGTCAAAAAGGAAATCGAGGCGCTCTACTTCCTCAAGAAATATCGATCGATGAAGCATCGCTACTCGTGACGACGACAACGGTTTCTCGTCAACTTCTCAACATAGAGGACGGCCCTCCTGAGTTTTGACGTAAACATATTATTCCAAGCTATCTGAGCCTTGACTGCCTGCATGTTTGCAGGGTAATTGGAGTAGTCTGACCAGGTTGCGCTGGGATTTCGGCATGGCAGGGTCCATCAAAAGGGCCACAGCCCAAAACGAACTGAGACACACAAGAAGCGTACTTGTGTCACTTGCCCATACTCCATCCTAAGCAAGTAAAAGGAAAACAGCATCTCCAGATCCTTGCTTGTCACCTTCCAGTGTCCTACCCAAACAAAGAACCACCGGCTTTCCTCTTTCCTCCCTCGGCTTCGACAGCAGCAATGAATTGTTCCAGCATAGTACTCGTCGTGAAAGCAGCACTTGTTGTCAGATAGGTGTCCTTGAAAAGCTTCCACAAACCCATGTCCTTTGGGTCAGTGGAGATGGGGCGAGGATAGTAGGGGTCGTTGAAGTAGAAAGCACGTTCCAGTTGTTTGATTTCATTCCCATCTTGTGTAAAGCTTTTGCATTGGTCAAAGTCCAAAAGCCAGATGCCGATCGACCGCTGATAGAAGTCGATTTTGATGCTCAGACTTTCCACATCCTGTTCGGTTGATGCCGCAATTTCCGCTGCTGAAGCTCGCATCCCTACTTGAGGCGCTCTCCCGAGAACAAACTCCACATCATTGGCATCTAGTTTGGCCTTCCAGTGGATGACTGCCAAGGTCTCAGCCATTGTTTGAGCATATAGCTCCGTAGGAAGTCGCAGAAGTTCCATCTCATTCACAGTCATGTCGAAATTGCGGAGTCTGAAGGTGTTTGTTGCTGACCTTGGTTGTCTTCGCCCAACGTAAATGCGGCTCAAGCAGTCTTTTTGCTCGGGCTGCGAAAGGAAGCTTGCTTTGTTCCTTTTGATATTTTCAAGGCCGAAAACGTCGACGAGAGCACCGCGGATTGCTGTTGGCAGGGGGAGGATTCGCTCGGACAAAATGCTATGTCTGGCGGGTTGCGTAGCTGGTGGAAAGCGGTTCCCGTATTCATTCCAGAACCTTTCATTGCGAGGGCCAATCCAGGCACCGAGACGAGGGAGGTTGATATTTCTTCTGTATTTCATGAAGGTCTCCTGGAGAGCTTCTTCGACCAATGCATGTTGGCAATGGTCATTGTACAGCTGATGTTCTTTGCCCTTATTCGTGACCTTCAGGACATTTTCACCGGTTAAAGCGTATACTGTGCCGCACTGACCCTACCCACTTGTGTGAAAGGCGTGCGATCGGATGTCTTGTCAGCAAGGGAGGGCGGCATAGACATATAGCAATTGGTCGACAGCATATGATGAAGGAACTCCTCCGAGCTATATTGTTGTCGTTCTGAGGCACCGATCATAGTCACGATGGGCACCTGATCGGTACAACGAGACCTACAAGCCATGATGGGTGCTTTCGGAATCGCTGACAAAATAGGATCCGTACAGAGGAACAGCGTTGCCAATACACAAAGATCAAGCCTGAATAGGGGCCAACACCACAAGTGAATCGCAGCGGCTTCTCTTATAGGAAATCATATTGAGGACCTGATCAGGACACCTCTCGAAAGGAAAGAGAGTTTGAAAACATCTGGAAGTCCCTACCAGAAACGCCGTAGCTTACCTTGGAGACGCAGAACCACCATAGAACCCTTTTCCAGTAGAATCTGTGGGCGGGTGGTTGCCTAGTACTCAAACAGAGAATGCTTGTTGATTCTGTTGTTCCTCTCCCAACTCAAAGTTGGCAGCGAATATCATATTCTTCTTTAAGTTATAGGCTTTGCAATTCTTTGGCCTGGTTGTTTGAATCTTCAGGATCATTCCCTCACTCGATGTACACCTGGTCATTATGAATAAGAAGACACCTTGTCTTGAAAGAGTGGTTGTATATATCGTATCACAGAAGTCGAAGGGTGAACAGAAGAGTGAGTAGAGACATAGGTGAGCGGAGTTGGGCGGAGTGTCCTCTTTACTAAAGCGGCAACGGATACTAAAAGCGGCAAAGAAGGAAGGACAATCACGTGCAGTCAGATCAATAACTATACTCACTAGTGCAGATTGCTAGCTCCTTCTGGTATTACTAGTGCCACTAGTACCAGACTATACTCTCTAATACTCGCCTTAACTGCCAAGAGTATGGTGATGGGTGGCCCAGGCGTGCGAGTTGAAAGAGAACAGCATCGTCCAGTCAAAGTGCCTTGCTCCTGGTATCCCACGGCACCGTGTCCTTCAAACTCATTCACCATCGCTCATTAACCATCACATCTCCATTGATATCTTTGCCCATATCACTTTGATATCCAGTCAACAGCCGACTACTACTCACCCTTGGTCTAAACACCAGTCACTGCACCGACTTGTCCCGGCTGCCCCAAATTGTCTTCGAGCTCAGAGTCGCAGCCCGACCCCAACCACCCGCAGCACAAACCATCCGGCCACAAGTCTCGACAGAAAGCTTCGGCGCCAGATACTCGCGATCCTGAAGCCTTGCGCGACCTTACTCTCGACATTGAGCTCTACATAGGGTCTCATGTTGAAGAAACGAAGACTCGATCTACCTTCCACCCGCACCCTCGTCACCCACGAAGCCGTCCCAGCCCCTCCGCTCTCCTTCCTCAGCGCATCACCCTTGCAAACTCGGACAGAATCCACGCAAACCGCCCTGCCTCGTTAGATGGCAGATGGTGCATTCCGGTTCCATCAGCCTGGAGCCGGGCAGTTTTATCCCACACAGCACAACAATCATCGAAATCAGAATCGAGCTACTTCACCATCCGGCGGTCGGCGACCCTTCACGAACGATACACCCTCTCCCTCGCGGTCACCCGTGAACCCGTCTCTTGGCCACAATTTCACCATGTACTCTCAAAATGGATATCAGACTCAACACGGGTTGATGAATGGGGCTCAGAATCATCAGCGTTATGGCAACCTCCAAATGCCGAAATATCAGCCGCAGCACCATGTTCACCATAACGCGGCGCAACATCATGTGCAACATCATCATGCCGGGCAGCTAGGGCACCAGCATACCATTTCGTCAGGCGGCTTCCCATCTGCGACCCCTCACCTTCCCTCGTACGCGCACGAGCACATGCAGAACGGCAACGGCAACGGATTACCCTCCGATGATGCGGATGAGCTGGATAATGAGTACTGGCGAGAGCAGAGACATTTTTGGGAAGAGAGCAAGGAGATGACTGGACAACATCACCGCGCGAAGACTGTTGCACAACACTCCAAAGGGGTCAATTACGTGCCGCTGGGAGCAGCTGCGGAGGATCTTCAATCAGATAGTCACCGGACTGCCACCTCGAATGGACAAACCGTGAGCAAACAAACCTGGGATGAACTCGACCTGGGTGGACAAGGCCTTTGTGCACTTTCCCCCGTACTATTCAATCCGTCATACCATTTCCTCAAACGGCTCGACCTAATGTACAACCAATTAGAGACTCTGCCACCTGAGATCGGTCGATTAAGGAATTTGGAGTACCTGGACGTGTCATTCAACCAACTTACCGAGCTTCCAGAGGAGATAGGGATGCTTACGAACCTCAAACATCTGCTTCTCTTCAACAACCATATTCAAACCCTTTGTTACGAACTGGGATTCCTGTACAAACTGGAAATGCTTGGTGTGTATGGCAACCCCTTGGAGCAAGGACAACGAGACAAGATCACGGAGGGTGGCACTAGAAAATTGATCGAATATCTCCGTGAGAGCATGCCAGGTTTGTTTTTACCTTCGGTGGATTCTACCCAGAAGACTGACAATAGACCAGAACCCCCACCACCCCGCGAAAGAGAGTGGCACCAGCTTGAGGAGGTGTCGGAGACCGACGTGGATACCATCAAAGTCTTGAATTACAATATCTTGTGCGATCGCTACGCCACCCAACAGCAGTACGGCTATGTGCCGGAGCGCGTTTTGGGATGGGGCTTCCGCAAGACGTTGATACTTGAAGAAATCCGCGAAATCAATGCCGACATTGTGTGCCTGCAAGAGTTGGACCGCTGCAGCTACGATGACTTCTTCCGCGGGGAGCTGTCAATCTCGGGCTATAAAGGGTACTATGCGCAGAAGAGCCGCGCCGAGACACTGGGCGACAATGCCAAGTTCGTCGATGGATGTGGCACGTTCTGGAAAGACAAGAAATATGTGCTTCTCGACACCCAGCATCTTGTTCTCGGAAGAAAGGCTGTCGAGCGGCCTGGCGCCAAAGCATCGGCTGATATGCTGAACCGAGTCTGGCAGAGGGATGACATCGCAACCGTGGTCTTCTTGGAAAACCGCGTGACGGGTTCGAGGCTCATCGTGGTCAACGCTCACATCTACTGGGACCCGGCATTCAAAGACGTGAAACTCATTCAAGCAGCCGTCCTGATGGAAGAACTCCAGAAGCTTGCCGACAAATACACGAAGGTTCCGCCGGCGACAAACAAACAAGTCTTCCGATTCTCAGACGCGGACGATACGCCACATCCTGATCCCGGCCCTTCTCTGGCATACACATCGGGAACTCAGATCCCGCTGATCATTTGCGGTGACTTCAACTCTGGGGCTGGTTCCGCAGTATACGATCTATTCACCAAGAAGGGGATGAACGCTGAGCATGCCGACCTGGACGGCAGGGATTACGGCGCCTTCTCCCGGGCCGGCATGCAACATCAGTTCACGCTCAAATCCTCCTACGGCGCCATTGACGAAGAAATGCCCTTCACCAATTACACGCCTTCCTTTGTCGACGTGCTGGACTACATCTGGTACTCGAGCAACTCCTTGAGGGTGGTGGGCTTGCTGGGCGCCGTGGACCCGGAATACCTGAAACGAGTGCCCGGGTTCCCCAACTTCCATTTCCCCAGTGACCACATCGCCATCGTGGCCGAGTTCAAGGTTGAGAAGCAGCGGAATGTGCAGAAGGCCGTGGAGGCCGACTTCGGACCCTCGAGCAAGAAGTAGTACCTTCGCAGTCTCGTATGAGGTTTGAGTGTTGGTGGGCATGAAACGGATTGTGCAGGGGGTTGCACTGGATGGATCTCGGGCGACGTGTTTTCTGTCTAGGTCACGGCGTTTCATTCAGTTGAGGAGCAAGGCAAGACGGCGCAGTCAGCAAACGCATTGAGAGAAAGGTACTGGGCGGGGAAGGGGAGGCAGGCTTGCCAGTGATGGTCAAAAAAAGTGGATGACTATTTGGGATAAACCCCCTTGGAATGGGCGGGGTTTGGCCATCTATATTCTGCAGTTCACCAAGCCTCTGTGTGTTTTACTCTTTCTATGCCTGTTCTTCTCCTCCCTTGCTTTTCTTCTTTGTCTCACTTATTGCTTTCGCCGCTGCTTGTTCTGTTCTCACTGATGGACGTGTCTCTGTGACAGACTTCCCCCGGGAGACGGAAGACGGAAGACGGAAGACAACAGTCGTACCCGCATATCCCATCCTCGCATCGTGTCGATGACCCCGTTTCTAGAATACGGCCGAGGAGCCAACAATCTCCTCTCTGTTTCTTAGTGTAATATGTCAATGATGGACGATGTTGGCGGCCTCCAAAGAATGAATGCAACTTGTTCGGCAACTTTGGACCACTTTGAAAAGGGCAGGCCAGTGGAGATTGGAAAAGAGGGAAACGGGCAAAGCAACGAGGACCGCCAAAGTCAGAAACGGCAAAGTCAAGAGCTGTGTATGAATTGCGTGAGCTTCAGCTACGAGCTATCTTTTTGTCATTCCATGGCTTCTTGTTGTGTTCCGAAGATTTTGTTTTGAACATGTGCTGCATTTGAAGAAGACAACAGAAACATTCCACAAAAGACCATACACCAAATGACTCTCCTCTTCTTCCGGACTTTGCTTGCTCTTGGTTGATGCTCTTGGTGGATAAGCTCATATCACCCCTCACGTCGCCACTGGCCGTAAATTGTCTCAGGTGTTCTCACATTTTCTGTGGCGTGAGAGTCACCGGTGTGTCCTTACTGCCCTCTGCGCAGTCTTTGCTGGCCGAGATCCTTTTCCGGTGCCCTTGTCTAAGCCGTAGTGGCTTTTATGACTGCCGCCGTGTTTCTTTGTCGACCGGGCTCTTGTTTCCCGCAGCAGCGTCCTTGACATGCCCTGCCATTTCTTCAGGGCAAGCCTTGACCTAGGTAAAGCAGCAGACAGATGTGTGACCGGTCATATCGACCATGCGTACCCAATGCCCTGTTCCACGGATCTAGCAGATGGTCGTTCTTCTCTTGTTTAGAAAGGCAGGGTGTCATGATGGGGGTTTCTTCGGCGTCCACGCCTAAAGTCAGGGCCGTAGACCGGTTTGAGTGAAGTCAACCCTCCATCAATGATCTCCGGGTCACTTGTTCATTTCGAACTCCTTCTTTTCCGCCTCTTCTTCGGCCCTCCTACGCTGGCTTTCACGGAGTTCCCGGATCTTGCCCTCCAGCTGGATCTTTTGGCCGATGAGATGTCCGCGCTTGGTCTCGAGCGCTTGGATGGACTTGGCATACTCCGCCATTGTGCTCTGCTGGAGACTCTTTTCTCCAGGGTGATCCTGTTGCTGGGCCTGAGCCTGGTGGAGAGCCTGGGTCAGAATCACTGATGACACGCATACCGAAGGGAGTTGTCTATACCTTTTGCGCTTCTTCCTGATGGCTGATCTTCAGCACGGCACCGATCAACGCCCCGGAGCCAACTATCCCGGCGACGCCAATCGCATAGACCAGCGGCTTGATCCTCCGGAAACTTGGAGGAAGACGGTTGGTAAGGTTCTGATCGGGTCTCGATGGGTGGCCCGGCGGTGGTTGTGCATGTCTAGTGGACGATGCGGGCAGCGAGAAACGAGGGTCGGACATGTTCTTCGCCGCTCTCGTCTATGGTATTGGAGCCATGGGTTTGTATGTGCTAGCAGTGCGAGTTTGCTATGCCAGTTGCCGGACGGGGGTCTTGCGAGGTCAACTCATGGAGAGATTGTTCGATCAACTGCATGCTGCAACGAGCGAGGCAGGTGCGGCGACCTTCGTGAAGGGTCTGGACGATAGAGCGGCGAGTGACGGGCACCCGTTACTACTCTGTAGCGACGCTGCTTTAACTCGTCTTTGCCGGTACTAGCCCTGGGCTGATGGCTGATGCTTCACTCGGTCGGTCTTCCGTGCAGCGTACTGTAAGATAGCCTGTGTTTAGTGGGCGGCTGTGTACAGAGGTTGATATCACGATCATAGCAGATGACTCATATTCGAACTCGACACGACTCTGGAGAGTCACGCATAGACTACTAGTAGTACAACGGAACGAGAGTGCAATTATTAGGGGTTGTATGAGAGCGCTGAGTTGTTCCCCAACGAGGTATGGACCCAGGGGAACTCTGTGCATTTCTGTACTCTTAGTACTATGTCACACTAGATACCTAGTAGTGGCTGTGTGCAAAGTCGAAAGAGACAGTAGCATTACAACGGCTCTCATCATTGATTGAGCCCGCCATGTAGGATTCTGCCGCGATTCTGCCTGGTGGGAGGTAGACTCATTGAAACAAAGGCGTTTGGCAGCCGGTGACCAAGTGTCAAGAAAACGGTTGGTTGAGAGGCCTAGTTATTGGAGGCTAATCAGGCTGTGCAGTATTAGCTGTCATCCAGGGGCGTGCTACTCCCTAATGGCCTTGAAACACCTGACCATACCTTAACTATCGGCTTGCCGCTTCGACATGGTTCGCCTCGGGTTGCTGTAAACCGTAAGGTAACTGGGACCATGCGCAAGGCTGTTTGGGTGCGTCACAGCCGAAACCTCCAGTGACAGTGACACCGGCAGCATAAAAGTGGCAGTGTTAGTGGCCGGCCGGGAGATCAGAGCTCGGGTGCCAGGTGGTAGACAACCCTGCAATCCGTCTCCAGACACGTTTGTCAATGAAACGAGGGAAAGCTAGCCAAACAACCAGCAACTCTCACTGGCGGTTTAACGACGGTGTGCGGTAGGCACGGAGTACCAGGTACGCAGCAACAGCGGTAGAGTCCCCGTAGGATAGGTACCTTCCTTTTACCTACAGGTACCCACTACTACCTAAATACCTATTGTGGTAGGTACTTCTGTGGAGGTCGAGCGACCATTTCTCCGGCCAGGGCTCCACGTTCCTGACGTGACTGCAGTGCCTGCTCGGAAGAGCTAAGGGCCACAGCCTAGCAGTCCCTTAGCTAGGAGCATTGTAGCCCTGGGGAGCCTATAAGGCGCGTGCTAGGTGGCATCAAGTGCTCCACGCACGGCAAGGAACAGGGAACCCCACCCACGATCACTCATAAACATCCCCTCCAAACACCAGCAATCGCCGGCGACCTTCTGTGTCTGTGCCCTGCTATGTACCCGCACCTCAACCTCCCACCATCACCCATAGCAAATATACCTAGGTACATCTACATAGGTAGCGACGATACTGGCACCATTGCTCGAACCAAATGGCGCTGATCTTCTAAGAGACCGCACTGCCTCTTCATATCCACGGTCGCACGGCACGGTATCCTTCAAGCTGGCCATTAGCCGCCGAACCGCCGACCTCGATCTGGCGATAGTAGCTGACCGTCTCCCGCTCGCAGACATCCATCTCCTTTCCATCTTACCGTACTGTTCGCCGGAAACATTCATGTCACCGACCTTCTCTGCTCCTATATCCCTTGATTCTGCCTACCGGTCTGCCCGATGACGCCAGTCCGACCCTTCGATCGCGCTGAAGTCTGATACCTCCGATCTTCCTTCAGCCTCCCCTCTGCCCCGCGACCAGTCACATTGTCCCCAGTCTCTGTCCGACACACACCAAGGGACCCGGCTGCCCCAGTGCTACAGATTGACTGTCCCTTTCTTGACCTTCTCCGCCTTGTCTCTCATCTTCTGAAGAAACGCTTACTTTGTACGGCTCCGATTGTATCGAAATCTTTCAACGCATGGTGGGCCGTTCCCTGTGCGCAACACCTTTGATTGAACCTCAAGCGCAACGAGCTGGGGCTTATTGCTTTGTCTGATCAAGCGGAAGGTCTAGCCCAGAGTCAGGTCCCATCCTTGCTTAATTCCAGGTCCCGGTCGGCGATAGTCTCGCTCGCCAGCCTGCTCAAGTCCACAGCCTCTCGTCAGGCAACCGATTCCTAGGCCATGAATCAACGCCTCACTCCCGTGGCCCCGAAGAGACCTTTCCCAGTTTGGATCAGAGCGCAGTAGAAGGAATCACCTCTTCCTGCGACCTCCTGCGGTCGAACATCACGAGAAAGCATGTCGCTCTCGAACACACAATCTCCTAGTCCTCGGAGGCCTGTTCAGCACGTTCCTTTGTTGACTACACCCAAGTCATTCCCACCGACCTCATCACTGAATGGGAGCCACCGCCGCGGCGCAAGCATAACATCAAATCCTATCCACATCTTAGAAAAAACGCAGCAGGTCAGCGACGAGCTGGACTGCTGGCCTTCAGATCCGACCTTCAATCTCCCAGTTGCCAGCCCCGGAGCGATACAGCAACCCACAAACCTGTTCAGCTTCGAAGAGGACACATCTCATCACGACTCTTCCTTTGACGACTTCCTGACTACAGAATGCTCGTCGGACAACCACGTCAGCGAACATACTACCCCTCAAGAGCTTATTTGGGAACGGCAGTTTGTGTTCCAAGAGACGTCTCAACCTCAAATGAGTGATTATGGCCACCGCGGATACGTGACGGGCCAAGGGCTCCAAAGAGATGACTACCCCGAATTGCGAGGAATCTCCAACAAGGTTGTATCTGGACAAGAGTTGCCGAATCCAAAGTTGGGTATATCGACGGTACACTCTCCGCGTGTGTCAGGGGATGCATCATTGATCGAGAATCCATCCGTGCCCGGCTCCTTCATGCTCTTTGGTCAGAAAGGAGCGTCTCAAAACCTGACGGTCGCGACGACTGTGGGTCGCGTCCAATCTCCCAATCACGAAGGAGCTCGTTGGCAAGCTCCCTCGCCCAATCTCCGTGCTCCTAGTCCGGTCGTGATGGTGTCCAGCTATGAGGCGACCGACGCAGATCATGATGTGCTGTCATATGAGGTTCAAAGTTCCAGTAAGCGCAGCCGTGACGCCGAGGGCTTCGAGAATGAAGATAACGGAGCCGGTGCCGAAATGGGTTGTGGAGACATTGCCGACTCATCTCACTTGGTGCTCCCCTGCCCGGTTGATAGTAGCAGTGCACGTACTGATCTCACGCAAAGGACCGGTCTGGAGCCATCCCAACGAAGCGACGACGTGGTTCTGTCAATTAAAGATATCGACGAGCAACGCCAACGAGATGAACGCAACGCCGAGGTGCAAACTTGGCTTGAAACAAGCGATGCTGGCAGCGAACCGGACAAGGATTCTTCTGCAGGATATATACGCCGCCTACCTTCTGGTACGCGGCGCCGTGCTCATACCACCGGCCGCGTGGATGTTCTTGGCCGGGTCTACTGTGACCAGGACATCCCTGGGCCGGGTGTACTGGTGGAGGTGGAATCGGACGATGAGTACTCGGACGAAGTGTCCGTAACCTCGTCGCAGGTCATGGGCCATACTGCGCATATTCTTGATGCTTATTACAAGTCGGACTCGCCACAGATGTCGCCGCAGGCGCTTTATAGCCGTGACTCGCCGGAGAAGACTTCCTTGCCTACGCTTGAGGACGAAATACCCCCGGAGATGCAAGAGCCTCTTCCCCGACAATTCTACAGACGCGGCCCATGGCAGGATCCTGTGCGAGGTCCAGTGAGTGATGTGAGAGATCAACCATACACATCGAATGCGGCTGCCTATAGGTTCAATCAAGAAGTAGTCAAGTGGGAGACCGCCTCGAGAGCGGCCACGTGGGGAACGCGACGGCGTCTAAGCGAAAGCGAGATACGCTCCATCGTGGAGGGGAGTCAAGTGCGACATCTGTCTCTCTCGAAGCGCGGGCGGGAACGAGGCAATAGTATCCTGAACAAGGCTCGAGGGCTGTTGCCCCGCCGCAGCAGCAGCAATGTGAAGCCAGAGCCGTCGGGAGAAGCTTCGGAATCCTCCCCGAAAGGACATGCTCATCGAACCTCGTTCGGGACCATTAAACATGTGCAAAGGAAGCCCAGTTTCGGTAACAAACCGAAGTCACCCCCACTGAACACGGGCAGCGCGTTGATGGCAATGACCGGGCAGCTCGCCGCAATTGGGCGAGGCACCCCAATGACGCAGGATCCCGAGTCATATCACTCCTCGGGACCGTTGCAAGCTCTGAAAAAACAACGCTCCAAGAGTGACGTGTCCAAGCACGGCAAGACTTCTACACCAGGGTTGACGGAACTGATGACAAGACACGGGGGACCACCCATCCCAACACTGGCATCTCCCATGCATGAACGCGAACCCATCGTTGCTGCGCAGGTAATTGACAACGAAGATGCGGCTGCGGACGACGACGATGACGATCAGGCGGACGAGGTCGCCATCCGAATGGACCTCGAGATCCGCGCCGAGGACATCACACCAACTCTGGAGGGCTTCAAAGACCATGTGCGGAGGCTCAATCCTCGTCTGGAGCCATATCTGATTGAGCGGGTTGGACAGGAGCAGACCCGACGGTACAAGAAGCTGGTGGAGAACAAGATCAAACACACCCGGGCTGTTCAAATGAGCCACAAGTGTCCATCTGGGAAGTTTTGTTTTGAACTGGGAGGGGAGGCGGTGCTTCTGGCACCTCGAGCAAGCTCGAAGGACCGGGACGCGACTCTCACCCAATTCCAAGTGTACAATCTTGGCGACCACGAGATTGATGAGTCGAACTTTACGGAAGGGATTGTCACTCCTGCCCTCTTCCCTCCCGGGATCCCGTTACCGCCGGCCAACCGACTGCCGGCGGAATTTGAATGTTCGCTGTGTTTCAAGGTGAAGAAATTCCAGAAGCCGTCGGACTGGACCAAGCATGTGCATGAAGACATCCAGCCCTTCTCCTGTACCTTTCCCCATTGCACGGAATCCAAGTCATTCAAACGCAAAGCGGACTGGGTGCGGCACGAAAACGAACGACACCGTCACTTGGAATGGTGGAAGTGCAGCATCCAGGAATGTTCGCACACGTGCTTCCGGAAGGACAATTTTGTGCAACACCTTGTACGCGAGCATAAGATGAAGGAGCCTAAGGTCCGAAGCCGGGGATCTGGCAGCAGCAAGAACAAGGCCGTGAACAATACCGCCTGGTCGATCGGGCAAGAGGACACGGAGCTGTGGAGCTTCGTTGACTCTTGCCACCGGGAGACCAGCAACAAGTCCCGGGACGAACCCTGTCGGTTCTGTGGGAATGTGTGTTCGAGTTTCAAAAAGCTGTCGGTACACATGGGCAAACATATGGAACAGATTGCCATGCCTGTGCTGAAACTAGTCAATATGCGTGAAGTGGCGCCCGACACCATCATCAGTCCTATTGACCAGACGCCGACGACAGCCTTCACGTTTGCAACAGGCCCCGGGGCGATGCACACGATGGACGGCAACAGTCTTTCTCCGTATCCTGCGAGTGCGGCCTCGGCGTACCAGACATCGTCAGCAGGACAGTCGCCCGCATCGGTGCCTCGGCGGACTCGAAACGGGGGATATCATTTCGAGCGTGGCTTTTACAGTCCGCACGCGTTGCCCTCGGTGGTGCAAGGGCACATGACAGGTCAATCCTATGAAGGTCCGGTCGGTCCGGCATCACAGTCGCACGTGTACATTGGGCCTTCAAACTACATGCAGCCCGGGGACGTGGGACACCAGCACGACTACAATGTCTCCCCGCAGAGTGCGACGGTGACTCCACGTTCGCAGCTGGTCACGAGCGGATATAACCAACACTTCTTCGATCTAACGGGCTCAGATTACGCGCAAGGGCCAATGGCCGGTGTGTACCCGAGTGTGCATGTGACGCCCGGGTTTGGCGCGCAATACGGCTCGCCGATGCTGCACGACCCTTCAGGCCATTCGCCCATGGCAGTGGACAGCAGGTCCGGGCTCGGGTTACAGACGATGAATCAGAACTATACATTCGGAACGGCTGGCCATGAGGACGCAGGTCCGCACATTCAGTACACACAGTGACGGGCCTTCTATCGAGGAGGGGGGGCGCAACATCCGAGGGGATGTAAGAGAAGGAAGGCTCAGGGCAACGGGGCGGGATGAGGAGCCTCACTCGTAGCAGGTTGAAGCCTGGGGTGTTTTTCCTTTCCGGACTTTCTGCTCTACCTGCCCATATGTATTTGGATACCCAGGATCTATGTTTATTTGTTTGTTATTCTCGCGTGATGAACTGTTGAGAGGTTCAATATTACGAGCCGCACTACAATGATACCATGATGATGATTGTTCGACTCCAAGAAGTTTGCATAGCTTGTATGAATACTACTAGTAGTATGCTGTTACACCGGGGCCTTTCTAAATGATTGAACACCAAACGCCGTCTTGTAAAGGTTGCGTACCTACGTTGCAAGTAGATCAGACCGAATCCGACGACAGCCAAGATACCTTGTGCAGAAGGCATAGTTTACAGAGTTACGGAAGTTTTGTGTGGCATGGGAGACGGCAACACGACTGACTACCTTGGGTAACCTACCACGGGGGCGTAGACAGGGGATAGGGATGGCATGTTTGTTCCATGACATTATTGGCTGGTGGTGGTGATCCCAGCGTGGAATCGATGAGAGGATGGACGAGGGGGGATGAGATACTAGTAGTAGGGGATGGCTCTCAGCTGCAGGGGTGAGATAGAAGAGTTGGAAGAGTTGTAGAGTGGAAGGGATGCGAGGTGAATGGTGAAGGATGAATGGATGATGGATGATGGAATGCCAGCCTCATCTTCGTCTTCGTCTTCGGGAGGAAGCGCCCGTGGTATCAGAGTTACCAAAGTTACCAAAGTTACCAAAGTTACCGGGTGCCGTACCAGGCAAACAGTGAGATCTTGGCCGAATTGGGGGCCAGTGCTTACCGTGTTTGGACTAGGGCAAGGCAGACATTCAGGATAATGCCAGAATTCCCCAATCATGTGTACTACCCTCGACGTTAGTATGTATTACGGTATTTCTGTTCTTTACCTAGGTACTGTAAGTTGTCCAAGGTAGGTACCTAATACCTGACTACGTGGGCGGTACTATCGGTCTTTGCCCACTTGTGCACTACTACTACCTTACCTACAAATAGAAGCGAGCGCCCTATGTCATTTACTTGGCATTGCACTCGTGCGGTATCCGTGGGGTACCTGAGGGATGACAGTGGCCGTGGAAGTGATAGTCCGGGACAGCACTGCCAGCATTTACTCAGGTGCCAGTGGTGGATGCCCTGTGCCGAGTTTGACAAATCCGTTGATAACCGTGGTGGAGGGTGAAGGAGTCGTGGTTCAAGTCTAGGTGCCGAGAGCACCTATTAGTTAGGTACCTAAGGTACCTATTACTACTATAGATGGCGCATCTAATAAACACCGAATACACCGAATACCATCTGTGACGTAGCTATCTTGAGATACAAGTACTAGGTAGGTATTGTGTATTCCAATGGAAGGAAGGTACGGTATACCAGGTTTCATCCTCACGTCTGCCTGCTTGTTCAACTTGTTCACCTGCTCACCGGTTACAACAATCCACAACGGAAAGCATTGCAAGCGACTCGATTCCCCTTCTCATCCCTTTCCTCTCTTCTCTCTTCTCTCTAGATCCAACCCACGGCACAGTCTATCCGTTGGAATCATACCGCATCTTGCCGCTCACCCTCCATCGACCGACCATCTCAATCCGTCACCTTCAAGTTCGCTCGCTGTTAGCACAAGTGTCCAACCATCCACTCTTCCAGTATGGTCTACTAGTACAGCCTCATCCTGTCCGAGACCCCCACGAACATGACTCCTCGATAACAAAGCAAAACTCGCAGTCTTGGAAAGGAGAGGGACTCGGGTCGGCAACCTCATAAAGCCCAAGGTGAGTCTGCTCTGCTCTTCTTCTCTCGTCCTGCACCGCCTCCTTGTCTGTCGACCCAGATCAACTGGATTCAGCTCTCCTCCTGACACCTGCCCGATTACTCTCCTCTCTTCTCTCTTGTCTCCCTTGTCGACTTACCGCCAAATCCCTCTCGACACCGCTAATCCCAGTTAGCTGTGCCCCCTCCGCCTCATTTTATCGTCGGGCAACAGCCATGCTGGACCAGTACAACCTTGCTTTCTGATTGGCTGGCCTTGCCTATTGAACGTCGAGGCGTTTTCCAGTCAGAAACATCGTGGGCTGTGCTTTTGCCAGTACCATCGAAACACCTTCAGGACCTAGGGAGCTCTTGCTCTCTACTCGTTGCACTCGAACAATCGTCACTCGCCTAAGCTTCGTGGTTGGAGCGGGGAAGCCGGCCGAAGTAAGTGTTTCCATTCCCTCCTCCCGCCTCATTACGACTCCTTCACCGACTGTGGCTTTCCTGTCATCAAACATTTCTGTTGACTTCAGCGTAGAAACGGCTCTATTTCAACGTCCAACGGCCCTCAAAATGGCTGAGACCCTCTCCCAGCCGCATCAGTCTGCCACCCGCCGGGTGCGAGCTGTAAGATCAAATGTAGCTCCCGCACTGCCATCCTGCCTTGTGTACGCCCGTTCATTCTAAGCTCTTCTTGCAGGCATCAATCGCTCTATCGCATGCTGGCGGCGCGACTGCCCTGCACACAGCCCACCATTCTCCTTCAGACTTGACCGACCTCCAGGCCGATTTATCCGCCCTCACTTCTGCCAGTGATCGTACTCCGAGGTTTCTGTTTCCATCTTTGGACGACAATCATGTTGGCGTTGCCGGATCATTCGTGTCTTTGCCATTCGGAGATTCATTCCCAGCAGACTCTCAATATTGCCTTTTCAGCCGGACATCAAACTCTCTTGCCTACGCAGATATTGAAAATGCCGTTGTCGATGTGGACAGCGTAAACAGTCATACAACGAGCCAGTTGGACCCTGAACTCCAGACCACCGCCCCTTGGACCCATCTCTCTTTCGGTGAAGGAAGAACTTCCCCGTTGTCCACTAGTTTCGGACTCAACGACTTTGGAAAGCCCCAGCAACTGGGAGTCTCCGTTCGTCACCGTGCAAATTCTTCGGCCAGTGGACAGGAATCCTTTCGAGATTCAGCTTATGGCACCGGGTCTGGAAAATCGCAACATGAAGTCGAATCTGTGAACGAGCTACCCACGGAAGCCATGGATCGGTGCTCTCCACTCTACCCAGCCACCTTTTTCCACCATGATCATGTCCCAGAGTACAGTCCCTTACACCCGTCGAGAAGTGCTCCGGAGGCTGCCACCAGCAATACTGCACTATCCGACTCTGGCGAGACTACCAATACTGTACAGAGAACTCAAAGGTCTCAGCCTTTACTGTGCCGCGAGTGTAACTATCAGGCGAAGACCAGGTCGGACCTCAAGTGAGCAAAGATCTGTGATACCTATCATTGCTGGTTGCTGACAGTGACAGGAAACATAACGCCCGTCACGAACGAGAACACAGGTGCCATTTTCCTACGTGTATGCGCAAATCGAAGGGGTTTGCCACCAAGAACGACCTCGACAGACATTTGAAATCGGTGCATCATATTAACAGCCGCGGCACCAAATACTACAAGTGTCTGGCCGAAGGCTGCCCAAGGGCAGACCGGAAATGGCCCCGTCTGGACAATTTCAAGCAGCACCTTCAAAAAATGCATAAAGATCAAGATCCCGATCATCTGCTTGAGCTGTCGGAATCCTGGTATAATCAACAGCAACGACTGCCCCAAGGTCAACGAGAGGATGGCGCAGAGTCGATCGACTTCGATATCGTACTTCCCTCTGACTCCGTGACACCTACGATGGCTCCGCAAAAGCAATATGAGAACATGTGTCCGTCTTCCGATCCCTCCTGCGACACCTCCATGACCACAGATAACCCGATGGCACGATCCTTGAGCTTTGGTAACCACCTTTTGGATCCCGACCTTGTTTCGGGTACGACGGCAGGCTTTCCTGTGCCGCAACATGTTCATCGTCGGAACATCTCGATCCCTGGTGATGTCTCGACATCACAGAAGCAATTCTACATGGGCGATCTCACATCACCACAAATCCCCATGCAACGAACACACTCTCAAGTGGACTATCCAATCTATTCCAACCATATGCATCAGGAAAACTTGTTTGATACCATGACGAACTTCCAGCTCTCTCAATCTGATCCCTGGGCGGTCCATGATCGGTCCATCCCGTTGTCGAACCTGAATCATTTCTTGTACGATGCCGGCAGGGATCAGATCCGTCGGGTCAAAGCGCCCCATACCGTTGCCGTCCTTGATAGCGACAGGATGGTAGACTTGACCTCTCCGCAAGAGGTCCTACCAGTCATGTCGAACGATCTCGGTGGCAGGCAAGACGAACTGCTGCTTAATATTGGCGCCAGCACGAGCAATACGACGGCAGACACTGGTGGCGGCCTTGATACTTCACCTCTTCAGACGTTTATGGTCAATGTCTTTCCCCCGGAGAACCAACCCAAAATCCCCGAGACATCAATGGGCAAGCTTCTCGAGGATGAAATCAACAGTTTTCTGCTCGAACATAACTCCAAGGCTGACAAGGATCGAGTTTCTATGTCACAAGAAGAAATCATCAACCTTGTTCGGATGAGCCTAAGGTCCTTTTCGTCCGCCACAGCCAGTGGAAGGGTACGTTCTGTTGGGCCTTCGGCGGCTGCACCCATTTTCGACACCCTGACCGGCAACCAGTGTCCGGACGGTGAGAAAACACAGTTTCGCTGCACGGTGGAGGGTTGCAACAAGGTGAAATCGCGGCAAAGCGACCTCAGAAAGCACATGGCCCGCCATGATAAGCCGTTCGGATGCACTTCGGACGGGTGCAACAAGACGTTCGGCAGCAAGAACGACTGGAAACGACACGAGCAGAACCAGCATAAACAGGCGGAATGCTGGTTATGTGTGGACTGTCACGAAGTCTTTTATTACTCGCAAGACAACTATCTCCGACATTTGCATGAAGTGCATCCGACGTATCGGTTCCAAGATGGCCATCACAATGCGAAACACTTCCATATCGCCGCCAATTACGAAGGACATTACTGGTGTGGTTTCTGCAACAAGATCATGCGACAGAACAAGCATGGCGTCGAGGCTGTCAATGCCCGATTCAACCATATCGGCGACCACTTCAGCAAGCACAAAATGGCTGCCAAAACATGGATCGAACTGACCGGCCACGGGAGACGGAAAGAGGAAGCTGTGCAGACCCCTGCGAATCACATTCAAACTGACGAAACGCCCGGAGAGGAGGCTGAGAGTAGCCTTTCTTCCTCCTCTTCCTCCTCATCTGCTTCGGCGTCGTCCCCTTCCTTTTCTCTTCAGGGCACGTCGCCAGCCCAACACCAACACCAACACCAACACCAACCTACTTACTCGATCCCGACCAGTCCAAACATCGAACGTCACCAAGCTCAGCGACAAGATCAGGCTCAATCTCAAGCAAACATGAATTGCCATCCAACCCACATACAGACGCAGACCGCAGGACTGCGCATGAGGCAGCAACGCCGTTCGCCGCGTGGGTTCCGTCCTGCCAATGCAATCATCTGCTGCCAATGCAACACTCCGTCCGCCCTTGGCCTGAGCTATGATCGCTGCATGGATCCGAGTTGTTTCCATGAGTTTTGCAAGGTGGGGTGTACCAGGACCTACAATGCTGATACTTCGAAAGCATGAAGTATCAGAGCACGAAGGATGAACAGACCAAAGGGCCAGAAGAGAAGCCAAGAGACGGATGTTGTGACGATGCAAGAGATGAGATGAGATGAGAAGATACAACTGTGATGATATTTTGATATTACGTCCAAGAGGCGAACGACATGATTTTGGTTCACGAGTCGACGTTATTCTGATGGTTTGATTGATTGAATGGTTGGGCGCTTTTTGGTATTACTGACCGGGTTTTTGTGACCTCTGTATGTTTCTGTCGCTATCATCGGTTCTTGTTGTCGCCGTTGGGTACTTGGGTCTGTACTCCATGGTGCATATTGCATGTCTTTGATTTGTATTTCTCAATCAGCGCGGACATGAGTCATATACCGGCAACATACTAGGTACCTATCTAGGTACCGAAGGCAATACAACACTGAATAACAAATGACTCGAGGTCAAAGACACGCTGCCATCACCATCGCGCCAGTAGGCCACCTATGTACGTACCTACATGCGCGACAGCTACGTACCACGATCACTTCCTTCATCCCAGACTTGCGGTGGAATATGAATGAGAAGAACCTTAAGCAGATGCAGTGGCCCGTTTCATGACCGTGCATGTATGTTACCAGTACGTAGCGAGTCTGATGGTTGAATGAACGATGAACAAATGGCAGACAGTATACTACTCATCCATCAGTGTGGTGTAGTAGACATAGTTCAGACCACGCACCAGGATCTTATAAGCCCATCCACACCGTCTTCGCGATACAGTCGACCCCGGGTTTACGTTTGCTCGGTTTGACGAAGCCCAAGTACCTCAGGTCCGCGAGCGCCCGGTAGAACAGAGCCAGAGCCTGGCGTTCCACAGCTTCAGACGTTGCATTGTCATCTTCTTCCTCTTCTTCCCCTGCTTGATCTTCCTCATCCTGACTCGCCGAGGACCTAGCATCATCTTCTTCCTCTCTATCTCGGGTACCGTGTGTCAAGATTCCCTTCTTCGACTTCCCAGCAAGCGCCGGCGTGACCATGTCACGGAACGTCTCCCACAAGTCCCGCACGTTGATCACGTGTCCGGCTTCATTGAGCATGCTGAGCAGCAGACTCGTCGGCGGCAGTGTCGCGCGTTCGGACACCTCGCCCCCAGGTTTACTCGACGTGGCAGAAGGAGTGCAGCATTCACAGCCCAGATAGTCGGCAGGCCGCGTCAGCGCTCGTTCCAGACTATATCGAGCTCGTGGGTGCAGGATGGAACTCAGTGGTGACTTTAAAGTATGTGAGAAGGCCTCGCTCATGAAATCATGGAACGGGCTTGTTCCGGGGATCTGTGGAGTTTGTGGTGTCTCGCTTTTGGGCGGCAATGTTCGTGACTGGATGTATCGTCTGAGGATGGTCAAGAAGGCTTCGGTGAGGTTGTGGGACCCGTCGTTTCCCATGGTACGATCGGCGTTGCCTCTCGCTGTGGCTGTGACTGCGACTGCTTTTTCGATGTCGGACAACGTTTCTAGCTTCTCTGTAGTCGTGGGAGAAGACTGAGTGCTTTCGAAAAGTTTCACGTCTTCCAAGGCTGATGCTGCGTCCTCGAGGAACGCTTGGAATTGCGGGAGGTCCATTTCCTTGATCGCTTGCTCGATGCTCTCGAACAAGTCTGTCTGCTCGAGATCGGGGAGCGCCGCAAGGAGCTGTGCCTCGGTCTCCAAAGAAGTGTATTCTTGGGAGTTGAGGAGGCGGCACGAGAGACCCTTGAGCGTTTGGAAGGCAGCAAGGCTAGCTCGCAGCCGATGCTGCCCTGTGCGGACCGCTTCCATGGACTCCGCCTCCAAAGCCTCGTCCGAGAGAAGTAGTTCCCGAGCTCTCTGTCGCCAAGCCTTGTCCCCTTTGGCCAGTGTTTCGCAATGGATTTTGAATCCCCTTGTATTACGGATAGCCTGGCACAGGGCCGAGTGTTCGGAGATCTTGAAGTCGGATGGTGAGGACAACACAGACAGAGGATTCGCAAAGAAGTGCGACATGTAGACATACTTCAAGGCGCGCGTGAACGTCTCGGCCGTCGTGCTCTGGTCATCTGCCAATTCAGCCAGGATACCCACCACAGAAGGACCAAAGAACACCTGTGCTTCCTCCCTGTATTGGACTGCCTCGTAGAGAGCGGACAGCGGATCAAGCCGTGTCTGCGACTGGCGCGATTCGAACACATCAGCGTCCAAGAGCGACACTGTCGACCTGGACAAGCGAGACTCGAAAAGCTCCACCGTCGTCGATATCGTGATCAACAAGACAAACGGGATTCGGTCGGCCCAAGAACTGAACATCGAGATCAGTTCGGAGAGGATGCCTGTGTCGAACGTCTCGACTTCCGACACGGACACCAGGACTCTCTGGATCCCATGCTTCTGCACGTATTTCTGGAGCAGATCCAGGTCGAAGTTCATCGGGATCATGGTCTTGTGTTGGACCAGAAAATCCGTGTATGCCTTCATCCCACCCTCCTGGGAGATGGCCATGCGGATCACATTCTTCAGCGCGGTTTGTAAGTTGGGCGCGTGCGTGGGCGAGAGTACGACCAACAGCTCCTTTGCGTCCTGCTCGCTTGTGGTCGATCGTCCGCTCTTCCAGCCCTGAAGGAGGTCGCGCTGTGCATTGTGCCCGGGCGTCGAGAGGAGTAGCCCGGTCCTGATCCTGCCTTGACCTTGACCTTGAGCGCTGCCCTCCTCTTGTCGAGCGTAGGTCAAGACGTCGCTCACAAATGTTTCGTCCACTTGGTTCAGGATCTCGTCGATCGCGGCCTGGTATTTCTTCCATTCTGTTTCAAATTGCTGGCGCCGTAGTCGTATCGCGACTTTAGACTCCTCGCCTGCAAGAAGAGCAGGCCAGGTGTATTCATCGTGACCGTGACCAATGATGGTTTCGGACTGCGACTGCGACTTGGTCGTCTTTCTTCGCTTCTTCGGTCGGTCGTCTATCTCGGCCTCGTCGTGCTCCGCCGCAAGTTTGAAGATGTAGCATCCCTGTTTGAGTAACGATTAATGAGAGAACACCGACAATTGGGAGGACCAGCTTACAGTATGAGCATTGTCATCTATTTGGGCGTCTTCGAGATCCATTTAATCACAGGATTTGAACTGGTAAAGCAATGAATGAATCATGCAATTGCCTGTGCGAAAGCCCGTTAAAGTGGTAGAACACGACGCGGTTGGAGGCTTGAAGTCCACCGCGTTTCTCTCTGTCTTTCTGTCTTTCTCCGCATTTTCTTTTTTGGCCTCTACAACTTTTTGGAGGCTTCACCATATTGAATAACTACATGTATATTTTGCAACCACTATTCAACCTCGTTCTGCACATTGGAACAATCCCTTCATCAACCTCCTGTATAGTCTGTGTTCTTCTTTTCTGCCTTACCCATCTATGCGGAGCATTTGCCATCTCTCTCGAAGATGGCACCAGCAATTCTGTCTGTCTCCCAGCTTCGGTGGCCATCAGATCTGCCTGCAACTTCTTCAACCTATTAGTATCCGGCACTATCGACAACCGCCTCGCCCTCGGCCTCGAACCCAGCGTAGCGCTCCGAGCGCACCTACTGAACACCTTGATATACGGGAGTTTGAGCAACAGGGTCAAGATGCTACAACAAGAGTCCCGATACACGACTACCTCGAGACAGAAGGGCACCAAGTCCGGGCGGAGCTGGAACAATTGGACCGAGAGCTGGCCATCATGCGCGAAGGGCCGTTTGGGCCACATAGCGAGTTCATACGCTCATTCCCAGCCAGCGAAAGAGAGGCTCTTCTGAAGGCGCTGGAAGAGGAGGGAGTCGTGCCGGGGGAAGACATGGATCTGATCACCGACGAGGAACTGGAGGAATTGGCCAAAGACGACAAAGTACTCAAGCGCGAAGCCCAGGAGAAATCGTCGCTGAAGGTCACGCTGAGTATACCTGCAAGGGACAAGATCTATGTCAAGAGGTTCAACTTGGCGTTGCAGGAGGCGGAGAAAGGACCGCCCAACGAGCGTCTCTACTTCGCCCTTTGGAAGTGGTACCTTCGGTGCCAACAGCATGTGGCCAACTTCTCCGTCATCATCCCTGAGGATGTTTGGCATTTCCTCTGGAAGACTCAGAGCACCAAGTACTACAGGCCCCAACATCTGGAAATGCTGGCCAAAGACATGATCAAGGCCGACGTGCCGTTGGAGGACAGAGAGTGGATTCAGTACATTGACGCCCTTCAAGCCAACGGCGACCTTGCAGCCGCTGCTGAGACCTGGGAGTTACAGAGACCTCGGTTAGGGCCCAAGGATGAGCTTGCCGAAGAGTTCTGGGTCACTGGCATCCAGATCTACGTTGCGCTAGGACGGCCGCAGAAGGCACAAACGCTGGCCTTTGCATGTTACGACCACAGCACCGTCATCGACCCGAGTGTTTTGGTCATGGTGATTTCTGCTTGGGCCAAGAGCAAGAACCCGGCTGCCGCAGAAAGGGCATGGTTCTGCTATTTGGAGCTACGCCGACGGCTGGATAGCGCCGAAAACGATGATACAATCTTGAGCGTCCTAGGTCGCCTCAGCAGCGCTTTACTTGAGGCGGGCCGCACAGAGCTTGCTCTCGCCGTCTTCAAGGATATGTTCATGCTGAAGGCCAAATCATCGAGCGATTCCTGGCGCGTCTTCCAAGAAGTCACCCAAGACGCCTTGGGCACGCTGTCCCCGAGCGAAGATGTAGTCAGTGAAATTGGACTGGCGACACTGGCTGTCACCCCCCGATCGTTTCACAACAAGTACTTCTTTGCATCGTGGATCAAATGGCTACTAGGAGAGGACAAGGTGGATGAAGCCGCGTTGGTGGTGGAGCTGATGTATGAGCGTGGAGTCAAACCTGATGCTAGACATCTGAACGGTCTCATTGCAGCATGGCTGCGCCAGGGGTCTCCCAGTGCCCGACGAAAGGCCGAAAGTACTGCGTGGGCGATGATTCACGCTCGTATTGATCTGGTACAGAAGCGCAATACTCAGGACTCTGACCCGAATTCAGCCAACAAACCGACCATTCCTCCCGAGTCGAAGCAGACGCCGTTTTTCCTTCGGCGCGGTGCACCGGCTGCAACCATCGAGACCTTCTCTATACTCCTCTCGCACTACACGCGGCGGTCAGACTTGGACAACGCAAATCAGTTGACGGAAATCATGACTGTCTCTGCCGAGATCAAACCCAATTCCTTCATCATGAACCATTGGCTGTATGCCTCCCTCCGATCAGGCCAGATCCCAGACATATGGAGGAAATACTGCACGCTCAAGCAATCCATTGCGCCCGACCTGGAGACCTTCGCGGCACTGTGGGACACGGCAAAGGCGCACTACGGATCGCCTGCCGCGCATAACCAAAAGTTCCCCGACGCTCGCACCTTGTTTGCAGAGATGCAGGCGTGGCTCGACTCGCTGGACAAGAAGAGGAGGAAGTCCGTCAAGGGCGACTTCTCGTCGGAATTCTACGAGCAGATAGTTCGATGTTTCTGCCTGTCCTACGATCTGCATGGCACACTCTGCGCGCTGTACGGGCTACGAGACTCGTTCGACATGTTGCCGCACGAGGAAATCACCCGTCTGGTCATCATGCAAGTCGCTCGCTCGTTTGCAGCGGACTTTGCTCAACCCTCTTCAAAGGGTCGCAACCGGCGCGTCTCCAAGACCGCGCAGTATCAGAGCGCGGTGAAGACGTTGACTGAGATTGTGGTGGCCATGATGGACAGAAAGATGGAAGAGACCGATGTCGACCCGGAGGCATTTGCCGATCTCGAGAGCCGCGAGGCCCAGCAGCTGCGGTTGGATGTCTTGACATCGTTCCTCGGCATGGTGATAGAGAGGAAATCGGAAGGAGGCCACGTCGACGGCGACGGCGACGGGGACGGTCTCGTGCAACAGGTTTCAAACGTGGCTGCGCAGATGAAGACTACTGTTCCCACAGATCTCCTTGTCCGGCGCGACTGGGATGACGCCGAAGTGTAAGGAAACAGAGCCATCTCTGCGGGATCTGCCTGTGAAAGGGGCGAAATAGTACGGAGACCATCTATTTGTATCATCAGGCATGAAAATGAAGCATGTCCCCTCTCCATCTAGAAGTTGTACATAAGACGCTTGCATGGCGAGGGAAGCAGAAGAATAGAACTTCCCTCGGCCGCTTTTGTGGATGCTCAAAACCCTCGTTTCTTTTGCAATCATGCCAGACATGGTGAGTACGAGTTACGCAGACAAGTCATCATCTGTTCATCTCCTGCCTTTCTTTTTCTTGTTTTTCCCACCACCTCCTCCGCCGGTTGTTGTGGTTGTAGTTGTAGCTGCTGTCCCGGACACTTCAGCACCGGGAGACTCAACAATGACAGCATCGTCATCACTATTCGCAGCCGCAGCTCTCGCCGCAGCTCTAGCAGCCGTCTCCGCCATTTGAGACTGAAACTGAGACAGAGCCTGAGGCTGAGGCTGCTGCGTTGGTCCCTTCCCAGCTGCACCAGCAACGGTAGTGGTTTGAGCATGTATTGATCTTACACCGGCGGCGGCATCATGTGTCGCTTTATCCACCGCATCCCCCTCCAATTCCCTTCTCGATTTCTCGCGCTGCGCATCCCAGGCCGCCTTCTCCGCCGGTAACGTGGCCTTGATGGCATCCAACTTGTCCCTCAGAATCTTGTTCTGCACCATCTCATTCGCACTCTGGAAGATGGTGCGGCCCCAGTCCGGCGCGAGGGCATTGGCCTCGGCCACGACGTCCTTGAGCTCGAGTTCGAGTTCCTGCTCGGCGCGCTGGAGACGCTGGAAGATTTCGTCGCCGACGACGCCGCGCTGGAGGAGCTGTGCGAGCGCGGGCTTGCGGGTCCGGACCTCCATGATGCGCTGGATGTCTTCGACCGCACGGGCGAGTAGGGCCGCTCGTAATACGCCGTCGGGGACTTTGGTCGTGCTGGCCGCCGCCCCCGAAGAGTCGCCTGGCTGGTCTTGTAGGTGGAGCAGGGATAGATAGATGTTGCGTGTCGTGTGGGGGCCGAAGTAAGGCGCGAGACGGAGTTTCGAGGTCACCTGTCGTTGGCGGTATAGGTGGGAGAACGTCGCCATCGACCCGATCAGGATGCCTAGGTAGGCGATCGGGATGAGGAGCGAGTAGTATTCCATTGTGACGCGAGGTGATGTGATCCGATGGCAGTAAGGGAGCAGGGAGACTCTGTCGTTCGCGATCGCTCTCAAATCTCAGGAGTTCATGAGTGATGAGGCAGGTGGGAAGGTAGGTAGGTAGCGACAAGCAAGGACCGGGGCGGAATTCTGGGAAAGGCAGCGCTTGAGTGCCTCAGCCTCAATTCTTCTTGCACTTGGTTTTGAACACTGTCTCTGCAGAGGACAGCACAGGTTTAGTGGGCGGGAGACAGTATCTTGTATCTTGTATCTTGTATCTTGTCGTGGACCGTAGGCGTAGACGCAGACGCAGCCTGACTACTACGTACTGAAGAGGACAACTCTCGCGAAACAACCCTCCTCCCCAAAACTTTTGACACAACGCGCCGAGTAAAAGTGCTAAAGTGCCAGAGGAGATCTTATCGATACCACTACCAACTTGCACCAACCCCAAGGCAGTATAAGCTTCATGCCGCTTTACCAAAATGCATGGTCTCTACAGCCTTGCGCAGCCTTGCACTTTGAACCTGAGGGTGTTGACGGCGCTGTCTGATACCCCCGTTTAGTTAGGCTTGGCAATACGACAAAAGAAGCTTAGCGTCGTAACTATCAGTAATACCTTACCTACCTCCTAGGCACTCTCCTGGGCACTCTCCTAGGCACTCTCCTAGGCGCTAATAGGTACTCGCGAGTACTCACGAGCACCTACGAGCACTAGTAATTATCCGCGAGTACGAGCACCTATAAGTACCCGGGAGTACGAGCGAGCACCTACGAGTACCTATAGAGAGCGCCTACCTAGAGAGTGCCTACCTAGAGAGTGTCTACCTGGAGAGTGTCTACCTGGAGAGTGCCTACCAGGAGAGTGCCTATCTGGAGAGTGCCGGAGGGTGCCTATCTGGAGGGTGCCGGAGGGTGCCTAGACATCTAGAGACTCGGAGTGCCTAGAACTAAGGTATCGTAATCTAGGTATTTTACCTGCCAACATCGCCAAGCCTAACTAAACGCGGGTATCAGACAGCGCCGTATACAACCTCCTTTGAACCTTACTACCTTGAATCAAGCAACTTGACCCTGGCGCAGTCGAATCAATTCTTTCGACAACGACGCCTGTCTATGCTTTCGACCCCCAGCAACGCACGCACGCACGCACGCACGCACCACATACGCTGTAACTCAGAGTTGGGAGCTGGTACATGGCACCTGGCACCTGGCACCTGGCACCTGTAGATTGAATGATTGACACTACTATCCGGGGGATGAGGAAATATATTGATTGACTTTGTTGTGGTGCACAGGTCTGCGCAGGTCTGTGCTGGTTTGGGTAATCGTACCCAATATGTGGTAAGTGCACGTTTTGTCATTATGGTGGGGGACAGGAGTCAATCCAGCGGAAACCATGGCGGAATCAGACATCGAACGGAAGAGGTTTTTGAACAGTAGAGCTGGGCTTTCATCGTGATAGACATCGTTGTCCAGCTCACAGACTGGAAAGCGAGATGCCTTGGTGATTCTTGGACACTGCCGAGACAGAAGAACAGTTCACTGACATCACTGCCTGGGTTGAGGAAGGGCACAAGTAGACTCGTGTACGTGGGCGAGGCTGTAGATTTCCTATATGGCCAGATCTAGGTCGGTTGGAGTGGTCTAGCCTTAATACTTGCGGGATATCGGACGAGCCTTTCTCACATATGAAAACTGATCTACGTATATACACACAGCACAGACAACACAAGTCCAACCTCGAATGTTGCGCCGATGTGCTCGAGGAGCGTCTGCGGTGCTAAAGGCAAACCGCCATATGTGAGATTGTGGTCATGAACTTGTACGAAATGAAATAAGACAAATAAAATTAATACTTATGAGACCACCATATACACGACCAGAACCACTCAACCAGCCATGCTTGGATGGCGTCGTCGTTGCAGGTCAAGGTGATCACATGAGCTCTATCATATTAAGACGACATGGATTAATTTCATGGTTTTTTTGTTTTGGCGCTGCTGTGGAAGACAATACATGGTAATGGTCGGTCGGGTTCGAGTCTCACCCGCTTGTTCCATAGCTTGCACCCCATTAGCTCGAATTATGAAATAACAACAAAGATCAAGCGCTTCCGGCAGCTATTCTTTCTGCCCGACACCGAAAGCCAGATCCGTTCTCCCATTATGGCAAGGAATTTACTCCTGAAATAGCAGGTTAGCATTGAAATGAACAAAGAGGGAATATGAGTAGGACTTACGTCTTCTTCTTCACCAGTCGCTCTGGAACCCAACACCCATTTGGACTTGCCGTGGACATCAGTCTCGTGCTCGAGGGCGACGCGACCAAGGTGTCCAAGAATGTTCTCCATAGTAGTGTCGGCATGGCTGCGCGTGGCACGGCCGAGGTTGTCAATCCATTGCATGCTGGTGAGGAGGTAGTAGACGATAGCAACCACGATCGTAACACCAATCGAGTAACACCAGATGACGACGACGGTGACGATGGAGGTTTGGATACTCCAGTGGTGTTCCAAGTAGCTGTTATGGGGAACGGTGTAGTTTTCGTGTTTGGCGCCAGAAAGCCAGCCGAAGACACAGAAAAGTGTGGAAAGGACATCGACGATGAAGATGGCAGCAACCAATTTCCAGGATGGCCACGTCTGTCCACCACGGGTAACGAAAATAAGCCAGTTCTCAACCAGTGAGACTTGCAAGAAGAGCATAAGTTGAATGTTGCCAAAGTTCTGGACCAGACCACCGTTGGGCAGGTAGAAAGTACCACGCATGATCCAGGTGGAAATGGCAAGCAGGGTTCCGAGAATGACTGAGATCACCCAGATCTTGGGCAATTGCCACTCGACAGGGCGAGGTTCGTAGTGGGCGTTGTCGTAGGCAACCGCAATGGTGGCAAGATCGGCGAACAAGGCCAAGAAGACAACCAAGTCGGTACGGATGGTCTCGTTGATGATGATCATGGAGGTGGTGAGGTAGAGTTCCAAGTGCAAGCAGAGAGCGATACGGTATTGAACGTATGCCTTCATGCGCTGGAAAATTTGACGAGCAACCTTGATAGCATCCACGATGGTGCTGAGACCAGGGGCAAGGAAAACGATATCGGCAGCGGCTTGAGCGGCTTCGGTGGCACCTTCGACAGCAATACCACAGTCAGACTTCTTCAGAGATGGAGCATCGTTGACACCGTCACCAGTCATGGCAGTCAAGTGACCACGTTGTTGAAGCATCTCCACGACCTGGTACTTGTGCTCTGGGAAGACTTCGGCAAAACCATCAGCCTGCTCGACCAGATCATACTGAGTAGCACCGGTGACACCGCCAGCGATGAGACGTTGCGAGTTATAGACCTTGGTACCAAGCGCGAGTTGTTTACAAGTTTCCTTGGCGATGGCGATGGCGTCACCAGTCAACATCTTGACACTGAGACCAAGGTTCTGGGCCTCCAGGATTGTGTGCGCGGTATCCTCACGAGGGGGGTCGAACATGGGCAACATGCCAATGATCTTCCATGGTTCATCACCGCGCTTGGAGGCAACACCGAGAGATCGGAAACCACGACGAGCGAACTCGGCGGCGGTGTCACGGTAGTGCTTGGCAGTGGCTTCATCGCACTCGGCAATGGACAAGACAGCCTTTGGTGCACCCTTGCAGAACATCCATCGCTCACCCTTGAGCGTGCAAATGGTGGTGATACGCTTCGAGACAGGGTCGAAGGGCAGGAACTTCTCAGTCTTCCAGCCTTGTTGCAGAATCTCACGAGCCTTCGGGTATCTCTTCAGGGTCAGGATGGTGATCTTGTCGATAGGGTCGAGATTCTTGAGGTTGTGGGAGGAAGCCAAAGCAGCAGAAGCCATCAGCCAGTTGACATCTTCACCCTCGGCGACGTAGGGTTCACGAATAGTAAGTTGGTTGGCAGTCAAGGTACCAGTCTTGTCCGAGCAGAGGACATCGACACCAGCCAGAGACTCGATGGCAGTCAGCTTCTGGACAATGGCCTTTTGCTTAGCGAGATAAGCAGCTCCGACAGCCAGGGTGGTGGTGGTGACGACAGGAAGACCGACGGGAACACCGATGATGAGGAGAATAAGGGCGTAATGAAGCAAGTTGACTGAGCTGTCCTCCGGCGTAGCGATCTTGATGTGATGGAAGAAACCACCAACCCAAGCGGCGAGAATGAAGAACACGACGAGAACGAGCAGAGCCGTACCGATGGAGTCCATGATGGCCTTGAAATGACCGGAATCCTTGGCACCTTGCACGAGGGATGCAGTCTTGCCGACGAAAGAGCCACGAGCGGACTCGGTGACAACGGCGTAGGCCTTGCCTCGCTTGCAGCCAGTGGTGTAGTAGCAGATGTCACCCATGTACTTGTCGACAGCCAGAGACTCTCCGGTGATGGCAGACTGATCGGTGGCAACAATCGAGCTACCAACGTGGTGCTCCTCGTCGTCATCAGAGTCCGTGTGGTTCTTGGAGTGATATCCTTCGGGGTCGGTCATCATCTCCTTGTACTCCTCGAACCCAGCTGGGTTGTCGAAGTCACAGATCAAACGGCATTCACCGGCAACAACGGAACCTTCCTCGAGAATGAGCTGTGAATTCAAGTATTAGCGATGGGTACAGACGGGAGTGGGAGAAAGGTAGCTCACAATGTCACCAGGCACAAGTTCACGGGCCTTGATCTCCTGGATTCTACCATCACGCATAACTTCAGCCTTCATGGCGATGTCACCCTTCAAACTAGCCACGACATCGGCGGCTTGCTTTTCTTGATACCAACCGACGACGGCGTTGAGCATCAGGATACCGATAATGACACCGAAATCGATCCAGTCACGCAGACCGGCAGCCAAAAGGACGGCAAGTTCCATGACTGCATTCTGTCAGATGTTGCTTCTTTCAAGTATAGGTGACGGCAGTAGCTTACCGTAAAGAATAGGTCCTCTGAAGTAGCCGATGAACTTGATGAACATGTTCTCTTTCTCCGTGGTCAACTCATTGAAGCCAGCCTTCTTGCGTCGTGCCTCAACCTCAGCTGATGACAAGCCCGTGCGGATGTCGGTTTGCAGCCACTCCTCTGGTACCTGGTAGAGGTCGCCGATACCAGCAGAGATACCGAACATCTTCTTGTACCATGGTTGTTTCTTCGTCGTGGCGTCTCCGGCATCGTCGCCGGAAACCTGAGAAGGAGCTTTGGAAAAGCGACGGTCGCGGTACGTGGAAATGAATCGAATGAGGTTGGCATACTCGCCCTCGTCCTTGTCGGGATCCCATCCGTCGGCGAAGGAGATTCTTTCGCGCTTTGGGTCGCCGTTCTCGAGATCCTGCTTTTCCGCCATTGTTCACTGTGTGAGGGGAGAGGTTAGTACGCAGGAAAGGAAAACAAAGAAGAAGAAACGACAACGGCAACAAGGTCGGGCGAATAAGACCAAGCTGGAAGGGGAAGAGAAGAAAGCTTTCGAAACAGCAGCGTAGAACCCCTCTTTAAAGTAAAGGCCGTTCACAACATGCGAGCAGAGCAGAAGGAAATGGCAACCTCACCTCTTCACAACAGTGACTGGCGGGTTCACAGGAAATGGGGATCCACCAGCGATCCGTCAAGCCGTGGAGCTGCGATAGTTCGAGCAAGGTCCTCGGAGGAGTAACCTGGTTGGCTGCTTAAGCTTTCCTTGAGGGTGAGGTCAGCGAGCATGCCGCATGAGCCATTTGATAAGGAAAAAGACAGAGGCAGACGGGGCGTTCGGATGGTAACAATGGTACGTTTTGCCGTAACCGATCGTACGTACCTGCGACCAAATCGGTGAGCTGACAATAAAGCTACTGTCAACAAGCTGCTAGTTCGTGCCGATGCAGTGGAGGAGCGTGGGCTCGACGACCCAGACTATCGCGGTTTGAGGTAACGCCGTCAATTCACCGGATGAGCAGGGATGCAAAGGTGCTTGAAGCTCGCAGGGGTGGGTTGAGGAGATGAAGTTTGACAGTTGGACGAGGGCCTGCGGAAGAACTCCACTGAGAGGTGTTTTGATTTTTTTTGGTGTGTTTTCCGGTCTAGGCGGGCGCCCTCATCTCGACTAACTCGCCGTTACTGGGCGGCACACGGCACCAATGACGTGGACCCATCAAGGAAGGTGCAGCCCATGTTTGCCGACAACGCAGTTTGGCAGCTCCGAGTCCCAACACTAGGAGACTCCTCTGCGACTCCCCAGCTAAGCTACGACAGAATAGGGTACCTGATACACAGATACACAACAGAGCCCACCAGAGCTCACAGACAGCCAGTCACCACTCAAAAGTCAAGACAACAATGCCTTCCCCTAGGAAAAAAAAAAGGAATCATGTCTCTTTGACTTATGAGTCCAGACAAAGTCAACAACCACAGGACACGGTGAAAAGAGCCATTCGCCTTACAATGCTTTTGTCATATTGATCAAACTGACGAGCTGAGGACAGAATCGTGGTCGTTTCACTGGCAGACGAGCTACAGGACTCCTTTTTGACCAGAGAACGATTGAACTCCAGCCCTGCGAAATCACATTTTCCTCCTCTTATCACATGGATGTTGTTTCACCGTGTTGGTGTTGAGAAAGAGCAGGCACCGCAGGGAAGAGATTTGGAGATCATACAAAGTGTCCATATCTTACCTACACTGCAGAGGTACATCCTTTTTAGAAAGGATACACGCCAGCCTTCTTCTCTGCGCGGCTGAATGCACAGAATTCTACGTACTTCATGCCGTTGGTTTTTTGTCCTTTGATCTCATAGTAGCAGTGAGGTGCTCAAAACCACACGATTGAACACCTCTTTACCACGGTGTAGCACTTGCATGAGCCTATCGTCGTCGAGATCGTCATTGTAACCCTCGCCTATTGTCCACACCAATCCTCCAGCTGGCTACATACACGTTCTTATGTGGTGTATCTCGCTGATCACCAACACTTGCATCCCGCACACATCGGCAAGGGTCGAACTCATCGGTGATGGGATCTTGCATCTACCTTGTCTCATCCGTCATTCAATCGCCGGCCATGTTGCAGTGACGGGAGAAACTTCAAGCCTTCCAGAGCCCCTGGACGGGATGTCTCCAACAAGGGCCCTGACGGTGACTTGCCTGTTCAATGGCCGTAGTCCCTTGAGGGCTGCTGACAGCGGCAAGTACTCCGTACTCGACAAAGTATACATTCGCCGCATTCTTTTTTTTTTCTTTCTGGTCTTTCCAAGGGTCCCAAACGACTAGATACCTGGGTACACACCCACGATCCCATTATTACTGTGCCCTTTGATGTTTCGTACGTACCATGCCCGACAACGGATGGGTGGACTGGCCCACGCTGACTTGCCCACGCTGACTTCATTACGTCGCATCATTTACGAGCATGATCACTGGCGCACTAATGTATGGCGGCCTCTGGCGACGGAGCATGAAAGCCGCCGTCGACTTGCTCTAGCTTCCAACAGTTAGCGGGCCACCGATCCCTCGGCTTTATTGTCATTTGAACGAATTTCTTGTGGTGGGATTGTACGGCTGTGTATCGCAAGGTCGCTGTGACCTTCAAACGACGAGCCACTTTTGATCCCTGACATCGAGAAGTCGGCCACCGTCGCTACCTCCCTCCGACATGGGAATCCCCAGCTCGCCTAACTGGCCACGAGTTACGAGCGGCAATATTCGCCCTACCTGAAGGTGCCCTGCGCCCGCAGACGGCATTTGCTGCTCAAGCTTCTGCTATCTCGCACACAGGCCGTACAAAGGTTGCAGCTCGGCGTCATCGATCTGGCCTGCCTCTGAATGCGGACTGCCAACCGAAGTGTCTACCTTAGGTTCCTACGATATCCGGGCGGCGTCAACCCGGGGATCATTATTATTATCCATGTGCCTCCAAACAACCAGACTTGATGGTTGAGGCCGAGGCTGATTTGATCAAGCCTGGGCGCAATTGTAGGCCTGGTGGCTCTGCGCAGGTCCGAACCGGCGAGCAGTGTGGCTCTTCTGGGAAATTCAAAACACCAACGATGGTCCACAGTTTGATTAAAAAGCTTACCTATGAATTTGACTAGTGCCAGGTGAGGTACAAGCGCTGGATAGGATGCGGGTTCTGGCGCACATTAAGGTGGTCCTGTAACGTGCCCTTGAGAGGACCTAGCCGGGCCAATCCACAGTGCTCTAAATTGGAATGTTTGACAATATATTGTAAACAATAGCAACGCTTTGTGAAAAGAAATTGCACCGACACAAATCTGGTGTCCATGCTGTTGTTGGGGACCTGGCCCAGCCAGATCCATGGTCTCCCGCCCATCAGCCCTGCGCGCAGATCAAGTCGATGTTGTTGGCTGCCATTTGTTTATTGTTTTCGGAGCCGCGCATGGAGCTCGAGTTTCAGCGGGTGCCACAAGTGAGGATTGCGAGATACGAGGCTCCATGGAAGCATAGAAATTGGCCGTCGTGCTTTTCGTACGCCCGAACCCCGAACCTCGAAACTTTACCTTACTGGTAGCTAGAAGATCTCACGGGTATCGGTTCGAACGGGGACAATTTTTCAATGTGCGCCCCAGCTACGAATATCCATCCAGTCGAAAATGATCGGGTGGAGGCAACGTCCTTGCGGCATTTTTCTGGAAAAGTCGGGTCCCTAAAGAATAATAACGACCCAAGATATTCAGCTAAAAAAAGAACCCTGTACAGGTCCATATGAGTGCGAGCACTTCGAAGACGGGTGTTTGTTATTGCGGTACTTCGTATTCTGTAACACTGCCATGCTACTGCCCACTCACTGCCTACAGGGGATCTATCATAGATGCCTCGTCCGGCGCATCTCCGACGACCGTTGCCGTAGCACACTGGGGACAGGTCAGATGGAGTTGGCCGCTTAAAGGCTCTGGTCAGCCCTGTATCCCCCGACATTTTCTGAGGGATTTTTCCCTTCGCGAATGAACAAAAGGCCGAAAGCGCGAACCCAAGAAAAGATGGCTCGCATCATGTTGAACCATCTGTGTGCCCAGCTCATTGACAGTGTACAACTTCAAGTGGAAGGAAGATCTTGTTGTACTCTGTCTTTTCGTGGGACCTGAGCCGGCTGCCAACGCGAAGAAGAGAGCTTCAGTCGCCCCTGTAATTGACCGGTAGCATTGCCGTTCTCCTTTTTTATTTTCGCGCACTGCGCAGTCGCAAGGCTTGAGGGCGCTCTGCGCCAACGCCAATTGAAGACGTGAGGTTGGAGCTGCGACTTTCATTTTGGAATTCGCGCAAACCGGCTCCCTGGCGCTCAGCGACCATTCGAGAACTGTGATCAGAGGCGGACGCGCCAGACTCTACCGTATAGAACATGGAAAGCATGTTCATTCGCGCAACTCATGAAAGAAAAGCCAACGGACACTATGAGCACAGTGTGTCCTGGAGACTCGACCGCAGGACAAGTTGAATGTAGAATTTGATATTGACTCTGAATTGGTATGGTTGGTCTCTTGGAAGAGACAGGAACGGAACCTCGAGCTCCAAGTTGAGGGGACCACGAGCGCATTGCTGCCCCTTGATTTCGCTCAACTCGCTCATGGTCAACCTACTTGGAATGCGCCTAATCTATGTTCCCCCATCCTCCCGGCGCGCGACTGGGAAGAGCAACAGCTGGCACCAGCTGGGACGAAATTATACCTGCGACTTTCAGCTTCGGACCTCGAAACCAGGGCAACCCCCTATACCGAAAGAAAAGGAAACTCGAGACCGCGATTACCTACGCAGATTGGCAAGCGAAGTCCTCCAACGCGATTTACCGGGCCCCCAATCCGGACAGCGAGCAGGCACTAGCTACGAGCAAGCAAGCAACCATCACCTTTATACCGCATTATTGTGCAACGAAGCTGTGTTTGGACTCCCTCTGCGCTTTCTTTCTGCGGCAACCTACACAATCGAGACACCAACAATGACAAGGGATTTGACATGTGGTGCAACAGCAACAATCCTGGCCAAACTCTCGGTATCCGCACAAGTCTTGCATTGCGTTCCACGCCGGCTCATCCATCTGGCCTTATCTTTCTGGTCTGTACACTCCCACCACTTACTGACGACTGAATACCCAGGCAAAGGTAGGCGATCCCTGAACTCTACGCCCCCGCATCTTGCAAGTCTGACACTCCATGATGTCAAAATGCCCCAACGCCATGATTGTAACAGCAAGCTTTTGCGCATCCGAGCCACTTGCATTGCACCTCCGTTCATCGATGGCTTGATAGTTTGAGATCCGGCTTCGAGGATGCTGTCCCGCCGGATTAGCTGCTGAAAGGAGATGAGTTGGATTGGTCAAGCTGCAATCAGTGACGAGTCAGCTAAAGTGCAAGTGGCAGGATGACAACATTATTGTAACGCTCTCGTTTTGCAATAATGAGGTATTGTTGCCGATGTTCCAACCGATTTCAAGAACCGTTCAAATGGATTTGGCGCAAGCGCAAGCAAAATGATTATTGCACAGTTGTGCGCACTCGACGGACACGTGCCTCCAGCCTTTCTTCGCCTTATTGCCCCTGACTTCCAGTTCTACGAGGTTCTGCATATCTCCCATCCCTTAGGTAGGTAAGCATAGGAACAGGAGTGTGGTTGATGTGAAAGTGAGCCTGTAGCCTAATTATTTGGCAACTTGGGGTCTTGTGCTCAAAGATGCAGTTAAGACCCTGGTTTTGGCGGAACAGTTCGCTGTTTGCAAAGATTGAAAGCAGCCTCCGACAGCACTCAAAAGTCTGTTGATGCAGTGCTGTGCGACGTGGCTCAGAGCAGATCCTCGTTCGTTCGAATGGCTCCAACTGTGATATAAGTATCTCCCTTCAGCCTTGTCTTCGGCTTCCAGTTTCCCCTGCCCTTATCTCGGTGCTTCTTCCTCCCATCCATGGGGCGACGTGATGCTTGCATGGCTCGGTCCGTGGGTTCTGCAATGAGGACAGCGCGAGGATGCTATTGAAGCAGTCGCCGATACGGCGGTGAGGTATCAACACCACCAATGGAATAAGGGGTGCAGCTGGTCTCTTTCTGGCCACGACCTGAAGGGATGTTTTACATACTAGTGCACTGGATGGAGGTTTTCTGAACACTTTGAATGAAAAGAACTGGTTGCTTGACCGTTTCGCAGTTTTCTCTCTTGCAATCCTGCATCACCTTGCCTTACCCAGTGGTACCTTTGTCCCCTTCCTCGGATGCTTACTAGGTAAGGTATTGAACCACTAAGCTACTGTCTCAAACGTTCCTGCTGCGACGCACTTCGCTCAATGACACCGACAGCACCTTCCCGACCCTCTCTCTCCTGCTTCATTTGCATTTGAGGCTGCGGCATCAAGTCTCCTTTTCTATCGTCTTGCTCACTTGTTGTTCATCTTCTCCTCATCCTCTTCTTGTCCCACTCCATCCTCACATTCCCGTTCACTGCTCGGCCTTCCTGGTGCTGCTGCTTGGCCTACTGAATATCACTCCTCCACCAGCGACTTCGTCTTGGGCATTTGCTTAGCATTAGTCCGCTCTTGCGAAGATGTGGCTTCACATTTTCCTGCTCATGGCCATGGCCGTCTTAGGTCTTTCTGCCGTCACTACAGTGCCCTCGTGCACAGCGGCGTCGTCCTCAAATCCTCCTGCCTCGCCAGGCTGCACCTTGACATTCACTCCCTACATGCCTCCGCAACTCGGTCCTACGTCTACAGTCTATGGTGGAATCATGACCGAGTACTTCTATGTGGGTGCCACGTCCTTGAGGAATCGTCGTCCACTGACAATATCAGGCCGTTGAGTGTCATCTTTGCAATGTCACAAACTTCGACAACAATCCTGCTCCACAGGTATGATAGATAGCACGGATGGTTCCCGAGAGGCATCGGCTAAACTATTTAGGGGCCTTTCACGACGAGAACCACCAGCTCCATGCTCACGGTCACCAGAGTCGAATGTATTCCAGAGACCTCAGTCACCACCAGGGGCGTTTATGATCGTCAAGAAGAGTCCAAAAAGTTATCACCTCGTCCTAAACATTACAATACCCCAAACAGGCGTTCCGGCTCTCAGGCCGTTCGTCGTTCTGACACAAACACTGTGCTGGAGCAGATGGCCGTTTTCATGGCCGACATCACTCCAAGTTCCCAAACCCTGTCTGGCCCGGCACTGGATTCAGAGGAGGAGATCATGTCTGCTATGTTTGCCATCAACGTTGCAGATTCCGGCTTGAACGTCGCTCTCGCCTGCCAACAAGTCCAAACCACTGCGGCCCGGGTTCAGATGCTGGATTCAGGTCTCAAGCCAGATCTGGTACAGAATCTCCTTTGTTGGATCGCTGACCATGGATACGACTTCAACACCAACCGTCAGGAAGTATATTCTACTCTACAGGCTGCACTCTGGGGCCTGGGAGTCGCCGGCGGTTACACAACGAATCGAACAGAGATCTGTGGGAATCTAGGTCTCTTCAACACCATTGGAGACTACCTAGGCATTCATGTTGCACAATACCAGAGCCTCGTCTGCAGCGATCTTTCTTCTGCTACTCCGTCGCTTGAAACTCAAAATGCCACTGCCGCCACTTCCAGCCTCTCGAGCAATCTGACAACATCGGCTCTCCTCACAGCATGGCCTTCCAATGTGACCTTCTGGGGCTCCGGTAGCTCCTGGCCAGGACACAATAGCACCACTTGGGGTCCTCCTGTCTCCTTCACAGGTACAATTGGCACTGGCGTGTCAGCGACCGGCAATCCACAAACCAATAATGTGACCTTCCTGACTGGCACCGCTGCAGCGTCCGGCATGGCAACTGGACCTTCTCAGACCAACAATACCGGGCCAATTGGTACCGGGTCGGGAACAGCCGTGATAACCGGAAGTCCCCAAACTTACAACGTCTCACTTTCCAATGGTACGGGTGCCGCTCCAGATTCTGCAGCCGATAGCCTTGAGACCAACAATGCCACTCAGCCCACTGGTACAGATGGGGCATCTGGAGTCACCACAGCTTTGTTGAATCAGACCTTCATGACAACATGCACGCCGCCGACACCTACCGCCAGACTGTTTTTCCCGGCTATCTCGACCACCAACAGCCATTATCTTTTCAAGGGATACTAGACTGCAAAGGCATGCGGGAACGAAGTTCCAGGGCATCGAAGCAGTCGTGGGCATCCAGGTGAATCGAGGAAATAGCTGGTCACAGAATCCAATTGACATGGCCTAATCAAAGAGGGGATTGTATCACAAGATCACTGTATGATAGAGTTTAAGATGAGGATGGACTGTGCATGTATATCATAAGTATGATAGCACCACTAGTGCTAAAAGAATTTAACAGTCTTGCACGGCGGAGGAGCCTCAATGGATCAGTCGTGTATCGCGAACTAGAAATGCACTTCCCATAGCTAGGATCGGTCAGGCTGCCGCCTGGCTCGCCCATGCCACAACAATCCACGGAGAGTAGTAACCAGGAAGGGTGAGGCTACAGCAGTGAACTACTAGATACTAGTTCAGGAAGGTGTTGTGCCAGGACATCTCTGACGTGGACCATGAGAGCACACTTCCCTTTGTGCGAAGCAGTGTGTTTACAGCCCAGTCCAGGAGAGCGACGGAAGATGTAATCGAGGAGGCTACGTGGGAACAGACATGGACAAGAGAACGGATCGGAGACAGACAGTAAAGATGACCGAAACCAGTGTGATCAATCTTAGTTGTTGTACTGTGTGTAGTACTAGGTACATACATGCGCTTGAAACAAGAAATTTCTGTACGTGTTATCTTCCATGCGCTTTTACTTCCAACCCCATGCACGTTCCGGCGCAGACTCCTGCCTAGACGGTCAATCTAATGACCCGTCGTGAGACTGCTGGGCCGCCATCGTATCAAATGTAGATTCCGCCTTTTCCCCCAGCCGTACGAGCAGCTCCCAAGACTCCAAAACTCCCCCAAAGGTGACGGAAACGACACCGTATCATTCATTCTCCCCACGCAGTGCGTGGGAGGCATAGCCAAGATGGAATCGAATGGAAAGAAAGCCCAGCGAGATGTAAGATTTTTTGGGAAGAAAGGCTGTTGGAATACGGCTTCCGAATGAGCAAGTCATCGGCTGTAAAACGTGACTGTGGTTGACGAGGCCGGAAAGGCCCCCGATGTGCACGCTCTGTGCTGGAGCTGTAAGCTGTAACACTGAACCAAGATGAATGCCGTTGACTGCGTGAGTCGTGGACTCGCCGCGGCCGAGGGAGCAGACAGCCCCTGCCGCAACGAAGTTGCCGACATTGCACCCCGCCATGGTCAATTCCGAGGCAAGTTGACCTCGATTCCAAGAGGTGCAGACGGCAGGCCATTCATGGACCATTGTCCCAAACAAGGCCAATAGGTGGCGTATGTGCTTTGTGGTGAAAGAGGTGATCGTTTGCACTCATCCGTCCGCTGCCCTGCGGAATCCAGCACTGGATGAATTGCATGAGCCTGTAATGGGACGGAAGTAGGAGGGTTGTTAAGCAGCAGAGCCTGGAGGGCAATCGATATGATGAGATACCCCGCGCTACGGCCTGGGAAAGGCTTCGCGCGTATGCTCCTGGAAATCATATGGGCAAGACAATGCTCCGTCTCGGCTGTCTCTCAATGATGGAATCCGTCGGATGGAGAGAGCTCATGGAGTTTGCGGGACCATAACCTTCTTTGTTCTGGAATACCTTGTTCAGATTCACGGCAGCCTTGGTATAGAGCATGTCGATGGCCCGCTGATCTCGGAACGGGTTTGGCGACTTGTCCCACGCGTGAGGGACTCGTGGAATCAGTTTGCTGTCGATCCTCTTACCGAGTCTGTCGAGACGATCTGCAAAGACTTGCCCTTCGCGCAACAGCATGTCCCATTCGCAGAGCCACATCTGAATGTCCTCGGGCAACCCATCTCGGAGCATGTGATCTTGAGCAAGACTGGGCGAAGCATACGGACTGCAATGGTCGCCTGCGACATCTGGAGCAGGGAGATAAGAGAAGTCGAAGAGGCTGGTGAAGGTTCTGGCTAGGCATTTCTTCGGATTTCGGGATTCGCGTATCTTCCGGCTCCGGGACATTGTCCAGTCCAGCAAAGGATACCAAGCTATTACGGTGCGAATCCGCAAGGGGGTGTCTGTCTGCTCGCCGAGGAGGTTCGAAGTCGAGTGTACAGGAGTTACAAAGTTATGGCTCTCGTGGTCTTGGCCTTCGCGGTCGTTTGCTTCGGTGTCGGTGACAACACTGTGAGATGTTGTTGGCCGCGACGGCATGCGCTCGATCGCGTTCATCTTTCTGTGAAATGCTAGCCGTAACGGAGCGCTGAATGCCAAGTTCCCGCCAGCGGAAAAGCCGGACAGAGCCAGGTTGGACGGGTCAATATGCAGTTCGGCCGCATGATCTTGCACATACAGAATAGAATCGACACAATCGTCCACAGGCGTGGGGAAGGGATGTTCGGGGGCCCGACGGTAATTGACGCTCACGAAGATGGCGTTGGTATGCTCCAGCACGACTCTGGCCCAATATCGATCATCTCTTGCGTCGCCCAGACAGAACCCACCTCCATGGAAGTTAATGACAGCAGGGAAGCGGTGCGAAGGGTTTCTTTGCAGAGTTTCATGGTAGGTCGGGGGCAGGTAGAAGAACAGCTCGACGGGTATGGTGTCCGTAGACATCTTATGTGTGAACGCCGGTCGTGGGGATCGCGGCGGCGCCCAATCGTGGAAGTGCATAGCCAGCTGCATGAGCGACCTCCAGAACCTTGCCTTCATCTTGAGCACCCGTCTTGAGGGGATCTTCTTGCTCGAGAGATGGTGAGACATGGACCGCGGTCTGCCGGCGTAGGATTGGATGGACAAGGATTCGGCGAGCATGTTTTCTGGAGGATCGATGGTCGACGCATTCTCGAAGTCTCCGATGTTATTGAAGCTCACTCTGAGGTTCTTGGGGCTCTCCACTGCTGGAGCGAAGTCTTTCGCCTCTGTCATATCGTAAGACTCCTCTGAACTAGAGTGATTCATTGTCACCGCGTTGTCGGGCATGGTTGGAAATGGGTGTTCCCCAGGGAGGACGAGAGTCACGGCGGTGGATGGTTATATGATGAGGACATGGAAGGCGTCAGCTCTCAACCATCGGCCGGTAGAAGAGAAGTAGGACTGCCCAGCAGTTGGTGATCGTGGTAGATTATACTCTGTGGAATTTGGAAGACAGAAGAGTCGAGAAAGGCGCAGTCAATGTTAGGCCGGATATACCCAATTGATGCGTGAACAAGGGGTGCAAGTTGGTGGTGGCATGATGTAGCATTTCCCGATGTGGCCTGCCCTTGCGACTTACCTTATCATGATCTCGAAATCACCATCTGGGTGTAATGACGCGGAATTGTGGCTGTGGGCGGGACGAACGGCTACTACCTACGATATCTACCTGCTACCTCTGCCATTCATTCGATTAACCACTCTCGATGGCGTGCATCTGCCGCAGGATGGTGTAGTAGTGTACGTCTCAACTCCTGGGCGTTGCATATAGGACCCAATTGCGAGACAAAAAGATACGGGCGTATGAGACACTTCTAGGAAATCGGTATCTCAGGTACTGTTACTGCCGCAGTACTCTGTAGAACGCATGCAAGTCCGGCCCTGTTCCGGCGCTGTGCCGGGGGCGGTCCGCGACGGGACGCAGCATCCTGGATGGTGCTCGATCACCAACAACTCTACCACGGTTATGCTCATATGGCTCCCCAATGATACAAGAGTTATACAAGAATTAGGGTCACCTTTGACGTCTGCTCCAGTGCGCTCGCTTACCTTAGTTCTGGATTACTATGGTGGACATGTTACGAAGGAAGTCCATCGCACCCAGCTCTTGTGACACTTTAGAACTAGTATTCTGTGACAAATCGTTCAAGCTTCAGACACTCGTTCCGCAGCTTCATCACCGGGACGCGCGTCGACAGCATAGGTAGAAGGCGGATATGTTGCGATTCGCCTGGATTGAGGATGTTTGCGCAGGATTAATGCTTATGATATCCATTGGAGGCTGTGGTGCTCTCTCCTCGCATACTAGTATGGTGCGGTGTTGATATCTCTTATAATCTTCACCCTGTCGTCTTACATCCATTGAACCCGCCTGTCTCCTTGATCACTCTTCTCAGTTGCTGTGAAGTCCCTTATATGCCTCATTTTCGGTACAGTGTCTCACTTCGCACTTCGCACTTTGCACTTCGCGGACCTGTGCGGTGCATGACGTAGAAGTACCGATCGGGCCCGTGAGTAAAGCGGCAGGAGAAAAAGCAAATTGTCTCATCACGTGACCACAGTTCGAACCCCTCAAAAGCGAGAGGACAACAGGCAAAAGGCAACAAGCAACAAGCAACAAGCAACAAGGTCGACGCGGGCCGAGTTTCTGATCGAGAAAGCATGAAGCTTAGCATTGACAGATATGGAGACACTGGAGATGCGCAGAGTCCAGATTCATTATATTAAATGACATACAACGATAGTATGGGCTGACTATTGGTAGGAGGGGCAGGCCAGCCCAACCACCCACTGCACCCCGCCTGAATCAGCAAGCAGCGCTCTGTCACTCCCCGAAAGCTTACCTAGGTACATATTGACTTAACTGGGCACATTGGTTCAACGCCCTGGCAATAATCCCGAGCATCCCGCACTCCAGCCCCTTCTGCTGCGTCTGCGTCTGCGTCTGTTTCTCTCGCATTTCCACGTCTGAGCATCGCAGAACTCACTACGAGTGCTTTGGGATCATCATCTTCATTGTCGAGGTCACCGTAGAGCAACTGAACAGTCGCTCTGTCGGCCCTCTTTCATCCCCTTCACCTTCACATTCATCTGAATCTTGAAGCTCCTTTTACGGCCGAGCCAGCCGATTGCACTCAACGTCACCCCGCCGCCTGCCGGTTGCTTATCTAGCGAACCGCATGCAAACTCTTCAAGGCGAGATACTCTTCGCATTTGACCTAGCACGCCGCTCAAACATTGATCCTGCCATCTAACGATCATCCTGCCCGTCCGGGTCTTCCCAAGCCGAGATTGATTACTGAAGAACGGCATAATCAAATAACACCCTCAACAGCATTGTCATCCAGGACGCAGCAGAGCTACGCAACTGCCGACAATTGCTCGCTACCCTCCTTCGTTCACTTGGACTGCAGCTCTACGCAATAGCCAATACGCTTTGACAGCTGTCCGCCACCATGTCTGTCCTCAAGAAGCTGACCAAGAAGACAAATACTGGGGGCAGTGACTCCCCCAGAGCCAGTTCAGAATTCTCGCCTGTCTCGCAAAGCCCCGGCCCTCCCCGCCGTTCTCTAGCACATTTCTTGCATCTGGGCGAAAAGGACTACACCTCCAGCGAGAACGACTCCGACTTGAGCGACTTGGATAGCGATGGACTGAGCAAAAACGCGCAGAAAAGGGCCCTTATCAAACAAAGAAAGCATGAACAACGTTCAAGGCTGAGCCTCGAACATCGAGATGACTCTTCCGAACGCGCAAAACAGAGGTTGGAAGAAGCCGCGAAGACCGAGACTGAAGAGATGAAGGCTCGCTATGGAGACCTGCCGTTGATGCAGTCGACCACTCGCAACACTACCCATCGCATTGACCTCAATACCGTCACTGAAGAGATGCAGGGCCAGGAGATCGCCTTCCGCTGCAGACTGCACAATGTCCGGAGAATGGGTGCCAGGCTGGTCTTTCTCGTTTTCCGACAACAACTGTCTACTATCCAAGGCGTCCTTGTCGAACAGCCAGGCAAGATCTCTGCACTCATGGTTCATTGGGCGGAGCATTTGCGCACCGGCAACGTGATGCTCGTCAAAGGAGTTCTGCAGAAGCCAGAGATTCCTGTAAAGTCGGCTTCCATTCACGATTTGGAGGTCAAGGTGACCTATTTGCACATTATTGTCAAGCGAGATGAACCTGGTACGTATTGGTGTTCTTGCGACGTCGACCTTTGATGCTGACTCTCTTCCAGTGCCGTTCTCCGTCCAAGAGGCAGAACTGACCATCTCCGATGACGAGCACCCGATTGAAGGCCGTCACACTTTGATCCCTGACCGTACCAGGCTGGCTAACCGTATTATGGATTTGCGGACTGCCACTTCCCAATCGATCTTCCGCATCCAAGCCGGTGTGGGAAATATCTTCCGCACTAGTCTTGACGACCTACGCTTTGTGGAGATCCATACCCCCAAACTTCAGGGTGCTGCCACAGAATCCGGCGCGTCTGTGTTCAAAGTCAACTACTTCGGACGCCCTGCTTTCCTTGCCCAGTCTCCTCAGCTTGCCAAACAGATGGCTATCGCCTCTGACTTTGAACGCGTTTACGAAATCGGTGCTGTCTTCCGAGCCGAGAATTCAAACACTCATCGTCACTTGACAGAGTATACTGGCCTCGATCTGGAGATGGCTATTGAAGAGCACTACCATGAGATGATGGACGTCATTGACAACACTCTCAAGACCATTTTCAAGGGAGTATACACCAAGTATCGCCGAGAAGTTGAGATTGTCAAAGAGCAATTCCCTAGTGAGGATCTTGTCTGGCTCGAAGAAACGCCTAGAATTCCCTTCAAGGATGCGGTACAACTCTTGAATGATTCAGGCTGGCTGAATGAAGACGGAGAGCCGGTCTCCCCTCTGGAAGATCTGGCCACTCGAGATGAGATCCGGCTCGGTGAGGTCATGAAGGAGAAGTACAAGACCGACTACTACATCTTGGACAAATTCCCGAGATCGGCTCGACCTTTCTACACCATGCCAGACGCGGAAGATCCAAGATTCACCAACTCCTTTGATGTCTTCGTCAGAGGCCAAGAGATCATCTCTGGAGGCCAGCGTATCCACGAGGCAACCATGCTCGAGGACAATATGCGCCTAGTCGGCATTGACCCCGATGACATGGCTGAGTACATGGAAGGCTTCAAATGGGGAGCCCCTCCACATGCAGGGTGTGGTGTCGGCCTTGAACGTATCGTGATGCTCATTCTCAAGCTCGGAAACATTCGGTTGGCCTCGTTGTTCCACCGTGACCCTAAATCATTCCCGCTGAAGCCTGTGGTCGAGAAACTCCGACACCCGGAAGCCGATACCCTCCACCCCATTTGGCGCAGAGAACGTGGGCGCGAGATTGCCGTCGAGGATCGGCAGATGCCAGATCTTTTCGACCTCGTTGCCAACTATGGTGATGCCACGGCGACCTCATGGGGCGACGCAAGGTACAAGATCTGGCGTCACGCAGATACTGGCGCTGCAGTGTCTTACGTGCCGGTTGGCCATTACGCCATCCTACCTGGGGACCCTCTTTGCGCCCCTAGTCAGTACTACCGTGTTGTTGTGGCCTTCCTTCAGTGGCTGAAGAAGGAGACTCACCTGAAACCAATCTGGATCCTGATCGGGCCAGAAATGGAGGAAGTTCTCGGCGAGCGATTGGGCTGGAAGACACTTTCTTGTGTCGCCGAGGAACGTGTGGATCCTCACAAGAAAACCGCCGAATCGGACCCTGAAGTCGCCAGGAAGATTCGAAAGGCTCAGGCCGAGGGTGTGAAGATCACCGACTTGGATCACAAACATCCGGTCCCGGAAAGTATCAAGCAACGTGCAAATGCGAGAGTCAAGGATTGGCTCGCGAATCGCAAAGGTGCCCAGATCCATCTTTCCAATATCGATCTATTCCGAGACGAGAAGCACAGGCATTACTACATCGCCGAGGATAAAGAGGGTACCCTCTGCGGTATCGCAGTCATGGCTGAGATCGCCCCCAGTCGGGGTTGGCAAGCGAAGTACACCCTGGACTTCCCAGGAGCACCATCCGGTACGATCGAGTACGTTACCACTCACGCCTTGAACGCGGCTGCCAACGCTGGCATCAAATCCGTCACCTTCGGCGGTGGCGCCGCTGCTCATCTGACTCCAGGTCATCACATGAGCGGGGCCAAGGTCAAGGTTTTGTCAGCCACGTACGATGCCATTATCAAACAGTTCAATTTGATCAGGAAGTCGGAGTTCAGAGAAAAGATGGGTGCCGTGGCCGACCCCTTGTGGATTGCCTACCCACCTCATGGCCTTGGGTCCAGGGGCATCAAAGCAATCATGCGGTAAGTGCTAATATGCTACGTCTTCACGAGCATGGCTAACAACGAGAATAGATTCTTCCAAGACGAATAGTTGTCACGACACTTTCCTACGCTTAATGTGTCTCTACATCCGGTCCGTACAGCTTCTCAACTCCACTGAGGTGTGTCAGTCGAGCACGCCAGATCAGCGTGATGGAGTTCAAAGTGTCTGAAAAGAGACATGTCAGCCACACTTTGTATTTCAACAATGCTCCTCCTCGTTGGAAGCCTCGTGGTGTGGTCAAGGGGACGTACTACCCGAAGCTGAACATGGTGGGATGAGACTACTGCGCAGAGCCTAAGGTCAGAGGAGTTTAGGATGTGTTCAGTGCGCGTGGTTGGAAGGAGGGAGGATTGTTGGACTGAGCCCATGGATGTTCCCTCGTTCTGGTCAGCTTGAGTTCTGATAGAGATACCACGCCCTTTAGCACGTGCATTGCCCAATGAGAAATCTTGTTTTGTCCTTTGCCTGTCCTTTTGCGTCCTTGTGGTCCTGGATCCTGCTTCCCGATGAAAGTGGAAGCAAGACGTGTGGGCGCATCCTTGTCTGGCTTCCATGCTGTATACAAAGAGTCGAGATGAAGATGTCAGTTTAACTTTGAGATCCGAATGGTCTTCCGCTATATTATACGCGGCCTCCTTAATAGTCATTGCAAGCTGCCGCCTGTAGGGTGGGATGTCACAAGAACGTATAGATGTATTTGTTGAAGTTTATCGTCGAACAACACATACACCATTTTCGATTATTTAGTGCCAAACAGCCCACCGGGTTCAAGTACAGACACACACATATTGTGCATTCATGTATCTCTTCGCAGGCGGAACTTCCAGGCAGGCAGACCCGCTGGGAATGTAAAGGCGTATGTCAATGTATCGTCAAGTCATCCTATCATGAGGTCGTCGTCTTCTTGTGCACACACTCGGTTCGCTCGTGAACCTTCCGTCTACGACAAACCCAATTCTCATGAAGTCGTCTTCATCCGCCCACAAGTCGCGCATGTCCACCACTGACTCTCCATCCAGGTCCCGCATCTAGCACAAGTCCAGCCCATGGGTTTGGCCTGCGTCTTCGACCTGGCCTGAGACTCTATTCGGGCCAGAGCATCGGCGGCGGGAAGACGCGGTTCAAGCGCTGGGTGTGTCGTCCGTGGGTTCGCCTGCGATTGTGCGGTCGTGGTGGACCGACTCTGATTTGAGCTCGAAGTAGAGAACGGTCGGTGCGGAGGAGAATGTTGGCCTAGGTAAGAGTAGATTTCCGGTCGTTCGGTGCCGCAGGCATCGCACATCAAATGTTGGATAGGATTGATGAGCGTGCAGATTTCACAGGTCCATGTTTCTGGATCGGACTGCTGTGGTTGCGTCGTCGTCGTCGTCGTCGTCGTGGGGCGTACTGACGAGTCTGGGGGTCTCCGTGCAGGGTTAGATATGGATGTGCGCTGCTTTTCCTTGGGTCCTCTCTCGGCTTGCGCCTCAAGAGCACGAGAAGCCTGCAGTTGTCGCTCGATCTGGATCTGCTGCTCCCTCAGCGCTGTGGCATCAAGCGGAGCGGGCTGGATGCTTGTGCGCAGCCCTGGCGGAGACATAGTGCCTTTGACGCCGGCCGGGTTCTCCTGGCTTGGGGGGATGTAGCCTTTGCCGAACAATTGGCATTCCTCCTCCTGGATCAGATCTATGAAGGCCTGCATCAGAGCGGCATCATTCTCATCTTCCTGGTTGGCCTTGGTGGTCGTTGTTTTCTCTCTACTCGTTTCTTCCTGCGCGATCTGGGTTCCCTTGTCCGACCCGCTCGCACAGCCACGCTCGATGCGCAATCGCTTCTCGGCGGCGGCGGCAATGATCTCCCTCGCATTCTGGCCTCGCAGGATCCCCTGGCCACCCAGTTTCTGACCGCTTCCCTTGGTGAGGTCACGTCGTCTCTCCGCCGCGGCGCGCGCCTGGCGCTTGATTTCACTCAGCGGGACCCGTCGCCCGCCTAGTCTCTTGCCCTGCCCAAGGAAGCCCTCGCCGGTATATCCCTTCCTCAGGAGCGCCTCGTGCTCGTCGCGGAGCTTGTCCCACAGAGCGTTGAATGCCTGGTCGTGAGGACCGTGGACGATATGCGCCAGCTCGTGCAGCATGGTATCGACAACGTTCTCTAGCGGCAGAAACTGCCTTTCATCCCCGGGATATCGAAGGCGGAGGCAGATCTCCTGGCCCCGATTGACGTTCAGGCCAAGTAGATTTGCTTCTGACGGGTAGAATTCGGTGAGTGTGCCAACCCGCCAGTTTCGGAGTCGCATAATCGGTTTCACCATGGATGCGATCTTCTTGAGCATTTCAAGCGCATCGCCGGCCCGAGGCTTGGCTGACATGTGTTGGAACTGGTCGACCAGAGGGTCTAGCTCGGTCGGCCGTGTGACTGACATGGCGAACACTTTTGGAATAGTGCGTGGCAGGTTGAGTATAGGAGAGAGCAGAAGAGATATTGTGAGTGTTCGAACACTAGAGGGTAAGAAATGAGGAAGACGCAGGGTATCCCGGTCCACGCCTCTGAATAGAATCGCGTCTCAACAAGGGCTCTGCGTGATCGCTTGAGGTACGGTGTTTTGGTATTTTGCTTGTCACAGTTGCCCGCGATGAAAGGAGACGGAACAAAGGCTCGTTTGGACTTTGTAAAGCAAGCAACGCAAATAAGCCAAAAGTCACGCACTCACGCTTAACAACGCCTGCTAATGCCGCCGCAGAATATGCCAGAGAGCAATCTCTTGTCACAGAGATCATCTCTGTGTAGTTGTAGCAAGTGAACAAGGATTCGTAATGAATCTCAGCCTGATGAGGCGTTTGCACGTGATGAGTAATGCCTGCACGTGACCAGCCTCCCTCCCTCCCCCTCCTTCCGGATTGGTCAGTGACAGACGTCGGTTCCCGTCCACACTACTACTGGCAGTCCAGCGACGCAAAGGCCGACAGGGTCCTGACCCTCATGCCACCGGCTACAGCTCGACTTCACCCATGATACTGAAGCCTGAGCCTGAGGTCTATGCCTAGTCGACCATGACCAGCGACGACCAACAATTCCTAGACCTGGTAAGTCAGTCTGTGTGTACACGTTGCCCAGATTGCCCGCTGACAGGTGTTCGCCGCTCAGCTCGCATCCGTCCCGCAGGACATGGCACACTACGGCAGTCGTATCGCCGACTACATCGAGAAGCACACGAATGCACTAGCAGCGGATATCCGAGATGCCATCGACCACGCAAGCTGGATCCCTGACTCTCTGCGGCCTCCTCGACAACCAGGCGGAGGCCCCGGCACCTTCTTTGCGCGCCCGCCGCCGCCTCCACAGGGTCTCGTTGAGAAGACTGGGGCGTGGATATCCCAGAACCGCACGGCGATCGCAGTAGTGGTGGCGTTCGCGGGCACGTCGATATACCTGATCCACCGGCGGAAGAAGGAACATGCACGAAAGAGAAGGGCGAGGAAGTTGCCAAATGGGGCCAAGAAGGAGATTGTGGTTCTGGCGTGCTCGACGTTCCACGACCCCTTGACACGGTCGTTGGCGCTGGATCTCGAGCGGCGAGGCTACGTCGTCTATGTCACCGTCTCGTCGACCGAGGAAGACTCGCTGGTCCAACAGGAAGCAAAGGCCGACCTGCGTCCGCTCTGGATCGACCTGACTTCCACGGTCCCCAATCCCGCGGTCGACGTGCATCCCAACTTGGAGCCGATCCGCGAGTTACTCAAGAAGTCATCCTCACCCGCTTCGTCACCGCACCGCAATCGCTCGGCGCAAGGTTCCTCGATGGGGAACATGACGCTGGCCGGAATCGTTGTGTTCCCCGGATGTTCAGGATACCCGGAAGGACCTCTGGCGCTGCTCCCACCCAGCGACCTGGTCGACAGCATCAACACACGCCTCGTCTCTCCAGTCTTGACGGTCCAACAGTTCCTCCCACTCTTGGCCAACCACAGCACAGACTCCAAATCTCCTTCATCCATCGTCATCGCCTATCCTTCCATCCCGAATTCACTCGCGCCTCCACGCCAAATCCCAGAATGTCTCGTGGCGTCCTCCCTCTCGGCGCTCGCGGCATCCCTAAGACGAGAAATCCATGCCGCAAAGGCGAACATTACCGTTTCGGAACTTAAGCTCGGAAACTTCGACATGGGCTCCGTCGCCTCCTCTCGGACAGTGTACAACAACGCCTACCACCATCACACCCCGGCCAGCAGCACTAGCCCTCACTATCAATCAGCAGCCTCGGCATCGTCGTCTTCAGCCATGACGCATTGGCACTCTTCCCAACGAGCCGCCCTGCAACGCAAGAGCCTCGGCCAACGCAGTTTCGTGCGCGGCTCGTCGGCCCGAGAATTCCACAACGCCGTCTTCGACGCCCTTGCTCCGCCGCAGACGTTCAAAGCATTCGGCCGCTTCGAGTGGACTGCCTCTCAACGGCCCCAACTCGTCTTCGTCGGCAGTGGAGCCAGATTGTACGATATTGCCGGACGCATTCTGCCGAATGGCCTCGTGGCATATATGATGGGCTATCGAAAACAAGCCGATGAAGAGGCTGGCCGTGGACTGGGCAGAATGTTTCATCCAAGGACCGAACCGTCTGCTACGGAATCGGGTTTGGCTTCAAGCGAAAGGGGAGCTGGAGCTGGAGCTGGGACCGGCACCGGAACTCCTACTGCGGCAGCCCAGTCTAGTACGTGGGGATTCGGCTCTGTTGGCAGCGAGAGCGGAATCTGGGAAAAAGTCTAAGTCTAGTCCTCCGTGCCTGTATAAGGGACGGCGTTTCGCCTTGGTCTTTCCCAGCACGAAGCTCCTCTTGCCCGGATGAGCTTAATACTGCTCAGAGCCCCAGTGAACATGCAAGCAAAGCGTGGGTTCTTGGTCAGGGACAAGTTCTAATCTGGAATCTGGAATCTGGAGGTCGCTGCCATATTTGTCTTCACTCATTAGTATAGTTGTTGTCGCTTTTATGGACCTCGTTATGTATTGTGTACGAACGACGAAATGAACAAATGATTTGAAACACGGATCAATGCCACTTCCTCACCAAAGTGCTCACTTTGTCTTCGTCGCTCCAGTTTTATTCCATTTTGATCACTTGAGATGATGAACATCTGAACTAATCTTGATTCAAACCCTCTCTGGCCGGCAGCACAACAGGCATTCCATGTTTTGGTGCATGGACTGACTCCAGACACCAACTATCTTGACAGGCAAACAATGACTCCTAGTAGTAGCGTTCGCTGCACCTGCACGGGGCGGTCACATGTAATCGTCAAAGAATGGACAGACGCCAAACGCAGCTTGACAAACGCAGGTTGACACTGTGTATTCACTCCTGCGTGACGGCAACGGCGGCGTGGGAGAGTGAAAGCCTGAACATGAAGCTGGAGCTGTTCTCAAGGGTCAAATGTGAGTCTCATCAAACGCAGGACCCTGACATTAACTCCCAAGAGGGTGCCAGTGGCAAACGCAAACAACTGGCCATGGGCAAGTGACGAATGTAGAGAGGCATGACTGGGTGGTGTCGCTTCTCCAGTTCAACCACGGTTGGATATTCTACCCTGGTAGAGCTGTGACCACTGCGTTTGGGACCGCTGGAAGTGAGTGAGTGAGAGCGTATGGAATACTCCGGTTCCATGTACTTCAATCACTGCGCTGGTCCTTGGTTTGAGATTCCAGTCAGCTGCTCGTTTGGGTGAACTCGATTTCCTTCTATATTCCTACCAGTTCAGACAGATCAGCTGGCTTGTAGATTCCCTGGCCACAAGTGACATACCCTCCCGTGATTTGAAGGGAAGAGGGCGAATACCTGCCTCATTATCTATAAAGCTTCATATACTTCCTCGTTTGGTATGAGCGACTCACCTTGGCAACATTTCTCTTGTCATCATCAGACGCCTGCCAGCTGATTAGCCATCTTTGAAAGGACTGGCCGAGTTTCTTTGTGGTTGTTCTCAACAAGTGGTGCACTAAGGAGCTTCAGCTGGCGCTCGCTGCAACCGCGTAATGGCATTCACGTCGTCCACGACCGACTGGTTTGGCGGCGAGATGACAATGAGCCAACACAGACAACCACAGCAGTCGGTCTTCCGAGAGCCGAGAATGGCAGCATTCTTCATTTGCAGCTCTGAATACCCCAAGGGGAAGATATTCCAGATCGAGAAGCCATCCGAAATCTCCCTGTTGCCGCCCGTGGCAATCAGACGTCCAGCATTTCCTGACATGAGAAAACAATCTATGCAAATGCTCACACCATGTACCCTCTTTGTACAGTACTCTTGTCCCCAGAAATGCCGCACAATGGGCATCTGCATCCACTACCAGTTTGTGATTGGGTGCCGGAAATGCCCTGACGGGCTGAGGTGTGCATTCTGTGTGCAAAGCAATGTCCAGCAGGTATGAAGTCCAAGGCCGGATACGCTCTCTGAACAGGACATATGACAATAAACCTTCTAACTGAGTAACATAGGCAATCGAGGCATGCCGTAAATGTCCTTTGCACCAGAACCCTGCTCAAGCCAATCCAATCAGTAACCGACCAGAGGATTTCCTGGCAACAGATAAGCAGAAGGATGTCTGCGATGAGATGCTAGCCAGATCACTGGCTTGTGACTGGAGTAACATGCCTGTGCCTCCCTTGAAACAGAAGGCTGAAGATGTCATGGATCTCCTGCCCTACCACAGAGAGAGCACGCCTAAAAACTTGCAAGACGTCAGAATGCTCGAGACAGTATTCGAGGCCGACTTCCAGGCCCAAGTAGAGACAGCTAGCGCGCCTGTTCAGGGGTCCTACAACTTCGGGATTGGCCCTTGGGACATGCAAATCGGCCAACTGCAGAGACCATTTGGTCAGCGAGGTTGAGGACGATAAGAGTTACAACCTTCCCGAAAGGGTTGTGCCGAATAGTTGAAGGCTTCATCTCTCATCTGCTCCGTCGACTTCCAATTGTTGCAAAAAGGTCACTTGGAGTGCAGGCTCTTCTACCGGAAGCTGGTGTCGACCGCTTTGTGAGAGAGATGAAGACCGACAAGCCCGACAGACTCCACTTTGCAGAATGTCTTGTCACAAGTTGTTGAAGCATAGCACCGAGAAAGGTTGTCAAGTGTTCTGCTTGCCAATCCGCGGCACTGTTCTCGAGTAATTAGAAGAAGCAAACCACAAGCATGATCTTGATAAGCTGTCCTATCGCCTCTGAAGACGTTTCGTTGTTTTTGTGTTCTCCTAAAGCTTTTCAGTGTCCTTGCTTTGAAGATATCCTCGCGTTCGTAGGATATACACTGGATTTGAGCGACGTTAGCTGGCGGCGTACATAGACAGGCTGTTTGTGGATAGAGGACAGTCCAGCCTTCATCCGTCAGTGGAACGATCAAAGCGTGGAGCAGTCTGCTGGCGCGACGCAGCACACATTTGAAGGCGTCAGTCAAACCACAGAAGTTGCACGGGCAACGCTTACCATGGATGGTGGTCACGACCTGCATTCAAGAAAAGCTGCATGGGACCAATAACACATCAACGACGAGAGTCATCTAGTGCAAGAGGCAAGATCCCATACAATCTGTTGTTGGCCATCTCCGCTGGATGTTGCAAGCTCTCTGCCCACTCTGTAAATAGTAGTAGAGCAAGTGATACCACCCACCTTACCTTGTGCTCGTGGCGTCATCCTCAGATACCAAATGTTGGCCTGAATGCCCGAAGTCTGATAGCATAGAGGATAGCACTTAGACCTTGCCTCTGTATGGTCATTCTCACTGCGTCAAACGCCCACAACAAGACCAGCGTCTCCATCGCATTGCCGGTGGAATCATTTCAATCAGCATCACTAGAGTCGGATTAGAGACGCCGGCGACATCAAATCATCGTTGGCAGCACAGTATCAAATCTGATCGAGATATGACGGATGCGATCGGTTGACTCTTTCGCCAGACAGAACGCCTGTTTGTTGTCACCCAGGCTACCTCGTGCGGCCTGGCGCTCGTCAAGCAAGCTGAGACTCTGCATGTGCCCATCTAGAAGTTCCAACCTTGATTCGGTAACATCAGCTGCAAGTCTGCTATCTCTAGTGTAAGCCCCCAGCGGTACTAGCTTCAGAGGTGGCTCATGTATGATACCACAAGTACACTTTGTTGCTCGGGAAAAGATCACATAGCTGCCAACGGAGCGATGTGAATGGATGCTTCGTCACTCGACGCAAAGGCCGCGAGTGGTCGGAGTGTAGCAGTGGCACGTCGAAGGAATGCATCAATCAACGATGAAGGACGGTGAGGACGGGGCTAGGGCCGACAAGAGGGATACGTCGGCGACGTCAAGGGCTCGAGGCTAGTATAACTTCGTCTGTGCGTTCGACGGGAGAGATGAGCTGGGGGCTAGTGGGTGGTCAAGCCTGTGCAATCAGTACATTAGAAAACAGCCACTGACGCCAATGGCGCCGCACCACCCGAGCGAAATGTCCCTGCTTGGCGAGGCGGCCCACCCATATCGGAGCGCAGTGACACGGCGGGGATGTTGTTTGCTCCTTCGGCTGGCGCTAGTGTCGAGGAAACGCGAGGCGGTCAGCAGAGATCGGAGAGATGAGACGGAGTAGAGTTCAATTTGGGGAATATAGAAGCGACGGCGAAAAAGGTGAAAGAATTGGTGAGCGTTGTGAGAGTGTGCACAAGTCGAGAGAAGAACGTTGCAGTTGGGGGTTTGATAAGAAGGTGGCAGCAGCAGTGGCAGCAGCAGGAGCCACGTGACTACCAGCAACAATAATTCAAAAAAGGAAGGAGCAACCACTACCTATGATGTCACTGTACCGCGGCCATTTCCACCTCCCTTTCCATCTGTTTGGCTCTACGCTCTCACACCAAATTGGCAGATATCACTTTTGACCCAAGGCTACATGGAAAGAAGCAGTTCGTTTGAACTCGCATCGAACACAAGTTGACTAATTGAAATGCATTGCATCGTAACACTGCGCCTGCTCGTAGGTCTGTGGAGGAACCTGTTGTCTTTCAACCTTCACCTCCTAAATCAAGACCTCCTCATTATGCGCCATAGGTGTGCACAGGTGATGCTAAAGCCCACACCACCTGTAGTGTCGCCGTGTCAGATCAATCACCCGCCGTTCTGATGGCAACTAGTGTGGTATCTTCTCCCCCAAGTTGGTTGGCTCTTGCACCTCCTTCTATCCTGCAGCCCGACCATACCTCGGTCCGCTCAGACAATCGTTGGTCCGCTGCCAGCCCTCGGCCAGGACAGCTTAGGCGCCTCAGCGGCACGCATTTTCCCGTGGACATGAAATCTCCCCATGCAAAAGAACCACAGCCAGCCACAGTAACAGTCGTGAATCAGGGTATCAGATCGTCATAATAGCAATGTGTGTAAAGTAAGAGAGTGTCGTGAACCCAGGTTGGGCATTTCCAATACCCGGACTAGTCTGTCTTTGAAAAAGAAAATCCTCGTCCGATCTATCAGCCAGATGTTGTTGGTAGTACATATGCGCCACGCTACTCCATAGCGCCGCGCTCAGTAGTAATGTACAAGGAGCAAGGAAAAGCCGACAGCGACATGTCAAAGTAAGCCAACATCCTTTCTAATTGAAGATGATTGCAACAGGTGCTTTCGCAAAGTTTTTCGATCATGCCATCAGGCCTCCACATCCGACTGGCTGGCGGTTGAGGTGGAATCTCCTTTGTGCACCTTCTTGTGCCGGCGCAAGTTGGACACGACTGAAAAATGCCGCCCACAGCCCTCCACGTCGCAGGCGAAGGGTTTCTCGCCGGTGTGGCTGTACATGTGTGTTTGTAGAGAGCTTGGCCGAGTGAAGCGCTTGTCACAGACTTTGCACTTGTGCTTCTTCTGTGTGTTGGCGGACATTTTGGACGAGAATTGCCCCATCATCGACTGCGGAGCTGGTGGTCCAAGAGGCGCACCTAGCATTTGAGTCGGGCGTGGCAGTGTGCGAGATGCGGCCATGGATTCGTATCCAGTATCCGAGGCTGCGGAACTGTAATCCGTGGCAGAATCGGTTACTGAGCCGACCGAGCTTGCCGCGTAATAGGGATACCCTCGGCCAGATTCGTTCGAGATGGACGAATGACTGGATGAGGTGTGCGGGAAACCATATGAATCATTCGAAGCTCTTTGAGCCCGGGCTTCATAGATGTTGCGAGGGGTCAAGTCTTGAAGGCTCTGGTGACTGAGCGCCAGCATGCCTCGGGAAGCATCAAGCTCCCCGAAACTAGCGGTTGCGGCTCTGGAGTTGTCGATCCTGTTTGAGTGGTTAACATACATACACAGGCACGCGGGATAAGGATATAAGACTCACGTGTCGGACATCTTCCGATGTTGATGTTGTTGCTGCTGCTGTTGCTGCTGTTGTTGATGCAATGACTGAGCATAGCTCAGGCCAGAGTATGAAGGCGCGTATGACGCGGCGGGGGCGGCCGAGGAAGTCGAGTAAGACTGCTCACCAAAGGTTGAGCGTGGAATGTCTTGAGGGAGGCTTAGCAAATCCGTGCCAGAAAATCCAGTACTGGAGTAGGGGCTACCTTGAGCCATTGTTCCAGAGACCGGCGGCATGTGGGAATAAGGCAAGGACATCCCTGATCGCGTATTGTCTGTTTTTGAGAGCGCCGGGAATGATGAGCCGGAGGTGCTGGTCTGATGGGACCATGGGTCGCTGAATTGAGGTGTACTTTGCATGTTTGGGTACATGTGATCGTAACCCATTCCTCCGTAATGTCGACCCTGGTTGTCAATGACCATCGTCATGAGGACGGTTTTCGTAGGAAAGTAGGAGGTTGATAGTGGCGAAGAGGCCTTGATAGGCTGTGGTTTGAATGCCCTTGGAATGGGCAAGGCTGAATCAACAATCAAGGGGCCAGTGTATAGACTGGTCCTTTGAATCGTAGGAGGTTGATCTCAGGTCTCACCAAGGGGATCGGCGAGTGTTATGTAGAGTAACCTGTGGAGAGCCTGGAGGCCGGCAGTTGCCAATGGGAGCTCCACAGAAAACGATGTTGATCTCTTGCTGTAGTGGTCGATGGCGGAATGGACAGTGCCCCTTTGCTTCGACAGCGCTGTTCTGTCGTTGCTTGCAGCGATTCGCAATCCTCAAACCAGTTCGGCGAACGGCAGATCGACAGGACTGGCTGCTTGTTGAAGGTATGATGCCAGCTCAACGGCCGTGCTTGAATGGAGACCTAGTAAGCTTTCCAAATCTCCGGGCTTGGTGGATGTGTTGGAAGGTTGTTGGATCTTCTTGTCGGTCTTCTGTAGAGGTATGGTATAACAGGAGAGCGGTTTATTTCAGAGGGTGGAATGTTAGACTGAGATGCTTTCAGAAGTTTCGAAAGATCAAGGTCCGTTCGCACTGGGTGGGGATTGTCAGGATAGATAAGGTGTCGTGAAGCACCGAGTTTGCAATATGCCAGCGTCTGCTATGTTTAAGTTACGTCGGTGGGATTGACCCTTCTTTCTGTGTTGTCGCAACCCTTGGTCGACTGGCATCATCGCAATCACTGGGGACTTGCCCTTGAGGGGCGTCTTTTAATGCAGGGTGTTTAGGCCCAAGCCGGCAATTGGACAAAGCTTCAGGTGGAGGGTCGGAGGGACAGGGATTGACTTGCGGAAGAGCCTGCGCCAGCCCGGCACTTGATGAATTTGGTGGAGGCCATGGCGAGCGACAGAAAAAGAGACGGACAGGGGTGTCGGTGGTTCTGTTGTTGATGATCAGTGGTCAGGCCTCAGGTCTCTAGCGGGTTGGGGGGGTTGTTGTTTTTCGCCAGCCGGTATGTACTACGTAGTAGAATACGTACTGTAAGTGAGACTTGAGCGTGCAAGCCGTGGGTGGGAGAAGCCCTTGTCCTTGATGAGGCTTAGGGAGAGTAGGGGTGTTGATGCGGATGCGGGTGTGGATTAGATGCGAGTGGATACTTGTTTGCGTTGATGCCAGATTGAAAGATGGAGGCTTGATGAAGTGTCTGATGGAGGCCGGGCGAGGAAGAACTGCAACGGCATTGGAGGGATAGGACTGCGATGGCATCAGTTGGCGTGAAGGAGGCTTGCAATTTGAAGGACCGCCGATGCCAAGAGTCGGGTGGCGTTTTGAGCTGCAGCCACCCCGAAGACCCTTCCCACTTGGTCAAGCCAGTGGGAGGCGGACGAGGTTGGAGGTCAAACAAGGGCCTGATTGATGGAAATCTACCGGGCTTTCCACTAGTGGAGGTTTAGAGGAATAATGAGTTCAAGCAGGACCATAATCTGATAGCACGGATAGTAATTAAATGACATTAAGTTATGGAGGAAAGGCGTTGGAGACGGCGGCAGAGAAGCATGACCGATGAGCTGCCTGGATAAGGTTAGAAAATCTCACCAGTGGTCGTTAAATCTTGTTGGAAAGTCCACTCTAGGTACCTGCCTACCTAGCAAGGTACTCGAGGATGGCCTCTGTTACCACCAAAGTGCCAGGCGGTGTGTACAACCATAGCTGTGCAGTGTGCAGAGGAAGCAGTGAGCGTAGGAGACCAAGCCAATAATGCTGCCCAAGAGATGACGGACTTGCAGGCCCTGTGGTAGTAAGCCATTAGGGATTTAGGTAGCTGCTACCTTAGGTACCTATCTAGAAGGTCACTAGCCAGTTAAGCGTCAGGCAGAAGGTCAAAGTGTCGACTCTGTACTTCCCAGGTACCTCTCTAGTACCTAATGGTTGCACCTAGGTGGAAATGACTTTGGTAGTGCTTTATCAATATTATTGTTAATTTGTACGTGAGCCAACCACTACTAATTCACTACAGGAGCGCATTTGACGTTCGAGCCCCGAGCGCGATACAGATGCAGAAGCAGAAGCAGATGCAGATTGCGCCAACCGAGCAGAGAATGGCGGGTGGTCACTCTGCACAGCAGATGCAAAGTATGTACTGGGTAGGTACATATTTGGCACTACTGGAGCAGCTTGAAATCAGTGGCTTGCGCAGAAGGCACGGAGGCTACTTCGAGGGAACGTTATTGGAACAAGTGATGAACGCGGGTTGTCGTCTGTAGGGGCTACCAGTACTAGCTCCGGCGACAGTAAATGGATTCTGCGGCTCCCTAGCTTGCGGAGAGCCTGAAAGCTGCCCGCATTCTCTTCGCCTGGAAAACTCCCCGAGGATGTCCAAGTAAGTATACCTAAGGTACCTGAGCCCTATATCTTGCGCCTTGACTCCCACTGTTCAACACTTTCAATAATATACCTCCCACTGCAGCTACATAATATTCTCAGATGGTCCAGCACAGCATACCATTAGGTACAGGTTTACTCCTGTTACTCCCATGATCAACTAATTCCCGCACTGGCAAAAGCAACTCCATCAGGTCCATCGTGTGGAGGGAACCTTCGTGTCTCCAAGTGTCAAAGTCCTGCGACACTAAGAACAGTTGGCTGAAGTCTGATTTTACTTTGGCGTGTCGTTATGACGAAGCTCATCATCGGACCTTGACAACTTCGAGTTCGAGGGTCCCGGTCCCTTTTCCGCTAAGAGTAAGTCAAAACAGCATCCGTCTCCTCCCAATTGTCAATTCAATCCACTGTCGCAATCGGGGGCCCCAATTTTGTGGCTTGCAAGGATTCTTCTACCGTGACCTTGTGCCAGTCAAGTGCCCTGCCCGTACTCCATGACCCGGACGCCGCTGACGCTGTATGTGGTACTATGCCAATGAAGACTCGGCTCTAGCGGACGTCTCTCCGCCCAACTGGACGCCTTCAAGTTTCAACCCGACCGAAAGGGACAAATCCAATCTACGTTCAGAACCTGTGCGCCCCCCAACCCTCCCGGTTGCCCATCTAGCATTCGTTGTCGCTCAGAATCGTCTTGGTATGCCAGCGGTGAGGAGTGCTGCCGTGCAGTGCGCCGGGGGGGTAGGCGCATCCATGTTTTCCCTGCAGTCAACATCTGTTCTGTTCGACCCCCCGTCGCACAATTGTGTGCCGACTTCCGTCCAGAGAATGTACGTAAGGCTCTTGGGGCTTGTTTGTAGCATCCAGTCCGGGGTCGTGGCTCCGGGGCCCTGCTGCGAACGACAGCATCTTCATTCCTTCTCTGCGCTTTGAAATGTATTGCAGTGTAGTAGGTGTATCAGTCGACAACTTGATAAGATTAGACGATTGATACTGGTTGATCTTCCCAGATATCAGATGAGCTCGCTCCATCGCTGATCTGTTTACCATTCTGATCCGGGGTTGGAAACCTCCTTCCACTACACGTGAAGAAGCAATGCGACTTGCTGATCTCTAAACGTTGAGTAGGTGCCTTAAATGCGCCGATGAACGTCGCTAATAATGCTTGTTGGCACAATCACAGCCCTTCGATGTTCTAAATCCGTCCGAGTAGAATGGTATATCGCCACCGTCGAGTAGATGGCCATGTTCGCGAGTACGTAGTACTCTGCAGGTAACGAGCAGGCATTCAACCCTCCAGGCCTTGCCATGCTTTCAGCGGCGTTAGTAGGTAGCTATCTGTGTCGCCCCTGATAGTGGCCATTCACAAAGATCGAATGCTCAGCCTCCTGGAATATACCTGCCCGACGACAGGGGCGGTCTTGATAAGGCTTCTTCTACAGTCCCTGGAGGACCCTGCAGCCCCAGATTTTGCCCCTTGCACAAGCTGTACCTGGTCAGGTTCTACATTTTGTATTGGGATCAAACACAGGGTCTTGACAAGGTATTCGAAATGGCCTGACCTTCCGTGACGTTTTCTTCAAGGATGGCTTCGGGGGAGTACCTACAGCGGTCCTTGTCAACCTCCGGCAGCACATCGTTATCATTGTTTCGGCCGCTATCTTATCTGCCTCCCTTTCCGCCGCAGAGTGGCTCACAGCTCTTGAGGCTCCGAAGCTCGCCCTTTGGTCACTCCGCCCATAGCGTCAAAGCTCTCCGACTCAGGACTCCGCAACTTTCCAGTGGAGACCGATTCTGAAACGCTACTAAAGGCTGTCGTCGTCGTCAAGTGTGTCGTTAGCGCTCACGGGGGGTGTTTTCCATTTTGTCCCCAGTTGCCAGGGCCCGCAGCAGCGCTAACAACCATCGCGTGCCGTTTCTGTGTTCTGGGATGTGTCCCACTAGAGAACGTCATAACAGTAATCTTGGGTGTGAGGGAATGCTCCATGATTGGCTTGGAGATAGGGCGTAGTCAGTCCTCTCGAAATGGCGTATACAAGCAGAAAGTAGTCCAGTTTTCCGGGAATTGTGGTTGCCAGGAGAAAATGGGCATGGTGAACGAGGAGAGCAGGAAACGAGCGAAAGATGATAACAATTACTGTGGTCAGATGATGCAATCGTCTATTTGGTTTCCAGATTGCTGGGAGCATACTCTGTACTGAGGGACTTACGGAGTTCACTCTCTCTCACAATCTCCCAGGCATTCAACGATAGCAAATCCGCCTAAAACGCAAGGTGAGTCGGTCGCATGGCCAATGTGTGGAAGAGTGGCTTTCGTAAACGTAATAGTGAACTTCCTACTCCCTTAACCACAACTGCTTTCGAGGTCAAGCTTCCCCGGTACTACAGAGTACTAGGTAGCAGGCTGGTGGTACATTGACTTCGACAATCACTGGCACCGCACATTTCCCACTCAAATAACGGCGTGAAGATGCAGGGTTGCTTGAACTCCCAACAATCATTCTTCACCTACGGGCATTGAATCCGACCGCGACGTTTGACCCCTAGGTAGGCGACGCAGGGCTCATTAGACACTTCCCTCCCCCAGTTCCCCGTTGCTAGGCTTGCTTCAGGCAGCCCTGTCAGGGTTGACGCTTCAGCAACTGCAGAGTAGCCAGGAAGGTACCTGTAGGAACCTACGAACCTAGGCACCTAGGTTAGTACCTTAGACACCTAGGCACCTACCTACGAGTAAGAGAGTACCTATAACTTCCAGCTGCCTTCTTGCTGCCCTGCAGTGTGGTACTGTGGTACGCCTGCAGAATGCAACAATCGAATGTAACGCTGCCAGTGCTTCAAGCCCGACCGCCAAATCAACCGAGAAGCGGGTTTCCTGGTCTGCTCTCGTAGAGAATTCCCTCCAAACCCGACTCCGCTTAAGCAGCAGCGAGGCCACTGAGTGAGGCCCCAGCCTTGAATCTCTCAAACTCCGCTGTTCGAACCCTAGTCGAAATTCGAAATTCGCCGGCCCCCACATTTCTTTGCGTCCCGCCATCACTGAAGATCTGCGAACGCTGAACGCCACGAAGTTGAACTAGGTCCAGGGGCATCGACTCCCCATGTCGCTCCCCTTAACGATCACCACTGCAGTACCCCCAGCTCCCGGCTTTGCGACGAGAGCATATTTCGACGAGGCGACGGCGCTTTCCGGGCCCAAAGGACATCGTGAGTAGCTCGCCAGTGAAATCAAATTTCGGTAGGACAATTTCCAGAGAAAGAGGGAAGCTGTGTCGCTTCGGTCCAGGTGGACATTCGCTACAGTTGGCGGCCCTGTAAAGCCTCGTCGACCCTCTTCCTAATCAGACGCTGGAGAGAGGAGTCCTGGCGAGGGTAGCGAGGCTAGACAACTGTCGCTTGCAAACAACAGACTTGAATGGCGCAGGGAGATTTCGACGATGCCACTTCTTCGCCAACTGACCCGGTGAGCAATGGTCACCCGCGCCTTGTCAGACAGGGAGTAGTATTGAAGAATGGAAGAAGTATGGAAGGGTATCACAATAACTGTCGCGCAACAAATAACGTAGGGTGATTTGTTTCGGTCGGACGTACCACTGGTCATCTATCCAGAATACCATTTCGCCTTGAATGTAGTGCGTGCGTACACATGAATGCGCTGGCCGCAAGACCGCAGGGCTTGTAAAACCCTCTACAAAACTCCATTCCATGCATCAAGTCATTCCTCGCCTCGAGGCCTCAGAGATGGCAAAGGCCGATCAGCTGGGTATGATAGCACTTCCCGTTCGTGCCGAACCCTCCAAGCCCTTCCTGTAAGAGGCATTTGAGCAACATGCACATCACCTGTTTGATGTCTACGGGGACAAGGGTGATCTCATAATCGGACCGACGAGGCTCTACGGATAGATCGATCCTCGCCCTAGCGCCGTGACGCCCTAACAGTGATAATGAGGCTCAGAGGAACTCCCGGCATGGTCCAATCGAGCACGCCATGGATAGGACGTGTCGGCACAATGTCCAACAAGTCGTTGCAATGTACAACCGCACGTATGTCCTTAGCGTATCCTCTTGAGCCTTTCGGTTTGGAAATGTAGTCGATCGTCGAACCGGTCGCTCTGGTACAAGTCAGCTCGGAATTCTCTGGAATGGAATCAAACCATCTTACCTTTTCAGCAATATTCTGTATCAGTTGATTCTGTTCTTCAACCTCCTCGCCTGTGGCGCGAGCCAACAAATTCAACCGCTTGGCGGCCCCTGAAAGATCGTCGATATTGCGGTCGATCTCGTCTTCCATCGCATCGTCTTCACTATCTGCCTCGAATTGATATTTGGCGCGCTCGGCAAGACTCCCTTTGGCCCTGGGTCCCACGGAGGCGTCATCCAATCCTTTGAAGTTCTGGTTCATTCGTTGAGTGCTCCTGAACGCCGCTTCCCGAGTAGACTCTCGGGCTTCCCGTTCTGCGTGATGACGATCCATGATCTGCTCATCGCGACGAGCACGCCTATCTTTGGCAGTGAAAGGGTTGTTGACATGGGGGGCAAACATACTTCTGTTCAGGGTCTTCAGTTCTTTCGCTTTATCCTCGGCCATGTTGATATGGTTGTTTCCAATGTCAAGGTTCTTGTCAGTATTGTGCATCCTCTCGCCCTGCGCCCCAAGCCGGGCGAGAGTGTTTCGGCCCATCTCTTCAGCCTGGGCAGCGACACGAAGAGCATTTCTTGTCGAAGCCACATCCTGCTGCTTCATAAAGCGGATCTCCTGCTTGGTCGCTTGGATGTCCTCCTCCTCCTCCTCTTCGGCGGTAAGTTGCCGGTCGCCATATGCCCCGTAGCTTCGTTCCTCGGCGTTATTAGTCGAGTCGTATTGATAGTCCGGAGGCCCGGCTGCCTGGACCTGTTGTTGTTTCTGTTCCAGACGTTGTCTTACTCCGCCGAATAGCTCATCCCGGGCGGGATCGTTATCAAATGTGGTAGAAGGCCCAAGTCCGCCGTAGCCGCCTTGTCGTGACGTGCCGATTGTCTGTTGAATGCCGGCGTAGGGATTACCACCATTGCCTCCCGCGCCATATCCATTCTGGTTTCCGAACTTCTCGGCACCGTATCCACCACCGCTGGAGTTGCCCCCTGCGGGCTGAGTTGGCGGTCCTCCATTGTATGAACTATCTTTACCATAAAACGGCCTCTGTTGTCCGGGGCCCGGCAAACCACTGAAGCTACCCTGAGGACCAGGGCCGGGACGAAATCCTGGTTTTTGATCGAAAGCCGCAGGCTGCCCTTGGCCCTGTGAAGGTGCGATCCCGGCGCTCATTTTTGCCTTGGTGTAGGGATCCGGAGGAATAGCAGGCTGTGCGTAGGGATTCGAGGAAGGGGCGGGGGATTTGGATTTCGATCGGGAGCCAAACAGAGCGAGACGGCTTGAGTCGTCCTCATTGTCACCCTTCTTGAAAGTAAATTTGCCCATTGTGGCAGACGCTCTCGTAGAATGCAAGGGAGTCAGTGAAACTGATAGGACTTGAATCGTAATGATGGTTCAGAGAACAGGCAGAGAAGAGAGGCTCTGATGTGGTCTGTATTTAAGCCATCCAGCTGAAACACGAAGACGTGGCTGACAGGCGGTGCAGAGTCCAGACGGTTGTAGTACTGACGGAGTATCAGAAGTTACATACTTTCGCCGCAGTCTGATGGCCCCAGGCTCCGACGATCTAGGTCGCAGGATGAGGAGAGTGACAGGCTGAGGCTCCGCTGCCGCGCTGGATGAGCCTCGACTCCAACCGGCCTGCGCGACACTTTTGTCTTGGCAAGTTTGCCGAGTTTGACCTCAGACTCCGAGTCGTGCCTGGCGTTGTTGATAGGGAGCGGAATCTGGGCCTTACAACCCAAGGCTTTACGGGTTCAAGGACACCATTTGACTTGTATCCTACGCTGATGGGGTCGGTGTAAGATTCCAGGCAAAAACAGGGCTAATGGCCCCGAACATAGACAAAGAAGCAGAACATATCCGAGACAAAGCGAAAAAGGAGCTTCTCGGATTACTCGAAGGAGTGAGCAAAGACAATAAAGTAGAGTATCACCTACTCCAATACTGATTCTTCTCTAGGTCCGCGGCAAGAAGAATCTTGTAATAGGAAAGGACTTGACCGGACTTCTAGGTCTGTTCGTCCAGTTTTCCCAGCTCAAAGAATATGGCGTGGACAAGGTGTTCGAGCTCGAAAATGGCAACACCGACTCTTCCCAGAGGAATATCGTTTACCTCGTGCATGGGGAAAAGCCTCTTCTTGTCCAAGCTGTAGCAGGTAAGCCCACAGAAGCCCAACTTTCGATCACAGGCGGGACCTACAAAGAGACTGCGCGGATTCTTCCCTCTGTTCCCCGTTGTCAGTCTAGCTCCCAAAATTGAGAGAATCAAGTTCTCGAATTCGGCATCTCTGAGATTCATTTTGCTTTGTGTATCAAGGTATATGCGAGGACACCAGACAAAATGCTAACACTTGCAACCTCAGAACAGATTAAGAAACTTCAGAGAAACGGCTCTGTCGAGCATGAAATCTCCATTATCTGGGTCCCAAGGAGAACACTTGTTTCCAATAAGATTCTGGAGGATGCAGGGGTCTTGGGCGACGTCAACATCTCAGAGCTGCCTATATTTTTCCTCCCACTTGAAGATGACATGCTGTCCCTGGAATCGGACGAAGCATTCAATGACCTGTACTTGGTACGTCAACAATCAAGGCTGAGACCTATAATCAGCGGTCGCTAATAGGTCTGCACAGAGACATGATCCGGGACCTCTCTATCTCGCGGCCAGAGCTCTCATGCAGATTCAGCAGCGTCATGGCCTCTTCCCGCGCATACTGGGAAAAGGCGACCATGCTAGAAAGCTTGCCAACCTCCTGCTCCGCGCACGCAAAGAGCTAGATGCAGATGAAGCTGCTACACAATATACCAGCATGCCGAGTACCTCAATTGAACAGCTAATCATCATTGATCGTGACGTCGACTTCGCTACACCATTACTTACGCAGTTGACTTACGAAGGCCTGGTTGACGAGCTTGTGGGCATCAAGCACAATAGGGCCGAGGTCGATTCATCCATCGTTGGAGCCGCTCCTCAGCAGCGAAATCAGGGTGGCTCGTCCTCAATATCTCCAGCTCCTGCTGTTCGACAAGGACTTAAACGCAGGATTCAGCTAGATTCCTCCGATCCGTTGTATGAACAGCTCCGCTCCTCCAACTTTGCACTCATTGGACCGCATCTGAACAAAATTGCGCGGCGTCTTGAATCAGACTATGAAGGACGTCACCAAGCCCGGGGCATCAATGAACTGCGGGAATTTGTGAACAAGCTGCCCACCTTTCAACAAGAACATCAGTCCCTGGCGATTCACACCAACCTTGCCGACGACTTGACCAAACAGACCCGCTCCGATACCTTCAATCGCGAGTTGGAGGTTCAGCAGAATATAGCCGCTGGCACAGATCCGATCTATCAGCATGAGACAATCGAAGAACTCATCGCTCGAGATGCACCTCTCAGTACTATTCTCCGCCTCTTGTGTCTCGAATCTGCTGTGGCGGGTGGACTGCGACCGAAAGACCTTGAGTCCTTCCGGCGCCAAATTCTTCATGCTTACGGTTTCCAGCATCTCCTTACCCTCGATGCATTGGAGACCATGGAGCTTCTCCAGCCACGTTCGTCGGCGTCAGCGTTGCTCCTTCCGGTGGGTGGCGGAGCGGCCCAGTCTGAGAAGGGGACCAAAACGAATTACGCACATTTGCGTAAAGGACTGCGCCTGATTGTTGATGAATATAACGAACAAGATCCAGAAGATGTTGCCTACGTCTATTCGGGGTACGCACCGTTAAGTATCAGAATTGTGCAATGCGTTCTGCAGAAACAGTACATTCAGTCTTTGCACAAGTCATCGTATCCCTTGACATCGTCGAGCACAGGCTGGACCGGTTTCGAGGATATTATGAAGTCAGTCAAGGGGCCAACCTTCACCATCGCTCAGAAGCCGACGGATGAGAAGGCAGCAAAGGCGAAGGCGGCTCTAGCTGGCGTGGGTGGTTGGAAGACTGTTTTCATCATGTTCGTCGGCGGGATCACGTTCGCGGAAGTCGCAGCTCTGAGGTTTATTGGGCGAAAAATGGCCGACTCAGGCCAGAGGAAAAGGATTGTGATTTGTACCACTGGGGTGATCAGTGGGAGGACCATCATGGAAGGCGTGATCGAGAAGTCGAATCTGGCATCTGGCATCACTGCGTAAGATTTACAGGGAAGGGCATACGCCGACTGTAGCTATGCTCGCATGGCCTTGAGGGTGTCTTGGGCCTCCTGTTCGATCATGCTGAACTTTGCCTTGACGCCCGCATGGTCCGTCACATATCCTTTCTCCAGACCACTGTCCTCGACCAAGGCCTTCTTCACATGCTTTTCTTCGACTTCGACACCGAGACCAAACCTTTCAAACTTCTCGCATTCCAGCTGACCGCAGAAGATCAACTTGTCCATCCGACTACATCCAAACATTTCTCTCTGTCTGACTGCTGCCATCTGTCCCCAGGTATATCCGTCGTCACTGTCCTCCTTTCCCCCTAAGGTTAGGTATGCATCTTGGAGGCCATTGTCCGTGTGCAAGCTTCGGTCAAAATCCTGGATGGCATTGAGGTCTCCTCCCAGGACGCTGCCACTGATTGACAGATCATGCATGAACTTGGCCACCTCGGCCAGCTGATGTGGTCGCTTTGGTGGATCGGCGACCAACGATTCCAGATGGGTATTGCAGATTCGGATGGTGCGGTTACAACCGAAGTCCAGATCAACGAAAAGACCGTCTCGCTCCATGACCGTCGGCTCGTAGTGCACGCGGAACACGGCAGAGACTGGCCAGACTTTCGGGATGAGCGTACAGGTGCCGTAGTGACCTGATTCCCAATACTTGGTGTCTATGTCGGTCATGCGGTATTCGTCACGAACCCAAGGCTGAGCCTGGATGAGGTCGAGATCGGACTGCAGCATCTCTTGCAACATGATTATACTCGGGCTGGAATGCGAGTTGACTTGAGTATCCAGGTGCTTGAGTGCCGCGCGCATCCTCTCGTCTGGGTGAGGAAGCATGAAGTCGATGTTCCATGAAATGATCGTGAACTTGGAGGACGATATGGCTTCGGCGGACGGGACTTTGGACGGCCATGTCTCCTCCCATGAGGCGCGTTGCGGAGAGAAAGAGTAACAGGGTTGATCGTAGCGTTCTTGTCGCTTCCATGGAAGAGATGGCTTCTTCTTTGACTCGATGAGTTCGATGATCCGTCTGAGTCCGTCATCCATGGCGCGACTCGATGCTGTATTGCTGTGAGACAGACCGTATCTGTGTCTGACGCTGTTCAAGTTGTGTAGACGGTTCGGCTTCAGAGGTACATAGGATGATGTCTGTACAGCACAATGTGCAAGGAGGTCTCGTCTAGCAAAGAGGTCCCGCATCCGCCCTAGAGTCTGACATGTAGGGTCAGCAAGCCCAGTCAGTGTGAGAGTGACTGTGTTAGTGTTGGTGGTGGTGTTGTTGAATGTCTGCTGGTGACTGATTGACTGCGATCGCAACCGAGGCTCCAAATATAAATCTGATTGGGCATTTAACGACAGTCAACGTCGACCTCCTCACGTCCAGCATCTATTCGAGTACTGGCTTAAACACAGAGTTCTGATCTCATTGCCTCTACTGCGATAAACCACACTTAGTCGCTTTCCATGTATATGTATTGCCATTCCAGCCATCCAACTCTGCAGCCTGCGCTCATTGTACACTCTCCTCAGCGATGCCAGATGCAGATGACGAGAGGGCAGACACGTCTATTCAGGCACGTTCGTTGTCACAATTGACGGCGATCAAGCGACCGCGCCCAGTGATTTCATGTTTGGAATGTCGAAGAAAGAAGCTGAAATGTGATCGAACGTACCCATGTCGGCAGTGTCTCAAGATCGGTCGCCCGGGAAGATGCGAATATCAGGCTGGACAGGAACCCGAACTGAACACTGCCTACGCGGCAGCATGGACTACCGCAAACAAGCGACCGCGCCTAGATCGGGAACCATCCGAGGGACTCGCGGACAATGCAAGCGACGCAAGAAGAAACTCCTTTCTTGAGCAAGAGCGTCGCGAACCACGCAGACTTCTCTACTCCCCGGCGCCAGCTGCTGGGGGCGTGATTGAAGACCTCCAGGAAAGGATTGCTAGACTGGAACAAGCTCTCCTGGCTCAGGACCGACAAAGTCAGCAACGAGAAGATCGGCCACGGTCGGTCGCGTGTCAAAGCCCACCGAGCCGCTCATCGGCAGTGGACTTCAACGGCCCAGATGAAAGTGACCACGTCGTGCGACCGGGAACGAATCCGCCATTCCCAGATGCGTGCTCGTTCCTGCAGCATTTGCGAATGGATGACCACCACCCTGACAGTGTGGATCTAAAGAAGGAGCTCAGATGGGTTCAGGAAGCCATCGAAGCGGTCAGGCAAAATGGTCGTCAGCGGCCCGCGTTTTCGTCCATCCGAAATGCCTATGGGCGGTTGCGTCTCCCAGCCTATCCAGTCTGTCTGAAACTGGCCATGCTGTATTTCGACAACCTGGAGCACTGTTTCCGGATCCTACACTGGCCCGAATTTCGAGACCAGCTCGGAGTCTACTTCACGAATGAGAATCCAGAGCAAGTCTGCAAATTCGGATTCGTGCCACAGATGGTAGGCGTCCTCGCGATCGCCGCCACTCTCGGCACCCATTCAGAATGCGACATGGGCAGCGCGTGTCCGATCCTTGAACCGCCCTTGGCCTTGAGATTCATCGACGACTTCCTCCACAGTCTACAAGATCGACAAAGGTACTTGCTCTCCACGTTGCAAGTGAAAAGTGTCGGCCTGATGTTGAGATGGATCACCATGGCCCCGATCGACGACCTGTTCCACTTGAATGGAGACCTCCTCCGAGACGCGTTGGTGATGAAGATGGACCAGGACCCGTCGACTCTTCCCGGGACGAGTATCTTCCAAGGCGAGCTTCGGCGCCGGTTGTGGATGACCATCGTGGAATGCGACCTGATGCTTTCCATCCTGTGCAAGCTGCCATGCATGGTCCCGCCCTACACATGCCGACACCCGCAGAATGTGGATGACGACGAAATCTACGAGGGTATGCAGGCTTTGCCTCAGTCCCGGCCTTTGGAGGAATGGACCGACGGCCTCTGCCAGTACGTTCTGTCGCAATCGTTCCCGCGTCGTCTTGCCGCATGCAAGCAGATGGACAGCTCCAGCCCAGGCCACGTCAAGTTCCAAGACGTGCTTCTGCACACCCGCTACCTTGAACGAGTGCTGCAAGAGCTCCCTCCGCCACTGCGCTTCAGTTACATGGGCGACCAGGCGAGCAAGACCCCTCCGCGCCTGATGGCCCGCATGGAGCTGGACATCAGTATCAGACGGCCTCTGGTGCACCTGTATTCGTGCTGCGCGTCGGCCCCCAATGCAGACGACATCCAGCAGGAAATCAGAGCCGGGTTTCTGCAGTCTTGTCTGATGTTGACGACTTTTCAGGATCTGTTCGATCCGCAGTTCTCCGAAATCAATGTCCCCCGGCCCGAGGGCTACTGGGATTTCTTCCATAACGTCTACAGATACGAACTGGGCCAAGCTATCCTGGGCTTGTGTCTCGAGATCAAAAGGTTGAGCTGCGCAACCGAGGCGCACAGATCGACGCACACAGTCACAACCGAAAGGGCACGAAATACCTCCTTGAATCCAGCAACGTCGACATCGACACCGAGACCGGCTTCGACGCCCTTCAATGGGACCCCAAATGATAGTGCTACTGACGCGGGTGCCGGCGGTGATGGTCCATCTACTGGTGGTGCTGGTGGTGCTCCTGCTGTAAGAGCACCGTCATATACCAAAGAAAACATGATCGACGCCGTCAAAGACATCCTCGGCCCCATGAAACGTCGGCAGCTCCACCACGGCGCCAGTCTCAAAGACCTCGTCTACTTCACCGTGGTCTTGACCTCTGTTTTACCGCCACAGCCAGGCGTGACGAAAGAGGCCATGATCCATCAAGCCCTCCAAGGCTTGGTCCGTGACTGCAGAGCTCACTTGGAGCGAGAACACGGGTCCATCGTGAACAGTGAGGCCTTCCAACAAAGACATCGCCCGAGCCCCCATCCTTATCCTGCGTCCTGGTCTGTCACCCGTCCGCCACTACCTGTAGGTCCCAAATTCGATCCCACCTGGGCTGAGTTTCCCGATCTCGATTTCCTCGACGCCACTGGCCCGGATGAGGTGATGCGGGTGGCAGTGGATTGAGATGACTGAGCCAGAGTTGTCTTGACCTTGGGCTTAGTCTATCAGCATGAGCTGAGCGTGTCCTGGGTCTATCATTTTTACGGTGTTGCAGCTGATGGTGTCCCAGTGCGTCACCATTGCCAATTGTTGTTCTTTGGTTGTGAACATACTGTCCCTCTCTTCGACCGTGTACCTCACCCTACGGGCTGTAGTGCGGTTGGCCCGGCTAGGTCTAGTCACCCCAACTTACATGTACAAATTGGCCGCCGCGGAAACTCAGATGGAATTCGGTGGTAGAGATTGAACTTCATCGTGAAGGTTGTCGGCTCTTGACCGATCTTTACCAGGTTGTGGCCCAAAATGGTCGAATTGTGGCTTTTGGAGGTGGAGATATTGCCTCTCCAGCCCTACGAGCAACTGGCGAAGGTAACTTCGCGGAATTCCTTGGAGCAGTTGTGTTCTCTGAAGATGTACTTGGTTGTGCAGGCCAGATCCTATCCTCCATTGAAGTTGACTCGCGGTCATGCACTGAAGACAGGGTGAGATAGAGACGAAGGATTTCTGACAATGAACAATGTGAAAATATCAGCTAAATTAGTGCGAAACAAGAACAATGTCTCACCCCAGATCAGAAGTACGAATTTGTCCAGGTCTATCGGGTACTGTAAGTGTGAAGGTGGACAGGGCTGGTCATGAGTTGCAACAAAGAAACAGGGAGGAAATTTTTTCATGTTCAATTGGATTTTGTTTCATCTCAGCTTATCTCATCGGTCTGTACCATTTGGTGAGAAGCAGGAAGAAGCTCACTTTTGCCCTTTTCTAGGGTCCCTGGAAAACACCATGCTATGCTCTTTCGTGCGAGTTCGTCACAAGGACTTTTCCGTACCCACCCACCTGATGCAGTATCGTTGCATCTGACTCCGAAGACTCCGGGCTATGCTGAAAGAAAGGCAAGAAAAAAGAAAATGTACTCTGGTCATTTGATCGTTTGATCGTTGGTGACTGCACATTCAACTGGGGCACAAGACCACAATGTCGATATGTACGTCGTTCGTGGTGATTCGTCGTTGTGGTTCGTAGCTCTTGTGTTGGAAGGACGTATTTGCTGAATGGGGTATCTTTGATTTGCTGGAAAAAGGAAACATTGATTCATTTCGACGGGCATGTAAAGGAGGTCCAGTCACTGAAGAGTCTGTGGTGGCGGATAGGCAAAGCCCGGCTGGTCCTCTTCGAACTGACCGAAAAAATCGTCGTCGACTTGATAGTCCATGATGCCGTGTGGAGTGCAGTTACTGGAACCAAAGTCACTGCCATGGAAGTCTGTAACCGCTTCCGTTGCTGCCTCCTTGTCGCGAGATTTGACTGGCTCAGGAGCTGGTACGCCAGGGAGAGTTGGGTATTCGCCAGATGGGTAATGGTAGGGGTTGCCCTGATGCCAGAGTTGACTGCCATACAGGGCCATGTCTCCAGACAGAAGGTTATCGTTCTCGTCATCGTCCATCTCATTGTCAGAGTCATCTTGTGGTTCTCCTGCTTGCTTGATGGTGCCCTCCTTGTTGACTATGTCGTTCACTGACACTCCAGTAAGACTTGCCATGACTGATAATTTCTTGGTACCCTTATCTGAGCGAGTCTTGCGTTTCTTAAACGCTTGAGCGGCGAAAGGGAGTCCAACGGCTTCATACTCATCAATGTCTTGCTCGACCTTGCGCTTCTTCTCACGAAGGGCCCGCTTAGATTCAAGTCCCAGATGTGCAGTACGAACATGCTCCTCCAGGCTGGCTTTGCTTGTAAAGCTGCGGCCGCAACCGTAGACGACAACATCCTCCTGGTTGGCAAACTCCTCTGGGAGGGCAATCTCGGTCTGGCCACATACAAAGTCGCGATGGTTTTCATGGACTGTCTTGACGTGCACATTCAAATTACCCTTCTTGGTGAATTTCTTGTTGCAGCCAGAATAAGTGCAGGGAAAGACAGATGCAGATTCCGAAGCCTTGTTGGAGAGAATGCCATGTTGGATCTCCAAATGTCGAGTCAACTCTTTGTTGGAGCCGAAGGAGGTGGGACAGAATGAACACGTCGGTGGGTGTTTCTCGGCGACGTGAGCTTGGAACTCGCCATAGGTTGCGAAAAAGGTCTTTTCCAACTCTTGTGGACCGTCGTCTTGCGCATTTGCAAGAATGGAGGCATTCTTCGCAATGCAGTCAGAGCAAGAGAACCTCGTGGGATCATGCTTGGCTCGCTGGTGGGTACGCAGGTTTTCGGCAGTGTCGTAGGCTTTGGTACATGGAAGGCCTGTCGTGTTGTCCAACTCGGTGCATTGGAAAGGTTTGATGTTTTGGTGAGCCGACAAGATGTGACGGTCCAGAGTTTCTTGTTTGCGGAAAGTCTGATTGCAGCCAGGATAGCCACGGCATGTGAACTTCTCTTTGACCTCATGTGCTTGGACATGGCGTCGCAGTCTTGTACCCGTTGCAAAACTCGCATCACAACCAGGCCATGTGCATTTGTAGTCCCTAACATCGGTGTGTGCGCTTTTAACGTGATGTTTCAGGTGGCTGGCACGGAGGAACGCTTTGGTACACGGCGGATGCGGACAGGTGAAAGGACGGGTATTGGTATGAGATCGAATGTGCTCGGAGAGTCTTGCTTGACGGTTGAAGGCCTTGTCGCAGCCATCATAGGGGCACTTCAACGTCTTCTGGCGACATGGTGGGAGTACAGAGGAAGGGGGAGTCGAGGCGGGAGTATTGTCGATCTGAGTTGGCAGTTCGTCCTCAGAGTTGATGATCTCGTACTCATCCAGATCAAAGTCGTCATCTGTGTCGCTCTGTGACAAGCGCGCCATGACTGTTGAGACGCTGCGACGTCGTCGCCCTGTCGTTTGAAATTGATTGTCCGCGACAAGAAAATTAGGGAAGTAAGGTAACGCTGATGAGAGGCTCAATAATCCAACGCCGATGGATGATGACAGGCCAATGGCGGAGTTGTGGGGGAGGATTTTTTTGAAAGGCTGCTGGTTGGTTTCCGCGTTGGAAATTTCCCGGTTAGGCCTCGCGCCGCAAGCTTTTAAGCACGTGATTTGTCGCCAAGCAATTATCCAGAGTCACGTGGCTGGCGCAGATCCCTGTCGCCTTTTTTGGTTCTTGCGTTCACTGCGAGGATATCGGAAACGAGTCGCATAACGTCCTGCTCTCTTTCTCCTGTCGACTCGTGCGGGCTAGATCTGTGATTGTCAGTGCAGTGCCGCTGGAAAATGTCTGACTACGGTGACGAGGGCGGGTAAGTGACTAGCGATCTATGCCTCTCAAACAGCCGGTTGTTTGCAGATGACTGACATTTCTCGTTTGTTTTTCAGCTATGGCCAGGACGAGGCCGATGAGACCTTCTACGAGCCCGAGGAGAACGTCGACGAGTTCGCTCCGGATGCTGAAATTGACGAAGCAGCCATTGAAGACCGAGCGAACGCTGATGAAGGCGAGGAGCGAACGGTGGTGACCGGCGACCCCAACCAGAATGCCCAGAAGCCATCCAGTGATGCCGACAAGAAGATCCCCGACGACAAGAGAACCACTACACCTTACATGACGAAATACGAACGTGCACGTGTCCTAGGGACTAGGGCTTTGCAGATTAGGTAGCGGGAAGCACGCACATATGCAACGAGCCGTGGCTGATTCAACATAGTATGAATGCGCCTGTCCTTGTGGACCTCGAAGGCGAGACCGACCCGTTGCAAATTGCCATCAAAGAGTTGAACCAAAAGAAGATACCCCTTGTTGTCCGCCGATATCTGCCCGATGGATGGTGAGCATGTTCAACCTACAGCGGTATGTTTTGTGCTGACCCTTCTAGGTACGAAGACTGGACCTGTGAAGAATTGCTGTGAGAAGCCGGCCGTACTTATCAATATTGTACACCTGTGTGTATCTTGCGCCGGCTTCGATATCGGCTACACACGTTCCTCGAGTCACGATCGCATCGGTGTGAATACGTCGGATGGTCCGTTATTGCCTTGGGCCGTTGGCGCTCGAAGCTCTCCATGAGCCGCGCCACAGCCTGTCGAATGATAACAAGACTCGAGTTGAAGCACGGCGCGAATATGGCCTCCGATACTCTTGATGCCGGCCCATTAAAGCCATGAAGCTTAAACAAAAGCGGCTTCGCTGGATCGCACAGGCTTGCTGGGCAATGAATCCCGGCACCCAATCTTGCTTTGCACACAGCCGGTGCTCCCTATCGACCTAGATGCTCGATGCCAGAGCAGGACAAGTCGGTTCTTCTCATCCCTCAAGGGAAAGCTTGGAAGATATTGGACAACGATGAACTCGGCAATATTGTAAAGGAGGAATCGCACCGGTCCCAAGCTCGATCTTATCTGGAGCAACAGAACCACCACCAAACCCGAACCATTTCGCGGGCCACTGATGATCATGTACAACAATACGAAACTAAAAGAATTCCATCAAGGATTTTGAACATATTCTTCTTTGATCTGTGTCTTTTCTTCTCTTTGCTTCTCCCACCACCTGCCTTTCGAAGATAGCTGTGCAATGGCCTGCTTACTGATCCCAGACCCGGGCGGAGCTGTCGCCTCGCAACAGCTACACGAGAGAGTCAAATCCCGCTCAATTCTGCCACTTGTCTTGGCCACATCGTCGACGACCTCGACCAACTCCTCCAATTTTAGGACTAGAGAAACTTAAAGAACAGAAGGGTAACTACCTATCTTGCTGGGGTTCTAATCAGATGAAACTAGATAAGATAGGGGGCTCGATGGAGAGAAACGTTCAATTCAATGTTGAATGGACGAGCATGTTTGCTTGAGCCAACAACTCAAAATGATGAGTGAACATGACGTGGACAAAGGCCTGGGCCTGGTCTGATTTCGTTCTTCATTTCCTGCACCTTGACTACAGATACATTGGGTATGTTTTCTGACAACATAAGCCCCAGCTCCAGCGCCAGGTCCAAGTCCCTGCACATACGCTTTCTTCGGCAATCCAACATGAGATTGTGCTTTCGAAAATGTGTCTGTCCTCCCTGGATCTTCTCTATCATCACATACACAGCTCAAAATAAGCTTCTAGGCTGGATTCGTCACCATTCCATCAACGCGATCATTGGACCAATCCCTCTTTGTTCAAGCAGCCCCATCCTGATTCCATGGTGATAACCACTTGTCTGTCTTGTGATTGTTCTGCCCTCAAGGTCAGCTCCGACTAGGAATCTCCCATAAATCCAGATAGTCCAACATGCGTAGGTGGTCTCATCTGTAAAAAAAAAATTGAGTGTTTCAAACGGAGATGCTCTAGATGGCGATATCGTCGGTAGTCCTGGCGTCGGCGCATATACCGGCATCGTGACGGAAGGAGGTTCAATCCTGATGAAAAGTCATTCGACCTTGAACCTTCCAGGAAAAGTTGCTATCAACAGCATAGGGTAAGGCTTTCACAGCGCAACACGCTACTGTTCGAATGTCTGGGATGTAGGTTTGGTACAGTGTTGCACGAGGTGTGATATGTCGCTCAGACAAATCGGACTCTTGGTGATCTGTTCACAACCCAAGCTTGCAAGTCCTTGTCCCAATCCACCCCTTCACTTTCTGGTGCACGATAAAAGTGTGGCTTGCGCTCTTCGACGTTGATGTCCACATGTACCTTGCGCTCTTTGTGGCAGTGCTTCTGAAACTGTGGGCGAGACGGGATATCATGAACACGAGCTTCTGCCGGACGGACTTTCTCCAGTCGAAACTTTTCGAGGCGCACCTTCTTCAGCTCGACATGAGGCTTTGCTGTGACATGGCGTGGTTCACGGACTTCGAAGACGGGAGATGGCTTAGGCTTAGGCTGAGGCTCAGGCAGACAGCGTTCTCCCATTTCGACCGAGATTGAGATGCGATGCTGCTTCTGCTCGTTGTGTAGACCGGTGATCTCAATGCGAATGCAGTCCTTGCGCTGGGGATCTTGCTCGATGACTCGATGATGGTGGTGCTTGTGGCTCTGCTCTTCTGATCTGACTACCACGTGACGCCGCTCGGAATATTCCTGATACATCTTGATGGCCCCGCGTGACTCGTCTGTCGACGATGCGTGCATTTGCTTCTTGCGCACTAGATACAGCTTTCCTCCGGCTTGACGCTCAACATGCATGCTAGTACCGTAGCGTGGAGTCGATGCACCAACTTGGACCTTGGCAAAGATCATGTTGCCGATGAAACAGTAGAGGACGATTGAGAATGGGGTATAAGAAAGTCAAATAGACCGAGAGCTGGGAAGAGTGTTTGGGAAGAGACTGGACGAATCACTGTAGTTTGCGGATAATGTGACGAGTGAATACCAAACGGAATTTCCAGATGATGTGACAAGTGAATACCAAACGGGGTTTCCAAGTGAAGTGACAAGAGGACGGTCTCGCAAAGTGAAGATAATAAGTAATAGTGAGTGTTCCAACAGTGAAGAAGATACTTAGACCTTTGGCCATCTAGTACATCCATAATGGCGGCACAAAGAGCTTTCATTCTAGCCATGACCCAGGGTCAGCCGTATAAGGAGCATGCAGACCATTGCAGCCATGCCTTTGTGGAGCTTGATTGACTGTTTGAGCCTTTCAGATGTAGTCATTCTTCCAAGGTCGATGACATCGTGGATAGGCATTGTGATGCGCAATTGCCAGCCCAGAAGACTTCTGACGGTCCGCAGGGCATAAAGGTAGAGTGGCTCAGCAGGTTACGCCTGGTCAGGTGGACAAACATATTGGATGGAGGGTGTCGATTGGGTTCGTAGGGATTGAGGAGAGCTCCAAGGCTATGCCTGCTAAGGCCCATTATGTCTGTGTACAATCGATGATTCCCTGAAGAGAAGAACCCGACACTGTTTCTGTGGCCATGTGTAGTGTGTAAGGTAGACGATATCGAAGTTGAACGAGTCAGGCTGCAATTTGTATATAAAGACTGCCAAGACCATATGACGCTAACCTTGATTAGGATAACGCGCGTCTTACATAATCACGGCTTCGTCGTCTGTGGTCCAAGCCACCACAGACGTTATCCAGTGCCGTGGTGGCATTTCTATTCCGTAGCACTGTTCACACGGAAGCGATATCTTATGCGCAGCGGCCAAAAGAGTAGTATCACCTCTCTCTGGTCGATACAGCCCAGGGATGGGCTCAGCATCCTCGGCGCAACTGATAGAAGGCCCTCGTCGGTCGTGTGCATTGGAAGTCTAGATGGAGCCACTTGAGATCTAGACGCAGACCTCCCAAGATATGGTCCAGCACATCGAGGCTTAGTCAACTTCCGCGCGCGTGTACATCATATGGCTCGCCCCATTGGGACGTCTGGATCGTGGAACGGAAGCTGTCCTGTAGAAGGTAAATGTCGACCGTTTTGATGCGTCCGACTTCCTGCCGTTGGGAGAATGAATGCAAGGCAGTTAAGTTCTCCGTGTTTGGCTGATTTGCCATATATGCTTTCCGTCACAATTTGGACTTCCGCTGTTTGTCAAGTCATTTGGGGTTCGCTGCACGGCAGAATACTAGGTACCGACCTGAGCCGCCCCCTGAGATTCGGCAGTATGTGCCAGAATCCAACTTGCCACATCCTTGGCGAACTGCTCTCCCACACCATCTGGCTCGGCATGGAGTTTGTGATATGCATCAGGATATGGATGGAACACCTTATCCCCCTCAGGCGCCTCGAGGACTTCGAAAAGCCGTTGGGCGGCAGCAGGTGAGACGACCCTATCGCTTGTGCCGTGGGCCACCCACACAGAACATGGCAGTTTGTTCGTGAGGCCGTGAACTTTACGGCCATGCGAGAGGGCCGACATGTCCCCGCTTCGCTGGAGTAGACCTTTAAGCCCTTCGAGCGTGCCCGTGTCATGGCATAACGGATCATCGATCCAGTCTTGTCGAACCTTGGCCGAGTGAGACATATACGTCGCACTGAGCTTCTGCTTCATCTGGTTGTGTGGGAGGATCATGGCGGCCAGCTTGCCTGCAGACACAACCAGGGATGAGGGCTGTTCTGACGGGTCGAGTTCGATGTAAGGCGCTTCGAGGAGTAAGCCGCGGATTGGTGGTCGATTTGAGAACGCTGGAGAAGTGGACAGCATGTAGCATAGCGCCTCGCCGCCACCCATGCTATGGCCCATCAGGAATAAAGGCTTTCCCTGGGTCTCCGGAAGTGATGCCACGTGGTGGACGAAGTCGTGGATGTCGGATAGGACCAGTGTAGTAGGACCTGTCAGGCCGCATTCGCTTGGTTTTCGGACCGAACGACCCCAGCCTCGCTGGTCAAAGCCGTACACGGCAATGTTGAACGAGGAGGAACTGAGTGTAGGAAAGAAGTCGTAGTAGGCTGTTGTCCTAGTGTGTTAGCTATCTCGGGAACCATTGTGAACACATGATGGTTAGCCGTACCATTAATATGGTCAGAGAATCCGTGAAGGAAGATGAGCACGGCTGATATATGCCCAGACTCAGGCTAATGTCCCACGATGTCAGTGTGAAGTGCCAACACCAAGGGACAGTGGCATCAACTCAGTAGCCTCGTGCATCAGAACGAATCTCACCTTCCACGCCTTTTTGTACAGCTTTGTGCCATCACTCGTGGTGAATTCGCCTTCCATGGCCAGAATTTGTCTCCGGATTCTCCCAATGCTCCCGAGAAGATGTAACTACACAGAGCGTGGTGACGCTTCAAGACCTGTGCTTGAAGTACTGCTCCAACTTGAATGAATGAATGTTGCTGTTCAATTTGAAGTTGCCGAGGCTGCGTCATGATGGGAGATATCTTGGAATGACAGGTCATTTGATGTCAGCAGGAAAACCAACATTATCCAGACGTCAGTTCATTCGAAGCAGCTTGATGCTCTTCTTGAGGAGGTGTATAAGATTGTGAATATGGTATTGGCATAATGGTAGGTTGCCGACGGCAAGGTGGTGGTCATCTCGGAAAGTTGCTCTCGGGCCAGGGTTGTGTGTGTCGGCATTTCAGGTTGTGGTGTTGGCCATCACACGAGTCGCCCCCAACGAGATCAATGCTGTTGAAGGCAATATAGGTGGCCGAAAGCTGGCCTTTTGGCAGTCTATTGACATGTTGAGCGGAATATAACGGGATTACGTCTTACTACAAGAATCGCGAGGCTATTTGGGGGTGCTGAAGCCCGACAAGAGGTATCTGGAACCAAGTTGAAGATGCAAGTCGCACGCCAAAAGCACTGCGACGAGCAAAAACTCTTGCAGCCGGTACGTTTGATATCATAAGGTTAAAAGCGGTATTGAATGGGTCAGTCACTACTGGTGATATACTCCCAACACTTTCAGTGGCTTGAAAGGCCAAGCGGCAAGTGAGTATATTAACACACGCACCCAAGACACCCTCTTCACTGCATCACATGCACGCACACACACAAAAGGAACAGAGTCATATATCCCCAAGCACCAAAAAAGCAAGCGCAACCCTTTCTGACCAGGAATTGAACCCCCGCAAACCTGCTGTCTATGTTATACTACGGGCTTTCCGAACAGGTTTTCAGTACTTCGGTTCTGACGATCTATGGTGAGTCGCAGCAACTTTCCCTCACTTATACCCATCCCTCCAGTGGCGTGGAGTGTGCAAGGTCAGACAAGCACCGCCACTGTCGAGGCCGGCCTAAGGTTCCCGAAGGAGATAAGGGCCGACCTCAGTTGGGATGGGTTGAACAGAGGGCCAGAAGGCGACTCAAGATCGTGACTATTATCGCCGACTCGGTGTCTAAACCCCGACACTGTATTGTAGCCGCTGGGCCACAGTGCCGGAATCTCGACGGTGAGTCTTTGAAGAGCTAGTACTTGAAGTTGGAGGAAATTCCGCGACTTAAATATATATCTGTTGATTTATTCGGCGCGGAAACGCGTGACATGTGATCATCCATGTGACTGCGCAACAAAGAAAGGGTGCGGTGAAGTGGGGGAGTGCGCCCAGTGCAAGATATGGGGTCTACTTCACGTGGCATCCGACGGCACTACTGACATTGCAAGAGCAGGAAAAGGCGGAGCTACTGGAGAACATTGCGTTATCACTCGAGGCCTCGCTGACGAGGACGCTATAAGTTGAAGAGACCTTTGCTGTGCCGACAAATCACGCCAAATGTATGCCAGGTATCTGGAGACGGGAGGAGATGGAGATGTTGTTATCCTGGGAGGTTCAAGCATGGGCATCATGGAAAGTTACAGTCTGAAGAGCAATGGGCGACGATGCTCTCAATCGTAATACAATCCTATATCTGTTCTGCTCATTGCTCATCATCGTATCTCGTATTCCTTGTCAGCAGCATCACTCGCTGTCGACTCGCCAGACAAAGACCTTCTTATCAAAGCCTCCACTGACCAGAATCTCCTTCTGCCCACCAGCTTCCCAACCGGCATACAATGTTCTGACCTTGCTTCCGACCTCATGGGCCTTGAGTATAGCAACCACCTTGCCGCTCTCAGTATCCACACCTCTGATCACTCCATCATCAGCGTTGATGAATACCCCATGTCCGCCAGGACGCCAGACAACCTGGGGTGTGGAATAAGGCGTCTGTGGAGCCATGGTGGACACATGAAGCTTGATGGCCGAGTCTTCACGGTCCTGCAGGGCGAGGGCAGCACGAGCCTGCGATGCGGGCGTCACTGCCTGCGAGTCGGCCACTGCTGCGGTATTGGTATTGGGATCGTACGTGGCCGTTGGGAAGAGAAGCCGGACAACGATCAGCTTCATATGCGGGAGGTGGGATGTTGCCACGGCCAGAAGCTGCGGATCTGTCGGGCACACGGCGAGACAGGAGGGCGTGAATGCAACCCAGGCGTTGGAGTGAGGCGCCAGATTCTGCTTACCGGTTTCCTGTACTGAATATGTGACTTCGCTGCTGCGTGAGGAAGAGGACTCGGCCGCTGTCGGTGTGATGCGGTAGTAGTACAGGAAAGTAGAGTCACGCCTTGAAACGACGAGATAGAGGTCCATTGTGTCCGGATGCTGTACGAGGACCATAGATTCCGGATTCGTGGGCACAGTGATGGTGTGGATTGGGTCGCGCAGGAGTCCAGGAATGTAGGGCTCGTCGTCCCTCAAGTGGCTTTGGCCGTGCGGTTCGAAGTTTGCCGCCAACTCAGACTCCGGCGCGTAGATGTGGACCTTTTGGTCCCAGCCGGCCGTGGCCACAATCCATCTTCCATGTCTGGTGAGTCCTGACACCACATGAACGGCATATTTCAGATGGTCGCGACATTTGTCTAATAACCGGCCCTGTGAACCGTGCAGCGCAAGCTGTCCGGACATTGAAGTGGATAAGATGTAGCCTCCAGGAAGCGAACTGATGGCCAGCACTGGACTACCGTGAGCATTTGGGATAGACCCCAACAGTGAGAAAGGGACAGCGGGTGAAACACGCGCCCACGATCGGTCTGCTGTGGTGATGAGAATGACTTCGTCCTCCTTGTCACCTTGCCCACAACCGCTCACGCAGAGGACATTAGATTGGATGGGCACTTGGGGCTCGACAGCTTTGGATGGCGCAGGCAGCGACCAGCCTCTGTTTTTATCATCGCCTTTCTTCTCAAAAGCGAGACTCGAGTCGAATTGCTTCTTTTCTTCGAGGATCTTTTCTATCGTCCAGTCGCCTTGGTTGGTGATGCCGGCATTTTGGGGCAATCCGGCCTCTGCTATGAACGCTTCGAACGTCTGCTAGGTGTTAGATTTCAAGTCAGACCTTTCCTAGATTCACGCACTTCATTGTAATGGTTCGCTTTCAGGAACCTGGCTACGATGACCGCCGCCGAGTCTGTGGAAGGCATTTTTCTGATGGCATGGGATATGAGATCAATGGAAGGACACATGCAGTGGTTGAATCATGTGGGATAATAGGACGTCACGTGACCGATATCAGCCTTGCAATGACGAAGATGAGATGTTTTACGAGGCGAGTTGGAATCTGGGAAGTGCATTCCAAGTGTTTACTCCTCCATGGTTACACTATGTGCCAAAGTATCGATCCGAGCGTGCTTTATGGCTCTGTCACTGCTTTGGTCCATCTTGTGGTGCCCCCATGCCATGTCGAGTCTTGTACTCCCGAGGACTCTCGTAGTCTTTCTTGCTTGCAGCCCACATGCCTTTTCGTTTTGTCTTTGCCCACCATTCAGCCCTCCGATACTTCTTTTCCAAACCCTTGCCAAACTCGGCCCCTGATTTGGCCTCATACACCGTTGCCAATCCAGCCCTCAGCATCTGGAGGCCAACATCACGCCGAAGAAGTCCTTTCCACACGTATGCCGTGCCAACAACTCGGCTATATTGGTCTATCTTGTAAACGTAGGCACGGACACGTCTGCCCAGCACGTAAGCTGTCAGCCAATCCAGGGCCTCCTGCGCGTACGGCTGCGACGGTCGGCCAAAATGTGCAAGTTCAGGCGCATCGATTCCGGCAAGACGAACATGAATCTGGACACCAGTCAATTCAATTCGTCACGCCAATTGTTCGATTGTCTCATTTACTGTTTGGTCCTTCAGCTTTTTCTTGTCCGTGGGCACCTGCCTCCCAGGAAACCAACCCCAGCCGGCAAATCGACCACCTGGTGTGTGATAGACCCGAAAATTATCTCCATCTCCCACGCTTGTAACCTTTCCCAGGATGCTCCTTCGCCGGAGAAAGCCAGGGTTGATGTTGATTGCTTGGGGAATCCTTCGAAGATAGGCCTTGTAAAAAGTGAAGCATCCGAGCGAGGCAGCCGTCAATATTACCGCAGCACTTATGGTCTGGGGATCAGTGAAGGTCCAGAGGCTTGAGAAGGAGTCATTGGAGGCTTCGCGCTGGACTGGTTTGCTGGTGTCTGAGGGTGTTGTGGTTGGTAAGTCCAGGAGACGACTGTCCCTGGAGCCGTCAGTATCCTTGGCTACAGAGTCATCCTTTGTCGAGGAGGACCACGGTCTGGGCCATGGCATGGCGAGCTCGCACAGATAACCTTGTCGCGGGAGGCCAGCAACATGTCGTCGCTGCCACAGAAGGTCAACAACAATCTGCGGGGAAACAACTGCGGTCGGGAGTCGGGCGACATTTATAACCACAAGCGCATATTGTAGGGTAAATCATATATGTCCAGAGTGCATTATCAGAGCCTTGTCGACGACATGCCAAAAACAACGTTCGTGATTCCTGGCAATCAAGGAGCCTCCGTTCGCCTCGGGCGGAAGAACCCTGCAGTCCTGCATACACCTTCTATCTCGGACAGAATGACATATCGGTCAATATGCATGATCGACTAGGATCTCGTTGTTTTTCTGCATGGGCCGGACCACGCTTAAGGTGAGTTATGGTCTGGAACGAGCGACAAGAGCCGTATTTACTGGTTCAACAATATGTCGGGCACTACGATGACAAGTCAGAGCTGCTTGATCAATACACCTGAAGCTTCGGCTCATTTGCCTCATACTGAAGTTGCCCGTCTGCGCCATACGTTTCCCCAATCCGCGAATTGCGCTGAGGTATTGCCAGCCTTACAAATGTTGCACGTATCTTCTAAGCTATCAACCCGTTTCAATTAAGATGCTGGGAACCATTGGCGATGGGCTTCGTGTACCGGAATTGGCAGTATCTGCGAATCTAGAAGTCCTGTTCTCCAGAAAGATGCGTTCTAGGTTGGATGTGTGCCTGGGTTTGAACCTCAGTTCAGCCTCAGTTCGAGGTTAATGTCAACATCAATGGTGCCATACAGAGCACAAAGCTGCTGGTGGCCTCCTTGTGCACTCATCGAACTTTTGCAATGCATCTGTCACTCTTTGCGGCGCGAAAACTGCCAGAAGGTTGTCATCGTTGACCTTTCGACTGAGGCATGGACGGAACGAACCGTCCTTTCTGTTTCCGTACCCCTGGTATCCACGAAAAAACACTTCGGGCTCGAACGTGGGCGCGGGATCAGGCGCATCTGCAATACTATTTTCATCTCGAACTGTGGCCGCAACACGATGATCCCCAGGAGCCTTCCCTTGATCGCGCAGCCGTTCGACACTAGGGTCCGGCAGAATGGCTGTATTGTTCTATTGTCCTGCACATTCAATTGCGATTGTCACCCACTCCTAACACATGCCCTATTGTACTATTTTCCGGCCAATGATATCCATGCCGTCGCCTATTCATGCTACGGTCTCATTGAAAGACTCCCGCACCAACACTTCGGACCCCCATTGAGTGTGATTCAATGCATCTGCATGATCACATCGCAGATTTCTGCATCGAGAAGTCCATTGAGATACTCAAAACCGAAACTGGGTAGGCCAACAACCATGGGCTCCTTCAGATATTTCCTTCTCCTCGCACTCTTACTCCTCTCTTCCTCGGTATACTGTTCTCCTTTCTACATCACGTACATACCAACAGCAATTCGCTTCTCTATCTTCCTTGCAGGTCAAGATGTCTATCTACAACCCCGAAAGCTCCTTTCTCTTGGATGCTATGGCGTCGGAATGGTGTTCATCCATCGATGTCCTTCCATTGAACGAGACCGATGTCTCCAGTTACCTCGATGCCAATCCAGATGTCATTGTCAGATATCTTCAGGAGAGGGTTCCGCTGGCGGAATCTCTCCTGAAGACGTTTTTCGCCGACCTCTTCAAGGCTCCCGAATCCAAGACTGCCGAGTCCAAGGCTACTGAGTCCAAAGTTGCCGAATTCAATGCTGCTGGAAGACCAGATGCCCCTCCGGCTGAAGAGTCACTTTCCCAGAATCTTTTTGAGGACGATTGGGATGATCTCTTCCCCGGCATACAACTCGACAACGAGCTTTTTGTCGACGATGTGCAAGAAGCCAGACGCGACGTCAATGAATACCAAGCCAAGACAGTTGTGCCATCTGAAATCGAAATTCATCACGATGCAGAGGAGCACGAGGCTGAGTTTTATGAGGAGCAGCAAGATCCAATTGTTGTCTCTGACGACGAGTCTGACGAGGAGTCCGAAGCGGAAGCCGACCAAGACGATGACAATGAGTCCTTTGAAGGATGCAATGAGAGCGCCGACGAGTATTACGACCAAGAATCTCTGTGCGAGTCTGAGGAGGCAGCCAATCAGACATTCGACCAGAACTCGGACGACGAGTATGTGGAAGACTTCGGTCCTGATTACGCCCGTCAATCGATCGAAGAGTCCGACGAAGCGAACGACGAATCAGACGAAGAAGCCAACAAGGACTCCGACAATGATTCTGACTGCGAGTACAACGAGACAAACGACAAGGGCTCCGAAAACGACTCCGACGATGAAGAGAACGAGGAGACCCCTCAAGCTCAAGCAGGCTATGAGAATGGCGCTCGTCGAGCAAGCTACAACTCTCGTGTCTCTCCGCCTCTTTTGGATCCGTCCGTTCGGATGACGCCAGATTCACCGGTTGTTTCACCGCCGCGATCGCCCCCGGCACCGGCACGCACTCCACCCCCATCACCTCCAGCACGAGCACGAGCACGCCCGAAAGCCTCCAAACGTCGTCAGAGCCGTCCTGAACGTCAAACTCGAGCTCGATCAACAGAAAACGAGCCGCCCATGCCTTTCCCTGCACCAGACGACCTCGTCGACAAGTCACGAAAACAGCCAGAGGGCAAGAAATGGCGCCTGTTCGAGGAAGAAGCGTGCATTGCGCACATGATCAACATCCGCGACGAGGGGAGGCTGAAAGGCGAGGCGCGATTCGCCGAAGCACAACGCCGGATGGAAGACATGGACGGAATCGTGAAGAACGGCAGATTCGCGGTCAAGAACTTCTGGAACCGCGTCGGTCGGGCACGCTCTGGATTTGATGAGCGCAAGAACAAGAAAGCGCCCCTTGCAACGTCCAAGCAGGGTAGAAATGCCGAGGACGACTCGACGACCGCCCCTTCGACCAGCCGCAAGCGCAAAGCCTCGTCCACGACCAACAGAAAGACACAACGCAAGCGCAGGGCCAGATCCGACTCCGACTCCGAGGATGACGACGATGTAGACGTCTACAAGTGGGACTCCTCGGATCAGTCTGAGGAGGCGCGCCCGGTCAAGTCCAAGGCAAAGGCCCAGGCACACTCACAGGGACGAAACCGCAAGCGAACTCGAGACGATGACAGCGAGGATGATTGGCAGCCGGATGAAGCCACTATCAATGCATTGCAGAAGGGGCTGAGAGCGCCGAAGAAGTCTCGCAGTGCCTATTAGGCTCGAAATCGCCGATGAGGAGCTATCAACACCACACTGATGACACACTTAAAAACATACGACACACCACATACGACACACCACATACGACACACCACATACGACACACCACATACGACATGATCATTGATCACAATCACAATCACATACTATCGCACCACAGGAAAAGAGTTAGGACACATTTTACACATTCATTTGGAGGACAGGAGGATATGGAGTTGGGCTTGCTTGCTTAAGGCGTTATGGGCGTTACTGGGCATAGGGGAAGGGTCATGGCAGACGGCTGGCCCGATCTGCACCTACCCCCAAGAGCCTGATGGAACTGGAATTGCGCACATATGAGTAGCATCTGGCGCGTGCCATGCTTGGTGGTCTACTAGTACTCTCCTTGACATATGATACCCTTGATACGCGCGGAAATGTTTCCACAATCAAAAGCATTGAAAAGGAAACCTCGGGTCGTTCTGTGCAATCTGCTCCAGTCATCACTGACCAGTGTACATTGGCTGAAATGACGATCCGTCAAAGAAGGACCTCGCAGTGGCCTTCGGAAAGACGAAGAAATGTACACTGAAGAACTCGACGACGCATCTAGCCGACAGCTATATCTCCAGCCCTGTCGTTCTCATAGCGTAAAAACCAGCCTGGTGCGGAAGAAGATCACTTGATTCACGGCGAACGTCGTGACTCGCAGAGCATATGTAATTCAGTAGTGTAGTGTTCACACCATTCTCTGTACTATAGTATCGAGCGCAGTTGAAGGAGAAGAACGAGGCGACGGAGGAGAGTGGTAATTAAAGCAGCGTCGCCAACCTTCCCAATGCAGAATTGTGAGAAATGTCATTCCATCAACTTGCAACTGCAACTCATCATTGAAGCTGGTCACTTCTGCATGTTCCCGATTGACGACATTCACCAACCTGATCTTACAGATCTTATCTCGCTTGCCCGGTCTTTGTCTGCTACTACGACCTCTCATAGTACATTGTTTATCACGGCCCAGTCCATATCCTAATCTGATCGCCTCTGAATTCCGACGTCACCCTCTGTCACTCCCAAGTGATCCATCTCCCATCACTTCACTCCGATCTTAACCTGACCTCTTCCGCGCTGCCATAAGTATCTGCGCGATCACAACCACGACAATGTACCAATAAGTTTACGCGATATTCCTTCCATCGTTGCTCCAGAAAAAGCAACCTTCTCTACAGTTCCTTGACGCGGATACTGTATCAGAACCACAGTCGCAACAGAAGCAATGGCTCTCGCGATGGAGCCGACAATGTCGTCGGCGCAAGACACCGATCTGATGGATATTGATATTGATATGGATCTGGACGACCATAACATTCCCATCGATGAAGAATACCAGCTGGAAGTACGAGCTCATGTCCTCAACCTTGGTCTAATACGAACACGCAACCTGACATACCATCCAGGAAGGTGAAGAACCCTCGTTTGTGCCCTCGAGCGCAAATGTCCCAGACTCCTCCAAAATCATCCCCGCCATCTACACAGAAGACCCAGCCCTCGAACCGCAATGGAACAAAGTGCACATCCGCGGCGTGGACGACATGCATACCAACGACATTCTCGCCTTTGCACACGACCATTTTAGTGAAGCTGGTGATGATGTGCATGTTCAGTGGATCGACGATACTTCTGCAAACCTCTGTTTCAAAGACAACGATACGGCCAAGCGAGCACATCTGGCATTCCTCGAAAGTCCCATCACGATCGACGAATTGACGAATGCGCCCTTCGAGCTCCGGACTGCCAAACCGTTGGCGAGCCGACCGGCAAGTATGCTTGTCGTCCGAGTGGCCCAGCAAGGTGACAGGAAGAGGAAGGGAGCAAGAGACGCTAGTAGATATTACCTGTTTCATCCTGACCAAGATCCGACGGAACACATGCGACACGAGTTTGCAAACAGTCGGACGTCAAGGGCCGGAAGTGGAGACTACAGACGACGACGATTTGACGATCGCGAGCTGCATCGGAGACGGAGAGACCACGATCATAATGCCGAAGGTACAGACTTCTCGGCAAACATGTACGACGATGCCCCGGCCACCGATCCAGAACAGCCCGCCAGAGGTCGAGACCTGTTCCCGCGCGTGACGAAGGCTAGACGGCGCAGTGCGAGTCCTGGCGCGCGAACCCGGAACAGCGATGAGATCGACATTTCCGATTCCGAAGACGACCGCCGAGTCAGCAGACGAGGCCACAGTGGCTATCGCGACCGCAGCGACCGACGCCCTCGTTCGAACACCGGAAAAGAGCTCTTCGGAGCTACCCCTGACCGTAGAAGCGGAGGACTGCATTCGGACAAGATAGAGCTCTTCCCTTCGAAAGCTACGGAAGCAGATAATTCGATGAACACGGATCGGCTCTCCAAAGCCATCACCGACCCATCGAACACCCGGGCCAATGCCGCGGCAGCGAAGAGGTTGAAAGCTGATCTTCTGAGCGCTGTGCAGACCAGTCCCCGCTCCCATCACCGCCGCAGTCACGCCATGGATGCGAAGAATGAAGAAGATCTTGCCGAGCGGTTTGGCAGGAAATCAATATCGATCGACAGCACCAAGTCGTTCAGGAACGGGTTGGCCAACAGTGGCGTCGAGCTCTTTCCATCCAGTTCCAATTCCAACGGCGGTGGAGGATTGAGTATCAAGGGTTCTGCGCAGGATAAGGACAACTCTGGCTTCAGCATCAAGGGATCCGGCGGACTGAGTATCAAGGGGAGAGCTGGCGTCAAGGAACTGTTTCCCCAGCAGTATGATCGTGCGGGGACAAATAAAGGCAAAGAACTCTTCGACGAACCGGTGCGGGAGAAGAGAGTTCGAAGACGTGCGGGTGATTTGTTCGACTGAACCAACCCTCTCGAGGATCTGGCATTGCTACCTTTCCAGGAAAGCGAAGAGGAACAGACGTGTCCATCTGGAAATAAGTCCAACCGCAACCTGGTTATGACCGATAAGGAGCGTGTATGCCAGCACCGCTCCAGGACATGTCTTCCCCCAAACTGCTTCCAGCCTGCCTCGAGCCGAGTCTTTCCTCCATAGACAAGCCGCGTCCAGTCGCACATCCGCGTCCCGCTTCCATTCCACACCACGGTGACAGTGCGCAGCTGCTGCACATGTGTACGGTTCGAACTCCGAACTCGGCGCCCTTGAGACGTGCCCTTTCTGGAGAAATTCTTCCCAAAGTGTTGCGAGCGTTCAATACACTGAGGTCGAGCTGCAACTACGCGGATTTCCGCCAATTCAAGCACTTCTGCCTCATGTATCCCGAGATTGGAAAGACAGAAGGGTTTCAGGTAGAATCTCCATCACTGCATGATACCGATCCAGGGCCACTAAATAGGCCAAGGCTACGCCAGGCCGTGAGAGCTACAATATGATACGCAGAATGGACCGCAATGGTTCGGATCCCCAGGCCAGACAGCCATGCGATATAGGATGGAAACTAGAGCAGGCTTCTCAAATCAAACGAACAATTGCAATATGAACAAACAATATCGACGGATGCATACCCTTACGTATCCGGTGAGAGAGATCTAGATGTGCTTTACAACTTAGATGTCATACTGCGATAATAGCCCATGACAGGCCAATTGTCCTAGCTCGTCCTGGATATATCTTGTATGGGCCATGGGCACGCCATACCCACGGCGCTGTCAACCACGTTACCCCTGCGAGAACCACTCGCTGGTAACACGTTTGCTGCACGACGCGGGATATTCGATTGAGGCAAGCAGCTTTCCTTCATATGACCCTTATCCTTCGAACTCTCCCGAGAGCTTCTCGTCGCAGTCGCAGACGTGTCTGAACCTTGCCCTTTGAATCTAGGAGGATTGCCGACATGGGACTGCCAAGTGCTCTTGTTGAAGCGCAATGGAGATCAGAGAATGAACGAGACTGATTGTTGATCAATCAGTCAACCCCCATGACTCCCAAGAAGGGAGAAGCATCTTTCAGCGAGTCCCTTGCAGAAACGCAGGCACACTGATCAAACGAAATGTAGACCTGTTCCGTCATGACGGCGCCTGACATTCCAACCGGGCCTTCAAGTACTTCAACTGGTGCCATGGATGCGCGGAATAACTCTGGTGGTCTGTTGAACATGGTCAATCCTGGCTCGAAGGGACTCCTATTTCTGTAGGAGGAGGTTGATGGCGGTGGCGGAGCCCAGCAACAGACGAACTCAGTGGGTGACTACCAGACTCAGACCACAGACACGGAAACGGGAAAGCCATGCAAGAGGCAGGCCGAGACGGCGTTATCCCCGTCTCAGAGCGAAATCTGCCGGACACGAAGAGTGGTAGGTCCAGTCAGTGACGTTGTCCATGCCGTAGAGCTGCCAGGCCGTTGGTGTAGCACGCGTTGGTTGGCGAAGTGTGCAGTGTCTTTTCTGCTAATCTAACTCGGTCATGTCGCACCGAGCAAAGCTAGAGCGCCTTTCAGTTCACGAATTGCGGTGGGGACATCTTCGAAGTTCAGGGCTGAAATGGCCCATCGTGCGTGCTTCTGAGCCTTCATGATCGCCTCCTCGTCGACGACCTCATTGACCGGCTGTGCGGCCGGAGGCAGATGTACCGGATGGATCGGTGAAGGCGATACAAAATGCTGCTGCTGCGGTTGAGGAACGGGAGGTACGGGTCCACGAGTTTGTCGAAGCTGTGGAGGATTTTGCGGAAGTTGTGGTTGTGGAACCTGAGGCTGTAAGTTTGGAGGAATCTGTGGCGGCTGGCCTGGGCCTGCCTGCGGGAGGAACTGTCCGTGCCGATGTGGTGGAGGAGAAGGGGATGCACGACTTGGCTGATTAAGCCCAGCGAGTGAGCTACGTCCGGACGCGAGTGATGGTTCTGATGGTGGCGGAGGAGCCTGGACAGCACCACTGGCCATCCCTGTCGGAGCTGAAGGTAGTGTGTAGTCTCCGCCCAAAGTCGTTGGTGCTGAAGGTAGCTCTGGTGCTTGAGGAGAAGGAACTCTTGGGAAATAATTCCCACCGATTGACTCTTTCCGCTCCGATGAGATTCCCAGGGGTGAGATATCAGGTGGGCCGGCCTGAATCTTATAGAATGATGCCGCATCCCGCGGCGTCACCGGAGATACGTCATTCACCGGCGTATGTGGCGCAGACGCTGCACGGGACGAGTGGATAGATTCATCAGTGGTTGATACAGCGGCAAGGCTGCTCTGAACGCGGTCTGCGCCGTCTGGAATCTCAAGAACAGAAGACTGACGCTCTCTGTTCGCGGGTGGTGGAATTGAACGATCTCTTGAAGGGTGCAATGACTCGTCCAAAGATGACCTTTGCGCAAGACTCTTTTGGATCTTGTCGGCCTCGTCGGGTACTTCGGTGGCAGACGGCTGTCTTGGTCTCGCGTCCCCACCCTCCAGAGCTTGCACCTCCGCGTCGCTGGGGTCCAAAGCCGGAAGAGTCTCGCCGGAGGGCGTCTCTGGCTTAGGATTCGACAGGTTGGGGTCTTCACCAGCTTGAATGGCCTTGACAATCCTCACCGCATGGTATTTCGCATACTTGATCCTGCCGCTGATTTCTTGGTGGAGAGGGCCCCAGATTTGAAGCAATTCGAGGAATGTAGCCGCGGCTCGGAAGGTGTCCGCAGTCTGCTTGGTAGCCTTGTTTGCTCGCACCGCATTGTCTGCTCTTTCCAGTGTTTCCAAGGCGAACTGTTCCACATATGCCTTTCCGACTACATCGTCTGACACGGCAGGTTCCTCGGCGTGCTCCGATTTGAACTAGGCGACTCGTCAGGCGGTGTTCAGGTATGACCATTCAAGACCAACCTGTTCCAACTTGTCCATAAGCGAAGTAGTGTAAACGAGACATTCCTGGTCGGCATTGTGCAAGCCTTTGGATAAGATCTGGTTGACAATCCAGTAGTCGCCTGGGAAATAGTCAGTAAGAGTGTCGTCCCTGGTGGCAACCAAGGCGACCTACACCAATACGAGATGATCGGTTTGACCTTCTCGAGCTGGGCCGCCCGATGAGCGAAGGCTGTAATGTCGGCCGACTTGAGGGCGGCCGGGACCTGCGCAGCCATCGTGCGAGTGTGTTTTTGATATCGGTCGCGGCCGAAGCACGGTCTAGCGGTTGTTCCCGGGGGACTGCTATAAGCAGGCTTGATATGGCATTGTGCGAGATTCGCAATAGATGTGTTTCCTGACTGGCAGTAAATGAGTAAAGCCGAGTTCGAGAGCTGCGCTGCCTGCGGAGAGCTCCGCCCCGCACACACTATTACGGTCGAGTATATAGCCACGGCGTACCATATTACTGATCCACCGTAATGCGCCCGTGCTCGATCGACACCACCGAAGAGAGTCGTGGACTGCCAGTGTTTGAGGAGTTGAGGATGGCAGAAAAAAGCACGAGACAATGAAGGCCAATATCCAGACTTGTGTGACAACAGGTAGGGGTACTACAGTTCATGCTGCCGCCAGCATGCCAGGGGTACCGTATTCAACGGGAAGACTCCCGAGCTTCAATCCCAGGACCGCTGGAGCTTATTCGCTCAGAAAGCTTCCTTTATCTCTACTCCATCGCATCTGCTTACTTACTACGCGCACCTCTCTAACCGACCTTAGATAGGCAGGCAGTGGTTCTCTTGGAGCCGCTACTGGACACCCGGCTCGGCATCCTTACATTTGGGTGTCAAAGGTTGGGCGACGACCGAGTCGCATACGCAGTCGGAACGACCGTCCTTACACCTTCTCGCAGATATCGATCGCATTCTCCCTTGCTTTGTGTCTCATTCCCACCGGCTCCATCAGCCTGTGGATGCATGATTCTTTGTTTCATGGGAAGATAACACAGTCTAAGACTGAATTCTCGGTCCAACTGAAGGTAATGAGCGCAACACGCAAACATGTTGATACAGCAGCGCGGTGTATCTGACGGACGACTTGCCCAGGTAATTCCTTTGTCTTGAAGCGTAAACCCTGCTGAAAGACTCATTCATACATTCGCGCACCGTGCTGTCAACAAACACAAACCACGCACCTTTCCTTCAAGATCCTGCTCTGCCTTACTTTCAGGAACTCCACACTTGCTCGCAGCACGATCACCTTTTCGCCGTGGCAAAATGACACGAGACAATCAGCTCTCTATCGACCATCACCATGGCAAGTACCTGTGTCATTCCTGTGATCGAACATTTTCTACTCTCATTGGGGCCATAAACCATTGTCAGTTCGCCGCCATCCATACTGGCGAATGGTGTCAACGATGTGAATGGCTTTTCATCTCCCCTGTGGCACGGGAGTCCCATGAAGAGAATTCTTCTCTCGTCACAACATATGTGGTCGTTGCTGCCTCGACTTCCCTACTTTTGATCAATTCGCGGACCACAATGTCGACGTCCATCATCAATGCACGGACTGCGGGCGAGAATTCATCAATGTCAACGATCTTGAACAGGTATTACCGTTTTGCCTTTGTTAGTAGGTCGAGTTTCCAGTCGGCTAACCTCACTCCTTGCAATAGCACAAACGAGTTCATTTGCCGCAAGACATAGAGTGTCTCGGTTGCTACCGCGAGTTCTCCGAGTTCGCAGCCATGGTATTGCATCTTGAGTCGGGAAACTGCCAATGTGGAGTGGACAAGGATGATATCGACAACTATGTCTTCGACGACTTCAATTGCCAGGAATACGTCAACGAATGGATGGATTACTACCGGTTTCGATGTCCCACCTGCGGCGACAACTTCAAATTCGCGAGCGGATTGTTGCAGCACGCGGCAACTGACAGATGCCTTCAGAGTCTCGATCAGATCATCGTTGACTTGAAGTGCTGCATTGGACGGCGCATGTAGCTGCGTGGACTGCGAAATAAACACTTCTGGGGTGGCCGAGCTTTTGCTGCACCTACCGGGTCTACAGCACTGTGATGAACAACGGCCGAGACGGGGTGTTACCTCGCTACCACTGTCTGCTACGCCACTGTCACATTATGGGAGGCAGCGGTGCTCATTTGTTTTGTTCGTCGAACCGGCAAGTCGAACACAATGGACATGGCGTTCTTGAGCTTGATATACCGATCTTCCGGACATTGTTTTAGGACGACTGAGGATGATGTGAATGTACATGACTGAATCAAAGCCGCCACCCTACAGACTACCTTTGCAACATTGTACTGCCATGTAAAAGTAATCTCGAACCACTCAGGCTGTGTACCCCTTATACTGGCATCTGAAGGTACAAATGCTTCACCGTTTTGATTATCATACGGTGAAGTATTTACCTGCCGGATACTATATCCGAAACTCCGACTTTGGCGATAAAGAAATCCCATTGCGAAAGTTGACGTGGACATGACTTGACCACGTTCCGCCCTCCGGAGGTAAACTGTTCGTTTCGTGCTGTTCACGGAGGATGTTTTGACTTCGTTTTCTTGTTCTTTCGCTTCCATGTTTATTTCCGCCGTTTCTCCAAGGTGCAGGCGAACTCGCCGGATTTAGCAGAGGATCTCTTCGAGGACCGAGATCTTTCATCAACGACCCAATATTGCATGATATCAGCAAGCACCATGTCGACAGTCGGAGCCGTGCGAGGCCCGGCGTTCCTCACTCGTTCCCTGGTGTTCACTCCCTCCCATATCAACTACCGTGCGGGCAAATCCTCTCGTCGTGATCCAGCCCTTGCTTACCGTGTCTTTCTAGACCTGCACCGGAACATCCGAAGAAGTCTCAATCCGTACAAGACGCATGCACGCCGATCGCTCCATTCTTCAGCACGGTCTGCATCCTCTACATCTTCCTCCTCATCTGCGATCCCACATATCTCGTTACACATCGCCGCGTCGTCGAGCGGCAAGGGGCGGAAATACAAGCCGGAACTGAACACGGTTGACTACCAACCCAGCAATATCGAGGCCCTGGGCCTGCAACGCGGCACGACGCTCGACGAAAGAAGGTCCGGCCGGCCGGACAGCGGGCAAGACGCGTATTTTGTGGCGCGCGTAGGCCAGGATCCAGACACCACGGCCTTTGCGATCGCGGATGGCGTGGGAGGATGGAGCGATCATGGGATCGACCCGGCCGACTTCTCGCACGGCCTGTGCAGCTACATGGCGGAAACGGCGCTGTCGTGGCCCCACGACGAGAAACTCTCCCCGCAGCGGCTGCTGGAGATAGGGTACGAGAAGACCATCGAGGACCCGACCATCCTGGCTGGGGGCACCACCGCCTGCGTCGCGATCACGCAGGGTGACGGGAGGATGCGGATCGCAAACCTGGGCGACTCGGGCTTTCTACAGCTCCGTCTGGGGACGGTGCACCACTCGTCGACTCCACAGACGCATGCCTTCAACACGCCATACCAGCTGAGCCTGACTCCGCCGGAGATGCTCGCGCAGGCCCTGATCTTCGGCGGCGTGCCTCTGAACGATAAGCCCGACCGCGCCGATCTCGCCGACCACATGCTTCGCCATGGCGACGTGCTGGTGCTCGCCACAGATGGAGTTTGGGACAACCTCAATTCGCAGGACGTCCTGTCCATCGTGTCCAACACCATGCGGACGGCGGGTGCGTGGCTCAGAACCCCCGAACAAGGTTACACGGTCTCCCCTGTCCTCTCCGAGCTGGTGGACAAGTCAGCCGCCACGCAGAAGCACAAGCTGCCTGGGTCGTTGCAGAGTGTCCTTGCAGCGGCGATAGTCGGTGAAGCCAAGACAGCCAGTCACAATGCCAAGCGAGACGGCCCGTTCGCCAAAGAAGTGCAGAAGAATTTCCCCTATGATCCGTGGCATGGCGGCAAAGTGGATGATATTTCCGTCTTGGTCGTGATCCCGGTTGACGTGGCCATGGCGAAAGAGAATGAGCAGATCAGAGCCAAGTTGTGATGTATGGCTACTTTGGCTCGAGTCTGAGCAAGCTCTGGTTGAAGAAGCCAACAGACCAGGATACTTGTTCTCTTTCTCTCTTTCGTCTTAGAGAGGTAGTACGGGACAGTGGATACGTGATCTCCTCGACTTGTCTCTCAGACGAAGCCACGCCAGGATGTAGACGCCAGGAGGCGGCTAGAAGGCAACACCATTTACCTGTCTGGGGTTACTTTCTATTTTCAGAAACGCAGCGCTTTTCGTTGAACTGCCATCAAACAGAAGGGAAGAACATCATCCTATGTCAACGAGGGTCAGAGCGATCCTAATCGGCCACCGACAAGTCGTCGATTGGACGTCAGCACAACGGCTTTACACAGAAAAGGGTGGTGGATATCGAGATAGACACGGTAATGGAGAGAAGGAAACCATCATCCATTCTCGGCCTCCCGACTTGGATGACAGTACGACGCGCAGCACCTTGACCACACCACACAACGAAGCGGTGGAGTTTTGGGTCTGCTGATGGTACAGGTGCCACAGTCTTGTGGAGCATACCTAAAGAAGCATGGAATAGGATACTTCGGCACAGCACGGCATAGCAACGGGGTGTGCGACGACCGTGATTTGCGATTACATGGATATTCCAGGGCCGGAAACGTCGAATAGAATATCATTCGCTTGCTAGGTACCTTAGTTATGTGCTACATGGTCCGCACACTCTGACATGGTGACATACGGGAACCATCGAATTTGTTCATTCTCATTTCCACACCCAGAAGGACAAGGTGACAATCTCATCAACCCACCGCTTTCCGACAACCACCTTGTTAGGCAGAGACCATCCACCCACACAATAAGTTTCCTCGTCATGACACGCGAAACCACTTGTGCGCCAAAACCAAGGGACAACATGAAAGTCCAAACTCGCCATGCCTGCCTCTCGTACAGGGGCCAGATAGACGAGAATAAAGCGACACACGATAAAGCACCCGATCAAGACGCCCGCAGTCGAATACCGACGTTATAACCAAGTGGTTTTCGAAGGAACCCTTCCCTCGTCTCCAGTTCACCTGAATGTTCATCTCTGAACTCGAAATTCCGGAACACCGTGCCGACCATACACTTCAACTCCATCTCGGCGACGTTGCGCCCGACGCAGGCCCTGGGACCCGTGGAAAAGGGAATGAAAGCTTCCTTCTGGCGCGACGTCAGCCGCTTGTCATCCCATCTTTCAGGCACAAATTCGTCGGCGTCCGGGCCCCAAATCTCGCGGGAGTGATGGATCGTGTAGCTGGGTACGCTCAGTACAGTGCCCGGGGGAAAATGGTAGCCCAAGATATCAACTCCGTGGGCAGTCGGGTGCTCCGGGGAAGGACCAGGCACGACGCGCGGGAGGCCTAGCGAACTGGTGCTGTGGATGCGCATTGTCTCATTGATCACAGCCTGCACGTACGGTAGGTCGCGGACTTGCTCGTATTTGGGTACGCCCGGAGGGATGGCTGCGTCAAGCTCTTTCTGTAGCTGCTCGAGCACGCCTGGGGTGCGCACGACGTAATATAGGATGGCGCAGGCGGTATTGGAAGTCGTGTCGCTGCCGGCAATAAGTTGGGTGAGTGCTTCGGCGGTAAGTTCTTCGCGGCCGAGTCTCTCGCCTTTGGCGTCTTTGCCTTCCATTAGCCGGGCGAGCAGGTCGACTCGGTCTGGGTTGGGGTTCTCGAGTCGTTGCTTGACACGCGCGATGGCGATACCTGCCAGGTTTTCGACCGCTTCAACACCCTGGCTGAAGAATGGATCTGGGAAGTACTTGGCCCAGGGTTTTAGTTGTGGGAGACATCCCAAGGTGCCCGACACCTCACCGCGACGGTTGAGGACTTCGATGGCAGGTGCAGTGGTCGGTGGTGCGTCTGGGGATTTACGGATCTCGGCAAAGTCCTTTTCGTGCTCCAACATTCCAAAGGGCTGGCCAAAAGCCAGGTCACCGATGATGTCGAAGGCCAGATAGTTGAACCAGTGCAGGGCATCGATGGAAGCATAGCCGGTCGAAGGGTTTTGGCGTGCCGTGGCCACATTGGTCCATTTGTGCATGAAGAGATCGAGGTTGCCGTGGATGTATTGTTCGAACTGCCCGATGGATTTGGCGGAGAAGGTATGCGAGACGATTTTACGCTTCCGCGTGTGCTCAGCCCGATCCCGGGTATTGAAAAGACCTCGACGGATGGACACGAAAGCATCATAATACTCACTACGCCCCATCTTAGCAACGATTCACTTCCCATAGGGTTGTCTGGACCACTCACCTCTTTAAAAATCCATTGCCATGTCCATAGATGGTGCTGATATACTGATCATCCGCGATCGAGACATGGTTTGGCTGGATGCGGACAACCTTGCCGTACTGCTTGTGTGCCTCGTCGACCGCACGGTACCTTCGCCCTCGACGACACTGATATAGAAGCCAGAGATTGGAGAGCGCTGCAGGTAAGGGGCCCGGCACCTTACGCAGACTCCAGTTCCGAAGGTATGGCAGAAGATAATAGAGGATCGGGAGAAGGAGCAGGGTCCATGGGGAGACAGCGTTGGTAAGAAGCATTGTGACGAAGAACAGAAGAGGAAAAGAGCTAAGTGACTTGTGTTTCCTTTGCAAGAAAATACTGCCGCTGCTGAAATCAGGATGGAGTGAAGAAGCTGTACGTGATTGTCAGGCTCAAGGGTTGGAAGCGAGCGTGGCTTTTAATATGTTGCATTGCCAGACTCGGAGTGCGCGAGGCATGACTTCGAACTATGAACCGAGATGTGTGAAAGGGCGACGTGTGGATTGGTGCCCACACAACTGGTGCTGATGGCAGAAGGGGCCAGCAGCGGAGGTGGTCGACGGTTCACGTCTCGAATCACGGATGTTCAGGTCGGGAAATGAAGTTTGGCAATTGTGGGAGAGTGATTGGTGTTTGGGGTGCGGAAGAGGAGCGGGCTCAGGGACAGAGGGGGGGAGGATGGAGAGAGAGAGAGAGAGAGAGAGAGAGAGACACTGGCAGGGATGGAGAAAATGGAGAGCTGGAGAGAGAGAAGGAGCGAGGGGATGGAGACTTGCGAGGGCAGGCACGATGATTGATTGACTGACTCAGATAGACAGATACCTTACCTTACTGCAGATGCCAACCTGTACTGTGTACTGTCTTGTCACCTGTGCAGTGTACTGCAGGTGCAGTGTGTTGGTAGTCCTGTATACTGTGTACTACTAGTACTACTAGCATGACACTGACTCCCCTCGTCGCATCACGTCCCCAGATCCATCCCACTTCCGCAACCGCAGCCGCACTCACTGCTGCTTTAAACGCGGAGACGTTGGGACCCCCGCGTTTCTTGCCTAGTATGGGGAGCCGCCATGCAATCGGATAATATTTTCTCACGCCGCTGTTGCTCTCCCAATAATCAGCGAGTCTTACAATCTTCTTCTCCAATTCTCATTTGCGGGAGCCGAGGCAGTCCTACTAGTAGTACGTAGTAGTACTGATTAATAACAGCATACTACAAGTAGTAGTCTGAAGACCTCCTAACCCCCTGAACAGTGGACGAGATGCATCTACTACAGCACACCGCAAAGTAGCATTGCTAACTTGCTATGACACTGCTGCATGTCCACATCATCTGAATGGGTATGGGTATGGGTATGGGTATGGGTACTTCATCTCCATACCAACACAGTACCCTCACCGATGGCCCAATCAATATGCGGTCTCCTTGTTTTGACGGCCGTTTCCTCATCGAATCATCCCCACAACCTGCGGTCATCCTCCAGCTTTCGGATACCCGGCTCGGCCGATCGCCATAGCTCTCATACGCATGTCATCTCCAGCGCCCACTGCACACCATCATGAAAAATGCCGTACTTCCTGAGCTCTGACCCGCCCACTCTCGTTCGCCCAAGCCTGAAGCCGAAGAGGCGAGATGGACTGGCATGTCTGAAGCATCATCGCCTTCGTTGAAGCAGGTGGGATGCATCTCCGGGAGTCCAAAACGGCTCTCTCGGCGCATCCGCTAGCGTGTGCGGTCCGAAGATGCCGCGGCTATGTATGTAGGGCACATGACCCTGGTGATGATGATCCCCACGGAACACTGGACATTGCAATAATGGCAGTTCTGTGATCTGTGTTCAATGGACCATCTGCCCGTCCGCGAATTGCTGCAGGCGACAGTCAACATCCATATCTGAAACGTACTCGCAACTCACTTACTGGAAAGGCCTCGCTCAACCCGGCGGCACACCGTTCCACGTCTTCCACCAGCCCCTGGACAGCGTAATCCCAAGCCCGCAGATCGCGAATAGGACCGTTCAACTCGACTTCCGGAATCGTCTCGAACATGATCACACCGGCGATCTGATCAATTTCGCCTCGTAGCCGACCTTGTTCCACCATTCTCGCCGCATAGTCCTCGGCCTTCTCGGCAGCCGTATTCTCTTTACCATCTGTAAGACCTAGGATTCGAGCCAAAGCAGCCGTGGTGATATTTTCGTAAAGTCGACTGGCGGCTAAGAGGTTGTGCTCGATGACGGCTTTGCTGAGGACGGTACTTCCATCCGCTGTCTTGGCCAGCTGATGCGGTGCTAGGGTGGAAGCAAAGGCTTCAACCTCGGCGGGAGACAGCAGGCGATCCAAAAACATGTTCTCCAAGATCCCATATTCCTCCGTCTCCGGCGACCTGTCGTCCTTATACAGCTTGGCCAGCAGCCGACTTCGCTGAGGACCGGCGGGAGCGAGAATTGCTGTCTTGATGGCGGCAGAGAGTGCGCGCCGACGCTCTTCGTCATCGATCATGGAATTGAACGACACATTGAGATACTCGACAGATGCATTCAGGAAGTCTCGTCGAGAGTCCAGAATCCGGGCTTGCGACAATTGGTAGTGTAATCTCATGTCTGGTGCCTCCTTCAATACTTGGGCCGCTGCTGCCGAATTTTTGATCTTGTTCAGTGCCGTCTCCGCTGCTACTGTATCATCGTCCTCCAAGTAGTATCTCACTATCCGAATCCATGTCTCTACCTTCGACCGATCCGATACCTGGCGTTGGGTGGTGTCCAGATGGATGCCCTGTAGCGCCTTTGCGGCCGCCGTGTACTCTTCCTCCGCTTCGTAGCCGTCGGCTAGTATCTCCCTCACAGCTGCATCCTGCTCTTCGTACGAAGCTAACTGGGACTGCAAGGCGTCCGCGATGTGTGAGCCCACCTTGACCTTGACCTCTGACGGGGCGCTGCTGAGAGACTTGACGAGGCTTGCCAGAAGCGGCCGGATGGTGATGATCCCCAGGCCCGAGTAAAGGATGGCATCGACGTAGGCGATCAGATCTGTCGCATGCTGTTCAGCTGAAGCGGGTGGATGGCTGGTCAATTGGGAGAGGAGGTCATTGTATGTTCGGGTCTTGACAGCGGAGGATCCATCTGCGACCGACTCCAAAGCCGCGGTGAGTTCGGGGGAGGCCATTTCGGACCGCTGTTGTAGGAAGAAATAGGTCACAGAAGAGGAATCTGCAATTGTGGCGACGGCTCCAGGCTCGATCGCAGAGATGATCTAGAGTCGGGAACATAAGTACTATGTAGTAGACGACATCAATCCCGCAGGCAACGAATCGAGCACGTGTGAAGAACTTGACTATTTATGCCGTATACTCCGCCGCAACTGGTACGGTAGGCGCGTGCGCATCTAATGGCAGCACAGGAAGTACCTTTAGCATCTGCTACAAGATATTACACAGTCGTCTTCCCCTGCTTGAGGCCTCAATGGCCGGAATGCTCTGAAAGGGTTCATTTCGTGCGGAATATAGAACCCTGTCACAGCGTTGCCTCCCACTATCTGCGGATCTGATGCCGTACGTTGGTTGTGCGTCCAACTTCAGCCGTCGAGGCAGTCCTTCGCGCTGCTATGGGGGATGATCTTCTTCAGCATGGGCAACCAGTGTGAGCGGTAGTCAAGTCAAGCTCGAGGCTTTTCAGCTCTGCGCCGGTCGGAGACCGCTCGTGTGGACATCTTGATACAGATACATTGCATTGAACAGAGAGAGCTTTTCATGCACCAATGGAAAATATGTGTAGGAAAATGACACTTTACTCGAGCTATCGAGGACTGCAGAAAACCAGGAGAGAATCAATTTGATATTCCTAATTGATTCATACTTCACAAGCCCACGATAATGCAAAGACCCACCATTCGATGTGGCCAGGGGATTCAAAAACTCGCTTGAACGCAATGCAAAATCACACACACCCAAGTAGAACAGCGGACGAAAAAAAGTCAAATCCATGCTTCGAATAAGTAGGGGTAAGTAGTCCTCAAGCGTCACTTCATCCTCATCCTGGCCGTTTTGCGACATCCAACTCCAGGTGTGCCAGTATCCAAGCAAGCAGCAAACATCCATCAGAACAAGTCGCCGATATATGCCAATCGAGCAGCCCTTCTCCCAATCCAGAGCCTTGCAGTGGAGAGGTATCCAATAAGTAGTAAGAAGATGTCGATCTGAGCAGTCGTGCCGTACAGATCATTCCAGACAACCCATTCAGAACTCAATCACCAAGCCGTGCCCTCTTCCTGAGCCTGTCTCAGCTTTTCGTAAAACGCCAACGGCCAGCCCTTCATCTCCTCATCCTTAGGGAGGCAACTGACACCGTCCGCGGCGGTGATTTCACCTCTCGCTCTCATAGCCTCTTCTCTGCGCCGACAATAGCCGACAACATTCCCGATGACCCTCCCCAGCATATCCGGGCTGATGGCCACGGGGTTGAGAAACGGGTCTGCGTCACTGAGAAGTTCCTTGATCGTCGGCCGCAGGGACTGTTCGCGCGTGAGACAGCGTCTCAACGTCTTGATCAGTCCAAAGGGGACGACGGTGCCGCCTATCCCGGTGTTGGGGAACTGGATCTCGACTTTCGGGTTCGGGATGCTCATGATGCGTTCAAATTGTTTGGTGATATGCGCAAACGGCGGCTGGCCGTAGGTCATCTGATACAGGATGCAGCCTAAGCTCCAGACGTCGCTGGGCTTGCCGAGTTTGAGCAACTTGGTTCCCGGCGCCGAGCCGGCCGCTGGGGTGTGGCACACCAGGGACTCGGGGCTCATATAGTTGGGCGTGCCGATCTGGTTTTCGCGGTGGACATTGACCGTGTCGTCCTGGATGGCGTTGGCAATCCCGAAATCGATCAATTTGAGCTGGCCTTTCACCAGCAGGAAATTCGCCGGCTTCAGGTCCGAATGCACAATGTCGTAGTCATGGACTGACTGCACACATTCCAGCATCTCCTTCCAATAGTGTCGGGTGAAGGTGATGTCGAGTTTGGCGTTGTCCGCCTTCAACTGCTCGTTGAGCATCTTGTTGAAGTCGGATTCGCCTAATTCCATCATCACGTTCAACACACCTTTGTCCTCGTTGACCTCGTAGTCGTACAGGCGAATGACTCTGTCCACGTTCTCCAGCTTCTTCAACAGGTCGATTTCGCCCTTGTATCCCGCTATTGCCGCCATATCCGCCTCCTCGAGATTGACTCTCTTCAAGGCAAAGATCTTGTAGTTCTCGGCCATGATTCGGAATACCCTAGAAGATCCTCCTCGCCCTATGCAGTCCAGTCGCCTGTACGTCTTGCCGTTCAAAACATAGTGGACTGATTTCTTGTTTCTGGATCCTGCGTTAGAAGTGGCCGCGTCCAGGATGGACATTTTTGGCGGCGGAACTGGAGCTGGCCGGTGGACGATATTGTTCGACTTGGCGGCTAGTGGTTGTCGGGATGGAGAGCTCTGTGCCGCCACCGGTGCAGGTTCTACCTGTTTTTGATCTGACTGTGGCTCGTCTTCGTGTACCTCCAGCATCGCGGCAGTGGGTTTGGCTCTTCGAAACGTTGGCGGCGGCTCGTTTTCTTGGTCCTGTGCTGACGGATGTGACGGGAGAGGAGGTATTTTGAATATGGGGTTTCTTTGTGAGCTTGATGCTTTCGCGGAAGGGTGCAACTCGCGCGTTCCAGGCGTTGGCAAGGCTCTGTGGACGGATGCAGGTCGTGATGGCGCAGGATCGGGAGATGCCTGCTCCAGCGTGAGACCCAGGGGTTGCTCCTTTGGTATTTCAGGAGATGCATGCTTGGGCGAAATGTAAACTGGTCTGACTTGTTTCGGACTGCCTTGGAGGGCGAGCAAATCATCCGGAAGATCCTCCAGATCGGGTTCTCTGGCCCGGCGGCCCATCTCCATCTCAGGCGTTCTCGATCGTTCCCTCTCCGGATGCTCCAAATTCACGTCCTCCTCTTCGCTCTGCCGCCGTACCATGCCCCTTCTTACAGGTTTGTTGAGAAGAGCCCCGCCTATCCGTCTCACCCGCATCGTGCTTTGAGCCCCGTTCTCTTCACCACGCCGGGATCGCATGATTGTCGATGGCAACACAGCACCATCCTCGTCTGGACTGCTCTGATGTCCATGGGATGGTGGGCTGCGTAGACGACTGGAAGATTGTGGTGCTTCTGCTACGGGTTGTTCTTCTTGTTGCTGAGCCGACTCAGCCTCCTGCTTGGACGGAGGAGATCTCGACAATCGTCTCGAGTCACTTATGCGAATCCGCCGTACTCGTGGTGCGGGAGTCTGTGAGTCGTTGGAGACAGAATGAAGACGCGAAGATGGCTTCTCATGAATCTTGTACATGAACGATCCGTCCCGACCTAATACTGTAGGCAAACCAGGACGAGCTCCCGAAGTGACTCGCACAACACGAGGAACAGGACTGCCATCCCTTTGTTGGAGCGGGCTGGTCCTTTTCAGTATTTCAATCGGGGTCTCTCGGGTCTTTCGGTAGGATTCGCTCGTTGCTTTTGTCGCTCGCACTTGTGGTTCCCAATTTTCCTTGTCCGGTGCCGAATTCGAGTCAACCTCTCCGAGTATCGCCTGCGCTTCCGCACTGAGCTTTATGGGTGCAAGATCCTCGTCGTCGGAGCTGTCGCCCGTCATATTGCGGCTGGATTGAGACCTCTGTGTTGTGGTAGTTATATGCGCCTGTGGCTGAGCACGGTTTGTTACTGGTCGCGTCGTGGTTCGGAGATGTGATCGGCGCGAGTTGCTGAGACTGGAAGGGAAGGCTGCAGGCGTCGGCGTAGCATAAGTAGCCATGCCTAAAGATCGACTAGCATTGAGTATTAATATCCATGGACAAGCTCATTGCTTGCAGTTGAAGATTTGTTGACCAACTTGAAGTAGGAGATGGTATTCTGCGAACGCGAATTGGGGAATGGGAGTGTGCCAATAGCAGAGGTGACGTCGGATAAACTCCGGGCCGATCAATACATTGGTTGTCGGGGCAACGAGAGAAGAGCAAATAGACGAAGCATCGAGAGAAGTCAGTCCACGAAAGCCTTCCTATCGTGTAGTGCAACTATTATCATTATTGCGACCAGTCCTTCACAGAGAACTGTTTGCTATGGACACGACTTGTTCGTCAAACGGTCTGCCAAAATGCAAGAAGATAGCCGGTATGCCTTTTCAGCGCCAATGCCGATGCCGATGCCGATGCCAAAAAACACTCGCTAGGATCAGAACTCTTCCTTCCAACTTGGGTCCATCCCAAAGATCATGCCTCGGGCAAGCCAGATGAGCATGCTGAGCATGAACAGAGATGGCTGTCCATATGCAACCGACTAGAGAGCCTTGCACCCCGAATTACAGCATGAAGCTGAATCCAGCAAAGATGCCAGCGACCAGTAATCCTAACCCATAGATCTGGCCGATGTCCACGACGACTCTTGATGCTGCCGAGCTACCTGAGCTAGACGCCGCCGTGGTGGCAGCTGAGCCCCCGCCAAAGCCAGTGTATATCACCCCGTCGGAGGCAGTCGAAGCTGCTGCACCTGCAGTTGTGCTTGTGGCGGGCATTGTTGTAATTGTGCTGGTGTTGACTCTTGTCGGATTGGTTGCTCCGCAAGGGTGATCTTGGACACATGCGGCAGCACATTGATTATCATTCCCACAAGAAGCTTGACAGTTCGAGTTGTATTGGGTGCAGATAAAATAGGGAAGTGTTTGAGAGTATTCGGAGGCGTTGGGAGCGAGGCCGTTCGAGCAGATGCAGCTGTAAGTGAGCGAGGAAGGGTCACAGGTGTTGGAGTCTGTGCCAGCCGAATTGCCCGCCTCTTGCAGACAAATCAGCGGGCATTCCGAGATCTGTGAGTTACACCAAGTCTCTGGATTCGCATGTCAGTGTCGGTAGCAGGATTGGACAGTCTGGTTGAGTCACTTACGTCTTGTGGAAAGAGGAACTGAGTTTGGGTCGATGGACTGTGTAAAGGCAAGGCGAGCGAGGACAGCCACGACAGCAGTGAAGAGGAGGGAGTGCATCGTGAGATTAAGCAGGCCGATTGTGGCTCCGTAGTACCCGTCTCGGTGTATCCAAGGCTGGAAGACCACCTAGAGAGAATGGAATTGAAGAGAAAAAATGTTGGACGACTGGGAGAGTTCAACCTCGTTCCGAGTACAATTCTTTCTATGAACGAGGGAGAAACGAGATTTGAGACCTGCAGACAGGGTTGCTGGTCATGGACATGAAAGGGATAAATACTCAAGCCATGGGCACGATGGCTTCACGAAAAGGGCAGAGGAGGCAGGGTTGAGGAGAGTCCGTCGACATGCCAGTCATTCGCTTACGACGTAGACTCTCCCACTTTCAAGGCGAGATGCATCTGCCCGCCACTCAAGATGCTCCATCCGTGAATACCCCAGTGGACGGGTATCACCTGCAGACTCTCAATATGGCATAAGTGTGGCACGCTTGAACGAGCAATGACCTGTGTAGGAGGTTGACTTGTCTCAGAGATGCAGCATGTCCGTTCCCTCTTGCACCGTGTCCGAGAGACACTGTCAGTCTACGCGTGCAGCCACAGTCTTTTCGAGGCCGCACTGTCCAGTGCCAGTGGACATGGGACCGCTAGGGAGTGTACCGCCCAATTGCAATCACCTCCAAGGCCCCGGGTTTCCATAATTGCGCCTTTCCCACCACGACGATGCCTGGAGACTAGGCAGAGTTCGTGTTAGTAGAAGCCCAGGGAGCCTAACACAGACAAAGAGCCAGGTGCCTAAGGAGCCCCGAGCCCCCCAGGCTGGGTACAAGCCTTTTCTGCCATGTCTAGCCTCGATACAGATCCACGGTTTAGCCCGGAAGTCAACGCCCAGTCATCATTCTCCTCCATTAATTTTGTACTAAGCCGTGTGAATAGAATATCTTCAATTTCTGCCGCATAGAGCTGTGATAATGGTGGCATCATAGACCGCCTGTAGTAGGTAGTAGACACCTGGAGTATCGTTTGGCCGTCAGGGTGTTGTAGCAGATTAGAGAGCTTGTGGAGAAGAGTTCAACCGAAGATAGCCCCTACTAGCCACTTACCACCCACCAGATGCCCTGTGTTACAGAGCAGAGGCCATGTAGCTTCCAGCAGGTGTCTAGCTACTTCTCGCTGACAGCAGTCTCGACCGGGACTAGCCCGGCCGTCAGGTTCAGCTTGTCCCATATAGGCAATTGAGCCTTTCATGTCGCCAACCGCGCCTTTTCTTCTCTGCAACTGGTTTGACACTTCTTCAATTTTCAATCCGCTGGCAGACGGCAGAGACCACTCAACCACCCTCGTGTCGTCGCATCAGTTCGCATGGCCTCTGCCATCTCGGCCTCAATGGTCCACCGAAGATTTCCTTGCACTTGACCCGCAGGCGACCAAATGTACACAGCATACTATGGAGAACCACAACTCCACATCCGATGCCGTCCCCAGTGACGCTGTTTCGGATCAGGCATATACTCCTTATTGGCAAAATAGCCATGATTCAGGACATTCGGACAATCCTTCTCCAGACCGTCCACCGCCCATCATCCTCGAAGATCATACCGAATCTCGAGCAGCCAGCAGAGCGGCGCTTTGGGCCAAGTCCATAACCATTGATGACTATGTCATTGTCCATGGCAGTCCTCCGGGCATCGGAGCCTACGTGGTGTGGAATTGCAAAGTCCAAACACTCGATGGAGGGCCCATGACCATTCGCAAACGATACTCGGAATTTGCCGAGCTACGGAGCAGGTTGATCAGAGCATTTCCTCAATCGACTAAGACCTCGCTCCCACCACTGCCCCCCAAAAGCGCCATCTACAAATTTCAACCCAAGTTCCTGGAGAGGAGGCGGGAAGGTCTGGCCTACTTTCTGAGCTGCGTCATGCTCAATCCGGAATATGCTGGTTCGACGATTGTCAAAGATTTCATCTTTCCACCAGAGTCGACTTGATGACTTCGACAGCGCTGGGAACGAGGGACCGCTACATCAATACATTGGCCGCTGCTCAGGCCTCCTTCTGCGCATCATGGCCCCAGTTCATCAATGACCGGTATGAGTTGCTGTTGGTGTCTTGCTTGGCCTTCTGCTCCTGGGCCAGATGGCGTTTGTTGTAGGCGGCAACTTTCCTCATATGGGCCAAGTCCTCTTCGTCATACTGGGATGGATTCTTGGTTGGGTTCTTTCTCAGGATCTCGACAATCTTCCTTCCACTGCAAACCATGTCAGAATTACCGTCCGGAGAAGTACTGGACGCTATCAACAATGTCGCATATAGGCGAACATCCTAGTCCATGAACTATACGGCGCAGCTTACCTCTCGTGGCCAACGCTTTCTCCGGAGCCGTCATCTTTTGACCAGCCCGACTTCTGGGACTCACCACCCTTGAGCCATTCTTCAAGCTCGTCAGCGGTCACATTGACGGTGTTATTGAAGTCGCTGTCTCTAATTAGGACGGGGCTCGCTGCAAATTATGGGTCGTTTGGCGCGTACTTAATGACATCTTGATTACTCTTGACCATTTCGAACGCAAAAGCTTTGAACGATCTATGCGATCCTGGTATTGCGAGCTTGGGTTGAAGAAAATGGCAGTATGTGTACCGTAGGTGCATGGGCTACAGAACCTATCCCTTGGGCGGACGATGCATTCATGTCTTCTCATGATATTGTATCGGTGCAATAGGTATCTGTGATTGGTTACGTCATGACTTTGCCAGTGGCATGCATGGAGGTTTGGGTGCACTTGATGCACATTTTGTCAGGTGGTCAAGGCACGAAGAGTTGCACACTGCCAGTGAGTGCATGGCGCCAGCAGTTTCGGAACAGAAGGCTGTCATCCTGGTGATCTGCTCCGAGTCTGCAAGGCTGCGACATGAACGGTTTGGATGGCGCTATTTACTAGCACCTACAGCGCAGGACTAATAAGTATGCGCACCTATTTACGTCCCTATTTAGATCGATAAAGGCAACCATCTACTGTACATACTAGTACTTTGTATCCTGCATGGTCAAATCTAAGGGCATTCCTCAGCTGCTGGCTGGCGCAAGGAGGAAATTGCATGGCGGCTCACCATCCCATTATATCTGGCCACTTGCTCTCGACATGTAGGCACCTTATCTCAAAAGTTCTCGCGCTTCTGCATGTGAGAGTCCAATATCTCGATTGTGATTGAGACTGGTTGAGCCATATTTGAGTGGACCAATCTGCGGTACGGAGTTACAAGTCAATCTTAGAAACCGCAGCACCGTCCCACGGCCTGTGGCTCCTTGAGAGTCACAAATGTGACGGTCCCTGTGGCTTGCATCAGGGTGTTTGTGGCCGCCAATTTGGACTTCACTGCGCTCTTTTGAGACGTTCAAGTTCGTGGGCCAGAAGCACGAACAGGGGGTTCCCAGGTCCAATTTCTCTGATGCTTTCTCCTTATCGTCATCACTATCATAGGTATCCTCCTCATGAATGCCTGTACAATACCTCGTGTGGCTTGTTGGTGTGGATAACCGTCGACGGATGCTTACATGAACTCACTACATCCTGCACTGAGGGCATATGGAAGGATCGGAAAGGTTGGCTGAGCAGATGTTGCAAGAAGGGTCGGAATCGCAGGTTCGGAACTCGAGACTTGTGAGGGGCGCAGGCCGTCTCAGATCAGACCTAGGGAGGGAGCCAACGGTCCGGAGAAGATTAAGTGCAACCCTAGTCGACAGCGAACAACGCTCACGCCTTTTTGGGGACATCACCGTGCACTTTGAAGGGAACTGCACTGCATGCGTTGTTGATCATTTCGTATTAGTGGTGTGGCTGAGGCTGAGGCGATTTGTCTCATTGGTGTCTGATCACTGTGAGCAGCCCAAGATGGATGAAGATGCAGGAGGGAAAGACAGAGGGTTGAGAGTTGCTCCTATGAAAAGCCCGGTGCAGCCTGAATTGAGGCCCCGGGAGCCCCTCTCGCCCGCGAGCCTCCACTACGGGTGCTACTGCTGGCACTGCTGCTACTGCCCTCTACTAGGCTCAAGGTGCCCGGGTCTTGGAGAGCCTCTAGCTGCTCTCTCTGTTACTTTGGGCCGGTTCAGGTTTGGATCGTCCCTCAACTCACGGCACAACACGTCGCGTGTTGCCCACGCCCACTCTTATTCTCCTCCTCAGGCCCATCACATTTCCTGTTCCTGTTCCTGTTCCTGTTCCTGTTTGCAAAGAAACGTGGCTGTCTTGACCAAAGTGGACGAGCAGGCGCGTGTCTTTGTCCATTGTTTGATTTGCGCAGTTCACTGTTCATCTACCGTCTTCCAACTTCAGCCGGCCTATCCTACTCCAGAACGACAACACATCTCCTCCTTTTCCCTTGTTTCTTGACACTCGCTTTCCCTCTTTGGTACCGATCTCACTTTCTGAAATCCATTCCGCTAGGGGTGGTCCGTGGATGTTCTCCGCTCTTCATATTCGTCCCGAACCGAATAGTCCCCTGAAACTACGACTGACATATGCAACTTCCTTGACTGCAACGTTCATCTTCCCGTCCGCATACAACATTCTGTGCCCTATGCACTGCCATCTCTGGGCCTTCAAATCTCGCCTCTCCCAGTGCGACTCCTCAGTCACTGCTATCCAGCTGATCAAGCAAGTCGCCGGTCCGATGCAAAGCGGTCTCGAAAACTCTCCATCCTAGTTTCCACCTCGCCATCGACCATGCCGTTCTTCTCAAAGGTTTTCAAGAGCAAGGACGTTGCGGCGAAGAAGGCCGCTGCACCTGTGGCAAACGGGGATGCACCCAAGAAAATACAATGGTCCGATGCATGGCTGCGAACGAGAGTCGATCCAGAAGAGGTCTCCGAGCTGTTACATATGTGCACCGCCGAATTGAAGTCTAGAGGTTGGTGTTGGTTCGCAAGTGCGTTGGCTATTCATTGTTGCTCACTTACTACTAGCACTCGATGTCCCGTTCCTACTTCTCCCCTTCCGTCCCTCCTCGGACCCGTCCGCGGCCAGGACATTCGTGCGCAACTTCTTTCTTCCACCTCAGGAGCGGGAGCCATTGCGGGGGTCGCTCTTGGACAAAGAACTGCGAATGACAGAGGTCATGGTAGGAAGGAGGCAGTCGTTTGCAAGAATTGCGCTCACCATGGTTCTAGGTGCTGATCAGTGTCATGAAATGGTGCTGGGCTCGATTGCCTGGCGGTGTTGTGACGTGGGAGGTCTACGAAGGTTTCCGAGTCGGCGAGAGAGGTGCTGCCTCAATCAGCTAATACTGTGTCACGTTTGCTGACATGTCCCAGACTCTCGATTTGCCCACGATGCGTTTAGCACGTTCGTTCCACTCGGCGTAGATTCCCCTGCACGGGTTCAAATCATTCAGGACTTTCTCGACCTGCTGGCTGCCGTCGCCGCGCATGGCAAAGTCAATGGTCTTGGAGGCCACAAACTCTCTCGGTATGCCGGGTGGTGGGCTTTCGAACATTACGACACTGGGAAGGGGTTCGAGTCGGGATACCAGTCATGGGTCACGTATGTAACTAATCTAGCACCAGTCTTGAAGGTATATCGCTGACCGTAAATAGTGCTGCCGACGCAACTTCACATCTCTTCTTTGCCTACCTTCGCTCGCTGTCTCCCAGTACAAGCAAGACTAGTGGCATCCTTGGTCTTCCACGGTCCCTTCAACAGCTGCTAGATGCCACCGAGTACCCCCCTACGCATGCTTTACTCTCCAATGAGGCGACAAAAGTGGTCATGATTGTGGACACTGTTTCGCCCACTCCCTATGCACTATTGCGGCGAGCCAAGAACTTCGAATACCGAGATGACGATCAAGCTCTGCAGCAATTCGCCAGTTATGAAGATCCTGTCGAAGCGCTCACAGACGAGTGTCGTCGTGTACTGAAGGCAATTTCCTCGACAAACCAGTCCCACGTCTCTAATGCCAAAACGTCGACCAGTCTAGCTGATCCTTCGTGGTCCAGATTCGAGGACATCGGATTCGGCAGCTCCCTTGAGGATGACGAAGATGACAATGATGATGATGGACTGCTCGGAGCAAAAACTCTTACTTCTAGATCTTTGCGTCCTTCGGCTCGCACGAGAGGTTATGTCGATCTAGCCCGACCTACTACTCCATCATGGGCGGATTTCCTGTCGTCTGGGTTTGCAGACGAGCATGGCAATAAAGCCCCGGTGCCTATTTTTCTGCCACCTGATAAGATTCTCCCTCCCATCCAATCAACGATGCTTCGAGGCCAAAGTTCGCAATCGCATCGAAGGAATCTGGACCACCAGCCGAATCTCGACCCCGGTGAGCTGGCAAGCATCACTAGAGTGAACGTAGATGATTCTTTCTGGTGGGTCTGGATCAGCAGTTTGGCATCTGAAGAACCGACCTCAAGAAAAGCCGTCTTTGGTCGTTGTGCTCTCGTTGAGACCATTCTCCCTGACGGCCAATGGATGGTCATGGAGGAACAGGTCAAAGGTGCAGCACCCGAACCCGCAGTAGGAGCCTACATTGCCGAGAAGAAGTCATTCTTGGGTTTCACCACCAAGCGAGGCCGTTTGGGCAGGAGACGATCTGGAAGCAAAAAGAGTCCTCTCTCTCCAGAGCCGCAACTCGAAACTAACCACAGAGCAACTCTGGCTCCTGACCAGCAAGCAAAGATCCGACAAGTAGCCGCGGAGCTTTCTAGAAGAAAACAAGTCGAAGAGAGGGAAGAACAAGCCGCATTGGCTACACGACGAGGACGCCCCCAAGATACTTTGGCCCCCTCCAAGACCAACAGTATCTTCACCCTCGGTCCATTCATCAAGGATGAAGCTTCCCCAGCCCTACAATGGGCCAACCAGTATGACAAGAAGGCCATCCGGGCTAAGTACCTGGGTGACTCCCGGACCGGAAAAGCCTCGCAAGGAGTGTTGTCCACTCCTTCCGAGGATCTTGGGATCAGTAGGTCAACTTCCACTCTTTCGGTAGTGAGTAGGAATAAGGACCTACCAGCGCCACCGTCGGAGAGTGGCTTCCGTCCTGCACCCCTGGAAAGGAGTCGGTCGGCTGAGCACAGTCCAGCAATTGCAGCAGCGCCCGTTGTCATCGAACCAGTTGTGGAGCAAGTCGTTGAGCCAGCTCCTATCCCCGTCGAGCCTAAGGTGCCCGTGGAGGAGACGGCCATTGAAGAGGCTTCAGAAGTCCCTCTCCCACCTGCAACACCAGAGATATCGGAGATGCCAACAATCAAGCGGCCAGAGATACCAGAGAGGCACGTTTCGAAGGAGGACGAAATTCAAGAGAAACAAGCCCCGAAGCATCAGCCTGCCAGATTGCGCAAATTGTCTGACGTGCAACAAAAGTCTACGGAACAGAGGAAGCCAAGGGGTAAGAACCCTAGTGGGCCACCTCCGGTTCAAAAAACGGGCTTTCGCAGATTGTTTGGACCTAAGAGATCCAAGTCAAGAGAAGGTCGAGTGCCCGAGCCTTCTGGCTCCCCTGCTAGTGCAGAGGACCCTGCTGTTGCTGCCGCACGACGTGCATTGGAGGGAAAGCCTGCTCTGCCCGCAGATGCCCCTACTTCGCCACCATTAAGCCCTGGCCACTTCCATCGTCTTGCGACCATTGCACCGGCAGCGACAAGCTCTTTCACTCGAAGTGAGCCACAAGAGGCTGCGCCTGTGACGGCATCTCAAGCACCGCCTGTGGCCTCAGAGCTTGCTGCTGAAGCTGATACCCTTTCTGAGGAGGCGATCGTACCGCCCAGGATGCGTAGGGATGAAGAATACGATCAATTGTCGCGTGTGGACACCAACGAGCGTGAACATGCCGACCGGGAGTTTTCGACCTTTGATCAAGGGCCTCTACTGGAACAACCTGCATTTGTTCCTGCAGACACGCCACCTAAAAGCGCGTTTCTGACGCCCAAGGAAGAAAGGGGATATGGACCAGTCAGTATTCATTCCGGTCGGTCATTCCAGGGTGCAGCGAGCATGGCATCGGCGGAAGAAGATGAAGAAGAAGCAGAGCAGATGCCATTGACACATCAAGTGAGCCCAACCGATCGCTGGGCACAGATCCGAAGAAATGCCGCCGAACGAGCAGCGAGGGGGTCCGAAGAGCAGACGAACAGAAGTAGGACCGAGACTCGAACCGATGACGGCGAAACAAGCGGAGAAGAGAGTGAGTCGATCCCAAGACCAACTAGCATCAAGGCCCAGACTGACGGATGTATAGCAATTGAATCACGAGTGGCTCGAATCAAGGCAAGAGTGGCCGAACTTACCGGCAACATGGACGGCGCGAGACGGTAAAGGAAACAAATATGATGAATCGAATGTTGCACCATCGTCGGCCGCCGAACATGTGAGCCGCCCATGTTGCAACGATACTTCCGACATGACCAGTCAGTTGTGGCAGAGTTTTCCACCTGGCACAGCACGGCGTTGAATCTTGGGTTTTGGGGTTCCGAGAGTTGTGCGTCTGAGATACCACTTGAGCGTTTGCTGGATGAATGTCTTCTCTTCTTTTCCCACCTCTTTCTTTTTTTTCTTTGATGGAGCGTTCTTGCAACACAGCACATCACGATCAAATTGTTTATTGAGGCTGCAGGCCGGCAACAGGCTTTTAATACGCGTTTTCCTCAGTTTTAGCGGCTGTCTGTCTATTACATTATCCACTCGTTCGATTCTGTCGGGGGTACAAATGCAAGGAGCAGGGGTTTAATATTGTTATGGTTGTGGTTGTGGATTTGGGTTGCGACATACATAGACGAGGGTTGCAATTAAAGAAGAACAACAACAATCCGCACGGTTCTTCTGAAGAAGACTCCGTTTGAGAGACGGAGAAGGGGAAGGGGAAGAGGAAGAGGAACGATAGAAGGGCAAATGAAGGCGGGACAGCACAAACGAGGAGGCTGGAGGTTACTGTGGTCTGGTCGGGTCTGATATCGTCCGTTCATAGACAGCCTCGTGCAATGGAAACGGGAAAGAGGTCCTCCACCACAAGTCAATCCATTCCTGTTGTTCAGTGTTCAGTCTTCACATTGGTCGGCAGCGGTGTGGCTCAACAACCGACTGCCAGAGGTGTTCATCTTGCTCCACGGGTCTCCTAGATTGTGTGCTCAGTCTTGCTGAATTATTGTCCATTCAGTGCACTGCAAGAGCGGTGTCCAAGTTGGGGCTCAGATACACGTAGGATCGAGGATCGAGGCTGAAGGATGCAGGATGAAGGGTCGGGGCGAAGCATTCACCGCCTGCCCACCGCAGCGTGTTGTCGTAGTAAGCCGGACGGGATACATGTCTTGCATGGACATGGCGTTGAAGCACGGCAGCATCGTCGAGATACTAGTAGTATGGATCTGCGCGCCAACGTCTCTACACGCGTGAAGCAAGCAAGTCTGCGCTGTAAGACCTGCCGGTGCGACTGATAGACTGCGGCGACAATGCCTGGTACTAGTATTCTATAGATAGCAACAAAAAAATCAAGATGGGGAAATCGGAATCCAAACCCGCGGGACCCTGCACACCGCACGGGGCATCCATCCCACTTTACGCGAGGTACTTTAGGTATGTGCTTGACACCTGAACAATGATGGGATCTACCTCGATCGGTTGGACTGTGTGCCCTATGGACTGGCAGCATACCTGAGGTGCCTACCGACTGCTCAGCATGTCTACCTAGTAAGAAAGAGGTATGCAAGTCGTGAAAGAACATTACCTATACCTAGATAGGTACCTAGTGCCTAGGAAGGTAAAGTCATAGGGACAGTACCCTGCCTCTCTGTGATCCTGCTCCTTGAGTTAAGTCGCTGTCTGAAGAGGCGCAGACAAGATGAGACGCAATGATACGCTAGACGAAGAACTGAAGTGGCCCTAAACTGATCTGAAACGCTGGGCGCAGCTAAGGTCAAGGTTAGGTATCTTACCTAAAAGGTACCTAACGCCTACCTGAGGTAGATACGTACCTTGAGGCGTCTATGGGGGGGGATCATTATACGATCAGTTGCGGATCTTCGGCTTTGGAAAGACTCGGAGGCGAGAAGGTTAAGGAGGCTTAGACCAGTATACTACCAGTTAGATAGCAGGTATCTCATGTGGTGCAGAGGTAAGATCAGATGCTGTGTTGAGGCTGAGTCCAGGGCGCTTAAAGGTGAGAGTAGTAGTATACAATACATCTACGTACTATTTGAATGGTGCCTATGAGAGCATTGGAGAACCGATCTTTAGGTGCACGGTATTGGTGTCGCTCAGCATACGGTGCTAAAGCAAGGGGAGAATACTTCATCGTTGGCTGTATACACCGTGTACCTAAGGTTCGTATGTATACAGCCTAGATATCTGATCGTAGTTAAGCGACGGGTAAGAGCGCCCCCCTGAACCAACAGTCTCTGCTCTATTGCTGTACCCAGCATTCCATGCACCAGCACGTACTGGCCAGTGTATGAATAATGACTCCATCACTCAACCCTTTTATCCAATGTCCAGCGTCGGTTGCCCGCCACTCCCTTTTCCCTTTTCCCTTCTCCCTATTGCAGCCCGCAGCCCGCAGCCGCAGCCAGCGTCTGTCAGTCATGCTCGGCGTCCATCATCATCCACCGCATAACCGCGTCCCCTTCGTCCTCTCCTCTTCCTCTCTTCCTTCTTTTCTATCTTTAGCAACTTCCATCATACCTTATCCACCCATCAATCCCATACAAAGTACAACACGCGCCACAACCCAATCCGAGGACCCTACGAGAGCCTCAATAGCAGCCATCTCCAGTCGGCTACTAGTACGGCACTACATCTCGTTTGCTTGGTGGAATTGCCGCGTTGTCTTTGTGTATATTCTCCCCACCGTTCCCAGCTTGGTCCTGCCACAAAGCCATTCTTGTCTCAGTATCTGCATTGGGGTTCCTCCTCCACAGTCGCGACACAAAGTAACCGGTCGGCCGTTCTTTGTTCGTCTGCCCTGACTGCCAGCCTACCTATCCTCCGGGTCTCGTTGTCGTCGGTCGCCTCCAATCTCGAATCTCCACCCGACGCCTCAGCTGAAGACCGGTCGCGAGACACTTGCGCGTTGCAGCCTAAGCACCAGCCGAGGGAGCGCAATTGAACTTGCACACAGATGCACCGGCCGTAAACAATCATGGGCCGCAGAAAGATCGAAATCAGAGCTATCAAGGATGATCGCAACCGTTCAGTGTATGTCTGGTGCACGCATCTACACTGCGTAAAAACCTGGTGCTGATTCCGTGTCTAGGACATTCCTCAAGCGAAAAGGCGGGCTCTTCAAGAAGGCCTACGAACTGTCTGTACTATGTTCCGTTGATGTCGCCGTCATCATCTTTGGCCATAACAAAAAGTTGTACGAGTTTTCCTCGGGAGATATCAATGAAACATTGCGGAGGTATCAATACGTGGGTTTTCAAACAGAACGCCTGGTCTGGAGCCTCTGCTGACTTTTCGCCAGTATGGACAACCTCATGAACACAAGGGTCCGATAGACTTCAAGAACAAAGGCGGTGACGATGATGACGAGGAGGACGAAGACGAAGAACAACCAATCCACGGTAGAGACGGGTCTCTTCCACCACAACATGCTATGCCTCATCCCATGCCCCATCACAATTCCTTTGCGCATATCCAGCAACCCATGGCCTCTGTCTCGCCCCCAATGCCCAACGGCATGTTTCAGCCTCGACACGCGACGCCTCAACCTCCTCATATGATATCCAGACCAGCATCACAGAATATGATCCGTCGCACCAGTTCCAATCTTGTTCCCATGCAACATCCTCATCCCACTCCTCCTCCGCCCCAAAATGGCTTCGCCTATGTGCCTAATCCTTCTATCTACAATCCTCAAGCCGGCCCTTCTGTGGCTCCCCAATCGTCGCCCCAGCCTACCTTTCAACAACAATATACCCAACCTCAACCCCAGCAGCAGCAGCAGCAGCAGCAGCAACAGCCGCATCCCACTCCTCCGCCCCCCCCGCCACCAACGCACCAACAAATACAGCAGGCCCATCAACAATACCTGCAGGAACAGAGACGGTCGTCTCAACCGCCGCCCGTGTCACAACCTGGCCTTCAACCTCCCGCGCAACCACATCCCCGAGTATCGCCTCAGCCCGAACCACCACAAGGTCTTCGGCCACCGGACCAATCCAGTCCGCCTCAGTCCAAGCATGCTCAATCCAAGTCAAGAAGTATCTTTACCCCTATAGATGAGGGAGGCTCGGTTTTAGCACAGCATTTCTTTGGCGCTCCGGACCCGCCTCGAAGCCAGCTGAAGAAGGAAGATTCGCCGCCGGACATCAAACCTCCACCACGAAGCATCACTGTTCCTTCTATTCCTCGGCCGACGTCTCAACCCGTCCGCCCTCAAACGGCTGCTCCGGAATTTGCTCCTCCACAACGAACGGACACGTCTGGGTCGCGGTCTGGAGGTCGACCTAAATTGAACTTGCAAATTCCCTCGGAGGCGGAGGACAACGAAACCGGTGGTGGAGGGTCTCCTTCGCAATCCGCTGGACCGTCGGCGAATCCAGCTCGAGGCACCGATCATATTGTCCTGCCACCGCCGTCACCTAGTGCGTCGGCGGTCATGTCGGCGGGCACAAGTGGGCCTCCCAATCCGTTCGCGCGACCGCCTCCGCCAACGTCGAATCAAAACCGGGATGCCTACAACGACAATCGCAATAACATTGAGACTCCCATCTCGGCACTGCCCAGTCGGTACATGAATAATGATCTGTTGCCGAGCCCGAGCAATTTCTTCAGCGAGTGGTACGAGTCCGGTAGAAGCGGAGGAGGGTTGAATTCGGCGGTCTTGCCTAGTCCGCTCGTTTTTCCCACGCCACAAGATTCTAGGGGACTGGGGTTTGGCAGTCGGGATGCGGCGAATGAGGCCAACGGAGAGAAGCGCAAAGGGAGTGTAGACCAAGGGGAGAAGGAGGGAGATGCAAAGAAGGTGAAGATCTGAAAGATATGAGGGTTTGTGGTTGATATGCCTTTTCAAAACTCTGATATCAGAGACCATCGCTCGCGCCCATGTGGCAAGACACGCCATAATGACCTGTTACGGCCTTTTGCAAGAAGGGACTATGGAAATCTTTTTTATTTGTATTGGTTCGTCCATGACGACCTTACCTTTGGGTTCAGTCTTTTTTCATTTGTGTTGGTTTGCTTTCTAGGTGGCAGTGAGTGTGACTGGATTGGATTGGAATGAATGGTGAATAGAGAAAAGAGCGGTTCCCAAAACCCTGTTTGCTGCTGCATAGCGCGGGAGGCAAGGCCTGGGAAATATGATATGACTTTTGACTTTGTTTTCCCCATTGATCCTGACTCTTACGGGGCCTTAAGTAAACAAAAAGGGATGGGAAGAAGAGAGTGAGTACTATCTAAAATCGGTCTTGTTGTGACTTTGACGCCTAGACCTTGATTTGATTTGATCTCTCCTTGCGTAAAGGCTTCCCTTTTTACGAGCAGTAGTACTAAATATTGTTAGCAATGTCATAGACTCTGTCTGATAAGTCCCATACGCACGCTGGTCTGTACGTAGGTCTGTACGTACCTAGGTAAGGCCTTTTGATAATGGTAATACGAACGAGTATTTCAATCCGGTACCTTTAAATTTTATATACATATATACACTATACATGTGGAGAGGAGTGGAGTGGAGACAACCTCCTGAACTAGCTCAGCCTTGTGTGTCCCCACCACAGCCACTTCCAGTTTGGCCACAATCAAACCTCAATGCCAGTTGCGGTGTTCAATTCACGAGCCCTCTCATCCTGCTAGAACCCCACACATCTCTCTCCTCCCATCCTTCTAAAGTGGAAGATCTGATCTGAACACATCGACCCGTACAAGGAGTACATGATCTCGAGTGATTTGTTATTCAAGTTATATATGTCTCCGTTAGAACACCGCGTGAGGTATATGATATATTCGAGAATATGAGTACTCCTTCTGGCCGAACTACTCCATGACACCCATGTCGAGATTTCGCAGGACGTGCATCCCTTCGCGAATCACCCGGGCTAGTTCGGTGCCTTGGGACCAGATGTCGTTATGTTGGCCTTCGATTTCGATTAGTTTCACCGCGATATCACCGTCGCCGCCACCTTCGACTTTGTCTTGGTCTTTGTCGAAGGTCGGCCCTGATCCACCAGTACTGTTACCGTTGTCATTTTCGTGAGAGTTGCCACTAGCGTATCCTGTTTTTTGCGCTTTGGGTTGTGTGGTGTGGAATACGCCTTCCATCGCCTCGACTTGGGTCCAGTCAACCAGACCATCATCGCGCGAATGAGCTAGGATCAAGGCGCGAGTCGGCTTCCTTTGGGTCTGGCTGGTCTCAATCTGCTTTTGCTTTTGGTGCTGAAGCAGGTTTGGACTCGGCACCGTTTCTTCTGTTCCTTCGCCTACTCCCTCTCTAACCCTCTCCGAGTTGCCACTCTTGGCCCAGATATCAATGTACTCGGCAGCCGGATACCGCGCGGGACTCGCCAGCACATGGTCCCTGGGATCCGGCATCGCGTTCCTGGTCAAGCTGACACACGAAGGGAACGAGTCGTGGAGTAATTCGAAATCGTAGATACCCGAAACTCCCAGCACAACAAGTGGCGGCTCGGTTTGCGGAAGCTGAAGACGCGCATTAGCATCGTCTGAATTGTTCTGATCGGTGGGAGCTGTAGTAAATGTCTCCTTGCTCGCAAGAGTGCTCAACACAGCCATTGTCGCGCCGACACTGTGGCCAACCAGCAGATACCGTTCGCCGAACCCGTATTTCTGCTGAAGGTGCGCTATGGCGGCCAGGACGTCGTGAATGTGGTCGGGCCATTTCGCGTTTCGCAATTCATAGGCCGAAGTCGTGTTCGGGTCTTGGGGTGCTTTGTCATGATGTGGCGAGAGGCGGTAGTTGATGGATGCGTAACCTGCTATATATGCTGTGATGTTGTCGGCGTCGTGTTGGAATGGATGAGGGAGATGTAGATGTGGATGATGATGGTCACTACCACCGCCACCCCCGCCATGATGATGGGGAGGACCTACCAACTGCGACAGAGCAGGGTAGAATGATGAAGACGTTACGCTCGGGTCGCGGAAATAGCCGCCATGGATGTAGACTACCCAGTATCTTTGGGCGTTTGGGTCGGAGAGATGTGATGCGTCGAGTTCGGGAATGTATAGCTCGTAGGATTGCAGGATGTGGTCGAACGCGTATTGGTGCCGTGTGATATCGCGATGCAAAGGCTCGGGGATCGGTGGTGGAGATGGGTCTCGTTGTCCATTGGAGTTCTTGGGGAGCGTGGCTGTTGCTCCTGCTGCTGTGTGCGCGGGAAAGCTGTGGGCTGCAGTACTGGGGTGTTCGGCGCGGCGTTGATGGTGCGCAGTGTGTTGGGCTTTGTACTGGGACGGGCCGTGGTGATGTTCACGTTGTTGTGGCTCTTTCGATGCTGGTGAGAGATAGGCGGCACCGGAGTACTTTTGCTGGCTTGCTTGGACGGCTGAAAAGGGGGTTGAGGTCAGAGGTCAGAGATGGCTAGATGCGATGGAAAGATTATGAAGGACAAGGTTGGTGAAAGGTAAGGCACTCGAATTCGCCAAGTAGATGTGTACTCACTCACCTTGGTCCTGCAGATAATTGATGAATTTCTTCATCTCGACGTCCTCCCCCAGCCAAGCTTACCTCTGCCCAGCTAAACGTGCTCTTGTTGAGACTACTACCATCCACAACACATACTATCCTCCTCCTTCGCCGCAGAGGAAATGGTATTCCTCGTCCGCTTCGGGCCTGACTTGACAGCTTCCAAGAGACCTCGGCCACGACACGATCCTTACTCCCTCAGTCAGGGCTTCGTCACAGCCTTTGACATTACCTCGTACTGTGGTACAATGACCAAGAGCAATACAATGCCTGCAGCTCTCTGATGCCTCCGACCGTCGTGGCTTCGACAGCTACAGGGAATGCAAAGATGTCACAGTCAACTTAGAGGAAATGATTGAGCAGAAAGAACCACAAGCACATACGGGACGATGTGCTCGAACCACTTATAGGAGCACGTCAGATGCCGGCGATGCGCGGATATCACCCATTGCGCAGTAATTGACGAATAGGAAGGGCGGATGAGCGGAAGGCAAACTGGTGACAGGGACCTTGAAGAAGCATATCTTCCCCACGATCATACTTGCAGCCAGCGTCCAATCTGGGGCGAGAGACGTGATCAACACATCCGTCTATATATGGTCGTCATGTGGCCGGGTAAATGCCGCACTTGATCTGACATGAGTACGAAACACTCCCACAAGCAATCAGTCAATCAGTCATTCATTCATTCACTCATCCATACACCTATCATCAATCATCAATCAGTCAAGGCCCCCCAGTCGCTACATCTACATACAGGCTGGGCCTGGGCGGGAAGGTAATACTGACTCAGCCGGACGAGCCACAATCAATACAACAAACCGCTGTCGTCCGCCGTTCTGCCATCATCTCTCCGCTTCAATACAGAAGATAAGGCCGAGAGAACCCTGTAAAGGGGCCAGGGGTCATCTCCTCCACAAAAGAACGAGTGCCGTGGTAGACTCCGCGTCCATCATGATCGACTTCTCTGCTCTCTGCTGTAACCTCCCACTCAGCCTCGTACGGTCTTTCCTGTCCTCTCTGTTGCTTGTGAAGCCCATACTGGAAAGCATGAGCTGGTTCAATGATTGTTGTTCCTGTGGTCCATAGTTCGGACTGCCCGCTTTCGAGTCCCAGCCCAAAAGTCTCGTTTGTGAGACCTCCGCCAGCCATTTTCCACTCCTCCGAAGGATCGGGGAGAGGTTCAGTCATCTGCAACAACCGGGCGTCGAATTCATCCAGTTCATCCAGCTCATCCACCAGCTCATCCAGCTCGTCACGCGAAGCTTGACCGGCATCTACCGCCTCTTGTCTCGAGTGAAATGCCGGCTCAACCCCCTTTCTCCATGGGGAACGGGATTTGCTGAAGTCAGGAACAGGAGTTGGTACTTGACCACCAGCGTCTCCAACTGGCGTTATATGGTCTCCTGCTTCATCTCGCCTGCTACCAAAAACATGCAGACGCAGAGTAGTACATTCTGCACTTTTGGAAGCATGCCCTGTTTGAAGTGGAGGCGGTTCGCCGGCCAACTCGGTGTCCGGACGGAAGTCGGCCAAGGTGTGTATAAGGAAGCTATTATGATGATTACCCGCGGGCCTTGTTGCATCTTCCTTTTCTGCATCGTCACGTTGCAACTTTAGCTCAATGGATGGACCGCCAATGTTGATTGGAGACTGAAGCCCAGCTCTACTCTGTGCATCACCCCTTTCCTGCGTTCCAATCCCCTTGTGCGTTGATGTCAAAGACGGATGCGGTCTTTCCCGGAGGGAGCTCACTTGACCAGCAGGCACGGTGGTTTGATGCTTGCCCAAACCAGCCGGTCCTTGGGTCTGTCGACCATATAGAGCAGTAATATGAGGGTCGCCGGTCTCAGGAGATTGGCTGGACCGTTGCCTCTTGGCCATTTCTTTGAGGTCGTCCAACGAGTAACGGGTATTCCCTCTGTGTGCAAAGGCCTCGATACCTCCAAGCAGCGCATCAGTAGTCCAGCGCTGCAGGAATCCATTGCTCACCGAGCTCGACCTATGGACCATGGGACGATCCTGCTGCTGCTGTATGTGGTTCCTTGCAGGAGTGACCGTTCTTAGGGTATCTGGCAAGCCCATGAACTTTGGATGTTGCACCCCGAATGGAGCTGCCGAGCGCGGAGGAAAGCTCCACGAGAGGTAAGTCTCATTCGACGTCTTGTTCGTTGTGGCAGTATTTGCATATGACAGTGGACGGAAGTGTTCAAGAGTTGAGAGCCTACTGTCGGGCTTCCAGCGATGCCCGCCGGCTTCTCTGATATATTTGTCGGAGAAACGACCTCTGGGCGATGTGGATATGGTTATCGCATGCGGACGGTGTCTTGGACCTGGGCTTCTTTCTCCGATCTGGTACTCCCAAGGTTGGGAGAAGAACTCCGATCTCTCGTTGTGGTTGGTATTGCGGGTTTGCTTCTTGGTATGTTCTGGTGTGCAGCTTCCTACATCTTCACTGTGTCTTTTTCTCTTCAGAAATGCCATGTTTGAGAATGTTAGATCAGGCACTCCTTGCCGGTCCAAAAGCGCAGAGCTTCTTCCTTTAGCAAACAGCCCTGGTCCAGGATGAGGCCTCAGGGTCAGTCGTTCGGAATCGACATTAGGTGCCTGGAATCTGCCATCGAGCGGTAAACCAAGTGCTTTTGGGCCCCGTCTTGTGGAGTGCCGCTTCTGCGAAGAGTCCTGATGATCGTTTCTGAACTTGTACTTGTCTAGCCTTGTTTTGTGCCTAGGTCTTCGAGCATACTTCTCGCTAGGATCATCAACATTACTGCTGGGCCCGCTGGGCCCGCGTCGACGCCGTGGATACTGAGGACGAGGCGTACCCGAGGCTACTTCAGTCGGCAGTACAGAATGGTGTTGGCGAATGTTTCTCCTCTTCTCAGCATGGGCACTGTTGGGGTTTTCTCCGCCAGTATGCCCATGGTGTGTGTCGTTTTTTTGATCCCGTCGCTCACACGGCTCCGTATCGTGGGATCGTGAAGTTTCAACGGAAGAATATTCATTCGCTGTATGCCCTGTGTTCTACGAGGTTAGCGCTGAAGACTTCTTGCATTTGTCACAGACTTCCTCGGTTGCCTGGCGCTATGATTCTGCACTTCTCTCTTCTGTCTGATACCTTTCCTTCAGTGTCTGCAGAAGTTTGCAATATCATGGCCGTACCTGACAGGAGCGAAACTTGGCTCTCGTGGACGAAAATTCTGCGAACGAGCTCCGCCCAGGATCGTGTCGGTCTGCCCGGATGGACTTTGCTGGAGGGTGGAGAGCCATTCAGCAACACGTTGAGTATCCCCCAAGCCCGGTTCCCCTGCTGGCAGCATAGAGTCAATTGTCCAGACACATGAATTCTGGGATGGAAAATTAGCCTAAGTAGAAGAGAACCTAACGCATCATAGTGAGAGGCGAGGTTGCCGTCGCGTGAGGGAGACACGATCTGCGGGTTAAGACGCGATTCCTCTGCAGGCAGGCACGAAGTCTACATGCTCATTCGGGTAAGAGGGAAATGGCCAGCAAAGGGGTCAAAGATTGCGAAGCCATCTTCAACGTGCTGTGTTATATGTGACAGTCGGTATGACCACACTCATGCTGCCACTAAAGACCAAAATTGGGGGCGAAAGATTGTAACGCCGGATCGAATCTGAAGCTTGTAGGGCTGCCTGCAAGTCATTCTGCAAGATCGTCGTGCATGCTAAACGTCCGACAACGCACTTCAGTGGTCACCGTAGTCTCACGTCTTCTCATGCAGAGTGTCCTTTTAAAATATGTCGGCGGGACCACCATGTACACGCTGAAAGATGTGATACCTCGACAGCCAGCACTCCGGCCCAGCCGCTCGCACCAAGGGTTCCAGCTTGCAGGACAAGACTATAGCCGCACCAAGCAGGAAAGCAAGGAAAATGCCCTTGGATCGAACGGGATATAGAAGGTAAGACAAGGACGGAGGGGAGAACGAGGATGAGGAGGAAGCGGTGGAACGATGGTTCTCCCTTCGCCGGTAATCGTGGAATAAGGAATCTCTCGAGAGCAACAGAGGAACAGTACAGAGGAGGGAATCGCGGCCACTGAGGAGGTAGGCTTCAGGTCAGGAGCTACGTACAACGAGATCGCTGACGCGGATATAATGCGGCTCTCGGGGGGTTCTAGGACTCGCAGTGATGCGGTAACCTTTGCCGGTCGGTCAACGACGGGATTGGTCGAAGAGTAACAGAGAAAAGAGGAGAGAAGAAAAGAACAGAGAGGGTATTGTCTGCTACTACTGGTATCTCAAAGTCCTCTGTGCTGTGCTAGTTGTTGCAGTGTCTCCGGAGAGAATAGCAGTAAGTGGGCATTGCCGGTGGCAGTTCAAAAACAGGCAGTTCAAGCAGCCAAACTGCGCTGCGCTTTTCCCGCTTCGTGTCTAGTGCTCGGCATATTATCTCTTTGGTCTCCTGCAGCTCTCTACCCACTGGCAGAATTCGATCGATCACCGGCAGCAACCAACCAGCCTCCATTCTTCACCACCACCACAACCAACCCTCACCACCCTCTTCCTCCACCAACTGCGACCACCACCACGATACCTCTTGTACGTGCTATGAGCTTGTCTTCCTTTGCCCAATCGTCACGCCTCTCCCGAGTCAGACAGACACGCCGCCATCGTTCTTGTTCCCATCCATAACAGGTGGGTACGGTTCTCTTGGTCGGGCGCAGACACTCTAGCCCTGGCTAAGCTCTCATGCTGCACCTCATTCGGGCCAGTCGGCGTCCAAGTTCCCACATCTTCCTCCCGCCTGTCAGTTTTCTTTCGTCCCTCACATCCGACCTAGAATGGACTGCCGGCATATCCACGGTTCAGGTTGAAAGATCATACTATCCAAGCATTTGGTCTGGGCATTTGTGAGAGCAACGGTAGCGCCTGTCCCTCCAGCACCTAATCCGTTGATATGCCTCTAATCTGACTCGTGTCCCGAAGAGCAAATCCATCCATCCGTAAGGAGCGGGGTGCGCCTCAATGCTGAAGTTCCTGATAAGACTACAGTATGAGCTCCGATTCTCCAGGACCAGCTCCCGCCTGTCGTGACTCCCAAAATAGTCTCCCGTTCGTTGCCGCTCGAGTCTGGACAGGCCCCGCGCAGTTTGTTCTCGACGATCACAATGATCGCACTCGCAGTGCGTCTGTCAACTGCCAGGGACCTGGTCAGCTGGTCTTCTCTCGCATACCTCAATCATGACCTTTGCCCACTCTCGACGTCGTTAGCGAGTAAGGATCGGAGAGGAAGCCTCCTATGGGTATCTCCCCCGTCACAGTAGTCAAGTTATCCATATGTGTCATATCTGTTTTCGCATCCTGCCCTGAAATGCTCTTCATGTTGGGTCCGGAGACCTCTAGCGGATTCAACTGACAGTTGCTGGTGCTGAACGAGGCTGACAGTGGACGAGGGACAGCCATTGCCGTCTCCCGAAGATAGAAGTGAGAACCATTCAACTCTTATCTGGGCATCCTTTCGGGACGGGCCCACTCATATCTGCACCACGATGCCTTTGGGATGCCCGCACCGGCAGTATGTCAACAATACCCGTACTCTGTAGTCGTTGATTCGACCCCCCCTGACATCACAACATCACGAGGGGGTCGACATTGTTCGCCATGGAATCAAGTCGTCCTAGGCATCTTCTGCTCCTCGGGTAGCATATCACAGTAGAACGCGCTCAATGAGATTCGCATCACGCTGTGACTGGACTCTTCGACACCCTCATGATATGCCGGTCAGTAACCTTCCTCACTAGCACCACTTGGTTCTTTGTTCTTCTTCCTGTCTGTCTCCTCAGCATGCTGCCCATGCTTGCATGCGCTGGGATACATCAAGTCCTGCCGATACAAGGACTCCAGCGGAAAAGCCGGTCGTGGTTCTTGGAACTTGATTATGACAACCAGACCGTCTCCTCTGCACAGTGCACACTGCTTTCCTTCTGCCCTTGTTCACCGCCCGTTCAAGGACTGGAGGACTCTGGTGTTGACGATCAAGTCGCTGATTGGGCTTGCAGTGCACGCGGTCTAATAGATAGATTGCATGAGTCGCTGCATTTTTTCAACCAATGAAATCTGTGTCGCCATACCGACCTCACTATTGTGCCATCTAGGGCTTCTTTGCTCTTGTGTGGCGAGCCTCGAGAACCGCAGAAACCTGTCGCGGCTTACACTCGAAGCAAAGACTCTTCCTTGCATCAAGGGTATCTGAACTCGCGATCGTCGACTGTACCATGGCGAAGCTGTTCATCGGGTAGGCCGCCAGTTTCTACAAGCATCCTGATTGAATTGACACGTCCTGCACAGAGGTCTTGCATGGCATACAACCGACCAGACTCTATACGATGGATTTCAACAGTTTGGCAAGATCGAGGAGGCTGTAATGACCCCGTCGATCGCCTCTTGCGCCTTTCGTTGATCATATCCAGGTCGTTGTCAAGGATCGAGATACCAACCGAAGTCGCGGATTCGGGTTTGTGCGGTTTGCAACAAAAGCGGAAGCTGACGAAGCTTTGCAAAGGATGAACAACACAGAGTGAGATGGCCAGACAACTGCCTCTGGGTACTTGGCATTGATTTTCCCAATAGGTTCGACGGCCGCTTGATTCGAGTGGATCACGCACAGGACAACAGACCGGGCGGCGGTGGTCGAGGTGGTGGATTTGGTGGAAGAGGTGGATACACGATGCCGGCTGCAACGCAAGGAGGGTATGCACAACCCGGAACCCAAATGAGGGACCCGGCCACCATGGGGTACGGTCGCGGCGTCGCATATGCTCCCTCGTGGGGACAATACAATGGGCAATATCAACAACAAGGGGGACCGTATGGAGGGAACCAACCTCAGGGCGGGAACGACCCTTACGGACCTCAGGGGCCCTATCGCCAATAGAACAAGCACCGATGTTGTGACAGATGATTGTGTGAAGGATCCCCGTCGGTTTGCCATCTGTCATGAGGAACAAGTTACTGGGAGGGTGGAATTTCCAATACGTATCAGGGGAGCTGCAAGCCGAGCCACAAAAATTGCCAAAGTTGGTGGATGTGATGAGCATTCAGATTTCTTTCTCAATCTCCTCTTGCTCTTCGGTGCTGCCGACTCTTTTCAAGGCGTGCTCCGGCGGTGATATGGGCGGAACTCGAGCCGGCCGAGGCAACGCTCGAACCCGGCGAGCCAGGTCAGTCACATGTTCATCGCCACTGTCCGGACTCAGATGGTTCAAGGCGTGCTCAAGCTGCAAGAGATACTCTCTGTTCTCTCCACTGGGCCCAATACTCGCATTAATGGTTTCTGCAATCTCTTGAGGCGGACGTGCGCCCAGGAATTGTGGGTTGTCTGGCATTCCAATATAGACCAAACAGTGAATGTCCGGAATCGAAGGATCAGCCGGATGGAAAGGAGTATATTGGATGCTGTATCCGTTTCTGTTTGATGGTCAATGGCCTGCTCATCAAAGCCAGGGGGGCACGCGCACATCTCGCGGAGATCGAGGTACTCTCGCACCTCGTCGACTTTAGCAGGTATTATATGATACGCGACCCCCCAGACGCGGTCACTCTCGGTCTGTCGTTGCTGTTATACGTCAGACAGCGGGCAAGCATCGTGGAAACAGAGGTAAAAGGATGACTTACAGGATCGTGGAGGGTTTCCCAGAATGACCTTTGAATCAAAGTGACCACTCTGCCCGGGGCTTCAGGGGTTCCACGATGGTCCTCACTAGCGGTGTTCAACAGGAGGTCACCGGTTGTTCGTGAATACTCACCTGGCCTACAGAGTCCAAGTGGTCAGTGAGAGATGACATCTCCAGAGGCCGACGTGTTCCCCCTACCTGCCAGAAGCGACGAACATAACCCTTAATATAGCCCGGAATGCGCTGATCTAAGTCGAATGAGTTCAGAAGGTTCCTGTGCACGACAGACCAATGCTAACTGCTGTACCGTAATGTGGTGGTGGCTTCCAGATCAGACTCCTGAATGTTGCGGTGCTTGCATGAGCTTCTGTGCCGTCGCAATCCAGTGTGCAGTGCTTCATGTAAAACCATACCCGTAGCCAAATATCCAGAAATCTTCAGTCTGCACAGAACCCATCCTGTCCAGTTGGACTAGAGGACGACGATCTAGGTTGCTGGTGAGCTTCAGGTCATGTACGTTTGCTTCGAGAGAGAAAAAGGTGGAGGTAGGGATTCAACTATCCTGGTACTTCGGGTACCAGCTGGATCTTGTGAGCGGTGCAAGAGGCAGGCACACACTGCAGTTCAAGTTGTCTGGAGTGTCGAGCCGCTAAACGTGTTTAATATTGAGGGCTTAAGGGGCCAGCCGATCAATGGTGTGTTAGGAGTGGTTGGGCTATTCCGGAAGGACAATTTGCTGCTTCCCGGCCCGACAGATCTCTGGATGAAAGTTGACAGGGTTGAAGAGAAACTAAAGGACAGAAGAGGCTTGGAGGGCCAAAGGTCCACGTACCAGAAGGGTCTATATTGACATGCACCAGATCTAAACACGAGCTGTCTCTAGCCGGGGTTGAGTGTTATGTCTTGCAAAGGCTGGGTTCCCGTGTTGTTTCGTCCAACGTCGACACCCACAGATGGTTCTCGTGCAGAGTCCGTATTGAGTGTAAGAGATGAAGACACTTGTGGCTCGGTAGGGTGGCTTGCGGACAACGATGAACGTGCTGAGGAGCAGATGGGTTAGGTAGGTCTCTTTGAATTGAAGGCGATAACGAAGGTTCAACTCTGTAACAATCGTCGAGCAGGCAGAGAGTAGCAATTGTTTAGGAGGCAATGATGATGTGGACGTCACATGTGCGCAGCGGCAGCCTCGTGGCTGACTCGATATCATGATTCACGACGCCATTATTTATTATTATTATTATTAGGTGCAGCTTTGTTATGTCTATTACTAGCTGACATTCGAGGGCTTAAGGCTAGTACTAGAGTTGAGGGTCTTAAGGAGCCCATAGGCTCGTGCAGACTGCGCCAGCCCGCCTCGTCGCCTGCGCCAAAATTACTACGTACCTACCTATACGATCTCACAGAAGTTCCATCGCCTCCCAAGAACCGGTCAGAAGTCATGGCACCGATCGGTCCTCCAAGGTCGACGGCCATGACTTGAGACCATTCCGTCTACGAGCCCTCCACCGCACTGGCATTTTGCACTCATCATCTCATCCCAATCCTCGAAGCCACCACATGGCCTATAACAAAGCATTCAATCCTGATGCCCTTCCTGCGTAAACATCTCTCTCCCCCACTGGCACTGCGCCTCACCATCCTCTCCAGCAAGACTGTCTGCTAACCTGCTCTCTTCCACCCAACAGTCATGCGGAGCCGGAGCAGGCTGCACAAGCCCTCGGTCAGTTACAAGGGAACCGTAAACCCTCGCCTAACACACACTCCCGCTTTTCGAATCAACACCCTCTGAATCCTCATGCGCCGCGGTCCTCGTCGCCCGGCGTGCGACGAACCTCACCCGCAAGCTTACCGAGTCAAACATATTCTTCACCCCGACCTCCCAATAGTCAATCATATGGCGACAATCACTCCAGTCGCATACAATCACCTCCCGCTCAAATGAACTACGCTCACCCGCCTGCATCTCGACCTCAGGCAGAACCTGTGGGACTACGAAGACCCTCGAATGAAGCCCATCAATACCCAGCGCGCACACCTGCGCCGCCTGATCCAGATTCAGTTGATCTCTTGCCCCTATTTCGAGCCGCGAATGCATCTGGTACAGGATCACTTACGACGACGGAGCTAGGATCGGCCCTGGTGAACGCCGATTTCACTCCTTTTGACAGGCTGACCATAGCGTCGCTAATGCGCATGTTCACCACCTCACCACCTAACCAGCCTCAAGGTCCCACCATTACGTTCACCGAGTTTGAGAATCTTTGGCGGTTCCTTGCTGCCTGGCGCACACTTTTTGAACGCTTTGATGAGGACAGGAGCGGACGGATTTCGTTGGCCGAGTTCTCAAAAGCTCTGACGGCATTTGGATATCGATTGTCACAACCCTTTGTTAGCGTGATCTACCACACCTTTAACGACCGCAACCCTCTTCCGAGCCAGGGCATGAGCTTCGATCTTTTTGTGCAAGCGTGCATCAGCCTGAAAAGGATGACAGACGTGTTCAAGAAATACGACGACGATCGGGACGGATACGTGACCCTGAGTTTTGAAGAGTTCTTGACGGAGATTCTCCGGCTACGAGATTGATCATTCATGACAGACGGACGTCAGTCCCTTCACCTCTGATATCTGGCGGTTCACCTGAAAAGGCTCTGTCCTTCTGGGTTCTGAGGGACGCTCGAAGTACCCTCTGACTTGTACTTTCCAAGACTACGGATGCAGGCATAGGCTTGCATCGGTCTCCATCTGTCAACTTGGACTGCAGAGGCTCCTCTGTCTCCATCGTCAGCTGCACCAGAACTTGATGCAAAGGATTCCCATGCACCGCCTGTGGAGTTGCCAGCAGGTCGGCCTAAGGGCCATGGAGGATCGGCAACACGGACAACCAGTCAGGTCTGGTGTTGGGAGACGGGGAAACGTAGCTCCGCCGTAGTGAGAGGGTCTGCGGGGGCGCAATACACAGTACGTTAGGGTGGCAGCCGATCCTACTGCGAAGTGCTGCTTTATACGTATATTGTATATTGAGACCTGGAAACGATTGACCGACTGCGGCTGAGCACTCGCCTTGAAATCCAGAATCCACTTGCAGTGAGATTGTTCGACTGCATGCCACGTGGAGGACCTGCGAGGGAGTCGTCGAGCATGCTAAACGTTGTTCCGAACCGATAGTACGACGGCATTAGGTGTCTTCTGTAGTGTGTACAGGAGGAGTCTAAGATCGGCCGATGTATAGTTCCGCCCAATCTTAAGGGGAAGATGCAGACCACACCCCCTCTCGGGGCTCTTTCGTTTAGACAGAATATGGCCTGATAGCGAACTGCTTTGGGTGGTTAAGCATGCCAGACAGGGGAGCAGCTCGCCCGCTTCAAGTTGAAGGCGGCCCGTGCTTCTGGCGAAGCTCTCACAAGAACGCCTGGCTGGTGCGTAGCGCCCCAACGGTGCCAACGTGGTCTAGAAAATAATGGGGTTGACATCGGCTCTTTGGTAACGCGAAAGGGCGGTGCCATGCCCATCGCTGGTTGGTTACCACCATCAGGTTTAGGCACAGAGGCGGGCCAGGGAGCTCATCACGCTCTTGATTAGCCTACAGAGGGCAGAGGAGGTCGCGCTCTGGCCATGCTCCTATTTTACCGTAGATACTAGTATTGCGTGGCTTCTATGTGCTTAGCACCAGCTCTTCGGGGCTACTGCAGTGGAAGCTAAACTTGAAGCTATCTCGAATCCCACGGCCGTCGTGACTTGGCTGTTGGCAACACTAGAACCTTGGTCCTGCAAGACTGAGTTCAGGCACAGGCGATACTTCATCTCAGCTCAGTCTAGTGCTGCGCGTGGCTCCGACCTCGTCTGCGAAAACTCTTCCACCGCCGCATACAATCCCCAGGGCTTCCTTCTCCTCTGAATGTATGCAGGCTGCCTCGAGAGTGAGGGAAGATGTGGGGGAGTCTGAGGCCTAAGGAGCCTCTGGGACTCGCGGCGTTAAGAGCCATGACCGCGAAGACGACGGCGCAGATCGGATAGAGGATGATTTGGATCAGGCCTCAAGTGGTCCCCCTCGGGTCGCGAGACGACGGGACCATGGGACCATGGAGCAAAGCAATTGACGGTTGACACCGAGCAGCGGGTGCAGTGGTTTGTAATAATCAGCATTGTAGCGTTGTGGCACGGAGTTAGCATGGAGCGTGGCTCGCAGGGATGTGGCTGTCGGGCTGCTCAAGGGCCAAAGAGACCCAGGCAAATGCAGGCATCCCCCTCCGACTGTCATTTGTTCGGACCCCAGGCGTGCCTCGCTTTTGACCTTTTACCTGCGCCGCCTGCGCCGCCTCCCCGCCACAAGCCAGCAGCAGGCAAGTTAGAGTAGCCGGCAAGCTGCGAGAGTTACCTACCAGCTAGCTAGCCACCATCAACTGCAGTGTACCAAACTACTACCACAAAGTATCCTATCACTACCACCATGGCACGGTACTGATTGCTACTCCTGCTAACAATCTACTACCACGACTATAACTCTGCCTACCACCTTGGGCCTGCGATTCCCCCAACGGCTGATGATCACAATCACCGTCCCGCTACCGAATACTACGCTCCTCGTCCCCTCTACATCGCCTTCCTACGTGACGGTCCTGCTCTCTCTATCTCGCTCCCTCCACCAATGCCCCCTTCTCGGCCGTGATCGCACCTGCCCATGTTCTCGGGTTGTTGCAGATGAGGCGACCTGAACATGACTTCCTTCTTTGGGAAATTGAAGAGCCAGGTAAGTACAGAGTCGGCGGATACTTGTGCGTCCAGCTTTATCAACCCTCTCGGCGATGCTGGCGCACACTCTCCACCTCGCTGGATCATGGTCGTACTGATTCACTCGACCCCAGAATGCTACCGGTCCGGCAGTGGGCACAACGCCCGCAAAGAAAGACCCCAATGCGCCCTTGCCCACGCCTCTGGAGCGCATGCTCATGAACGCCGGTCCCATTCGCAATGATGGAAGTGATAAGTTCTTTGGCATGGAAAACGTATGACCCTTGTTTGATCCTGGCCCATGGATTCTTTGGACTGACTGAGACAATATGCAGTTTGGTAATACTTGGTCAGTGCCAAACTGTCGGTACGATTGCACTTATGTCTAACCCTCGCAGTTACTGCAATTCGATTTTACAATGTCTTTATTATTCAGTCCCATTCCGAGACCATGTCCTTTCCTACCCCAAGCGGTCAACCCCGGAGTCCGTCGCACACGCTCAAGCACACGCTCCACCACGTATACCACCGCTCCAGCAGAATGGCACCGCGAAGAAACCTCTCGGTCCGTCTTCCGCGCGGAGTGCCGGGACACCCCCTCAACAGCAGAAGCCAGAGGATAAGGATTCACCCGAATATAAAAAGAAGCAGGCCTTGTTGGCAGGGCCCATATTGAATATGAGCTACGAAAACTCCCGGGAATATGAGATGCCCGAGACTCTCTTCACCTCCCTGAAGGATCTTTTTGAGGCCGTGGTTGTCAATCAGTCAAGAATGGGCGTTATCAGTCCCAGCAGGTTCCTCGAAACATTGCGAAGGGAAAATGAGATGTTCAGGTCTGCAATGCACCAAGACGCGCATGAATTCCTCAACCTTCTTCTCAACACAGTCGTCGAGAACATCGAGGACCACGACAGAAAAGTGATTGCCCAGAGAAAGGCCGAGCAACCTCTGCGCGGGGTAGAAGACGACGGGGATCTCTCAAAGACAGAGTCAGAGTCAGGGACCGTCTCTTTCCCTCCTATCCTGCCCACACCGACTACAAGCTCCCCCACACGATGGCTACACGAACTTTTCGAAGGGACTCTTACATCCGAAACCCGCTGTTTAACTTGCGAGAACGTCTCACAACGTGATGAGCCCTTCCTGGATCTATCGGTTGATTTGGAGCAGCATTCGTCCGTCACCGCTTGTCTCCGCAGGTTTTCCGAAGAGGAAATGTTGTGTGAACGCAACAAATTCCACTGCGATAACTGCGGCGGACTTCAGGAAGCCGAGAAACGTATGAAGATTAAGAGGCTGCCAAAGATATTGGCGCTCCACTTGAAGAGGTTTAAATACACGGAAGACCTACAGAGACTGCAGAAATTATTTCACAAGGTGGTGTATCCTTACCACTTGAGGCTTTTTAACACCACAGATGACGCAGAAGACCCAGATCGACTCTACGAACTTTATGCGGTGGTCGTTCACATTGGGGGCGGTCCATATCATGGTCATTACGTCGCAGTGATAAAAACTCAGGATCGTGGCTGGCTACTCTTCGACGATGAAATGGTTGAACCTGTCGACAAGACCTTTGTCCGCAATTTCTTCGGTGATCGGCCGGGACTCGCCTGCGCTTATGTGCTCTTCTATCAGGAGACCACGTTTGAAGCCGTTCAAAAGGAACAGAGAATGGAAGGTAAAAGAAGAGCTTCTCAGGATCTTACTTCTGGCCTGGCCGTTCCTCCCAGGCAGTCCGCAGAACTCCACCAAGTCCAAACCGTCACTCCGATGGGCTCTCCCGGCTCACCATCAGATGCCACGTATTATGCCACCCTTGATCATGCCGTGACCGCACCCCCTGAATTCACAACCAACGGGCACGTTGAGTCGCCGCGGTCCCCTCCTCCACCTACGGTCCGGCCTCCTAGCCCTGTGCTCCAAAGCAAGAGGGAGAGAGTTAAGGAGGAGAAGGCACATGAGAAAGCGCGCAGAGCTGCAGAGAAACAAGCCGAGAAAGATAGACAGGAGGTTGAGAAGCAGCGTCGGAAAGTGCTCGCTGCTAAGTTGACAGAGGCTCAAAAGAGACAAGAGGCCGAACTCAAGGCTGCACTGGAAGCGAGCAAGGCTTCCAAAGCAGAAGAGGACAAGCGTCACGCCTTGGAACGGTCGCAGACGGTCCACGCCAATGGTAGTGGCAGCGGCTCATCAGGTTTTGATCGATTCAAGCGTACGAAGAGTCTACGATTCGGATCATTGAACAAAAAGGAGAAGCCACAATTAGATTCGTCTGAGGAAAACGTTGCGAGCCCGGATGCTATGACTCCGGAAAAGGAGAAGGACAAGGACAAGGACAAGGAAAAAGAGAAAGACAGGAGAAACCGCTTCAGCATTCGGAAGAAGTCATTTGGCATGTTGCCGTGAAGGACCGGTAGCATTAAGGAGTTGGATCGTGGTGACATATTGCACATTGCACATACAGCCTCCTGATGAATATGTCATGATAATGGGAACGAAAGCGAGACGCTTAACGCGACTTTGGTACATACAGATTTGCTGATTGTCACGTCACATACAAAAGAATCTTGAAAAGTGTATCGTCTGGAGTATGTTTTGGGGTTTGCATCAAATCAAATATGAAAACATTCAGGAGAGTCTCTTGCTGCTCCACGGCAGGTAATTTACCCACAGAGAAGTGTCCAGTAGTTTGCGATTTGCACTTGAAGAGACCATGTCTACTTGAGTGAAGAAAAGGATTCATAGTCCCATCCTATGATTTCAGTGTTGCGCCCAGTCCTCAGGGTTCTAGTGCTGTGGTTCATCATGGCTAGTCCTTTCACACTTGGCCTGTCCCTTGCCGACTGAAAGAGGAGGGGGAAGACGATGACATGGTCCGCATCGCCCTCGTACATCTCCGTACCCTGTCTGCATGAAGCGCAATAGCAATGAGGGCTCGGCTCATCACTCTGCTCATTCGTATAGCACAATATCCGTCGTCTTGTTTCCTGGACGGGCTGCACGTGCCGCAAGACAAGTAGATTCCAGGGACGTGGGCTGTCTGGCATGGACAAGAGGTAATCTGGTATTTTGGTTGCTGGATAATCACTTCCGGCTGCGAAGGCTAGGATTATTCCCGAATGCTGCAGATTAAAGCAAGCCACCGCTGAGCCCTTAAGGAGACCCGCAGAGGAGCTATCTTGGATGGACTTGGACCCAGAGAAAGACCTCCAGCCGTCTGAATTGCAGGAGTGGTATAGTGGTCTGGTTAAAAGTCGTTGTTGATTTCCAGTCGAGGCCGATTGATTGTCGCTTAGTGCAACAATGTCTCCTTTGCGGTCCCCGGAGTAACAGTTGTGCAGCCGGTGTCAGACGTCGTCTCATAGCTGCCTGCTCGGCGGTCCAGGCTGGTAATAAAGGAAGCAATTGCTGGTATCGAGCATGGGAGATGGCTGACGTGGTTGCTCAAGGTACTAGTAGTTGAACCCCGGCCAAGGTTGGTGGTCATCGAGCTGGGAGCCTCTGAGACGAACTCCACCGGTACAGTACAGTCTCGCAACCTGTGACGAGATATCTGGTATTGAAGCTGAGGAGTGTTGGGGGAGCATTTGAATCCGCAATTGGTCATGTTGTTATCCAAGCATCAGCTCGTAAACGATGATCATCGAATTGACCAGGATCAACGGCACTGTTGTAGTTTCTCGTTGTTAGCTTCCTTCCACACTGCCAGACTCGGCGTGTTTACGCGCTGCGATGTGCTCTGCTAGGAGACCCCGAATGAGATGATATGACATGCGAACGAACGAACGAACCTCGACATAGTGTCCTGATACTCGATATCAGGTTTATGGCTTTACTCCGAAGGCTTTCCGGGTCTTGACCAGGGGTCCCGAATGCGACGCCGCTGGACGGATCGTTGAGTTGTGATTTACCCCATCCAACTGTGATTGTGCACGTGTTAGTTCTGCCTTTCCTCTTTCTATCCGTCTTCATCTTTGTGCGCATGGATCGTCGGACATGAGGAAAGGATCCTAAAGCGATCCCCATATCGGGGCGGGCTCGCGTAAAGGGCACGTAGGAACATACTCCGTGCAAGAAAGCGGTCTTCGGACAGGATGGCGACGGCGTTGAGGAGAAGGCAACTTGCTAAGGGACCCGAATAGTGTCAGCGCACCGAGTTCCATCATATATCTCGTAAGGACTGGGGAGGGTGTCGTGCTTTGCTTCATCGCAGCTCGCTTGCGTACCATAGATGAAGGGGCCGAAGCCGAATAGACTGAGCATCTTGCTGTTCTTGTTGCGTCAGGAAAGAGGACGATCCAGGCGGCGGTACTTGCGGCGGGATTATGTAGATGAGATGTTGAAAGGCACTGCACAATGGCTTCGAGGTCAAGGGAAGTGGTGTTCGGCGAGTCACTCGTCTTTGAGAAGTGTCTACAATTAATTAATTGCCAGCGCTTCGTTGAAGCCAGATGCAGTGGAAGTGTCTTTAGGGCGGAGTACGGGTTACGAATGTGCAGTTTTAGATGGACATCATTCTTCATCAGGCCAGCTACTTGGTTATTCCCGGCGTCTCCCTGGCTTCAATTGCTAGATGACTATGTACCCTTCACTGGCTGTTGATGGTCTGCAAGATGTGTGCAAGATACAGAGACCCTGGAGCTTGGTATGCTTATGATCATTCGATCAGGCAATCTCGGGCATATCAAGATGACGCCCAGCTTTGTGCATGGCCTTGGTCAAGGTAGCTCATACGCCTGTCGACAAGGGAATCCGTAGGGGCTTTTTAGGCTGTCCGACGTTGAGTCATCCCCAAGAACATCTTCCGTTACCTATCGGCAAGACTGGTTCTTGGAAGAGGCACAGTCAGCTCCGTATACCGTGAGTGAGATGGAAACTGAAGTGTCTTCATAGGCCATCATGTCCTTCGTAACCGTCCCATCCTCGGGGTAGGATCCAGGTCTGCATGAGGAGCTGAGGCTTGTTGTCGGCCTCAATTCCAGTAATGCAACATCCGAAGCGGGCCAGCTGACAACAGGGCAACGCAAGGGCTGACTAGACATCGTGAGTGCTTACGGTGCCTCGCTGCAGAGGGAGATGGATGACTGTGACGGACGGACGAAGGGGTACAAGACGAAGTGCTTCTCCTTGTGTTTTGCCAGATTGCCCAACATCCAGAATCTTCCAACTCGAACCAACATCTCCCGAGTTTCCCGTGCAATCATTGCACCATGGCAGAGAGAGTCGAGGCCGTGACTAGCCTTCCACCTTGCAAGAGACACATCGTGACGCATGATGCCGCTGGGAAAAGCGTGTACTATGCAGACTCGCCTCCACAACAGTACCTCGCTCTTCCTGGTGGAGGAATGGCCCGTTCGTACTCGGTGGCTTCTGTGCCCGCCGAGGTGGCTGGCGAGGAGGATGTGAAGGCATATTTGAGCAGCGATGGAACCACGAGTTGGACGAACCCGTCGATCGCCACTCCTGGCGGAGCGAACCTTCTCGTTGTGGATATGGGACCCGGGGCGAGCAGCCAGATGCATCAGACCGTGTCGGTGGACTTCTCAATTTGTGTTGCTGGCGAGATCGACCATGAACTTGACAGTGGAGAGGCTGTGCGATTGAGGCCAGGAGTAAGTCCTTCCGCAAGAGACTGATGATGGAATGAACATCTGTGCTGACTTGGCCGGCTGACTCAGGATCACATTGTTCAACGCGGCACCATGCATCGCTGGAGGAATGCCTCTGAAACAGAGCCGGCGCGCTTCATCGCCGCCATTCTGTCCTGCGAGGCATTTGACATTGGTGGGAAAAGGCTGGAGGAGGTCCATCTTCCTGACTAGCTGCTGAGGCAGGAGGTTGGACAAGAGTGTACGATAGTCCGGTAATCAATGCAGGGAGGCCACCGCTTCACACCAAGCTTCAGTCGCACACAACCGTCACCCACAACACCCAAAATATCCAACGATCCAAAAAGCAAAAACAAAAACTTTTTCCTCAAACCCCAAGTTGAACTCGGGGGTTGAGGGAAGTGAAAGCCATGGCGGAATGAATGGCTTTTTCCGTTGTCGTAGAAATGGTATCCGTACCCGGTGATTCTGGGCTGGACATGGTGCTTATTGAACCGGGGATGTTCAACGGCCATGCCTCTACACCATCATCCCGACTGAGCCACCGTCCCCTGGGAAGGGGGTTAGGCAGCTACCAGCTGGGGCAGACTTAAGGTGCGACTGGCAGAAATTCCGGCACTGTAATATATATGTTGGTATTTTCCAACTCACCTGATCTTCACCTTACCACTGCGGTGAAGTAATTCCTTCTTCCTTCTTCTAGCAATCATCTATGCACAACAAATAGTATATCACTATATCGCTTCCTATAACCATCAATTCTCTCTCTCTCTTTCTCTTTTCTGGCGCCTGTTTGAGTGTTGCCAAACACTCGAGGGTCCTTTACTACCACAAGGCTGTGACATATCACGTGATCGCTATATCCCACAAGGCTGCCCCTTTCTTCTACCTCCATCATCATCATTATCATCTCGCCAACTTCTATATTGACACACCACATCAAACGCAACCAACCAATCCCAACGGATGAGCTCGTCGTGCTCTCGAGTTACTTTTCCTTTCTTTCCATGGCGGGAATTGAGCTCTGGCAGCTCTCGTATATCATATTTCCCGGCCTAATTCTTCTCCATCTCTACATTTCCCCATATACCAAGGTGGAAGAATCGTTCAACATCCAAGCCGTGCACGACATCTTAAGATATGGCATCCCAACCCACAACGTCTACCGCCGATTCAAAGCCCGATATGACCATATGACCTTCCGCGGGGCCGTGCCCAGGACCTTCATCGGCGCTCTTGTTCTCGCCACGGCCGCCCAGCCGATCATCGGGGTCGGCGACTTGAATGGAGAACAACAGCAACTGTTGGGTATGTTAGACGTTCTTCCCAAGCCATGCTAAACAACGAGATGCCACTCATTGATGATATCGATACTGATTTCTACCACCATACAGTCCGGGCATTACTGGGCTTATTCAACGCGAGTGCCCTCATCAGCTACACGTCCGGCGTGAGACAGGCATACGGCAAGACTACTGCGGAATGGTATACAGTTCTACAAGCCAGCCAGTTTCATGTCTTGTACTATTCATCACGAACACTTCCAAACATGTTCGCTTTCGGAATCAGTAAGAAAGACCCTGGGCCTCCACTTCTCTCTCCTCTGCCTTTCCCTCATCTCCCCTGGCAAGAAACTCCTCCATCTACATCAGAATACCCAAGTAATTGAACCTTACCTCAACTGATCGATTTTTTTTCCCATAGGTACGTTTGGTCTACGCTTCTTCCTTGCCGCCCATTCAACTCCAGAAGCGCAAATCAAACGCGCAAGACTGGGACTCTACCTCTTGACGCTGGCGACCGTGATCTTCCGCTCCGAGCTGGCATTGCTCCTCGCCTCGCATTGCTGCTACATGCTATCCAAGCCCATCTTCTCCGACAACAACAACAACAACATATCCTCCGCCGTGGCTCTGATACGTCGGGTTTTCTTCCCGGCCATTCTCGCGGCCACGGTCGCCGGCCTCGTCTTGACCGTCAGCATCGACACCTTTTTCTGGCAATCACGCACTCTTCTCTGGCCCGAACTGGCAGCGTTCCTGGCCAACGTGTTTCCCTCCGACTCCAAATCCGGTGCCTCAGCATGGGGCACCTCCCCCTGGCACTGGTACTTGACGTCCGCGTTGCCACGACTTCTCCTGAACCCTTTACTGCTACTCCTCTTACCGTGGGGCATGACGACCACGCTCCGCTCTTCACTGGCCGACCTGACGATCCCGTCGCTGGGCTATATCGGCCTGTATTCGATGCTACCACACAAGGAAACGAGGTTCCTCTTCCCCGTCATCCCGCCCATCACGGCCGCTGCGGCGTTATGTGCCAATTACATTTCCACGCGCCGCGGACGCTCCATGGTCTACAGACTCACCACCTACGCCCTTGTCCTGACCACAGCCGCAACGGCCTTTCTATCACATGCCGTTCTGCTGCCTCTGTCCGCGCAAACATATCCTGGCGCCCACGCTTTGAAGGCCCTGCACGTCCTCTCTCTGAACTACGCGCCGCAGCCCGTCGTCGGCGTCCATTTGACGAATCTGGCCCTGCAGACCGGGGTGACGCATTTCCTGGAAACGCCGCCGCCGCAGCTAGCGGCGCGTCCGGTCTTCACGCTGCCGGGGTCCGCGGACGGCCAGAAACCGACTATTACGTCCACCCGGCCTACGGTCTGGATGTACGACAAGTCGGATAATAGTAGCGATGTGCGAACGGTGGCCTTCTGGAGTCAATTCGATTACGTCGTCGTCGAGCATCCCAGTCATGCAATTGGGAAGTGGGATGTCGTGGATAAGATTCCTGGACTGGGTAGACCTCGAGTCCTGGATCCGAGTACCGGTCGCGGGCGTTTGGTGTTTGGACCGAAGACACAGAGGAGACAGGATGATGGACTGTCGCGGCTGGTCGGGGCTATGTATGGAGATGGAGAGAAATGGGTGTACGGGGTCTTCCATGACCTCCTGAGAGAAGGGGTCGGCGCCGAGGAAGTGTTTGGGTCGCATTGGAGTTGGACCAAAGGCTGGTGGCTACATTGGGGGTTGGAGACGAAATTGTATATTCTGAAAAGGGCCTCGGGTAGTGGGGGTAATGGATTCCGACTGTGACCGGTATTCACGGATATCCGGTTGGAATGATACAGGGCGTATGGCTGTGGAAGAAGACCTTTGAAGCCCAGATTCTTCGGTCAATCCTTCGACGACTCAAACATGACATTTATCTCTCATGTTCCAAGGTCCCGACCCTCTGCTCGAGACCAGAGACCATCTCCCCGACAACTTTGACATTGCCCTTCATCGCGTCTTCCAAGTCAGCCATGCCTTTCTCCACCGCGTCGACGGCTTCTCTCCACTGATTGATCTCGTCCCGCATTTCAGCCTGCCTCTGCTCCACCGCGTCAAGGCTGTTCTTGGCTTCGGCAGCACCCGCATGGATCACGCTGAGGGTACGCAACCTTTCCAACACGACGGGCAGGAGAGGCTGCAGGTTCTGGATCGATGGCAGAAGCTGGTACAAGGCGGTGATCTTGGACGATTGCTCGTCGAGAAACAGACGGGACTGGATCTGCAACGATTCGTCACCGGGCCCGGCGAGGTCGGTCACTGCTTGGTTCGCAGCCGAGGCGTTGGAAAGGCCGCGGCGCGGACGCGTGTTGGTATGCACGGTCGCAGAGACGAGCTGTCGCATCCGTGTCTCGTGCAGTTCGGCGAGCGATTGTATGGCTTGTTTCCGCGCGGCCGTTAGGCGATCGGCTTCGGTGGTCAAAGTCCTCAGCTTTGACGAGACACTGTCGAGAAGGGGTGTCGTGTGGGGTGCAGCGGAGGACGTCATCACCGGCAGCGCCGTGCCGGTTTGCGGGTTTTCTAGTGCCAGAGCGCTTGATAATGTGTTGACTTGTTTCGAGAGGCTCTCGAGAGTCGGGAGGATTGAGGACGTCTTCTCAGGGTCGGCGCTGGTGGAGGAGATTCCAAGCGCGGCCTCGAGTGCAGTCAGTCTGTCGGAGAATGCGGCAATAGCCGGCAGTGCTGATACAGTCGCCCGACTGTCTTGCTGCTCCTGATGCTCCGTCTTCGTGGTATGTCGCTGTCTTTGCCGCGAGTGTGAGTCTAGCGTCGATAGGAACTCGTCCTCGACCGTGCCATTGTTGTGCGGTCTGGCCTTTGTGCTCAAGTCGTCAAGCAATCTACTTAATTGCTCGACGTCATCCTCATTGAGCACGTCTTCATCCTGCGCCCCGTGTCGCTGTCGCTGTTGCTGTTGCTGCTCGGCACTGTCTTTGAAGTCTCCCTCCGGGTCCTTCTCATGCTCCCGTCGTTCCAGCTCGAGCCGCACCTCTTCAGCCTCTCTCTTTAACCTGGCGAGTTTCCTATTCAGCGTTTCGTCTTCGCTATCACTAAGGTCGCCAAGTTCTTCGGCACCGCTTTCCTGGATGCGTCTTCTCCTTCGCGAGCTCCGCGTCCGGTATGACCGTCGAGTACTGCCAATGGCATCTGAGAAGTCGACGCCTCTTGCGTCTACCAGGGAAGGCTCGAATATTCGCCTTGCACCGTCGCGATCGAGGGGCTGGCGATCGACGTCGGGAAGTCCTTGGTCATCGGAGGGACTGGGGGATAGAGTGCGGACTGTGCCAGTCTGTCGATGCGGTCAATTGCATGTGTATATTGATCGGGTTAATAGTCGGGCTAGCATACCTGTGCCGTAGACACATCATCTACCAACTCTGGAGTCTCGTATACCTCGGGGGCAACGTCCTGCGGGACTCACCGTTAGTTCCCTATGGGACGTGGTATCGCCAAATGATCGCACGGGTGGATGCGGTCAACAGGAACTCACGAGGTCAGGGAGACCAGCGTACTTCTTGCTGGCGGCCATCAGGCTTGCTCGTGTTCAATTGTGCTAGGGAAGAGAAGCATCTCTTGGTCCTTTCGATACAACATAGCACAGTCTCCGACTATAGGACATGGTTCTTTACGTGCACCGTCGCTGGCATCGGACGCGTTCCACTTTGAGCAGCCCCCAAACAATCTTGGCAGCCCCTAATACTAGTAAGCCCCTAAGCCTCTAAGCCTCTAAGCCCCGGATCCCCGCCCGCGAGTCACGATCTTGGGCGTGGCGCCTGTTAGTTGACTCGGGTCCTACAGCATTACTAGTAGAGACTGGGAGACATCCATGCACATTCACTGTTACTGTCACTGTGTAGTATCTGATCCATGTAGTACTAGTAATTGATGCATGCCTCATTACTGCTGAAGTTTGCGCCTCGAGGCCGCCTCTATCAGTCTAGACGGCTTCTCCGTGTTCACACCTTACCATTGTAAGATCGTTTCTTTGGGATACAACGTAGGCTCTTGACTACGACCGCACTATGCTCGGTAGAAACGCTCATTCATTAGTGACCCTTCTCGGGTTCAAGGTTGTGGTGGCTAGACTGCCACAGCTGTAGGTGTTGATAACAAAACATGCTACTCCCTGCATGGTCATGACGCCGCCCTGGCTTTATCCTTGTGCAGATGCTTGTCCGCATCCATATCCACCAAAAACCGTTCCCATGTAGAGATCACATTCTGATAGAAGTCCATGTGTTGCGTGGCAAGGGCTCCAAGTGTATCTCTGAATTCCAAGCCTTTGATTCTCTCAAAGTCTGCCACTTCCCGCACGACTTGCTCATCGAACATTTCACTGGTTGACTTTGCGCTTTCGACTTCGCGGTTCAACTCGGCGATTTTCAGTTCCAATTTTCGGGCTCGGTCCTTTCGCGCGGTTTCATGATCGACGCCTCTCATATCCTCCACCTTATGCCGGATGAAGGTGGCAGGATTGAGGTTGGAGCCATGCGAGTATGGATTGTTGGAGGCAAGCATATCGCGCTCCGCCGTCGCCTTCTGCAAGTACTCCGTAAGACCTTCGAAGTCGAGTTGTTTCTGCTCCCGAGTCTTGAGTAACGACTTCACAGAATTGATATACGCTTCCATGTCGCGCAGACTGCCCAGATAGTTCTGATCGGTGTGATCCTTTATGCCTTTCCAGCCCCTCGACGTCTCTTCCACGCAGCCTGCGAAGGTCTGTACGGGAGCTTCGAGTGTGGGTTCCAGAGGCGTGAGTTTCCGCATGTTGGTGGCCAAGTCGGTATAGTCGAACTCCAAGTCGCCCTCCCTCCGAACCACTCGGGCAATAATCTTCTCCACATGGGAAAGATCTTCGTCTAGTTTGTTTGCTCTTTCCGTGACTTCGATAAATCTCTTGTCTGGCTTGTGGACCTTAGAGAAGGCGTTGAGCATGGTGTCTGCGACATTATCGAAGAACCCGGATGCAGCGGCCGCGTTGGCGGCGCTTTCTCCCGTGACCGTACCTCTTGCCGGCCTCAAGCGCATTTGAGAGTTCCAGTCGGCGGTTTCGAGAAAAAGCAGGAGTATGGGCGCCCTTCGCAGTACGGGATGTAGAGTGCAACGCTTCAAGAACCGGTGCAACGACCAGGCTCGTCGCTGGGTGAACTCTTGGCTGAATCGGTCCCCTCTCACATACGCCATGTTATTCTTCTCCGGCAGTGGAGGTACTGCACATGCTTGGTAGTCTCGATGTAAAGTCTGTCGGAGGAAGACAAAGTCGGTGAAGCGTCGTCTGACGGAAAAGTCGGTCTTTTGAAATGTCTTGAAGTCCGTCTGCCGACGAGTCAGTGGTTGTAACCGAGTATCTCCAACCTCGAAGACTTACATGAGTAGTGACCAAATATGAGACATATGCGTCTTTCGTACCATCGTTCTCCTTCAATGGGCTGTCCACTGTGACTTCCAGGATCCCGTCCCGGCCTATTCCTGCCAAATCGACCGCATCGGCTTGCTCGCCTGCCTGTGGCTCGCTAGACATACTCTCACTTCTCCGGCCATTGCCAGGCCTGGTCGGTAGGTCGGCGTGAAAGGGAACAGACGACTCCGCTTGCTGTGTATCTTCCCGTTGCCACGATACACTGTCGAAGTCGCCGTGATCGTCCATCTTGCTCGACTCCCAATGCCCCGCAGACACCGTTCGCTACAGACGTTGGGACAGTCCGAAAGCAGAGATGACAAGACGGATGCGACAAGCGTCCGCTATGTCATGCGTGGACTACAGTCCGTGCAGGATCTGAAGCAAGAGTACGATGGACGATAATTGGTGAGAGAAGTCGAGAGAGCGCGGTGAAGTGGTCGTCGATGTCTAGAGCTTGTCAACTGCGGCCACCTGATACTGCACTGCACGTTGGACTGCGCACTGCACCGCAACACATGACGCTCCTTCTTGGCACAGCAGCCAGCTCAGCCTGGTCACCTGACCACTAGCAGTCTGCGAACACGGCAAGGCTGTCAGGCTCGCAACTCGAATGAATATCATACAGCGACAATGCGAAGTCTTATGCGGGCCTCCATTCTCCATTAAGCTATCATCATCTATATCATTTTGGAGTATTCTCAGAAGTCGAATTCCGTCCTAAATTGGTCCAGATCCATGCCGGCACCCACTCGCTCAGTCAGGTCCCTCCGTCCCATCCCAGTAAATGCTCTTCGTAAGGTGTCGTAAAGGTTTGTGCTCTCGTTTTGTTGAATCATTCTTTCAAGTTCGGCCTCGGGGATCCCGCCATTCCCATCTGCCACAATCTCACGCACTTGATCCAGACCCTGTTCGCCGACAAGGCGGTGCAGATTCAAGGCCCCCAGCAGGTGTCCGGCTGCCTCCGGATAGCAACCAATGTTGATGCAGGAAACTCCCAGGTTGTATCGGGCCCGCACGAAATTGGGGTTGACTTCGAGAGCCTTACAATAGGCGGTAATGGCATCCTCCGACCGACCCGAATTCGCCAGTGTTGCACCAAGCCTGTTCCACAATAGATGTACCTGTCCGGCGCTGTTGGCCGATCCGGTCTCTGCTGATGCAAGGGCAGCTTTGAAACAATCGACAGCTTTCTCGAAATCCTCGTTGCCATAAAACAGAACTCCAAGACCCACCTGGACATCAGGGTCCATGTGCTCCCCGGAAGGCGACAACTGAGCCGCTTTGATGAATAGATCCGCAACACGTTCATGTAGGATTGCACGATCAGTGAATCCTACTTCGGAGGCGTCCGACAGGTTTTCGGGAGGATGAATCTGAGGATATTTGACACTCAACCATCGCTCCAAGGTCCGATAGGCCGTGCTGTCGTATCCTTCATTAGTATAGGACACCGCTAGACCCATCAGAGCATCTAGGTTGTTTGGATCTAACTGCAAGGCTCTTTCGAGGGCCCGGATGGCAGGCGCTTCCTTTTCATTCTGGGCTTGAGCCGAACCGAGCAGGACCCAGGCCTCCACATGGTTAGGGTCTTGCTGCACGGCCGCCTCAAACGCCAGAGCTGCAAGAGATAGATTTCCATGCGAGTCAAGAATCTCCTTTCCTTGTTCAAAAGCTGATTTGGATGCCTGATTGGCCTCCAGAAACGGGTTGTTCGACTCAAACATGTAGTCTCCTAGCATTGGTTCTCGTTCGAACGGGTTATGGGTGCCCATGCCCATAGTGGAATCGAAATTATCCCAAGCGGCAAAATCTTCGTTCGAGAATGTATTCTCGTACTCGGAAGCCTCTTCGGCCATTTGTCTAAATGCGTGTTCAGCCAGGATCCCATATCCCACACTCTCGAATTAGTAATTTGACTCACCTGTCAATTTCATTCAGTTCTCGCTCCATAGCGTCGTTGGCCTGATCTGACAGACTGTCTTGCTGTGTTTCGAGTTCTTTGAACTGGGCTTCCCAGTTTGCGTCGTCAAGTTCTACCATTCTACCTTTCCCCTTGTCTGTGGTCTGTTCCGGTTGTTGTTGCATATGCATTGGTGTATAATTCATGCCCATATTCATCCCGCCCATATATCCCATGGACATAGGCCTTTGGTATGTGTTCATCATCGAAGGAGTGTGTGTGATAGGACTGGCGACCCGCTGTGGGCTAGATTGCTGGAAGCGGGCAAATTCTTGTGGAGAGAATCCATTCGGTCGCTGTGCTGCCATCTTCGAACTGGCGAACGCAGCCTCCATGCGGGCTTGTTCGCCAGGATCAAAATCCGCGACCCAGCCAGGGGACGGTGATCGACGAGTGAGCCCTTGGACACTGGGGAGGTCTTGTCGTAGATGTTCCATTGCGAAAGGCTGTGGCAATTGACCGGTCTGATGCATAAAGTCGTTCATCATCTTTGTCCTGGTCAGTGAAATGTCCTTCTTGAGGCGCGCATCTCCTGAAATACCTGATCTGATCCATTTGGGGCCATGCGAGACCGCATACTTTCTTCCAGGCCACCAGGGCCTCGCCCGACAAGGCGGTCTCGTTGGAGCGAGTTGTCATTTTGGACGTGGTTCTTGAATTGCGTCAGAGGATTGCCCGCCGTTGAGCACTCGGCGCCACCTAGAAAAGACATGGTAATGCTGAACAGAACAGGACAGGACACAGGGAGGATGAAGCAATCAGATCAGAGAGAGGTGCCGGGATTGAATAAGTCAGCGGCGATGCCTTGGGTTGATTCCCAGCCGAGGCAGTCCAGCCGAATGCCCTCATGCGGTGTGCAGTGCGGAGCGTCGAACTTGAAGCGCGGAGATAAATCCAGGAAGAATCCCGCTGCCACCCGCAGTTGATGTATTTGCACGTGATGCATTTTGCACGTGATGCTGATTTGGATGCTTTCATCCCCCTGCGCTATAAAAGGGTTGGCAGGGAGCAACTTGAAGGTCTTGTTCAGTTATAACATGTCATTTCTAAAGTTCCCTTGTACTACCTGTATTGACCCATTCCGATTGGAGATTATGATACACCACGGACGGGTCCTGGGGCCAGACTGTACACGGTCTCTCGCCCGTGATTCTGCCTCATCTGACCGTACCAAACTAATTTACAAAATTGTGCATTGGCAAGATGCGAATTTGTGCCTGCAATCCTCCATGTCACCGTGAATCTGGAAGGGATTGGCAGTGGAGCGCCCCAGGGAACCTCGGCCGGTGCCTCGTAAAATCCGCCTGACTGATACTTACTGCTGTACACAGAATGCTACCACCGGAGGTCTGCAGCCTTTCGATCATATATATGGGGCGATTTGGCAGGTGAACTGTTCGACGCTGCCTGCTCCAAATGACCGCCCTGAGCCCTGAGAAAAACCGGCTAACAGGTCTGCGCGCTTCGAGCGTAGGAGGATGTCGGCCGCCCGGAAAAAAGCCAATATGGACTTCCACAGAACGGGACTAACACTGGCAGCGGCGATCGACGCATCGGCAAGGTCATACGCCGTTATCATGCCAGAGTGGGGTGTCGACGATGCTCAACCCCTGGCTGAGGACCGCGTAGCATTTATTGGGATTCAGGAGGAACATCATCGGAGCCGGTAGAGGTCTCGTTTCTCGGTGCTCGGGAGGAAGAGCTGAACGAGTAGTCGACACGCAGTTTCCGGCCGTAGATCTCCTTCTCTGACAACACCTTGGCAGCTTCCATAGCACTCTTGACGTCGATGAAATCGGCATGAGCAAAGCCTCTTGGCTGGCCAGTCCGGCGATCAATCGCAACTCTGACATCAATGACGTTTCTGATACCACGGAACAAGTTACTGAGGTCACGGTCGGTCATCTCGAAGGACATGTTGCCGATGAAGAGAGTCTTGGAAGGAGGGTTCATGGGTCGGCGAGGAGCCGCTGGGGTGTCCATGATGCCACTGCTGCGGGCAGCATATTGGACAGTGATGCGACGACCTTCGAAGAGTTGCATGTTGAGCGCCTCAAGGGCAGCATCAGCGGCTTCTTGCGTTGAGAAGTCGACATAACCAAAACTAAAGTATGTCAGCTTGGATGTCAACAATAAACGGGAGAGGCCACCAACCCTTTGCTTAAGCCACGGGTGTCTCGGACGATCTTGCATCTCGTCACCGTTCCAAATCGTGCAAATTCCTTCACAAGGTCGGTCTCGGTAACATCGAAGAACAAGTTGCCGATATAAAGAGTTGGTTTGCGCTCAAATAAACCATTCCATCCCGCCGGGGCGCCGGACGCTGACTGGTTCGGCGAGGAGGCCGCGGCCAGGCTTTCGTTGATTTCGGCGGCTGGAAGTGTCTCCTCGGTGGCCTCGGTGGCATTTGCTGTCTCAGCAATAGCTGGCGCAGAGTCCCTGTGAGCGCTGCGACTTCTGGGCAGAAGATTCTCGTTGGTCTCGGAAGCCGGGAGTGTTTCGTCGGTGGCCTCTGTTAAGTTTGCTGGTTCGGCAGCGCCAGGGGCAGAGTCTTTTGTGACATCCTCTCCTTCAGCTACAAGCTTCTCGTTTGTCTCGGCTGCAGGCAAGACTTCTTCCGTTGCCTCTGTGAGATTAGCCGGCTCTGCGGCACCCGGGGCCGTTTCAGAGATAACCCGGGACTTGGCCTCCTTCTCACCCTCCGTGGAGGCCCATCTCCGCTGTGATTGGATGGCAGAACTCTTTGACACTATTCGTGCAGAGGGAGCGCTGACAGAAACAAATGTTCGTGAGGAAGAGATGAGGGAGGAAGGTTGGGAAGCAAGGAGGCGCGATGCGCAACGGCGAATGGCAAACCTGGCACTCTGTCAGACACGGTTCCGCAGTGAGGAATAGACACAAACTTACATCTCGATTAAAAGTGGTCACGTTCAGAAAGATACAAGGAATGACACAGTGACAAATAATCCAACCCTCTTGTAGTATTGGTTCGACTGAAGGGAGATGTGATGAAGCTGTAGTATCGCAATCAATGAAGTCTCATGTTCTAGGAAAAAAGTTCAAGGACTCGGCCGGCCAGGGAAAAACGGCTCTAACCCAATACGGTTTGCGACCTTGGCACGGCTTCAGGAGCCTCAGCCTCGTCCGTCTGTTGCGGTCAAGTTGTCACATTGGCACCCATGTTGACAATCGCGGAATTTGTGCATTTAGACGGAACAAGAGTGGCCGAGAAGGTCATTGGAGTCGGCGGGACCGGCGTCGTGATTTTGAAGGGCTAGTATGCACTCAAAATACCTCGATTATCCAGGATTCTCGAAGCCGATGGTGTTCCCGTGGCCGACGAAAGCCTCACACCGAAAGAGGGCGACTACGATATACGGTCCGATCTAATCAGCTCTTTGGAGCGTGAAAGAGCTATCTACAGAAGACTGGACAGTCATCCTGGGATTGTCCACTGCTACAATCTGTCCTCAATTGACCATTCAATCCAAATGGATCTTATGAGGAACGGTGATCTTCGACATTACTTGGATACACTTGACACCAGGCCAGAAAGGACGGTGCAACTAATTTGGCTCACAACAGTGGCACAAATGCTAGCACATATCCATCATCGACATGTTATTGTGGCCGACATCCGGCTGGATAATCTCTTACTCAACGACCAGTTAGCTATAAATTCGTCGACTTCGGAGAATCAACATTGATGCCTCTGGAATGGAATCTACAAGGCGATGACGGCGATGGCTACTCTATTCTGACAGACCTTGGACAGTTCGGCGCAGTCAAGTTTGAAATTGTGACTGGCCAAAGTTGCAAATTTGGTCTTATGCAGGACTGGAAAGATGTAGGGGACCCACTGACTTGGCCGCGACGAGACAGCCTACCATCGACGAAGATTGTATATCTCAGGCATATCATTGATAAGTGCTGGACTCAAGGATTCAAATCCGCGAAAGGCCTTTCGGCGGAGCTAGAATGTGTTGCGAGCGAAACTTGAGGGCAACGGCGCGCGTTTATTGGACCGAAAGCGCTCGTCCTACCTTCAATTCTGCTTTCTCCCGTTGGATCCCATCGCTCACCCGTTTCCGAAGTTACTGCGCTAGGGAATGTCGTGGTGGGAATTGTCTTTACCCAAAAGCACAGTTCCAATCCTTGTCGCCTCACCTGATGGGTGTGCTGCGTTCATAGCTTCACAAGTCGAGGTGCTGCTTCAGTACACATAGCGAAAGTACACGTTCTCCTTATCCGTCAAATCATCAAAAGCAACCCGCTCCGCCTCCTTTTCATCCAAGCTGATTTGGTCTCTGCGCCGGTTCTCAAGCCTGAGCATGAAGTAAAGCACAGTCGCAATAACGATCACCAAGACATAACAGCCGATGATGCCCTCCCACAACCTCGGATAGTGCTCGCCAACGGTTTCGTACACGATGAAGAAGGGGGAAGCGATGTTGCCAACCGTGTAGAACACGAAAGTGGCCGCTGCCATGTAACTCTTCTTGGTGTTGCCGGCCACATTTGCCATCCCCATGCTGACCGTCAGACTAGTCACCGGAGCGAAGAAGCCGATGATGGTGTATCCGGCAATGGGCGTGGCGGCGTGCTCGAACCAACTGCTCTTCCAGATCATGGCACAACCGGCAATGACAGGCAAGCAACAGGCCACCAGCATGATCAGCCGGATGTTGGGCACCTTGAGGCTCAGGTAGCCAACGAGCAGGATGGTCACGAAGCAAACTCCCCCCAAGGGCATCTGCCAGAGCAAGGAGTCGTAGGCCGACCAGCCGAAGGTGGAGACAATGAGAGGCCCGAAGCCAGACACGGCGCCGTTGACCGAATACGCGGCGCCCATCATGATCGCTATGAGCCAGACCTTCAAGTCGAACACGGCCTCTTTGAACTGGGACCATTTGATCTTCTGGCACCGCACGCCCAGTTGACTCATGCGCAGTCGTTCGACGGCGACTCGCTTCTCTTCCTCCGTGAACCACCATGCCTGGGCCGGAGAGTTGGGGAAGAACAGGAAGATGAACCCGTATATGATGGTCAAGGCCCCCACCATCAGATACAGATACTGCCATTTCTTGAGCGAGCCTCCGCTGATATGGGCGAAGCCGTAGTTGATGGCGGCGCCAATGACGGTCCAAGCTCCGGTGGCCGAGTACCAAAGACATTGGCGCCAGGTCTGCTCAGCCTGAGTGTAGAACCCACTCACTATGACCATGAAGGCGGTCGGGATGATGGACTCTGCAACGCCCAGGAAGAATCGCTGTGCCCACAAGCCCTTGTAAGTGGTCACGCCCGCGGTCGACATGGCGATCGCACCCCATACGATCACAACAACACCGACCGTGCGTCCCACGTGGAACCGTTGGAACAGGTAAGTCATGGGACCGACTCCAGCGAGCATGCCGAAATAGAACAGCGAAGTCGCCCAGCTCAGGCGTGTCGTTGACACTTTGGGCGGTATGGAAGTCGGGTCCGTCACGACCTTCAGCTCGAGGTCCGTCACCATGCCGAAGACAGCTGCACCGCCCAAGATGGCCTGCGTGGTGACAATTAGCGTCTATGCCGTTGACGTTGAGAGACCTTACTGTCCCTCAGATCCATCGACTCGACAATCCGACAGTGCTGCCAGCATCGAACCACCCAGACATTCCACTCACCTTATCATAGTACACAAGTCCATACCCGACAAACATCAACGGGATCAATGCGAAATCGATCTTGCGGACGACCCGCCGCTCAACCTCCTTGTCCCAAGGCTGTGCATATTCCGGCACCACCGAAGCCGCGATGTCCTTGTCACCTATTCGAGACTCATGAGCTTCTTCCTTCTTCTGGTTTGTTTGCGGATGCGCCTTACCGGGTCTGTTCAGCATGGCTTATGTCTGACTTGCTTCGGTGAATCCTTGACAAGTTGAAAAGCCAGCACAGCAGCAGAGATCTCTGCGTGCACAGGAGAACTCGGGAAAGTAAATGGTTTAAATCAAGCCTGTGTGAAAAGCCTCTCCGATGTGCGGCCGCCAAAGCCAACTCTTCTCAAGTGGGCTAAGTATACGCTGCTAGTCTTTCAGGCAGTGGATGGCATGACTATGCTTCTTGTTTACGGCGCTAGTCCGTCGTCAAACTCCTCAACAGCTTCGAGATCTCATGCTTTTATCCCTCAAGATGATAAGATGCAATGCCCAGTCCGACCTTGTACGTTTCCGGCCACAAAGCATACCTGACCCTGCATACACTTTTTACCCCCCACTCAAGAACGAGCGTTGGCATACTCGCCCCAACTACTAGTATCATCATCTCCTTCGTATCTATCTTCGGGGTTCCGGGCGGCGGGGTTAGAGCTCAGGCTCTGCGCTGCGGTGTTTGATGCCGTCCCGTTCTTTGCCCGTCTCGGTTAGACTGGCATGAATACGCCTTCAGCGGCCAATAGGAGCATCAACGCTGCTCTGGCTCCTCTGCAGTGGGATGAAAGATACTCTGTCTGTACTGGCAAACTGATATAGGTGCCCATCTAGGTACCTGGTAGGTAGGAAGTCCCTAATGTCAATACAATGGGCGTTCTCCTTCGACGTAGATATACCTACCGCCAATTAAAATTGTGAAGGGCGCCTCTACCAAGATCTGGCGGTGCCACTTCTATCATGGTCGGCATTGGTGTTTGTCTTCTACAGGAGACCGGTGAATGAAGAAAGACTGCGGATACTGTTTCATGAACACCATGGAATTCGCAACGCAGCCAGCAAAATGAATATATACACAGCACTCGCGCTGCCAGAAGTCGCCTCACCTCTGTTGCTCGCTACGCCATCACGACACTGTCCGTGCTGAGATACATGCCCTTTTCTCAATCATGTCTCCGCCAGAAACCGCCTAACGGTCTACCTCGCCGAACACTAGATCCATTGTTCCGATGATGGCGACGGCGTCCGCCAGCAAGTGACCACGGCTGATCTGGTCGAAACAACCCAAGTGGGCGAAGCCCGGAGCTCGAACCTTGCATCGGTATGGACGTTCGCTTCCATCACTGACGAGATAGACACCCATTTCTCCCTTGGGAGCTTCGATGGCGGTGTAAGTATCACCAGGCGGCACGGTGTAACCCTTGGTGAACAGTAGGAAATGGTGGATGAGGGCTTCCATGTTCTCCTTCATGGCTGCCCGAGGCGGGGCTGCAATCTTGTAGTCTTCGACCTTGACAGGACCCGGTGGCATCTTGTCCAGACATTGTTTGATGATTCGAAGGGATTGTCGGAACTCCTCCATCCGGCAAAGGTAACGGTCGTAGCAATCGCCATTTTGACCAACGGGCACATCGAACTCTACTTCGTCATACTTTTCGTAAGGCTGGCTCTTCCGAATATCCCAGGGAACACCCGATCCACGAAGCATGACACCGGAGAAACCATAGTTCAGCGCATCGGCCGCCGAAACGACGCCGATACCTTTGGTTCTACCGATCCAGATTCGGTTGTCAGTGAGAAGCTCCTCAGTTTCGTCGATGCGATCCGAGAATTGAGTTGCCCAAGCATAGATGTCATCCAGCAGACCAAGCGGTAGGTCCGCCTTGACACCGCCAGGACGGACGTATGCGGCATGAAGTCGGGCACCGGAAACTCGCTCGTAGAATTCCTATTGACATTAGACACCTTTTCCAGGCCATGAGGAAGCAGTCACACGCACCATCAGCTTCTCTCGTTCCTCGAATCCCCACAAGAAGGGAGTCAAAGCCCCCACGTCCATGGCGTGGGAAAGAACAGACATCAAATGATTCAATATTCTCGTGATTTCCGCGAACAATGTCCGAATCCACTGCGCTCGTACCGGGATTTCGATATTGAGCAGCTTCTCAACGGCAAGAGAATAGACCTGCTCGTTGGTCATCATGGAGACGTAGTCGAACCGATCGAAGTAAGGCAAAGCCTGCAGGTATGTCTTGTATTCGATCAACTTCTCGGTACCGCGATGTAGCAATCCGACGTGAGGATCGGCTCGAATGATTTCCTCTCCGTTCAGCTCGAGAATGAGACGCAACACACCGTGCGCTGCAGGATGCTGGGGCCCAAAGTTGACGGTATAATGACGAATTTTTCTCGGCTTGTAGTCCTCGTCCAACTCCTTGTCCGGCAGGTGCGTCGTGAAGGTGGCGTCAGTCGGGCTCATGGTCATGCCCACCGGGCCGATTGGCGCCTCTGGATCGGGAGAGACATTTTCATACGCGTTTCGACACGGAGTCGTCGAGATCGCACGGGAGATGAGCGGTGAGTGTCGAGAAACGGCTTTGATGGTAGGTCGAAGGCAGAGTCTTTTGGCGGAATGCCGGCCTGCGGCTCGGACAAACGACACCACCATTGTCAGCGACGGCCCAAGGCCAGGTGAGAAAGCTGTCGGTGACTGTACTCAAGGTGATTGCCTCGAAGCCGACAACAATCACTCGAAAGGAGGAGGCAATCGAGGTGCGCTGTGCCGTGCCGTGCAGTGCAATGCAATGGGCGAAACCTGGTGGTGGTGTATCTCGAGAGATCAATGACAGCTCCCGGGAATGTCTAGCGCAGCCAGGAATCTAAGCATCGCTGATTGGCTGCGCCCTTTCCTCCTGCTCCCCGCGCAAGTTTTTGGAGAAAGCGAAGAAAAGAGACTCTCGCATCTTTTTTTCGTCGAGAGAAACACAGTTCTACTAGTAAGTACGACTGGCAACGCAGTCTACCCACCAAGCTATTCATGGCTCACATCCAGCCATCGCAGGATGGCTTAGACAAGCGGAAGGTAAGGTCTCGTCTGAGGAGTGGTGCAGTGGGTGGTTGGCAGTCATGCTAAGACATTCTAGATTGTAGGAATCAACGCCGAAACCGTCACGAACATCACCTCGACCGATTTCCCAGGCCACCATGCCGGCGAAGACGATTCCTGGTCTCTCTCAAAATTCAAGCAGAATCTGAAAGTCCACTTCCACCAGAACGAGCCGGATGAAGCCACATTCTCCCTGGTTGGCGTCGACGCCTCCATTGCCAACGCATTTCGGCGCATCCTCATTGCGGAAGTCCCTACGTTGGCCATCGAAAAAGTCTACGTGCAGAATAACACCTCGGTGATTGCAGATGAAGTCCTGGCGCACCGGCTAGGCCTCATCCCCCTGAAGGGCAGCATCGAAGGGCTCAGATGGCTGAAATGGTTCATCGAACCAAACCCGGACATTGGCTTCGACGGTATGGAACGGACCGACTACAACACAATCGTCCTGAGCCTGAACGTGAAATGCGAACGCAATCCGCACGCAGACAAGAATGCGACCGAGCCAGAGGAGAAGTACATCAACAGCAGCGTCTACTCGCGACACATCAAATGGACTGTCCAGGGCCTCCAGGAGCAGTACTTCAGGGACGGCCCCATCGAGCCGGTCAGTCCGGATATCCTGATCGCAAAGTTGCGGCCAGGTCAAGAAATCGACATGATCCTGCATGCGCATCTTGGAAAAGGTGGTGATCATGCAAAATTCAGTCCGGTCGCAACCGCCACATATCGACTACTCCCCACCATCACCATTACCAAGCCAATTCTTGGAGCCGATGCGAGAAAATTCCAAAAGTGCTTCCCACCCGGCGTAATTGACCTTGAGCGTGTCACGCCCTCCGATGCTGCATCCGATGAACCTGCCTACCATGGCCGCGAGGGTGACGAGAAGGCCGTCGTCAAAGATCCCATGCGGGACACTGTGTCGCGAGAATGCCTCCGACACGAGGAGTTCAAGGACAAAGTCAAGCTGGGCCGAGTGCAAGACCATTTCATATTCAATGTCGAAAGTACAGGACAATTTCCTAGCGATGTTCTGTTCTTGGAGAGCGTCAACGTCCTCAAATTCAAGGCTAAGAGGCTGCTCCGAGCGCTTGATGAGATGGAGAAATAGTTGCTTGACTTTGGACTTGTAATGAACTGGCGGATGAATTGTATGCATGGGAGGGGGCGTTACAGCATTGCAAGGCGTTCATGTTAAGTTTTAGATACCTCAGTCACAAGATGAAAAAGTGTTGTATCCCCTTCGTCTTCCATTTTACTGGGACAATCGGTCATCGTCATCTCGGAATCTTCCATCATGGTTCTACCTCGCACTGAGCAGAACTACCCTCTTCTAGCTGAGCACCCTGTCCGCATACAGCTACTTCTGGAAAAACAGCCTGTACTTGAACGATATCTGGAATGCCGTGTCTGAGATCCCGACCTCCTCGCCATCACTAACCAGGTCCCTCAGCCTTTTGGCCAAGTTCGGCCGCGTCTGCTCCTCGAGGCTTTTTGGCGCTTGAACATATAGCGTCCGAGCCTCTGTTCGAATGCTGGGCTTCTTCAGCTGTGCCTCTGCCCGCTCGGCCAAGCTGGCGAGGAATTCCTCGAGCCTCATGTCCGGGTCAACGGTGATGTCCTGTGCTAGGTTGCCGCAGACAGGGCAGTCATCCTTCTTCTCTGCAGCAAATGTATAGGTATACAACCCCGAGTCGTTTGAGTCGCCCGTATACATCATATAGTTTTCAAGGAAAGGCGCGCAGGAGGTGGCGATTTTGAGAGCCTCGTTGCAGCAGGCGGCGGCGATGATTGCATTCGTCGAGGCAATGGCTGGGATGATGTTCTTGACCACGCCTTGTGTCATGGAGTACGTGACGCCGGGGATGTTGAACTCTTGGGCACGCGCCAATGCCGTGGCATACAGCCATGAGATGTGTTCCGGGTCGTCGGTATCGAGGGTCTCGCCTTTCCGCTGTTCCTCCCAGGCGATGATGTGCGCCCATTCGATACAGTGCTGTGGCTGACGGGGGATCGTGGCCAGAGTACAGAGCGGCACGGCCGCACGAGGTGCATGCATGGAAAGCTGGCATTCAATGCAAGAAGTGAGCGTGGGAAGGATGACACGAGCCTGGCCCTTAAAGCCTTCAGTGCCGCCGTCGATCAGGGGTTTCAGTGACTCTGGGTTTTCCATGTCGACCATATCGACCAAGGTGGCATTGATCCAACGTCGCGCTTCGATGCTGTCGAGCCCACAGATCACGAGCTTGAATTGCATGTAGTACTCCTCATCCTTGTCCTGGATCTTCCCATTGTAAGGGGTGATCTTCACTCCTGGCACACGTCGTTCGACAAAGGCCGCAGCGACTTCGGCCTTTGATTTTCCTACGTCGGATTCGCGGAAGAGGAACTGTCGGTTTAGATTGGACACGTCGATAGTGTCCATGTCGATGACATGGATGTCCTTGAAGCCTGATAGTGCGAGGTCCTTGAGAATCTCACATCCAAGCCCACCCGCCCCGATCACCAGAACTCGTGATGTCTCAAGTGCATTGATTGTCTCTTCGCCTGGCACAAACTCCTCCCCTGCATATGGAGACGTTGTTGACAACACTTTGTCTAGGTAACCCCTGCATGTAGTTAGACGTTTTCAGGCCCTTTTCGAGGGGACACTGCCTTACCATCGTTCCCGGCCCGCCGTGGCGGAACCATTAGTAAGAAGTGATGCTATAGATATTGACATTGTCGAGATTGGTATTCACGAACGAGGGTCCGGATTGGGGACAAGGGCTTATAATCATCGACTTGAGCTATTTGGTTCTCTGCTGATTTTCAAGGGAGGCTTGATTATGGGTACATGGCAGTGACGAGTAAGGATCCTTGGGTTGGGTTGTGAAAGTCGTCTGGGATGGTAGTGGAAACCCAGACTTGTGAGGCCCGCCTGAAGGACCAGATTACTTTGGCAAGCTTTGATGATAATGACTTCGAAAGAGCGCGTGTTGCCTGGAGGAATTGCAAGCGTCAACTCGATGGAGAGTGAAGATGCAAGGCTGATGAGGTCAAAGTAGGAAGTTCATCTCAGCCTTGTGGCGTTCTTGGCGGATGGCCGCAAGGCTGCGGCAGCCTTCTACTCTCTACTCGGCAGTATTCCACTTCAACATCTCCCCAGTGAAGCCTTCCACCAAAACTTCAGGACTCACCATCTCAATATGGGCTGCAGCCATGGAAGAACTCATCAGACCCGCGAATGGTGCCCGCAACTTTCGAAAGAATATCGAGAAGTTCGAGGGCCTTTCCCTACAAGACGCTACAGTCTCAAGGCCGCCGAGCAACAGATCCAAGATATCCATCCTCGACGACAACTCCGTTAGTGATGTGCAAAGTGAACCATTCACTCTTCGTCCGTCAGTGGGCTCTACTCAAAGCTCGGTTTCAGCGCAGCCGACTGCCAGAAAGCACAAACGTCATGATTCCACAGCCTTCCTTCAAAAGTCCTACCTAGCCGAGACCGCGTCGGCGTCGCTGCCAGACGATGCACGCGAAATCTTGAAAAGCCAGCCTGACAGGGAAGATCTGGCGGCAGTTCTGCAATATCTGCAGTATGGTATTGATGGAAGACACGACTTCAATGTGCGAGTACCTGGTCCGAAGGCGTCCCAGATCGTTAACGTAATGGTCACCGTCACCATCCCAGATCAGTGGCTACACTTGCGCCGCTCGGACCTAAGCAAAAGCGATGCGCAGATGAGAAGGTCCCTACTAAACTGCCTGAATAGCGTGGCGGGCTTGGGTGCCCTACTGATGCAGATCAGACGGGTGTTCTCAACGACACCAAATCACGAGAGTCCCTTACTCGATGATTTGATCTCGGTCCTCTCACTTATTCTTTCCGGCAGCCATGCATTACGGGGCTTCCTCTCCGATGCATTTAGCCTCTTCAAGACCGAAACACACCGGCGGGTTTTCTGGCAGGAAATCACATCCCTTTTAGCTGGCAGCAAAATCCTCTCGACAATGGCCCACGTCCTTGCATCCCTGCGTGACTCTGACGTCCGATATGAGGCAAGCGCCTGGCTTGGTGACGCTCGTCAGTACTCGCAATGGCTGGCAAGGAACATATCAACCGCTGCCGTCGATCTACACGGAGCCAATCAAGCGAATAGCGCGCAGGTGAACTTGCTCTGTCAAGTACTGAAACGCGGCCTCAGTCTTGGTTATCGCGGTATAACGACTCGTGTTGCCTCTGTTCGAATCATCCACTGACTGGATTTTAGATACACTGATAACTGAGCTTTATTCCTCACTTCTCTTAGGAAAGCGAGCATTATGGACGACGTTGCACAACTTGGTGCAGCCCTTACCTGCTTACGACCAGACCGGCCTCTTCGATGCCATACTCCGCGACCTAGCAAGAAGGTTTCTCCCAGGTACTCTTGGGACTGTGAAGGACCGGGCATCCTTGATGAGCAACTCCTCTACGATTGGGGCAGTGGCAGCCATGGTCAAGGGTCTCGTGCAAAACAATGCCATCCTTGAAGCACATGTGATTCAGTGGCTGACGAGTACGAATGGAGAATATGCTGGGCTTGGTCTCGACACCAGAAGAGCGGTTATTGCTACACTGGCGTCACATCAAGGTGAGTGCCCTCCTCTGCTCTCCCCCTGCTCTCCCTCTGCCCTCCCTCTGCCCTCCCTCTACTACTAGACATACGGCTAATATTTCTTAGACAAGCTCCAGGAAGTCCTTGAGAAGAGCTTGGAACGCTTTGGCAATAAGATACAGATCCAACATGATCCGATCGTACAGCAGGAGTGTAAGTAAACTCAGCGGTTTCCTGACAAACACATCTCCTCTTTCCCTGCCGTGGCAGAACCTGTGCTTACGTCTCTCCCACACTTCCAGCCACTGCCCAGACGATACTACTTGCTCTCGGCTACCTCAACCACTTGAACCCTCAAACGGTCAAGCAAATATCAAGCTCCAGCACCTTCCTACGTATGGTGTCCACTCGCCTCTCCGCGTCCGTACCTCGTGCAAGATTTTTGGGTATGATAGTGGCTGTGGCGATGTCAAAATCGATAGACAAGCCCGACAAGGTGATGGACTTTGGTGTAGAAGAGATACAAGGAGAAGACGCGCAACGATGGCTGGATCTTGTAAACATCCGGGACAGCATCGGGAGCCTGGCTGATCTGCCGAAAACAGAAGTACCGCCAGGGAAGATGAAGGCCACTTCACGGAGCACGAAACCTGCTCGCCCGAAAAGGGTATCCGTGACTTCTCAGCCTCATAGCTCGAAGGTCATCGCGATCGAAGAAGTTGACGAAACGGAACATACAGGCTCAGACGAGGAGGAGCTCGGCCTTCGTCCTTACGCGCGTCCTGACAGCGATCCTTCTGACTCGGACGATGATCCTACGCTCATCAATCGTAACAAGCCTTCCGCCCCGGTCTACATCACATCGCTGATCAAACAGCTCAATGCCAACGATGATCCGTCGACGGTGGAACTTGCTCTCAAGACAGCTCCCAGCTTGATCCGTCGGAAAGCCAACTTCGGCGATGAATTGTCGTCCAACATCATCCAGCTGGCGGCGATTCTCGTCAATCTCCAGGAAGGCATGTCGAAGGAGGAAATGCATCAATTAAGAATCGAGGCTTTGATTGCATGTTTAGTCGCTAAGCCTGCAGTCATGGGTCCCTGGCTCGCAGGCATGTACTTTGAGGGAGATCTCTCGATATCACAACGGGCGTCTCTGCTGACAGCCATGGGCCTCGGAGCACGAGAATTGGCGGGAATTGACGATGAGATCGAGAAGCAGCCCGTCTCTTCTCGAACCCAAGAAGGCGGTTCATCATTCCCGTCCAAGAAACTCCCACCACATCTCGACTCAACCTATGCCACCACATCCGCCATTGATATGCTCTCAACCACCCTATCCCATCGGACTCTGCAACCGATGGCCCTTGAAGCAGCCGACAAGGTCACCGGGCCGGACATCTTGAAAGTTCGCACGTTCTCCTCACGCATGGCCGTGGCGGCCAAAGAAGCAGCCAAAGCCGAATCCCGCTCCAAGCGCATTCCCAAAGACCTGCACAAGCTGCTCTCCGAGGCGCTGTACCTACCACTCTGCTCACGCCTGACGCTTCTCCTCTCGGCACTTTCCACCACTCCCTATCTCGCGAACTCAACACTCTTGCATCCCTCGCTACTGAAACTGAGCCTGCAGACGCTCGTCGTCCTCATTTCCACAATAGGTCCAAACGCCCTACAGCTACCAATGCTGACGCGCGAGTCTCTCCTCCTTCTGACGGAACTTCATACCATCCCATCACTGGCGCACGACCCGATCATACTTCCGCCCGCGCTTCACCTTCTACTGACGCTTTTGGACCTGAGTGTCGAAGCTGGCCCAACGGCAGAAGAACGCCTCGTCACAGATTTCGGCCATATGTTGGCAGAACTCGTTTCTTGGGCTGCCGGACTAGCGGAACGCGTTCCCATCACTGAAGTCGACGCCGATCCGGGTTTGGGCATGGCAATGCCCTGGACGGTGCTTGTTGCGGGAATCCAGGTCAAATGGCAGGAAATTGGTAGGAAATTTCAAGGACGAATGTTGGGGCTGATGGCAGGAACGGATTTCGATACCTTTTGATGTCTCGGGATTGTGGTGTGGGCATCAAATCATTCCTTGGGACAGTTCCAACAACTCGGATATCTAGGTACTCTGTAGATAGACCAGATCACTTCTCGGGTTGAATCCCTGCTGCCTTGGGCATCAGTATTCTTTCACAGGGTCTAGCTGGTGGCAGTCAGTTTGCTCCCTCCTGATTTACCTTTCACTCGTACCTCCTTACTTTCTCTGTCCGTAACCAGCAAGCCATCTTACAAAATAAGCGGCACCGCAAAATGATATAGGTGCCTACCTCTTAGGTAGGTAGTCCGTAAGGTCGATGCAGGAGGCGTTCTCCTGCAACGTACAGTACCTGCCGCCTCTTGTATACCTAACCTACGTACGTCCTCGGCGGTTTCGAGTGTAGTCTCCGCCCTCGCCGCCTTATATTGGGCGTCAAGCTGCTCTCGAAGTCCGTTCAGCTGATGATTAGATCCACGCGGGACGCTGCAACAGGTGTAATAGCCGGTATACGCCCCTTTGGCGCCATTGCCTATTAATCCTCAAGGAAGACTGCCGTGACTGCACAGCTGTGAAGCACTGCAGTACGTGGTAATATGCGTAGTACATCAAGGCTTTCGGTTGATTGATCGATTCGGTACTACCTAGGTACCTAGGTACCTAGTACGTACGTGTAATGTGGTCGTTCCCCGGCGAGCCACCTCAACAAAATAATAAGTGGCACCGCCAGATCTTGGTAGGGGCGCCCTTCACAACTTCAATGATAATAGGCGGTAACTACACCTACAGTACGTTGCAGGAGAACGCCTATTATACCTGGTATAAACCTTACGGACTGCAGTGCTTCCCTACCAGGTAGGTAGACACCTATATCATTTTGCGGTGCCACTTATTTTGTGCAAGCTGGCTCGCCGCCTTCATCTTCAGCTCCTCGAGCACAGCCGTGCACATGCAGTGCTCCGCCACAAAACGCGGCCTAAAGGCCCCCAAATCACCACCTTCAATGAGGTGCAGTGATTCTGGTTGACCGGCTTGCCATCATCCTGCTTGCTGTATTCTGGCAGCTGGTAACTAAAACAATCCTTCAGCTCACCTGTTCTGTCGCTCGATCTCTTCTATCTCTCGCTCTTGCCGCGTCCTTGTCCCTGCAGAATCCCGTCCACAGTGGCTCTCCATTGTTGTCTGCCTCACTCGAGCCTACCCCGCAACATCGCAGGATCCCTACCGTGTGCGGCTGTAGCGAACAAAGTGACTGCGCGATCGCCTTTACGCTGTCTCCCTCAATTATCTTCCCTCTGGCTCCTTCGAGACGACCAAGTAAACAATATCCTCCCTTCCTACGCCCTTGAAACTCGCCCGAGGCATCTTGACACACCAGGAAAGTCGGTGCGCAGGCACAGCCTGAGCAGTCGCAACAATGAGTTGTAAGTTCTTCTGCCCATTTAGAACATGAGCTGTTGGACTTCTTGCTGTGGAGGACTGTGCTCAGGGATGTTTACGTGGGAGCGTGGGGAGATGGTGCAGCGTCATGTCTTCATCCACGCATAACCTGTCCAGAATCCCGGGCTAATCAGACGACTTTTAGTGACGGGTATGTTGAACAAGCTGCAAGGCCAGCCTGAGAGTTACGAAAAGAAAGCACAATATCGATTTGGTAAGACTCTTGGAGCAGGCACATATGGCATCGTTCGGGAAGCCGAGGTCAACGGGGACAAGGTTGCCGTCAAGATCATCCTGAAAAAGAGCGTCAAGGGCAATGAACAAATGGTCTACGATGAGTTGAGGATGCTGCAGACTCTGGACCACCCTCATATTGTCAAGTTTGTGGACTGGTTTGAGTCAAGAGTAAGTTCTGAGAGGCTCCCTGGATCTCCTGAGTATTGACTCGATGATAGGACAAGTTCTACATCGTAACTCAGCTGGCTACCGGAGGCGAACTGTTCGATCGCATTTGCGACAAAGGCAAATTCACCGAAAAGGATGCATCGCAGACGATCAAGCAGGTCCTTGAGGCAGTCGACTATCTTCATGAACGCAATATCGTCCACAGAGGTGTGTATTGTGGTTTACTTTGAGACGCATTCTAACCACGCATCATTGCAGACTTAAAGCCTGAGAACCTTCTCTACCTGACCAGGGACCCCGACTCCCAACTGGTGCTTGCCGACTTCGGCATTGCCAAAGCGCTCGACGGCCCAAGTGCCGTTCTGACATCTATGGCCGGATCGTTTGGTTATGCTGCGCCAGAAGTCATGCTGAAGCAAGGACACGGCAAACCGGTTGACATGTGGTCTTTGGGAGTGATCACCTACACCCTCCTCTGTGGCTACTCTCCTTTCCGATCGGAGAACCTTACCGACCTCATAGATGAATGCAGAAGTGGTCGCATCATTTTCCATGAACGATACTGGAAGGATGTCAGCAAAGACGCCAAAGCCTTCATAATGACCCTCCTACAACCAAATCCCGACAAACGTGCCACCAGCAAAGAGGCGCTCAAACACAGATGGTTGACAGGCGAGACGGCTTCAGAACATGATCTCTTGCCAGAAATCCGGTCCTACTTGGCGAAGATGAAATTGAAACGTGGTATCGAATTGGTCAAACTGGCCAACCGGATCGAAACCCTCAAGGTGCTGGATGAAGAGGAGCCAGGCTCTCCCGACGCAAACGACATACCTGCGAATGCACAAAACGCTGCCGGATTGGCGGTCAAGAACCATATCCGAGGCGTATCTCCCGGCCGAGGTCTTACCACGAACGACGCCCCGGAGAAAAGAGCCATGAGTAACGCGGCAAAGAGTGCCATCTTCCGAGAGGTGGTTTTGGCCAAAGTGAGGGAGATGAAGGACAAGGAGCAAACCGACAAGCTGGTGGCTAAGGTCACGAAAGAGCACGAACGGAGAAAGAGCTTTTCCGGCCAGAAGTAGCCCACACTTGGGACTGGCGGGCTGCAAAATATGTGTATCCCGAGGATAGCGGCCGAGCTGATTTTCAGACCATGAGCTGATATGATACCCTTTCACTCGAAGAGACGACGATACCCTGATTGACGGACGATGCTCGTGTGTTTGGCCTGTTTTGATATCTGTCTGACGTGGGTTTCTGGGCTGCTGTGAATCGACTGCATTCAATTCATTCATTTGCTTTAGCGGAGAGTCTCTGAGCAGGCCAGATAGCGAAGATTCAAATTGATCATTATGAAGTAACCCGTCCCTTGAGCGTAAGTCCTGCAACAGCCTACAGAGACCGAGTTTCTCTTTGAGGAGAGTTGGCTCGATCAAATTGATCATTGGAGTGGAAAAGGGGGAAGGGGGTTTGCCCATCCCACTCAGCCTCGCCACCGAGGTTCTCCCGGACGGAGATGCCGAAAAAGCACATCATGTTCCCCAGTCTCGTAGTCTCTGTAGTATTCCGGCTGCGACAACGATCCTCATAAGCGCCCTCCTCAAAGTTATGTCCCGCTGACCGACAATGATACCTCAACGCGCTCTTCGACGTGCCTTTCAGGCCGTCGGTGTCTCCATTCCGGTTCGGCGGCTTACACCTCCTCGCCAGTCCTACTCGGTGCGCGCCCCCGCACACGGAGAAAGCAAGACCGCCGTGTCGCCGCGCTGGCTGAGCGACACGAAGACGCGGATCGGGAAATGCATCACGTTCGGCATGTCGGCGCCGCAAGTGGACGAGGCGGGCCAGATCCTGCGCACGCTCGGTCGAGAGTGGCGCGAACTCGTCGCCGGCAGCGAAGGGTTCCTGACCGACGAGACAAGAGCGGGCTTACACCGACACCAGATCGTCTGGGGCGAGCAGGACTCGATGGGCCACGTCAACAACGTCATGTACGTGCGGTACGCGGAGAGCGGGCGCTGCAACTGGATCCTCAACTACAGCGACCACGTAGACCCGGCGCACAAGCGCGCGTGGAGGGAGCTCGTCACGTCGCGCGGCATCGGCCTCATCCTCAAGAGCATCACCGTCGACTACAAGTTCCCCATGACCTGGCCCGACCGCATCTCGGTGTACCACAAGCTGCGGGCGCGGCCGGACGAGACCTCCGAGTCGCTCGTGCTGGATGTGCTCATCATGTCGGAGCGGCGGCAGCGGCCGGCGGCCCGGTGTTTCGAGGATGTCGTCGTCTATGACTACAGAGCTGGGAAGAAGAGTACGTTGGAGCCGTTCATGCTGGAGCAGTTGAAGAAGACTTTCGATCTGCAAGAGGCGGCCAAGAAGGAGAATCTTGCTAAGATTCAAGATCTGGAACAGAGGGTTCGACGGCTCGAGACTCAGACTTGGGATCGGCCTGATGCGAAGGAGGACTTTGGCAGTGCTGTCTGATGCAAGTCCAAGTCCTGGTTCCAGGCCAAGTTCCAGGCCAAATTCTGCTTCTGGTGCTGGTTTTGATGATGTTTCGTCTTGTACGCAACGGTCCGAGCATGACCGGAAGATCCGCAGAGGACCTTTGCGGCCACGATGAATGCCACAGCTGTATGTGGTATATGCGCATGTGAGGCCCATTCGCGAGTTTTGGACCTTCAATGGACAAGCGGCTACGCATCTCAGACTGTCGGAGCTCTATCGACATCCGAACGAATGGAAAACTATGCATTGAACGTCACCTCTCTAAGACACCAGAAACTCGATTTCCTGACCTTCATCCGCCTCCTGCGCAGCTTTCCTCAAAAGCCATGCAGCAAACTACAGCGCACGAACTACCACTCGACCGCACAGTTGTTTCTGCGGCCTCTTGTCAAATAACATATCGCACACCCTTGAAATCGAAACAGGTCCAGGTCCAGATCCATCTCTTGTGGCTTTCAGTCTCGGCAGAGATGTACAGTACCATACTATACAGGGTATCGGTCCGCGTGATCAGGTTCGGTAACACCCGCCCTTGCAGGGACACCTGGCCTTCTTTCTCGAGCAATTGCGCCAAAGACGAGCTTACGCTCCTCAAGCTTCATCACAGACACCGTCTGTACCTTCGGCCTTCCGGATCAGGACCGGGATAGAACCCGCACATGCTCAGCTCGCAGTTCTCAGCTCGTTGATATCCACAAGCTGGTGCCAACTTTTATCATTTTATCACTGCCGAAATCACCCCAGCTCCGGTTGGTCAGTAAGGGGGAGATTTGAGCAAAAGTTGCATGACAGATATCTATTCGTTCATCGCAAGAGGTGAATGTGTGGCATCTTTGACTGCATCTGTGCGAAAGATGGTGTGTGCCCTTCTCGGGGAACAAAAAGGAACGACGACTACAGGTGATTTGGGAGAAGAACAGAACCAAACGCCTCGGTTGCACAGGGACGGTCTCTTCTAGAACGACCTGAAGCTCGGTACTCTTGACACTGCAATGCACTGGATTTGGAAATATACATAGAATGAAGAAAGAGGTCAGGAGACTGGAGATTTGAATACACATGAAATGAACCACCTGTCCATCAACGACTGCACGCGTACAAGAAAGAGAACATGCGGATGGCAAGACATCAGACTCCAGCACGCTATACGGCCTGGAGACGTCTGAGAAAGAGTCATACAGGAGAGAGATAGAGAGATCCGAGTCCTCTGAACACCACATTCGAGAGCATTACCAAGCGAAGGTCGTTTGCTTTGTCCAGAATTACACCTATTGATACACGCACACTCAGAGAACCTATTGGTCCCTGCCCGTTACTGATAGTCCGGTTTCATTTCCCTCCCAATCCAGGTCACCATGTTCCTCCTGGATCCATGGTGTATCCAAGAATACCGCCGCCACCATCACCAGCATCACCACAGGTGTGTCTATACCCGACTCCATCCCGGAGCCCTCCCGTACAACAAGACATGTAGTTTGAAATTTCCAATAAGAGATGAAAAGCATTCGGGGCCAGTTACTCTTCATGGTGGCTTCGTCTTTTGATACTGCCGAATCTCTTCTTCAAGCCACCACTCAGCCTTTTGCTGATGCTGCCACTGCGGCCCATCTGCCCCGAGCCATTGTCCCAGCTGGAGTCCGCTGTGGCGATGGCACCACTGCTGCTGCGATGTCTGGACTGCAGTTCGATGCCCTCACTTCCGACACCATCGTCACGGATCGAATGCTCTTTCAAGGCCTTCTCGATGCTGTAGCTGGGCTCGCCTTTGCCTTTGATGTCCTCGGGAAGATATGGGATCCCGGGCCATCGTTTGTAAGCGCCGCCGCCGGGACTGTTCTCGACCATCATATTCTCGCCTTCTTCGTATTCGTACGAGTTACCCATGGGGTCCTCAAATCCTGGCGGGTAAGCTGCAACGCCATCAAGAGGTCGATGGCGCACGACACTGTCAATGATTTTCTCTTTGGGGGTGGCCTTGAGAGCTTCGGCGTTGGAGTCGGCCACGGCGGCAAGAGGCGAATTGGAGGAATTGTTCCGGGCATACAATGTGGCATCGTAGGGACCTCCGTGATGCCATGCAGAACCTCCGCTGTCGTCCAAGCTGTCGATCACATCTGGCTGAATGTGATGTTTCTTGGTGGCATGACGCGCGCGGTCTGCGACAGCCTTCTCTTTCGCCAATTGATCCAATGGCCGGTGTGACATGTCGCCGGGATACCGCTCGGATAGCGAACTTCCCCTGCGTCGGCCGCTTCCTGTAGACTTGTCGCCAAAAGCCTCCTGTCTGTGACTTGGAGACCGAGGTGACTGGGGGTTGGAAGACTGCCTCATGGTCGGCGAAGCCACTGGAGATCGGGGCGAGGCGACTAGGCTTGCGCGGCCATGGCTGCTGGTGGGACTGTGCAGCGAAGCGCTCCGTCTGATCTCGGTCGTGGTTGTGGTAGATAGAGAGTTCTTGCGGTATGGATTGTTCTTCGAGAGCCGCCGACCCGAAGCAGTCTTTGAGGTGCTGGGAGGTGAAGCAGGGACCGCAGAGACAGTAGTACCTGGTCGGAAAGTGTTGCCTGGGCCATCCTCTTGCGATGGTTCAGGCGCATTCAAGGGGTCAAGAAGATATTTGTTCGCCTGCGAAAGAAGAGGTCAGCCTTCCGCAGCGACGTTCAACCGGGTTTGGTTGGAACACGGTGTGTGCGGTGACGTACCCATTCCTTGTCGCTTGCGGTCTCCATCTTGAACCCGGTCGCCGCAGTGTACGATGTCCTGCGCGAGTAGCGGAAAGGGTGGACAAGACAGCGTCGGTGGTAAAAAGTATCGATATATGGTGAGGAGGACGAAGAGGGTGGTGGTAGTGTGAAGAGTAGAGAGGATGCTATCTCACTCAGCTCATGCGATGATGAGAGGGAAGAGAAGGAAAGAAGTCATAGGCTCCACATCAACCGGAGCATGGCGGGCAGATGGCAGGTGGGCAGCGGGCGTGTGTACACGAGCTCCGAGTCTTCAATGATGGCTCCTCCACATAAAATGCCTCCATAGCCGCAACACAGTGTTAGTAGCACACGGGTAGAGAGTCGAGAGCAGCCTTTGTGTGGTGGTGGACGGAGGAAGGTAGCTAGCGACTAGTGAATGGATTGCCGGGTTAGTCAGTGGTGGTACGTATTGCTCCATCATGCTGGTAGGTCGATGTCATGGTGGATTGAGGAGTGGGTTGTTAGTGAATGTACTAGTACCCTAATAGGTTTAACTAGTAGCCGCTAGCATTAGGTACCACTACAGGGTTTTGACCAGCATCTAACATATAGACACACCTAAAATACAATAATAAGGGTCGAGGTTCAATCGTGCCAGGTACCGCATGCACATTGCTGCATAAGGCGCAGGCGCAGGCAGACCAGGTACAGAGAGAGACCTGAACCGTCGTCCCTTCAAGTCTACTGCATTTGACGCGTATACCACTGCACACCCACAGTTTACGAGACTTCTGTGCAGTTCATTCCTCAGCTTCAGGGTTGTTTCTTCTACTTGGCCGATTTGTGCGCTGATATAAGCAGTCTCCGGTGTCCCGTCGGAAGCCAGCAACGTCACAAAACTTTAACATCATCACCTCGGATTTTGCAGGGATCTCTGAGACATTTTGACCTCGTCACCATCATCCTTGTCTGCACATCCTTGTGCCTGGGATCCGTACAAGCCTTGTCACAAGAAAGGCTGTGATTTTCACGGCCTCGACGGGTAGTGACGTTCTTCAGGACGCGAAGGTAAGCCACCTTGATGGCTTCGTGGGAGATCAAGGCAGAAGGCTGGCACAGCTTACAGCTTACCTGCTCGTTGCCCGTAGAGCTCTACAGTCCTCGTGTACACACTAATCACTGTAATTCTTTAACATCTTCGAGAGCTCAACACAATATACCTGGCTATTTTACTGGCCTGCAAGCCAAGCTGGGCTACCTGCACCTGCTCGAATGATGAATCCCCAGTATTCGGCCTCACTCCAGATGCCAACTCGAATTGATGTCCCAACACGTGCCTCGTCTTGTGTAGAAACCTAAAATGTAACGACTTGGGAACCATTGTAACTTCCCATGAATAGAAGCGATCCTGACCTTTGTCAACATAACAGTCCAACGCCAAAATTCACCAACGCCGTCATCAGAGCTCTCGCCTAAAAGTCCATCTTGTACTGATATTCAGTTCCTACCTTGCCCTAAATCCCACTTCTTCCAGGTTCACAGCCTGCTCCACGCCGGCCCTTTATCCATAGCAGGACGAGGAACAGAGCATACGATCAACCACGCCTCTTCCTTCCGGGGCGGATTACTGTAGAAGTCCTCCCCAACCACCACTGCGACTAGCAGCATGCCTTGTTTTCCCTGACACTCAACCCCGGCGATGCTGGTCGACTACACAGACTCGGAATCGGACTCCAATTCGATTTCAGACGCCGGCCAGACCGAAAAATGTAACCACGACAAGCAGAACGGTAGTGGCGACAGGACTAGAAAGCGCAAGGCTCAAGGAGAACAAGGAGATAGAGATACAGAACCCGTCCGAGCCAAAGTCAAGTCGAAGCCGCCTCCACAACTTCCATCCTCCTTCCACTCACTATACGCCACGAACGTGAGGACTTCGGCTACAGACGATCCCTCGCTGCACGCCGGAAGAACGCGTCAAGTCCCTCACGTCGTCGGGAATTGGCCGACACACGTCTATCTGGAATGGTCTCCCTCCAAATCCGAGGTCGAGATCCTTGACAAATTGCTCAAGAGCGCAGAAGCTGCTCTACAGTCAATGTCGAGCCATAGCATCCAAGACGTCAAACTACACAGCTTCCTACGCTCAGAGTTGGGAGCCCTACTGCCCCTTCACGTCAGTCTATCCGCCCCCCTAGTATTGAAGACGGAGCAGAAAACCGTGTTTCAACAAAGTCTGGTCAACAAAGTGACCAACAGCCATCTGAAGCTGAAGCCATTTACGGTCGAAGTGGTTGGACTCGACTGGGTCGCCAATCAGGATCGGTCGAGGTCCTTTCTGGTTTTGAGGCTCAGCAGGCCTGAGAACGATGAGTTGAACACGCTCTTGTCAGCGTGCAATGGCATCGCGCGACAGTTTCAAGTCCCCACGCTCTACGACGACGCTGATGATGGAATATCGAAACGCTCGCGCCGAAACGTTGATAGGTCGGGCGCGTTTCATATCAGTATTGCTTGGACTTTGCAGGTGCCGGACGATCAGAAACAAAAGCAACAGCAAGTCAGGGATCTTGGGGTGGATGAATGGCGTGGACTAAAAATCAAATTCTCGCTTTTGAAGCTCAAAATCGGCAGTTCTGTTACGGACATTCCGTTTGTGAAACGTTGAGACCTGAGACAAAAGGAGAAGATTAAATCTTCGAGCTGATGGGGCCCCTTTTGAGTTGCTCGAATCGATGTACAATCACTGGCATGATGACTACTCGAAGATTTGTCCGAGTTTTTATTGTCATGCTGCTATCTGTGAGCGTGCAACTTGCCACCTCGGCCACCCCTGTGCTGCTCATGGCTTCCTTACAGTCCTCCGCAGCTGGCCATTCACATCCCCTGGAGAAGTACATGTGGCTTGCTGGGGCGGACTTTCTGCCAGAAACCCCATCGTCTTGTCCTTGATCTGATGACTTTGAAAAGTGCTTCTTCGGATGTCGCCGAGTTCTGAGAGTGGCCGGGGAGTCTGTCGTGCGACCTTCTTTAAGGCCTTCATAGTGCCGAGTTGGCATACCTTGCTGGCCACTGTATCCCGTATATTCTTGGAACGGGTGTGGTGATCATGCGCATCCCAGCCCCAACCCCAAAACCAGCATGAGCGGTGAATCGGAGTCTCAACTCATGGACATATTCCTCTTCCATATGCACTCATATGCAGACCATGGCGGCCTGGTGTGATGGCCTGGTGGTCAGATGCATTGCGTTGGCAGTTGCGGTGCTGTCCGAGTCGTTCGCTGGTCCCAGCCAGGGCCCGACAGATATGGATGATGTAGCTGTGGACATCCAATATCCAACAGACGACGATCAACTTTTGAGCAATTTGTTCCTTTTCTCTCTCCGCTTCCTCCTCTCCACCAATTTCTTGTGCATCTTCTCGGCCATCTTTTCGTACCGTTCCTTTTCTTCCTTGGCCTTTCTCCGATCTCTGATGACCTGTATTCGGTGGGCCCGTTCTTGCTCCTGCTCGTCTTTCAGTTCTTGTTCTTTCGCTTTTATCGCCCTTTTGATCTCGTCTTGTTCTTTTCTTTTGGCGTAGGATGTCTGGCCTGCCGTTGGACGGAACGGCTTCTTTGGAGCATGCCAGTTCTTGCCTACACATAGATTAATATCAAAGAAGTAGTATGCAGGTCGAATTTCGTCTACCATTGACACGCATGCCGGGTTTTTGTGCGGTTTGTGCCGAATCAGCAGGAACCGCAGCGCTTGTTGAACCTGCGGCGGCCTGAGGAGCGGTCGTTGTATCGACAGACATTGCGACTGGCCTCTGTAGAAATGGATGACTAGAGTTATACAATCCAGACGGGTATCAGGGAGACCGTGGTATACTAGTATAGCACAGTGCAGAAACCCCGTAGCACCGTCGACAATAATGTCCAGTTCAAAATAGTTCAAGTTTGACTGCAACCACTCGAGGGGCTAGTCCGAAGCAGCAGAAATTGTTAATCTAATCTGATAATAATCTGATAATCATTATCTATCTTAGCGTACATCAGTGTCTGCGCCATTCCTAATCCATCCATTTTTCTCCGATCTTTGAGACGCCGTTCAAGTTACTCACTCACTCTCCGTCCTATGCCCGCCCCTCGTTCCATCCTCGTGCGTCCCCAGAAAAAAAATAAGGTCCAATGTGACAAGCTGAACTCGCGACATCGGTGCAAATTTTGTCTCTCAAGCATCTCTAGCATGCATTGGCGGTGTCAATCGGACCATTCACAGTCTATCATCGTGCATGAAGCCTTGATTGCTTCCAGTTTCGAGTGAAAACTGCCGGTGAACCCAACTCCCAGTCTCGCCTCTCCACCGCATCGACACCGCCTCGCGCACTCTTCAAGAAGGCCCTCTTTCCCTCTATCATTGCGAGGGTCAACCTTCCGCATATCGCAACATGCCCCTACAATAGCATCCTTCCTCCTTACAGTCCGGGTTTTGGTCATCGTCCATCGATTTCATTCCTCTGCATGGCAGTCTTCAAAGATGAGCTGCCGACTGTCAACGGCCTCGAGCCGGTCCACCAGCCAAGCCCACCCCAAGCCGAGGTGCTCACCCCGCCAAATCAGAGCGTCGAGGCGCTGAAGGACATTACATTTGGGTCAATAGCAGGGATACTGGGCAAGTTTGTGGAATACCCCTTCGACACGATCAAGGTCCGGCTACAGTCACAGCCAACAGAGTCTGGGGCCCCGCGGCTTCGAGGACCCCTCGATGCCTTCTCCGCTGCGTTTCGGGCGCCTGAGGGCCCGTTTGTGTCCCTCTACCGAGGGATCAGTGCGCCATTGCTCGGAGCGGCGATTGAGACATCCTCGTTGTTCTTCAGTTACCGGATTGCCCAGGACATAATCATTGCCAACACCCCATCCCTCCGCGCTCTCCGCGACCAGAACAACGGCAAGGTCAAGCTGGATTTTCCTTACCTTGTCGGATGCGGCGCTGCCTCCGGAGCGTTCACGTCGCTCCTCCTCACGCCGATTGAGCTGGTCAAGTGTAAAATGCAAGTCCCCGTCCCGCCGTCCGATCTGGCCGCACAATTGGGCTACAATATAACCCACCCACCTGGACCTCTAGCCCTGATCCGGACAATATTTCGAACCCACGGCATTCTCGGTTTCTGGCATGGTCAGTTAGGGACTCTGATCCGTGAAACTGGGGGCTCCGCTGCCTGGTTTGGCTCCTACGAGGGAGTGAAGATGCTCTTTTCCAAATACGATCCGTCTGTGTCGCAGTTGTCGGACGTCAAGATCTGGCAGCAGATGTGCGCCGGCGCCGCTGCTGGCATGTCATACAACTTCATTTTCTACCCTGCCGACACGATCAAGTCTCGGATGCAGACGAGCGTCGCCGAGAAATCAGTCATGAACAAGATGACTTTTGCATCTACCGGACGGGAGTTGTGGCGCGAGCAAGGACTCAAGGGGTTCTATCGCGGCTGCGGCATCACTGTTTTCCGAAGCGCCCCGAGCTCGGCAATCATCTTTAGCATTTACGAGACTTTGAGGCGGTATTTTGGGTAGGCTTTTGCCATGGCTACCACACTGTCGATCCAGTTTGCGGCATAGGCGCGATGAGTTGGTTTGAATGAACTAGCATGAACACAAAACTCTCTCAACGCCTCTGTGGAGAGGCGGTATTTCATTCCTCAAGAAGCGGTGTCCCTTGAAGAGTGTGTTCATAGAAACGAAAGAATGAAGCAGTGCGCTTTCAGCTGCTGGTATGAGGTGCGTGGATCAGTCGGACAACAGTGCACCAAATATTTGATGCTGGCTTCGTGGCCGACACGGAGCTGGTCCATTTCCAGGGCTCCTCAGATAGGGGTCTGTTGATGCCAAGCGGTCGACATCAACCCACCGCCTTCTGTGTCTCTGGAAAACAACGTATGAGGCGAAGAAACATGAACTATCCACGGTGTCGGGTATTCAACTTGCACACAGGATGAGGCGTCGGCGTTGCATGTCTCATCCTATTCACCATCTCTCGGAATCATGTCTCGGGGGGGAAACAACATCGGCAGCATCCGCTGTTACACCTTTGCATTTGCTCTCGCGTCAGCATGTTCTGTGGAATTTATTACAGTGCTGAAGTGTTTCTTTTGAAGTTGGATGGAGTCCTCATTAGACAGCATATAGAGATGAAGAGCATAGCATAAACTGGTTGTGTGCATGCACGGATGGTCGAATACCTGGGGCATACCAGGTGTTTTTCACACGAAAAGGGACATGGGATATGGCACATGGCACATGAAAACAACGCAATGCAGATCAAATCCATAGTCGAATCTTCTCCTGTCTCCTGTTTCCATTTGAGCTTCTGATTTCCATGCTGATCTGCCGATTCGGTCTTTCAGGGGAACCTAGCCTTGCCCACGCATGGAGGGTGGTGGGTACGTAGTAGCCTCATGCAGCCCGGAAAGGGACAATATTAATCCGGCACCGGCCACACGAGGCTGAGTGAGAATAGGGGGTACGCCGGCCATATCAGAACCCTCCCACCTGGTTTTCATTGACGAGCTCCCCATTTCTGGTGGTACTCTGTGTAGTTGTTACCCATGGCACGTTACGGATAGCCATATCGGAAAAATCTACTTCATCTTATTAACGAGCTCCCCAATACTAGATGTAGGAGTAGTTGTTACTTATGGCACCCTCTCTTTCTTCATCACCGGCCCCGGCCAATCCTATTCGATCTTGCCGAAACCCTCCCGAACCATAACAAAAGTACCATGGTAGCTCAGAACGTTGTCCGCAATATAGCAAGAAGTTGTCATAACGTTGTCAAGAAGTTGTCCGCAATAGGACAACTTCTTGCTATATATGCCACAAACAGCTTCCTACGCCTGCTACGGGGACAGATTCTTGCTATGGGGCGGACACTGGTAGCGTAGGAAGTTGTCCGCAGTATAGTAAGAAGCTGTCCTATGGCAGTATAGGAAGTTGTCCATAATAAGTATAGTTGAAGTTGTCCGCAGTATAGCAAGAAGTTGTCCTGTGGGAGTTAAGTATAGCAGAAGCAGTCCGTGGTATACATAGTAGAAGTTGTCTGTGGCATAGCAGAAAGTTGTCCCTGGTATTGTAAGAGCCTTACAGCTGTCTATGGGATGACAGGAAGCTGTCCATAGAATCCCATGCTAAAAAGACTGCCCAGATACCACGGGGCAAGGAGAATTCCGGTTTGAATTCAGATTCAGTAGAGGTCAGGCACATCGAAGAACGCTTTTGGTCTAATAGTAAGGTAACTGTCGACAACACGCTTCCTTCCAGCACCTATGCAACCTCCGCATGGATGGAAGGCTGTTGAATTGCCTCCGGCATCAAATTTTCACCCGATCTGAACTTGCATGCGCATTGAAAGTTGTCCCGGCCCACTTCTCGCTTGACTAGATCTCTCCGTCACAGCAGGTGTAAGATTGTTCTCTAATAAGCCCTGCATCTTCGTTTCCCTGTACACACGGGTCTGAAGCTGTCCCGATGAGAAACCCCAAGCACAAAATCGGCGAAATGTTGGCCGACTCACTGTTTCTGCAGAGACATTAGAAGAAAAGTCAAATAACGGGACGGGGAAGAGCATACTCACCAGTCTCTTCGAAGACCGTTTGACTCTGATTGTGTCTGTACTCTGCGCTAGAAGGTCGTCCGTAGTAAGACGGCATCTTGTGAAAAGCTAATTCTTCATTGTCAGACTGCTGTCTCGAAGCCTCTCCCCTACCACGCCTCATCCACTTGTTTTTTCTTTCCCCCAAACCCCTGTTGCTGTCCATACTGTCCATGCTGTCCATGCTGAGGCTGCAGATGCTCAGTCGTTTGGCATTCCGACATCACCTCTATTGTCGCCCGAAGGGAGGTGGAAGATCTGCGTCCTTGACCATCCAAACCTCAGCCTTTTTCAGAATCTTCTGCATTTGGTAGTTTTCACCATCTTCGTTCCCACTTCTCACCACCATCGGCTCGATCACCATATCAATTGGCTGACCGTCAATGTCAATATCATCTGGGTCAAGACCATCTTCGGCATTTCGATCTTCTTTCAAACCCATGGCGCGGTGAGCGCGAAGTTGTGGGTGATCCAAAGAGAAGCACGCATCCGCCAACTCGGGCAGAAAGCAGACTTGTATTTCCGGGTTTTGTGTGGCGAGGGAGGTTGAAAGTGCCATTGATGCTTCAAAGATGGCTTGAAGCTGTTTACGTCGCATGATTTCATACTTCTGGTTACGTACAGCTCCCAAGACTGTCTCGAAACGGCCTAAGAAACAAGAGACCATCTCGTTACACACAGATCTGATTGAGTCTTGCGTGTCTGGCGCAAGGTCGGGCAGAGAATCTCGCTCTCTCTCCTCAAGAACAGGCGCACCAAGAGCACGGAGGATGTTTGCTCTCAATATACTACCCTGTTCTAAGGATCCTAGAAAACACAGGTTAGTACAATGTGTTCCGTTCAAAATAGGAATGGAACACCCTTTACCCTGCTTGGCCTTTTCAATTACCCAGTCGAGCGCTGTTTCGACATCGCCTTCTCTGCCATCATCATGCAACTTTCCGAGGCTGGCGAAGGGACTCTTGAATGTTGCAGAGCAGAAAAACTCATTCAGAATTTTGTTCACCACAATCCACACGGGCAAGCGAGCCGCTTCAATGGCGTAATGAACTTCTGGCGTCGCATGGTGTATCAAGCCGTGTTTTCCAGGTTCTTCCGCAGCTCTCTGCAGCTGCCCAAGGTCGACACTGGTCCATGCTCTCTGGGTCCAGGCCTTGCTCCACTTTCTTGATTCGTCAAATATCTTTTCCAGGGCTGTGATGACCCAACGGTCATTGTGAGCAGTATGCCGTTTCCCCAAACGTTCCACCTGCTCGGCTTGCAGCTTCTGAAGGTCCTCTTTGAGGCCGATGTTTTGAACTTCGAGATCTTCGATTTCGCCTTCGAGCTGGGCATTTCTGTTCTTGGCCTTCATTTCCTTTTCTCTGAGCCGCTCACACCTAGCATCTGATTCCAACCGCTTTGTCCTGAGTGTCGCAAATCTCTCTCTGCTTCTTTGAAGATCTTTCTGAGACTTCTCGAGCTTATGGTTTGCCTCTTCCGCCGACAATACTCGCCGAGCTCGCCGCTTCTTCTTGGGAGACTCGCGCCCTTCTGTGGTTTTTGTTTCCCTGTTTGCAGGGCGAGGGATCTGCACCGCGCAATTACCCTGCTGCTTCTTTCCAGGCGTAGACTTCGGCCGCTTCTTCGGCGGAGTCTCGTCCCAGTCCGGATCTGACCCCTCGTTCCCTTCGGGGCTATCGCTATCAGTGTTCATGGAAGATTTCTTCTTGTCGTAGTGGTATTCGGATTCTGCGATGGTGAACCCGACATGGAGGGCGGGCGTAGTGGCTGCATTCGCTTCTGCTTGGTTTGTTCTGGGGCCGGGATCGAACGACGTGCTGCAGTAGTCAATTCATTGTCTTGATTTTTCGCCATCTTGTCGTCAGACCGGCGGTTCTAGCTTGCAAACCGCGAATCTCTAGGACGTAAAGCTCGGTTGAAGTCCAAATCGAATAAGCTGTGTCACGATGACTTCAGTAGTTGAGTCCCGGAAGACAAGCTGCTTCGGTCGAACCTAAGAGGAAAATGAAGTCAGTAACAGAGAGTTGCGATGCACATGCCACCAGTGATGAGATAGGAATGAGAGTTGGAGTGACTATAGGTCTCGGAGCACGTGAAAGTCGACGAGGCTGAGGTATATATACGCCGTCCTCAAAGCGAATTCTCTCCTTCGATCCTTCTTCCTTTCCTCATCTCACCTTGAACCGGCCACTCAAACACCTCCAGCTACCACGGTATAGCACCAATAAGGCCACAGCAACTGAACCGAATCTTCGCTTGCTTGCAACCGAACCTGTCTGCAGTCATGGACCGCATGGAGAACAAGCTTGGTGTAAGGGACAGTAGTCCGGTCGATGAAGACAAAGGCGGAACAAGAAAAGCCAAGGTCAGCGCAAGGTCGTTGGGTGCTCAGAAAAGGAAACGCACAGGTAAGGTCGAATCCAGGGTTGCCAACGTCGAGGAGCAAGTTCGCTGATCCCGTGAAGCGCAAGAGCCTGATCCGGCAGCAGAGGAGAGGAAGAAGGCGGCAAAAGAAGCTCGAGAGAAGAAGCTTGCAGAAAAAGATGTCAAGGTCATCGTCGCTGTCGACTTCGGGACCACACATACAGGTATCTGCTCCCTGCCAAACCACGCTGAATGATTGCTAAATTATCAGGAATCGCCTATGTCAGCAGCAATAAGACGTCCCATGATGTTGACGTGGTAAGATCATGGCCTGGGGGGCAGAACGAGATAAACAAAAAATGTCCAACCCGGATCGCTATCGGAGAAGAAAATGGGTTCACGGAGGACAGATGGGGATTTGGACTTTAATCTTTGATTATTCATCAGTTGCTCAAGCTTCTTCTGGATGGAGCTACCTCGAAGACCGATTTCGACGATGAGCTGCTCCTGAGATGCATTGGCGGCGTGTTAATGAGCTTACCACCAGACAGAACTCCGAAGGAGTTGGCAGAACGTTTTCTGAAGTGCGTCCACAACCATATCGGAGATCGTCTGTGCAGAGAGATTGGCAGAAACGCCGTGGAGCAGACCAGCTTTCGATATGTGATCACTCTGCCCGCGACTTGGAGCCCTGCTGCCCGTGAAGCCACTCGCCAAGCAGCACGAAATGCTGGGTTTGGAAGCCGCGAGAAAGACGAACTATTGCTCGTCGATGAACCCGAGGCCGCTGCTGTAGCGGCGATCAAGTCAGTGACCGCATCGTTTGATGTCCATACCTTCCAGGTAAGCGTAGCTTTGAATGATGGGGTCACACAAACTGACCAACTGCAGCCTGGCACATGTGCAACGATTGTGGACATCGGCGGAGGAACAACTGATCTGGTCACATACAAGATTGTCAAGACTGACCCGTTGAAGCTGGGAGAGGCATGCGTTGGACAAGGTAAGCTCCGTGTTCCAGGTCTCGGTGCAAGGCTGATGCAGTCAGGGGGTAAGTGCGGCGCAACCGCTATCGAACGCGCCCTCCACGGCCTTCTTGAACATCACTTCGGTGCTGCTTTCTCCGAGCTTGCTGCCACCAAGATTGGTGCAGGGAGTAAGTTCATGGAAGCATTTGAGACTGTCAAACGAGGGTTCGAGGGAGTCGTCAATGGCAAAGTCTATGAATTGCCTCTCTGGATGGCGAAGGTGAACATGGAGAGCTCGGAAATGAAAGAAAGGTACAACGCAGAGGAGCATCTGGTCCTTCTCAAAAGGTGAGTACAGCTTTAGCATCAGTGATCCAGTCGTGTTGCTTCAGACTGACAGAGACCAGTGAAGAGCTGGGGGTTCTTTTTGAACCGGTGCTGGAGAAGGCCTTCGAACTGGTCAAAAAGCAGATCAAGAGAACCAAGAAAGCCAAGATGCCAGCAGTCAAGGTAGGTCACAGGCAGACCATTCTCCCAAGCTACAGCTCACATCATCACAGACGATGGTGCTCTGTGGCGGATTGGCTTCATCCACCTATGTTTGTACCAGGTTCGAAGACTTCATCAAAACTCTCAGAGGGGAGAACATTGAGCTTGTCGTGCCCAAGAAATCATGGTCAGCCATCGCTCGAGGAGCAGCGATCTGTGGTCTAGAAAACTCTCCGGTGCTTTTCCGGAGATCGCGAGACCATATCGGCTTCTGCGTCCATGTGAAATTTGACGAAGACAAGCATGAGCTCGAAGATCTATTCGAATGTCCGGTCCGTGGACCCAGAGCCATGAATCAGATGCGCTGGGATATCGCAAGTGTACAAGGCATGCCCACCCCTTTCTTGAGAACTATCTGACCAGACACCAGGGCGACGAGATCTCTTTGGGAATGAAGAAGCGGTTCAGAGCCTATGTCGTGATTGACAAAGCCGAGGCTCGGAAAGACGAAGTGCTCATTGATCAGACCATCTATAGGTGTTCGAAGAAGAAGGCGCCCAGCCGGATGGGTCCTTCTGGTGAGCTCCCCTCTGGCCCGATGATGGAAGATGTACTGACACTGGCCAGTCGTGAAAATGGGAACGATCACGATGAACCTCACAAAGTTCGTCAAGGAAGAACGCGTTCGCATCAAGAAGCAGACGAACAAATTCCCAGAACACCACTCCTACGACATCGAGATCTTGGTGACTACCAGCTCGTCGAAAGGCGTATTGGAGGTAACCTCGAAGATCGGGCGACGCAGTATTGGATCCACCACCATCGAGTATGAGGCCGATCCAGCTTGGAAAGGATCTCTGGTCACAGGAGATGACTGAGAAGAGGATTGAATGCTTAGGCGAGAGCATGGCAGCTGGTATATGATGGATGATGATGGGAGGATGAGGGGATGGGAAAGATGCGATACATCAAGCTCGAGCTGTTGGTTCACTGCGCCTCCATTGGACGGAACTGTTGCTTGGCATTCATCTATTCCGCTGCGCAGCCTGAGCCTCGCAGCCTGTTGGCCCGCTGCTGCTCTTACTACTAGTACCTATTCAACGACAACATTATCTCGGGGGCTGAATCTATCCACCAGTCTTTCTCGTCTCAGCTACGGACCATATGAGCATATGAAGCAACAATGAAATTGGGCATGTCTACAGTTGCCTCTCTGCATGTCCTGGCATGAATAATGACGCCGTACCCATCCTCTCGCCTGGTTCAGAGCAGGGCACACTGCGCGCCCGAGATACGAAGACCGATCACATTGACTCCCTCCTGCACACGCTCGATAGCCTGATTTTCCTGCAGCTGGGCATCTTGTATTTCTGCGACAACCTCACGTTCCTCCTCTTTCTACGCGCCTTTTCGCAGGTCCTCCACGTGCGACAGCCAGAGGCGCTACAATTACCTCCGGTCGTGTTCGCCAACCTACTGTGTTTCGGAGCTCATCTTCTACAACAGAGACCCGGGGCCAAGTACATCCATGGCGGCTTGTTGATTGATTTTGTCGGCGAGTTTGCGCCTTCAAAATGGAGGATTTTATTATTGGATCTGGTGTTATTCGGGCTGCAACTACTCATGCTGGTGGCTGGGTATGAAAAAACGACCATTTCAGGAGGATCACGGGTGCAGGAAGCACGACCGCCGCAAGACCTAGAAAGTGAAGAGGCTGGTCAACTTCGGGCGAGAGACCAACCATCCGAAAGCGCGGACGGCATCGAACTGCAAAGTCTTTTACCCTCTCGAGCGAGCGAAGACCACCTTGTCGCACCTGGCGCGTTGAAAGCGGGCAATGTCGAAGAGGACGAACTGATAGTGCTGGACATACGAAAAGGAGTAAGGGCTCTGCTAAGGCGACCTCCACAGCCTGCTGCGCCCTCAACCATGGACAGCCCAGCGGCTCGCGCAGGGTTTGCGAATATGCTGGCAAGGATCGCGGCAGCAAGGGCAGCGACCGGTTGAACCACGCGCCGGGGCGCTTGGATACGAAGCGACAATCTTCAAAAAGGGCCAGACTTCCTGCCGGAGTTCATAGATGCGGCGGGCATGCAGGACGCATGCTCTAGCACCGTTGCTCATTCTCGTGTCAATTGATGCAGATGTGCGATCATGGATCTTGTAAATACTTCCCATGCCAAAATGGCTTTTACGTTGTCCCAAAGCTTTACACCTAGTACCCCGTTGAGCCCGATTTACCTTGCACCTCCTCGTGGTACGTGAACTGCATCGGCCCCGTCATCGAGAGATAAATGCTCCGCATCCCAATGCTTCACCGTAGTCTAACCTGCGCTTCCAACGGCAGACTGAATTGACTCTCACAGCCCAATTCTCATACTCTCTCTCCTCTCAACGAGACAACTTTCTTTCGCTGTCCGTTCACAAGATGCGGCAGATACTCCGCGCCGCTCCTCGGCTTTCAGCTCGTGTCTCTGCGCAAGCTTGCGGAGGGATTCTACAGCAAAATGGCAGCCAGCAACGGCAGTATTCGCGAACCCCGACTAAACCAACCTCAAGTTGGTTGCCCGTGCCGTTCGTGACCGAGACAATAGGCGGGATGAACCACACGACAGACCTATTCAGCCGACTGCTCAAGGAGCGGATTGTGGCCGTTTACGGAGAAGTGGACGATCGTATGGCCGCCACCGTGACCGCGTCCCTTCTCTACCTCGAGGCCGATAGCGACCGGCCAATTTCCATGTACATCAACTCTCCCGGCGGCTCGGTGACGGCAGGCCTGTCGATCTACGATTGTATGAACTACATTGTCCCCGAAGTCTCAACGCTTGTATTGGGTCAGGCCGCCTCAATGGGCAGTTTATTGCTCGCAGGCGGTGCCGCGGGGAAGAGATATTGTCTGCCACATTCGAGTATCATGCTGCATCAACCAAGCGGCGGCTATTTTGGGACCGCGGCCGACATTGCGATTCACGCGAAGGAGATCCTGAGGATACGGACGCAGTTGAACCAAATCTACGAAAGACACTTGACTGGCAAGAAGAAGATGAATCTTGAAGAGATCGAGAAGATGATGGAGCGTGATTACTTTCTCAGCGCAGAGGAGGCTTTGGAACTCGGTGTGGTGGATGAGATCCTCGCGAGCAGGAAGAAGGCTTCTGAACAGGGTGAAGAGAGGTGATGGACGACAAGACATGGGATTGAAGTATTCCCCGGCTGAAGATCCAGCTTGTTGATGGCCAACACATTGCGACGGAAATGTGCAACAGATGTCACGGACAAGGCGCTACGGCTCAGTTATGATTGTCGTGTACAACAGCACTTCAGCGCTCGCCTTCGGTCTTGGGTGGTTATCTGTGAATGATCCGCCATTCCACCTCAGCCACACATCGATGATTATCGACATTTATCCACTCGACTTTTGTTGTTGGGAAGGACTCGCGCTGAAAGCAAATGCAAGTCAGTGGTGGCATGTGGAAACCTTGGGATGGCTGAAGGTTGAGATTGCAATGGAGCTAGATTTTGCCCATGGCATGCACTAGTTATGCGGACGGCAAAAATGGTGCCAAAATTGAGATTGACCTCACTGGGCCATTATGACGGGTGAGCACCTTCTAGTGTCCAAGGCAAGAATGGAGAGGGGGACGTCAAGAGCCTTTTCGGTGTGAAAGCCCTCAACTCTCCTCAATCATAAGGAGCAATCAAATTCATGTGTGTCGCCGACACGCTTTTGGATGTGAGATGTCCATTTTTGCTTTCCTTCTCAAACCTATCCCATCATATGTGGTGGAAAATGCGTGCAAATGCGTGCTACAATCTTCGTCTCATACATCTCAATACCCTTTTCCGCCATAAGTGCACCCTTCTCCTGCATGTAGTGCCAGTCAAGCCGGATTATGGCGGTGTCGTCTCCCAATTCACCCAGAGCACCTTTTCTTGAATCATGGCTGGCATGGGTGGTCGCTCGGGGTACAACAGCAACACACCTAGGCAACCAACACTTTAGCAGCGTAGAACACCATAGCACAACTCGCCGAGGTGCGGGAAATGAGCACTCGGCCTCGCTACAGCATCTGCATGCTGTGCGATTCAACCTCTCACAATCAAGTTCCAAACCAACTGCACTGCTAGAAGCACTATCCTCCCAGGGACATACTTGGACTTTCCGTCTCGGTCAGGGACTCCTTCCAGCTTGGCCCATATTCGGTCAGATGGTTGCATCGCAGATCAGCATACCGACAGATGTCAGATTTCAGTCAGTCTTCGACCCACTGCACGCTAACGTTGGAAAAGCGGTTCCTATAACTATTCTACAACATCACAGTCGGGCCAGGGCCAACCGTTGGTCTGTGAGAAAGAGGACTCTACAGGGTTTCATTTCTGACTTGATGCTGACTATTTCCAAACATAGAAACACTTAAGGGGAAATGAAAGCTATGGCAATGATCGACTCGACGTATCTCGGCAAACCCACCCCGCGCGGTGGCCTGCTCGTCATTCAAACCGGCAACTTCCGTAGATGCCTTGGATGGGTTCTGAGATATATATCTGCCTGTGGGGGAGAACATGCAACAGGTTGCGTGTGGGTATAGTCCAAGAGCTGATAATTCTATCAACGTTTCATATCCAGGCTGCAAGGTACAAGATCTGCAGACATATAGGCGAATGGAAAGATCTCGTCCCGCATCACCGTACTGTGTAGGTACCTATGGCATGTGTCGCTGCAATTCTATACATATCAGGTAGTACGGGCTTCGAGGCGTGGGTGGGTGGCTACATGCCTCAGACCGTATCTCGCGAGATGTTTTCCTTACTGAACATGTGAACTGCGCTGATCTCTCCCTGCATATTCTTCTGCGGCTTGCAAAGTTTGCCAAGTAAGGCGTCTTCTACAAGGTACCTGTGTACGTAGTACTAGAGTGGCACAGCTGCTACCTTTTGACATCAAACAGCCGCTGTGCTGTCGTGGAACAGGACACAACCTGAACAGGGCACCATGTAGGTAATTTTCCGATACGTGCGACCAGTTGCGGGGAAGCGAATTTCCCACTGGAAAAATGCAGCCATGAGAGGATTACTGATCATACTCTTCAGTGATGGCCATCAAGAGGAGATGCCAGTAGTATAGGCAGCACTGCTGGATCCTACGAGATCGAAAAGCATTCAGAATCCATATTCCACATTGTTGAGGCAGCCTTGTCGTGAGAGAAGGCTTAGTCATTGGAGCACATGGTGCACGCTTATTCGTCGAAATGAAAGCAAGCTAACTATTTCGGGAAATACCCCCAAACAGGACTTCGTAGTATTATCAGGCATAGATGCAAATTAATTTGATTGATGATTATGGATTGCCTTGCCTTATTCAAATTCCTTGAGCTCGTGCATGCAAACAATGTAGAAGATCGCTAAATCAGAAAGGTTGCAGGATCTTGTGTTGAGACAAATGTCCCGGGGAGTGCCAAGATCACGTGATATCAAAATCTATTTTGGTTGCCGGTGGTCACCCACTCCCAGGTCGGGCAACCATCAAACCCAACCACGCAGTCAATCAACCAGCCATTCAGTACATTTGTAGTGTTCTCCATGCATGATTCCAGGCGGCAGCAACTCTTCTCATGTTTTCCGACTCCGATTTCCCAATTCGGTCATGCGGGGCGATTTTTGGACGTCCGGTATATAGGGCACCCTCGGGGCGAGATCTTCACGACCAAGAAGCGGATGGTGCTGAAACTCAGTATAGGGGTCAAATATGCGCTGAGCACCATTATGCTCCAAAGCCACCCTCGGGTGTTGGCAAGCCATATTGGTAGGACGTAAACATCCCAATTGCGCAATCGTCGGAATCCTGGAAGAACCACAGATTCGAATCATTAGTGTAAGTCATTCCTGCGACACAGCTGCCAGCTCCAACGAAGCAAGGACCCACGTCGATTACGTAACGATTTCCCGGTTCGATCTGGATAGGTGGGAACGCGGGGAATGGTCCCGGTGCTGGCTGATTGTTCCACGTAGTCTCAGGGCCTGGGCAGCTTCCTGGGTTGTAGCCCGTAAAAAAGAACGTGCCGTCGCCCTCGAACTCGAAGTTTGAAGTCTTGAGCTGGGACTTGAGGGGAAAGAGGAACTCGAGAGTACAGTTGGCGTCGGCGCGCTCGATAGGAATATCGAAGCTGAAGATGGAGGCAATGTCGTTGGCTGTGAAGACGCCGTTGTACTGAGGACCGAAGGCCTTGTCGGGCTCTGACTTGGAGATCTGGGTGATGTAGTGAGGGAACTCGTATTGACCTGGCGTAAGATCACTAGGGCACCCGCTGTCACGCTCCGTCAGGGCACGCTTGAGGAGCACTTCTCCTGGGTATGCGGCCGCAAGGCCAGCAAATATGGCGACGGCAGCGAAGGACTTCATCTTGTCTGTCTCAACACCCGGTTGTGAGAGGTATATTAGGTAGACAGGTGTATTAAAGGAATAAGTTGGAAGATGTCGAAAGCAGACGAACGACACTGGGCCAAGTTCAAGCGAGTGACTGTGGCAAATGCAGAGGACGTAGGAGATGAAGTGAGTGAAGTAGTACTGTAGTAGAAGAGGGAAGAACAGCAACTGGGAAGATATCTGGGGAAGCACGCGGTAGTAATAGGAGTCCACCAGTTTCTGGATGTCATGTAACAGGTTGATCCTCGAGGAGATTGGCTTTGGGGCTATTGTTCCTGCTGACCGCCGCCCCCAGCTAGAACGAAGCTGGTGGCTGACAGACAGCCCGCCAACAACGGTTGATCCAAAATCCTATCACCAGCTAGGCCGAAGTCTGGCGCGCGAACCGGCGAGGCTGAACAGTATTTCTTCTGAAAGAGGCAGGGCAAACACCCCATGGTTTCTGGTGAGACACGGCAAACATGGGGCTGTCAGAACCTTGTCAGGTACAGCCAATGTGACTCCACCGTTCAGCTGGGCAATTGCATGGTCGCCAACAATTGGATGCTGACCCTCTCCCGGGGAAAGCTTCGAAGTCACTCAAGGCCTGAGAAGCTTGAGATTTGGAGGCTTGGTTGCACAAAAGACCATCCTGAAAAGGATAAGACCGACAGGGGGGGCCGGGATCAACGCTCGATGATGGCTCCGGGGGCCTAAGGGCCTTGTGACTTGACTGCCTGGTGTGAACTTGGGGGGCAACGCTTATTGGAAGGATCATGCTAGCTTCTTGACCGTCTGGAGACGTTGATCGCCGGGATCCAGCAGACACGGAATAAGCGAAAGTAATTCCCCAGCCCATGTCGATGTGTATCTTCGACAAAAAGAGAGAGAGAAAGAGACAGGTAGTGATGGGAGCGACTCGGTCAATTCTTTCTGCATAATCTGTGGCATCTTCCTCCATCAAGTCCACCTTGTACCAACATAGCAAACATTGTTCCGACGATTCGACACATCATTGTGTCATTTGGGAGGGAAAGCTGTCGCCCGCTGTGACTAACAAACCTGAAAGGCAGATTGCAGGTGGAGGGGTCGACCCCCCTGTAGAAAACTGGGTGTCAAACAACACGACCGTCGCCTGTTAGATTGATCCCAAGCCACACCGCGAGAAACAAGCCTCCATTCAAACGGCGGCCTGAACAAATGGTCTCCTTTTTAAGTTGACGCCGTCGTTGAAGCCAACACAGGCACATTTTTCAAAAATAGAATTCGGGAAAAAGAATGAGCACCACAACGACTCGTCCATTTCGCGCTTTTGTCTTTTCTCTTGTTTGTATGACCAGGATTTTCGTGGCCGGGCCCCAAATCAAGCATCTAAGAACCCTTCTGAGAAGACATAGGCAAACGTTCGCTGCATGATGCCGCAGCACACCATCCCCGTCGGTTCGAACGGCACACGCTGACGGACGATTCATCCGTCGCGATCCTTCTTCCCCTCATAGCAGATGCAGATACACCGCCGAGAACAGTAAGCGACTCCTCATGAGACTCCGCCTGTTTGCCTGGAATGTGGAGGTCGTGTGGATGAGATGCTAAATAAAGGGCTTGATGGATATCGAGCTGAACTGGTCACTACGAGTAACACCACGAGTAGCACCACGAGTCGAACAAGTCAACGACTTCGTGGCTGACGGTCACCAACCACCCGGTCAGCCACAACTATTGAACCCAAAGGGAAATTCGGTGAGTGTAGACTGGCTGCTGGCTGCGATAGAGTTGGATTGAAATCTGGCCAGACTTCGAGAGACTTTGCTGGTGGCTTTCCAACGGCCGACAACTTCTAGGATCATGTTGCGCCGCACTCGAATTACTTCCTGCTCACCTCCAGCACGGCAGACTTCCTTTCCCGTGAATGCGTGCTGGTCCCAGCCGGTCGTTTGTCCTTATTGAAGTCTCTTTTGTGGCTATAATACTTTGCGAAGCACGATGTAGGTCGACCCTTCGGCTGTGCCTCCCTCAAAAGGGTCCCGTTCAAGCTTGCCTGAACGATCCCTCGGGCAGAAAAAGAGGCTTGTTTGGGGCCTGCTGGCAAAAGTTCCAGCCAGCCATCAAACTGGCCATACGGAACATGTTGATGTGCTCCTCGGCAGGATGTTGTCCCACGCCCAACCTTCCTGCAAAAAGCTCCGTTCTGGATGGTGGGAATATTCCGAGACAATCCTCGTCTCGGTCTGCCTCCATCCGCCAACTCTGCCGCGTTATGAAGGCCAACCCAACTCGCAGTGCATCTGCCTGGCGATCCCTCCCTCGTGCATCATCAGCCCTAGACGTGACTGAGGGTGTGGTGGTGGCCAGCAAGAATCTGAAATGGCAATCCTTCGACATGGAGGGCCGATCACTTTCATATATAATGGACTTGTTGTTCACAATGAAATCTACTGCTACGACTACCCTCAACCGACTCGACTGGTCCAGGCAAGATCTCAGCCACGGTCTATAGCCAACCTTGAAAGCTTCAATTCCGCTCTCTCACTGTGCCAAGCCAATCTCGTCGTTCTGCTGGTGGCAGGAAACATAAACGCAGCCATTTGAAAACTGAAGGGAAGTTTCCCTTTCATCGCAAGTTCCGTTTGAAATGATCTTCTCTTTCCATCACTGTTGATCAGCTTCTTTGCGGCATTCCGTTCTCGCCACGTTCTCTCTGCCTTGGAGCACAATGAAACTGCGAGTAGTCACCGATATCAATGAGGACGAGTCCTCTGTCGCAGTCAAGGATTCTTTCGCTGTGGAGATCTCCATCAAGGCGGCAACAATGCAGCCATCGCGCATCGTGAGCGATGAGTCAAGGTAGCGATTGATACTCACCTCAGCACACTGGCCAACATCCTGGCTATTTGGTGCTCACAAATCAGGAACGACGAATGGGAATCTGCAGCTCTTGCAATGTCAGCTATCAGGTTGTTGGGGCCGCCATCCGGACAAGCGGAATGAGACAACAGTCAGAGTCCTCGAACTGGACACATCGCGCCACATGATGATGCATTTGACTGCCACGCAGCGCATAACCTACAGCTCCTAGAGCAATACATTTATCGTGGAGCTCACTACAGCCAAGGCGTCGACATTATTGGATCGACACACTATGGTAGGTTTGATTCATCCAACTTTCGACACGGCCTCGACCACGGTATGCCGCCGCGCTACTCGCATCATCATATGGTCTACGAGATGGCCGAGAAGACGCTGGCAGACTGCCCCATTGTTGGAGGAGGTCAAGAGCCTGAACTTCAGGGGATGCTGAGCAAGCAGGCTAAACAGACAGTCATTCGGACAGAGATGCTGTAGTCGAGGCCGATTCTGACTTTGTGAACACGAAACAACGGCTTCTCTTGCGCTGATCTGTGTGCCCAACTCGGTTTCGACGCGCAAATCTGAGGACCCTTAGAAGGCAGTGCCCTCGGCCAACCCCAGATCACGCAAATGGTGACACCCGGGATAGCGCTACGCGCGTCCCGTGAATGGGAACAGAACATGGTGGCGAAAGAAGACATCTATCTCAACGCGCCCAAGAAGACCAAGGCACTGGATTACGTGCACCCAAAAGAGTGGGAGGTTACTCTAGTTTCCTTCTCGGGAGACAACGGCGACTTCATTGTCAACCAGGAACACGTCCTCTTCTTTTCATCCATGTCGTGCGTTCTGACCGTCATTTCCACCTGCGAATCGAGGGACCATCCGCAGGTCTTTGAAGTTGCACTTCGAGGACGGTATCCTTATGGCTAACACAAATACCGGTACGGGCAGGGTGGGCCTCGGCCTGCTCACCCTTCTTTGGAGCGTCCTCCTTGGAGTCAAATGCAGGACGTTGTGTATAGGGTCTCATTGGGCCTCCAGATGTCACAGGCATGTGCTCTCCATTTATGTGTCTGCACAGCGACGATACCGGAGCATTGCTTGCTCAAGACCCGGCTCCGGTAAGAAAAACGGTCCGTGACATGACATGCAATGCAAATAGGCTCGATGTCTCTCAAGCCTCCGCCGGAAAATACCGGACCACTTACGGTTGACGTTGTGCTACGCGATATGGAGGGACACGACAACAAGGCGATTGCAACGACAGAAGAGTAGACTCCGTGCAGTTGACCAGCCAGCGGTGTGCTAAAGATCTTGTGCATTGGGATGTTCTTAAGCATAGGGTCATTGCCCCAAAGGTGGCTATGATGACTTCCACCCCTTCATGGGAACGTCAACGTCGTGCCATCATGACTTTATGAATCGCATAGGCGAAAGCCGCAACATCTGAAGCAGATCGTGCATGTGCAAACTTCCAGGGTCCACAACCCAAGAAGATCCATGAGGGCCATGAGTCTCGACCAGTCCCAGACGATCTCGGTCGATGCACAAGTGGTGTGATTCTCGCAGGAAACGGCGTAGTCCCCCCCACGTGACCCCCTCCAGCGGCGAAGCAAGATACCAACACAGCCGACACGATCATTCTCAGCCTATGAGCTCAAGTCATTGGAGATACTGGCACAGGATCGCTTGTCACTAGCTAATAGCCGAAGGAATCTCATTCACTTACGCCAACCGATGCTTGCGGTACGCCCGGAAGATGGTACCTGGAATTCCAGAACGATATCTGGGAATCCACAACGGACCCTGGAGGAGTTTCTTTGCTTTGTTGCGGGCAGCTATTTAGTGACGAGGATGCCTGCACGGGCTTATAACGGAATTCAAGTCCCGTTCTCGCAGCACAGTCGTCGTCATCCCGAACGTCTATCCTCACCTCCTTGTTGGTCTTTTCCTTCCAAGATGCATACCAGAGGACGTCTTGGGCTGTTAGCCGACACAGACAGCGACATCGAGATCGATGCCAACTGCACAGATTGGTTGTTGCCGCCTGTTTGCGGTGAAAGGGATGCCCATGACGGAGATGCTGTCGCCGTCCAGCATGTCGAGTGGATCGAGGACGGATATGGTGTCTTCCCAAGTGACTCGGACAATGACACCACCGACGCGCTCTATCGCTGCAAAGCTGTAGAAGAAGGGATTCTTTGAGACAGGCTCATCAGGATGAGGTACACAATTCACCTACCTACTGTGGGATTGAGCAACGCAGCCGGTCTCCCGTCACGCATCTGCTGACTTATCGTCCCATAGTATGGCAAAGACTGCATCTTCTACTCAGCTATCATCCGCAACGAGACCGAAGATGGTGCACCACAAGCAGTCGAGTATCCGGCGATGCGTTGAAAATGACAAGGCATGTTTTGGTTTGGATGGGACAACGCCCGACGGCAGATTCTGTTTCGAGGAGGACGCCATCATGTTGACAACACTCGCTCGCCGTCACCTACCGGTCATTAACGGCATCGCCGTTGCTGCAGCAATTCTACACGTGTCGGCTTCACGACAACCGCACATCGCACAATCGCACAATCACTGAACCACCAAAAATCCAGCCATGGACTTTCAGTTTGTTCCAAAGTGCAAAAAACTTTTTCCTCGAAAGCAGCCACATGGCTTATACCTGGTTCTTTCCGATGTCGAACAGATTAGTGGAACATGTCCTAGCCGTCGCCTCGGAGGTGTTGCCGGTACACCAACGGGCCCTAACAAGACTGCGGCCCTAATTGTGGTGGAGAAAGTTGTGGAGATGTTATATGATGGAGTTGAATCCGCGGCGACCGGTCACGGAGTGCGCGCAGAAACGTATGGTCACATGTTGAAGCAGTTGCAATGGCCATGGCGGCCTCTTGAGAGTGAAGATGCGAAGATGCGAAGACGCTCTGAATAAATGAGAATTCTAGATACAGAGTAGAAACCAGTATAGCTGATATCCAACGACACTGTGGTCATCGTCCCGGGGTATCGGCAGCGACGCTTCTCCCTGGCTTCATATTTTTTTTAATTTTTTGCGATTGCGCCTTCGGGCCCAGAACCCCACTGTCCGCCGTCCGGGATCCAGATCTGGATTCAAATCTGTGGGCTGCTAATATAAGGGACTTCTAGGGTGGAGATGGAAATTTCCACGGCGCGGATGACAGCTGAATAAATCAATCAATATAATATGCAGACGTGCAAGTCCTGCTAGACTTGGAGTGCATGGTACTGACTTGGGACACTCACCGCTCGAGTCGGTACTCACCTCTTCCGGCTTATGCTTTCTCCAGTGGGATCCAGTCGACCCAGACGAAAGCATGCCAGAGTGCATGATTGACAACTGTATCCCTGGGTAGCCCCTCCCACTGATCGACTGGCAGAACGACGAACAGTAACGATCATCAGGAGCGAGAAAAAGTAAAAAGTCTGCACATGAGAGTCCGACGGTGTATTATTAATTGACTGTGGGACGATCACCTCCATTAACAAGAGACATATCTCTCTTGGAATATCGGCGAGAATCTGTCGGAGTGGGCATCCACCGTATCAACGGCTCCCCCGAACCCGCATCGAACAACCTTCTTCTCCATATCGACAAACGGTAGAGGTCCAGCAGGCTGGAAGCATGTCCCACCGAGGGTCTCCTAAGCCCGCGTGACAGCTGCAGCCTGCAGAGCCCCCCCCGGACGTGGAGCCTCGAACAGGGTCCAGATCCCGAGTCATTTCCGCTCACGGGCCTACTGAAGCCCGGGGCCTGGTCTCCTTTCTCCGCCGAGCGGCGGGCTCCCTGGGCTATGTGCCATCCCAAGTGGGCTGATAATCACGCCCACCTGCATATTCGAAGTCGACAGCGAACTCGATGCAAGAATCATGCCTTTTCCAAGATCGTCTCGGAAAATCTTACCAACAAGAGTGCTGGTTCGACGTGGCTAGCGAGGAGGATTGACACATGTCTTCGCTTGCTGCAACCTTGTTCAACCCCCCTGTTGCTGGACCGCGGGTATCTTCTGGTCAAGTCTAGTAGGTTGAAAGATCTCCCAGGCTCCCCCGGGGAGACGAGTCAGGGAAGTAACTCTGTGGCCTTGTCCGGATCCGGACATGGGACCCAATATTCCCTCCACCAGCTATTGAGATATGGCTCGAGCCACAAGGTATTTGAACCTGCTCGAAGACTTTTCCTCCCTCCCATCCTTCCTCCTTCCTTCTTCCTCCTTCCTCCTTCACTGTCTACTTTAGCAAAGCAAGCAAGCAGAAGCAAAAGCAAAGAAAGACAAATCGCCCATCTCCAGATCATACCCAAACACCCCCCCTTTCATCCGGGATATTATCCATCATTTGAGTACAAATACATATATACTAGTACTCACCCATCCATTTATCCACCACAAACCAAACAAACCAGATCACAAATCAATCCATTCAAACAATGGCATCCAACCAGTCTCAAACCTCAACCACCACCACCGTCACTGCCACAAGCCCATCCAGCTTGGCCAGCAGCAGCAGCAGCATGTCCAACGCTTCCGTTGACTCTCTGCGCAACCACGGCGCCAGCTGGTTCGAGAACCTCAGCACATTGGCGTTCGAGTACACCCAGCAGAAGATCGCAAAGTCCCAGCCCCAAACCCCTCTCCCACTGGAGAGTCCCACCGCCGAAGTCACCCCGGCCATGCACGGCTACGGGAACTCGTTCTTCCAACACGAACCCGAGACATTGGCCAAGCAGACTGTCGACGCGAAGCCCATGAACAACTACGGCGACAGCTGGTTCGACAACTTCGGACTCATGTGGGAGGACTACCAGCAAGTGAAGCTGCGCAAGTCTGGTGGCATCTAAACTTGGAAAGGAAGGGAGCTTTTTTCTCTTCTGATCGTTGCGAGGTTATAACTACTACCTGACCAACATGATACGCTACTTCAAGTTGAGAGAGATGACCATGAACAACCATGACGCCCCAGAGTCGCAGAGATTGGGGCAGTCAATGAAGGAGGAACTATGAACATACAAACAGCTCCTGCGACTAATTCGCCCCTGACCAAAGAGGCAGCTACGCAGGTCTACGACATACTACTATCACGAAATGGACATTTGGATTTACGTGGGTTGGACATAACAAAGATCATCATATACATCATGCCAATGCTTGGGTCATAGATGGGATGGAATAGGACGGTATGGGCTGCTGAATCTGGGAGATATAGACGGCATGAGCCTTTTAAATATGAATTCAATAATGAGACTACAAGAGAGCGAGACGCGTTTGCCATATGATAGCAGAGATTCCAATCCCTGATTCTGTCCCGAAACTCGTATCCTGAAGGATGTTGAATATAAATATGGTCCTGACAACCCGCGTTCACAAGGCTGCGTTATTTTCAAGTCTGCCCCCCGTTCGTAGGGTACTCTTCCTGCCCGTGTGTGGAGGTATACAAGCCATCAAGTAACCTCTACTTTCTTCAGGTATAGTATGATCATCTGGGCCTTACAGAAAAGCAAGGGTAAGATGAGACAAGGCCAGGCCAGGCCATGCTAATAATCCATAGTATCAGGAAGCACACATGTTGGTGTTGAGTGGCCTCCATCCAACCATACGTGGGGTTAGGGGGGTTAGGAGGTCTGATAGGCGGGAGGCCTAAGAGCCTTAGGCTAAGAGGTTAGGGGGGTAGAGCATTATATGGGGGCCAGGCGATTGATTCTGGTTATCAGGCACCTACGAGTCAGGTACCTAAGGTACTTTAGGTACATCGTAGGTAGGTAAACATGGCCTCACAAACCCCTGTCTCACTACCGCCGGCTGCCAATCCTACCCAGCGCCTGGTCAACCAGATCTTATACTGTGCAAGTGGTCTGCTTCACTCTCAGACCGCCGTGCCTGGCAGACCACAGAAATACCAGACAGAGCAAGCCTCCTTGGCTTTATTTAGCCTCCCCAGCCTGGGGGAAAGCTTATACCAGTGCTAGGGATGCCTATCTAGGTACAGCACACAATCTTATAGGCGTAAAAGGCTGTGGAAGCTAGGAGGTGGATGCCTAAGTCTGACCCCTTCCGGGGACTCCCTTCCCCCAACGTTGAATATCATCAGCGGTGGGCCCCCTATACGCCTCTCAGTTTAATGGCCACGAGAAGTGGTTTCATCATCTCATTCTTCGTTACCAGCTGTCTCTCAACTCTTGAGGGTTCTAATCTAATTCATATATTTATTTTATTGTGGATATTATCGCCGTTTCGTGGGTATCGAAATCAATCCATGCCCTCAACTGCTCGAGGCTTCTCGCCCATTATGCCCTTTTACCCATATATTCCATCCCTTTCCAATCCCAGTCGCTCGAACTCCAGAAACACCGATACCATCCCAATCCATCCATCCATTGCAATGTGTAATGTAAATATGGTCATACTCGTTCTGTTCCGTTCCTTTTTCAAGTGTTGGTTTGTCAAGACCCAACATCTGTTAGGATCAGGTTCTCTCTTCAATGCTTAGAGTTCCGTGAACCTAGTAAGAAACGTGTCTCTGAAAGCTACAGGCACCTCCAAGTGAGGACCCGTGCTTGATTGAAAGTTTTCCGCCCTCGACCTTCCTCATTCAGTCTTTGTCTTGACCTAACGGGAATTGCTGGTCGTTCAAGCAGGGCTCGTCAATGGTGGTGATCAATTGTCAAAAAACAAAACCGTAGTCAAGAGCTCCTCCAGCGCCGTCTTGCGTTGTCTACGACCGTATCCGCCATCATCCGAGGAACCGCTCGAGTATGAGTGCATGTTCTCAGCCTCCAAGCCAGTCTTGAACCGGAACTCTGCCTGCCTCTTCCGCTTGCGAGCAGGTTCCGAACACGACTGCGAGTGCGACTGCGACTGCGGATGAAATGGGATCAATGTCAGCTTCGTCTCCTCAGGATGGTAGTTTGAGATGACGCTGCCCCCTTCGGAGTCGTTCAGCGAGCTGGTGCTGTTGTTGCTCGACGCGTCGGCATAGTCACCGGAGAAGTCGGACGACGACCTCGACTGCGTCGAGTCGGATGTGGTTTCACGTTGTAGAATCGGCGTAATCGGGGTCAGTGGAAGATGGCCGTTCGTTCGAGGAGGACTCGGGTTGGTCGTCCGTGACATTTCCGGGAAATGGGCCGACCGCTGGTCGGTCAAGTGGTTGTTGTTGATCTTCTGTTGGCGGAGCTGCTCCCGGATCCGCCGCATGGCGTGCATGTGGCTGCGGAAGCCTTGCTCGATGTCGTCCAGGTTGGACGGACCGTTGGGATGCTGAGACGATGGCGGCGAGGCCCTGCGTGGCTGCCGCATGGCGGCTTGTGGGACGTAGGAGCTCTGCACTCCAAGCCCGACCCCGGCAGATCCAGCTCCAGCTCCAGCTCCAGATCCGCCGTTTAGCAGTGGCATCATATAGCTTTTGACGTCGTCGTTGACATAGCCCGGTGGCTCGATCGGTTTGGGGGCTTCAGGTCGCCGGATGCCGGTGGAAACATCCTGGTCCCATTTGTGAAGGACATTGCTGGTGACTTCGGACAGGACGCGGAACTCTTCAGACTCGGAGGCGCTTTTGGCTCGGGCCAATTCGGCGTGAGTCAGACACGATAGAAAGACATTCAGGCTCTCCACCAGCATGGACAGCTTCCGTCGGAAATCCTGGATGGTGAGCCCTTCGTACACGACGTCCGGATGGAGCAGCCAGTTCTTGATGGATGCCCGGTCTCGGGCACCACTGGACAGGTATAGTCGGACCATACTGTGCAGTGGCCGTAGAGCGGAAGCCAACGAGGATAGGATCTTGGAAAAGGTCAACGCCCATCGTGCTCGGTCGGGTTGTCGATTGATGAGTAGTGAAGTCGTGCCAACGCTGTGTAACGAGTCGAGGCTGATGGCGATGGTCCAGACCTCGAACCGTAGGTTTTCAAAGTCCTCGGACGCCTTCTGCATGCCGTAGAAGGTGTGCCAGGCCAGTTTGCACACTTCGGCCAGCGAGGCTGGCTCGTCGGCAGCAGCGAATCTCATGGTTGGCGACATCGAGAAGGGATCTAGGTGGTGGGACGGTGTGGAAATGACTTGAGACTTTTCTGGGGAGTACTTTTGAGCAAGGTTGACAAAGGGCCCTTACATCGACTATTTGAGAGGTCAGCCAGAGCCTTGCCTGGTCTCCAATGGGCCTGACGCTACACCTAGTATTGCCTTACCCTTACCGCAGATCTGACAGCAATGGACGAGCTCCAAGGGGAACAGGTGATGAGAGATCCCAGCGTTTGCCTCCCTGCAGCAAAACAACAACAGGGGACGTCAATCCACGAATTGGCAAGCATTGAATGGAAAGGAGAGTTAGCAGAGTTCAATCAGACAGCATTGGGCCCGAGACATTTACCTTTGTGGGTGGTGCGTGGTGCTCTCGCAACCCAGCAGAGCCGTCTCACCACCTCGTGGTGTGACAGGATCACTTGGGAGTACAGCTCAGGGCCCACTGGTCAAGCTTCGAAGGGATCTGAAGGGCCCTTAGGGTTTCAATCGACCCCGGATATGAAATCCTTTGGGGCCATTGGGGCGCCCACAACGCGGCTCGCTGCTCGACGGTACTGTTCTGGTATGGCCAGGTCGACGGGTGGACCAGCCACACGCCACTGTCCACGTTCTGACGGGCTACAGGCCGCAAAGGCCACTAAAGACCACCAAAGACCACCACAGCACGGCAGGCCCTTAGGCCTCGATGAGCCGATCGTGGGATCTGGAGTAGATCGAGGCCAGACCCTTGCTGGCAAAGAGGGAGACGATCGAGGGTCGATGATTGGGTTTGAACTTACTTTCAAGGCCTAGACTCGATCTATGGGATCATTCTTGTCTTTTTGATGCTGGAGGACATGGCCAGATGAGGGCGATGCAAGAAGTAGGTAGTCAGGCAGAACGAAAAGGAAACTGGTTGACTGCTAATGAAGGAGAGAAGACAGCGTTTGCTTTCTGTTAAAGACAAGGAGCATCGTTGCACGGCAAAAGGACACAGGGCGCATTCGTGGTTGTTCGGGGCGGTCTTAGCCACACCAGCCCTAAGAGCCCTATTCCTCCGGGCGTCCCTAGCGCCCGTGGCTAGAATGCTTGTTGGCTCCCTAGGCTTCTTAGTCACGATACAGAAAGCATCGCCCCTATAGTCAGTGCCTAGAAAGGGCCCTTAGGCTACTTTAGCTGGATCACACTACCGTTACCGTTACCGCTACACTACCTGTAGTTAGTACCTTGCCCCAGCAGAATTCGCCCCTGGTTCCTGTTCAGCCTTGCCCAATGTCCCAGCTACAGGTAGGAATCAGCCACTCATCGCTTCCATATCATGTATACACCATGTGTATGCTAGCGACGAGGCTCACTGCTTCACACCCAATCTCACTCTACTGCCACATTGGCTCGGTCCGCGTGTTGTGATATTGTTTCATATCGAATGGGGCCAGGACAACAACGCGGGCTGGTACGGTCATCCAAACCCAACCAAGATTGTATGTGGCCTACAAGGTATATTCCCTGTTCCAAATCACTTTCAACCCTCAGGCTCCTCATAGGGAACGACTTGCAATGTCAGACCATGTGCTCAATGACTAGGATGCCTCCCCTTGTTCCTCGTTGGGCCCAATGGGAGCACGACTTCCTGACGAACACCAGAGCAACAGATGTAAGTCCCATCAGAAAAACAGCCTAGTCATCAGCCACGGCCCAGCATATGAGTCCACGAAGTAGCGTGACTGTGGACAGACCTGACAGATCTCTCGGCGGCTGTAGCAGCCACGAGGAGAGACTTCTGGGGTGGGATCTAGCCTTTGCCATGGACCCAGGCCTGCATGCATTGGACGCTGATTACAGGCTCCTTAGGCATCCTCAGGTCAGGCCCCATGCGCCCAGGTGCTGTCACTGCTGTATCCGCTGGCTGTGGCGAGAGCAAACATATATCGCTCGATGCGATCGGCTGAGCAATGAGCGGCAGAGGGACAATACCTGAACGGTGTTGTGTGACAAGACTTCGCAAATCATCACCTGAACGACACATGGCTTGGACGAATATTGGCTCGAACCTCTAGCCTTTTGGTATCCCGCTGCCAGAGCGCCCGGGACTTTGAGGACTGGGACCCCTTGTGCCACTTATTCACTCAAGTTTTCTGGCATCCCTGCCGCCAGATTTAGGCTCATCCCGAAGCCTTAGGCCAAGATGGACCATTATCACAAACAGATATAAGTGTGTTGACGGCTATCCTTCTTCGATGGACTCACCTTGTGATCAATCTTCAGTTAAACGATGTCAATATATCGATACTCAAACTGAGCAGATCAGACAGAAAATGTTCAAAGACCTCGACAGCAATACACTCTAAACAACTCTTCAACAAGAGGAAACACCATACTCACGAAGCAACCCGTGAAATCAGCTGTGGAAGACATCCTCGAATCTCACACCTACATTCCATCTCTCAAGGAACAATCATCCATCATACAGTTTATTTCCCCAGAACAGACAAGATGAGCCCAGCAGTGAAGAAGCTCGAAGTCCACCTAGGCCAGGGATTCACCCAACTGATGCGTCGTTGGCTGATACTCAGGCCATTTACAAACGACGCCATCATGCTCCGATTAACCACGCAGCCCGATGTCGCCCGATAATGCCGCAACCCGCAATCCTGCCCGGGGGTGGTCCAAGAGTCGACAGACCCTTGCTACCTGTCCTCGCTTAGGAGAAGATCAGGGGCCAGCCCGGTCGAGGCCCAGCTGCCCCGATACGGCCACTCCCGGTCCATCACACCACTCAACCGTCAAACCACCTTTTTCCACCTTTCGTGTACGGTACAGACCTCTACGAATACGATACAGCATGTCCCCTTGTCCCGCCCTTGGATTGTCACAACACCAGGTAGGAGGTACGTGACCTAGGTACCTAAGGTACCTCGTACAACTCACCACAGCCACGCGCTGTCACACAGATACCGGTCACAGACACTGGTCTCGAGACATCCAAGCGAGGTTCTTCTCTCCGCAACCCACTGCACATCATATTGATGCTCACTATGCTGCTAATACCCGTTGTGGGATGACATTCGAGCCACACATCCGGCCGGTCCTGGACCCTCGGTTCTACATCCACGCACAGATTATTACCTGTGCAGCACCTTCTAGGCCCTGCCGCTAGCAGTGCAAATCATGCGACAAATGTTCACCTCATGGCAGACTCTTCAGGCTGTCACCGGTCCAGCCGTGCAAGCTGCACTAGCGAGATTGGTAGACATGAGTATGAAATGTTGATAATATGCCTCAGCGACCCCCTGTCAGAGGAGGCCTGACTTCTTCTTGTCTGAGTGAGTACCGGTAGATATCGTCTTTCCATCGATTCAGTCCTTGTCTTCGTTGTCGCCGTGCCTGTTGCGCGTGTTGCCCCGGTTCTACTCTACACCAACCACTTTTCTACGTGAAAACGAAGCCATTGCTTGTGAATTGAAATCATCCACATTGACAATGTCGACGACACAAATCCAATTCGCCTACAAAGTCGGCTATATGTCGAAATACAGGATCGAGCGCGAAGCCCGCAAGGCCGAGCCTCGACTGCACAAGCTAGTCGGTCACGCATCTCTATTCGACAGCGCCAAAAAATATATCGTCGAGCACATTGACGACGACGATGAAGACGACAAAGATCATCAGGACGAGCTGCTGCAGGACGACGTCCTATTAGCTGACGAGTGGCCTGAAGACGAAGACGACGTCGACGACGAAGAACTGGCCTCCATCGACGAGGTGGATGAGCTTTTCCCTCTCGAAGATATCGAAGAGACGCTGGAATCCTTGTCGCCTTGCTCGCAAACGGCCCCATTGCCGCAATATCACCATCAACATCAATATCAGTACCATCAAGCATCCACGAACCGTCTGGGTCGACCAGCCCAAAGACCGCAACAGATGGTCCCGGCGACAAGTGGAAGCTACAACACAAACACTATTCAAATCGAAGAATACGAGATCGACCACGACGACGTCGACGACTGGGACAGCATCAGCGACGCGAGCACCGAGGCTGCCGACAACGAGCTGGACCCTGACACCGATACCGACAGTGCCAGCGACAGCGACAGCGATTGGAGCGAGTCCACATACGGCAATGACGAGAGTCTAGCCGTCTACGAGGCCGAGTCGGATCGCAAGATCATCGACCTTTGTGCGCTGGCGACTTCACAGTTCTCGATGCCCAAATACTGCCCCCAGGACGATGACCTGGTGTTGTGGGCTCAACAACCCAAAGTTATGTCACAAACTCAGGTCGATAATCTTCTTACTGAGATTTTCGCCTGAAAGAAGACTTGTTGTTTTTGGTCATCTCCTCTTCTCTACTGCTTCTTTCGCACCCACCGAGGAAGTCCGCTTGTTGGCGACTACGCGACTGTCCCATTCAAAAGTCGAAGAACGTTTTCCGTTTTCTTTGGGCATTTGGAACCGGCAATTAGGAGACTGAATGATCTGCTGCGTTCAAGCATGGCGTTATGGATCGGCGGAAGCATGAGCTTTCAAATGTATTGTTTCCGGCGTCCCTTTGGACGCCTCTCGAGTTGCTACACCCAGCGGAAGTAGCCTCATTTATGTATGATTTATGAACGGACAAAGATCCACAATCCTGCAAACCAAACAGTTATCAACTCTTGTCAAATGAGACCATAGTTGAAACCCCTCATACCAGTCTTTCCAAAATCGCGCAAATAGAACTGCACCGAACATGAATCTGCAAAAGTCTCGTCCTGCCCGTGGAACAAAGACTACAGCGATCGAACCCAATCCCAATCCCAATCCCACACGCCGCGGACGGTATAGGTGCCTGGCGGGCAGAAGTGGACAGACATCGACAACTCAGCCGTAATGTTTGACTGGTCGTAATGGTCGTAATAATCGTAATGGTCGTAATAATCGTAATGGTCGTAATGTCCAAACAGTCCTGATCCTCGTCCAGGGACGGGACTGGCCTTGGAGGAGGATCAGGACTGGCCCTGCTCTTACTGGGGTCCATGATACTGATGCTGTTCCCAAGCCCACAATACCGTCACCAGCTCGGACTGGGCTCGTGCCAGGAACATATTTTCCGGCAGGTCAGGGTCATGTAAGCCCAGTCAGCAGCTGGCGCCCCACGGCACACGCGCATTACATCAGGCGCGCATGACGCCGACATGAGCTATTTTCCTCCGGCGCAAAAGCCAAAAACAACCTCAACCTCCAGGAGGCCCAGACCAGCCCAATTTCTTGGTGGTAGGCCTTCGGATTGCTCGAAAAGCTTCTGGTTCTCACCTGGCATGCAATTCTGGTATCAGATCGTTCCAAGTGTGACGGCTTTGTATATGCCCAAAATTCTTTCCGACTCCATAGCACCGGGACACCCTTGATTGAAAGTCCCGCAAGATCGTCTCCTCGGGGAATGGATGGATTATACAAAGGTCCCAGCGAAGCTCAAGTCGTCGTCGTCATCAGTCATGACAGACCTGGCTTCATGCACTTTCAGAGTGTCTTCTTCCTCCTCCTGTTGCTCTTGAGCTGTGCCAGGATGGCTGATCTCGCATGTATGGGTGAAGATCTCCACAGGCACACCGCCACGAAGCTCGTGCTTATAGAGCGTTTCATGGCGGTGATGACAGCATGTCTTGTTGAGGTCGTCCGTGTCGTCGAACCTCAAACAGAATTCCCGTTGGTGCAAGCAGGCTTGGTGTCGAGCGAGGTGCTGCGTGGGGAATTGAGCCGTATACTCTGTTATAGAGCCGCCGCTGCGGTGTCGGGGTAGTACGTGCCCATTGGAGACAAAGAAGTCAAGCTCGCGCGGCTTCGGTGGGACTTGAGGCTTTGCTCGGTGCAGAACCGCGTTTGTGTTTGTGTTTGTGTTTGTCTCATCCAGCTCCAGAGGATGTCCTCTGCAGTCTTTTGCAGGCTCGATGCCAGGTGGAGGTGCGATATGATGAAGATGCGTGACTTCCTTGGGGCAGAATGTGTCTCTGAGAGGCGAGTCAGGAGGCGTCGATGGTCTCTCGAAGGGATCGTCGTAGAATGCGGTCGTGAGCGATGTTTGTGTTATCATCTGTTGTTGCTGTAGTATGTGTTTGTATTTGTGTGTTTGTATAGGAACAGTATATATTCAAAGTAGACTGCCATTTCAGCAAGAGACAGAATATTAGTGATCTTCACTTACATATTGAGTGAATCCTGGCCCGGGGAGGCATTTTCATCACTTGACTTTTCTGCGGCTCATGACCTGGTGACCGTGAGAGTTCCGAGATTCGCTGCGCCTCTGCAAAAAGTGGGTTATTTACAAGCTAGACGAGATCTGAATCTTCTCCATGCTTCGGATCTAGTCTTTGGCTGTCATACCACGGTGGGCTTTTCACATCTCACATCCGTATGTGCGTAGTCGCAGTCCACGGGGTGTCTTTGGTTATACATGCCGAGGATGAAAAAGCGCTGCAAGGCTGGGGTGGAGCCAGGGATGCCGCCAAAACCAGGCGGGGAACCAAAAGGGGCAATTCGGAATCCAAGTCCCGCCCTCAATTTCCCTTACAAACTGCTCCCTAGAAATGGCTCAACTTGCTCTTCTGGCTCACAACTCATGGGATGAACTGCGAAAATATGGCTATTCGACGTCTAGATACCTGATGATGGTTTGTTTGTGATTTTTTTCGTTCTTTTGAATTTGTGTGTGGAATGTACAGCACAGATTATCTCGGATGTCGCCTATAAGCCACAACGACCACCTCCACCACCAGGCCGTCCACAATTCAGGACAGCGGTTGTGTTCTGATGACGGGATGCATGCCATTTTTGGAGAGCCCTTGTGACCATCAGACACTTCAATGACCCATGCGTATGCTTCGAAATTGTTTTCAGGGCGTCAGTTATGGCCAGTGACACCCGCAGCTTGCGCACCAGGAACAGACCCTGGGTGTTAGTGCTGGCGAGACATCCAAAGAGCAGGGCGCATACGGAGGAATCATCGTGGGGAGCTGCCATGTTGTGTTGCGCACTACGACACAGTCAATGCAAAGCGATCTTTGTCTGTCCATGAGGCGTTGTTACTGGCAAAATTTGAAGCATGGCTGTCAGTGGTCATGACTTGTCCACTGCATGAACAGTGAACAGATGGCAATACAGAAGAGAAGAGATGAGAGGAGCACGCAACCCGAAAGAACGGGAATGATCCACCAACTGGATAGGATCAATGCAACATTCACGCTATAGAAGTTGAGGCAGCATGAACGGTATCTCCCATTCCTCAAGGACCATCCGTTTAAAACCGAGGTGGCCAGGAACCTCTTGCTAAACCCAAGACGATGTAACGTCTGCGCCGAGAATACTCAGAGCCAATGGGCAGCAAAGGTATCGCTGCGTTGTCGGTGTCCCTCTGTCTCTGCGTGCTCTCTTCAGCATGTGCTCGAGTGAACCAAGCCACAGTGTCGTGATCGGAACAAGGAAGACTCATGCTCGATGATCCTCGCTGTAGACCACCAGGCTACCTGAGTAGCTTGATGCATGCTCTGAGGAAGCACCAGCGTCTTCAACATGCACTGATGTTAGGCCAATGTTATATCATCTTGAGCCAGCTCTTTTCTTCAAATGTGTCCAACGATACAGAGTTGGACATGCTCGAGGCCCAGCTGCCCAGCGTTCTCCGGTGGCCGCTAGCAGAAGAGAAATGCGGTGCCCTTTTCGAAACCCTTGGTTATCCAAGCATGTCGCTTTCAACGCCGTCGCTATTCCTACTCTTAAGGGTGTACATCATAGAAAGGATTTCTCGCAAAAGTTTCATGAGTATAGAAGCAAGAAGAATCCGTCCGCTCTGGTCATGCTCTATACTGCTGAAGTCAAGGCTTCGCCGCTCACGCTCGAGGTTGGAGAAGGGTGGTACTGGTTGTGGATACAGCAGGCGCAGTGGTGCTCTGGTTCGTCTCCAGGCTTGTTGATTAGGGGAAGGTTCCTCCAGCTCATGGTACGGTCAAGCTCAGTGATGCGCAGACAGAACGATACCACGGTGGACGTGGCAAATGCAGCTCTTCGGGGACGCGTAAGTTGAGTGCCAGACGAATTGGGTGGGAGCGAACGCACAGATTGATGATCATAAAGGCAAACATGGCCTTGACCAGCTTGCAGTCGGTCTTGAAGTAGGCCCGTCGGGGCTGGTCGCCGAAGTACCTACTCTCGAAAGCAGTGCAAGTGCCGGTCCCATCGTTGTCCCAGACTCCAATCAAACTGCTCCAGGCACCCACAAAGCCCGCATCAAGCAGCGCCATCATGGTGAAATACAGGGGCCCTTCGAAGAAAACGGGTAGGACGGTCACGCCAGCGTACACCGTACTGACACAGGCGATGGCAATGGCGGCCGAGGCTTTCGAGGGCACGTCGACGTCGGCATTGGACAACCCGCTGATGATCGCCGCCACGAAGCCGATGATAGGGATGGAGATGACTAGCTGGAAAATACGCAGGTCGATGAGCGACAGCCGGAGGAACACCTCGTCGAGGGCTTTGGACAGCTCGAGTTCTCTGGTCTTGATCCTCATGTGCTTGGATGGTGGAAGGTGTGGTAACGTATTCGTGTTTCGTAAAAGATATTGCCAATGACTGTCATTGGGATCGTCTTCACCGTATCGTCTATCTTACCTTCTGAAGCTGACTTGCCTTTACTAATATACATCGCCTGAGGTCGCATCGATTTAATGGCGCTCTTTGCTTGCTTGACCCCGTGAGCCAGCAGTATAGAGGCTCCCAATATCTAATCACTGGAAGGGCAACGATGCTATTCGAAGCCGACGAAAGCCTCGTGACAGGAAGAAATACTGAGATGGCGTGAGGGTGTTGATGGCTGCAACAGTGCCCGGCAACGACCAGGACCAGGAGCTCCGCCGACCAGAACGTTCTCCGCCCATGGCAAGACTAAAAGTCTATTAGGTGAGCCCGTTGTGACATTAGGTAATGCTCGTAATGCGTAAATAATGCCATGCCATGGATTTGCATCGCTCGGCTATACGGACTCGTCTGAGGCTTGGGGCGCACATGCTCTGTCCTTGAGATGAACGGGACGAAGAAGAGACCCTCTGCTCCATATGCAAACTTTGTCACTGATCAAAGGCTCCATACACGTGGATCTGGTCCTAAGGTCCCTCCTTACCTATCTGGACTCGGCTGGATACCACCCAGTACTTACTTGGGCAATCAAACGTCCCTAGGTATACTCTGTACTGAGCCTCCTGTCCGAATTTGTCGCGAAACGGCAGTAGACCGTGCGTTTTCCGATACGGGAACTGGCACTGACTGGCACAGATGTCACAGGTCGCCGAAAGGACCGTCCACCACTCTGCCAAAGGAATAATCAGAGGGTCTAGCAGCAATCATGATGAGTCGCAATCATAAAGTAGAGAGCTTGTCTGTTCAAGGGTTGGTGTTGATAGCTTCTTGGTGCTGTGAGAGTGACGCCAGCTATCTTGATGATCAGGATCAAGATCAGGATCAGGGTATATCGACTGGCGTTGCATCGTCTCCTCGCCGTCAAGGGGATTGCCTTTTAGGTATGATATGGATATGGGGACAGCGGGGGATTCATACCTGTTCAATCAAGGATCAACGGACCCGACGAAACGTGCAATGCAAGCCGAGAGATTTCCACCATCTTGATGACAGCATTGGACAGAGTCTGTTTCTAGCGCTTCAACCTACGATAGCCCGTAGTACAGTCAGTAGTAGCTTTCTTGCTAGGGTACTCTGCTTTGGCACGCCTTGGAATGGATTACCGATCATGCTGCTAGCGAGGTTGAGGTCGCTTGAGATTGAGGACTCGGCTGTCCAAAACATGTACAGGAGATACAGGACGGGGGAAGGGTTGCTTATGAGGTAGAGGGATGAGGATACACTTGAGCCACTTAGGGATCTCTGAGCCTAAAGGATTCCTCGGCTTCCCTGGACAAGATCCTAGCCAGCTCAGCCTTACCTCTGTAATGCCTAAAAGTAAGGTACTCGGCGGGCTCCGCCAACTAAAAGGATAAGGACCCCCGGGTGCTGCTGCCAGCCTAGGAGCTGCCAGGGGTAGGGGGGTTCCTCCTTATCCCTCGGGCCGCCGAATAGCTGAGCCTCCTTAGCCACGCCTACCCACCTTAATATGAGTGTGTCGGGGATCAAGGCTTCCGGCAACGTTTATGGACCGGTAGCGTCCTCCTTATCCCTAGGGAGGCAGTAGTGCACGCCTATAACACGGTGGTTCCCTAGGCGCTCGGTGGTCTGACGAATCTTCGGCCCAGGTGCGGAGCCGGGCAGCTGAGTGCCCATAAGCGAACAGGCCAGGGGGGTCTCGAAGGAGCTCGTCAATCTTGATGGTTAATAAGGAATAACACTCAGTCGTGGCCATACCAATCAGGTCAAGTTAGGCGTGGACTGATAGGGCTTTTATTCCGGGTCGGTTTCCCAGTTCCCTTTCACCCACTATACCATCATTCAAACACCTCCACCGGCGTTTCTGATCAAGAGAGAAACATCCCATTGTCAAACCATCCCCAAGCAAAAAGAAGACAAACAGGCAAGCACATACAAGATGCCCTATTCACGGATGTTCCCACCGTACCAGGACTCGACGTACGAGAACCAAGTACGTACCTGACGTGGCGGATTGTGTCCCCTCCCACCATTCCTAACCTAAGTAAACAGCCACAACAATGGGATGAAGTCGACTTCACGACCATCCCGCCCTCGGGCGACAACTACGACAACAGACAAGGCAAAGACACAGACACACCCTTCTACGGCGTCAACGCCATACCCAGCGAACCTCAGGGTGCCCCTTCACCCAACTTCTCCCAGTTCTTGAACTTTGATACCTCAGATGTCGGGTCATACTCGGTGCCCAGCGAAGACGTCTCCCCCGACAGTATCTACGGAAATGCACCCAATCCCATGAACTGCACTCAACAGCTGCCGAACTACCCGCTCAAGACTGAACCCGACGTGAACCAGAACGACTTCTACCCTTGCGGGCTGCCCAACAGCCAAGGAGAAGAATGCCGCTCCCAGCGATCTGGGACGACTGAACCCTCGTGTCTGCAACTGACAAGCCTTGCTGAAATTGAAGATTGCAATGCTCCTTCCTGTCTAACCACCAATTCCAGCTCGCTCGGCGAGCAGAACTATGGCCCAAGACAAACTCGCTCCTACTCTGCTGAACTGGCTCGTCTGCCACCCAACCTGAAGGAGGAATCTGAGAGGAAACCTCGAAGCAAGCGCGGCCACAAAGGCTCGTCTAGCGAAGACGAGTCGGCGCAGCTTCGTGCTAAACAGGCTCACTCCGTTGTCGAGCGACGATACCGCGACAATCTCAACGGCAAGATCATGCAGCTGCACCGAGCCCTGGTGGCAGCCGAGTCAACGCCACGGCTGTCTGGCATGCCGAATCAAGACTTCTTTGCATCTCGAGAGAACCGGGCCAAAGTGCGGAAGTCTGATGTCATGACCGAGGCCATGAACTACGTACACCAGTCTGAAGTTGAGATACGACACATGTCCGATGAGATAACTCGGCTCAATGACCGAGTCCGAGCTCTGGAAAAACTGGTCAAATGTGAAGACTGCACCCTGCTAAAGCAAATGGTGCGATTGCAGATCCAGCAGCAGCAACAACAACAACAACAACAACACCATCAACAGCAGCAACAGCAACAATTACTACCCCAATAATTGAGGCATGAAGAGCATTTGGAAAACTTAAAGAACGAATATTCGACAAGTATTGCTGCTTCCGGAATATATACCTGCAATTACTCCTCAGTTGCTGCGTCCAGGGGAGTAAATCACTCATACAAATGACTGCTTTTCTGGCTTCGCCATTGAATTCTTTGGCTTTTGGGGCGTTTGGGTGGCGCTAGGGCTTTATCAATGAATAGGTTGTACACAGATTCAGACGGGAACAGGCTGGGATCTTTCTAGGACAAGAGACGGAATCAACACGGTGCAGTGCCCGACATGACAGGGCAGAGGCAGGGTTGATCGCTGCCACCTGTCTAGGACTGGCTGAACGCTACGGGGGCTGGCACCCCAAGCTCTTCGTGCGTTCTTGTATGAGGATGGAAGAAGGACCTGATACCCATCAAGGAACGGACATCGTTCAGGAGCAGGACTTTGAGACACTGGAAACGGATAGGACGAGGGACATTGAACAGGATCCTTTGTCAGTGCCTCTTAATGTGATAGATTAACGACTACGGGGTTTGGTGACTCGCACCTAATATGCTTGAGTCCCAGGTTATGTTATGTGGCTTCAACTTGACGATGTATCTCCTATGAGCACTGCACAGATGCAGCAGCTCCTTCTGGAATGTCAATGGCTTTATTCTTCCTTCATCTTCCTCCTTTTGACGTTTTCGGATGCTTCTTTAGCGAACGAGCAGCTTAGGGGCCCAGACTACCTATACCACTTATGCTCTACCTCGCATGCCTAAGGTACAGAGTCCATAGATGCATTCTTCATACGAATGCTGTCCTAGCCGCACATTGTTCAACAGCATCGCGATTAAACGCGAATCCGACAACCGGCACATCATCTGATCACCTAGAAAACAAGGGAACAGGAACAGGAACTGGAGTTCCGCATGACATGGAGGGAGTTACGGCTGTCACAAGCAAGGGGGGCCGGCACACCCGCACTGGAGCCTGAGAGTACCGAGTTTCCCCTTGAAAATCATGCAAGATAGGCCAAGGTAGGTCAGATCTCGGTTCCCAGTCACGCACGATGAGCGACGTAATGCGATACAGGGTCTGGAGAGGATTTATTACACCATCGTACCATCTGGAACGCTCTCAATCTCAAAAGGACGACAGCCTTCGAGGGGAGCACGACCGAATTGTCAGGAGACATGGTGTGGAAGAGCCGGAAGAGCCTAAGAGTGGTCTGGAAGGTCGGTGGCATGACACCTCGCTACGGGCTCATCAGGCGTGGCTTGACACTTCCAGCACCACCCACTACCTACTTTGTGCAGTGTCTGGAACAATACCACGGTTGCTCAGGTACTCGGTACAGTACTCAGGCCATCATCGTATGGCAACGGTCAACGGCAACCCTCAGAAATGCTTGTGCGACTCCCGCCCACAGCCGCATTCATCTCCACAATCTTCACCACAGATCAGAAGATTTAAAGGGAATACATTTCCCCCGGAGAAAGGAGTGTCAATTGACTTTTCAGGGCTTCAGCCGCGCATAGAGTGTTGGAGAGGTGCCCACACAACAAGGGCTTTGGGGTTGGAATACCCCTGGCACTTTAGGGGGCATCTTAAACAACATCATTCAGCAAAGCCTCATCAGCCTGGAGAATATCAACCACTATCCTCACCATTCATATATGGTTCAGTTCAAAGACTTTTGCAGCAAGCGCTTTCTTTGATTTTGTATTTATATCCGGTTGAACCAGTGATTGAACGAAAGAACCAGACGAACCATCGCCTCGACAAGGTCAGCAAAGAGACGAATTTTATTGTGTTCGACATGTACGACTTTTGAGCCTCAGTAAGGCTTCCGGCGGTGCTCATGATGATTATGCCTATTCCCTATCATTTCAAGCCGGCCACATTCTTATGAAGACACTCGGCAATTCTGGCAATTCCCGAGAGTCCCTTGAAAACACCGACTCTCGCAATTTATTCAGCCACATCGGCGGAGCGACTTGAGACCACCGGACGATCAGAAGCAAGATGACCAAACGCGCTTTCCTGTCATGCAAATCCCCATCGACACGAGCCCGTCATCAAAGACATAATATCTATGAACCTTACGACGTTGCTATACCATGAGAGCCAACTTCACCCCCCTCAAAAAGCAATCCTGTTCGCTCGTAGCAAAGTGAACAGAGCAACTGCCGGGGACGAACCAATCGACAACGGGAGAGATTCGAAAACGAACACATATATCACCTACAAGTTGAAAGATTCAACAGGTGTGGTCTTCCAACTACAAAGGATAGTCGCAGCATTCTGATTACAATGCTGGCTCCTTATGTGGGAAGACTAATATAAGTTCATGCTCGAGTTCAGGAGGGTTGAGATACATCACATTTCATCTCATCCCATCTATTTCCCAAAGAGCCCCGTTTTTGGGAAAGCTGCTGGAATGAGTCGGGCCTTGAGTGCCAGCGTCCAGAGCTTCCCAAGACAAAAGGGTTCGGGTTCACAGAAGCATTTGGTATTCGATGGATGTCCATCGGTACTGTTGCTTTTGACAGGTTGGTGGCTAGCTGGGATATACTTGGTTCGCAGCCCTGGAAGGTGCAAACAAAGAACAGGTTTCGAGAGATCGATCACCCTCCCAAGGACACCGACAAGCACGGGAATGGCATTGATTGGCATGTCATCGGCGATCTTGCAAAGCAATGAGACTTGCACATCTCATGCATTGTCAAGCACGATGACAGAATGTTTCGACGGAGGCATGGCATGCCAGATGAAACAAAGGTAGAGGGGAGGTTCATAGGAATGCCCTTCCATCCTGTACACAGTACTGAGGCGGCAGCAGCCGCAGTTACTGTAGCACAGTACATAGGTATAAAAAAAATAACAAAAACACCTACAACAATCAAAACCGTTGGCTTCAGTTTCTTATCGAGCGTTTTGTCTAATCTCTTCCGAGACCCATGGATGTTCCTAGAAGTCATCCCCTGGCTGCCCCTTTTCTTGATTTATTGTCCGAACACTCGTACTCGTCTTTCATGGCACCTCGCGATCGTCTTCAGGGGCAGACTAGCCAGCAAGAAAACAGTACCAGACGAGGGTACGAAACGCCTACGACGATAACTGAAAACATTCATCGCAAAGGGAGAGTGGAGAGGAGGGATAACCCGGCTTGATGGTGCAATGACCCACCGTCAAGTCGCATTCAACATCAACATCAATGCTCCTACGTGCGTAATGCATGATGTGCCTCATTTCACTCTTGCTGTGCAAGCCAGGGAGACTTCAAGAATCCAGAACTCAATCGCCTATGTAGGTATCCATCTATCCAGATATGTGTACAGAGTAAAATGAGTTGCGTTATGTGAAAGTGGAGTCCCATAAACACGGATTTTTTCTCCCTCGGGCAATTAAATAGCTCGGGTTTGCGTATCCGTGGCCTGTACGTTTGTCATGGCTCGCCAGTCCCTTTTTCTTATTATGCAAGCATACATACTAGAATATGTGCGTATCCAATGCAAGTACGTATACGCGTATACGCACATACCCAGGTGCTGGTCTTCTTTGAATGGATGTGGCCGGTGGACCACTTTTGAACCGCGGTTCAATGCCAGTTTGGGTAATTAAAATGGTGAAAAAGTGCCTGTACCGGTAGTTGATCTCTGGATAGGTATAGCAAGTGGGCACCAGGCTCCATCAAGATAGAGAGGAAATGGAGAAAAAAAGTGGCACAGCGATTTGAATATACCTGAGATAGGCATCCAGGGGTACATAGATACCGAGGTACCTACAGAGTAGATAAGCTATAGTAATGCTATACAAAGCACTTACTACGTACTCTGTACTATGCTGTGGACCACTAGGAACCCGTCCTGTCCATTTCCGGAGCAGCCAATGGCTAGGGGTGGCCACAACTTCCCGATCGGGAACAATATAAATTTCCAGGCGGTGAATGATGCCCGGTTTTAGGCTGTGAGCAGTTGATGAGTGCATGGCCCTGTGGTTGCTTCTCTGCTTGCCTAAGACCGACCTCGTTCCTTTTCTTGCTTCTTGTCGTGGACTATTGGGCACTGATGCGATTGTTGGAGGGTGCAAGCGTTCCAACTCCACTAGTGCATCGAGGAGGAGAGGCGAGACTGGCCCTGCAAAGCGCTAGTCCCCAACGGGTGCGGTGGATGTCTCTTCGTCTTCGTGCTTGTAAAGAGGTATTTTTGGAAGCTGGGAGCGGGGACGTATTAGGACATGCCAGCAACGGATGGATAACTGATGCATTAGTCCATGGTCCGTTGAGAAAAGACTGCTTAACAACAAACTGCATCGCAACAGTCAGCGAGGTGTTATGCTCTGACTATCAATCAGAGCGAGGGCACCACAGGACTCGAGCAAACATGATACCATGTATATAATCATAATCCATATGGCGGTCGAAGAAGGATTAGCATAATTGCCCCCTTCCCTTCTCCAGTTCTAGTCAGTCAGTAATGATCAGATCGCCCCTGCTCGTAAGGTGTCACAATCAATGAGACATGTGCTCATGTTGAAGCTTGTGTTCAACATGCTCGTCGCAAAACTGCTCACACCAGAACTGGCGCCGGTAGACGATGAGGCGATCGTATCAGGTAGGTACCAAATACGGATCTGGCCAGGCAGGGGTCCATAAGGTGCCGTCCCACATATTCAGACATGATATAAGTACGTACGTATTATGTTATCAGGCCAGATCCTTACCTAAGACAATGTAAGTTGGAAGCCTCGGGCTCCGACGGGGCAAGAACAGGACCGGCCTCCGAAGGTAGGTGTGAAGCAGGCAGGTGTCAGAGATAGAGATCCGCCCTTTGTCGATTTTCAAAAGCCACTTTCCCTTGGGCTTCTGGTCCTGCGGCGGTAGCCGAGAGTGGACTTTATTTAGGCTTCTTTGGAGGGGGGAGGGGACCCCTTTTCGGTATTGGAATTCCGCTCGCCCGCTTAATAAGTCACTTTCATGCCAGGGATGATAGCAAGGTACAAGTACGTACTCTGTAGCTAGAGGGTCGCACTAGGCTATCGTCGACACCTTGGGGTGTAAGCGAGCGCTGTCACCTGCGCTAAGTAATCTTGGCCGGTATCCATGTCGGAGGTGTACTGGTATTCTGGTGATACGAGGTGGCCTGATCGCCTGAGTGGTAAGGTGACAGCTCAGGGTCTGGGCAACCGAAGACACAACTTCTTTTTCGTTCTCAACTTTTCTTCAGACTCTGTATCATACCTTAGTAAGGGACAAAATATCTCCCTAGTAGGTTAGGTGCTGTTTGTTCCGTTCGGCTAATTACTGATATCAATACTGCTTGAATGATGCTCATGTGCGCGACCGGGAAACGTTTGGTCGACAACGTGAGGGTGGGTCAGCCTCGTGGACAGTAACAAATCCAAGTGTCCAGACCCTGGACTACAGACACAGTTGCCGTACTGTTACAATTACCGTCAGGTGCAGTCTGTATAGGCCCCCAGGACCTAGGAATTAGTACCTACCTAGTCATCGTCCATCCGGTCCTCGGCGACGGCCTCCCAGGCCTACCTCCGTAGGTGCGTATCATAGTCGTATATCATAAAAACGCCTGTGAACAGTAATAGACCACTCGTGGACCTCCCCTTGTTACTCCCATACAAGCTACAAGAACCGATCTAGTATATCCGATCTCGGTCAAGCCTGGAAAGACAGCCAAACATCAAAGGTTCAAACGTACAAGCTTCTTGTTGCTGAACATCGAGGACAAACGAGCCACCACATCACCATCTATCTATCTATACCTACCTCAAGACGAACAGAACACCCCAATCACATCCTGGCCTTGAAGTGGGACCTCGAAACCACAAGCCGTCGCATCTTGCCCTCCAAATTCACGACGCAATATCTCGACCTTCTGAACGTCGGACAGTCAAACACCTTCCCCGCGACACGAACTGAATTTCCCTCCATATCATGCCTCCTATAAGGATACCGATCCCGCAACTTCGCCAAGGACTGAGGACGTTCGCCTCACGCTCCTCGTCCCTCGCCGCTGCGCACGGACGACACGCACCGATACACCACGAGCCTTCGCAGCGCATCCTCTCCAAAGCGGCCGCCATGCATCAACACACAGCCTCCCAATTCCCCATGGTGGTGCGGGACGCGACGAGCTACACTGCACTCGCCGCCCTGACGACCGGGGTGGCGTGGGTGATTTATTGCTCGGTAAGCAATACTTCGTCCTACCCGTCCCCGTGTCTCTTCCAACCCCCTGTACCGTGGCTTGACAGAAACGACTTCTGAGCCTGAGCCGCGAAGACACATTCAAAGCAAAAAAAAAAAAAAAAAAAGGAAACACTGCGGGGGGGACTTTAGTTCCCTTGTGTCTTCATGCCTTGCCATGCGCAGGGCGGCGTCATGGTCACAACACTACCGAGTCGGCAAGAGATGCGGGGACTTCTGATGCGTTGTTTTCCAATGCAGATGCTGATCAATTTTGTATTTGTGCAGGACGAGAATGCAGATTTGATCGACTTTTTGGAACTATAGCCTCATGTCGGATTGGGCAGTCTGGTTTGAGTTGACGGCAACCGTGAATACCTCAGCGCGGATACTGCATTGCCAGGCATGGCATCGGCAAAAATGAAGGACACAATGGGGGCGTTTTGAGGCGTTTCAAGCGATGCTGGGACATATCATGCCAATATAATCATCGATGTCAGGAAGGCCATTATTCGGTCGCCTCGTGCATCAAGGCCCGGACTCGGGCGAACTATGATGCTCGATTAGCTTCATCGCATTATCAACAGGGCGAGGTTGAATCCCTTCCTGCCAGGACAGGACGGCAATGGGAGGATTCACTCTCTTGCTTGCTTCCGCGAAATCATCATAATGAGACTGTCATTTGCGTCGCTCTGCTCCAAGATCTGAGTGAGACCGCTTCATTCGATTTCCAGCACAGGTCCTTCAAGTTGGCCTCGCGTAGAAAGGGTCCAGGGCGCACGGCGGAAGAAGATAATGAACATCACGACGTGCAATTCTTCGAGTTACTGCGAGAACAATGTTGCGGATCAGGCTGCCCGCTCAGGAGAGAAAAAGCCTCGTCACGTGGACGGAGTTCCCTATAGAGCCGCCCACGTGATGGCGATGTGGTTTTCGCGGGTCTTTTTCCCGTTGATGCTTTCGAGCCTTTTCTTCCTGTTGGACACCAATGAATCCATCGTTATCGCCCAATACTCTGTACTGTGTTCCAAAGGCTCGCCGGTGCCGGGCTCTCGGAACAACCTTGAGCGTATACACAAATATGTAGTGTATGGACTGGATAGCAAGTCAGCCTTGCTGTCTGTGTGTCCAAATACTTCATATTGACATCATCCGGATGACGGCGGCACTGGACCCTGATTTTCAGCAGATCTCTTCGATGCAGTGCCGTTCTGCCATCGAATCATCGAGATGACAATGATGCTCTGCACAAGAATCTCGACGCTATTCGTGCGCAAAGTCCAGCCGCGGGAGCTTCGGAGTCTGGGGTCGAAGGATCTCGGGGCACGAGACACTTCCAGTGGTCGACAGCGGGATGACTGTAACCTTGAATGTTCTCTGGTAGGTGGAAGCCCCAATATATTTCTTACATTGTCAGCTTTCTCTCTGTCTCCCTGCATGGTCAAGTGATACTCTCAAATCGCATCTGTCCTTCAGTCAGGGTCGGGCAAGGCTGCGATTGGTGGCTATACGACATCCGCTGAGTGAGATACTGCCACGAGACGAAAGGTTCCCCATATTGACTTCGCTCTCTCGCCTTCATTTCTTGCCGAAGTAAGGGACGACTTTTCATGCATCCCCACAAAGCCACCAAGACTTAGTCGACAAGAACCCCAAGATTCGGCCATTTGCTAACACCAACAACGCCCAACTCACACACACACTGACTATTCACCTCGAATGAAATCTACGGAATCGCATGATCAAGCGACGACACCTGTCCAACGACCGGGCATACCTCTTGCCAGTGAAGGCTGAGCGCAAACACCAGAGAGAGTCAACAGACTGGATCAATTCCGATGCCAGTGCTAGTCACCTACGCGACTTGTCGGGGCTCGACGCGAGAAGTGGCCGAACGCATCGCCACGCGTCTCTACGAAGATGGCTTTGCCGTCGACTGTCGACCTGTCGACCATGTTTTCAGTGTCGAGAACTATACCGCAGTCATCCTGGGCAGTGCCGTACATTCCCACAGATGGCTTCTCGACGCTCTAAAATTTCTCGACGTCGAGGCCATGGAGTTGCAATTGGTACCCTTCTGGGCATTCAGTCTGGCCATGTCACCGCACGGGCTTCCCAATCGGATTGGAAGGAAGATGGCCAAGAAGGAAAGGAGGAGGATTGAAGACAACCTTTTGAGGAAAGTGCCCAAGATCAGAGAGCATCGGATGTTTGCAGGAAAGCACGATGGCTCGTCGGTGCCTGGTCCTTTCCGGAGCTTGTACAGGTGCCTAGGTGGGAGGTTTGGAGACATGCGCGACTGGACTGAGATCGATGCTTGGGCGGATCAGATTGCGAAGCAGTTGCATATTGAGCACGCTTGATATTGCATTTCTACGAGAACACAAGAGCGAGGACTCTTGTGAGGTTGTTTACTTCGCGCCAGGGGTCGAGTAGTGGTTGATCTGGCAAGCCAGTCTTTACCAGAGTGGTCGCTTTGGACATCCCGCATTGATACGACTTGACGACATTTGAAATACCCCAGGACAGCAGGCTTTGGACTCTCTTTTCAGGTTGGGCGAGCGGTGGATATTCATGGAGTTTTACGGTGTTTGTTCGGGCCTGGGGCAAAGGATGATATGTTGGGAGAGAGGGTCGTCGGTTGTCCTCATGGGTCAAAGGAGACATGCAGACCATCAACGAGATACTTGAAGGTGCAGTTGGACACCAAGGCTGTGAGGTGTCATGAAGCTAGACCAGCTTGCTTCTCGATAGTTGTGTAGCTGTGCGCCTATGTTGAAATCTACTGCTGCTCTGGGGATGACATCCTTAAGCATTAAAGGAGACAAGTTTATCCCGAAACCGTTGAATTGCCACAACATCTTCTATCCAGTACGGACAGTAGCATCGCAGCCCCCAGCAATATGTGGTGGAGTCCTCCAGGACCGAGATTTTCGCCCTCCATGAAGTCAGAATATGGATCTTGTCAATCATGGGATCACTCACATAGCGGGTCAAGATCCGATCATCCAACCATCACATTTACCAGCAGCGGCAATAGCAATCATGCCATCCGTATCGCATCTTACCCCTGATGGAGATCCCAAGTTCCCACCGCGTGTCAACCAGGGCCCGGGAGTTGCAATTCCGCACGAAACTCGTCTATATCTCGTAGATCATTGACATGGTACCTGTCAAGTCCCGGCTGCCTTTCTCAAAAGGGAAGACGAGACGACATGACAATAGCGAAGCGAGCAGGCAACGGCGCAGGAGTCCTACCTACTACTATCGACCCTCGGACCACAATTTGACCACCATCATGCAATGTTGATTCTGGAGAAGCTATATCAAAGCGTCTGACGAAAAAAGGGACTGTATTGTTGGTGCTATAATGTGTGTCTGACAGGTCAAGAGAGTTGCTTCTGACTGCCTTCCACCTCTCTTCTCTTCTCATCTCATCGTCTTCCCAGCCACCGACCACACACCACCTCTCGTCTCGATTCGATTCGTCCTCGACATACCCAAGATATTTGAAATGACTCGGCCGTAAAAGAAAGGTCAGTGCCCTTCCTCATGATTCTTCATGCAGCAAATGTGGTCCATCGCTTCAGCACCCGCCTCATCCGAGCAGATAGATTCTCTCCACTGAAAAAAACAACCATCATCACATATCAAAATGACAGTGGCGTTGGGCCGGGGAAAGTCCGTCTTCACCTGCATTGCAGTTCCTGATCTACGATTAGTGGTTTGGATCTTCGATCATTCTACTGGATCCGCAACGTCTTCCAGCCACTTAGGCCCAGGGGAAGAGTAGTTCCTGGTACGAAATCGGGGAACTGGGCCGCAAGATCGCACGACGGTCATCCCACCCATTCGCACCCAGTCCACCCGCGGGGACCTATCTCTTTCCATCGCACGCTCCGACAGTTTGTTGTCCTTGTCTTCTTCTATCTTCCATGGGCCAATTGTGTATCGAGACGCTTCCACCCTCTTTCGCCCAAGCACCAGTTACCAGACAATTGATTGCTCCTCCATACGGGCAGAAATCCCTAGCTAGCAGCCACCGGTCCCCCTCTCGACCTCGCCTCTCGCCTCTAGCAAAGTACGTACACTTTGGCGAATGGTTGGCATGTGCTAGTTGACGGAGACTGTTATTGATGATGGCTGGGAACATGTATTTTCTTGACGGCGCCACGTCTTGTCTAGGCAATATTGGCCCTTACTCTGTACAAAGAGTCAGTCCAGCAGTTCTGCGGATTGTCCCTTGATATGACGATTCACATGGGGAGAGGGCAAAGTGTCGCTCCCTGCCTACCTAGGTCAAGTGTCGGATTCGGTCATCCGAGTGAAGGTCCACCACATACCCGCAGTGATACCATTATCAACCTTGTTCTAGCTGTCGAACTCTAGCCGAGGGCATTATTTTGATCGAGGCAAGAAAAGAATCCTGTCCTAAGCGACTAACGTGGCCCGGCGGATGAGCCGCTTGCTAACAGGCCAGACCCGAACCATTTGCGTTGCTCCTTACCAATGCCGGATATGGTATGTTGTGGGAACCCAATCGGCGATGGGGCCCATCCTGTCGTCGCAACACCGGCCCCGCCCCACCCACCTAGCAGGCCTCCTCTCCTTGCTACAGTACACAACTACGTTAACGGGACGTTGCCCGCACTGGGGCTATCATCACAAGACGCTCGTCTGAGGGATGATGGCAAAGAAGTGATTGATTGGAATGAAAAAGTGTGAGCTTGCCCCTTGCGAGGAATTTGGGGGTTTTTTCTCATGAATATGGAGACTTGGGACCGATGTACGATAACATAACAGACAACGATAGACGCGAACCACTGTCAATCGGTCTAGCACACAGCGTTTGGCTACCATAACCACTAGATCGAAGCTACTGATGTCGACGTGATCGAAACGACGGTTCGATCATCCGTGACATCTGGAGCCCGGAGTTTCAAATACATACTATACATATACATGCTTTCCCTCACCAGTGGCCGCCTTTTGACCGCACCTTTCTGTCCAACCCTTCAACAACCATGCATCCTGAACAAGACCGTACACGCACGCGGCCGCGAGTCTCGAGAGCCTGTGAACGATGTCGAGTCAAGAAAGCCAAGGTACGTCGAGACTCGACCCCAAGAACTGTTCAAACTCAGACTGCTGTTCTCCCAACGTGCCGGCACTTTTCCCATTACACAAACATATCCATACTCACATCCATCATCGTTGATATTGTCAGAGCAGGCCTGACTTTTTTCTGTCCTTTTGGGAATAGTGCGACGGCGAGAAACCTTGCAAGAGATGCAACCTAGACAAAGCAGTCTGCTCATACAAGGTCCGCCGAAGGACCGAATCGGGCGGATCTAATCAAAGGTATGGTACCAAGAACCAGCTCAACGAGTTGGAATATCAGACAGAAAGAGAATCAGCCGCTGACTTTTGTTGTCGTCAACCAGATATGCCGGCCTTCTCATCCAACACCATGCCGCTCTCACTGCGGGCCTGATTGAGCTCTATACGCGCATCATCAAAGGCCAGCCATGGGAAGGGTCGCCCGTTGACGAGCTCAACGGCAGTCCCAGCGTGCATTGCATTCTTGAACGACTGGGTGTGATCGACGCCGAAGACGAAATCGATCCTACACCCACTGCAGACCCCAGGCTGGGAAGCGACCTCGGCTCGTCTTCCAACGGCATCAAAGTTGCAGCTGATGCTGCTCGAGAGCAACACCAACAACACCAACAACCGCCACCTAGTAAAGTGCGGAAGCTATCGAAATCGACAACGACATCGACATCGACAGCAACATCCACCTCGACATCGACGACACGCAAAATCTCCCAATCTAACAGACGCAGCAACTCGTCACGATCTCCCCGCTCGAAGACTTCGCCCGCCCTTGCTCCTGCTCCGGTTGCATCTTCCTCTTCTTCCTCTTTGCCAACGTCATTCCCCCAGTCTCAAGGATTGACATTCGACACCGAGGACCGACAACAAGCCACAATCGGCCAAGACTATTTCAACCACGCGGTTTCTCCGCCATCCAGCGCCGGCACCATCTCATCATGGGAATCTCAGTCCCATGCCCATTCTCCCGACCTGGCCGACGACATGTTCACGACCCCTTTGCCCACGACGCCCACGACGACCAGCGAGTCATATTTCCCCGACTACCAGATCCCCACGACACAGCAGGCAGCCTATGCGCCCTTTTCTGCGTCTACGGTCGTCGACGGATCTGTCGGGATCCAAGGCTACGTCGGCAGAGAATCCATCCCCACGCCCGTCCAGGCCGGCGCATATACTTCTCCCGAAACGGCGGCTGAGGCTTGTACGGCCGGATACTTCCTCGACGCGACCGGCGGGATGGGACTGTATGGTTGGGACACTGGCAATGTGGGAGGCGGAGGCGGCGGCAATGTCGGCTTCGGGTCCCTACAACAGGAATGCAATGCATGGGACTCGGGTGTTTTCGTATGAAGCAAAAAACGACAAAACAAAGCCTTGGGCTGGATCTGGGATTCAAATATTCGGTTTCTGGAAAACGATCTGCTATGCCGGCAATGAGGGAGGATTTGTGATTGGGGATTTTTGATTCCTCCATGTGTATGTGTACAATAGACAGCCGATGCACGAAATAAGAAGCTGGCGACTTTTTTTTTACCCCTTTTGTCAGTTTCTTCTTTTCCTTTTCTCCTGTCTCTGGCTTATTGTTGGACTTTTTGGGTTCCTTCTTTCAGGGGGGGCAATGGATTGATTTATCTCCTCCCTCTGCCCCCCGGGTATGTCAATCCCACGACAGGCCCCCCAGGGATGCTTGACGACCGTCGACAGCGGACGATATCTTGTCCCCATTCCAATAAATATTGCGATAAACTCAACTCATCCCGGGAAACGAGTAGGGGAGTCCAACGGCAGGCAACCGTGATCCGAGATTGATACTGAAGCTTCAAGCTTGCAAGACTGGACCGGCCGAGACATCCGTACAAGGAAGAGTACGGACACCACCAGAAAGAAGGAAAAGGGTTGAGACCCGCAGTCAAGCCAGGGTGCACTGCGGTAGGGATCACTTTGCTTCAATTGCTTGTTTCGAATTGTCCGTTGAACGAGTCCACAGTCAGTCCACAGGTATATATATCAGAGGTATATTCATGCCCGTCCATCTATCCAGCCATCCATCCATCCTATCTCCTAGTTCTCCTGACCATGACCATCGAGTATGGCAAAATATAATATATTCATGATCTTTTTCACCCACTCGCAAACGGATTCTCTTCCCCTGCCCATTGAAAAAAGCCACTGTCCTCATCCCGAGAGTTGTCCCCGTGTCCCAATGGTACTACGTATACCCAAAGTAGGTGTGCTCGGGCTGTACTGCGTATAGAGTACGATGGTATGGCAATCCCCGTGCAGGGCCGGATTCCAGGACATGATATCTCTCACATAAAATGCAACTTCAAGGGAGGCTGGGAGGTCTTGAATACTTGCCTGCTCATCCTATAGCTTCTTTTTATATCTGCTCTGCTCTGCTCTGCTGTGCTAGCGGATGTAGGTAGTTATATTTGATTGATATAGCTTGTGACTTTTCAGTCAGACGAACTCTGCGACGGGACAGGACGGAGACAAGGACTGAAGCGCCAGAAAAGACGATCTGCGGTCATTTTCAGCACCTTCAGAGTAGAGCCCTCATTAGCCATTAGCAGGCTGATATCAAATTACCGGTTGTCATCTGTGATGGTGGTGTTTTGGGATGAAAAGAAACCCGGGTTCAAGGTAAGAAACAAATCGAAGTCACTTGTGTAGCGGGTATCTTCACATCCTTTACCTCTCTCTGGTGCCCTACATATACGTAAGTTGTAGCCACGACATATCTCACTCCATTGCAGCATAAGCAACGAGGGTATACCGTCAAGACTCACATTCGCCAGGCCGTGTCACAGTCTCGACAGGAGGATCATGTACAGTCATGTACAGTCAGTCAGTCGCCTTGAACCCAGCTACCCAGGCGCAAATAAATGGCTACCGGTGATATGTTGATAGTACAGTGATATGTCTGATCAGGGTCACGGTGTTGAGCATCAAGAGGCTGTCCAGGCTCATCTCAGTCATGCATTGCATTTCTACATTGTAGCCACTGGAGTCGAGGCGACCATCTGTCTCAACGCCATGAAAACGACAATGCGATCCAATGTACCCTCCATAACCCAATTTATAGAAAGAAAGACGCGCATGAACCATACATACTCCACGCTCTAAACAGTCATCAGAACAATTCAAAACACAGCGCCAAAGACAGACAATGTAACAGGTCATCAACTTGACACGGAGACTTCGACAGGCGGCTTCTGCCTTGGAGGGGGTTCGGTCGACGACGTCGATGCGGTGTCGACCTCGACTCCCCATCTCTCCGCGAACCCTGCACAGATGTCTCGACACGTTTTGGCGGCCTGTCGTGTTCTGCACCTCCGATCCCAGTCTCCCGCTTGGATCAGCAGAATACTGTTCTCCACCAATTCTTCCTCCAGACGCACGTCCTCGACCATGTCACGAACAGACTTGAGTTTGCGGGTAGCGGCGTTGGCGGCCAGCCGAGACTCTTGAAGCAAGTCGGTCAACGCACGAAGAGTCTGGCCCAGCTCTTCGGTTTGCGAGGCCAGAATCTGCAGAGACAATAACGGGTTTTGCGGCCTGAGGAAGGGAATCGTCGAGTTCAGTTCGCCGATCTCGTCCAGGAGCAAGTCGATCATCTCTTCGGGGAGATGGAGCATGCCGCCATACATTAAGGAGTGGGTTTGAGCAAACAAGTCGCGGGTTTTATGGGTGCGGTGCGACGCCATCGAGGTATATGCCGTGATCAGCCGTGTGACACCATATTCAATATTGCCCTGTGGCCCTAAATCCTTCAAGCTCTGTATTGTTCTTTTGACAGTTCCCCCTTCCTCACTGAGCGCGTCTTCTGGATTGGCGCTCAACCGTGTCAAGGTCTCGATGTCCCGGATCCGTTTCCTGAGTATGGGCGGGAGGGTGTCCTCTTGGTCTTCGACCTCTGAGTCTGGACCGTAATCTGATCCATCGTAAGCCGATTCATGGCGTTTATGTGCTGATTGCCTGTGCGTCGGTAACCCATCGTTCGGGTCTTGCGGCACTTGCAACGTCGGAGGTTGTCGCTCATAAGCAGATGGCGGACTTTGCACCACCATGCCAAACCCAAAATCGTGCATGTCATTCATCGCGTATGGACTCTGAAGATCTTGCATCACGGACGAGTCTGGATCTTGCTCCACGTCGCCTTCTCTTAAGCCTTCAAGGAAACTAGACTGTCCTTCTCCCTCGTCGTCCCAAGCCTGACCTAGCTCGTCCGCCAGACTTCCAAGCCCGTTGTCCCGCAGTTGTTCGATGCTCAGGTTGCTGTGGAGGCTCGTCCTACTCGACCGACGCGGTTGGGAGAAAGAGGGTGGTCTGGAGGACTTGGACGACATGAGGCGCGGTGTTACGGGAGAACGCGGCTGAAACGAGGTCTGCGAAGTCCGGGATGATCGTCTGGAGTAGGCCGTGCCATTTGTGGTTCCGCTGGTGTACGGACTGGTCGAGATGGCTTCCTGGGACGCGAGCTCGACGTTGGACAAGCGTAGCGAGTACCGCTTTCTCGAAGGCGTGGATGGGGAGGCTGGTGGAGATAGGACAGTCATCCTCTAATGCAGGGGTACTCTGTAGAATGCTGGTAATCGGTCTAGGGGCGACGTTCGCAATACACGTCTATCATGCTGTATGAGAGCTGTGTAAGAGTCGAAATGGTGAGTAGTCTCGTACAAAGTGAAGGGAGATTGAAGAGAGAGACAGGAAGATGGCAGCGCGAGCGTGAGACTCTTGACGCGAGCAAGTTGTGTACAAAAGACGTTGTACTAGGAAGCGACTACACAGAAGGTGATAGTATGTGTTTGATGCTCAACTCGATATTCAAGTTGAAGTTGATGGTGATTTTTGGTGGCTTACGGAACGGCGCGTTTCGTCTGCTCCGCATGTTAATTGTTTGACGTTGAAGTTGTTGAAAAACGTCAAATCCATCGATATCGTTGTCCACACTTCAACTGGCCGGCAACAACGCAGGATTCTCACTACTCCCCGAATCAACTCCTTGTACGACTCCCCAATCGAACCATCTCACACTCTACCTGCTGTAGGCGCAGATGCCGACCATTCGAAGAGTTCAGCCGTCGGATCTTTTCCATCTCAACCTCTGCAACCTCGATCCCTACACGGAAAACTATGACCTGAACTTTTATCTTTTGTATCTGATGAAATGGCCATCACTATTTCAATGTATCGAAGAGCACGGCCAGATTGTCGGCTACATTATCGGTAAAGTAGAGGAATCTCCTCGTCATTTCCAGTAAGTGACCGCTCCCGTCCCAGGGATCTGATGTGATACTGAGAGAAATTCTCGGTAGGGGCACACCACACTACTTACCCTGGCACGGCCACGTCACGGCGCTGTCTATAGCACCGCAATACCGTCGGCTGGGGTATGGGAAGCTCTTGACTGAATCGCTGGAGACGGCGTGCAATCAGCAAGAAGCCTGGTTCGTGGACTTGTTCGTGAGAGCGAGCAACAAGAACGCCATCAAAATGTACGAGAGTATGGGTTATTCAACGTATCGGACTGTGGTCAAGTATTACTCCGACGACCCAACTGGATTGTCGACTGAAGGAGAAGATGCACTGGACATGAGGAAACCTCTCGACAGAGACAAGGACAGGAAACATGTGCGGGAGAATGGAGCGAGTTTCAAGGTGGATCCGGAAGATGTCTTCTGAGCTGGGACGATGGACGGTCCTCTCACCACCTCAGATCCTTGAACTCTGTCCGAAGGTGACAGACTCTAGCCAACACTTACGGCAATACCTCGATCGATCCGCGCGGGTCAGAGGTATAACACCACTCCCTGGGTGCATATCGCCTAAATGGGATCGCTCCCTTCTTCGAGCATCGCAACCGGATGTCTGACCGGGAACGGCCTGGCTGAGTCAGAAGGAGCAGCCAGCCTTGAACGGCCTCCTTTGCCCGAGTCCAGAATCGCCATCTCAAGGATCCATTGACAGGGCATGACTCTGGCATCTGGACGTATCCGAAGGCACATATTCTTTCACCCTACGGAGACGGGGAGACGGTGTCGAATGAACGATGAATGGTGCGATGGAGGTTTCCGAGGCTAGAGAAGGCGTATTCCAAACCGCATACCACTCTTGACGGAATCACACCTTGGGGTGACACAATCTCAATACATACCACCATCACCGAATCTGCTATACTCCCGGCCTCGCCCTCGCCTTCCCAGGCTCTTTGTGTATTGCCATCATCTGTTGATCTCTATCCATATTATTCAACCCAGAGCCTCTAGACAGAGAACACCTCTCCAAACATCTCGCCCGATCTTTCTAGGAGCGCTCCCCCAAGCAAACTTCAGCCTTCTCATTGTTCAAACCCACTCTCATCCGCTTGACTTCCTCAGATCCCGATGCTCTATCGATTCCGATCCATATCATTCGGTCCGAAACTCATAGGCAACAACTCCCCGATGGTCATCTTCACCATCTCCGCCCCCTCACTCAACCCATCCTTGCCATACATGTAGATCGGCAGATCCCTGGTCGTGGCAAACTCGTTGATGAACTGTCTGCACATTCCACACGGACTGGCCGGCGGATTGATGTCGGTACTCACAGCGATGGCGCGAATGATCGGCATCGCGGGTCTCTTGATCGACGCCACGATCGGGGCCAGGGCGCATCGCTCCGCGCAAATCCCCACAGGCGTGCTGGCGACCTCGACGTTCGAGCCCGTGTGGTGTGTGCCGTCGGAGAGGAGGACGCTGGCACCCACGCGGAAATTCGAGTATGGGCCTATCAAATGGTGGGATATACAGGTAAGTCATCTTATGCCGCCAGCCCAACGGGGTAGGGATGAAGGTGAAGTAGCATAGTAGCAAGGCAGAATAGAATATGTTTCTCTTCCTCTAGGAGGATTGACAACATGATGGAATGTCTTTCTCTTCCTAGTAGTGCCGTATACTAGTATTCCAAGTGCACAAACGGTCTCTGTAGAAAAAGACTGCGGTGTTTGAGAGGGAGAAAAAGGAGAATGATCGCTCTGCAATCACAACGGTGTGTCGAGTATTGTCTAGTTGTAGGCTGGTTTAACTTACAGTATGCATAGTCCTTTGCCTCGATGGCTAGAGTGGCAAGCTTGGTCAATTCGTCTTTGGAGAGAGGCTCCAGGGTCTTGTCGGTCGTCATGGCGAAATGGACTGCTGAGCTGTTGTGTCTTGGATTCAATCGGTAGTTTGCCGGTCACTTCCTTGGGCGTCGACTCGTGAATGTTCCGGCTTGCTAAGAGCTCTGTGACTAAGCTTAGAGAGGATGGGCGAGAGCAGGGTGGAAGTTAGAATGTGACGGATGCCCTGGAAGATCTGCAGGAAGGACAGTCGTGGTGGCAGTTCAGTCAATGGTGTATGATAGACAGCGTACTACGTACATACTAGGTACTAAGTAAGGTAGGTAGTTAGTACATAGGTAACAAATAGCTGGTGAAAGATTCTCAGCCTTGCCAAGAAATCTCGGGGTTCAGCCTCGCCAGTGGAACTTGATTCTTCAGAACGGTTTGCTGTCTCAGCCTTGCCACTGGCACTGCAGGAGTCGGAGTCGGAGTCGGAGTCGGAGTCGGGCATCATCGTCTTATATCTTATATCTCTTCCATCATGTACCCTCCCTGCAACCACGGGAATCATGGGCAGTTCACATCATCCCATGCGAAGTGGAGGGGCTATCAGTCTTTGTTACCAGACCACGATAGCGCCTACAATGATAAGAGCCCAAACAGTGGTTCACAAAGGAGGTTCTATTTCTTCGCCCTATATTGCGTTGTATTGGCAAAGGTAAACGCTCTAAGCGCCGCACCCGAACGGTCCCTCGAGTTAGTTCCACGTATTGCATCCGTTACAGCGGGGAGCTATTTGTTCAGGTGAGAGTCAGAACAGAACATGCCCCTGTTGAAGCCAGCACATGCTCTGGCCCGCGAAGCCGTCCTCGAAGAGCTCGGAGTTGGATCTTTGGAGATTGTTGACGGTTGACGGGTCGTCGCATGGAACAGGCTCGACAACGACTGGAGGAGCATGGCCAATAACAAATTGCAAGTCAATGGCCCCGTCCCCGTGATGGACTTGACGGCGGATATCCCGCTCCTTTCGTACCCCACACCTTGAAACCTCTGGTTGCAGGCTGGGGCAAGTGACGAGCGTGGTTCCTTGTCTAGACTTTGGCGAAGATAGTAGACGTCATGTCCAGCGATCGTGAAACCCCGCGAGTCCCCAACGTTCATGAAGCCCGAGCCATAGAGGTTGTATGGCCATCCATAGGGGTCCTCGACAGGCATGTGGATGGGGCTGGCCGAGACAGTCGAGCCGTCTTCAGTTCTGTAGGAAATGCCATGCATGCATGGAAAGAGACGTCGTCAGAAACAAACATGATAGAACTGGATCGATCACAACGAAGGCCTGATAGGGTCCTGCCACCGTAGCGTAAATGTAAAATGGTACACCATCCGACGAGCGGGCTTTGCTGAGTGCCGTTTGGACAAGGCCAGTGCTGTCAAGGCACATGGAATGGAGCAGAGTTTGATGCATGCCCTCTCGATCTGAGAGCCTGAATGATCACGTCTGATTTGATAGACAGCAGTGAGCACCAATGCAGCCGATCGGGTATGGGGAGAAAGAATCTCAAACGGCAGAGGTATGGGTCAAAAGGCATCTCTTGGCTTCTTCAAAATGGAGTTCGGGGTTGACTAGATGCCCAGAGTAGCGACTGAAGGGGCAGTTGATCTTTCGGTGGGATGGTAGAGTGGACCGAGAATTTCTCTCAGTATCACATTTCCTTGATGCACGACGGACAACAAGGGAGGTGTAGATGACTTGGTGGGCAAGGCTGCACTTGTCCGGTGTTCAACGAGTGGTAGTAAAGGCCCATAGCCAGCACAATCAATCCACGGGAGGTGGAACAAAAGTTCGTGGGTTTTCTGGACACACACACACACACACACACACACACACCACGTCCGGGGTGAGAAGTATCAATGACCACGATTGGAAAATGGGCTGTCAAGTGGACCAAAGAAACTGACCTGAACCATAAAGGGCAACATTTTTCGCATACACCGCATGTTCAATGCGGAGCCGACAGCCAGCTTCTGTATATATCCCGCTGTTCCACATGGACGTTTGACAATGCGGATATGTACCGTCATCCAGGAGCTCGATGAAGCGAAATGGCCCTTCTGCCCGAATCTGCTGGTGTGTGCATCCCGGTCGGGGACACAGGAAATGTGTCTCCATTCCATCCTTTGCTTCTCCCACTTGAACAGTGTTGAGCCTCGTAATGGACATATAAGCGAACCGTCGTCGGAGTTGCTGATCGCTTTGTCGGATGCCAATTCCCCATTCTGTAATGCCTATGCCACGATGCTAAACACGTGGGATCCTTAAGGCTGATATCGCCACATCCACATGGGAACAATATCTGCCATCAGATCTGTACCCGAAGACCCATGTCCCGAAAAGTATGTCAAACGGTGTCGAAGCTTCGTCAATATGTTGGATATATCCGTATCATCTATGTCGACGGCGAAATTGCCAGTTCGGAAACAAAGCCCGAGGGCCGCGCCATTTAAGTGTTATGAATAAGGAAATTCCTGAAAGAATCCCAGTAGTCCGAGTTCACATATCTAGAGCACTTGTTAGCTGGCTGTGTCAGATGGAAGACGGTTTGAGCACCCACATATATTTCATACTGCTCCTCAGACTTGGCTGAATGCTCTCGGGTTGCCATCGGAAGATGTACATGACAAGAGCCCAGCTCAAACTCGCAAAGATCGGCCATGCGTTTTCCTGGATCTTTTCTCGCGTCGCAGGCGACAGTCGTTGCGTCCACAAAGTGGGCGTCGGTGTCCTGCTCGTCATACTGGGTGGTTCGATGCTGAGTTTGGCCATGGCCAGGATCACTCGAGCAAAAACGTAGATGACTATCTGTTGATTCACACTGCAAGATCACCATGTGTTCAGTTCAGCTCTCTGACGCTTGTGCACCTATCCCTATCAACAGGGCTGCTCTTACCTGCTCGGGTTTGCTCGACCAAAAACAGTGTATCCGCCCAGCAAGCCGGCGAAAAAGGTGTCATAAGGCCCCTCTTTTCCGGGATGTTTGGGATTGAGTAACCGTAACACCAACATTGCTGTTTTGTATACGGCCGCAAAGGTTGCGAGGTTGCGCGCATGTTGTTTTGTGGCTTTTAGGACGAGCCGGATCTTCTCTCGAATAGACCCAGACCGGAATAATAAGACCATGACCAGAGCATGGGGGAAGCGCACTTTGGCTCCGTAGACAGCGCCATTGCGGGCGGCTTTGATGATGGCAAGAAGAGGCGCGAGGTCGGGGTTGAGGATGACGGACTCGACTGAGTCCTAGACGAGTCAGTAGAGGTTCACTGGTGACGAAAGGAAACGTTACTCACCCTGAGCACATCCATATCGTTGCGCTCGTCTGTAGAGGTCCACAGCTACTCACGACAGTAAAGTCGTATCCAAGGTCACGTCCTGGAACAGGAGGAGTTGTGTACGGAAGGCAGATGCTTGCTGTTGGGGCTCAGGTCACACGCATGGACGAGGAACGTTGCGGACAAGAATTGGCATGTGGTTTCTCGTCCGCGGTCAGCCAGGTATCGACGAGGATGAACAAATCATAGAGCATCCAATAACGAGGTGGTACATGTAGAATGTTAGGCACAAACACTAGGACGTGGTTGAAAGCAACGAGGAGAGAGAGAGCGAGTGCAAGTGGTGGCCAGCCAGACCTCGGCGATTGTATTGTAAGGATCACAGCTACATCATTGCACTGCAAATACTAGTAGCAATAGAGAGATTGGGGAACACATGTGATGGGGGGGTTAAGTTCATTGTGGGCGGGCAATTCCCCCACAAAATAAAAGACTCCCTTTATGCCTATTTATTATTGATTGCGTCGGCTCGTTTTGGGCTACCTCATGATGATAATAGAAGTGTCTGTCATTCCGGCTACATCTCACTCAGCGCGCGAAGCCGGTGAATATACGACAGCAGCCAGAAAGCATTCACCAGCATGACCAGATCTCAATGGAAACCCATCTTGATATCCATCGTTCGCCCCGAAGCCCTAGGCCAACTCCTCTGCACATCGGCGCTATTGAAAGCAACAGCCGGCACCTGATTGAACCGATGATGGGATGTCATGTTCTGCTGTTCATGTTCTTGTCGGAGCCATCATCAACATGATTGAAAGTCGCCAACTGGAACCCCTTGATAACCTGCATCTTGCCTCCCTATGATCTCCGGAAGCTGTCTTCCTGGCCGCCCAGAGTATGGGCAAGGTGCAAAAGGTCGTGGGAGGCTAAAGCAGGGGTCCATGACTTTGGTCTCTGCCAGTTGCTCTGGTCTCGTATCCACGTAGGACGATGTGTCTCCATGTTCGAAGTTCGACGGCACGCTGAATGCTGTGTGCGGTGCTGATGACCCGGTCGTGATGATCAGTCCCATCACATCAGACGTTGGACTCCTGTAACAGTGCCCCTGATAGTCAATATCATGAAATGCGCTGCCGCTTGGGCTTTTCATCCGCATCGACTCCGTTTCCCATCTCTTCATCATCGTCGTCACCGATGCTAATCTCATCCCCACTACCACCTGCACTGCTTCCACCTTCCGAGATCTCATCGTCCACATCCATTCCACCATCAACCAGATCTTCATCTTCGCTGCCCATGTCATCTTCAGACTGTGCTTCGGTCCCGAACTCCTGGCCTTCTTCCAGCTTGTCTCGCCCTCGCTTGAGACCTTTCATCTTTCTGGTCTGCAGCGTCGAAAGGTCCTGTCTGCCCAGATGTACCCGACCGATCTTGTCACCAACCAGATCAGTCTCAATATTCTTCTTGATTCTTGCCTCGTTCGGCCTGCGTCCGTGTTTCAGAGCTTCTCTCATCACATCCGCATCCGCTTCTCGATAACGGCCAACTCTGAAGTCGAAGGTGGGGCCCATCGGGTCAAGTTCCACTCGAGGTAGTTTGGCATTGTTGGACCTCAGAGTCCGAATTTTGTACCATCGAAGATGGAGTACAGGCTTGCTGGCGGGTTCACTCAAGTCTCCGGACGAACTGTTGCTTTCGCCTGAGGCAATCATGAGGACGTACTGTAAGCCTGCAACGTCAATGGAGGATACTTCTTCGCCCTGGAAAATATCGAGTAGGGTCGACTTGAGGGTCTGGTAGAGAGCGGCTTGAGCGGAAGAAGATGGATCGTCCCATTGCGATCCTGAGAATAGTATCAAGGGCTTCATTGCCAATCCAATCTGCAGTTTCGGTTCGGTCCGTGGCTGGTCCTCGGGCACAAGCAGGAGGAACTCCACGATGTCAAGTACCTTTCCATCAAACATACGTGCTACCGTGATGTTGTTGGGTCTCTTCTTGGAATGTGTGCCAAAAACCACCACGCCACACTCATTTTTTTGCGCCAGGAACTCTAAGGATGTTGTGTCTTCGAAGGGGTGGATGTTCTCGTTCTTCTTGTTGAACAGGACCGAGTCGGGCTTCGTCAAGGTGTGTACCGTCTTGAGGACGGAGGCCACTGGTTGGGGACATTTCGTGCCGTGTAGGAGGAGGACTCGTTTTCTCGATTCCACTTGCTGAGGTTCTCGAGCCTTCACTATGCGCGCCGTCCGGGCATTTCGAGGTTTACTATGACGTGTTATTCGAGGGATCACAACATGACCTTGATCCACTTACATTTCTCGAAGCATTTTGAGAGACCTAGCGAAATTCGAATGACTCAAATCTCTCTGTAGTTGTTCTTTTATCTGGTGTCCGCCCAAGACGATGATGGGGTTGAGTTTCGAGTTCTATGCAGTCAAAAATGTTTTGGAATTTTCTTATCGATATGCGGCGGAGCATAAGTTCTGACATGCTACTCCACACTTGTATTCTTTCGTTTCTGGCCCAGCATCTGAATGATCACAAGTCAAGATGGATTAAGCTTATATCATCATTGACTTCTATAGCGAATATGGGCCGGGTGTGTTCATCAAAGTGACTGCCATATAAGGAGGCGCAGGATGAGGCTTATCAAACAGGCTAGTATGAGTCCAGCGATTGGCTTCAGCTACTTCGCAGGCACATATATCAGAAACCATTGGGCAATCCAAGCTCTAAAGTAAAGCGGATCAGAGCAAACCAGAGAGTAATTCCAGTGGTCATAGCTGTCGAGGAGGTAGTTTTAGGAGATGCGTAGGTGCACGTCAGGCTCCAAGGGCCTGAATAGGAATAAACCAAGCCAACGCCCTCTTCACGACATCCCGCAGATCGTATTGTGGTCTTGTCCTTGCCAACAGTCAATACCACATATTTCTGCTGATATTCGAGTGGCAGGATATAGCCCGTATCATGTGTCAAAGGGCGCAGAAGGCGTCGTTGGTGGTCCTCGCCTTGCTGGATACACCTAGCAAGGCCTGACTCAAGAGCGTAGCGTATATGCGGTTCATTGCGCCGTTCACCATGGGCTGCCACTCACTCCAACACAGCCGAGTCCATATAAAGCATTCGGAGTCTGAAAATCATCACTCACCGTGTGATGCACGTCAAGTCGGACGATAACAGAAGATATCAGGCTGATCATCCTCCTTACCATGACCCCCGGATGAGAACAGCAGCAAAGTCTGCCCCCAGTGCATCAACACCACTTTTGCCCCGACCTCGATCATCGTCCTTCCTCATTTCATTAAACGATTGACTGGATATCTGACAATGAGAAATTGAGTTGTAACCGTGGCTGCAGAGTTGATAGAAAAGTTGGAGCCTCAAATTGCCAACAATACCAAGCTTTGTCACGTGCTATGCCAAGATTGACGACCTCAGCCTGAGCCGTCAAATTTTGATCCTCTCGATGTCGCCATTCAAGCCGCCAGACACGCAAGAGATGTTGATGGCCTTGGTGCAGCTATAAGATCACCCAAAATCTGCTGCTGGGTCTGTTCTTCCTCTACATTTTCTTCCTGGTGATTTCTTCCTGGTGAAGGGTTGGATGTATATATGTACGAACCGCATTTCCAGATCTAAACTCTTATGGACAAAACACCAATCACACGATACGTCCCCCTTGCCCGACACCACACGTGTACCGGAATGGGTATCGAACGAGCCCTCTCTAAAGCTTGCTTGGACGAGTTTCCCGGGCATCTTCCGCCTTAGCAGAGCTAGTCCAAGCTCAACCAGCTTTCAGGTTCCCCTGCCCATGTACTCGCGTGTTGAGAACGTGCAGAGGGATCATGGAAGCGTCATTATGTCGAATTTGCGCAAGGTTTAACTCCAAGTCCACGAACCCCTTTCTTTACGGATTACCATGGGCTACACGCGGCACTCACTATGCTTTGGAATTCGGCAATTGCGCTGTGGACTCATGTTGCGCGTTGCTCGCAATCGACCTTTTTTTCTAAGGGATCCCTTTGTTTGACGGCTCGGCGACTTGGTCCTTGATCTTCTGGACAGCTTGGTACGGTCCAAGCTCGCCTACGACAAGACCCCAGTCTTGCCGTCTCCACCTCCCGTTGGACTCCACATGTCTGACCTGATTGACCTTCAACACGACCAGTCACCACCACTGCAACACACTGCAACCCACTGCAACTTACTGTCCGCTATCGATGATCCCCTGATAGACCGTCGACCGGAACACTCGCCCAGGAACTGGCGGAGCCGCGTCAGTGGCGCTCTTGGCATTTGCGGTCGGTCATTTGAAGGTGAGCAGTTCATTGGACATATTGCTGGACTTGTTGGGCACTCCACTATGGATATGGCTATCATTCCCATCCTCGCGCCCACTGGCGGCCGTCTTCCACGCCAATTTCGAGGGGCAAGATTGTCCCTTTTCGGTAGGCACACCTACGAGGACTTCAGTTCGTGCTTGAAAGCATGGCGCGATGATCCAAGCGTTTGTCCGTTTGACCTCCCCGGACCTGGCGTATCCCACACCGAGGACGACTAATGTTGTTCAGCGGCCTCAAGAGGTTCAGACTATTGCCCGCCTCGACCACTTTACTCCTGTTCTCCAGTCCATCTCCGCTGTCACGTCCCTGTCGAAATTGTTGCTAGGGGATTCTGATTTCTCCTGTCTGCACGGTGCAAAGCGGTTTCAAGATCGCCAGCTTGACTCAACCAGTGCTCCTTGGGCCTTCCTATATAGTTCCTCTTATCATCCAAGGCTGAACCACGCGGATACAGTTCTCCATCATTCCCACCCTTATTATCTCTTGGCGTGAAACGTGTCTTGGTGACCGGGATTCCTCTTCCCAACCGCGGCAACATATTCTCCGTTCGATATCGTTGCTTTCCCAACATCTCCACGAGGACCATATCACTTTCGTTAAACCTGCACAATGGCGTCCGGAATTCCCTATACTCCCAAACCTGCCACCGATATCTTCACTCCCTACCAGACCGACATTGATCGACGACAATGCAAACGCATCGTCCCCATGAAAGTGCTGGCCCTCGGTCTGGGAAGGACTGGCACAGCTTCGCTGCGCGCCGCCCTGAAAGAGCTAGGGTATACAGACACATACCATATGATGTCCGCCAGCGTGGAAAACCCACCTGATTGCCTCTGCTGGCAGGATGCCTTTGCCGCCAAGTTCGAAGGCAAGGGGAAATTCGGGCGTGAAGAATGGGATGCGCTGCTCGGCCACTGCCAGGCAGTCTGCGACTGGCCGGCGGTAGCGTTTGCGAAAGAACTGATCGAGGCATACCCCGAGGCCAAGATCATCATTACCACGAGAGACGTCGATTCCTGGCACAAGTCTGTCATGAAGACTGTCAATTGGCGCGCCAACGATCCAGAGCTGAAGGCCGTCTCCAACTTCGACTGGGCGGCAGGCTTGTACTACCCCATGCTACGCCAATTCTGGAGGTATTTCTTCTACGACGATTTCGAGAACCAGGGCAAGCAAAGATTCCAAGACTACTACCAAGAGATCCGAGAACTTGTGCCGGCCGGACAGCTTCTGGAATACCGAGTCAGCTCAGGCTGGAGACCTCTCTGCGACTTCCTCGGCGACCCCGTTCCCGACAAGGAATTCCCGCGATCCAACGATGCCGACTTCTTTGTGCAACGGTGCCGGACCCAGAACCGCAAGCAAATGATGAACGTCATCTTCCGTGCATTGGTGGTGGGAGTTCCAGTTGTCGCTACGGCGCTGTCCGCCACATTCGCATACACCCACTACCTGCCGAAATTTGCGCACACCGCGATCTGGCAGACAACGTCCTAAGGAGGCAGGAGATGTGTATATATTTTGAGCTTGTCTATATGGGTGAATTTGTATATAGCCCGGCGTTTGGGTCGTGATTGGGTGTCTACTGTCTGCTTCCATTTACTATACTGATGTTGACACGAGGAAAGCGCGCGATTTCGCTTCTACAGATCCTACCTTTTGGAGTTCACTTTTGGGCACGTCAAGTGGCTGGAAATCTAGGGGCGCAATATGGTTCGGGGCATTGGATATAGACATGTCGGCGGCTACCGATGGCAAGATTACCCTGAGCGGCCTGGGGAGGTTTGCTTATCATAAAATGATTACCATACAGAAAGAGCCACACTTGTTCCCCAACTTTTCGACTTATCGACGGGCTAGCCGCTGCTACTCGCATCCATTCGCTTAGTAGTGCCTTGTTCAAGATAACAAGTTCCATAGACTTGAGTTTGCCAATGCGCCGGCGGCAAGATTGATAAGATGCGCCGGCCGGGCGATGGGGCAGGAACGCAGAGGATCGAGATCACTGCTGTGTTCATGGAGGACTCCGCTATGTCCAGCTTCTGGGCGAACCCATATTCGGGCTCGGCTGCTCAGCAGTTCCTGGGCCCAGGAGACAGGTACGGAGTCCGTAAGTAAATCGCGCGACCCTCCCTTCGGAGCAGACCAATCTAACGATAATACAATAGGGCAAAATCAGGACGATGGGGATCTGCACAGCTGTATAAAATTTCCATGTGCCGAGACATTTCAAGGAACATGCAGCATCGACAGGGCTCAGGAGATTGTGGCGCCGGCACAGCCGGTAGTGCTGTAACGGAGCGACCCACGAGCAATACGCCTCGAGGGTGGCTTGGAGTCCATCAGTACCTAGGTACGTACTCTGTAGAGAGTTCTGTACAGAGGTACGTACTTACATGATACTCGTGGCCTTTTAGGGTTTCAATCTCCCGTCTTCATTAGCCGGAGGCTTTTCTCCTCTGAAAACCTATCGACATCTCACTACAACCCTGTATCCCGCCTCTCCAACCACGGGCAGGTCCAGATACTTGGTGAAGAGCTTACGAAGATACAGAGTGACATACGTACACACATCTTGCGGTTTTATCTTGCCCTGAGGTGGACTAGGTACCGAAAGAAAATCAGGCGAGACAGCGTCGGTGCCAGTACTCTATAGGGTGAATCACTCTATAGGGAGAATTACTCTATAGGGACAATTTCTCCCTCGAAGAACCAGTCATCGGGCGAGCCCTACAGAGTAGTCTGTCCGTCGCAGATCTCAGGCCCGTCAAAAGCCGGGGCTGGCGGTACTGTTGACAGATTCGGCGGCCCTAGCCTGTGCTGATAGGGCCCTAGCCCTTGGTGACATAGGGATACATCCCCAGGTCTTTGGATTTTGTGATCCCTCATCTGATCATTTTCATCCCGACGACATCATTCATCAATCACACCAAGACTTCTCTCGAGTCTCGGCACGTCAGGCTTAAATGCTGGACAGCCTTCACAGAGCATGATGCCATGAGGCTCCCATTGCCTGTCCAGTGCTGGTTGGCCTGCCTGTTCGTCTGGAGAGTTGTCGCCGACAACAGCTCACAACCCATATTCATCTTCCGATCGGTAAGTTGACATGCTATGTGATTCATCGGGCAGAACCATCAATTAACCATACTCTTCCGGCCGATATAGAGGCCCGACCTTGTCGCGCCGATTTTGAGCGTCTTCACCCGGGTTCCAGAGAAGCTGGCGCCAGGATATTACTTCGTGGCGCCGTATCAGCAGATCCAAGAAACCATCCATATTTACGATAATGAAGCGGTAAGAATCTTCGCCGAAACTCGCTGTCGACCAGCAGAACCATCTCTCATCGACTCGTATATATAAATACTGACTTCCGGGTTCTTTCCAGAACCTGATCTATTCAGGGTTCGGAAATGTCGGCCCAGGAATCATCCATGCGCCGCAGACATGCATGTACAAAGGCGAAGCGCATCTCTGCTTCTACCAAGGCGTGCAGATGGCCGGATGGGGCCACGGCCACGGCCTGATCATGGACAAACACTACCGCATCGTGCAGTCGGTCGAGCCGGCTAGCTACCAGGCGTCGTCGGACATGCATGAATTCAAGGTGATCGACGAGGGCAAATCGGCGGTGATGACGCAATACCTGCGCAGTGTCTACGATCTGTGTCGCTGGAACCTGTGCGACGGGCTGGGCTACATCCAGCAAGGGGCGTTCCAGGAAGTCGAGGTGGACACGGGCAAAGTGTTGTTTGAATGGCGGAGTCTCGAGCACATCGACCCCAGCGAAAGCTACGTCGGTCCCAGCACGACCGAAATCAGCGGCAGCGGCGAACAGCCCGACAGCCCGTGGGACTACTTCCACATCAACTCGATCGACAAGAACGCGGACGGCGACTATCTGATATCGGCGCGGCACGTCTCGGCCGTCTACAAGATCTCCGGCGTCGACGGACACATCATGTGGCGGCTGAACGGGGCCAGGTCGGACTACCGGCTCGACGACTTTTCCTTCTCGTTCCAGCACGACGCGCGCTTCGTGTCGGACAACGCAACACACACGGTTATCTCGGTCTTCGACAACGGGTCCAACGGCTTCAACACCACCCAGCCGTACTCGACCGGGCAGATTATCAGTCTGGACCACCAGACAAAAATCGCGACCTGTCTCTTGAACCTGGCCCCGCCCATGGTCGACGGCCACGCCCATCTCGCCAAGTCGCAGGGGAACATGCAGATCCTGCCCAACGGCAACATCGTCATGGGATGGGGCAACGACGCCTTCTGGACTGAATACGCCGCCGACGACGACCACGAAGTCGTCTTCTACGGCGCCCTGGCCTGGACCAACGTCATGAACTACCGCGTGCACAAGTTCGACAACTGGGTCGGCCTGCCGCTCACCAAGCCCGCGCTGTGGACCTACTCCAAACAGGGCGAGAAGATGAAGCTGTATGTTTCCTGGAACGGCGCGACTGAAGTCAAGTCGTGGCGGTTCTACGGCACCAACAACGACACGGCGGCGAAAAGCCTAAGTCAAAGCCAAAGCAAGAGTAAAGGCAGCAACAACGACAACGACTCGTGGGACTTACTTCACGGTGATGACGCCGCGGTCCCCAAGACCGGGTTCGAGACTGTCTACGACCATACACCCATGTACCGATACACGTATGCAGAAGCGTTGGATAAGAACGGACAAGTACTGGGTGCGTCGGCGGTTGAACGCACCTACGTCCCGAACGAGCAGATGCGCGAATACTGCGACGACCTGGCCTGTCGGTTCATGCCGAACAGCGCAGAGCGCGAACACGAGAGACAGCAGCAGGCGGAGCAGCAGCGCGAGAAGGAGCGGCAGCAAGAGGAAGAGCGTCTGGAGCGGCAGCGGGCCAAGGCTCGCGCGAAGAAAAACGCAGAGATCTATGGCGGCACGTTTGGTGGTCTGGCCGTCCTGATCATCCTGGTCATCGTGCTGGCCACGAGGAACTTTGTGTCTCGGCCCGTTCATGTCCTGGCCCAGCGCGTCTGGAGTGTGCTCAGCTCGACAGTCGCTGGCGGCAAGGCCGGGCGAGGACGAGATGCGGATCTCGGTGTTGGTGTCGGTGCTGGATACAAGGCTCTGGCGCCCGATGATCAGGAAGGGGATCGCGCGCCTATGATTAATGATCCGTCGTGATGTTTGCTTGAGAGCCATAGACATAGATACCATAGATACCCTCGTTAGAATCTAATCGTGAGTACATACAGGTTCACATCCCAACCCAGCACCAACATCAGAGTGACTTGTGTGTGTCCAGCATATGTACCGACATCGCGCACTGTTCGAAGCACCACCACTGCAAGACGCTTGAGAAGACATTAGGGCAAATCCCAGGTGTCATTACAACAGCAGTCCCACAGATCAAGCTCCATCTTCCAGGTTGTTGTAGCTACCCTTGTCAGAGGCCGACTAGGGTATGTAGGTTGGGACGAGGTTCCAGATGCCGCATACCCGATTCCCTCCGGTGGCTGGCGCGACGAGAAAGGACCCTCGCATCGACTACCTTTCAAGTTGGACCATTATTTCGCTTCTTGTTAAAGGGACTTGCCACTAACCGGGTCGCTTCTGCTGATAGGCGTCCCCAAACCCCGGGCAAAATGCTACGTGAAATGCGGCTAATGGAATAGTACCTCGACTTGTACTATCTGCTAGTATGTAATGATTCAAAAGTGCCAGGAAGCCGGGGGCAGCGTCACATTTTTGAACAATCAAAAGCTGGAAGAAGCGAAAGCAGGTAACAAGGAATGAAGACCAAAGAAAGATCCCGGCGGTACCTCGTACTTCTTGACTGGCGAGAGACGCCTTTCTGGCTTATGGTTTGGCAGATTGGTCATCTTCAGCCTTGTAAGGGGGGTTCAAAGTTGAGATTGGAAGCAGTGATCGCAACCTACCTACCTACCTTTTCTTTAGGTACCTACCTAGGTACCCCAAGAGACTTCAGATACCATGGAAGGGAGAGGAGAGCGTGCGAAGCACAGTCGTCCCTCCTTCTTCTTGCCTTATGCAGGTACCAACACGTAGACAGACAGGCGGGTCAGTTCTTCGCGAGTATCAGAATCAGAATCCATAGATTCCGGCTCTGAGCACGGAGTGGGACTGAGAAAGAGACTTTTCGCTTCGCAACTGCAAATGGTTTTCTGACTGTTTGTTGATCTGCTGTCAGTGCTGTCAGAACTAGAGTCCCCTTTATTTCCTCGTCCACACGGCAGTCGGCTTTTCTCAGGGGCCGGATGGTTCTGCGGGGACTGCCATCTGTTATGGCACCCAGGTTTAGCCCAGTGCTCGGTGCTCAACTGCTCAAGTGATCAGGTGCTCGTTGTCTAGGTCTGGCGGTGTATCCCTTTCGTATAATAAGCCTCCAAATATATAAGGTATGGACAACTCCAAAAGATGGATGTCCACGGCGGCCGTGCAGAACATAGTTCGGTAAAGACATAGGAGTCTGTCCCGTCCCTTGGCGTGCACTCCCTAGGTATCTAGTAGTGTTTCCAGGGAAGACTGTGGATAAGGTGACAGGACGTATCTGCCGTGTGTTGTGTGAAGCACGGACAGGAGACTGAACGGCGATGGAGATGCTAGTAGACGGCCCACTGCACGAACCTTGAGGAGGAGAGGAATCCTCTTCGGTCTCAACGTGTCCAAGGAGCAGATCAGAGAGTCGCCCTTATCAGATAGATCATCTAGGAGTAGATGGAAGAAATAAGTAATGCATCGTTTTCTGCTGCAGAAAAACGAGGCTCTGGAGATCGACCTCCTTCGCATAACCCTAATTCAGGCCTCATGTCGACCCTGGGAACTTTTTCTCAGCACTCAGCAGGGGTCGGCTTTGGACTTGAGACCGTGCGAGTAACTCTCTCCTAAGGAAGGGTAAAGAGTACTTTGTCAAGTCCCCCTTGACTGTCAAAAAGAATATAATAAAACGTCAAAGCTTTCAAAGCCTCTGGGTCCGACGGGTGTCTCTGACAGGTGTAGTGACACATGTCAGTTAGTTTGATGGCTTGATGGCTTGATGGCTTGAACAATCGATAACGCTGTCAAACGATCAACAAGACTTGATGGAGGTCGATGCTAAGCCACGCGGATTGCGAGTTAGCACGAGACAGCGACAGGGACAGAGAGACAGGGACAAGGAAGAAAGACAGCTGACAGAGAACAGGGGTTGGTTGGGATGATCAGGGTGAAGGGGAAGGGGAAGGGGAAGTCCAATCGTGGCCTTCCATCCAGTATTCCAGGATCCATCCCATCCACCATGGGCATGTATCTCTAGTACGTGCTTGATCCCACTCCCCCCCGTTCTTCGGGGGCGCCACATCAGTCACTGACTCGATGATTCTGCATTGGGCCGACTGCCGATTGGTGGCCGATTTGTGGTCGATGTTATCAAGATCTTGCGTCGAGGAAGTCTGATTGTTCAGAGTTGGTGAACTTGATACTCGACGTTGAGTTCCATACGAGCACGACCACAACCACTTGGCCGCTGGTTGTACTGAGAAGACCATCAACGACGACATCGAGGCCTCCATACACTTGCGGGGTACAACGGTCTCCCACTCGCTACCTTACCTCTATAGAACCCGACTGCGCTGCGACCCTACGACTCTCTATATCGAGCCTCGCGGACCTAGAGCCGACTGCGAACGACTCGACGATCCTCACTCATGTTTTGCCGCACAAGATAGAAATACACGCGAGTGAAGCCGATATATATCCATATACATATACATAGATCCGATATATGCACTTGGCCACAAGAACTTGAAGGCCATGTCGCGAGACGTCGAGACCAGACCTGGCAAACCGCCGGCGCCGCCATCATGGGCATCGGTGCCCAACAAATTCCAGCTGTTCGTCATCTGCAGCGTCCGCATCGTCGATTTCTTCCAGCAAGCCGCGCTGCAAGCATACATGTACTACCAGCTCAAATCGTTCTCGCCCTCGGCTACGGACAGCCAGATCTCGTCCGAGGCCGGTGTGCTGCAGGGCGTGTTCACGGCGGCGCAAGTCTTCACCGGCATTCTCTGGGGCAGAGTGGCGGATTCGCCGTCGTTTGGCCGGAAGAGTGTGTTGCTGATCGGCCTGACCGGACAGGGTCTGAGTTGTGTCGGCGTGGGATTCTCGCGGAGTTTCCCTGCCGCGGTGGTCTGGCGATGTCTAGGAGGGGCGATCAACGCGACGGTCGGCGGCGCCCGAACGTCGTTGGCCGAGTGCACGGAGAAGAAATACCATTCGCGCACATTCCTGCTGCTTCCGCTGGCGTGGAACATTGCCAACATCTTCGGCCCGCTGTTCGGCGGCCTCCTGTCGGATCCGGTGCACAACTACCCCGGGCTGTTTGGCGAGCATTCGACCTTCGGCGGCGCGGACGGCGTGGGCTGGCTCAAGACGTTCCCGTACGCGGCGCCCAACCTGTTCTGCGCGCTCGTCTTGTTCGCCGACGCCCTGCTCGTCTGGATGGGGCTGCGCGAGACCTTGGTCAGCAAGAAAGACCAGCCCGACCGCGGCATCGAGCTGGCTGAAAGCATCCGCTACCGCCTCAGCAACCTGGTCTTCCGCCGGTTCGGATACACGCAGCTCGGCCAGACCGAGGCCAACAACAACGGTCCAGATACGACCGGCTTGGACGACGAGTCCATGCCGTCGAGTACGCCGCTCACACCTCTCCCGCCCAAGGAAGTGGACAACATGGCCGCGGCCGCCAGCAACGACGCCTCCAAGGCTTCGGCCGCGTCACGGCTTCCTGATGTCCCCAAGGCGGCTCCGCCCTTCTACCACGCCTTCACGCCCAACGTGTTCCTGGTTCTGGCGACGGTGGCGATCATGGATTTCCAGATGGGCGGCTTCACGTCGCTGTGGACCATCTTCCTGTCGTCTGCGCGCCGCACCGACGAGGAAAAAGCCACCATCCGCCCGCCATTCGTCTTCACCGGAGGCCTGCAGTTCTCCGTCACCACGATCGGCCTGGCCATGTCGATCCTGGGCTTCGTCGGCATCTTCCTGCAGCTCACGCTGTATCCAACGATCAACGCCCGCTTCGGCCTTCTGCGGTCGACGCAGTGGTCGCTGTTTGTTTTCCCCATCGCCTACGCCCTGGCGCCGTACCTGTCGCTCCTGATCTCGCATCAGTTTCTGCTCTGGGTCGGCATCGTCGTCGTGGTGCTGTTGCAGGTTTCGGCCCGCACCTTCGCCATCCCCGGATCTGTTCTGCTCATCAACAATTCGAGTCCCAGTCCGGCCATGCTGGGCACCATTCACGGCATGGGCGCCGCCACCTCGAGCGCGTTCAGGACCATCGGTCCCATCGTCGCCGGGCGCTGGTACGCTCAGGGGCTAGAAAAGGGGATAGTTGGTTGGGCTTGGTGGTGGTTAAGCCTGGTCAGTCTGGCAGGCGTGGTGCCGAGTTTCTGGGCCAGAGATGGGAAGTGAAGGGCCTGATTTTGCTGCGGCCCATTGACGGGCATCTTGCGGAAAAGAAAGTCGTCTTTTTTTCATGAGCGCGCCTTGTTTCCAGCATGAAAGCGCCTCCTTTGAGCATTCACCCCGAAGAGAAGACGATAGTCCCAAAGAAAAGCAGGAAGGGGACCAGAGCAGAGCAATCGTCCCACAATGGCGGGGACATTGTGCTACGAGACTATACTTGCGCGTCTCGCTTCATCTGATGCATCTCCAGATATATACCACACACCGCGATTGACGGTCGTCGCTCGACGTTTTGCATAACTGATACCAATACCATCTATAGCCATGTCATGATGAAATCACTTTCTTCGGGGTCATCTGATCGTCAATTGACTCTTGCGTCTTTGTGGTCGTTTCGTTCGCATCAATCCAGAGCGGACATGATATCGACACGCGCTGAGGCTAGAATTCATGGATCTACACCCTGCACCACTTTTTCTCTTGTAAGCTAGGCCCGTCAACACTCTGCGACACAAACAGCCCTGCTGTCGCCTGGAGGCGGTAAGTCGGGTGGACCTGATCCGGAATGACCGACTTCATGTTGTGACAAGCTGGTGAGCTGACCACCGACCTATATACGGGGATGTTTATCTGATCCTGGATCGCACCAGCAAAGGTACATAGACACCCAGAGTAAGTAGTAGAGAGCAGAATACCATGCGGTACTAGAGTACACAATGGAAGATAGTATACAGATGGTATGTAAGTGAGTCATTGAACCTTGCATGTGTTCCAGGTTGAGCCTCATCTTGACCCCTGAACCAGGTGGGCACACGCAAGGCTCCCTGAGACACGGGGAAGCGGCATGGAACATCCTCATCTGGACTAGAACAGGCTACCGACCTCTACTATCGTTTCGAACAGCCATTTCCTTTCCTTTCTGAAAAGGTTCTTGGTCTATATTCACCCACATGAGCTTTTCGACACTGCTGCGGATGAATGAGAGACTTCTACCCGTAAAGAACGATGCTGCTTGACCTCTACACGGAAGTGCAATTCGCTTCGAGTTCGGCACGGCAAGAGCCTCATGGTCATTGTCGGCCCTCGACCCCTGCACGGCACGGTACCGCAATCGACACATCTCGAGTCTCAGCCGGGTCTCAAAGCGAGCGCTGACCGCCACCATCACGGCACGATCGCACGTGGCAGGTCCCATGAGGTGAAAGGTGCGACGTCGCGAAATGCTTGTCTGCCACTTGCAATTCAAATGTCATAGGAGATTCGATCGGATCACGGATGTGGAATTTCTTGAGACTCAGACTCTTGATCAAGAATGATCAAAGGGGCGGGGAGTAAGTAAGGTAGATGGGACCTGTCTATATATCCCCAGCATCGCCTCACCGATCTCAATCTCATTGTCTCATTTGCATATTCGTCGATCTCTCACAGCTGGTCTGTCGTTCTTGTTCTTGTTCTTGTCTTTTCTCTCGTTCTTCGCATCTCCTCTTGAGCTTTTTTTTCTCTTTTGCCAACATCCATTTGCTCAAGTCTACGGTCAACTCCTCAGCAACATGTATTTCTCCCCGGCAACCATTCTTCTCAGCATTGTCGCGGTGTCTGCGGCCAGTCCTGTGGGCATGCGGACCAATTTCAAGCGCGCCCTCACTGTCCGACCGTACAGCGACTTCCAAGTCTCAGATGGTGTGGCGGGCAATGCGCTGGACGAAGTCAATGCCCAATTCCCGGTACGTAACACAGATCACGAAGGACGCGGGGTTATTTGCTTTGGAGCATCCTTGAGAGGAAATGAAGAACTAACAGACAATACCCTCTGTTCTTCTCTAGATCGACACCTCCGATCTGGCATCTGTGTCCGCATCCGACCTCCAAATCCTCAAGGATGCTCGAGAAACCGCAGAAGACGCCGAGGTCGGCACAGGCGGGTTCAACGACCAGCTGGCCGCCGCTGGAGACGACACCGACACCACCGCCCTGCAGAACGGGAAGATCAAGAACAAGGTGCTGAAGCTGCAGTTGGAGGTTCTGGCCTTGCAGATCGAAGCCGCACAGGGAGATAGCAACCAGGACAAGATCGACGAGGAGACGACCAAGTTGAACAACAACATCGCATTGGACAAGAAGGCTGCTGGGGAGGATAGTGTTGGTGTGACTGCGACCTTTTCAGGGTAGATTGGCATGGACATTCGGCGCAATGGGAGGGCATATCACATCCACGATGAACCTGATGCTGACGATGATGTCCGTGCAAGCATAAAAGTACCATGCCGTCGGAAAGCAATTGATTGCTCTGCTGGCTCACCTGTTACCTGGCCACAAAGTATATACCTAGGTAGCTAGGCAGATTGTATCGGGGAAAGCCACATCATACCACAGGTTGTTTTTGCACCTTTTGAATCCTATACTCGAGACTCGGGAGGGAGAATGTGGATAGGGAGAAGTATGAGGTCTTTTCATCAAGCAGCTGACCGTCGATGATGCTTTGATCCATCCTTGTATATACAAGGCGACGTAGGTATGGGCGAAGACCAGGAAAGTGAGCGCAGGCGGCTTGAGACAGCGCAAGGAGCGTCTTCTAGCAGCTAACAAGGAAATCAGGTGGCATAGCAGGGACAGAAGTGTTCTGTCGAACGTTGAGATGGATCAATTGTTCATGGTGGCTGCTCAAGTAACTCTGTCCTTAGTACTACGTAGTAAATACTACGGGGCAGCACTTCTTCACTCAACGCGTCTCTTCACAAACGCGCCTTCGATTTCCGTGCCCATCGACGCACAAGATATTCTTCTGATCTACAGAACTCGATCAGTCAAGTCTTGATTGTCAGTGGCACACTTCCAACGCGAAGGACGGCTGAGGCGCTTTCGTGCCATCAGAAGCCGCTCTTCTGCTTCCATCGATCGCATCGACTCGCCCAGACGCCTCTCCTCGTCTTCCACTCACCCACTCCTTCTCCTCTACTTCGACCCCTTTGCAACCATGGAGGTGTCGGCTACCTCTCGCCCTCGAATCCCTGAACTGCCCAACGAGGTCCTCCAGAACATTTTTGACCATATCCGCCTCCAAGAACATCTCAAGAATGTCCGCCTGGCCTGCAAACTGTTTGCCATGCTCGTAGAGCCTTGCCTGTTCCGCCGCATGGTCTTGGTCCCCTATATCGACTGCCTCGAACCTTTTGCTCGATTGATGCGGGACAACCCAATTGCCCGTCATGTCAAGAGCATCTGGTATGACGTGAAATGGAGATACACCGCGGGGCTCCATCCCTGTCGCTCGGTTCAGCAAACATACGCGATCAGAGACAAAATGTCCGCTAATGGTCTCCTATCCCTCCGCGACGAAGGCTTGGAGATAATGCTGCTGTCAGAGTGTTGGAAAGTACTTCCCTCATTACGACGAGTCTTTATAGAAGAACTCCTACCTCGTGAGATCGATCCAGATCGACGTATGCCCGTGATTGGCATGATACCGTCCTACCTTTCACGACTTTTCAGAGATGCAGGTGCTGGCGATCCTGACCTTGAGAGGGGTGCAAGTTTTCATCCCCGCCACGAATTTGTCCCGGCCTCCAAAGCGCTGTTACTGTCATGTTACTCGGCCGGGACAAGACTCTCCGAGTTGGCCCTGTGCCAACTCGATTCGTCTACCTTCCTGAGAGGTCCAGGCGCGATCGGCGCTATCAAAGAGCTTTCTATGTACCAGACCGTCTTCGGCCAGCTCAAAGACTTGAGTCTATCCTTTGAACATTCCCCACAGTCAATTCCCTCGTTAGTCGAGCGTCAAAATTTTGCCCGCCTTGTCACTGCTGCTTCGAAGGTTCAAACCTTGTCCCTAACAGGCCCAGCCAAGCAAGGGGTCAACCTGCCCGATTCTCAAGCTGGACATTCCTGGCTAGCTTCTATTGTCAGAGATGGCGAGGGCAAGATCAGCAACAAAGTCGTTTTCCCACATCTTACTGTGTTGGATCTCTCCTGCATGCCCGGTCAAGAAGACGAGTTGATTGCTTTGATCAGCAACCACAGGAATACCTTGAAACATTTGACGATGTCAGATATGATGCTAGTCCCGGCGTCATCCGACGGGCCTTCTCCCTGTTGGATCCGTCTGTTCAAACAGATTCGATCCTACCAGATCGATGTGGAATTGGAAGCCTTCTTCTCGAATTCCCGCTCCCAATTGTTGCGCGTTGGCTGGGATCTCAGTCCTCCCGCCTCTTCGCTGAAGAGCATGATGCTGAAGTGGCTGCGTGGAGAAGGGAGTGAAGAATGTCCTATGCAGCGAGCCGCCGTCAAGTCCGACCTGAAAGGAGCCGACATTGAGCCCAAGGAAGAGGATTTCTTCGAGGGCGATCGAACAATCAGAATGCTGCGGGTTCCTATATACCTTAATGACGACCTTAGCGGCGACGACGACGACGACGACGACGACGACGAGAGCGACAGCTACGGCGACATCATGGACAGTGAGGACTCCTGGCCCGAAGAGTTCGACGAACGGTACGACGATTTCGACGAGTTCGACCAAGAAGGATATTATTACTACTCGGGATTCCATCAAGACTCAATGCTTGATGAGATGCTTGACTCGCTTGGCGCTCCTGAATATTGAAGACACCGCTTTCGACGCCGACCTGGTGTCTTATCTAACAGGCGATGTGATGTAGGCGTTCTATGAAAGGTCTTGAGATCTGATTGAGGAAGTTCTTCTTCCCGCAGAGGTTATTTGATTTGCGCGCCGAGAAGCAGCCATTACTGGGCGACGACGACGAAAGGTTTTCCAAACCTGCCACTGCATACCATGTCATTGTACGGCATCGGAATGCGAAAGGTGGTTCAGTGTACGAAGTCATGACATCGATTGTGCAAGTTTCTTTTAATACTTGATAGTTTATTGCTCCATTTCGACCCATTTCCTCGATTGCCGTCCACCCCAGTCTGCCATGAGACAGTTCTGGCGGACGTCGGTCTGCTATGATGCAGTTTCGGAGAACCCAAAGAGACCAATCGTCCACCTCAGTTTCAACATTGATTTCGCACGACGCAGCCAAGCGGTGCTTTTGTTCTTTCCTAGAGCGGCCGAGGGCCCAGATATGATGTGAATGATCAAATGCAACAGGGGTCCCTTTTCCCTTTTCCTTGTTCAGGACGTACTTTCCTAATTCTAGCCCTCTTGCTATACTGCACTGCTTTCTGTCATCTGTTCTGCAGCGATTCAGCATCATTTCTGGTCGGATCAGAGACACACAGAGAAGATTTGACAGCAAGACACTGCCGAATGATTCCTGCTTCGAAACAAGGCCATTCTCAGGCTTTCGAGGCCGATCGCGTCGATGTATATATATACCATTCACCAGGCGTCTCTTTCTTTTCTGTGAGGGTCTTTGTCCTGCAAAGCTCAGACCTATTTCCTATCGCCACTTGCCTATAGTCATACGCTGAATGTCAACCTACCCGTCATGTCGGACGTACTTGTCATAGTATTCGTATCTCCGACAGTAAGTACTCGAAGAAGAAGGCGATCTCTTGAGGCATATTTTTCTTGCTCCGCGTTACTTTGTCATCTGTGACCTTCTCGACTTGTCTGCGCTACCTGTTTCCGATGTCGTTCTACATCAATGGAATGCCTAAAGACGTACGGTACCAAAGTGCATGGAAGTGAAATGTGGGGAGATTGTAGCCTTCATGCTGCAAGTCAACATCCAGACACGAGGCTTACGTGCCTCATCAAGGATAGTTGAACAGGAGGAGCAGCGCTGGGCATCCCAGACGTGTCTCGACGAAATTGTCACCATGTTTCCATCAAGCTATAGCTCATAAGCCACAAGATGTGCGTAAGCACTTCTCTTACGCAGAAGAGCTGATATGAATCCTCAAACGCCGTCGCTGATGCAGCAATATGATATGTCCATCCGTCGTCAGCCATGTTTTCATTCATGCCTTCTCTCGGCATGCACCCGCCTAGTCCTCCATGAATGCAACCATCTTCTCAATCATGCGGCCAATATACCAGCGATCTGACAGGTCATGTCCAGCATGGAGAGCTGCTCGTCCACTCCATCAACGAGCCTCTTGTCGAACTCCGAGAAGATCTGAGTGAGTTTGTATTTCTTCTTAGTGTCCACCAAGTCGTCGAAGATGATTTTGGAGTACAGACTGGACAACAGCTCATTCGCGGCATAGCCTGAGGCCGTGATGTCTGTTATCTCGGCGGCTATGCGTTTATAGTTGCTGGTGTTGCCCTTCCTCAGGACGCCGAGAAGTTTGTCGGTCGACTCCGGGGGAAAGGTCCCGGCAAGTTCGTTGATGTCAGCTACACTGATACTCCCGGACGACACGGCTGTTGGGTCAACATCCTCCATCTCCTCATCGGAATCTTCGGAGATGGTCCTCGCATTCTTGCGTGTCCGCGAACTTGAATCAGTGTTGCTTGCTCCCACGAGTCGCGCAGCGCTCTGGAGAATCGTAATGGCTTTTCGAAGATCACCGTCGGAAACCTGCAGGGCTCTTTCAACCACACCCTGCTGATACTTTACGTTTTCTGCAGTCAGGATCTCCTCGATGCGACCTGTTGCCTGGCTGCCCTCAAGAGCTCGAAACCGATACTTCGAGCATCGGGAAGCAATCGGGTCGATGATGCGGCTCACGTAGTTGCAGCACAAAGCAAACCTGGACTCGAGTCAGCATTACGGTTGATGAAGTGCTTTAATCGGTAGATCAAACCTGGTTGTCCGAGCATAGGTCTCCATAGTTCTGCGAAGAGCGCTCTGAGCGTCCGACGTGAGCTGATCCGCTTCGTCCAGTAACACAATTTTGAACGGTGGACAAGGATACTTTTCTCGATACTGTGGAGTAGGATTGGCGAGATGTTGAGACGCGAACCCCTTGACTCGCTCTCGAACAACGCTCAAACCGCGTTCATCTGAAGCATTCAGCTCGAGGACTCGATGCTTCATGAGTTCCGGCCCGAAAAGCTCTCGGCATAAGGCTAGGATCGTGGACGTTTTCCCCGTTCCGGGAGGCCCGTAGCACAACAGATTTGGCAAGTTTGATGCATTCACCATCCTCCGCAGTATGTCAATGGCATGATCCTGGCTCTTCACTTCGTCGAGGCTCCGGGGTCGATACTTCTCCACCCAGGGTACCAGTGCGGGTGCTGGGCCAACGGGCTCATTGGGCTTTGACTTCGAGCTCGAGGCGGCGGCGGCGCGGGCCTTGTTGTCGAAAAAGTTCGCCATGGTCAGGGCCTCGCAGCTTCGGTTGGCGTCACCAGGACAGTCGCCGGGCGAGTGATTGGAACAGCAGAGGCTGGTTTTGGTCCTACTTCTAGAAGTCTAATGGGAGGTGGACGGTGGACAGCCAGAAGCGAAACGATACAAGAGACAATATCGAGGAATGGCAAGGAGGCGCAAATTAGTTATGGAGTTCATTGACTGCGGACGTCAAAAGTTGTAGACTGCGACGCGCTCAACTGCGGAGACCGCGTATAGTGGGCTTGGCGCGCATCACCCCCTGCACGCGACTGACGAGGCTGTGAGATCAGGAGGCCACCATTCCCAAATCGCTACGGCATCTATTATTGTAGTACAGCCCAACCCTGTGAGCGCAAGAGCTCGTTTCCTGCCCCAAACATGTCCATACTTGCTGGAATGGACTAAAGATGCTATTGCGTCTCTATAATTCATCCCTCGTTGTGGCGGTTTCCACCTCCACTTCCATCATTCGCTTCAAAGAATTCCGGGGCTGTTCGTCTTGCGCCTTCTCTTTCTCTTGCCCTTCTGCCATATAGTCAACAGTAGTGCTTGTCTCTTCAATCATGCGGCCGACCTTCTCGAGAATACTGTCCGCATTGACTGATGGCTGAGCAGGTCGTCTGTCCCATCCCGCACCTTTGGCCGGTAATTCCACTCTCTGCGACCGCATCTTTGGATTGAGCGTCGGCATTCCGTTTGCCTTCGTTCCAGGCATCGATATCGACAAGGATGGAGCTTTAGCAAACGATGGTGCAATATCTGGCCGACCAAGAATGGCCGACCCCAGACCTGATAGAGACCACAACAGGATCCGTATCGGCCACCAGATGAACAGCATCATAGGTCCATACAAGATTCTTCTGTAGAAAAGCCAACATATCGTCACGGCCAGTAAATAGAAGGAGCTCTTCAAAAACCAGGTGTCTGACTTGGTGCTGCGTACCAGCTGAGTGACGAAGCCTCGAGAAGCCTTCAACAAGTCGGTCGTCCCCGAGTAACTCTCGGTAAGAGATTCGAGGGCTTGTTGACTCTCTTCTAGTGTCTGCTGCGCAAATTGTGACTGCGCTAGCTCTCCCTCCAGTTGGTTATGCACACGTCGTAGTGCCATGGTAACATCGTCCGCCGCGCGCACGGCGAGCTCATCTTGCGTCAACTTCTCGTGCGTAGGGCGCATCCGAGGATGCCCATCGTTCTTCCGATCTGTGAATAGCTGCTCCCTTTGTTTTCTCTTCTCCTTCTCGAGATTCCTTTTCGCTTCGAGCTGGGCTCGTCTGAAATCGACCCTGGCGATCTTCAAGTCCTCCTCAAGCCGGGCCAGTAAGTCTGCGTTCCGCTCGTGCTCGCTGTCTCTTTGTCCTCTATGAATAGGATCACGCCGATGTGCCGGTACCGCATCGTCCTCGAGTTCCTGCCTCAAGATTTCTAGCGTATCTTCTTGTTCTCTCAGGTTGTCATGAATCTCGGTCGCAAGTTCGACTCGCCGGTCTTCTGGGTCTTCGGGACTATATGAGGTGGGAGAGAACTTTCGCAGTTCATGGATCAGATTTAGAGTCTCTCTATGCGCATCTGCGAGGGTCTGCAGTCGTTGTGTTAGAGAAGCAGACATACTGGTCTACCTGTGATAGGTGTACTTTCAGAAGGTGAGGAACGAAGAGTATCGCAGTTCAAGTTGACGGGGTTCGCGAATAGTGCAAACAGAACAAACAGGCGGGAATTCTCTAACGCGAATTTGCTCCGAAAGATCGATAGGAGCGCTTCTCACGTTCGGATGCTGTCTACTAGTACGTCTATACAAAGCACCACCACCACCACCAAGAGGTTAACCTTGGTCTTATTTCTTCTAGAGTTGTGGCGTGATCTCTGTTTCACATCACTGCTCTACGTTTACAGCCCTCTCTGATACCGAGTACCCGTTCGACTAGATACACCGAGTGCGCCTACAATTCTTCACGATCTGCAGAACGCTTTCATAATGATCACAACCTATTTAACGTCGATCAAAGTCGCCTTCAACCCCTTCCAGGCTACTTCGAGGGTGCCTAGGTTGTTCCTCAATCTTCTGCCGCCGGAAGCGCACAAGACCATCAAGATCAGCGCAATACAATATCCTCGTACATCAAAGGCGCCGGCCCTGCTGGAACTAGGGTTGAAGGATGGCAAGACGATGAACTATACATGGGAAGCTGAAGCTTCGGGGGCGGATGGCAAGGCTCAGAAGACGAAAAGAGCTGGGTTGAAAGATATTGTCGAAGAAGTAAACAGGCATGCGAGAGGATTGGCCAGGAAAGAAGAGTTAACCGGTTGATTTGATTCAAATGCATTGGAATACAGACCACGCGGTCCACGTTCTTGAGGAAGAGGCCAAGCGCGGCCAAGTCGACCTATTTGGCGTGATCTTCGGCAATTGAGACCGCCTGTCCATGCGCGCGCAGATCACTACAGAGCTCCCACGCTCTGGTCAACCCACTCGAGCTACTTCACGCAGAAGTTGTGTCTGCAGACCTGGAGCAGAGGCCGCCTTGGCTCCAACGGATCAGCGAGTATTTTGACAGCACAAGTGATGGGGGACACTCCGGTTTCAAGTGGCTGAGGAAGTCTGTTCGGGTCAAAAGAGAAAGCATGAGCATAACAGCGAACGCTAATGGACAGTGGCTGCTCCTGGCGTTCAAGGAGATGGACACCCACATCCGGTCTTGTAGGCACCGGACTGAAAGAAGCATGGCGTTTGGTAATGTACTGCGTGGAGGAACGAGTGATATGTATATAGGGGTGAAGCGCTCACTGCGAAATGACTTCTGCTTGAAACGAAGTTTTACATTATACACACCAGTAGTAGAAGATGTCCAGGCTTACCCACCATCGCGTTTCAATGATGCGTATCTCTCTTCATTCGAGCACCTTCTTCAGTCGTCTTTGGAGTCGACGGCCGCCCTTGAATGGGAACTGACATGCCGGAGTAAATCGCCCTGGTACTTCTGTTGAACATACCACTTCAAGAGCCGAGTGAACGGAGGTCAGCCCCTTCATGCCCTAGACAGAAGTGTCCCGTCTGCGGATTGCCGGTACATTCCATCATAACTGACTGATCAAAAGCCTTGCAGCCAAAAGCCCTGTAGCGGGCAGATACAGGACTTCTCAGTGCCTGCATCCTCATGCCGCGACTGCCATAGCTCCTTGCCCAACACCATCAAATCCTGCATTCTCGGCAGCTATCTCCCCCTTTTGCTTTTTCGTCCGCTCCTGACTTGGACTTTCGATTTGGCCATTTGAAGTGTCATTCGGTTCCAATGCTCTCTTCTTTTCTTGTTTCTTCTGGTAACTCTCCCTGTTCTGCTGCTTGTGTTGACGTTTGATATCGGTCTTGGTGATTTTCGGGACATCAAGGTTGAGCAGATGATCGACTTCCTTGGCTTTCTCCACCATCTCTGCATCAGATATCTGAAGGATCGACACCACCTCGCTGTAGCTTCGTGACATCTGCACAGGTTGATAGCCAGGATTCTTGCCCGGCATGAGCTGCGACAGCAGAAATTTCGTATTGCCGAATTTGTTTTCCACGCTCATTGCGAGCCGCAGATATTCTTCAACGACTTCATGCCAGGGGGCCACACCACCCTGCTCTTCAGAGCGAAATACGGAAGAATTGGCTTCTGCAGCCGTAGCAATCATTGCTCCATCCACGCCATACTCTTTTGCCAGAGCAAGCCCTTGGTCTCGAGACGTCACGTCTCCGTTCACCAGGCATGCCACTCCATGGCTTCTACAGATATCACCAATCATGCGGAGCTGATCACGAATCGCGCGCTCTCTCGGTCTCATAGGTGTTGTCCTGCAGTGTATGGTCAAGCCCACAATACCAGTTTTGCAAAGCTTGTTGACCAACGTAGACGTCAACTCCGGGGTCTCGAGGAGCCTGATTTTGACGCTGATTCCGATTTCGTGAGGGATGCCGACTTTCGTGACGAGCGCTGTCAGGATGTCGCACAGCAGGTCGGGAGTCCGTAACAGCGCTGCACCCATACCACCAGAGGTAGAGAATGGTTTGGGGCAGCCTGCATTCACATCGACTCCGCGCACATAGGGCGCAACAAGGGTGGCAGCTTGGACGGCGTAGTCAGGCGATGCAGTTCCGATTTGGTAGATTAATTTGTCTGATTCTCGTATGGGGTCGATGCGGTAGATGATTGACTCTTTTGGCGGCACGTCTGATTTGGAATTTTTGTTGTTGTTCGAACATCTGGTCCATTCTATGCAGCCTGTCCGAGGATTTGTTTTCTGGGTCGTACCAATCATGGATCGATCAACTGTCTCTGGACCCCATACCAGGTCTGCCCCATATTTCAGTGCCAGCAACCTCGATGGCAATTCTCCCGACCGCACCATGGGAGCCAGTACCACTTTGCCTCTATAATCGACACCTCTTCTTGGGATGGGCACTCGAGGAGCGCTCTGAGGAGACTGGTCGGCGGGTGGAAGCGATGTCATTTTGGCGGATGTGGGCCAAAGTGAGCGAAACGGTGTCAAGATGGATAGAGCGCGTCGTAGCAGAGACTGTGGCCGAGCAGCATGGCCGACAGTCATGTGGAGGTTGCAATGAGCAGTGAACGTCTTCGTCGTTCAGACTTGTTTTTGGTCGCGCATTTTGCAAGAGATGCAGTCGACGAACTTATCGAGAAATCTGAGCTGGTCACGTGCTGATAGAGGAAAGATGGCAGAGGCAATGGCGGTGTAATTAATTACCGTATTCTGGTCACGACAAATTCTCGGGGTTCGATGCAGTGCCTACAATCGCCAAAGCTTTGGAAAAAGGACCGAGGTGGAAAGAGAACAATCCCGTTAATGAGATATAGGGCCGACGAGCTATCTTGATTGATATCCTGACAGTCGTCCTGCTTCTGTCTTCTTCATGCACATGCTTCCATCTGCCGTTGCCATCTTCAGTCATTCATTCAAGCGAAAACTGAACCCGCGAGTCTGCAGCTGCATCTCAGGCTCCTTTCCTCCTGCCAGTCACAGATATTCGTCATTTCACCGCCAATCCTCAACGCCCCGCGCCCTGGCTCCCACCACGTCGACTCAAAAATCCATCTCTCCTCCTCTTCCCCGTCCAACATCCACAACCATAGCTTCTCAACGCTCCGAAGCCATTGCTCGACACCTGGCTACTGCTACCTCGTCGTCTTCCACTACAGCCAGCATGTCCTACAGCAAGCAGCCCTCCGAGTACCAGACTCGGAAGATTGGTGCTCTCCACACAAACGAATACAGATGCTACATCGAAAAGGATGGCGTTCCTGTCTCGCCGTTCCATGACATCCCGCTCTATGCCAACGAGCAGCAGACGGTTCTGAACATGGTCGTTGAGATTCCCAGGTGGACAAATGCAAAGCTTGAGGTGCGTTTGGCGCAGTCTGCCAATGCGTTGAATGAACGTGCTAACTTTTGATCAGATCTCCAAAGAGGAATTCCTGTACGCTGATGTGACCTCCAACTCCCTCATAACACGCAAGGCCTGACGCAAGTAATCACAGGAACCCCATCAAACAAGATGTCAAGAAAGGCAAACTTCGATTTGTGCGCAACTGCTTTCCTCACAAAGGCTATCTATGGAACTATGGAGCCTTCCCAAGAGTGAGTGGAAGTCACTATGCCTCCTCGAATTGGCTGACAAGTGGTAGACCTGGGAGGACCCAAATGTTGTCCATCCTGAGACCAAGGCAAAGGGCGACAATGACCCGCTGGATGTCTGTGAGATCGGTGAACTTGTTGGCTACACTGGACAAGTCAAGCAAGTGAAAGTCCTTGGTGTTATGGCATTGCTAGATGAGGAAGAGACAGATTGGAAGATCATTGTCATTGATGTGAGTTGGAAAGATCCTACCTGTGAAACCCCCGCATTCTGACCAATGTCCATATTAGATCCACGATCCTCTTGCTCCCAAGTTGAACGACATTGAAGATGTTGAGCGTCATCTGCCTGGCCTTCTCCGCGCTACCAACGAGTGGTTCCGTATCTACAAGATCCCAGACGGAAAGCCCGAGAACCAATTTGCATTCAGTGGCGAGTGCAAGAACAAGAAGTATGCCGAGGAGATCATCCGCGAATGCAGTGATGCTTGGGAACGTTTGATCACTGGCAAGCAGCAACGTGGTGACATCAGCCTCGCAAATGTCACAAACACCAGCTCCCCAGACCGCGTCGACCAGTCTCAGCTCTCAAAGATTCCTCCTGGCCAGAACCTCCCTCCTGCGCCGATCGATGGAAGTGTTGACAAGTGGTTCTTCATCTCTGGTGCGGCCGTCTAAGATGAAGCGCACCGAAGGATTTGGCTGATTTGACTCAGGTGCTGGAGCTACCTCGGATGATTACACCAAATAAAGGAGGATCACCAGAGTTTCAAGAAGTTGTCCGTCAGGTAGAACGTCTTACAAACCGTCTTAGATAGACCAACCAGGCCTCTAGTACGGGGTAGCTAATGCAATCCAATTAGCTAGCTGTAACCAACCTTGCATCGTTAGAACAGATTCCACAGACTGCAACCCCTCAAATTAGGGACACGTCAAATAATTCCAAACTCCGGCGGCGGGATACGCGTATAGTGCGATCCTGTCTTGTTACTACGTACAACAAAGCCCCTTTCTCGAATCATGACAGTTATAATCCGTCAAGTGCCCTTCAGTTGAACACTGTTGCTGTACTCACTGCTGCTCCGTCACTTAGTGAGTTCAAGCCTTGGGCAAGCTGCCAGGAACACGCGCGGCAACCCTGTCCCTGAGACCGACAACTCTCACCGACGCGGTTTGCTGATGAGATGCAGAGGACTGCCGGTGCATCATGGAGCGGCACGCCCGCAGTCAAGGGTTCGACAGAATCCATGCGCATGTGCTTGCTCACATTCTGTCTGATTGGACTACAGTACATTGAGGCTGAGGCGCATCCTTGCTGAGATCTACCCCCCGCTAATACCGCGTACAGATTTACCTGGGGAATTGAGATGACCTGTGAGGAACACCGCTTGATCGCGTTACACAGACCGGACTGACCTCATGTCACAGATGGCACTCCGTACCTCCTCCAACTCGGTCTCACGAAATCCAAGACGTCGCTGGTATGGATCGCCGGACCACTGTCGGGGTTGATCATGCAACCCATAGTCGGGGCCTATGCGGACAAATCGACTTCAAGATATGGCAGACGCAGACCATATATGATTATTGGCGCGCTCATTACCGGCCTCGGCCTCTTGCTGCTGGGCTGGACCTCTGAAGCCGTGGGATTGTTCATTGCGGAAGGGGAGACCAAGAAAAGTGTCACAATCCTAGTCGCGGTACTCTGTATCTACGCTCTCGATTTCTCGGTCAATGCGGTCCAAGCCTGCAGTCGAAGTCTCATTGTCGATACACTGCCAATCTCACAGCAGCAAGCAGGGTCGGCATGGGCATCCCGGCTCACTGCGGCTGGACACCTGCTAGGATATTTCATCGGCACCTTTGACCTAGTGAAGATATTCCCACCTTGGCTAGGAGGAGACACGCAGTTCAAGAAAATGACAGTCATCTCGGCGCTGGCACTCTGGGGCACGGTCGGCGTGACTTCGTGGGCTGTTACAGAGAGAGTAAGGCTGCCAGGAGACAATGACGAGACTTCCATCAAGGACGTTCTTGCGAACCTGTGGCAGAGAACCACGCATCTTCCGCCTCGAATCAAGGCCATTTGTTGGGTACAGTTCTGGAATTGGGTGGGATGGTAAGTGGTGATTCGTCCCTCGAGCTGGTGCGTGACCAGAACTGACGATCTGTTGGATAGGTTTCCATTCCTCTTCTACTCGAGTACGTTTGTGGGAGAGGTGTATTATCGGTACGAACACCCAGCGCCTGAGCCCGGCGAGAAAGACGAGCACGATGCCCTGGGAAACATTGGCAGACTCGGGAGTGTGTCACTGGTACTCTTTTCATTGATCACCTTCTGCTCGTCCGTGATACTGCCCTACATCATCCGAACCCCGGACGCAGCAGCAGAAAAGTTCACTCCTCGCCCGCCTCGAGCATTGACGAAAACCGCCCAGATCCTCCTGATGAAGGCATATACTCTCCAACCCGACTTGACCTCTGCATGGATGTGGTCGAATTTGCTGTTTGCCATGATCACAATTTGCGCACCTTGGGTCCACAGTCTGGCCTCTGCGACCGCCCTTGTTGCTTCGTGCGGCGTTCCCTGGGCGGTTTCATGCTGGGCTCCATTTGGGCTGCTCGGAGTTGAAATCAACAAGATCTCCGCGGGTCCTCATGCGCAGCTACACGGTCCCACTGCTCCGGGCTACACCGCTGTCCGCGGTAGCATCGAAGAAGGAGATGAAGACATTGAGATGGAGGAGGCACTGCAAAGACGCCGTGGGCTTTCCGAAGGGGTTCTCATGATCAATCATCCCAGTGATCATGGAGCACATTCATCGACTGGAGAGCTTGCAGGCGTCTACCTGGGCGTGTTGAATGTCTATACGACATTGCCTCAATTTGTCGGCACATTCCTCAGCTGGATCATTTTCACACTTCTTGAGCCGAACAAGGATGATGTCGTGGCTGACGAGGATCCTGACCACCATCGCTGGTTAAGTCTGAAGAAGAATGCGCCCAACGCGATTGCTATCTGTTTGTTCGTCGGCGCAATCTGCTCAATCATCGCAGCAGAAGCCGCCAGGAGACTGAGAAGGATGACTTGAGCAAGGCACGACCCCAAGTCAACCATGACCAGAATGTCGCCCAACCCGGTGCGATCTAAGCACCAACACTTCGCCCAAGGGAATGGCCCGTCATTCCTGGGGCCACCTCCTCTCCGGAGGAAATGCATCACCACCTCTGAGATATTGGTCATGCAAAGAGAGCCAGGATACCGGAACAACGTTTACCCCATAGATATGGTGAGCGAGCCTCGACGTACGGTCTCCAAAGCATTTGAGCTTTACAATATGCCTTGAGGTGGTATTGTCTCAGACGGTGTCCGAACCTGTTCACTCTAGACGACGTGGGCATGCTAAGCAGATGAGGCAGGGGGTGGTGTTTGCAAATCTCGGAGCAAACGTTCGATGTTCTCGAGTGCGGAAAACGGCTTCCGGTGCGAAACGCTGACGAGAGACCTCCTGAGAGTCGATGAGGGCCAGCAAGGCTGACTGTCATTGACAGTGTTCGTCGAAGCTTTCGAGATGGGTCATTAATATTTCAACCAGGCTTTGGGCTTGCATAGTCTGGTTGCATGATACGCACGTCGTGTGCACTCTAATACTACTCATAATTCACCTTCTTTCTCCCTGTTACTTTGGCCCTGCCCTCTAATACCAAGTCAGTGCCGGGGTGTCAATACCTATTGTAGGGTTGGTGGAGACCAACACTCTTAGCAATATAGCACGATCAGGATCGACCGGCGCCGAACCACCATCCTAATCTCCTACTTCAAGAGGGAAGGCGTCGTGCAAGATTCGTGCCGTAGCGATCTGATCACGCTCTAATGATGACTGCAAACACGCATGGCGGGCTCGTTTTTGCGGATCTGGCTCCTTGCGCTGATCCGTCACGTTCGAGATTCTGGTTGCAGGGCGCGCTGCTCAACGAGATGAACGAGAGTTGATCCCAGGAATGACAACGCTCTGGGAATCACGAACAGATCAAAGCCCACGGGCATACGAGGCGGGCATGGGGGTAATGTGACAATATCTCAGCTACGTCAATGTGCATAGACTCCGACACCTGTGGGAGTAGACCATGAGATAATCGGCACCGGCCCAAGGAACCAGAAGGCGGAAAGCCAATACTTGAGCCTTCCATCAGCATGAAAATGTAGCGACTTGGGCAAAACGAAGAAAGCAGAAGAATCAAACAACATGCACCAACTATTCACCAGCATGAACTCGTCTGGACTGAAAATATCAACCGCCCACAAGGTGGCCAACTTGCCGGGTGTCGCAGCGGGCGGTGGTCTAGGAAGAAATCCATAACTCGAAATACTCATCGACTCAGAGGAAGAAGCTTGAAGAATTTCTTTTTGGTTCATTCCCGCGCATAGAAAACAGTGCGCTCGAAACTGAAAAGTTGTCTTGTCCGTACCGTGCCATGCAATAATTCGTTCCTTCTCCGATGGCGATCATCCTTTCATTTTGGAATCGCATCCTCGAAGTACGTCCCAGCCGGTAGCGACACCTTGCCAGCTGGCATTTCCGTTGCATTCAACGACCTCCACCGCGGCGCATCAATTCTCACGCCTCGCACACCGCCCTCCTCCATTCCCCGGCGAAAAGGAAAAGCAAATCATATCGAGCTGGGGTAGAGCATGACTCTGACGCTAGCACCGAAGCTCTTGGGCGGCAGGTTGTGGTTGAATCTGGCTCGCACGACACCGCTGTTTCCGTGTGGTCGAGCAATCTTGCCCCAGATCACTCGGATCTTGCTGCCCCGTCGTTCTTTCGAGGCTCGGTAGACGAATGCGACGCGCTTGCCCAGGTAGAACCTAAACCACCAATGAATGTCAGTCACCCTCCCATGATCCTCAATGCGTGAACAAGATGTCATGATGCCAGTTCGCTCCGATAACACACGGCATCTACGCCGATCCCTCTCTTGCGTGTATTCGTTGTCGTGTGTCTTGGGTAGGTATTCAGAAAAGAAAAACGTACTTTGCGGCCTCGGTGTCTTCGACTCCTTCAATCTTCACCAGAGAGACGTTCGGGTTGGTGTTGCGCTTGCCTCGTTGGTAAGACAAGTGCTTGCCCTTGACGTATACTGCAGGAGAGAAGAAGCGTCAGTCTCACTTTCCATCTACTGCTCATGATCTCCAGAAGGCGCCCTCGACGGCAGTCAAGGGTGCGGGTGTGCTCACATCGGTGATTGCTGTCGGCGACCATCTTGACGGTGTTGCTGTGCAAAAGGGACGAGGCGGAAAGGAAAGTCGGCGTCCGAGAACGATGCTGGTCGAAGGGAGATTGTCTCTGGTTGCTCGTCGTCGAAATGCTCCCAGGTTGAGGCCGCAGTCACGAAAATTGCAGGTGGGCTTCAGGTTGTGTGTGCACTAGGACGAATCCGGGTGGCAGCGCCAAGATTTCAAGCCGCAGCCGCGGCCACACGTGACTGCGGCCGGATTTGCTGCATTCGGACTAGAGCCCATCGAACAATAATCTTCTCCCCCCCCCCCAATGAGGTCCGGATTCAAGTTGTTCTTCTCGCAGTCTGGCCTCTATTTTGAACATTCCAATGCGTCAAGCGGCCATCTGAAGCGGTTTGCAGACCTTCGCAGACCGGGGAATTCGAACCAATGGCATATAGTCCCCAATCTACGATTCCTAGTGACGAGAGCCTGCTTAACACCTGTTGCCAAGTTGCTTGCCAGCTGTCGACAAGATGCTTTCGGAGATAAGATCTCATAATACCCGTGCCGATGTCCCAAGTTTCAGGTATTCCTCCGGAGGAGAGTACTCCGGTGGGTGCCCGCGCTGCCGCAGGGAAAGCAACCTTACAGAAAGGACTCTCTCACATCCACAGTGCGCACCTAGAGTGGCAGTTCATGTTGTGGTAAGAACCGAAATACTAGTAGGACCAGTGTCACCAATCCCACCGCAGTTGGCAACAGCAGAAAACGAATATTTGCATAATCAGCTCGATTACATAATGATGCAAGCATGACGAAGCATTTCCTTCTCAGCGGCGGTGCGCAGGGTTGTCGAGGGCTAAGGAGGCCCATTTACTGCTAGTAGTAGGCCAGCCGAGGATTCCGCCGCAACTCAACTGGGATCTTGGAATGGATAGATGCACTCAACTGTAGCCTGAGAGGGAAGAAGCGAGGCTGTAATCAGTACAAGTAGTAGCTGCTATATACCACTTCAAGTTGGTGCTGTTGCTTACATGGACTGATTAGGTAGGTATGAGGGAGTAGTGGCGACAGATTGAGTGCAGGAGAACAGGATATAACGGGCGTTAATAATGAGTTGATTCCCCTGAACAGTGATATCTCTCTCTGTGTTCTGTACTGCACTCGATATTGCTCATCTCGCCGTATTAATAAGAGAGTCCTAAACACCAGCGGGACGCAGACTCCGGTTGACGTCAGGGCTCAGTGCCGGCAGAACTGACTACAGAGTAAAGGTCTCTACAACTAGCAGCTCCAGGCAGCATTGAGCACCCTGTCCTCCAATTGTCACAGGCCATTATTACTGAGGGGCGGCCGCAAGCTGTCAACTCCCGGCGCAAGCGGACAACGACTACGCCATACAACGCTCCCACAACTCACAACAGCTCAACAGCAGCTCAGGCTCAACTCTACACTCTCACAAATTCCTCGCTGCCCCACCACAACCTCTCATACCCGGCGATCCATTGAGAGAAAGCCCGCCGCAGTTCTGACTACTGCTGCAATTAAATCATTTATTTCCGAAGCAGCTTTGTCATTGTGCCCCCAGCCCTCACTTCTCATACACCAACGTTTAATTTCCTGTTGCTCCCCGTGATTCTTCTCTATCTCTGCTCTCACCTCTCTACCACCGACATCCTTCATCATGGCAGACACCGTCGTTCGTCCCGATGATCCCGAGAATGCAGGGTGAGTTCTCCCAGCCCGGTCGCGCCGCTGCTTGACTACCCCCCACTACGTTGTAGTGAATCTGACAAACTGACCTTGAATCTACCACAGCACCTTCGAGTTGAAGGAGAATACCGTCATCGTAGTCCTGGGCGCGTCTGGCGATCTCGCAAAGAAGAAGACCTTCCCCGCCCTGTTCGGCCTGGTGAGTCCACCTCGAGGTGCAGCATCACGAGGGGGTGATAGTCGCTGACGAAGTGATAGTTCCGCAACAAATTCCTGCCCAAAGACATCAAGATCGTCGGATATGCTCGAACCAAGATGGACCACACCGAGTTCCTCAAGAGGGTCAGGTCCTACATCAAGACGCCGACCAAGGAGTCCGAGGAACAACTCGAAGAGTTCTGCTCAATCTGCAGCTACGTTGCCGGACAGTATGATCAAGACGAGCCTTTCCAGGTCCTTAACAAGCACATTCTCGATATTGAGCAAGGCCGAGAAGAAGGAAACAGAGTCTTCTATATGGCTCTGCCTCCCAGCGTCTTTATCACAGTCTCCGAGCATTTGAAGAGAAACTGCTACCCCAAAAAAGGCATTGCCAGAATTATCATAGAGAAGCCTTTCGGCAAGGACTTGGGCAGCTCGCGGCAGTTGCAGAAAGCGTACGTGTGCACCACAGGAGTTTGGCATTGTCCGTCCGTTGCTAACTGCTTATCAGCCTGGTGCCCGATTGGAAAGAAGAGGAGATCTTCCGTATTGATCACTACCTTGGAAAGGAAATGGTCAAGAACCTGCTCATTCTCCGATTCGGTAATGAATTCCTCGGGGCCACCTGGAACCGCAATCACATCGACAACGTTCAGATCACCTTCAAGGAGCCTTTCGGTACCGAAGGACGAGGTGGATATTTCGATGAATTCGGTATTATTCGTGACGTGATGCAGAACCATCTGCTGCAAGTCCTCACCCTCCTTACCATGGAGCGACCCATCTCCTTCTCTGCAGAAGATATCCGTGACGAGAAGGTCCGAGTCCTTCGAGCCATCCCCGCCATTGAGCCCAAGAATGTCATCATCGGTCAATACGGCAGATCGTTGGATGGCACCAAACCGGCATACAAGGAGGATGACACAGTGCCCAAAGACTCCAGGTGTCCGACGTTCTGCGCCATGGCTGCCTTCGTCAAAAACGAGAGATGGGATGGTGTGCCTTTCATTCTCAAGGCCGGCAAGGCTCTCAACGAGCAGAAGACCGAAATCCGGATCCAGTTCAAGGATGTCACATCCGGTATCTTCAAGAACATCCCTCGCAACGAGCTTGTTATCCGCATTCAACCCAACGAGTCCGTCTACCTCAAGATGAACTCCAAGTTGCCTGGGCTGTCCATGCAGACCGTGGTTACCGAATTGGATCTCACCTACAGGCGCCGCTTCTCGGACCTGAAGATCCCAGAGGCATACGAGAGTTTGATTCTTGATGCTATGAAAGGAGATCATTCCAACTTTGTCCGTGACGATGAGCTCGATGCCTCGTGGCGCATCTTCACTCCTCTACTGCATTACCTTGACGAGAAGAAGGAGATCGTCCCAATGGAGTACCCATACGGTAAGTGTTCAGTCCCCATCTTCTAACCAGACTTACTGTGACTAACCCCGTTTGTTCCCACAGGCTCCCGTGGCCCGGCTGTCCTTGACGACTTCACTGCCTCGTATGGCTACAAATTCAGCGATGCAGCGGGCTATCAGTGGAACACTGAAAGCACACCTAACAAGTTGTAGTCCGGCTTGCATTGGTGCCACGACCTGGGCCATAGCATGTGGGCACGAGAGTGTGCCGAGCATGGTCGTGAGAAGGTTCTGCCTTCCCCCTGACGGTGACGAACATCCACGAAAAGTGATTTGCTGGATCCGAGCATGAGCATGAGCAGTTGGGATGCTGGAGATGATAGCAATTCAATACGGCGGCTGGACATGATGTCCGGTCCAAGGATGGCCCTTGACTTAGCTTGCCTGATTGTGGGTAGATAGAGTTTTACAACGAGTGTGCATACAAGCAGGGAAAGGAGCGAGATCTCGCGAGATATGGTGCCTCACCTAGGTTCAGATCATCCTTCAGCTTGATGGACGTTTGGGAAGCTTTCGGCTCGGTGAGGATCGGCTCGGAGTCCTCGCTTCCATATAGCTAGAAACATGTTTGCTTGAGACCGCGTTTCCGTCAAGTGCAGCAGTGTCGTGCGATGGGAGTAAGATCGGTGTGCTTTCAAATCCAACATACGGGATGTGAACACCATCTGCCAGCGCTCAATTGTGGTATTGCCGTCATCCACCAACCTGATCGCCAGTAGCCGACTCGTTCTTTGTCGGTTCGCATCTGGTGGGAGAGTCGACGATTCCATAACCGGGGCCGGCAATGTCGCGCTATACCAACAGGTCAACGTCGTCAGCATCGCCTATTGTCCGTCTTCTTCCTCATTCAGTGCGTAGTATAGCATGGCGAAAGCCTGGGACTGCCTCGGCATGAACCCCCGACGGCTCGTCAGCGTGGAGTCTGCTGATTCATCTGTGTTGTCTTGCGTCAGTCCGGGAAAGCCGATCGGGCCTGGTCATCTGAAACACTGGTTGGTGGCTGTACCGCCTCAGAGTATCTCGAGCTTCTTCACTTCGCTGGCCATGACTGAAAGAGTCACATGCTCGGGTCTGCGCATACCAGGTGAAAGGTGAGGGTTCCGCAAGTCCGAAATCCACTGTAGGTCCGTGATACGGCTTGTTCAACAAGGAGATCCCACGTTGTTCCATCATCGTGGTGAGACAGAGGCAATAACAACTCACTGACGTTCGTTGCTTGGACGGGTCGCTGGACAGAGTATCTGCAGTCTCGGTATAGGCAGAATAGATGGATTCTGCGCGGCGCCCCAGAATATCCACTCATCATACATGGTTGCAATCGCGCACCCGATCATTCAGCGAAAACATGGTATAACCTCCCTTTGCCTTTTGCTCTTGAGAAGTCAAAAGGGGCAGCTTCACAAGCGGCTGCGCATCTCGTCAGCAGCAAATGACAACTTCACTTTCGATACTAGAAGTATTTCCGTCCGACGCAAGCTGCACTCGGGTTTGTTCGCAAAATTGCGCTGCAACGCCATCGGTATTTGCCAGGCAAAGCTCTTACTGAAGTTCAGGCTGCATCTCTTTCCCTGTATCAGATCCCTTGCACGCAAAGAGGTTTCAATGTCGAGCCAGAGGGTCCGTTGATTGAAGCAGGTACCATGGGTACGAGCCCCCGTGCATGGCGAGTTGAGAAGTAGGACTATCTAGGACTATTCCGTGCAAGCATTATGGCATTTGGCCTGGACCAGATATCATGGAGGGCGAATGACATGTGGCTGGTGACAACTGATAGTATGAGACTCGGCCATTCTAGTCTCCTCGGAGTCGTTTGCAAGGGACTCTAGGCTTCATATAGCTCCTGACTCAGCCGAGATTAGCGAAGCGAAATATTCTACTGCATCGGGAAGGCCAGCAAGGATGGGGTCGAGGTAGACATGGAGTCGACGACGTTGGCAACTTTCAACAAGTCGGGGATACAAAATGATCGTCACCATTCAGCCGGGTCGCAAGCAATTTGGTTATTTGCAGCTCGGAGTCTTCGTTCTCGAGAAGGCCTGTAACAATAGTCAGGTCCATAACGAAGGCTAGGATCGACTATTGGGAGCATTTCTCCGCAAAGAAACAGGCTCATAGAAGCTGTCCGTCAACAGACCAGGGAGCCCCGTCCTCAATGGAGGTTAAAGTTGGACGGTTCCGCAGCGCAAGGTGCAGAATGTCTCAGATATCATGATGCAAATGTGCGCGAAGGTGCGGGTCGGTTGCATGATAAGCTAGGACCGAGCTGGCGACTGTATGGACTTCCACGACAGAGTAAGGACGCAATATAATGGAGCTTCTGAAGGGTGGGTGGGCCAGAGCCTGTCCTGGAGAAGAGAAGTGCACGAAGGTGAGGCTGAACCCTGTAACATAACGGCATGAAACCAGCTGAGGTTTCTGACAAGTCCACGCGTCAGTCAGGTTGCAGGATTGTCAATGAATCATTGCGAGAGAGACAAGAGTTGAACTGTGGTTACGGGGTAGGGGTCCTGGCGCTTCTTCATTCGTAGGCACCGCATATTTCGATGTAGGTGAATCGGGCTCGAGGGAGATCGACTCCAGGGTCAGTGTCACAGCCACGCGGATCTGTCTGAGAAAGGTGATTCTTGCGAACTGCATCTTGCGACGCAATGAAGTCCTGCGGCTAAGTGGGAACCCTGGTTGAAACAGGTTGGTCGGCGACACTGGTATGTTTATATTACGGTGTGGTGTATTTGATCCTTTCAATTCGCTCAAGCGATATCTCGATTGGCAAGCCTCTAGCTTGGCCCTAGACTCTCTCTAGCCAGGGACGGCATGAGGAAAAGGCCTCCGTGCTCCCGTGGTGGGAGGACACCGGATGTTGCAGGCTGCGAAATGGTAGCGTGGCCCGGGGCGGACTGATAGTGGCTATTTGTCGCAGTGGCTGGGAACCCTGCTAGGGATTGGGTAAGTAGAGTGTCTGATCGGTGGTATGGTACTCTGTAAGCGGTCGTCAGCCAGCAGCAGCTTGGAAGGATACGACGAACCAAGGTCCTGTGGTGGTACGTTAGCATAGTCATAATGGAGCCAGGTGAAAATTTAGCACCATAGTATTTGAAGGAAAAGAGGATGAGAAGCAATGGGATTCAATGGGACTCAAGTTGCGAGTACAGTGGAGGCTGCGGACACGTTATGGATGAAAAGAGGAGGCACTGCAAAGAAAGTTGGCAGCCGACATTGGTTGGCAGCGGGCGCAGGCGGGAGCTGCATCTTGAAAGCGCGCATTGCGGAGTACGACAAAAAAAGACCATTAGGGACTAGCGGCCACTTTGGTTTGAGTTTACTCAGTGTGAGTGGTTCTGCTGTAGATAAGGTGTGAAAGCCATGCCTCAAATGGACTAGCGGCCGGCACATTCTTTGGAGTTGGGACCGACGCGGGCTTGCCTGCGTCAGCGTAACGCACACTGGCAGGTCATACCCATAGTACCTAGCTTGCTACTAGCTTGCTACTACCTACCGAGACCTGGGACCAGGTACTAACTCCCAATGCTCTCCCGTGTAGTACCTGAGGTAGCAGTTGTCGAGCATCACCAGCATCCAGTTATCACCGCATCCGTTTTTCTTATACCATGCAGAGCCCACACACGCCTTCGAAATTTGTCCCAAAGACATTCTTTGTCCTGACTCGGCTTCTTCAGTTCAAGTTCTGCATAGCCTCGGTGTTAACCACTACTATCCAGGCTCTTATAGCTCCAATGGCCTGCTCTTCTCTTCGTTAGACTCGAGCCTGCCTTTCTCTTCTCCGGTTGCTCGCTGCCTCCTTCCTCTCACCCTCGCTTTCCAATCAGTATTCAACCACTTAGTTAATCAACTGCGGACAGCTCGCTCTTCCTCTACCTTGGATCAACAGCGTGTTGAGTACCGGTACCACGCCTCACCACCTTCTCAACCCTGTACCTGGCATCTAGGCCACCCGCCGTTGTTCTGAAGCAGATCTTCAATACCGCCGGTATCCCCCTGTCACGTCCCCCGCCACCCGAGCGACCTTTCCAGTCCACTTTTCTATCCACGCTTGTCCGAGACCTCAGACACAAACGTAGACGGGAGCCACAGCATACCTCACCTCACCACCTCGCCTTGGTGCCTGTCCTGGTCCAAGTGTTCTACCATCTCACCTCACAAATTCCTCCACCTTCACGATCACTTTTCCACCCAAGAAATATCACCGCATTACCGCATCAACGCATCAAACCCTCACTCAACTCGACTTGCTTCGTTACTTCTTATCCTTCGTTTATCGGCCGGGGTGTCCGTTCCACTCGTACTAGACCATTACTATCGTCGATCTCCACCGTCCAAGAGATCGTTATCACCGGCGCCATGACAACCATGTCTCCTCCAACCTCTCCACTTCCACTCCCTGAAACTACCCGCCAGCGGGCTGCTACGGCCATGAGCTTTTCATCCCATCACTCTCGCCGGAGTAGTGCTTCTGCCAATAGACTCGAGTTGACCGAGACTGCAAAAGATAAGAGGAGGTTAAATACAAAGGCGGATCCTTCCAAGGCATTGAATGAGGCCACTCCAGGTCAGTCTCTTGAGTCCACTTTAGTTGCAAGATATTGACTCGTCGCGCAGCGGAACAAGCACAAGAAGAATCAACTGTCGACGACCTGCGCAGAATGGTGCACAAGGACGGTGAAGGCAACCCCATCAGTAAGTTTCAGAAGTGTTTGCTTTCGAAATGCGCAAGTGCACTGACTCCAAATCATAGTCGACCCTGATCGTTCAAACCCTACACGCCATCGCTTTGAGCGGCCTCTCGACACCATCCGTGCGTTTGAAGCCGCCGCAGAAGGTACAAGCACTCGCCGTTCATCCTTCACCCGACCACGTAAGTTCGAAGGTCTTTTCGGTAGATGATTCGTACTGATTTTCTTAGCATCTCAAGCCGGTTGGAATGGCGATACCAACCGTCGCGCAAGCTACTACTCTAGTAGGTAATCTCAAACTGTCTCTCGAGATGTCCATCTGACCTGTTACAGATAGTGGATATTCACCTCAGCGCCCACGCCCTTCCCCGAGCGGTGGCTACTATCGCAATTCCTCCTACGGGCATGGTCCTCAAACCTCGCTAGAAGAGGCACCAGGGGCTGCGCAAATGTACGCTCGGAATCCTCGCACACTCTCCAACCCGTACCATCCGCCTCAAGCTGTGCAGCAAAATGGGTTTCCGAACGGCGACAGCCCAATATCTGCACACTCATATCAGCACTCTTATGAGACCATGACCTCCGGCTCCGACGAATACTCGAAATCGACCAATCCGAGTTCGCAAAATAGTTCCTTTGATCAACTGCACCAACTCCGCAAGCCTGAGGATTACCCGTCAGAGAATGCCTATGCAAATGAGATGCGTTTCAACGGGGCAATTCCTCCCAAGCCATTTTCACCATATGGCATGCACAATGCCGTGAATGGGCAGGAAATAGCCTCGCCTCCTTCCATGCAACCTCAACAATTCCCGCCCAATAACCCTCGGCAACCTATCAAACTGAATGGCTCGCCATCCGACCCTCCTTTCAATGGTACCAGCTCGAGCGGCCCGACCACACCGCCGGCCACTCCGAAGAAGCAGAGCTGGATCAAACGCAGGTTTAGTCGTCGCGACAGCTGATCATGACATCAAAAAGCTGCCGGATTTGCTGTCGTTTCCTTCGGTGCATTTGTTTTTGGACCTCTTACCACGAGGCAGGCGGGATTGTGGATGGTGCCTGGGGATTTTATACACTTGAGGCGAAACGGTCCTTGAAAACAAGTGCTCTCTCACCATAATGTTTGATATCATAATGTCGACGCAGATTGGGGCTGAAGTGCAAGACGAAGCTATGGCTGGTGATGGACAGGGGATGTACTCGGCACTTTCCAGTATGGAAAAATGAGGAGCTCTCTCAAGGGTAGAGGTCGCCGGCAGGAATGTTGCTTTTCCCCAAATCCACAATATGGTGCGGGAGACACCTTTTTATAGGGTAGAGAGAACAACAGAGCGAACCAGTTCAAACTTTCCGCCATGAGGTAGTGATCGCACGTACAGCAGCGCTTGAGCGCTTTCGTCGGTCGTGCTGGGATCATTGAGCCTTTCCGTGCTTCTTCTCGGTCTCTAGCCTGTCGGATTGGTCTTCTTTCATCGCAACTATAATGTAGGCTACCAAGACGACGTTGGCCATGATGGCCGCAAGCGCGCCAGCGTATGTTGCATTGCCTGATCAATAATTTAGTTCTCGTGCTGTAAAGACGCCAAAGCAGAATCAAGCCCGTGATGGCCTTACCTCCGAAGACGACATTGACAGACATGAAATATGATCCGATGGGAATACATAGCATCGCCATGGTAAAGCCCAGGAGCTTGTAAATGACGGCCCTGCCCAGGTTAGCATCGGCACTCTGGAATTGCTCTCCGGCAGACTCTGTAAGGGGCCTCGTTACTCACGCTGGGACTGCCGGGCTGGTATCAGAAAACTGGCTGGAGGAAGGCGGACCGCCTTGAGCCTCCGATATGATCTTTTCGGACGGGATGTTTCGTCTTGTCGCCATTATAGCGGCACTTTACTGAGGTATGGAAGGGATGATGACTTCAATGCGACGGGCTGGTAGTATCCGATGCGAAGGACCAGGAGGACAGCGTCTAGGAGTAAGTAGTAGAGCTCGTACGTTCAAGCTGTCTAGACCCCCGGCGGAGAGCCTCGATCTTGCTGCGATGCAGTGCAGCCAGTGGCGGGATCTCATGAATGGGTCTTGGCATGACGCGCTACGCGTGAACTTGAACGCCGTCGAAATCTGAAAAGATCATGGCTTCGATCGACGCAGGCGGGAACCCCTGTCGCCCGCTGGTATTTGAACTTCACCCTTGCCTCTTGCGTGAGTCTCGCAGGCGAGTACTTACTCGGGGAGAGAGTCTACCTTGACTTATAACCTGCAGGTCTTACGACAACTATCATGGCCTCGTAGCATTTACCCTTGTTGACTTGACCCGGAAACCGAAGCAATCGTCTTGCCCTCGATGGCCTCCCACGATTCACCGTCGCATTCTGACGGTGAAGCATTCAATCCTCCTCACGAGACTGTGGAAACGCTACCTCTCCAGCGACCTCCCATGGGCGACTTTGACGGCCCGGACGATGACACAGTCGAGACCTTGCCACTGCCCCCTGTTGACGCAGTTAACACAGGCCGACAAACCCAGCCCACCCAGATCATAGAGCGCGCACCACAAGTCATGTCATCCTCACCTTTCAAACCAGACTCCGGAGTCGTGCAAGTTGCTGCATCCTCTCCTATTGCTACCCCAGCCCTGAAGAGCAAGCCTACTGGCATTTTAGCGAGCGCAATGGCCCCTGCTGGGACTGCCTTCAGAAGACCGTACGTCGCCGTGCAACCACGTCCTCCACCCATCACGATCAACAGCGACGACGAAGGCCCGACTTACCGCGCAGGCTCGTCAGATAGCGATGGACCAAACGTGAGATCAAACGACATCAAAACATCCACCTTTGTGAGGAAGAACCGCACCACGGAAAAGATCCCGGAGTCACCTCAAGCACACAACAGCGGTCGCAGCCGGTTTATGGAGATTGCTGCGAGTTCTTTATTTCAGGGTTCACCGAATACAAGCCTGTCGCCGGGCTCAACCCCCGCCAAACGCCCTTCTGACATAAACGCCAGTGCATATGGCAACGTCTCCAAGAGACCGCGTCAAACTGCGCCTTCGCGCGCGTTGCCGGTGGCACCTCCCAAGAAGCAACCTGAGATGGAGTTGGATGACATCAGTGACTATAACATGAGACAAAAAGTCAAACGAATTATGTCCATGGTCAGGACGGTGTCGGTCAAGGAGTGTTACGAAATCTTGCTATCGAAACGAGGCAATTTTGATGATGCCGTCACTGAGGCACTCCAGATGAGTGAAAAAAGACAGGACCATAACCAGAAAAAAGCTGTCGACTTGACAGGTTCGGAGGACGAGCTGATGCCGACCCCTATCGCCAAAAGATCTGCACCCAAACCGACCGTGAATGTGGCCAAACAACAAGCCAAAGCGCCCCAGAGGTCTATCGCAGAGAAGTGGAGCTCAACCCAGAACGTGAGGAAACCTTCCAAGACGATAGATGTCTTTGACACGCCCCCGCCACAGAAAAGACGAACGCTAGTACGCGGTCGGCGACGCTCTTCCTCTTTGGCACCAGAAGAGGCAATAGCAGTTGTTAAACCCCCACCGAAATCTGTGCAAGTTGTCCTGTCCGATGAGTCAGACGAGGCGGCTTCAGACCTTGAGGCTGAGGAAGGGGACAAGACTACTTTCCGGACTCGTGTGCTTCACTTTTTTAATACCTGCTCAGCCGCTGATCTTGCTGATATCGCGTCCATCACCTCCGAGGTCGCAAATCATTTCATCTCCCACAGACCCTTCAAGGGGCTCAATGACGTGTCGAAAGTCTGCACGCCCAATTTGAAGCCCGCTAAAGGGAAGAAGAAAACAACACCTCTAGGGGAAAAGGTACTGGACAGGGTTGAGACAATGCTGCAGAGCTACGAAGCCGTGGATTATTTGGTCAAGCAATGTGAGACTCTGGCCAAACCGCTGGCGAACGAGATGAAATCCTGGGGTGTCAGCCTGTACGGCTCTCGGGATGGAGAGCTTGACCTTGTTTCGCTCCAGGGGACACAGCGGTCGAGTCACGACTCAGGCATTGGGACTCCAGTGAGCGATGAGGACCGCGACATTTTCAAGAAACCGACATCCAAAATCCTCATAGGTCAACCATCGATCATGTCCCCAGACATCCAAATGAAGGACTATCAGATTGTTGGGGTGAATTGGCTCAAACTTTTGTACAAGAGAGGTTTGAGCTGCATTCTGGCAGACGACATGGGTCTAGGAAAGACTTGCCAGGTCATTGCATTTTTAGCACATTTGCTCGAGCAGGGCCGCAAAGGACCGCATCTTGTTGTTGTACCGGCTGCAACCCTGGAAAATTGGCTCAAAGAATTCAGTCGCTTCTGTCCGACTTTGAACGTTGAGCCTTACTACTCCAACAACCCGAATGAGCGCGTCGCGTTGAGAGAGAGTCTCGAAGACGCACGAGACGACATTAACGTGATTGTCACGACATACACTTTGGCCAAAGGGAAAGATGACTTCCCTTGGTTGAGAAATTTTGGCTTCGACTGTACAGTGTACGATGAAGGACATTATTTGAAGAATGCCGAGTCTCAGGTCGCCAGCAAACTGGTGAGGATCAAGTCGAATTTCCGCTTGTTGCTCACTGGTACACCCCTGCAAAACAACCTGAAAGAACTAATCAGCTTGCTTGGGTTTCTTATGCCAGACTTGTTCAAAGATAAGTCAACCGAGCTAAGCTACATCTTTAAGCATAATGTCAAAGCAATGGACGACAACCACGAAGCTCTACTTTCTAGCGAACGTATCAAACGCGCTAGAAGTATGTTGACTCCATTCATCTTGAGAAGAAAGAAGTATCAGGTACTCAAGGACCTGCCCAAGAAGGAACGCCGCGTGGAATATTGCGCAATGACGAAGGAACAATCGGAGTTATATCAAATGTGCCTTGACAAAGCGTACGCCATACGTGAACGGAAGGAGAGAGGAGAAAACATGAGCAACGAGTCGGCAAACATCCTCATGAGATTGAGGCAGGCCGCAATCCATCCCATGCTCTTCCGGCGACTCTATCCTGACGAGATATTGCCACGGATTGCGAAACAGTGCTTGAAGGTCGACATATGGCGCGAATCCAATCCTGCCCTGATCGTGACGGAGCTTGAGGCCTATTCGGATATGGAGATTCACACCCTGTGTGATCAACATGAAGAATTGAAGCGGTTTGCGCTCAACAACAACGAATGGCTAGCCAGTGGAAAAGTTCAGAAGATGATTGAGTTGCTCCGCAAGTTCATATCGGAGGGCCACAGGACGCTGATTTTCAGCCAATTTGTCATGGTGCTCGACATTCTCGAGCTGGTCCTTGAACGCGAAGCCATCGAGTATTTTCGACTTGACGGCAATACTAAGGTCTCTGAACGGCAAGACCTGATAGACGAGTTCTCAGCCGACGACAACCGGACACCCGTTTTCATGCTGAGTACCAAGGCGGGTGGCGCTGGAATCAATCTGGCAAAGGCTAACAAAGTCATTGTGTTTGATAGCGGCTTCAATCCTCAAGATGACATCCAAGCCGAGAACAGAGCTCATCGGATCGGCCAGGTCAAGGATGTCGAAGTGGTGCGGTTGGTCACCAAAGGTTCAGTCGAAGAGCAGATCTACGCCATGGGCCTGACTAAACTGAAGCTTGACGAACAAGTCGCTGGGGAAGGAGCAGAGGAGCAGCCAAAGCGAGACGGTGAAGAAGACGACAAAGAGATTGAAGGTCGCATGATTGTCGAGGACATGTTCTTCCAGAAGCTCGACCGAGAACCGATTGAACGAGTGAAGGAGGAAGCTGCCAGTCCAGTCAAGACGAAGCCCGCTGCATCTTCGCCTGAGAATGGAAAGGACTAAGGGGATAGTGAAGGATCCGTCGTCAATGGTGACGAGGGAAGACTCGACGCCGTCGGAAGGAAAGTGACGATCTGCCCACGCGCAAGAGGCTTTGAACGGCACAGCGGTTACCTTGCATGGTGAAGGGTTGGATGAATGACTGACTGACTGTTCGGGGAGCGCCACCGGATCCGTTGGAAATTCTAGCGGTGAAACGGTGTTGGTGAGCATCCATGTTACAACTGCACAGCCGAGCGATCACTACTACTGTCTCGTAGGGAATAGACTCTATCGACTTGTGAATACTATGTCCCAATACGAAGATCATTGCTGAAACGCATCTTCATCACCCGGACTCGGGCGGATCTGCTCCATACTGACTTACAGCTTGTTCCATTCTCGAAACTTTGGTTGCCAGAGTCAAACTTGGATGCCATTCATTTCTGAACTTGAACTTAACCACTCTGTTTCATGCCGATCAGGACTGTACCGTCCTCTGGCACGCGTTCATTCAATACATGTGAGTCAGGCGTTCGCCACACAGCAAGCTTTGCCCCTTCCCTTCCTGGGGTATATATATCTCCCTTCTTCCCCCATTTCATGTCCTCCTTTTCTCTCTGCAGTACATCGCCCACTGGACATTTGACCCGGCTTACTGCTGGCCTTCAACCTCTCCAGATGGCCAGCTGGTATGGCCAGGGTTATCATCAGCCACTTCCCAAGCCGCTTCTCTCGGGCTCGTGTTGCCTGTGGTGACCAGAAACGATGATGTCTGCAGTGGTCAGTATATATGCATGAGAGTTGAAGCGAACGAGTCGGCTATTCGACACTGGAGCAAGTCCACGAAATAGTTGTCTCAGAATTGACGGCCAAGCTGGGCAAAAAGTACAATCGTTCCCATCCAGCACCATACCGGGCAGCTTCAACTACCACCACACACGGGTGGAATGACCTAACAGCGCTACCTATACAGGTAAATGTTGTCTCCACGCAGATAACAATATCACTAACGTTTTCCTAGGAGGCATGCAGAAGGATCTGGGCTAGCGTGGCCAAAATCAATAGTCGCATGGAAAAGGTTCTGGCAAATCATCCAGGTTACCTGGATTCCACCGCTGCAAGGCAACAAGACATGCGAAGGAAGGTTTCGGTGTTTGTCGCCAATGAATTTCAGATCCAATGCACTGCCCGTGTCCCCGGCTATGTTGCAGGAACCTACACCTTCGAGAAATCACGCAGGCCACCAACCATTCGGGCACCACGCAAACCGCAGCAAGATGACAACAACCAAGATAATGCGGCCAACGAGGGCAAAGCGTGCCATGCATGCCTCAAGCGTGTTGACATGGCAAGAGCCTTCAGCTATAAGATCAAGTCAGACAAAATGTGCGTGCTTTTCGCCTTGCTCTATGTTTGACTTCTACAGTAGCTAGAGCTTGAGGGAACAGCTTTTCCCAAGCCATCCGGTTTCGCCATTACTCTTCTCGAAATTCCACAACATCACCAGCATAGGAACATCAACCCACGATTCCTTGCCAGCGAGTCGAATTTGGCCAATCGGTCAAGGCTTATGTGTTTCTTATACATGCAACAAGAGTTATGGTATTGGGAAGTTGGAATGGTGTCTGTGGGATGGTCGGAGAATGATTTCAGACAGCATTTGCATAACAATATGGGCATAGAAAAGCCAAGCGCAAGGTTGCGAACTCCCTGCCACATGTCGGAGATGCTCCAGCGACTCCCAGCAAAACCAAGGGCAAGAGCACGGCCAAGTCAAGCGAATCGACGTCACAGATGATGCTCCAGGCTGTTCGTACGTTGACCGAGGTCAATGCCACGAGCGCTGGGTTCAAGAACAACGTCCACTATTCGTGGTTTGGTTGTATGCATATATCTACCGTCGCCAGTATCAACCAGTACGAGGAAAGGCCAAAGGCAAGACGGAGGTTGTCGGTTACCTGGTGTGTCCTTTCGAAGTCGGGCATAGCCACCGAAGTCGCACATATCTACCGATATGCTATGCGGGAGGAGATAGAGACGACGCAACAGGGAGCAACACACCAATTCTGGGAAGTCTTACGAACTTCTTGGTCTTAAGAGCGTCTTGATTCCTGGTATAAGGCCACATTTCCCCACGGAACTGAGGTTTGCAAAGATCAGGAGCAATCCTCCCTAACATTGTTTGTCGGAAATCAAGGTTCGGTCGAGCTCTCAATTCAACCCAAAGGGCCTCAGTTCTGGTGTGAGGTTTGCCCTAAGCTACTTCCACTAGGTAGGGCAAGATGTATGTTCGCCGAGATCACTGCTACAAGTCGACATGAACATCTTCAAAGATGATTTGGAGCGAAGCGTGCCCGGAAACGCCATATCTGTCGCGGAATATCGAGAGATTATGAACACAGGCACGGAGCCTAACATGGTCAAGACCTTCTTCTTCCATTCGACGAGTGACACTTGTGGTGGCTTCCCATGAAGATGCTAGAACAGAACTGGCGCAGCAAATCTCCGGCGTCCCCTTTGTCTTGTTCGAAAGTGACTCTCCATGGCCGCGGCAGAGAGTGAGGACTGCGCAATACCTTAATGGAGCATAATCGTGACAGAGTCAACATTCGAGCGGTGTGCCTCTCTGGATCCGTTTTCAGGTCGATGTACTTGGACTTCACGCGAAATACGGAAGTGACTTTGAAGCATCTGCTGCGGAAGAGTCCTCGTGAGCAGAAAAACAACTCAGCGAGTAGAAGGGGGAAGAGAGAGGTCTATGTGGAAAGAGGATTATTTTATACGATATTCGGATATATTAAGCAAGGGAACCTTTTCTCTGTGGATAATGTTCATTTGATTGATTGTATGATTGTAAAAAATGCCAATTGAGGTCTTCAGGGTATATTTCTATTTGCAATCAAGGCCGATACGGATGATATGGATGATCTGAGAGCGTCCAGGAAGCTCCCTTGAAGCACTAAGGTCTTTCGCTTTCCAGTCAGATGTCCTCGACAGCAGAAAGAACCTTTCTTACATATATCTGTATGGTATACGCATCGAGGCGATGGAATGGGCCGTGGCAGCTCTCACAACGGCTGACAAGGCTGGTGGTCTGCTGCCGGTTGAACCCCCAGCGTTCGCAACCATTGGGGGATGGAAAGCGAGAGATCGGGCATGTGAAGTCATCATGACAGGAACCTTGGCTGCAGCCATTGAATATGAGGGAGAAAGGATCTTCATTTGACTGGAAAGATAACCTTTCTTATTGACGCAACCATTTAACCGTCGCTCTCAAAGGCAGGCTGTTGCCAGGGCCGCGTCGTCCGTTCAAACGGTGAGAGTAACAGCCAGGAATGCCACATAATTCCAGCTCATACCAATACTGCCATTTCTCCGTTTCCATAAGTCGTGCCGTGTCATGAAGCTCCGGAATCTGGAGCCATCATGCTCCATGAAGACAAACGTTTGAGTGTTTCTCCATCAACACCCTATGCCATTGTGTTTTTCTGTATTGACCAGTGCAGCATAGTCGTATCATCAGGCCATGGAAGATGTGATACGCAAATTCCGCCTCCGCTCTAACGCAGAGCAGTCGTCAAGAGATATGGGCTGTATAGTCAACCATGCCATGCCCTTCAGCAGCCCGTTCAAACAATCAGAGTGCAATGCAGTGAATATGTTGTTCACCGTTGGGCCCGGCAGACCAGGTGGCTATCGTGATTCACCGGGGTTGTGAAAGAGGTTGTTCGGCGCTCTGAAGTTTTTCGGAGATCCGACTGAGAGTTGCACAATCTCACCTCGACGGGGGTCGTGGCAGGCGGCGAGGTCCCGGCTTTAGCATTGGAGCGTCAGAGCACATACAAGGTCATGGTTTGTAAGAGCCGTGGTCTTGCAGCAGTACATGTTGGGTTGGTGATTCTGCGACTCCGTCCTCCTCAAGCTGGCCTCCGTTTCACAAACTCGTCAAGATCACCCCTAGTGACAACGCCGAGCACGAATTTCCTACTTCCATCAGTGACAACAGCGAAGTCTTGAGGCTCGCCGGTGGCCAGTGGTCCCACGTTCTTGAAGAAGCCTTCCAATTCCCACAGCTCAGTCTCCATCGTTATGACCTGATACTTTTTCGTTCCGCGGCGTTGAAACTTCACCATGGCTTTCGACACGGGGTCCGACGGCTGCAGTTGCCGGGACTCAAAGAGTTGTTTGAGTTTTGAGATTGGGAGATAACCCAGGAGAGACCGTGTATTTTCGGAGAGAACCGTCAGATGGGAATAGTCGTGGGATGAGGCGGACAACATGGCTTCAGCAAGTGAGGTGCTTGGGGATGTAGACAACGCCGGAGGGAGATCGAGGTCCGCTACAGTGGCACCGCGATACTTGTCCGTCCATGCTCGCAATGTTGCCGAGTGTTCATCTTCTTCGGGAGGTATGCCGTCGTGTTGGGGGACGATGGTCTTGCCCAAGGGGACACCTTGTTCGAGAACGTGTGACATGGGAGGTGGTGCGCTGGGCTCAGGAAATATCAAGGAGATAGAAGCCGGAAAAACTAGTATACAACTGTAGTAGAGAGTTGCATGCAAGGTACCTGTAGGTACGGATTGATGGTCAAAATAAAATAACGAATATCATGTTGTGCAGTACGAGGTAGTACTAGTAGTGATCGATTGAGAAGCGCAGGCACGCGAGGATCCACTGTCTGGTGAGTGGTTATAGCAGCGTACTAGTACCAAGTCTGGCTAGTACGTACTTGTGTCTACTAGTAACTCCAACATGCCGCACCCCCAGTGGCAAATGGCAGGGCTCCATTGCCGCCCCATATAAGCTGGAAGGCTGTTCGGCGTGCAGCAAATCAGTCAATGCGGTGCGGAGAACATGCAGAGGACAGTAGCAATCGGTGTTGTCGGTATCGCCATGTCCTGCTGTAATCGCCAGCCAGTGCCAGAGTGCGGTGACGATAGCAGCTTCGCATGCAGTGGACTCCTGCCATGGACCTTGCTTGACCTTGACCTTGACCTTGGCCTTAACCCCTAGCTGGTATGACTTTATCTTCAACCTCATAATCTTTTCCTCTTCCATTTCATCGTCGCTTAATTCACTTGCAACTGCCCAATACACTCGCTGCAGTATAGTCACCATCGTCTGACTCGAGGTAAGCCTAGAAATGCCATCCAACCGCTCAGTCACCCACGGCTGGAGTCGGAGATAAGCTGATGAGCTATTTCGCAGCACCATGGTCGGCCTCGTTCCCAGCCCAACAGCCATCTACCAGGCTCTCCTGCCTACCTCGCCTTTCTATAAGCCTGCTGCCAAACCAGTAGAGCACCCTCAGAAGCGGCCCATCTTCTCGACATGGAGTGCCGCAGACACGGCGAAGGACAAGGCCGGTGAATTGAGCGCAGCCGCCCAAGCCGAGTATGAGAAGGCAAGCCAGAAAGCTCAAGCCAAGGTCGGGGGCATCGAGCTCTATTCAGGCAAATACTACGCCGCCTGTACAGTGGGAGGTATCCTAGCATGTGTATGTATACACCGTTACAGTCTTGCCGTGACCGTTCATGCTAACAACATTCCAGGGTACCACCCATACGGCTGTGACGCCTCTTGATCTGGTCAAGTGTCGTCGTCAAGTCGATCCCAACCTCTACAAGGGCAATTTCGAGGCATGGAGGTTGATTAACAAGGCGGAGGGCATTCGTGGAATCTTTACTGGTTGGGGCCCAACCTTCGTCGGATACTCAGTGCAGGGTGCCGGCAAGTACGGCTTCTACGAATACTTCAAGCACCTCTACAGCGAGCTGGCTGGTGAAGGCAATGCCGAAAAATACAAGACATTGCTCTACTTGTCTGCTTCGGCCTCGGCCGAGTTCATTGCCGATGTTGGTCTCTGCCCGTTTGAAGCTGTCAAGGTCCGCATGCAGACCACGATCCCACCGACGTTCACGGGTACTCTTCAAGGCATTTCGTCCATCACCAATAAAGAAGGTGTTGCTGGGTAAGTTCTTCGCTGGCGGAATTGGCTGTGGGCAATGTTGACCCTGTTCAGATTGTACAAGGGTCTGTATCCTCTCTGGGCCCGACAGATCCCCTACACCATGATGAAATTCGCTTCCTTCGAGAACATCGTCGCAGCCATTTACAACTATCTGCCTGGGCAAAAATCGGATTACAACAAGGGGGCCCAGACTGGTGTTGCCTTCGTCGGTGGTTACCTTGCCGGTATTCTTTGCGCGATTGTCTCGCATCCTGCAGATGTCATGGTCAGCAAACTCAACGCGGATCGTGCGCCAGGTGAGAGTTTCGGCGGTGCTTTGAGCCGTATCTACTCTAAGATTGGATTCGCGGGTCTCTGGAACGGTCTACCTGTCAGAATTGTAAGTCCCCCAATCGTCTAGTATTCGCTTGAAGATGTGTGCTAATCAGACGATCCCACAGGTGATGATCGGAACCTTGACTGGATTGCAATGGATGATCTACGACTCCTTCAAGATCTTTATGGGCTTGCCAACCACTGGTGGCGGTGACAAGAAGAAATAGATGAGTAGGAACGTGCAGATACGACCGAAAGCCGGGGGTGACCAGCTGGGTGGTGGCGGTCAATGAACTGACGACGCAGGTGGCTGGAAAGTCTCTGGGAAAGATAGCAAGTATATTGGTGACTTCCCATGCAAACGATGCTCCTCTGTCTTGTCGGGTCTGAAGCCTCGCGTACATGTAGGAAGATGTCGCACTCTCATATGATATACGTTGTGTTGGTCTTCTCTTCCCTCGTGCGCGTCCCCCACAGAGCGATTCATGGGGAGGTGGATGATACCGCCCGCGATATCCACTGCGGTGCCCGCCGCCCGAGTCAAGGCTGATAGCAAGGCTGGGCACCGCACTCTACTACTAGTACTAGTAGTTAGCGGCGGCTAGTGGTCTTATCACACGTCATGCTGAGCGAATGATGAGGACGAATCATGCCACTACGCATGTGCTACTAGTAACCGATAGTCACGCGGTAGTTGGGGGCATTTGCTTTTGTCAAGGCGGCATGTCATACTAGTGCTAATAGCACTATCAGCACGCCCATCGGACTCATCTGCCTGCGCCCACAGTATACTACTAGTAGGTAGTAGTAGTACGTATATCATGGTGCGCAATTGACGCCCTCTTCATCTGAGCGGTTCTTCTCTCTTCCAACCTCTATCGTCTCCTAAACCTCGCAAGGCTGTGACTCAGATACCCTCCAAACGGTGACCACGCGACGATTATTCTGCCCACGTTACTATCTATAATCTCATAGCAGGTAAGGTGCTCACGACGTCCCCTTGCCCTAAACTTCCTGGCTTTGCGACACATGCGGCTGCTCCCACAAGCCACAAGAATATCGGTATCTTGCGCATACATAAAGAATTCACAAGCACCATCCTTCGACTGCAATCACACTAACTTATTCAGAATCCAAGATACTCAAGATGAGTAAAGTCTCTCACGGTCGTGGCGGTATGTGTACATCTCTCAGATCCAGCCATCCACCAACTAATGGGCTCAGGCGCGGCCAACATTGCACCCGACGATACTCCCTATGCCGACGGAGAGATTGTCCGTGAAGGCCCGGTCGGCGACCAAGGCGATGGACCATATTCGGCAGGACGAGGGGGTGCCGGTAACATTGTGGCGGACGGAGAGCCTGCAGCGGTGCCCCATGACGCGGAGGTCATCCCGGAGACTGCAACAAGAATCTCCAGGGAAGAGTCTCACCACGTTGGGCGCGGCGGCGCAGGGAACGAGGCCCATGTGCAGGAGAAGAAGCAGGAAGGGTTGGCGGACAAGCTGAAGCATTTCTTCTTCAAGAAAAAGTCATGAGCGGTCGCAGTGGCTACTCGTCGACTGGAGACACATGGATTATGGATGATACCCTGCGAGAGCTGTTTTGTTGATTTGCGTGGACGGACAGGCTATGTTTTTCGGTTGCAATCGCAATCATTTTCCAAGTGTTAATTAATTCAGAAATAATACTATGCTCCTAAGATGTCGTTGCTAAGTCACCTTGCCTACCTACCTAGGTACTTGTACCGTTGTAGCGAATGCGGCGGACGTCGTCATCATCATTGATCACTTAGGTATCTAGTCACACCACGATGGTGAGGGCGCTGTCGCACCTAAGATATACCGAAAGCAGAACCTGGGATCTCAGTCCTGCTGCCGCGCCATGCCGACAATGCAGTTCGAATCGATACTTTGCCCAGGTCTCATCTCAACAAATAGTAGTAGCTGCCTTCCTAGGTATTTTAGGCAGAGCAGATCATGCATGACTTGCGGTTTACTGGAAGACTTTCGCCTGGCGGACCAGGCGTGGAGACCGGGCCTTTCCGAAAGCTACGAGGGCAGACTGCGCATTTTTTGTAATAAAGACAGCCGAGTGTAGTAGTGTTGATGGCCCATGATAGAAATGTCGACTACTACTAGTCCTACACATCTCTGTCTGCCTAAATTGCCTCTTTGACCTGCCTCGACCTGAACTGGACAGTGCAGCGTACTACAGTACTGTGTGCCACGTTGACAGTTTGGAGGCGCGGGCAAGGATTCTGATTGAAGGAACGGCAGCTGCCTACTACGGCCACGTTGTGACAGTTCAACCGCCTCCGCCAGCCGCGTCCAACCAGCCGACTCGACGACAGCAGGGCTGTGGCGTCTTCAGGGATTCCCCGTGGTCGTTATTCATTCTTCCCGTGCTCGATCATCCTTCAGCTGCCAACGAACCCGAGGTCTCAGCGCTCGTGACAACTCCACCACTATCCTCCCACCACTCTATCTTTCGAAAGTGTCGACGGTCACTCCCTGAACGCGATTTCCTGACCTGATTCCATTTTGCGGGTGGATTTTCTTCACTTTACGGCAAGCTCGCGTCGCGTCGCGCGGTGCTATAACCTCCAAAATCTCTCACACCGCCCCTCGTTTGCCGACCAGGCTGGCGAGCATCCTCGCGTCAAACCAATCTACCCCGCGTCATCCTCGTCGGACTCGATGGCATCAGCAGCAGCTACAACAGAGCCGACAGAACAATACCCTCCAAATATGCCGTTGACCCCCGGTGACAGCGATAACGAAGAACCTAGTGAACCAGGCCAAATGGCCGGCCGCAAACGCAGTGCAAGCGAGATGGAAGATGACGCATCGAGAAGCAAGATCACGGACATGGGCTTTGACACTGATACTGATGCCGAAACGAGCGGAGCTGCGGGCGCAAATGGCACAAGCGCCGCCAACGGTACAGATGGTGCCGACGGTTCAGAGACGATCGAGGCAGAGCTCGGCGACGAATTTACGGTCGAATGCCCTGCCCGTCCAAAACGTGGGAAAGCGGCAGCTACGGACAGCGTGTATGTGGAGCGCGACAGCCCCTCACTGGCGCCTCATCTCAGCATCGAGTTTGCCGTCAGGCCAGGCCAGAAATGGGCGGGGTTGAGCAGATTCAGGAATGCTAAATGTGAGTCAACATATAGCAGCCAGGCATGTGATGATTCCTGCGATTCTAATCGTGTACGTCTTTAACGCAGTCAAAAACCCCATGACCGTGATCTACTCTGCTGGCCAGGTGGTATATATCAATCGCCACAGCCCGATTCCACCGCCACCCCCGGCCGATGCGTCCGATGACGAGAAATTGCAATATGACAAGGAGAACTTCTGGGTGGGTTTAATAGCCGAGTTCCGCGCCGAGAGCCACGCGAAGGTATTTGCCAGAGTGTTTTGGTTCTACTGGCCGGAAGAGCTGCCTATGGGTCGACAGCCGTATCACGGCAAACATGAATTGATCTTGAGCAACTATACCGACATCATTGAGGCGCATTCGATTGCTTCTCACGCAGAAATGAGTACGTGGGATGAGAACGATGATTCCAACCAACTGATGCTTCTGGAGCGATACTGGCGGCAAACTCTGGACGTTACGAAGTTGAGGCCCAATCCAGCAAAGGCTGCCAATGCGTTGAGCAAACTACGGAAATATTGTATATGTGGAGGGTATGACAACCCTAACGTGGATATGTATCAGTGCCGTACGGTCGGCTGCGGAATGTGGAACCATGAGGAGTGCCTGGTTAAGGACTTGGAAGAGCGGGCATGGGAGCAGTTGAAACAGGGGTCTCTGACACACGAGGTCCAAGACAAGCAACATGAAAAAGGATTTACTCAGAAGATGGGGGAGACGTTGGGGCATATTGTCAACCTGGGCCTTGGAAGAGGGGAAGTCAAGGACGAGGCCCGTTCGGATGCGATCCCGGTCAGCAGAGGTGCGAAGAAGTTGAAACTGGCCACGGGCGGGAAGACTCCATGGTCAGGCAAGTTGCAGGGCAAGATCGTCAAGGCCCAGGACGACACCCATGCGGCCATCGTCACTCAACTGGTTCCCAATGCGAACAGCAAGGCCGCGCGGCAGTTCGAGCCAAAGGTGTGGCACATGAAGATGAGCTGCCTTAAGTGCAGGCAGCCGTTGAATTGAACAATTTCGAGCAGGATGTTTTATCTTTTATCGACGGGGAAATACGCGTTACTGGGACCGTGAAGGATGCCGGGTTCATATGGGAGTTCTAGGGGAGGCTTGCAACTGGCGCATAACCTTTCCCACAATTCGTTTTGCATTCGGAGCTGGAAAGGACAGTCTGTATATGTATAGCGGTTTGTGCGGAGTTCAATCTTTGTTGTTTCATCCCTGAGAGAATGCATGGAATTGATGGCGCAGTTGAAAGGGCAATGTGTAGTTTTGGTGCCGCCTTGAGATGGCCTATCGGCAACGCATTTGCTTCTCTCGAGTCCGCTTGTGGGCACCATGGCGGTGTGAGGGCTATCCCAGATGCCGAGATGCCCATGTCCCTGGTCACATACGCCGTTGTAATCCAACGCGTATACCCCCATACAGTCTTATGCTGTACTAGTAACAGGGATAAGGGGGAGGTTTATGAGGACATTCCACGTGACGAGGCTCGGGGGGCCAGCTGATGACTCATCAGGGTCACGTGGCGAGCTATCGCCGTACTAACGTACTCGTGGTCTCCTTTTTTCCCACGGCTGCAGTCTTTCCACTCACCAACCACCCATCATCATTCACTCCATCCACCCACGGACCCTCACGGACCCTCACAGACCCTCGCAGGCCCTCGCAGGCCCTCACAACCTTCAACAACCCTCACGGGCCCGGGCCCGTTCGGTTCTACCCTATGCTTGCGTTGCCATCTACGGTCGGCCTCCAGCAAGAAGCGAGTACGAAGAATATGAACAGCTGGGGACTGTACCTGATCTACCACTTGTTACCGAACCTTATTATATACGATCGGCCTCTAGTAAGAAGCGAGTACGAGAGTCCTACACGGCTATGGACTACATCTGTCTTATCCTTGTCTCACGCTGTCATGTACGACCGCCTCCAGCAAGAAGCGAGAGCGAAAAATATGAACAGTTACGGACTATACGTACCCTATCCCCTGCCTCACCTTGTCATGTACGATCGCCTCCAGGAAGAAGCGAGTACGAACATGTTTCCCGCCGTCATTGACTCGTCCTTTCCCATCGTACAACATCCGCCTATATCTCCACAAAGAAAACCGGGTCGCAGCAAATCCACCAGCGGGGGCGACCCAAATTGACTGATGGGGGTATTAGATCTAATATTTTTCTTGCGTCTTCCGCTTCGACTCAGGCTGTTTTCTCTCTTCTATAACATCAGCGATGTCTCGCCCATCCGCCGACGCCTCTACGTTCCTTATGTCTTCTTAAGTCGGTCTCTGTACCCTTTGTCGTCTTCATCCATTGTTTGGACATTGACTTGGCGCATTATCACTACTGCACGATTACCCCTTTGGGATTTAGCGCCACCTCCCCGGTTGTTCATCTGCATCACTGGGCTTCTGGGACTTCTGCTCCTTAGCGATTCTGTTCTCCAGTGTCTGGCCTGTGGAAGGCAGAATAGGACCACTGGACGGTGCAGCCCTGCGACGCAAGCACAGACCGTGAATGATCACCACAGCATCACGAATAACCGCAGAGCCTGCTTCCACACGAGCAAAACTACATTTTTCCTTCAAAAATCATCCTGGGAGTGTACCAGCCTTTGGCAAAAGGCCCTCCGTCCCCTTCACCAGCATCATTAAGCCAGCAAAACATGTCTGAACACACAGCACGAACTTTGGTCGGGGCCCCGGAAGGTCTACACGCCAAAGAAAATGCCCCGGCGACGGAAGGCCAGGGCCAGGGCCAATGGGCTGCCTCATCAATGACCGAGGACGCCCCTTCATCTCTGACAGAGAGCGATGGTGCTTCTGATCAAGTACCCGAAAATGGCGACAACCCTGCACCACTGACCGAGGCAATTACGACCGAGACGTCTGGTCGGCCAGACCTCGCCAGGACGGAATCGCAAGCCGACAAATTTTCCACGGGGAGGATTATCGTTATCATTTCTTCCCTGAGCATGGCTCTGTTCTTAGCAGCTCTGGATGTTACCATCATCACAACGGCTTTGCCTACAATTGCAGCCCATTTCCAAGCCAGCTCCGCTGGATACACATGGGTGGGTAGTGCGTACCTTCTAGCAAATGCTGCCAGCGTCCCACTTTGGGGCAAGGTCTCTGACATATGGGGCCGGAAACCTATGATCATTCTCGCCAACGTGATCTTCATGGCTGGCAGTTTGATAGCCGCGCTCAGCAATTCGATCGGATTGCTAATAGGCGGACGGGTCATCCAAGGTATCGGCGGCGGCGGACTCGTCATTTTGGTCAACATCTGCATCGCTGACCTGTTCAGCATGCGGGATCGACCAAAGTACTACGGCTTGATGGGCATGGTGTGGGCCTTTGCATCCGGAGTTGGTCCAGTCATCGGTGGTGCCTTCACCGAGGGCGTCTCCTGGCGTTGGTGCTTCTACATCAATCTACCCTTGGACGGCGTCTCGCTCATCCTACTCATCTTCTTTCTCAAGCTTGAGACTCCCAAGACCCCTTTTTGGGCGGGCATCAAGACCGTCGATTGGGTTGGTGTCGTCACTATCGTGGGAGGAGTGGTCATGTTTTTGCTGGGTATGGAATCCGGTGGAAGCACTCATCCCTGGGATAGTGCCTACACTCTCTGTCTGATCATATTCGGGATTGTCACCATAGCCTTGTTCTTCCTGAACGAGTGGAAGTTCGCCAAGTACCCCATCATCCCTCTGCGGCTGTTTCGGGATCCCTCAAATCTGGCCTCGTTGGGCGTTTGTTTCATCCACGGCTTCGTCTTCATAGCCAGCAGCTACTATCTCCCCGTCTACTTCCAGACCGTGATCAGCGCCACGCCGATCCTGAGCGGTGTCTACCTGTTCCCTCTGGTTCTGAGCTTGTCCTTCGCATCCGCGGCCACGGGCATCTTCATCAAAAAGACCGGCCGATACCGCGAGCCGATCTGGTTCGGCCTTGCCATGATGACGCTTGGCTATGGGCTGTTCATCGACCTAGACCCTCGTGCCAACTGGGCCAAGATCATCATCTTCCAGATCATTGCCGGGGTTGGCGTGGGGCCGGTCTTTCAAAGTCCCCTGATCGCCCTCCAGAGCCACGTCAAGGGCCACGACATCGCCGTGGCAACCGCCCTGTTCGGGTTCGTGCGCAACTTGTCGACTGCCATCTCCGTCGTTCTCGGCGGTGTCGTCTTCAACAACGAACTGTCCGATAAAGAAGGCTATCTTCGCACTGTCCTCTCCCCGGCAGAGGCCCGCAGACTGACCAGCTCGAGTTTCGGCGCGACCACCTCGTTCGTGCGAGGCCTGCCCCCCGCGCAGAAACATGCCGTCAACATCGCGTACACTTCCAGCCTGCGCACCATGTGGATCTTCTATACGGCTTTTGCAGCCTTCGGCATCTTGGTCAGTTTCTTCATCACCAAGAAGGAGCTGAGCCGGACGCATGAGAAGGCCAGGACGGGGATCGAGGAGCAGGAACGCGTTAGGCAGCTCGAAGAAGCGGAGAGAAAAGCGAGACGCCATACCGTGGATCCAGAAAAGGCGGGAACCTAGCCTGCACAGTCAATGTGGGCTAGCTTCTGTTTGCATATCTGGACATCGCATCACCGGGCAAGTGTCTTGTTGTTGGTCATCCCTACTCGTCGTCATGTCTAGTTACGTGGAAAAGGAGAAATGCACAATTATCAATGGAGTTATGGGTTCAGTGCATGGAAAAGGGCATCAGCGTGGGCAGAAGCCATGTAATCATTTAATGCCAGCCGGCACGTCGGCTGCACAGGTTCAATGTCAATAATCCGGCATTGCTTGCAGTGGTTGAGAGGAACGAGGTTTGTTCTCCTCACTCACTGATGGACTCCATTCATAGATCAATCAGACCTCCTCTCCCGCTCTCTTTCTCTAGTCACTCTGGCAAAGTGTCGCCGACTAATGTAGCTATTCCTCTCAGGTCGCTCCCTTCTTGTTTTATTCCCTCTCTACCACCTCCCTTCCTTCCTTCCTTAGCACTTTTTTCCCTCGTTCCCTCGTTGTAGCAGACCACGGCAGAACGTGAGACAACCTCGTAACAGACCACCAGATGTAATCTGGAAGCTGTTGGCGAGAATGTGGGGGTCAGGAGAAACCAACGTCGTGGAGTCTGTGTAGGATATCTCAAGAAACCCCCCCAGGTCCGGACACACTGAAAGCCTTGTGTGGATGATTGGTTGTTTAGGCGGCGGAGGGTGAGGCTTGTCGAATTGGTCGCCCACTGCCAAATAGGGGCTCTCTTTTGGCCATGTCGCGGTTTGCGCATCTCCCAGATAATCCTCCTAGTCATGCGGCAGTTGTGCCAGGCAGGTTTTTCGAAGTTGCTCGATTTCCCGGAGTGCCCATCCCAAGTATGGCACAGCACGGACCTCCAATAGATCTAGAGTGGTTGAAACTTTCTCTCGGTTGAAGTGCAGGCTGGAGATGACGTTCGCTGCTGCTTCGGTTTACCCCTGAGTCTCCCGCAGGAGAGGCATGACGCCTCTTTTCAAAGGGTCCCAAGAGGTCTCTGATAACACTCACGCCAATTCCATGTGAGATTACCCAACAGCAGCGTGCCTGCAGAGGCTGAGATGACGGGTCAGCTAGGGTGGCAGATGGACTGGCCTGGTCTAGTCCGCCTCCCTTCACACGTTGGATTTGGTTGGGCAGGACGAGGTTTGCCAATTTGCAGCTTCTCTGGCCGGCAGCATCGATGCTGTGCTGTGAATCCTGTGTGTGCCGTGCGTAGTGTGACGAGCTTGCAAGAAAGCGTAGTTCTTACTGGTGGCAGATGTCTCAGCGGCCGTTCTTCATCTTCTGTCCCTCTTGTTCCTCCATCGACCGCCTTTCCCACCCCTGCCGCCTCTCCAGCCGAATTCTTTACGCGAGTCGTCCTCCTTCTTGTCCAGGTCTGGTAGTCTGTCCCGACGCTGAGTTTCGCCCCCCTTGTCTGCCACGGCGCCACCGCTCTTAAGATGAACACCATGTTTACAATCTCTGCCATCTGGGCAAAAGCCAGCAAGATAGAACTCGCACAGCTTCCTCCTCACATGCCTCTTCCCACATCTGGGGCCCTTTTCGCAGAATCCTCTGTTATAGTCTTCGCAAAGGGGCAACTTCGAATCTTCCTTGACATGGACGTATAGACACTCGTCGCCGTTCTGGCAATACCCGTTCTGGTTGAAGAACTGACATTCGCTCATCTTCCGCAAATTATACTCGTGGAGATAGTCGCACGCGTCACCTTTCTTACACAGGCCCTTGAGCCAATGCTTGCAGACGTAGTTGTCGTTGTTACGACCGTAGTGGTGCTGCGAAGAATCATCGCGCGTGGGATGGCGATCGGGACAACGTCGCCCACGCGGACAATGGCCCGTCGAGGCGTAGTCGGGACACACAGGTACCGTTGATGCAAGGGCGGCAAGGCCGTTCGAGCGCAGGAAGGGTGTGAAGCTGAAGTTATAGGTAGGGTATGAGGGTTTGGATTGATTCGTTTCGCCTGCTGGCGGCGCAGTGCTGTCCGTGGCAACTGAGGCCATTGTTGTGCCTGTCAACGGCTGACTTGAGGAGGAGGGGGATCAACTCAATTTCATAGATATCGCGATACTGCTCCCTACAGACCGATAAAGTCTGGATTGATATCAATGTTGGTATGATTTGTATGATGAGAGATGTACGTTGACGCTGCAGTGATCACGGCAAGTGAGTTGGTCCAACCCGTTGGAGATATCTAGAAACTTGCCGAAGTTCAACCGATGCCACGCAGCAATTACTTACCAAGCAACACCCCCTTAACTCACCAATGAGACGCTTTAGTAAAGATCACGTGACTTGAATGGTAAGCTAAGCTGTTTCTAGAATTCGGACTCCTAATTAGGTGTTTTGGCGCAACAGCATTGCAAAAGTCGATAAATTTGAGGCATGCACGTTCGAATGCCAGACCCGGTTGATCGTTTCACCGGAGCCACAGGTTTTATCTTCAGTCCTGCTACAGTACAAACACTCATTGCACTGTTCAATGAGGTAGCCAACTCTGTTTCTAATAGATGTGACTTTATTTCGTGCGCATACTTATATACACAAGCAGAAGCAGATATAGAGAAGATACCTTTCTTTCTCCACTGTCCTCTGTACAGAAAATGGCGTTGCTGCACTGGCATGCGGTTTCTAGCTCGGAAAGGGAAAAGATAACCCGGCGTCTAATCAATCAGTCTCAGTCCGTTTCCGGTGGATGTTGATGGGTCGAGAACCTTCTTCTACTACCACCAAAGACAACAAACCAAGATGTCCACTTCTCGCTGGGACGGGTAATTGATGATACAGAGTTTATGGCTCTGTGGAGACAAAACGATGAGTCTGCGGGGCAGCGTCTCCGAGTCTCTTCCTCTCCCACTCTCCCACGTCATTTTCCGCGTTCTATAAGGTAGACAAATTGTCGGTTTCCTTTCACACATTATTGCTCTCAAGAAAGCGGCCAGGTTTCTCAATATCAACATGTCTGTCACAACTATAGCGACCATCGCTTCCTTCGGCGGCAAGCTACTCAAGCTCTCTCACAATGCCTCCACCACGGGCTGCGAAATGAAGTTCAACCTCTATCTCCCTCCTCAAGCAACAACCAACAGCCTCCATAAAGTGCCGCTGTTCATCTGGCTGTCTGGCCTCACATGTACTGCCGATAACTGCTCGGAGAAAGGCTTCTTCCAGCACGGAGCCAGCAAGAAAGGGATTGCCATCCTGTATCCCGATACCAGTCCTCGTATGTGGTTCAAGTTGTTCCTACCGTTGGACTGAGGTCTAACATTATACAGGAGGAGTCGGCATCCAGGGCGAGGACGACTCGTGGGACTTTGGCACCGGAGCCGGCTTCTACGTCGATGCGACTGCCTCGCCATGGTCAAACAACTACAAAATGTACTCCTACATCACCGAAGAGCTACCAAAGACCGTCTTCGCCGCTTTCGATCAGATCGATTCGAGCAGAGTGAGCATCAGTGGTCATAGCATGGGCGGCCATGGCGCCCTATCATTATACCTGAGGAACCCGGGCAAATACAAGAGTGTCAGCGCATTTGCTCCCATCGCCAATCCCCTCAAATGCCCGTGGGGAGAAAAGGCGTTTAAGGGATACTTCGGCGACGAGTGGCAGAAGAAGGGCGCAGAGCATGACTCGACAGAGTTACTGAAAAAGTGGAAGGGCGGAGAACTCGACATTCTTATTGATGTGGTATGTCAATCTTCTCAATTGGACTTGATACATGCTCATTGTTTCACTAGGGTACCGGCGACAATTTCTATAAACAAGGACAGCTCCTTCCGGAGAACTTCTTTGCGGCTGCTGAAGAAATCGGCCAAGAGAAAGGAGTCAACATCAGAATGCAGCCAGACTACGACCACAGCTACTACACCATGGCTAGCTTCAGTGACGATCATATCAACCACGCTGCCAAGTACTTGTTTGCATAGTATGTCGCCTTGTGGCGAGTTGAACATAGGTTAGAACAGAAGCTGACAAGGATAGAAGCGGAACAAAATTGAATCAAAAGCTTTGATCCTACTACACACCCACTGTTTATTTCCTCCGAGCGTTCACTTTCTTCCATATTCTGTGTCCAGTCCTTGGTCCTTGTTGTGTCTAATCAACACTCCCTTTCGTTCCATGCTCTTGTCTCTCCCTGCTGACACAGGTCGGTATCCCTCGGTCAGAGTCTAGCGAGTTGAGTTGGGTTCATCACCGCCCACTACAGACGGTGATAATTTACTGGTATCTCCCCAGTCTCAATGGCTCTTATCCTTAGTAGCAACCTCGATTTCCTCCATAGAGTCCGCCGAGACTTCATCCAGACACGAGGAAGACGAGCGGGCTCTTACAATATCGTGAAGCCGATATCCTCAGGAGCTTCTCAGAGACAATACAATCCACTTAACAGTCTACACCATTCTGTCCTTCACTGCACTGCTGCCTGGGGCGGAATAGGTATATTCACACGACTGCCTGGGAAGGAAGCAGTGACAAGCAAACAATAGCTCGCAACGCCACGCCATGCATGCCATCTCCTACTTCACGTCCATGCGGGCCACAGCGCGCCGAGTGTTGATCAACAAGGCGCATAATATTCAGACAGATTCTCAGTGATCGGTACATGTCACCTCTCTTATTCATCTTTGATCTGTGAAGCAATTGAACACCTTTTCTTATATCACTCTGCTCATCTCCACCACGCACAGGTCTGCCATTAGATCCACAAACTTGCAAAACTCCTTCGCCAGGACCGTAACATCCCCACGAAAGCGAGAACCACAGCCTTGCCTTCTTAGCCTTACCTTCTTAGCCTTACCTTCTTAGACTTACCTCAGCCTTGCCTCAGCCTTGCGCGCGATGCCGAAGGACAACAACGGCGACGAGATCGTGTTCAGATCCATCCTGGACATGGTGGAGGACTCTCAACCGATCTTTGGACCGCGTACCAGACCTCCTGATTCGGTGTGGGTGGGGACTTCATACGGTGTCGTCGGACAGGCAGTTCCAGCCGGCAGTCATGCGCAATTAGAAGGGATCCAGATGCCCAGGAAAGACGCAGTGAGGTTGAAACAACATGGAGAGAAAAGAGTAATGCCAGCGGCGCCCTCGCTGTTGGAGTCGGTAACCCCTCGCCGCCGAATGCCATTATTCGGGTCAATGTCTCCCTCACCTCACGAGTCATCAAGCCAAGCACTCAGCGGCAATATCAGTCCTGTCACCTCAGATAATCCGATCACCCCCAGCCCAGCGTCCCCGATAGTGGCCTCGAATCGACAACAACCGATCACATTCCCACTCACTCCGCCGTCAACAAACGAACACCCCGGGGTAGTGGCCCCGTCGAAACTGTCCACCATCAAGGAATGTGACACCGAGGATGAGCGAACGCCGCCACGAGGACGTGGAATCAGCAGCCTGATCAGCAAGACCGCATTGACACCAACCCCAAATGCAACCCCAATCGAGGTCATGCTGGGACGCAAAGAGAAGGCGAGGCTCTCCCTCCACAAAGAGAGCTTGACTCAGGCGAGGTCGAGGCAGGCGGATAAAACCAAGGGAAGTACGGAGGTGGCAGATTAGAGCAGAAACAAAATCGGTCAAGAAACAGGCTGCTTTTGGGAAGCTGACGGCGCGAAGACGATTGGGCGATATTTGTGAGAGTAACACGTACCTGGAAACAAAATAGCAAAGCCGTACAGGGATCGGTGGAGATGGGACCCCGCCGCACACCCATATCTCACAGCGAGAATGGATGGCTCTGTGTGGGATGCGTCGAACATGTATCTGATTAATGGAATAGTATCCCGGCTCCGAACCCCTGCCTGGCACCATGACTGGTGTGTAGGTAGCTCGATGTCTATCTGGAGGGCGCTGATAGAAACCGACGGGGCTGAGGAAGAAAGGAGAAACTGCGTCTCTGCATCAAGCGACTTGCGGCCCACCGTAATTGATGCCAAGGCCGGTGTTTCTGAGACGCTGCGTTTCCAACTTGAACCGTGGATGGAAGTGCGGCCACAGAACCGGCATCAAGACATCTCTCTGCCTACTGTACAACCGACTCTTCTAGCAAACTTGAAGTGTGATATCTCTACACATCATCCCCGACGCCCCTCTATCTATTCAACTGTCCCATTGTCCCTCTGTGTGGCCATGGAATAATTCCGGAAGCACGTGCTTCCACTTTCGTCACGCCCAAATGCGGTGACTATATCATTCTACCAGTGTTCCGGAAATCATAAGGTGGGTGAGGAACACTGGCATTACCTGATGGAAGACCAGGTCAGTAGTATGCGCTGTCAAGATGGGGCCTCGTTCTAAAGTATCTCTTTAGATAATATCGGCGATTCAGATCGCTTACCATCCCTCCTCCGACCCTGCCCTCAAACGACAGGCCTTCGACTACGTAAACCAGTTGAGACAGGAGCCTTCAGCATGGCAACCTTGCTTGGCCATTTCACTTCGATCTCCTCTTCAGCCCGTCGTCATCAGAGTCTTTTGCCTCGAAATCGTCAATAATGCCGTCCAAGCGGGCTTGGTCGACCCCCAGGGCTTGAAGGCCATCAAGGAGGAGGTCATGGCATATCTGCAGAAGTCCTACGCTGGCAGCAGTCAAGATTCTACTCCTGACCCGGGGACGGTTGTGAACAAGTTCGCTCAGACCATCACATTCCTCTTCGCTGCCTTTTACGAAGCGGGGTGGGAGACCTGCTTTGATGACTTACTGGCTCTTACTGCAACCCAGTCCGGCTCGAGAAACAACTATCCCGGCGTCATCTTCTATCTTACAGTCCTTAATTCTATCCATGACGAGATCGGCGACCAACTACTATCCAGGTCCCGCGCCGAACAGGACCGGGCCAATACGTTGAAGGATCTCATCCGCCAGCGCGACGTTCAAAAAATTGCACGCTCCTGGGAGGAGATATTGTCACAATGGAAGACCTCCAATGATGCGGTGGCGGAGCTGTGCCTGAAAGCCGTGGGCAAATGGGTCAGCTGGGTCGATATCTCATTCGTCGTCAATCAACGCATGCTTGAGTTGCTGTTTCAGCAGCTAGAGCGAGCGCAGAAGGTCAATCCTCGTGAGAGCGAAGAACAGGCTCGAGATGCGGCCATCGATGTTTTCACAGAAACCATCGCAAAGAAGATGCCACCTGCTGACAAGATCAATGTCATCACATTCCTCAACCTTGAGAACGTTGTCTCACAACTAGTGTCGTGTCCACCTTTGAGCGATAGCCGAGCGTCAAATTACGATGTCGACCTTGCCGAAACAGTCGCGAAACTTGTCAACACCACGGTGGCCGACATAGTCAAGATTCTAGAGACCGAGAACCAAAACTCTCCGTCCTGGGCAAAAGCTGAACAACTTCTGGTGGCATTCCTCCCACACCTTCTTAGGTTCTTCTCAGACATTTTCGACGAAGTCTGTTCTACTGTCCTCAACGCCATGAATGATGTTCTTGCGTTCCTGCGCCGTACTAGCCAGGGCGAGGCGGCTTCTGCCCAGAGAGCAGCCATGCTTCTCCCTATTCTCAAAGCGATCTTCGGGAAAATGCGGTACGACGACACGGCTGATTGGGGCCAAGAAGATGAGCAGACCGATGAGGCCGAGTTCCAAGATTTGAGAAAGAGATTGGCCGCGTTGCAAGCTGCTATCGCGGCCGCTGATGAGCAACTTTTCATTGAAGCAATCTCAACTCTCGTCCATGACACGTTCCAGAGACTCAGCGTGGAGGGGTCACAACTCAACTGGCGAGACTTGGATCTCGCACTGCATGAAGTGTACTTGATGGGCGACCTAGCCGTCAAGGCAGGTGGTCTGTACCAGAAAAACAAACCTAACTCTCCGGCGGCCGAAAAGCTTGTTCGTATGATGCTGGAAATGGTGCAGTCTAGTAAGCCATCCACTCATAGTTTCATGTCACATAAGCTGACTTTCACTACAGACACGGGCTCATTTGGTCACCCTGCCATACTGCTCCAATATATGGAAATCTGTGTCAGGTACAGTACCTTCTTCGAAAAGCACACCGAATATATCCAGCCAGTGCTGCAGAACTTTCTGCAGCTGGCACATCATCCCAGCCCGAAGGTCAAGGCACGATCTTGGTATCTCCTTCAGCGCCTTATCAGACAACTCCGCCTACAAATCGCGGACGCTGCTGAAGTAGTCGTCCAGAGTCTGCAGGATCTACTGGTTATCCGTGCGGAGCTGCCGAGTGCAGCAGATGGCGATGATATGTCGTCCGATGGCGAGTCTGCGGCAGATTCGACATTCACCAGTCAACTCTACCTGTTCGAAGCCGTGGGTTGCATTTGTGGCTCGACTTCCGTCCCTGTGGTGAAACAGGTTCAGTATGTACAGGCAATCATGCAACCTGTTTTCTCCGACATCGAGCGCAATCTTGAGGCTGCGAGGACAGGCAATGAACTTTCCAACCTCCAGGTCCACCATGACATTCTGGCCTTGGGCACTCTGGCTCGGGGCTTCTCTGAATTCACTCTTGGAAGTACTGCGCAAGGTGGCGGGACCGAACCGGCACCACAGGTTAAGCAGGCATTTGCACAGGTGGCTGAAGTCACGCTTGTTTCTCTGACTGCCCTCAAATCGTCGTTCCAGATCAGAACTGCCGCAAGATTTGCCTTTTCCCGGCTAATAGGAATGGTCGGCACTCAAATGATGCAGCAGCTACCTCAGTGGGTTGAGGGTCTCCTGACGGAGTCTTCTTCTAGGGACGAAATGGCTCTGTTTCTTAGACTCTTGGACCAGATCATCTTCGGCTTTAAGAACGATGTCTCCGACTTCCTGGACCAACTGTTCTCCGGCCTACTACAACGCGTCTTTGCTGGTATAGCGGCCGCAACATCCGGTACCGACGACGAAATCGAACTGGCCGAATTGAAACGAGAGTATGTCAACTTCTTGCTGGTCATACTTGGAAATGATCTCGGCGGTGTCCTGGTCAGCGCCACCAATCAGCCGATCTTTGAATCTGTGATTAATTCAGTTGAGCATCTCGCGAGAGATGTGGAAGACTTCCCCACGGCAAAGATGGCGTTCATTCTCCTCTCCAAAATGTGCACCGTCTGGGGTGGCCCTGACGTGGTATCTGCGACCGGTCAGGCCAGCGGCGACGCACGAGCACCGCAGCCAGCTCTTCCCGGCTTCGATCAATTCATGATTACGCGGTTTTCACCTTTGTGTTGGGCACTGCCGACGAACCCTTCTTTCAATAGCAAAGATGCACAAGCGCGGCAAGCCCTTGCAGAGGCGGCAGGGCTGCAAAAGACCATCTACAGCAAGACGGGCCAACAATACTTGACCTGGTTGCAGGAAAAAGAGTTGAGGACGATGGGCATGAATGACGCTCTGATCAACGAATATTTGCAAAAATTGGCCACGTTGGAGCCGAAGGCCTTTAAGACGTTCTTCCCAAAGTTCATCGCTCAGGGCGGTCAGATTTGAAGGGCTAGAAGCGAAAAGCGAAAGCATCAGAACTGGAGTGACATGGCATGGATGATTTGCATATGATACCAAGGACTTGCTGGAATATGTGATCTACAAGAGCCTCGCGATAATGAGGTGCTTTCTTTTTTCAGAACGAGACAAAAAGACATATTGACTGAATATGACTTGCAGACTAGATGTAACACAGTAGATGCGTTCGTCTTGCCGAGTCTGCATATGGAGTTGGGTTCGATAAAGGCGTGACGGTCTCTGAGTCTCATCTCTATGAATGCCAAGCCATGCGTATCAGATGCCAAGCCTCGGCCGACCTGCCCAACCAAGCAACCCACATTCGGAGACCGGGCACCGCACCCCAAATTCGAGAACTTCTGACAACGACTACCACCGCCAAATACCGTCCGACATTGATCAGCTGCGCGTTCCGTAGGTCACCAGAATCCGTCAAGATGGCCAGTGAGTATCAGATGTATCGAAACAGAGAAGGAGCAATCTGACGGTGGACAGAATCCAAGAACTCGTCTCAGCACAACCAAGCCAAGAAGGCTCACAAGAACGGGTACGATCTTTTCTCATCAATCATGCGCATTACTGCCGGTTTGCGGTCGAGTTGGGAGACGATGGAAACTAACGTAGTCTACGCATCACAGCATCAAGAAGCCCAAGACCCACAGATATCCCTCGCTGAAGGGCACGGATCCTAAGTTCCGAAGAAACCACAGACACGCGCTGCACGGAACGATGAAGGCACTGAAGGAGGTCAAGGAGGGAAAGCGAGATGCCGCATAGATTTGAAAAGATGAAGAATGAATCCAAGTCTGGTGGTGGAAGGGCAGGCGGAGGCGGTTCACCCGCACGATAACCCTGGACTCAGTGGTCGGACGACGAATACCCAGACCGACCAGAAGACAGATTGATCGCGACGGATAGAGATTTCAACGCTCGGCTAACCATACGCCTGAGCGCGGTCTTCGTTGACACATGACGATGAAGTTCCCTTAGGACGGGTCTATCCGAAAGAAACAGATGAAGAGTTCAATGCCGCCCCTCTCCTTTGCGCTTGCGCTCTCGCTCTCACCTGCCGTACCGGTCTCCCTCCGAAGCGATCGTTTTCTTACTGGACATTGTCCTCCTTTCTTTTTCCCCCATCCGATGGCATTTGTGTGTACAGCGTCGCGTTCTCATGCCTCAATGCGCGACGTCTGAAGGAATATTTCTATCGTGCCTATATCAACATCTGAACCTTCCAATTACCAAACACTTCCCTTCTCACTTGTGGAGGATGGTGCATGGACGGAAGGTGACAATTCTCTTGCCCTTTTAAACATGCCTGATTGTTGACTCCAGCTGTGGCTGAGCTCATGATACTACAAGTCTCGAAAAAGAGCGTATAGCACACTTGGCGTGCTCGAGTCTTACGCATCTGCCTGGGATCTTGCTTTGGCTGTCGAGCACCGCAGCCCAGTCCGGCAAGCGAAGATTGCTTCGTCTGGCGAATGTGATCATTTTCGCGTGTCTTTTCTCGTCAACCAGAATCCCTGCAAGTATAGCTTGGACGCTGTTACACCTTTCGCTCGGTCCCCCATATCAGCAGCCACTGGGGTTTGCATCAGCAAGCAAGCGGTCTTGAAGAGGTGCCCTTCTCGCGACATTGGGAATACCCTTGGAAGCCATGCTATGCTGTTGCTCGTCTTGCCGTGCTAGTTCCATCACATTTTTGTGGTGACTCTGTCAGCCGTGACAATCTTTGTCATCTCGCTATCCCTGGCCCTTTCTGATATATCTAGCTTCGGAAAGCGAGAAAGTACGTAATATGCCCATGGCCCTGGCAGCCGCTTACCATAAGATGGCGACCACAACACAGTCTGAAGAGCTGATGTAAACATTCAACCCCATCCCGTCCATCCTTGTCAAGAACCTACGTGTACTTATTACAGAGCATCAATAGCATCAACGTCCAGTCAGACCGCGGCATTCTTCAGGCATTTATTGCTTTGAGGGAAGCCTCTCATCAGACCGATTGACACAAAAATGCCCCTCCAGTTTGCAAAGGTACGTCGGGCCGACAAGTACTACTACTACGTACCTACGACGGTCGAAGTAGGCTTGCGGCTTCATGGTACAGGTGACTTTAGCGAAAAGAGATGGAAATGTGGTACAGTTGCATATTCTGAAACTCACCAAAAGACCCGACGATCCACCGTCAGAATCCTTCTCGAAAAGCCACCGAGGCACTTGTCCGAACCATGAACAAAGGCTACCTGACGCCCTGGTGTATTAAGGAAGGTAGGAAGCCTCTAAGCCCCATATCAATACCTCTCTGCCTTTTAATCAAGCACCACGCAGTGCAGCGCTAGGAGATCCTTCCTCATCCAGCTAGATCGAGGGCTTGCCACGTTTCTTGGACCTCCCCCTTCCCCTTCTTCCCCTGGTGGACTTGACAACGAATCTCGGGGCTTCGATCGCCTTGGGTAAGAACAGACGAGCCGAGGCGAAGCGAGTCGACACACGCAAGGTCTGCCGCTCCTTTCCCGTACGTTCTACGTTCTCCGTGGGTTCTTCTTCGACAGTGCTATCTGTCCAGGGGTTGAATCAGGACCAGAGTTCGTTCCTAAGGATGTGATGTGATGCCAGGCATATTCGGCAGGCCATGGATCCAAGACCAAACCCGTTTCGGGATACTCCGGTCAGTCACCATCGAGTTGAAATGTCCACGAGGCTGCGCAGTATTCCCAGTGAATAGGTAGCTCGGATACCAGCCCGCGTTCTCCCAATCCACCAATGCAACACGCAAGTCCGCTGCCTGGAGACGATCGAAGTCGCCATTGACGGTCAACGAAACCTCAGAGAACAACTATTGTTCCATCGTGATATCACTCACAACCTAACAAATAGGGCAACCGAAATCGGTACTACTATGGCTACTGTATATATTGGACTATAGGGTATCTATCCATCCATATACAGTGTCATAGATACCTGCCCTCTTTGGAGCTCTGACAACGGTGTTCAGCACGCACTACACCACTCCAGTACACTACTGTGTAGTATGTACCCGGCATTATCTACACCCGCTCCAGCCCCCACAGCCTCGCGGACGACAGAAACATACAGAATATATTGGGAGGTCCCGATGTCCCATATCTGTCTGGGTCCTGTGGCGGTAGACTGTGTACTAGGTAGGTACCCAAGGTACGTACCGAGCGGCACACTACGGGACGTACCTACCTATGTACGGAAGACACCACCGGACATTCCAATCCCCACCGACTTGCAGAATCTCAAACTCGGATGTTCGTTCACCCCCGTCTTACTGCCCTCACCTTCTCAAGCCAGCTGGCCGGCCACATGTCCGATACAGTAGGAGAGACGTGACTGCGAAAGGTATGATCCGAGTGCGTACCATCGACGACAAAATCGATGACTTGGGAGGCTAAAGCCTGGCCTCGACTATCTCTATCCCTAGCTTTGTTCAACTGACCAGTGGGTTGATTTTGGGTTCAAGTTCAACCATCGCCTGATGTCCGCTACAGCAGTGTTTCTTGTCATCTACCCCGTAGAGTATACAGTCAACATGTCCACACGATCATATTCACACCCCCGGTCTCAAATTGAGCAAACAATATCGGTGGCTTCCCTGAGATCAACCTTCTCATACACAACCGACAAATTGTCGTTCTTGGGAATTCATCTAGCTTCGCTTCTTCAGATTTCTGCTCCAACCCCCCATCCCTGGCAGCAAAGAGATCGAATGTCATACAGGAGCCATACCCTGCGAGCCATAACGACAAGGACATATTTTCTCGGTACCCATTTCTTTTGTACAGCAACTGGCACAGTAGCCTGTAGAACGCGTTCTGTGGCTTTGCTTGCCTTGTCCGCTGTGAGGCGGTGCTCCTTCTGTGTGGCACATGTCTGACGCTATGAACCTGACGGAGGAACCTGACTCCATTTGCTGCGTCTTAACTTTCCCGCCGGAGACTCTTTCAGCCACGCATTGCGTCGGCCATATTGTACATGTATGCCATGCGTATAACACAACGAGTCCCCTTCTTTTGCTGTCCTATCCAACCAAGTTTCGATGCAGAAAGCAGGAAGAAGAATGTAGAAAGAACGCTACCTTGATCCTGTCCAGCTCGTCATAGGCTCCTGCGAGCCTGCGTACCATCAATCCGAAAGGTGACAATGTCCAGCCAGAATATACAGGGCTCAAATCAATCCTTGGCGCCGTATGCTCAAACGTGCAGGACGTGACCATAACAAACAAGACGCGAAAAGAAGTGTTGGTACTCTCCAGCAAACATCGTCTTCATCCTGGGTATATTTTCGTGTCGAATCCTTTCCCAATCTCCCCTGGCCTCGCATGTGTTGATCTTGGATCCCACTCCTTGAGTTGACTGGGTGGCCTCGGGTAGGAATAGCTCGTTTGCGGATTGACATAGGCACGAGCGGGACTGAAGCGATCTTGTTTCGAATCCGGCTCCGGTGAGAAGATCGATTGTGATTGCGGACTCGTCAGAACACGATCTGGGGTTTGAATGTTCAGTTGTGGCCCCGTTCCGCTCAGCATTTCGTACGTACGAGGGTCGATCGATAAACGCCTAGCATCAGCCGAGACGAATTCGTTTTGTCGCCGGACCTTTGTTCGGAAAAATTCCATCCAGCCATGGGCCATGGCCCATCGGCCTAAGAACATCAGGCACCAAAAGCCGCTGAGCTAAAATGTTTGTTAGAACTGGCCAGGTGGTCACGACAGTGAAGAGAGGCTTACCCCAAGGACAATAAGCACCGCCAGCACCACACCCTCTGACTTGACCAATCCTCTTGTGTATGGCATGCATTGTTCCTTATCTCCTTGAGCGAGGACCAAACACGTAAGCCAGGGAGTGGCCTTGTGCAGGAGCTGCTCGTTGATTTGCGTGCTGTTATCCATCGACACAAACACCACAGCAAAGAAAACGACTTCCGCAATCATGACCAGTACGATGCTCGCGCCCCGCCACTGTAGCTGCACAAGCTTCTTCACCCTGCGGTAAGTCTGCCTTGCTGTCATCGACTTCACGCTAGTCGAGTATGTCGGAGCCTGAGAGCTGGAGTTGGTAGTGGGTTTGTCGTCAAGAATACTTTTCATGTAGACATGAACACAATACCCGATCGTGATGAACTGGAGCACCAAACCCATCGCGGCAAAGGCTAGCAGAGGGCCCCAAAAGTCCTGCAATGCATCCCTATGGTTGATGTGGCAGACATTTCCGAACCGAAAGGAGACACCAGTCAGGCTCAATGTCAGGGCCAGTCCGATGATGGGGATGAGCCACCCAAAAGCCAACGAAGCATAAAAGAATTTGTCACCTGGCACCACTTCCCAGCAAATCTGCAAATGAAGGGCGAGTGCCCGGCAGAATACCCAGATGACGATTGCCCATCCTCCGAACAACAGGAAAGCACCACTGATTGCGCAGACACCGCTAGTCTGCATGTCATTTGGAGTGATTTCGTTCAAACATTGCTCGGGCTTCGCGGCCAGCGGAATGATGAAGGCGAGCTAAATGACCAAAAATTAGTACTGTGTTCGCCGCACGACCACAAAAGTCGACAAACCTCAACGAAGACCACACCCAGAGTGAGGCAGACACTCAAGTAGTGTCTATGGGTGTATTTGACGGGAAGCACAACGAATGACAGGATGAGGTAGACTGAAAGGATGAACGCTGCCACATTGACCCAGTTGGCGATCTCGGTCCGGCTTTCAAATCCTGAAGGATGGTCAGCTCGTGCGTTCAGGACTCGTCCTTGTTGAAACGTCATACCATCAGGGTATGTCCAGTCAGTTGACGGGCAGGGCAAACAGCAGGTCAAGTTCTGCAGTTCGGGTAGGGGCATACAAAAGCGACCCGGTATGACTGGAGACGGTTAGAAGTGGACTTTGCGAAGACATGTCCTGGCACCCGGGTACGTACATCCGCCGGTATCTGGAAATGCGCTTTCTTGCAAGAAGGGAGATGGGCACAAGCCCTTCAGCGCCGAAGAAGGGGAAGACATTCTCGAGTACTTCACAAGCCAAAGACCCAGATCGTGTTGATCTATAGTCTCATGACCGCGGTCCGCGTCGCTGGGGCCGTATTGTGGTCTTGGGGTCGATTGTCCCAGTAAATTGGCAAGACAATGGTCAAGACGGGGCGAGATAGAGGACGGTGTAGAAGAGTGTCGTAAGAGAGGGTGGATGGCACGGGAAGCAATATCAAGAGGCCGGGCACTCGAGGATCATGACCGCAATCTCAGGAGGGGTTGAAAACGAGGTTCTCAATCGTGTTTTCAGACGCGCAAAAAGGGCAAAGGCTTTTTGAGGATCGAGCAGAAATGGGTGTCAGGGTACACCCATGTCAGCGGCATCAACACTGAAGATTCGGTGGGGTTGAGGAAGACTTGATAGACCACGAAGAATAACCTGGCCTGTCGAAACGGCGGCATGGATTCCTGGAAGTCTAGGACCTGCAGCTGGCTGCACCATCTCTCTAGCGGTGTCGTGGGTAGAAGCCAGCGAGCCAGGTACCTTCGTGCAACGCCCCAGGAGGTCAAGCCGACTTTCTCGTCGCTGCAGTCGGTGGGGAGTGGATTCGATATGCGGCGCTGCGGTGGAGATGAATGTCATGCACACCACGAGCCCACCTTGTATGACTGGAACGGTTAAACCTCATCATTGCCCAGTTGCCGGCCTAAGCCCCAACATCGAGAAAGGCAGAAGCTAGAGTGAAAAGGAGAAAAGACTGAATGCGAGGTCCAACTGGCCAAGTCATTCGTGGGGCTGTTAACTTCTCATCGCATCCTTCTCGCCATGCTCTTTCGCCAATCACTGGCGTGGATTTAGTTGTCCCAGGTGATCATCAGTCGGAACAACGCGTCCATGCCGGAGCTGAAAAGATCGTGGCTGTACTAGAGTAAATGTGAAGAGTGGGAGCAAATTGAACGCGACAAGTATGAGACTCTGCGTAGGATTGGATGGGGAATGCGTCGTCTCGTCCACCGTGTTTTTGGTCCCAGGGAGCTCGACCGGGGTCGGAGACAGGGGCTAAGGAGGCGACGCAGGAACGAACAGGGGTCTCACTCAGGCCGTCCGGGGTGCCACCGGGCAATTTGCTCTGTATAGTGTGCGCAAACTGAGCAAAATCGAGATCCAAGAGGCTAACGAGGCCAGGGGTACAACGACCGTCGAGAGTGGGATTCGATTTGTCTGACTGTGCTAATTTTCTTCCAGGGAAGACGGAGAACGCTGAGGGGAGGACAGAGAGGTCTAGCCGGACCGAACTACAGAGAGTAGTAGGAACTCGCCTGGGTGGGTTCGTTTCTGCTTGGGTTCTGACCAAGGGGAAGCGGAGTGATAAAGGGTACGACGAAGACCAAGGAAGAAGGCGCCTGACTTCAATGGGAGAACTGGTGAGATGTAATGTTATGGTCCAGGAAGAGAGCAGGTCAGGATCCAAGCCATCTCAGAAGATGCATCCCATACCTGTACTGATGAAGGAACTGCTCGTGCTGCTCTGAAAATCATACCTGACATACTACTAGTACTGACTGTAGTACCTTCCAGTAGTACTAGCACCTTACCTAGAGTTTCGGTGCCTGCGCCCAAGCCGAACTGCCCGCGCTCACCAGAAACAGTCAAGATCATCAATTGCCCCTCGCCTGGGCAAGTTGGGCCTAGCTCAAGACCTGAACCTCTCCCAATGTGCAAAAGAAGACATCCTGCTCATAAAGGTACTTATTAGGTTAGTATAGGTAGAGTATAGGTACTCACCGTGAGGCTTCTTTGAATGCAGGTTCCTTTTCTGCTCCCCTCTATACTCATACTCAGACCTCCTCCCGCTCGCTCTTCCTAAGCATATCGAGTTCTCAATCTGCCCCGGCCAGCTGTCTCCTGTCATGTCAAACCACAACTTCCGTCCGATCGCATGCCCCGGAAGTCCCTGCCATCTGTCAGGTGTCGATCCTACAGGAAAAGACTACATACCCTTGCTACCTATACCAGTACTACCACGCAAAGGACCTATCCTACACTGAGCGTGCCAATTCGTCCTTCACTCAGGTGTCCTCTTACATCGCCTTGACCAATGTTCCGTCGACTCCTTGACTTCTCGACGTTGCAGTACCTCAAGCCTGTGTGCCTTCCAGTTCTGTGACATCATGAACCCATGCTCTCGAACCTGTCGTGTCTCCGTGTCCTCCAAAAGACCTGCATGCCAGCCAGTACGTACACACCCAGAGCCAGCCAAAGAGCGAGCTGTTGGAAGCAGAAGAGCACAAACCGAGCCGCGCAGTGCCACCGACCACTAGTATCTCATCACATAGACTGCTGCCGAAGGCGCGCAAGGTTTCACCTGTGTGTCGCGTCCAATATGCACGCACACTGGGCTCAGCTCGTTCCTTCGCCAATACTGACCTTACCATGACACTCCTCACGTTGGTTGTGGATTGATCTTAGTATTGACGGATAACGCTCTTCTGGCTGCTGGGGGTCGACTCTCCCTGCATGCACGATCCGCCAAATGTAGAGTGCCCGACCTCCCCTCCTGCACCGTCAGCCGGGCTGCCGGGCTGCCGCAATACACAGCAGATACCCTCGAAGGCAGTCTACAAATCCATGTCTGATAACAGCATAGTCAATTTAGAATCTTACGTGCCGTGCTCACCGCCGCAATCATCAATATCTGAACTCTTCGAAACGTCGACCGTGGCACGTGGCCGTAGGGATAAAATATTGTTGAGTTAAAACAGTCACACACCCTCTGCGCCGGAAAGTAGTGATGCTTTTCGGATCAAGCTGCCCCTGAACAAATATCCCAGAAGCCGACACAGGGGTTTTCAATCCACGGGCGACAATTTTCAATTCTTTTTGCCATTTCCCATGTTTGGATTTTATGATTCGTTCAAACCACAGTACCGTCACTCTAGCCGCATGCTGACTGTTATGTCCATCGGCCCAATCAGTGACCAGATACGAGCCTTTGCATTCAGATTGGTTCTTCGCGGCACAGCGGTCAATTTCACCTTCGTGCCGACTTATAGTTGCGGGCTCTGTCGCCTCTCCAAAGGTCAAAACCGCGCCGGGGAAGTACTTCGAGGTTTTCCAATAATATGCTGTATCACAGGGACTGTTTTGTCAGTCCTAGTGTCAACCAGAGCCGTTGTTTGCATCCTGGAGAGGAATGCGTTCAGGGTGGCCAACAGGACAGGCCTGACATTAGGTAGGCCAAATTCTGACATCAGTCCTCATCAGCATGACCGCTCTCCCGGTGCAGCAGTTAAACATCTTCCACTGCCATGGAACAAGTGGTGTGATCTTGTCATGCAAGCCCGTCAAGCTCGAATCTGAACACAAATGAGATTGAGCAAACTGTCTTGGACAGCACCAGGGTGCACGCATTTTCGGGAAGGCGGCGTTGATACCACAGTGCCGGCTTGGGCTAAAGGAATTTCGAGGGATATCGGCATGACCTCTGCTTAAGAGGTCGTTGATCAGTTTTGCGGGCTTGAGCTGCTGCTCATGCTGCATTCAGGACACGATCCTGGGCCATTTGTGAGTTGGGATCCTGGGACGATCTCCGACTCTAGAATCAGGACATACCACGAATTGTTCTAAGCTTGCTTCGAAGAGCTCATTGTTGACGCCCAAACCACCAGGATGTTCAACCGGCGACAGTGGGTTCTTAACCACAAACTCCACGTAGCAATTGACGTAGATTTGTTGTAGTGCTATTCGCATGGAACCGGACTTTGTGTCTGTGAGCATAACGAACTTGATATTGGTCGGAGTCTCGTAGTAGTGGAGCTTGTATTGCGACGTTCGGTAGGAAAGGAAACTTCGGCCTTGTGTCAACGCAGCATTGGATCTTAGGTCTTAAGAGGACCGACCTGTCATCTTCTCCCCCTAACTTCCGCACTATATTTCGCAGTGAAAAAACCGTCCCGAAAACGAGCTTGGCATCATTATCAGCGCTCAAGGCAGAGCGTGCTTGAAGGCCACCGTTGCTGTTGGTGTAGGGCTGCGAAGACGGTCGTGGTGGGTTGACAGAGGCTGAAAGAGAAGGTGGAAGCCACTTTTTCTTGTAGATACAAGCAGCTATGGCATATCAGTGCCCGCAATGTAAATGTGAGGAGGAATAACTGCTCACCATGTCGATCAAAAATATAGAACGAGTATACCACCATGGCGGAAGAAATGACTCCGTCTGGCCAAAGCAGGCTCAGGACCCTCACATGGGGAGTATCACGTACCCGCCGTTCACTCACGTACTATCGAATCGTCCTGGCGAGAATGTTGTGCATCCACAACAGTAGGATGCCAAACAGTTTGATGATGAACAATTCTAGTATTGCAGGTCAACTCGCGTCGCGAGTTGGAGAGAACGCAATCATCAATCGTGTGTCCAATGCGGCAGGTGCCGCGGAGACCTTATCCACGTCTCGCGGAGATCCTCCACCTCCGCCGTCACTGCGGAAGCATTTCTGCGCTTATGGGCGCACCATTAGATGGGTCATCGGTCATCGCTAAGACAATTGTCTGTAATGTCGGATGCCTCATGGACTTGGTTACATCCCCTACGTCCACGTCGGCGGAGGAAGCTGTGCGCATTCCTACCGCCGTGAAGAAGTCAGGTCATTCCCGCGGACTCTCAGACTCACATGGGATGCCCCTCGATCCGGACGCAGACAACCCCTCCACCAAAATCCAGAAGCCGCCAATGACAAAACATCTGTGAGACTGGCCTCAGCGAAGGTAGATGGCGCCCGCTAACCATGCTCCAGGTCCAGCCCCGAATACCACAGCCCTTCTCGCCATCATCGTCGCAACCCGTCAGCCCCCAAGCACGTCAAGGTATACCACCTGACTGACAATACATGGAACTCGTTGACCTAGCCTGGTCCAGGAATCGTTGAACGCTCGATCCGAGTACGTCACAAGTCAGGATGATGGCGGTGCCGAACATCGCATCAATCAGTACATTATCAAACAAGAGATTGGACGTGGCTCGTTCGGCGCTGTCCATCTCGCAGTCGACCAATATGGCACGGAATACGTAGGTTGTTCTCGGCCACCTTCTAAACGTTCGCTGATCATCCACAGGCGATCAAGGAGTTTTCCAAAGCCCGGTTGCGGAAGCGCGCCCAATCCAGCGTTCTTCGGAAGCCCTTTCAAGAGCGACGTCGCGGTGCTCTACAAGGCTTCAATTCTCCTTTGCACAGAAATGTCGGCAATGAAGGGGAGGCGCCACCCAACTCCATAGACCTCATCAAGGAAGAGATTGCCATTATGAAAAAACTCAACCATCCGAATTTGGTTGCTCTGATCGAGGTGTTGGATGACCCTACCGAAGACTCACTCTACATGGTAATGGAAATGTGCAAGAAAGGAGTCGTGATGAAGGTCGGGCTTGGGGAGCGAGCGGATCCGTACCCAGATCATGTCTGTCGGTGCTGGTTCCGTGATTTGATTCTGGGGATTGAGTACCTGCATGCTCAAGGAGTGGTACATCGTGACATCAAGCCAGACAATTGTCTGATCACCGAAGAGGATGTACTCAAGGTGGTGGATTTTGGCGTATCGGAAATGTTCGCTAAGGACTCAGAGATGCTGACGGCCAAGTCGGCCGGCAGTCCTGCGTTTCTACCTCCAGAATTGTGTGTGGCGCGACATGGCGACGTATCTGGCCGGGCAGCTGATATTTGGTCCATGGGGGTGACGTTGTACTGTTTGAAGTACGGCCGGATCCCCTTCGAACGATCGGGCATTTTCGAACTCTATGAAGCAATCAAGACGGAAGAGCCTGATCTGAGTGAGGAGCAAGACGAAGATTTTGTGGATCTGATGCTGAAGATCTTGGAGAAAGATCCCCAAAAACGGATCAAGATGAAGGAGTTGAGGGTAACACCGAAGATCTGTCTTCGTGGTTCTCGCTGACAAATGTGCAGGACCACCCTTGGGTGACCAGGCGCGGCACCGACAAACTCCTCTCCGAGGAAGAGAATACAGCTGACCTTATCGAACCACCGACAGAGGCGGAGATGAACGAAGCCATAACGTCCAACATGACGAATATCCTGACAGTTGTGAGTGTTTTGTTCCCTGCGCCTGGCGGACCGGGCAATGGTTGACTTGCTATCAGATGAAAGCGGTTAGGAAATTCAAAGCCTTGTTAGAGAAGAATAGGCCTCCTGCAATGAAATCAATCCTCGGAGACCAGGACGATGCCCATTTCTCGCAGCCTCCAGCTATGATGTCTACGGAGGAAGCCACGTCTCTTCCCCCTAAAGCGCACAGTTTCCATGCGCTTGATGGAGCTCATGATGCCGAATTTGAAGAGCGCGAAAAGCTTCGGCATGATATAAGCCGATTGAATATCAAACTCGTGCCTACCCTGAGCGTCGACGATGCCACCATTACAGAGGAGGCGCGAACGCTGAGAGCCGACGAACACCCTTCTGCGTTAGCGAGCGATACCAGCACCGATACAGAAAGTCCGCTCTCCAATATCTCGTCTTCAGGAGACATGGAGCGTCTGGACCCCACGAAACTACCGCCTTTCCGGACCCTGAGGCTGCACGCGAACACCACGGACGAAATAGGGCATCGCGGACAGGCACACAATCCTCTGGAAGACCACTTATACCTCCATATCGGACCGTCGACCTATGCCGGGGTCAGTTCTCAAACGGAGGACGGAGGCGGTTTCCTACCGGAGGATGACGCATATATTGTCAGCGAGAGTCCTGGTGCGGCAGACGTAGATATATACGAAACGGCATACCGGGATGAGATTGAGCGAATCATGGCCAAAGCCAAAGAGCAGAACAAAGAGCCACACGTCTACACAACACGGCGAGTGGACGAGAAGCTAATGGCGATTAGTGGACTTGCAGGCAAATGGGCAGCCATGGGCGAGGAAGCGAAGAATCAAATCAAAGACTATACGCAGTTTTCCACGAGGAAAGCACGGGTGACCGAGGTCAGTCGTGCACTTCGGCATGCGGCGCGAGAAGAGTACGAACGGCGCAAACTGGAACGGCGAAGACAGATCGCGGCAGAGAAAGCAGAACGAACGACACACAGGACAGAACAACCCGAAACCGCACCCAAATTGACCGCTCCTACTGGCAAAGAAGTAGAAGAGGCACTGACCAGCAGCCCCGAATCAGGAAGCAGGCAATCGTACCTTTGGAAAGGTAAGGCTGTAGACAAAGGTCGGCAGGCCCGAACATCTATGAGAGGTCTAATGGACATGGTTAAGAACAAGAGTCGCACCAGACCCAAAGAAGAAGATGTCTGAACGACGCGCGCAGATCCTGGACACGGAACTTGCCAGGCTCTTGCGGTTACAAGGTGAACGAAAAACGAGCAACAGTTGAGGTTTTAAACCCTGCATTGCTGAATTGTCGCTCTCTTTCGACACCTCGGATGTCACAGACAGACGGACAAAGATACCACGGTCAATGCCAACATGCGCAGATAGGGCGGGTATGGATGCTGTCGGAGCCGGAAGTTCGGTTTAAATAGACATACGCATTATTGAAGCCCGACGAGATAACAAGATATCTCAAGACAGCAGCGCAGGCGGTACGGGAGACAAAGACGGATTGAATGTCAGGTAAAAGCAGAGGATGGCCCGAGAGCCGCCAGTGCTGGCCCCGTGGTGGTCGCTCCACGGAGGTGGAATGGTGGAATGGGAGGCCCGATGTGGGAGGATGAGAGGATGAGGATAAGGATAGGGACATTGCCACCAGGATGGGAATGTCAGTTGCCGGCGCCGGTGCCAGTGCCAGTGGCCATTGATGAGGATGGTTCTTTGTCGCAGCCGCAGCCGTTGGTGTTGGTGGTGATGGTGATGGTGACTGTCACAGTGTCGACGGTCAAGTTGCCGGCAGCCAGGAGTCTGGAGTCTTGGCACCTTTGAAGCTTTTGAACCTTCAACTTGGACTGAAGTTCATCAACATCCGCATCTACATCTTGCCCCTAGACAAGCGGCAATCAAGGGAACCTTCTCTCTCCCTGCCTCGCTCCCTCTCCCACTCTCTTTCCACTTGACCTTCCCTACCTTGGATTTCGCTTGGGTCCTCAGCTGCAGTGCTTGAGTGATAATTATCTGGAGGAAATCAGGCAGAAAAAGGTTCCCGTCCACTCTGCATCTCGGTGTTTTCTGCGTGGCGGAGATGAAGGCACGCAGTCAACATTCTGCTATCTTCTTCATTTAAGCCCTTCTAATTCAGCCTTCACCGCTGCTTCATCGCACTTGCTCCGTCAGACTTGTTACAGTCACTGCTAGACAGTTGGCTATCATTCCGTCGGTCATCTTCGAATTCTACCTGGCCGCCTTCACAGCGTGGTTGAAACCCGACGTTGCCCCTCGTTCGTTGATTTGACCACCGACCTTCGCGACCCTGTTGTCTCATCCAACGTCGGGCCCATCCCACACCACTCCATCGCGAAGCACTGTCAGTGAATTGACAGACTTCAGCTTTGAGGTACCGAGTGCAGCCGGTGCCTCAATTAGGGTTATTATAGCTTGATGGTGGCCGGCCTCGTCTCTTCCAGATGTACGGCGGCCCCGTGAAATTTTTCACCACCTCACCTACGTGCTCACCCTAGAGCCCAAACCGCAGCAGGATTACTCGCGAGATGGGTGGTCTCAGCAGAACCCCTTCCCGGCAAGAGTCCGTAAAGGAGGAGGCTGTGGTTGAGGTCAAACGCGAGGAGTCAGTGAATGGTGAGCCAACTGAGGAGCCGCGCAACGCCCGCGTAGCCGCCATCAAGCATGAAGACTCTGCCAGTCCTTCAGACTCGCCATTTTCCGAAGATTTCCCACGCAAAACATCCCGCTCCTCGTCCACCTCGACTGCGGCCGGCGACCGGGACAATATGAACGGTCGCGTCAGTGCCAAGAAGAAGCCTGAGGAGGTAGATGCGAATGGCCACACTTCACCCTCCACCTCACCTGTCAAGCCTGAACCAAAAGCATCCTCGAAGCCCGCCAAAGCCGCCCGAGGAGCCGCCTCCAAACTCCCTCCCCGTATCGCTCCTTTACTCAATGACCTTCCTGACGCCACGGAAGAAGCGACCTCTACCTTCACCGTCATCGATAGCTGCACCTACCAAAATAAATACCTGGGTTTCAGTGAACATGCGCTGGACTGTGACTGCTCGGAAGAATGGGGTGAGTTTCACCATTGCCGCACCACTTTGCCCTTCCAGACCTGACTTATATGACCAGATCCCACGACCAAGCAGAATCTCGCATGTGGCGATGATTCCGATTGCATCAACCGTGCCTGCAAGATGGAATGTGCCGACGATTGTAGCTGTGGTCCTTCGTGCCAGAATCAGCGGTTTCTCCGTCGCCTCTACGCCGATGTGTCGGTCGTCAAGACGGAGAAAAAAGGTTATGGTCTTCGTACTAATGTCGATCTTCGGCCGCACGATTTCATTTTCGAGTACATTGGCGAGACTATCCCCGAGGCTACTTTCCGCAAACGCATGATCCAATACGACGAGGAAGGCATCAAACATTTCTATTTCATGTCCTTGAGTAAGGGTGAGTTCATCGATGCTACCAAGAGGGGCAACCTTGGCCGGTTCTGCAACCACTCTTGCAATCCTAATTGCTACGTTGACAAATGGGTTGTGGGCGAGAAGCTTCGGATGGGCATTTTTGCCGAACGTTACATCAAGGCTGGTGAAGAACTTGTCTTCAACTATAATGTCGACCGTTATGGTGCCAACCCACAGCCTTGTTATTGCGGCGAAGCCAACTGTACAGGATTTATTGGCGGCAAGACTCAAACGGAGCGAGCCACCAAGCTCTCTGCTGCCACCATCGAAGCTCTTGGTATCGAGGATGGTGATTCTTGGGATACCATGGTGGCCAGACGTCCTCGCAAAAAGAAGGCCACGGAAGATGATGAAGAATACGTTGACAGCCTCGAAGCCAAGTCGCTGGACGCCGATGGTGTTACCAAAGTCATGGCCGCGCTCATGCAATGCAAGGAGAAATGGATCGCCGTCAAGCTCCTGCAGCGAATACAACGTTGTGTTGATGACCAGGCATGGCACCGGGTGGTGAGATTCCACGGATACCAAATATTAAATTCGCAGCTTGCCGCCTGGAGGGACGACGAAAACATTGTCTTGCAAATCTTGGATATACTGGATCAGCTACCTAGGCTCACCAGGAACAAGATTGTCGATGCGAAAATAGAACAGACGTTGCAGCCATTGACAACACATCCCGATGAGAGAGTCGCAAAGCGTGCGTCAGCGTTGCTCGATGCTTGGTCAAAGCTCGAGTTGGCTTACCGAATACCTCGGAAGAAGAGGGAAAACACCTCAGCTCCCCTTAAAACAGAACCTACTCCCTTTGAAAGACGAGAATCAGCCCAGGAACGCAAACGATCCAGGTCTCGCTCACGCTCTCCCTCCCGAACTCCGCCCCGGGGTCCATCGAATGCGCCTTCTGGCCCCAAGTCGTCACAACGACCTGCCAAATTCCTCGGCCGCGGACCCCCATCGTTCAGCCGAAATCCACCACCTCTGCCCCGTGGCTGGTTTGCAGCTCAGGACAAAGGGAGAACATACTATTATTCGGCTAATGGGCAAACAACCTGGTCGAGACCGACCAAGCCAGCCGACGAGCCGCCTCCACCACCGAAACAGCCATCCGAACAGGATGTTCTCAAGAGTATCATCGACAACATCGTCACCTCTCGTGGCAAGGACACCAAGACATCCACTCCCGACACTCCCGAGCCCACGAAGGTGAAGAAGGAGGAGAAATGGAAATCGTACGACGAAGAGAAGCAGAAAAAGCTGTATGAAAATACGGTAGGTACTCGTGCGTCTGTCTTTCTAGCACTCTTTCTAACGTTTGTGACCAGCTTTTCCCACACATCGCCCACGTAATGAACAAATACAAGCACAAGATTCCACGCGACGATCTCAAAAGATTTGCCAAAGAAGTTGCCAAAAAGCTGGTGGCTTCGGACTACAAAGCTGGCAGGGTGAAAAATCCCACGAAAATCGAGGAGCGGCAACAGAAAAAGGTCAAGGAATTCTGCAAGCAGTTCTTCGAAAAGGCCTACCAGAAGCACAAAAAGCACGAAATGGAAAAGGCGGCCAGAGGCAAAGGGAAGAAGGCATCTGCAAACAGCGAGGCTGTTGCGTCATCGACAGAGTCACCTCACGTTGAGGATGTATCTCCTGAGGACGAAGCCGAGGACGTCAAAATGTCGGAGGATGATGAAGATGTTGAGGAGACAACTGGCGCAGAAACTCCCATGGAGCCCAACGGCAGCGGATCACTGAAACGAAAGCGTCTGGACGGTGACGACCCGTCGCCTCTGGGAGACGAAGAGGAAGGCGAACCAACGGGCTCACCATTGAAGAGACTGAACCTTGACGTTGAGGTGCCACCTCCCCCGCCCCCTCCTCCTGCGCCACCGGTCGAAACACCACCGGGCAGTACACCGCGAGATGGTGAAGCGGAAGGAGAGGGAGAGGGAGACGTGGAGATGGAGACCGACATTTATTCGGACACCAATTTCAAGAGCCAGAGTATGGCGGATGTCCTTGCTCAAGCGCAGGAAGAAGACGAGGGTGATGGCCCAGGTGGAGGGGAAGGGGAAGGTGTAGGGGAAGGGGAAGGTGTAGGGGAAGGGGAAGGTGTAGGGGTAGGGGAAGCAAATCAGGCGACAAAGGTTGGAATTGGAGTTGACATGGAATTGGACAATCCTCTGGTCGACGGACAGGAGTCTGATGCCGTTTTGGCCAACGCAGACGCAAGCAGAGAGGGAGACCGGGACCGATGACGTGAATCCTTGTTTGTATTTGCAACCGGTCGAGCTGTTTGTTATACATAAAATATCGATTGACACTCGGAGAGGCCCTGGGATGATGGATAGTGGGTGAGACACATTTGGGCTGCCAGTGCACTGCTTGCTCTACAACAATCTAGGAAATAGTGACGAGGTAGCAAGTGTTACTACTATTACTATTGACTGCTATTCGGTGTGGTGCGGTGCTTGTACAAACAAGACAGCCAAAGAGGCCGGATGAGTTGTGCTTGCTACTAGGATAGGAATGTAAAGTAGGCAGACAGGTCGCTCCGGTGGTCGAAGGGCGAGGAATCGATATTACCTTCCGACCCACTACCTGTTGCTCTGGGTCTTGAGTCGAGTCTCCCGTCAGTATTCTATAGAGATTCGGGACTTTCAGAAGTTTTGGGTCTCCTGGTTCTTACACAAAGCACAGCAAGGATTAAGACATATGTCTCCGATTCAGAGATTGATTTAATGGGAAGAGCATGAAGAGGTTGGGACGTGAGCAATAATGGACGTTGACAGACGTTGAGTATTGTCTGTAGAGAATTAATTGCGATCCAGCCCACCCATCGCTCTGAATGGTCTGCCTGTTCGTGAAGTTCTCATTTCCTTTTCCGTTAAGAAGGGTCCAGAAGGGTCTTCTGACGGGTTCTTCCCCGCTCCCCAACATCCGTGACGGACAATGATATCAGTAACAAAGGTGCGCTCCTGAAAAGCCTTGCGCGCCGGTCGGCATAGCCGTAGTTTTATGTCCCGGCCAGGCCCAGGACCTCGATCGAGTTCCCCGACAGCACGCTTCGTGCTGGCCGGCGGAATATGACTGTAATTGGAAAGAATAGTTCCTTGCACTCTTGTTCCCTTTTTGTTCTTGCTCTATTCCTTCGGCAAACTGCTCGCTACGAGTCCGTCTCTTCATTCCCGCCACTGGGATGGTAACTTGACAAATCAGCAATCCGCCGTCGCGTCGGTGATATCGAAATCACAAGGCCCTGGCCTGAAACGCGGGGTTGCGAGAGGTGAGAGGAAGCTTAGCGGTGAGGTGTCGAGGTTCGGACAAAACGCTGTGGACCCGGTCATGGTCGAAGTGGAAATCGTCTGGGACGTGCTAAAAGCGGTTGACTCTGGCATTGTCTTCCAGGGGATGACTCAAGGAGAGACGAGCTGCCACGCTTGCCCACCCAGATGTCATCAACAGTCGTAAATGCGTCAGAACGATCGTAGCGGGCCGATCTAGTAGAAACTCTCGACGATGCTCTCCTTGTTGGCATTCATTCTGGCATCAAGACCGCCGGGACCACCTTCACCCAGCCTGAAGACACTTTCAATGACACTCAGCTCAGTGGCAGTGGTGTCCATACCGGTGACGGCGAGCCAGTCGTTGACGACCATGCCGGCGCCGACGACGGGACTTCCTCGGTTCACACTGCCCGCGACGAGCGGCACTTGCAGCAAGGAACTGAGTTCGTCTTGGTCCTGGATGCTGGTCTTGGGGTGGACGATCCCGCCCTGGTTCGACAGAGACATGTACGAGCCCGTCAGCACGTTGCCGGCAATGGTCTGTCGAAACACCTCCACACCCAAAGTATCTGCGATGATTTCTTCCGTCTCGCGCTCGATGTCTGGATGCACCAGCGCCACGTGGTCATTGGCGACAATGCAATTCCCCAGAGCGGATAATCTTTCCTCTATTCTTTGGATCTTCACCTCGTCCGGTAAACTATTTCGGAGATGCTGCAGTTCTTGGTCTGTCGTGGACGTGGGGACGAGGAGACCATTCTTGTTGCCGGTCGTCAGGCGACCCACGATGCGGGTGCCTGCGATAGTGCAGTGGACGATGGGAATGAGGTCGGCGAGCTCGGACTCGAAGATGGAATAGAAGTTCTCCGAGGCCCCGATGGCCACAAGACAGTAGCTGTTGGTCAGGTTGGCGAAGACGCCGACTTCGTTGGAGTTTTCGAACTGCGCTCGGACAGCCATGATTGGCGAATACCGTGAGGTTGATCGGTGGCTTTGTGGACTCTAGAAGAACGTTACGAGAGGCGGAAGAGGAAGAGGCGAGAGGTAGAAAAGTTGCCTGCGTTTGCAATGGCAGAGCGTCTGTGGAGGGCGGAGGGGTTGGTCGAGGGGCGGTGATGGCTGAGTCGTTGGTGAAATTGAGAGAGGAGGGAAGTATTCAGGTTGTGAAGGCGGCTGCTTTTTGTTTATGTATCCCTGGATACTATGAAGGGTCGTGTAGCCACTGGTTCTGACTATTCCAATTGCTGGGGTGTTGATCAAAGCGAAAAGGGCCAGACCTGAGAGATTGTGGTTGTAATTGATGGTGATGCTCGTTAGCGACAATTCGTCCGTCGCAATTTTTCTGCGTAGTCGGTCTGCAGCCAATCAGCGGCGTGGAATGTCTGACTCATCCGCCCGCACCAACTTTTTCCCATTTTCCAGTTTCCTGATCCGTCACTCATCCACCATCAATCATCTCAGCCTCGTCCGCCTTCACTATGACTCTTATTCTGCAGAAGCAGTGCCACTTGCTGCCATGGTGCCGCTGAGCGCCGAGTCTACTGCATTTCTTGCGTGAGGTCTCAAACAGACTATTTCGGGGCCAATGACGTTGTTGGTCCTGGCTTTCTGTCGAGGACATGTCTCTTTGTCACAGCAGGTCGTCCGAACAGAAATACAATCTCAATAGATTGAAGAGCTTCTTGCATGTTGAGCATACGCTCACCATTTACTACCGTGCATGATAAGATCGCAAGACAGGTTTGAGGAGATCATCAACAGCGTCTGCTAATCTCTAGCAAACCTAGAGCAGCCAGGGCTGGGTGACAACCAGATCAACTCGCCCTTCGTTGATATGGTTCTCCGTCGATATGGTCCTCACCAGATATGAAATCAGGCTTAGAGCCATCTAATGATTATTGGTGTTATGCTATCACTATCAACACGTTCAACTCTCCCGTCTACCAATGGACGGCATGAGACTATTCCAACATGTCTTGATACAAGCTGATACAAGGCTGGATCTCAGCGGTCCACCCCACTTACACTACTGATCTCGAACACCCTTCTCAATCAGAACACAGAGTCAACCGTACCACAACCGAGTCCGAACAAGTCCGCATGCCCTGGAAGTCGTCGTTCGACTTCTCACATACCTGGTTACAGTCGGTATCGCCCGCAGCACAATGCGCACCGTAACAAGCACTCAACAGTGGCGTCTCGGGGTCATCCACCGTCATACTGAACCCTTCGTCTGCGAAAGGCTCTCCCTCGACATTGCTGGCGTCGAAGTAGGTCTTGCCCTCGTCCGGCAGCTATGTGTATTCCAGCTGGGTGACCAGTGGCTTGCTGGTGCTTGGGTCCCGAGTACACATCATCGCGATGCCAGTGTTTTGGGGGTGGTCGGCAAAGTACGACGTGAGGACCTGTCCAGGCGCCTGACTGGCCCAACTCACAGCGGGCCGTTGGTCGATTTGTGTGTCGTCGGTCGGTTCGTACCCGGTTACAATAGCGCACCAGACACTGTATGGACAGTTGTGCACGACTTCGGCTCTGGCGTCGACAATACTGACGAGATTCAAGCCCAGAAGGACAAGAACGAACAAGATCATCCAAGACATTGCCATGACGAACTTGTTCCTGGTTCTTCTGAAGATTGAGATTGAGATTGACAGTGCTTGCATGAACTCAGTACAGATCCAGCACCACTCTAGTCTCTTCCTCAGCTCGGTCACTTACTGCTCAAGGAAAGGATTTGGTCACACCCTTGCTGCAGGCCTTTCAAAAGATAGTTGAGACAGCTGTGTATCTCTGTTCAGCTCTGTGGGCTCGGAGCTATAAGTGTCGTTCTGCTCAGCAATCGTTACTGTTCAGCTCAGTTCAGCTCAGTTCAGCTCAGTCCTGTCTGTAAGCTTCTGCTGTCGTTGTTGACGATGATGATGTCGATGATGTCGATGATACACAGAGAGAAGAAAAGGGAACAAGGCTTCAAAACACACGGTCTATATATACCATGGGCTGCATCGAGAATTCACTGCTCTGCCACCCGTGTGACTTGGAAGCCGACGGGACCTCATCACAGCCTTGTCCACGAGACGACATGCATAGACTGGTTCTGGCATGACATTGCACCGGGGGGGCCGCAAGTTTCGCACATTGACGACTCCATACCGTCCTCGTGCGCTTGGGAACCAGAGTCACCGATCGAATTGAGATGTTTGGATGTCGATGATATTGATGAGCACGAGCACGAGCATGAGCACGAGATTGCTCTTTTCCTCATCACTGGTTTTGGACATGTGATCTGCCTGAGCCTGGACTGTATCCAGCATCCAGCATCCAGCATCCCTCTCACGCCCCGTCTCTGTGTCATATCGTGAGATGGGGCGTCAGTGAAGTGATTATAGTTCTAAGAGCAAACAACGACTTTCGGCTAAACCAGGTGAATGGTGGTCACGGCAGGCCTATGAAGAAGGTCCAGAATTATCAAGGTCTTCAGCCTACCTACCACGAAATATAAGTATATCATATATCATATAAATGTTCTTTCCTCCTCTTGTTAGATGTACCAAACAGCCTGCCACAAACAGGCGTATTGCAGTTTGTAAACAACTACTACTGTATTGCGGAAAGAATGAATCAACACACAGGACAGCAAAGCTCCAGACATGAACAAACATACACAAGTGCTCTTGCCATGATTCATATCATAATTTGAGCACACTAATATGTCTACACCACATATCTGGAGATGGAGAGGGGAAGTGAAGTAATGCTCAGCGTCAGTTCGCATCTATTAGGTCCTTGCACGCCGAGGATATATATGACCGTCTTCAATCCATTCGGATGGGAATCTGGCCAATCCACTTCAGATTGTACCTCAAGGTACGAAAGGGGTGTCCCGATATCTTGAGACGATATGTTGAGTCGTACCTAGCTAGGGAAGACACCCATTTTCTTTGATTTCATCTTCGTTGTTCATTTCATTCAAGTTCTCGTTGCATTGCTATGTCGTTGCTTCGTGGTCTTTCTCCTTCTTCTGCCACCGTTCTGTGATAAGAAATTTCCCGTCTTTTCCCATACGGAACGCCTGCAAATTGCCAGGATTGCTTCGCTCGAACGTGAACGACTGCCATATACAATTTTATCGACTCCAGCGCTGAATCCAAATATATCGTAGAGCGTCTCCCGCCTGTACTCTAATGCAGCAGATTGGTATGGCGACTTGGCACGCATGAAAAGTTGGACATAGAAAACAAAATGACGAAGAGGCACATGGATCGAATCGGCCAGCTTAAAATCAGTCTTCACAAATCCCGGCCTCCAAAGCGGCCAACGCAGCCTCGTATCTCCCCGGTGAATGGTCTCCAAACATGTCGCGTCCGAACTTAAGCTCGCCGAACCGCGTCTCCACGTCGCGTATCAGTTTGAATTGCACTCTGGTGGCCGGACGACCGAGGGCTCGATACAGTTTTTCCGTCCTATCGTCCCTGGAATCATCCGGCCCAAAGACGGACTCGCGAGCAACGTCTGGATCTAGTCTGTCAAACACGCGCGTCGTCTCCACCACAAATACCTCGCCAGGCGGCACGAGTTTGTCGTTGACCATGGCCGCACGCAGTGTCTTGAGAGCCGCCCAAGCCCAGGTGTCTTCTCCAAGTCCGTCGCCGGCCATGTGTTCCGGCGGAGGAGGGCCCTTTGGGTTATTGTACAAGGAAGACTTGACCGCGTTCGACACGCGCTGCCAGACTCGCGTTTTCAACGCACCGAGAGCATCAGTCGTGTCCGTCTTGAGGTGCAGAGCCACCGTGCGGAAGTCGTGTAGAATGCCGAGCGACAAGCACGGGACAATATCGCTGTGGTTGACGATCGTTGTGATGAGGCCTCGGGTAGCCACCCGCAAAGACTCTGACACGCATGCGGGTGTGCCGTATGCATAGACATGTATAGGGCGACCTGCAGGAAGACTGATCGGTGGGACATACGAGGTATGGGGACCGTCACTGTTCGTGTGTGTCAGGAGTTTCGGGGCGTTTCCGGTGACGAAAGTCGTGTTCGAGCCGTCAAAGGAAGGCTCGGACATCAAGATGGCGAGGATGGCGGCGACAGCACCTCCTAATGAATGCCCGCAAAGTACAAGACCATAATCTGGGTATTGTTCAAGAGTGGCTTTGATGGTGGCCATGATCCGACTTCCATTACCACCAAGCAATCGTCGTGCAGATGCATGGATGCCCTTGTGTACCTTGTATCGTTGCCCTTGCCAGACTAAATCGTCATAGTCACAGGTCATGTCGGTCAAGACATCCTCGAACCCCAGAGTTCCACGGCAGGTCAAGACGACCGCTTTTGAATCATCGTCGATGGAGATGAAATGTATCAGCGGTGATATTGCAGACGGCGACCAGTCGGTATTGCCTGTGACGCCTTGGGGGTCATAGAAGGAGGACAGGAGGATAGTGTCGGGAGGTAACCCTGTATGACTTGAAAACGAACTATGTTCGTGATGGACATTCAAAGTCATCAGTTCTGTGGCTTTGCTCAATTGAGCTTCGGCCGAGGACAGGCCCATGACACGAAGAAAGTTGGAGCCGTATGAGGCGGACGCAAATCTGGCGAATCGCCGGATTGTTTTCACCATATGGCGATCGGGGAAGATTCCAGGTACTTTACCGTGCGAAATCAGAGCGTTCAATATATTGTGGTCTTCAAAAATAGACTTGCGATGCACCGGGGTCTTGGGTGCTATGATGATGGCTTCTTTCGAGTCTTTGGTTGCCATTGAATACAAGCTGGGTACATAGGATCGGGACATTCGGCGGTGGACTGATCCGTTAGCCGTGTCCAGTCGAGAATCCGTTTCGTCAACTGCAAGTCCCAGTTCAGACTTGGTCTGAGAGAGGCCGCCAACAACTCGAGTGTGGGTACGCGTGAACGTCGGCGACCCAGATCGACTCTCGACAGAATGTACTGAGTAAGTCTCGGTGGTCTGCGACACAGAAGAGTCTCTTCTGCGATGATGCAACGCAAAATAGCTGGAAGATGATTCTTGGCCAACGGCACGATGTAGACTGGGACTGGTCAATGGTGTATGACCATGGCTGAGAGAGACGTGCGTTTTTCGTGGATTCCTATCGCCCCGTACTGCTGCAGGTACACGAGAGTTCAGCTGTTGCGGTGGTTTCAGAGAAGCAGGCTTCACAGGAGGCAGAGGCTTGTTGAGGTCTTTGATTGTTGCTGACGACTGGCTGGGGCTGAATGTCCTCAACGCTTTCTTGATCACTCCGCCTTTGTCGTTCTTGACAGACGCCGGTGATTTGTCTTTTTTAGTCTTGCCGACCGGTATTCGACTCGTCGTATTGGCACTTGGTGGAGATCTGCTGTAGGATAAAACTGGCCGTCGACTTTTCTTCTGGTTAGCCACCGCCCCAATACCCTTGGGAGGTACGGTCGGAGGTACCAAGGTCTCCACGGTCTCATGCTCATTGTCATGGTTGGCGACAACGGGATCCTCCATCTGCATGGGTTCATCCACTATCGATACCCGCTTTGGGGTACTGTCCATCATGAACAAATCGTCAGGGTCATCATGGTCCATATGCACGTCGCCACGAGTGAGACGCAGCTGGTCAGAGGGGGAGGTAATATCTGTGCTACTCGACTTCTTCAAGGCGGTTCGAAATATGACTGTTTGATGAGGTCCGCCCTGTACGCCTGCCTCAGAATCGCCATGGTTGAGCGTTTCCGCAACCATGACCGTGCCCGGTGGAGGATCAATATGAGTTGTCTGGGCATCGTAGATGTCAACCTTGATTGTTTTGGCAGTGAGCGTTTTCGATGTAATGACTGCTCGAGCCCCATCCGGCAGTTGGCTCATGATGCGCTCCCGGATTTCCTCGTCGGTCAATTTGGTCTGAGATTCTGGTGCCAGGGCGACTGTTGAATAGTCGAACAATGTGTCTCGTTCCAAGGCTTCGAATTCATCTTCGCCGTCTGGGGAAGCAAACGTCATGGATGGAGCCGTCTGATGAGTGTGGATGCTGACCATGCCTTTCCTCCTTGTCCCGACGACGTCAGCCTTGAAGCCTTTGTCATCAATGACAGCATCCCAGATGGTTTCTTCACCACCGGCATCTCTGAAGTCGAGTTCTGTTTTACGCCGACCCCATCTTTGTAGCATAACAAACCCAACCGTGCCGATGATGACGTCCAAGTATGAGACGATTTCGCCGTTGTTCCCGTGCTCGGGCTTGTTCAGTTCATCCTTGATCAGAGTGATGATGGCGGCAACCGCGCGGGAGGATTCGGTGGAGCCGAGTATAGCATTGAGCGTGGACAATCCTTGGATCGAGAGGGCAGAGACTGAGTTCATCGAAGCCTCGGTCAAATGGAAGCCTGCCGACGCCACAAAGGAAATGGTTGAAATGGTCGAGTAAAGTGCAGATATCTATATCATGTCAGCTGGGCAAGGCTCACTAGAAGCAGAGCAGACCAAACGTACGCTTTTCTCCAGCAGATTCTCTGCTTCAGCCCTCCCGAGGTCTCCATAGCTTCGGGCAGAGACATCTCGACCTGCCGCGACTAGGACGGCTTCCAGGGCACTCCTACTGACGGACAAGGTCTTCAACGTGGCTTCTCTTCCGGCATATAAGCCCCATTCGCCCACTTTCGTCCCAGCTCGCACGTAGAACGAAGTCAAGCCAGTGATGCCACTTATAACGGCGGCTGCGGGCGCAGGCAGGAGGGTACTTCCTTGAAGAGGCGGCGCCAGGACAATCTCCTTGAGTTCTTCTTGGTCGTTGGCGTCCTCTTCAGAGTGGTCTCCATTCGTGCCATCAGTGTCTTTCTCTTCATGCCTTGGCCACAGCATTGTGTGGGCAGGTGTGAGGTTTAAATCGAGAGGATGGTGTGAGGGACAAGGCGGATGGCGGCCGCAGGTGGTGCTCCATGAAGAGGAGGGAAGAGAAGATCACAGAAAGGCAAAACAGAAGATGTTCAGGACTATGCAGGTACGCTTCGGGTGCCTGGCATTAGAGACACTGGCATGTGGCAACAAGAGATGGCGATTGAGAGAGATGGATGGAGGGTTGAATGTTCGATTCACTGCGGCTGTTTGTTGCCGCATGACGTCGAGTTGTTAGATACAATTCTACATCTCTACATTTCATGATATTCAGCTTCAATCGCAGTCATGCTCTCATTCATCTGATGTCCCGTCCGTCCACTTACCACCCTTCCCACTCACACGTACAACAGAAGAAAACCGCCTGAGAACACGTTGATACTGTCGACTGGACTCGCCACCCGTTTGTTTTCCCAATGAAGCAGCAAGCAACCCTGATTCCGACCCCTGCCGGCAGCAATGATAGCCGGCCATATTTTCTTCTACCACATGCTTGCTTCACGTATCCGACATGTGAAGATGGACAAGAGCCAACAGAATCTCTCATTGCTCTGGATGGATATCTACTGTGCTTCTTTGTGCTTTGGACCTGGATTGGACGGGGCAATACCGCCTGCTTCCGTACCTACAAGGCTTTCCCAGTGCACAGCACGGTATGCGGACATGCGGATACGGACCAGAGGCTTTGGCCATTGACAAGGGTGTCTTCCCTCTTCGAACGAACGCCGACTGTGAATGGTTTGGTGTGTTTCAAAGATCTGTTTTGTCAGGCCCGGTGCCTGGTTGCACTCGTCTCAGGATGTGCCTGCACTCTCCCATTGGCGATGCATCCTTGACTAGGACTCACCTGCCCAAGCCCGATGCAAGCGTGTCAGAAAGAGTTTAGGCAGGGAGGAACTCTCATATCTACACAACGACGATGGAGCGAAATGTCTAATGGAAGAAGACACCAGATGAGGACTAAGAATAACTTTTCATTTCGCCTTCGAGGGCCACCACCGTGCTCCGTAGAGCGAAGAATAACATCTAACCAACCCGAGGATGCCCTCAAGGGGCTCCCGATTTCCAATCTGATAACAATGATGATGATAGTTTTCCCCCAAACGCCATGCTCAAAAACAAAAACAATTTAGGTAAAGTGAACCAACCGGCCCTCTGGCCCCCCCCTTCCTTCCCCCTTCTCCCCCCTACATGACCATTTCGATCTCCGCCGGCGCGGAGCACTCGGGGGTCCACTAGACCGCCACGAGGAACGCGTCCGGCGGGATCTGTCCCGCAGCTTTTAACTGGGCGAAGTTGGCCATTGCCAACCCATAGTCCCAGTTGTTGGCTGCCAGGCAGGTTTCCACCCATTGCAGCTTGAGGCCTGTCTCGAAGCTGAATTGGAGGCCCATTTGTTCGCGGAGGAGTACCTCCGCGGGCTTGTCTGGTTGGGCGACTCCGAACGTTGACCCTGGTGGGATTTCGGGATGCACTGGCGCAGGTGCCGCCATTGCTCCCATTGGCTGAGGTTGTGGTTGTGGTTGAGGTTGAGATTGAAGTTGAGATTGAAGTTGAGATTGAAGTTGAGCCGTGATAGGCTCGTTGTTGTACATTTTCAAATTTGGGTACCATTTGATGAGTGTTTGGAGAGTGTCAGGTTTGGAAGCCACAGGGTTGCCCGTGAGAATGAGATGTTCGAGTTCGCGGAACTGGTTCTTCCAGAACTTGAGGGCACCCAGGTCTTCCAGGTTGTTGTTTGCTAGGTCGAGATTGTGGATGTGTGGGAAAACACTGGCAAGAGAGATGATGTCTTGGACTGTCTTGATTGCATTGTCTCGAAGACTGACGCTGACGACAGCTTCTGTTCGTTTGGGTTCGGTTTCCCAGATCTTGGTTTCGCAGAGAGCGAAAATGGCTTTGTAAACTTTGGATGCGTCTTGATCGGAGAGACCGGAGGTCAAGAGCTCGGGATCGGCCACGAGGGCGTTTAGGATGAGATGTCTATCACCAGCGTGATAGCGTTTTCGGATGACTGAGATGATGATGTTTTCGACTTCCAGAGTCAGAGGATTGTTGCTGTTGCGACGAGAGTCTCGTGGCGTGTTTTGAAGGGATCGATTTTGGTGACCAAATTGTTGGCCCCGCGGTCCGGATGGTGGATGCGACGATGCGCCATTTTGAAAGCCAAAGCCATTTCTTGCTGGCTGAGAGATTCGTGCGTCGAGGGATTGGTTTTGAGATTGGACTTGTTGGCTTCGTGGAGGTCTCGAGTCTTCAACCACAAGGGTTGCTCCCGCCCACGTGAAACCGTTCAAATGATAGAACCGATCTTTGTCGTGTTCGTTGATAGTGATGAGTAGGACTGTGCGACCGGCCATGCGAGAAGAGAGGATTTTGCGGCCGGACTTCTTTTCCAAAAAGCCGAGCAGGGAATCGAGGCCTTGGTCTTTGGTGGCTGACAGTTTGCTTGTTGTCCATCCTTTGATGGCGAGCTGGAAGGTGTTTCCAGACTGGGTTTGTCTTGCGAAAGCCATTGTGATAATTGAAAGGTTGCAAGGGAAATTGATTTGAGTTGGATGAATGTTTCCGAATTGATCAGTGCGGAGGCTTGAGAATGTGTGATCTGCTGAGGCTTGAGATTGTGTGACCTGCCGAGACTTGAGAATGTGTGATCTGCCGAGACTTGTAGGTTCAAGTTGTGTGTTTGTGAAAGCTGCGACCTTGTGGGATCCGTACAGGGGCTTATGATGATACACAGAGGCTTGTAGAGACTTGCACGAGGCTTGAACTTGGATGATTTGCACTGAGGCTTGAGGCTGATTGATTGATTTGATTTGCACCGAGGCTTGAACTTGTAGGATTTGCACTGAGGCTTGTAGGATGAAGACCGTGGTGTTCGTGATATGAAGATTGTACCTTTGTGGGATCCGTACAGGGGCTTATGAATTCACAGAGGCTTGTAGGGACTTGCACAGAGGTTCGAAGAGTGTGAGATTTGCACTGAGGCTTGAGAATGGTATGAATGTGTGATTGAGTGAGTGAGTGATTTGCACAGAGGCTTGAAGATGGTAAGATTGGTTGATTGATTTGCACAGAGGCTTTGAAGATTCAGATCCGCACTGAGGCGTAGTAGATTTTTTGCACTGAGGCGTTGCTGAAGCAGATCTGAGTGAGTGTAAAGAGATTGTATGAGGGAGGAGAGAAGAATGAGACAAAGGAAACGGGGAGGAGGAGGAGGAGGTAGATATTCAGCTCGTCTTGTCTTGATACGCACAGTCAATCAGGCATCCAGAGAACCGAGAAGTCGGGAACTTGAATCTGATGAAAGAGGAAGAAAGTTCGCAGGGGCGGAATCCGGTACGCCACGTGATCTGGCAGCCACTAGTCCTAATACGGCAAAGTGCACGGTCTACCCGCGTTGCCGCCAACCTTCTTTGAGCTTCAGCCTGGAAAACGAGGCTCAACGCGTTCAAATGAGTTCGATGGATACAATGGCATTCAACGGTATTGTCCGCATCCAATGGTTCATTGTTCAATAGTCTCTATTTGAAGTGCAGGCGACCCTGTCTCAACAACTCTACTTACTAGTAAGTGTAGATGATGGTTCTGACGGCGACCTCGAATAGACTAGTGACTACGACGAGACGTCGGCGCCGACCATGATGACAATGAACAGACAATGCCGAGTGGTATGATGGCGACCACGACAATAACAAACAGGCAGGACTAATAATCTGATGGCGACCGCGGTAAGAATGGATATCAATACTAATAATTATGGCGGAGATCACAATCAGAATGAACGCCAAATACTAATAATGTTGACGGCGACCTGGACGGTACAGTGGCCATCGGTGGTGTCCATGAGTGGTGTCCATCAGTACTATCGTTTCTCTCCAGGGTGCTCCGAAGCCAAATCACAGTCTCATGTGGCAAGACACGAACCCCATGGCGACATTGTACCGTGTCTTGTTGTAAATAGGGTTCGTTATTCATTAACTTGACCAGGTTCTGGACTTCCCTTTCGAGGAACAATACAAGCGCTTATATAGAATAGAGAACTCTACGCCAAATCAAGTGAAAAGGTAGACCCCACACTGCAAGTCTCCTATGGTTGAGTGCCCAACAAATGCTGCAGCTACTAATCGACGAGCATAATTAGGTGACTCACAATCAAAAGTCCATCGCTGTACATGTATATGTCTACTAAGATACCTGACTACACTCAGGACATCCTACCGGCCGTTGACTTTCTCCTCAGGCGTCGCGGGGCCGGAGGTCTTGCTGCCAAAGCGACCGATGCCTCCAAACCCGCCCAGGTCTCGTTTGAAGAATTTCCCCAGATTCTTCAGGTTTTCATTCAGCTTGGCCCCGGCTTCGCCTCCCGCCGATGTGCCGTCAGCAGGCGCCAAATTGCTGCTGCCCGGGCCAGGACCTGCAACAGGAGGCGGACTAAATGCGCCTTCCCTGGGTGTTGCCGCGCCTCCGAGACTCGGGCTGCTGAACCGATCGATGATGGCATTGCCCAGACCAGAAGCATCAAACTTCATGTTGGCAGGTAAGTTCGCCGTACTCAATGATGCTGCCGCCGAATTGCCCAGAGCCGAAAGATTGTGCAAAGCTCCAGCTGGTGTTGACGATGCAGCACTACTCACTGAGACCGTGCCCGAGAGGTTCAGGGACGTGAGGAGCGGCGACCGTTCCACCAGCGAATCCTTATACCGGGGGCTGAACTTGTGCATTTGGAACAATTCCACTAAATGGTTCTGTTCCGCTTTGTTGCGGATGCCCTTGAGCTCGAGGATCTTGCGGAAATTGACCTCGGATAGATCAGCAATATGGATCAGATAGGCCTGCACCAGCGCTTCTGGCGGAGACGGTCTGACTTGGAGAGTCTTCAATAGCGGCTCAACTTTGCCGAATGCAGTCGTGACTCGCTTCAGGAACAGTGGCGGAGGCGTGCCTGGTAGTATGTGACTCAAGGTGTTCCTGATCTCATGCGTGTCCAGCAGCATCTGTTCGGCGCCGCCCTCTGAGATGGGCCTGCATTGTGCAATGTTGGAAATGTAGGTCGAGGCGAGCAGTTCCACCAGATTATCGGCAAAGGCCCGCGCATACTGTTGCTTATGAAGCATACCCAGGATTTCGCTCGATCTTTCTTTGATGCGGTGCTCCAGACCTGTGATGTAGGAGCTTTGGTTCTCACAGCTCTCGATCTTTGACCAGGCAGTGTTCCGCATTTCCCGCCAGCTGGGTTCAAGGTCGACCTCCACCCGCCTGACCAGCCCTCGCACAGCAGCACTCGCTATCCCCATGAAGGCGTCCGCTTGACTTTGCAAATCAACATTGTCCTTCAAGTTTTCATCGATGCGGCTCTTGATCTTCTCTTCAAGAGAATTGCATGTGTTGAAACAGTAGTCGGCGGTGTTGAGGACCAGGATCACATCTTCGACGGTCGGGATCCGCGAGGGGGTGCCGCCTGATGGCTTCTCGGAGATATGAAACAGTAGGACCTGCTGGGCATATTGATCCAGATATCGACCAAACACTCGAGACAGCTCCAGTAGGGGTTGTCCGGTTGATAGCTTTGCACATTGCGCCAATGAATGACGGTAGAAATTGAACAACTCGGTCGAGGATGCGATCACTTGCTGCGAAGAAAACTCTTCGTCTGCGAGCCTCGTCGGCCTTTGCTTGTACTGTGGTATCAGCCTCGCAAGTTCCCTGTCCTGGGCTTCGACCCATAAACTCAGATAGGGCTCGAAAGCACTCGATATAGGTTGGCCGAAAACTGGAACATCGCTAGCAGAGATGGTCGTGTCAAAAGATGCTCTGGATGTCTGATTGAACCTCCTTTCCAGACTGTGTTCAAAATCCAATGTCTGCTGAAGGCACGACAGCAGAAGCCTGACATCAATCGTCTGCCCGTTACGAGTGGTCCTGGACAAGATGCCTTTGAAGTCGTCCCTCGTCCCTTCGGCAAACACGTTTGCTAAGACCTCGTTCACCCGCCAATGCGAAGGGAAGATGGCCGCATGCTCCTCGTCGTATACCTTCAGAGTCTTCTTGAACCATGCGTATCGTCGGTCGATGTTGTCGAGAGAGCCGGCTTCCTGGTCTCCCTTGAAGATGTTCCGGTATTGCCTCAGCTGGGTGTTGCAGTACCAAGTGATCAGTCTCGACCGGGCTGCATCACCAAGAGCATCCACAACCATGCACGCCTCGTGCAGCAACCCTCTCTTTTGCGCCACCTCTTCCTTGGTGAAGCTGATCTCGAAATCTTCACAGACCTGTTCGAGCAGTTCCCTTTGCAATTCTGCCACATTCCTACTCAGCGTCGCAATCTGGTCAATCGAGCGATATGACTTGAAATGCGCCATAAGTTGGATCACCGCCTGGAGGAGCTGTGCACATTCTCGGTATTGCCGTGTCTTGCTCAGGGCGCGCAGTTGTTCGTAGGCAGTGGTTAACATCTGCAGCCTCTTTAGTGCCGTCATGGACAATGTCAGATTTTTCTTTGTATTGTCCAACTGCTTGATATCCGCCGTCATCTCGGTGATATTGCGCTCTGTTTGTAAGGCACGCTCCCGGACATGTTCGATGCGCTGGAACAGGTCCGCCAGTTCTGCTTTCGCAGCCTCCATCCGTCCCAAGCATTCTGCGTTTGACCGAATCTGGTCATCTTCTAAACCTTCTATCTCATCGTCCAAGTCATCTTGGTAGCCCTGCAGGATCTCGTAGGTCTGGCCGACTGACGACAAGGTGGAAGGGTGAGAGAATATCTGATCGAGGTGTTCTATCGGGTCATAATTGTCTGCTCGCTGTCAGAAGAAATTTAGTTCAGTCAACAAAGACGACTTACCTGAGTCGAGCAGATTGGTTTCTTGATGTATGCCATTGGGAGGCATGTGGAATGGTTGACGAGAGTTTGGGATTAGAAGGGCCACCACGGACAGAAGGACAAAACTTCATGACCTTAGAGGTTGGATGCTCGGACTAGACAAGCGATGGTCGGCTGTACAGGGAACGTTTGATTGTTGATCTGTTGAATTGAATGTGGTGATGCCAGATCAGACATATCAACATTATCACGACTACTGAGGACTCGACGTTAACTCCGCGCACAGTAATAAACTGCGCCGCTATAGCATCAGCTACTAGCCTATAGTCAACCCCTATCTGGGCACAAACGTATATGCTCTGGGTAGACTGTCATCACAATCCTGATATCTCTTCTATCAATGAATTATATTACTTTGCACTACCCTTACCGAATGTCCGGTGCCATTCTGAGCACATCCCTCTGCAAATCTGTCCTCCAACTACATAAATCTAAAGGCCGCAGCGCAGGATTTGGTTGTTGTATCGCCAAATGCAGTTAGATCACTATTCTCGGCAGACCTTCCTCTGGATATTTTCCTTTCACTGACACTGATTCAGAATTTTGAGACGACGGTTTTATACTGACCTTCTCATATGTTCTGTACAATCTCAGCTTCTTGAGCTTCGGTGTTTCCAACTTTGACAAAGCAAAGATCCACCGCAGGCCTTGATTTGCCTCACAGTCACAGATCGTCCTTTTCTATCTCACCCTCGCACCTGAGGATCCTCATTCACAGAGCTCCTAGCAACATCCGACTCTGTACTGATCTCATCAGGTCTCCGCGACCAGCAGAAGGGCTTGCTACGGGATGACTAACATTACAATCTCTACGTGTGCGCTGTGACCAATTCAAGGTTAATTGAGATAATCAAGTATGGCTCTACTTACATTCAAGGATACCTACTCACACCCAAAAATACAGCTCTCAGAGTCCTTACAACAAGTAAGCAAACCCACCCCAGTCTGTCCCATACACCCATGCCCTCAACCCCCATTTCAAACCCTATTATGATGAACAAAGAAACCATATGGCATTAGGAAGAGCCGGAAAAGGATGCTAGGGGAAAAAGATTTGCCGCCTTTGAAGAACAGACGGTCCAAACGAGTAGGCATCGTCAAATGCCTTTTGCTCTTTACGGCTGCTGTTTCTTTCAGAGTGTGGTCCCTGGCGTCGATGCTTAGAACTGGTTCTTCTGATATTATTACTATACACACCACCAAAGTCCTGCTGTCGCCTGGACTCTTGGATCTCTCTCTCTTTTCTGCATTGCTGTTCGTTCGTTCGGGCTTTTCTACGATTATGTCAACGGAGACTAACATTCGTCAAGATCCTAGGCACATATCTACGGAAGGCTTACGAACGAAGAGTCTCTGACCTCCCATCTCAGAGCACTGTATACAGTAGGTTCAGTTTCGACATGGAGGCGGAGCATTGGCATTCAGCTCGAGCATCTTCCGTACCCATACGAAAACAGAATCTGCCCATCACAGTCTACATACGTACCCACGTGCAAGGTTGGCCACGCCAGAAGTTATTAGGCAGATTTCGAGCATGTCTAGACAGTTTTATTCGTCTTCCTTTGAATATCAAGCAGCTACTCAACGCTTCCAGAAAACAAAAAAGGAGAGAAATCTAAAACACTCGTCATCGCAGTTATGGCCTTTTTGGTATTTTAGTCTTTCCAGTTACAGAAATGCTTTCTGCCCATCAACCCTGGTGAGCTTTTTTAAGCCTAGTGCTCCCCTCGTATAGTCCACGATCAATAGCCGCGGCAACAGTCAAAGTCCCACCAATACTGGCACAGACGCCCGTCAGGAAGTTAGCAAAGGACTTTGGGCGGACCTCGCGATTGATGACCTTCATGGGACTAATATCGTAAGAGAAGAAGACGCCAGGAATGCCGCCGTGGGCATGCAGCCTTTCCTTGTGGCCCTCGGCGGCATCCGTGCCACCACCCAGCGACCTCTTATGCGACGTGACCGAGTACTGATGCGTCTCGATGGAGCCGTGGCTGCCAGCCCCCTTACCATGCATGCCCAGCGGGATGAGATCGCTGAGACTGGAATGCTTGGTGACGGATTGATCCTCGTCCCAGCCGAGGGGCAAGTAGGACGTGGAGACGACTTTGATGAAGTACATGAAGTTGTAGCCCGGCTCGTCTGTCTCCTGGCGATGGCCGTCCAGCGGGTTCGAATGATGGTGGTCGCTCCACTTCGTGTCTGTGGCCTTGTCGTCGGACAGCTGCGGTCCAAAGCGCAGGGAATGGATTTCATGGGTGAAGGTGTGGCCTCCTTCAACCGGGGTGTCGAAGTAATTGTTCAGATCGTGCACGTGCATGTTGCCGTTGCTGAAACTGCGGCCGGGGGCGATGTGGAAGTTGCCCACGACCTTGTTGACGCGGAGCACGCCTTCGATGCGACAGCCCTCCGAGCGCTGTTCGTCGAGCCGCTCCCCGTACCCTTCGCGCTCGCATTGCTCGACGCCCTCGCCGCGTCCGAACGCCCAGCTGTTGGTGGCGTATGCTTCGCGCACCTCGTCGCATGTGTTGCAGCATCCCGGCTTCTGGGCGGTCGGGGGCGCCGGTGCTGAGTAGCACGAACCGCAGTAGTCGGGGTCCAGATGCGACGCCGAGTCTTGCTGGTGTAGTTGCAGCGCTTGGGTGTCGATAATTCGCGAGCCTTCAGCGGGCGAAGTCAGTCGTACTTTGTTGACGCCGTGCACCACGCCCGTCTGTTGTTCGCCGGACACGTCCATAACGTCGAGCGTGAGCAGTTCGCAAGGGATTCGGGGGAAGGTGATGTTGAGGTGGATTTCCATCTTCTCGCCTATTGAAATAAACCATTGTCAGCTTCGAGAAAAAAGCAGTCGCCTCTCTGGGACACATGTAGTTTTTAACGGTACTGACCTCGTCCTTTGTCCACCACCAACTCCGGCTGCACCACTATCCTTCGGTAGTCCGTCCATTCGGCGAGGATCAGGTAGAAGATGATGAGGATGGACGCGATCGTGACAATCCCGCCCGACGTGGTTCGGATTCGGGCATCCTCGACCGTCTTGGTGAAGGCATCGAGCCGTGTAAACCTCGATTTGACTGGCATGTTGATGGGCTGAGGCTTCTTCTTCGCCGCCGCGGCCGGTTGTCAAGTGCGCACGCAGCCTGCGCGATTCCGCCGGCTGCTGTAACCCAATATGAACCCGGGTCTCATGAAATGCTATAATATGTGCACCTTTGTCACACCCAGTGAGTGCGACATGCTTAATGCAGGAGAGCTTTGAGTTCAAATGATAGTGCTGTGTCTTGTGTAGGTATCAAGTAGTAATATCCAGGTAGTGGACAGCATGTTCCATTCGGCATTCAAACGAGTCCCCACGCGTGTTTCGGAGAATTTGCTGGGGGGCATATTCCACCCCTTGGCATCACTCCTGCGGAACAGTCACTCTAAATCAACAGAACTGTCAGCTACCGCCTAATGCGAAAGTATTCGTACAGTATACTACTGGCACGAGGTCAACCAGGTGAAGATGCAGACACATAGGGTCATTATCAGAGAAACAGTCAGACCAACATAGAACGAACAAGACGAGAAACATCCTAGGGTTATAACAGACGTAAGTGAGTATGGTGGAATCTCTTTGTTGAACCATGCATAACAGCTAACTAAGTAAGGGATGTTGGAGACTGAGAGTAGCTCGGACTACTGACGCTACATCTCCAATCCATGTCCCGTCCACTTTTGCCTGTCCATTCATTCCATCCTTGTTCCAAACCATGGATTCAATGTGGGGAATCGCTGAAGGAAGTAAACCCATCGTTGACACCAGACGCCGAGAAACGATGATACAATGATCAAGCTCAATAGGTGCCCGTCAGAGGAGCATCAATGAGTGTAGACGTTTAGTCGACCTCCTCCATGGCAGTCTCACCGGAAGCCTCGGCGGCCGGAGCTTCTTCAGCCTCAGCCGGCTTCTCCTCGGTGGCTTCTGCTTCCTCGTCAATGTTCAAACCGAGCGAGACAAGCTTGTGGATGCGTTCAGCAAAGCTGGCAGGCTCTTCAATGGTGAAGCCAGACACCAACAGAGAGGTCTCGAAGAGCAGCTGGGTGATGGACTTGACGGTGCGGTCGTTCTCGCCGTCAGTCTCGACCTTCTTCTTCAACTCACGGATGATAGGAGACTTGGGAGAGATTTCGAAGGTCTTCTTCGAGGACATGTACGAAGACATGGACGTGTCACGGAGGGCCTGGGCCTTCATGATACGCTCCATGTTGGCCGACCAACCGAACTGACCGGTACGGATGGCGCATGGAGAGCCGGTGAGCTTGTGAGAGACAACGACTTTCTCGACCTTGTCGCCCAAGATGTTCTTGAGGCTCTTGGCGAGGCCCTCGAACTCTTTCTCTTCCTGCTCACGCTCCTTCTTTTCCTCCTCGGTCTCTTCGAGCTCAAAGTCCTTGGTGATGTCGACCAGCTTCTTACCGTCGAACTCCTTGAGTTGGGTCATGGCGTACTCATCGATGGGGTCAACCAAGAACAAGACTTCGAAGTTCTTCTCCTTGAGGGCATCAAGGAAGGGAGACTTCTGGACAGCCTTGAGAGACTCGCCGGTGATGTAGTAGATCTGCTTCTGGTGCTCCGGCATGCGGGTGATATAGTCCGTCAGGGAGGTGGCGTCATCACCCGACTTGGTCGAGTTGAAACGGAGCAGCTTCGCCAGCGCCTGGCGGTTCTGAGCATCTTCGTGGATACCAAGCTTGATGTTCTTGCTGAAGGCCGAGTAGAACTTGTCGAAGAGCTCACGGTCCTCGGCGATCTCGTTGAAGAGCTCGAGACACTTCTTGACAATGTTCTTCTTGATCACCTTCATGATCTTGTTCTGTTGAAGGGTCTCACGAGACAAGTTGAGAGGAAGATCTTCCGAATCGACGACACCCTTGACGAAGCCGAGCCACTCAGGAATCAAGTCGGTAGCATCATCGGTGATGAAGACACGTCGGACGTAGAGCTTGATGTTGTTCTTGGTCTTCTTGGTCTCGAAGAGGTCGAATGGAGCACGCTTGGGGACGAAGAGGATGGCGCGGAATTCAAGCTGACCTTCAACCGAGAAGTGCTTGACGGCGAGGTGGTCCTCCCAATCGTTGGAGAGGGACTTGTAGAAGGCCGCGTACTCTTCCTGGGTGATCTCGGATGGGTTGCGAGTCCAGATCGGCTTCGTTTTGTTGAGCTCTTCCTCTTCCTCCTTGATCTCCTTGATCTTCTTGGTCTTCTTCTTCTTCTCCTTGTCTTCGTCCTCGTCGGCTTCTTCGACCTTGGTCTTCTTCTCCTCGTCTTCCTCGACCTCTTCAGCGTCCTCGTCGGGGACCTCCTTCTCGGTCTCCTTCGTCACGTGGAGGTAGATAGGGTAGGAGATGAACTCAGAGTGCTTCTTGACGACTTCCTTGATCTTGGACTCGTTCAGGTAGTCGAGCTGCTCCTCCTTGAGGTGGAGAATCAGCTTGGTTCCGCGACCTAGCGGCTCACCCTCTGTATCTTGCTTGATAACGAAGGTGCCGCCTGCACTCGACTCCCAGACGTATTGTTCATCATCATTGTGTTTGGAGACAACGGTGACCTTGTCGGCGACCAAGTAGGCGGAGTAGAAACCGACACCGAATTGACCAATCATGGAGATATCAGCGCCAGCAGTCAATGCTTCCATGAACTGCTTGGTACCGGATCGGGCAATGGTACCGAGGTTGTTGACTAGATCCTGGGGTAAGAGTTAGCAACATGCATACCACATTTGACCGTAGTGTCCACTTACAGCTTTGGTCATGCCAATACCGGTATCCCGGATGGTGAGTGTCTTGTTCTCTTTGTCTGGGATGATGTCGATTCGGAGGTCTTTGCCAGAGTCCAATTTGCTTGGGTCGGACAGAGCCTCATATCGAATCTTGTCCAACGCATCGGAGGCGTTTGAGATCAGTTCCCGCAGAAAGATCTCTTTGTTGGAGTAGACGGTGTTGATGATGAGGGAAAGGAGTTGAGAGATCTCAGCCTGAAACTCGAACGTTTCGGTGGCCATGGTTGCGGTTGTGTAGGAGAGATTAGGTCTGTGAGAGATGAATAGTTAGTCAGGCTGTATCAAACATACGACAGGCGCTCCGATTCAGGCAGCAATCACCAGGGGAGAGGGAGCTGAGTGCAGCAGGGTTGACCTACAGGTTGAAGGGTAATGTCTAAAGTGCAAGATGAACAGCAAATATTCAATTCGTGTCTGTAGTGTCTGAAGGGGAAGAGGGAGAGAGGCTGGAACTGTTTATGTAGCCTGTCCAAAAAACTTAGCGCAATCTGGAGCTGGAGGTCATGGAACCTGTTGGAAACTGCGATGGAAAGGCTGCGCTACCTTCGGCCAATGCGGAGTTGCCAAGCGCCGGTTCTATTGGGTTCTGGCTAGTGCAGGAAAGAATGTTTGTCTGACAGGCTAATATTTAATCTTCACCATGATTCTTCCACCTGTCACTAACTTAAGAGCCTGTCAGACAGAGCCTTATCTTCACTGGCCCACCCCACTGCTAAACCCTGCATGGAGGCGTTTGCACGTGTTTGGATTAGATAGAGTTCGCCAGTATCTGCTAGAATCCTTCATTCAGCCTTATCGGTTTCACCATGTCTCACTGCCCATATATTACAGGCACCGTGAGGATTGGAAGTAACCAGATAAGTATAGAGTACAGAGTATAGTCTTAGAAGTAACTTCTAGAGGCATCACAACATCCAATCTATCTTGATTGTATTGTCGGCTTTGGTTTTGGTATGGTATGGTATCGCATCCAACCATTACTGTGTAGATCTGCCAAAGCTGGAAACATCTTCATGTTCACCCATCCGACGTCTGACTTCCTCCACTGCTTCCTCCTCCTTCGGCAAGTTTCTTCTCCGCGACCTCTAGTTGGCTCTTGGTTTCCTTCAATTCAGTCTGCAGACTCTTGATGTAGACAATGGCCATTTCCACCGTGCTGGCTTTGCTTGCTCCTGGGCCGGACGCTGTTGGCTTGCTTTCTCCCTCTTCATTTTCCTGACTGTTTGCTCCATCTTTCTTGGCTTGACCAGCCAGAATGGCCGATGGCAGAAGCGCCTCGATCTCCTTCAGTGCAACGTTGATCCTGTTCCGCCGCCCTTGTTCGGCAAGCTTGTGCGACGTTCGTTTCGATGTGAGGTTCTCTGCCAAGGTCTCCGGATAAGAAACGCCAGGCAGGTGTGTGCCTTCGAGGATATTTTGGTAATTCGACTTGGAGGCTAGGTATAACGCGCTCGTCTCTGGGGATAGATGTGCTAGCGTCGGACCTGCTCTGGTCAGCTGTCTTCGACGTGAAGGATGATTCAATCGACACTTACCTGTCGCTGGGGCCAGGGGGTTGATGCTGGGCGAGATCTTAGGCCGTAAAGCAGGAGATATTGTCGCGGACGACGTGCTCTGTCTTTTCTTATTGGCACGGCTTCCTCCCCGGAAATCCGGTATACCCGGTTTTGCAAATGTCTCCTCGAGATTTCCCCTAGCCACTGCACCTCTGGGTGTGCTCGCGGCGCTTAACTTCGCTGACTTGGCCGACAGCGTCGGCGTGCTCTCGCTGTCTTCGCCCGTCTTGATGGTATCAATCGCCGTCAGAACTGGTGGTCCCACTGGAGCAGCCGCATCGGGTAACATGATATCCTCCATAGGCTCATTTACAGCTTCAGCCGATCCATGTTGTTCCACTTGGTTCCCTGGCATGGATGGATTGCTTGGCATACTCATCAGCGTAGCTGGCGTGACAGGATTGTTGGTCGCAGTGTCCTGAGGAGTCATCCTGGGCTGGGGAGAACTCCCAGACAGAGGCACAGGAGGAGGTCCCATGCCGACTTCGGATAAGGATTCAGGCGAAATCGAGTCATCACTTGGACGGATGACCGCACTGTTTGGGGCCGAGACATGCAGACTCGCTTCCTGAGAGTTATGCGGCGGCAGATTACCCATTTTGTCTAGACGCAGTGAGCTTAACGACGGATGCCTGCGACGAGGCTGAGCTTTCAGCGCTGGGGACTGTCTGACGCCTCGCGCAGGCGTGCGAGCCGTACCATTGCCCTTACGACGGGGTCGCTTTGCCCCTGCAATCGCCGGCTGAGATAATGCGCCGGCGTCGGGTCCAAGGTCAATTGGCGAAGCAGTGGTGCCAGTGGAGCTAAACGCAGCCTGTGCCTCAATAGCAGGCGAAGTCAAAGGGCTGAAGAAATCATCGGCCAGTCCATAATCGGCCATGGAGAAGACGCCGTCCAAAGGTGTTTGCGCCGGAGATACCAGCGGAGTGAAGGACATCTGGAAGAATTAAAATCACTGCAAGCCTCCTCCCGCTGCGTACGTACCTGCTGGTGGTCGAAGAGTAACTGCCCGTTATTACCCATGTGAGGCGCATACTTCGCCGCTTGCATCTCCGCGCTCACGGGAGTTGGGGGAACATGATAGTGTCCTGCCATCTGCATCTGTTGGTAGTCCGAATACTGCCCGTATGTCTGGTCTGCAGCTGCCGGGTCCTGATAGGCCAGCGCAGTGGTACTCATGGCCATATTCATGTGCATCTGCTCCGACTCGGTGAACGTCAGGTCGGCGGCACTGTTCCCAAAGCCCAGGCGGCCCATCGGCGTATCAAGGCCGGAATGCCCATTGTCCATGGCGGAGAAATGTTGAAAGTCATTGTCGAGGTCGAGGAACTTTGTAAAGTCATCGTTGCCAACCCCGGCGACCAAGGAATCATCTTGTTGGATGTCCTGAGGCCAAACCACATTTTGTTCGTGCTCTTGGTTCATTCTTTTGGCGAGAAAGGAAATGGGTAGTGCCCGCAGGTGGGCTGCGGGAGAGGATTGAGGGAGACACGACTATCAGAACAGGTCCATCTCTTTAGTGGCGCCCGGTGGTATAGCTGTTTAGAGCCAGCCCGATGGTGCGTTTGGAGGGGATTGATCGCGATGGTCGAGGTAGATGGCGGACACTGATTCTACGGACGGCAGCCCTGTCGGAGGACGAAGGGAGGAGAGACGACAAAATTCGAGGTCGACGATGGGCGGCACGGTCATGAGATGAGTTCAAGTCCTGCCCGAGGTTGGGTCCACTGGCGGGGTTCAGCGCTTTGGGGGATGGCGTGGGTACACGGGTACAGCAGTCGTGCAGTGGGCTTTGCTAGGTAGGTACGAGAAAGACTCGGTTGCGATGCTGGGCCACGCCTCAACTGCTGGATGTGAGTTGGCCGGTCAAGATGTCAGAGGACGCTGGTCGCATTCTGTGTTGATGCAACGAGCCTAAGGGCACTCGAGAGCTTCGCAGCCGGATGGTATAAAATACTAGTATCACAAAGATATGCTCTACAGAGACAGTGCGCGCACTTGCGACCAAGTCCTCTCGGGGTCGGGGAATTTGGTGCCTAAGAAGCGCCTACGAAGCCTGAAGCCTGGGGATAGGGAGCGCAATCCAGAGGGGTCCTTAGGGCAGCTGTGAGCTTCCCTGGTCAAAGCACAGACTGTGACTGCGCCCTTGTCCTGCGAGTGGAAATTTTCCAAACCCACTCGCCTGTATCGTAAAGGCGCCCCTGGCACCCTCCAGCGTCAATGCGTCGTCCGCACCATTTCCTTGCGAACGATTTCGTTATTCTTCCGCTCCCTATCTCCATCTGACGGTGAACACTCACTCCTCGAACATCTCGCCGCTTTTGTCGGCATTTAGTCGGCATTGTGTATCTTCAGAACGAGGCTCGCCATAACTGGGTAGCCGCTTACTTCCTTCCCCTCGGCGTCGAACATGTCTAAGCCGAAAGCCTTCCTGAAACATTCCAAAGCGAAGAAGAGGAGCGAGCAGGTGAGAAAATCAGTCAGAGGGTGTGCACTAGGAGGTAACAGGGTGAACTGCAGATCCTAGAGACTGCCGATGATTATCTGGCAGGTCCGTATTGAGAGATCCCATCACATCATTGAACTGAGATGCTCACTCTTGGCCAGCGGGAGTCGACCACGAGGAAGCAGCTGGAAAATGGAGGGCTGGCGATGCGGTCAAGTCGATGCGGTTCTTCTCCAAGGCCATCGATGTCTATGACCAAGGATTGAGGAAGTTTCCCAACAGTCTCGATCTTGCATATAATAAGTTGGTCTCTTCTTGACGGTGTACTACTTTTCTGCCATCTACAGGATGCTGACAACCCTCCTAGAGCGAGAGTCTTACTGGAGATTGCCACTCATCCCGTTCTTGTCAGACAACTGAATGCGCCCCTTCTGGAGGTGTTGCAGCAGGCGCTAGAGGCCCACCGATATGCCCTGAGTCTTGACCAGGACAATCCAGATACGCTTTTCAACACGGCTCAAGTTCTGACAGCCATTGCTGAAGCATATGCAAAAGATGCAGACCGCCCCGATCAGGACGCATTGCAGCCACTAGAAGAAGCCTTGGAGCTTCAGGATCGGTGTCTAGCTCTGCAAGAGCTCAGGCTGGAGCAATCACTCCAAGAACAACGAGAAGCGGCAGCCCAATTGGAGACTGAGACCGCAGAGTCAGGTGCTAGTGAATCCACCGCTCACCCGGCTCAGGATAGTGATGCCTCTCCAGCAACCGGCACTGAGGACCAGTGGTTTGCGATCGTGGAGCCAGTAACAAAAGACACTCTCATCGACACCATTCTCGCAGAACTTGGGACCCTCACGACTCTGTGCAGCATCTTGAGCTCGTCGCCAGCGGCAGCTCCTACTTCCACCCTTGGATGGATTGAGGAATTCTCCTCCAAATTGGTCCAAACCAAGCTCCCAATCCTCCTCCAGGATGCAGAGACCGAAAAGCTGCAAGAAATTGCACTGGTCAAGGCCAACTTCTCCAGTGGTCTACTCGAAGCAGGTTACAGATTGGGAGCAATCGATTCCAGCACGTACAAGCGTGAAAGAGATGAAGCCTTTCGGGTGCCAGACTTGGACCTGGAAAGAAATTACGCTGGCCTACTGGCTAATGCCAATAGTCTGATCGCATTCAACAGCGCACTCGCCGACGGTGGTGCTTCCATTGCCGCCTCTGAAGCATCTCAGAGGTGGAACGCGTTGTCTGCAGCAATCGCCAATATGGCCAAGGCATCCAAGATCTCTGGACCTGTCCCGGACGACATTGCAGAAACTCATTTCATCCGTGGAAACTGCTCGCTTCTGCAACATAGATTGAGCCATCCACCTGCATTCTACCAGCCAGCCATCGCCAATGCCGCTCAGCTACTCAAGAATGCAGATGTTTTCTACCGGAATGCTTCCAAATTGTATCAAGATGATGAGCAGAAGGTGATCTCTCACGTCCGAGCTGCCGTCTCCCAGGCCTTGCAGACTGGGAGCGATATCCTGTCAGCAGCCGCTGCCAACGCACCGGGGAAGGGCACTGAATGGACAACAGGGCAGATTGAAGACATGGTAGAGGAAGGACTTATATCACTAGCATTTGAGTCCAGTTGAATGTGTTTCCTTGCACGATTCCTGGAAACGAACGGACATGTAGACTCGCCCTGGTTCCCAACTTGTGTTGTACAGGTGTGTGTCAACGAAACGAAACATGGTATGAAAGAGTATTGACAGACGCCTGGGCTCTGTGTTGCTGCGATCGTCCTGGGGAGCGCTCCAGCAATAACATCTCGGTTGGGCCATGGAGGCCACCAGGAGCCCACCAATATGATTTTATGAAGGTCAACACTGGGTGTTTCTGTCTGCAATGGTCCGATGGTGCCGAAGACCTTCGTCTCTCGCTAAAGAAGCTGCGACAGCTTTTCACCAGGTCAACGCGATCTCGCGGCTCCTCCAACAGCAAGTTTTCTCGTCATATTTGCCCCAGAACTCGAGTCCCTGAGACAAGCGGTCACCATGGCGCAGACTCCAGCACATATTCAGTATGCGCATGGACCGGACCGTCGCATCTCAGCCTACAGAGACGAGTTTGTCAAGTTGCAAAGTCTGTACCTCGAGCGCCGTTACAAACAGTGTATTGCTCTGTGCGAACAACTGCAGAGACCAGGGGTATGGCAACATTTCCATTTGTATGCTCCGGGCTGGGCAAAGTCTCATATTCTGACAAGTGAGCAGATACATCCCGTGCATGAGGTGTTCCTCTGCTTCTACCACGCGATATCTTACGAATCTCTGGGCCTGATAGCTCATGACTACTCGAGCAACAAGCTTCGATTCCTCGATTTTGCTAAAGAAAGTTACAATCTGGCCTTGAAGAGTCTCCCTCTTCCCTACGTATCTACCGAGGCGGGCAAATACGAGCAAAATGCACATTCTCCCCTTGCTTCGGTGTTCGCAGCACCAGCCTTGCACCATGTGAACGCAGGGATCCAGGATACGCCGTCAAAGATACTCGCGTCTGGACTGGTAGAGTCTGCCTCCGCCTGCAGTATCTACTCGACGGACAGCATGATATCAGAGCCATACACTGTTCTCGATTCAAGCACACCGTCGTCGTCGTCGAGCAAAAAATATGACCCGACAACGCCTAGAGCGCAGGGAGCACTGAAAAGTCTCGAATCTGACCATCTCAGAGTCCCAACTACCCCCGCGCCACACAAGTCACGACTGAGCCAAAGCATGAGTCTGGAGCATCAACTAGCTGACGATCTCGTTCCATCACCCTTGTTCAGTCGAAAATCGAAGCAAGCGCGCATCACCGAATCGGTCCCAGACGTCACGCATCGCCCACTCCCTCCTCTGCCGTTTGGCCATCAGTCCAATTTCGAGGTCCGCGGCTCGCGCATCGTGCAAGTCCTGCGCAAGACTGCGGTGGATACTCTCATTGCGCAGTATGAAGGATGCTTGCCTCTGTCACCGTCTCCCACGCAAACACTCTCACCAACGGTCCACCGAAATGCCGGGACAGTAACTGAGTCGCCCGTGACGCCACGTTTCAGAGCGATTCGCGACGCATTCACTCCCAATCCTGTCAACGGGAATCTCGAAGCCTATCTCTCCTCACCTGATCTGTCCGAGTACAACGCGTCTCTCGCAGATTTCCGCATGCAACTGCGCAACCACATGATCTACTTGGACAAAGAAATAAGTCGCGTCCATAAAGCTCAGGTCGAACGTACTGCGACGAAAGCGCTGTGCAAGACTAGATTCGCGAGTTTCTGGTCCTTTGAACATCTCGCCAACACTCCGAAGCGGAAATGTCGTCCTCTACAAGACATCGACGCAACTTCCAGTCCAGACTCAGGAGTCAAGATCACGGGTGAAAACGAGCCTCGAGCCCAAGCAAGCAACGAGAGGATCGACAAATTGCGACTTGAAGGATGGCACGTTCGAAAAGAAGACCATGGCTTCAAAGGGGTGCAATGGTACGAGGACCTCAGCAGGCGTGTGGAGACCGAGCTTGCTGCTGCGGCTAGGAAAGCCAGTGGCACGGGCTGAGCCAGATCTGCCGAAGAGAAGAGTGCGGTCCACGTCCTCTCATGGAACCGCGCATGAAACTCATCAATCCATGCCCTCACGTTCTGAATTCTGTTTGCTGATTGTCTACTGTTGGCAATAGATAGCGTGATGGCAGCTAAAAGGGAAATGAATACGAAGTATGACCTGACTCCTTTATCCTTAATCACGGTGAAAAAATACTGCACAAAAAGTTGGTGGGAACGTAACAGGAGAGAATGCGTTGTGTTCTCAGACCAAGAGCAGAGAACAGAGAACAAGATCGAAGCAAGGGGACTGTCGATGAATGTCATATGGCGCGTGTGGAGTCCCGAGGAATCTAATATACAGCACGTCTGCATCTTCTGCGCTCAGAGAGTGTTGCCCTAGGGGGAGTGGAATATACGAAGGTTCAACGATGACAGCAGCAAGATAGAGAAAATGGAGCAGATAAAGCCAATGTGGCAGTCAAAGATGATGATTTGGAGAGATGATGATTTCAACTCATGGCTGTACCCATGCCCCAATCCTAGTTCGATTCCATCCATCATACTGTTGTAGCCCGTAGCCCTCTGATAAAAGATAAGAGTGGTAAAAGTAGAGTAGCCGCAACGTGGTAAATCCCCTGTCCACTGGACCATGTCCTAGGCGTCTTCCTTGAAAAAGTCCCCGTTTCCCTCTCCGCGTCTCCATTGGAAGGAACTTCCTTGAGACGCCACAAAAATGTCATAACTTCGTCATTAGACGCAACCATTGACAACACGTGCCACACGCTGCTCTCAACACCTCCGTCTTTGGTTTTTTTTAGTGTTTCAAGACGGGTGGAGTAGTGAATTGAATCATCGAAATCAAGGGCAAAAAGCATGCTAAAAATGTACATCGCATCAGAGAACGCCGCTGTTGGAGATTCTGTAGAGATTTGTTGTTGCCAATCTAATGTGATCTGTGTCTTCAATTCTTCATGTCGTAGTCGATGAAGTCGCTGTCGGTCCAGGCTGCGTCGAACATTGGATCGTTATCCAGGGTAGCAAAGACCTCAGGCCCACCAGGAAATAAAGTGGCACTGGCAGCGGCAGGGTTCGAGAAGGCATTGCTGCTTTCACCACCGAAAAGTGAGAAGTCGCCAGAAGGAAATTCCGGATCATGTCCCAGAAGAGGAGTATCGGCGAACTGCTGCCTGGATGGACCAGCAATCATGGGAGAATGGTCAGAGATGGACGGATTACGCGAATGAGGCTGAAGGAAGGAGCCTGGCGTAGGCAATCCCGAGTTCCACGTCGTGGGATCGCAATCCATGGTGATATCCATCGCGTTGCTATAGGGAGACGGTTCCGTGATGTTGCTGTAGGCCGGCGTGATAGGAGTTGTCATCATGTTATGAGGGGTGATGGGAGTGGTATTGGTGGGGGAAATGTAGGCCCGAGCTGGCTGAAAAGTATGGTTGAATGGGGCAGAGTTGAAGTCAAAGTCATCCATCTGGTTGGACGACATGGATTGAGCCGCTCGTGGGAAGATTGGATTTGAATAGGTGACGGGAGCTTGCTGATAGGCGTCGAAGGTGTTCGCTGGCTGCTCGAACGGGGTTGACACGCTGCCTGCGAGACTGCCTCCAAGCGAGCTGGCATCGTCCCAGGTCCTGGTCGAGACAGCCGGACTGGAAGAGTAATCCATACTGGGGGTTCGAGGGGTCTGCGCCGGTGTCATCTTGGTCGAGCCAGCCGAGCCAGCCGAGCCAGCCTTATCCTTGCCCTTGGCACGCTCGTAATGCCAACCATGTTTCTTCTCCTGGTGTTGCTTGCAGTTGCTTTCACGCTTGGTTCGAAACTCGCAAAAGTCGCACTTGTAGAAATGCGGGTCTTTCGCATGCTTGTCGTTGAAATGACGTTCACGCTCCTTCTCGGTCGGGAGACCCATCTCGTGGTACTTGCAATCTGCGTGCGGGCACTTGAAGGGACGAGAATGTGTCTTCTCGTGTTTAGCCAGATCACATTTGCGGGTGAAGGTCTTGTCGCAGGTCTTGTCGTGGCACTTCAACTCCACGATCTCAGGAATATACCCCTTCTTCCTCCGGGCCATAGATCTGGCCACATCTTCGTCCAAAGCATCGCTGCTTTGTCGTTTCATGCCAGGCGTCGGCTCGTACGGCAGGCCTGTACGGAGGGAATAACCTTTTCCATTCTTCCAGCGGACGAGCTCGGCTTCATTGCCAGTTTGACCTAGGCCACCCTCCAAGGTGACCTCGTCATCGGCGGAGAAAGCCATATCGTCGTCTTCAACAGTTCCAGCCTGCTGAGCACGAGATGAGGACCCAATGTGGGAGGCAAGTCGATTAACTTGCTGGACCAGATCCAGGAAATAGCCGTTGTCGTAAGGGCGATCAGCGGCACGTCGTTGATCTGACTCAGAAAGATGTTGATATGTATCAACAACGAGCTGAACGGTGAACTCGCCAAAAACGCGGTACAGCTCTCTTGAGATGTCAAGCGTCTTATCGGCAATGTCAGAACGTGGTAAACGCCGAGAAATGACTGTGCTTACCAATGGCTGGAAAATGAAGCTGCGCTCGAGATCGCGCAGGCACCGAATTGTCTTGTTGGCCTTCGATCCCAAAGCAGTGACAAGAGGATGAAGTTCTTCGAATCGATCTTCGCGAAGTATAGGAGTGATGATGAAATCCTTGATCTTGCTGCGAGCAGAAGAGCTGAGTGACGGATGTCGTGCGGAAGACCTCAGAGACGGAGCAATACTCTGGGTAATGGCAGAGGGAGTGAGGGCCGATGGAGATTTGGTGGCGGGTGAGCTGCTTGTTTGCCTGAGGCGTCGAGATGTTGAGTCTAGCTGGTCAGCTTCTGTGGGCGAATGGTTAACATCTCCACACATCACAACACATCGGGCAATCCAACCTTGAATCAAGTCTTTGACCAGACCGTCTTCTTCAGAGGTGTTTCCCACAACCTTCTCCGCTGGGTCACTGATGGAAGTTCCTAATCCACTATCCTTGTTTGACAACAAGTCCAAGCCTCTCTCAAAGGACTTGGCTAGGCCTTTGTCGCTTGCGGGGCTGATCGATGAACCAAGTCCCTCGTCAGACGGTAAAGACACCCGGAAGACCTGGTGCTCGAAAGCTTTCGCTGACCGTCGTCGAGTTGATGTCTTCTTCCCACGTGCACCCGAAAATGTTTGCTCGAAGTCAACGATGGACTGAGTGACGTCTTCTTTTTCAGAGAGCCAGCTGGTGAGGGTCGCCGAGGAGCATGTGGGAGAGCGACGAGTCAAGTGAGCAATGCTCAGGACCGGATCGTCAGCCGTGGCAGGCGACGATGACTGGTGGAAAGTTGCACCCTTGGACAGGGACATCTTACGAAGAACGCATGCTGATGACTCCGGTGAAGCGGGTGGTGACGGAGGAAGATGTGTGGTGATGAGTCGATGAGAGCGACGATGAGCGAAGGGTTTTGGGGGAGGTGGCATAGCAAAGGAGGACATGGTTGGTATATCAACTCTCGAACAAGCCGGGGAAAGACGCAGATGACACGCAAGGTGCTAGCCTGGAGTTTAGCACCCGGTTTATTGGCTGGTTCGGTGCAGTTCCCAGTGGCTTATGACTCACTTGTACCGAAGAGCGTGCACCGACAATCTCTCAAGATGTATGAAACCGGAAGTCGACCGTACTCACAGTTGTGGAGGTTCTTTCGTGTTTTGTTTTATATTCGCAGCCGTTCGACCCGGTACGGCCTGTTGGATCTCTCGATTGGTCCTGGTCCCTGCCGTAGAGCACATTCAATGCTCTATGCCGGATGAAATGAGGAGGTTTGGTGCGTGACCAGGGAGGGGAGCGTGAGGCGTGTTCGGTGGGGTTGAACGGAATCCCCGTGGTAGTTGGGCGCAACAATAGGCTGGTTCGTGGAGACTGAGAAGTGCACAACAGTTCGATGGCGCGAATAGATGTGCAATGGAATCGAGAATGGCCGTGATGATCTTGACGAGGAATGAGATGGAGGTGGGAGGTACTGGGTGTCGACCGCGAGGATACACCTGAGGCCAGCGTGGCGAGACTTCAGCAATCTCTTTCTCCCGTGGCCGAAATGACCTGATTGAGGGAGAGAAAGAGGATTATGATCGCGGAAGGCAGAGGCAGAGAAGGAGATGGTGATGGTAGAATGAGTCGAAGGCGTGAGTGAGTCGTCGAGGTTGATGACAGCCACTTGAAGTTGGAGCAGATGATACTAGTACAGAGTGATGCCTACTTTGCCAAGCCGACGGTGGACAGGGGTGCGGGACGCCGTTGGCACCTCTTGCACGGGGTCTTTTTCCTTCGTTGCACTTCCAGCGTGGCGCGGGCGGCTCGGAGCCTGCAAGAGTGGAAGCCGGAGAGCTGTCAGTTTCTACACTACGACCGCATACTGCACAGCGAGAGGTCGGCCGAGTTATGTACCCTTGATGCACCCCATTCTCGGTCGTGAGCACCCTGGTCATCGGCCGTAACCTCTCTCCAGACTCCGACCAGCCGACGATTCGGACCCTTCTCGCACGGGAATGGCGTTATGAACGAAACCGCAGTTCGATGAGAGCGCGGGAGGATCTCTACAAGATGTCGCCATGCAATAGGTCATGGCAAGAGGGGGATCAGGACCTGAACATTGATTATGAGCAGAGGCGGCCAGTAAACCCGGCGAGTATACTTGTGTATGGTGGTGAGAGTCGTGGATGACAGATCTTCACCACGCACAGCACTGGCACCACCCTGGGACGTGCTTACCACTAGGTACCACTACTCTGTACTAAACTGCAGAATGCGAGATACGATGGAAACAACGCAAGATGGAGTCCTGTGCATGGCAAATCAGCCTTACCAAAATATCCCTGCTATTATTCCTCGTCTGCAAGGAACAGGCATATATTTAGTCACGTGGGTCCGGCTCAAATATTGGGCCGTCCCCGCAACCACAAAATGCTAATCATCAGATTTCAGGGAACTTGAATCGCATGAAGCACTGTGATCAATACGTCCCTCCAGAGCCCGAGTCTCTTCTTTCAAGCTCGACTGCGAAACATCTACTTGCTGGGACGGTTTGAATGGCATTGGTATCTGTGAGATGGTCCCGTGTTGCAACAATATTCAACTGTCTCCCGAGTTCTCCCATGGAGCATGCGTCACATGGGACACCGCATGGCACGCCTGAACTTCCTCCAGCACCTTTATCCGCCAACCGCTGTGTTTCTACCATAGCTGTCCACATTCATCGGTCCATCCTATCCGCCCCTGTCAAACCCTCCGAGCGTCATGCGATACGTGCTCATGGTGGTTGAGAAAAAAAGACAGTCTGGCATCATACTCAAAAGTCCATTGGGGATGGTCTAGCGTTGCGACAAAGGTGTCTTTTTACTCGAGCACCTTCGGAACAGGTTACTGGTTCCGCGGGAGTTTGGACTCTGCACTGCCTCAAGGAAGGCTATTGGAGAGTCAATTGGTTCACGCGGCCTCTATCTTCACACCACGGTTATTGTAACAAGCTCAACACCATGACGGCGACCTCCAATCATGTTACCTTACGATGCATCTTGCACGGAGTCTCATCAATTGACAAGTCGCGACAGGATACTAGTCCAGCGACAAACAGTTGCCCCTGGCAGATGACTCATGGCCGTGGTCGCTCTACAAGTCTCTAGCGCACCCGGTTTTCTATCCATCACCAATCGTAGCTCTTTATACGTCCGCAACGAGCCTCCTGGGCCGTACTCTGCTGGTCTCAACCAATCGCCGTACAATGCTCACTTGATCCGTGCAGATGATCATGGCTCTGAGGATCCTTGTCCTGAAAAGCGCTCTATCACCAATATCCGCTCACATACAACCACACGACGATCATGCATCTTTCTATCTTCTATGCGTCGGAGTTAGCACTGCAGGTCCGGGTCATGTTGCAACAGGGTGATCATCCGACACAATCCATCCTCCGATGCCCAGAATGCCTCCCTCTTCGCTTTCGCTGTCCATGCTCCACTTCCTGACGGGAGTACATCCAAGGTCTGTTCGATATCCGGCCTCGAACATCTCCATTCCCGCCCATGCAATCATAGCCGCATTGTCGGTGCAGAGCTCTACGGGCGGAAATACCAGTTCTACATGTCCAAAGGATCGTAGATCAAGCATTCGTCGTAGATAGTAACGTAGGAAGTCGTTGGCAGCGACACCACCGCTCACTACCAGGGTCGAAATCTGCACACCTTGATCGCGGAGTTTCTCCAATGCGAGCATCGTTCGAGAGCCCAAATGCTCGAACGCCGTTACCAGGGCTGCTTGTGCGAGCAGCACGCGTTCCTCCCCCCCCATGGTTGTCCTACTGCCTTGGCTCTCACGGTCATGCAGTACAGTTTTGACCTGGCTGGCAATGGAGGCAAAGCTGAAGGCGGGTGTTCTGCTTTTGGACATGGGCGTGACCAGATTCCAGCCGTATTTATTCACGGGCTTTTGCAGCTCTTCATGGCGACTCCGTGGTATACTCCATGAACCGTAATCGTCCGCACTCTTGAACGCGTATGCCGAAAGATACTTGCCATAAGAAGTATCAAGTGTCCCTTCCTGCAGCTGCTTGGGCAATATGAGGCGGCCACACTTGTCCAACTCGTCTCCAATCGCAGTATCTGTGGTAGAGGCCAAAATCTCGTGCTCCACCAGCCCTTTCGAGTAGAGAAGCATTGTATGGCCGCCGCTGACCAACAACGTTAGGAATGGAAAGTCCGGTCTCATTTTATCCTTAACACTCCGTTCCTGTTTCTGCAGCGAATTGACAAGTCTCGGTGTCAAGGCATGTGCCTGCATGTGATGGATTCCAACCATTGGGACCTGCCATGCCACAGCAAGAGCTTTGGCAGTATTCAGCCCCACGGCAAGGTTCACTGGCATTCCTGGGCCCCGTGTCACGGATATGAAGTCTGGCTTTTGTCTGACACTTCCATCTCGAAACCAGAGTTTCTTGAACCCGGGTGTCTCACCAGAAGCCACTGGCAGCGACGACAGAGACTTGTCGACCAGTTTCGCGAGGTGCGTGTCGTGGCTCTTCAGTGCTTCGACAGGGACAATACCTCCCTTACCAGTGTTTTCGGCCGTGACTTTCTCGTTGAAAAGGAGGTTGGCTCTTCCGGAGGGCGAACGCTGGGGGCTTTTGCATTTTGAGAGGATCGCAACGCATGTGTCATCGCAGGAGGATTCGATCGCCAGTGTCAGGAGCTTGCGCCGCAGAATCGACGAGAAGGAGGACGCCGAACATGTTGCTGAGACATGCTTCAGTCGACAGGGACCATGCAGCATGGACAGAAAGCACAGCAATATTAACCTCAAGGCCTATCGGTCTGCTACGAAAAGCGGCTGATCATCGAAGCAAACCCAGAGCGCAAGGAGCGTGGTACGGTGGAGCACGAGGCCCCAGCGGTAATGTTCAGCCTTGTCGCTTTATAGCCAAATGCTCCGCTGCTCCGCCAGCCATGGTTACGACTCCAGTATCGTGATGCACAAGATTGCAAATCAGAGGCCTGCGAACCGAAGCCGTGTGCAAGGGGGTAGGGCGGGTTTCACACAGTTCCAAGTAGGGACACGTCGAGGGATTGCGTCAACGACCAGTTCATGACTTGGACGGTATTGAGTTCGAGATCAGCTCATCCGGTCACGATGTTCGTCTTTGCAAACACAACTGCTATCATCCTGGATCTGAGGCTGGACTCCGAACGCCATCCGACCAATGTTCCAGATCTCCTTTCCATCTACTGCCAGAAGACTGCAACCATGCCTCTGCTGTATCTACAAGGCCAATAACAACCCAATGACTGCTGCTTTTCCATACGATGCGCCTCCAGCATTGGGTTGAAGCCATTTTGCCTCACCTGAAAATGTCAAGCCGATCCTTTCCTTCTCCCTTACGTACGATGCTTGTGTATGATATTGCCAACACGGCCGGGATTGCAGACCAGCGGGGGGTTTTTTTGCGTTCTGGAAAATCTGCTCGTACTTCTTCACGCCTCGCAGCAGTTTTGAAGCCCACCGTCGTCTCCTGTCTCACAACCATGTCTCTCTGTCTACCGGATCGAGATAACACCTCAGTCGAGGTCAGCCCGTTTAGGAGTGGTGATGGCCCAGCCAGGATAGCCAGCTTCGATTACGTTGCATGGCAGACGGTCGACGGTTGGCCCTTATGATTTAACTGTCGTATACATGATATACCACCGTCTCCCACGTCTTCTCTCAGTGTCTCCCCAGCACTTTCCGACTCTCATCAAAACAGTTTTCTTGGACACTCGTTTTGTACTTACACACTCGCTCACACAATGCATTTGCTATTATTTCATTACCTACAGTCGCTCGTTAACTTGGTGATATTTCTGGATCTCCTGTTCATACAGAATGTCAACGCTCTTGCAAGTGCAGACACCATCACTTGGGGCGGCTCCAACGACAGAAGCGGCTATCAGAACAACCACAACATGGATCCCACAGTGGTTGGAAGCGCTCAGTTCGGTCTACTATTCAAGACCAAACTTCCCGGGACTTATTCGATCAACGGACAAAATGTACCCGAGCAGATATTTTCCCAACCCTTGGTTTATACTGGCTCAGACGGTGTTCAATACCTCTATGTTGCAACCACACAGAACAATCTGTACAAGATCGTGGCAAAAACCGGTGTCATTGTGGCCTCGCGGAATATACATCGACCTTTCCTTGTGAGCGACTTGAATGGCTAGATGACATCAATCCAACAGTGGGTGTCACTGCAACTGGCGTCATTGATCCAGACACGGTATGACACCATGAGATCTACTATGATTAGAAAACTGAAGATGTGAGCAGGATACGTGGTACTTGACCTCCAAGACTTACATTGATCAAAGTCTGAATGGTGCTACTGGTCGTCCAAATGGTCGATACTACATCCACGCCATCAGTACAGTGGACCTATCTGAAAGACCGAAATTTCCCGTCAACCTGGAAGGCGTTGTAGCGAGAAATAACCCCCAGCGATCATTCAATGGCGGCATCCACCATCAACGTCCGGCTTTGCTCCATACTGGCAATTTTGTCTACGCCGGCTTTGCTAGTCATTGGTAAGTGACAACCTTCCATCCGCATCTCCTTCTTGGGCCTCTTCTACAGAGGTGGAAGTCCACCTGCTTGTACAGTGAATGATAACTTCTCGTGCAGCGTTCAATGGAATTTCACTGGCTGGATCGTGGGCTGGGACAAAGGCACTGGCCAGCTCGTGGAACGGTTCGCCACAGAAGGCGGTAAGCCAAGCTTAACATACACCATCAGTGCTCCATGAAGTCATTGTTCTGACTTCTGTAGCCGGTGTCGGTCCGGCCACTCCTGGTGCGGGCGTGTGGATGTCAGGTGGCGGTCTTGCAACCGATGGCAAGGGCTCCATGTTCTTTGCTACCGGAAATGGGTATGCTTCCCAGCTCAACGGGATTCCGGTCAACGGAAGAAACCCGCCTACATATCTGGAAGAAGCGGCTGTGCATATGGCAATCAACGATGATGGTTCTCTGACTGTTGTGGACTTTTTCATGCCGTGGGAGAAGACGCAGCTGGATGGGGCTGATAAAGGTAAGGTCTGATCTGTGAGATCAAACGAAGCTGCTAAATTCGAACAGATCTCGGAACATCGCCCTTGGAATTACTCCAAGTCAATTCTCCTGTGGTGACATCAAGCGAATGGGTGTTGTCACCGGCAAGAGTGGCAAGACTTATTGGCTCAACCTGGACAATCTTGGAGGCTATCAAAATGGCCCCAACAAGCTCGACAATGTGATACAGGTCTACCAGAATGAGAACTCTGTTTATGCCGGGGCGGGTGTATACCCACTGGAAGAAGTTTACATCTACATCAACGTCATTCAGTACCAAACCCACGTCTTTAAATTCCCTTGCAACAACGGCGTTCCATATTTCAACAAAAGTGGCAGATTCCCCAGAGAAGAATGCATATATACTGGGAGTTGGGCATGGTACAGTGACGTCGCTAAACGACCAACCCGGGAGTGGTTTGGTGTGGACGTCGGACGTGGAAGGCTCAAATCTACGAATTTACAACGCCGTCCCAAGCAACGGCGTTCTGCAAGAGATCAATTCGTTTGTTACTCCAGGGACAACAAAATTCACCAGACCTGTGTTCGGAGATGGCATTGTATATCAAGGGACCACTGTGGGATACATTTATGCATACGGAGCACCTGTCAATCTACCCTTGAACTGTACAACTCTTCAATTCGGCACCGTCAATCTCAATGCAACAACTGCTCCCATGAGCGTGAAATGTACAGCCAACACTGCAGTCACGGTGACTGGGGCAGGACTCTGGGGGAATCCCAACTTTGTGATTGGCAGTCTACCGAACTTCCCACTCACTGTGGCCCCGGGACAATAATTCTCATTCCAGGCCACCTTTACTCCACAGACCGTGGGACCTTTGTCGTCGTCTGTCATCCTCAACACTACGCAGCAGGCAGCCGGATTCAGCATAAACACTCCTGTGCAATTGAAGGGCACCGGCCAGAGCCAAGCTCCTTTACTGATGGTCACTTCGAACACTGTCAGCTGGAATGGTGTTATCACTGGTCAACAGGTGGGCGGTGTTAATCAATCTGTCATCATCAACAACCTCGGAAATAGCGTCCTCAGCATCACCAACATCTTGTACTCTGTGGTCGGCGAGACCGGACCTTGGATCACGCCAAATGGCACGCAAGCAGCAACGGTCGTCTCGGCATTCACGTTCTATAACATGCCGCTCTCGGTGGGACCGAACAGTGCCGTGACCGTCCCAATCAACTTCAATCCGCCCTCCAGCGGCAACTACGGTGTGTTCGTCCAAATCGTGTCGAACGGAGGAACCAAGGTCTTCGATGTTCTTGCAACATGTTCCGATGAGCCGAAAGCTGTTCTGGAGTTTCAAACTCCCAGTGGAGCATGGGTACCTTACAACAGCACCACAGCATTTACGTTTGGAAATGTGACCGAGAACACGAGCCAGTATTTGAAGATGCCACTGACTAACAACGGCTCAGCGAATGCAGCAGCCTTGTCTGTCACCGTCAGAAAACCTCCTTTTGCCATCGCAGGAAGTATAATCGGCGCCAGCAATCAAGTCGACCTTGCCGATGGCACACTGGTGTATGCTGGACAGAATCTTACTGCCACTCTTTTCTGTTCGGTACCCAAGAGCCAGATCAATGTCGACCCCTACGTTGGGACTGCGCAGTGGACCATGAACCTCAACGACCCCAGCTTTGGGAAACAATACATCCAATTCGTCTGCAATGCAGTATCTGAACAAGCACCACCCTTGAATCCTATTACACAACAAGGGGTCTACCGATATGCTGGCTGCTTTACAGAGAACAACCCAGGTCGACAACTTCAGACAACTATCTACAGTGGCCCTCTCAACACCAACGAGCAATGCATTGCCAAGTGTGCCGCTGCAGGATATATTTTTGCCGGCACTCAGTATAACCAAGGTAAGCAAGTCCACTTTGACGGATGATTCTGCTAACCTCTACCAGAATGTTGGTGTGGCTATAATCGTCCCAAGACCATCAACGATGACGCCAACTGCGACTTTCCATGTACCGGTAATATCAATGAAATATGTGGAGGAAATGGCATCTCTGGCACCGGTTCCTTCATCTCGCTCTTCGGCGACATCACTCGTTGGAACGGCAACAGTACTGACATCCCCGGACCGTATGTCAATCCTGGCACTCTTGGATTCCAGGCCCTGGGCTGCTACACTGAAGGATCCCAATCCCGCGCACTCAACGTCCCGATCAACTCCAATACCACTGTGGCCGGCTGTCTTCAAGCATGTCAAGGGTATTTGTACTCTGGCGTGGAGTATGGCGGCCAATGTTTCTGTGGCAATACTTTGTCGACTGGTGCTGTCAGCACTCGAGCCTCGGATTGCAGCATGACATGCAACAACAATCAAACAGAGTATTGTGGAGGCCCAAGCCGTCTCAACATGTACATGTACGGCAACGGCAGTCTTCCCAGCTCGACACCCACGTCTCCTCCTCCTCCGCCACCCGGCAACCAGAATCCCACTCTTCCTGGCCCAACGGGCCCGGCAGCTCCACCCACCATTGGCAACTTCAGCTATGTCTCCTGCTACACAGAGGCCACCACCGGTCGGGCACTAGCCAGCTTTGCTTTGGCCGACGATAGCATCAGTCTCCAAACCTGTGCTAACAATTGCACGCAGTACAAATACTTCGGGGTCGAATATGGTCGCGAATGTTATTGTGGCAATGCCCTTGGTCTAGGTAGTGCTCCAGCTACCGATGGACGCTGCAACATGGCATGTTCAGGCAACTCGAGCCTTGCATGCGGTGGCCCGAACGGACTGACATTGTACATGAACCCAAACTGGACTTCCACTACGCCACCGCCGACTCCTACACCGTCTGGACCGCTCGTGGTTCCCACTGTTGGCAGTTTCCAGTATCTCGACTGCCATACCGAAGCGACGAATGGCCGCGCTCTGGCCGGAAAGGCGGTGGCTTCCAACGACATGACTCTACAATACTGTGCGGGAAACTGTACTGGTCCCACATACTTTGGTGTGGAATATGGTCGTGAATGCTATTGCGGCAACACTCTCGCTGTCGGATCTGTGACTGCCACAGACGGCCGCTGCTCCATGACATGTGCTGGAAATTCATCAACCATCTGTGGTGGACCGAACGGATTGACCATGTACCAGTTCATTGTGCAGTCAAGCTCGAGTTTGAGCAGTTCTACACAGAAGTCTACTAGAACCACGACAAGCTCTGGTACGCAATTGATTTCGACTTCAACCTTGCCATCAACCTCGCCATCAACCTCGCCATCGATATCGACATCGACTTCGAGGATCGTAAATACCCTTCAATCCTCGACGTCTTTGTCGTCGACCTCTTCCACCTCGTCAATCTCCAGCATGACTACTGTCATTTCTGCTTCTACCTCTATCACCACCAGCTCGATCCAAACCACTACAAAAGCTTCTTCTTGGTCAACGTCAATCTTGTTATCACCGAGCACTGTTTCCAGTGTTTCCACCTTGACGACATCCCATTCCACGACAAGGTCTACCTCCTCCTCCTCCTCCTCCTCCTCCTCAGCCTCAGCCTCAGCCTCAGCCTCATCCACTTCAACTTCGACTTCGTCATCTTCATCCGCATCAGCATCATCAAACCCCTACTATCCAAACATGTACCTCGGCTGTGCGGCCGAACCGTCCACCGGCCGCCTTTTATCGTCTTCCTCCATGACCAACTCCTCAATGACCATCTCAACATGCCTCACGTTCTGCTCGTCGCAGTCCCTCCCCATCACAGGGCTCGAATACGGCCGAGAATGCTACTGCGCGTCCACACTGCCCGTCGACACTCTCCTCACTGCATCAGGATGTACTATGGCTTGTGGTGGTGGTGGTTCTGTGGACACCGGCTCACAACCACAGTCAAGCTCCGGGCCCGAAATCTGCGGCGGTCGCTCCCGGCTCAGCATCTACAACAACACCGCCATCTCCGCTCCGTCCGCGAAACTGGTGGTCACAGATTAGGGCTATCAGGGATGTTATACCGATCCGTCGGCGGCGGAGAGAGCGTTGCAGGGGTATAGTACCAGTGCGAGTGTCGGTTCCAATGGCAGTGGCAATGGCGGTATGACTCAAGAACTTTGTATCTCGACATGTTCTGCCCGAGGCTACAAGTTCGCCGGCGTCGAGTATGGGCGCGAATGTTATTGTGGGAACGAGATTGGGGGTAAAGCTGTGCGCACCGTCGAGGGGGACTGTGGTATGCGTTGCGCGGGGGATAGGGATGAAGTCTGTGGTGGGAGTTCGAGGATTGGAGTGTGGATGAAGGGATGATGTGTGTCGACCGTTTTGTTTGTTGATTCATCCGTCCTGTTGGTTGTGGGATGTTGGTTGTGGGATGTTGGTTGTGCTTGGGACCTCTTCTGCTTCTTCATCTCCATCTCCATCTACTACTACTACTTATTTGCCGTTGTTTTCTTCCTGTCCTTTCCCTCCGATGGATCCTTCACCGTTGGGATGGATGTCTTTATCTACTACAGAGACTTGATCTTCACTTACTGTGTAATGATCCCTTTCCTCTTATCCCATCATAGTCTTCTTGTGTCAATGTGTCTTCATGCCTCACCGGTCCAGTCGAGTCGAGTCAGATTGCTTGACAACCTATGCAGTGTCTTCAACGAGTTCTTGGTAAATCAAAAGTCACCCAGACAAGAAGAATGCTCGGCATGCAAGTTTAACGCGGCGGCAACGTAATGCTCGAACCGCCAACAGCTCCTGTTCACACGAGAGAGAAAGAGAAACCACACCAGGAGCAATGGTAAAAAATATAGCAGTCTCAGGTTGTTATGGATCTGGATCTTGCTGGATATGAATGTCGTTTTCGTTTTCGTTTTCGTTTTCTTTCTTCTTGTCAAGTTCGCCCTCGCTCTCGCCCTCGCCCATCAATTTCATCGCAAGGCATTCTGTACACAAACCCCAGGCTCCGAATCGCGTGTTCTCCTTCCTCTCCTTCTGGTTGCAACAGAAGACACTGATGCATGATCCCGAGCACAACGTTCCAAACACAGTCTTCGCAATTCTCTCTTCAAAACAATGATGCGATCAAAGACCAACCACCGCCAGCAATCACTCCAATTCAATAAGCAGGGCAAAGAAGTAAACATGGTATCTCAAGTGACAAGACTCAAAATGTCCCAAATATGAAGTCCCAACAAAACAAAACGTAGCAATTACATCCATCTCGTTACTTCAGCACCCGACGTGAACACAGCAACCACAGCCTTGTGGAACAGCATAAGAGAAAATTCCTGATCTCTATAGGGTGTTGTTATTGCCCTTTATGCCACTTCGCGTGATGCAAAGGCGTGTGGATGCTCGTCGTCGGTCCCGTCCTTGTTTGTCAAACTCCAGCCTCAGATATCAACCTCAAGCTTTCAGCACGGCCTTTTCATCCAGGAAGGGAAAAGAGTTGCTCGTTTTTGCCAAAGGCCGCTTGACACGGAATACAGCATCTTGGTCTGTCATTCGTCGTCCCAGGGCCCTCTCCACTTTCGCACCCAGGCTCAATTTGCTCAGGTCGTCGGCCTTCTTCTGGCTAGGCACGAACCGTTGTTGTTGTAAATGTTTGTTTTCCAGTCGATCAAGACCTTGAGTCAATTGCCTGATCTCGGCCATGCCGGTCTCCGCGCTCACCGTCATGGTTTCTGCTGCCGCCGAGGGCAGAGTAACGGTGTCAGAGCAGGTGGTGGATGTTGTCGCGAAACTCGGTGAGGCCGAATATGTGGAGTATCGCTTCGATGTGCGGTTGGAAATGAGCTGAAGGAAAGACAAGAAGTCAGCCATCTTGTACAGAGTTGTTGTCTTTTTGTTATGTTGCACTGAAACAATGGAGCAGAGGAAAGAGCCTGAGACGTACGCTTGGGGCCATTATAGGCCTTTGGGATTCAAGAGATCTGCGTGACATGACGGCGGCTTGTGGACGGTATGGTCGTCCTGGCTGCGAGTTTGTAGTGTCCGATGCCCACCTGACTCGATAAATAGTATATATGTGGAAGTCAAAGCGTCTTCCTAGCAACTATGGCGGCTGAACCGTGCTCTTGATTTTCCAACGTTCCCGATTCAATGGTACCCAACAATGGTGCAAGAAGAATCAACCCAGCTTCCGAAAAGGAGTGATGAGGCTCAGTCTTCCAACAAGAGGATTTCCAGAAGGCCACAGGAACCGAGGTTAAGCGTCAGGAACAGAGCGTTGACCACCGGTGTTGTTCTTGTCACTCTCCGCAGGTCTGTTTGACGGCAGAATGTACGTTCAAAGACGCCGCCCAGCAAAACTTTGCTTGTTGACGCTGGAGTGCGCCCGCTAAGTGGGTTTCCGTGTGGAAGGGGATAGAGCCGGGAGTTGAGGGCCTGGGGACTCGCGATAATCAAGATGGAAGGGCGAGAGGAGAAGAGGAGGATTCGGTCAAAGACAGTAATATTGGTCTCGAGAGCTGATGGTGTGAGCTGTAGGGGGTGGGATCTTGTATATACACATGTACGGGGGATTCCGTGTCGTGGTCAGGCGGTGAATGGCTGTGTGGCTGATGTATTCCGATGCTTCCAATGGCCTAATTTCCACGGCTGGTTCTGGCCACAGGGAGACCGTCTGGATGACTGGACGGATACGAAGAAAGAAGGATAAGAAGCTCGAGGGACAGGAGGGACAAGGGCGAAATGACGAAAAGAGTTAAAGACAAAGAATGCTGCAGCGGTGTCTGATGTGAGCAGGACGAAGGGGGTTGTTGTTGTTAGTGGAAGAATGGAACAAGGATTTGTGACTGCGGCAGAACTGCAGACGAGAAGTGTCAGTGTTTACAAGGATGCGTAGTATGTACAGAATACCTTAGATACAAGATACGGGAACCACAGCCATCAGACCCCAATGCCCCTGGTGTGGGTTCCTTGGTTGCTTCTGAGTCGTTATTGAAGGAAGAGCTCCCACCCCGGCACGGACGGACTGTTAGACCGCCGCTGGTGACCGCAGCCTTAGGAGCCGTTTCCACGGCACGCTGTGGCTCTGTTAGCCCCCGTCCCACCTGGTTCCAGGCCCCCAGCCACGGGGGGCTAGGCTCCTCAGGCTCTTTGGGCTGCCTTGGGCTTGCCTGAAGCCTCTATAACAGGATATCGTCCAGGGGACAGCCCCTAAGCTAACAAACCTGTCTCCCAATAATAATGCACCCAACGCCCTTCATCTCTCTTCTCCATCTTCACATGGGCGAATATGCTAGTAGACACTGCAGATCAACCACTGCACGACACGACACGACACGAGGTGCAGTGATGGCTAGCTGCACATGAAAGCGTCCTTGCCTGTTCAGCCACTGTCTGATCCCATCGTCAAATCCACGTGGCGACAGGCTGGAAACATGGAAGCGAAGCTGCACTATTTGAATCGCCCTTTCGAATTCCTCCTATCAGGCTTGCCTTTAAGCTACCGCCCTCCCTCCTCTATCGTTCCGAACTCGCCTATCCGTCAAACTATTCGCATGTTCTCCCCTCATGGCCAGGTCCAGATCATATTATGACCAGGGCCATCCCTCTGCTACGGGGAGTACCTACTCATTCATGAATCACAGAACAGTTCTACCTACCTACCTAGGCATCCGGTACTTTCCGAGCGAAGCATCGTTGTTCGAAGAACATACACAATAATCAACCCCGACGCAGCCTCGTGTATCGATACCTTCCTTGTTCTCCCCCTATGCCGAAGCCAAGCGAGATCGCACTCCCTCCCCTGTATCTTCGAACTCCACGTTATCCAAAGGCAGAACCTGTTTCAGGTCTCATGATGGCCTCCCTGTCCCTGAGGTGCGAGGATATATACGTGCATTACTAGGGAAGAAGGGCTGCCGGTGCACGTAGTAGTCAGGTCCGTGATCGCTGGTTTGACTAATAAAGGGGCCTTCAAGATTCGAGATGGCTGTCTCTCATCTTAGCAAGCGAATGTACATCGCAGACTTTGTAAGCGTGTTTCACTGCATGCCACCGTCCAGGATGCGCGATCCTTGGTGTTGAAACATGGGTGACGGTAGGTGGTCCCCAGTCAGACCGTGCTGGGCTGGACTTCTTGTTCGGGGGATGCTCCTGACCCCCGTGGCTCTACAAAACGAGCATGGTATGTCTGTGCGTGTTGATCTAGACAACTACGACCGTACTTCCTTGCATCTATCACACTATTCTCCATTTTGCCCAGATAGGTTGGTCAGTCGCTGCAAACCTGTGTGAGAGGGACGCGCGCCCTGAATTGGTGATGATGTCGTGGACTGCCGCTGGATCAACAGACTTTCGGCCTCGAGGTGTGAGGAGGAGGGCCCGTGGGCGCAAACTATTGTCCAACCCCTTGTTAAGCGGAAGTACAAAATCTAGTCAGGGGCGAATTGGATCACTTGGAAACTACATGCGTAAGTAGGTGGCCGTGCCCAGATGTCGCCCGACTTGGAGGGAGCACGGCTGTGAAGTGACGGATATAGGTACTTTAGTAGTACTACGTATGATCAATAAGTCAACCACTGCAGGGAAGCGAGGGTGGCAGCAGCCAGGCAGTCATAGGCTCTTGGCCGAAAGGATGGCAACAACTCGAACCGAGACATATAGAAAGTATATACGGCTGGTGTATATATATATACCTAGGTCTATATCCATGTCAGACTATCGATGTGTCGAGGGATCCTAAAACCTTCCACAGTACTATTGGCATCACTGGCATGGGTGTTGCCTCTCGCTGCGCTACAGTTGGGTGTGAGAACTTCAAGTTCCACACAGTCCCTACTCTACCTCAAGGTTAAAGCATTCATGTTGGGCCATAAACTGATCACCCAGCTGCTTGGTTCTAAGCTCCCAACCCCAGGATGGAAAGCGGAAAATGAAGCCAAGAAGCAAGCCTCCTCAGCCCCTTGAACCCCTTGAAAGGATGCCGCGTCATTCGCATGCAGCTGTCATGACAGAAGTGCACGCACTGGCATCTTGTTTATGTGTTGGATGTGTGGATGTTCTGGACGTTGTTGCCTGTGTTATTATCACCTACTAAGCTGCCTAGGGTGACGTTAGTACCTTACTATCGGACTACGTGCTAATCCACCTTATCGCACTAGATAAGACCGATAAGGTCGGTACTAGTAGGTACTAGTAGGTCGGTCCCTTTAGTTAAGGCTCGCAACTAGATTTCCGTGCGGAGTTAATGCTAGTGCGTACTAGTACTAGTATGACTCTGTAGACGTACGCAGCTGCGCCTTCATGTTTACTCTGTAACAACAACCTGCCACTTGACATTGATTCAACCAACCCAACAACACTCTGTAGCCGTATGCATCTTGTCCCACCCGGAGCAGATTCGGCCATGGTACTCTGGAAAAGAGAAGGAAGATGAAGAAAAGGAAGATGAAGATTCAGATGTTGTCCCTAAAACCATCGCTGCTAAGTGCTCACCCCATCCGGACGAACTCTTAGTGCCCTGTCAGGAGAACAAGAATGGTACAAGGCTGAAAAGAAACGGGACTTGCCTTCTGACAGACTCATGATATTCGCCCGTTGAGTCCCCAAGCCAACGCAGTTTCTACCGCCAATCTCGTTTAGTGAGGAAACAGGCCATGACTCAGGAGAAGAGTGGCCCTGTCGGCCTGACGACCTACCAACTGCCGCTTTTCTCTATATCAGCTCCAGACACACCACACACTACCGTTCACGTTCATGTTCACGGGCCAACTTGGTTTGCGGGACTTCATTCTGGAGAAAACCTCCGGCCATAATGCGCAGCTCTCGTTTGGGACCAAGTGACCGTGCTGGTCGGTGGACGATGGGTCTTGTGAAATCAATATTGCCCCTGGGTTCAAAGTATGAAAAGTAAGTAGGTGTGGTGTTGATTGCTTCTCCCTCCTTCATTCATCTGCTGTTCGTTGATCCTTCATGGGTCGATCATTTTGTTCCCATCGCGTTGCGAGAATTTGATAGAACATCACTCCTATCCACGAGCTTGGATCTTAAAGCTTCGCCGGTCGTTATTTTGTTATGATACCCTTCACCATGAGGAGGATGGCTATTTGCACACGCTCTCTGTTGCTTTTCGGGCTCGCGTTCGTTACCATCAACGCCCAAGCAGTCGACCTTGGAACAGCTGCGCAATTTGCAGTCCTCGGGGCTTCGGCCGTGACGAATACTGGGGCGTCTGTCCTCAATGGCGATCTAGGAATATATCCTGGAACTGCGCTCAGCGGCTTCCCACCAGGCGTCGTCAACGGCGACACACACAACGCCGATGCAGTTGCCCAGACTGCCCAGAACGATGCAACCGCTGCCTACAATGTGGCTGCTGCCCTTCCTTACCCGGCGGGCAATGATCTGACCGGCCAGGATCTCGGTGGTCAAACCCTTGTCCCTGGTGTCTACCACTATGATACTTCCGCCGGGCTCACCGGCACGTTGACTCTCGATGGCCAAGGCAACCCCAACAGTGTTTTCGTCTTCCAGATGGGAAGCACTCTTATCACTGGCGCTGGTGCTACCGTCGCGTTGACCAATGGCGCCCAGGCATGCAACGTCTTCTGGCAGGTGGGCAGCTCAGCGACCCTAGCCGCCGGTACTTCCTTGGTCGGAAACGTCCTAGCACTGGCTTCGATTTCTGTCGACTCGGGGGAGACAAACGCTGGCGGACTGTACGCCTTGACCGGTGCAGTGACCTTGATCGGCGACACGATCAATGCTCAACCTCTCTGCGCCAATAACCCGGCCGCTACTACCACCACCAGCATTACAACATCGACAGCCTTGCCTTCAACCACCACTCCAGTGGCTACCACTACGACCACGCCCATCGCCACTACGACCACTCCGGTCACCACTACACCTGTGGCTACAACGACCGTGCCTACGACGACTGTGCCTACAACGACTGTGCCTGCAACCACTGTGCCTGCAACGACGGTGCCTACGACAACAGTGCCTACAACGACGGTGCCTGCAACAACGGTGCCTACGACAACGGTGCCTACAACGACGGTGCCTGCAACGACGGTGCCTACGACAACAGTGCCTACGACGACGGTGCCTACGACGACGGTGCCTACAACGACGGTACCTACCACGACGGTACCTACCACGACGGTGCCTACCACGACGGTGCCTACCACAACTGTGCCTAGCACCACTGTGCCTACAACGGCCTCTTCAACTATCACAACATCCTCCTTGACGACCACCTCCTTGTCTACTATCTCCACCACGAGAACGTCCTCTTCTACTATATCCTCCACGACTAGGTCCTTGACGTCTACCACCTCTTCGACCATCTCCTCTCTGTCAATCTCTTCTACCACTGCCTCTACGAGCGGATCCACGAGCGGATCCACGACTACCTCCACAACTAGATCTACGACCAGATCTACGACTAGCTCGACGACTGCTTCCACAACCGTATCTACGACTAGCTCCACGACTGGCTCAACGACTGCATCTACGACTGCATCTACGACTAGATCTACGACTGGATCTACGACTGGATCTACAACTGGATCTACAACTGGATCTACAACTGGATCTACGACTGGCTCGACGACTGCTTCCACAACCGTATCTACGACTAGATCTACGACTAGCTCTACGACTGGATCTACGACTGGCTCAACTACTGCATCTACTACTAGCTCAACGAGTGGCTCAACGACTGGCTCAACTACTGCATCTACTACTAGCTCGACGACTGGCTCAATTACTGCATCTACGACTAGCTCGACGACTGGTTCGACGACTGGCTCGACGACTGGCTCGACGACTGGTTCGACCACCGCCTCAACTACCTCCTCCATCACTACTTTCGAAACAACTGCGTCCACCTCGACCACCGCCTCAAGTACCTCCTCCATTACTACTTCTGAAACAATCACGTCGACCTCCACAACCGCCTCCACGGCTATCTCCTCCACAACTACCTCCGGCATAACTACGTCTACATCTGCATCTACCACGACGTGCTATACCGAGGAGTCGTCGACCTCGTCTTCATGCACCAGCACTGTAACTTCCTACAGTACCACCGAGTTCTGCACCACGACCGCGAGTACAACGACCGAAACGCACCAGACTGAGTCTTGGGCCGAATGGACGTGGAGTCAATCATCGGAGTCTCATACAGATATCACATGCTCCACCACAACGGCGAGTACAGCGACCGAAGAGCACCACACTGAGGCTTGGGGCGAATGGACTTGGAGTCAAGCATCGGATTCGCACACCGATTTCACAAGCTGCACCACGACTGCGAGTATAGCCACCGAATCGTACGACACTCAGCCTTGGGCCGAATGGACGTGGAGTCAAGCGTCGGATTCGCAAACAGGGTTCACCCCGTCCACCACCCTCCACCCCACAGAATCACAGTTTCCGGCGCCGTCTGCGGGTGGCTGGGCAGAGGCAACAAGTGTTGTACAGTGCACTACTGTCACTGTCACTGTCACTGCCTCTGCTACTGCATGTGAAACGGGACCGCCATCGTCCATGATCACCGTGACTATCCCTGGCAGTGCAGCTGACAAGTCGTCGTCGGAGCCGGGTTGGGAAGACATGACTTTCACTCTCCATACAAGCCCTTCCGCATCAGGAACGGGAGACGACGAAGGTCCAACGATTGCGGCCGACTCTGGAGATCATATTGCGACGACGAGCACTGCTAGCCTGTCTTGGTCCGGCAGGATTTCGAGTTCGAGTCCGGCCTCGACTTCTCCCACTACTAGCCCAGTGTCTCCGGCATTATACACGGGTGGCGCGACGGTCCTTTCTTCTCCTTCTCCTCTTCTTATTCTTGGCGGGTTGTTTACCATGGGAATGGCCTTTACTTTTACCTTTATGTAATTTGTGCTATGAACCAACTAGCAGGATGGGATGGCACCGGAGTTTCTGCGAAGGGTTTCGCTTGCAAGTACCGCACCCGTGTACTGTTAGTACTAGTATGCCAACGTGCAGCAAAGGGAAAGGGAAAGGGAAAGGGAAAGGAACTCAGGACATTACTAGTTATATCAAGAAGTGTCAATGGTCTGATAATGCTAGAGATCCATGCTAGAAACTCCCGGATTCAAGTCCTGCCTCGCTCCAGATCACCGCACTCTCCTGACTGCCAGAAGATGCAGTGCTGAACTGCATTGTTAACCCCGCAAACTCTCAAACTCCCGTGATGTGCAGATTCGTCGACTCCCTCCAATCCAGCCGCCGAAGCTCTCAGTACTGTGTTATAGGTTGTGTAAAGCCTCTTTCCCCATGTTGCCACTGCACTTATCATCATCGTCATCATCATCGCATGACCTCAACCCCTATCCATAGGGGTTTGTCTCTCTCACAGATCAATCCTGCCCGAACAACGACATGTGCCAGCCCTGGGCCCAGTCGTTGATACTAGCGGTCAGCCCGCACGTTCGCGCGAGCCAGAAGGCAAGGCCCCCCATGACGCCGAAACTGCCGACGATTTGCAGGGCGATCCAGCCACGAGTGCGCACGCTATCTTGCCAGCGCAACAGGCCCAGTGGATCATGGATTTGATAGCTGGGAATGTCAGCACAACCATACAGCATACCGGCTTTCACGCCCTTCTCCATGAGAGCTTGTTGCTGCTGCTGCTGGTGCGGCGACAAATGGTCGTGCGGGAGGACGCGGCCGTCGCGGATTTCCTCGCCCATCCGCTCCACCAACCACACTGCTCGTTCGCCGCGGGCCAGTCTCTCATATCTCTCGCGTTCACGCTGGAGACTGAGTTGCAGCTCGCTGGCCCATTTGGACAGCCGGACTTGAGCCAGGCGCTCTTCTCGCTGTGTATGGTCTGCCACTTTCGCCAACGCCCAACTGTTGGAAGTGTTGAGAGACACGTCAGATCCTAGGGGGAGTAAGACGGCGGAGTTGCTGAGGGAGGTCTGCACCGGAGACGTCAACGTCGAGTTGTGCACCGACGGGAGTGACGGCGATGATACCGTCGTCAGTCTGGGATGCCGGGCATGCCATGCCACCAGTTTGCGCGCGGCCGTATGCCGCAGATAAGATACCGTTTCCGGCTCGAATATCTGTTCCACGAGCAGGCTGAGCTCCGAGGGTAAAAGAGGCTGGATATACTCGGGTGACATCAGCAGGGATGCATCCATCGTGTCGAGGTCTGGGCCGCTCGTGGATGTGACGGTGTAAGGCGCCGCCGTTGTCGCTTTGACCTCGGCCTCAGATATGAACGATACGGGGAGCCGAGGAAGAGCTGCAAGGCCAAGATCCAGGGCTTGTTTGAGCTCGTTTTGTTCGGCTCGAGAAAGGAGATCTGATTTGGCAACGAGCGGCACGACGTTGCACAACTCTGACAGCTGGCGAATCCGTTCGCAGTCATCCTCGATGTGGTCTGCGCACGCCGTTAGTCAGGAACAACTCCCTCAAGGGGTATTGGGCTTGACATACCTTTCGAGATGAGATATAGAATTACATCAACATGTGAAGACCCTCGCCCACTGAGCAATCCTGAGAACTCATTTGTAAGTCGATCGATCGATACCATGGCATTGACAAGCTGCTGCTCTGTGTATTGGATGATCCTGTCGAGTTTGACGGCGTCCGAGGTGTCGACAAAGCAGACATTCCTCTCCAACACGGAGTCGCCCATACTCTTCCTCCGTCGCAAGATACGACTTTCCTCGACATTGGACCACCAAGCCGGGTAAGGTTTGGTACTGGCGTACACTTCACTTAGTGTCTCCACGGGGCCATGGCCGTCACGTTGAGGCCCTTTTGTTGAACTCGACAATACCGGATCAACATGGACAATATCTTCACAGAGTTGAACGATCGACTTGATAAGAGAGGTCTTGCCGACACCTGAAAACGATTAGCGAGATGTAGGAAGCAGACTCAGAGCAACAACGTACCTTTGCGACCCGCTACCATGACCTTGAATCTTCCTAGTCGTTTCCCTCGATCAGTAAACGGCCGTCGACTCGGCATCGTAATACTGGGCATGATAAGCTCTGGCTGACTGTCCTGTACGACAGCGGGTGTTTCCCCCTCGTCTTCTTCGCTAGAAGCCACTGCCTGGCTCCCAGACTCGTCATTAGTCAATTCATCGTCGGATTTTTGAAGTGATCTCGAGGATGTGGACTTGGGGCTGCTCGGGAGAGAGACGTCTTGGGACGGTAGGGGAGATGGAGTGGTCCCTCTGTCCAGCAGCGGCTGTACGGCTTCGATATTGGTATTGGTACCGGCACTGGCGTTTGACGACCGTCGTCGAAAGTGTCCGTAGGCGCCAGGCTTGATGGTAGACCGTCTGCGGCTTCCACTCCTTGCCTCCGCTGGTCGCGGGCCTGTGTGCTTGCCTGACCGCTCCGCCTCTTGAATGGTGTCCTGCAGGCTGCTCACCACCGGGGTGGGTGACGGGGTGCCGCCGCTCCGGTCGTTCTGCATTCTGGATGCATCAGGGTCCCGGGACAGGAAGAAAGTGGTGGGAGATGTGCTGTAGCGTTCGCCAGACGGCGAGGGGGGGTCGGCGGCAGAGGCCTTGCGAGGACGGGGTTCCGCATTCTCCAGTCCAATCCCGGGCCTCATGGTTGGGACCTGGAGTGGAATGCAGACAATAGTGGCACAAGGATTCGGAAGAGGAGAGGTCTTGGAGCAAATGCTCTACGAGGCTGTTGTACATAGAAAGGAAACCAAGTCGAGCTGACAGTCAATACATATGTAGGTAGTACTAGCAGCATTAGGGGTACGTAGTAGATAGGTAGGTAGCGAGGTCGACCGATTGCGGCCTGGAAGTAGTTACCCCACGGCGAACGCGATACGCGGAGAGGGGCGGGAGTCTATCTTTGTATCTTGACCTTATCACCAGAGTGAGAGTGAGATACGCAGGTACCTTAAGATACCTTAGATATCTCAACAACCGCAGCCTGCTGATGCTTCCGTCATCCGATACTACAGAGCACACGCCTTAGCACACGCCTTTTGGCCGCTTTCACTTTCGTAGTGAATCATCATCAGCTGTTATTGTTGTTGTTGTTGTCTCTCCCACCCCGTGTCCATATCTGTCTTTCCCTCCTTCAATGCACGCACTTTACGGTGAAGACAGCCAACCTCAACTTGATCGGGGACAACATTAGTTTTTTATGTCTCGTGATGAGCACTAATGTACACACTTGGCCATTCGATCAATCTCTAGGAAATCCCAGGACCCGTAGATACCCTCGCTGAAGACAAAAGTACATGGCTTTGCTGAAAAAAGACTCGCTTCTCCCGACTATGACCTTGACCATGACCATGACCCCTGGTTCTTACTGGTGGTGCAATCTGTTCTTTGTCGAACACGCAAACCCTGATCTGAAACTGGAACAATCCCATTCTCTGCTGTACTTCAGTCCGAAACTTGCTATGCGAAGACACGGAACCATAAAGGAGATATCGTGGAAAAAGACTTTTTTTTCCAAATGCGCCCGTTGCATCAAGTGCTCAGATACCACATCGCTTTTGTATCATCGCTGGACTCGGAGGAGGAAAATGGATAGGAAGCAGACGACGGTGCCGCTGATCTGACCATTGTATGGCCGAACCTGTCACTTCTCGATGGAGGAGGTCTCACGCTGCTTGGGTTTGACCACGGCCCTTGGGGGTGACTGTGCCGGATTTCGCAGCTCGCGGAAAGGCGCCACCACGACCAGCATCCTTGGGAAAGTTGGTCTGGCTTCCACTTCGTCCAGTTTGTCCACCACCCCGACCACGAGTAGAGGTGGTAGCAGCACGGGCATTGCTACCTCCATATGCGTTTGGACGAGGGCGACGCTCTTCAACATAGATCTGTTCGGTGCCAACAGTATGTGGGTTGGCTGCAACCGCTGCTGCATATCCAGCAGGGTCGGCAAATTCGACGAAGGCGCAGTTCTGCGAATGCACGTTAGGAGCTGAAGAGGAAATTGGATGGGAAAAGTACATACCTTTGGTCGTGACACATCAAAATACTTCAGTTCACCATATCGTTCGAGCACTTCGCGGAGGACTCTAGCATCCACTTTCTCATTCACGTTTTTGATGTAGGCGAGAACAACTCCCTCGGAGGCAGGCTTGTTCTGTGGTCGGTTGCCCTTTTTGCTATGTTCAGCAGTCTGCCAACCGTTGCTCTGAGAGTTGACAGGGCTGGCACTGGCGTTTGTGGATGCAGCAGGTTCGGCCGCGGGTTTGGCGGTTTGACCAGACTGCGACGGTCGAGAAGCCTTGAGCTGTGCTGCAGGAGCTGTCGTAGGGAGAGCCGGAACCGCAGGGGCCTTCGCTCCACCACCAAGCATGCTGGCCCAAGTCTTCTTCGCAGGAGGTGCTTCGACAGGAGCAGGGGTGGCAGGAGTGGGTTCTGCAGATGGTTCGGTTCGGGGGGTAGCCTCTGCAGCGGCGTGCTGTGTGGGAGCAGTGGCATCGGCTGCTGGTTCTTCCGCAGCTTGGACCGGAGCCGGTGAGCTCGCTGCAGCTTCAGTGGGTTGCTCAGCTGGTGGTGGCACGAGTGCTCCGTTGACTTCTGTCGCTCCTGCTTCAATGGACACTTCCTTCTTATCGTCCTCGAGCTTCTCATCCACCTCCTCGGCAGCAGCCTCTGTGGCAACGGTCTCCTCGATATGCGGTTGCGGCTCAGTCAACCCTTCTGCGGGTGTGGCTGGTTGTTCAGCAGGGACCTCCGGTTGCGGCTGTTCATCCTCCACAATTTCGTCCACCTCGTCACTGAGGTAGCGGAAAATGTCGTTGAGAACAAAGTAGCCATTGGGCTGCTCGGCGAGAACAAAGGTCTGGACAAATTTGTGATGGGGCTCCGACTTGTTTGACATCTCGCCAATGACTTGGACAACGATGTTGGAGTAGGAGGACTGAGAATCGACATTAAGGACGCGCACTTTACAATCTTGGAAGTCTAGTGCTTTGATCTTCTCGCTGATTGCCTATACTGCAGTCAGTATCAGTCCTGTGTTCATGGTTGCTCTGTCATACCTTGGTGCCAACCGCTGGGACCACCTTCTCGGCCTCAACACCGGTGACAAGCTGCGACTTCTTGGAATAAAACAGATGTATCTTTTCTGGGCTCTTGGACAAAGTGGTGTAGTACTGCTCGACGAAGTACCAGCCGATCTCTTGCGGGTCCGCCTTTTGGACGTTCGCGGAGGTAGTAGTACTTTGAGAGACAGAAGTAGCGTGGGTTGGTGCAGAAGGCGTGGACGCAGCTAGTTCGGCGGGCTGGGTGTACTGGGTTGCGCCATACAGACCATTGGTAGGAGCAGTTTCGGTCGCCATCATGACTGTCAGCCTTGTGATGGCGCAGGAGGCGGGTTGACGTCGCAGTTATAAATTGAAACAGGCTCTTTTAAAGCTTGAAAGAGTGAGAGGGACTATGGCGCTTCGTTCCCCAGCTAGGAAGGGAAGTCGACAGGCACAGTTAACGCACAGCTAGTGAAGGTCGAAGATAGGTAATTTGTCACACAGTGAAGAAAGGGACTGGACTGTGCGTTCGTCAGGAGGAGTGACTGGATCTCAATACAGGCAAGAAGTGGCGGTTGAAGGAAAGGCGAAGAGCAGGATTGTGACGGTGATGGTGATGGTGATTCTGGATCTGGTAGAAGGTGGTGGATGAATTAAGGGCTGATGGGTTTGTCGAACTCGCTTTTCGATGGAAAATAAAAAGGTGGAGAGGAAAGATTTGGAGCAGAGCACAGGAACTGAAGTTGAACGGAACTGCGATGCGATGCAGCGCAGCGCAGGCGCAGGCACACTGACAAGGAAGACCAGAGAACAATACGGCCATTCACACAGCCACTGGCGCACTGGTCGCAGTTGAGTGCGTCTTGGCGACTGATCACGTCACTGTCACTGGGCTCCCCCGTACTGCAGCTATAGGTCCTGCTAGCAACAACAAATTAACTCTTGATCTATCATTCAATGGACACCTCGCTACCTAAATCATATTGTTTTCAATCTGGACCAAAGTGATCTGTCACTGGCAGGTAGGTTACTGGTCAGTCGCAGAGACAGTCATTGTATTTTGTCGTTAAGATTCAATGACTCTAGTGGTGTCTCTGTGGAAATAAATGCTTGTTGTGAGGGTTTGCATGTGTGAAGTACTTGAGTATCTCAAGTTTAGGACTATGGTTAATATTTCAAGGAGTAACAGCGCCGTGCTCTTGTCCTTATCCCATACTCCTACGTAGCTCTGAAGGTAGGTTGGATGGAAGTAAACTCGGGACATATTGAAGCAGAGTCTCGCAACTATTCGGTCGGGCCAAGGCAGAGGATTGGAAAGATGATGAAGCTCGCAAATCACGTTCATTATGGAAGTCGTGGACCAGCTCATGGCTCAATATTGCATCCCCTTCTATCATGCGCTGGTTCTGACGATGTGCTGGCTACTGGCAAATACGGGCGCAATCTCCATCAAAAGACCTTGACCAAAGAACACGAACCGAAGACTTCTCTGACTAGCTTGAAGAGTGCTCAGCTTTGTCGGTAAGGATGCTAGTCTTCTAGGCTGGGGTGATTGAATAGGATAACACAAACACATACGAGCGTTTGTAGAAAGGCTGAGTGAGGCTATGGGCTACTTCAATGGGCTATGTGGCGAGTCAACTACGAGGCTGAACATCTCCAGCGCGACTTCACTCCCTCAACAACATACTGCAGAGTCACATGCACTCGCGCACACACAAACTCGTCCTCCACGACCACGGACAAAAAGAAAAATCGAGTGACAAAAAACTCAAGCCCGAATCGTCTTTGACCCCGATTCGAACCCCTGTGAAAACTCACTACTCTGACCTTTTCCTAGGCCTGGAGAGCTGGTTTTTATCAGGTAACTTTCATCTCGAAGATATCCTGCTCCTCGCTAACTTCTGCTTGGGCTTAGCTAGAAGTTGCTATGGGCGTGCAGTACCGCTACGCCAGGATTAGGACCATCAAGTTGGGTTTTTGATTTGAATTTGGCTAAAAATCCGGGAATTTGGTATATGAGTGCAGAAAAGACAAGAGTCACGGGTCACGAGTCACGGGTCCTGGGATTGCACTGGATGCGGTTGGTGGTGGCGGTCCCCCCAGTTGTGGTTGATAAGGTGTTCACAGGAGGCCACCCTGTTCTCAACGATCAAAGATATATATCTATACAATCACTAAAACCGGTTGAATTTTGTTCAGCGTTCGTGGGGTCAGAACCAACAAGCAGCCGAGAATGTACTGTTCCAAACATCAGGCTAAGTAAGGGGGTCATTATTGTCTATCACTAGCAGAAACGTGCTCTCAGATCATACTTGTAGGTTTTCTAGCTCTGCTAGACGAGGGCGGTCGCCAGCGTCAGCATCATTCCCAGTTTATCAGCTTCTGTATTCCAAAGATCCAACCTTTGTATAACCTGAGCATTATTTATTCGACGCTGGGCGTCGACGAGTTCCCCAAAGGACTGCAGACGAGGCAACCACGGCCTCGGGTAAGCACAGTCGTATTCGGCCTTCCATACTTCTGCTGAGGTGGCCTCCCACAGCGGCCGAGGAGATGGTAAAGGAAGCGATAGGTAAGCATCGGTGAAATGGCATGGAATGCCAGTTTTCATGTAGACCACCCTGTCAAGCAGAAACCACACAGCCAGGTATCTGGTAGATATCATCAGCCCAGGATCCGCTTACTCAAGAGTCAAGACGCAGAGAGCACATAAGATCAGGAGGGAATGATGTCGTACCTTCTTCCCGATTCCACAAGCACCCAGTCTCTCCAGGACCGATTCGGTCGTTCCTGTTCAGAGATAGCAAACTGTCCAGCCACAGATTCAAGAAGACGGTGGGATATACGCTACTCAGTTAGCTATTTGATCAGTCACCAGATCATTGGACTCCAGGGGTCGTACGTGGCAGTATAACAGTGTTTCCTTGTCTTGTTGCGCATGTGTCGTGCTGTAGTCCATCACACGCATGATGACATACATGGTAAAGGCTTGGAGGGATGCGAGCAGCTCCTCAGAAGAGTAGGTGGTAGCCTGTAAGGGAGGTGCTTTATTAGCCCATCATCGATCAAGCAGACGTAGAGGAAAACAATATCATCTTACTTTATCTGCCAGTCTGCGTTGCTCTGCCCAAATGGTCTTCCAGACAAAATCTCTTGTTTCCGGCGTGCGCCAGGCAAACATCCGCGCAATGCTCACGCAGTTTGCAAGGGGCTCGGGAAAGGGTAGACCCAAGTTATTGGACCCGAGGCATGGATGGATGAATGGCGGAAGAGTGTCCTTGCGCGTCATCATGCTTGGATATGGCCGCAGCATCTGGATGATCAATGTAGCATTCTGTTGAGCGACAGGATCGCCCATCGGTAAACATACTAGGAAGCCTTCCCATGGTAATTGGGGCTCTTTCGTGAGATCGCGCAAGGAGAGAGGCGTCACGCTGTCCGACTCTGTCGCTGCACCAAGCGTGACGAGGGACGTGTCGCTCTCAGGGACAGTCCATCTTAAGCCAGTCACATCTGGGAGAAACTTTGTTGATGATGAGGGAGGAGAAGTGGCCGTGGCCATGAATGGCGATAACGACATGTCCCACAGCGTCTGCAACTCTGGCACGTCGAGGGCGGGAGGAAGACTGAAGACTCCATATTGGTTATCGTCTCTCGCCAAAGAGGCTGATCGTGTGGTTTCTGTGAGGGCACTCAGAGGGTCGGTCGTCTCGGTCGACAGATTCCCGGCCGGACGATAGACACAGTCAAGTCCTTTGCGCATACAACGTGAACATTGGGACTGGCGATCACACTTGACCCTGGCCGCGCTGCAGACAATACAGGGTCGAGCACGGGTACGCGGCCGGTCTCGTGTCCGACGGCAGTACTCAAGGTGTCGACGACATGCAAGTTCTTTGACTATTAGCTGTTTGAAGATGGACAACCTTGTGCAAGAGAAGACCGTACCTTGATTGAATGGCTTATTGCAGATTGAACAGCGGTACATGTTATCCTCCACTTTGTTGAACTCGGGCAAGGCCCGTTGAATAAACCTATAGTCTCCAATTCGGAGCAAGCAGGAAACAAATTCGGCTTTTGAACTGATGCGTGTGTACTTACTTCTATTAGATGGCAAGATGATGGCGGAGATTGTTGGGATGTGGTTGTACAGCTGACAAAGCAAATCAGGAGTTGAATTGATCGACGAGGCTGACGTATGACAGATGTTGGTCTGTAAATACCAGTATATGGCTCCATGGATATCGTCCATCTTTGCCCTGGCAGGCTCCTCTGGACAAGCATGGGGAGTATGTTGTTTTACACCACAAGATGATCACTTGAGCCACTTCTCGAACTGCTTGCAAGACGGTTGAACAGACAAGCGGTAGCCATCTTTACCCTGATAAGACGCAACGATGGATCCTGATGATGAGGCTTCGACGAGCAGCCAAGGTCTATCCCCTCTCCCATGTCTGCTCCGCTTCCTGAGGATGGGGTAAAGACTCTGTGACTTATAACATCACAAGAGTGTTGCTGGACGCTGCGAAGCGTCTCATCCCTCGAACCATCAATCGTGGTTGATTGAATGGGTGGATGTTCCTATGATTGACAGGATTTCCCGAGTTCTCCTTCACACTTGCCAGCAATATCGGACAAGATACTGTCCGGCATCTTGCACAAGATATGGCCCCCACCCCGAGATCGAGCAAGACATATATAAAGGGTGTTGCGACAGCATCTACCTTTATCGTACCATGTCTTCGAATAGTGGCCCGCTCCACGCACTGTGCAGTCCAGCCCCAGGGGGGTCTGCCTCGTCTAACCAACAAATATCCTGAATCAACATCAGCGTGGTGCAGGAGATCACACACCACGGGGAGTTCACTGATCTGTAGAGCTATTTCTCAACGATCCCCTTCGCTACTTCCTGTAGGGCGTCTTCGAAGGAGCTCTTCTTCAGCATCAGAACAACAACACAAGACCAATATCGCTACCAGCAACGACGGTGACATTGTGTGCTCCATCAAATCAATATCAGCCACCGAGGATCAAGGCACAATCGCAACCATCACACTTTCGAACCCAAGACGGCTCAACAGCCTCAACAGTCAAGTGATAGAAAAAGTCGCAACGACACTGTGTTCTCTCGCACGAGAGCCTGCACTACGCTGCGTGGTGACCAAGGGTGCCTTGTCTCCCGGCAAGACGCCATCCTTCAGTTCTGGCGCCGACATCTACGAAATGGCAGCGTTGAGCAATCACACTGATGCCAAACGATTCATAACACAACTGCACGATGCATGTCAAGCAGTGCGTGACCTTCCCGTGGTGACAATCGCGCAGATCCACGGCCTATGCTTTGGAGGAGCCTCGAACTCGCCGCGGCGTGCGACTTCCGGTACGCAACGCGCCTTTCGACATTCAGCATGCCCGAAACCAAGTACGGCGTTCCGTCAGTGATTGAGGCGCGGCTGCTGGCCAACATCGTTGGCTGGCAGAAGACCAAGGAAATGGTGTACCTCGCGAAGGTCTACACTGCTGATCATATGGAGAACTGGGGATTGGTCGATACGGTCTGTGAGGATGTGGAAAGGCTTGAAGATAAAGTCTCCGAAGTTGTGAACACGACGGCATCCTACAGTCCGCTAGCCATGAGAGCTCAGAAAAAGCTTGTCAGGGTGTGGGAGGAGAGCGATCTCGTCCAGGGAGTAGAGGCAGGCATTGGTGCGTATGCGAGTATGTTCGAGGATGGAGGTTCCGAGCCTGCGAAATATATGAAGACTTTCACGGAGAGGAAGCAACACCATGACAAGGATGTGGAATAGATCGAAGCAGTACGATATTGCAGCGAGATCTTTAAACAAAAACCCATGTCCGATTTGCAAGCTTGCATCCTATGTCAGGCTAACACCAAGTAATTGTCTATACTTGGGCCTCTTCCGGGATGCGCCTAAGGCAATCTACCACTCATGGCGCCTTAACTTCCAGGACCATCTTACCTACGTTCTTTCCCTTCAGCAGGTCTGCCAACGCAGCCGGTGCCTTCTCCAGGCCTCCACGGACTACTGTCTCGGCGCGCTGCAGCTGGCCTTCTTGTGTCCACTTCAGAATATCCCCACGAGCGTTGGGGAACTCAGAAAGGTAGTCGAAGGCGTTGAAGCCTTGCACGGTGATCGAGAGCAGGGCGAGACGGTAGGCGTCCTGATAACGGTGGCTGAGTCAGCGGCAGTGGCATCAGACGGGATTGGGATGACTCGGACAAATATCCAAGGATCGAGGGCATGAAGATTAGTGAGGCAAGGAAGAACTGCCTGGTAGATTCTTGCACGATGGTTGGGGCAAAAATTGGGACAGCGTACCTTGATGCCACTGTAGGTATCCGTCTTGTTGTAGATACTCACAGCGCCGCAGATGACGATGCGGGAGAGCTTGTTCGCCTTGTCGAGAGCCATCTGTAGGATCTTTCCGCCAACTGGAGATGGGAAGGTAAAGTCAGTTTCAGGGCGTGTCCTGACTTCGATGCTTTTCCAACACCATTTCCGGCAGGAGAGGAGAGCTCAACACGTACCATTATCGAAGTAGACATCAATACCGGCTCCGACGGCCTCGGCGAACTTCTCCTCGAAATCCGCCGCTTTGTAGTCCACGGCAGCATCGAAGCCCAACTCTTCCACGAGAAAGCGACACTTCTCTGCTCCCCCAGCGATACCCACGACCCTGGCGCCCTGGATTTTGGCAATTTGAGCAGCAACATTTCCCACCGCGCCAGCCGCGGCGCTGACCACGACGGTCTCTCCCTTCTTCGGCCGACCAATGCGCAACATACCCACGTACGCCGACAGACCCGTGAGGCCCAGCAGGCCGAGCGCATCGCTGACCTTGGCGCCCTCCGGCAGAGGCGCCTTTTGAACCTGATCGGCGTCGACAATGGCATAATTGACCCAGCCGGTCCACGAATTGACCAAGTCGCCGACTTCATAGGTTGAGAAACGAGAAGCCAATACTCGAGCGAGCGTCGGACTGAGCATCCGGTCGCCGATCTTCATGTTCATAGCCGGGTTGGGTGCGGTGAGCCATTTGCGCAGAATCGGATCGAGGGAAACATAGAGCGTTTCGACGAGAAGTTGCCCTTCCTTGAGGTTGGAGGCCGACGGGACTGGCACAGTTCTCTGGGCGAAGGTCTTGTCGGGGATGATCTCGTTCTCAGGCACGCTGGCCAGGAAGACCTCGACATTCTCTGAAGACATGGTTATGTAGGGATCACGTTGATCCAAAAAGAAAGAGAGGGAGAACGGATGAGCTAAGCTTGCAATGACTCTGTGATGATAGAGTAAAATTCAGATGATAGCCATGCTCATTGCTCACCTGAGACGGGTTGCCTTTATAGACGCTGTGTCGAGGCGGCTTGTCCGAGTCCTTTGTTCGGTTCGACCGAAGCATTATTAATTGTCCACGCGCAGGGCAGAGACCCCTACGACGATGTGGAGATCTTTCGAACGCCATGTTGGCTATGTCTAATGGAATAGAGGAGAGCGGTCCTTGATGCTGACCAACGTCGCTCAATTTGGTCGAGACTCTCTCTCATCCAGCAAAGCGACGTCGAGGGACGGGACCCACCGAGTCCCCACAGCCTCGCCCAAATTAGGCGAGATTCCTTTTCGGGCAATCTGGTAGCCTCGCCCAATTTGGCCGAAGCCACCATCTTCAACAAATGACCGACCCGCACGCCATGATGTAAGGGCAATAGTGTTCACCACATGACGCAGAAGCTCTCTGTCTCTACGTCCATTTCTCGGCCGGAAGGCATTCCATGACCACGACCACGCGTGCAAAAGGAAGGTACGTGGGTGGGGCCACCACAACAAGCTACGGCGCAATCAAGAAGTCTCTCGCTCACAACAGATTTCAGATTGGTTGACGGCACAGGACATTCAGTAGCATTCCTAAGAACAGGAGGGTTCTCCTGCGCTCTTCATGTTCTCGCGGACACGAGGATATGACTGGATACCCAGCTCTTCTCATAAAGGACGACGTGTATTTATATGGCTGCATTTCGTCCAGCTACGAATGCATTAAGTGAGGCGTTGCTAGGTCTCGAACACGCCCTTGCCGGCCAAGTATTCTCTGGCTGTGGCTCCCAGAACAGCGATAAGAGGGCACGGAAGGATTGGTGGAAAACGCACGATCTATACAGCAGAAGATAGACTCCATCGCTGTCAAACCGTAACGTGTTTGCTGTTGATCGACTATTGGATCTGTCCAAAGAACTGGAGCAGTGGCCACTCGCCACGTCGTCTGCATGATGCCGCAGATCAAAGGAAGGATGAGGGATTTGGACGGCAGATTATGGCCCGAAGGATATAGCAATTGAGCTGGAGTTTCTCCTGCAATAGCAACGGTCTTACCACGGGCCATTGATGAGTGACAGTCCGTGCTGTTCCGTGCTCAAGGAACCTGTATCACCTGCTGGGGACCTCCGCATATCCTATGGCAAGGCCGCAGATTGGCAGAGGTGCGGCATTGGGAAGAAGGAGGGTGTACGCGGGTTGGACAGGGGCTTCCGTATGCATTTGCCGTGAAAACAGGTCCTTCCGATGCAAGCTCGATGCGGTCCTCCATGTGAATCCATGCCAATCCATAACAAAGGTAATGGTGCTTGCGGCGGTGATCCGCCTCATTGGCATTCTGTCGCGACCAGCAACTTCGCTCCCCCAATACGCGGATCGGGCAACTGGCGAATCTCTGGTGGACTGGCAATTATGACAGATTGCAGCATGCTAGCATAGCACCTTGACGGCGCTGGAGCTTGATAGAGTGGCATTCAACACTCAGTAAAACCCTGGACTCGGGGGTGTATATTGTTTAGGCGTGGATGCTGCAGTGCCATTCGTTTTGTCGACTGAAGTGTTAACAGGATCAGCATCTTGCTGCTCTTGAACCATTCGTTCCTTCTCTTCCCGGCGTTTCCTTGCATTAGTCTGCCATATTCTATCCTCTTCCTGTAATTGCCGCAGTGCTTCTTCCCACTCTTGCTCTTGGATTTCGTCCCCTGTCCCAAGTACTTTTCCCACATCCACATCTTCGCCTCGTTGCAGTTTTTGAACCACCTCTCTCAGCTTTTCGAGTTTCAAGTCCGCTTGTCGCGTATAATTGGCGAAGTCATTCTTGAGCCCCATAATACGGATAGCTTGAGAACCGATCAAAAGGTAAATCCATACGAAATAGGTCGCCGGATTTGATGGCTTTTTCTTTTTCGACGGGTCCGGGGTAGAGAATCTACTGCGAATGCTTTTAGGTATAACTGAATGCCAAATCGAGGGTTGCATGATTCGAGGAAGATGGCTCGACTGCGAGCCGTTGTGCTCATGTCGTCGCAAAATATGCGGTCTCGTAGAGGCTTGGAAATTCCATGCTCTGAGGGCGGCATTTCGAGGAGCTGACGCATGGAGTATACGGTATGACTGAGAGGGGTTCATGGTGTACAGATGCGATGAATCAGCACAGTCTGAGAATCATCAGCACAGCAGCAAAAGAGGCTGTCAGCAAATGCAGGCACTTTTGCGACAGCAACTCATTTTCTTAACACAAGCAAGGAAAATCGCAGTGCAGGAATAGCCAAAGGTTGCAACAAGAGACGCCGCCTTGTCCATGGCAGTCATCTCTAGCTTTATCTAGTAAAGTGCATCATGCCGCTTTTGTTAGTTCCGGCTAATCACTTGCTAAGACAAGGCTGAACCTCAGCCTTGTTGGAGTGGGGTTTCCCTCGGGAACATTTCCGTGTTTATTTTATGGCCGAATCTGGAATGACGCGCTTATCAATGTATGTGTTCAAGCCATCATAGGCACAATGACCTACACCAAGGTCAAATAAGGCCTAAGCAGCTATTAGACCACGACATGCGTATCTGAACATCTTTCTTTGACCATGATAGCCACGAAGGATTGTTCTCCGCCGTCGACGGTGGACAATATCCGCGCCGAACTAAATCTGCCTGCGCCATCATTACATACGCTCAAGTTTCTACGCGCAATCCTTGGGCTCGACACCTCTGAGAAACACACCCCTGTGCGCACCGCGACGAAAGAAGCTCCTAACAGACCGACAAGAGCCCGGGCCCCTGCGCAGAGTGCTCCCAAACGCTGTCGTAATACCCAACCCAAAGTTCACATCCACGAAAGCTCTGGCGAGAGAAGTCCACGACTATCTTCAGCAGACCGGCGCAAGATTGCCACCGAAGTCTTCAATTCTACTCTAAAACAACTTGGCCAGGCTGCTAAAACCGAACAAGCTGCCTCCAAATCCCGGATCATTGGTACCACGCCGCTGCGACCACCCAACGTCCAACTAGCCCTTCACGAACGATCACCTAACAGGGAAAGCAAAAAGAATGGCGGACCTGCTAAAAAGGCGGCAGCGGCCACGGCGCAGAGTGAAACGCCTGATTGGCGAATAGTGGCCGATGTGTCACATTGCGCACTGCATTATCTTCAGGAGATTGACGGAAAAGATCAGGCACAACCCCGCGCAAATGAACAAGGGCTGGAGAATGCTGCATTGATATTGTTGGACAGGACGATTACACTCAATCTTGTGGCTGAAGCACAACGTCAGCTTGCCGAAATACACCAACGGCACCTGGGAAAGAAGACGGTGAAAGTCGGTACTTCGACACAGGAGACGAACATCGCCCACCACTTGTTGGCTCGGCCAGATGCTGCAGATGATGCTTCTACCTTTGGCTTCGCAACCTCGATGCAAAGTCAAGGACTTCGGCTGGTCCTCCTCATGGGACCGAAAGCGATAACCAAAGAACTACTCCTCGCACTGCAACTAGAGACTATTGGGGGTCCGGCTTGGATGAGTGTGCAAGGCTTACAAAAAGGACTGCATAATTCTGAGCAAGCTGGTCTGCAACTGCGAACAGTCTCGCTGGCTCTGTCCAAGCTGTACTCGCTCGGACTGAAATCAATCAGCCAAGTGGGGGCTCCGAATGTGCTCTTCGACTTGTTCTGTCTGGCGCTGCGACTCAAGTTTGAATCATGGACACGCTTAGGTCATTCCCCGGAGCCGGACGCAGAGGTCTGGCGACACTTCGACGTTGCAATCAAAAGGTTGTTTACGACCACAACCAGCGCGCCACTACCTTTAGCATCAGTCATTCGGCACTTGAGATTGTTTCAAAGGCTTCTAAGCCTCGCTGGCTGCCGTGATCCTATCCCCCAGGCTTTACTCGAGACGTTGGTCCAGCTGACTCAAAGCCTTCCACCTGAGTCTGAGATGCTGCTTATTATGGAGGACCAAATCGGAATTGCAGACACTGTCACATCACTGATACTGTCCTGCTATTCCACCGTATGTCGGTTGAGGCTGCTTGCGCAAGACTTAGATGCCACCTTCAGTGCAGTCGAACGTACAACGAAGTCATTCGCCACAATGCCGACACTCTCGGCAGCAAACCTGCAAAGAATTCTTCTCTACACTGCCTATCTCCGTAAGGAGGCCCTGGCGGCCATGATGTCAATCGAAAGAAAAGAAGCAGGCAGAGGAGAGAATGAAACCACAAAGAGATTACAAACGGCAATCGTCAACTTAGCGTACGTCTCATCGGGCGTTCTCTGCCAGCAGATCCAGGCGGCACTCTTGAACCTAGGGTCCGAACCAGGCAACAGAAAGCCGGAGGCATTTCTGACCACGTTAGTCAAGAATATCGAGGCCGTGTTAATGACAGAGAAGTGTGCGGTGACACAAACGCCAGAATTGGCGGGGGCATCGTGTGATGCTCTTCGCTCATGCTCTGCTGTCATCGATTTTCTTCTCACAGATGTCTCTGAATTGCTTTCCACCAGTACAATTCGGGCGGCCGTTATTCAGTTGAATGTACGGCTCTCAAACATCTACTGGGTCCGGTACCTCAAGCTGGTGCAACAACGAAAGCCGCCAACCGAACAAGCACCATTGCTGGAACTCTCAGTCAAAGGACTTCTGCAACTGCCGATGGTGGATCAGAAGTCCGCCTACGTGAGCCTGAAGTACGAAAGGCTCGCCGCATGCTATATGGAAGTGGGAGATCATGCAACGGCCAGGTCAAGGCTCCAGAAAGCACTCGATTATAATGTCAGAGATGGCACTCTCAACGAAGTCGTTGAGCTTCTGTTAACTGGACATTTCCACTCGGCATGGTCCAGACCTGTTTCGAGTTGCAAATCCTTAGGTAGGAATCTCATTATGCATACTCGACTCTCGCTCGATATGTCTTCGGCCTCTAGCAGCCATGAGATTTTCTACGACGACCTATCACTTCCCCCGATACACCGCGCTGCGCTACTCGAGAAGCAGATATACGCGATGACCGAGAAGGACATGACAGACCATCAACTGTCATTTTGGAAGGCACAGGTGGAGTTCGTTTTCAACCTAATAGACCAGCCTCAATATTGTGTCTACAGGTTGAAATTCGCCAACACGCTGCTTCACTCCGCGCTAAGGAAGAAGGTGTCGGCTTCTACTTTCTTGGCCGAGATCACCAAAGGTTGCTTGATGCTGGGCCCAGCCGACAAAGTTGATGGAAATGCCCTCGTTCACGCCTTCGAGCCTGCGTCGCGCTCGTTGTTTGCGCTTCAGTATGGATTTCTAACCGGCCGCATCACCAAACCTGCTCTGGAGAGAACTGTCAAACAGATTTCTGACATACTTCGACCATGCAGGACCCTCGAGGATGCGGAACAGAGGCTTGGAGATATTGAGTGTGCTATCTTCACATTACAGCTCAGTGTTGATTATGCTGGGGCGTTTGACAGTCCCGAGACCGCCATCGATGCATTGGAAACCCTCTATCATACCGCAGGGCTTGCAACCGAGTCTACTGGGTTGTCAAGAATCAGCATCCTCATCCAATTGGGCAAGGCCTATCATTCTGTTGAAAACATTCATTCCGCCGGCAAGGCCTTCGTGAAAGCCGAGCAGATGCTGCTTTCCGAAGAACCCCATGGGCATCTGGAGGTGGAGCTTGCCTTGGCCTACTCGGAGCATTATCTTGACATCGGCAATGTCGAACAGTGCATCAATTGGCTAGATCGTGCAGGACGTGCATGGGATAGTCAGCACGGGACAGAAGGGCCATCCTCCAGCAGATCCCGGTTAAAGCAACAGAATACTCTATGTATGGCTGCCAATTTAGCGTCGAGATTGGCTTTCCGTCGAGGGCAGCTGCCGGAGGCCACTATTTGTGGACGACAAGCCGCCAAAATCGCCGGAGTCCTTTGGCTATCGATCGAAAAGGCGTTGCAGTCTGACAACGTAACGACGCAGATGGTTTCCGCCGATGAAGACATCGAAAGCCTCACAGTAGGCGTATCAAAGCTCAACCTCTCCCGGGAATGCCCTCAGTTGAAAGCCAAGGCAATCGCATTTCAATCCCAAATAACGCTGTACTGCTCGGTGTTCAGTCACCTAGCTGCCCTGAATGCGCATTGCGGCCTCTATCAGTCAGCCGTGTGGTTCTATGAAGAAGCTCTCAGAGTAGCCAGAAAAGCTGGTCGGTCATCTCTTGAACCGAAACTCCTCAGTGACATTTCTCTCCTGCATGCACGTGCTGGTCAGATAGCGAAGGCTCAGAAGGGTCTGACGTGTCTGTCAGCACAACCGCATGAGTACACAACACAACTAAACCAAGCTCTTATTTGCGTTAACCAAGCCGACACTCATCTCCTTCTTGGCGACCTGTCGTCGGCCGACCGATGCTTCGTGGAAGCTCAAGGGCTGTTGAACCGTGACGCCGTCCGTTCGAAGACTACTGATGTCGACAATGGACCAAAGAGGACCTCCAGGACCATGGCGAAAGCCCCTGCAAGGAAACCGACCGTCAAGTCGAGGGCCAAATCGACGGCAGCGCCCGCAAAGCCAAAAGAAGCAGATACTGGATCTTCGCCGGCGACCATGGAGCTTCAGAGGGTGAAGGAAAGCATCCATTTCCTTGAAGCTAAGCTGCGATGGTTCAAATGCCCCCGTGACAACAACGATGCGATCGATTATAATTCTACAGTTGACACTGACCACCTGAATGCACGAAAGTCAATGATAGATGCTCTCAGACTCGTGCAAACAGCATTAAAGCTATTCTCAGAGGATGCAGACAACAATGTACTCGCAGAGACAGCAATGGCGCTTCCCGTGAGATATAAATCTGCAAGGAAGAGTGGCAGAGTATCCTTTGTGCAGGGACGACCTATACCAGTGAAAGCAAGTAAACCCACTGGAACGAGCAAGAAACAGAGTCAGAAGCGGGCGGATGAATCCATCACCAAAGACGGCAAAACACTCCTGTTGCAGGCTTATAACATATTGGCGGCGGTGAAAGATTGCCCGCAAAGCCAGATCTCCTCGGACATAGTCCACTCGATCCACAAGACTCTGGCTGAGATCAGTCTGCTGTCAACGGCTTTGGGGCATCCATTCGTGACCTCATCCTTGGAGCTAGTGCTCGACAAGTTGAGTCCGATGGATTTGGCACGAAACCGAGAACGGCTCATTACTCTGAGCGAGCATGCCACAGCTGAGTCCAACGAGATCCAATCTTGGCCACGCTTGTCAGCGGAACAAGTTGTTCAAGACGATGGCCATTCGAGCATAGATTTGGATCTACTTCCTCCCTCTTGGTCAATAGTCTGCCTGGGCTTGAACGAAGACAGGAGCGAATTGCTTGTTTCGCGCATCAACACGGGCAGGTCCCCTTTCATAGTCCGAATACCACTGACCAGGCCAGACGGCTCGGACATGGAGATTGAAGATCTTGATTTCGAAAGTGCAAAGGCAGAGCTCCAGGATATCATTGCGAAGGCCAACTCAAGCGCCCACGACCCCAGAGGCTGCTCGACTGATAAGTCTCTAAGAAGAGCTTGGTATGATGAGCGGAAGGCTTTGGATCAACACCTGGCCACTCTCTTGGAAAATATCGAGAACATCTGGTTTGGAGGCTTCCGTGGACTTCTTTCCGCTGTTAGCACCGATGAGATCGCACTTAAGAAGTTCGGGCAAAGCTTTTCAATGACCTTGGACAGACATCTGCCCTCTCGCCGGAAATCGTCGAAAGCGGATGTGAAAGTCGAGCTTCACAGCCATGTACTCGAGCTTTTTCTGACTCTTCGGCATCCCCAAGAAGCCGAGCTAGAGGATGCCATCACAGATCTGCTATACTTTGTGGTTGACATTCTTCAATTCAACGGCGAGCGTAATGCATACGACGAAATCGACTTCGACGCCATGGTAGTCGAAGTCTTGGATGCATTGCACGCATACCATGATGAGCAATCCAAAGCAACGAGGACAAAGCCAAGCTCTCATGTCATTTTGGTTGTGGACAAGGAACTGCAGGTCTTCCCCTGGGAATCGCTATCATGCTTGAGGGGCAGATCGGCCTCGAGAATGCCGTCCCTAGGTGCGGTTTGGGAAAGATTGCAGGCCATTCACCAGCAATCCAACCGGCGTGACGGCTATGTGATCCCTGCCACTGAAGGGACGTATATTCTCAACCCCTCCTCTGACCTGATGTCGACGCAAGACCTCTTTGGGACGGTCTTCGAAACACAACTATCCCAATTCAAGGCCATTACCAAACGAGCACCACAAGAGAAGGAGTTTGAAGAAGCCTTGCATGACCGCTCGCTGATGCTCTATTTCGGCCACGGCGGAGGCGCGCAGTACATTCGAGGCTGCAAAATCCGCAAGATGGACAAGTGCGCAGTCACCCTGCTGATGGGCTGCAGCAGTGCTAAGTTGACGGAGTGTGGCGTGTACGAGCCGTATGGGATGCCCTGGAATTATCTCAACGGTGGCAGTCCTGCCGTGGTGGGCAACTTGTGGGATGTGACTGATCGTGACATCGACCGGTTTGCCATGAAGCTTATGAATGAGTGGGGTCTGATAGAGGCAGACGAGAGGGCAAGTGGTGTCTCGGCTACAGAGTCAAAAGGGAAAGCTCCAAGCAAAACGGGCCAAGGAAAGACTGAAAGGGAGAAGAGAAGTGGTCAGACGCGCGGTGTTGTGTCTTTGGATCAGGCTGTGGCGGAAGCGAGAGATGAGTGCTTGTTGAGGTACTTGAATGGGGCGGCACCTGTTATGTATGGGATCCCGGTGTTCTTGGAGTAAATAGGAGTCGAGAAAGGGACAGTATTTGCATAGCTTTGAGTGGAATTCCAGTATGAAAGGATATGGCACGTCCTGAGTAACGTCTTGTGACGGCGAGGCTGAAGTGTGAAATTGTACATGATTCGCGGGTCTGCTTTCGCGAGGCTGACTCAAGATAAGGGCATGCACGTGACAGAGGTTTAAGCACGTGACAGCAATCTATCTGCCGAGTGTAGCTACGTCAGTTCAGGCAACCATCTACTACCTCATACTGCTGCTCAGCCTGACCAGCACTACCTACTACTACTACTTCATCCCTTGCAGTATCCATTCCATCGTCAATACTGCGTGCACTCCGCATTCAGTCCCTCTTCGTCCTTTCAATTCCATGCAACTCGACTCTCACCGCCGTCAATCGAGCATCAGTATCAGTACCATCACAACGATGCCGTGCCGCTGGTCCCGACGCTGCAACGCAGCAGCAGCCGCAGCAGACAACAATGACACCCTCCCATCTCCTTCCTCTACTCCCAATGTCGAATCCTGGCAGCAAATCCGTAGACAGAACCTCCGCATGATGAGGAAACAGGTCCGCAGCATTGTGCTGTTGATGGCCTTGATTGAAGCCATTCGTGTCGGTCCGGTTCAGATCGTCTATGCTGGCCGTCAGGGATATCCCGCTCCTGGACCTGAAGATTACGGGGTATGTTCTCCATGAAAGAGTTGCCGATATACACTCCCCGAAAGTGTGCAAGATACAAGGCCTCAAAGCCGAGATATTGAAACCTGGCGGTTTCGTATCATACTGGTTTGGTGAGATGGAGTTCATCAAAATACAGACTAACATTTGATACCTGTACAGATTGCATACAGCGTTGGATACTTCGTCAGCTGGCTCTATGTCTGCCTCTTCATGATTATCTTCGTGCCACTCTTCAGCGTAAGTTAGGCCCCGAGTCCCAGCCCAGCACACCAACTCCCTATATACCTCAGCAAGTCCTCAACTAAGCTAACTGATACTCCAGTGGTGGGTTCCTGCGACCTCCTCTGATTCCGAGAACCCTGGTCGAGCCGAGACCTTTGTCGTCATTCTCCAAAAGATCAATATGGTCCTCCTCCCTGCAAGCATTGGCATCAGCCTCGCAACCTACGCCTACTACACCATCCAGACCTTGATCTACGTTGATCGCCGCACCATTGGATCCAGGAAACTCCCCAAGAATACTCGCGAGAACTGGATGGTGCGCTTGTTCTTGCTTCTTGGTATCCTTATTTCCACTTCTTTCGGATACGGGGCCTTCCAGATCCTTGCAGATATGGACCTAGCGCACGTCAAGACATTGGAATATGCCATCATTGTCGTGCCTGTTCAGATCAACTTGGGTATTCTGTTCGGAACACTAGTGCAGTTCAAGATGGAGAAGCGCATGATCAAGAAACAAATGGCCAAGGGCCCTCAGAGCGTCAGCGCTGATGTTAAGGTTGATACTGAGACTGCAGCAATTGATGAGAAAGCCGCTCTATTGGACGTGTAGAGCATCATCTGAGCGACAAGCTGGCACCTTGCATTGAGGGCTACGCCTCAATGACAGTTGCTCGCTCCAACACTAGGAGACTAATCTGAGGTCGAAGCCGTAGATTCGGCAGCAGTCATGGCGACATCGAAGGGCGAGCTGTTGGTCTAGAAGGTAACTAGCATGGAGGGCCAGGGCCACGAGGCGTGACAGGAGCCGAAATGGTATCCTGTTGGGCTCGCGGTGGCCGCATAAGGAATTTCAGCATCTGTTCTTTCTTTTGGTCTCAGGCCCCGGGAAATATGGTTATGATGGAATCGTAAGCTAGTGAGGACAATCAGGTAGCCTCTCCATCAAGGACTGGTGTCTATCAACTGGAAATGACATGTAACGAAACAAACCAAGCCTCATTTCCTGACTGCAGAGAGTGTGTTCTTCAACCGCCGAAGGCAAGGAAGATGGTCCAAGAACGATCCAGTCTCGAATGTAGGCATATGCATAGGAAATGAACAAACCCAAACGTCAAGGTTTCCTCCAAACGAGAAGTGAATGAGAGCACTCAACTCAACACGAATCCAATATTAACGTCGGAATTAAGCTATCATCGTGAGTATCTATGACACACAACAGTCAAGATACATCCATTGTAGTACAATCGGTCTAGTGGTGACCTTGGGTATGTTGGGTACCTTCGGATCACCATAACTCATGGGCAAAATGTATCAAAGATCAGGCACGTTCCAAAAAAGCACGATATAATAGATGAGGTATCCATGTGTTTGTGCAGCTACGAAGTGTAAAGGTACCTGAAATACTGACTACTAGTAATCAATAGCAGATGAAATATCCAAGTAAGGTACTAGTAGTATAAATATAGGGGGTATCTAACATTAGACATATCTACAGTCCAGTCCAGTACAGTATATATACAAAATACCAAAGAAATAAATATGTGCCATAAATCTTCTTCCACTAACCACCATCATCTCATCTCATCTCATCTCTCTCGGTCCCAAAGGCCTCTCGCCGCTGTCCCAGTCACGCTCCCGTTTCGTCCTCTGCATCTCCCGCTCCTGCATCCTCTCCAGTTCCCGTTCGCGTTCGCGCCGTTTTCGCCGGGCACGTTCTTGTTCCCGGCGCATCTGTTCGCGCGCGTACTTGTCCGTCATTTGGACATTGGCTTTCGAGTTCGAGTTCGCTAAGCTCGCGTCTGATTGTGGATATGTGTCTGACTCTGAATAGCAGCTGTCCGGGCTTGTATCCGTACCTAAACTCATACCCATACCCATATCCGCACCTACACCTGCACCTCTAAGTGGGCTCATGTGAGGGTATTGATTGGAGGGTTTGGGTTGGAATGGACCAAGCTTCAGGGCCAGGTTCAGGTTCACGCCTAGACCGGCGCCGGGACTGGTTTGGGCGAGAGCCGGTCTGGAGACGTGTGGTGTCCCCGGACCAGATTTGGATTTGGATTTGGGCATGGGAGTATGAGTCGGAGTATGAGTCTTGGCCGGTGTCTGGGTCGGAGTCTGGGTCTGAGTATGAGGGTAGGTAGGTCTTGGGCCGAATCTCGAATAGGGGGATGGTGTTTGTGTTTGAGTCTGAGTCTGATTCTGGGTCTGGGTCTGGGGCTGATTTGAGCCTGGTCGAACGGGCGAAGCTGGAGCGTAGCCATGGTTCGCGTATGGCATGACATTGACATTGCGGTATTCATTTTCGATATCGTTTTTATTTCCGGTGTCGATGTCTTTGTCGTGGGTGTAGTCGAGAGTTACTGCGGCGGATGCTGTCGTTTCACTGGTCGGTGATGATTTCGATTTCGTTCTTGACTTTGTTCTCGACATCACCTTTGCCAGCGGCGACGTTGGTGTCGGTGTCGACTTTATTGGCGTTGATATCGGCGTTGTCGTCGTCATTGCCGCTGCCACTGGAATGGCGGTCGGCGTTGATGTCGAGAACGAAGGAGACTTCGCGCTCGTCGAATGTGATGCTATCGTTGCTATTGATCCCGCGGCGGAAGGTTGCGAAGAAGCCCACAACGACGACGCTTCCAGAGCTCGTGGCCCGCCGAGGATTTCGTAGCTGTATGTCTTGCTGGCGCGGGTCGCTGAGCCTTTTGCCCAATCCGTCGTGGCCCATGGCGTGACACTGTTGGTGTTGTGACTGCTGACGGTCGTGATGGAGGTGCTGGTATAGGTTGAACTCGGCGATCCTGGCGATTGAGGATGAGTGTATGGATATGACTGGGAGATTGAATGTTGAGGAGGAATGACAATTGTCGGTTCATCGGTGAGCCGATGGCTGTATCTTCGAGAGGGGTAGTGGCTCTGGTTATTGGTATCGTGTTGATACTCATGGTCATGGATGTGGTCATGGTCGTCCTCACCATGCTGATGCCGGTCGTGGTCTGCTTGGTCCCTGTCGTTTGGGTTATCCTCGTGCCCGCCGTCGTGATGTTGGTCCCCATCTACTTCTTCACCCTCACCCACGATATCAGGGGTACTGGTGCCGCTGGATTCGGGAATACATGCCATAGGGAACACGGGGCGCGACGAGCCCAAGCCTTTGGATTTGCTTAGCTTGTGGCTCCTCAACACCACAGGTGGTGGCGGCGCCACGGCTGGAGGAGGGCCAGAAGAGTTCGGTTGCTTTTGTAGAGCCGGCGGACGCGGACCTAATGGTCGTGCGCCTGGTAGAGGGACGGCAGGGAGAGGTAAGGGGTTGATATGTTCTGTCGTGCCGTCTTCTTGGCCAGACTCGCCGTCATCTTCTGACACGTTGATTTCCGTGACGGTCGATATCATCGGCCAACTTGATTTCCAGGGGTCAGCAGCCTCCGAATGTTGCGAGTAGGAATTGTCATTTGATGCTGGGCCACTGGGGCCCGCAGTTGCGCTGTAAGGTGTCGAATCGTCCAAAGCAAACGCAGTAGCAGTAGCAGTAGCATCCATGTCACCGCTTAGTGTTGGTTGAGACGAAGATGTGCTCTCTCCTTTGCTTTGAAGGCTGCTGCTTCGTGACAAGTTTCTCTCTAAACATTTCACGACCGGTCCGGAGTACTTCAGTCTGGTCAAGTTGATGCTGGCATCCGTGTCTGGTAAAGATTCGTGAGGTGTCCGCCGGTAATGTCGGGCCTGGATCCGTGGCCAGTATTGTGTGATTGGATGACGGAGAGACGGTAGACAGGCGCAGATGATTCCAATGTTGACCTCCACGGCCGACCAGATGGCGATGGCCGGATCAGTGTGGTTGTGAGCTGTCGCTCGGTAGACGGCAAATATGCGAATGATGGATGCCACGCAAACACTGGATGTTGAGCTAATTAGTAAAGTTCTCTTCCGTGACAACACACACCAGCATCGAAAAATTGCCATCAAGGCATCTAGGGAGAGCGCTCCGACACGGTTGTCGTGGACTTACAAAGCTCCAAGAAGGAATACACCAGCCAGAATCCCCAGTTGATGTCTAGGCAGTTGCAACGCTTTCAGCACCGGAATCGGTAACACACAGACAATGATGTCGGTGGCAGAATTGAATGAGGCGTTGAATAGCCAAAATGCAAGGAAGTCGACACATTTGCCTCCGTGGATATTGCTGTTCCAACTGTAGGCAACGGGTTGGCATGAGAAGATCCCGACGAGTAAAGCGGATAGTCCGTAACCCGTAATGATGGAGCCCAAAGCCCAGCACGCGCGACGGTAGCCAACATCGATCGAGAAACGAAGGTACTGGAACAGTAAAGAGTCCTTGAGCAACAGGACGGCCAGGTTGTAAGTGATATTCGTCGACCAGAGTTGTCTTAACAGACTGATCAGACGGACTTGCTCCTCATCGGACTGTCCAGTCGTGGAGACGGTGTGGTTCTCTGGCGCGAACAATCAGTAAGGGGGTTCACCTGATGAGGTCCGGCTATGGACGTACGTTGTTGCGTGACCGCCGCCAATGCCACCGCGGCCGCCCAGGCAAGCACAATTAGACAATCCTCCGGTCCGACATGATGCACAAAGGCGATGCGAGTCAACAACCGGCCCAGTACACAACATCCAGACAGTGCGGCTAGGGCAATTGCCGTCGCGGAGGCAGATGAGAAAGCCGCCATCCGGTTGACATTGCTCGTTTCGTAATGAGTGTTGTATAGTAAGCGACAGAGGGAATGACGAGAACAAAACAGAATCCTCCCAAGTAACGGCGCGAAGAGAGTGGTCCCGCGTAAGAGCGAATGGCGAAAGTTCAACTATATTGAAAGGGACGAGAGAGGGTCTCGGCTCTGACCTGCAGAAGAGAGAGACGAACACGAGAAGAATCCAACTCCGATCAAGATACTCGGACTTGAATTCTGGGTCTGTAGAAGGGTGTACATGCACACAGAACGTAGTAAGCGTAGGTAGTCAGCGACTCACTCTCGAACAGGCAAAAACACAACTCTTCAACAACAGGGCCCAAACAATCGCACCAGGTGCTGCATGTCGGATCGGATTGGACGGGCGATCACTAGAGTCAAGCTCACCTGGTCTTTGCGCGTGGCTATAGCAATGTGTCGTTCAGCGGAGCTGGAGGTCGCAAAGCCCATGGTAGTGACACCGCACAGATCAGTCCGCTCGGACGCCAAGTGACAGGGCCAGGACGGAGGACGTGGCATGATGTACTTATGATGATGGGGACGGGGAGGACAAGGCAGAACTACTACTCCGTCCAGATTCGGTAAGTGTAGAAGAGCTGAGATGCATAGAACAGAGAAGATCCTGTAATTCCGCGTCAAAACAGATGTCTACGGCGATCTGTAGTAGGGAAGATGGCGGAACCGGATAAGTAAAGCGAAAGAGAAACAGTTGACAGTTGACAGTTGACAGTTGCATGGGGAGGCCAGATTCGAGGCTGAAAGTGGAGAAGAGGTAATGTCCAATCAGACTGCGACGGATTAAAGTAGTTCCGCTCCGAAGGCTGCGCTCGGACCAATCACAGTGTTGGGTCGGTTTGATTTGCAGCCTCGGCATCGCTTTTTTTTATATCTTTATACAGAAGTCAGAAAGCGTCTCGGACGAGGTGGTCGTATACTTGTTGCGAGGAAGATGGCAGTCTTTGGCGAGACAAGGCCTGAGACGGCAGAGAAGACTGCGAGAATGGCGCCATCTTGATTAGGACGTAGCCTGGCTGATGACTACCCACCTTATCCACAGCCTAGGTGACAAGTCTTGCCCGTGCACAGCAACCGAAAGCAACTAGATCAGAAGGCTCAGGGCAACTGCTGCCACGGCCGTGTCCAGAACCTCTGGCCACATAACAGGGCATGGTTTTTCTGCCTGTAACCCATCCACTTCTGCCGTTCTGCAGTCTATGCCCAGAAATCCCCAGATATCAGATCCGAGGTGCGTTCCAAGTTCCAACAGGCAAGAAAACGGGATTCGTGAAACTCGTTGTGCATTACTATTAGGTAACTCTTGGTCCTTGGGCAGTCTCGAAGCAAACAGTCGTGGCCAGTAGAACACAACAGATCCCCTGACCGATCAACTCAATATCCGTCCATTCAAAGACAATACTTCTTCTCCCCCGTACACAGCAGAAAGGGGAAGCTTTTGACCTCGCCCTGATCAGACTGTCGAGGACCCTTGGGAGCATCACCAAATTCTCCTTCATACTTCTCCACAACCTTGTCCATACTCCAAGCTCGCTCCACGCGAACATTGACAAAGCCGACTTCGCTCATCAACCTTTCAATGCCGTCCGCGTTCGTCCCGTGTCTCTGCACGCCATCCATCTTGGCCTTTGCGTGGAATCTACTGGCTTCGAGACCGTAGTCCTCAAAGTCGGTCAGGGCCACACTGCCTCCGTGTTTGAGGCAACCCAGCATGGTGGTGAGCACCGCTCTGAGATCGGGAATATGATGTAGAACCAGATGTGAGGTGATGAGGCCGAACTTCAGTCGTGGTCCGTCAGGCTTGGTCTCATCAGCTGGAGGTAAATGCTTGTCCTCAGGATTTTCTAGCGAGACAGCCACCGGCAGAATGTTCTGGGCCGCATCGCGGCTTTGCAGTTTCGTCTTGAGCACTTCGATCATCCCAGGAGCAGCGTCAACCGCCACCAGTCGTCTCGCATACGGTGCCAGCATGAAAGATAGTAGACCGGTGCCACAGCCGACCTCGAGCACGTCCAGAGCTTTGTCGGGTGCCGGAGGGTTCCTCAGAGCTGGGAATCTGGAGACTATTGCTTTCAATGCTTCATTGCTGGCTTCGTGGACGAAGGGGTTACTGTCCCACGACGAGGCTTCATCGTTGAAGCGGCCATTCCCTGACGCCGCATGGAGTGACGAGGCAGCGGTAGCCATTGGTAGTAATGTAGGATGCACTAGGGGTTCTTCAAGCGTATCTGTTGTTGAAACCCTTCTAGGCTGTCTTTGCTGAGTGGTTTCAGTTGGTCGACTGAAGGCTCGAGATCGTCCAGCTTGAATTCCCGGCACCAGACCTAGCTTCTTCTTAAAGTACCTCACAGCATGACAGCAGGTGCTCGAAAACTTGGAAGCAGGCTCGCACTCGGATGTACCATGTCGCCGCCATGACCCCTCATCCTTGTTCCTGCACTGTCATCGTCAGTGTCACTGCTGGACAATGGCTGGTGGGGAGTTGTACTTGCGGAGAAGAAGCAATATCTTGCACGCATGACGCTTATATATTGACTTCGGTCCCGATATCCGGCGCCTCCAAATCAAGCCACGATACTTCATCTGCCGTGTGTGGCGTCTCCAGCTGGACGAAAACGGATAGTGGATCCAGGGAGTTCATCTGCTATAATCGATATCTCTGGCGACGGACTCGATCTTGGTTTATTATCTTCAACTTCGCTATCTGGTGCTAGTACTACTGAACTTCATTCAATATATCTTGATATTGTGCACCTACCTAGGGGACATTGCAAGGCAACACCACAGGCGTTGAGGGTTACTAAGCCACGCCTTGGTCACATATTACATGACACTGACAGAGGTCCCTGCGTCGAGCCGTTTTATCAGCGCCTCCAGATCCATCAATAGCTGCTCGGCAGAATCATACATTCCCCGCCAACACCGTTGAGTAACTGTGGCACAGGGATGAGAAACATCGGGTAACTCTTTGTCTGTGAAACGACGATAGATTTCATTTTCATATTCTTCGTCGTCTCCATATGCTGTTGGTACTAGATCTGGAAAAACCTCTTGCCCAGTCATGATAAAATGCACCGTTGACCCGAAAGCGAACAGATCGGTTGTTGTGTCCATGCGGTCTCCGTCTCGTGGCATGTAATACATCGAGCTCTCTCGAGCCAATCCGTCCAGCACGACTTTACCGTTGGAAATGAGTACACCTTGAATGTCTGCCAATTTGATATCAAGATTCTCGTCGAGTAGAATGTTTCCTGGTCGTAGAGCCCCATAATAAACGGATCTGCTGTGAAGATGCATCAGGCCCTCTGCAATTTGGATGCAAAACCTGAGGAGCTGCGTGGTACTGAGTTTGCTTTGTTGAGAGATGTAGTTGTGCAAGGTGCCGTTTTGAGCGTACCGAAGTAAGAGTCCATCCTCGGTCAAGCCTGCCGACTCGACCACTCGTGGGTGTGGACCAACATGTTCCAATGACTTCTGCTCGACCTCGATTCTGAACCTGTTATCTGGAAATAAGGGGTACTTGAGAACAGTTTGGTGGTCAACCAGGCCAACAAAGCAGGATGTTCCTTGGCCGATGATGCTGATGACGCCCGATGGAAATCGTTGCTCGATATCTATGATCTCGCAACTGAGAAGTTCATGTCGATTTGATATCATTATTGGCCTCAGATGGCCCCGTTAGGGTTTGGAGGTTCAACTTGTACTTCAAATTTAAGGTACAGAGTAATTATCCAAATGTCAAGCACGAAGTTGTCTGGAAGCATGACCTACGGCCCATCATATCTACTGGTAGCACGTTCCCATGACATTGATGGCATGCAACTCGACTGTCGACCATCTGGAGATTTAAAGATATGTGCATTGGTCTTCGAATGGAGAGGCCCGGGTGGTTGACACCAGAAGGGCCAGCGGCTCTGTCGTCAGTAGTATATGTTATGGCTCTGTGTGGAATGATGCCTTGGTTAGGATGGACTGCGTTTCAGTGGCCGAAGTGGACGTGAGTCATTCTCTATGTTATGTCTAGGAATTCCATATAGCCAGAAAGAAGCCAGCACGCACTCATTCTCATTCTCAAGCCAATGTCAAGACCCGTATGGATATTCAGTGGTTTCGCACAGCTTGGTCGACGCTCCAACAGGATTGATGCACAAGAGCAGAACGTCCCCAGCCACGACAACCAGTCATCATGCGATCATCGAGCTAGGAGAGACTTCTCATTCATCCTTGTAACAAATGATCCAAAAGAAGTAGCCGAAGGGCCAGGTATGACGCTGTTCACCAGACTTGAATTTCCACCCTGCCAGCTTGTCCGGCGAGACACGGCTGCGGAGGAGGGCTTCTACTTCTTCCGGCGTCCTCGTCCTCAGACATGAGATGTAGCCATCGTACACCCAAACGAAGGGGACGATCGGCACGAGGTAGGTGAAGAACAGATGCCATGGGGAATTCCAGAAGTAGAGAGGGGTGATGAGCATTGCAAGCGGCCAGAGGAGGCTGACCAGGAGAAAGGAGCTGAGATGTCGTGACTGCAGCTCAAAGATGCTGGAGGGCACAGATTAGGCTGGTACGATCTTGAAAGTCGGGGTATCACTCACCAGAACCCATCTGCTGTCTCGATCGTATTCTCGAGCACCTTTGCAGCAAGATCGTCGTCAAAGTGGTGGAATGACAAACTGAATAGTCTCATTATTTTCTTGCCCATCACGGCGGGCACGTCTCTCAGCAACGTTTCTGCTGAAGGGGCATTGGTAGCATCCACACTTTGGGGGATGTAGGTGATGTTCTCGTTCTTCTTTGCAATGGCCTCCCATGCACTGATGTGTGGCTTGATGTCTGTCAGTACAAACTTGACGTCCTCTTTCCCTGCGTCCCGGAGGCCTTGGTTGAGGTGGTTTTCAATATACGGAGTGGGACCCCCTGCTCCTGAAGCAAAGTCGACGTAGACATAATCAGAGACTCGAGGGCCGAGGACTGTAGAGAGGACACGAGCAACTAGAGCAGCTGGAGATATAGGTTGGAGGACTGGAAATCGATTGATCCATCCGAGGGTCAGATAGTCCTGGACTTTCTCTCTCAAGAACTGTGGGAACCTGGAGACAATGAGTATATGGCTCGCAGAAGGGATGAGTAACTTCTGCGGTACCATGGTTGATCAGTGACCTCGACGTAGTGCCGTCGAGGGATGTACACCTTGGACCCCATTGAAGTGTTGAGTCTCCTTCTCGCCCTGAATAAGAGGGCTTGAAGTGGCACCTAGAAGTGTAGGTCGACAGATCATCGTGTGCGGAAGACTCGGTGGTGTGGTCTACTGTAGAGACGTGGGTATCATCAGGTACATAAATGTTGCGTGAACGTCATGTAAATACCAGCACAGGCACCACAGTACTTCAACGTAGTATGAGGTATGTAACTCTGTCGGCGTGACTACGGTGGCGCATTTGGACAGTCAGCCACTGCAGTTCCGAACCTCGTCAGTCCATCAACTTGCAACTTGCAACTTGCAGCTGGAGAGTTGAAGATGGTATCTGACCGTCCTCCTAGGACACATACCTGCAGGCCTGCCTACATTTAGCAGGATATCACGGCCTCTCATTGCAACCCGGTCGATCTCGAGGAATTCGGATGTCCTAGCCTCCAGGCCGGCTACTTGGAAGTCGAAGGCAACGTTGACGGCACCGGAAAGCTTCAGCAGAGTCAACACTTATCGGATGAAGAATTGCTGCCAAAGTTCCATTTGGACGTTGACGAACAACCTCTGCTGAGCCCACCATGTCCAAGTCTGTCTTGTCAAGATGTCCCTCTCCAATGTTGGATTCATCCTTCACATTGTGATCGAAATTCTGGCATGTCTGAACTTCTTCCTCTTCCCCTCCAGCCAGCTCGAACAAGAAACTCCTCATGCGCATGCTGTTATACGACAATATGCCGCGTCGCTGTTGAGCTCTGTCCTAGTCGCACTGGTGTTCGCCAGTCGACCATTGGATGAAACTTCTGGCAAAGTCGCAGCTGCGCTGGCCCTCTACCACATTGCTCCCTCGGTACGATCGGTCTCACGCTTGAGCAGGCAAGGACACTTGAGACAGCCAGTCCTTCTGTCAGAGGCTTTTCTCTATCTGGTGGTACATACACTCTGTTGTGCGGCCTTGCTGCATCACTTCATTACCACAGTACACCATCCCTAGCCCACCAACACATCATCAAAGCTCAATCAACATCTTCCGCTACCAAGGTCTCGGTTGGACTCTCGGTTCCAGACCTCGACCCTTTGCCACTTCGCTTGAACATCATCATTTCGACCGAGATGCCAGGCCCGAAGGCACAACCCACAATGTGTTCTGTCGTCTCTCCTTCGAGGAGTCGGTTCAGCACACTGAAGATGGTGGCACTGGAACTGTTGCCATGGCTGATGTATACCTCATAGCTCGCTCGCAGGTGTTCGGGCTGCAGGTGCATTGTCTTTTCCACGCCGGTGATGACGGTGGATCCGCCTGGATGGAGGGCCCAATCGTACTCGGAAGCTTTGAATTTCCCCTGGTCGACAAGCTCGGGTATCGATCCAACAAGGTCGTCAAACATGGCGGGAACAGCTGCCGCCGCAAGTTTCGGGACCCGGGGTGTCAAAACTACCTTCCAACCTGGAGTAGGTGAGCACGCGAAGCGACTAACACCACGAAACTGGACTTACCTAACGGATCCACGTCGAATCCGAGGTCCTTTTCGGTATTTTCGATGATTCGGTGATCCCAACCTAGTAACTCCAATAGTCGTTCCTCGCCATAGCGATCACTGAATCCATTCCCCAACACCACAGCCGATGCGCAGTCGCTAAAGAGCGTCACCCCTATTCTAACCTCCTGGTTGTTGTGAATAGAGTCCAGCTCGGAACGCACGAGGGTGCTTGAGATTTCACAGGCAAAGACCAGTATCCTGGCCGGTTTCCGTCGAAAGCTCGAACCGAGAGCGATGTTGGCAGCTGTTCGCAGCGCAGCCAGTCCACCGGAACAGCCAACTCCATGCAGCAAGACTTTCTCTATGCTTTGATTGAGACCGAGCTCCTTGATCACAAAATGATCGTAGCCAGGATTGGCGGAATTCGTGCAGGTAGTAGCGACGACATGAGTGATTTCGGACAGATCTCCTCCCCATTGCTCCAACGCCTTACGACACGCTGCCACAGACAGCTTGACTCCATGGTCGAGAAAAATGTCACACTGCTGAGCGATAGTGGGGGCCTCTGGCGCATTGGCGATAGGATGGTCAATGTTTCCAATGGCTGAACGAGAGTCGATGCCAGTGTAGTCATTGATGGTCAGCACCTTGTCGAGGCTACAGAACCGAGCGATCAGCACTGGTGCCTTCGCACGACGACCTGACAACCACGGTGTTCACTTACGCTGGGGAACTGGGGTAGAAACGCCTTGCCAGAGTGGCCAATTGTTCTGGCTTGATTTCATAGGGAGGGTATTCGACTCCAACGCCGTGGATATGTAGGTTCGGTCTTTGGTAGGGCGGGGTGACCTTGTTGTGGACTGTCGACGGCGACATTGAGGGAGAGGGAAGTCGGTGGCAGTCAGTTCGACAGTCTAGTTGATGGCAAACAGTCAAGTCAACTGGTCAACTGGCACTCGAAAAGCCGAGGCTCAACGGTTTTGAAATGATGACGTTGGGATATTTCTATAGTCGCATGTTCTTTTGAGACGCAGGTGAAACCGACCGAGGACAAACTGGAATGAGCGACAGGTAAAGGAGCAATAGCGATGGTGAGATAGCGATGTCAGAGAGAGAGAGAGAGAGTAGAGACTTCTACAACAACGAACGAGAGTTGAACAGAAATCCTTGGTCTGTTGTCGCAGTCCCCAGGTCGAGACAATCAACGCCCGGGCGCAAGTAGATCTTGTTAGCTGGTTGGTAGCAGTACTACTACTACTAGGGGATCCCTACTACTATTAGTCGCGAGACAGGGTAGAGGAAAGAGGGATCTTAACAGGGGAAAGGGATTAGCACAGCTCCTGCGCTGCACTTCTGTTCCTCTGCACTGCATCATGAACTTGAATTGCAGCCACTGGCAACGAAGCTGGTCCAAGTCCAGTGGTCGGTCGGTTGTGCCTGCGTATCGGCGCCTGTCTCACTGCAGTGTCCAAACAGACAAATTGCACGAATCATGACGCGAATGTTATGACATTGGATGTCATCGACCACTGGTCCATGTTGTCCAGGTAGTAGTAGTACTACCTCCATCGGAATTTGCTAGTGCTGTCCATCTGTCCTTCTATCCATCTGCTCATCCAGGAACTCGATCAGGGAACTTTCACCCGCCAGATCTCCACCAAAACTGCTGTCAAATCCCCCACCGTCCTCCTCGGCTTCAATTTATTCCGACTACCTACGGACTACACACATACTACTGTGTCCCCCTAGCATGCTCAGAGCTGCCCACGACGGCTCTACTACCTGCCTCTCGAAGCCCCGGTCAGCCTCGCAAGGCTTGCCACCCGGCTGACGGAACAAGAGATGGGAACATGGCGTGAACATTGAAGAAAAATTTCATTCATCAATTACTCCCCCGAGGGGTTCGTAGCAGCAAGGGTACTGTGGCACCGGCCGTCTTTTACCGCACGAATCAGCATGATCTGGACATTGCTGGCTGCTGGGCTCATCTGTATTCTGGCACTGGTCTATAACACTACCAGACACCCCAAGCTACACCGCAACGGTCAGAAGCTCAAGTATGAGAAGAAGCGATATCTGGCCAGTATCCTGGAAAGGCTCTGACACTGTCTTCAGGCGGCCCACAGGCACTCTACCGTTGTTGGGAAATGCCATCCACTTCCTCAAACCTCGCCATGTCTTGTTCGACTGGTTTGTGAAATGCCAGAAGAAGTTCGGCAAAGAGACATTCGAGATCACCGTGCCTTCGTTCCCGCCTGGCGTGGTGATCAACAGTGCTGAAAACCTGGAATTCGTGCTCAAGAACGAAGCTTCCATTACCAAAGGAGAGTTCTTTAGAGAGCGGTCATGGGATCTCTTTGGTAGACTTGGCCCCGTTGCTCCAGCTTGCATTCTGAAACTGACGCTGATCTGGCAAGGATACGGCATCATCAATGCCACCGGCGACCTGTGGCGCGCTCAGCGTAAGGCTGGTTTGAAGTTCTTCAGTGGTGCCAACCTCGACATATTGGTTGAAGACGTGCTGCCAGAAGTGTACGATGACACACGAAAACAATTACTCCAAGCGGCCAAGGAAGGGTCTATTATCGACCTGCAGCAGGTCTTTCTCGACCTTACCACCTCTGTGGTCGGCCACATGGCTTACGATGCAAGTCCCCTTCAGTCGCTAGTCCTCGACCCAGCTCGAAAAGCTACGATATCTAATACTCTTGTGCAATCAGATGGAAATATCCGCTTCTTCGCCGTTCAGCAAGGCCTTCGATCACGCATCCGGCCATATTGGCATTCGCTTCCAGAATCCGCTCTACTGGCTGACCGAGCTCTTTACGGGTGCTGAGTTCCGCGCCTCGCTGGCCGAGGTGAAGCGTTTCGGCCGGCAAATTGTTGCCAATGCGCGCAAACGCCGGGCTCGTGCCGCCTTCGAGAGCCTAATAACCAACGACCAGACGCCCTCCGAAGAAGCATCAGCGTTCGGGTCGCTGATTGATTCGCTGATTGAAGCTTTCGCTGCGCCCCAGGTAGTTGCTGATGCGGCGCTGAACTTTCTCTCCGCTGGCAGAGATACCACGGCACAGTCATTCACGTGGACCTTCTACGCATTAATGAGGCATCCCGAGGCTTTGAGGCAGTTGCGTGACGAGCTTGACTCGAAGTTCACCTACTCTGGCGACCCAGAGGATCTTCAGGGTAATGATGAAGATAAGGATGGTTACCATATCTCTATCGACCGCCTTGACATGGCCTCCCTTCAGCCTACTTTTCTCCCCCTCACGGTCGCCACTTTCTACGAAGCTTTGCGTCTTTATCCACCTGTCCCTTTCGAGCTCAAACAGACATCTGAAGCCGTTACCCTACCGGATGGTACGTTTCTGCCTGACGGAGCCATCGTGGTCTGGTGCATCTATGCACTGAACCGATCAACCGAGACCTTTGGTAGCGATGCGCATCAATTTCGACCGCATCGTTGGCTTGACAACCAGGCCAGACTGGTGCCAAAGTCGACATTTGAGTTCCCGGTATTCAACGGCGGACCGCGGGCTTGCTTAGGCAAGAAGATGGCCGAGGTGATGGCCGTCTGGGTGATGGCCAAAATGTGGATGGAATGGGACTTTGATGAGGTAGTCTCACAACATGAAAGAGGGAAAGAGAGAGTTAGTGCGAATAGCCTCACCTTGCCCATGGAAGGAGGTCTGCCCTGTCGAGTCAAGGTCAGGGACAAGAAGCTTTGATGAACTCCATGTCCTGAGGTATTTAGATATAGAGGCGCCTCAATTTCTGGGATACATGCCTGATTGGCGCAGCAGCTGCTGTGAATAGGGAAAGACGGAGCCTGTAGACCGTAATGGGCATTTGGCGTTGTCAATTGTTCAAAGAGGTTGGTTATGTATTACAGTACAAGGCTGCCAGTGGCCGTCCTGTGCCCACGCAAGAGCAATCTTGTACGTTCTTCTATGAGCGAGTGATTCGTCATGTCATACGTCGACGTCATCATCCCCGGCGACTCTAGTATACGCCATGCCGCCCGCTCCTCTCCTGAACCGGAGCGGGACTTCATAGAGGTGCGCATAGTCGACCACATCACCCCCCAGGAACCCTTCGCCGTTCTTCCTCCTGCCGAAGATGGGCGCCGGATCGCACCAGAAGTCCTTGCAATTGCCAATGACGCCGCGGCTGTAGGGGTTGCCGGTCCGGGTCTGCAGTTTGCCATGAGAGGCGTCGGACGCGGTAGCCAGGAACGCATCAAGGCCGATCAATTTCATCATCCGTGTGATATAGCCGTCCGGACGGCGCGGGATAGGGTTGATCCGGGAGGCTGCGGCTGCGGTATCGTTGAGAGAGGTCGTGGCTGTAGAGGCTCCTTGTGTGATGGGTCGAGCGTGTTGCGGGAGCAGCGGGCCACGGTCATGCAGATGCGAGTGGCGGCGCATGTTCTCGTATGTCGTCTGGTTCTTGCAGATCTGCACGGTCTGCACCACGATCAACATGGTCACCCAGACGAGTTGGATACACGTCCAAAACGACAGCGCCACGGTCCACGGGTCGCGCAAGACGAAGGAGCACAGTGCAGGACCGAGGCCGTTACATTGTGCAATAGCCTCGTCGGATGGCGCGGGGAGAAGTTCCAGGTACGAGAGAACCAGTCGGACATATAAGATGATCCCAACCTCCAGACTGAGGATGTAGATGTAGAAGTGTCGCAGGTTATTGTTGCCCACGCAGTTGTGGATCCAGGGGCAGTGGTGGTCGTGCTTGGCCACGCATCGGTTGCAGCGGCGACAGTGTTTCGACCTCAAGGGCCGGCGGATCATGCATTGTACGCAGAAATTCTCTTCATCGAACTTCCAGAGTGAGAAGAGTTCCTGGATCACGGCCCGTTGTTGGTTCCGCGACGCCAGTTTCGGGACGAACCCGGGGTCCTCCAGCATGGCTGTAAAATAGAAGTAGGACGTGCTGGAGAACGAAAGGATGAATGAGATGTTGGAGATTGGGTTCGTCGAAAACGTGACAGGCATGATAGATGTCAAGTAGCTGACCCCGACCCAGAACAGCGTCCCTGCGAAGATGCCGGCCAGATATGGCGTTTTGTGGATGGAGTGATATTCCAGCGGGCCTATCGCTGCGATCCGCTGTGCCAGATATTGCATGCCTAGACAGACCGCCAGGAAGACCGGAATGCCGACGTAGATGTTGAGGTGAGTGATTATATACAGGCCAATCATGATGATGAAAAAGGGGTATAGAAAGAAGAATTTGGACATTCGTGACCGGTTGCGAAGGAGCAAGTGTAAGTTGAGAGGAAGCGTTTTCATGTTGCCCGAGGCATCATACCCATGGTCGGCTAGAGAACGGTGATATGCCCGTTTGGTGTTCATCTCTTCGGCACAGGCGTTCGGGGTCTTTCCTTCCGCCGTCTTTGCGAATCGGTCAGCACCGTATTCGATTAGTCTGTCCAGGCATGGTTTAGATCCTTTCACAAGAGCCCAGTGCAGAGGTGTGAACCCATTGTCATCGGTAGCGTTCACATTCGCTCCCCAGCGGAGCAGGAGGTCAACGCAGGCTGGCCAGCCTTTGTACCCTGCCCACATCAACGAAGTGTGACCTTGAGGATCCGGCGCGTCGACGGGGATGTTCTGATGTAAGAGCAGGGTCAAAAGAAGGGCGTTTCCATCGATCGTGGCTAGGTGTAAGATGTTGTAACCTTGGCCATCTGTGAGGAAAGGGTCGGCTCCGTTTTCTATCAGGAGATTCACAATATAGAAATGGCGTCTCTGTGAAGCCCACATGACTGCGGTCGCATTGGATTCTCCGCCTTTTGCATTGACATCCGCCCCTTGCTCTATCAGGTACTTGCACACGGCATATTGGTTGTTGATGGCAGCCCAGTGTAACGGTGTAATCCCTTCTTCGTCCTTGTACTTTGCATCGTATTTGCCTGACTGGAACAGCTTCTGGATGTACTCGAGGGCTCCTATACGGGCGCATTGCATGATATCGTCTTCCAGAGGAAGACTGGGTTCCGCCTGACCATTCTGGACCGACCCAAGCTCGACATCTTCAGAGGTTACCGGCGGTGAGGCTGCGTTGGCCTTCGACGTCGGAGGAGGGGGGAGTTTCTGGGAGAGCGGAGACGACATGGCGATATAGGATGTGAGGCTCTCGTCGCGACTGTGCACATAGTGTCCTGTCCGCGACTCGGCTCTGAGGAGACAGAGTAGCTTGATTAAGACAAATGAACAATGACCTTGCAGTGTCTGGAGTCCTGGAGTCCTGGTTTACTTGTGATCGACTAGGTATTTCCGCGTTAAGTAACACGGCCCCAGATTCGCAGGTTGACGTACGCATGCACGCACGTGACTCTATAGTGGTCCTCCAATTTCGCCAAGCCGATGCACGTGACTGTCTACGTTCCGAGTCGGCAAAGGTGCCTCTGGGTTTTTTCGGACTAAGCTCGATTGAAACTCCCGGCCCAGCTACCTCTCCTTCTTCCTCGACTTCACAGCATCAACCACCTACTCTCCACTCTCTTTGAGCCATCTCATCCCACCTCCTGCCTGTCGGAAGTTCTTAAGTTACAGCTTCGCGAGCAGGCAAGATGATGTCGAGGAACGTCTTGCGCCAGTCTGGCCGCATTGCCAGTGCCCTGACGGCATCTGGAAGAGTAGCTGCGGTAAGCTTCAAATCTTGCCCGTCCAAGCTGATCAAGCTCCAAAATCAGCATCTTCGGTGTCGGCGAGCTTCTGGAGGTGCTGTGGGAGCTTGGGAAGGATATAGGAGCTTGTGAAATGGGTTGTTCATGAAGCCGAAGGCTAATCAATACCTTTACAGTCTCGTGTCGTCACGCCCGCACCTTTCAATGCCGCCTCAAAACAGGTTCGAACATACGCCGCCGATGCCAAAGCATCCCCAACCGAAGTGTCCTCAATCCTGGAGCAGAGAATTCGGGGTGTGCAAGAGGAGGCTGGCCTTGCCGAGACCGGCCGCGTCTTGTCGGTCGGTGACGGTATCGCTCGTGTCCATGGCATGGCCAACGTTCAAGCCGAAGAATTGGTCGAATTCGCGTCCGGAGTCAAGGGCATGTGCATGAACTTGGAAGCTGGTCAAGTCGGTGTCGTGCTTTTCGGTTCTGATCGTCTCGTCAAGGAGGGCGAAACTGTCAAGCGTACCGGCAGCATTGTGAGCAACGTGCCCTTTCTGCTCCCTCAACCATGGAGCTAACATGCCTAGGTCGATGTTCCCGTCGGCGAGGCCATGCTTGGCCGTGTCGTCGATGCTCTGGGTAACCCCATTGACGGCAAGGGCCCAATCAACACCACCGAGAGAATCCGTGCCCAGGTCAAGGCTCCTGGTATCCTTCCTCGTCATTCCGTCAACCAGCCAGTACAGACCGGTCTTAAGTCCGTCGACGCCATGGTACCGATTGGCCGTGGCCAGCGTGAATTGATCATTGGTGATCGTCAAACCGGAAAAACTGCCGTTGCCCTCGATGCCATGTTGAACCAAAAGAGATGGAACAACTCGGGCGACGAGACCAAGAAGCTCTACTGTGTTTACGTGGCCGTCGGTCAAAAGCGATCTACCGTCGCCCAGCTCGTCAAAACTCTCGAGGAGAACGACGCCATGAAGTACTCCATTGTCGTCGCTGCCACTGCCTCCGAGGCTGCTCCTCTGCAATACCTTGCTCCTTTCACTGGCGTAAGTTCCCTCCTTGTCCTTGTTCTCACCTTAAGCTACTAGTAGCGTCTGAGCTTCCTTCCTGGAGTCATATTGGGCATCTTCCTGGCTTACAACCTCTGTGGACTCTGTTGTCTGTGACGAGGTCTTCCGCCCGAATGCTCACCTCGAGAAACATGAGTTTAAGGCCCTCCTCCGGATGGAAGGCCTACTCTCTTACGCTGATTGATTGAGCCATTGTCTGCTTCTTTAACTCTTGTGTCGACATGCTAACGCCATCCTTCTAGTGTGCGATGGGTGAGTGGTTCCGTGACAGCGGAAAGCATGCTCTCATCGTCTACGACGATCTCACCAAGCAGGCCGTGGCGTACCGCCAGATGTCTCTGTTGCTCCGCCGTCCTCCTGGGCGTGAGGCGTATCCGGGTGATGTCTTCTACCTCCACTCCCGCTTGTTGGAGCGAGCTGCCAAGATGAGCGACAAGCATGGTGGTGGTTCCTTGACCGCTCTCCCTATCATCGAGACCCAGGGTGGTGATGTGTCTGCCTATATCCCTACCAACGTCATTTCCATTACCGATGGCCAGATTTTCTTGGAGGCCGAATTGTTCTACAAGGGTGTTCGTCCAGCCATCAATGTCGGTCTCTCCGTCTCCCGTGTCGGCTCGGCCGCCCAGCTGAAGGCCATGAAACAAGTCGCCGGTTCTCTGAAGCTCTTCTTGGCCCAATACCGAGAAGTCGCCGCCTTCGCCCAGTTCGGTTCCGATCTTGATGCTGCCACCAAGCAGACTCTCAACCGTGGTGAACGTTTGACCGAGTTGTTGAAGCAGAAGCAATACTCGCCTATGGCTGTGAACGAAATGGTTCCTCTTATCTACGCCGGTGTCAACGGTCACTTGGACAGTGTCCCAGTCGGCAAGATCACGACATGGGAGGCTGATTTCCTTGCTCACCTGAAGAGCGACCAAACCGAGCTTTTGGCCAGAATTGACAAGGAGGGGCAATTGAGCAAGGATCTTGAAGAGCAACTGAAGGAAGTTGTTGTGAACTTCACCAAGAGCTTCACATAGGTAAGTCTGATCACGAGTTGGGCACACTGATAGAGATGCTAATGGGATTTAGAGATGCTTGTACAATTTTCTGGTTCGGTCGAAAAGCGGACAGCACTACTCTAATTGAGGCATCAGATAGCAGACCGTTGGCGACAGGCGGTTGCTGGGCAAAATAAGACAGTCTCAGTGTACTTAGAATACATACCCGTCCCCAATCGACTCAATCGATTCCGTTTGTTTTCGAAATATGCTTTGGTCTTGGACAGAAGTCCTTTCTCCTACATGCGCCACTTGTGACTCGTTAAGAGAACCTTGAAATACCCGAGCCTGTTCAGTTTGGCTACAACATTGTGTGGTAGGCTTTGTTCTCCATTGTACGCGGGACAAGGCTTGAATTCTTTAACAGAACTGATATATCCAGGAGACTTCCCTCCGGTTCCGTGTCCGTCAACATTGGCTTCCATTGACTTCTTGCTTCACGAGGCGCTGCTTCGAGGGTCAGCCTTATAGGATCATAATCGGCCATAAAGGCCAGCCCGTTACTTGTCGATGAAACGACTAGCGGGTACCAAATAGTAGGACACGAGTTGTTGTAGAATGCACCAAAGCCATCTTGCAAAATAGGTGGCACGCAGTATATTGGTAGGGACGCCCTTCACAACTTCAATGGGCGGTAGGACACTTACATTGCAGGAGAACGCCTGTTGTATCGACCTTGGGACTGCTTACTTACCAGGTAGGCACCTGATTAATATCATTTTGCGGTGCCACCGTTTTGTAAGGTGGCTCGGCATCCAATGTCTACAACGCCAGATAGGAGAGGAAATGGAGATGTCTGACTGGAGTATTTTCCAGGTATTGCCGCGGCGACAGATGCCTACAGTGCTGGAAACTGATCTGCCAGACCCCAATTAGAGAATCGCAGTGATTCTCATTCATCACTGCCGAAGCTGCCAACATCGTAGTCACACCATCGTTTCTATATTCTCTTGCCTTCCATACTATGACTTATAATGCTCACTAATAACCACTGCAGCCAGTTTGCAGTGGATAGTATTGGTGGGGCACTCTCTGAGTTCCCCTCCAACTTGCTTCTAGCCTTCAACCCAAGCGTCTCCTCCCTCTGTCGAAGGTTCCGGCAAATCCATATATTCTGTAAGGGAAGCTCGGCACTGTTACAGTGGTTTGCCAGTGCCCTGCAGAACTACCTCAAGTACTATAAAGTTACGGAAAGGTACACCATCACCATCACCATCATTGCCAGACAAACATAGTTCTCTCAATCTGTAAATATTGTGACACAACCCTTCTTCTCTTTATCAAAGTCATCTTCTCTAGACCAGTGATCTCCTCCCTGATCAAACGGTTTACACAAGGCTAATCCTCCGAAGCCTTGTGAATTTGCGAGCTACAGTCTACAACCCAAAGCGCTGACAAATCCAGAACAAGGCCTACATTGGACGAAATGAAATCCGCCCACGTCTTCGCCAAAGGCGAGAGTGAATTGGAGGTCAAGATACAGGATATTCCCGTCCCCTCCCCCGAGCCGGATCAGGTCGTGATCAAGGTGGTCGTGGCCGGCACCAACCCCAAGGACTGGAAATATCCGCTATGGATGAAAAGCGCGAGCGGCCTCAACACCGGCGACGACGTGGCCGGCTACGTCGAAGCCGTGGGATCCAATGTCACCGAGTTCAAGCCAGGCGACCGAGTGGCTGCCTTCCATGAGATGGGCAAGCCTCACGGTGCATTCGCCGAGTACGCCATCGCGTGGGAGAAGACGACCTTCCATCTGCCCGCGTCGACATCGTTCGAGGAAGCCGCCACCATTCCTCTGGCGGCCATGACCGCCGCCGTGGCGCTCTTCTGCCGTCTTGGCCTGCCGGAGCCGTGGGTGCAAGTCTCCCAAGCCCGTAAGGATGCTTCGGCAGGCGGTGTCGTGGTCTATGGCGCCTCGGGGGCCGTCGGCGCGTTCGCAGTCAAGCTCCTGGCCCATGCCGACATCCATCCCATCATCTGCGTGGCGGGTCACGGCATCCCGTATGTGGAAGGCCTCATCGACCGATCCAAGGGCGATACCATCATCGACTACCGCGGCGGCGAGGACAAGCTGGTGGCAGGTCTACGTGAGGCCATCCCTAAAGGTCAGAAGCTGCTGTATGCTTTCGACGCCATCGCCGAGAAGGGCAGTTACCAGCAAATCGCAAAGGTTCTGGACCCCGAGGGCCACATCACCCTCGTGCTCCCCGTGCGAGACCAGGAGGCTATTCCCAAATCCGTCCATCAGACTATGACCACGGTTGGTTCCGTGCACGGCAAGCCCGACGACCTTATCGAGTTCGGCTACGCGTGGTTCCGCCTCTTCAGCCTCGGTCTCAAGGAGGGTTGGTTCAAGGGACACCCGTTCGAGGTGGTCCCTGGCGGTTTGGACGGCGTGCAGACCGGATTGAATAATCTGAAGGACGGCAAAGCAAGTGCTGTCAAGTACGTATACCGCATTGAAGATACCGAGGGCGTGGATCGGAGTAAGATTTGAGGGAGCATTATGCCAACTGCGCTTCTCGCGTCTCTTTGATTGATGAAGGGAAACAGGTCCCTTGGATCTCTTAAAGAAACAGGCAAATGATATGGAATCCAACACTTTTCGTCCAACGTCAACACAGACCTACAGAGGTTCCGCCTAAAATTATCTGCTGTATCGACTCAGTTCGGCTCCAGACGTGTACACATCAAGACTTGTCCTATCGTGTAAATTCTCAGTAATATGGGCATAGACTGGGCATGCTGCGGAGCTGGGTGCTGAGAGCTGTCGGTCCATGTCTAAATTAATGGACGACGACGACTCCCAGCTTGCGTCGCGTAAGGGCCCTTGGGTTGCTGATGTCAGGTCATTGAATGAGGCATCGAGTAGATCTGGCTCATGCGTTCCGAGCTGTGTCGCAAACGTGGACTGGAGTACCATCCAGGCATCTTCTCAGTCTATAAACCAATATCGCGGAACAGACCGGAATCAGATCACATAGTCGGCCTGGGAGAGGGCATGAGCGGTGTGATGGCATTGACGAACGAATGACGGGAACGCTGCTTTGCTGCGTCTTGCAGTGAAGAGTCAATTGTTAGAGCAAGAACAAACCTTCCGGGCACGTCCTGTCCTTATCCTCGCATTATGACAAGGATTGTAGGATAAGTAAAGTCGATATCATGAAGAAGACACCACAATCTGATATCGGAAGATGAGCAATGCTCTGGTGATGCCGAGCAGCGCTCCCCACGCTCTGTAAAGGGCAGTTTGGGGTAAGTCTGCAGGCGAGATGCAACAATAAGAGCACCCCATGTTCCTATCCAAGTTAGAGACTGGTCAGCTGGTCTTGGTACAGATGTTCGAGGAAAGGATGAGATCAGGAGGCGTTCTCTCCGGTCCATCCATCCGTCGAGGCACATCCGCGAAGACACCGGCAGGCCTGCCGCAGGTTATGATCGACGGATAGCGCAACTTTAGAGCGGATGAGGGTAGGACGAAGATCAGAGCAGCGCACTGTCAAGGCTGGCTCGGAGGAATTTTGACTAGCTGGGCCTGCCGTGACATGCAGGATGGCTTGAGCGAAGAAAGGCTTGAGGAGGCCTGATCCGAGGACGGTTGGCTATTCGTACTCCGTGGTCTGCCAGCGATGTCTGCACTCCGCCTCTTTAGTCATCTCTTAGCTGCTCTAGTCGTCCACCCTCCGCTCTCCACGTCAATGCTTCCAGCCATAGCGGTTCGGAGTGGCAGGCTAGCGGGACCACCTCAAGTTTCAGAATCACCACTATTCATTGTCCCCTACCTGAGAAGGATAAATCGTGGTCATATTCGCTGATCGAGCTGGAGGGGTAATGACTCGACTGGCGAAATCGGAGTGGACGATAAGGTAAGATTCCAAGAATGAGTGGCTCAAGCATGTACGGGTCTGTGAAAGGTGTCAGCAGCTTATAACCAGGGGGATTGAAGTTGTGCAATCTGCTCAGACCCAAACCCATCAAATGCGATGTTCCCAGTCAGAAAGGCCGGCAGTGGGCAAAAGCACGGGTCTGGCAATCTTTCCAGCGACAATGCCACCTGCTAACCGTGTAAAGAGACTCCCAAGGTGCCTACAGGCATCCAGCCTTGAGGATCTGCTCGGTTGGCACAGGGATTGTCTCTTATTGGCCGTCTGTAAGGGCATGGAGAAGGAAAGCGAAAACGAAGGCAAAAAAAACTGGTGATCCCAAGGGGTCCACTACCTTTCGCTGCACCGTGTACAGACTCCAGAATATTGTGTGCTGCGAGTGGTGGCCTGGTTTTGTCTGTCAAGTGGCGGTTTGGGTTGAATTTTCTCCCACCACTGCACGCAAACTGCACAGGTCAGTCTATCCGCGTCAGGAGGAGGCTGATAGAGCCTTGGGGAATCCTGAAAGACAGAAGCTTCGGGGGCTAATTCAGCTGACACTTATTGCGACATCATTAATGACCGCCGGCAATAAATTGCATTGTGCTGTTCTACGGCTGTAGCCTGTAGGGCAGAGATCGGGCGATGAAACAAGTCACCTAGTCACCTAGGACGCCGGTGACTGTTAGGGGCCCGGAGCAGCCCGTCGTCCGAGTTTAGAGGCACCTCTTTACCTGAATCCCCGGGTAAAATGTGTAGTTTGCGGCGCCCGGGCTGGTCAACTCGTCCATAACCTTTCCTTCCTTGCGCCCCCCGAAAACTTCCCCCCACGCTGTTCCTTCCTGCCTACTGGTTGTGCTGTAGCTGGTCCTGGCACACACTAGCAACTCTAACTGCCTTGCACCTCACTACTGAACGGCAACCCGCATCTTTTACTCAACTTAGGCCTCTTCGAACAACTCGCGACCATAGCTTTTACACATCACATACATTCCTTGATTTTCTTCATTTCCCTCTTATTTGTGCATAGGCAGCCATACCAACTGCCCTATTCTTGCGATCATATACCGACATATTGCTCTCATCTCTTCCTCCCTCCTTTCCGACCTCCCTTCGTTCCTCTCCGAGCCCGTCTTGTCCTCCAGTTGGCTTGCTGACCTGAAAGAGTCCGCAGGCTGACTGGTTACGGGCCCGCGAACTCGACGCCCAAACCTTCATGCCGCGAAACCCTGCGGCGAAGAAGCATCAGCACGGCAATCGTCATGACAGTGGACTTGTAGGTCCAGGGAAACGTGTCACGAAACAAAAGTCGAATGGTCACCTCAATGGCACGGCAAAGGGTCCCGTTCCCTCCGAGCCTATTCCTCAGTCACACCCTACCGACCCGTCTTTGAGCGTATCAGCCAACGATCAATCCGCTTCTGTCGCTTCTGATTCGATTCAAGAAATTGCAAGAGGCTCAACTACGACTCAGTCGAAGGCCGCTGAATTGGAAGGTTGTGAAAGCAAAGAGAAGGAGAACAAAACGGAGTCGAATGGGTCAGCGATGTTGCAACAAAGACGGACCGACATGGTCTCTTCGAGAACCAAATCCACTCAGGATGTCAGCGCACTGCAAATCGCCTCGACCATCATCCGATCTCGTCCCGCCTGCGACACGGTGTCACTGCTCATTGTCTTGCTCGCTCTACCCTCGATGATCTTGACCATTGTGCAGGCACTGTTTGCGTCGTTAACCTTGATGCCTGGAGGCGGCGCCCCGGTTTCGTTCCTTTCGTTGCTCGATATCTTCCAGGGGTCTGCGGGCGCACCCAGTATCACCACGATGGTCGTGGTTGATGTCATCTGCTTCGCGTTGTGGGTATGTCTCTGGTCATGGGCTCAGAATTTTGCACTGGACCTGGCTCAGATACAAATCGCGATCACGCTAGGCAATGGCAGTTCGGGGAAGAATGGCCGTGCCAACGTGATCTGTCTGGTTGGCGTTCTCTTGCTTCACCTCATCCGAAGTAGGGGCGTTCGCAGGTTCCTCGTCACGAATTTGGTGCCGCTGGATCTACTCTCTCAGATTGGGCTCACCGAATATCTCAAGTACCTTCCTTCCGACTCCGATTTTGGCGATAGCCCGGGAGCCCCGTCGTATATTCGAAGTTTGTTTGCAATTCATATCATCAGTCAAGCTGTGATGGCATTTGTGCGCCGGCGGGTTAGCAGCTCATCATCCATTCCCACAGCCAAATCGAAACGCATTGATACAGAAGCCTCAGCCGGCTCTGCATCGGATATCTCAACACTGGAGTCTGCATCCGTGGGCGTCTCCTCGGCGGTAGAGTATCAGGCCCCTCCGACGCCGGGTTTGAAAGAAGGCAAGGAGAAGGGAGTGAGTGCGAAGAAGCGAAGACGACAAGCAAACCATGTCAGGAGCAAGCAGCCTTTCTGGGCCGCTCTGGCTAGTACCAAGGTCCACGTTCTCCGCGAGGTTGAACACAACAAAGCCCTTCCGACCATCGCGAATAACCAAGGCACTCCGTTCGAAACTGTGCAGCGAGGCCTCATATGGATCACCCATGTGGACCCATCGTCTATTTCTTTTGAAGCAGGCTACATCCCGTTCACCGAGCAGCCCCAGGACCCCGACCACCCCGACGTGACCGGCGACAACAGGCCGTTTTACGTGCGCATTAATGGAGCAAAGTGGCATTCTGTCAGTCTTGATCCGGTGGACCAGTCTACGGCTGTCGAAGGCTCGAACGCCCAATGGTCTGGTACGATCTCCGGTCTGGCGCCGAATTGTACCTATACTTGTAGCTTCATTCGTGTCGACGGGGAAGAAGAATTCGCCTCAGTCATGGTCAAAACGCCAATACTGTTGGACAAAGATTTGCCTGCCTCCATGTCCCCGGTCCCTGTCCGTCAATCCACCAGACCGTCATCGCCGACAACCACGCTGAAAAATTCCATCTCGACTGCCGAAGCCAAATTGAATGAAGCGCGCAATCGCCTCACCAAACTGCGTCGTCAACATCGGACAACTTTGGCCAAGGTGGAAAAAGAGGTTGACAGCTTCAGCACACGTTTGAAGACTGCTAGTGACGACACAAAGCAAAGGCAGAAGTTATTGCAAGCTGAACGCAGTATCCGCCAAACAGAAGATGCCACCCTCGAAATTGATGCCGCCCTCGAGGGCCTGGTCTCGACGCCCGAGGATGAAGTCGACGATTATGATGCCTGCAAAATGGTCTATGAGGAACAGACTAAGTTATTGGCGGTGGCTAATGAAGCATTGTCCAAGGCTCGTTCGGCGGCGACAAATGATCTCTCCTGTGCAAACAGCGAACTCAATACTATCACTTCCCGCAAAGAGCGCCTGACAGGTCGCAACAACAAGCTGACCGAGCAACACGATCGGATCACGCAAGCCAATGCGCAAGGCCTGAATGAAAAGGAAAGAAGGGCGGCCGAGTCCAATGCCAAAGGGGTTGACCAGCAAAGACGTGAGGCGGAGCTGACCCACCAGATCCGCTTCATGGAAAACGAGCTGAGAAATTCGAGGATGCGCTGGGAAGCTAACCTCCGGGAACTCGATCTTCTCGAGAAGCAAGAGCTTGCTCAGCGAGAGATGATGCTCACCAACAGCGGTCCTTTGACGCCTGAAGGAGAGCTTCCTGGCACTCGGCCTCCGCCACAACACGCCCGGCCATATGCATTTGGCAGTTTCCAAGCCTTCCCGAATAGTCCTGTCATCACTGAGGTTCAAGGATCACCTTTCCTTGCATATGCCAAAACGCTTCCCTCCACCGACCAGCGACGACCGAGATCGGAGACCAACCGGTCGGCGGGCGGGATTAGCAATCTTTCGGGCGACTTTGAGGACGCTGATCCAATTCCCCCCATGCCATCGACGGCGGAGTATGGGGGAAACGGGCGAAAGGGGAGCGGCAGCAGCAGGGGAAAGAACAATGGTAGTCCGGCAGTGGGGATCATCGGCAATGCACTGCGCAGTCCACAAAGAGGCAGCTATAGTCCGGGACATATTCCGGGCTCAACTACATGGTAGATGATCAAAGACAAGGTTGAACTCGATGGCGGATGGGCGAGTGTGATATGTAGATGTCGGTAGATGGCTCTACGGCTTCCAGCTGAGCATGTTTCAATGTGTCCCACTGTAGGGCCTTGTATCATGACTGATGTTTCTCTATCTTGCCTCTGGTGATACTTGTGTCAAGATGATGTGACGGAAGCGCTCCGTCGTCCATGTTTAGTAGTACGGACTGAGGCTCTGAGGCTCATTCCCACTGGCACTGGAAGTTCACTGCACTGCAGTGCATATTGTAATTCTCTTGGCAAGTTTGCTGGAGTTTCACACTTGTTCATGTTGCCCATTGACGGCCCTCGTGCCAGTTACATTCACGAGCATTCTGCATCGTCGTATGCAGTTCAAAACTAATTCGTTCCTGCTGAATTGTCTACCTGAGTCACGGCCTCTTCTTCATCCACCGCCGGCCCCGCTCTCGCATGCGCTCCATCCTCCGAATTTACGGAAGTACCAGTAGACTCCTGCTTCGACAAACTTTCACGGGCGCATATCTTCAGACCGCGGCTCAACCTCTTGCCCGACATTGCTCCACGATGGGGAAAGAGAAGGAGAAAAAGCAGGAGTTGATCAAGAACCCGAAAGGAACGCGCGACTGGGCCGGCGAAGACGTTGACCTTCTGGAAGATATCCTGGCGCAAATCTCTCGAGTCTTCCGGCGTCATGGCGGCAAGAAGCTGGACACACCGGTGTTTGAGCGGGAAGAAGTGCTGAAGGGCAAATATGGCGAGGACTCCAAACTGATCTATGACCTCAAAGACCAAGGGGGTGAACTGCTGTCGCTACGTTATGATCTGACGGTTCCGTTTGCCAGATGGTTGGCCATGAACGCCAATATCAAGAACTACAAGAGGTTCGCCATCAGCAAAGTCTACAGAAGAGATCAGCCCGCGATCGCCAAAGGGCGCATGCGAGAATTCTACCAGTGCGATATTGATTTTGCGGGAGCTAGCGATCCAATGATCGCGGACAGCGAAGTCATCGCGATCATCGTCGAGGTCTTTGAATCGTTGGAGTGGACTGGGAGGTACACCATCAAGCTCAACGACCGAAGGATACTGGACGGGCTGTTCGAAGTATGCGGGGTTCCTGAAGACAAGATCAGAATGATCTCGAGTGCGGTCGACAAGCTGGACAAATTGCCGTGGGAGGAGGTGAAGAAAGAGATGGTGGAGACCAAAGGTCTGGACGAAGCTGTCGCTGACAAGATCCAAACGTACGTGACAAGAAAGGGTGGGAGAGATCTCCTACAAGAGCTGCAGAAAGACGAGACGTTGATGAGCAATGCCAAAGCAAAGAAGGGCGTTGAAGAAATGGAGACCTTGATGGACTATCTTTCGGCATGGGGGGCGCTGGATAAGGTCTCGTTTGACCTTTCACTAGCTCGTGGCCTGGACTACTATACTGGTGTCATCTACGAGGTCATCACAGAAGGGTCTGCGCCCGTCATCGCCAATGGAACCGACGTGGCACAGGAGGTACAGAAGAAGGGCAAGAAGGAGAAGAAAGTACTGGACGAGGACGAAGACCGTTCAAATGATCCATCGGTTGGTATCGGATCGGTCGCAGCCGGTGGCCGATATGACCACCTCGTCGAACGTTTCCGACCGAATGCGGACCTACCATGTGTGGGTGTGAGCTTTGGTGTCGACCGGATTTTCAGCATCACCAAAGCCAGGATTGCGAAGGGCGAGAACTTCAGCTACATATCTTCCAATGCCCCAGACGTCTATGTTATGGCCTTTGGTGGTGGTGGGTTCGACGGGATGGCCAAACAGCGGATCGAGATAACGAAGATCCTGCTGGATGCAGGCCTCAAGGTGGAATTCACATACAAAAAGAAGCCTAAACCACAGGTTCAGTTCAAGAATGCAGAGCAAGCTGGCGCGCCTTTCGCCGTCATCCTTGGCGAGGACGAGCAAGCAAAAGGAGAGGTTCGCGTGAAGGAGATGGGGTTGCCCGAGGGACATCCGTAAGTGCATCGAATGGTTTTGCGTTCTCATCGCGGCTCTGCGGCTGGCTGACTGAAGATGCAAACACAGGGAAAAGGAGGGTGTGCTCGTCAAGATCAGCGATCTCGCCGCCGAAGTGACAAAGCGAGTTGACACGAGGAAAGTGACGACTAAGACGGGCAGCATAGCTGTGAGCTGATCTGGCCAAGCCCGGTACGCACTGATTGCGGAGCTACTGTTTCGCAAACCTTGCACAGCCTCGGTCCGAATCTCGGGAATACAAGTCATCGGTAAACGGGGTCAAGGACGGTTACTGCCGCCAACCTGGAGTTGCCAGAAGAGGGAAAGAAGCATGGATAGCTGTCGACGATCCGAATCTTGACCGTGGCCCCAACCATGGCCTCGGAACTGGAGATCAATCGCCGTTTCGCTCGACGCCTGGAGCTGGACATGTCGCCTTGCTCTCGGCAACATCTCGAGGCCTGAGAGCATGGTGGAGTGGAGCAAGACGGGTCGAAGCCCAAAGCTGGAGACTCTGCTAGCAGCTGTAAGTTACTACCTAGGGATAGAAGAATCACCGAAGTTAGATCGATGTATTCGACCTACCAGGCCTGTCATATGGAAAGAGGACGGGGCACCGTGGATGCCCTGCTGCTTAGAGCTCTGCCAATGCTGATTCAGGAGAAGATGACACTCGCGTACTAGCATGTTACCCCCCGCAGAAGCCTGAAAGCGGAGAACAGTGTGTAGGAGGATGCCCTCGCGCGTTAGAGGGTGAGTCCAGCTAGGCTCGCCTGATAGCGTGGGAGTCTGGTAAGGCAGCCTTATCGTATACTTCTCTACATGTAGGTGAGATTGAGGAGCGCAGCCTTGCGCATTTTCTAAGAGGTATAGAGCAGCCTTTGATTGGTCCAACCTGAAACAGGTCAAAGCTGCCAAGCCTCGTGACGCCGCTTTAACAACGATCTCCCTGACTGCAACTTCAAGCATCTCATCTCAACCCTTCAACGACTCGGTCAGATCAATAGCCCCCAGTTAGGTCCATGCTGTGACTATGCGATGCTGGGCCACTTCTAGCAAGATCTAGGATACCAGACTTGGCGGAAGCAGCCCTATTCAACCCCTGAACTGTCCAAGAGCGGTGGCCGACACGCCAATGGTCCGCTCAACCATCCCGCAGCCGCCGTGCATGAAACACCCCCCGTCTCAGCAAGCACTTCTCACACGTTTGACCTTCAACATGATACCTCTCAGCCACCAACGGGCAGGAGTTCGAGACTGTGATGGAAAGACCCGCGTCGCATCTGTTGTTTGAGATGTCGGTTCCTCCAATGGTGACCAAGCAGGCCGGCGACTGCAAACACTTCCCTCTATCTCGCCGCTGACCCTCCTTGTTGTCCCTCGTCGCTTGTTGTCTGAAGCCGCTGCCCGGATGTGCTTCGCACCGAAAAGAGCCATCGCCCTCCAATCTGGACGTTGGCTCATGTCCCTTTCGCATTCTCCTTCGAGATGTGCATTTAGAGGCCTGACTTGCGCTCTTTCTCCCTCGTTCCATCATCTCATTCTCTCAAGCCCAAAGTCATTCGTTCTTTAGTGTTGCAGGACATCAACATATATTTTCATTGCGAATTTTCTTTGCGCCCGCTCCCTCCTTTGGAAAGAACATCGATCTTCACTCAACATATACCCAATTCGATCGCGATGCCGGCAGTTCGCTCCTTTTACACTCTCTCCCTTTTGGCAGCTTGCCTGGCGCAAGTACGATCTTGCCTGACGATGTTTTATGCATTTGTGCGGTGCTAACAACTATTGCAGGCATGGGCTGGCGACTACAGCGGCGGGGATGGCGGCAACAACTACAACAGTGACAGCGGCATGGGAGGCCAAGGCCAAGACAAAGGCAGCTCCGGCGGGTGGATGATGGGAGGCAGCGGATGGGGTGGCGCCAAAGACTCCAGCAACACTCAGGTTGAGGTGTCTACCGTGTACCAGACCAATGTTGTGACGATCGCGCCGCCCACCACCATTGTCCAAGCTCAAGATTGCGCTGCTGCAGCGACCTCGGTCATAATTGAGACCGTAAGTATCTTGTGTGCCTGCTTCATTGGAACATTGCGCCAGCCCGGAAGGCACCAATTGGCGCATAGCTGACTGGTTGACGAATTCTAGACAACCGTCACCGCCGTCTCGCCCTGCACGGCATCCGTCGTAACCGCATATGTTACGCAATGGATGAACGCTCCGCCTGGCTGTTGGTGTGGCCCTCCTCCGGCCTTCCCGTCCGCCATGGACATGGGCGGAGCCGCAGTCTTGTTGGGCAATGCTCCGGTCTTTACCTCGACCAACCCGGCCTTCGTGCCTGGTCTGTCTTCGATCCCTGCATCCGAAGCCGTCCAGACTGGAGTCACGGTTGCTGCAGCTGCGGCGGTACCAGCATCAACTACTGCTGCAGCCGTATCTCCCGGTGTCTTCTTCACGACATCATCAGCGGGTAAGTACTATTGGACAAAGCCTATCTTTCTGCTATATTCCAGATGAAACGAAGGAGAGGATATGGGGGGGTTTTTGCTGACATTGGTCCCCTTGCGTTCTAGCTTCGGCTGGAAATACCACCACTTCTGGTACGGATACTTCTGGCTCTAGCAGCAGCGTTTCATCTAACGTGTCGGAGCCATCTAAAACAGGTGATGCCACTCAGGCAGAGGTATCAACATCAACCGCATCTTCATCTTCATCTTCATCGTCCGCAGATTCCACAACCATCAGTACCGTCACAACCACCACCTCTTTAGGTTCTTCTTCCTCGGTATCGGTAGAAGCCGCCTCTGCCTCTGCCTCCTCGACAACCGATGCCGCCTTTCCAGTAGGTACATTCCAGACTCTGGACGCGGCAACCCTATCCCTCAAAAACGCCTATACCTTGGGTATTGGGAGAAGAGCGCCTGCTCCGACTCTGATATCATAGGAGTAAGTGAATGGGTGGATCAACAACAAAGTAAAATCTCCAAACCGAAAAACATGGACCTTTACAAGACCAAAAAGTGGGATGGTCGATAGGAACTCTGACGGCACAAAGATGAATGGGCGTTTGACGATCTATATACCCGCCGCGACCTCGGTTGACAGACAGCGCTCGTGGAATATTATGGTACCTCTGGTACGCCGGTATCCTCGGTTGTGGCCGAGCCAGACATCTTTTTTATATTTCTTTTCAGTTGTACATTTGGATATGAAGAATGCCTTGATCAATGATCGGCAGGGCGGCATGAAGAAAGGCGAGCCGTCAGCTCTTGAGAAGAACGTAGCTGACAGTACCGTATGGGTTGGTCTGCCGAAGCTCATATCTTCTCTGTTCCTTCTCCTTGTCTCTTCTCTTCCATAGACATTGACTGAACAAATAAGCTGGCCCCAGCCATCGCCGTGACACCGCGTGTATGACAGTAAAGGCAGAGGCACAATCAATAGTGCTCTTATGCTCTGAAACCTGTATTAGAAATTCCGGAGCATTATCAAGTGAGACATATTTGCCTGCTTTGTCAACAATTCAGGACACACTGGCAGTGGTTGTCTGACCACGAGCAGAACCCTTATCGTCGAGCCCGACTTGGGCTTCGAGCCTCGCTTTCTTGGCTCGCCTTTTCATTTCGCGCTTGGAAAGCGGCTTTTCTTCTCCTTTCTGGTCCGAGGTAGGCTCGGTAGTTGCTGATGTTGTTGCTTGTGATATGATGGACGCAGAGGAGGCTTTCCTCTTAAGGTCGTTCGAGTTGGACATAGCCACGTCCACTCGGGCAGTCGAGCCACCCGTTACTCCTTTGGGGCCTTTTTGTTCCGTCGTCTCTTCTCTTCCTGGCCCTGCATGACTGGGATCCATGCCTTTTTGCCCAGCCGTGCCATCTTTCATTCCCCCAGAACCAGCAGGTCTTGTGGCGGCCCCCTTTTGCTCCGTGACCGAAGTATTCTTTGGGCCCTGCACAGACTTTGCTCGCGCAGCCCCTCCGCCATCAACGACATCGACGACGCCGCGGAAACTAGACCTTTTCAGCGCGGCCAACCTGACGACCTTCCCGGCCTCTTCACAGAGCGCCTCTTTCCCCCTCTCCTGGCCCAAACCCCATACCTGCGCCAAATTGATGAGATCGTGGGGTGCTCGGACTCCCAACGCACTCCTGGCCTCACTGCTGAATATGATGCCTCGACCTCTCGTCGCGCGGATCAGCGCTGCCGCTCCACTGATCAGGTTCCTGCGCGCGTCGCTGTTCCCGCCCTGCACGCCGGCGGCGTAGCAGATCTCGAATCGCACGCCGCGCTGCAGCGCCGACGCCACGGTCTTGAATTTCAAGATGAACGGCAATCGCTGGCTGAAGTCCAACGAGATCAGATCGCAGTCCAGCGAGTTGCAGCAGAGTTGCAGGGCTTTTTCGTTCGTCGGCCGCAGTGCCAGGAGCGAGTATTGCGGCTGGAGAGAGGTCAGGCGGTGGTTCTGGCCCGCATCCGATATGGTCAGGGTCAGTCGCGTCAGCACAGTAGATATCGACTTGGGCACGCTCAGCGATGAAACGGGGATTGAAGGTGGTGTCGCTGGGAGTTTTCCTGTCACGGCGACGGAGAGGGCTATGGCCGAATAGCCAAGTTCGGCGTGGAAGGCCAGGGTGTGTGCTAGGTCGGCATGGTTGGTCGTGTATGGCACGTTAAGGTCGTGGAAGGGCATCGTGTTGGCCTGCCGGTGGGTTATCGTGGTGCACGTCGCAGTGCGTTTGGTCGTGGTCGAGGTCGTCGAAGGTGGCGGTGGCGATGCTCATGTTTGAAATACACTGTCTTAAGGTGTAGATATGGACTACTGTCAGAGGTCCTCCATGTGAGCTTTTGGGTCCGTCAAAGGCCGGGCTGAGGCATGTAAGAGTAGGTGGTCATCGAGAGACACACTGGATCATTAGTACGTATTGCGGCGCAAGAAATTATTTGGAGCCGCGAAATGACGGCGAGTCGCAGGTTGAATTTCCCCAGAGTTTGGGCAATCACTTCTAGCCTCATTGGAGTGAATAGCCCGCCGCTTTACTGATAGATAGCTAGGCCGGATACATCGCAGCCTCGTGAACGACACCCTCCTCATCGACAAGCTTATCGAGAAAGTGATCTCTACGGGTGCGTTTCCACGGCTCACCAGAAATCCACCACTACGGTACAGGGAAGTGACCGAGGCGTATTGAGCATGACAGGAGATAGACTGCTGGGAGACGAGACTTCCTCGTCTTCGCTTACTTGAAAGAAACTAGGAGGAGGTGCATTTTCAGCACTAACTAGCAACCACTCCCGGCTAACATCTATATCTCTCGTCTCGATATTCTTCCTCCTCTCCTCATCCGTCCAGCCTATATAGCCATCAGCGGTGACCCAGCTGAGTATATTCTGCTTTGTGCGCTTCCACCAACCTGCCACAACATCAAGCGGCGATAGACACTGCCGCGGCCTGGGACAGGGAGTAGTGGGCCAAGGCAAGGGCCACTACCACCACTTCATCCACGAATTTCGGATTGTCAGCTACATGCTGACCAAAGATCTCCAATTGCCCGACCTTGGCTATGCTCCAGTTGGCCGCCGAGAAACGTGCCACCAAGACGCCATCCTCCTCACTTGTGCAGTCAAAGTCAAAAGCCTTGAACAAGGTCCTGCTCTTCCACTTCAACCTCGCATTCATTGGATGGTTGGGTGAAGTGTAGGTGAACCGAGCGTGCAGCCTGATATGTGGTAGGAGTGTGAATGCTGCTCCATGGACAAGCATGTCGATCTTGCAACTCAGAGTATGGAATGCAGCGGTGTCACTGTGCACATTGTTTTCGATGTCAGTATACGACGAAGGAATTTTTTGGATGGCCAGTTGTGGCTTGCGCAACTGGATCGTGCCGGTGTAGGCCAACGTATTGGTCCCGTTGGTCTTGTCGAGAACGCGGAGCCCTTTCCCTTTCCAATCCGCATATTCGACCGCAAACGTACATTCGGGGACTGGCATATGATACGCCTGGACGGGGTAGGTGGTAGAGCCTTGAGCTGCAGTGCTGGCGGTGGCACCTTTGGTCGAATATGGTGGTGGCGGTGGGATTTCCTGTTCACCCAAGAATGCCGTTCCATATTAGTTGGTTATTTTTATCAAGGCTACAGGACAGACAGTGAAATCCTACTACGACCATTGCTCCAGGCAAACGATGGTGGTGACAAACATACCGAACTTCGCTGATGCTGAATGCCGCCAGGGTCTTTAAGATCATCACTTGGATCTGGCATGACTTTCCTATCCATTGGACTTCGTTCAAGTTTCAACTTGGTTTCTCGGAAGTAGGAAGAAGGACTTTGCTGTGATCGAGGACTGAGGAAGTTGATCGATAAAGGTTGGCACAAAGCGATAGATTGACCAAGGGAGAGAGAGTCAAGGTAGTGTCGCACAGAAATACTCTCCTCTTTGTATGACACAAGGTTGACAAGGGTAGTCTGGCCCTGTATACTGCCATGCCACCGTCTACCTTGGCAAGATGTGCAACTGCAGAAGGGCAGAACAGTCCGAGTCCACGAGCCTGAGTCGATGGAACCTCGTCAGATTCCCAACACTCTGATTGGGCGACTCCCCAGGTGACTCCGCCCACACTAAACCGGATATGGTGCTATGCAGCGCTCCCACAATTTCACTCTGGAGATCGACTTCATGCAATCAAGCCAGCAAAGTCCTGAATGGGCCTTATGTCGCGCTACAGGATGTAACTGGCGGAAAATAACAACATCCAATGGCCCCTGGGTCGCATTGGCTCCAATTGCTGCCAATACCACGTTGATTGTGGCGGTATACAGTATACTCAACACTGCCTGCCGACTATATGGCGGGTCTCCGTACTACGAGCCAGAGGGAGGAGCTGTGAATATAACAGTCATATATAAGACCAACGAAGATGTTTTTAACATCAACTACCTCAGCTGTACTTTCTCCTGTTCCCTCCTATTCATACCACACTCTCTTCTCTGGGAAACTTCATTGAGACTGGAAACATGGCAACGGACATCAGTCTATACCCTTACAACCCGAGCCATGTGCTGCCCATCATATTCGCAACACTCGTGGGCTTGTCACTGCTTCTCTATGTTTTCCAGAACTTGTGAGTGTTGCCCCATTCATTCCTGAGAGTCTTCCGTTCCGCGCTAAACCTCGGCTTTCTCTTCAGTCGATACAGGTATTGGCGCGTCATGTACTTCATGTGCTGGGGCGGCGCCGTGTTCACGACAGGATGGATCCTGCGTGCCGTGTCGACATACCATCCTACCCATCTAGGCTTGTACGTCGGACAGGCGGTCTGCATCTATGGCGGCCCTCCCATCTACTCGGCGGCCGAATACAACATCCTAGGCCGACTGTTGCACTATCTTCCCATGCACGCGCCGCTGAATCCCAACCGTGTGCTCTATTTCTTCTTATATCTGGGTGTTCTCGTCGAAGCCTTGACCGCCGCCGGGGCAGCACGTATTGCAGCAGCAAGGGGCGACCTCGCAGTATACAAAAGCGGAGGGACTCTGATCTCCATTGGGCTCGTCCTGCAAGCGGTGCTTGAATGTCTTTTCATGGCCATTGTTGCCTGGCTGCATCGTCGGTGTCGGCGCTCCGGTATGCTGGCGCCCAATGTTCGCTCGCTTTGCATCATGCTGTACGGCACTTCGACGCTGATATTGCTCCGCTGTATCTATCGTGCCGTCGAGGCATTCGCGACCTTCAACTCACTCACTTCTTGTTCGCACCTCTGTCGCGCCCTCCTCTTGCACGACTGGTACATCTACGCCTTCGAAGCGGCGCCTATGGTCATGTACACGTACTGGCTGAACATCATCCATCCCGGCCGATTGCTGCCAGCCCAGTCTAATCGCTATCTCGACCTAGATGGCAAGACGGAACGCCGTGGGCCTGGTTGGACAGAAAAGCGTGCCACATGGTGGACTTTTCTCGACCCTTTTGATCTGCGCGGTCGGGCCAGAGGGCAGCCTCAGCATGAAGAGTTCTGGTTGCACCCTCAAAGCTGGCCTGTTTGTGAAGACGGCAGTTATGCCCAGCGAACAGGCACGAAGTCGAGAGTTGCATGGCCGTGCTGAAACAATATGCTGGGAATCAGGAATCTATGGCTGTCCTCACGAGTCACCAGCAGTTCGCCCTGACAGGTCTTGTCAGATCTGAAGAGCTGGGATTGGTAAAGGACGCAGTCGCTTTTCTGTTCATGACTCTTGGGCCTTGTCTGCCTGGTTATGATGAGGTTCCTAGATATGCTGCTAGCTGTTGCTGCAACCAAGCCCACTGTCAGGCTGAAAATGATGCTGGTAGTATGTTTCCAAGCCTGCACTCAGCTTCTCGTTTGATCTGATACCTTGTATGGTATTTCAGCCACGATAGATCTTCATAGCCTGAGCTTTGCTTTCGTCCCAAGGCGTATCTTTTTTGTGATTTCAAAGCATATCATCGGTCAAAGGGCGAACGGGGGAAGACTTCTTTACGTAACAAGCAGTTTGTGCCTGATGTCACTGCAACAGTCCGGCCAAATGTAAGTGAAATGGCAAGCTTGGGATGTCCCAGCGCTGGAACATGCTGCTACCAGCCGCGACCTTATGAAGCGCACAGCCGCTTGAGGCTCGCCTCTGGACAAAGCCACTTTCAAACAGCTGCTCTGGATCACACAATCAACTTAGCTTTTCTTTCTTTTGTTGCTGCACAAGTTAAAAGACGACTTCTGCCACCTGCAAATGCCTTGAAATACACAAGCCAGTGTGTGAGGCCATCAGAAGAAGCTTGAGAGCTGACACGAATCCTCTGCAGCTCTTCTGGTCTGATCAGCTTCAATCCTCCTCGGCCTGATTGCAAAGAGTCGAAACTATTCGCTTGATAGACACAGGGGAAAACAAGTTTTCTGGTCTGAAAAGATGGCAGACGCAAGCCCATCACTCATATCTGATGGATGAGACCGTCCCGTTTCCGACACTCGACTGGGAGCATAACCGCGGAGCATTACAAACAAGCAAGAGGAGGTTGCAGAAAGTAACACGAAGAGCAGAGGCGTTGAACCGTCTCTGCGATACGGACCGAGCGGAACCAGCCCACGCCGTCTATTTCGCCTTGCACCATCCTCTGTCTCTGCCCCTTGTCAATTCCATGGCGCGGGTCATTGGTGCGGAGCGTCGGTCAGGACAAGCAAATGGCCCCGAGATCGCGGATCTGGCCGAAGTGCAGACAATCAGGGCAGTGGTTCTGGCTTCTAATGAGGTTCTGCGCCATCATCCGAAAGCGCTCAAGAGCCTTGCCAAACAAGTCAATAGGAAAGTCAACCTTTTGATCGAACATCAGCGCACCATCCAGGATCGACGTCTTGCTCAGGAAACCCAGAATCAGAATCAGATGTCGGAAATGGATGGAGATTCTGCTGAGCCATTGCCTTCTCTTGGACAGTGACTGACTGCAGTCTGCAGTCTACGAGCTCTGATGGCCTGCGACCGGGTCCTCCAGCCTTGCGTTTAGCTAGTTGGTAGAGTGAACATGAATCAACAAATGCCTTTACCCACATTTGCTCTGATTCCATCGTAGATAAAATTGATGTTTCAGGGTGCATAGTATGATAGGAGATTGCGCTTTGTAGGGACGCCATGTCCATACCAAGTAGGCATGTTTATGTCGGATAAGAGCACCAGAATGATCAGCAATACCGGACGGTCACCAGAGGGACATCGTGTTGGAGGCTATTGTCTAGGAAACTATTGTCCAGGAGGCTACCATGTTCAGATAGCTATTATTTATAAGGCTACTGTGGAGGAGGGTGTTATTGAGAAGGGTGTCATCAAGGGGGGTATCGTTTAGGAAGGTATCGTTCAGGAAGGTATCGTTCAGGAGGGTATTATTCAGGAGGTATTCAGGAGGGTGTCGATTAGGAGGGTACGTTTAAGATAGTGTCGTTAAGGAGGGTATCGTTAAGGAAGGCGTCGTTGAGGAAGGCGTCAATCAGGCCTTTAGATAATGCTGAAGCTTGGCTGAACTTGAAGTAGTACTATGTACTCAGCTCTGTATCACAAACTCCCGAGTCCCAAGGTGAGTAAAATGTGCCCCGGGCTTACTCCGTTCCGGGACGAAGGCAATGCCGCCCTGTGCTATACTTACATTCGACCCTCCCAGTTCATCGCCTTACGACGTAGCACTCTGATTGAACCCACTCGTTCTGTCTAGAACAAAAAAGAAACCGCTACAAGAGTCTTGAAGGGTGTACCGTCAGACTCAAATCACCACACGAAACTTAAGCAAGTTCCTTTGAAGGACATCCTGCTTCTTCTGCTCCAGTACCTCCATGTCCCAGCTCACAGAAACGAATCTGCCGGAGAGCCAGTCCCGTCGCTCACGAGAGAGCCAGACCAGCGTGTCGGCAGCCAGCTCTGGCGTATCAGTCAGGATATCTTGCTTGTCTGGAGGCATGTTCATGGCCAGCTCAGTCTTGATAGCACCCGGATGGACTGCCATGGCGATGAGACCCTGCTGATAGTATTCCTTGTCGATGAACTCGGTGAGACGACAGAGAGCAAACTTAGTCGTCTGGTAGCCCGATGCGCCGGGGAAGATGACATGGGCTCCACCACTGCTGATATTGATGATTGTCTTGGTTGATGACTTGAGCAGCAACGGCACGAAATAGTGGGCAGCGAGATAGCTGCCTTTGATGTTGACCTCCCAAGTCCACCACCACTCACTTGGTTTGGACTCGGCGATAGGTTTCCACTCCTCCAGATAGCCGGCATTGCTGATCAAGATGTCGAGGCTGCCGCCGAGCACGTCTGCAGCGGTCTCGCTGGCCACTCGCACCGAGTCCTCCGACGTCATATCGACCTTGATAGAATGCACCAGCGGCTGGGATCGGTTTGCCTTCTTGGCCGCATCCTTGACGGCTGTCTCGACATCGGCCATGTCAGAACGAGCGAGGAGCACGATTTTCGAGCAGCCCGCGATAGCGAAGCTGATGGCGGTCGCCTTGCCGATGCCCTTGGAGGCGCCCGTGATCAAGACCGATTTGCCCGTCAGGTCGGCTTTGGCGGGATCAATAAAGGGGTAAGTATCCTTACGCACGGAGGCATAGCTAGCCACAGCAGGCCAGTTGGTCTCGCGCATGGAAGGATCCTGGGCCGACATGGTGATTCTTCAGAAGAGCGTCAAGATGTAGAGCCGAGTAAGTGGATGAGGTGAGAAAGATGGGTATGTTGGGTATGTTTGTTAGCTGTGTTTGTCCTATACAGAGTACTTATCTGACTTGTTCCTCCATGGCTTCTGATATATAAAGGCTGATAATTTGGAACCTGCGTCACTATTTCCGATCCTACAAGGCGTAGCTGTCGGAATTAGTGGAGGTAGGGGTATGTAACCTAGGTATATTCACGTTCCTCGGCGGAGATTACATTTATCTCCATAGCGATCAACAACTGCTGTAGATAGGAGGAGGTGGCGGAGGGAGGGTGAGGCGGGAGGAGGTGGGTGTTAAAGCGGCACGGTCGGAGTGAGCTCAATTAATGCAGTTTTTATACATTCCTTGTCCCGCCAAGGCCGCGCAAGGCTCCAGCTAACTCAATATGGTAATCATGACAGCCTTGTCTCCTGGACCTCAATGCGTGTTTGGTCTGCCATCTTATGAACTATATCTTCTTAGATTGTCACTGAAACTCCAACTATCGCGTAGCCAGAGAAGCAAGCACTTCATTCAACGCGGTTGAAGCACAGGGTACGTTGTGAATATAAGCCGAACCACTTCGAATCCCAGACAGTCTCTCACAGCGCGCAAAATGCCACCCACAAAACGAGCTCGAATATCCCATCCTGCCGAGCCCCAGGAGATGGTCACTGGAACTAGCGAGCATGCGTCGCAACAAGGGACCGACAACGAGCATTTATCAGAGACGCAAGATGATGCAGAGAGTACAGACTATAGCATCTCAGTCCCTACACAGGTGGCATACTGGTCCACGATCAGTCCCAGTGTCGATGGTATGCTAGGAGGTTACCCACAAGTTTCTCGCATCGATCTTCAATTCTCGCGGAACTTCTTACGTAAACTGGAACGTCTGGATAAAGCCAGCCGTGGGGAGACGAGCGCAGACGCATCATCTAATCAGCATAGATATGCATTTGAGTATTGCCTGGAGCCCGGTGCAGGCATTGGTCGGGTCACGCTCAACCTGCTGGCACCTCTATGCTCAAGGATAGACATCATTGAGCCCGTCAAACGGTTCACAGACGTGCTCACAGCGGATGACTCGGCAATCATTCGGTCAGGTCAGTTACGGCGCGTGTATAATATGCCGCTGCAGGAATGGACTGCAGAGTCCATGCCCTCCTACTCCGCTCCCGAAGAACGCGCAGAGACCGGCCCAGCAACAAGAGCAACGCCTACCGATGGGTACGACCTGATCTACAATCAATGGTGCTTGAATCACCTCTCGATGGCCGACTTGGTCAGCTATCTAACCAAACTGATCCCTCTGCTTCGACCCGGCGGTTGGATCATCGTCAAGGAAAACATCTCGACCGACGCCTATAGCAAAGATATCTTCGACGAGGAGGACAGCAGCGTCACTCGGAGTGACCAGAATTGGAGAACCGGGTTTGAACAGGCAGGACTCAAGCTGGTTAAGACGGAGCTACAAACTGGGTTCCCGAAAGCGCTGGGGTTGTTTCCCGTAAGGATGTATGCGTTGAGGCCCCGGTAAAGGTACAGAGGCATTGCTGTAAAGGGCAACACTCCATCATCTGTAGACAGACTCTGGGAGGAATATCCTGGCATCGGAGGAAAACAAGAATGGCGAGGCTGAAGTACCAGGTGAACTCTGCACCGCACCGCACCTTGAAGCGGCAGCTTGCACAAACCCGAGTGGGAATGCAGGCAAAGTGAGGCTATGTGCCCTCAGCTCAAGATCAAAATGGAAGTCCATAACGAAACGACACTTGGCTTCAAGGATCCACACCGTCCGACGGGGCTATCTATATGGTATTGGACAGGCCGATAGACATTTGTTGGCGGTCTTCAAAGAGGAGGCCCATGACCTTGCGCTGGTCGCGGCTTCAGCCCAGGAATCGTCGGTCCACAATGATCGTGTAGACCTCGCAGGAGAACGGTGTCAAATCCAAAAGGGTTAAGAACCATCATACGACTGACTTGAGAGCATCTGGCCGTGTTCGTTACTGCTTGGTCTCCTCCATCCTAAGGTGATATGTTCTGCTTTCAGACTGGAGCCAGTCTGGAAGATCTCCACCGATACGTGGGTATCCAGCGGCGACACGGTGTCTGGATGTGGCCGAGAGGACAGGTTCCGGCAATCGTCGAGAGGTGCAACGGGTGGTCCGCCAGATATGGCTGGAGGATCAGACTATTGCCCAAGAGCTGCATTGCGACCCCGGCACAGTCTTCGTGAACTGGCGGCAGATAATGAAAAGACTCAACGGGTCTGCCCTGCTTCTTTGATTTCAGTTCAAGCTTGGTCAGATAAAGTGCTGTAGAGCATCGATCGTGATGGTATATCGCTCATCAACCACACGAAGCGGCACAGTTGATACCGGTATCTATCTCGTCGGCCCTTTCATCGTCTTTAAGATTGACGCCTTTGAGTTGAGCGGTAGTAGTAGGCAAATATAAAAGCGGCGTGGCCGAGCTCTAATGGATTCGAAGCGGCGAGTCGTTTGGGCCAAGCAGACAGCCTCCAGGCGCAAATAATACTGCGAGTGGTAGGCACCTCAGAATGCAGTCTGGACTGCATTGTTTGCACATCCGATTCCCTGCAGCTTTGATTCACTGCGGCGGCCGCGCATCCAAAGGCTCCCACCAACGACACCACATTATTTGATTGTAGCCATCTCACTCTCCTTACACCCCGGTACTAGTAGTATTGCATCCCTTGGCCGGGCTCTCCCCAGAACGGCGCCTATGCTGCTGCGCGACGGACCCTGCCACCTTCTTGTGATCAGAGACATCATTCACCGTCGGCCAGTCTTCAGCGCATGAGACAACCCCGCGGCCTACCGCAACCGCAGCCATGGCGCGAGTCTACGCCGACGTCAACGCCAAAATGCCGCGGTCATATTGGGACTATGACTCCGTGGCCATCTCTTGGGGAGTCCTGGAAAACTATGAGATCGTGAGGAAGATTGGTAGGGCCTGATTACAAACGTTTCCTGGCTGGTCAACTGACTAACATGGCACGCAAACTTGAACAGGGCGAGGAAAATACTCCGAGGTGTTCGAAGGCATTAACGTTGCCAACTATCAGAAGTGTGTCATCAAAGTGCTCAAGCCTGTCAAGAAGAAGAAGATCAAGAGAGAAATCAAGATCCTGCAAAACCTGTCCGGCGGCCCCAACATCATCGCTTTGCTCGATGTCGTGCGCGACAGCCAGAGCAAAACACCCAGCTTGATCTTCGAAAACGTGGACAACACCGACTTCCGAACCCTGTATCCCCGCTTCGTCGACTACGATGTGCGATACTACATCTTTGAGTTGCTCAAGGCATTGGACTTCTGTCACAGCAAGGGTATCATGCACAGAGACGTCAAGCCGCACAATGTCATGATCGACCATGCGAAGAGAAAGGTGAGCATATATACTGCCGTATCAGAGAGACCGGACACTGACACCAGACAGCTGCGACTCATTGACTGGGGTCTCGCCGAATTCTATCATCAAGGCACCGAATACAATGTCCGAGTGGCATCGCGGTATTTCAAGGGCCCTGAATTGCTGGTGGATTTCCAGGAGTACGACTATTCGCTCGACATGTGGTCTCTCGGTGCCATGTTCGCATCCATGATCTTCCGCAAAGAACCTTTCTTCCATGGGAACAGTAATGCCGACCAACTGGTGAAGATTGCAAAGGTCCTAGGCACAGACGAGCTTTTCGAGTATCTCGACAAATACGACATCGAGTTGGACGCCCAGTACGACGACATCCTCAGCAGATTTCCCAAGAAACCGTGGCAAAGCTTCGTGAACGCCGAAAACCAACGTTTTGTCAGCCCGGAAGCCATCGACTTCCTTGACAAACTGCTCAGATATGATCATCAGGTATGTCGCTCTACACATTTGAACAAGACGCCGTTTACTGATCACTCGCTACAGGAACGTCTTACCGCGCAGGAAGCGATGGCTCACCCTTACTTTGCACCAGTGAGGACTGCAGCAGCACAGCCAAACTCGCAGAATCATGGCTCTTAACGCAGTAGCCCCGAGCACGATGAATTTCCAATCCCACATACCGACTATCAGATGAGGATAGTCACAGCCTCCGCCGTGACCAGCAGCCATTCCCAGATGAGCAATGAACAATGAACAATGACAACATGGAAATCCAGGAAGCTGTAACGGCGAAAGGCAGCCTAATGGCGAAGGGCCAAGTGAGCTAGGATGACCCAGGACACCGGGCACGACGCCGCACTGCATTGCATGAAGGACCGGAGTATGGGTGGGAGGCGGCGCATCTGTTCGAGACGAGGTGCAGGGCATGATAGAGGGTATTCGAGGAACTCAACTCAGATGCGACTTGAAATGAATTCGAATTCTCTGTAAGACGTCAAAGGCGCCTGCCTATCTGTATCTTGTGCGTAACATGCCGTCTACCAGGTAACTTGATAACCGCTCGCAGTCGGAAGCCTGACTGCATCCGCATGGAGGTACCCAATTGTTCTAGTAGCTGGTGACAGTAGTGTACCTTCCGTGCCGTGCCTAAGACCTGGTATCTACAGCTGAGCCTGACGTACTAGTATCTGATGTCAGTCTTGGCATGGCTGCTGTATTTTTGGAGCGTACAACTGCCAGCCGCAAGAGTTGCGACTCATGCATCCAGTCACATCTTTCATCTCCCTTTCTGCCACAAGACAATCGATCCAAAGGTGACTCACTTACCTACATACATTTACGCAGCCTTATGTCAGAAGCCAACAGGTCCTCCTGAAGAACGACGTTTCTAGCAGCCGCGAGGCCATCAAGCAAAATACTTATCAGGCCCTTTCTCCTGCGCCCTCCTCCTGCTTGGAGACGGCTATCTCGTTTCAACATGGCCTTGAATGCGGCATCGCACAACATCAGTAAGTCCGAAGACTATGTGAGAGTAGTGCTCTGGTGTTGACGCATCTGCAGCTGGGGACCCGACAGGCTCTCCATCAGGACCCCCTCCGCCAGTATCCTCCGATATTGCTGCCATAGCCAAGGGTGCTGCCCAAAAGGATTCGATGGGCCAGAATGTGCCCGGAAAGGATCTGCAAGGCAATGACGAGGGTCAAACCGTAATGGGCGAGGCGGGCAAGCCGAAGACGGCCAAAGAAAGTATGCAAGACACCGCTGAAGGACCGCATTGATGCACAATGGTTCCCATGTTCGAACGGCTCCGACTGGGTCGTTGTACACGGCATGACTCACCTATTAGACGAGTACCGGGTCACCGAGTTCCAATGGTGAATGACTGGGAAAGTGTACATACAGGCGAGCGGAAACTATTAGTCTGCCGTCTGCAACCTCTCAATAGAGAACAAATCATTGCCCACGCTGCCGTCCCTCTTACTCGCGAATAACCCAATTTCTGACATGATGTCTGCTGCAGTTGAAAAGGAGCGTAAGAAGGCCGAGAAACTGGCGAAATTCCAGGAAAAACAGTCCAAAAAACAAGCTGCGCCTGCCGATGCTGCACCCAAGGCAGCAAAGAAGGAGAAAGTCAAAAAACCCACCGCCGTCGATGCCTACGAACCGCAAAAGATCGAAGCCGGCCGGTACGAATGGTGGGAAAGCAGGGGCTACTTCAAACCTCAGTTCACCGAAGATGGCAAGATCAAGCCGGAAGGGAAATTCGTCATCCCAATTCCTCCGCCCAACGTGACCGGGTCCCTCCACATGGGTCACGCCCTGACCAACGCTCTCCAGGATACGATGATCAGACACGCTAGGATGAAGGGGAAAACGACAGCTTGGATCCCTGGCTGTGATCACGCTGGTATTGCCACACAAAGTGTGGTAGAACGATTGCTGCTGAAGACGGAAGGGAAGACACGGCACGACATCGGACGAGAAGCTTTATTGGAGAAGATATGGAGCTGGAAAGACAAGTATCATGCCAACATCACGAGGCAGCTCAAGCGATTGGGTGGTTCGATGGATTGGTCCCGAGAAGCGTTCACCATGGATGAGAACCTCTCTCTCGCCGTCCGTAAAACCTTCATTGACTTGTTCGATGAAGGCATCATCTACAGGGCCAACCGCCTCGTGAACTGGTGTTCTGCTCTTAGCACCTCCCTATCAAACCTGGAAGTTGACAACAAGGAACTCAAAGGTCGGACGAAGCTGAAGGTGCCAGGCTACGACAAGATGGTGGAGTTTGGTGTGCTTACCTACTTCAAATATCCCATCAGCAAGGGGGACGACTCACACCGATCATCAACCTCTCCGGACCGGTTCAAAGGATATGATTTCATTGAAATTGCGACCACTCGACCGGAAACCATGTTCGGTGATACCGGCATTGCTGTGCACCCTGACGACAACAGATACAAGCACCTTGTTGGGAAAACCGCCATTCATCCTTTCATTCCCGATCGGGAGATTGTCATCTTTGCCGACGAGGAGGTGGAGATGGACTTTGGTACGGGCGCCGTTAAAATCACACCTGCGCACGACCCCAGCGATTTTATCAAAGGCAAGAAGCACAATCTGGAATTCATCAACATTATGAACGATGACGGGACATTGAACGCAAACGCGGGACCTTTTGCTGGGCAGAAACGGTTCGATGCTCGTTACGCCGTAATCGAGGCCCTCAAAGAACTCGGCCTGTATACAAAGCAAGAGGAGAACCCGATGACGATACCCATATGTCAACGGAGCAAAGATGTCATTGAACCGGTGCTAAAGCCCCAGTGGTGGATGAGGATGACCGATCTAGCCAAAGCTGCCGACGACGCCGTGCTTGAGGGACGAATTCTGATCAAACCTGAGACCGAGTCTCGACGATTTCATTTCTGGATGCAGAACATTCAGGACTGGTGCATTTCTCGCCAATTGTGGTGGGGTCACCGTGCACCGGCATATTTCATCCAGCTTGAGGGCGAGGAAAGCGATGAAGCCGACGATCGATACTGGGTTTGCGGCGAGAATGAGGAAGAAGCACGTGCGAAGGCGGAAAAGAAGTTTCCGGGCAAGCAATTCACACTGAAATGGGATGAAGACGTGCTTGACACGTGGTTTTCCTCCGGCCTGTGGCCCTTTTCCACCCTCGGATGGCCCAAAGATACCCACGACATGCGGACGTTATATCCCACTTCCATGCTCGAGACTGGTTGGGATATCCTCTTCTTCTGGGTGGCACGAATGATCATGCTGGGTTTGAAGTTGACTGGCGAGGTGCCTTTCACCGAGGTATACTGCCATTCTCTCATCCGAGACGCCGAAGGTCGCAAGATGTCCAAATCGCTCGGAAACGTGGTGGATCCCGTGGACATCATCCAAGGCATCTCTCTTGAGGATCTTCACAAGACACTGTACGCTGGAAACCTTGACCCTGCTGAGGTCGAGCGGGCCAAAGCGTACCAGAAGTCGGCGTTCCCGAAGGGCATCGAGGAATGCGGTGCGGATGCTTTGCGGTTCACGCTTGTGAACTACACCACAGGAGGCGGCGACATCGCCTTTGACATCCGGGAAATTGAAGCCAAGCGGAGGTTCTGCAACAAGATTTACCAAGCCACCAACTTTGCCCTCGGACGGCTGGGTGAAGGGTTCATTCCCGACTCCGGTATAACGGATAACCAGCCCAAAACTCTGGCAGAGGCATGGATTCTCCACAGGCTGAATGCTGCCGCTAAACAAGTCAATGAGGCCATTGAGGGACGTGAGTTTTCCGTGGCTGCCGGTACACTCTATCAATATTGGTTCACCCAACTTTGCGACACATTCATCGAAAACTCCAAGTACATCCTCACGCCGGAAGCGCCCGAAGATGAGAGAGATTCGGCTCAACAGACATTGTACACCGCCCTGGAAGGTGGCTTGCTCCTCTTACATCCTCTAATGCCTTTCTTGACAGAACACTTGTGGCAGAAACTACCCCGTCGCAAGGGTGATACCACAGAGAGTATCATGGTGGCCAAGTATCCCGAATACAATGAGAAGCTCGACGCGCCGCAGGAAGCCGCAAAGTACGAGTTCATCATGGCCATTTCTACCGGTGTGCGAAGCTTGCTGTCCCAGTACGGGTTCAAAGAACCGGGTGACATTGTCATCCAGACATACTCGGAATCCGCCTTCCACACTGTCTCCGATGAACGCACATCCATCAAGTCTCTGGGCGGCAAGTACGCTGGGGAGATTGAGGTCCTTCCTCCCAGCGCTGATGCTCTTCCGCCCGCGGGATGTGCTCTGCAGAACATCAACGCCGATGCTGCTGTGTACCTGAAGATTGTCGGCCGAGTTGACCTTGCGGAGGAACTGAAAAAGCAAGCGAAGGCGATTGAGGATGCGAAATCCAAAGCGGAGAAGAGCAGAAAGATCATGAATAGCGCTGGATGGGAGAAGGCAGGTCCCGAGACCAGGCAAAAGGAAGAGGCGAAACTACATAATGCCGAGAGCGAGGTCAAGAGACTGGAAGAGGCTGTCAAAGACCTGGAGAGATTGAAGTTGGAGGGCTAAGTTGGAGAAGACGGCAGGGTAACGACTGCCAGCACGCCGATGCGAAGGGCTTTATGTTCTGGGATAGTGTATTAGAATCAGATATCCATATGGCGAAAGGGTCATATCAAAACACAAACATGTAGGCTCATTGAATATTTGGACTCTGGATCTGTCTATAAACTAGTAGTTGGGCACGAAAGGACTGTCACGGACGCTCCTTCGGAAGTCCGAATCGAGACAGACGGGAGAACGTTTGGTCTATGACTTGATGCGGGTCAGGAAAGGCGAAGGCTCACATAATGTTAAATAATTGCTTACTTGCATCATAGAAGCTGGTGATAATTGTTGCATGTCTCTCTCTACCTGCTTGGCTGCAAAAGACTAGACTGCGCCAAAGAAAAGAAGAGATTCCATTTACGGGTTCTATCTGTACCGAAGGGAGAGAGGTTTACTGAAGGATTTCTAACTGCCACTCTCTGGTACCGGGCGTAGAAGACTTCACTTGAGCACTGTACACCTCGTTGACCTGCACGCAACGAAACGGTATGTGGTCTGAGAGCACGACCTAGACTCGACCCGAACCCAGACCTCAAGAGCGTCGACGACTCTTTACAGCGTACGCGTAACCTACGAATCCGCCCACGTTAGACGAACGAAGGAACGGTGGTCGCCAGTCGCCCGCCTGCAGATGCTGTTGACGCATTCCCTTCGCGCGGAAACGCGACGCATGGCCCCTTGTCAACGAACCTGCCTGAATTCCAGCCCCAAATTCCCGACGATACGAGTCAGACTGGCCAGCAACCAGTGCATCAATAGACCCTCACATACACTCGGCCGAACCTCGAAAAGACCTCTTCCTCGACTTGCCCGCCTCGCCGTCACTCCTTGTCTGCTACCCATGTCGGCGAGTCAGACGCAAATACAGTCGAGAGGCCATGCGGGACATTCCCATGGCCACGGCCACAGTCATGACACGGCGTACCTGACGTCGAAGAACAAGAAAGATCCGGGGGTGAGAATCACGAGAATCGGACTCTTCGTCAATGTCGGCATGGCCATTGGCAAGGGGGTCGGAGGATACGTCTTCAACTCGCAGGCCCTGATCGCGGACGGGTTCCATGCCTTGACCGACCTGGTGTCAGACTTCATGACCCTTGCCACCATCTCGTGGTCCCTGAAGCCAGCTACGTCTCGGTTTCCGAGCGGTTACGGCAAGATCGAGAGTTTAGGAGCGCTGGGGGTGAGCGGGCTGCTGCTGTTCGGTGGCATTGGCATGGGTCTGAATGGCTTGGACGCTCTGTACACTCAACTGTTCCTCGATGCCGCTACTCTTGCTGCTCATGCACACGAACATGGCGAGCATTCGCATGGGTTGTTCTCGTTCCTGGGTCACAGCCACAGTCATGGATCGTCCGTACCAGACATCAATGCTGCATGGCTCGCTGGCGCGTCTATCGTGATCAAGGAGTGGCTATATCAAGCAAGTAAGTCGGCCCCTCCACCCCTTCCAGCTATCTGTTGCAGTTCCTGACGCAGAGCACAGCTATGAAAGTTGCACGGGAACGAAAATCCTCGGTCCTTGCTTCGAATGCTGTCCACCACCGAGTCGACTCCCTGACCAGCATCGTTGCCCTAGCCACGATCGGAGGAGCACATGTGTTTACGGACGCCTCATGGCTAGATCCCGTCGGTGGCCTGCTTATATCGATGATGGTTATAAGAGCCGGATGGAACAATACTAGAGCAGCCTTGCTGGAGCTTGCAGATGTCACGGTCGACGACGAAATCAAGGCATCAGTTCGCAAAGCCGCTACCCGAGCTTTGAAGGGGGACCTAGCCAAGGGCATCCCGGCGGTCGAGTTCGGCGATCAGGCAGAAATCAGAGATGTCCAGGGCGTCAAATCGGGCCAAAACTACCTGATGGACATTGAACTGGCCGTGCCTAGAGACCTTACCCTAGAGCACATGGAAGCACTCGAGCATGCCGTGCGGGAGAGGGCTGGCACCAAAGTACGCGGCGTTCGTCGTGTGCGTGTCAAGTTTGTCCCGGTTGAGGATACGCATACTACGCTCGCTGGCGATTTTATCGACGGCGAGATCAGTGTGAGGAGCAGCCCGGAGCCCGAGGACGAAGTTGACCATGACCACGACCACGACCATCAACATGACCATAATCATGAACATGAACACGGTCACCCAAACAGCCATGTGCACACCACAACGGAGAGCAAGAAGGATGCTTGATACATCCAGCCTCATCTCTTTTCACTACTGCACGGACGTATTAGGACATGTGGACTTTTCTGGCTCCACCATCAATTTAACGAGCAAGTCGGCAAAAGGCGGCACTCAAGATCCATCGGCGGCGGTCGACTATTATCATCCATAACTCCTCGAACTTCGGCGTCGAGTTTTGTCTACAACTTGTCATTATTATATCAGGCTGATATCATCTCGCCAAGACCGATGCCCACCGGAGCTTTACCCGCCATTGCCATTCTCCATCGCCATCATACGGACCACTATATCACCCACTCACCGACCTATCACCTTATTCCATCACCGCGCCGCGCTGAACACCGTCTAGACTTCTCCACTTTCTTTCGTCACACCGGAACAACACCTCTGGTGCTGGTTGAAGAAAGCCTCCCTTTGTGTGGTTTCGTCCCTAGAAGTACGTAGCTGCAAACAAACCGTCCAACACAGTCATACCCTGCTGTCGGCAGCAACCAGAAACACTGGATCAGTTGCAACCATGGCGTCCTCCAGTCCTTTGTACCTGGGCTTCGACTTGTCGACCCAGCAGCTGAAGGGCATTGTCGTCGACGACAGCCTTAAAAAAGTACATGATGCCAAGTTCGACTTTGATGCCGACGCCAAAGGCTTCAAGATACAGAAAGGAGTCATGGTCAACGAAGCCGAACATGAAGTCTTCGCTCCTGTGGCCATGTGGCTGCAAGCTTTGGACGTCCTCCTCGGCAGATTAAAAGACGACGGCCTCGACTTTAAAAGAGTAAAGGCCATCAGTGGCTCGGGAATGCAACATGGAAGTGTCTTCTGGAACGCTGATGCCGAGCAATTACTGGCCCAACTTGATCCAAAGAAAACATTAGAATCCCAACTCGACGTTGCATTCGCTCATCCGTACAGCCCCAACTGGCAAGACGCAAGCACTCAAAAAGAGTGCGAGGAGTTCGACGCCATCTTGGGCAACGAACACCAGCTGGCCAATGTCACGGGAAGCAAAGCCCACCATCGGTTCACCGGCCCGCAGATACTGCGCTTCCAACGCAAGTATCCGGACAAGTACATCAAGACGAAAAGAATCACTCTTGTCTCGTCTTGGATAGCCACGGTTCTCCTAGGCAGGTTTGCGCCCTTTGATATTTCCGACGTCTGTGGTATGAATCTATGGGACATCAAAGCTGGAAAGTGGCACGAGAAACTCCTGGAACTGGCCGCCGGCCCATCAGGGGTGGACGCGCTGAAACAAAAACTCGGCGACGTCCCTGAAGATGGAGGCGCCCATCTAGGATCCATTTCGCAATATTTCGTGCGCCGCCATGGATTCAGCGAGGATTGCACCATTATCGCCTCGACAGGAGACAACCCATCGACCATACTCGCCCTGCCGCTACGGCACAACGACGCCATGGTGTCGCTGGGGACGTCGACGACATTCCTCATGTCCACGGCCGAATACAAACCCGACCCATCCACACATTTCTTCAACTCTCCCACCACTCCGGGCCTGTACATGTTCATGCTGTGCTACAAGAACGGCGGCCTCGCACGCGAAAGAGTGCGCGATGCCATCAACTCCAAATTCAATGTGGCCGACAAGACCTCCTGGACCGAATTCGACAAACACCTGCTCTCCACGCCACCGCTCGCACAAGACTCCTCCGACCCGATGCAATTGGGGCTGTATTTCCCCCGACCCGAAATCATTCCCGACCTCCCCGCCGGCGAGTGGCATTTCGCATATGATCCGCAATCCGACACGCTCACGCGCGTCAATTCCGTGCCCCAAAGTCCCGAACAAGACGCCCGCGTCATCGTCGAGTCGCAGTTCCTCTCGCTGCGCCTACGCTCGCAGCACCTCGTGTCGTCGCCGGCAGACGGGCTCCCGCCGCAGCCGCGTCGCGTCTACCTCGTCGGCGGCGGCAGTCGGAACAAGGCCATCGCCAAAGTTGCGGGCCAGGTCCTGGGCGGGTCGGAAGGCGTGTTCAAGCTCGATGTCGGCGAGAACGCCTGTGCCCTTGGCGCCGCGTATAAGGCTGTCTGGGCTATGGAGCGCCAACCCGGTGAGACGTTCGAGGAGTTGATCGGCAAGCGGTGGCACGAGGATGAGTTCGTCGAGAGGATCGCTGACGGGTATAACAAAGATGTCTGGGACAAATATGCCCTCGCTCTGAAGGGGTTCCAGGATATGGAGCTGGCGCTGCTCCGCGAGGAAGAGGCTAAAAAGAAGGCGTCATGAATGGACCTGAACGAGCGAGCGTCTCATAAAATAAAATGTAAAGCATGTGCGAGAATGACATAGACTTAGCCAGACCCTACAATTTGAAAATAGACTTGCGAGCGAAACTATATTTTGAAGTTGGACATTCAATCCTTTTCGACTTGAGTTCATGGCTACATACGTACAGAGCATAGAATAATAGTCGGCGTCTCTGTCAGAAGGCCTGGACGATCTTAAGAGCACTTTTCAAATCCCTCTGGGTCCGTTTCAGTAGCTCATCCACGAGGAAGGCTGGTTATTCTGTGGAGTCGTCTGATGGTATGCAAGATGGGAGTACAACTGACTACCATACTCGTTGCCCTGGTCAGTAGACTGTTGCTGTCGGCCTTGTATATTCTCCGATCCTCTCTCGAATATTGCGGCAGCGTGACCGGCGTTAGAATAAAGGGTCAGCTGGATGCCTCTCGCATGGTCGAGGGTGTAGTAGGTGGCGACCGCACAGAGCCAATGAATCAGACTCCCTTCAGGCCGAGAGCTCTCAAGCTCCTCAACCTGCTGTCCGAAGACGCCGATGTGCCTCTGAAGACGTCACAGTTCTTGACAACAACAACACATGCGCTAACCTCAGCAATTTCCTCCCCCTGTATAAAATAAAGCACGACTCTTTCTGAAAGCAGATCACTTTTCTCGTTATCTGAACAGGCGTCCGACCATATTCCCCGCCAACCCGCGGGCGAGGCCTCCACCGAAGAAAGTAGAGCCTGCGTAACTCGACGCCTGGCTGAACTTGTCGCACCGCGAAAAGGCGACGGTGTTGGTGATGGTAAGGACCAAGGCGATGACTAAGAAACAGATGTCAGTTTTTTTTGACTTTGAGAGGGGGGGGGATCTTGTTCTTCCCAACTCAAGTGATACTCCATATTGTTGATAGAGGGACACGCTTAGAAGGAATCTTCTACGTACCAATAGTAACCAGCCAAATCAAATTCTGCAATCTCACCAACGCGAGAATGGCCAACGCCACCCACAGCCCGGGCACAGTGTACATGCTCAACCAGAAGAAGCGTTTATCCGTCTTATTGTCGACGCGACTGCCCTCGGGCGCGGACTCGAAGACCCAATGGCTGTCGCCGGTGGAGGTGTTGACTTCGTTCCACCATCTCAGACCCACGAGGCGGCGGCCGGCAATGTTCTTCAGGTAGTAGAAGTCAAGGGAGAGGAGCAGGAGGGTCAGGATGAAGACGAGGACGAAGTTGCGGATGAATAGGACGCCGAAGAGATACATGAGGAGACTGCCTGTGGGAGAAAACATGGCCGAAGAGCCGGGAAGTTAGCCTTTGGTTGTTTTGATTGGGTTGAGTTTCTTGACGGATTGTGAAATGTCATGGATAGGTAGGTAGGTAGGTGAGAGGAAGTATAGGTGTAGGTGTAGGTAGACCGAAGTCCGGGACGCTCTCTCATAGCATCGCGGACCGGTGTCCACCTCGGGGTACGGGAACAGCTAGTTGTGGTTGAAGATGGATGGATCGAGTGGATGGGATGCAGAGAGGAACGCGATGTAAGAGCAATGTGTCTATGTCTCTCGCTGCCACGGGTAGACTGGGTTCATTGCATTGGCGGTCTCTTACCTATTCGGAAGCCTAGGTATGTGAGGAGAGTAAAGGGATGCGCGCTGAGGCGCCAGTTCAGCGAGCCTTGTTCGTCGGCCATGCTTGCTGCTTCAGGATGTTGAGAGGAGCGGACAGATTCAGGGTGTTTGGATCGACGGGACCATGCGGTATAAGGACAACAGGACACCAGGATCAGAAAGTACGGTCCATGAGCGGGTTGTTTGTGGTCTCGGTGCTTTCTCACAATATACTAGCAGTCCGACGTCCGTACAGCGACAACGCGTTGCGCCCGCGATTCTCAGACAGACAGAACGGAACAGACTGGCTTCCGCAGTCTTGGCAGGGGCCGAATCCGGAATGCTCCTGTGGAGCATGTAACCACCGCTGGCAGCCGATTTGTATAGATGGACCCGATGGGAGAGCTTCACGACTTCTTAGGACTTAATATACGTGCAGAGTTATCTACATACATGTACCTACTGTTTACAATGTCCGGAGACTATCTCGGGGAATAGGTAGATACAGGAGCTGTTATATCAACCTTCACACTCACTACACCCACTACACCCAATGCATCCATCCGACATATCTTCCGTCGTGCAGCTACAACACTCCTCTTCCTCAACCAACTCTTGTCGTCTTGCCTGCACCACCGGCGAGTCCTGGCTTAGCACTACCCCTTGTAGATAGACATAGCTTGCAATGTCCGGAGGACCTTGAGGGCAACTCGCTGCCTCTGCTTGAAGTCCACCTCCAGACGTGCCATAAGCCGCAACCTCTCTGACGATATGCGGTCGCACCGACAGCATATCGCCTGACGGACTGTCTATGTTCTTCCACGTTCCCGGCGTCGATGGCATGCTGGAGTGAATGAGGTCACACTCGAGACGTGCGCGGCGCCATATCTGTACCGCTGCTTTAGCCACGCTGCGGACGGCTTGACGCAACGCCTCAGGTGGTTCTTTCGGTGGCAATGCCCAGATTGTGTCGATGACCTCGCTGCTGAGCCTCGTCGCAATGACCTGAGCAGCTTTGCGACCCACTGCACTCGCATAGATGGCTTGCATGGTTGTATGTCTCCAAACCGCCTCGCGACGCACGCTCTTTCGACCGATGATCTTTGACAGCATACATAACCCTTTCTCCAGCTCATCGTCACTGTCCGCCCCGTAGGATGATATGAACAGGAAAGGGGCAAAGATGCGTCGTTGTATAATGTTCCAGATCTGATGCTGTACCACCAATCCTCGAAGCGCCCTGGCGGCCTCTGAAGGCCCTGATATATCGGGAAACCCAAACTTTTGATAAACGCGTGGATCGTGAAGAACGCTGCTGGGATCGTCTTGGAAGAATTGCTGCGAAATCTCTTCCACCAACAATGCCAGGTGGTCGAATGCGCTGACACTAAATGCAGTCGTCAGTGGCGTGGGCTTCTGGGTCCTGGTGTGAGGGACGCAGAGAACAACTTCTTCGTTCGCCAGACCAGAATCAACTCACAAGAACTGGTCGCCTTTGCCGCTGTTTCTGTTGGACATCAGTTGTCCAAATCCTTGCAAAAGTCGCTCCACTCTCTCACTTTCTCGATGCCACTCAGCCTGTTTGTCATTCAAATTGCGCATCGATTCAGCCAGCTCGGCATGATGCTTCCTAGTCATCTCGTGTTGTCTTGCCAATGCTTCATGTGCTTTTTGCGAATTCGCAAGTTCGATCTTCAAGCCTTCGACCGTCTCCCGCTCTTTGGCAAGCTCTGTCGTAGCGACCTCTGTTCCAGAACGCGCAGCGTTTCCTTCTTCCTGTAACTGAGCTTCGCGCTTGCTATGCTCTGCCTTAACCTCCGCAAGTCTTGCTTCTGCCGCATTTTGAATCAGTTCAACTTCCTTCTCATGAGATTCCCGCTGTACACGCACTTCTTCTTCGTGCTTCACCTTCAATTCAGATAGTTCTTCTGCCCATCTTGCGGCTTCCAGTTCATGTTGTTCGGCCTCCTCCTGCGCTGCCTGGTCTCTGGCGTGCAATTCATCCTGATGGAGCTTCGTGGCATTAGCCAGCTCGTTCGCCTGATTTGTCAAAGAAAGCTCGTGCTCTGATATGGTTGCCCGAGCAGAGTCTAGTTCCTTCTTCTGCTGAGTATGTTTCGTGATCATCCCGGCTAGGTCGAGTTGCATTTTGGATAGACCACCCTTTTGCTCAGCAAGTGCCTTCCCGTGTTCCTGCTCCTTTTCAGCGAGCTGTTTCGCATGAGCAGCCTCCAATTCAGCGACGTTATGGTCGTGCAGAGCCTGCTCCTCAGCTGCCTGCTTTTTGAGACTTTCAACTGTCTCCTCCAGCGCCTTCTTCTCCGTCGTAAGCTGTTCTTTCAACTGTCTTGACATTTCCACATCCTTCTCCAGACATTCATGCTCCTGGCGAAGATTTGCCAGCTGTTCTCGCACGGAGGATAACTCCCTGGAGGCATCCTCGAGGACCAATATCTTCTCATTGCACTCCAAAAGCTCTCCTTTTAGTTTAACGTTTTCTCTCGCTTGATCACCTATGATCCTTTCATATTCTCCCTTTGATGCGCTCAGCTCGATGCGTAATCTCGTCACCACTTCCTCGTGTTCGTTCTCAACTTGTTTGACAAGGTGGTCTTTTTCTGTCAAAAGACCCTGAGTCTCACGGTAGTAATGTAGAAGGCGATCGATGTCCGGGAGTACACTGGAGACCTTCTCTAGAAGTTTTGTACGCTCGTCCTCGGTTCCAGCAGAGCCAGACCTCGGAATTCCTTCTTCCGGATGCATTTGCGAGATTGGAGACATGAATGGTGGAGGATAGGCTGAAGGAGGGAAAGGGGGACTGCCCATGAAGGGGAGGTGGTAAGGATATGGATACAGGACTTGCTGAGGCGGCGGACTGCCGACATATTGGAGCATTGGTGACTGAATTGGTGATGTTACTGGCGACAGCATGGTGGGCAGCATATCATTATTTGTCGCATCAGCTTCCAAACCCGGACTTGACATTATGGGGATGGAAATTTCTCCGTCGCCAGGTTCGGGCAACTTATGGGCCAGCGAAGGCTGAAGAAAAGTCACAGAAGCTTTAGGATGCGGCGCGGGTAGTGGATTTCCAGAGGCAGGTGGCGATACAGAAGCATTGTTGGCGAGCGTGTGGTTCTGCTGAGGGGATTTAGTATCGACGTCCTCAACCCTGCTGTCTTCGGTTGGTATGCCGGATGGCGCTGCGGCGGTAGCAGCGGGGGAAGAGAGTATTGTCATCTGCGGTGGCACGAATGATTCTGGGTTGGTAACAATATCATCGGCTTCTTCAGCAACAGTTGGTTGCGAGGATGCCCGCAAGCCCGGTGATGGTGTTTCGCGGGTCGACTCCGTTGGGGCTGAGACTATTGTTCCCAACTCCGTGGGCTTTGGCTCGAACGCTGCGGCCGGCGCATTTTGTGTGACTGTAACTTCGCCCGTCACGAGGTGACTGGGCTCTGTGTGCTCTTCCTCCATAGATTGCACAACCTTTGGTTTCAGCTTGGCGGCAGACCCAGGCGTCCTGGTCCTTTCCTCCTCGTACCTGGATCTGTGGCTTTTGCTGGAGTTGAGGGAGGTTGTAGAATGCCTCGCAGATGTCCCCAACTGATCAGAGTGCTTTGAGTCGTGTGTTCTCTGTCGATGGTTGTGGATGGCTGGCGAACCAGGGCGGGTATTCCGTGGAACAGCAGCTTCGTCGAGCGTCCTGGATAACGTCTTGGACAACCTCAACGACGCCGAGCTAGACGCTCTGCTCCGACTGTTCTCGGCTGTTTCCCCGTAACTCCCACGGCGACTCCTAGGTTTAGCGCTCGTCTGATATGCTGCAGTCGACATGTTGTGGAATTGAGAAGGGAATAATCTGCAAGACGGACTTCGGATCCGTCAACGGGGGTGATTCAAGTTTCTCAAGAAGCTGTGTAAGACGTCTGGTCCGCTTGGTGGCTCTGCGCGGATGGCGTGTAGTACCTTTTTATCAGTGTCGCGATATTTGCGATGATTTACTAGTACACCTAAATGAGCAAGAACAGGGAAGAAGATCATGAAAAGACGAAGAGAATAGCGAAAATAGGATCTCATCAAGTATAAGAAGACCTTGGACAGAAAAATCAATAACAGCCACCATGCCTCGAGAACCAACCTGGGTATAGGTCTGGCAGACGGACAGGGGGCTTTTGCTGCCCAACGGAGGATCCACGATGATCATCTCCTGCATCTTGCTTGAACAAAGAACGGTGCATGAACCCTGACTCACGCCCATCGCTGGTGCGCCGTGAGATTGATTGGGTATCAAGGTCTCGTGGCAGGAAGTGATTGGTGTTGAGAGAGTGTGAAACCGAGAGATGTTCTATGACAGGGAGAACACTTCGCACTTGCATGTATGTATGTACCCAAGATACACTGGTGAGTGAGGTGTACTTTATGTTAGTGCTAAGGTGCCTAGCTATATCTTTCTAGTGCAGACTGAAGGAAGGTTGCCCGAGCCAATCGTGTGACTGCTATTTGCTTGTCTGGCTGGAAGTGGATTAGCTCCAAGTCTGCCAATTCGGTCGAACTTGACTTCGGAGAGACGTCAATGCTGGAAACACCTTGCGACTGCGCCTGAACACCGCACCTCTCCTACAGCATACACAGCCATGTCGTTTGTGTCAAGAGGGGCGAGAGTCGCAGCTCGTCCCTTGAGGCGGTCTATCCGACACCAACCACGCAGATACGCCGGACACGAAGCTGGCCACGACCACGGTCACGGTCACGACGCCCATCCCGGAGAGAGTGCTCTTCATGTCGATGCAGGACCAAGCACTGAATCGTTTGGCGTGAGTCTCTTGGTTCGAGGCATGTAGGAGGATACTGACAACTGCCTCAGAAAGGATTTTACATCACCATAGCGGCCGTGCCTCTAGTGATTCTGTGGTCTTATGTAGCAAGCTCTCCCGGGGACAATGCCTTGATTCGAATCGTCAAAAAATGGGAAGCTCGCAGAGAGGAGGATCAAAGAGCAAACATCCTACACACGACGATCATGGAACAGGCTGCAGCAGATCGGCAGCTCTTTTCCTCCAGCCCGCGAGACGAGAGCGGTTCGCCATTGAGGATGCCAGAGTGCGTGATTCTTCTAGTTGCATGCTCTTATTAGCGTTAAAGCTTACCTATCACAACAGGACAATGAACTTCGGGTCGCCTTTCAATGTGTCCGCCGGTAATGGTACCGCCGACATGTCCGAACTAGTCAAGTTCTATCAAGAGAGGGATAGAAAGGCGGAAGTGGAAAGATTGCAACGGCTAAAGAAGAACAATGGCGTTTCGATATACGACTAAGCAACTGTGTTTACTGGGGGCAATGCTTGGAGCTTTTCAAATACGAGTTCAGACAACACAATGAAACAAGTTGTGCGACGAGCGCCTTGCGGAATCAATACCTGTCCATAAAGTTCCAGGTGCATCATCAATTTCGACACTGGAGCTGGTCCATAAATCATTTCGCTTCAAGGACTTCGTGTATGTTACATTGCATCACTTAAACCAGGCATCAAGCAGCGTGAGGCTTTGCATGCTCATCCGATCCATCCAATTGCATTAGAGGTTTTGCTTGGGGCCCTCGTCAGGCTCGCCGATGAGTGCAAGGAACGAGTTGTGCACTTCGTCTGTGAGATCGCTTGCCTGCAAGCTCCTCTGGCGCTTCTGGAAAGCCCGTCGCGAACATTCCCTCGTGATTGAAGCCCCGCCAAACGCGGCCACTAGTAGTGTTTCGTCTCGACTCATCGTCTCCGGGCCAACATCCCAGAGACCCTCGTGGTAGATCTCACGCCATGCGAGGAATGTGCCCAGGGATCCAGTCAATGTATCTCCCTGGCCACCTGACCGTTTCAGCCCGCCTTCAAGATCGCAGATGATAGTGTCGAGGCCTTGGGAGATGAAGTCCACTGCGCCTTTCTGGACGATGCACACCCCACCCAGAATCTTCGACAGCTCCTGGCACGCCTTCTCCGGATCACCTTTGCCTTGGTCGTAGCCCACGGACTTGGCGAGTCGGCCGAACTCGACCACGTTAGGAGTCAAGATGCATTCCTTGTGGCCTTTGATCAGATCCGGATCGGTCTGGACCAGCCAAAGAGCATCAGCATCCAGGACCATGGGGATGGGAGGGTCGTGTTTCCTAGCTGCAGCAATGACCGCCTTGACTTGTTTCTGCGTAATGATGTCTCTTCCCAAGCCAGGTCCAATGACGAGCACATGCAGTCGGGGAAGCATGTCCAATATAGGTTTTGCCAGGTCTTCACCAGAGGGATCCTTGTCTTTCTGCGCTTGGGATATCGAAGCGGTCGATCTGAGAATCGGAGACACCATCAGGTTGGGCGAGTACGATTTGATGGTCTGGGCCGCGGAGGGCTCGCAGAAGACGTAGGACAAGTCACAGCCCAGCCGAGCCGAAGCCATGGAAGAGAAGTAGGGCGCTCCTGTATAGTCTGCGCTGCCACCGATGACAGCAACCCGGCCCAGCTGTCCCTTGTGGAATTTCTCGAGCATAGGAGGCACCAGTTTGCGGACCTTGCCCAGCATGGCTTTTGTGGCGGCAGACATTTCGATCTGGCTGGGATTCGAGTCGGGACTCATTGGATTTTTGTTGACACTGGCGGTGGATGGGGTGGTGAAACGAGCTGGTGCTGGCGTGGACGAGGGCACTGGAGACGAGATTTATATGTTAGGTAATGTAGAGAGCTTGAAAAGCAACAATCTGATCAGGAATGGTCAGGACAGAGTAGTGGGTGAGAGCATCTTCTGCGTCTCCCACCCCAACATGGAATTGGCAAGGTGTTTTGCACTACAGGGCTCGATGAGAAAAGAGTGATGTCACAACTTGCACCTGGGAAAAGTGGTCGCGTCACGATAACCGACGGCTGGTTATGCTGGTCGACCACTGAGAGAGCAACCACTTCCTCGACCGCTATCAAAGACCAGATCTAACGGGCAAGATTGTACGAGGATAATGCACATTCAAATAGACTTGTTTAGGACGGAAAAGTAATCAAGTTCCAGTTCCAATCATATTTAGTCCATCTTGTGAGCACAGGTAATCAATAGTGAGTGTATCGAGGTGCAAGCTGCGGTTTCACATATCGGCACAAAACATCGCCGATGGGCGGCAGCCTTCTTCCTCCCCATTCCCCTCCCCTCCCCCTCGCTCTCCCCCTTTCGTCACCTTTCCCCTTTCTCCTTCAGCCTCGTCTCGTCTTTTCTTTCTCTTTTCTCCTTAAGCGTTTGCAACCACTTCTGCGTAATGGCCTGCGATGCTCACAATCTGTTCTTCAAAGTCCTTGAATTTGATACCAAAAACCTCTTCTGTCTGACTGGCGTCGAACCCTGCTGGCAATGACTTCATCGACCCCCCAAGAGGAAACACACCTTTCTCGACTTCTTTGGGGAAGTGCTTTTTCACAATCTCGATGGCATCATCCCACACGACTGGCTTGTCGCCTCGATAATTGACTCCAAAGTTCCGGTTGCCTTGAATGCCGGGTTCCAGCGAAGCGATATGCACAAAGGCAACGTCGTCGACATGGCAGACAGCCGCCATCATCCCTACTGGATTGTGCTGACCCATTACAGGGGTCATAACGATGGCATTTGACCCCGACAACGCGTCCTTTGGACTAGATGCTAGTGCGTTCTTGCCGACGACGAAGCTGGGCATGATGTGGACGATATTGAAGATGGGCTTCTCGTTGGCAATAAAGTCCAGAGTCCGATGGTATGCTAGTTTCTTACTGGCCATATAAGCTTCGAACGGGTTCCCGTAGGGTCCCTGCGGCTCGGGCTCGACGTTGTCCACGGTAAACTCCCTTGCGTCGGGAGGAAGGACCGCTGCCACGGAGGAGGTGATGACCACTCGCTTGACTGACGGCTGTTTGAGGGCGGAGTGAAGAATGCTCAAGGTGGCGCGAATAGCTGGCTGGATGATCGCTGCCTCGTGGTCATCAGATGGTCCTGGCAGGGGAGATGCAATGTGGACGATAAAGTCCACGTCCTTGACCGCCTCGTCGAACACTCCGTCTTTCTCCATGTCGGAGACGATGACGAAGGAGAGTTGATCAAGGTATGGCTGCGAGGGCTTTGCAGCCTTGAGCTCAGCAATCTTTGCTTCTGACCGAACGGCGGCTCTGACTTTGTACCCTTTCGACAAAGCCTCGATCAAGGTTCGGTATCCGACGTGGCCTGTACTGCCCGTCATCAGGATGAGTTTGCCGGCCATCTTGAAATGTTGTCTAGCTGTGATTCGGATGTGCTGAAGGAGGGATCCCAGAAATGCAGTTCCTATTAAGAATACTCCTTTTTCAGAAGTTGAGAGACACACACACCCACACAGAGAGAGAGAGAGAGAGAGAGAGAGAGAGAGAGAGAGAGTCGAACAAGATACAACAGGGGGATTCCAGTTTAATACTGCACGGATACTACTAATCGACATCTCAGACTTGGCCTGTTGCTGGACCTAGTTGGGGTCGAACTTGGTGCTGGATTCGCTGCCTGGACCAGTCCGATGAGAGAGAGTCTCACAGGAAGTTCCACTGCTCAATCACAGAGAGTATGGGGCCGCCAGGCAGCAACTGAGCAAAGCTGCTGCAATTCGTCTCGTATGTCTCGGAAGCATGTTGCTTAGTAGGCATGTATTACCTGATGGATTGTTTAGTGATTCTGCAAAAAAACATTTCAGGGGCTTGGATGACTGAGCGTTCTCCGAGCGGATCCTGGGTCCAGGCAGGCTCGCGGGTCAGAGGGCTATGAGTGTAAAGTACATCCCACTGTCGTTAGGTATTCCCTGGACAGTTGATATAATTAGTAAGACACACTAAGTTTGCCGTATAGTAATCTGAACATTTGATAGTAATATAGCCTCTGACAGAATATCCTGTCCGGAGAATACTAATGCCGGTGTTATTCCAAGTTATAAGGCGTCCCAGGCCAACACGTTTAGTTGCGCGTCTGAGACCTTCTCCATTCTCCCTTCTCCTCGATTCTCGCTCTGTGTGAACTGGGAGAGTGACAACTCACAAAAGTACTTGTACTGGCTATCCCAAGCCGATAGCACTGCCCCGCGGCGAAGACCCGTTTCATCAATCCACAATCAAGACAGAATACCGCCCAGACATCATGCAGGCCCCCCATCCAGGGATTACGCTCGGTGGAGTTCGCAAGTCGTCAGATTAAGCGTCTTATGAGTTGATGAATGGGGTTGTTTTATCCTGACAAGGCGTGATATCCGTGAATGGCCGATGGTACGTTGGCACATTATCGGCAGAATGGCGACATCGACAGTCCTGCAAGCTGAGTGGGTAGCGAAAAGGCTCACTCCCCCAAAGGAATGCTTGCTGCTTCCTCAAAGAAACTCTCCTCTGATCTTCCAGTTACTAGAGAGCCTCGAAAGAGAAACCAGAAATTCTATCGTATAGTGCATATCTATTGAGAATTCGAGCGAATTGCTACTTTACACAGAACAATGGCGGAGGACAAAAGCACTGATGTCCCGCCCATTGACTCTGATACCAATGTTGGCACTGCTGGCAACGGCAAGAAACAAATCATTCTGAATGCGTTCGTGATGAATACTCCAGGCCATCTGGCAGCTGGACAGTGGCGACACCCAAGGAACAAGACCGACCAGTACACGAAGTTGTCGTTCTGGACCGATTTGGCACAACTACTCGACAAGGCCGGATTTCACGCCATGTTCATCGCTGACACGCTGGGACCTTATGATGTATACAAGGGCCCTGCGAATGTCGTTCCAGCTTTGTCGTCTGGGGCGCAGTTTCCAGTCAGCGACCCTCTCTACCTGGTGCCGGCGATGGCTGCGGTGACGGAAAACTTGATCTTTGGGGTTACCGCCAGCTTGACGTATGAAAAGCCGTATGCACTTGCTCGTCGGCTTTCCACAGTCGATCATTTGGCCGAGGGTCGCTTTGCCTGGAACATTGTCACATCATATCTCGATAGTGCGGCTCGCAACCATGGTCTGAAAGAACAGATCCCTCACGATGAGCGGTATGCGATCGCGCACGAGTATATGGAGGTGCTCTATAAGCTCTGGGAAGGAAGCTTCAGAGACGACGCTGTCCTGGCCGACCGCGAGCAGGGGGTCTACATATCAAGTGATGCCGTCCGTCAGATTCACCACAAGGGCAAGTATTTCGAAGTTCCTGGACCTCACTTTGTTGAGCCGTCTCCGCAGCGCACTCCGTTCCTCTTTCAGGCCGGCGTCTCGGAAGCCGGAAACAACTTCGGAGGGAAGCACGGAGAAGCCATTTTCATTGGCGGACAAACTCCTGAGAGGGTCAAGGCAACAGTTGATAGTATCCGCGAAGTTGCAAAGAGAGAAAATCGAGATCCGGATCATATAAAAGTCATCCTCGGAATCACGGTAATTGTCGCCGCAACCGATGAAGAGGCGTACGCCAAACGAGACGAACATCTCAAGTATGCCGACACCGAAGGTGTTTTGGCCCTTTTTGGTGGATGGACGGGTATCGACCTCTCTGTATATGGAGACGACGAAGATCTTGCTCTCAACGGGTCACCCAACGTTTCATCAGTTGTTCGGCGATGGTCTAGCACCGTCCCTGGGACTGACAACCTACCATGGACCAAGAGACGGATCGTTGAGTACCTAGCCATTGGGGGTTCTCAGGCGAAGTTGATTGGTAGTGCCACAACCGTGGCTGACGAATTGGAGAGATGGGTGAACGTTACAGGCGTTGATGGGTTCAATCTTGCCCATCTTGCCAACCCGGGCTCCTTCGAAGACATCATCGAATACCTCATTCCAGAGCTGCAGCGCCGGGGCCTGTTTAGGACGAAAGCTGAGAAGCCGGGCGCAACCGCGAGGGAAGTCTATATTGGGTCCAAAAGACTCCCTGAAGACCATCCAGGAAGTCAGTTCAAATGGCGCGCTGGGGAGGAGATACCAAAATACCAGGAGCAGAAGGGAGGTGCTATGAATGGGGAATCGGAAAGTACCTGATCAACAGAGGGCTATGCTTGTTTAACACAGCAGTAGAGCAGAGCGATGTTCTGAATGGAAATCGTCGGCTTCAGGCAAGGCATACACAAGCAGACTCTGTCGCCATATAGAACAGCTATCGGAAATAGCGTGAACAGGTTGAACATTGCAAGCTCACTGCCATGGATTTATCGACCTTGGTGTTCGATGAAGTGTTGTAGTCGCCAAGACGCTAGGTGGGTTAGTTACCAGCTGATCTAGGCACTAGTAGTCATAGCAGCTTTGTGTATATAGGGCGGCATCATACCCTGCCATATCCGGTCTGGAGTTTAATTCACATTTACAGAATACATGAACTCTGCCATCATGAGTTCCAAATGTCCAACGGCTGGGGTTTCCCTCGCTGTCAAGACATCAACCACGCCCCGCGCCTCGATGCCACGAATTTGATGAGTTCCTTGCTCCGCTGCTCCCGTCAGTAGCCACATCTTTCGCCATGACACAACCACTGGATTGCGAGCGACTGACCCTCTTCCACTCCATCCATTTCCCGGGCCAGCCCATCCCAAAACTAGTCGAACATGGCCAGCACACTGCACAAGAGGCAGACAGTGATCACAAGAACCAAAATGAAAGTGGTGATGGGCTAGGATATTACGAAGATGGCGTCGAGAGAACCCTCACGGATGAGCAAATCGAGATGTTCCGACACTCCGAGATTCAGCGCCTGCTGAACGAGAGGCGGGCAGCGAGACAGAAGGAAGAGAAACGAAAACTCAGGAAAGAAAGGGACACAGAAAACCCTGGTGCCTTCGAGCGCAAAAGGCGCCGGTTCGCGGATCAACCGCCTGCCGGACAGCCTAGCATCGACATGCTAATGTACGATGATGTTAAGGGCCACAATGTTGAATCGGGCCCGGCAACCAAAAAATTCATGTGGCCAAAGATTGACGGCCACTGAATGAAGCTTCCTTCCTCTTGAACGGCTAAATCTGGTTCCAACCTTGCCATGACAATGTTGTACTCGTCCTGCCTGTAGGCTAGAGATTGGGACGACAGGTTCATGGGAAATATGCTTCAAGTTGAACCTCGAGCAGTCTGGTAAGCACAATCATCGCCCATACTTCCCCTATGTGTTATAACGATGAATATTTTGTATCATCCTTAGCCTGAATTGGGTTGGAAGCAGCCTCGGCCTAGCTAGATGATTGCTTCCATTGACCTCCCAGCGTGTTGAATTTATCTTCTCTCTGATTCTGAAATTCCTCCTGCACCTTTCTTTCGTAAAGTTGTTGAAACAATGTTGACCCGTTTGGTGTTAAGAAACCTTCGAAGTCTGGTGTGTGAATAGAGCCTTTGCATCAAGACTGCTGATCACCAAATGCACGCGGTGGTCTCGGGCGACCGAACAGCCCCTTCCACGTCTGACCTGACATGGTCTTCACGGTCCTTTTTGTTCCCTCGTATTCGTTGGGAGGCAAGGAAGCCCGTGAAGATCCAAGTCGAGCTCCTCTGGAGACACCTCGGGTGTGGCCATGCCGGCAGGATAGGATTGGTGCAGACAGGCAGTATCGGGGGAGGCTGTCTTGGCAGATTGCTTAGTTTCCTTGGATGACGTTGCTGCTGTTCTCTGCTCGACACTGCTCATCGGCGACGGTCTCCGATCTGGCCGTACCTGCTTCTGAACATGCTGGAGACTATTATTCCGGAACACTCATCAAGGAGCATTCTAGGGCTAGCACACATACCTTTGGACCGTCTTTCCGGGCTTTCTTGCTGGTCATGCCTGCAAGCGGTGACGAGGACCCTGTCTCAGCCTGAGCTGTACCCTCCATAGGCTCAGCCACAGCCCTCTGATACAGGTACAAAATGAGTGTTGGCTTGTCGAGAGTGAGGTGGAGGTGTTGGGTGCCTCTTCAGAGATTCTACATGGCGGCAGTCTGTTTGCTTTGAACTTATAGGAACACCCCCAATCCATGGCGAAGATTGCCATCCAGAGCAGCAAGACGCTGCTGTGGATCTAAGGTAGAGCACTCCACCTGGGACTCGACAGACTGGATCGACCGTTTCCTGGTGGACTCTCATTGGAAATAGTCGCAGACCACAACCTATGCCAACTGAAAAAGGAGATCTTAAAGAGAGCAAAAACTGTGAAAGGGGGTTTAAGGCAACGCCAGGTACTGCCTCTGGGGCTGCAGCTCAGACTACGTTGGCAGGAAAAGTGAGGGCTATTGTCGTTTTCGGCCTAGATCCCGGTACAGCTACGACCCGGCCGAACGGGCCGAACGAGCTCTATGCCCTTATGCCCTTTACAATGACAATGGTCGCCCCGTCGCATGCGCTCTGTTTCCTGTTTCCACTGCATGTCATGGCTAGTGCAGAAAGGCCATTGCAGCTCCGAGGTGAGTCTGATCACGAGAATACCAGGGAACTCGGCTGGTGCCTGAGATAATCGAGGAGGCCAGCGCCCAAAATCTTACAGCGTACGCCGAATCTACTCACTAGCGACGGTGAAAGTGTTCTGTTGCATTAGCCTAATGCTAGATACGCTCCCTTGGCCGAGCTAGGGGGAATTTCTCCTTCTCGGGCGACTGAATGTTGACATCCCTAGTGCGCCAGAGCACCTAGCAGCTAATGAAGCAGCAAATGCTGTTATGACATCCCATGTCTGGAGTGTCTGTGCACAGGATCAGAGAGTTGACTCCCAGGAGAAAGACCCGCTTAGCTCGTCTCCTTCAAGGCGAGTATTCTCACTTGACTACCTATGTCGGTATAGGACCGGTTGCCAAGGATACAGAAATACTTGCCAGGTCGCCAACGCCACAATGTATCACATTTCTGCAGGTGCTGAAGAATTAGATTCACGAATCTTCGAGAATTATCATCCCAAGACTGGTAGGGGAAATTGGCGAGTCCGTGGCTCAAGCCATCGGCGGTCGCATGATGGTCGCATCGAGGCTGCATCGACACTGTGGGCGGCTAATGTGTCAGCGGACCAATTGTTTGGAAAAGAGCTTTCATTCGCCTTTTTATATTTCTTGACGCCTCTGAGTTCACGGCATGCCTGGCGAGAGTTGTGGAATAGAATGGACTGATTGCAGGCAGAGAGAGAAAGATGCCTAATAACGGATCCGGCCAGACTATACATGCAGCCATCGGTTGAACGGTAAGGAATTCCCCTGACAGCCTGACAGCCTGATATCCGCATCTCCAGATCCGTCTTCCGGCGTCTGAGGAGGACATGCTATTGGCGGAGGAGAACATCTTCCTTGCCGCGCCACTTCTGCATGCTGTGGCACACCAGGCTATGCCGGAGAGCTTGGGGTCGGGACGGCCATTCAGACCGGGCTTACATGTCAGGAACCTTGCTCTAGCGGTGCAAATCAGTGGCAGAGGACTACATTCTGCTCCAAGGGTCGAACTCTGCGACTAGCCATGAGTCAGGCTGGTGAGCCTCATTATTGAGCCCATAGTGACGGTCAAAGGATACGTGCTTCCAGCATGCGATTTACCCAGACAACGCTACCCCTGCAGGTCGCAGGCTATAGACCGCACATTTGAGGGTCGTCTCCCAGCTGACTGAATTCCTCTTCGGCCTGTATGGGCTAAGGGGCTTCATATGCCCCTTTTGAGGTCCTGCGCCCTAGGACAGTTTGCTTCCCAGACACCGGAAGAACTGGATGGGAAAGAGTTGAGGCGGTTTACTTTTGGGCGAGTGAACTCTACTACCAGATTCAGGGCCCAATCCTTTGCTTCACGGCAAGGTACTTGTTCTCTTCGTCCCGCCCTGCCAATGTGTTTGTGGCTGAGTGAGGATGCTGCAATGCACTGCCCTGGGCGGGCGGTCGAGTCTCTCAGGATCCGATTTAGACGCCGTCACTCCCGTCCAAGTCCCTGCGCCCCCCTTTTTCGTCAATCCCGCTCCTCTACCAGCTCTTCTGAACATGTGCGTCTAATTTATTCTTCTTTCTTTTGCACTACAGTACTGGTGGAGGGACTCGAGTCATCACCCCATCTCCTTAGGCTCTCCGATCCCTTGACTTGATGCATTTCAAGGCTGTTCCTCACACTCGACGCGGGGTTCCATGGATGGCCTCCGGGAAGACACCTTGAGTGTCAATTCCTACATCTCGAGCTCACTTTCCCCAACTTATTTCATTCCTACTGCCACAAGGCCGACTCCTGGGCTGGAATCAGTGCATAATTGCGACAATAAGTGGTTGTCAAGGGACAGCGGCGAGATACCAAACGGCGCTGCAGGCAGAGAACCTCAGCGGCTCTTTGGGAACGGGTTCATGAAGCCGTTGATGAGGAGGACACTACAGAGCATGAAGAGCATGGAAGGCTGGCTGTTTGTTCCCACTAAAGCTGAGTTATGTCGAGAAATGAGACGTTCCATGCTTGATTCTCTTCGATCATCTAGACACCACGAGTGTCGGGATCTCACAAAAACCTCTACAGATGTTCGATACGCCGATGTCTTCCGCCATTATATGCTCCACCATGTTACTCCAGATGTCCCTCTGTGTTGCGCCGACACAGTAGCTCTAACGAACGGTGCCAGTGGAAGGATCGGATCATGTATCCATACTTTTCCCCATCTCCCCGTCGCCCACCGAGAAAACAAAAACTTGAGCTGCCTCCGATTCCACTGCTCGAACCCACTCGCCGCGTTCAAGTGGAGAGACCCACAAACTAGAGAAGCAAGAGCCCAAAAAAATAGAGGAAAAGAAACATAAAGAGGAGCCGAAACAACCAAAAAAAGAAAATTAATTCTTCCGGATCCAGGAATTGAACCAGGGGCTTCTGTGTTTCAATTCAAACGGAATGAGAGACAGAGATGTTGACCACTACACCAATCCGGACTTGATTTGGACCAAAATTCGGCAGTTTCCGATTATATACCGTTAATTCCAGGCGCCCATATGGGCCGGGCGTGCTTCAAGACACCACTACCGTCTTCTCATAATTTCACTGCTAAAGGACACCTTTTGAGTACCAGGGTACCTACCTGTCCGGAGTACTCTTCATGAATCTGCATGCTCTGTCTTTCCTTAGGCCTATCCTTGGTTTCAAGTCCACTTCTTCGTGTCCGGTTTTCTCTCGGGTTTTCGCCGCAGTTGATCGCATGCAAACGACCTTCCCATAGCCGTGTCTATTACGTGATACACAGCAACTCGAAGGCCTCCTCGGACCACGAAGTGAAGTGCGCAGGTACATTGTACTTCAATAGCTACTCTCTTGTTTACATGCATGCAAGCCAGTGCCACAAAACCCTGGTATGGGACAATATTCGCGCATTGATTCAAATTTCAACTGGCTCGAGACACCCCCGAAGTGACATATGGTCTATCCTACAGCAAGCCACAGCTGTACAACCGAACAAAGATGTTTGCCCTTGAAAGGAATTCCGATAGACACCACAGCGGAGAGAGATGTGAGGAGATCCTTCACGACTGGAGAAAGACAGAGGGACCACGTGCCGAAATAGGCATTCATGGGAATTGGATATTGTTGGTCAGTGCTGCCATGAAAAAACATTTCGGGAGACATACTATCTCTATCTCTATGCTTCCCAAGAATCCAGGACTGCCAGAGCGGATGGGCTCATTCGTTGACGCAGTGACTCTATACCCGAGGATATGACTATAAGAACAAGGCCCCCAATCTCCCTGCTGCTTAGGAGGACGTACAGTTCCACAAAGTCTATCTTCATCTTTCAGCGGCCGCAAGCTGCTCTATTGCTGGGTCAATTCAACTTTATCCCCCCAGAACCGACACTGTTCTTGCGCCCAGTCGTCGTACACCAGCTCAGCCGGTTTACCAGTGTTGGGTCCACCGATGAGTTCCTCGATACCTTTTCCGAAGATCATGGTTTTGGGCTGTTCTCCCGCCTGATACGGCTCCCATTTCGGTCTCTTCGCCAACCTGCCGGCTATGGCATCGGGGTTCCCCTTATTGCAGATGAAACTTGTGACATACGCGTGCAACATACCCGAGATCTCCTTCTGCGTCTCGGACAGAGCGCGGACTCCGGGGGTATAAGTCTCGTACCGCAGATTGTCAGCATGGCTGGCGCCGCCGATGACTGTGGTGGGCAGTGCCCAGTGATACAGGAACACAGGCGCTGGTGATGACTTGGAGGCGAACTCTGCGGTCTGACGGGCTGGAGCGACATAGGCGTACTGACCGTATGCTGCCTCGACACGCTTGTACTGCGGTCCGATCTCCGGGCTTTCCCGCGTCTCCTTATATGTGAGATCGCCGGACGTTTCGGGATCCGGGTAAAGCTTCGTGGCGATCGTCGCTATGTCTTCATCAGACAGCTTCGGGACGAGCGTTCGGAAGAAGTGGATGAATTGTTCGTTGGTGGACATTTGCTTGTTCACGTAAAGAGACCCTTCATTCCCGTTGAACCCGGTCATGATGGGCACCTTGTAGTAGTTCCCTGAGCGCCAGGTTTCAATCGGCCTACGCAGAATCATCTCCCCGTCAATGACCGGTTGAAACGCCCAACGCAATGACGGATTATATCTGTCGAAGACGATTTCTTGCGCTTTGGTGATGACGGACAGCGGCAGCGAGCGCAAGAAAGGGAAGACCTCGGCCGACGGCAGATCGCTTGGACAGCCAGCTTCGCTTAGGAAGTCACGGAACTGCTGTTCATGCAGTTCAGAATCAAACGCACGCACGGCCCTGGATGTAGGAGCCCCAGACTCCATGATGACTCGGTGAAAAGGGCCGGGGTTCTCGTCGTTATGTCTCATCATATGGTGTCCTATCTGGATGCACCAAGAGCACAGTCGAGTCAGTCAGTCCACGGAAACACCCAGATCATAGTGACTCTTCAGTCAGATGGGATTACATACCGAGTGAGCACCAGCGGAAAGACCGAAAAGCGTAACATCATTCTTGTCTCCTCCGAAAAGTTCGATGTTCTCCTGAACCCACTCAAACAGCAGCCTCTGGTCTTTGAGCCCCAGATTAAGCGCCCCTTCCTTCGCACTCAGACTGGACGGAAGGAACCCCAGTGCACCGATCCGGTAGTTGAACGACACAGCCACAAACGGCTGCTCCGACCAGCCCACCATCGAGGCGGTGTCGTGCATCGAGGCGCTTCCACGATTGAACGCTCCACCATGGACATATACTGCCACTGGCAGAAGACGACCGTCGCTGCCTTCTTCAGGAATCTGTCGGAATACATTGACAGTCAAGCAATCTTCGCTGTATTCCAATTTGGGTCCGGTGCGCAAGAGAGGTTTTCCTGGGGCGGCAGGCCCGTAACGAGAGGCGTCGATCACGTCTGACGATGTTCCTATCTTCACCGGTGGCCGAAAGCGTCGATCACCTGTGGGTGGTAGAGCATATGGAATTCCCAGAAACGCTTGTATTGGCTTCTCGAAGTCTTCGTGTTGCGTGATTCCCACGACGGTCCCCTGTGGGAGTCTCACGGACGGCCGTCCTTGTTCTTGTATGGCTGTCATTCTTGATGATGTATAAAGTGTGAATGGAGTATAAATGTCAACCGGGTGTAAGAAGCCCGGTAGATATCACTACTATATGAAGCAGTCAAACCGGTCGGTGCAGTGGGATGCTACAAGCTTGCCATTTAGGGTGTTAACCAACGTTTACGCTCTGGGCAGGTTTTCAGCCAAAGACGAAGCCCGAATTCGGCAACTGCTTTTCACACCTTCGACGTATCTATCTATAATAGATTAGTTCATATCGGCTTTTACCGTAGCTGGCCGTCTGTAGGAGTCAGATCCCGCGGCCAGGTCTTGGATGTTCGGCAGGAGAGATCGGCCAAGAAGTGGTAGCTGCTAGATGACTGACTAGGTACGGGACTGGCCTGATGATACCGTTTGATTGCTCGGAAAACCAAAGGCTCCGAGACTGAAGTTCGAGTTTGCCGATATTCGGGTGGTACTAGTATCTGGGACAACGGTGTTCTCCGTGTCGGGAAACTTCTTGTTAAGGGATATCGTTCCGGTCAAGGACACGATATGGCTTGATAAGATAACACTCGATAGATTGACCACAACTACGTGGTGGTCCGATATTGTTATGAGAATGTCAGACGGCTTCTTTCGGCCCCGGGCCCGCCCAGCGTCCAGCGATCACCCCGGTTGTGTTCGATGGCCAAGTCTCGTTGGGGAGAGTCAAGGCGGCACTGCAACGTATCTCTGCCGACCGGTTGCAGTGATGTCTTGATCCTGGGAATTTCGCTCGAGACCAGCGTTCCCGCTCTTGCATTCATTCTTGTATATTTTTGAGTTGTAAGCCTCTGTGACCAGTCATGATGGGGTGCCCTGGCCCTTCGCAACCTTTGTAGCCAGATATCCAATCGGCATCGGAGGTCTGGTCAAAATACGGATAGGAGGCGCAGTTCGTTTCAGGAAGAGTATCAACTTGCCAGGAAGTTTAGGCATGCCCACCCATGTCATAACAGAATGGGTTGATGAATGATGAGTGTCTGCTGTTCTGACCCAGAGGTCTCGATGAGGTTGAGGTCGAGGTAGTAGGTCTCTCGCCTGAGGTCGGTCGGTTAGGTCTAGACTCGGTTGGCACCCGCTTGGTGCTACACTAAGTATTTAGTCTCGACTTAAGCGTGTTTCAGGATGGTTAGTAACGCCTAGGGGCCTTTTGCTGCACATCATACTACTTTAGTACCAGGTACTATACATGAGTCACCCATGAGATGGGAATGCCATTGTGTAGTTCTGCGCAGAGCAGTGGTATAGATGCTTCTTTCACAACTCCTATAGTTATAAACAGACCATCTTCATCACAATTTCCCCGGCACTACCAGCGAGCATTCCTACTATCACTCGACCGTCATTCATCTCAGTACCTGTCTCTGTTACCCCACAACCTCTGACGTTCGATGCCACTGGATTGTGGCACTACCATTCCCACTACCACTATGGCTACCAGCATGACTACCATTGCGGGACCTGAGATGGGTCGAAGCGACTTCCTTGATGCTCCGTTTCAAGAACAGATTCCGTACAACCATGAAGACGATGTCGCCGATCCACTATCTCCCAGCATCGACTACGAATTCGATGACTCGCAATGTCTATTCTGCAACGAGCCGAGCCCAGACCTGGACCAGAATTTGGTCCACATGTCAAAGGCCCATGGCTTATATGTCGACCCGGCGAACCTGTTGGTCGACGTCGGATCACTCCTGGCCTATTTCCATTTCGTCATTTCCGGGTGTTACGAGTGTCTCTACTGTGCAACGCAGCGGAATACTCGCCAAGCGGTGCAGCAACACATGACGGCAAAGGGGCATTGCAAATACAACATTACGGACGAGGATGTTGACCTCAGAGACTTTTATGCATTCCCCTCGTCGGATGTCAAAGAGAGACTACATCAACATTTCCCCGCCCTGCGCTTCTCGGACAACCCTCGACTTCCATCACAAGCCAGATCGAGGAAACAACGGCAATCAAAGCGTTCAGACAAACACAACTCCGATTTCACGGCTGCTCCGCTCGACCAAGCACCACCAGCCCCAACTCGGCAGTCACACACTGATGCCGAATCCCGCTCGAATGCTGCCGAGACGCCCTCTCATTCTCTGGGTGAACTGAGCACAAGAGGACTGAAGCAAGCATGCACGCTCGACAACCAACTCTCACAACTTCGTGCAAGTGACCGGAGAAGTCTTTCACATTTACCGGCTTCGCAACAAAGGGCATTACTTGCAACACACCACCAACAGATTGAAAAGGCCCGCAGGACAGAGCAAATCCGACGGGGCAACTTGGAGAGTGCAGGGAATAAAGTCAATTGTCTGGGGAAAATCAGGTTGATACGGAAACCTCCCCATACCGGAAATGTCCACAGCTTGAATCGGTAACTGGTTTGGGTACCAAAATTCCGATACAAAATCATGCCTATGCTTTTCACGTAATCGTAGCACTCTTTTCTTGAGCCCAGCTACCACATGATACCTGTAGAGAGGTCCAGATTCAGGGGCGAGTGCAGTGGGATTCCACCAGTCTGTTTTCATTTCCAAGGCCATAGGACGCATCCGTGGCACTGGGGAGCCGATTTGGGGGCCGTTCCAGACGCGCAGTCAGTGAGTCCGTTGTCTAATGGACTAACGTGGAACCCCATCCTGCGCTCTCTCTGAGCGTGGCATATCCAAGATCGCGACTCGCGAGATGGCGTCGAGCCTTAGACACCACTGACCCAAGCCAAGTCAATTGGCGATCCATATATGAAAACTCAGTATATTGCTTGGTTCTAAAAGAGTGAGTGGTCAATATAACATAGCCCAACTACCAAAGCATCACGACCAAAGCAGCTCCTGTTGTCATCGTTGACTCATGATTCCTCCATTTGTCACTTGCTCCAATTCCATCTTATAGCACGTATCTAAAGCGAGGGTTCTAGCACAGCAAGTCAGCTCGGCTCCAGAACGTTAGGAACAAGTTAGAAGACATACCTCAAAGTCCGTGAGGTCAGCCGCGATCTCCTCGGTTGCATCATGTTCCGGCCCTGAAGCATGGGCGGCAGCGGCAGCGGCGTCACGTTGCTTGTTTCGGCGAATCAAGAGCAATCTCAAAGCGCCAGCAACAAAGATCTGAGCGGCTGCACAAGCAAGGATGACTTTACAGCCGGTCGGATACAACGGCGCCTCTTCGGCCAGGAAGGCGTGCGGGCCGATGATGTTGCCGACGCAGTATGCGGCAAATACGATGGCAGTTCCGGTGGCTCGCTTCGTGTAGCCACCGAGGTTGGCGCCGGGCATCTGCAACGCCACGACCAGGGACGTGACGAAGGATGCGACAATGTAGTACCCGAACAGCACGCCGATCTCGTGCTCTTGGCGGTCCAGTTTCCAGATGATGCAGATGCCCACGATGGTTGGGATCATGTAGAGGGCCATGGAGATGGTTCGGAAGTTGGGCACTCTGGAGGCCAGGTAGGTGCCTGACAGGATCCAGAAGACTTGGAACGCGCCCTGAGGGATCCCCAGAGCAGTGGTCAGCAGGGGACTGTGGACGAGGCCCTTGAGAATCAGCTTGCCGAAGTTGGCGATGCCTCCGTTCATGACCTCGTTGAGAAGCATGAAGAGCGCGAGCAGCATGACTTGCGGGTCCAGGAGGGCCTCCTTGATCTGGTACCACTTGACGTGTTTGTTGAGGATGCCCGTTCTGCCGAGCTTGCCGCGAGCAACCAGCATGGCTTTGTCCTCTAGACTAAATTTTTTCGCCGATAGGATGGTGTCAGGCAGGAGGATGACGATCAGGATGCCCCAGAGCACCGTGATGCCACCGCAGATGAGGAACACTGCTCTCCAAACTGGGAAAGTGTCGATCTGACCGATCGCGTAGGTGAAAATCCCGCCCAGCATGGACCCTACGCCATTGCAGCAGTAGAAGACGCCGGCACGGAAGGGTTGTTCTTGTCGAGTGTACCTGCGGCCAGCCTGTATGTCAGCCATCTATGCCACATGGAGAGCAATCTGTGCACCTAGGCATTCTTTTTGAGAGAGGAGCAGAGGGTAAACTTACCACATGCCGATGATCATCATGAAGCATGGGGTGATGGGAGCTTCAAAGACGCCGAGCAGGAACCGGCAGGTGGCAAGCCCGGCAAAGTTCTGGCAAGCGGCAGTGATCATTAGAATCGAGCCCCATGAGATCACGCAGCATCCAATCACTTTTGCCATGCGCGTCTTTTGTGCCAAGTATGTGAAAGGATACTCGGCGGCGAGGTATGCGAAGTAAAAGATGCTCGCCAGCCAACTGTATTCGTACTGAGTGGTGCCTGTGTCGGTGAAAAGGTCGAACACAGCCGAGTACGAAAGGGCCTGTTTGTCGATATACTGGAGGACATAGGTGCCAGCCAGCAATGGGAGCAAGATCAAGTCAACGCGGCGCACCAGGCGTCTGTTCTGTTTCTTGTCTGCAAGCAGTTCTTTGATGTAGCCCGGTGAAAAGTTGTTGTCGCGCAGGAAGATTTCTGCCTCGTCCAGATCTGTGATTTCGCCAGCAGCAAAGTCCTCTTTGGACATGCAGTTGACGTCTAGCCCCTCGGACTTGGTCTCTGAGACGTCTTTGTGCATGTCGCCAGCGTTTGTCACCATGGTCCTCGAGGCACGAACACGTGAAAGGATAATCAAAGAGAAGAGAATGGGCAGATGCTCCGGGCAAGTGGTAAGGCTGGTTCGAGGAGGTTGGAAAGGTGGATGGAGAAATCATATAACGACACTCATCGTTTGAGAACCCACACACTTCCGAGGATGCGAGAAGGTATATAGCCACGACGGGAGGGTTGTTGTCACCCGCCCACCACCTCCAAGTCTGCCAAGTCTCCTTGAAGCTGCGGATATCGAAAGATATCAGAGATAAAAGTCCTGAACTAACATCAAGGGTGTCCTGATCTGCAATACACCTATCGCTTCACACTTGGCCGGCTTCATATCGGTGCGCCCCAGATTGGGGGAATGTTGATAAACCAGGAGCGGGAAACTGCGCTGTCGGGGTTTGATTTCATGGCGGATAACCGAGTTTCCCGATATCAAAGCTCCACAAGAGGAGACCGGTTCCCCGATGATGGCTTGGCCATGGCCTTATCAACATGTAATCGATGATAACAGGCAGTCCACGGCTGCAAGAATAGCACAAGCACAAGAATACTGTAGGCTCCTGGTAGATGAAGGTCACCATCAAACGAAACCAACAATGGTCTGTCGTGAGTGTTGAGGTCCCGTTCGGCGCTCTTGTCTCGAAGGTGACACTTCGTCTCGGAGCATCGAGGACATTTGACAAAACAGAGGCCTCCGGCATAATCCTTCACAAGAAAGATGGTAGTGGTGCCAGTCGTTTTCCGACCTTGTTGCTCACGGTTATACCTCAGGTGCAAATAAGCTTCCGCCTCTCTCAGGCCCCGGCGGTCCGCCGCTACAGATCTGCCGGGCGACTTGCAGATCCCCTACACTGCACGATAGTCTGCTGGTCCACAGTGGATTGATTTGACAGGAACTGGGGACGTCGAGTCATGATTGTTGGGGTTGCTGCTCACGCAACGCTGCCACACTGCAGCCTAGGACCGAACATTACCGTTGAAGATGTCGCGAAGCTTATAAATGACATTTCGGCGGTCAAACATGGAGAGTAGACGTCGAATGGAAGTGTCGCTGCTCATAGAAAAAAACATCAATGTCCCGATACAGATCGCGTCGGCGCAGATGGTCCATAGTTTCGACACGCTGACAAACCCGTCAGTCTTGAAAAATGGCATCAATAAGTACACGGACGACCTCGAGGGGAAGGTCCAGGACTTTGAAGTCGCCACTACTCCAAGACCAACTTTGACATTGATACAGTATGACAAGATTCTCCTCGCATATAAGATGTGACCAAGTTTTCGTTGTGATGCCGACAGCTCCGACATCTTCATAATCCGTATACGCCGCCAAGTTCGTCGTCGAACCACTGCATTAGCGGATTGAACTGGAAATCGTCCAGGATACCTTCATATGGATCGTCAAAGCCAAGTGTGGTGTTTGGGTCATCCGTCTCCGAGAAGGCGGGGACCATGTTGGCCTTCTCCATGACCAGAGTGACCTGCTCTTGGAACTTGGTGGCTAATCTCTCGACGCCTTTCCTCCGGTTTTCAAACTCCTTCATCAACGTACTGGCGGCGTCAATGCCGTACTGCAGCGTCGCCATTTGCACTTTCCACGGCGACGGGCGGCCACTTACACAGGCCTTGACGACTTGCTCGACGCACCACAGCAGCGTCAGGCCCGAGGCGTAGATCTGGCAAAGTGTCAGAGGGATCCACTTGATCCTGTCAGCCAGGTAGGATTCATAGAAGGCTCGGATGACTTGGATGCTCGCATCGCCGCAGCCGACGACGCATGTGGCGTCTGGGCTGGGATTGAAGCTGCTGGGCCGGTACATCAGGATGAGTGTTGTGTAGTACAGATAGTCGAAATAACTGGTCGAGTAATGCACGGCCCAGGGGAGCACGGGGGCGTCGATGCGCCAAGTATCGAGTTCCTTTCTGAAGCTCAGAATGATCTGGTTGAGACGGCCGTCGCGGTCGCCGCCGGCTCCGTCACGGTCGGGTTGCGGCTTGCGATAAACTTCGTGGCAAACAATAAGCATCCGTCATGTCACATAGTTGGCAGGTCAATGGGAATGGAAAATAATGAACTCACAACATTGGTATATCCTTGAAAATATGCGGCGTAGCTTGATGACATGGAGCGGAATACTCATGGAGCAGGCTCGTGGGGCTTCGACCCACTGGTCATCATATTCGCCAGGTAAATCGACAGTAATGTCCTCGTCAGCCAAGCCCAGCGGTCTCCCGAAGGTGATGGAGATCAGCCTGTCGAGAGCATAGACACTCCAAAAGCACCTCTTTTCCCACTCATGCCGCTTCATCTGCGCCTCCGTTTCGGCCGGCTGTTGCGCCTTTTGGAGACCCATGGATGTTACAAGACGCATACATGCACCCAGCGTATGCCATACACTCGGGCCCGATGTTGAGAAGAGTGAAAATAGTACCAAGCTGAGCAGTGCCCGGAGTGCTGTGAGGTTTTCCTGCCGTAGAACACGCGGCAGCGAAGTGCGGCTGGCATGGTAGAACCGTTCCGACGCAGCCTCATCGTTGGAACTTATGAGCATCGATATTGCAACGGTAATGTGGTAGAAATAGTGAAAGTCATCGTCAGCCTGGCCATCGTAGAGTCCTTGGAGACTTTTAGCAAACTCGGCCCGGTCCAGAAATGGGTACTGATAACCCAGGCTGTCAAAGTACTCGTCGGTACAAGCTTTGGCGTCTTGGAAGGAGGAGAGGAGGACGGGGTCGCACGACTGGAACGGCCTTCGAGCCCAATGGGTGCGACAGTCGATGTTCTTGCTGAAGACTTCGTTGACATCCGACAGCCCTTCAGTCTCCTCGGGCGAACCAGTTCTGGATCGCGGTGCGTCGAGGAAGAATCCTTCAGGATGGCCGATTGCATATGGACTAGGGGACCACCATCCCTGGTCCAATGAGCCACCGCGCTGGTCCTCCCAACGACCTGAAACCCGAGTGTCCGTTGCTACTTGAGCAAGGTCAAAGCCCGTGACTTGCTGGACGATCTGTTCCAGCCATCTCACCCTGGCTTCCAAGGCTCTTCTTACGGGATCATTGCCGGCGTGTGGGACAGGATTGGCATATTTACACTGACTTTGAGATCTGATGCACTTTCCACAGCGTGGGTAATTCTGGTCACATCGTTTCTTTTTTATGCGACAGTTATTACACGCGACCGATGCTCGTTTCTGCCTTCCGTGCGGATCAAGATCCCTTTCTAATTCGTTGTCGTTGCTGTTGTTGTCTTTGACCCGGAACTTGTGGAATCCCTGGGAGTTCTGCATCACCTGGTCACTGTTGCGAGGCGGAGCAAGATGCGGCTCATATGTAAGGTGATATGAAAGCTTTATCAGACAGTCTGCAAAGACATGTACCTGCTAGTTGACACCTTGAAGTATGTAGGACTCGGTAATGGTCGGATATACCAACTGTTAATGGTAGTAAGCACGACGGAGGCACGGGGATAAGCGTTCTTAGTACATGTATGTAGTCATAACTCTAAATCTACCAAGCCTTGCCAAGACTAGCGTAATTGGCGTCACGTGTTACGGATCAACCTTGTACCGCCGTATGATTACCTAAGATACCTAGTAACCTACTATCGACCTCAGCCTACCACTTTACCCTTCTCTATCATAAAGTGCGAATGAAAGTCCATTGTATGCTCGTCTATGTACAGTATCTATCGTCAGAAACAAGACTATCAACATCACCGCGTCGTAATTATCTGTGAAGGACAAGCTCATGCCATCGTGCATCCGTACCTAGTGCCATGTTCCTTTCTCGGGGCCAAAATAGCCTCTTGCTGGAAGACCCTTCCACGGTGTGCCCAGGCCATCGGCCGTCTTCGCGTACACCGAATTTCCCCACCAGTCGAGCTTTCCGCCAGGGAGCAAGATACAGAAAAAGATGATGACGGTGCTGACGGCGACCCCACAGTCCAGCGCAGCGGACAAGACGTAGTCTGAGATTGGGTCAGTCTCCGTTCGAAATGGTCTGCATCTGCATCTCAAAAGCACTTACTATATTTGTTCCACCAGGCTGGTCGGCGTCTCTTGATGAAGAAGTTGAAAATAACGTTCACAACCCACCAAGATGAGAAGTTGACACCGGTGGCCGGAGGCACGAGGCCCATGGCACCAAAAATGACGGGCCAAGACACGAATCTGAAGAAGTCCCATCGGCGCGCAAGTAGCCATGTGATTATCACGACAAGGGGTCCCACAAGGAAGAACCACAGCAATTTGCCATACAACTGACCAGGAGAATAACTCCTTGCCGGTCCCAAGGCACCTATGTGTTATTAGCATCGAAAATGACCTTGGAATGCAACCCATCTCTATAAGACGAGACTTGGGCGAGGAAACTTACCCCAGATGAGAGACGAAGAATACGTCACACGGCCATGGGGGCATGAATAACCTCCATTGGCGTCCGCGCCGCAAATGCCGTTGATGTTAGTAATGAGGAAGACAGTGACGCCGCACTGAACAATTGCACCGACCGCAGTTGCGATACCCTGTGCCCAGAAGACCGTTCGTGGAGCAATGTGAAGGTAATGCGCGAGCTTCATGTCGGCCACGAACCTATGAAATGTTAGTTCTGCCGAAGGAGTTCATCTTGGAAAGAACACACTTACTCCAAGCCCTGTGACACGGCGACATATCCATAAAACTTGAAATTCATGTTTGCGATCGGCTTCCCCAGGAAGGCATAGCCTCCTATAAACTCGGTGATCAGGTTCAGTTGATTTGTGCTGACATTGGTGACGGCCTTGATGATGCCCACAGGCAAAAAGTAGATGACGGGTAGTAGGAATGCCAGGAAGACGGCCCAAACTGGCAGGTCCGTGTGGTAGACTTCGTTGGTAACAATGCTGAGAGCCAGCATGACGACAGTGATGACGGCGAACCACCACCACGGGACTTGCCGGTATCGTGACATGATTCTTGCGTGAACATCTTGCTTGGAGGTGCCCTTCCATCCAGACCACAAGTCTTTGCCATAGTACAGCCCGACATGAAGAAAGATGCCCGTCAGATTGGCAAACGAGAGGCCATAGGTGAGCGCGTAGGCGGCAGGCAGGAACATGGGAGAATAGGCTTCATACGCTTCCTTGTTGACAGTGCCATTTGGATTCATGATGCGGGTGGTGTTGTACGTCTTCCCAGTATTGTCGAAGGTGTTGGAGTTCATGAGCGGCATGTAGGCCGAGTACCAGGTGTTGGTATAGTAAATGGCAGGCGCGACAATCCAAAAAAACATGACGAAGCCGCCCATCACATTGAGCCCGGCCCAGGCTGGAGCCAACAAGGGGCTCTGATTGGCATAGACCACTTGAGCCCAATCGAACGTGATCATCGACATACCCAGGCCGGTGGTCTGTCCAAAAAGGGTGTTGACCACCACATTGTGTGGCACAATCCAGCAGATGAAGGAGAAATAGCTCAACGCCTTGAACAGGAAGCCCGGAACAAAGTACCAGATGGCTCCTCCCACAAAGACGTAGGTGAAGAACTTGCCGCGAGAGATCTTCCAGCCGTCCGCCACCAAGTTGAGTCGGGAGTGCAAAGTGGTGAAAAGAGCTGCGTTGGATAGTGCACTTGGCCAGATCATGGTTGCCGGCTGCACCAACCAGCGGTACGACACGCCGGCGATGCCAAAGCCGAGAAGCTGCGTGGTGAGACAATAAAGCACCTCGTAGCCACCCTGCGACGGCAGATCATAGAACTTGACCATGGCCTCGATGACTTGGGTGGCGGCAGCAGACCCGAAGGACACGTTGGCCATGATTGTGATCAATGCATGCTCTTTGACATTGAAGTCCCGGTCGGGATTCATGATCCCGATGGGCACAAACTTCGCCCAGGCACAACCCAGTGGATAGGCTAAAAGCTGAGCAACGAGGGAGCTGATGGTGACACTGGGCTGGCGCAAGTTGAAGAACTGGTTGAGCCCGCTTCCGATCTGTCCATACATTAGTCCTCATCGTCCAAGTCCTTTGACAGCAGCGTCGATTGGGCGGCACTTACTATGGTGAAAACGATGCCGATTGTCCACATCCTGACGGTGTTGACCGGCATATCAGGATCATCCTTGGGGGAGACGACTGCTCTCACTTCTGGAAAAGGAGAGTCATCGGCTTCATATGGAAGAATTGCTTGGGCAGCTTTGTCGTCAAGAACGTCCATCTCCCCCATCTGGATGTCGAGTTTAGGCTCCTATGACGGCTGTCAGCGATGCTCCATGTCCTGCAGCCCCGCGGGGTCAGAGTTACCTTAGACGTCTCATCTCCGAAGGCCTGGGCTTCCTTCGATCCTTCCCAGACGGGCGTTTCCGCCGAACGACGAGCATTGTCTGTGGTGTCCATGGCGAGCGTTGAAGACTTGTGCAACATACCACAGCATCTCGAGGCGGACATGGTGGCATCTTAAATCATTGACCCTTATCATGTTGAGTTCTGGTGTTGCGATCGTTATTGGATCTCGTTCTGGTATGAACAGTCAAATCACATCAAATGTGGGCGGCATTTCCGCCAAATTGCCTAAAATGGAAATGGAGCCACTGACCAATTGGCGACGTCTTGCCACTGGTGCAGAGGGACTTATCTACTGTGGCGGAACATAAACCAACCAAAGCATCGAGTACGTGCGGATCATACCGCTCGTGAAACTGCCCTTTCGAGATTAGACCCTCGCCATATGCCTCAGGGATCTTGATAAGTACCTGGGGATCTTCAATGCAAACGGTAGGCTAGAAGGTGGCAGGAGGTCGTTCTTTCTTCGTTTGCACGGTACCCTGACACCAGCATGGCCGTTGAGGCACCCTCAAGTTCCGGGGCTTCCTTACCATATGCCAGACGGCCGATCATCATCTTAGGAGCCGGCATTATCGGCTGTACCGCCGCCCGCCAACTCCTCCAGAAGGGCTTCGAAGTTACCCTTGTGGGCGAGTACCTTCCAGGGGATCAGAACATCCTGTATGCTTCTGCCTGGGCCGGTGCAGCATGGCACGCCGCTGGTGGCTTGACCAACGATCACAAGTACCTCGAGGCAGTCACGCATCGACACTTGGTCAAGCTGGCCCGTGAAGAACCCGACGCTGGTGTCTGTATTGTCCACAGCCGTGAGTACCTCGAGGAACAGCCCGGAGAGAACTCGGCAAAGTGGGGGAAGACCATCTACTCGAATGTGAGTCCCAGTTCCAGACTCAGATGCATTTCCAGAGTTTGTGTTTAACAGCTGGGGCTACAGTTTCGCGAACTGGAGGCCGGCGAATACCCGGCGAATTTCGCCTGTGGCTGGGCTTACGACTGTCCAGTTGTTGATCCGAACAAACATTTGCCATATCTAAAGGCCAAGATCATGGCCTTGGGAGGGTCGTTCATCCGACGCAAGGTGTCGTCTTTGAAGGAGCTTTATGCCCTGTTCCCAGCCTCGCGGATCTTCATCAACGCGAGTGGATGGGGCAGCAAACTTCTTGAAGATGTCGCCGACCAAGCCTGCTTTCCTGAACGTGGCCAGAATGTCTTTTATGAGACCCCGAATTCTGGAACCATGTATTTCCGAAACGGCAAAGAATACACCTACGTGATACCACGTCCGATGTCCGGGGGTATAATTCTCGGTGGAATCAAGCAACGGGACAATCTGTAAGTTTACATCCCGTATCTCGTCATACCAGGCTAATGGCATCAGTTCCCCAGAAATTGACATGCAGATTGCGCGAGACGAGATTGCCCGTGCCCATCGTCTCGCTCCAGAGGTAGTTCCTGCCAATCCTCCTGAAGACAAACTGACCTACGTCGTCGGTGTACGTCCATCTCGAGATGGTGGATTTCGATTGGAGTCTCAGACTGTGGGCTCTCGCGTGGTTTTGTCCGCATACGGGTTCGGTGGCGGTGGATATGCATTCTCTTACGGCGTGGCCGATGCTCTTACCAAGATGGTCGAGGAAGCAGAGTATAACAATGTTATATCCCAGCCGCGGATGTCAAAGGTTTGATGCCTAGGATGGCGTCGTACAGATCCCCATTTGGGGACAAACTTCTAGTCTCGGTGGTTCTACGAGGGTTATGTCACATCCTCAGCACCTGACACTGCTAACAGGGACATTCAAATATTGGGTGGTCGGTGTTTCACAGCTGGAGAAGGCACCATGGAAAGAACCGAGGAATGTCTGGGAAGACCTCTGGAGGGGTTGCCCAGATGTAAAACGAAAAGTACTACTACTGCCGACGGTTTGTTCGGGCGAGTTGTCTTCTCAAATGAACAGAGAGATGGTCATCTCAGCGCAGGTCGACCCGATGGTGTTTAGGAATAGTATCTCGACCTTGTCCTTCATGCAACCAAACCCCCTAGACTCCACCAAATGGAAACCATGTATATCCACATATAATTGTTCTCTGACGCTGTTTAGGTGCTCATTCTGCCCTGAAGGAAAGCCAAACTTGCATGATACCGGTTATTGCTGAGATGAGACCGAAGGAAGCCGTCAGTAATATGCCCCAAATCGCAAATTTGAACCCATGAGAATTCGTGCGGCGCTGCTCCTCGAACTCGAGCCTCTCCTGAATCTTTGTCAGCCTTGCCCCAAAGAATGGAGACTGTCTAAGATCAAACTTATCCGCAAAGCCTACGCCAGCTTCGAGGTCAACGTTGTCTCGCTCCTCCAGCTTGTACACATATTTTGCCATAGCTGCATCTTCGATTGGGTACAGAAGATTGAGTGTGTTCCGCACTTCTACCAGTAGCCCGTCAGGGTAGAGTGTGCTGCCGCATCAAAATGCAATGGTCAGCAATGGAAGGAGATAGAAGAGCTCCAGGTCTCTCACCGTTCATTCACAATCTCATATCGCTCCAAAACACTGGCATGCGAGAAGACTCTGATGATGTACCTCGAAGCGAAGGTAAGATGTTCAGATATATCACTGGTATATGTAATATGAAAGTGACCCCTTTCTCTGAGGGATCTCTCTGAAAAATCCAGCCATAGCCAATTGTTACTCGGCGCCTTGATGCTGTCAAAAGACCTCCCTACCGCCTGTTGCAAAGTGAGACTTTCATCGCTCAGATCAGGTCGACTGAATAGCCAAAGTCGGATCACAAAGTCCACGATGCGATCTAGGACTTCCTGGGTAGTTGGAGTTTGCAATCAATCTGGCGGCGCGGCTTCAAGCGCAGCTCAGACGTCCACGATCCGTGATTGCGAATGTTGCTTGAAGAACTTCACCAATGCGATGACGTCTGCCGACAACTGGTCGGACTCGCGTATGGTGGTGTCCTGATCGTCCAGCAGCTGACGGTCCGAGAGAAGACTCTCGTAATGCTCATAGCACGATGTTGCTTTGGCTCTCGAAACAGCTTGGGGCGACGCAAAGCCCCAGATTTCGCGGAGGAGGTTGTTCACAATTTGGACCTTTTGTGGATTGACGGCGGGCTTGCTTGTGATTCTTGACAAGAGCTTGATGCCGTCCGTTCTGTTGGAGAGGCCTGTAGCCTTTCCTGACCTTGGTTACCAATGCCAAAATGATCAGAATCCATGATTTTCAACATGAAAGGTGCATCGTCTTATATCCTGCTTGCTGGCTGGCCCCTAGTCAGGCTGAAACTCGCTTGCTCACCTCGTATCTTGCTGCGCCAGCCGTGGCACGCATGATGAGCTGAGTGGCTGCTGCACAGCCTCAATCAATTGGCCCTTTGGTGGCCTGTATGCATTCTCCCCAGGCATCCAAGTGTCTCACATCCTCACCGCCTTCCAGTTCTCAACACTCGAAATCGGCATCCCATACAAGACCCATCGATATCTCGTCGCGAAGGTCGGTCTACTTGCTCAATCCAATCCTCGCGCATTTCCTGGCAGTGCCCATTGAAAGTGTGCTCTACATGGCGCTTCGCTTGGGTAGCTGCTGGAGAGCTCGCCAGACAATGGTTCAAAAGTGGGTTTCATGAATATTCGAGAGTCATCGAATACAACAACTACCGCCCAGGGCGATCTGGTCCTTATCATGAGAAAATACCATCATACCAGCTACGGTTATTAAGCACCAGCGATTCGCGTGCAAGTGCCACGCCCTTTGTCGTCATCGACTCGAAGAACATCAGACTGGCGCAAGTGACGGTCAGTCGCCTTCAGAAACACCCGCGCCTCTCCAAGTTTGCGTTCGGGTATCTGGCACGCGAGTCAAAAATAAACCTTACAGCTGGTAGCGATCTGGAGGACGCACAAGGTGGAACGATGTCCAGACCTCTGATGCCTGAAGCTGTCGATGACGGTGTCATGAATCACGACGACTAACATCTGAAAACTAAATCCTCCGTCGCGGCACCGCCACATCAATCCGCCTTATCCGAGCTGCTCACTACTACAAATGGATCTTTGCGTGGGCTGTGTGGCGCTCGTATCGGAGTGTACAAGCACTCGGGACACACGCGCGACCAAAGCAGAAAGACTGCCACCATTGGCGGCGTATTTCGAATTGCTGGGAGATGCTTTGCATTGACAACTGCTCACGTATTCTTCGAGGACAGTACAAGCTCAAGGTCGTGGACTGATAGCGGCTTGGACGTAACGAGCGATAGCAGCGCCAGTGCATTTCAGGAGTGTTTGAAGCCGCAGGTGTCTGACTTATGCGAGATCTTCGTGGAGAGCTGCTGGCCCCCAGAGATCAAGTCCGACGTTGAAGATGGAGTTATTGGCACATCCCTTGGTCTATTTGCACCACTGGGGACATATCTTTGAAGAGGCCTCATAACAACATATGCAACAACAAGTCCATCTGACCTTCTATGGGACTTTGAGCTGGACTGGGCGCTGATCGAATTGAGACCCCTCACGCCTTGGGGTGCCAATTTTGTACAGCTGAGTTCCGGTCTGAACTTGGAATTGAGTCCGCCATCGTCCCATCAGGATCCTCCGACTGGGGCTGTCGTCGTTGCAGCTGGGCTCTCAGGCCGTGTCGACGGTATCGGTCTGGGAACGGCTGCGGGGATCTTGCTGCCCTGATCACGTAATGAAGTCAAAGCCTGGTCCATTGAAGCCGATGTTGGTGAGAAACCCCTCTTACAACTCTGCTTTGCTTTGAATGCTGACTTGAGTGTTAAGCGGTGGGAGACTGTGGATCCGTTGTGCTGAGTCCTGAATCCGGAGAGACCTACGTCTTCATCGTGGCGCACGATTCTGAGGCAATGATAAGCTACATGATACCCGCAAGTGCAGTTTTTGAGAGCATTCTGAAAGCCTTTGGCACACCAGGTCTCAAATTTGAAGACGTATTCAATCTGCACCCTCGAGAAGTTGAAATGGCGACGGTCCCGGAAGAGCAGGTATCAGGCCCAGAATCCTCTCTGATCCGGCATAAACGCATGTCTCAACAAGCCATGAAGCCGGAACCCGCCCCATTCATCCTGGAAGAATTCCTAAAAACCATCCAGTCCTGCACCATGTATAATGTGGAAGGCAGACGTTACATAAGGACCGCAGCCTTACTCAAGTGGATGCTTTCCCATGGAAATTCGAAAGCATCAAATCTCGACCTCTTGCTGGACCATGTCTATTGCGACGCCCTTATGGTCCATGTCGAGTCTGAGACAATATCAAACGAAGCAAGAGGATCTTTTCTTGTGTTCAGTATACTTCTTGGATTAGGGAAAGGAGACTTCATTCACATGTTCCTCCGCCGTGGGCTCATCGACTCCCGACTACCATGTGCACTTTCGGATCTCACCGCCGCGTTCTCGGATGCCAATGTATCAGATGCCGCCCATGAGGCTCAACGCTTCTCCGACGCGCAATGGGCATACATCGCCTGGAGGCTGGAACTGGGCGACAGCCGCTATTGCCGCCGCGAGGAGGTTATTCCGATCCATCAGAAACAGAAAATCAACATGAAGGGTGGCACATCATCGTTATGGGAGATTTTTGTGGGTGAAGACTTCGTGAGCCCAAGTCTTCGGAAGTCGGCCATGGGTAGTGCATCCAACCGCGGATATGTAAGTTTCCTTCGGAGTCCCGTCCTCCTGCGTCTCCAGAATGCCTGCTGGGCACGCATTAACCCGTCTTACAATGTACAGTGCTATCGTTTCGCTCTGAAATGTTTTCCGTCTCACCACATAGAGATCTTTGAAGGCGAGCTGTCCGCCCTCCAGGCTTTGAGGCATGAGGACGGAACGATACAGTGGCTGTGTCACTACATTCAGGAGCATGAGGACAACAAAGTCACATATAACATCTTGCTGGAATATGCCAGAGTGCAACCTTGACGAGTATCTCTTCACTCGGGAACCCCCAAACACGTCGGCCGGTATCAGGTCGTTTTGGAAGAACCTTTATAGCATTGCGACCGCGCTTGATCGGATACATGAACTCGAAAAGCCCAGAGCCGGGATTAGCCATCAATTTTCTGGGTGGGTTCATCCTTACTAGCTGTTGGCATGAATCTAATGACTCTTAGATGGCATGCAGATATCGAGCCTGACAATATTCTCCAAGTCCGGGGAGAATTCAAACTAGGCGATTTAGGTTTTACTCGGTTTGAGAAACAGGGCCAGGACACCACAACTCTGCTAGGAGGGACAATGACATATGGTAAGTGATGAGCACTACATTGAGATACCACTAGCTCATGACATAATTACAGGTGCTCCTGAACTTGGCCCCGTGGCAGGAAGGCTGACTCCAGTTAGCCGAGCTATTGATCTATGGTCTTTAGGGTGTGTGTTCTCCATCGCTGCCACCTGGGTTGTCCTGGGTGCTTCCGGAGTCAGAAGGTTCGAAATACTGCGTCAACGTGCTTCCTGGCGACCACCTTTCGGGGACCCATTTTGCGCCCGAGCTTCCTTCCATGATAGCGGACGTGTTCTACCCGAAGTTTTGTCGTGGCACGATCACTTACGGAGGACCGTAAGAAGAAGTGACGAGGTTACCCCTGCCATTCTCTGCCTTGTGGATCGGCAGCTTCTACTTGCCGACCCTGCGAGCCGTGTTGGCATTCGTACTCTGTGCTTGCACCTTAAAGAGATTTTCGACAATACTATAGAGACCTTGTTGCGAGGGCATGGACCAAGCCTCATACTGGACGATCTCTTGGATCCTGATACTCAAGGATTTTCGGGCACCCCAACCACTGCGTTATCCACCAGCCACAGGTCCCGAAGCAGCTCTGCTTATCTCCAGCAAGTGACTGATGCGCCGTCGTTGCCAATTGTCGACATCTCGCCAACAATCCCGACTCCAAAGCTATCAAACCTCACATTGGAAACGCCTGCAAGGACGACATATATATAACCTAGGAAAGGGCGCGAAGGGGACGCAGTCATTGCCCCCAGAACTACCAGATAGCGGCCTCCGCATCCGCAAGGTGAGACTATTTCTGAGGCTCTATCGTCTATTGGACCACGAAAGCCCACCTTTTTCAAACGCGATAAGTCAGGCGATTACTTGGCTAGATATATCTATGACCGCGACTTTGTAAGTGAAGTGTGTGTACTGGGTTGCAGAGTAATTGATGCAATTTATTTGTCGGATTTCAAAAACCCCACTGTCCTGGTTGAAGTTACGAAGAACATATGAAGAGCGTACCATCTGCCTGGAATACTTTACTAACTGAGGGCACAGGTCTTCCTGGTGGACAACTCAGACTCTATGCGACCACACTGGAATGAAGTTTCTTGTGTTCTGGAAACGCTGGCCCGGAAACTGATCCAAATTAAACGTGATGGTATAGATTTGTCCTTCACTACCGGACCTGTGCAGCTCCTAGGCTGTAAGCAAGTGGACAGACTTGCGGATGCGATGACAAAAGAAGAGGCACGGCCTATCCCAGGCTTGCATACTGACATAAGCCGATCACTAGGCAGCATTTTCTCCACATACTTAGAGAAGATTCAAGCCCGGCAAGCCAGGCTGAGGTGGAAACAGCATACTGGAATGGAGATGACCTTGATTGTTCTGACAGATGGTGTTTGGGGAGTTATGGTGCGGGAGGACGCTGTTGACCAGGTTCTGGACAAGCTCACGGACTCCTTTCACATTATCAGAGGCATCGACCTTTTGAGGCGACCCGTTTGTGTCCAATTCGTCCAATTCGGAGATGATGAACGCGGCATTCAACGTCTCCGCAGACTTGATTCAGACAAGCGATATCAACATATTGTCGATATTACGCCAGCAACTGAAAACATCTTCAAGATGCTGCTAGGCAGTTTTCTTGACAAGTGGGACATCGCCGGTGATGCCGAGGAAGGAGCGCCTTCTCCCATGTGATACTCAATTTCCAGAGAGCAAGTCTGAGCGGTGGATTCTGTAGACTACCGAGCGCTGTTGGGAGAAATGAGAGACAAGGTATAGGCAGGATGTCAAATGCAATGGAGATTGCTATGATCTTCTGCTTGGTCCTGAGCGATCTGCAACTGAGGTGGCCATAGTCTACTCAGTGAAAATCCCATACCACTATCCTCCTCTTCCGGCCAGATCGGCAATAACATTCATGTTGTAAATGGTAGCAGAAGTACCAACAGGCCTTGAATTTGATGTGCTGCTTCTGTTCTGCCGTTGTGATTCAATGTTGATCACGACCAGTAGATTGCTGACCAGGATAAGGTGACTTTGATCAACACAGACCCTGCGATCATGGGCTTCCTCGGTCCATCGCTTCGAAGAAGAAGCTTGACTCTAGACATGAAGTGCCGGTTCAGCAAACGTTTCCCAACAGTCCGACATTGTCAATAGTTGACACATTTCCATGAAGAGGCATTTAGCACTAATGTCAAAGCTCCACTGTTCATATCAGTCGGTGGTAAAAGAAGTCCCGGCGGAAGTATCGTGTGCCTTTCACTATATTGTCATTATTATTAGCTGGCTGTCTGATGGCCAGGGTCCACAAAATGAGGCTCGACATACGAAAAGGGGCGTCGGAAAACATTCTGCCCCGGGATGTTGAGTTTCCCGACAAACAGTTCCCCGACTCTCGGAAACGGTGTTTGATCAGCCAGCCATTCGGGCAACCCGAACCCAGTTGCTGATTGTTCTTTTTCAACGTCTTTCTTATGATGGTTTCTTCAAAGTGCATAAGCTACAAAGTCTTTCGAGTGACTTCATCATACCCAGCATAGACTTCTGTTGTACCACGAAGACCATCCGATTGACATCTCCAGTCAGAATGTCGCAAATCAATGGAAACACGAGCACTGAGGTGCAGTTGCCAGAGCCGTTTGCCAGTATTCCTAGAACGCCTTTTCTGTTTGGCCCTTCTCCAATACAAGCATTGCCACGGATTTCAGAAGCTTTAGGCGGTGAAGTCAATGTCTACGCCAAAAGGGAGGATTGCAATTCTGGCCTGGCGTTCGGCGGTAACAAGACCCGCAAACTGGAGTATTTCGCACCGGAGGCTCTCGCCCAAGGCTGTGATACTCTAGCCAGTATCGGAGGCGTTCAGTCAAACCACACACGGCAGGTCGCGGCTGTAGCTGCGAAGTTGGGTCTGAAAGCAGCTCTGGTGCAGGAGAGATGGGTCGAATGGAATGATCCTGTCTACGATAAGGTCGGCAACCTCCAATTGTCACGATTGATGGGAGCGGATGCACGACTCGATCCTTCAACATTTGGGATCGAGCACAAGACGTCCCTTGCGAGTCTCACCGAGGAGATCATCGCTAAGGGCGGGAAACCATATTATATTCCCGCTGGTGCTTCCGACCATCCCTTAGGCGGACTCGGCTTCGCCAGATGGGCATTTGAGGTTGAACAGCAGGAGAGAGAACTTGGTATCTTCTTCGACACCATCATCGTTTGCGCGGTCACCGGTTCCACCATGGCTGGTATGGTTGCTGGCTTCAAGCTGGCTCAGAAACACGGCTCCAAACCTCGGAAGGTGATCGGCATCGACGCTTCGGCCAAGGTGCAAGCCACGTTTGACCAAATTCTCCGCATTGCAAAGGCAACGGGTGTCAAAATTGGGCTGGACGAGGGCGACATCACGGAGAAGGATATCATTTTGGACGAACGTTATCATGCTGGATGTTACGGTATCCCAGACAAACAGACCATCGACGCAATCAAGTTTGGTGCGTCCACCGAGGCTTTCGTTACAGACCCTGTGTACGAAGGAAAGAGCCTGGCAGGAATGATGGACATGATCCGAAAGAAGGAGATACCGGTGGGTAGTAACGTGCTATATGCTCACCTTGGTGGACAATTGGCGCTCAACGCATATTCGTCGATGGAAGGATAGTAGTCATTGATTGATATAGCGTAAATGATGGCTATTTTGAAGCACATCATCTTGGCTTGGTTACTGAGTACATAATCATAGCCAGGTATGAGTTCTCTCGTTCGAAAGACCTAAGTGCCTTCTAGCAAAGTTCTCTTCCGTCTTCTTGCTGCCAACCGGGGACAACCAGCCACGACTCTGGTGTAAGGGCAGGGAATCATGAAGTGCCAGCTTCCTCTCCGTAACTGGAAGCTTTGAGATGCTAAAATTATAAAGCTACTTGTTATACATCAACGGTCTCTCAGCCACTGCAGTGGCAACGTTCCGGGCGGATTATTGAGCAGCTGAGCACCACCTCTTGGGAAACAGACATCCCGCTCTTATCTCGTAGATTTCTCCGGGTAAGATTTCCATCCATGCAAGGTTGACACCGATACAAGGTGTAGTCGGTATTGTCCGGTGCCGAGTCCGGGCCGCATCCAATCCCGTACCAAGACGGCCTTGTCCGGGATTCCGCCGCCGGGAAACTGGAACATCGGCAGCAGGTTTGCATCAATGCAGTGTTCTCCGAAGTCAACGGGCAACTTGAAGTTGCTACTCCAGTGGGATTCTTGGACGCTAGAATGTCTGAAGCGCAGATGAGCTCTGAGACAGTAGCGACACCTTTACAAGGCTCACGTCCTTATCGCTCCCACCGATTTCCAGCCTGTGACATTTGCCGAAGACGGAAAACTCGGTGCACCAAAGATGTTGACAGCCAGCCTTGCCATTACTGTCAGCAGCATGGCCTTGACTGCACAAGGGGCGGTCAGGAAGGAGATAGAAATGTTGCCGTATCAGCTCGCCGTGAGAGGCGCTTGCGGCAGGCTGGCCAGAGGCCACAGCCACGTCAAACGGCCACGGCCACAGCTACATCAGAGCGAACAGCTCTGGAAGACATCGTGCTCAATGGAACACAATTACATCCTCGGTCAGAGGAGATCATGAACAACGCCACGCATAATGACGAGGCCTCGAGTGAGAACGAAGATGGAGCATATCAACGAACGGCTCAGACCCACTCCGGTCACATCATCGGTCCTGTCGCTGCTCGGGACGTTCAGGTGTTGGAGCAATACATGTCTCCAGCAGCGACCCTACCCGTGTCTCATGTGCGACCGAATCCCTACAGTGTATACTCAAGCGATTCGCGAAACCCAATCGTCTATCTCAAGGTCCCGCGACAGCGTGTCCGAGCCTCCCGGGGCAATGGGTCGGCGGGTTTCAAACAATATGAAGCCATCGAGAAAGTGCTTGAGCCGCTCGGAGCTGATGTGGTTGACCTGTAAGGCCTTATTCCTGTCTCACAGACTGATTTGCTAACAGATCTTGCTGTGAAAGCTATTTCCAGGCCTTCCATCCCTCCTTTCCCATCCTCGATGAGAAGACCGTCGTGGAATCTTACCGAAAGAAAGCACTCCCACATGTGCTGGTCTGCGAGATTTATGCTGTTTCAATAATATCGTGGTCAACCTCGCCGAAATTAGCAAAAGCACGTCCAGACCGACCAGATGTGAGGTATATCTGGAATCAGACAGTCGAAGCCCTAAATGAAGAATTCCTCGCGCCAGGTTTCTCGACCGTCTTATCCTGCATTCTAGATCTCACAGGTCGCCCGACAACCTCAATGACATATAATGCCATCAATATTGGTCGGGCAGTCGCATTATCGCAGAGCTTAGGACTGAATAGAGATCCACGTGGATGGAATCTGGATCAGCGTCAGAAAGCGCTGCGAATACGGACCTGGTGGGGAGTGTTGATCCACGACTGGTGGTCTGTACCAGTTGCCCAAAGCGTGAAATGCTGAAATTCAGATTGCTGACGGCTATTCTAGGGCGAGCCTTGCACATGGGACACCTCCGCACATACACCCACAACAATTCGACGTTGAGGTGCCGGACTTGAACTCTCTTCTCATTGGTGGTGTAGCATCAGACCACGACTCTGGCCGCACATCAGGTCCACGTACAATGGGGGCCCAGAGTTTCCGGGCATTGTGCCAGCTGACCGAGATCCTTGGGAATATCCTACCTCTCGTGTATGACACCAGGAACCGCAAACCAGATGCTCAACTTCGCTCTGTAAAGCGAGTCGAAGCATCGATGGACGACTGGGAGGAAACCCTCCCACCCGCCTTGAATCCAAAGACCCCGGACTTCCAAAGAGAACAACCTGGCGCTTTGAGTCTGCAGCTGTCCTTCTTGGCCGTGAAGATGTGTATTTGTAGGCTGTCATTACTGGTCAGCCCTCCATGTCGTTGCTCGTTTCCTGGGCCCGCCACTGACCTTGGATCAACAGGAATCTGTCAAGACCGATGACTGTAACAATCCAGAAACATGGCAGTATCTCCACCTGCAGTGTCGTCGAGCCGCAAAAGCCGTCATTGATTTCACCCTGTCATTGCGTGGACGCGACCTCCATGCCTTCTGGATGCCATGTAAGTCACGAGCTCTATAACATTGCGCATCTAGAGCAGGACTCTGCGGAGATGCCAACCGTATTATGATCGAGCAGAGACTAATCTCACTCGGGTAGACACTGCGTATCACTTCGCTTCTGCGGGCATACTAATATTGCGCTGTGGACTCGAAGCAGCAAGTGATGAGATTGCACAAGACTGCATTTCCGCCGCACGTGCTTTGGTTGAGTACCTCCGCAGAGCAAAAGACGAAGCGAAGTGGGATCTGGCAGATATCTGCTTGTCGCAGTGCGAATCCGTGGTTCATCAATTGAATGACGAGGCATACCTTCGACATGCCCGAAGACGCAACCACGAGGGTGGAGCATCAATAACCAACTCCCAACGGCGGGAGTATGACAACTATCCAGATCGAGCTGTCTCCAATGCGCCTCAGATCCACCAGCGTCAGCAGCCGTCATCCGCGGCAACAACGGCGCCTCAGCCTCCATCCGAGAGTATGATCGCTATGGACAACACTTTACAATTGGGAGAATCAAGCAGCATGCCTCATGAATCTGATGCCAGGACAGAGTGTTCCTGGGATCCGTTCGCCCAGCTAACCATCCCAGACCTCTGGGAAGCCTCTGGCCTGAACGATAATAGCGGGTTCCTGGTATAACGCATGTCGCGATGCTTCAGACTACGGTCATCAACCCGTACCGATTGGGCTCTACTCGATGAGCACCCAGCATATAGTGGCAGGCTTGGCTGCTGATCTCCCGTGGCAACCTGCAATCGTACGGTTCGTATTTAATGGACTCACAGGGTCACAGACTGTGACTCCCAGCCTGCAGCCGGAAAGACAGCGACCTCAATTCTTGTCATACTTGCAAACGCAGCATCCTCGCGACTTGTAGGTAAACCTATCTGCACAGATACGTCGTTCCGCAATCAGGCATTTCCCAAGCCTACATGTTAGGGACCAGAAGCACTCAAAATCTCGACTGGGAGAAGGATCTCGAGCAGATGGATCAGTTTGTCCCCAGCTTTACAGGTGCTCTATTGCACGCTGAAGCATAGCGAAATGCATCGAGCGCTCATTCCTCTCATCAAATCCATCTCCTTGCTGCTCACTACACCATATATGTGAACATTCAATCCTGGGAGGTCCGGCAAACCACGGAGAAAGTGATAGGTCATGTGCAACTCCATCTCCGATATGAGAAAAAGGGGGCTCAGCCTCGTCATTGAGACGAAAATTAGACATCATCACATCTAATGTTTTGACCTCTTGAACGAACAAGAATAGCGCCTTTAAAAGGGCCTTGTCGTTCATGTGTTGTGGTCTCACCACCATGATCCTCTCTCCCTTCTCGGGCTGTAAGGGGCCCATCACATAGTAATGTCGCCGTTCTCACCTATTGCCGTTGGTCTCAGATCGAAGCATGACTCTAGCTCGCATCGCAGAGGTATCCACGTAGATACATGTTCCGTCATTTATTGCTTCTGCCCGATCTCATCACAAACCAATATCAGCTAGCGGCAATAGCAGGTATTTTGACAAAGATGAGATAAGTAGGCACAGAGTCCCCAAGAAGTCCCTTATGTGTTCGTATGCTTGAAGCATACCTCGCGATGTCTTTTCGGCTTTCCCAGCATGGAGAAATTGAGAAATGAGTCATTGTAGGGGCGCGAGAAGGCGTGGATGGCTATACACACCTCAAGTAGTACCTACCTAACATATAGGTTCAATATAAAGAATTCCCGTACTACAGTCGACATAAATATAAGTACGTTGATGGAAAGCCTCGATGCCGGCTTTCCTGGGGATAGACTGCGCTGATATCTCCTTTGACTTCGAAGGCGCATCGAGCTCCTGCTCTGTACCGCCGAGTTGAGGAGAGGATCTTCTTCGGACATGGGTGTAATCATCATTGAACGCTGGGAGGTTTCACACCATACGACATATAGAAGAGTCATCGAAGAGCATGGCAAGTTCTGTCCAACTCATCTCGTTAGAGCACCTGTTCTCGGCAACACCAGACGCAGCACACTCTATCACTACTACTAAGCTGGACGTGTCCCATGCCAGCCTTCGAAGCGATCGGGAATGTTGGGAGTGTTTGACCGTCCGCTTTGCCAAAGCTTGAAGACGCCCTCCAATGACAAATACATCTCTGTATGCGACGCATAGTTTAGAGTGAATGACAAAGGGAGAAGTACCCAATTCTCACCACAGAATTCATGAAGAGAACCATACAATGTCAAGGACAGTTGCAGTTGAAGAGTTGCAGTCGCAGTTGCCGTTCTAGTTCTAGTTCTAGTTCTTGCCGCGCCGCAAACTCCGAATTTCTGGCTTTAAATCCGGCTTGGCGCATCGCAGGAACAACTTTTTCTCGTCGGGCAACTTCGATGGATTGATGCACCTTTTCCAGACCCTGGCGACCGAAAGATGGCGCCCTCGCAGCTCAAACAATTGAAGGCATCCTTGCGGGAGCATGGAGTCCTAGGGCCGCAAAAGTCCAAGAAACAGAAGAAGGCGACATCAAAAGATGCCCAAAAACGACTCCAGCGAAATGCCGCCCTCGAGGGCATTCGGCAACGATTCAATCCTTTCGAAGTTAAGGCCCCGGCCCGCAGAGACAAGTTTGAAGTGGCAAGCGCGAAGAACTCAAAACCTGTTGTTGGTCGACCTGGTGTCACGCGCGGACTGGGCGAGGAACGACGGCGAGAGACGCTTTTGAAAGAGATGCAAAGTCGCAATAAAGTTGGTGGACTTCTCGACCGCCGGTTCGGAGAGAATGACCCTACTATGACTCCAGAAGAGAGAGCGGCCGAGAGATTTGCTCGTCAGAATGAGAGGAAGTTGAAGAAGACATCCGTTTTCAACTTGGAAGACGACAGCGAAGAGGAGATCGCCCTCACGCATGGCGGACGATCGCTTGGCCTTGGTGACAGGCTCAAAGACGATTTTGAAGAAGACGATCTTTCCTCACCCCAAAGCGAAGATGGTGATTTCGAGACACAGGATGACAGGCCTCGCAAACGGTTGCGCATCGAAGACGGGGAGGCTTTGGTTGAGGGAGAAGACGATGCAATACCTGAAAGAAAGAAGACCAAGAATGAGGTCATGAAAGAAATTATAGCCAAGTCAAAAATGTACAAGGCGGAGCGTCAAGCGGCAAAAGCAGACGACGATGACCTGCGTGCCGAGTTAGACAAAGGCATGAGCGAATTCTACGAAGCGCTCCGTGGCCACAAGCCTCCGGAGAAGCAATTACCGTCACCGCCGACGACGGAACCGGAACCTCATATGAACCCTGCGCGAGCTGCAATGCTGGCAGGCAAGCCCAGAGAAGATGCAGAGAAGGAGTACGAGGCCAATCTAAGACAGCTGAGACTAGAAGCGCGGTCGAAACCCAGCGTGCGGACGAAGACCGATGAGGAAAAGGCCGCGGAGGAAGCCGCGCGATTGGAAGAATTAGAAAGAAAACGCATACGCCGAATGAAGGGCGAGGCTGAAAGCTCCGAAGACGAAGATGAAGGCGAGGCAGACGCAGACGCGGATGTAGTACCAGGTCCGGACGAGGACTTTGGTGAAGACGATGCCGAAGCATTTGGACTGGTGGCGCCAGCTCCACCTCCACCGCCTAGAAAAGAGCTCGATGTGGAAGACGAAGACGAATTTGTGCTGGAGGATGACCTCATTGCCTCGGACTCTGAGGCCGAGATGGCAAGCGAGCAAGGGCTTGAAGAATCGGATTCTGAGGATGAGTCAGATGATGATGGAGACGACGATTTTATCAATGGTTTGGTTCTTCCGGAAGGGTCGAAGCCAGCAGCGCAGACGAAGACTTCTGAAAAGAGCTCTACCAGCAAAAATCTCGCCTATACCTTTCCGTGTCCTCAGAGTCATACCGAATTCCTGGATGTATTGAAAGATACCAAGCTGACGGATCTACCGACAATAGTGCAGAGGATCCGTGCTCTGTACCATAAAGGTCTTGCTCCTGGCAACCAAGAAAATCTGGACACATTCGCCGGAGTTTTGACACAGCAAGCGGTTTATTTGGCAGACACTGAGCGCGATGTCCCTTTTCCCGTCCTCGAGAGTCTACTACGCCACTTGCACTCAATGGCAAAAGGCTCGTCCGAAGCTGTCGGCACTGCCTTCAAGCATCATCTCGAGACTATAGCAGACCAGCGGCCACTTCAACTGTCTACTGGGGACTTGATTATCCTGACCGGCGTATCCACAATCTTCCCGACTTCAGATCACTTCCACACAGTCGTGACGCCTGCAATGCTAACTCTCGGGCGGTATTTGGGGCAAAGTGCGGTTCAGTCGTTGAGAGATCTCGGTGTCGGAGCTTATTGCTCTTCTCTCGCCCTGCAGTACCAGAAACTGTCCCATCGCTACGTTCCTGAGGTGGTGACATATATCAACAACGCTTTGGCAATCCTTTCCCCCAGCCGCCTCCCAGAAACCGATCAGGATGGAAACCCGTGGAGTTTCCCCGTCAGGCTACCAACAAAGTCACTACGGGTTCAGCCATCTTCTGTCAAGGTTCCAGAGAAGTTGGCGTTCAAAGACCTCCTCATGGAAGATGGTGGCGAACAAGACACCAACGCTCGCGCGCTGGCCTTGCTCAATGGTTTCATACGTCTCTCCGCACAGACTGCAGAACTGTGGAAGCAGAAATCAGCATTCCCAGAGATCGTTTCTCCGCTTATCCACGCTGTTGGTCACATCGCTAGCCAGTCAACGAAGCTGCCCAAAGCAACTGTGAAGCTTGCGGCCAGTACCTTGGAGACGCTTCAGGCCTTGCAGAAGACGTCTATCGAGTCGCGGCTCCCCCTACTATTGCACAACCACCGGCCTCTTGCCATCAAGACCTCCATTCCCGCCTTCATCGAGAATTACAATCCCGACCGGCACTATGATCCTGACAAACAACGGGCCGAAATCTCGAAACTCAAAGCTGAGTACAAGAAGGAACGCAAGGGTGCCATGCGGGAATTGCGCAAAGATGCCAATTTCATGGCTAGGGAGCAACTCCGGGAGAAGAAGGAGAAGGATGATGCTTACGACAGAAAATTCAAACGCTTGGTGGCAGAGATCCAAGGTGAAGAAGGCCGGGAGAAAAAGGAGTATGAGAAGGAGAAGAGGAAGAGACAAGGGAGGTTCTAAAAATCATGTGTTGCAATTTGGATATGTTAGAGCTTGCACAGGTGTTAATAGTGAAAGCCAGAAGCTGTCTGATATTGACTTATCACTGCATAGCCAGCCACTTGATCGCTATTATCTTGTGTCTTCTGTCTGCTACCTTTCTACAAGGCTTTCAGCGATCAAGAGTCATGCTCCCCACGTACTAGTAGTGCAGAATATTGCACAGAAGCACAGATAGGTCTTTGACTCTCAAGATTGTCGTCACCAGCAAGTAATTCTGCTGGTGACATAAAAACCAAAAAGTACAAAAAAACAATCATGCCTTGATCCTGGCGAGATTTGAACTCGCGACTTTCGCATTGCTCGAAAGGAGTCATACCGCATGCACAGCATACAATATAAGAACGACACGCTAACCGACTGCGTCACAGGATCATTTTGCAGGCCATGGAAACGACGTCGCAAATCCCACAAAAGTGAGTTGAGTTTCGGGACAGTTTCAAGGCAATTTTTTGACTATTATAAATTATAAAGCTTTGAGTGTATTCACGTGACTGCGCCCCGCTTCTGTATAGTTAATAAAACGATGTCTCCAGCACTTGCGTCCGGCCCTTACAGTGTCTGTAGTAAACGTCTACGAGTGTGTAGTATTTGCAGCTTAATGCTTTTGCTGCCTTTTGGGCAAGCTTTTCTCAGACGTAGTTAACGTTGGTCTCTGTTGAGGGCATACTTGATCAGTGCTGGTCTGTCACTACACAGGAGGAGAAGTCTCGTGTAGAAGAAAAGGCAAGCGGTTCAAGTTCCCATTTCCGGTGTTCATGTCCAAGAGAAATCTCGCAACCTTGCAACCCGTCCTTTACTACCCAGTCCTCCCACAGTATGGCCTCAAGTCCACCTGCTGCAGCGGCGACCGCTGCCGCTGACGATGAAGAAGACGACTACATGAACATGACCTTCGCAGAACCTCAACCGTCACATAAAAAGGAAACCCTTACACAGAGGAAGAAGCGGCTGGCCCGCGAAGCGGAACTTAAAGGTCGCCCAAAATCTAAGGCTGAACTGGCAGAGGAAGAACGGAAGAAAAGGGAAGCAGCACTGAACTCTACAGCCATCGACACCAGCAACAAAGGGTTCAAGATGATGGCGGCATTAGGCTACAAACCTGGCAGCGCGCTGGGTGTATCTCGACACGGCGCAGATACAGACGACCGACTACTTGAGCCTATAGGACTTGAAATGAGAGACACGCGCAGCGGAATAGGCGCCGATGCGGAGAAAAAGCGGAAATTCCGCGAAGAGGTTGAAGCACAACAGGAAGTGGACAAGAAGAGGAAGGTTGATGCTGGAGAATTCAGAGAAAGGCAGCAGAAAGAGCGGGAAGAGAAGAGGATGGAAGGTCAAGTCTGGGGTGCCATGAAAGTCTGTGAGCGGTTGGAAGAGGAAGACGAGCTGGCAGATTCTGTCGGCGACGACTCTGCAGAACCTGCGAAGCGGCCCAGCAAGCCCCTGAAGAGCGTCAATGTGCTATGGCGTGGTCTAGTCAAGCAAAGGGCAGTCAACGAGCGCGACAGGAGGATGAGATACGACCTTCATCAATCGCTTTCAAGGCGCCCTGACTACAATGATCCAGACGAAGAGAACGAGGACAAGATCGCCCTGGGAAGGAAAGCAGAGACCGAAGAGGTCGATGTCGATCTGGATGAAGAGGATGAGGAGCTGGACGACTTCGAGGCGCTAGAGGTCTCGGAGAAGCTGAACAAGCTTGTCGGCTATCTACGAGAACGATGGAACTACTGCTTCTGGTGCAAGTACAAATATCCCGACAAGGAAATGGAGGGATGTCCGGGTTTGACGGAAGAAGATCACGATTAGTTGATGCTTTCGAGTAGCTGTACTACTAGGCCAGGCAGCACGCAAGATTCGGCAGTCACAATCGATGCATAGTTTCAATCTACACTTTAACACGACGGCTTGAGTTGAAGATGCTATCTGAAATATACGTAGCGTTGTTGACAGGGAGTTATTCAGCACGGGGGGGCGTACGTACTTTAATAACTGATATCAACTCAGCCTTGTCCCCCGCATTTCCTATCCATTTGATTTCTGCAGCCTGATCAATTTCATCAGTATGAGCCATGTCTCTCTTCACATCAAACCGGATCGTGGTCATCGCTCTGCTGCTAGGGCTGGGTACAGCTTGTTATACAGTCCCTAATCTCCTCCACCGCGTGAAGAATGAAGCGCGCGCGCCAGAGCCACAACCTCCGGCTGCGACCAAGCGCCTACAGAAGGATTCCGAGAACTCGCTAAAGATCGAGACTCTACGCACCCTGGCCGACGGCTACGGCTATGAACTGCGTACTTCGGCGATCAAGATTGTCGCCAGCCGCACTGCCAGGTCTCGCACGAAACGCCTACTCCTGCGTGACCTTGCGAGCAAAGACTACACTCGGCGAGACAACGCCATCAACGGCCTATGGATGCTTCTGTACCACCCGTCACTGAGCGAAACCAAAGTGTCGAACGAATTCCACGACGCCAAAGTGGCCGCAGCGACGGTTCGGGCGCTCATCAACGTCTTGCCTCTACACAACATCAACCAACATGAACCCCATCCGGTCGAGAAGAAACTGCCAGCGTCTCCGATTCGGCCGGCTCATCGGCCGGCGCATGAAGTGTCGCTCCTCATCATTCTCAACAATATTCTTTCCTACGCTGGGCGGAGGATCACGCGGCCATTGCTAGGTAATGACACGATGGAAGCCGCTCTAGGCGCCGGACTCGTTACACGCTGGCTGGCAAACTACCCTTTCCCCTGCGCCCTGCCTGAGAATTCGGACTTCAATTTCAAGAAATCCGACGTAGCCCGTCTGTTCGACCGCATGGCCTGGCTGACCGACGACCCTTTGATGGCGGACATTGTGCTCGAAGTCATGCAATATCCTCGCGGACGGAAGGAAATGCGCGACGCCGGCCTACAGGCAAGCAGATACCGCGAAAACGTGGGTCGCGGCGCCTACCAGTCCAGCTGGGACTTGCCCGGCTGGGTGACAGCCGCTGAGGAGGACAACGACGTGCGTATGGTCGGCGGCGAGGATACAGCGGGGATTACAGACTACGACGAATTGGTGGGCCATGGCGACGAAGGGTCGGCACGGCCACGATCTACGGAGCGGAGTCGTGAAGAGGACCATCTGCGACGTCGGCATCGCGAAGCCATCGTCGTCGCGGAGCGTGGCGCTCCTCTGCGCAGAGAGAATATCCTGCAGCGCGAAAACAGCCAGGTCCTGCAGCCTATGAATGGCATAAGCGAGGTTGAAGGTGTTCTGAATGGACTGCTGGGTCTCTCGGACGATGCCAGGCCGCACGAATCGCCTGTCTCTATGTCGGGAGCCCTCGGTCTCATCCCGGGCCAGGACGACAGCCGTGCAGCTACCGAGCTCGATCGTGTCTTGGAAGTCCGCGAGATCGAGGATCTGATCGAGCAGTCTCTAAGCGACCCCGAGCTCCGTCGGGCAATTGGGTCGTTGAGGTCTGACGATCCAATTATGCTCATTAATCCTGCTTCTGCCCCCAACACCGATTCCGAGGAAGACTCCGGTCCCGGGCACAGGTCGTGAATTATATGCGCTGTCTTCAAGCGTTTGGCAGCGTTGAATATGAAGGAGTCTGTCCGGGTCCGCTACAGCGTCTGACACATCGTATATCACATAGCAGGGCGTTCAGGTTTAGCGATTGAGATACTTCCTTCTCGGTACGCATTACATTAGGATCAGTGGTGCTAAGCACAAATGGAGCTTGATATCCAAGGGAGGCTGCGTGATACTACTGGGTCATGCTCAATCATCTTTAACCTGCCCGAGAAATGGAGTATTCGTAGCACTCAAGTCATTGCTTGCAAAAGCTGAATATTCATTTACAGCCTTTCAGCATCTCAGCCTTCTAGTCATGGCAGGACCCTAGAATCCATGTTTGCATAGAATCCATTTTTTGCGTCCCTGAACCGTCAATCCGGCGGCCATCCACCACCATCTCCCGTGTCCATGGATCTTGCAAGGACAAGGCCAATATGGTCGTCTGCAGCATGATCCCACCGTCACCTTCACACCCGACTCCGCACTCAACCTTTACTTCAACGGAATGAATCTTGAAGAATGGGTGGCACCGATACCGGGTCTACCGTGCTTGACAGGCTTGTATGAGATGGAGAATTCGCCGAGGTAGTGGCCGACCATCTCGGGCTTGATTTCGACCTGGTTGAACTCCTTGCCGCTGTAGATGCCGATGACGCTGCCAATCATCTCGGGCACAATGATCATGTCTCGCAGATGTGTCTTGACCAAGTCGGGCTTCTCGTTGGGCTTTGCGTTCTGCTTGGCCTTTCGCAATTTCTTGATCAGACCCATCGGGCGGCGCTTAAGGCCTCGGTTGAACCGGCGACGGGCGCGGGCATGGAGGACAGTGAGAAGTTCGTTGGAGGGGATGTCGAGAAGCCTGTTGGTTTCCTTGTCAGATTTCCGTCCCTTGGTCCAGGTCACGACCACCAATGGGCCCTTGCGGCAGTGCAACATACTGGTCAAGATCAATGCCTCTGTAGGAAAACTTTCGGAACGTTCTCTTCTTCTTGAGCTCTGCGGCCTCCTCGGGGTTCTGTCGATTGGGATCAGTCAGTCTCGTGTGTCCTGCTCAATGTGCGCGGATCTCTGCGCGGAAACGTACGTAGTCGGCGTCAGCCATGATTGCGATAGGACTGCGTGTTCGCTTCTCGATGTGGCGGTCGAAAAGCGAGAGGGATGTTGACGGGGCAGTTGGCAAAAGCGTCAAGTCGACGATTTACGGATTCCAGAGTTGCCTTTCACCTCTTTGAAGTTTCGAAGGCTTGGCTGCGGCGGACCGAATTCGTTAGGGCAAGTGCGTCACGTGATATAAAATCTTGGCACTGCCTCCGGACGAGGCTCGCTGCTTGAAGCACACTGCAGCAATTGTACGTTAGCGCCTGCAGCATTTTAGAAAGCCTTGCCCGGAGGTGCAGAGAGCGCTACTTGGGGCACCTTACGGCTGAGGATGCCTGGAATTACGAGGAACTTGGACCGGAAACACAGCCATTACGGAAAGTGGTCTCAGAAATAGTGGTGCCTGGCATTCGGATTGACTTGTCATTGATACCCGCATATTGAGCTCAATCTTGCGCAAACAGATTTCATGCCAGATTGTCTCTGGTGAAAGTGTGGCCTTGAAACCATCCTCCTTGCAAACCTCCGCGTAATGTCCAGTGCCAGGTAACGGGATTCCCGCCGGTTCAGGGCGTTGCTTTCCACTATTTGGTTGCTTAGTCGAAGAGACCGAAGCCCATGTCCTCGTCGGACTCTTCCTTCTCCTCTTCCTTGGCGGCCGGCGCCTCCTCTTCAGCGGCGGCAGCACCACCAGCAGCGCCACCAGCAGCCGGGGCAGCAGCGCCACCACCGGCACCACCAGATGGGACGGATGCGAGTTTGGTAGAACCCTCGGCGATCAGCTGTAGAACTGTCAGTAACTGTCCCATGGGTCTGCGCAACCAGCGGCGCTTACCTCAGAGATATCCTTGCCCTTCAGCTCGGAAAGAAGCTTGGAGAGACGCTCCTCGTCGGCATCGATTCCGACGGAGGAAAGAACACCCTTGATGTCAGAGTCAGAGGGGTCGGTGTTGCCGGCAAGGCCGAGGAGAAGGTAGGCTGCGAGGTGCTTCATTTTGGTTTGTTTTCTTCGCAACAAGTCAGTTCAGATTCCCTGTCTTCGGCACCACAGTCCTTACTGGTGAATTGGGGTTTGCGAACAAGAGAGACAATCGATTTAACCGCGAGTTGGGCGGAGACTGGCACGTCAAGTTCTGAGGATGTTCGTGACTTAGAGAAGGACTGGCCAAAGTTACGAGCGGACGAAGTTGTGCGCATCGAAAAATGAATCGAAATTGTTCCGGGAAAGTTAGCCGAGCAACGAGGGCCGCCAAGCCAGCCTATAGAAAATACAATCAGTCTGACCGTGAATTGATCACCAAATAAGCTCGACAGCAGTCAAGGGGCATCTATTTGCGTTGTCACCATCGTTCATTTTTTGTGCGGTGTTATCACTCGCTGCTACTAGTACATGTAGTATGAGTAACCGGCGCTCAGGCCGTGAAGCGCCAGCCGTGATTCTTGCGGGGATCGTATGTCACTGTTCTTTCTCCTCCGACTCACTTTGGCATTTCCCTTCATTTTGTTCTGTTTCACGTCGTCGCCAGCTTGCTAGTCGAACTCTTTCTTGAATTACGATCCAGCATGCTCAACTTGGCTCTCCTTCTTTTCATCTGAGCCAAACAGCAAACATGAACGCCAACTATATAAAGGCTTACGTTTCAACGCACCACTGAGCACGTTCGCCTCCCTCTCACCTTCTCAATATAGATATGAGCTTCCTCGGCGATCTCGTCAACTCTATCGGCACGGGCGCCGCTCCTCCTCCAAAGACAACGGTACGATCGGTCAGCGCAACTTCGCAACAACATGTACCATTGGCCTTCAAGTCTGGTTCCCGGCCGAGCTCCACGGCGCTACCTTCGCCACTCAACGGTACCAAACGGAAGGCTGAAGATGAGCACAGCAAACCTCCAGCCAAAGTCATCAGACCGAACCCCGCTCCTGGATTGACCAGCACAGTGAGCAAACGCCCAGCAGCTCCCCCCTTGAATGCGCCGAAGTCGTCCAATGACAAGGCTGTTCTCGTGCCCAAGCCTAAGCTTGAGCCCAATGGAACCGCGTCCAAAGCCGGGTCGACATCGCCCTCAATTTCCGCAACTGCAGCGCCAAAGGCTCCGCCCAAGGGTTCATATGCAGACATCATGGCAAGGGCTAAGCAGGCGCAAGAGACGAAGGCACAGAGTCAAATCGGGCTTATCAAACATCAGGCCACCAACCGCGAACGGGTTTCGAAAGTTGCCGAGAGACGCCGCCAGGAGGAAGAGAAAGCGAAGGCTGCAAAGGCAACACCTGGAGCACGTCCGGCCCTTGGCAAGCAGGGAATGTCGAGGAGCGCTAGTCCCGCAAAAAAGACTGATCAACCTCGTGTGCCGAAAGCTCCTCGCCCGCCATTACATGCTCCAGCGTCCTACAAGGGCACGATCGGCACCGCTGCCACCAGGCCCAGGCAGCAAGACCGGCGCAGACGGAACAAGTACGACGAGTACCTTGGCACGGATGAAGAAGATGCATCAGAGGGCAGTTATGGACGGGGGGAAGAAGATGACTACGAGTCTGACGCCTCGTCGGTCATGGAAGCGGGGGCATTTGAGGTGGATGAAGAAGAGCAGAGGGCTCTGAGAGCTGCGAGGGAGGAAGATGCTAGAGAGCTCGCGCTCGAAGCCCAACTGAAACGAGAAAAGGAAGAGAGGCGACGGAGACTGATGAACCTGGCCAGCAAGCGCAAGTGATTTATTGTTACCATCATGAAGGGACATTGCATAGCAACACTGGTTAGCTTGGAGGGCGGCATTTCTATTGACAATTAGCATTGGTGTTGGGAGGGAATGCATTGCAACGCATAGCGGCAGAGAGGCTTACAGGATATTCATCATGAAAGTTCATTTTCAAGACAAACGTCGTGTGATGACCGACGTTTTCGAATCCCTTTGAAAACGTGCCTAAATGAGTAATCGGTCTCTTGAGAATAGTGCCCCGAGACGTTCTGTGGTAGTACGTACCATGAATGAACCAACTCCCATGCCAGCTTCCACAAATACTCAACACACTCTCATGTCAGCTTTCCATGTTCACTTAGCAGGCCCTTTCCTACCTAGTATATTAGTCTGGCCTTCGAAATCCTGAGAATCCTGTCAACCACCAAGACATTACAGAGAAGTTGAAAAGATGGATACTACGTCTACAGCAAATACTGCTCTCTTCTCTTCTGGAGATGAACAAGACCTTTTGGAGTCAGAGGGCCACCAATTCACAACTGCCCCAATCAGTGGAGTGGGAGTGACCCTACTACAGTGGTGTTATGGTCACGGTTCCAAGTTTGAGATGAAGAAGGCTTGGGCTAAGAGAATACCGACCCAGCCACTGCATGATGAGTTAGATGTCGTACTCAGGAGAACTCAGCCTTGCCTGTCACGTGACGCCGATTTCTCGAGGATTTCTCGGGCGTCTAGGCCATTAGGCAAGGGCCACTGGGGCATCAGAACTCATCCTGTCTTATTAAGGCCTTCATGAGACAGCACGAGCACGGGGGCCTGGAGACGCGCAAGCCCTCCCGAGATAATGTTGATTCCGCGGAGCTCCAACAAAGCGTGGAAACCCTCCAAAGGTATGACAGTCATGTTGGACTCTTTTTGTATGCTGTCTGATGTAGAGGACCAAGGTGTCAGGCACGACGGGGAATTGCCAGGCAGCATTCTCTCGGTGTGGCTTTTCAGGAGAATCTTCTCTTGCTTTTGCTTCTACTTCTTGACACTCCCTCGACCGCGATTATGGGGGTAGGATATTCAACCGTGCCGTGCATTGTAACAAGGTTGACCCATGAGCATCACTCACATGTATTTCAAGTCCCGACCTTCGCCTGACCTGGTCACCACCTCGCTACGAGTATCATGTCTTTGTAGACTTCAAGTTTGTGGCAGTCATGTCAAATCCAGGTTAAATAAAAGTGGAAGCCTCGTGCCAAGAAATGCCTGGATTTCGCTCCCCCATGTTTCTCAGCCTTCTCACCCCTTTACCACCTTCACCACTGGCACCTCAATTGACTTCTCCCAACACAAACAGCGCATATAGTTCTAGAGAGTCTCACCGGATTCTATCACGAGATTTGGAAGGGGGCTTGAACGAAGAACGAAGAACGAAGGTCTCTTCAAGGCCGCAGCCCAGTCTCAGATGTCGTTCTCATTCGGCTTCAGCGGCGACGACATCGAAGATGATGGAGGAGAAACTCAGATTGCAGAGACGCTCTCGCGGGAGATGTCGAAACATAACATCTCTAACATAAATCTTGAGAAATCGCATGTTATTGAGCCGAAAAGACATGCTCTAGAGGATTTGGTAGGTCTACGATCCTGCTTACTGGGTTACCCTCCAACCTCCCATACCTCGTTGGCGGCGATACGGATTTCTCGAGGTAACGATTAAAAGAACGATCCTTACTGTATTGAAAGCGAACACTCCTTTCTGAAAGATGCACTGTATATACTCACTCATCACCATCCATGTACACTCATGCACACACACATACTCTCTCTCTCTCTTCATTTGTGAGTTCATTTCTAACGTGGCTCACAGCTATCGTCCCTCCCATCACAGATCTCATATAACACCCTGACCATACCAACACCAACACCAACACCAACATCTTCGTCAACGTTGCCGACACCACTCTCAAATTTCCAAGATACAGCCTCAACGACCACGATTCAGAGCAACCATACCCAAGTGCTGCGTCGCTCTCTCTTCGACATACGTGCCCAACTCATGGCGGAGGCAGACCCATCAACCAACGACGACGCGGCGGAGACAATGCTCGCCGGCCTCGAGAGCGGCGACTTGACATCTGGCATCTACGAAGGCGGCTTCAAGACTTGGGAATGTGCCCTCGACTTGGCCTGTCTTGTGGCCACCAGGCACTACTTGGACATGATGAGCAACATCACCCAGGACTGGGAGGTCATCGAACTCGGGGCCGGCAGTGCCGTGCCGAGTTTGGCCCTCTTACGAACCTTTCTCGGCAGCACAAATACCCAGAAACCAGACCAACAATCTCCACAAAGCACGAATGCACAAGCGCCGAGGTTGAAGTTTACATTATGTGACTATAATGAAGAAGTGCTGAGGCTGTGTACGGCCCCGAATGTTCTTCTCAATTATCATTACTATGGGATTGGTTCGAAGCAGAGTGTACCTGATGGTCCACCGTCTCCCCCGGCGCTGGCGTCCGAGGAAGGCGAGCTCGACATGGAGGAGATGGGAGCCACTTTTCTGCCGGATCTTGTTCAGGATATAAAGTCTAGAAATGTTTCATTTGATTTCATTTCGGGAGGCTGGGGAGATTCCTTCCTGGATCTGATTCCAGTATCTAAGCCAGACGCGGACCGGCCGACAAATCTTCTTATCCTGGCGTCCGAAACGATCTACTCGCCGGCATCGTCGAAGATATTTGCGGATACTTTACTTCGCTTGCTTCGGCGGCACGACCGAGGGTCGGCGAAGGCATGGGTGGCCGCGAAGAAGGTCTACTTTGGCGTAGGTGGCGGAGTCGACGAGTTTGTCAGGGACATCGAGAACCAGGGCGGCCGAAGCAGGGTTCTGCTCGAGACAAAGGATACAGGTGTGGGACGAGTTGTATTGGAAATTACGACATGAAAGAATATTAGGGAAGCACAAAGCAAGCGCCAGAATAATATAGACGGCTCACACGATACCACGAGACAACGGTACAAGAAGAAAAGGACATACAAGGGTGTATGGAAATAAATCCATTGCTCGTGATTTCTACAATTTGGCCCGGTTTCGCCCTGTTGCTCCGCTATGCCCAACTTCCATCTGCAGGTGGAAAAAGGGAACCAAACTTCTGACTTAAGAATACACATACCACTTTTAGGTCGGCGCGAACGAGAATGTTTCGACCCGGTCTCCCCAGGTCAACACGGCAAGACCATATCCACCATTGACTGCGCAACGCCTACTGTTGACGGTTGCGCATGCTAGGGGGCACGTAGCGACCACCTGCTGCAGGAGCGGGCTTCCTCGGTGCTTCGTCGCCGCTTCCCGTTGCCGGTGAGCCGGCGCCTTCGCGTGACAAGCTGCGGCCTCCTTCTCTCATGTGTGCAGGCACAAACCGTCCACCACTTGCGCCATTAGCGGGGGAGGCCGATGAGTTGCGCAGTGGAAGGTCACGAGGAGGCTCTGCACGAGGTGCTGCGCCTTCGCGTAGATGAGGAGGGACATAGCCTCCAGGACGGCGAGGTTGAGCCTGAGCAGGCTCCTGAACAGCTGCCGCAGGAGCAGGAGCAGAAGCAGGAGCAGGAGCAGCGTGGGGTTCAGGAGTGGTGCGACCAGTTGGCCCGGCGGCTTCCTTTGCTGCTTGTCGTTCTCGCCAGCCACCTCCTTTGCCGGCCAAATTGAGGCGAGGAGCAGTGCGGCCTTCTGAAGACGCGGTTCGAGTGTCCATAGGAACAGCTTCTCTTGGTTGGGAGAATGGAGTTGGTTCGGCAGCGGCCCCTTTGCGAGCAGCTCTTCGAGCAATGGCTTCTTCCTCTCGTTGCATCTGTTTCCGAGCAACTTCCTCGCGCTCCAGACGGTCAGCCTCGGCTTTGGCCCTCCGCTCAGCTGCGATTCTCTTTTTCTCCTCCTCGGCCTGGGCTCGTTCCTCTTCTTCACGCTCTCTGCGCTCCTCTTCCTCGCGGATCCGGCGCTCCTCGGCTTCTTCTGCCTCTCGCTGTCGGATCTTCTCTTCATGATATGCCTTGATGCGTTTTCTCTTCTCCTCCTCAAACTCTCGTTCGGCACGCTTGCGAAGTCTCTCAAACTCGGCCGCGCGACGTTCAGTGATCTGGCCCTTGAAAGAATCGTAGGACTTGACGAGTCTGGCGAGACGATGCTTCAAGGCCAGTCCTTCCTTGTGCTTCTCCTTGGCTTCTCTGAGTTTGTCTTCCTTCATCTGTTCGTAGAGCTTCAGATCCTCTTCGCGCTGTTTCTCATAATCCGCATCCCGATATTTCAATTCTTCGCGGCGGAAAGCGCGCTCAAGATGGTCAATCCGTTTTGCGGTGATGTGAACCCGATGGTCTTTTTCATGCTTTTCTTTCTCGAGCTGTGTCAGCTTCATCATCCGGATGGCATTTGAGTCAAGTTCGTCGATGTTGAGATCCTCAAGATCAAGCTTCATGCCACCCTTGAGCTCTTCCAGTTGTTTCTCGATTTCCTGGCGCCGGATACGAGCCTGTTCGTCCTTGACGCGCTTCAGCTCGCGGGCTCGGGTTTCTTCCCGGAGACGCTGGGACTCTATTTCTGCCTGCTGTTGTGCACGAATACGACGACGAGTCTCTTCTTCTCGTTGTTTCTTGGAAAGAGCTTCAGAGAAGGCCTCCTTCTGCTTCTCAATAACCACCCGTCTCTCCAGAGTCGCTTCGTGTTCTTGCTGCGCGCCAGCTTCGGCTCGTGCCAGCGCAGACTCTCTGGCGGCAAGACGGGCCTGGTTGTAAGACGGGTCAACATACATGCAAGTGATGTGAAGTGTCTTGGCCAGGCGAGTAAGCTGTGATCGTGCGATCTCTGCCGGGGTGTTCTGTAAACGCTGCACCGAACGAGTCTCGCTCTCTGCTGAGCCAGCTGCACTGCCGGGATGAAGAGCTTTTGCCGAGGAAAAGACGTCCGAGTCGAAGGCAAGAATGCCCGAAACGTGGTCAAGACGGATCGACAGATCACCCTTCTTACATCCGTTCATGATGAACTTCTCGATCATGGCTGGAGTTACCTCAAATGGCGCAGGGAACTGGGCAAGTCGGTTGACAAAGCTGAGCTCAACGGACTCGTAGACCTGGGAGAGTTGCTGGAAGAGACGAGTGAGAATGACCTGCTGCAGAGGCAGTACATACTTCTCCATCTCAGGATCCGCTCCCACTTGGGCCAGAATAGGGGAGATCTTCTTGCAGATTGAGAGGGGGTGGAAGTCGACTTCGAGAATGTTGTAGAGGTCTCGGATTTCCGGGCGCACTCTCTTCAGCAAGCCTTTGTTGAGTATGTCCTTGAAGAGGCCGGCTCTTGTAGGCGCAGATGGCATGCTCAGCAGGTTGGTAAGACGGTTATTCTTATTCTTCCGTGCTTCGTCAACGTCCACCAGAGCGCCGCGTGAGCGGGATGTGCTGATGACAGGGATTGCCAGGGCAGAAAGTAAGACAAAGGAGGCAGCTTTGGTCAAAGTCTCCTCTGTCACGGCCGGATTGTCACGTTTCGAGGTCTGGCCGGCAGCAACAGCTGAGGCAGATTGGCGAAGGAGGTTGTAGTACTTGTTGTACGCAGCGGCATGGAACAGGAAGTTGTCACTGACCAGGAAGATCTTGGTCAGCTTTTCGTAGTAGTTGGCCATCATGACATTCTTTGCAGGTCGCTTTGACAGGGTGAGAAGCATGTGGATGTCTTCGACACTTCGGAACGCCTCTTGCCAGAGCTCAAGCTCGTCTGCGACGTTCAATTGGCGAAAGCGGGTCTCCAAATGGCGCTGCAAGGTATCAGGCTCATTGAGGTTGATGGCATGCATCTGGGAAGAGTATTTGGCAGCGTTTTGGACATGGTTTCGGAGAAGTTCGCAGAGGCGACGGAACTCGGTCTTGCGGGTGTACTTCAGGCAGAAATCGAAAGCCTGATGAGCGGTGCTCTGGTACATGACCTCGAGGCGAGCATTGTTCTTCAAGATTTCGAGAACGGTGCGATAAGTCTCCCACAAAAACTTGAGCCATGGTGTCACGATTGCTCGATCGGTTCGGTCTTTAGATTGTTCGCCCGACACAGTGGCAAGGAGGATTGTTTCAGGGGTCTCTGTAGCTTCCAGATCCTCGACATTGAGGTCTGTGGAAGATGCGGCATTTTCGAGCGAGGATTGGACCTCGTCGGCTTTAGCCTGGGCCTCCTGGACCTTTTGTTCGGCAAGTTCGATGAATCTTTTCAGGACCAGCTGTAGCCTGTTAGCAGCCATTTTGTGATGTATTGACAGCCATCTTCACATACCTCAATGGTTCCCACATTCGTGTTTTGTGCGATGTTCTTGTATTGATACAGCCCATCCTTTGCGGCCTTGCCCTTTCGTAGATCGACGGAAAGCTCGACGAAAAGGAGCATAACCGGCTCCAAGGCGGAGATGGCACTATTTCTCGAGCGCTTCGAAGTGACATGTTCGTGGAGAACATTGAGGGCAGCCTGGGATTGCCCAACGGCAATGAGTTCTTGTGCTCGCTAAAGAGTCTTTGTCAGTCACTGCGGAGGCACGAAAAGAAGAGCTGATTGTCTTACTCTGAGCACATTCTCAGGCCGGGTATGGGGAGGAGGCGGCATGTTGACGGTTGGCTATTTGAGTCAGAGAACAGACGATCAAGTGAATGATCCGTCAAGACTGATGAACAGTCTGTTCCAGAGAAGACTGATGTCGAATATCCGCTGGTGTTGGCCACGATCGCGGCGTGTCGTGCCCAGGTGCGAAGTTGGGAATTTCACACACTGGCAGTGGACTTGGGGCTTGGCGGAAGTCATTCTGACTGCGGTGCGATCATGCACTGGCACAGGGGCGACAACGACGAGCCTAGCACGTGACTTTCTTCTCACCTCGCTTCACCTTCCTAAAGAACCACCTTACTGGAATAACCACTGCACCACTACTAGCATCACAGCTCTGGGGTTAATTGATTGCTTAACTCCGATGCACGTGATACCAGCCGTTCAACGCTAGTCCCAGAAACGCTAGCGCCCGTTGGTGAGATTGGAACGATGGATGAGGGTTCGTCCCCTGATCTTCCTGGCTCTTGGAGCCACAATTGACCTTATTCCCCCTGCTAACCAATCCATCAAACCACCAGAGACCGTTGGACTCGTCCGTGACGGCCTCCATCCGAAGCAGCTCTCCCTCTTTCAATTCCATCGTTTCCGCTACTCGCTGGCGAAGACATATCGCGGCGGTAGCCTCGAGAAGCGACCACGTCTTGGACGACGCCGACCCCCCCGACCCCCTCCGCACGTCGCCGTGTTTGAGCTCGGTCGAGTGATTCCTTACGACAGCACCGTGTACGAGGAAGAGCTTCGCCGTTTCAACCAACTCCGCGTCACCACTCGCATTGACTACCACGCCTTCCTCTACGAAGACCACGACGACGACTTCTTCTCTTGCAACCAGCAACCATGCCATCAGCATTCGCGGTGCGGGATGGAGGTGACGCCAAGTCCAAAAAACAAAGCATGGCAGATCTTAAACTTAGGCGACTCCAAGAGCTCAACTCCCGTCTCAAAGAAGATCTGGACAGGCCTCGTGTAAAGGTTGCCGAAGCGTCCCTGAGGTGAGTCTTGCCTGGGCACCGCAGCCGATCTGTGGGTTTGGGGCAGATACTAACGTCGAGCGCGCAGCTTGATCAACTACTGCAATTCAACGCGAGACTACATGGTACCTTCGGTCTGGGGACAGGTGGATAAGAAAGAAGATCCTTACAACCCACAAAGTGGAGGCAGTGATGGCTGTTGCACAGTCATGTAACGGGAGTTGGCGGGCCTGGTGATATTGCAATTGCAAACTTCTCACGAGGAGCGCTCAGAAGGAAAAGGGCTGGAACTCGATTCGGAAAAAAAAGCATGCGGCGCAGATGGCGTTCTCAGTCCTTCTTCAATTGCGACAGTTTTTCCTGTATAGAGGCGGCCAGCACGGAGTCCAGCACGGCGTCTAGCGTGCGATATGCTGCGCTTGTCTCTGCTTGCTTGAGCGTGGCTTTTGCGTGCTATTCAGAGCTGGAAGGAAAGGGCTTCCAAATTCGTCTCATGGCGAAATGAATTAAGATCATTGACTTTTCTGCGCTTTTTCCCGTTGTCTATACACTATTGCATGCCCATGAATGTCGATCTCCTTGCTTGAATCTACCGCTGGATCTGTTCACCAGACTACACATTGCCTTATCTGACTTTGAAGAGATAGCAGGATGAAACCAAATCCAAAGCCCAGACTAATTGATATATTCCAGATTGAGCTCACCTCAGTTCAGCTCACTCAAATCTCAATGCGGCCCGGCGAGAGACATGGCCCTTGTGTTGCATGTCCAAAGAGATTCGGAGCCGTTTGACTTCCAATCCCTAGCCAGTAACCAGACATCCCCGATGAGAGCATTCCGCGACATATTGACCACCGGGTAGGTGGTGCGCTCGTTCCCATCTTTGTATCTTGCCTAGCAAGCGACTCGAGCGTCCTCCAACATCTCCTCCCTTAACTTGGGTTTCCTCGTGTTCATCTCTGACCTAGCAGCGCCGGCAGACGCGCCTTCGCTTTTTCAGTGCTTGAGATCAGCCTGCAGAAGAAGAGCTTCCACAGACAAACGACCAATGTCAGCAAAGGCTGGTCTCTGTGGGGTCTTGCACGATCATCCCACCAAACAGTCGATGTCACAACTCCAACGGTCGCGCACATCTGGCTGTCAATGCGTCAATTCTCCGAACGGTGGCTGGAAAATGTACGTAAATCACGGCCCAACTTTGTCGGGCAGTCGACAGCGATGTCATCTGTCTAGAGGCCGGAGGTGCAGCGTCAGGGAGTACATGTAGGTGTTGACCACAACAATGTTGGCTTCAACCCTGTGATTCTCCGACCACTCTCTGTCTTGAGCCCCTAGGCTGTAAGTTCTAGATCTGATAGTGAGATCGACTCGATTTCTCGCCCTCAGCTTCATGATTCGACCTTTACAGTGTTATAACTGTTCGTCGCGGATTACCCTCTCTCCCTTGATGAGAGCGCCCGGCCCAATGGAGCGCATCGTTAGTATTCTGTTAAGCTACCTTCTCATTTAGCTCTGTGTTGAGATAGAAGTCTTCTGCATGTTGTTATCATCCTGACGGAGGCTTTTTAAAAGGGGCTCTAGGAGCCTGAGGGCCAGTAAGAGCTTAGGAGGCTAATTGAACGCCCACATCTAAAATTATTACTGTAGCTATGACCTCAGACTCCAAACCCATCTTACAGATTTGATGGATTTCATCTTCACACCTCAATTCTGAGATCCACCCCATCGGTTCTACTGAGGTCAGGTGGAAGAGTAATATAGCTAGCTATAGCACCCTTGAATCCATACTGAGGCGACATGACCGAAGCATCCTCGACAGTACACGTTCCGCGCGTGGCGATCAGATTCTGCACGCAATGCAAATGGAACCTGAGGGCCGCTTATGTGAGTCGATCTCTTTTATATCTGCTTCACTATTGAACGAACTTGTGCCTTCGCGTTTTGAAATTGCGGGCGGCCCGATCCCATCCCTTCTAGGGCTCGGCCATGGCATGTGGAAGACAGTGGTAGAAAAAGCTGCAATTTGATGCCATTGACCATATCTTTCGTGTCTTGACAATGGTCGACATGCGCCCCCTGAAAAGATCTCTACCTGGCGCTCTACCATTCCTTTCCATTCACGGTCTGGGAAGGCCGCATACTGTTATATGTCAAGTTCGAGCGACTGACACGTTGAATCATAGTACGCCCAGGAACTTCTTCAGACATTCTCCACCAGCATCGGCGAGGTGGCATTGGTCCCCGTGACAGGAGGCATATTCACCGTTACCATGACACATGTTGGGCCTAGATCCGCTGAGTTGTCAGAAACAGGGGCCGGAATCGACAACGGAACGGTGGCAGTCATGGACACAGTATTATGGGATCGCAAAATCGATGGTGGATTCCCAGAGACGAAAGAATTGAAGAACAGAGTCCGTAATATCATCGAACCAGATCGGGATCTCGGCCACATCGATCGGAGTTTGAAGAAGCAGAAGAACCAGGAGGCAGAGGCCCAGCAACAGGGTGATGATCAGACAACGACATTACCGGAGGAGCCGGGTGCCGTTGAGCAGTCTGGCAAGAAAGAAGAGACCAAAGAATGCGAGGACTGCAAATGAGTATCCAGCGAAATGACCTGGGAGCAAATCGTCTTGCAGGAACTTGCGGCATTGCTCACCGAACAGGAATGTAGGGACGCCTGTGCGATGCCGAGTTGACCACTCCAGGATGAGCTTGTGGCAACAACTGATCATCTTCGATTCTGATCTCATCTACTTTGACGACAATGGCGGCCGCAGCGTGTTGCATCCTCGTCATGCCTTATCGCTAGATGCACCACCTGTTGCTGGCCGCAGCACGAGGGGAGCGGTATCCTCGAGCGTGGTGGAAAATCCTGCCTTACTGCTCTCTCCGGTCGGAGGTTTTGGGCCAAATGACTACTTTCGCCACCTAGCATCACCCCAGCCGTGGTCGCAGACAGACTCAAACCGGGGCATAGAGGCAAGGGGAAGCGACAGGAGCAGCGCAGCAATTCTGGACCCGCCCAAACTCCTCCAAGGTGCATGAAACAACAAAAGAAAGAGATATCCTTGATCAAATCACCAGCAGGCGCACATAAATTGTCTTAGATCCGACCGTGGCTTTTACAAAACTACCAGCAGACGAAGCCCGACGAAACTGGCGAAAGAAAAGGGCATTTATCATTTGTGCGTACAACAAAGCCTCAATACCGCAGTGATTCAACACACGTAACACTTACGACTGTACCAACACACGCGTACACACACGCACACACACATAAACTGCAAAATACCCTCCTCCTAAACTGTTCGCACTACTATCCCAACACCCGAAAAAGAAAAGAGAATTGAACCCTCCTTTCACAAAAATTCTTTTCCCTGTATTCCCCTTTGTGGAGAAATACAGAGAATGAAAGAGAAATCCATGTATGAAATCATATTTCTCAGCTTGCCCGGATTTTTGGCAGCCGTCAACTGTCCCAGGGTACAGCAAGGTGCCAAAAAAAGGTACAAAACTGCACACCCACGCCACCAAGCACGACCGTGTAGCGACGGTAGTAGCGTTCAAGAGCGGGATTAGCGCAGCCGAAGTCATCATAGAACTGAATCACAAGATGATTGCTTTTCGGAGCGATCCGCACGGCCTCGAGAATTCTTCTTCCGTCGCAAGTGGTACTGGCAGGTGGGACAAGGCAAGTTAAACCGCCTCAACTAGAGAGAGCAGATGGTAACCACTACATCCCCGGGAGGTTGGGCCCTGCATTGTTGGGAGAAATTGCGGGAACTCGGGTTATGAACCGGGGTATTTTGTCCGCGGGGATACGGGGAGGGCTTTGTTTACAAGTCGTTGCGGATGAGATGAGATGGGATGTGTTTCAATGCTGGAGGGCCCCCAGAGTTGTGAGACATTCGAGGTATTTGCTACCTCAATCACTGCCGAATTGTGTCAGTGACTCTTCGACTCGTTGGCAGTTCTCTCAGGAGCGAAAGGTAGTAGCCTGGAGAGATGGGAAGTCCGAAGGATGTTCTGATGGAAGAACGGCGAATGAAAGGGAAAGGAGAGAGAGAGAATTGAGAGAGGGTACACAGTATTTATAGATCGATGTTTTATCAATTGAACCAGGTCTCAGCTTCACTTGACATGTGGTTCTTCAGGCCGGCAACTTGAAGGTGCCCTTTCACAGTCCTCTGTATTGACACCCGCCCTTTGATGTTATAGTGCAAAACACAGACTCAATCAAGACTCACAGAATATTCACTTCAACTCAACGCCCCTTCTCATACAGTGATAGTTTTTTCATGGTCTAACCCGCTACGCCCCACCATTTTGAAACAACAAACGATCAAGGAAACACAACGCCAGGTATTGAAGACAACAGGGCTCTGTGCCGGCCACAGCAGATCATCGTTCCAGATGAGGACTGTCCCGGCTCTCAGTATTGTCCTGAGCATGACAATACCGGCGCCAGACGGTGATAAAACGCCAGTCACTTCTTCCTCAATTTCTTCTCCACATATTTCCTGACTCGCTTATCGCTCATGATGAAGCCCGTGACGGCAACACCAAGGAACATCTGCGTGGCTGCCGCGCCGCTGCCGGGTTCTGAAGTCGTAGAAGCTGTGTTTGACGAAGAGGCTGCATTAGGAGAAGGCGCCTTGAAGCCCAATTCAGGATATACTGCGGAGGACGGGTCGGATGGCAGCGGCGACGTTATGTTTGCATTTCGCCGGACCTGATATCCAGCTTCGGCTTCTCCATCTTTGATGCCATTTCCAGCTTGAGTCTGAGCCAAAGCCCGAGCTTCAGCTTCAGCCTCTCGGTCTTTCTTGCTCTGCTCCTCCTTTGCAACCCACTCAGCCAGTACCTCCGGTTCAGGAAACATCCTCCTCCGGAACGCAATCCACAGCGGCACCAGCAGACGATGCAGCCGGTCTTCCTCCATTTGAGCCTTGGCACTCACCTTCTTCGTCGTCCCCATCCAACTAGCCCGGGTCCATCCGGACTGGAAGTCGCTGGTGGTGCGACACCAGGGGTGGGCAAACCTGGAAATGACAAAGGCGCTTGTGCAACCTCTGTTGGCATCTTTGGTGCCTTGCTGCAAGAGGTTGATGATGGCCGGTTGCTCGCGGAATGATTTGAGGTCGCGCATGAACTGGGAGTGAGATGGGTTTGGAATCAAGAGAGCATCGAAGAAGCGTGTGTAGCAGGATGCCGATTCGTTGAGGGATCGAATGTATCGATAATGGTCGGGCGAGATGTCTGGTTCATCTTGATATTCCTCTTCAAGTTGGACCGAAACCGTCGGATTTGACATGGTATTGAAGATGGTATCTGATGATAGTCCTGGCTCTCAATATTGACCGTGGGTTGTGTTCAATGATAGACCAGCAGTGTTCCGAACTTCATTAAAAGAGGAGCAGTGGCAGAATATTTATGTATAAATGAGAAGATATTTCAGATGACAAAGTCTAAATGATATCGATTGATACAGGCGCAACTGCCGCAGCCCTTCAAGCATGTACAGAGCATGTAGTGAATGTATCATGGGCCAACCTTTGCCCATGAATTGCTGGTGAGGTAAAGTATCTTGGGCATGGTGGAGGTTGAGGCATAAAGTTGAGCTGACGTCCGCGAGTACCGAAGCCAAGGCTTGGAGTCAGCCTCGCGGCGAGGCGGCAAGGCTGAGATTCATGCCTGTTTCGGAAGATTATCTCGCTGTAACAATGATGATACGTATGTACTCTGTAGGAGGTCGCGCGGTCTGAGAGGGACCATGGCTTTGATTCCTGGGGATACGTGCTATTGATAGATGATGCTTCATTCAATGCCTAGATCATAATATGGATTCTCTTCTCCTGCGCCGGTGTTTCGGAATTCTACCACCAGCAGTGCATCCGCGGATCGCCCCTCCCCTACATGACCGCTTCCAGTCTCGTCCAGAGACGACTGCAAGCACTGTGCTCTACTGTGTAACCTCGCCGACATTGCACGATCCGCACGTGATGCGGGGCCAACGCGAAGGTCGAGTTAGTCGTGGAGCGGCCGATTTGATTGTGCGACCCTACACTATTACTGCCGCTCACTTCAGACCAGTTGAACAGAGAAACACGCTTGGCCGCGACCGTTGCTAACCGAGGCCTCCTCGAGGAGTCAATGGTCCGAGAAAGATGCATTCCTGCGAGATGTCAACCGTAGGTGTGGCAGCCAGGAGAAAATGCGGTGAGCAGAAGAGGCATCATGTGAGATGACTTGCTCCTATAATTGCGGGCGAGATCAGCAAACATCTTGCATCCTGACAGGAGACACGATGCCGGCTTGCTGCCAAACATGAAACTGCCACACCATCTTCTCCGCTTCCATCCTGCACAATCTGTAGTTCGATTCAGATTGCATGCCGTGAGCAAGGATCTGACAGTATAGAGCAGGCCGCATGTGCGCAGCACCCGGTTCAACATCGTTCGCTGTGGGGGAGCGCATTCACTCATTCGTATTTCTCCCGATTGAAGGAAGACGCGCGGGATTGCCCGCAGTAAACTTCAATCAACTGGTCCAGGTCTGGCGGCAGCTGGGAACGGCAGCGACTGAACTAATTACATCGTACGGAGAGATTGATGGATGGCCTTTTGCTTGGCTTTACGGCGATGTTGGTGAATGAAGTCCAGATTGCAGGAGCCGAAAACTGCAAGCCCATAGCCCGAAGCATCACAACCGGCAGTGCGCCAGACTTTGCCCAACACTGCACCAGCAACCACCATTGGCTAGCTGTAGCTCTAGGTAAAAAGTATACAGAGTACGTACCAACCTCATCTACTACTACAGAGTATTATGTTTAAGGTACTGAATTCAAGGGGCAGGATTTCAGGCGTGGGGGACTCCTTAGACCTCGAACTTGGAATTTGCTGCTGCATTAGTCGTGCAATTTGACTGGCGCGCCATTGGCTCCAAATAAATGCCTCATAGTACTAAGAAAATCTCGAGGCCGCAGCTGCGGCCTCTCGTGGGGCAAGCAACTGCAGTGGGCCGCTTCAAGTTCTTCCCTCAGTCTGCCCTTTCAACTTCCTGCCACTCTCCCCGACATGCCGAACGAATGATGGCAGACTCGAAGTCGCAAAAATCATCCAGATGATCAGATGTGGAGGCAGAACATTGTCAATCTGCTCCGCACTGTATTAGGGATTCTTTGCTTTGCCGATTCACCGTTCATTGACACATTGCGATCCGAGTCGAGTCGCATCCGACGCCTTTACCGTCACGTCGAGAATGTTCATGCAGTGTGTGTCACAGTGTTGACTCTGCCAACCACCTGCTCCGCACCATCCCTCTTTCAGTATCACAGCGTGCTTGGATGTTTGGCCGAAAAGTGTCCCGAAATGTCAGCTGCAAGCGGGCTTCTAGAAAGTGAACGTGTTGCACAGACCGCCAATTCAGTTGACGCTTGACGGTTCCACGAGAGAGCAAGACAAGCCAAAACGCGGGCCGCGGTGGGCTGGTGGATGCAGCTCCTCGCCTGGCGTCCACCGCTTCTTGTGGAGAGATCTCTAATTACTGTATACAGAGTCCAACAGTACAGCATATAAGAGTGATACAGTAAGATTCCTGGCTCTTCGACTGAGGCACGTCTCGAGGCAGCGCGCATGTCTCGTCGGCTACAGCGCTGGGTTGGCCGCCGAGAAGCTACCATAATGCACGAAGCAGGTGAGCAGGGGAGACGGGCCCGCGGACGTGCATGTCGACATTACATCGTATAACCGCGACTGTTTCGTCGTCAAAAGCATTTGAGCACCTGCCCTCTAGGTTGTTGCGAAGCTCACATGTAAGTAAGACTTTGGCGAGCCGTCCGGCCCGTCCAGGAGAACTCACGACTTTTGCCGTGCACGAGGGAGAGTTCGAAGACTGGTCGTTCGCATGGCTGATATTTCCTGCCTGTTAGTTGGGAGAGATCTGATCCTCCAGGCATCGCCTCGTTCTGGCAGTGCTACGAACACCATATCTTCCGATGCATCGATATTGACTGCCTGTCAGCTCATGGAGCATGCGTGGCAGATGGCTGAACTCATTATACAGCACGATTTTGTAGAAGAAAGAAAGGAATAGAAAGCGAAAGACAAGCGCAACAATCCGGCGCCGGCCAAGTCTGGGACGGTCGTGGGCGAATTTCCACGTAGTAGTATCTCAACAACAATCGTGACAACAATCATGCCTGTACAATCCGCGTAACGTCGTTTGCGAAAAGGGAGCAGCGGATCGAGACGGAGGTCAGAAAGATTGCATAGTTGTTCGATCAGGGCAGCATTGTTGAGGCAAATGATTGATTCATCATCCTCAGCCTTGACGGGACCATTTGTGATCACGAGTTTCTTCGAGCAAATCCCCGGAGCAATGCAAATGCGCTGTTCGCATCGGACATCCAGGCATACAGAGTAGTATATGCGTGCAGCGATTCTAGAGATCCCATTATTGGCGGATGATTGCAGGAAACGGGTCACCGTGAGGTCTGTGAGGGGATCTCGTCCTGTTGCGTCAACAGGTCCCACATTTGGCCCTCATGATGCCTTGCTACCAAACAGGTTCTGGTTCAAGTTGATGAAGAGTGACCTCGTCATCATGGACCTTACTCCGTCCGCCCACCGTGTCGCCCGGCGACCGATTGGTATTTAACCAGGTTCCGTCTGTCCGCCAATGGGAGCTTTTGTTTCTGATGTCAATGCAATTGTAATGTCGAGTACATTGTGTCGTCGCACAACCTGATCATCGCGTAGGGAACAAACAACGTTGCCAGGCACCAGATTCGCAGGATTGGCAGTCAATCCCCATCATCGTTGGTGAGATCAGCAGGCTGTGAGGGAAGCAAATAAATTTAGCAATCGTTTCACGAACATGTGGCTTATACCCTGTTAAGCCTACGTAGGCTTGATGGCGATCCTCACATCGCCCGTCTTGCATAGATAGGTTCGGTAGTAGTAGTAGGAGTAGGAGGTGGTCCTCATTTCTGACTGTGTCCATACCTGCGTGCGCTCCTGTTCTGTTCTTCGGGGTAATTTTCCAATACGTACAACTGTATCCTGTACAGGGAATACTATCGCCCTTCTTCCGGTCGAATGCCGCATCCATGGGGGTGCAATCACAGATGTTCATGACCAACTGGAACTACAGACGCAGTGGAGGAAGAGAGCGTGTGGACTCGGCAGGCGAGGAGGTGAGGGGTCATTTGGCTGATACAGTTGAGGCAGGTTTTTTTTGGCAAGGCCTACAAAAGAGGGCCGTGATAATTTCAGCTCCGTCGGGCACCTGGTGACGCTGAGGGAGGGACTGATCGATCAACAGGCGGATTTCGCTATGCTCAGGAATAGTTAGAGAAGACCCGGACATCTGACCCAAAAGTTTCTTTGCCGGGATGCACTTCAAGTTTGAGGATAAAGTGGATGAATCCACAGCGCGAGATTTTGTGTGGTCTGGTCACTTACAGAGTAGTCCTAGGTACTAGATGGAGGCTGCGCAGTATCTAGCACTTGCAGTACGTATGATTGTCCACATAGCACCTAAGGTGCAGAGTTATTAGGTTAGGTAGATACCTGACTTGGACCTAAAAAACATCCAGTACTAGGTACCAACCTACCTAAAACCTTGCCGGTGAGCCGCCGTCCTGGCTGCTGAGACTAGAAAGAGAGCCACTTGTCCGTCACTAGCCTCCAGATCAAAGTTTTCGGGCAGTTGTTCACTCTTGAAATCATCTCTAGGTAAAAGCAGTCACTCTCCTGGCGCAACATCCGCCCCCAACGGAAGCCTAAGCGCCTTGATTGTACCTCCAGCCCGTACCTAGGATTACCTGGCCAGCAGAGCCCACCTTTGCCCACCTTGAAGTTGTTGGCTCAACCTCGGGGCCTGGGTACCGGTCGGACAGACTCTGATTGACGCTGCTCTAGGCCTTGACATACCAACCTGACTGTAAGTGGCCAGCTTCTAGCCGGGCCTCGCAATTTCTGTTTGCGCACACACAAACATAATCTCCAACTCTGTCACTTCTCGCCTCCTTCCAGTTGCGGCTTCCCGCATTTTCCCTCATCCGCAACCCTAACCAACCAAAAGACGCGCCACACACAGTGCACACCGGCACTGCATCCATCACTCACACACTCACACACAACTCTCTCTCTCTCTTCTATTACTACGCACCATCGCCATTCCACTTTCCCTTCTCTTCCTACCTACACACCTTTTCAACCCTCTACCCTTCTACTTATTTCGCCATCACTCTATCTTCGCGTCAACGACACACCTGTGCTCATTCTCGATTTGCACAGCTTAGGGTTCGCAGCACTCGTGCGCCCTCTTCCTCCGAATACCCGCGCTCAAAGGCCGCACGCCAACGCCGTACACCGCAGAACGCCACTGCATGCGCGTCGGACACTTCAGAACCACCTACTCTCCCACGACAATCGTGGTCTCCCTTTAACCTTATCAGCTTCGTCGCTGGCCTGTGGGACGCATTCTTTGACTCAAACCCCAAACAAGATGGCGAGATCGAATTTATAACAACGGTGGTCCCAAGGGCCAAAATCAACCTCTCTTCACACCTAAACATAGACCGGGTGTCTGTGTTTCTTGCTCGTTGTACTTGAAGTGTATTCTTCCAAGTCTGGAGAAACGAGCTTTTGTTGGAGATCTTTTCCGCATACACGTTGAGACTTTGCAATTGCATCTCGAATGGCCCATCATCAGAGACACCAAACACATGCCCGGCGGAGAAGCTCAGCCATGCAAAGCTTACTAAAGATGTTCAACCTCTCCAACGCTCCCACAGTTCCACTCGACGAGGAAGAACTCAGCGGGGAAGCGGATGAGCCTCCAGACGATCAAATATGCCCTTTGAATACACAGTTTTCTCGAGACGGGTCGTATAGCAGATCGATGGCTCGTACAAACTCCCATCGCGAGTCATTACTGACTCGTGCCATCATGGCCGAGTCGAAGACGGAAGAACCCCCAACACTGTCGACCACTGCATCCCGTGGCCTCTCTACGACCTCATCACGCAGTACCGGTAGCATGGCATCGACCGCGGAGTTGACCAGCGATGGCGACGCTACAAGTCCCTCCCGTTCGGCAACACCAAGTCCACCCCCTCCTCCTGGCCACTACACGCGTTTCTTCGATTCGAATAAAGAGGTTACGCCGACTTCAAAGGTGGTGATTGCTCCAATGACAAAAGATGACAAGCCAGCCGTGGCGGACGTCGGCGAGGCTGCAATTGAGAAGACGCTTGGACGTAAACGTTGCATCATGTTCGCCTGTGGAGGCACTGATACCGAAAAGAGCAGAGACAACATCTCGCCGGTAGAGCCACCAGTCGAGTGGGAAGTGCCAAAGAGGAAATGCATGTTGACGTTTGCCTGCCCCACGAAGACCAACTCCAACGAACATAAGCCTCTACCGTCCAAACTTCGCGTCGAGCAGAAGGCCTCGCGCCGTCCGTCTCCAGCACCAGCCGCGATACGCAAGTCCGCCTCGGGGTCTGCGGATCTCTCTGGCCGATCGGTCGAAACAGCCAAACCATCCTCTCCTTATCGACTTCGGCCGAATCCACCAGTACAAAAAGTGTCGTTCCATGAGTTTGGCAGTTCCCATGACGAGACGGATGCCTGGGTTGATAAACCGAGTACTCACAAGACCAGACTCACACTAGACGATTGCATGCAAAAGGAGTTGCGCATTCGGGATATTGGCAGGGAGGCAGAGGAAGAGGCAGAGGAGGAAGAACGCGAGCAGGAAGAGCTTGAAGCCGAGCTTGAGGACAATGACAACGAAGACGACTTTGCACCCTCGGACAATGACTCGGCATCCGATGGGGGCAACGAGTCTGATGACGAAGGGGGTTTTGCAAGTTCGGATGATGAAAGTGATGCGGGCTCTGAATATCAATTCTGGGCGCCGTCGGCCAACATTGCACGAGGAAGCATGGAACATATGCATCTCCGTCACTTCAGCTCTCGTCAGCAATCACCCGCGAGTTCGATCGAGTCCATGACCCACTCAACAAGCCCTCCTCTTCACTTTCGCAGCTGGCAGGTGCGTCGAAGTCGGAGGCAGCCCCTCAAGGTGCCGAGGTTGCGACCCGGTACTCCGGAGCTGCCAGATAGCACGGATTTCGTCTGCGGCACTCTTGATGAGGATCGACCATTGGAGGCGGCATACATATCGTGCCGTGAACAGAAGAAACGCGCGAAACATATTCCGATTCCGCAGGATATTGACCCGAGCTTTCCTACCACGGACCCTGATGAGGAGCAGGATGAGTGTGACGACCAAGACTTCGACGGGATGCAAGATAGCTCCAGTGACGCTCCCTGGCTCAAGGACCAATTCACCGTCTTTGATAATGAGGCCCGTGGACGCCGCAAGTCGCCAGTCCTGTCGCCTCAGCATCATTCCCCTCCGAGTCACGTCACAATCGTTGCAAGACCAGAGCATCGTCGCGCAATCCATCGTTCGCCGCCGCCACCAAAGCATATCATTGCACGATCTCCTCCGCCACCTCGGAAGCTTTTTGGTCAATCTCCTACGAGGTTCCGGTCACCACCTCCACCTGCCCGCCTCCGGTCTCCTCGAGGATCGCCCACACATGTGAACATTCCATCGCGGATGGGTACCAGAGGTCTTGGTCAGCGGCCAACAATGGAACGCACTGCATCTCTTCCAGATACTCCGAACCCCTTCTTCCGGAACTTCAACATCGGAAGTCCTTCCATTTCCAACATTGCCTCTGGGGCTGTGACTCCCATGGTTGAGGGCCCTCCTCGTTTAGACATGCATGTACGTGGACCTGTCGACATCGTCATGGGGCTGGAGAAGAAACGCCAGAAACGGAAAGAGAAATTCCTGCGCCAGCATTGCCGCAAGGTCAGAGAACAAACAGAACGAAGACCCACCCGCGGCCGGGGCGCCGAACGGATGAAGGAACTCGGTCTGGAGTGTGCCGAACGATTGAAGGGTTACGGCATCGGCCAGCAGACTCAGCTGGTGCTTTCGCTCTAGTCTACCACCTCCCTGATCCATGGTGGTTGACCCCTTTTTCTGCACATATCCTTTCAATCATTTGTGTACGATTTCTTTTCTTTTCTCACAGGGAGCTTTTGAACTTCCTTTCTGCACATACCCTTGGAGTGGCTCTCTTTCACTCTTGATATGACGACTGCCATGAAGGTTGGCGCAAGCGAACTAGTCCCTCGCTTTCTACCTTGTATGTCGATTTGCGCCGGGTTCAGTCTTTTCGCATAGCAGTGGCGCATATCCCAGGAGCATTGGCATTGTAAATACATGACCATCAGCATGGTCCTCAGGACTGGACCATCAGCATGGTCCTCAGGACTAGTGACTCCTCGAGCAAATAGTGCTCGATAGCTGGGTCCCAATCCAAAAATTCAAAATCATAAGCCTTTTCTTGTTGCCACAGAAGCATACCTACTCACCACAAGGACCCATGAATGTCTCTTGAGAAAACTTGAAGACAATGGCTTACTCATCACCACCTAGCACCACGTGACTATCACGTGAGCTGGTGGACTTGGCGCTAGCGACGTCGTGGATTCTCCAGGAATCTTGAAGTGCAGGCGTTGAGGTTGGCCCACTGCTCGCGACCAACTACGTACTTACCACTGCCATGAGATCTCGTCGTTCAAACGTAACTTGTCGCTGGCTAGTCTAACCTCCTCCTACTACTACAAAGAAGTTATCACTGAAGTTGAAGCTTCAACCGAGAACGCCTCCTTCGTCTGCGTCTTGTGCATCTCCGACTTGAGAGTCAACACTGCATATCTACCGCAGGACTGTTTTTGTCTCTAGACAACGACTTTCACAATCATGTGGATCATCAATTGGTGTATGCAACCTCCCTAGACTTTCCCATGCGACTCTTGTTTCTTGGGTCGATGATTGACCTGCTTCTGCCTAGTTTATGATATCCTCGCCTCGCTTGGGCTGCTCAACAAGCATGCTAAACTACTATTCCTGGGACTGGACAATGCGGGAAAGACGACGTTATTACACATGCTGAAGGTAGAACATCCCACCTGCGCTTGACCTGTGATGGACGATCATGCACAAGATGGTCTTGTCCGGTTTACAAGTGTGCAATGCTATGACAAGGGATATAGGGCTAACCCAGCTCCAGAACGACCGAGTCGCGATCCTGCAACCTACCCTACATCCCAGTACGGTACCCTCTCCATGTCCGATATACACATGAACCCTGACCCGTTTGTGCAGCTTCCGAAGAATTGGCCATTGGCAATAACAGGTTTACAACATTTGACCTAGGGGGTCATCAACAAGGTACGAAGAAACGATGCTCACACGCAACGCTAGGAGGAACTTGACTAACATACAATCTTCACCAAGCCCGCCGCCTCTGGCGTGACTACTTTCCCGAAGTATCTGGCATCGTCTTCCTAGTCGATGCGAAGGACCACGAACGTCTCCCCGAAGCGAAAGCCGAACTCGACGCTCTTCTCGCCATGGAAGACCTGGCCAAGACTCCCTTCTTGATCCTAGGCAATAAGATCGATCATCCGGACGCAGTGTCAGAGGATGAATTGAGACATCAGCTGGGTCTATACCAGACAACCGGAAAGGGAAAGGTCCCTCTCGAAGGAATCAGACCGATCGAGGTGTTTATGTGCAGTGTGGTGATGAGGCAAGGTAAGTCAGGACGCATTCTTGCACACCTAGGCCATTGGGGCATCGATAAGCTGATCTTCGAGCTTGAACAGGTTACGGCGAAGGCATCAGATGGTTGTCACAATATGTGTGAACCATGTTCCTGTCTGGGGCTCTAACCCGGGCGCCATCCAGACACCACCTCAAATCTGATAACCACAACCCCGAATCAATTTCGCGACCTGTACAGGTCCTCCGCATCACAGACAGTACATCCTGGAAGTATTCAAGATGAAGAGGCTCTTGCAAGGTAGAGCGAAGTCAATCAAGAGCGCATGACATCAGGAAAGACAAGAATAATTCTGCAATACCATCCTGTCAACTCCAATCCACTTGAATGCAGTCCCACCAACAGCAATGGTTTCTATGTTCGTGTCTTTTGGCATGCCATTGAGCGCGTGTGTTGTACGAGCACTGTGATATTTCACGTTTCAGATGCTGTTTTCTTACATTGTCTTATTGGTACAAGTGAAAGACTCTGCTATGTCTCCTGCACTAGCAAGAACAGCCCCGTGACAATTGATGATGGGTAGATCTTATGACTTCCCCCTCCTGGGCCCGGTATCGCTGGTGTGCATGAGTCGAATTGCGACTCATTCTGAGCAAAACAGCCTTCAGATCCTTTATCCTCGGAACCCAATTAGCTTCTACTCACATTCAAGTTCACGCAGAACCGGTCCATCGCAGCCTCTGGATAGCCATGGAGGACGGGCCCTAAGCTTATACTCTACCCTGCCCTTCACTCCTCCCCTATATGCCTTGTGATCTCCCGACGATATCACTAAACCACAGTCTACGAGCTCGAATCTTCAAGCTCCCCTCTTCACCAGACGGCCACGCTGAACACCACAGGCATCGGTAGACCTGCTCCTCAAAAGGCCCCTTATATCTTCCTTACCTTACCTACCTACCTATGAAGTATTTATATGCGCATGTGCATATATATCAAGCACTCACGTGCACATGCGTGCGTGTATTCCCAACGAAAGAGTCTCATTTATGGAAGAGATTCCTCTCCAGCTGCTTCTGCACGAGGAGACTCCAGATTCCACTTGATCTTGGGAACCCGGGCCTCTCTTCTCCATCGGCATACGCATATACACCCATACTCCTTTCTGCACTGTCTCCTTTTGCCATGCATGCTTGTGAGTGTCGTCCGGGGGGACAGGGTGGTTTGTCAGGCTCAGCCAAACGTCTCTTGTTTATCCTACCATTGTCTACCCATATACCTACCATCCATCTCCCCTTATTTGCCGCCATCCTACCAACATGGTCCGAGAAAGGAACTGCTATACACCCCTGCAGCAGCAGGGCAGATTCAACCGAGTAAACAAACACACCTACCTGCCCAAACTACGTATCAATCTGTACAGTTATACGCGATTCAATACGACTGGAGTTGGGAAAGATCAGATATATAGATGGACAGACAGATCAGGGAGCCAGAGAAGAGAACGCAGAGGGAACAACGAAGTCATGTTGGATCGTGATGCAGTGCAGTGTAGAGAGCTTGCCCGTCCTTTCCTCCAGCCGCTGACTTTTGGCGAAAGTCGACAGAGCTCTCGAACCTGGAGGCGTGGTAGAGACCAAACATCTCTGGGTACTACTAGTATATATCGCAACCACGGAGGTGGTTTGAGGGCCGTTGGAGCAAGTATCAATTTCGGGATCGAGGATCATAAACATTATAAGACTATCATCTTCTGCTGCTGCTGATGGACGCCGGTGCGAGGGGATTTCGTTTCTACTGTTCTTGACAATGCAAAAATGCTCGTGTCTCTTCTTGCTCTGTCTGTCTGGCTGTCTGGAATTGCATCATCCGTCTGCGCGTTTCAATCCCATCAACCGTAAAAACCCATCTCATTTGCATGTTACAAGGAGAATTAGGATGCGCACTGCACTGCACTGCACTGCGCTCAGCCAGTCGCATCCATTCTCTTTTTCACACACACACAACACTTGAACGCAGCAAAAGGGGGCTAGAATTTGAGCACTAGTTCATTGCAATCGAAAAAAGGAGAAGAGCTTTGCCAGTCCACAGCCCATCCTACGCAGCCTGCCGTCTGTAATCCGTCGTCCTCAACCAAGCCATAAATAAAACAAGCCACTGTTCTTGTTCGGACTCGACTCTCTTGCCTTCAACTCGAGCAGTTGAGGCTGCCGGCGCGTTATGTCGTGCGGATATTGGTGGTTAAGTCGGTGCCCAAGGCGAAGTATAGTTCTCGGTCTGAACAGGTGGGGGTCAACGTATGCATGATGGTGAAATAGTTTCCGAGTCCTTCTAAGAGTCCAAAAAGACAACCGACGGCACAGCTGGGTCACTTGAGTGGGGGCGTTTGATCGCTTGCTTCCGAATCGTGGGGTGAAGACGTTGTTCGAGGGCGAGACCGATTCGACGGGGAAGCCAGAAGGTGACCCTATCTTCTTCCAAACCTGCTATCACGACATCGAATCAGCCCGAGTAAGGGACTAGGCTTTGGATTTGCGAGGCGGAGTGGTGGCCCTGCCTGAGCTCTTGGAGCCATACACATACTTTTGTTTCTTCTCTGCTGGTTTGAGTATCTGTCACGATGGTTAGCCAAGGACCGAGCCAAACGAGTCGACATGCCATACCTGGAAGGAGCAGAGTAGACTTTCGTCTACACTCATCATGGCACCGGCGTTGTCGAATTCGCCGCAGTAGTTGGGGGCGCTGAATAGCGTCACCAATTGTCGTTTGGAGAAGAACTCGTAACCATCTTCCACCACTTGATGCGCACGGCAGATGAGGTCCATGTCATGTTTTTGCAAGAATCTGGATACAACATCCGGACCAAAGGTGAAGGAAACACCTCGGTCATTCTCGCTCCAGCCGGTGATGTCCTTGTCCGGGTCCGACCAGAGCAGATCGCACAGCAGTCCGCAATCGGGAATCTAGCAACGTCAGCCTATGGTCTTTCGCCCCAGTGGCCCTTGTTTGGGTTCGAAGGTCAGTATAACAAGGGAAAGGTTCTGGGCTTACATCTGTCGGGCGCATGACGCGACGAATCTGTTCCATAGAGTTCAGGTCGGGACTCAAGCCTCCATGCATCGTGAAGATCTTCTCGTCGATGATTGCGGCAATTGGCAAGCAGTTGAAGCAATCTGTGAAGGTCTTCCAGAGCTTGATATTATAACGGCGCTTACACTCGTCGTAGAAGCCATAGATTCGATTGATCGACGCGCACTCGTGATTGCCACGGAGCACAAAGAAATTCTCCGGATACTTGATCTTGTACGCCAATAGCAAGCAGATCGTCTCCAGGGACTGCTTGCCTCGGTCCACGTAATCACCCAGGAACAGGTAGTTTGCTTCGGGAGGGAAGCCGCCGTATTCGAACAATCGGAGAAGATCGTAGTATTGACCGTGTATATCGCCACAGATCTACCACAAAGTCAGTTTATCCAGACATTCAACCTAGAGCCGTGCAGAACAGGAAGACCGTACCTTGATTGGAGCCTCCAACTCCAGCAGTATAGGCTGTGAGATGAAGATTTCCCGAGCCTTTGTGCACAGGTACCGAATCTCGGCCTCGAGCAGCTGCACTTGCTTTCCAGGCCTACTGCCTCTCACTTCTAGAAGACGATCGATGACAGAGTCTAGATCCACCTCGTTCTGGTCGGCCATGGTGGGTTTGCCGCAGGCGGGGCAGGGGGAGGAAGAAGGGCGCCGACCAGATATGGTCGAGGAGCGTGGAAAACGAGAAGTCGATGTTCAGCAGGGTTCAGGAGAATGTCTTTAATCTGGTGGATGGCCCAGAGGAGTCAGTATTGGGATGAATGACTCCTTAGACAGCGAGGGAAGCTGACGCAAGACAGCCCTCGATTAAGGGGAGCGTACCAGATCCGATATTGGTCCTTGAAGAAGCCCGAAAACGGCTCAGCGAGGAAGTCCTGAATGGACTTGGAGGCTAGGTATGGTCTTTTGCGCGTGATGAAGACCTCGGGCAGGACAGATGGCGTTTATCGCGCTCGGGAGACTGTGGAACAAACAGGCTGGAAGAAGTTCGTTCTCGGCGCAGGACGGCAGGTTGAGAGGCCGGGGTAGAGCTGTTTTCGCGGGCACTTCACAAGCAGACGGCGTCAGGAAATATCGAGGACTGTCTGGTCGATGGTAATGGACACGTGTTGACGCGAATTCGATCGCAAAGAGAATCGCAGGGACAGTTTGGAACTGCGGGATGGGATGGCGGATTTGCTATTTTCAATCCTGGCAGGCGGTGTTGGGCTTGGCACGGGCTGGACAAAGAAAGAGGAGAGGAGGCGAGCAACTTGCACTTTGGGTGTTATGATTATTATTATTATGGAGGCTAGGGAGGCACCCAGGTACCTAACCTCAACGATCTAGGTGCCCCAGGTACCTAACAGGATAACAGCAATAGTCAAAGTCGTTCAGTAAAGGGAGGGGCCAAGTGCGCCCACGAAGGGCTAGGGGGCTTAGGAAACTCTACCTGGTAGAGATACCTGTCCCTCCTGATAGTAACTACAACTACCTAGACCCTTCCTTTTTCTACAGATCGCTTGTCTATGCGCAACCACTATTGTTTTTACGCGATGAAACCATCTTCTTTTTGTCTCCATCCTCCTCCATGCCTAAGACTGTATCCAGCCGAGTCCATGAGCGATTGATTGATTACACGACGAGCGAAGCAGGCTTGATGTTTCTTGGTCAAGCTTTGTAATGTGAGATCTGGTCAATAGCTCTTCCTGATGCTGATGTTGTGGCGACCCCCCTGCCCCGGCAGCCAGAGAGAGGAATGTAGGCTAACAAGAAGACAGCTCCCGCTAGCGCAATCGCCTCTGCCCTCACCGTCGAGTTTCGCTTCTCCTCGTCGCCGTTTAGACGAGTCGGATTGATGCCTGAGTCTTGCATTTCCGGGGATGGAGTTCACTTGACATAGCCGTCGTGCGGAAGGCTAACAGCCCATACGACGTATCCCCGGCCTTCTTGGCTATGAATATCTTGTTCAATTCTGTTGAAGCCTTGTTGGTTTTTTAAAGAGTGCGAGATCCTGGCTCGCACGTCAGAACCTTGTTACTCGGTCGCGCCGCGGTGGAGCCCAGGAAGGATCCGAGTGCTCACCACTAGCAGGAGCCCAATACCATAGACATATCAGCATAAAGACATGGGTTTGCACAGCGCCAGAATATGATATAATCCTGACATAAGAGTATCTACCACAGGCAGTCCCTCACATTCATACATCGTCCATCGTGCATCGTGCTTCATCTCCGAGAAAGACATAAGATCCCTTCCCAATCAAACAAAGAATCGAGGCGCCGTCGCTATGCGTCAAAGCAGTTCGCTCGAAAAGACCACTCAACGGTAAATCTCAGAGTCCTCCTCTCTGGGTCGATTCCCGTATAGCGTATGGTCTCGCTGTAAACCAAAACGAATGGGTATAAGGAACACACGCTGTCATCAAATGCCACCGCATCCCAGAAACACAGTGCCGTCTAATGTATAAGATGCAATGAAGACGAAAACAAATGGCCAAATGCACAATCAACAACTGATGCTTCAGCCCAAGGTTCGTCCGCCGCTGACAATGACTTGGGGGCCTGTCTGGTGCAAAGAACCATTTCCAAGTATTTGTCCCTGCGCCACTTCCAGGTGATGATTGTTGTGCCAATTGCTCTGGTCCCCAAGAGCACTGAGCCAATTGTTACCAAACTCTTGTCGAAGTGCCTCGATTTTACCTCGGTACTCATCTTGCTGAGCAAGCTCGTCGTCAAGGTGGAACGACAATGCCTTTCTGGAGTCGTCTTTCAACTCATCGGCCAGGGTTTCCTCTGCGTCACGACGTGGTGGCAGGTGATCGCGACTAGCTGGCATACCAGTCGGCACCGTGGCATTGGAGTCCGGGGGCAGGTGGGCCGTGGCATTGTCATCAGGAACTTCACTGCGGGCAAAAGTCTCATCCTTGGCCAGATCCACGATTCTTCGTCGTGGGGCCTTTTTCCGTCGAATAGAGTTTGTGGCAGCCTCGACCGGCAGCGCCGGACTTGACTTCGTGTCACCGACTGGCTGGACTATGACGGGCAGCTCAGCGATTCGAATAGAAGTCTGCGAGAGGTCTCTCTCGATCTCTGGCGCTCGTTCAACCAGCTGCTTGCGCTCCGAGTATCCAGGCCCCGAATCGTCAATGACAATGTCTTCCACATAACCAGGAGTCTTTCTGAACAAGTTGAAGGCTGTTACCCGGTAGTCGGAGTGGGCTTTGGTGAAAGGATTACGCTTCACCCAGATCCGCTTCAGGTTGGGAATACAAGTGAGCCTGGCCATTTCCATTGGATCAGAGAGCTGATTGTCCTGTACATTCAACTGCTCGAGTGAGAGAAGACGTTCAACGCCGGCCAAAGACCGAAGTCGATTTGCTTTGAGGTTGATCGTCGAAACTGCGGGTAACGGAGACCTCGACAGAGACTGCAGGGACCCGATCATGCAATTTGACAGATCGAGAGAAACGAGTCGAGTCAGACAGGCAAGACTGTCAGGTATCTCTGCAAAGAGGTTGGAGGATAGGTTAAGGGAACGGAGGGTCGTCGCTACTGGAGCCAGACTTTTTGCTGATATAGTGGTCAGTGAGTTGTCCGCAAGGGACAGGTACTTCAGCCTTTGCCATTTGGACGCAGGTAGGGTGTTCAAGCTTAAAAGGCTTGAGGTGCTGTCGCTGCGATTTGGCTGGACAGAGTACTCGCTCGAGTTGGAGCTGCCTGACCCAGACCTCTTCACCTTAGAGGAATATGAGCGAACATGCCTGTACGAGCTGGCCGGTCGAGATGGGCTAGGCCGCTTTGGAGACACGCTCCCAGAGAATTGCTTGTCCCTGTGCGGGGACTCGAGGTAGTCTTCATGATTGAGACTGCCTCCGGCAGGCGACGCAGGTTCGGAGTGTGAATGTGCATAGTCAGCTCGAGGTGTTGACGGCACCGTCCAGGAGGCGGTCGGCGTGGGAGATCCCCGACCACCTTTCGTCGATCGTCTTCGGCGCTTCTCGGCGTCGTCAAGCACGATATTGGTCAATAGTTCGATGGGGTCGTCGACGTTGGCACGTTTGAGAGTCAACAACGTCAACTGCTCAGCCAACCGATCCCAGCCATAGAATTGGCGGAAATCAATGTCCACAATATCCAGCTGCTGAATGTTCTTGAACGCAAATAATGGAACTGCTGTATCGAAGGGGAATTCTTCGTAGCCTTTGATCAATCGTGCTCGGTGATCCGTGGTGACCCGCAAGGAAGGAAGTTTCGTAAAGGCAGAATACAGATATGTGAGATCCCCCTCCGTCAGCGCCTTTGCTTTCTCACTTTTGGACGAGCTTCCTCCAAGCCCGATGGATGACCAGAATGTGCTCATTCCAGACATGACACTGCGCATGCTAGAAACAGAATGAATGGAGTCTTTGTCGCTGCGACCTGGGGCTGGCTTGTGTGACTGCAAAAACGATACGTAGTTGGAGGGAGAAGGGTCACTGTTGAGGTTCTCGAAACGAACGTTCATTGGGCCGACCACAATATCCAGCTCTTCCATTCTAGAGAGTAGGTAGAACAAATGATGAGGCGTGAGCGTTAGGAGGGCCGCTTTCGAGGTATGGGACCTGAAGTTGAGGCCGGCGAAGGAGAAGGCGGCGGCAAGAGCGCTGGTCGAGGTATTCGCGCTGGACGGAGATGTACCCGAGGTGACGCTGGAGGTGCTCGTCGAACCTGAGTTTAGTGAGGACTGTCGTCTGTGAACAGACATTTGCAGGCTGTTTGCGAGAGCCTTCTCATGTTGGCGAATGTATTGCGCCAGGGACTAGACAAAACAGTCAATCAATGATTCCAGGCTCAGCAAGGAAAATGTGTGCGAATGCCCAGTTCTCCGAACCGGATGGGATATCTGCAGGAACATGGTGGTTCGTGGGACTCACTCGAACAAAATGGTGCCCATCCTCGGTTTGCAGGCGATCCATCTCCTGCTTTGGCTGGCACTGGCAGCTTGAGGCGTGGCCGTGGTGCCACGGATGAGGTTCAATGACAGGCTTCTCGAGTCTAGGGCAAAGGACCGAAAAGATTCAAGTTACGCGACCCTGGATCTATCTAGCGGATCAGTCCATGATTCAAGGTGCTCGTGATGGGCTGGTACGCACCCGATATCTGTGAAGAAATCATTGCGACATCTAGAGTGTTCAAGGCTTCCTCTGCTGTGAGGCACGACAAGACCAGGCTGCGCAGGCTGCGGGGGTTGCGTGCGGATGGAGTGCAGTGTGCTATGCTTCTAAAGACGCCTTCCTTCCTCGTGCGATCCACCTGTGAGACAGCAATCCACCCGGGAGATTGAGGATAATGTGGTGTATACGGAGTTCAAAGTTGGAGAGCTTGCGGGACGCCTTGTAAGCCCAGGTAGTTGCGTGATAAACCAGTAGCCGTCAATCCAGAGCGTGACCGTCAGCAGTGAGGTGAGCGTGCAATGTTGAGAGAAAGATGGTGTGTATAGTAGTAGGCAGGAGGGCGGAGGGGTTGATGTGAAGCAAGGACAACAGGAATTGGCCTGCCAGTGAACAGTATCCCACGGCGAAAGATGCCCGTAGTAATGTGTAGAGTAGTATTGCACTGGGATGGAGCGTGCAGAGATTTGCTATCAAGTTAGATTGGCTTCGTTGAGCCTTTTCAGGGCGACGATGGCGTAGGCGCAGACGCAGCCGCAGGCAAGGCGGGAGCATATCATCTAAAAAAACAACTCGCATCTCATACTACAAGCAGCAGCCCACTGCCTGCACTGTTGATGTTGGACGCCACCGCTGCCGCTAAATACCCTAACTGCTGCTACTTGCTGGATGTTACTCGCTCCCTCATGCCCCTGTTCATCCACTCAGCTCGTCGACCGACTTTTGTTCATGCAACCAGAGCTCCGACACAAGGCATGCCATGCCATCCATGGCTTACGACCCTCTGTTCGCCATCCTCGTCCGCAGCAGGGATCTACGAAGTAAGTGGGCACTCCACCGCACACTCCACAGTTGACTCAAGATACGAGCTGCCTCTATCTGCGACACGATCTGCGAAACCTTTACCTGCTGCTCGCTGTGGGATAAGGATAACAATAACAATAATACCCGATGGCTTTGGTTGGCGACAGCGGACAGTCTCAGTGCCTCGAGACGACGAAATCTGATGTCGTACAACTAGGTCTATCCTTACCAACTTCAAAGACACCACACCCTTTCGAACCGAGTCACGCTCAAGCGCGATTTCCAAGCCCGTCGTCTCTTGACCTCCTAGTGCCTAATTACCTTTCAGTATCTGTCCCATGTCCATGTCCATGTATGCCACCCCGTTCCGCCGATGGCCGCTCGGACAGGCTCGGCCCTCTTGGTGCTCGACCGCAGGACAGCAGATCTATGGTTGAAAGAGCTGCACTCTGACATCAAATTGGGGCAATCTCGAACAGTGACAGTCTCGGAGGCAGCATCATGCCCCTCGGTGCCCCTCCATAAGCGAACCAGAGCGTGCGCCTTGAGCCTGCAGGTCATTGAAGTCAGTGCGCTTTGAAGAATCACCTTGTCGAACCCTAGAAGCCGAAACGTCGAAACGAGGTACTTCTGGCTACCCAGCTCTTATTATTCCGTGGCAAGGGTTCCCCGAGCGGCTCTGCACCTCACAGATGCCATCTATACCATCAACCCACGTCGCGCAGAATGCTTCATTAGTCCCAATGACTGACCCTACAAGATATGGTGTTGTTCTCTCCCGTACAGGATTGCTGGAGCCCGGCTTCTCACGTTTCGAGGAGATTTTATTATGCCTACTAATGCCCTTGCGGCGCGAGCTGCTCGACTGAAGTTGGTCCAAGCACCAGTCCAGCCCTGCGGGATCATGCACCTTGGACTTCTCGGTCAACATGGTCTAGCCGTGCTGGTACACACCCTCGTGCAAAGTCGACAATCATAATGGACAGCAGGTTGCTGTCTACAAAGAATGATCGCAGGTGTCCATACTCCCTCCCACTCACCCGCACAGGAGACTGACAGAAAAGACGGGTCACCGCGTCCAACTGCATGACATGATCTGTGTCTATGCTTCGGCGGCCAGTGGCCAGGCGTTTGACCGCTACTCGAGACACTCCATAGATTGATGGTGGTGTATGTAGGATATTACGGTCTCGACTGGCTCCCACACCACTGCTGATGCGAGGACCTGTGCACCGTGTCACGGATCAGGCGGGACAGGCCCTTGACTCGAGTGACTGACTGCACTCATTCCTCGTCTCATGGGAAGACGTTGTCGTTGCCTCACTGAGGGTGTAGGAGACCCGCCCATGGGAGTGTTTGTCGACACTGCACCAAGCGATTTGGCGGGAGCAAATCAGCTGTGTTGTAACCGACCGCATGACCGATTTTCAATGCACGCCCACCAAATCTCGCTCCGCAACCTGCGGCCTGTTTTAGGTATGTTACTCTTCATACCACCATTTGTCCTGGAGCCAAGTGCGTAGTGATTCAGCATACCTAAGGTACACACTTGAGTGGCGATGCCACATCACACCCTTGGAAGGTGGGCCCAATGTGCCAACAGCCCCTGGTGCACAGTGGTGAAGATATCAGTTATTCCTCAGGCCTGGGGTGCCTCTTCCTCAATGGCTGTGTCTGACTTGCTGGCAAAGAACTTTGTAGCCTTGCACATTGAGGATTTCCTTCAGCCTGGCTGCGTCATGTACCTCCTGTGCCTTCATTGCATCGCGGAGATCGGGCCCGATTCGCTTGAGGAGTCTGCATGAATAATGGCTCCTCGACAGCATCAGGGGATCCGAAAGAGGAGAGAAAGATGCACTCGGTGACACAGAGAGCATGAATCTACTGTTGTGCTACCGAATAGCTACAGCCGTCGGAGGGTCATTGCTCATTGGCCACCAGACCCGAACCGCCATTTGGTGCTCGTCCTAACACTTCTTAATGCTTCAGATCCCCAGGAATTCCGCAGGAAGCGGTTGTCTTCGGCACCTAATCTTGTCCGAGCCAGCATAGAGTGAAGCTGGAAGTATAGTGCTGCGCCGATGATCGTCGCTCAAGCATTATCACATGAATACACGCATGAGGCTACACTAAATCGACCACTTCTGCTACCATGAGACTTGATCAAGTGGCTTGACGGCGAGCGGACCATCCGCGCTGTCCTGCATGGTATCCGAGATCCAAGCCACTCAGCGAGCGTACTCCTAAGGCGAGCAATATCCGATATTTTCACATGCTCAAGTGCCTCGACAATGCATTAGAGCAGAGACGAAGAGCAGTGACTGAAACTGGACTCGGCGGCCAAAGAGGAGCAAGGCCTGAAGATGTGTCGGTTAGCCTCCGACATCTTGAAGTACGTTGTCTCGAGTAGCCGTGGAAGATATCGTCAAGCCACCTTACAAAATAAGTGGCATCGCAAAATGATATAGGTGCCTAGCTGATAGGTAAACAGTCTGTAACGTCAATATAATAGGCGTTCTCCTACAACGTAGATATACCTACTGCCTATTAAAATTTTGAAGGGCGCCTTTACCAAGATCTGCCGGGAGAAGGAAAGCGGACCTCATGTACGCAGTGCTGCAGATTCGCCTAATGCACGTACCGATGGTGTATACTATTTGGCTGCTCAGCTCCCTAAGGTGCTTGGGCATGCATCCACCGTTGGTTGCAGCGCTTTGCTGCATGGTGAGATTGCAAGCTGTGCACGCTGATGATTTACTTCTTCCGCCTTAGGCTCCAAGTCGTAACCAGCAGAAATAACCCCCACATTGACTCTCTCTCTCTCTCTCTCTCTCTCTCTTTCTCCCTCTCGGTCTTGTCTGAAACTTGGTCGATGGATAAGCAGCCGTACAACCATCACAGTACATCAAATCTGGTAGATTTTTCTAATGGACCTGGTGTGCATTTTGCCACCCTTCTTGACGTCAATCTGTTCGAACTTCACTCCAGAGAAGCATTCCTCTATCTGGAAGTGCCTGTAGTCAATCCATCGTGCTTTTCAAAGGCTATCCTGTTAAACAATCTTCAATATCTCCACACAGTGAGTTGCCTCGGATGGAACTGTGGTCACAAGCATATCATCGCCTTGGAAGTTCGTGTTGCAACTGCGAGTCGGGATATTACCGAGTTGTTTTATGCTGAGGTCACTTCAAGTTACTGCTGGAGTCCAGGCGCAGCTGAAGTCGATTAGATGATACTACGAGTTGCCCCGCCCCCGGTCCCGTACTCTCTACTGCGTCGGTCGCAACCCGGGGTAGGAAAGCTAACTGTGGCTGGTGACATGTTGTGGCTGTGTGGCGCTATGTGGCGTCATGCCAAGTGGCTTGACATCCAACCTTGAACGTCGTTTGGTGCCGTGGAAGTCGATGGAGGCTTCGCCACTAATAACTGTCAGCGGTACCTTTCCTGATGACGTTCCTCCATCGTTCTTTAACAATCCTTTCTGATCCTGCCTTTACCCTTTTCTCTTAGAGCGACGGCTTTAGCGAGGTTACAATGCTTTCTTGACGGTACCCCAACAATGATCACCAATGGTACCAAGCATGAGTCAACTCCCCCGGCCGGAGACCGGTCGTATGACCCTTCAAACCTGCCAGACTACGAGACGGATTTCATCAGTCAGGCTGATCTGGACAGCTTTGCCCAGGCATTAAGCGCACCTACTACCGAACCACTCACCGCTCTCAATGATTGGGGTCCAGTGCATCAGAAAGTCAAAAAGACCAGAGCTCGACGCAAAAGTCCGAGACGCAGCAAAGATGAAACGCGGGAGGGCTTTGTTTACACGCTCCTGTACTATCCGTTACTATTTGTCGTCTGTGGCTGGATTGTAGTCCTGTTCGTCATCTACAACTTGACTCGCTTCTACATCTACGCCTACGAGCATGCGTTTTCGTGGACGGGCCGGCGAGAGACTCTACGGCGGCGGCTCCAACAAGCCAATACGTACGAGGAATGGCAAGCTGCCGCCCATGAACTTGATGAGTACTTGGGCAATGAGCGGTGGAAGCACTCGGACCCATACTCGTACTACAATCACCAGACGGTCAGGAAGGTGACCGCGCAACTTGCTGAACTTCATGGCAAAATCCAGGCCGAGGAAGTTGAAAAGCGCGATGGCGTTAAGGGACTCACGGCCCTGGACGAGCTCAAGTCGTTGCTCGAAAGCTGCGTGAAGAACAATTTCGTGGGCATTGAAAACCCTCGCCTATACAGTGAGACTTACATTGGCACCAAAGATCTTATACAATCCTTCCTCGACCAAGTCGAAGAATGTCTGACGACGGTCTTACGCAGCAATCAGATGACAGACAGTGACAAGGTGGCTTTTTTCCGTCACCTAGAACTGAACTATGGGCGCACCGCCCTGTGTCTCTCTGGAGGAGCAACTTTTGCATTCTACCATTTTGGAGTTGTCAAGGCACTCCTGGAAACTGGACAGTTGCCAGAAATCATCACCGGTACTTCTGGAGGAGCCTTGGTCGCCGCCTTAGTGGCGACAAGGACGGACGAAGAGTTGAAACAACTATTGGTCCCAGCCCTGGCCTACCGGATCAGGGCCTGTCATGAAGGAATCACCACTTGGATGCTTAGGTGGTGGCGAACGGGGGCACGCTTTGACTCCATCGACTGGGCTTTACAGTGTAGCTGGTTTTGTCGGGGGTCTCTGACTTTTCGTGAGGCGTACGAGAGGACTGGCCGCATCTTGAACGTCTCGTGCGTGCCCTCGGATCCGCATTCACCGACCATCCTGAACAACCATATCACAAGCCCAGATTGTGTCATTTGGTCCGCCGTCCTCGCTTCGGCAGCCGTACCCGGGATCTTGAATCCTGTTGTGCTCATGCGAAAGACGAAAGACGGTACTCTGGTCCCCTACTCGTTCGGCAATAAGTGGAAAGACGGTAGTCTCCGCACCGACATCCCATTGAAGGCTCTCAATCTTCACTTCAATGTGAACTTTTCGATCGTCTCGCAGGTCAACCCTCATATCAATCTGTTCTTCTTCTCTCCTCGAGGCGAGCCCGGTCGGCCAGTAACGCATCGCAAGGGCCGTGGCTGGCGCGGGGGATTTCTCGGGTCTACCATTGAAACCTCGGTCAAGCTCGATCTACAGAAGTATCTGAAAATCCTTCGACACCTGGAGCTATTGCCTCGACCTTTGGGCCAGGATTGGAGCGAGATTTGGCTGCAACGTTTCTCCGGCACCGTCACCATCTGGCCAAAGACCATCCTCAGCGACTTTTGGAATATCCTGAATGACCCGAGCCCACAGCGTCTCGAACGCATGATCAAAGCAGGGGAGCGCAGCTGTTGGCCCAAGATCAAATTCATCTCGAATCGCCTGAAAGTTGAGCGGGTGATACTAGAAGGTCTGAGAAAGGGAGGACCAATCGACGACAGCCACCGCGTGCCAAACCCTGTTCAAGAACAGCAGGCACAAGAGGCGCTCCTCCGCGCCCGACGACGACCGAACGACAGCATTTCGTCGGCAGATGAGGCCCAGGCACCTCCACCCTCTCCACGAAGACACAGTAGTATCTTTCAAGAGCTCGGCCGTCAAGCCTCGGTGTTGTGGAGCGATGATGGCCCGACAGACGGAGAGGAGGATGCTGTCAGCACCACCACAGAGGAGGACGAGGGTGATACAGCCATGGATGGAGACGGGGTCACCACAAGACTGTAGTTACAATCCATTTTTAGCATGAGCCAGCTATTATCAATGCCTATTTATTAATTTGAGCTCCAGGTTGGCAGCAGCCTCGTCCCGGCAGCGTGTAGGTTGGTGTTCAAGTTGTCGTCGAAGCCCGTGATCACGTGACTTACAAAAGTACCATGCGGAGGGTGGCCACCAGGCACTGCGGCACCGACGATAAGGTTCTGGTGCAAGAATCAACCGAGATCTGACGTCGATCTTGCGGCAAGGCTTCTCGATGGGATAGATGTTTCTACATTTCTTCGTCGGGCTGGTACAGCCGGCGGCGAGGGTTTGGAACCCGGAAAACCACGTAGCGATTGTCGCATACACCTCCGACACCAACTCCGCGCATCATGAAAGCCTGAATCGAGCGATCTGATGGTCGTTGAGAGGGAATGATATTTGTAGCTCTAGATGTGTTGCTTGCAATCGAATCTCCTGCTTGTCGTATCCTGCATTGATCGCCGACATCATTGGCTGTGACCGCGGAAAAGTGGAACCCGACAGGGTCTTGGCATCCAGCCTGCGCTCTGAAGTTGAAGTTGAAGTGACTTACTCTGCGAGACACTGGACTTCACTCATCAAGAGAGCCATCCATCCTCGTTGTTGTGCCCTCAAGCTTGCCGTCGTGGTGCATCAGCGCCCACTCCCATCTGAACCCCATCAGTGCCTGCCGCGAGCCCGCAGGTGCACATCCGCCGATTCGCGTCCATCAATCGGCCATCCTACGCGCTACCACTTGCTTCGATCGTGGACTAATCACTTTCCAACTCCGCATCAGTGCAGATACAGAAAGGGCATCAGCCATCACCAGGTTGGGAGGCTCTACTCGAGATGTGGGCGTAGTCGATCACGGTTCAACAAATTGGTCGGGGCCTGAGCTTGACAGCACCTCTTACTATCGCCCGAACGCGCCTCCATTGAGATCCTTCCACCATGCCGTCCTACAACGCCAAGCGTACACTCGAGGATGTTGTGAATCAAGAAGACTCGGCGGACGAAGACTACGACGATAGAGCTCCGGGGCCTTCTAAAGCGCGCTCTTCACGATCCAGGAAACATCGTGGGGCCCCTGCACGGAAGAAGCAGCGACGAGGATATCGGGGCTCTGACATTGAGACTGACGAGGAGGATGTGCTGTCCGACGAGGAGCAGTCTTTTGACGATGACATCGATGACGATGAGGTGGAGACGAACGAAAGGGGAAGACCAGTTCGAAAGACCACCAAGAAAACGGTGAAGTACGAAGAATCGGACGATGACGACCCGATCAGCTCTTCGGAAGATGAGCCACAGACCCCACGGTCAAAGAAAGGCAAAAAGCTCATTGTCACCCTCAGGACGGGCAACACGCCTGCTAGATCCACCCGCAGCTTGAGGACTAGAAGCGGCAGTTATACTGGGGTGACTGCAAATCCACCAGCGCCAGCTCCAGGAGGCGCCAGGAGGAGCAGCCGTCTCTCTCACAACGAGGAAGACCCCGTGGTGGCTTTGACAAACTCGGGAAATCATGTTGAGGTGATTCGAGCTGGCTCACGAGACCCCGAAGGCATGCCTCCCAGGGCAATGAAGGGCGGGAAAGGCCTCAAATACCCGTCGAAGAGCACCATCGATGAGGCGGGAGAATCCGCCCCCAAGGAAGAGGAGGCGGAGGAGGAGCTTGAGATCAAAGCCTCACAGCACGAACTTCCGGACAGCGACCCTCCAGACCCCCAAGACGATCGTGAAGGAGAAGCAGAGCCCCTCCCGAAGCTTGTTTCCGACGTTATTGAGGCTGGAGCTGAAGCCGAGAGCGATGGCGACTTTGGAGTGAAGGAAGCACCTGCGACCCAGGAGGATGCACAAGCTGAACCGCTAGAAGCAGCCGAAGAAGATGACGAGGAAGACATTGTGCCTCAACGCCGACGAGTAACCCGGGGAGCTTCGAAGAGAAAAGCAGAGTCGCCCGAGTATGAACCGGATCAATTGTCGAAGCAGGTCCGCGGGCGTGCTTTGAGAAGTAGTGCTAAGGCTGGGCCATCAAGAAGTCGTCGGCGGAAAGCACAAGACGAAAGCAGCGACTTTGATCCCGATGAGGACCAGGACAATCCAGATGACATGTCGGACTCCAGCAAGTCCATCGTGTCGCCCCAGAAGGATGATTATGAGAGCAGTAACAATGGTAGACGGTCGACTCGGCTTCGCAGCAAGGCTGTATCCCGGCAAAGATCTGAAGTCAGTGACCGGGTGGATGAACTTGCCGCAGAGGTCGCGGATCTGAAAAGGGATGGGAAGAAACCGCGATCTGCTCGGGACGAGATTGTGTTCGAACCCCGCAAGCGACGGGGCGGGAAAAAGCCCAACTATGATCTGCTACGGAACCTTGCTCCTATCGAAGACGAAGAAGAAGCCGCGCCCTCGCCGTCACAACGAGCTCGAAAACCTGGCGGCGGGAGCTGGCAACGAAGCCTGTTCGACACCTACGGTCCTTTTGGTGGAGGCGCAGGTTTGCCCCCGGTCCTTGGGGGAGGTCCACAGGGGCCGAGAGCGCAGGGCGGCGTTGACTCTGACAGCAGCGACGACGAGGTTATGAGGCAACCTAGAGGGCTGGGTGGTACTGTAGGGATGACTCCTACCGCTGCCGGAGCCTTCAACGCCTTTGCTCAAAATCTCAACAACGACCCTGCACAGGCTACCGCAGGAACGCCTGCTAACCTTGGCAAGATCAAGGACAAACACGCGCTTGCAGATGCAGATCCTCTTGGAGTCGATCAAAATGTGAACTTTGACAGCGTTGGCGGTTTGCAAGGGCACATAGACCAACTCAAAGAGATGGTTGCTCTGCCTCTGCTTTATCCCGAGATCTTCTTGCGATTCAAGATCACCCCTCCACGTGGTGTTTTGTTCCACGGCCCGCCAGGCACGGGAAAGACACTTTTGGCGAGAGCTCTAGCAAGTAGCGTCAGTTCGCAGGGTCGAAAGGTCACCTTCTACATGCGAAAGGGTGCAGATGCACTGAGCAAATGGGTAGGCGAGGCCGAGAGACAGCTTCGTTTGCTTTTCGAGGAAGCCCGCAAAACTCAACCCAGCATAATCTTCTTTGACGAAATCGATGGCCTTGCTCCCGTCCGATCCAGCAAGCAGGAACAGATCCATGCTTCCATTGTGTCCACATTACTGGCATTGATGGACGGAATGGATGGACGTGGCCAGGTGATTGTCATTGGTGCCACAAATCGGCCAGACTCTATTGATCCCGCCTTAAGGAGACCAGGTCGATTCGACCGAGAGTTCTACTTCCCGCTACCTGACACGCAAGCCCGACACGCGATCATCGACATCAATACCAGGGGTTGGGATCCGCCTCTGCCTGCACCCATCAAAGATGAGCTGGCAGAATTGACAAAAGGCTACGGTGGAGCGGACCTGCGAGCATTATGCACTGAAGCCGCATTAAACGCAGTCCAGCGGCAGTATCCTCAGATCTACAACTCGACCGAGAAGCTCCTGATTGACCCAAAGAAGATCCAGGTCACGCCGAAAGATTTCATGATCGCCATCAAGAAAATGACACCATCATCAGAGCGATCCACTTCCTCGGGGGCGTCTCCACTGCCCCCGAGTGTCGCACCTCTGCTGAGACGGCAACTTGACACAATAGAGCAGATAGTGGCCGAAGTGCTACCGCGAAAGAAGAGACTGACTGCACTGGAAGAAGCTCAGTATGAAGATGTCGCCGACGGCCACAGTTTCGGACGCGAGCGAATGCACCAGGCGTTCGAGTCTGCTAGAGTCTTCCGTCCTCGGCTGCTGATTCAGGGGAAGGTTGGCATGGGTCAACAATACATTGCCGCTGCTCTGCTTCACCACTTCGAAGGTCTTCATGTGCAAGCATTTGATCTCCCCACCTTGTTGAGTGACACCACTGCTTCACCGGAATCGACTGTCATCAGACTCTTTACCGAGATCAAGATGCACAAGCCCAGCGTCATCTACATCCCTAATGTGCACGAGTGGTATAGCACAGTGGGTCAAACCGTGATATCAACTTTCCTGGGACTGTTGAGGTCGGTCAAGCCCACAGACCCGATTCTCCTACTCGGATTTATGGAGGGTGATCCAGGAGATGTTGAAGAAGAGATCAGACGGGAAATGTTCGGATATTCCAAGAAGAATCGCTTCCAACTGAGAGAACCGGACCTGGAAGAGCGATATGAATTTTTCCGTAGCCTCCGAGATTACGTTAAGACAGCTCCGGACGAGTTTCCCGATCCTGAGAAGCGAAAAAAGCGACGACTTGAACGACTTGAGGTGGCTCCTCCAGAGCCAGAAAAGCCGGCACCTCCTCCTACAAAGGAAGAGCTCAAAGCTCAGAAGAAGCGCGACCGTCAGACCCTCAACATGCTCAAGATTCGGCTGCAACCCATCATGGATCAGATCCGAACGAAACACAAGAAGTTTCGCACAGGAGTCATTGACGAGGGTCAGATCCGTTACCTCTATGACGAGGCGGATCCCGGCACAGTCACCTCCGATCTCCATACAGAGTTTCTGGCGAGAGCTTCTTTCAGACCGTTCGAAATCGGCAAAGATGCCCATGGTGTGGCCGGCCTTGTCGACCAAGCGAGCGGCAATTTCTACTACAACCTCGACTCGGTGACGATTGAGAAACGCCTTAGTAACGGGTACTACAAACGGCCGAAAGACTTCCTGGCAGACATCAAGCGTTTGGCCAAAGATGCAAAGACGATTGGCGACGAAGATCGACTGCTGAAAGCAAATGAGCTCCTCGCGAATGTCGAGGTCGATATTGGAGGCATTGAACTTGCGGAACCTGCTCTCGTTGCAGAATGCGAACGCGTCTATGAGCGAGAGTTGGCCCGAGAAAAAGAAGCTTTGGGTAAGGTACGACATGGCGATGGGCTCAGGAAAGATATGCCTCCACCGCAAATCGTCTCGAATGTGCCACACGGAAACAGCTCCGGTCCATCTGCAACAACCAATTCCTCAGGGCCTATTCTTCTGGGTGAGCCTATGCAGCGACAGAACGATATCGTTCAACGGCTTGCTGCAGCCGAAGCAAGCCCATCCACGTCGCAGCTTTCGAATGGCGTTCATCCAAGCCGGCATGGAGCAGAAGAGCACGAAGGGACAAACGGATCCCAATCCAACCACGATGGCCATGAAGCCGACGCCGAAGGGGATACGCCGATGGGCGGTGTGGAGTCTCATCCGAACTCGAACGAGAAGAGTAATGACACGCAGAAAACACACACGACAAGCTCTTTCGGCAACCGGGAATCGGCCCAACCACGACCCTTCCACTCGTACACGGCCCCATCCCAGCAGCTACTAAGGGAGTCAGGGATGTCGGCTCCTCGGTCACAGACAGGACCTTTCACGCCCATGCCGCAGGGAAGCCAAGCAGCGGAATTCCAGAACGATGCAAGCACAACGCAGTCCACCAGCCAGAAGAAAGTGTCGTCGCACGAGACGGAACTCGGACAACATCAAGAGTCAGGCCCGAACCTTTTTCTCTACGACGAACGGCGTTCAGCAGGAGGTAGTCAGGTCCCATCCACCCAAGGTATGCGTAATCCCAACCCGAATCCAGGACAAGTTTTTGGTTTGCACGCGTTGGAAAGAATCAGAGAACCCGAGCTCACGGATATGGTCTCCCCTGCAGATATTGCTGAACAATTGTCTCAAGACACGACGGGTGCGGCATCCCAGCCTGCTGCTGAGACCATGCGACCACTATCGTCATCGCAAGGACGAGCCCCTGAGAGGAACTCTCAGCCACTCCCGCCGGTCCCGCTATTCCCCGGTCCCGCTACGGATACTACTACTGGTGGTGAACCTGCTCCCCCCGCTGCTGCTGCTGGTCAGCGGACCAACGGACACGGACATGGACCCAGTCAGATTCAAGACTTGCTCAATCCGTCAGAAGAGGAATCGCCTCCACCGCCAAACCTTATCCAGGCTGAAGAGCAACGCCTGGACAGTCTCCACGTCGAGATCACGGACAAGACTAGCGGTCTGTCTGTGGAACAGTTGGAGCAGGTCAATTCGGTGTTGATGGATACGCTGTGGAGGACACGTGGGGAGTGGGATCGCGGCAAGGTTCTGGAACAGGTCAGCGCAGCCTTCAACGATGTCATGCAGGATATGGCGGACACTGGGCAGGAGTTTGGGCCTGTCAGCTGGGGCCAAAGTCAGAGTCAAACAAATGTTTAGTTTGCTCGGTGCACGCAGGCTTGGACGTCCACCATCATCAGGCTTGGACTCGGGCTCAAACACGGGTTCAGGATGATGCTGGTAACGCAGACTTCAGGTGCACTACAGGTCGACCTTGGAGTTGATGTATGGATTTGGTATCCTGACCATGGGACGCCAATCCGACTGTGCTTTCTGGTTCTTTGATCTACATGGAAAGGAGAACAGAACGAGATACGTGCAGGATAGGAACTCTGTCACCAGGAAAAGAGAGGAGCTGTGAACACCCGTTCTGGTCTCTCAGCGAGCTACCACTGCCCCCGGGAGTCATTGCTGCCTCTCTTCCCACCTTTGTGTGCTGAACGAGGAGACTCGGGCCCTGTACCAGCTAAGGCGATGAAAGACAAAAGCTGCAAGATTATTGATGGATTGCGAGAAAGAAATCTCGAGAAGCCTTTCGGCGTGAAGATGAGCAGCGATGGGACTGTGACTGCGACTGGCACAGGCACAGGCACTGGGATACATCAACCACTCTGCCCGGTTGGTTGAGGAACATCTACAACAGCAGGAGACGGCTGGGACACTTGAATGGCCTCGGCTTCGGCCGCGGCGTCGACTTCGACATGCTTGGAGAGCTAGGAAGGAAATCAATGTAAACGTGAACACAGCATGTCCAACGACATACGTGCGTTAGCTACCTGGTGTGTAGTAGGCTGATTAAATTGATGGGTTGAGCTGTTCAGACCGGCGTCGGGATGATTGCTTGAAATATGATTCTGGCCGTGTCCTTCTCCTTTTCGGATGCATCAGATCTAATCCAGGGCCCAGCTGGCTGTCGTTCATGTATGGCTTTTTGTGTTTGTGTGTTTCAGTCCTCCTGGCTTGGGATGTACGCTGCTAAACGGTGTTTCTATCATTCCCTGTGGTTGTCGCAACCGTCTGGTCCAAGGATCATGCATGTATGTGACGTTTCGTTTTAAAGCATTTGGCAAAGTCTAGGTATGTAGGAGACTAAGGTAGGTATTTAATGGCCCTTGCCTGTCTGTCTGGCGGGTCATCCTATCTTTTGCTTCTGTTCCTCCTTCTGGATGGGCGTCGGGCTCTCGGTCTTCGCACGACCTCCCCCAGATCTCGCCGGCAAAGCGTACATACCGCCACCGACAAAGACGACCCCAGCTCCAATCAAGACACCCATTGGCAACTCATTCCCGAACAACCAGATACTCAGCATCAGGCTGGCCAATTTGCGGATGTTCAGCACGATACTGACTGTCAGGGAGGAGGATTGTGCGGACAGCCGATTCACGCCGACGATACAGAGGAGTTGCGTTGCAGCGTTGAGGAGGAGGAGAAGAACCGGGCGTGGAATCTGGATGGGAGTAGGCAAATACGAGGCTGATAAGAAGGCCGACGACAAAAAAGAGCTGTCGAAGGACGGAATGAACTTATTCGACCATGTCAAGCTTGAGTTCGAACTGGGTTGATCAAAAGCCATGCGATCACTGTCACGACTCCTGCTAGTGGTACAGGTGTCGTGGAGCCCAGAAAACGTGGCTATGCTGGCCAACTCCTGCATGAGAGGTTTGGTCTGGCTGGCGAAAAAAGGGAGAGACATGGCATGGCTGTAGAACAGGGTTTCGGCCGTGATGGCTCCGGACCGGCCGTATGTCGAGTACATGTCGTCCGCGTAGAGACCCATGCATGCTGCCAAGAGCAGGGCAGAAGCGAGAAGAGCAAATCCAGGGGCTTGAGACGAGATTGCCGATTTTGAGGATGAATTAGAGGATGACGAGGGCTCAAAGTTTCCGGTGTCGATTTCTGCGTGAGATTGCACCGCAGCCTGTTTCGACTTGGAATCCGAGATGGCGGCCAGAACCACGCCGACAAACAGAAGGATCACCGCGACAATCTTTTGTGCAGGATATCTTTTGCCGCCCCAGATTCTGCCCACCGCCATTGTGGTCACCGGCCCCGCCGAGCGTAGGATGATATGCAGCGGGACGCTGATCTGGTATTTGAACGCCATGTTGTTCAGGATGTTGATGCTGAGGAAATATGCAGTGTAGACGAGCCATCTGCGAAGCGGGATCGCGCGTTCGCGGAGGTACAGGTTCCGCCAGCCGCGGGAGTAGGAGAAATGTCGTGGAGCTGTGGCCAGGGCGACGAGAAGGAATTGGAACGCCGTGATCAGCGGCCCGGAAGAGGGCGAGGCTTGGATCAGCGATTCTAGCGTATAGACGTTGGAACAGCAGCCGCCGAAAATCAGGACCAGTGTGGGTGCCCAGATCTGGAGGATGGACATCGTTCTGGATGTGGTGACGCTGGCCGTTGGGAGAGGTCGTGGAGTCGCCTCGACAGTTGCCGGTGGGAATGTTCCATTTTCATGGTGTCCTGTCGTCCTGTCTATCTCGGTTTTCCTGTTGGTGTCTTGCTTGCCCCTTCGACGACCGGTCGTTGACGGTGTTGCGGTTCCTGAGGTAGTCATTGTGCAGGAAACGCGTCCCAGCGCAGGACGAGAATAGGGTCACCGTGCAGTGGCACACGACATGTGTTGAGGGAGTTGCAACAGCCTTTTGATCTCGGGCATTGTCTCTCAACGCTTGTCAACCCTGAAATCCTTCCCAGTTCTCCATGACGAGTGTTGTACCTCTGTACCACATACGCGCAGGGAGTCGAGCAATTCATCGAATTGGGGGAAACTGGACGGGAAGGTTACGCGAAAGAGGTTCGTCATTGGTCCCCCGCGGCGGCTCACACATATTCGGTAGGAGAGTGACGCCGTTCTGTCGCCATAATTGGGGATAATGTGAAACCCACCGGACCAGCGAATGAAGACCCGGAGCATTTTAAAAGCAGCGTTCAAAGACCACACTATGATCACTAACTATTACAGCACTGATCTACTCTAATGAGTAAACACGCCAGAGTCTATAAAGAAAACAGTATATTACCCACGTTCAAGTCAGCTAGCTTATAAATGTTGCACGACAAGAATGACCAATGTCTAGGGAGTCGAAATCGACACCTGGACGGCATGTCTTATTGTTCGGCAACTACCTCGAACTCCACCAGAGCTCCCTCCTTGGCCAGGGCTGTAACACCGATCAAGGTAGATACGGGATACGGCTCCTCAAAGAATCTGATTCAGATATATATCAGCCGAGGTCGAGCATACGAGCTGAGAATTCCAGTCCATACCTATCCCACACAGCAACAGATTTGCGGAAATCCTGCATCGGAATGATATAGATTCTTCGAGTCATCACCTTGTCCAACGAGGAGCCCGCAGCTTCGAGACATGCTTTGATGTTCATGATCGCCCTCTCCTAGGTAACGTTGACGGTCAACGAATTGCTTCTCCACGTGGAAAGTCTTGAGTACGTACTGTCTGTGCTTCAATCCCACCAGGGACTATTTCGCCGGTCTCAGGATCGTCACCCATCCAACCAGCAAGATAGAGCGTTCCATTGCTTGATTTGATGGCATGGCTGTACTTCCCGTTGGCCTTTGGTGCATTCGGGGCGAATACAGCTTGGCGGCTGGAGGGCATGTTTTGTTTTTCGGTGACAGCACAGAGGCAAAGGAAATACCATACGAATATGAGATGAGATGTTGATTCTCTGAACTGGAATAGTCCGACGAGGTTGGAAGACTCCGATCAGATACATTGCGATAAGCGGGAAGATTGATTCAATTGGCTCTCTAGAGAACACCGTTGTCAATGGGGAATATCGGACCCATCGCGATTGACCTCGTAGATCTCCAACTACATACTACAGCGGAAACCTCCTGTTGCTCTCAGCCTTGGAGATTGATGGGTGTTTGTCAATGGAACACACTCCACCGAATAAACTTAGATAGATCCAGGTGTGAGTGAATTTCTTTGCTTTCACCCGGGAGCAAGTTGAATTGTTCTGCTCGTACACTTAACCCCACCTGGAAAGGTTTGAGACACTACAGTAGTACGGTTGAATGCGGCCGTCGAGACAAGAGTGAGTTGAAGGATGCGACGAGGTGTGAGGAACTGAAGGGTGAGGTATAGGTCTGAGTATGCTTGGAAAGCAGCACGGTCTGGGTCCCATTTGATTGTTCCAATCAGATAGATACACCTTAAGAAAATAGCTTAGGCAGGTAGGTAGATAAGTAGGTAGGCAAGTAAGATACATAACCGCACTCGACGTGTAAAGTCCTTGATATCGACGCTGCTTTTCACTTCTTCTCCCAGAAAAGATCGATCTCTTCGCCCTGCAACCAAGAAGCCATAGCCTCGTACATATCATACCAGCCCTTGTTACCAGCGTTGGGCAAGTCGTTCAAGATCGGGTGGCCCAAGCTGTTCTGCGCCACGGCCAGATACTGGTAGCCCTCGGTATACTTCTGCAGCTCCTCCTTGGGGAAATGGGGCACGGTCTTGCCGTCGACGGGGATCATCTTGTCCTTCTCGTAGAACAGCTTGACGAACTGGGTCTTCCACTCGCCGTCCTCGATCTTGCAGAAGAAGATGAATCGACAGTCGCACTCGACGTCGACGGGGATGTCTTGGATGGTGAACCGTTGGGTGATGGTCGCCTTCATCTTGCCCACGCCTCGCTGTTTGGCAAGGTTGACGTTGGCGAGCGTGCCGTTCTCACGGTGCATGATGAAGTCGCCGTTGGCGCGGCCTTTGATCGAGACCTTGATGAAGTCTTCAATGGAGAGGCCACCGGACCATGCTGTTCAGAAAGAAAAAAAGAGTCAGCATATCGATGTTCTTGTGTGTGAGTGTGTGCTTTGCATGTCTCTTTCTCTCTCTATGTAGTTGTCACGGCTGCTTGAAAGGGAAGAATAACAGCGTAGTGATAGTGGTACATACTGGTCCAAACATATGCGCCCTCCTTGGTGAACAGGCTGCGGTAGTTCTGCCATTCGGAAGCGTCACGGTATACCGGCCAGCCCTTGCACAGTTCGGTAATGCAGTATCGAGCGAGGATCTCTTCGGTGGTGCCGTTGATGTGGTTGGTGACGACGGGCTCGCTTTCCTCCGGGGGGACGTTGTACACCATCTTGTCAAGATATGCTGTGCTTTGTTATTTTATACGATTCCGGCTCTTTTGTGAGAAGGACCGAGGCTCAGAGCGAGAGCGGGAATGTCAATTGTGTGTTGGAAGATGCTGTGATAGTCAGGGAAACAGAGAGGTGCAGAGAACAACCACCCACTACCGCATCCACCTCAGCGGGCAGGCTATATATACCTCATCTCTTCACACCACTCACTCACTGGTCCTCCCCCGGTTCACCCCTGGGATCGAAATGCGGAGGAGGCGTGCACGTATCGAGAGAGTTGGATGCCGCAGGTCTGCTCCGCGAACGGCATGCATGTTCGGTAGCTGCCAGTGGGTAGATGGGGAGCAAGTCATCAGCTCCACCACTGCAACACGCGGTAGATCGTTGGACGCGTAAGGTAGCTGAGATGAACGAGTCGAAGTCGAATGGGAAATCCCATCTCAAAGTCAAGGGACGTGAAATGAGGGGCCCGGCTGCGCTTTTCCCATCACGGCATTTCTCGGATGTCGACGACGGCTGTTTCGATGGCTGTCGAGCTGTGTTCACTGTTCACACGGACCCATTCGACACACATACTAAGGTACTCAGGTACTAGGTACCTACGAGGAGGTAATAGCAACTGGATGACTTGTTCTTAACCGTGAGGCATTACGTGTGTGTGTACAATGGGGTGCGTGTTGCGGCTATATCGGGACTGAGATGATTCTCCTTCTCCCTCTCTATCAGGCTTCAAGACTTTTAGCCGTCACCCCAGCTGGTGCTGGTCGGGTCAACGAATCATGAAATAACGCACAAACGATTCCATTCTTTCGACGCCCTCCTCCTGTACCGCATTACTCGGTGCCCAAGTGTCTCGAGAGTATAGAGTCCTCTTCGTCCAATGCTTGCGCCCTGTCTGAGAACAAACAATATTTTTCCTCTCATACAAACCATGTCCATCTTGAACAAGAACTTTTTGTCTAGCCTTATAGAACTTCGCCCCTCTCTACCGCTCATAACGCTGCATCGAGGTAATCACTAACACGGCAATCCTTGTCCGCCTTTTCATCCTTCACTACGTTGAAACTCACATCATCTTCGATCCCGTGAACTCCTGCCAGCTCTTGACCTCCGGAGGAATGCCTTCCTTTCGAGGTAGCTTAGCGTTCATGCATTGAGCAAATAGTAAAGCAGTCTGTTAAGCCGAATTAGTCAACTCTTCGACGATAGGACAGAGCAGGAGGACATACCTTGCGTTCCATGAACAAGGGAACACCAAAGTCCACGGCATTCCGTCGCATCACATAATCCTCATCCAGCAGAGTCTTACCCCGGCTCTTGGCGAGGTTGAACACTCCCTTGATGTTGTACTTCTCAAACACCTTCCGAAGCTCGTTCTTGTCTGTCTTGGGGAACTCGATCACCTCAACAGAGGCACCGGACTTTTCGAGGTGGTTCTTCACGTCTTCGCTTGCGGCGTAGAACTTGTAGTCCAGGGGCTGGAGGTATTCGACGATCTTAGGCAGCTCGGGCAGCTCAGTTGATCCACCTAGGAGGATGCCCTCACCGGGCTCTGGTACGCGGAAGTTCATGGTCGCTTGCAGAGAAGTCCAGTAGGCCTCGATCAAATCCTTACCAAAGCAAGCAATCTCACCCGTGCTGCTCATCTCCACGCCCAGGAAGGGGTCGGCACCGGCCAAGCGGGTCCAAGAGAACTGTGGCACTTTGGTCGAAAGGTAGTCACGCTTCTCAGCCATCAGATCTTGGGGTTCGGGCACATCTCGACCCGCCAATGCCTTGGTGGCCGTGTCAATGAAGTTGGTGCCGAGCACTTTGCTGACAAAGGGGAAAGATCGAGAGGCACGCAGGTTGCACTCAATCACCTTGAGGGCCGGCTCCTCACCAGGCGCATCCGCCTTGATGATCTGCATGTTGAATGGCCCGGTGATGTTCCATGCCTTGGCAACTTTCTGCGCGATCTCCTTGATACGGGCCATCATGCTCTCGTTGAGGTTGACCGGGGGCAGGACCAAAGTGGCATCCCCAGAGTGCACACCTGCAGGTTCCACATGCTCCGACACAGCATGCAGGATCAACTCTCCCTGCGATGCTACTGCGTCGACGTCGATTTCTTCCGCCCCTTCAATGAATTTGGTAATGACGACAGGGTGATCAGGCGATACGGCTGACGCATGTTCAAGCTTATCCTTCAACTCATCATGCGTGTAGATGACCGACATGGCAGCACCAGACAGGACATACGACGGGCGGACTAGTACTGGATAGCCGACAGAATCAGCAAAGGCTTCCGCCTCGGCCACCGAGGTCAGTTCCTTCCATGCCGGCTGATCCACGCCAATGGAATCGAGGATCTGGGAGAATTTGTGACGGTCTTCGGCCTTGTCAATGTCTTGAGGATTGGTGCCTAGGACCTTGGCATGGCCTTCCTCTTGCAACCGGAGCGCAATGTTCTGAGGAAGCTGACCTCCGACGCTGACAACCACTCCGGAGGCGCCCTCGAGCTCGTAGATGTCCATGACTCGTTCGTACGACAGTTCCTCGAAGTAGAGCTTGTCGGCAGTGTCAAAATCGGTCGAATAGGTCTCGGGGTTATACTATAGGGAATCAGCATAAATCTTGTGTGGAAAAGCAGAAAGGAAAAGGTCGGACTTACATTGATCATGACAGTTTTCTGATCCATGTTTCGCAGGGTCAGAGTGGCATTCACCGCGCACCAGTCGAACTCGACCGATGAGCCAATTCGGTAAACACCAGACCCGAGAATGATGGTTCCGTGGTCGTCGAAAGTAACATCATGGGATGAGGCGTTGTAGGTCGTGTACAAATAGTTGGTATCGGCAGGGAATTCCGCAGCAAGTGTATCGATCTTCTTCACCCACGGGCGGATGCCAAACTTCAGTCGACGCGCTCGGACCTCTTGCTCGGTCGAGTTGATATACATGGCAATCTGCTTGTCGGAAAAGCCCTGCTTTTTGGCCTTCAGCATGAGTTCGTGTTTGATACCGGACAAAGAGCCAATTTCCTGGATTTCGGCCATGGTCTCCTTCAGGTTTTGCAACTTGTACAAGAACCATTTGTCGATTTTGGTGAGGTCATGGATCTTCTCCACCGAGTAGTTCTCGTGGATAAGGGCTTGACCAACCGCGAGCCATCGTCTATCCGTGGGGTTGCGCAGAGTGTCGTCCAGATCGTCAAATTTATCACCCTGGAAACCCACATATCTGGGGTCGACCTGCCGGATGGCCTTCTGGAATGATTCCTCGAAAGTGCGTCCAATGGCCATGACTTCTCCTACGGATTTCATGGCACTGCCAATGTGACGATCGACGTGCTGGAACTTGGACAGATCCCACCGAGGGATCTTGACCACGATATAGTCCAGACTCGGTTCGAAATTGGCCGTGGTCGTCTTGGTGACAGCGTTTGGCAGTTCTGGAAGGGTATGACCGAGACCAATTTTCGCAGCGGTGTAGGCCAGAGGATAGCCAGTGGCTTTGGATGCAAGAGCCGATGACCGAGAGAGACGGGCATTGACCTCAATGACTCGGTAGTCGAGGCCATCCGGCTGGAGAGCATACTGTACGTTGCACTCGCCCACGACCCCAAGATGTCGGACGATCTTGATAGCCGCTGTCCGCAGCATGTGGTACTCTTCATCACTCAAGGTCTGGCTGGGCGCCACGACGATACTGTCTCCAGTATGGATTCCAAGAGGGTCGAAGTTTTCCATGTTGCACACCGTGATGCAGTTGTCTTCGGCATCACGAACGACCTCATACTCAACCTCTTTCCAGCCTTTGAGAGATTTCTCAACCAAGATCTGAGGAGACAGGGAAAGCGATTGGGAGGCCAAATTGCTCAGCTCCTCACGGTTGGAAGCAAAGCCAGACCCTAGACCGCCCAAAGCATACGCCGAGCGGACAATGATGGGATATCCCACTTGCTCAGCAGCGTCAAGCGCTTCATCGACCGTACCGACAGCGATTGACTGAGCGATGGGGATGTTGATTTCATTGAGGGCTTTAGCGAACAAGTCTCGGTCTTCACTTGTTTCCAAAGTTTTAATGCTGGTTCCCAAAACCTTGACGCCATACCGGTCGAATATGCCCATCCGGTTCATGTTAACCCCCAAGTTCAGACCGGTCTGGCCACCGAATGTGAGGAGAATGCCGTCGGGTTTCTCTCTTTCTATCACATACGTGACATACTCTGGCGTGACAGGCAGGTAGTAGACCTCGTCGGCGAGCTTGTGGTCGGTTTGGATGGTCGCAATATTGGGGTTGATAAGGACGGACTTGACGCCGGCTTCTTTCAATGCTTTCAGAGCTTGAGATCCTGTAGCAAGCATTAGTCAATGCTCATTGTAGTATCTCCTTGGACGAAGCAGTGGATCGTTGCATTGAGCTGCCCGGTGTGAAGCGAGGGCACATCGTATAGCTTACCAGAGTAGTCAAATTCCCCCGCCTGGCCGATACTCAGGCCACCACTCCCAATGACCAGGACTTTCTTCACATCCACCAGATTTTTCCCGGCCTCGATCACGCCGCTTTCCAGGTAGGCCTCGGGGCGGGGAGGAGTCTGCACGGCAGCACCCCGTTTGGCAGACCTGGTGAATCTCCTGACCTGCTGCCATGAGGGGGTCTTGGGGCTCAACAGGTGTTTCCTAGTAAGAGGTGCTACCGTGCGAGTAGAAAAGGTTCGCGACGAGGGACGTGGCTTCGGAGCGCATTCTCGCAGCAAGATTCCACTGGCCTGGCGGAGTGCTCGAGCGGAGGCAGCCATGGTAGCAGTATGCTAGGCTCGTCGCCGTCGCCGGAGTTACAACAGCAGCAGTCGACTGAGCTCCTGCACAAGTCAGATTCAGCTCATGCGCAGTCACGGTGAGAGGGAGGTAGCAGACTTTGAGATTCAAGAGTCACTGCGAAAAAGATGGGCCAAAAATTATGACTGTGAACTGCGGCAGCCAATGGATAAGCCGCAATGAATCAGATGAAATCGCAACCCTCAAGCTCAGACGTCAAGTTCAGCGCGGGCTCTTTAGGCTCCTTAGGCTTGCCGTTGTGGAGGCCGATTTCGCTGTACAGGTAGATGTACTAGAGGAGCAGGGAAAGCCTCTGTTGTGATGTGGCGCCCGATCTATTTGCGATCGAACAGGGCCTTGTTCTTTGATTGAGAGTCAAAAAAGTGATAGTAGCAGCAGTAGCTAGCAGCAGCAATAAAGGCAGTCAGTTAGTCGGAAATGGCCTTGACCTGAAGGACTACCTAACAGACCAACTTCACTACCCTAGTAGCAGTACTTTTAAATGTCTTGTGCCCAGGAAAATTCTCTGCCGGCTGTATGCATGATCAAGATTGTTCTTCTTTCGCTTTTCTTCTTCCGTCCTGTCCCAATGAACCGTCGGTGTTAAAAATTTGTTTGGGGGACAAAGAGCGGCAGAAAAGAAGCAGCGGCGCAGAGACGCAGACGATGATTTGCTGCCTGTGGAGAAGCTACCAGTGGTGCCCCTCCTCTATCGTGCCAACTGGGCCTGGGGCCTGTAAAGTCCTCTCCCTGTCGCTCACCGCCTTGTGCCGCGTCCCTGAATTCGTCAATCCCCTACTGCGTAGTATCCTACTCGCCTACTATGGCTGCACTTGATCGAGCAAGGCCGGAGGTCGATCGACCGCTGAGAATATGACGAGAATGTTTCACTTTTTGTGCAGTCAAAGTCTACCTAGGTAGCTAGGCCTGGGATTCCGGTGTGCCCATTCTTCTACAGCCCAAGCATCGCTAGCCCACAACGACAAGACTGGTATCTCCGCACATCCAACCCATACTAGTATGCTCAATCACTGATCTTGGTGTAGTTTGCCGGGAACAATCCCGTCCGTCCTTGGTACTCACCATGCCACCAGTCTTCGTCGGGGAATGTCTAGGTAAAGAGCGATTAGCGAGGTCGATCAGCTGCACCCATTAAGAACAAACACTTACAACATTGATGATGATGGCATTTTCCGGGAACGACAGCTCGTTGTCTTCGCCGGCTTCATAGTCGTAGAGCGCGATGGCTGTGACTCCGTTCGACTGTTCGGGAGCCGGAGGACTGGATTCGGCAGCCGGTGCCGGTGCCGGTGCCGGTGCTTCACCATTATCGTCGTCCAACGCAGTAAGATAGTTGCTAGGGACCAGTCCGCTCTTGAAGAAAGGGTCAGTCTTCTAGAGTTCGCCCAAGTGCTAGGCGATCCACTTACCAGTCCAGCCTCGTTTGTGACGATCCACCAATCCGGATCAACTCGTTGAATGTTGGTAACGATTTCACCTAGAAGTCTTTAGTACTCATAACGCGACAAGACGTGGCTTTCACTACCTTCACGAAGCGACACTTCGTTGTCTTCCGCCGCTTCATAATCATATTCGGCTCGTGCTCGTTCACCACCTGCCGCGGGGGCTGCTGCGGGAGCAGCATCCACTGCTTCTTGTCCCAGAGTGTGGGCTGCCGCCGCCTGCGCGGCGCCACGTCCAGCATCTGGGCCGGTCTCTGGTTCATCATCTTCTGGGGACGACGAGGGTAGAGCTTGCGCTAGCGACGTCGTGGGCAGTGCTGGTGGCGGGGATATCATTTCTTCATGTGCATCGGTCACTTCTAATGCAGAAGCGCTAACTGGCATTGCTACACGGATCGGAGACCCAGTTGGCTCTTCCGGAGTAGGCGGTGTAGGGCTTCTCGCTTGTGGAGGCGGCGTGGGTAGTGCCGGAGCCTTTTCTTCCTCGGGCTCGGGGCGTGAACCCGGTAGCCCTGGTATTGGTATGCCACGGTTGGGTTTGTTGCTTGTATCAGGCTCCGGAGCAGGAGGTGGAGCTCGATCGAATGTCGCAGGCGCCCCCATCGGTGGAGCCCCCCCGAAACGGTCGCGTAGCGAACCGACACCACCGCCCGGAGAAGTTGGAGCCTCGTCCTGTTCTGCCCCAGATTTGGTTGCTTCGCCGGTTAATTGTTGCCCGATGCTACTTCGCCCGGTATGCGTGATCTGCACTGGTGCCCAACTCTTGCCCGTATAGCCGCTCTTCCACTCGCCGCCACCACTTTTCTGCGTTGCTATAGATGACTGTCCGGTATGCCCGCTGGGAGACACTGGTGCTTCACCGGATCCACTCAATCCTCTCTCTCGGGCCTTCCTCTCAGCCCACAGTTGCGCCGGTGTTTTGCCTCCTTGATCGGCGAAGGTCCTACTGGCAGCGCCAACAGGAGGAGTAGGAGCCACTGGCTTGGTTTCAAACCCTCCAGGGAGCGGTGCCTTTGTCCCGGTGAATGACGAGCTACCCCCAAACTTGTTGGCGACCTTAGGTTTAGGCAGAGACGTGAGACGCTCTGGGCCGTGGGAAAAGGCTGCCGATCGCTCCGCCAGCGGCCGGGCAGGTATCTCGCGGTCTTCGGATCGACCGGTCGACTGCCTAGAGACTGGATCTGGTCGTGAAAAGCCGGAGTCATCCGATTTCTGTGCCCGAGCTCGGATGGCTGCGATGTCAACCTTGCCTACCGGCTCGTAGGCACCTTTGACAGGATCGGGCCTATCATCTTTTCCTGGTCCCGATTCCCTAGCCTGGCGTCGAATTGCTGCAATATCAACTTTGCCAACTGGCTGATACGCACCCTTCACCACATCGGCCCGATCCTCCGATTGACTGCCACCAAAAGCCGATGGAGCAGGCTTCGCGGATGTAAGATCTCTCATATTGACCTTTGTAGGCTGATAGGCTGACTGCACTTTTTCTAAATGTGTTCGAGTCACAGGAGGAGCATCTGTACCCCAACCGTCCTCATCCACATCGGCTTTCTTTGGGACAGCATTGCGAGCCAAAGGGTTGTATCCGCCTCCTGCTCCCGTGCTTTGAGTAGGTGTAAACACGGGTTTCGACGCGACGGTCGGCTTGGTGGCGGCGGCAACAGGTGGCGGAGCGGCACTGCTCGAGGAATATTTGGAGCCTGACGCATCGGCAACCTTCTGAATGATTCCCTCGGGGGTGAGGTCTTGGTCGGATCTGGCAGTTATCTGCACATGATAGCCGTGCAGCAGTTTCGCAACCGTCGTCATATGGCTCGTGAAGTATCCCTTTGTTCTCTCCGGAACTCCCTCGCCGCACCAGGCAATGAGGGCATTCTTTGGCAATCCGGTATTGGAGTCCTTGACCTTGACGAATGCGAACTGAATTCTGCCATCGGAGAACTCGTCCACTAGGTCAAGGAGCTCTCCTTCTCCTGTACTCTGCACTTTCAGAACGCTTTCCTTGCTGCCCGAATCATGCTGGAAAGCATTGGCTAGAGGAGCGGATACAGAGTAAACAACCCATTGACCGTAGGTTGGCGACGCTGCGGCGGGGCCAGACGGGGGAGGAGCATTGACGACAGACTGATAGCTTTTGGAGATGGAGGGTCCGTTGACAGAAGTGTTAAGAGAAGCCATGAAGGGCTCCTTGGTGAGTATATGAAAATAGGTTGTTGTTAGGCTGGGTGCCTGGTGGCCCTGCAGGAGAGATCTCTTTTGATGAGGAAATCGAGGTACTCGACGGTAATGAGCGTTGTGAAGGGAAAACGCCAACAGCACTGCTTCAATCAAGCAAGAATGGCTGCTGGTTCTAGCACCTCTGATACTTGTGGAGGATACAGTGGCAGCTTACTTGCTGAACCTCCGTCCAACGTTATGTGCTACCTAAGGTAGGTAGGTAGGTAAGGTACTTAGTAGGTCAGGTAGGCATGGAGGAGCATTGGACTAAGCGGGAGGGGCGCAGGCCGAATGATGGCGCCAAGCTTACCTAAGTTCCGCCTTGACCCTGATCCTCCGGGACTCGGACACCTGGGTTTCTTGAACTTGAAGTTGCAGTGAGATGGAGAAATCCTGTCAGACAAAGAGGGCCATTGGCTGACATTCCAGCGCGGTAGGGCACTTTTGCACCAAAAATGACAAGAACATGATCTGCCCTTCTCGCCGTCAGACAGGACATATTCTCGTCATTCTGGCAATTCGCTGGCAAGCCGCAGCATGCGGTCAATTCCTTAACCTCGAAACCTCGAAACTGCGCTCGCAGTCGATGACAACTCGTCAACGACCATTCTCCTAACCAACATTTGCAACTGCCCATACTGATCTGTTACTCATCTCTAGGATACCTTTCCCGCCCAGCCCTCTTGTATCAGCACTTGCTTCCGCGCTCTTCCCGAACGCCTACGTTGACAAAGAGCGTTTTGGTGGCCCGCGCCCGCTCCCCGCCTTCTGCTGAGGTTGATGCGATTTAACATGGTTGCCAGGATATTCTAAGGCTTCATCCGGTATTGAAACCTCGCCTCAAGATCCAAGTCTCAGTTGCCGATGATACCTCCTCCTAGGTACCCTTCACCCATTCGCGCGGCTTTGCGACGGCATCTCTAGCGCCTTCGAAGTGGAAGATCATACACCCTTCTCAAGTTAACATCCATTGTCACTTGCTCCTTGATTTGGGTCGGAAACATTGCTCGCAATGTTTTCACATTTCTCTCTATCAGATCATCCAAATTTAGTAGAACATGGGCATATCAGCCTTCGGTGCTGATATCCTGTTGCTCTACTCTGCATTTCCTATTCTATCTCCTTTCACATTTTCATGCATGATTTGTGCCTCTGTGTGCGATGGATCTCGAAAGTGAACGGAAGCGTCACACCCTCAAGGTTCCGGGCAAGAGAACGTGGTCCCCAGGGTTTCCAGCGCATTCCCGCGACGGTGTCGATCATGCGACACCGACAGCGGGACGACTGCAAAGTGGCGAGCATCACGATGGGTCCGATCCAAAAAGACCCAGACTTTTGACTATAGCCCCAAGTCGACCACAGACCCAGCCAGAGCCTAACTCTTCGCGAGCTAAGCCGGCGTTGGGGAGTCTACCAAATGAAATCCAACAGCACATATTCAGTTTCCTGGATCCCATCTCGCTCGGACGCATAATTCGTGTCAATCGCTCTTTTCGCTCCCTCATTGACCCTGCTGCGTCATTACCAGAGGCATCTGGCCAGGCTAGACAATTGACCCTGCGCAGTCAGGACCTGGTCTGGGCGACATCACGAAAGACCTTTTTCCAAGGATTTCCCAAGCCTATGGATGCAATGACTGAACTGGAGATGTGGAGGCTCGCGCTTGGGCGGCGCTGTCAATACTGCAGTTCGAGGGGTCAACCCGAAAATATGTCTCTTTCCACATCGTCGCCCTGGCACGCTGGTCCTGGACTCAAAAATGTTCGCACCATATGGCCGTTTCGCGTCAGGACTTGTGGTAGCTGTCTAGAGCCGCGACTGGTCAAGGTGAGTTGGTTCGTGGCCATTCATGTGATCATACAGTTGACGCCTTGTAGGAAACTGATTTACTTGTCTCGGGTTCGTCTGCGCTACTTCCAGGCCTCCCTTTTGCAATATTTACCCCCTCCCTGGATTATGTGGCTTCTGTGGTATTGCGGCAGGTATCTATTCCTCCGGACATCCAGCTCACCAAGTATTACTTCAAGCCTCAATTGGAAGATCTTCAACGCAGCCGAGATGGCGTTCGAGCCCTGGGAGCTGCCGCCTTGGAGGAATGGTACAAGGGGCTAGAGGACTTGGGGCAGCAGCAAATTGCAGCAGCAGCTCGATTTGACCAATGGCAACTCAATTCTCCCTTCTGGAAAACCTCTACACCAGCACGGGGGAACACATCCCAGGCCGGTTTCCCGCGCGCATCGAACATAATCCAAGACGAGAGACCATTGCAACTCCTTCCTGGGACCAGGGATGGACTTCCGATCCCCCCGCTAGCTAAGTCTGCGGGTTTACTCAATCCGGGCGCTATCTCGCACGGTAAGCAGTCGAGCAGTTCTTTCTACAACATGCCCATCCTGTCACAATGCGTCGAACTTCTTTGAACTAACAATAACCTGCCGTAGCGCGACCCGCGGCGCACCTGCTACCGCCTGAGACCAACGTCTATGCAGTTCAACATGGCACCGCACAGCCCCCAGCAGGTGTGGACAATCACACCGGATCGAGCTCCATACAATCTTCCCCGCGGCATAGAGTCGAGCGAAGCCCGAAAGAAGCAGAATTGTGCAAAGCAGAGCGCCGAAAAGAAATAGAGCGTCGCTGCCTAGCTTTTGACCCTCCCATCATGCCGTCGACGCTTGTTCATATGGAAGCGTTCAAAGCGGCTATCCTAATCTCTCAGCCCTTAAATGACAATGCGTGGGATCTTCTCAGACCTCGTCTTCTGGCGCAGCGTTTGGAGGCCGAACAAACCGAGAGGATGCACAACGCTTCGCTGAACTACTCTACGATACCCCCTGAAGGACGTCGAGCGCTTGAAGAAGAACGACGCGTAGCTCAAGAAAATGTCAGCCACATGTGGCTCGAGTTGAAAGTCCCTGCTCGGGACAAAATCCAGACATATGCTCAAGAGTTCATCCATCAGACTTGGTCCGGCGGTCGTGGCGTTACGAAGGCCACTGCCAGTAAGTTTGCTGCCGAGGTCCTTTGCCATGTTCGGCAGCGATTTGATGAGGTGATCGCCCAGGAAGACAGGATGCTTGCCTTGAAGGGAACGGGCTTCCCGCAAGACCCTGAATCCCAGGCTTGCAGAAAATTAAAGCTGGAGGACATGAAATGGACATTTGAGGAGTATGTCAAACCGCACACTGAGAGATTCGGCAAAGATCTTTTTCTTTGCCGAGTCTGCGACACAAATCAGAAACTGTTTTCCTTTGAAGCGGTTATCCAGCACTATGCCGCAAAACACACAAGTGCTCTGAGCCATGGCACCGCTGTCGTCTACTGGAGGGCACCTTGGCCTATCGACCCACCCTTTGACCCGTCTCCCAACATTCCATGGATTCAAGAAGGACTTCGCAATGTGGAACAGCCTGCTGCTTCTCTCCGGCGTGATGTGAACTTCGGGTATCCAGCCTCTGGCCCCCATCGAAATCTTCTCGAAACAGTCGCTGCTCTGGCACTCGAGTTCTGGCACAAATTAGATGGTATCTGGGATCTTTCCGATGCAGTCCGACTTTATGTTGTTGTCCAGCATATAAATGTCATGCTCTTGAGAGAATCCAATGTCGAACTGGATCTCCATCTGTTCACACGCGCAATCATGCAGCAGCCCGAGTTACAATCGATCAGGGATCTTGTCGGACTGGGATGCAGAACGTGCTCAGAGCTCGGCAAAATGGCGGCTGCCCCGTTTCCAGGACGGACTCCAAGCCGCTATTCCCTCCTGGAGCTGTTGGTCCATTTTCAGCAAGTCCACCTTGATCTCGAAGGAGCCAGCGCGGAAACTGGCGCAACCCCGTTGTCCTCTTGGGCTCCCGCACGAGCGGACTGGAAGCGAGATATGATATGGCTGCCAAGTCCAGCCGCTATCCAAGCCCTCCTGCATTCCCCAGGGATTGACCGCGATAAGCTACAGATAATTGCAGACGCGTTTCCGAACTATTTTGCGCAGCCTTTCCACTGTGTCGGACCATTGCCATCGACATTGATTCAGGGTGAAACCCAAGTTCCGACAGCACCCAGCGCGCGCTACCTTGAACGCAGAGGGCCCCATATCGCTCGCCGCAGTGGTCGTGGTAGTGGCGATGGGTCGTACATTGCCCCTACTGAGGAGTCTGGCATTACCGCGGAAGATGAATACGATCCTCATCGTCCGGCCCCCACATTTAGGCGGTCGCAGCACCATGAGGTTCGACATCCAATGCAATCCCCTCCCAGGGAAAGTACCAGACATGAAGAACTGCCGTACTATCCTGAAAGGGCCCCCATATATCGTCAGTACTACTACCAGAATGCTGATTATGACCGTGTATGGGATCAGCATAGCAGGGACGGTCCTTTGTCTGGAGCTTCAATGGTGTGGTCTCACGACGATGGTTCCTCAAGATTCTCATACTTGGAGCCCTTGAATAGAAACAGCGAGACCACTGCCGAAGGCGCCTCTGAAGCAGTCCCTGGAAGCAAAGCGGGAAGCCGACGGTCTCTTCCGCTAGCCGTGGATACGGATAAGGCTGGTGCAGGAAGGAATCTTGATGGCCAACGCAACATTGACGAGGAGCCCGCATCAACTGCAGCCGCAAACTTTCTCGAGGATTTCGATCCCACGCGGGGAGAAATCGCCGTCAGATTTCCGTCAGACACGGGAGCCTTGCACACCCGCCAGGCTGAGCAGATTCATTTGGGCTTGCCCCATCCTCGGCCCGTCGCCAGACATGCACAAGAGTACCAAGCCGCTCTTCGTCCCGGCAGCCGGCTCGGCGACATTGATCCTCTGCCGATACGGTTGAACCACAGGCCTGACCTCCGCAGAAACTCCTATCAAAGGCTCAATAAGCCCCGTCCGGTGATCTCGGAAGGAGCTGGACCGGGGACTTCGCGCAGTCTGGTGGCTGAACGCGAGTACATGGGGAGTCTACCAGAACGATCACACAGGGCCTCGTTCCAAAGCACGAATGAAACACTTGACGACAGAGGCGTCGGGTTGACTGGCTCTTCGTACGAGACTCGATATTACCCTGAAGATAACCAATATCGTCGGAGCACCAGAAGATACGAGGCGGCAGGCTCTGCTTCGGCAGAACTCTCGACGCGCATGGAGCACAGCGGGCCACGCCGATACATCGACAGCCGCAGCTGGACTGGCGGAAACGATGACGACGACGACCGTAGACAATACTGGCACCGAGACACCAGTCACGAGTACTATGGTCGTGCCTTTCCACAAGGCCGCTCCGGTGTTGGCGCTGTGTATGGTGCTGAGCATCCTTCCGCGAGAGAAATCGACTTTGTCGGACACGATGTTCGACATGCCCGAGGAGAGCAATTTGTGCCAGAGCACCGGGTTTGGACTGTGGCAGACGACACCCGCGAGGTTGTCTACAAGCCCCTTGACCCGCCTATGCGATATGCTCCTGGCTGAGCCCCGCTGGATGCCTCGATGCCAAAAATTGAATTGCTGGGTCCTAGGAGGACATCTGTTGGCTGTGTATGTTTTCTTTTCTCCTCAGGCGTTCTAGCGAGCTGCTTCACTTGACGAGCAGGGCGGCAGATCTCGGCGGGGAGGAAGCGCTACGAAATTGTTTGTTCGAGTAGGATGATACCCCCTTCAAGTTCAGTCGAGGAGCACTATGCTGGTCTAAGCACATTTCACATACGAATGCTTTTCGTTCCTTTGCAGCGATGGGTGTGCAACCTGTGCATATCTTAGTCGCCTTGACCCGTCGGCAGGGCATTAGCTTCAAGTTCTCTACAGCTTCGGGACAGATTGATTTCGAAGATGTTGACAAGGGGCCCTTGTCCTCTGCGTTGGCAGTAGACGCGACATGGTGATGCTAGCACGTGGGTGCAAGTGAGTTTTCAGCACAACCGAGCTGCGACATACGTACCTAACACAGTATGCGCGTCTGCCCAATGTGAGGCGCGGGCAGCCGGCTAACCGACCACTTTGGAACCTTTCTACTCTTGAAGCGCAATTGCGGCGACGGAATGGGATGCGTACCTCAAGTATGCTCTGGATCTGTCTGTTGGGAGAACCTGTGTCGGGATGCAAGCAAGAGAGAGAGAGCAATCACCCCATGAGCCAGCCACACCGTTCCAATCCTGATCCTCCATTGATTGTACCCACCTAGCGTTGTGCAACGAAGACAATTCGGGGAGCTGGCGGTCGTGCAGCTTCCAATCCCTGCCACAGGTGTCAGAAATACCGGCCGTGAGCAGGGCTGCAGACAATGTCTCCGCGCTTATGCATCAAAAGAACATGTAGCCATTCACAGTGGTCGAACAGCGGCCCAATGCCAGGGCACAACTCATTACTCGTGCGGTAGGTCGATGGTTGGCGACGACTGCGTCATGGGCTTTTCATATGACACGGCGGCTCTCTCTGCTAGTTGGTGATTGTGTCTCGAAATGGACCATGAAAGGGACAGCAGAGGATGCCGATGCTCAATTGATCTTTCACAAATCTCCAGTGTGATAATTGACGAGACCAAGTTTGGTTCACGACGGAAGTCCGAAATTTCCAAAGCAGTCAAGTTTCCCTTGTCCGCTTCCGTTTGGAAATGGGCTGGGATTTGGCGGTGCAAGGATAATAAAGCGGTCGCTTCACCGCGACTTTGGGCCGGTCAAGCAGAATCATCTCTGCAAGAGAGGCCTGTGGATTTCGTGACCCGTATTGGAGCGCGGCCGTCCACACGGCAGAGGCCTCCAAGTACCGTAGCCTTCCTTCAACCGCAAATGGTCACGGCAACCCGAGGTTGGGTGAGGCGTGAGCGGCAGTAGGAACGCGAGGAGAGGATGACGACGCATGAGGTAGCGGCGGTGAATACAAGTCACGGTTGCTCCTCTGCAGCAGAGCCATAGTGATGAATGTGCGTGATATCCGAAGCTGCTAGGCCCGAAGACGATACTGCCGTTGCTTGAGGAAGGCGTACCAAAAGGGAGGGCTCGGGTGAAGCTGGTGGCTTGCAGCTCAGCAGACGGTATGATGAGGCTTGGGCCTGACGCTTGCCGTGGGAAGAAGATGAGATACAGGAGACGGAAGGATGGGAGGAACAGTCCTGTCGAGACTAGATGCTCTGAAAAAGAACAAGTGATGAAGCCTTCAATCACAGCCAGCCCCAGGGGCTAATTGTACAGAGCAGTGAGTGATAGTCTGGAGTTGAGCAAGATGTGATGTACTCACTGCCACTGTTGTGATGTGGCTGGAGGAACGACTACTCTGTTCCTAGTAGGTAGGTACCTCAGGTAGATAGGTACCTTCCTAGCGAGATACCTAGTACTAGCACTAGGGGGTTGTTTGGAAGAGCGCAGGCAGCATCATCAGGTCTGTGTGTACCGCCACGACCTTACGTACAGTACCAGAAAAGGTATCTACAGATACAGCCTTTGCCTGTGCCTGCGCCTGCGCCTGAATCTGCTCGTTCTCGTCAGTCTCCCTCCTAGTACTAGTGGTCGTAGTAGATGCTCTGTACTCACTGCACCGCGCTCGTCCGCCCAACCATCGCACATCCACCACTTCGCCTTCCGCCTTCTCCCTGCTGCCTCCATCGCTTCCTCTCTACTACTCTACAGTGTACACTGCAATCCCTCCCTCTTCTGCGCTGGCATCTGCAGCTTGAACACCAACGCTACCTCCCTGCCGTTCCTATTAGTCTCTCCAGTAGTCTATGCAACACTGACTGGACTCGCCCATCAAATCGGCGTTAGTGAAGGTTCCCCAAAACTCTGACTGCAGACCAACCACCACCCGCTGCGTCCCTCCGCCCAATCGTCGCTCTGTCTAATCGCGAAGACCGCAACATCCCATTCGCGACAGCTTCCAACTCCGCCTTATATTGCGCTTGTACGTATGTGTCGTCTGTTTACCCAGCCTTAGGTCTCCTCACTCGATCCCAATAGTCCTGTCCTCCCTTGCTCAATGGCTAGAAAAGCGCAGCTGACCAGACCCGTAACCAGGCCCCAATCCAAGCAAACCGCATACAGCATACAGCATCTGCAGCTGTCCGTTCCGACCCTCGTCACCAACTAGCATCGCATCGCATCGCATCGCATCGCACCGTGCATCGCGCATCGCGATCGCACGCGCAACCAGGCTTGCCAAACCGTGCTGTTGGCTGGTGTGCCTCCCCATCTTCCTATTTGGCAGTCCGTCTCTCTCAGTTCCCCGTCCTCCTTCACCAATTCGTCATTCGTGGCGCCTCACGTCCCCGCCGCATCCAGTCGACGCAGCCTCTTTCCCTATCCGGTCGCCAATCCAGTAAACGCACCTTCGGCTCTGCAAAGTTCGCCTCGAGAGAATCATTTTGGGCACGAACGAAGCGACAAGAGGCGAATCGTCTGACCAAGTGCGCCGCAAGTGACGCAGCCCAGCTTTAGGCAGTCTGCATCCGTGCCGCCTCGAGGTGTGACGTGGTCACTGCCAGCCAAACATTTTCTCGCCCTGCAATCCGGCCGCTGCGGCTACCCTCGAACTACATCATGTCGACCTCCCCACCCAAAGAGCCCGATGTCGAACAAAGTGCGCAGTCTGGCGAAGAGCAGGATCACATGGATCGCGAGCAAGAAGGAGCACAAGGCACAGGCGCTGGTGATTTCGAGGTCAAGGAGCAAGACCGATGGCTTCCCATTGCAAATGGTTGGTTTTCCTCCCTCCTATATCTTTGTTCGTTCCTTGGTACCACATCACCCGTTTTCAACGGCATTCTGTCGGCGCCTGGAATTTGATTTGTTCGGCCCTTGCGTTACAGTCATGCGTCTTTGCGCGCGCCAGGAACGCTACCCTCTACGCTGTACGAATCCGAATGTGTGACGCTGCGCCTGCTCTTTAGCCAGCATCATCTCATTCGTCGTCGCTTACTATTCTCCCCCGACCATGATTTGCATCGCAGCTCTGCTTTGCGCTGACTGGTGCGGTATCTGGACCACTGAGAGGACACTGCCAAAATCTTCCCCCATTCGCGATACAATCCCCCATTATGTCTTCAGGTTATGAAGCCAAACAATCATCATCGTCGCGTTACCATGGAGGGCGGACATCTTCGTCTTCGTCTTCGGCGATGTCTGATGCTAACATCCGTAATTTTGCGCCAGTTGCCCGGATCATGAAAACGGCCTTGCCCGAGAACGCCAAAATCGCCAAAGAAGCCAAAGAGTGCATGCAGGAGTGCGTGAGCGAGTTTATCTCGTTCATCACCAGCGAGGGTATGGTTGGAGGGATTCCTTATGGGGGGCTCTTTTGGCTAACGTTGCACAGCGTCCGAGAAATGTCAACAGGAGAAGCGCAAGACGGTGAATGGAGAGGACATACTGTTCGCCATGACCTCCCTTGGATTCGAGAATTACGCCGAAGCGCTCAAGATCTATTTGTCCAAATATCGCGAAGTAAGTCTTTGGGTCCTTGTTGCTGTTGTCTTTCCTCTCCTATGTCAACTTGACAGGGAATTCAATCTGAACATTTCAACTGATTGGGATAAGACCCAATCTACAAGGGGCGAGAACCAGAACAGACCTACCAGCAGCGGGTATGGCGGCCCTGTTGGGGGCTCCAGTGTCCCCGGCGGTCCCACGACAAGCGGCTCCGGCTATGGGCAATCCGAGAATCCCAACGACTTATTGAGCCAAGGCCACGGCATGAATGCGACGGGCCACGACGCCAGCAATGCCTACGGGTATCCCGACGCCGTGCCCACCGGCCACAACGGCATCTCCAACGACACGTTTTAAGAGCGGAGGTATTGTGCAAGAGAGTCAAGGCAGCCCCTGGGCACCAGATCACAGGAGTCCACTATCTGCCGATTCCTCGAGCACGGCCGGCAGGATCATGATCAGCCGGTGGAGAGATGAGCGTGGAGGGAGTTACCAAGGTCAGAAATTGTACATGAAATCGGGAGGACAGGCTTGCTATTCCCTGGCAGAGTTGGGAAAGAGATATGTAGACTCTGTTTTGTTCAGGGCATGAGCATGCTGCGCATCTGAGTTGAGGGAAGGATCTGAAGGAAACATAGGAGTGGTCTAAGGAGGAGGCCCGAAGGCTATGAGAGGCAGAGGCCACTCAACGGGTTGAGTCGCATCAGGTAGTAAGTAGTGTTGAATGAATAGGCAGAGTCAGCAACAGGTCCATCGAGAGTCAGGATCTCTCGCGCGTCGTTCAAAGCCTGAAATACTACTCGCGCTTTTAGAGAGGCTGTCAGGAACACAGTGGAGTCTCGGTCGCAAGGCGCAGTCACGTGATCTCGATATCTAGCAGTGATAGCTTAAAATTTGCCGATGGCAAGCGCAGTTTTCCTCCTTGACCCCTTGACATCCTCACCCCTTGTCCAGAACATATTTCTCTTTTCATTTACCTAATAGTCCTGTGCTTGACCCTGGATGCTCTTCCTAAGTTCACCTCCCCATCAGTCTTTTCGGTAACTGTCACAAGATCACTTTGGTTCTGGTGTATGACCGTGACTTTTCCTTCGCTCACCACGGTCCTCTGTCGCTCGCTACAGATCAGTCCCGGAACAATTCTTCCGCCGCTTTTCTCCGTTGTATTCCTATAGTGAGCTCGCTGTTAGAGAAAAGAACGAAATGGCTCCCAAGGTGGAAGTTGAAGGTGTCACGGACACCTCATCAGTGGTTACGCGCGATCCTCTCATGACCAACGGTGCTACTCGCTCGGTCTTCACCGTGGACGATGTATTGCCGCATCGCCAGAAGTCGAAGCCTCCTCCCACGGTTGTGGCTGGCTTTGCAAACGCTTCCATGTTCAAAAGCGAAGGATGTTTGAAGAAGCCGAAGTCTCAGAGCTTTGCGCATCGTCTGTCCGGGGAAAGCAAGGCGAGAAGTCCGTCCTCGTTGAAGGGCGCCATGAAGTACTCCCGGTCTGGGACCATCAGTCTTTGCGGAGGATTGCCGTCAAGGTGAGTCGGTCCGCCTTCTTCCGGTCATTGGGTTCCTTTTCTCATGTGCTTGAAGCGACTACTTTCCTTTTGAAGAAATCAGCACAAAGCTTCCGGTGCCTCCCGAGTTTTCCGATGCAGAGGCTGTTGTCTCGGGGCGCACTGTTTCCACGGGTAAACATGATGCTCAGCAAGGCAAGTCATTGTACGATCTGTCCATCGCCCTCAATTATGGGCAATCCATGGGCCCCGGTGCGCTGCTTCGGTTCATCACCGAGCACACCGAAATCGTCCACAACCCTCCTTACTCCGACTGGGAGATTTGCATGACGGCAGGGAGTACGTCAGCCCTTGAAATAGCGCTTCGGATGTTCACCGAGCGAGGCCACTATGTCATGACGGAAGAGTACACCTTCAGCTCGGCCATTGAGACTGCGGCTCCCATGGGATGTAAAATGCTGGGGATCAAAATGGATGCCGACGGAATGCTGCCCGATGATTTGGACCATATTTTGTCCACTTGGGATGAATCCTCGCGGAGGGCTCCAAAGCCATTTTTGGTCTACACTGTGCCGACAGGGCAAAATCCCACGGCCAGTACGCAGTCCCTTGAACGAAGGAAGCAGATTTACGCAGTGGCAGAAAAGCACGATTTGTTCATCCTTGAAGACGAGCCATACTACTTCCTCCAGATGGAGCCTTTCATCTCTGGCGAAACGCACTCGGTGCCGACGCCCTTCAAGCCGGCCGCGGTGGCCGACTTCCTTAGCAACCTCGTTCCATCCTACCTCTCGATCGACTCGTCCGGCCGGGTCCTCCGTCTTGACTCCTTTTCCAAGATCATCGCGCCGGGCAGCAGGTGTGGTTGGGTCACGGGCCAGCCGCAGGTCATTGAGCGGTTCATCCGGCACAGCGAGGTCAGCGTGCAGCAACCAGCGGGCTTCACTTTGACTGCGCTCTACAATTTGTTGGAGCAGAACTGGGGCCACAAGGGCTTTTTGGAATGGCTCATGTACATTCGTGCCGAGTACACCCGAAGGCGGGACATCATCGTCAACGCGTGCGAGACTTATCTTCCGACCGAAGTTGCCAGCTGGGTGCCACCCAAGGCCGGAATGTTCCATTGGATCAACGTCGACATAACTCAGCACCCCTTGTACAGATCCAGGTCCCGCGACGGAGCAATTGACCATGCCACTCTCCTGGAAATCGAAGAATCCGTCTTCCTCGCTGGTGTTGAACAGAATGTTCTGATCGCGCGAGGTTCTTGGTTCCGGGCTCAGAGAGGTAGCGATGCGAAGTTGTTCTTCCGAACCACGTTCGCCGCCGCGCCTGCGGACAAGATCCGTGACGCCATCCGCAACATGGGCATAGCGATCAGGAAGGAGTTCGGGCTGGAGGAGAAGCAGAACGGACATGTGAAGTAAGAGAGTTCCAGGGGAGCATCAAAATAGATAGGCTGTTTCGGTCGCTTGAGCATCAATCTGAGAGCATGCTTTGTGTGCGAGTGTTGGCTCTCTAGAATCCGTGCACACGGGAAATAGGCGGATTGAACACCTTTTTGCAGGAGTTGCATATATAGACGACATAGACGGTTTGCAGCAGAGGGCGTTGGCCGGTAGTGATCTTATCATATAACACGCATCATGGCTCACGCCTGGCATCCAGATATTTACGTCTCGACCAGGAAATTGGACGTTTTTCACGACAGGAGTTCGCGCGTTTGCAGATCGTTACAAGAAAAGACGTTTGAATTCCCGGCGCTTCATACCTGAAAGCTGATCGTGTTGTTGATAACTTGCTGCCCTCGGGAGCCCGCCACTGTTAAAGGATTAAGAGATGTGATTGAGTCGTGTTGGGGAAACCGGCCTGATGCAAAGCTGTAAGCATGACTCGAGTAATTTTTTAGTCTTGGAATGGAATTAATGAATGACCAATGAGGAAAGTTATACGAGAAGGGCACAAATAGGCAAGTCAGCCGAGACGATCCCATGTTCTCCAGTATCTTCTCCATTCTCTGCTCTGGTCCCTATCTCGATCGGCGTGAAGGCTTCCTAGTAGGTGAGATTTCATATTGGTGGTGGTGATGATGATGATGATCAATCTCGCAAGATGTGCAAAGGTGCTTGCTTGCCTCCCGACCTCTGGGACAGAGGTTGCCTGGCCATCCTTCACGTCAACGGCCTGTTGGCATTGGTCAATTGTGTCGACAAACGAGCGAGTTGTATTCTCTGCTTCGTCTCCCCCCTTGGCTGATTTGTCTGCTGCCTCATATCGGTTGCAGTGTCCCGAATAGGGAGAATCCGACTTGTTCCTTGGCAGCAACGTTCTTATCTCCACACGGGAGAAACTCTGAATCAACATACTGTAACCCTATGATCGGAGACACTCCACTGCATGACACGGGTGGTTGACACAGACAATCATTATCAGGAAGATTACATTTGATACTGATCAATACACAGCTACGGCAACAAAGGAGGGAGCATTTGCTTCTCCCTGGGTACGGGGACCACCATCTGTACAATGCCAGTACGCCAACAGGGATGACGCCTGCTTCCGGACGAATCTTGGCGTCGTCTTGGTGCTGGCTCTTCGCGGAGCCCCGAGATGTTGGATCTCTACTGACGTGAGGGTACCTCAACGTGGGTATCTATCTACTCATCGTGAGATCTGATGATGGCTCGAAGTCACCGAAGCCATCCCCAGCGAGGGTCTCGCCGCCAGAAGCAACGTCCGACCAACTATCATGCTGCGTGCTATCAGCTGGCAGTCTGCCAAGCCAGGAAAAGCCTTGCCAAGCCCGGCCGGCGTGGCATCTGGACGAGTTTGGGGCAAGCGGAATCCGCCTCTGGTCTTGGCCGGCGTCGCCCTTCACCCATTCAGCGGTGGTGATCTTTCACCTGCCATAGAGTTTCGAGAGCCCTTATCGGACCCCTCCGCCATGCTGATCCAGAATCATCAGCACCCAGAGTCTAGTACAACCGTGCTACATCATCTCAGGCCATCCATCCACAATCCAGCCTTGCTCGCGGTGTGTCTCCCAGGAAGTCATCTGTGTCTCTATATATCACCCCATCCCGCTGACCCTCGTCCTTGTTGATGTGACCATATTGCTCCCCTTCGTAGTACACCATCTCCTTTACCACTGCGTCCCTCAACAATGGGTTACAACGAATGGGTGCACAACACCAATATCGCGGTTGCGCGCTCCTTTGTGGGCAGGCGCTTCCGCCTCGAAGGCTCAGGCCATCCTAAAGAACGCAAAGGTTCTCACTTTTTCACCGAGCTCCGTGCAGGGTTGGCCACGTTCTTCGCCATGGCCTATATCATATCCGTCAATGCCACCATCGTCTCACAGTCCGGCGGTACTTGCGTCTGCCCACCTGACAGCCCGGATCTGTGTGACAGTGATACGGACTATATGATCTGCGTTGCCGAGGTCCAGCGAGATCTCATCACTGCCACGGCCGCCATTTCTGCCCTCACCACATTCTGCATGGGGCTTTTCGCCAACATGCCAATTGCTTTGGCTCCCGGTATGGGCCTGAACGCTTACTTCGCATACACTGTCGTCGGATACCATGGGTCGGGCCTGGTCCCATATTCAGTTGCTGTCACGGCGGTCTTTGTCGAAGGATTTGTCTTTGTCGGGTTGACCATCCTTGGCTTGCGACAATGGCTAGCCCGAGCCATCCCTGCCTCCATCAAACTTGCTACCGGGGTGGGAATCGGCCTTTACCTGACGTTGATCGGTTTGACGTACAACGCTGGTATTGGTGCAATTTCGGGGGACTCCTCTGATCCTCTCGCCCTGGCCGGCTGCCACCCCGCAAACCGCGACGAGTTCGGAGTGTGCCCGTCTTGGGATAAAATGCGCAATCCAACCATGTGGGTTGGAATTTTCTGTGGTGGCATCCTCACCGTCATGCTCATGTTGTACCGTGTCAAAGGCGCCATCATTCTCGGCATCTTGCTGGTCAGCATTATCTCCTGGCCCCGCGGCACCCCGGTGACCTACTTCCCTTACACCGATCTGGGAGACAGCAACTTCGACTTCTTCAAAAAGGTCGTCACATTCCATCCGATCGGGCGGATTTTGACCGCCCAAGCCTGGGATGTTGGAAGCTACGGTGGTCAATTCGGACTCGCTTTCATCACCTTTTTGTACGTTGACATCCTCGATGCGACGGGAACCCTCTACTCTATGGCTCGCTTCTGCGGCGCGATCGATGAGAAAACTCAGGACTTCGAGGGGTCGGCGGTGGCGTATCTGGTCGACGCTTTTGGAATCTCGATCGGAGCCCTGATGGGCACCCCTCCGGTGACCGCGTACATTGAATCCGGCGCCGGTATCTCTGAAGGCGGGGCCACGGGGCTGACGGCCATGACAACGGGCCTCTGCTTCTTTATATCGATCTTCTTCGCTCCCATCTTTGCCTCGATCCCTTCCTATGCCACAGGATGCACACTGATCATTGTTGGTTCGCTTATGTAAGTTTACCCCTGTTCAAACCCACACCACCTTTTTTCTCCCCTTCGGGCTTTTTCGTACTCAGTCCTAGCGAATGTGGAAGGCAGTGAGAAGTTAACCCTTGTCTTTTTTTTTCTTTGCAGGGCCAAATCGGCAGCAGATATCAACTGGCGGTACATCGGGGACGCAATCCCAGCATTCTTGACGATCGCAATCATGCCGTTCACGTATAGTATCGCGTACGGCCTGATCGCCGGCATCATCAGCTACATGATCATCAACACGACGGTGTGGCTGATTGAGATTGCCACGGGCGGTCGCATCAAGCCCCCCGAGAAAGAATACAAGGACCCCTGGACATACAAGATCGAAGGCGGCATCTTGCCGCCCTGGCTCGTGCGCGCGTCCAAAGGCAAGAAGGATTTCTGGCGACCCTACGATGATCTGGAACATAATGACCCCGTTGCCACCAATGCCGCCATCAACACCGCCACAGGCACCACGCTGGAAGGACGAGAACACCCGGATATCACTGGCACCACGAACGTCCATCATGCCACCACCACGTCGGACTATGATCTGAAGGGAGGCACGACAGGAGCAGGTGCGTTCAGAAGCGGCAGCGGTAGTGCCAGCACCAGTGATGCAGGGGAGAAGGTCAAGGGGTAATCGATATCGTTGGGGCTGCTGAACCGAACATGTACCAGTGGATTGGAGAGCATGGAAAGTATACCACAATGTTGGAATCTTGAATGGGAGTTTGTCAGAATCAGAATCTTCCCCGGGTCTGACTAGGTAGGTAGGTACCCAAGGGAGGAGGTGCTTGCTCGGTTAGTCACCTGGGCATTGGGCATTGCTTTGATGCCCATGTAGATTGCTCTGACGGTTGGCTGGGGTCAAGAATGAGTTTGTGTAATGTTTGTGTTGGCAGGCTTGTACAGGATAGTGTAGTAGTAGACACAAGGACGAAATAGATTTATAAAGATATGTATCTATGGACCCGCTCCCTCGTCTGTTACTGCCATATTCCCCTTGTTCCTGTTGTCTTGTCCCCTGGTTATTAGTACTCTGGCCATGTGACGAACGATGGTGGCATACAATAATCGGAATGGCCGCCGTTGGCGCGCTGACAAGAAGGGAGTGGTGGAGAGCAACTGGGAGTCTGGGACTTCTCCTCTTGAGGACTTAAGACGGTCTCAGACGAGTTCATCTCATCATCCTCTGAACTCGAAAGACCCTTTCCACGTTCTGACCTGAGCAACCCGCCTTTCGACCTGAAGGTCCTGGGGCGCGCCTTAAGCAGCCTGTGCTGGGATCGGCAATTTTTGGATCCAGAATCTCGGAAGAGTCAAGCTCGGAACTCCCCCAGCATCGGCATAAGGGTCGAGCAGCGCCGTGGTGGCCGCCTTTTTCCGGCCATGCTGCTCCAGATATCGTATACTACCCTTGAGATCATGCGGACTTTCCGAGATCAACTAATATATCGACCAGGGACGATGCAACGTTATGAATGTGTGGGAATTACACGTCAATGTTGTTTGCTCTTGCAGTTGATTGAGTACTCAGGGGGCTACTGGATATTGTTCGGTACACAACGAGCGGTGTAAGCATGTCAGTGAGAAGATGTTACCAGCGTACCACTTTCCCGTGCTTTCCTGGTATCGTACCTTCCTTGCCTTGCTTGAGGTCACGGTAGTAACTGCCACGATGAATTGACTTAGGTAGATAGATTGCCTTCTCCTTCCTGGTAGAAGGATAGAGAATACCATACACAAATTCATGTTCACGCTTGCGCTGCCTTCACAGAAGAACTATATTGTCAATTCCAGTGCTTCAAAGAGCTCTTCACGATGGTAGACTTCATATCCGTCCACATGGTTTCCAATGCATGGTCTCGATCTGTCTCCGTGAGTACTCCTGCAGAAAACGTCAGTCTGCCTTGTTACCCATGGCTGAAGCTTCTTGATAGGAAAGCGGCACAAGAGACACTTTGTTCCCTCTTCTTTCGAGCTGCTGTAGGCGTGTGTCGGAGATCCTTGTTCTCTCTGATAGTTCAATACATTTCAAACCTGGGGTTAATTGAGAGATGTTCCCGGTTCCACTCTATTGGCATCTTGAAAGTACGCCATAAGGTACGGAAGTGAAGGTGCTGCAACCCTCCCAATTTCCATAGCTTTGACAGTATGTTCCACTGTATGCGGGCGGCTGTAGCAAAGACGAGACGACGGGTCTAATCGTTGCCCGCTGGCAGGGTGAACCTCAATGTCTTGTTTGGAGGAGATTGGCTCTTCTCCCAACCACTTCGCTTCAGTACCAGACATCCGAATTCGTGAGTGTGCTTCAACTTCCCGGTGCGATCTCCTGAACTTTGCAAGGCCTCTCCCACCATAAGTGCTGATCTGAATGCAAACACAAAACCCATGATCTTCCCTGACAACCACCATTCTCCGAACAGTAGTGTAGATCGCTTGTCCAAATGAGTCCGTCGAGTCACCGGTTGATCTTGTAGTCATCGACATTCCTCTCATATGCATGCCTGGTTCGTACCACAACACTGCGAAGACCCGCCCCGCTTTAAAGAACGACGATGGTCTCACGATATAACGCTCCAATGCGTCCTTTCTCGTGTTTGTGATGCCCGAGGTGGTATTGGCATTTCCAGCGATGGCAAAGGGAATATATGGCATATTATGGTTTGGATTGTCCCGAGAAAAAGCAAGCTCTGTAAAAAGTCTTGGTGATCCTTCGGCAACTGTTGGTCGCGAGCTTGGAGAGACATTAGATGCCGCTCCTGCCACTTGTTGCCAGGTCGAATCGCGATGCTTGAAGAACTGCTTCATAAACTGGGCATCTTCTGTGACCAAGTCGTCGAGAATCGTGCGCTGAACAGTAGGAGGGCGATCTTTCAACAATTGAAGCACCACAGCTTGTTGCACACATGTTCGTGCGAATGACTTTTCCGAGCTCATGAATGCCCTCTTCGCCTCTTCTAGCAAAGCTTGATGTTCCGTTTCCAGGATTCCCGGGTTTCTGCGAATGAAGTTGTCAACCTCCACAAAATCGAGGTAGGGTATCTTTGCAAATCGGAGAGTAAGGCCTTTAAGCGTGGTTTGATTTCGAGAACTCCCTCTACGGGGTGTTATGTCAGACTGGTCGTCCTGGTCGTTGGTGATCGGATCGGCTTGTTGCGCAGGTTGACTGAAGCGTCTGAGGAATGACAGGACAGGTCCTTGAAGCTCTGATCCCTGTCCATTGTCCTCTCCAATCACTCCGGGAATATAAGATGAGCCATAACTTGAACGACTAGATATCTATCAGTCAACCATATAGAAGGTAGATGGTAGATGGTAGAAGGAGCGATTTACTTACTGACTGACTTGGCGATTGTACGTGGATAAATGCGCTGGGTCGCTGCTTCCTGGTCGAAGGTAGGCCTGTGGGTTGCGCAATAGGAGCTCTGTGTCTAATTCAGCGTGAAAACGGCATAAGTGATTCCTAAAATCTCCTTGACGAGCAAAGAGTCTTCCGCAATCCTTCGAGGGACAATAATAACGAGAACCTCTGGGGGCCAGGGTCGAGCCCTGTTCCCAGAAACTTTGGTCATGTTGGGTGAGCCCGCCCACTGGATCCTTCCAGCTCGACATGTCGGTTGGTCGTGAAGCCACGTTTGCTGGCATGTCTTCCATCCACGGGTCGCTGGGGGGTAAAGCAATACTGATGTGGTAGACAGCGGAGGGATCCTCAGGTCCATCGTCCTTCACAACGTCTTCTCCAACCCTGGTGGCTCCATGGCGAGTGTATGGCTCATCTCCCCTCCATGCGCGAGAAAGCACAGGCGCACTCTCCTCGGCCGGGTGGCTTCCATCCAATGTGCCTTTGCGCCTGGCGAGTGGCTCAACTGTTTCTGTGCGGTATACCAGAGGTTGCCCATATTCTCTCGACGGAACTGATTGTTGGTAGGCATAAGGTGACCTTACTGCCGGTCCACTCGTAGCAAGATGAATTTGAGTTGTGGACCTGCGTAAAGCGGGCCCCGTTCGAGGCTCACTACGAGGCTCTGATATTCGGCTGGGTACAATTGTGCGTTCGAGCGCCATGACGAGGAGTTTCTTCCCCTAAAAATGGTCATTATAATGTGTCGAAAGCTTGCTTCAGCTATACACACCGCTATACAAATTGCCGTTACGTCCCGTCAAGTCACATTGAGGGTGAGCAGATGCTTCCGAGCCCGACATCACAATGTGGCAACACTCAAATTCATACGGTATGAACGAGAAGGGTGAAGATCCGAGAGTTCGACATTCAAGCATGCGGCGGAGTGGCGAGTCTCTCGAATTTGAGCTAAACGATGAACAGGCTGACAGGAGAGCCTGAGCTCAATGAAAAACGCCTCATGATTCGAGCAGACTACGAGGGCCGCTGCCTTAAGCTCATTGGATGCGTTTCATGACTGCCTGGCGAAAGGTATGGAAGCACGGTACTAAATCCCGTGGCACACCTGAGGTGTCGAAAGACCAGGTAATTAGGGAGATAGGCAAGGAGGGCGCTTCTCGTTCTCGGCATGTCAGCTCATCTTGCAACAAGACACCAATCTGATCACAGTGTGACGGACGCGCTCTCTCAGGCGTTGCATTACTATTCGCTGACAATCTTGCAGCCGGCCGTCGAGGCGTCCAACCACTTTCCAACGCTCTGCCTCTCGCGGTACGCTATCACACCTATTACCATCGGAGGTCCGTCTCTGGTAAGTGGCATCGAGCGTTCCCGCCGGCGACAGGGGTTTGAACCCTTGTTCCAGAACCCCAAGTCAGGCAGCGACTGAGGCTGGCATCCCACCGAAACTTGGTAATGCGGCGCCGTCAGCATTATCGCGGACAAGGAGACTGATTTCAAGTTGAATCTCTTGCATTCTTTCCTTTACCTTGAGAAACGACAACTCTTCGATGACCTATGCACATAATAGAGTCACCGGAACCTGGATTGGTCCTCCAGGGCGCATGAGTGTATGCAGCGAAGCCTTCACAACACGAATGGGCGCCTGGACAGGGCTGGAAGCTCCAGCCAGAGTGTTGCATCCCAGAGACGTAAGTCGAAATGACCGAACTGTTCCTCTCTGCCTAAGGTATGTGACATGTCTGACATCGGAGTCTCAGAATACGTGATCCTGAACGAGGTCCTCCCGAGTCATGATTCTCCCGAAAACAAAGGCAACCCAGACCTAGAGCTGCCGGTTGTACCAGGACATGCTGTTCTGTTCAAAGGATCAGAGTTCGCAGCCTCAAATGTCTCCATTCCGAGCTCGACACAGCAGGAACGGGCAAACAATTCGGAAAGCCTCTCAGAGAAAGAACAGGAAACAATGTCTGCTCTGGCCGCCTCGATTGCACAAACAAAGGTTACAGGATGCTCGAACGCTTCTGCGCCAGCAATACAATCAGGTACCGCCAAACAAGGAATCGATTCCCACCCCACAAGAATCGCTGAGCAAGACCAGGGCTCTCTTGGAGACTGGAGAACCGAGGAGCAAAGCGATGAACAGTCATATACCAGCATTTTGTGGCAAGCCGATATCGATCGCCATGTCCAGCACCTAGACGCTGTCAGAGCAGCCTTCCAGAATCTGGACATTGAGATGCGGAACTGGAAAATGGGCAGACGCACGGAAAGCAATATCATGCCCCCTGCCGTCGGAGTATGCATAAATACCTTCTTTCGGCATTGCGACTCCTATCGGCAGACGATATCTATCTCTGACATTGATGCCCCTGGCCCTCTGAAAGATCTCGATTTAGCCGAGAGGACAGATCAACCGCTCTTCCAGAGGGAGAGAAGTGAGACCGCTCCGGGAACAATAGATACCTCCCATATGGAGGGTGATTGGAAAAACGAGTACCTCCAAGTCGTGGAAGAGATTGAAGAGATAGAGCAGCAGGAGGAGGAAGTGAGAGTAGAGCTCCACCAACTGCAGTTTCAAGGGGAAGACGAGACTGATCCAGACGTCACCTCTGAAAGAGAAGCCCTGAACCGCCGTCAGCAGGAACTCCAGCATCAACACGGACTCGCTGTATTACGCTATCAGAACCTGTATGCTCTAGAACTCAGCGCCGACGAAGCCGACAGCGACTATTTTACAGCTCCATCAAGGCAGCAACACTCTGAATATGAGCTCGTCCCACTGCGATCAGGACCTCGCGTTGAAGAAGTTTCAGCTTCTGGCTGGAAAGTTTATTCAGACACTAGATCTGAGCCTGTCGGCGCGTCTACTATGTCTCGATATGACATGGAACCTTCGGATGCTCAAAACATTCTCAGAGAAGGGGCATCTGTGAGCGACCTCCGGAGAAGGAAGAGGGAATTATTCGATGACATGGAATTCTGCGATATGCTTATAAAAGATAAGCGCCACGAGTATGAACAGATCAAGAGTGAAGAGGATAAGAGAAAGAAAGCGAAGTACCCCATGCCGGAAGAAGATGTCCGGTTCCTGGAGACCTACGATCAGAAGATGATAAGCCTTAGGAAAAAGTGGGAGACGGACAAAAGAGCAGTCGAACAGATCGACGAGCAGTTGATGGCATGGCAAAATCAAACTCCCTGAACCGTGCCCTGCACGAAAGCTCCTCAGATCAATCGACATTCTCTGTTGGCCACGCTCAATGCGACGACCTGATTGTTTTCCACCGACATCACGGGCAGACATGCTTCATAGAGGCCAGTTCGGCTCCGCGGAAGTTGGATCAAGAAGGTCAGATGTCTTCAATGGCGACTGCTATGTGCAGCTGTAGCTTGACAGAGTAAGACTCCCTTCGTCAACCACGAGTCGAGACGTTGTCACTTAGTGATTCAACATTCCTCGAAGCCGTCACGTCAAGGACATCGTTTCCGCCTTTGGCGCCCTCCAAACCGCGCAACCAGTGTTGAAATCAACGGGCGCCAGTCCTCCTACTGCTGTCATCATTGCTGAGATTCCGATTGTTCTCTGACACGTTTTCGAAGTTCGTCTCTGCGCGCGAAGAACTTCTCCATAGCCTCACGGTCTCCGTCGATCAGAGGTTTGAAATATTCCCGCAGCACCTCTCTTACCAAAACCCTCGATGTGTAATTCTCAAGCAATACTGCTTTGCTCACGCAGCTGCGCATGACTCCGCCGAGATTTTCCGCCTGAGCAGCTGATGCAGCTTTGATAAAAGATTCCACAGGGACCGAGAGCACGTTTGGATGCGTATCCATGAACTCATACCAGGCGTCGAAGCCGTCTCCACAATTGTAAACGAATTCGAACGCGACATCCGGAAGGCCCAAGACGTCCTTGAGATCAGATTTCGAGGCTCTTTGCTGAACAGTACGCTGGCCTTGCTGCGTTGGTTGGGAAGTCCTGCTGCTCTCCAGCTCGGAGACTGTATCACCAGTCGATTTGGCAAAATTGGAGGGATCTGATGAGACCACGGACGGGTTGCGGACTCTTCCGGCTTCCGACATGGTAGAAAGTAACGAGCTCACCCCGGAACGAGCAAGAGCTCCCGCCTGGGCCAACGACGAAGGCCTGTGTTGGGGCAAAATGATTTGCGGCAATGACCCCTGTACGCCATCATCTCTCCTCCTTTCTCCAGGACGTTTATTGCCATCGATCTCGAGATCAATCCGTATATCCCTGGAGATTTGGAAGACATCTTGAGGCGCCTCGTAGGAGCCCTCCCATTTCTCTAAGATGTCTTTGAATATTGGATCAGCTGGTAACATCCACGATAGACCTGTTTCAGGGCTGCCCGCGACGATGACACCGCATATGACTGCAGAGTCCGGCTCGATGACCCATGAGCCGCACGAACCCACGCCTGGTGATCAAACTCTATCAGTTCTCCGGGGGAACGATTGCATGCTTTGGGGGATCTGGCATTCATACCTAGCTCACAATCCAACAGCCACGCTTGGACAAATTTCCCCGACCATGGCAGGCAGATGTTAGATTTCATGCCTAGTCCGACACCTGCCTCTGGCCCACCAGGGCCACTTAGTACGATGAGGTTACCGCCAGGAGCTTGCTTTTTGTTGTAACCTGGGCGTGGGATGAAACTGGTGCTCTCCGAGAGCCTCGTGATATTTGAGCGCCAAAGTCGAGGGTTGGTTATTTCAAACAGTGTCCAGTCCAGGGAAGGATTGTAGAGCCTGGTAGGATCAATGACTGTTGAGTCGCGGTGAAAGACGTTGCCGATATGCTGATCTGAGGCCTTCAGCACTAGATGACGATTTTCAAGATCATAGACCTCGTCTTCTTGGTGAATAGAAAACATGGCATGAGAGGCGGGCGCTTCGGGAGTGATGTTGCTTGGATGAGGCCTGTTTCCGGCGCCAGCGGCCGACTGGAATTGCCTTGCATCACTCAGACTGTGACCGATACCTATGTCCTCTTTGCTGCTTGTGGTTTGTTTTCTTCGATCAAATAAGTTGAAGAAGACATGGGCTGATGTTAGCCCGTAGTAGCTTTCCGGGCCGAACTTGAGCACCCCACCCAGTGTTGCTCGTATGCCCTGAGTTTGGCTGTCGATTGGAGGTCTGCAAGCAAGCACATGCTTTCCACAGACGCTGTCAATGTTCCAGGCGGGGTAGCCTGGATGGGGTCCTTGCGATGGACCGTCGCCGGCAAGAATGAGTGGCCCTTTCAGAGCAAGGTATTGGAATCCAAACCTCCTCATCTCATTGCTCATGCTAAGAACCTTGACAGCCCCCTTGGCTTTCTTTTTGTCCTCATGATAGCAGACGATGAAGGGTATGGCCTTGCGCCTCTCCGCCTTGCTGAGCATGAGCAGAACATGGGAACAGGTATAGCCCAATCCGTCCGAGTCCCGCACCAAAGACTCGTTTTCCTCATCCCCGAGGATTTTCCCAACCTTGAAGTCGATTTCCTGTTCCCAACGCTCCAGTAGACAGCCTGCAGGCGGCCAAGCTTGCCGTCCATCAAATTTCTTCCTCAAAAGGGTCTGACCAACGCAGAGCAGTCGCTCTGCCTCCGGTAGTGTGCTCCAGCATTGAAAGACCATTGTTGTTGATGCTGGGATGGCAATGCCGGGCATTGTCGACCTTTTCTAGTGCATGGACTGCGGCCTTGATTTCAAGGTGGCTGATATGCACAGCAGCTATTGAAGGTGAATGACTTTCCAAACCAGGGCGCAATGGTGACTGTTGAGGTAAGTGGACGCAGCTGCAACTTCGTTGCCCAAAAGGCAGCGAGTCTATCACACTAGCCAGGATGGCTTCTGCAGGTTGCTGCATCGCCCTTGACCAGCTCGACACACTCTCAGCGCTAGGTCAACCAGAATGAGGCTGCGCAAGTCATCGACACACGCTCATTTGCTGGCTGTGCGTTGGCCATGCTCGAGTGCAGTGGTGGCAATGCCGCGAGCGCCAAATGAACCCCGGACACCCTCACCGGTCACACTTGCCACGAGGTGTAAAAAGCTGTCTTTGATCCTCATGCGCTGCTGCATGTGCCTTTGAACTTCAACCTCCAAATCACGATGAATTGTTTTAGCCATCAGCCGGAAAGGAAGGACATCATCTGCAAGCTTCTCGCAGGTATTTGGCGTGTTCTGCCGCCCGAGCCGAAGGAGACCGCCTCCCTTACCTGGGATGAGGCTGAAGCGTACTTCCAACACTATCAAAAAGTGCTGCAGGACCGAGGACTTGTTGATGGGATTAGTATCAGCTTCTCCGGGATTGACAACACAGCCGAAGAAGTGATCAGATTTGTCCACTTTGTGCGGGCGCGATGGGACAACCCGGTTGACCAAATCGAGGATGCCATTCGAGATCATCCACCACCCTTTTTATTGAAACCGACCCCAGATTCTTCACGAAAAGCATTGAGACTGGCCCTACGCCTATGGCTTTTCATCGATCCAAACCTCTTATCTCCTGTTATACAACAGCCACAACCGGGGCAAACATCGAGCGGCATCAAGCTCTGTGAGGCAGTTTCAAGATCAGTGTTGCCACGGAGCACTCCAAAGCTGGAGACACTTTCAGGGGACTTCTCTGCAAAGAGCTTGATACGGAAGGGCGGCTTTGACTTTCAATCCACGGGGAATTTGGGCGAGCATTTGACGTTTGATCCGCATTGCCGATACAGGATCAGAGTCTTTGGCTGTGCCCGAGCTCTTGAAGTCGACAGACTGTCGGAGGATATGTGAGCGCAACCCTAGAGTTTGCCTAGAGAGCTGCGAATACTGACATGCATTAGGAACGTATACCCACGGGACTTCGTGGTCGAGGTGCAGAAGACCCTACAACTACTTTTCCCCACCGCTGGCCGCAAGTCTGGCAAGCGTACACGGAAGTATGTCAAGAGATATCGAGCGGACATCGAGGCCCCGATCGTGGGCATGGACAGGATCAGCCTCAGCACGTATCCGGTCTTCGGTGAAAGGCTGGAAGACATCCAGAAGCGGTACAACGACTCCACACAGAGGTTGCTTCGGCAGTGGTATTACGACAGGCGCAAGCGCGTCGAGTGGGCAACCTTTGTCGTTGCCATTCTCGTCTTCATCCTGACCGTGGTTTTCGGGCTGGTCTCATCCGTGACGGGAATCTTACAGACTTACGCGGTATACAGGTGGCATGGTTGACGTTGATGCACTGTAATCATGACGCTGTCACGCAGTCATATGCTCGGCCGTCTAGGTGTGAGATAAGTCAACTAGTAGGTCTGAATTTCGCTCAACATGATGCCAATGGACATACTTCTTTGACCGCTCCACTATACAGACTGTAACGTCCTCCTGATGTCGGGTTTGATCGAGCATGATTAAAGAGAAGGAAGGTCAACCTGACGAGCTCAATCTTCGGACTGAGAAGGCCACCTGTAGGCTGAGTCGAACTTGAGCAGAGAGGCATACATACATGATGCCGAAGAGCAGAAGGGACGGAACGTTCAAGTCACCCTGTCACCCTGATACCCTGATAGGGATGGACTTCAAATAAACCTAATAGATATATTAGGGTTCCGATAAGATAACAGATCTAACGAGGCTAATAGTCTCTATTAATTAGATAAAGTACCTTAGTTAGTCATTTAACGTTAACCGGCGATCCACCTTACAAAACAGTGGCACCGCAAAATGATATAGGTGCCTACCTAGGAGGTAAGCAGTCCTAAGGCTAATACAACAGGCGTTCTTCTGCAGCATAGGTGTACTACTGCCTATTGAAGGTGTGAAGGGCGCGTCTATTAAGATCTAATAGTACTTCTTTATAGGGTGGCCCCCTAGTAGGTAAGTAGTCCTAAGGTTGATACAACAGGCGTTCTTCTACAACGTAAGTATACTACCGCCTGTTGAAGTTGTGAAGGGCGTCCCTACCAATATCTGGCGTGCCACTTATTCTGTATGGTGGCCTTGCCGTGTATTTGAGTGTGTCAAACCCAAAGACGTTCCATGGTTGTACCATCAATTAACAGATTCTCAACAAACTCTCAACAAATCCTCGTATCAACTTTCTCCGTCCACTTAGCAGGTCCTTTCCTATATTAACCTACGTACGCTCGCCTTCGAATTCCTGAGAATCCTGTCAACCACCAAGACATTATAGAGAAAATACGGATACAATGTCTACAGCGAATACTGCTCTCTTCTCTCCCGACGATGAGCAAGACCTTCTCCGCTCTGGCCTGCTTACTCCGTCGATCGGTGGAGTACGAAGAATCCATAAGAGACGCCTTAACAGGTCCAGTGAGGAGGCTCCTACCTCCCACTCTCGCCTCTCCCGAGTCCGCCCAGTGCCCAGCAGACAGCCCAATTCTTCACCATTCCTGACAATTCAATCTCACTAGCGACACTCCAATACCTCGGTTTCGATGATGAGGCAGCGAAGAAGATTTGGGACGAATGGACAAACTGGCCTGCAGGACCAATCTTGCGAGAGATAGACGACGACGGTGATTGCGGCCGACTAGCTATGACGTTCATCGATTTTGCAACAGGCCGCGCGCGAGAAGATATCGATACTTATGACGAAGAAGATCAGTCTTGGTTCGAATATATGTCTCGTTGCGGCATTGCTCAAAGTCTTCAACAAGCAATCATGGATCCTGTCTTTAAGAAGATTCGATTATCCAACACGTGCATGTACTGGGTTCGCGACACTATGGAGCTACGATATGAAGGACTTGAAGAGATCCGCACAGCTTCTTGGGAACGACAATTGGCTATCCAACGCTCGCGGCCCGAATCCGGCTCTCGTGGACCAGGGACGCAGGAAAAATCACGGAGTGGCACCGACACTTCACAAGGTGCCAGCTCCATTTCTGCCTCACAAACAAGCAAGCCCGGCATTTCTCCAATGACTGCCATGTCTGATGGGGCCATTGCATCAACGAATGCACCAGGTTTTGCAGTTCTCTTTGAAGGTATTAGCCAATGTCGCGTGGAGGGCCTTCTTGATGATGACGGGAACCTTGCAAAACTCCATAGACTGATTACACGACCATCTACCGACTTTCTTGGTAGAGAATCAGGTTACTGCTTCACTACTGAGAGGGAATTTGCGGTCTATTATGCCTGCTATGCAAAACGGCGCGACCCGACTGGGTTGGCTGTCATCATCTGTGTCAAGGTGCCTAACTCAGCCATCGAATCCCTTTCTTCGGCACAGCTTCCAAAGACCTATTGGCCCAGTGAAGAGTGGCGGCGGCTGGTATTTACCTCAAAAAACTAGACTAGGCTTCCTCCAGACCTTCGCAAGTATCAAACCGCCCAGCTGATCATTGGTACCGTTGCCAACAGACCAATGGAGCTTTTTCACAAAATGGAGTCCCCCACTGAGATAACCCAAAACATGGTCTTGCAGACCAGCGACGGCCGAGATGGCATCCAGTTTGTCTTTCGCCATGAAGGGGAAGAACTCCTGGAAATGCATGCACGAACGAGTCTTCAAGTCCAGCCTCTTACAACTCTGGAGTTTGAGACCTGGTATAGCAAAACTTCATATTATGATCGGGTAGGCGCCCCGATCATAACAGATATCAATCATAGATTCAGAATCTCTAGAAATAGTACCTAGGATTAAAGTCCTTTTTGTATCCAGGGCGGCCCCCTAGGCGACAGTAGACCTACCTGTTTGTGATTTTATTCTAGGTATTGTTCGGGGAATACTCTGAGATCCTCTCGTGGGACGTATAGACGCTGGGGCTCCTACCTAGACACCTATATCATTTACGATATCACTTGTTTTATAAGATGGCTCGGGGGTCGACTCCCAAAGTCTCCCTTACCATATCTTATCTGAGATAGTTGATAAATAAAACGAATAGATATACTAGGGTCCTAATAAGATAACAAACCTGACAAGGCTGATAGCCTCTATCAATCAGATAGATTGGTTAGTAATCTAGATAACCGGATTACCCGATTAGGATCCCTTCGATTCGGATAAGGGGACATCTCGGGCATCGAAAGGACTCTACGGCGATTAGAAGTAGGAGATGAGTCGAGGGAGGCATCTCATTACAACGGAATAGGAGAATCGATCCTTTACCTTTCGTCGGCAGAAACATCGATCCATGATCAAAGTATCCATCATGGCTTCAGCCTCCAGGAGAAGCGGGCACGCTTGTTCAAACTGCCACGCCCGCAAGGTCAAATGCGATCTCCCGCAGCGATCAATACCACCATGCAGCCGATGCGAAGATGCTGGTCTCTCGTGCTTTCCATTGACCAGAAGGAGACGCCCAATAAACACCATCAATAACACAGCATCGCCGACGGGGCAATCCGAGACCTGGTATGTAACATGTTACGTTCTGCTAGCCAACTCCGTCTCAGTTTGGGGAAACGGTCGAGCGTCAGTGCAAGGCTTACCGGCTTCATCTAGGTCCGCTCAGAGACTTGAAACCTCGAATAATCACGCCACTGAAGAAGGCCGGCGTCATGACGACGCTCGAAGGATCAGTACGACTACTGCCGCAAGAGAACCGCCCAAGATATCCAGCAGCCTCGGCAGCGGTGACCAACCAAGACGAATGGTCGTCGGAGGCGGAGGGGATGTATCCAAACAGTATTCCACTCTGGTCGATTTCCTCTCCCAGGATTTCTCCCTCGGAGCCATCAACGACTACCAAGTGACCTTCAACGACAACTATGCCACGATAGCCCGCCTGCTGGCCAACGAGTTCGGTCAGGGATTCGACGATGGCGTGTACCATCACCGCGACGCGCCGTTTGTCAAGCGCTCCAACGGCAGTCTTCCTCGCAGCCTGAGCCCCTCTGAACAAGCAGTGCTGGAACTGCAAGGCTCGTTCATCCTACCCAGTCAATCGATCGCGGACTCCTTCGTGGCCGCCTTCTTCGACCGCGTACATCCTATCTTGCCTATCCTCGACAAATCCAATTTCATGAAACGCTATTATAGCATGAACACGGAGTCGACGGGCATCTCTCTGCTCCTTTTACAAGGCATCCTTCTCTCGGGCTCTACAACATTCGCATCACCTCTCCTGGACGAGCCGCCCGAAGAGGTCAGCCAGAAGCTCTATGTCCGTGCCAAAGCCCTCATCGAGAACCGATTCGAACAGGATCGTCAGACTCTCGTTCAGGTGCATCTCTTGTTCAGCACGTTCGGCTCAGATAGTTGCGACGATACGATCCAGAACATGTGGCTGTCCATTGGTTCTGCGGTGCGCATTGCACAGGTATGTTTCTACAATGCTGGCTAGTAACGTTGCAAGCATGTCGCTTACTTTCAACAACAAAGGGCGTAGGAATGCACCGGTCCTTGGGAAAAGCCAGTGCCAGTCTCGCCATGCGGCGTCAGTGGAGGCGGATATGGTGGACATTGTTCGTTCATGATGTGAGTTAACTCCCTCTTGGCTCTTGCTCTGTTAGATCATCGCAAGACTTCAACCTTAAGCTAACAGAGTCACAACCCAAAAAGACTCTCTGTTCATTTGAGTAAGTACCACCCCCCTTGACTTCTTTCCGTTCAAGTGGAGGCGATTTAAAAGCTAATCGAGCGTACAGATGGGGTCGTCCTCGTGCCATGTAAGTCAAATCCGAATCCAGAATCAGACAAGCCAGCAGTGTGACGTTCATCTCTACTCTAAGCCCCTGAAGACTTTGAATATCTCGCATCTACATTTTCAAACGCGGCAGTAGCCCATCTAATTTGAACTTACTCATTTGTTATCTGCCCACAGAAACCTAGCAGACTGCGACGTCGAAGAACTCGCCGGATCTGACTTCGAACCTGAGGAGGCCGGCTTCCTCGCCTCGCACGAACACGTCCAACTTTTCCTCAGCCTCGTCAGGCTCTGCATGTTCGTCGGCCAATGGCTCGACCTCCTCCGGCCCAGTCGGTACCAAGTTCAAAGTTCTCCCCTAGGAGGCGGCTCTGCCGTCTCCGTCGCCGTGGACCGACTCGAGAAAACTAAACTTCTTCTGGATGAACTGTCCCATTTCCACGATAGCCTACCCACCAGTCTCCGCGCCCCTCCTCCCGGGAGTGGTGGGTTCTCGTTGTGGTCGGGAACTCTGCATATCGTGTACCAGGCGGTGCGATTGCGTCTGTCCACTCTACTGCCGCAGTGCGATGATCTGGTGTCTCAATGCGCGGCGCGGATCATTGACATCTGCGCCGACCTCGATCGGCAAAGTCTGCTGTACTCTCTGTGGACGTTCGGCATCCACGAGCTGGATCTGGCGTTGGGCCAGCAGGCGCGAAGAGCGAATAGCTCGGACCAGCAGACGTCAAAGCACGGCTTAGACTGTCTCCTGAAGGGACTGCCTTTACTGCATAAATTGAGGGGTCGCAGCTCCGTGGGCAATCAGGGCATCATGTTCTATGATCAGCTGGTCGAGAAAATCGAGGCTAGGCATCAAGAAAGGGCCAGGAACGGAAGTGAGATGATGGCAGCGACTCCGACCGTGCCATACAACGAGGATGTGACCATGTCGAGAAGCAATACCACCACGGATGAATGGCCGTTCAGTTTCAACTCGGCCGAGATCGCCTGGGAGGGTCTAGAGAATTCTCAGAATGGTCATCCGTGGGGATGGGAGTGGAACCCCGTTCATTGATGAAATATACTGCTGAACATGCTGGATAGATCATAGTTGTCTACAGTGCAATTGCTCGATCATATTTCCTCAAATCCTCGAATTCGTAACCTCTGCTCGAGTATCGTGTACTAGCACCACTAACCTAGATTCTATTGTCCCCACCAAGGCCATCAAGTTGACATCTGCTCATTTCTCAATCAATCCATCGACCTAACCTCTTGCACGGGACCCAGAGGACCTTTCCCCTCGGCGATCTCTTCCTTTTCGTGTTCCCTAAGAACCTGCTCCGGAGGAACCGTTCCATCCACCAAAGACTTCTGCTCTACTTCCTGGGGCACGATGACCGAGTCCTCGAGGAAATAGTTGGTCTGTCTCACGTACAAGGCAATGACGGTGTACAGACTGATCACCCCCGCCACGTACAGGACCAGCTGAACGATGATCTGCTTCTTGAAGTTCATACCCTGGGAGTCGATGGTGAAGGAAATGCACATGCCGAAACTGACCGTGCCTTTGAAAGCTCCGGCATATCGAGCGCAGAGAGCAGGGTCATTGGTGAGGGCGGACATCGTCCACTGAACGGCGATTTGGAAGCACGCATTGACGATGCCGAAGAGAAGGTAGAGAATGAACCCGGCGGCAAAGGCGGAATCGGACCAGTCAACCCCTGGAGCCGGGTTGTGGCGGTCAATGTCGTTGGCATACGTCCAGCCCATCAAGCCAGCCGTAGCGCCAAAGGTAACCACCGTGACAAAGGTGGCTCCCAGCAGACCTTTGGACCGTCGGGACGCGATCTTCTTATTGTCCATGATCCAAGCCAAGAATATCGGGGCCGGGATCATGATGAACTGGAACAGAAGATTGTTCAACGATCTCGTTCTCAAGTTGAAATAGTATCCTGTTCCAAGAGAAGAAAAGCTTTGTCAGTCCTATCACTTTCTCGTTGTATTTGTCATGCAGAAACAGAGACAACAGGAAACCTGCTTACCGTTGATACTGCTCGTCAGGGCAAGGCACATCTCGCCCACAAACATGGCCGGCAACAGGAGAACGATCTTGGGATCTATCAACACAGACAAGATTCCCTTGAGCTCGTCCTTGAAGTTGGGGTGCTTGAAGATGGCAATATGTCGACCGTCATCTCGGACTACATCCTCCGGATCCACAATGAGCACCAGGTCCAAGGCAATGGCTCTGTCATGGCAAGTCAGCAAAGCGTCTTTGATATGACTTCCGAAACAGTAGATATCCCACTTACGCGCACATGATGACGATGAAGACCACGTATACTGGAGTCGACACTCCAACCGCCGCGGTCTGGCCATAGTTGGCGCCGAAAGCAATGAGTGCTCCAACTGTGCTGCCGGACGAGGTCAAAACCCACTGCCAGGTGATATACTGTGTTATTGTCAGGAAAAAAGTTCCCCGGCGTATCCTCGTACTGCAAGTGGCAGACTTACCTTTGCTTTGTCTGTTTCTGTAGGATACGCGAATTGAATGAACCCGGAAGCAGTCCACAGCAACGCGGCACAGAACCCCAAGATGGCACCAGCTTTCAAGCAGGAGAGTGTCAGTTTGTCCAGTTTCTCTGCAACGATCCTATTCCCCAAACTTACCTGCAAGAGGGAAGGCTTCATTCCCAACACGGTCATAGTACCATAGCGACGCAACGTAGAGGGGGTATCCCACCGCTCCGATTGCGCTGTGCCAGACGGTCAGTCCATATCCAGCTTCCACCCTCCAGTACCACCATCTCTAGAAGGGATAGCAACATACATGGTATATTTTGGTTTCAGGTAATTGAGTAAACCTCCAGCGAGCCAGCCCATGAGAGTGTAGACGCCGTAGAGAATTCTGGGCTTCAACGTCAGCGCTCCATGACTGAGAACGAGGCAACGTGGAACCTCAAATGGTCTCAGACGTACGAGTTGGTCACTGAAGCAACGTGCTGTGAGCTGGGTCGACCGCCGCCGGCTCCCAGGCCGGTCAGCGCGAGGTAGATGCCAGGAAGGCAGAACAGAATGCTTTTTCTCCACATTAGAACCCTCTTCACTCGATCCAACGGGGTACTTGTCCCATATCTTGGTAGAGCATTACTTACCATCCCATAATGAAGTTCTGATTGAATGGGCGGTTAAGCCGAAGCTTGCCCTTGAAGATTCTGTCCAAGATCATGATTGCGGATTGGTGTTCCCCTTCTTTTCCGTCGTTTGGATCTGTTGCCGGTGGAAAAAATGAAGAAGTGACCTTGACCTGGTCCCGCACGAAGTGGTCTACTTATACACGACATGCCAGCGCATCGCAATCTATCATGTCGTTGATATGCAGAGAGGGTGTCTGTTGGGTTGACTGCCCCCTGTCAGTACAGTGCTATCTTACTACTGCAGAAAGGGGGTGGGGCAAGGCTATCAAGATCGACGATGATTGGGCCAACCTGTTCCCCGGCCGAAGCAGATCGTTCGGCGTCTCGTCGGTGTTTGATTGTCTTCCTGATATTCCAACGCCGCGCCGACGCCGAAGGACACAAGCAGCTTGCGCACACACGGCAGAGGGGCGATCGTCCAAGACCATGCCACAATGGTGGAGGGGAGGGTGATCGCTTCTGCTGCGCTGAGGATCACCCACTGGAAGACTAGGAATCCTGCAAAGGCTTGACTGGGTCGATATAAACCATGTTGGAGAAGGTAACTCTTTCTCCATGACCTCCCATAGCGGTGTATCCATGAGTACTACTGGAGGGGCTGACGAAACAAGAACTTCTTTCACAATGTCTCCCAATGGTGTCTCCCCGGACGAGAGCCAGCTGAATGCCCGCATTCCCCCTCCCAGCGCGCAGTACGACGATGTGGCCATCTCGTATAATCGGCTGCAGGAGTCTTTCAAAAAGCAGTGGCCTCCACGCCAGCGACTTGAAGTCCCCGAGTTCACCAAGGACGCCAATCCCCAGGATTTGATCGATGGTCTTAAGAGAGTTGGGGGTGTTATTGTGCGAGGAATTGTATCACCGGAGCCCCTGGCGCAGATGGAGAAAGACATTCGACCAGCTCTGGAAGCAGATGCTCCATGGGATGCTGGCGACAACTTCTTCCCTCCCACGACTCGACGAGCGTTTGGGCTAGTGGGCAAGTCCAGAGCATTCGCTCTCGACATCATCGGCAACGAACTGTACCAGGAGGTCTGCGCCGCGTTTCTAACCACCAAGTCCTACCCATGGTACGGGAACCGAAACAACGTCAACGTGTCGCCCCCGCAGGTCAACAATACCATCGCCTTCTCCGTGCGACCGGGGAGGAGTTTCAACCAGCCCCTGCACCGCGACGACGACATCCATTACGGCGATCGCCCCAGAGTCGACAAATACCCGGATCAGACCAACGCCCGGGAGTTCGGCATCGGCTTCTTCGTGGCAGGCACCAAAACAACAAAGGCGAATGGCGCCACGCGTTTCATCCCCGGAAGCCATCTCGAGGACACCTGTCAGCCTCCTGACGAGTCCTGTGCTCAATACGCAGAGCTCAACCCCGGCGATGGATTCATCATGCTCTCGAGTTGTTACCATGGAGGAAGCGCAAACACGACAACAGACCAGGAACGATTGCTGTTCAGTTGCTTCATGACCAGAGGTTGGCTGCGTCAAGAGGAGAACCAGTATCTTTGTGTACCTTGGGATGTGGCCCGCTCCTTGCCCGTCAGGATCCAGAAGCTCCTGGGATACGCCATAAGCGAAGTATGTTTGAACCCTTTCTTTAGCCCTGTCTTTTTGTCTTGCCTGCTAATTAGTTCTCGGCAGCCAATGCTCGGTTGGGTCGACTTCAAAGATCCTAGGATGGTATTGGACCCAACCGCTGGTGAGCGTGTTGCACATGGGAAAGAAAAGTTGAAGGTTGGAGCTGGGGCTTCGGCATGATGGCTCGGCTAAGCAGTCTTCCATAGTCTCCTTCACGACGCATCCAACCTCCATGATCTGGATAGTGGACTCGTGATTGAAAAGTCTTCTGCTGACAACTCACATGCATGTAGATTCCCGTCTTCAGAAGATATTTCTCTTCAGTTGCTCACGCCTTTGTGTGCCTCTGTGACCCGCTTAGGCCCCACTTTTTCGTAGTTGGAATTGATTTTGAGCTCAACGGCACCTGGGAATTAGATGGTCAATTGCGTCCTAGTAGGGGACTCGACGACCTTTAACCATACGTAGGCTTTTCGTGGGTGCCAGTTCCTGTGGCTAAGGACTCTTGAAGTGTGAGCCTCGGAGCCTACATGTATCGTGAGGCTGCGGGGTTAGGGGGCGAGAGGGGGCTATGGGGCTGTTTAGGCCACTACATGATTGATGGCTGAGGGAGCCTCCTTAGCCTAAGGCCTCCTAAGCCTGGGGATCACCTTTAGATACTCGTTATACTAGTAGGTAGGAACGTGGCGCCAAGGTAACTCCTAGCTACATACCTAGGTAATTACTCGTGCCCTGTGCACAGAGGGATAAAACACTTACCACCTACTTACATCCCTACCTAGTCTACTGACACGTCTTGATGACATTGGCTAACGTGAATACACGTAGCCCTTGTGACTCCTTCTATCCTTCCAGGACCTTGGGGTCCTACAGGGGACAGAATTCATCGAATCATCCTCGCGGCTTTGCTAACCCATGTCTCGTCGGCCTCACAAGAAATCCAGAAATGGCTGCGTTGATTGCAAACGACGGCACATGAGGGTACGTCTGCTCATCCTGAGCCTATATCGAGCCGCAGGACTGACAAGGCGCTGAAGTGCGACCAAAATCACCCAATATGCGGTAACTGTGGCGCAGCAGAGATTCGCTGCTCGTTTCTCGCCAGAGAGACTCCCTACATGGTGCCAGCCTCAGCCTTCTCCCATTTCCATGAACAGGGAGCAGAGTCGGGTACTGCCTCGACCGCCGCTTCAACACCGGCCCCAACGCCACAGCTCGACATCCTCACCAGCAACCAGGACCCGGTGGACGCCTACCGCGTAAATATGACCCATCTCGAGCTCTTCAACAATCTTTTCAGCAAAGAATTTCTGTCCATCGACGAATCAGAACAGCCAGACGACATACCAGTTACCATCTACAGCAAACACGCTCTCACGACGCCATATCTAATGCATCAAGTCCTCGCAATTTCGGCCTTACATCTCAGCACCAGGACTAGTGAGTCTTGTGAGTTTTACCGCGAATATGCCGCCGGCCTGCAAAATCGAGCTCTATCGCTGTTCAATGAAAGCAACCCGATGCTGGAAGTGACCCCTGCCAATTGCGTTCACATGTTCTTATTCTCGTCTCTGGTGGGGGTCCATCTTCTGTGTGACACACTACATTACCAAAGAGACAGCTTCGAAGGATTCATCGATAGATTCACACATTGTCTAAGTGTTTCTCGTGGTGTACTGACTGTCATGGAACACAGCTGGCCCCTGCTGCGAGAGACAGAGCTTGGACCTCGTCTGGAATGGTCTCAAGTCCTCATGCAATCGACAGATGAGAGTGGCTCCGAATGTGCTGCACTCCACGATCTGATCAACGCTACGGATGCAAGCCCATCTTCGCGAAAGGCCTATCACGAGTCAGTCTTGCATCTGCAACAGGTCTTCAATGCGCAGCGTGTGGCGCCAGGACACAAGATTCGAACCCCTCTGGTGTTGAAATGGCCGATACTACTATCACCCGACTACGTAGCTTTTCTGCGCCAACAACAGGCGGAAGCCCTTGTCATCCTCGCCCACTATGCCGTGCTACTCCATCGCGGCCGGGATTTGTGGCTGATTGGTGAGGGTGGTCGGTTCCTGATCGAGTCCATTTGCAGCAGCCTGGGTCCTGGCTGGCAGGAATGGCTGAAATTTCCCCGGGCCGCTCTTGAGGAGGACTTGACTGCTGACAAGCCAAGTTGGACATGAAATAAATGAGAAGACCCGCATCTCTTCTTCCATCCTCGGCGAAACGAACGCTCCTCCATAAAAAAGGGTCCCGCCGCTGCGCCTCACGGAGTTTGAATCACTATGTCCATTTGCAACTAGGTCATTGACCAGACTGCAGCAGCATGGGTCAAACCCCGTTTCGAAACAATCTCAGAATCCACGGGGCAAGACCCTAGATTGTTAGTGTACGCGTACACTAAACCTCAACCGGGAGCGGATCGGGACGCTATGCCCAAAGCGGGCGTATACACGGACACTAGAATTCCCAGGCGGCAAGGCTGTGGGATGCTCGTTGGATCAAGAGTGATTAGCCATGTACAGGCTGGATTTCTACATCCTCGACTCGCTGAGATGTATGCCCATTCAACATGCATATATATACACTTTCTCTTCTCTCGAATTCCCGCCACCGACTTCGACGCATCAGGTCTTTCCCCAACGCTCAAGTTGATCTAACTCTGAACGAATATTCTGTGAGCCCACATACCGGTCAATCTTTATCATCGACTGCTTAAAGATCCCCAAACCCCTTGCACGACTGCTATCTTTCTCCTCGGTCCAGCAACATACATAACAACAACAACAACAATAACAACACGACAATGGCCCGGCTCGAGCCTTTGGATGGATACGACAATGTGTACCTCTGGAAATACCTTCCTTCTGTTCCACCGGGAATCACATTTCTTGTGCTATTCACTGCCGCCACCATTCCTTACAGCTGGCGCATGGTTAGAACACGGTCCTGGTTCTGCATCCCTTTCGCTTTTGGCGGAATTTGTACGTTCTATTGTTCCCACCTGTCTCCTTTGCTCTGGCCTTGACCGGTCAACGCGGCCAAAAAAAGGATCCAGTCATCGACATCCGTTTTCTTGCTGAACGTGCTTTTTCACGCAGGTCAAATAATAGGCTACGCCACCCGCATATATTCGCACTACTTTACCAATCAGCTCGCGCCCTACGCGATCCAAAGCAGCTTCATCCTCCTTGCGCCCGTCTTCTACGCTGCCACCATCTACATGATGCTCGGACGTCTCATTCGCAGCGTGCACGGGGAACGGTTCTCCGTCGTCCGTCCCAAATGGATGACCGTGGTGTTTGTCACCGGCGACTTCCTCTCGCTAAACATACAGGGGGATGGTGCCGGGCTGACAGTCAAGCAAAAGACGAAGCAAATGGGGGAAGATATCGTCATCGCGGGCCTACTTCTCCAGGTCTTTGTGTTTGGATTCTTCGTGGTCGCCGCGGTCGTGTTCCACCTGAGGATGCGGAGACATACCACCAAGGATTCCACTTTGACGTCCCCTGTGCCGTGGGGACAGGTATTGATGGTCCTCTATGCCTGCAGTGGTCTCATCATGGTCAGATCCATCTACCGCATCGTCGAGTACGTGATGGGTATGGATGCGTATTTGCTCTCCAACGAGTGGCCAACGTACGTCTTCGATGCCGCGCCCATGTGGGTTGTCCAGGTCATTTCCTTCGTCTGGTTCCCGGACATGTTGCAGCTTAAACGACCCGACAGCCCCGAGGATGGGCACGCGCTTGTGGAGAATCAGTCGCCAACAAAAGAACGCCCGGGTCCGACAGCAAGAGATCTCGGACGCTGTCGGGACTCTTTCTTTTCTACCAGACAGAATGGGGGAGGGGCTGTTGATATGGATTTTGAGAACTTGTCCGCACAGGGTGTGGCCGATCAGATAAATATACGCTGCAAATCGTCGTCTTGAGGCCCGGTCACCGAAAACAATGTCAAGGTTATGTTGGTTGCAAGAACCGAGAGTGATCAAGACAGATATCGGCTAGGGTTGATGTGGCTGTGCAGCAGAGCTGACGGCCCAATGGGCCTTACCAGACCAGCTTGGGATGGTGAGTGACTGGCAACGACCGGAAGGCTTCAGAAGTCTTCCAGCTCTTCGCTCGTTTGCCGCAACGAGCAGCTCCTCCCAGCAGCCTCCCATCATGAAACCCCTTATCATGGAATATAGCTCCACAAGAGAATATGATATATAGACTACCATTCAACAGTATATGGTCTGACGACATCCTAGCCCTCGTACAGTCCTTTCAAGACCATGTATCTAGATTTTGACGCTTATCAAAGTTGCATATATTCTCTTGATCCCTACGCCAGCGCAGCTTCTCCTTTGATCTCGGAGATCATTCCTGTTGCACACATCCTGAAAATCCAATTGCTGTTCAGGTCGCCGGGCATCAGGGACGTTCGTCTCTTGCTTGGCACGCCGAGGAGGTTCCTTGATAAAGGCTTCCAGACATCCTGTAAACGATTGTTTCCGATGTTTGCTCGCCTTGTCTTGACGCGGCGTTGACCGCTGGAGAAAGGCGCGAGCAGGGTAACAAATTGCTTCATCAGAGAACCGCCCCCTTTTCGTGACCGTCGGGCATAGATAAGACCACCCCATAATGCAAACCCCCTGGGCCCCACTCGGGGGTGATAGAGCGAGCACATGCTGACAATTCCAATCAAGATCCTCCAATTCCAAGATAGCTAATCACCCTCGGCGACATCACGGATCTCAATGTTCGGCATGGGCAGCACCACCTCGTACATTAATATAGGATGAATGAAAATGCCGATCAAGAGTATGAACCGCCACGTACCGCTGAGGGCATCACAGGTTGTCAACCCCTGCCAGAGCAGACCTCGACATGTCTACCATCTTTCCAAGACCGGACGGTTACCCATCAGAAATCATCGGCTACGCAGAACCATGGATCGTCTCACCGGGCGACACCGTGGATATCAAGGTAAGCTACTGTGTTTTCTTTGCACTGGACGACAGTCTGCAGTGTTGGCTAGCCAATCTAGAATGGGAGGAAATGTTCTCATCAAGGCGTGATGTGAGGCGAGCCAGAGTATCAAACCCTCGGCTGACGAACTGTTCTACAGGTCTCATGTACGGAGCCTGAATACAAATACCGCCTTGTCCGCTATTCACAAGGCTACGAGGAGCCCAAGAGCCCGCGGCGACAAGTTGAAGACGTCGCCGGCGTTCCTGCCGGAACAAGGCAGGGACGGTTTCAGCTCGCTCCTTCAGGGTCGTACGGACTAGTCGAAGACATTGGAACGACATCAGAGGATGAGGGTGTCAAGTTCTCCTTTTATGTGCAGCCTTGGATGATCACGGATGACCACAGCCAAACAATCATTTCGACGCTGGATGGTGCGAAGCAGACAGGATTTTCCATCAATCTCAATCCTGAAGGCCTCTTCGAGCTCTGGGTGGGTCTCGGATCGTCAGTCCAAGTCATACCCACAAAGTTCCTGCCCAGGCTACAGAGATGGGTTCATGTTGGGGGCGAGATACTGGGCAACTCAGTCAAATTGGCATTCACTCCACAGAGCAGAGCTACTGAGCCTGCACCGACCCCCAGTCAGTTTGCCGTGGAGCTGGCTGGTCCAGTCAAACTATCAGGCGGGGAGTCACTGTTGATTGCCGCCAGCAGAGTAGCGTCTCCCAAACCGGGAGCAGGGCAAAGCCGGACGCCTAGCAACCATTTTAACGGACGTCTGGATACGGTTGTCCTGGCCACAATTGGACGCAATCCGCGCAAGCTGGCGCACTACGATTTCTCTGTCGGTATTCCCACTGACGAGATCACGGATATCTCAGGAAACTCTCGGAATGGTATCTTGGTCAACGCCCCGACAAGGGCCATGAAAGGGTTTGACTGGGATGGCACGGAGCTGGACTGGACCAGGGCCAAGAAGGGCTACGGGGCAATCCATTTTCATGAAGATGACCTCGACGATGCTTGCTGGGCGACCGACTTTTCACTCAAAGTCCCCAACGATGCCAGATCCGGCGTATACAGTGTGGAAATCCAAGCCACGGAGACTGATGTGCGAGAGTCGATTGTTTTCTACGTCAGACCGACGCCGACAACGACAGCAAAGGTATGAAAAGAAACAAACGATTAATTTGACCCCGTACCCTCCATCCCTGCAGAAGCAGAAAGAACTTGACTGACCTGAATGTTCTCTGACGTGATTCAGATTGGGGCCAAGACAGCAATGGTGCTTGGAACGTTCACCTATCTCGCCTACGCCAACGAACACATGTGGGATCAGAACAGCCCAGCGCGGGCCGAGGTCCCCGACGAATTCGGGTCGTTCAAGTTCTACGAGGATGAGACTCTCTACAAACAACAACGGCGCAAAGACCTGGGCCTGTCACAGTACGATGTGCATCGAGACGGCACGGGGGTGGTCTATTCATCCGCAAAGAGACCGCTGCTCAATAACCGTCCCGACTACGTGAACTGGACGGGCCATCGGCCCAGAGAGCTGTCCGCCGATCTGATCATGATTGGGTTCCTCGAGAGACTCGGCATTCCATACGACGTGGTGACGGACCACGACCTGCATCTGCAGGGCGTTGAGATGCTTAGCCCCTACTCCACCCTCATCACCGGCTGCCACCCGGAATATCCAAGTTTGCAATCCTACATGGCCTACGAGGATTTTGTCAAGAAGGGCGGCAACCTCATGTACCTGGGAGGAAACGGCTTCTACTGGACGTCGACCACCGATCCGGCCCGGCCACATCGCTCCGAAGTCCGTCGCGGTGGACAGGGTGTCAGAACATCGTATCAAGAGCCCGGTGAGCGCCACCACTCGACCGATGGGAGGATGGGTGGTCTATGGCGAGACAACGGCAGAGCCGCAAACTATTTGGTGGGAATCGGCTGTTGTGGCGAGGGAGCCGGTCCAGGTGAGTGTTTTGACCCAAGTCTTTTGTGTTTGTCAGAAAACCAAACCTCGTGGTCAATTGTCCAAAGTTCAAACTAACATGTTGCGTCTGTGTGCCTCTGTGCGCAGGCGTCCCATATAAGCGAACTGACATCTCCTCATCCCACCCCGAGCTGTGTGCTTGGCTGTTCAAAGACATCCCCGACGGTGCGCTCATCGGCGAGAATACCCTGGGCGGGTTCGGGGGCGGTGCTAGCGCCGACGAGATCGACAGACTCGACTACAAGTACGGCAGCCCAGCCAATGCCGTCGTGGTGGCGTCTAGTATAGGACATTCTGATCGCTTCGGTCTGTTCCCGGAAGATTCGGGCTTCCCGATGATGAAGACTCTAGGAAGTCAAACCGACATGATCAGATCGGACATGACATACTACCAGACCAGTGGCGGTGGTGCAGTCTTCTCCGTGGGGAGTATAAGCTGGTACGTTGGACTGGGGTATAATGACTACGATAACAATGTCGCTACATTGACGGCCAACGTACTGCGAAACTTTACCAAGTCGTAAATACGATGTTCTGGCGCCCTCGAGTGACTGCAACGACAAGCCACGAGTCCATGAGACGGACATTGTTCCTTGGTCTGTTCTGAAACCACCTGCTTAAGAGCATAGATTGCTGCGGCTTCGGATGGGTGGCAGCGTCGTTCTAAGAGGTTCGAACGATGGTAGGGAGACATGAGGGTCTCGAAAAGGTGTCTTCACAGGGAATCTGACCACTTGAGATTGCGCTGCCAGCAAAGACTCCGGAGAATACGAGGGATGCGTGGGTGCGTGTTCAATTGCGAAAGCAGATAATGTGCAAGCAGGCCAGAGTCCCTCTTCGGGAACATTGCAGGACACGTCGTTGCACGCCATGCTATCTGGTAGCTAGATGTGCAGAAATAATCACTACCTTGGCGGCAACCAAACGAAACATGCTTAGGATGCCTCGATAGTGCTTTCTCACCCATGTCCATCTAGTAAATGTACCTAAAGTTCATATTCTCACGATCGGTCAAGTCACCGAAGGCGGTAGCGTCCAGGTCTCGGCCTTCGAGACCACCTTCTTCCTCAGCCTGGACCTTGTCGCGTCGACGGTTCTCGGCTCTCATCAGGGCCCAGAAGGCGACCACAACGACAACTTCAATGAGATGACTAGAACACCCTCGAGCATCAGTATATTTGTTTACACGTATGTGATGAAAATGATGGAGAGCGAGAGAAGAGAGGAGACCGGGGAAAAGGAGGGCTCAATGATCTAGACCTCACAGCGAGGCGTGGCGGAAGGAGCTACGGAATTGTTCTGTCCGGCTCACATCACTTACCTAACAATCATGCTCCAGATGCCCAGATTGTAACCGGGAGCCTGGTCGGTCTTGTAGAAGAACGGACCGGCGATGTTGCCAGTGCAGTAGCCCAGAAACAGCACCGCGTTTGTGACCACTTTCTTGGTGTGGCCTGCTGTATTGGCAATCTGGAGCGACAGGATCATCACAAACGCGGCGTTGTAGGGCCCGGTCAGCAGGTAGCAGATATACCGACCGACGTGATGTGCGGGATCGACGAAGCGCAGCCCAAATGCTCCTGCGATATTGGGACACAAGAAGATCAGGATGAAGAGGCAGCGTTTGTTTTCGAACCGGTCGTTCAGGTAGACGCATGTCAAAATCGAGACGATGATGAAGCAGCCATATGGGATTTGCATAAGAGTTGTGACGAGCGTGGAGAAGCCGAAACCTGTTGGAGGAATGGTGCCGTCAGTAAAGGACTAAGGTAGACCCCAGCATTGACAGAGGACAGGAGATGGCACTCAGCAAAGAGGAGTGGACGATGGCATACCTTTGATGATAAGTGTACCAAAGTTGGAGATGCCGCCGTTAGGAATGTTGCCCACCACGCCGAGGAAGAAGAAAAGGTAGAGCTTGATATCGGTAAAGGCCTCAACGATCTGGTAGGGCTGCAGAGAAGGGTCAGCACCTAAAGGTCAAAGATTCGAAGTTGGACAAGATAGGGCGGGATGGGGACAGATAACACAGATGCTTGGAAGCGATGAAGAAAGAGATGGGAAGGTATTGCCTTCAAATGCTTGTTTTCTACCCCTGTTTGATTGCTCTTCAGACGCTCCACAGCAATCCGCTTCTCCCGGTCGTTCAAGAATTTGGCGGTTACGGGCGAGTCAGGCATGAAGATGCCGATGACGATGCCCCAGATGCAGCAGAGGGCGCCGATGATGAGGAACTCATATCTCCACGATGCTAAAGCACCTCTGATGTGACCAATACCGTAACCGAGGAGTCCACCGAGAGCAATCCCGGCACCGTTGGCAGTGTACCACAGACCAATTCTCAAGGGCTGCTCTTTACGAGTATACCACTATCAAGGAACGTTAGACGGAAGAGGCCGAATTCGACACTTGGATGCAAGGGCTTACCATCTGTGTGATCAACATGAAGGAAGGGTCTGAGCAGCTCTCAGCCATGCCAGCGAGTACTCTGAGGACACCCAAAGTTGCGAAACTGTTGCAAGCGGCTTGGAGCATCAGGAAGAACCCCCAAAGGAATATGCTGCGGCGGCATTGGTATCATTTGATCCCTACTAGATGTGGCGCATCTTCAATACTCACTTGAAGCCAACGTATTTGCCCAGAGGCAATTTTTGCATAAGGAAATTCGTCGGAAATGCCCAGACGAGGAAGCCAAAATAGAACAAACCTGCCACATGTGAGAAGGTTGGACGGGAAAGGGGAGGAAGCTGTGTAACAACGTACTGCTCAGCCAGCTATACTGGGTGCCGTGGAGGTTCAGGTCGTCTCTGATGCCGAAAATGGCGGCGTAGGAGAGGGTAGTCTTGTCAATATAGAAGAAAGCATAATTGACAGCGATCAAGGGCAAAATGAGGAGATCGATTTTGCGAATGAGTTTCTTCTCCTCTCCCGGGTCGATTGGTTCGTGGAGGTCGTCGACGTCGGCAAAGAGCCTCAACGCAACATCGCCGTCTTGGGACTTCGACTTTGCCGAGAACTTGAACTTGTGTGTTGTGGGCGGGAGATTTAAGCTGTTGATTTCTGCATGGGTAGAGACTCCTTTGTCCTCGATCTCGTTAGTCATCTTGCACGTGGCGCCACTGGACTCGGGAATGTTGGCAATGGTCTTGATGTCAGTAAAGTTCCTGTGGTCACTACCTCAGAGTAAAAAAAGAACTGTCAATGTCGTGGAGAGGAGTAAGGAGAGAGCACAGGGGCATGAGAAGAATAAATCACCAAGTGGCTCAAACAGTGCACATGATGGGAGAATGTTAATTCCGCTGTGGGAATGGCCTTATATTGATATGCATAAGGGTGGGATATCGAATCGAGGGGAAAGCGAACGACACCGAAGTCTTTCTGGCGTCGCACCATCGGTGGTTGCACCTCGTATCCAAATGATACATCGAGTGCTTGAGGTGCTTGTCTTACCAAATCGAAATGGGAACAACATCCAACCCCCCGCAAAGGATCTGCTTCACCGGTCTCAAGACCAGTCCCCCGACCTCGTAGTAACCTGCGGGGAAAAGCCATGGGGAGTAGGGCCTCCAGACACCTCTACTGTCCCGTCGGCCAGTGCTGCACCGAGATGGCAGGGTCAGACGGAGGGCCAGCCAACGAGTGGTGTTGTTAGGATTGGGGTTGGAGCGAGTCATCTGACTCTTCCTGCCCGGCATATCATCCCAACGGAAGTTTGCTTTGCTTACCAGGACAGTTGACCGTCCCTCGGCAGATGAAGCAATATGTCTACTGGAGACAGATCATCCTGGAGAAACCCCACGTGGCGAGGCTGGTCAAGCCAAAGTATGGGGGACGCGGGGGACATTGGGGCTCCTCATATCCACCGGATGATCGTTCTGATGCGCGTGGATGGCCGACCGGCCCGACACGGTGATGGGTCCGGTCGAGCATCAAAAGCTCCTGAGATTGTGCTTGTTACATACGATGAGGTAGGGGCTGGGCCTCTTTGCGCCGATGGGTGCTGATTGTTCCGCAGAAACGAGGCCCCTTTGACGCGGCTTCATCTGATCTTGCCCTGTTACCCAGTTGCTCACCTCCAAGGTTTTCACCACTCTCTCGGGGCTAGAGAGTCTTGCGTCAGACGTCCACCCGAAGCAAAAAGGGGTATTCTAGCAAGGCAGACGGCCGATCTGGAGGCCTTTTGCAGCTTACTCATGGCGACGAAGGTGTTAGACACAACTCACAAGATCTCTCAATCCATTGCCAGGGCAGATGCAATGCAGCGAACCTGCGCCATCAGGTTCCAGACTTTAATTGGATGCACATAGAAGGGGTCGAGATTATGCCTCTCGCGACAGACCATGTCTGCTACAAAGGATCATGTATTCGACAGTAACATTATACGGCACATCACACTGACCTTTGCGCTTTTGTCCGCAGGCTGAATGAAACCTCTCTTCTGCTTGTACATTCTGCATCCTCTATGCCTCTCTACCACTGGAGCTCTAATATTCATTCTCCCAGTCTCGCAATGTCAATGAGAAACTCATATGACGGCCGAGAGCTTTAAGAGTTTGTTCAGCCGGTTCAGTTGTGTCCACGGCATATCAAGCCATCGTAATTCCCCAGCGGCCCGCCTCCGTACGCCACATAGTAGGAACGAGATGGGTATCAAGAAGAACAAGAACTATGCTAAAAGAAACAAAATGCCTACCCGGCGCAGACATTTTCAGCTCCGCATGAAAGTAACGCCGTTTCCCACGTAACGCCCGACAAGACTCTTGTCCACGCTCAACTCGCCAACGCCACCTTGATGCTCAGGTTGGGGTCTGATATCGACTTTAAGAATGCCGCCACTGTCGACTGAGACATGCTGGTGTCAAAGTTTGTCTCGTCCGGCAACCACATGATATGGGCAGTGCTGGCGCTTCCATCAAAGACGACCGCAGCTTTCTTGGTCTCGTTAACAGGTCGTTGGAACCAGTTGGAGTCGCCGAGCGAGTGAGCACCGTGCCAGGTTGATTTGCACTTTTGATTGCCAGAATCCAAGACTTCGAAGATGTCAAACTCGCCGCATCCAGACTGCCAGCACGAGCAACTGCCATACTGTATGGTTCGGGGGACCTCTGCGTTGAGGATCCAGGCGGCTGGCATATCCGCATTGAAACCAGTGCTCCCGGACAGTGGCATGCTGAATTCAAGAAGGAAGAGCTTGGAATTGCCATCGAACCCGTCTACCAATAATCAGCAACAAACTCCGGCAAATGCAAGAAAAGCCGTTAGACTTACGGTAAGCCACTGTGCCGTCCCTGACTGTACCACAATCACCGTTCGAACATGGTTTGTCGGTCATGATCAAAAACTCGCTGTTGTCGGGGATCAATGTATCTGCCAGCGGGACGGGTGACGCCGATCCTGCGCTGTTGTCGGCAGAGGCATAGGAAAGCGACATGCCCCAGACACTGTACAGTCAGCAAGTGCGGCATCCCCGGGGTTTCTTGGAGAACTTACGTGTCAAAGACCCCGGATCCTTGGCCGCCATGATGGTTGAGGAAGACGAGACCGTCCGCTACGCCCTGCTCAGCATTGTAGTAGGCTTGTCTGCCCCATTCTCCCGTGCCAGCATTCATACTCGCAGCTGGCGCGGCTGCAGCCACACGATATGTGGCAGCTGAAGAGGCGGCAACTGAAGAGGCGGCAGCCGAAGATGCGGCAGCCAAAAAGGTCGCAGCTGGAGAACTGGCCGACGGAGTGTCTGCAGCCGGAGCCGAGGTCGCAGCAACTCCTGACCACTCATTAATCCAGGAAACAGTCTGACCGTTAATGACTGCCGTGACCCAGTCGTCGGCTGCGGAAGCTGGAGCAGTTGCAGTCGTAGTAGTGGGCGACGGAGTGTCAGCAGTCGGAGCCGAAGTCGCAGCAACTCCTGACCATTCATTAATCCACGAAACAGTCTGCCCATTGATGACTGCAGTGACCCAGTCACCGACTCCGCGTTTCTCTTCGACATGCTCCTCCTCGACATCTCTAGCCTCATGATCACGACGGTGCAGGTGATGATGACCATAACGGCGCCGATGTCGCGACGGATGTATTGATCGCTTCGTTTCGCTTGATCCAGGCGTATAGAATGCGAACTGCTTCAGACGGATGGGTCCTCGAAAATGCCACGAAACCTATCCAGCTCTCATGTAAGTCGATCGGCCGAATACCCAGATTCCATCTTCACTCACCTCTTCGTCCATGGGAGCCATGCCTCCTTGATACGGCCTGGCCGCAAAATCGCAGAGTCCTGTCCTCCCCATCTCTGTAACCTTCTGGTACTGACCGGCAGTGCCAAAGTTTGAGTACGAGATGGCGTCAACTTGGGAGCAATACCAATTGCCCTTCTCTTCATAACAGTTGGAGTCTGCGGTGACGACCGTACCGGCTGCCACCGCCAGCAGTGCGCCTGCGCTGCGAGTGTACTTCATCTCTCGACGCGCTGAGATGATGATTTGTTGCTATATACTGAGATAAGTCCTCTTGCTTCAGCTGAAGGTTGTGGCTTTGAATAGGCTGGTTGTCGAATATCGTGTGGTATACGAAGGATTGAGAGATCGACGCTGTCAGATCCCGACCCTTCTTCTACTGTTGGGTTGTTTGAACGAGCGAACGGGCAGAAAACAGTGCGTCCGTGGAGTTTATGCAAGGCAGTGACGCTCGATCGGCCTGTGTTCCGTTTGCAGGGAGTAAAAAATGGCTGGCAGAACGCACACGCACAGACAAGAATGAATGATTGAATGGTGTGAGGAAGTGAATAGTGGACGAACGAAACGCAATGGAAATGAATGGCTGGAGGGTGAGGCAGCAGGTATTCTTTGAGCACGCGAGGAAGACAAAGAAAGTGTCAGATGGGGCCTCAATGGCCTGACTCCGGACTTGGACATGACGAGGCTCGAAACTCGGATTGAAAGACAGTGAGAAAGGTATGGAGACAGTTCGTGATAAAGAAACCCAGGTCCGTGTTGACGCCTGATCAAAGCGCATGCAGGGATGATGATGGTGACGGTGGAGGTGCAGCCTTGACGGGAACCACGAGGCTTTGGTCTCAGTCGTCAGTCTGATTGGTTACAGCGTCCAAGAGTGAATTCCACTGCGAAGTGAACCAGCGCGCCGGGCTCCATGCCAGAGAGTCGAGACATTGCCTGGAGAGCGCCTAGAAGACTCCCTGGGTCACCGTAAAAGGACGTGCCCAGATGCCCAGACCCCTTGACGCACCGCACCTAATTTCCCACCGTTGGCGCCGAGCTAGGCGCTGCATCGTAGGCTCCCTAGGCGGGTTTTAGGCGCTTTGGGGGCTCATGAACTTGAAGCTTGGGTCTCCTGCCCAGCCTTGTGCATACCACTCCAAACCCCAACCACCGCAGCCGGCGTGTCTCGCCCCTTTTCGCGCTCTACAAGACACCTAATCATATAACGAGGGACATCAATGTTCAAATTTCCACTCACTTGGCAGGAGGTGCCCGCGAGACCTAGATGCGGTGTCTCAAGAAATGCCCAGGCTCTCTGGCTCTGTGGTTGCGCGTTCAGGGTTTGTGAATTCTCCCCCTGGCCTGGAGCAGAGAGCTGGTTTACAGCCGACAACAGTGTTGGCCTCTGTTCGAACCACTGGGCCAATTTGCCCACTGCAGATGGCGATCTTCTTGATGTCTTGTTACATGCTAGTAGCCCATCCTAGTCCGCGTCATCGTCCTGTCCCTTTGCTGGTTGCCAACCAAACAGCAGCAATCTCGAGGTCTTGAAAGTGGTGGATTGGCGAGCGCAAGGAAAATTCACGAGACCAGCCTTGCGGCCGAGCACGGACGAGGCTGCCAGCCTCTTGAAGCTAGTACTAGGTAGTAGTACGCAACACATACATACCTTAGGTACCTTAGGTACCTAGTCTTCCCGTCTAGACTCTACACACCACAAGCATCATATACCTCAAGAAGGCAACGTTGCTGCTGACCACGTCCTTATCAAGAAGTACGCGAAGTTCAAGGTGCCTGTCACATTCAACGCTCGTCCGCCCACGGCGGAGGGATACAGAGTGCTTCATGGTTCTGTCCATATAATCCACCACAGCAGCGGTGAGCATGCCAACAAGGCTGTGGCCCGGGTGTTCGTCGCTTCCAATGCCTCTGCGTTATCATCGAGTCGAGGATCGCACCACAGGCAAGAATACAAAGAACGACACTGACGGAATGAACAGGGAAAAAGAAGATGTACACTGACAGCTGTCATTCGCCGCCACTGCCACCGGCGGCCGCCGGGTGGCTGGCCACAGGTCAGCCGGGCGAGGCGCGTGCCTCGCAAATGGGGGTATCTAAACTACGTAACATCTAACAAAAAAGAAATCGCAGAATCGGCCACCCTTCCTCCCTCTCTGCGCCGGAGTAAGAGCTCAGGCTTTCTAACGGCTCTTAACCTTGGTCCAGCCACTCTTGCCCTTGCCCCGGGCACCGCCCTCCTCTCCACCGGTACCAGCCACCTGGGGGGCGGTCGTCGTGGTCATGATGCTTCTAGCATCGTCATACCCCTTTCCGTCCATCGCCCGGGTCTTGATGAACACTGCCTCGTCCATCTTCTCTCCGCCGTCATCCCACTCTTGCTCCGTCAGGAGTTCCCACTCGGCGTTGTTCATCTCCGTGAGTAGGTGCTTCTTCAAGGGGTCGACGATCGTGGTGTATTTGTTCAGACGCCAGGCAGGGATCTGGTTGTCAGATGCTCGACCAAGGTGGGTGTGCGCAGACGTATGAGACTGAGAGCCAAGACGGCCAGTGATGGTGACATTCTCACGGGTAGGGGACGATGTGCTCTGAGAACGACGTTGACGAGTTTGGATATCTCGCTGAGTGAGGGCGCGGAAGGTTGCCGGAGACTGTGGTGGACCAAGGATCATTTGGTGCAGGTTGCGACCAAAGTCACAAACATTCTCCCATCTCTCAGTTCCAGCCAAGAATCCTTGACTGCGGGAAAGCCAAGCAATGTCCCAAGCAAGAAGCGAGACGCCTTCCAAGAAGAAACTGAACGCAAGCGGCTCTTTCTTTGACAATTGCGCAACAACTTCTTCGTGGTTGTCAGAGCCAATGAAGAGCGGACGGGGGCGTGGGAATGAGCTGAGATCCATTCGAGATGCCGTAGGACTGCCAGGTGCTGAGAGACTAGAACCGCTGCCAGGGAACGAGACGCGCTGTCCGGCATAGGACGTGAGCGGTGTGTTGATCGTAGGAAGTGGATAGTCGGGGTGAGGAAGAGTGATCTCGGCCGGAAGTCTGATACCAAGATAGAAAGCGCAGAGTACAACGAGACGAGCGGCACTTCCAATGGCCGCAGTCAGTTCCGTGCAGCGTATGTCTGTTACGCAAGTTAGTGGAGTCAAGGCTGGCATGAGACGGTCGACATACTGTTGATGTCTCTCAGATCCGGCAGCAAGAGACCAGCGATGGTGTATCGATCCTTAATCTTACCATCTTTGGTTTTCTTCTTTGTGTGTTGCAATTTTAGCAGATCGGCAGCCTTACGACACAGCGCCTCTTTGGATTCGACGATCTTCTCATGAACGGCGTCGTGTTGACCTTTCAGCTTGTTGTAGGCTTCCCGGAGTTCTTCGTACTTCTTCTTGTCGCCTCGTGCTAGAGCCTCTTTGGCAGCAGCGATATTGGCTCGTTTCTGAGCAAGATGCTCTCTCATAGCCTGCGCTTTTGCCTTCTTCTCTGCGAGTTCCTTCTGCGTCTGCGCCAAGGCACGCTCCATTTCTGCATTCTGGTCTCGGCTCTCTTGTGCATCATTGCGGGCACACTGGGCTTGCCATGCTCTTCTCATTGCGGCAGTCTCCTCATCAAGAGGCTGGGAAGGGTCCGGCTCAGGGCCCACAATTGCTGCAACTTTGCGACCGAGTTCCTCCTTCTCGAGTAAGACTTTGGCGAGTTCGGTTCGTACATTGTAGAGGAGAGCGCGAGCGCACGATGGGCAATGCACGCCTTGTTCTTGCGTGAGGTGATTGTGACAGACAGAACACTCCATCTTGGGAGTTTTGTCGACAACGATGTAGGAGTTGTGGTCAGGATTCAAGGGATCGTTGATCTCATGTTCAGTGATCTCGTGGTCTTTAACCTCCGCATCCAGCGGCGCCTGCGGTGTTGGCGAGGATCTGCCGGGAAGGAATCTGGAACCATGGTGTTAGAGTGAGACCAAGATCCAAAACGATTTGTGCATCAAAGCACTGTCATGAAGACGTCCTTGACATTGCCTTTGTCTCCGGGATGAGGATAAAGGAGGAGGAATAGGCACTACCAGTAGTATGTACTTACCGATCTCTCAGATCTCTTAGCGACCGGATGCTGGGCTTTCGACTTGTTGGACTGTCGGTGGGACGCTCCATGACGTCTGTCAGACTCAGGTTGAGTGGGATAAGTATCACGTGAGAACGTGTCACGCTAACAAAACGCTAGATAGAAAGAGGATTAGCGTTGATGCTAGAACAAAGAGCCGAAGATTTACCGAAGAGGACAGTATCTCGACGAGGCTGGTTGATGGACTTTCTGTGTGATGAAGTGGTAAACTTGAAGAGGATCTAAGGCAGGCAGACAATGGACTCAGAAGAGCAGCTTGTTGACTCTCCGATCACAAACGAGGGGCAGCAATCAGAGAATGCAAGTGTTGACTCTGCAACCGCGATAGCATCTTCACCTTTACCTCCCAGGCCTGGACTCCATCATTCACCCAGCACCGCGAGGAAGCGCAACAATGAAGAGGTCTATGGGTCTACAAGATCCCCCAGGTCAATGCCTACGCCGTCCAGATTCCAAAAGTCTACTATGACTGTCTCACAGCCAAATGAAGATGCCGAACAGGCAATCAACATCACCCAAGGCCAAGAGTCATCTTCCAAACAAAATACCAAACCGGCACAGCCCAGTACCACCAACAGCACAAGACCTGAAAGGCTAACCATAGACAGACAAGAGTTAGCTAAACCTCCCTCTTCAAGAGACTCGTTCGTCCGGGATGTTGACGAGTATCAACAACAACTGGAGCTTGAATTCCAGGAATTTGAACGCTCTCTTAACGAGAGAAATCCAACTGAAGGTCTGGAAGACCTGGACTGGGACGACCTAGAGGCCCGCTACGATAAGGAAATTCAACCGAAGATCACTGCTGAGCAAGAGATCATGGATGAGTTTAGTGCTCGGTTTGAGGTGGCTTTTCCTACGCACTGATGCCGTACGTTGCTGACTCGATGATAGCAATTCATGCTTTACATGCAGGTGTCGACTGATCACGAGGCTGAAAGGGCCATCAAAAGGTATGCTTGCCAACTACTGGTACTACACAGACTGATTATGTACTAGGTTGCGCACTCGAATTGCCATTGCCCAAAACACCGAAACCTCCTTGTCACAGAAACAAGCACACCGTAAGTTCAGGCGTCTGTTTAGAGGTGCCCAGTTAACCTCCTTGTAGATGCAAAGGTGCTCGAGGCATTTCAGAGCGCAATGAACCTTCTCAACGCGTGATGCATCAATACGACACGCATGAGCCTGACCTGACAAACTCGCTCGTGTTCCTGAAGATGACCACGATCCTGAAGCGGAGACGTCTTGCTCTTTCGATGAAGAAGCTAGGATGAAGGCTGCATGACCATTTTAACAGCAGGTGGGCAGTTTTGGGCTGCGCACCGAACAGCCCTGGGGCCATGTGCAGGACAAGGTGCCGTTAACCAGGCAGAACATTCCGTTGCACCCGCTCACACAGTCTCTCCCGAACGCTCAAGAGGGGAGGCCTGCGTAGCTGGGAGTCGCAGGCGCCTACCTGCCAGAGTTCAGGCAGTGTCCACATGTCCAGCTCATTTGTACGGCAGAGGCCATCAACAGGTGTAGCTGACTGCAGATGGGCAAGAGACCGTCTTCAGCTGTCCCTTGGTCGACTCCATGGTAATGCTGGTACAATGTAGTCATCTACCCGATCAAGCGAAAAGTATGGATGGGGGAGCATATGAACCGTTGTGAGAAAGTTAGATGATTACCTAATGCGATATGATAGGACTCTTTGGACCTTGAATGTACGGAGAATCGGTCTGCTCTACTAGTAGCAATTGAAGTCCACAACCCGACAACATTGCAACAACATTGCCGGGCTATAGATGTCTGACATGACGCTTGCCTTGACGGCGTACCCGTAATGGCTAATGATCCGAGTTCATCTGTGGACCAGGATCTTCTTTCGCGCCTTAATGCGCTGAGAAAGTCCACCGTCACCTTCGATCAAACGAAGTACAATCTTGCGGCACATTGGCCATGAGTCTTGAGCTGACAGTCTTAGCTACCAGACACCTCTTCCTCGAAGCACTCCTGTAACACTCGATGCTGCTCCTGCCCGCGCCCAACATTCTGACCTACTGACAAGATGGAAATCCCTGGGCGGCACCCCTCCTACAACAGGAAAGCGAGAACCCGAAGGTTCGTCAAATGATGCGGAGCATGAAAAGACGCTGGACGAGCTGTTGGCAGATATACCACCGTCAGAGACCTGGGAACTCGAGAAAAGTGAAGAAGATCAGGTGGCAGAGCTCCTACAGTCTGCTAGGTCGGCGCTTGCCGCTGCCTCGCAGGGGCAGCAACCAAGCGAGGAAGCGGCTGAAGAACATGGGGTTGGCCGACCCGCCCCGGCTACACTGCCAGCTATTGACGTATCTGTCTTCCAGCCGGAGCCAGAGCTAGATCTGGTTGGGGGAGCTGACTGGAAGTCGAAAGACACGCTGGACAAGGAGGCCGATGAACTGCTGGAAAGAGTTTTCGACGAAGTGCAACATGAGCCCGCTGAAGCTCCAGACGAGGACACAAATCAGTCAGAGGCTGGGATTGAGGCGTCTCAGCCGGCTCCTAGCCCGTCGAAGTCTTCCACAGAGCTGTCGCTGTCTAATTTAGAGCTCCCTGCGACACCATCTAAGTTGCCGGAGCCTACAGGCCCAAAGGACCAGCCAGACGAAGACGAAGGCTTGGTCTCTCGCTTTGCCGGTCTTTCTCTACCCTCTGTCCCCACAACCATAAAAGCCACGAAACCAGGAAAGACGAGCTCGAAACCGAGCGTGGGTTATAGCGATGAAGAAATTGACACTTGGTGTATCATATGCAACGACGACGCAACGCTGCGGTGCATTGGGTGTGATGGCGAGCTATACTGTACCAACTGCTGGATGGAGGGACACAGAGGCGAGGACGCCGGTCTGGAGGAGCGAGGCCACAAAGCGGTGCAGTTTGTCAAGGGGGGTGGGAAGAAGAAAGAACCTAGAAGAAGGGTCATGAGCGAAGCCTGAAAGCTGCGCCTACGCAGGTTGGGGACGTTGGCCGCAATGTTTCATCGAAGGAACTCTTGCCGGTGCTCGTCATGGCAGGCTATACAACCCCTCTGTCATCATTGCTCTTCTCCCTTCTCGTGGCATTTCTCTCAACCGCAGGTACGGGGCTTGTCGGTTGAGACCCTGGCGGGACAAGGAAATAGATGCCTCCGTGCAACATACCAGCAGCGATTGGTCCCACCCAATGGATCCAATGCCATCCAGGAAAGCGGCTGCCAACAAACACTCCAAAACATCTGGCTGGGTTCAGACTGGCACCGCCATAGCCCGGTCGGCTGAACGAAAAGCAAAGGGCACAAGACCCAGCAGCAAGGCCGACGAAGATTGGTGCAACAGCCGGGCCAAAGATCCCACGCTGCCGCGGATCCAGCCCGACGCCGAATGCAAGCAGTAACAACAGCAGACTGCCGACAAACTCGACAGTGAACGCCGACGAAATCGGCACCATATCCTCGAACAGATAACAACCGCCGACCTTGAAATCTCTGGTGCCTGCGCCCGCGCGCAGGAACAGGCCCGCGAGGGCAGCCCCTGACGTTTGCGCGGCCATGTACAAAACCAGGCGCGGGAAACTCGTGAGCCGAGCAAAGAAGGTGCCGATGGTGATGAGCGGGTTCATATGAGCGCCCGAAACGGCGCCGAAGGAGAATGTCAGTAGAGTGATGAGAATCGCGTTGATGCAGGCGGCTACGAGTGGTGCAATGAAGAACGAGGTGCCGAACACTCCCGAACTCGGCGACGGAGGGGGAGGCGGTCCCGGTGGTGACAGACTGTTCCAGCTGGCGGCGAAGACCAATACCATTGTCCCTACAACGCTCGTCTCCTGTTAGCCATCATCGCATCCGACGTTTGTCTCTTCTGCTCTGCATTGAAACATGGCGCCGACACCAATACTGCTTTCACTACACCGGGGCGACTTACCGAAACACTCAATCAAGGCAGCTTTGTAGAGATCCGTCTCTCGGAAGCCCCTCAGGTCAAAGGCTTCGGTGAGGCTCAGATTTGGCGCCGCATCGGGCAACTTGGACAAGAGTTGCGCATTCGCTGGGTTGGAGCGGTCGACCACGAATTCCTGGTTGCCTCCCAAGCGGCCGGCAAAGGGCGTCCCATTGGATGACGTCCCATTGTTGGTTCCAGTATGTCGCCACTGGCGGACGCCCAACAGCTTTGGCCATGTCCTCTGTGCACCAGTCTCCGGATGGCGAGGGATTGTGTCAGGAAGGTTGCTGTGTGGCTGCAACGGCGGTGAGGGCTGAGAGCCTGTTCGGGCGGCTGCTTGTGCCATCATGGTGGATACTGTATTGCTGTGACGGAGGACGAGGGTGTTGTCTAGTCGGGTTTGGTCTGGTCTGGTGTAGATACGCTTCTTTCGACGTGTCGTCGCTTGTGACCATGCTCCGTCGATGCTGTCTGTAAATGTCTACACCCCGGGCTACCTTAACGTCATTTGGGAGCCTTTCCGAGGAAACAGCACAGTATTTCTCACCTCTCGTCCGCGTCTGCGCACCGAACGCAGAGACCCAGAGCACAGGATATTGAATTGATAGCTTCGCGCACTCGGACGCGCCGCTCTGTCCAAACAAGGCCAAGCTACTTTGACGCGAAGCGAGCCGTGAAGCAGAGGATTGGGACCCTGGCCGTAGATGTGACCGAACCCCTCCTCTAGGTCTTGGATCCTCCTCGCTTTTCGGTCTTGATATGAAATGAATATGACGAAGTATGGCACTGGTACCTACGGGTACTTGGGATATAAAAGAAGCAAAAGGGTTGGCATTGGCCGGTATGTCGATGAGGTGGTGGGCGGTAGAATTTCCCGTCACCGGCTGTCTCTGAATAAGCACGGCCGTTGTATTAAGTCAGCAGCGAACTTCAACTTGAACGCTTCCGCCTTGGCCGCGTTCATTTGTTGTGAGAACCTGAGACAAGACGCTCAGCTGGCCCCGTCAGGGCATTAGAGGCTGTCAGTCAGCACGCTTTGGGTGATTTCCCGGACTGGTCTTGTCGCTTAGGAAGCATCGCCGCACTCAGTCAGGCACTCGATCAGGAAAGGGGTTTCACGTATATAGTAAGTAGGTACTACAGAGTAGTAGCTGTTTTTAGTAGTACCTTTTGTGGGTAGGTTCCACGCCCATGTCGGAGATTATTCAGCGAGTTCAAGTTGGAGACAGCTATTAGATCGTAAAGTCCTACTACATATACGTTGGACAGTCCGAGGTTGATGTATGTCTTCCACCCGTCGTGCTACATTAGGCCGTGTTTGAGCGACGAGCTCGGGTGTCTGGAGACATATCTCGAAGATGCATACACTCACTGCAGTATACAGTACATAGCAGCCAGTATATGACAGGAGGCTAGAAACGCCTTCCCCCAAAGCCATGAGTGTGCAGAGTAGTAGTAGTAACTCATTTCGTAGAGCGCGTCTTGTGTCGTTATATACTGATATGTTGCAGCTGGCCCATTATGCACGCCATCGCGAAGTCTCAAGCGGTCGTGTCACCAGATGTGAAGACCGAACCCAGCAGCAACTTGACCGTTCAAGTTCTGGAGTACATCGCAGTACATCGCAGCAACCCTGTAACGTGATAACCCGAAAGTCGTTCATACACCATCGCTCTTCGCTCCGCGTGGTCAGAGTCAAGACTCGGCCACGTATTCATCATCCTCCCGCTCAATATGGTCGTCGTCAGGATTGAGCAGGGCGCCAATTCGGCTGCTCTCGTCCAACACATCCCTTGCCTCCTCGCTGCTCGGCAGCCCCATATCTTCCATCACCAAGCGCGCCGTCAACTCCGGGACCAGCACGGCACTGACATAGCCGCCCACACCGGCAGCTCGGAGAGTGGAGTCCGACCTGAGGGCGCCGTTGAGGGTCTTGGTTAGCTCCGTCGTGATAGCACCAACCATGACGCGTGCACCCCTCGGACCGTAGTAGCCTTGTTTGGCAATATCGACGATTCCCTGATTGAGGTAGAGTTTGACGGCTTTGCGATTTCCTTTGGCGGCCCTGATCTTCTCGTCCAACTGCTCCAGATAGTAGCTCGGGGTCTTGCGCATAATCACCTGCTCCAGGAACGGCAATTTGGCGGGCAATCGGGTCTTCTCGAAATCGTCCCAGTTGATCTCGGGATAACCACGACGCTGCCACTTCTCTTTCGCTTCGGCCACCTGGTGCTGCACGCAGAAATTCTGCTGTCTTTGGAAAGACAAGGTGCGAAGGTTGTTGGGGACGAGTAACAAGACCGAGTCCTTGATGATTTCCTGGCACACCGGACAGCGTAGGGTGGAGGGTTCAGCCTGCAAGATCTCGTCCTTCTCCAGTAACTCGCCCTGGTGTTCGAGGATGAACATGGAATCGACAGAGGACAGCGAGGACGTCGAGCCTGACCTTCTGCGCTTATTCGGCTTGTCGTTGGCAGACTCGGTGTCAAATATAGGCTCGCCTCCTCCGCTCGTGGTGGCGGAAGACGCGATGTCGGGCAGATCGGGCAGTTGGAAGCCATGTTCCTTGACTGACCCTTTCTTAGGGACGTCTACGATGTCGAGTTTGGTCTCTAGCGTGGTAGGGCTCTTGATCATGCGCTTGCCAGGCAATGCCGCAACTGCAACAAAGTCGACCTTGTACTCGGACGCATTCCCCCGTTTGGGCACCTCGTCGTATGACGCGAATGCTTTCTCGCTCTCAGGTAAGGTAGGTTTACTTTCCACAGGCTCAGGTCTTTGAAATCTTCGATTCGCATAGCTTCTCTGTACCTTCCTTTTCTGTGAGCCGGAGGAGTTCCACTCGGGAAACGGATCTGGCATGGCGGGGTATTCGGGTGCCACCACTGGCAGTGTGTCTAGACTTGGTTCGTCGGTAATCTTCCTTCTCTTCGATCTTCTGGCAGCTGTGGTGGTCGAAGGGGGCTTCGGAGCAGGACAAGAGGCTTTCTGCCCGTCTTGAGGTTTTTTGGGAAGATTCGTCTGAGATTTTGTGGAGTTGTTGTAGTCCTCATCATCACTGCTCAAAGGTTGGGCATAGATGGCCAAGTCTTCCTCCTCCTCCTGCCGTTTTCTGGGTGCCATGATGCTGTCGCCACTGTCTGCCCCGGCAGGAGCAGCGAGATGTCTTCCCGTCTTGGTGCCTCCAATCTTGCGTAAGAGAGGCGGGCCTCGATAATTAAGTCGTGTCAGGTATGTTCGCGAGTAGCTTGCATCAAGGAGCTCCATTTACTCGGTGTCGAGCTTCGACGAGCATAGTGACTTCAATGTCAACTGCCGGTGGCTGCGAGCCATCAAATCACTCGGCTCATGGTACAGTACAGCAGTCTGCATGTCGTAGATATAGACGCCGTGTGACGCGACGCGACAAATCCATTTGCTAGCACCGCTAGATTACTACTAATTTGAATTATTAGTAGATTAACTATTAGTAGATTAACTATTAGTAGATTAACTATTAGTAGATTAACTATTAGCAGATTAACTATTAGTAAAATTACCAGTGAATAATTATTAATAAACTATTTACTAGTAAAATAATTACTAGAAACTGGTAAAGCTGTGTTAACTACTGGTAATCTACTGGTACCTAGGTAATCTACCAGTAGTGCCTGGTAACCACTGGTAACTGATGGGTTATTTCACTTCAAATTCATCTCTTGGGTTTCTCCTCTCACCACCAGCCTTTGGCTGCTGCTGCTGCTGTCTCGATGTCAGCAGTGTGACTTCTGAACAATGCCATGCATAGATGCAGCCTGAGAAATTCTGCTTGAGACCTCCTCGGCCTCAAAAAATACCTGTACGTGAGTAAGCACAGGCCTCTGCTGTTCCCTTGGGCTCCGAAGTCGACCGTCCTCCAGACAAGCTAAGTTGGAGCTCGATATTTTATCTCAGCGAGTTCAGGTATGCAGTTGGGTCGGCAGGCCCTATGGGCCCCCGTCTACTACCAGTGAGTCGAGTCTTGCGACGAATTCAGTTGGTACACAGGCAGACCACCTGTCATGGTGCCCCGGACCAGCTCGGTCGAAGACCCATGGCGGGGCGATAGATTGTCCGACTCCAAGCTACATCAAGCCTCGAGATTAAACCGACCAATGATTGCTAGGCCTCGAGGGTCCAGCCCCAATCGTTGCGGCACCGACAACAGACACGGACATGCCTGGCATGCCAATGTGACGTTTCCATAGAAGCAAGTCTAAGGTATATATATAGGGAGAAGTGCTCTCCGGCATGGGGTGATTTCATGAAAATCATCTAAACCGCGTCGAACTCACTCACCATGGGCAGCTTTTTCAATCCCGTTGACGACAAGTACCACTACGACCCAGACAGGCACATTCCCGACCTGTCAGGAAAAGTGATCATCGTGACTGGAGGGAACAATGGCATCGGCAAAGCCACGGTCATGCAACTGGCCAAACATAACCCCAACCGCATCTACCTCACGGCACGGTCCAGGGCCAAATACGTCGATGCAATGGTGTCGGTCCGTGAGGCCGCACCGAATGCACGAGTCGAGTTCCTAGAGCTGGATCTTGCCTCGTTCGCTTCGATCAAGAAAGCGGCCGATCATGTGATTGAGTCCAACGACCGGCTTGACATCCTGGTCAACAACGCCGGCATCATGGGTCTGCCGCCGGCACTGACCCAGGACGGCTACGAAGTCCACTTCGGCACCAACCATATGGGCCATGCCTTATTGACCAAGCTGCTTCTTCCACTTCTGCTCAAATCGGCCGAGCATTCGGATGTGAGGATAGTCAATGTCAGCTCCGAGGGCCACAAGCTTGCGCCGACCGGCACCTTTCTCCCCGATAAAGTGACAACGCCCATGAGTGAGTTTCATTCTTACGTCGCTTACGGACAGTCCAAGATCGCCAATATTCTTCATGCCCGCGAATTGGCCAAGCGATACCCTCAAATCTTGTCAACGTCGGTCCACCCAGGACGGGTGGCCACGCCGATCCTGGACCAGATGTTCACCAAACGCTCCTTCACCGCCTATCTTCAGAAGTTTTATGATGCCATTGCTGGCATGTTGACTCCAGAGATGGGTGCTTTCACATCCCTTTGGTGTTCGACGTGGAAGAAAGAGGACGTGCAAAACGGTGGGTACTATACTCCCATTGGGAAATTGTCGCCCGGAGACAAGAGGAGCCAAGACATGGAGGTGTCCCAGAAGCTTTGGGAATGGCAGGAGGACGAGTTCAGAAAGCATGGATATGCCTGATCCGGCTGTGGCAGAGACGGCGATCGAACAGAAGATAGAGCCGGGCTGTAGGTGGTGTAGCTAGGATGCAATTTCGATTTGCACCAAACTTTGCTGCAGCAAGGGTCAATCTAGTGAGTTTGACAGTATAGAGCTTGGTAGTAAGACTGTTTATAATCCTCTCTCTCTCTCTCTCTCTCTACTAAGAAGGAAGGGAGGTTATCTGCCTGCACTAGTATAGGCTGTAGCCGCACCCTAGACCATCCACTGGGGAGAAATAGCATATCTCGAGACTCGACGTTTTGCGATCCTACTTCGGGTAGAGGCAATTATGAAGCAGGGGTAAGCGATTCTGAAAGGTTCAGTTTGTGCTTGGCTTGACCCTACTGCTCAAGAAGATCCGTCCAGGTTCATTGATCCGATCTTTCCGGCGTTGTCTCCTGCAGTGAAGAAAGAGATCGAGCTCCATTGCAGCTTGCAGACGAATACGATGTGACACTGAAAGACTTGCCACATTCATCTATCTATCTAGGATTGATCATTAGGATAAGGGCAGGTACCTAAGTATCAAGGGATGATATACCACTCTATAGGGGTTGGGTACTGTAGTAAATTCATCCCTTACATGCGCACATCGCCATGTGAATTCCAATTGACGTCCCAGCTTTGGGGATTGATGGCGCTTCCCGGGACAGCCCAGCCAATACTGGAGCCGTCTTCGAAGGTGGAAGTGCTCGTCATATTCGCGTGATTTCTCGCCGCCGCAGTTTCAATAGTATTTGGACTTTCCAACCCGCCCTCGCCGGATGCAGGAGTCAATCCAGTTCCCAATAATGCTGGAGTAAAATTATAGCTTCCCGAGATGGTCGCGCCCAGATTGTCCAATGCAATGCCCCAGTTGGTGCTGGGCCAGCCTCCTTGGAGCTGTGCCTGGGAGTGGTGGCTTTGACCTTCACCCATTATGTCGTCCAGCATTTGGCCGAAACCGGCTTGCTGCCTCATAGTCGAACCGGGGAACACGGGGTCCTGGGTGTCGAGTGCAGAACGCATCCTCATGTCAACTCCCTCAACCACTGACCGCGGCTCATGCGGTCTTGACGAGATGAGCTCGAACACGGAATCTTTGACGCCTTCAAAGGCGTCTCGGTAGCGCGCAGCGGCAGGCCACCGTTCTGTCATGACGTACAGCATCGTGCTGCACGAGTACACGGCAGATCTTGATGCGGATGTGAGAACCAGCGTAGGGGAATGCCATATGCAGTAGATTAGGGTAAGTCCTGGTACGGATTAGGATCAAGTAAGAAGTATAATAGACGCAGTACTAGTATCTCAGTCAACGTACCAGATAAGAAGAGCCACTGCGTGGCTAGCGGCGTGTAGGAAATCGAGTTAGACTTGTGATGTAGCCTTTTGTACGTCTCGCATACTTTGACACAGGCGTCGGCACACAGTTGTAGATAGTGTTGATTGACAGGATCTTCCGACAGTTGGGGAAAGAGGACGACGCGAACGCTGAGAGAGTATTGGATCATCTTGGAACAGAAATCAGTACACATTCCATCGAACTCACGACGGAATAGAGAGCTATCCGAGCAGATTGACTCACAGAGAAGCCCTTGGCTGCATGATCATTAGTATCAGTAGGGGCATCCTGCTGCCACTTTGCTAGTTTTGCCAGAAGACCCTCGATCATATCATGAGTAGGGTTCGTGGGTCGGTCTACACGATATATGGTCTGCTGAATTTCAGACTGTATCCGTTTCAGTCGCAAGGTATGCACAAAGCCCGTCAAAGACGTAGGGGGATTTGCTGGCACCTCGGGGTTCTGCCGTGCTGCTCTGCGAAAGTCTTCGAGGGTGACGGTATCTTCATCAATATCTAGTGGAAGCTTTGGATTGTCAGTGGCAGGACATGGACGAGAAATCTGGGAGGAGGCGCACGTACGGAGACGTCAATATGGAAATCGGAGATATTTGTCGGTCTTCCAGTCGACAGGCACACGTCTTGATCTAAGTGATAGCAGGTCCAAAAGAGTCTCTTGTCAAGTTCACTCGCTAGACACAGTGTCTGGCCGGCCGATTTTCGGTGCAGACCGACGCCAGTGCACAGTTTCATTGCTAGGCCGAGCATCAACCTGGTTTTGTGATCAGCCTTCTTCCTTCTTTCAAAATGCTGCTTGGATCCGATTAGATAGTAGTATCACATACCATGGTCCTGGCGCTCGGGGAGCACGGAGGCAGTATAACGTTGCGTACAACAGAAAGATTATGCTCCTCCTGTCAATGTACTGGATGATGGCATCTCGGCATTCCATTGCTGCATCATAATGCAAATCACAGAAATAGTTGCCAGGTTGGCCGTTCTAGCAACTGGTGTCAGCGCTGAGGATCTGTTGCACCTTCACAAGGGATAAGATAGACATACAAGCTCCAGGCTTCTCCCACCTATGGCATAGACGAAATGAAGAACAGACACTTCCCATAGGTCTTGAAGCTTCTCACGTCTCGCGTGTATGCCCCGGAGCCGCTTCGAATGGACGATCGGATACAAAGTCGAGATTGATTTCATGTATGACTGAAACAGGACTTCAGCTTCGTCACGAGCAAAAAGTGACAGTTTCGGCGGTTTGACACCTTCAAGCGGCGGAAGTATGTCTGGAGCTGGACCTGGACCTGATGCTTGCGTGGCTTGCCTGTCTTTGTCGGCGTGCTGCTCAACATTGGGTACGGGATGACTTGGCTTCGACGAAGGGTGGCCTTGGATGGCGACTCCAAGCATCCGACCCAGAGCAATGTGTGTAGTCGTGCCAACGTAGTAGCCACTTGCGTTGAGTGAAAGCTCGCGGATCGCCCCCGCCAGGTCATTGAAGCTGTCTTCTCGAGGCCTCAAACGTTCCCAGTGATCGTCCGCCACCCCAATCCTGCCGTCGTATGACAGACCACTTTCCAACTCGGCGACTCGTTCCTCAAGGGCTCTGATGTAGAGCCTCTGCTCGGACCGGTTTTTGACGGCCGGTAGCACATAGTGACATTCCGACTTCGTGTTTTCACATGACAAGCAGGTCGGATGTTTTCCGTCGCACTGTGAAGAAGCATTCACGTCAGCATCCAGATCTGAGGTCATGTAGCTCTAGAAAGTAAGGGCTGATCAGCCGGAGACCTTTTGCTTTCTGCTTTTGCATCTTTGGCACGCATTCGACACTCTCTGCCGCTTGGTGGCGCGTTGCTCTGCTGGAGAATCGGCCTCCCCAGCCTCGTCTTCGGTGGATCTGACGGAACTTTGTCTCGACTGGTTCATACTTCAGGAAAGATAGCTCCGGGTTCGCCCAAGATCAGTAACGCACTTGATGCTCCTCGAACATATGCCACGCTTGTTCGCGTACGGGAAAAGGGTATGCGTAGGAGCAGGAACCAATGTTCCGAAAGACAGACTGGGTTCCGGGTCACTACGTGATATTGCTGGCTCAAGAGGCGGTGCCGTCCTCTAAAAATGAACTTCGGGCAGCCAAGTCCTGTCCTTCTTGGAGAGGACTCGAGGAGGAAGAGTGGCAGTAGAATCATCGGCAACCTATCCGATGACAGGACTACTTAGTTCGTGCGCGAGATAAGGGTTGACAGACGGGTGGAGCTACATGGTACAACGACTCTTGGGATCATTGGCCGTGATAAAGATGATATGGATGGCGAGAATGAACTAAAGCTACAGAGTACTTGGGGATGTATGAGACCATAGGTATCTCCATGAGCCGGGAAGGCAACTTGACTTCCACCTCTCTCGGAACCCATCGTCCGACAATATGCAGGATCGTCAACACCATCAATGTCCTTATCTCGACAACCAAGGCTATGAAGCTTGCATACAGCCCTACTGAGAGTACGTTCTGGGGCAGTTAGTAGGTCAACGGATGATCCCAGGGTGTGCTATAAAGCCTCGTGGAAGTTGGGAGGTTACTATCTCAGTGTTCAACCTATTGCACTTCTTGATCGAGAGAGTATACCAGCTAACCTGGCAAGACACTTCCTCTCAAAACAAGCATGTCGGTCATAATGACCCAGGTTTCAGGTGAAGGAGACCCATCAGGAAGCACCAACTCTCCAGGGGACGAGAAGAGATCCGTCACTGTGACTCAAACACCAATTACCAAAGTATCTGGAAGAGGTCGTTTTGATGTCGCCGCCGAGTTTCTCAACCTTCACGCAGCAGAGCATGGCTCATATACTGCTGCCGAGGCCAGACGTGTTCTCTGGAAAATCGATATCCGCCTCATTCCATTGATGACTCTGACCGTTATCCTCAACGCTCTCGACGTATGTTCACTTTGCCAGCCCTTTATGCCTCAATGGAACCTTAGGCTGACGAACACATGTCAGAAAATCATCGTTTCGAACGCAGCAATCTATGGCATGACCAAGGATTGTCATCTCCATGGTCAACAATATAGCTGGGGTATGTTTGACAAGGCTTCCTCTAGGGCAAACCTCCCATCCTGACTTGTACATCACAGTGGCATCCATATTCTATTTTGGATATCTCGTGGCTGAATTCCCTGCCAATCTGATGATTCAAAAATACCCTGTTGGCAAACTCATCGGAATTGCTGCACTCTGCTGGGGAGCTATGGTGACGCTGCTGGCTGCCTGCAGTAACGCAGCAGGACTCATGACCCTGCGTTTCTTCATGGGGATGTTCGAGGCTCCCATGTTTCCTGTCTGTGCCGTCACCACTGTCATGTGGTACAAGAAGGATGAACAACCGCTGCGCACAGCGATCTGGTTTGGACAATTCTCCTCGGTAATTGGCGTCTCTAACTCTTCCCAACAAATACTGATGATGGGACCAGCTCTTTTCGGGTATTGTTTCTTATGGAATCGGTCATATCCACTCCGGCATCGCCTCCTGGAGACTGCTGTTTATTGTCATGGGTCTCTTCACCCTCTGTTGGGGTACCATGCTATACTTCTTTATGCCGGATTCACCCTTGGACTGCAGATTCTTGAATGACCGAGAGAAATACATTGCTGTGCACCGAATCAAAGATAACATGACAGGCATCGAGAACAAGGTGAGGAAAACGTCCGCTGGGAGTGGAAGTACTCAATCATGCTAACATGAGCAAACTCAGACCATCAAATGGTACCAAGTGCGAGAAGCATTCACCGACTGGAAGACCTGGCCTTTGGCCGTTTATTGCCTGTGCATCAACATTGCAAATGGCGGGTTCTATTCCTTCTCAGCACAAATCATCTCCGGTCTTGGTTTCCCGGCCCTGGAAACCACTCTGCTCAACATGCCCATCGGTGTTATAGCAACCTTGTGCAGTATCGCCGTCACCATCCCAGGAACGAAATTCAAAAATATGCGCTGTATTTCGGCCGCAACAGTAGGGCTCGTACCCATCGCCTGCTGTGTCCTCATGATGAGTGAGTTAGGCGCTGTTTATGGTCGTAAGCAATAACTAATGCACCTCAAGAACTTCCACTGGACGATAAGTATGGTCGCCTTGCGGTGTACTACGTTGGTAAGTCTCGGTTACCCTCTCCTTCACCATGGACATTCTGACCAAGTTGATCTAGCATTCACTTATTGGGCTGGATACGCGATGGGTAGGTGGCAATATGATCAGCGTGTCTTATCGCAACAGAGCTGACCCGCTTCGACCAGTTACTTCCCTCCCTATGGCCAACACTTCGGGACATTCGAAGAAGGTGGCCCGGAATGCGATCATGTTCCTCTCCTACTGCCTGGGGAACATCATCGCTCCTCAATTTTTCCGAGCGTCCGAAGCTCCCGAGTATCCCACTGCCTACAGAGCTATTCTGTCCGGTATCACGATTGCAATGGCGTGTTTGGTCGTCTACGGAGTTGGTGTTCATTTTGAGAACCGCAAGATGGTCAAACGTGGTGATACACAACGCTTTGTCGAAGAGGCTAGTACGGACGAGATCCTTCTCGATATCACAGACAAGGAAAAGAAGGGCTTCGTCTATGTCTACTAGGTCTAGGCAGTTTCCGCATCCACTTTGGAAAGTGATACAGCGGAAGCTTAGAGGTGGAGATGCTATGTAGTAAACAGCTAGACTCGAACATATGGGCTATCCAGAGTCTAGGAGCAATAGACTATCAATTATCACCATTCTCCTTTCATGCGATCATTGTGGCTGGTTACTACTAGTACCTCTCGCGAGTCTTTCCCTTATTGCAATCATTTAGCTACAGCGTCTATTCATTACAAACACGACTCGGGAGCCTTACATTTCCCTATCGTCCACGCCGGAATTGAAGGATCACTCATGATGCGACGCGGCTATAGATTTGACTAATGTACTGGTCGCGTATTGAGAAGACAAAGAGTCGTGGCCGGTCGGATCGAATGATTGTTCTTCCCTCGCCGCCGGCAGGCCAGATCCGACAAACAAACTACCCGGCTGACTTAACCGATGAAGGGCCAACCCAGGGCCATAGTCCGCTACACTTCTGGCGGACATCAAGGTTAGGGGTAGGAGCTTCCATCGACATGCGGAATGATCAGCATAAGCGGGGGTATGAGGGTCCCAAGATGAGAATGGGTTTAAGAGAGTAAGAATCCCAATCCTGGCCAGGGGAACGCAACAACTACTACAATCAAGTTTCAAGTTTTAAGAATGGCACCACCAAAGAAAAAGTTCCAGCTGAACTTCCTCGAGACCGCTTCTGTTGGTGGTAATCTCTTCATCGGATGTTGGAAGCAAGTTGATCGCAATCTTTCTCGTGAATCTGATTAACGGTCTCTGCAGAGAAAGTCCGACCGACGCATCTCGCCACAAGGATCGCCTCAAGTATTATGTCGACCTTGCGAAAATCGCGGAACGCGGGAAGATCTCTTGCATTTTCTTCGCCGACTCTTACGGAGTCAATGATGTCTACGGCGGCAACACAGATGCGACTTACCGAGGAGGCTGTCAAGTAGCACAGCTTGATCCATTTATGATCATATCCGCCATGGCGGCAGCAACCGAGACTGTCGGATTTGCAGTCAGTGGGAATGCGTTGTACCTCAACCCGTACATCTTTGCTCGGTCCTGCGCGACTCTGGACCACCTTACAGATGGGCGGCTGGGGTGGAATATCGTGACAGGCTACACGAACGCTTCTGCTCGTGCCATGGGCTTTGACTCGATCATGCCTCATGATCAAAGGTACGAAAAGGCGGGCGAGTTTGTCGACGTCGTTTACCGGTAAGTACTTTTCTCTCGCTATAAAGCAGATTCTCCGCTGCAAAGTAACGACGCTAACAAAGGGTCTGATCCAAGTTTATGGGAAGGTAGCTGGGACGACGATGCCCAGGTGTGGGATGTCGAGAGGAACGTGGCCTATGACCCGGCCAGGATCAAGAAAATCGAGTTCGATGGTCGATTCCACAAAATATCTGCCACGCAGCAAACACACCCATCACCCCAGCGAGTCCCTGTCATCTTCCAAGCCGGTTCTTCCAAAGCCGGAATTGCTCTAGCCGGCGCCCATGCGGAGGGTCTCTTCTGCGGCTCCCTAGTCCCCAGCCGAACAGCTGCTTACATGAAAGATGTCCGGAAGGCAGTGGCTGATAGTGGCCGAGACCCCAAATCCGTCAAGTCGTTTGCTGGTCTATCCACTTTTATCGCCCCAACACTGGAGGAAGCCCAAGCAAAGTACGAGGCGGCAGCCAGGCATGCGAGTCCGGAGGCCGGCCTCGCCAAGTTTGGAGGCTACACCAATACAGACCTGAGCAAATATCCGCTGGATGAGCCTTTTGAATTCAAGGAAGGATCGGGAGACAACATTATCCGCGGCATCGTCGAGATGTTCAAGGCTGGCGACGGCAGCAACGAGGCTTGGACTCCAAGGAAGCTAGGTACCAAAATGGCTTTGGGCTCACTCTACCCGGTGGTGGTTGGAACACCGGCCATGGTGGCAGATTTCATGGAGAAATGGGTGGAAGAAGCCGATATTGACGGCTTCAATCTTTACGGTATGGTCACCCCGGTGCCTCAGACAGCTAGCCACCTTTTGCGACTTTTGCAACCTTTTTGCAATGCAATATTTATGGCGGATATGATTACTGACTTGCCGCGTGTAGCTGCCAACTTTCCTGAGAGTTTCGAAGATGTCGTCGACCTTCTAGTCCCTGAATTGCAGCGACGAGGTGTCTATTGGCTAAATTATCCCGTCCCTGGAGGTACTTTCAGGGAGAACTTGTACGCCAGCCCTGGACAGGCACGAGTCCTTGATGATCATCCGGCAGCAAAGTATAGAAGGGAGAGAGAGGCAGCTAGAGCTATACGGGATGCAGAAGAGAAGAAGGTCAAGGTAGTGGAAACAATCCGGGAGATAACAGGTGGCGTGGAGAGTCTTGCCACGAAGCCACAGGAGTTGGTTCAAATCACTGCTTAGATTCTCGAGGTATTTTATGTACCACGTCTCGGGACTTGAGGAACAAATCAATTCTACGGATTTTTGCTATCGAAGATGAAAGTGTGAAGTTGTTATTTTGCATACCACGCGTGCACCTGGCAACGTGAATCAGGCCAGAGAAGAGGCTTGGGATGGCCTCTGCCTATGCTCAAGGGATCCCAGGTGGTTTTCTATCTTATTCGGAGTCGATATTGCCATTGATTCACATAGAGTTCACAAATGCCAGCTCATAGAAGCCAGTGGGGTGGAGATTTTGTCAAGGGCCAGTTGGTCCGTACATCGGATGAGACTTTCCGAGGGAGCGCGTCGCATCGGAAGGCTATATCCTATACATGCCTTCCAGTTACTGGCACATACAACAGCAAAATTGCATGGCATGTGGTCCTCTCAGACAGAGAACGATTGCAGCTGGCAAATCATGCTTACTTGCCATAGGTAATTGACGTTGCTCAATTAAAAAAGAAAGGAGCTTTCTTATATCACACCAGTCTTGTTCGCCCCCAAAACCTGGCCGGTTGAAATGTCCAAGGACTGGTCTCTACGATCGCAACATTGGAGTTGAGCTCTGAAGGCATCTTGAACATGGGACTTACGAACTCCTTCAGTTGCTTCCCACTCAGCTTGAAGCTCCACAAAACAAAGGCCGACTTGACGACATCCAAACAGGAAGACTTATCCTTGACCTCTTCATCACATACTTTCGGAATCAGTGAGAAACGTGTATCAACAACGATCACAGAGAGAGTCGCAGATGGACCGTCAAAGCTCCACCGGTCTCCCCACCAAGAAGAAGCCACATCGCCATATCATGACGCTCTCGTGGTGACGTCGAGAGGGCGGTATGAGTTGATCAAAGTCGCGACGCAAGAGACACTCGAGAGTTCAGATGTATTGATTTCAACCCGTGCAGTCGGTCTCAACCCCATCGATTGGAAATCCGTCGACTTTGGATTTTGCCTACCGGAGTTTCCTTGGGTCACTGGCCGAGAGATGTCGGGAGTAGTGGAGAGGATAGGCGCTGGTGTCACCGGGCTGGAAGTGGGTGACAGAGTCTGGACAGGTATGTTAACTCCACCTCATGCCTCCGGGCTTGAGCCAGCAAGACAACAAGACCTGACATCGTCTATAGGTACTTACTACAGGAAAAGAGAGGCTGGTTGCTTTCAGAGTCGTGTCGTCGCTCCAGCTCATACTGTCCTTCCGGTCCCAGCCGGCTTGAGTTTTGAATCGGCTGCCTGTCTCGGTGTCCCAGGCCTTACGGCGGCAATGACGCTATGGCACTGGCTCAGAGTTCCCATGCCTTCAACAGAGCAGCAACCCACGGTCCCCTTACAACAACGAACAACCCCACATTATATCCTGATCTGGGGTGGCTCTACGGTCACGGGACAATTCGCCATTCAACTAGCCGTTCTCAGTGGCTTGACCGTCATCACGGTAACATCAACCAAGACCAGCAAGCTTGCGGGGGATCTCGGCGCCACGCATGTGGTAACCCGTGATGGCAAGACAGAGAACCAGATCCTGGACGACATTCGGCGGATCAGTGGCGAGGAGCTGGTCATGGCAATGGATATCGTGGGTCCAACATCGGCCAGTTATGCAGTGAGCGCACTTTCTCGGACAAAGCCTTCGACCATTGCTCCTCTGTCATTCTTACCTCCAGGTTTTCAACCGCCTCCGAACGTCTCGGTGCTCAATATTGAGATGAAGCAGTTTATCCTGAACGAGGAATGCAGGAAGTATGCCGTGGGGCTGAGTCGCTTGATAGCACAAGGTCTTGTCCGGCTGCCAACGTATGAAGTACTTCCTGGAGGCCTCTTAGCAATTCCACAGGGACTGGAGAGGCTGAAACGAGGCGACATGGCTGGCAAAAAGCTGATTGTTTCTCTATGAGTACCTATCAAACGTATCCCATGGTAAACGCCGCTGTTAACCTTTTCCAAGGAACCCATGGATCCTGCACTGGATCATTCTCATCATCGACATGGTACATACTACCCATTCCGGGCCGCATCTTGATGTAAGGCGTGTATATTTTGCTCAAGAATGGGGTTCTGAGGACCAAAGATGGTATTGGCAAACTTGAGGCTGGCCGCCCGCCCAACGTAAGAGCGGTGGTGTTCTGAGGACTAGTCCATGATGCAGAAAGCTGGTACATGTCATGATGTTGAGAGCTAGCAGCCGCCGGGGAGGTTTTCAAGCATGTGAATTACGGATTCTCTCTCAAGCTGCGCTTGGTGGTATTCTAAGTACATCTAGAGGGATTCGGTCAAAGGCTACTTGGTTACGATGATCCGAGATTCGGGTAATATATGTTGATGCCTGCGTCCAGAATCCTTTCGAATATGATCAGACGGTGGCAAGGTGGGAATCTCACAGCGAGAACGGAGAGGGAGTGTCTATTGGTGTGAGGTGGTTTCTTGCTTAAGCGCGGTAGTTCTGGCAAGGCTGGCGGATCCGCCGCGGAAAGACATATAATAGGCCAAGGTGGCAGAAGCGGTAAAAGCCATCTATTGAGAATCCACCATGTCCAAAAGTGGAAGAAGAGTTAACATCCCAAAACATCTGCTGACTGTCGGACTATCAGACCAGCTCTATATACCGTTTGAATTCCCTATTGTAGGAAAAAACGTTAGTAAATGTTGCTCTTCCAATGTAGTACTTAGCTTACCAATCGGTCACGGCTTCCTTGTACAGTCGAATTTCATGTTCGCGGGAAGCAGCAAAGAAATCGACAAATTCGTCGGAGAAGATCTCTCGCGAAAGACTCCTTGGCGCCCGGAACCTGGCAACAGCCGCATCTAAACTGTTAGGCAGTAACTCCGGTTTGTCAAGCCTTGCAGAGCAAGGTGGAACGGGGATTTCCAGCTGTTGTTCGATTCCTCTCCAGCCAGCTCCGAGAATGGCGGCAAGAGCATAGTGAGGGTTTAGGTCTGCTCCAGGAATGCGGATTTCGAATCGGGTGGCACCTGGCTTCGAGACGGGTGGCGCGATCAGTCTGATGGAAGCAGACCGATCTTCGAGGCCCCAGCTGACATTGACTGGTGCCCAGTAGTTCTCCACGAGTCGCTTGTACGAGTTGATGGTCGGTGCCAACAGAGGCATCAGATCTGGGAGTGCAAGGAGCAAGCCTGCGAGGAACTGTCGACCGATATCCGAGACATTTTCAATGTCTTTCCATTGTGCGTTCGTGTCTGGTTCTTTGCGGGCAAAGGCGTTCTTGCCGTCCTTATCAACCAGTGAGATGTGGATGTGCCCCGAATTTCCAGGTAGACCATGCACAGGTTTCGCCATGAAGCATGGGGTGATGTTTCTTTCTACTCCGATTGACTTGACGAGAAGCCTGGCGGATCAACGGTGAGCACTGTTACTTCGAATATCGGGAATCTCACTTACTTGAACAGGGTAGCTCGGTCTGCCAATTCATCAATCTCTTGCACCTTCAGAGCCTGGGAAAACGTATGTTAGCCGCCACTCTAAGAAGGATGTGCCATCAAGACCACTACTTACAGCTTCAAATACTCCAGGACCACTTTCAGTGTGCCAGCCTTCGAGATCCGTCTTGAACCGGAGAGAATCGTTGAAGATTTGATGGAAATACTGCTTGTTGGCCATGGGCCTGGTGAGGCTGTAACAGAATGATCCTTGGGTCAAGGTGCGAAGACTGCCTGGAGCGTTGTTGGATAGATATGCTGCCAAATTGCGGTATCCTGACGAGGAATACCCGTCCTCGGTTGGCGTTTGGAAATTCATAAACTCTAGCTCAACTACAAGCAACGAATTAGTAGAGCAATAGCCTTTATTTCTGGTGCCTTAAGGCATCACATGGAGCATACTTCCTGCGAGGGATTTGAGACCTCGTGTACCAATCTTGTTGCACAGTGATTTCAGTATGCCCCTCCCATCAGCTGCAACCGGGCCGTTCTTCGACATCAGCCGAAACAGGAAAAGTGGTATGTTGTCCTCCCACGGGAGACGTCTGAATGAACTAAGATCCGGTATGGCGGCGAAATCACCATACCCCTCTGCTGCTGGACAGATGGTTGTCTCGGTGGTGTAGAGAGTATCTTGTATGTCCCAACCAAACAAGACTGAGCTCATGCCGAAGCCCTGGTCGATACTTGAAAGGAACTTTTCTGTGGACATGATTTTGCCTCGCAAGACGCCGTCGCTGTCGATACACCCAACCTTGACCATCTGATCATTGGCCAACAGCGCAGCAATGTTGTCCTTTGTCGGGACATCGTCAGAGGTGCTGCCCATAGTGATAGTAGGGCTTGAGATTTGGTGAATGTAATGTGCCAGATGGTTGATGTGACCGTTGTTCAAGAGCAGTCCTCGAGGTTGATATCACCAGATAGAGACCGGAATATGCCAATCAACGAAACACAACACAAGAGTCAAATACCAAGGCCAGGCAACTACATCTATCTACCTAGGTATCTGCGGGGAGTGAGCCGCACAGTTCTCCGATTGCGTAGGCACGGCGGTAGATCAGTCGAGCACTCCCATGAGTCTGGGACCTTGCTTGCAGGAGACTGTAAGATGAACCATCCCATCAGAACGCCGCAAAATTGTCCTAAACAGAGAGATACGATGGGGTTCAAGGAGATAGGCGGGCTGATGGCCAGGCTGGGGCTACTCCGGCGGACCGGCGCGTGCATGTACGTACTTTCTCACCTTCCTTATCTAGCCGCGCTCCACAATGGATGTCAGTCTGGTCGTTGAACGCCGCGGGCTCGTGAAACTCGTGAAACATGTGCGCTCTCGAGCCGCGACGTTCAATTCAAGTCCAATCTATGCCTGCCCAAGTCTAAAGCATGCTGACACACATCGTCACGAGGCTCCTCACCAATTGAGCGGAGCGTCTGAAATGGGAATTTAGCACCCTTTAGATCCACACCTTCGGACGTATTACCGGGGTGAGCGAGCTGTGGATTGACAATATGATATACCGAAACATATGGACGGAGGTGGCTATGGAGTTATAAGTCGGTGGTAAAATTCTCTCCCTATTACGGTTTACAATATATCAATCATCTTTTATCTACAAAAGCATCTGGTGCCTTTGGTCCTGGGACCAGACTCAAGAGCAAGATGGCGCAAGAGGTGATCCGCACGGTATCCCCATCAACAAACAAAGTGATCCTCGAACGTGAAGGGACCACTATCGAAGAGGCTCGGAGGGTTGCCTCCGACTCTAAAGATGCATTCAACAACTGGAAGAAGTTGTCTCTGCAGGATCGTCAGAACTTGATCGTCAAGGCGCTCGATATCATCCAGGAACGCAAGGAGGAGCTGGGCCGGGAGATCACCGAACAGATGGGTCGGCCGATAGCATACAGTGCCAAAGAGATCGACACGATGCAGAAAAGAGCGAAATACCTCCTCGATATTTCCAACGAGGCTCTGGAGGATATCCCTGGACTTCCAGAAGCAGGGTTCAAGAGGTACCTCAAGAAGGAGCCAATTGGCCCTGTGCTCATCGTGTTTGCATGGAATGTAGGTGCCGGAAAGTGTTCTGGGGATACCATGACATGTACGCTGATAGCCGAACAGTTCCCCTATTTGATTCTTGTCAATGCCCTCATCCCTGCGCTGCTTGCAGGGAATTCGGTCATCCTGAAGCCTTCCCCTCAAACACCGCTGGTTGGCGATCGCATTGCCGAGATCTTCACGGAGGCAGGACTTCCGAAAGGTGTCCTTCAAGTAGTTCAGTCAGGAGATCCCAAGATGTTGAAAGAGCTATCATTGTTGCCCGAGATCCAACTCATCTCATTCACTGGCTCAACGGCGGTTGGATTGACACTGCGCGAATGGACCTCGTCCAGAATCATTCCTTTGAACCTGGAGCTGGGAGGCAATGACCCGGCATACGTACGACCTGATGCAGACCTGAAATATGTGGCTGCTCAGCTTGTCGATGGTGCAGTCTTCAACTCAGGCCAGAGTTGCTGTGCAGTCGAGAGGATCTACGTGCACGCTGCCGTCCACGATGCATTCGTGAAAGAAGTGCAGGAAGAATTAAAGCAGTGAGTGATGTCCGGCGACCCAGATCCCTCTAAACGACTGATTGGCAGCAGATACAAGCTTGGTGATCCAATGGACAAATCCACCAACGTTGGGCCCGTCATCTCCCAGGCAGCGGTTCGGTCTATCAACCAGCAAATTGAAGATGCCCTCGCCCGGGGTGCCGTTGATGCCACACCGAAGAATTCCACTTTTGAAAACCCACCGAAAGACGGGAACTATGTTCCACCGCGGCTTCTCCTGAATACGAACCATGAAATGCAGGTTATGAAATACGAGACCTTTGGACCTGTGATTCCAGTCTCGAAAGTGGCCAGTGATGAAGAAGCCGTGCGGCTGATGAACGATAGCGACTATGGTCTCACAGCCAGTGTGTGGACAAAGGATATCTCAAAAGGAGAGGAGTTGATCCAGGAATTGGAAGCTGGGACGGTCTTTGTCAATCGGTGTGATTATCCCAGTCCAGTACGTATCCAACTTGGAGTCTCGCGTGTGCTTCACTGACTAGACGGCAGGATCTTGCATGGACCGGCTGGAAGGATTCCGGGCTCGGCTGCACTCTTGGGCCCCGCGGGTTTGATGCCTTTTTCAAGCTAAAAAGCAACCATGTGAAGGAAATTCAGGCATAAGCTGCGTCCACCGTGCAGCCGACGTGGTAGATGGCCGAGTAGAGAATTAGCATCGCCAATTCTGGCTCCCAGAGTACTTAGTAAACAGGATAAGCCAGAGGTAGATCTGCACAGGCATTGGGATCCCATCAAGTTGCCCATTCCGTGTCTAACATCCGTCTCAACGAAAACAAAATACTTAGTAATATGGTGTCACAGAACAGCGTAAAGATGGAATCGGCGTCCCATGGCTCGGTACTGCAGGCGTAGTGGTGGTAACGGGTCGCTCGGAGCATTTCTTGTCGTAATGAGGCTAGCGGCGGCAAACAGCACACTGACCCCATTATTTGTCCGACCCGCGGTCCCTCAGATGTAAATTCAGATAGCCGCGCTCGACAACGGTCTGGCGCAATATTCATCTCATGATCACTCTGGCAGTCGGTAGTATCCTCACGAAATAGGCTGCTCCTGTCCGAGATTGGACCCGCCACGCGCCCGGAGATTAAACAGATTCGGAAACTCTCTTTCCGCTCGAGTCCATATAGGCCACGCGAGCCAGATGAATTGCTCTTAGAAGACTTATTCTCCATGTCCATTGTGATAGTGTCATCTTCCTCATAGCGTTCATTTTCTGGGTAGACATTCTTCCAAGTCCTAGGTAAATCGAAATACCAGCTCACGACAATGGTGGGAAGATTATCAGGCAAAAATGCCATTGTCACTGGTGCGGCAGGGTGAGTAACCACTCAGTCTTTCAGCTTTGCTGGGGATCAATACGCCTCCAGTTGGTGCGCATGCTCATGCCTCGGTTAGTGGTATTGGCCTCGAGACGGTAATCCTGATGCTTCAGGAAGGGGCATCGGTCCTCATGGCAGATGTGAGCGCGCCGAGTCTCGAAAAGGCTCTCGCAAAAGCAAAGGACGTGGTCCCGACACGTCAGGGCCGTGTCGAGGCCAAGGTGGTCGATGTGATCAAGGAATCAGACATCGAAGCCGCTGTTGATCATCTTGATACGTGGGGAGGCCTCGACGTTATGTTCAACAATGCTGGCATCATGCATCCCAGGGACGGCGACGCTGAGGAGTGCTCAGACTCAATCTGGGATCTGACCATGAATATTAACGTCAAGGGCGTGTGGTATGGCTCGAAACATGCCGTGCGAAGCTTCAGGAAGAACGGGAAGAAGAAGGCGAGTGTCATAAACACCGCCAGCATGGTCGCACTCGTTGGGGCTGCCACTCCACAGCTAGCGTACACAGCCAGTAAAGGTGCTGTGTTGGCCTTGACCAGGGAATTGGCCATTGTACACGCCCGTGAAGGTGAGATCAGTCGTCCCATTCCCCGGGGTCGCCGTCTGATAACATAACAGGATATCGATTCAATTCTCTGTGTCCGGCTCCCTTGAAGTGAGTAATTCCTCTGATCCTCGGAAAGGAACGACCTGGTTCTGACTGGAACAGTACTCCGATGCTACAAGACTGGCTCGGTACCGACAAAGAAAAGAGACACCGACGAGAGGTGCACTTCCCGACCGGTCGATTTGGTGAAGCCATTGAGCAAGCATGGGCTGTCATCTTCCTCGCCAGCGATGAATCGTCGTTCGTCAATGCGGCCGACTTTGTGGTCGATGGAGGTCTGACAAAAGCATACGTGACGCCAGAAGGACCGCCCACAGAAGCGCCCCAAAATCTCGGGAAATGAGAGCGAATTCTTCTTAGAGGGCATTTCCATCATCAGAAGCCATTCATGACTCAGGCAAATGAGATCCATATCTGGTTTTCTTGCATTGTTCGGTATATAGTCCACGGACTTCGTTGGCTCAAAGGCATTTCCCAGATATGCTCGAGAAGCCTTGCCGTCTGCCTAACGTTTCCTAGGCCCAGCGTTTGTAGCATAAACTGTAAACGGGTCCGTAGGACATCTTGGATTGCGGAATCCGCAACGCAGGCACCAATGACGGCAAGTGGCCAACAAAGACTGGTATTGACGCGAGCTGTGGCGGGTAGCTGTAGAATATGGGATGCTGCTTCCGAAATTGCTGCCGCTACCATGCTTCGATATTTGCCGGGGTCCTGCGCTTCCAACCCATTGAGACATGTTAAAAGGTACAGCAGCATGGCTTGCTGGTAGATATAGCCGGTGGTTGCTGTTTCAGAGCTCACAGAGCCGTACGGCGAGTACGACACAATCCGAGCATGTAAATTTGAGAACACGATCATGTCGTCGGCAGTTGGAAAGGCGACTTGGTCGCTTTTATTGTCCGGAAATGCCTTGCGGCCCAGTTCGAATATTTGAGGAATCAAAAGCAGAAGGTCCATCCAGCATCCACATAGGTGACCAACGTAGCCAATAGTGGTAAGATGTTGTGCAAAGCTTTCTATCTCGGGACTTAGTAAGAATTGCGTATCAGATCTCGGCTCGACAGATATTATGCTTGTAGTCGCAGAGTATATGTAGTATTCAACGAGAAAGGTCTTCAAGTCGTATGTCATCGAAGGGCTCTCCCGGGCAAGGATCTCACGCAAAAAGTGCCTTGCAGCCACGAGATGGCGGAAGACGGCACCATTGATATCTCCTTTCGCCGTCTAGTACATGGTTAGCTCATTCCTTCTGGTTTGCAACGAGGGCACACCGTACCTCTGTGAAGCACATAATCAAAGCCGCAGCTGCGAGGATCATTGTGTTACCACTGTCGCCTGTGAAACGACTTAGATGCTTTCGAAACAGTCGCAAAGACCCGCGATAGTGCTCATTTGCAGTATCGTCAGCCTTTGCAAGCTCGGAAACCGCTCGGTGGACAGCACTTTGAGTCAGAACAAGATCTAAGATTAGTTCATGTGAAAATGCCAGCGGTATCAGTTGCACAATGAATGGGTTTGCGTCGGTTGAGCCGTTTCCCATAGTATTGGCGGTTCGAGCGAGAAAGTGAGTCAAAAGCTGAGAGGAATCCGGTCTATCCAGGGGTAGAGGAGATAGTGTGTTTGGTATCGTCAGAGCGGACGACATTACTGAGAGCGCTGATGCTGGCATGATGGCGATCGGCATAGGACCCGTTGCTATTCCCGACCCGCCACGAATATCAGGGCTTGAAAAGCTTTGCGCTTGATCTGTTTCTGGAGTATCATTCCAAGCAATCTCCAGGCCGTGGCTATCATCTGGCGCGTAATTCTCGTGAACTGGCGACCGCTGGAAATTAGCTGACCATCCAGCCTCCGAGTCTGCCACTAACGCCTGGTCGGGTGTCTCTGAAAACGGCGTATCATCTTCAGCCTCTTCCACCTGTACTTGGTTAATTACTCCGGCGTTGTTCGAAACTCCTGGGTCTATCTTAGTAGGCCAGCGGCACTGTAGCTGGTTTCTCAAGCATCCTGTACACAACGGTTTCTTCTCGTCACATTTCTTCTTGCGGTTACGACAGGTGAAGCACCCCGTCCGAACACGAATTAGCGGTCTTGGACGAACCGGTCTTCCTTTCTGAGAGTCTGGAGATGTCGCCATAATCCTGGCTGTCACGACATATTGAGTTTCCCAGGGGACCCGGATGGTACCTAGGTAGGTAAGTGGTGTAAGGAAGCAGTGAGTGTGGCCTGAGATACGGAGCTTGTAAATTCACTGCCAAGCTCGCGATTGTGGAGAACATGCTTATCGTACGCAGTGATAACATACTAGTAGGTACTACGTACGATAGTACTTTAGCCTAGGTACTCAGCTACAGTAGCTAATATGTATCTTATCACTCCGAGACCATATTTACACAGACCCCCACGCCGCAAAGAAGCCGTCGATACTCCCTGCAAGAGCACATGAATCCGCAGTGAGCTGAAAATACTATCCAGGGTCCTTTGGAGCGCGTAAGTGGCAAGCGCAAGGGATTCGAAGTGGGCGCTCCGTCCGCAATCAAGCACTATCATGGACGCGATGTGTACACGAACAAGTCCATCATACTAAGAGATTGGTAAGTAGTTGCCGAAACGGCAGATAATACGGTGGGTGCCACGTGCCTAAAGCGCAGATAGAAGATCTATAAGTAAAGCGCTCCTCCCTCTCTTATTCTTCTTCTTTTACTTCTCTATCTTTCTCTTCTATATCTCTATATCTCTATATCTCTCTATTTCGTCGATATAAGGACTCCTACTTGTTAGGATTCATGCAGACGTAGGCCAGGCATGACATCCAACCAGGAACAGTGGCCAGAGAAGGCAGGATTGCCGAAGGAGCACGTGAAAGCCTTGCGAGGCAAGGCAGAGTCACGTGACACCTTATGCTCTGTGCTCTGTATTGCTCTGCTGAGCAGAGCAACAGAGCACAGCAGAGCACTACGAGTCTCTTATGTCTAGACATATAGTCTTCCATCTTTCCATAGCAGCTCATAGTCTCTCGTAGTCAACTTCGTTCACAAGCTAGACGTTACCATCGCGTTGATAGCTTTCGTTCTGACTTACCCTTGTGCCCTGGAATACTGTCCTCCTGCCTTCTCACACATCAGGAAACCCTGATCGATATCGTGACCCCGAGGAACGATTCGTGACACTCTTCTATGGTTAGTACTTACTAGCGCTCTTTTTACCCCTTTAGTCCTAGCCCTAGCACTAGGGTTATCACTTACTTTAGTTAGGACCCTATTTTCAGTCCTCCGTTATAGGAGGAGATATAGAGGGTACCCGCCAGCGAATTCAACGAAAACACAGCCTCGTTAAAGAGTTCCCGAATCCTATCTCTTCTACTCCTCCTATTAATAATCCGGCGCCCTCCTACGAACCGACACCCTCGTATAATCCTTCTCTTCTTAATACTCCGATTATTAAGATAGAAGATATAGAGAGATATAGACGAGATAGATAGATAGATAGAGATATAGAAGAGACAGATCGCAACTACTTACCTATCTCTTTAGTAGTAGTAGTAGTAGTAGTAGTAGTAGTAGTAGTAGTAGTAGTAGTAGTAGTAGTAGTAGTAGTAGTAGTAGTAGTAGTATACCGCCCGCTGCTGATTACTACTAGTAGTAGCCAGAACGTACTTTTTATGCGCAAGGCTCCGTGGACTCCGCGGAGGGTTCTATACTTACTGAGTAAGTCGTACTAATCAAGTAGGTATCGATTTAGAATCGATACTAAATCAAATAGGGATCATAGATCAAACTTAATCTTGAATCAGATTACTGTTATACTAGTTTATAATACCTAGTTTCAACACGGTTTCAATACGGTTTTAACACGATTTCGTAATAAGATTTCTCTAAGGCCATGTTTAATATATATAATCCTACCCTATCTAGACTATATCTAATATACTTACTAGATAACTTTAGTACTACTATAGTGCCTACCCCCTTAAGTTTAAATCAGTATAGATACCGTATTGAGACAGCTTCGGAGTCTTCTCCGATACTTCTTAGAAGCTTCTGAGAAGCTTCTCCGAGAAGTCCTTAAATCGCTGAGAATTCTTGAGCTTTATACTAGCTTTAAACTAGCTTCGAGCTTCGAAATAGATAAACCTTTTTTTTAAAAAAAACATCTAAGTCTTCTATTACTTAGTACTCTATAGTAGTACTTATAGAAATAGCTCATATACCTAAAATATAGGGTTTTATACTTATAAAAAATTTATTAGCTTTATAGTATAGCTAGTTAAAGAGTTAGAGCTTAGCCGAGTTATCCACTTTTTATCGTAAACTTGAAACTTTAAAAATTAATAGCTTTAAAAAGAGCTAAACTAAAAGAACCTATTAAAAAGCTCGAAGCTATAATAGAACTCGAAGCTACTAGTAGAACTCGAAGCTATTCAAAAGCTCGAAGCTATATAGAGAAGTACTAGAGCCTCTTAGGAGACTCTAAAGCTGTCTCGATACGGTATCTATATTGTATCTATACAGGTTTGAACTTAAGGGGGTGTGGGCACTATAGTACTATTACCTATCTAGTAGTAGGTATCTAAGTAGTATCATACTAGTAGTACGTACTAGTACTAGGTATATATATCCTATAGCGGCTAGGTTAGTTGGTACTTAGTAGACTTAGTAGTTCTAAATACTAAATACTTACTAGATTAGAACTAGATTAGAGCTTTAATATAGTTTTAATCTAGTAGTACTTTAATCTAGTAGGTCGGTTTTGAACTACTAGGTACTAGTACTACTAGTGCTAAGTACTTATATATATTAAATCCAGCACTTAGTCTACGAGTATTAATGTAGAATTAACCTCTAATATGATACTAGTAAGTCCTAGTACAACTTAGTAGTTAGTACTAGTGTTAGGTAACTAAGTTTTAAGTTCAAGTTTTGACCTGAAATCTGCTTCTGGCCCGAATTCGTCGACCGTACTTAAAGAAAAGAAACGGGAGCGGCAGGCAGGCAAGCCCGAGAAACCCCAGTAGAGAGGATGCCCATTGATAGCCGAGAACTTCATACACTGTAGGGAGAAATCGTCAGCTTCAACATGCCACGCGAACGCACAGGAGTACCAAATAGTCCTGACTTACTTTGGACTCCAAACAGCGGGAATCCTGCAGCGAATGCTAACCGCACAAGTACGTTGGCCCCAACAGCACTCGCAGCGTAGTCGGCGTATGCGTCCACCAGGAAGGTTAATATGCCGGTGAAAGCAAGGAAGACACTATTTCACTTGTTAGAAGACAACATCCTGATGCGGTTGAACCAACAGGAAACTTACCCAGCACCGAAAAAAGCAGTTGCAATTATTGGGACGATCCAGTGCACACTTGCATATGTCGTCCATCCGAACCAGAAAAGGCCAATTGGGACAAGTATAGCGCCAGCCATGGCAGGGGGTAATCGAAATTCTGGCTCGGGCTGAATATCTTTCTGACCCATCTTTTCCTCGTAACCTTTTACAAGACGTTGATAGTTCTTGTCCCAGTAGGGATTGGTTACGACGCCGGCGAGCATACCAATTCCGATCCCTAGGAAAGCTAGTCCGTTCTGGTAGAGCTCAAAGCCGTGATTCGTCCGGAAGATGAGAGGAATTGCGCCGAACAACAGGTAGACGATACCTAGGAGGATGGCCGAATAGAGGCAGAGCATTAGGCACATTGGTTCCAGTGCAAGCAACAGGACTGGTGTGTAGCAAGCACGGATGATCCTGAGAACGACGGAGCTCTCGTCAAGCTCCGCCGAGGCCCACCAGCGGTCATTCCCCGTCTCCTTTCGTTTCCGTTGCGCCTTCTTCTTGAGCAGAATTTTGTGAAATGTCTCCGGCACAAAAAGAATCACTGTGACAAAGAGAACCCCGCTCCAGATCAGAAGGACGTAGAATGACCACCGCCTGTAGCGTTATTAGTGACCGAAAAGTAGGGGATGTGGGGGAATGGTCGTCCTACCATGAAGTATACTCATTGATGAAACCCCCGATGATCGGGCCAGCTGCAGGCCCAAGGAAGGGGGAGGCAGTATAGATCATCATAGGAAAAGCAATCTGTCTCGAGTCGAACATGTCCACGACTGTACCGGCGGCGACAGCGAGAAATGCACTGCCAGCCAGCCCATCGAAAAATCGACTCACCAGAATGGTGCCGATGTTCTGAGCAACCGCTTCGGGAACAAGCCATATCACAAACATGCTCATTGAGGCAAGATAGATGGGTCGCCGGCCGTAGAACTGGGGTTCATGTTAACGGAACAAGGTCTTGCAGATGGGGAAGAAGGACGAGATACCTCACTTAGCGGAGCCAGCATCATGGGGCCTACGGCTAAGCCGAGCACAAACGTGGAAAGTCCCAGCGTAGCAACCTCTCTTGAAATATGGAATTCATCCATGATCTGGTCGTAGGTGACAGAATATAGGGAAGACGTGCAGGTTCTGTCAAAGCGTCAGCCATGCCATGATCTGGGACTTGTAGCATGTTCAGGGTGCTGACACTAGAAAAGAGGAGAGGGAGACAATGGACACAATAAGCCACTTCCGGGCAATGCTGAAATTCCGAGGAAACAGCTTGTCATCTTTCCCATCCCACCGCACCTCGTATGCATCTGTTGGAGTCCGCTGAACGGCCAAAATGCTGTCTAACTGGTCATCATCCTCTTCTAGGTTGTAAGTGCCGAATCCATCGGTGGCCTGCGATCGAGACCTCCATATTCCTGATTGCTGAGCAGTAGCGGTGGGTGTGACTCGGCTGGTAGGGATTGGGTCAGGCACGGTGTCGGCCTTCTCCAAGTCTGATATATCTGAGGCCGAACTTGAGGTGTCATTGTCGGTGGAACGTCTAACAGGGAGTTCCGCCTTCTCGATGTCGCTATCGCGGTCGGACATGCCGACACTTGGTGTGATTCCCAGTGTTTCGGCCGGTTGCAGACGGTATGCCTTGGTGTCGTTGCGATATGTGTATGGACGGCCTGCGCAGTTTATTGATTGTGTCAGGTGGAGATGAGCCGCCGTGCGTCATCATATTTATGATTTATCTGTGCGTTCGACATGCTGGCATGGGCGCCGGCTCTATCAATATTTTCCAGGGACGCTGCAGGTGGCTGATTAATTGCCGCAATCAAGATTGTCGAAGAGAAGCGCCTCATCAAGAGTCCCAGATGAATATACCCTAGGTCGGTATGTAGGCAGGTACGTGGAAGGCGCTGTGGTGTGCAGTGATCGTACATGACGGCATTGTACTACGAGAAGTACTAAGCGAGCAGGAGGGGAATCTCGGAGAGAAAGACGCAACTAGAGCAATCAATACACGTGACTTCAATTTCATATGCGCTATCTGGATTATCTAGTCTATACAGGTACTGATACAATAATATTAGGGCTGAGTGGACAAAAGCTTGCATCAAAGCCTTACTGATTAGGTACCTAAGATACCTAAGCTGCCGGGTAGGCTGTAGGTATTCAAACAACATTGGTCCTAAACAGCTGACACATATCATCGCAATAGTATGCCTGGTAACACTTGGATCACTCCCTACTACGATTTATCTTCCTTGCGATGTCTCAGCTCTGGACCATCCCATGGAAAATGAGTCTTTAAGCCGACCACTGCTGTGATCGAAGGGGTTCCCCAATCAACCACCTGCTGGCAATATTTCGTGTCAGAGCAGCTTTGAAGCACATATTGCTGAACTATGAGAGGTCAGATCGTCGTTTCACTTTGTTGCTGAGAACACAAGTAGGTCGTTTTCTCGTGGTTGAGTTGATGGAGAATTCTAGACGTGCATATATCAAAATGATGAGCCGGCTGAAGTGGTTCTCAAATTCGAAGAGACATCAGAGGAAAATGTCGTGGAGGGACCACCGGTACCTATATAAAGAACTTCTCAAGAACGTGGCGATACACTGCATGGTTTGGTCAGGTAGGTAGCTGAGCGATACTTGTCCAACATATCTCAGGCTTTACGATCTCGCCAAATTGGCTTATGGTCTATCTGCTCCGCGTTCCTAGGTAGGAGTGTGATCATATGAGTTGCAGTGCTGCCGGCGGTCCAGCTCAGAAGGAGGCTGCCAGAAGAACGGGCAGTCGCTCCTTCCTCTCAAATGAGAGAGATGCCCAGTAGCTACTACCTGGGTACCTAGGTACCTATGTACGTACGTTGTACGAACCTGCGTCCTTGCAATCCTTCTGCGGATCCGTGACCATCTCATCTCATTCTTTCTTATAGTACATGCTGCAGTGAGCAAGACCTGCATCTGCGTACCTAATCATGGGTGTCAGCGCAGGGAACGCCGTAGCTACCCTAGGTATCCAAACATCGACTGTCCTGTCTGTCAGCCGCCTCCGCTGACTCCTTACTAATCGGGCACAGTACCTCCCTTCCTATACGCCGCAGCCTGGCGATGAGGCCTGGTCAATCCTTCCTCTGACATCCTCCTGGTGGCCTGGACAATATCGAACGTCCATAATGTGAAAAGGTGTACGATAATCTTGCTCAGACCAGGGTCTGCTTTTGAAAGAGCTGCAATTGGAGATATTGGTTTAACATTCTGTTCGCGCCGTTACGACCGAAGTCGGTACGACCAGCAGACTGATTTTCTGGACCTCGAGGGACATTGCTCCAGTCAGGACCATCAAGGCCATGAATTCCCTTCGAATCCCGCAAACACTCGATTCGGCAGAACGTGCTGTGGAGGCAAGCATGGTCAACGAAGCTGCCACTTTTGGGAATCAGGCACTGTGCCTCGGACGGAATGTTCAGCATCATCATCGCCACTGTACATATCAAGCCGCAACCGATGAGCATGCCGGAAGCAGAGCCACAGCAAAGTGTCCACCTCATAGGGAGCAGTTTTCAGCATTGGGTCATCATCGTGGTTGGCGAGAGAAAGATATGTACCTTGCCCGAGCTGACGTATACACCGATTTCGATATTTGCACCGAGAGCGATCATCTGGACGTGGCGTGTCCTGAACTTGCGCACCAATTTACCCTTGGGCGCGCTGCTTGACGTGCCTGCGTATTCATTGCCATCCGCCACAGGCACTGCCTTCAGCTGCCCACCCTCGAAGTCAGTACTGCGCACGGTCGGAGTGACCGCCTTGTCGATTGGATCTTGCATCGTGCTGGAAGGAGGATTGCCCGGCAGTATGAGCTCGCTGTTATAGCAGAACGGATGCGTTGAGAATTGCGAGCCCAACCACATATTAACTAAAGACCATGTCAGCTCGTCCCTGACTCTCTCCAGAACCGACGCCGATTCGGCGATAAGATATCAAACAACAGCCACGAGTACAGAGGTATGGAGAAGATCCGGGCTAGCAGGTATGCGGCCAAAATTGAATTACTGTGGTGGCGCGAGGCTCCACCCCCTTTCTACCTATCGATTGGCTGCCGGCGCCGTGCCCGAAACCCACCGTCGAGTACGGATATCTAGCCGTTCCCCTTGTCTGTCCCTTTTTGTGGTTGACCAACGCTCTAGCGCTGCCAACGAGGTCATGCTTGTCCTGTGTACGATGTACAGGAACTAGTCTGAATGTCAGAACTGGGGTGAGAGGGGAGAGGCTTGAGGGGCACAGATGGATCACGGCCGCAATCTAGCGGTGATTCTTCTTCTTCCATCGTCCTCCACGATGAGCCACCATCAGTATCGGCGTCTGATGCACCAGTCTAACCCCGAAACTGAAGCTGCTCCTTGGGGCGACAAGACCAACCAGTCTATGTGAGATGCAGAAAGAGGCGATACATCTTCCTGTCGACCGGGATAAGTTCGAGGGCTCAACTATTTTTATCTGAAATCTCCCCGTCTTTCATATCACAATGGACCCCGGACCTGTACAGAAACACTCGAGCGGTGCTTGTCGCCGCTGTCATGGCCGAAAAGTCAGATGCGACAGGTCAAAAGGCTCGCCTTGCTCAAATTGTCGTGCTACTGGCGCTTACTGTGTACCCTACGAGAAGCACCGCCCTCAGAGGCGTCGGGTTAACAAGCCTCTTGCACCCTTGCCAGCCAAAGTAGCAGATACATTGCAGACGGCCTCCCAGGGTGTGCTAGCAGAAGAACAAAAGCTGCAATGCTCACCACCACAATCCAACGCCTTTCATGACTCTACGACCACCCCAGCTCAACCTACTCCTCATACTGGCACTGCCAACGCGAGCACGGCGTCGCCGGCCTCTCTGATCCAGATCGATGACTCTACGGTGAAACGGCATCTGGTGGAGATGTTGTCTCAAGACGACGTCGACAGTCGGATCATGCAGAGTGGTGTCCGTATAGCATATGTTGGCCACGAATACTCGAACATCAACTACCTAATCCGCCACAGGACGAAAAACCCATCTGTCCACCATTTCCCTGCTAATCAGATTTCTCGTCATTATACCAGCCATGAGCTCGAGCGTATTCCCAAGGAGGCTTTTGCCCTTCCTTCGCGGACATTGGTGGATGAGTTGCTAGAGCAATATTTCATTCACGTCAACCCAGGATTCCCCATATTGGACGAAGAGATATTCATGGCTCAGTATAGAGCACGCAACCCTCAAAATCCTCCTTCACTTCTTGTTCTCCAGGCAGTGCTCATGGTAGGTGCCCACATTGCCCGCGACCGACCGGATCGCGACACACTGAAAGCAATGTTCTTCCGGCGCGCCAAGATGCTCTTCGATGCTCGCTTCGAATGGAACCGGGACGTTGTAGTGCAAGCCGCGTTGCTCCTGACCTGGCATTCCGAAGGTGTGGAGGACGTTGGGGCTAATTCATATCATTGGGTCGGAATCGCAGCAAGGACAGCGCTGGGCCTGGGCATGCATCGTGATTGCGGGTCCAGTACCTTGGTTGCCCACGACAAGCGGATTTGGCGACGGGTCTTTTGGATTCTGGTTCAGTTCGACGTCATCGTTTCACTGTCGTATGGCCGGCCTCAAGCCGTCAATCTCGACGAGTGTGATGTTCCTCCTCTGACCGTGGCGGATTTCAAGGGCATTGGCCGTCTTGCCCAAGTCGATTTTGTCATTCAGCACACCGAGTTGTGCGCCAGAATGTCAAAGATCTTGCGTGATCACCTTCGCCCAGGCTTGAGCGAGGAATCTCACCTGAATTCTCTCACGACTGCCGACGAATTGCTCGCAGACTGGTGGAGTTGCTTACCTTCACATTTGCGAGCTCGGTCGGCCGAGTCCACGATCTGGTCCAAGATGTTACTCTTGACATATAACAACTTTCTGATCCTCCTGCATCGCCCGCCGCCAGCCAAGGCAGCCACCTCTAGCATATCGAGGTCATATGATTCTGGTAAGTTAGCATCCACGTGGAGATACCCCCGCCGTCTAAGAAGTCCCAGGAGATATTTGCAGCTCCGCTGCAAACACTATCACGGATTTGTTTGACCAGTTGCGGGAAAACAACGAAATCCGGTTCCTTTGGATATCCTCTGTAAACGTCCTCTTCACCACCCTCATCCAACTGAGTGCCGAAATGCGAACGGCGAATCCTATACTTGCGGTAGACGCTCTGCGGAGATTTGACGTCGCACTGGAATGCCTTAGCATCCTGGCTGAATACTGGCTCAATGCCGAAATCATTCTTCGTTTGTTCGAGGAAAGCTCGGAGAGACTACAGCAGGAGCTTAAGATCGGTAAGGCTAGGAAATCTACACATGCTCCGTCAAGGAACGTAGAGGTCGTTGCAGGTCAATACAGCCCCGCCACAGGCCCTAGAGTGAGCGAAGGTGGTGATTTTTCAAACATCGATTGGCGGGATCTATACTCCTACAACCAGGACGCTCTTCAGATGGCTGGTGAACAGGATGACGCAATTGACTGGGGAATACAGTATTGGGACAACGCTGGGCTGTTCTTCCCGGACAATTTCGACAGCTTTGCCACCTGATGCATGTTCGAGTCTAAGCCGTGGTCACCACGATTGATCGATGCCTGTCAAGGAAATCTTCAACGCATCTGACGAACCTATCCAGCTCTTCTTGAGGTGTTCCCAGGATCAATGCAATCGAGCCTCGTCTGGTGATCCAGTATCCTTTTTCCAGCATCTCAAACCAGAAGAGATCTTTCAACTCCAAGTCCTCCTCCACCTCGTCAACACAGTTGATATCTTGCGCACCCGTGGGCGTGAAATGGACCGCCAAGATGGCCCCTCGGCCTGTGAAGCAGCATTTCGTTCCTTTCGTGATGGTCCGTAGTTTCTCAAGAAACGCGTCACCCATCGCATTGAATTCGATGTTGACCTCTGGGGTCAGGATTTTGGACAGTCCTGCGTGGCCAACATGCATGGTCATGGTGTTATTGTTGAAGGTGCCTGAATGAGCCAGCGAGTCCTTGTTGCGAGGGTCGTAGACTGACATGACGTCCGCTCGGCCGCCAAACGCGCCGAAGGCGAACCCGCCGCCGAGATACTTGCCCAATGTGGTCATATCCGGCTTCAGACCCAGAATACTCTGGAGTCCGCCAGGTGCAAGTCGGGAGGTCATAACTTCATCGAGAATGAAGACTGCTCCGGCCTGAATTCGGTCAGTGAGTTCTTCATGCGAGGTTGAGAGGCATTGCACAGACCTTCTTAGCCGACTCCTGGACCGCGAGCATGAAATCTTTGGTGGCTGGAATACAGCCTCCGGCGCCTTGCATCCCCTCGACAAGGACGGCTGCCAGCCCTGATGTTCCCTCAATGGCAGTCCTGGCCGATGCAATGTCGTTGTACCTAGCAAGGACCCAGTCATCGAGGTCCACGTTGTTCTGGGCTATTCCAGAGCCGAATGAGAATACAGCCCCGTGGTAGCCACCATTGAAGACGACGACCTTTCTACGTCCCGTGAACCTTCGGGCAGCAGCCAGCGCGTGCGTGGTGGCTTCTGTGCCAGAGTTTGTGAATCGGATGGAGTCAACATTGAAACGCTCGCACATTAATGAAGCATGGCGTTCTTCTTGGACTGTGGTTGATCCAAGATTCAATCCCACGTTGTCGAAGGTGGACAGAATGGCTTCTCTGATCACCGGGTGCGAATGTCCATATATGCCGGCCGTTAATTCGCCCACAAAATCAAGATACCTATATATCGATCAGGTCACAGTTTGGATCTTCCAAAAATACCACGCTCACTTGTGGTCGTCTTCGTCAAACACATATGGCCCTTTCCCGGACTTCATGCTGAGTGGAAAGGGCGATGTATGGAGCAATGACCGTGTGTTGCCTCCTGGTAGACTCTTCACGGCTCGATCATGCTGGTTTTTCGAGTTCGGATTCGCATTCTCGAATCGAGCTTGTGCAGCGGCGAGGGCAGTCTGGATTCCCTCAATCGCAGATACTTCTGACACTGTCGCCAATGGTTTCGTCTTTACCCCTGCCATCTCTTTCGACAAAGTGTCAGCAAGCGCAATTGGTGCCATTGTGCCCGATATGTGGATGGAACTGTTGATTGGAAGTGGAATGAGTTCGAAGTTCTCCTATAACCAAGCCCGGATGGAGGGGAAATATCAAGGGTTGCCACGGAAGTGAGTTGTCGATATTCTTGGAGAACAGACGTCGTTGGCAAAAGCGGCCGATAACAACTGCATCGCGGCCGATCACATGGAAGTTGGCTCTCACAAAAAGCCCCGGCCAACGAGCCAACCAAGAGAGGAGGAAGCTATTACCTTAGAAGTCGCCGAGTCTGGTTCGGTCCTGCTGATTGGCAGCTTGATAGTGATGGAGATGGTGGACGTCTCGTCCGTGCTTATCAGCTCGGCGCCGACTGAAACTCCACCAAGCCTCACGCCTCAGGCTACGAGTCTAGCCCTACCATAAGACCCTGGCACATGATGGTTGGCTTACTGACAGGGTCACTGGGAAGTTCAGCGTTTATTCTCATACATCCCAGCCTTGTATGACCGTGGACGTTTAACGACATTGTCGTCTGGCACCACTGTCAGCAATGGATGACGACCTGGTTGTGACATCAACCATGAATACTTCAGCCAGCTGGCTACAGCAACAAATTGCGGCCACTCAGGAACAAAAAAGTCCTTTTTTTGCATTACTGTTTGTTGCTATTGTATTGTTGTCGTCAATTTGGAAGGCATTTCGCCCATCTGCCGGAAAGGTACGCGACAAGGCTGGCTCCCCTGGGTGGGCATCAGATGTCCCTGATTTGCTTCTAACGATCTCTAGAATATCAGCACTGCTAGGGCACAGCCAGATACTGGGAGCCTAGGCGCGGAATCTAAGTCGGGAAAAGATCTTGGGCCATGGGGAATGGGTGTCATTGACCCTCTCACCGACTTCGACTGGGCGAATACAGAGCCCGACCGGATCTACAAGTTCAACGACACATACCATCTAACCATGGGTGAGTACTTACCCGCACCGGATGATCAAGAGCAGGACACTGAGAATGCCAGGGTTAAGGAACACCACAATCAACACCATCGTCCACATGGACCAACAATACCTTGAACGGATGGTCGAACGGGAAAGCATCATCAACAAATACCCCGGGGCCTTGGACTGCTTACCCTCCGCTCGTCCCATGGTCGACGAGCTTTACAGCTACTTAGTGACCGAATACCTACCGAAAAGATTCCCCACCATGTTTCGCTTGTCGCCTTCTACTGAATCACTGCAAAACCTCGTCAAAGACGAGCACTTACCACTGGACCCGCCGTCCGACGTGCAGAAAACACTTCGTCTCATGAGTCTCAACGTTGACGAGGACTTCCTCATGCTCCTCCCGTCCCCGGACGGAGACGGTCACTCCCTGCAGGCTTTTGTGTGGTGCTACCCAGTAGGATTCGACCCACAAGCCAAAAAGGGTCTAAAACTCCGCGAAGCGCATGCCCCGGTCCCGTCGTACGGAAAGGTCCTGGAAACCTCAATGGACCGATACTTTGCACGTCTTCAACCAGGGAAAGTAGTGGAGCGGGTGAACTGGGCCGTGGCCACCAATTCCAGTCTCTGCGAGAGGGGCGAGTACCATCTGTACTCTGACGACCAGGTGTCGACCGCAACGGACATTGACCTGGATGACACGTGGGTGAGATGCGAACTGCAGACGTTGTTCGCGTTGCCAAAGACCGGTGGCAGGATCTTGAGTGTGCATCTGTACCTCTACCCAATCAAGGAGATCAAGGCTGTCGGTCTGGCCGAGGAAATGTGCCGTGCCATCGATGGCTATGGTAAGGGCAACGCTGGTGGCTTCAGCCGGTATAAGCGTGTTCCTGTGTGGGGCGAGACTGTCAAGGCATTTCTGCGAAGTTGAGTCCACTTGAGTGACGTCCTTTCTCCTGTGTACAGAACAGATCAAAAATAGCGTATGGCTTAGCTGGGCATGGGGAAGCAAGAGCTCCAAAACGATAAGTACCGGTTGTATCGGCATTCTCTGTTTATTGTCACACGATATTACCTTTTGGTCCCCAAAACAAGCAATGAGGCATATCTTTTTAAGCTTATAGGCGTTTCTCCCAGGGGGCAAAGTTATGGATGTCTATTCCAAGAGTTTCAGCCCTGGAATCATCCTACATACTAAGTACTATCACAAGACGATGACCTCAACTAATATGCCAATAGCTCGTATCCTTCCTCGGGTCGATCAAAGTACCAAGTTAGGTCGCCACCATTCGTCTCCAAGTTGCTGAACCCATTGCCCATGAAAGCCCAGCGATTGACCTCCGCCCCTGTGGTGGCGTCTTTGATCTTGGCCCATTCCCAGTCTTCGAAACGGATGTTCCGAGAATCCATGACCTTGAACCAATGGATCCTGCTGCCAGGCCACAGCGCCGTGACAGGGCCGTCGGTGCGCCCATTCTTGAACCAACTGCGACATTCGCTGGCCCAAGACATGCGCGGCATGAAGGCATCGGCATGTCTGACAAATTCCTCGATTGCCGTTACTGAGGGGGTGAAAGATTTGTACCCTTCGACCTGGCATTTGTGAATCATCCGCAACATATACTTGGTGAAGTGTTCGATGATTGGGATTGCGCTGCCATGGCCAACGGGCGAGTTCGGGCCCAAGAACATGAAATAGTTTGGCATATACGCGGGTGTCAACGACAGATAAGCCGTCGGCCTATTGGCCCACAGATCTCGCAGGTCACGGCCTTCCTGGCCGATGATGGGGAACCGCGGGCGGAATGAGAGGTCAAACCCAGTAGCACAGATGAAGACGTCGATTTCGACGTGTTCGCCCGTCGCCAGAACTAGACCCGTCTCGTCGACATGTAAGATCTCCGTGCCTGTCACTACCCGGACATTCGGCTGTGTGAGGGCTTCGAGGTATCCTGTCCCCGGGGTCGGTCGACGACAGCCGACGCTGAACTTGGGAATGATAAAGTCCACCAGCGGATTCTCAGGCCCACCCAATTTCGCCGTCATGTCCTTGGTGGCAAAGTCCACGGCAGCAGCCTGTTCCGGCGTGTCTCTATGCAGCATCATGAAACGGCTGTTGAGCTCATGCTCCACGTTCTTGCGGTACTGGAGATACCCATCCCGGTCGTCGGCAAACTTTCGCTTTTGGTCTTCCGGAAATGTGAAGTTTGTGCCTCCCGGCCCGGCGTACTTGGATCCAAACCCGGCCGTCACCCACGTCGGCGTGCGTATGAATGTGGTTAGGTGTTTGACTTCAGGCTGGATCCTCGCCACCACCTGGATCCCACTCGATCCACAACCCAGCACGGCAACACGTTTGTCCTTGAGGTCGGTGTCCTCCTTCCAGGCGGCGCTGTGCATCAGCTCGCCTTTGAAGCTGTGCAGGCCTGGGATCTCCGGCCATTTCCAGTTGTTCAAATACCCCGAAGCATTGATGAAGAAGTGGCCATGATCGTGAAACTTCTCGCCAGTAACCAAATCCTCGATTTCGAACTTCCAGATCCCTTCGTCGTCGTCCCATACCGCCGCAACGACCTGATGGCGGAATTTGATGAATTTCAATAGATCGTGCCTCTCGGCTGCCCGCCGAAAGTAGGACTCGATCTCGCTCTGGCTGGAATAGTACTGTTTCCACCCTGGATTCAGCTCCCATGAGTACTGGTAGTTGTGGGAGGGAATGTCACATCCACAACCGGGATATCTGTTCTCCAGCCAGGTTCCGCCTACACCGTCGTTTTTCTCGTAGATCTGCAGCTCCACGTTCTTCATGTGTCTGCTTACATTTCTGGCCACGTTCAGTCCACTTGCTCCTGCACCAATGGTGATGATGCGGACTGGACGTGGAGTGTACAACGGCTGTTCTGAGATCGTGTATGAATTACTGCCTGAGTAGCCGTTGACATGGGGAGCAGTCGCCTCCCCTCGGGCGTCACTGCTGATGACCATTTTCATCAACAGGTGAGGGAGGACCTTCGATGCACTCACTGAATGCCTTTGCTTTCTTCGCTCACGGGGATCTGTGTATGGCTTCTCTCGTATTTAGAAACAAGTCGTCCACCCCAGAGCGTCAGTCATGGATGGCAGTGAAGGAAGTGGCTAGGTGGTGCGCAAGGCTATCAGTAGGAGCCTGTCATTGGTCAGATCCGCCGGTAGTTTCCTGATTCGTCCACGGCGCCGACTCATTTCGCGGGCCATTCCTTCCTACCATTCTTATCAGCAACCCTTTCACCCTCGCGTGATCATCCATACACCCTGAGTACTAGGTATTCGTTTGAACATGATCCCTAAAGAATATTAATGTTTTTCAATGACTGCAGGACACTGACTTGATGCATACTAGTAGTACCCCACCTCCGACGGTGACGGTCGAGGAGGGGTGCGCGCAGCCTTGTCATCGGCGAGCTCATCTAAGGTGGCTCAAGTGCTACTATTTAGCAAGAGAGTCAAACATTCGTTGCCATGGCCCTTGCTTGACCCATTGACTACTACTTGTACTTAGAGCAGCGCAGCACTCGGTCCGCCCCGTCTATAAGTACTGCAGAAGATCTAACGTTTCCACCATACAAAATGAACGGGTTCTCAACGGCCAACATCGCCGAACCGTCGGCCATCCCTACAGATCTCTCGTCGGCTTTCACTCTCGACGCAGCGCCTGGCACCGATATTTACGCCACGCCACTCCCAGGTGCCCGCCACATTTTCTCAGCACCGATAATCCACCGTCGACTCAGCAAGGCTTCCTTCCAGTCCGCCCGCGTCACCGTGCGATCTAAATGGTCTCTCCAATTCGATCAAGGCGGTCTCGTCTTTATCATCCCGTCAGCACAAGCCCCAGAGCCGGACTCCAGCACCGCCCAGGCCAAGGAGACACACCCCGAATGGGTCAAGGCTGGCATCGAGGTCAATGACGGAGCGGCGTATGTGAGCGTCGTCGCGAAGTCGCGTGACAACTGGTGTGATTGGAGTCTCACCCCGGTGCCGGGTGCTGATCAGGTCTTGGGCGAGAGGTCAGAACAACTTGAAGTTACTCTTTACATGACGCGATCCAAGAATGCGTTAATGGTCTGGATAGTCTCTGGCGAGAAGGACTTTTTGGTCCGCAAGATCCCTTGGGTTTTTCTTGATGATAATAGCAGGTTATCGATGGAAGATATCCTTGTTGGAGTGTATGCCGCCAGACCGGACCCTGACGGCGAGGCGACACAAAAACAAGACGCGCTGTCTGTCTCCTTTGATGGGTTCTATGTTATTTAGCACTACTAAGTAGGTGTAGGTAGGCACCTAAGTACTAAGTACCTAGTAAGTAGTAAACTACTGGTATTAGATAACAACTCCTTTAGAGACTCTGACGCTATTTCGATATAGTATCAACACGATATCAACAGGGTATTAACACGGCATCAACACGGCATTAATACGGCATCAATACGGTATCAACACGGCATAAACATAGTATCAATACGACATTAACACGGTATTAATACGGTATCTAGATTAAGGTGTCTACTATATACCTAGTAGTAGTAGGTAGGTACCTACCTAGTACCTAACTTAGATTAAAACTGGATTAAAACTAGATTAAAACTAGAGCTTATCTAGCTATTAATATAAAGTTCTAGATTCTTCTCTAGCTAGATAGGTATACCTAGTTAAATTTCTAATAATTTAAGTTAAGAGCCCTTAGACTCCTTAGTATAGTACTAATAGTTTAATCTAGTTTTAATCTACCTAGTTTTAATCTAGGTAGGTATCTATCTATCTTAGTAAAGCTTAAAGCTAAATAGTAGGTATACCTACTAAGTAAGTAAGTAGTAGTATTTAGTATCTATACTAGTACCTAACCTAGTAGAGCTTAAAGCTAGAATTTGAACGTAAATAGAGGACTATTAGATAAGTACTTAGGTAGGTACCTACTAGTACTTTACCACTATTACCGAGTAACTTTTTCGAGTTTCCGAATCTTTCTAAATTGGACGCCCGTTATCCATTTTCACTGTCTATTGCCATGTAGTAATCCGAAGAACCCTCATCTGTTCCTTGCCCCTTAAGGCTACGGCTCTTGCTTTTGAATACTACATCTCAATCTCCAACTCCAAACTCCGTCTAGGCCCGTCCGTGTCTTCCTCTTCACATCAATGCCGCAATATCCCATCCGCCAGCGATGTCGAGGTCATCTCCCTCTGTCCAAGGCAGAGAGAACAGAAAGGTGCCCCAATTGAGCGATATAGTCCTGACACCCCACACTTCCCACCATAGCAGCAGAACTGGAAGTAAGACATCGATCAAGCCGACTCAGACAGTTCGCCTTGGTGCATTGTTGAAGACATACAGCAGCCATGATGAATTCGGCCAACGCATATCAGACTTTCCGATCAAAGAGTCCGTACCGTGGCAACAAGGACTTGGCCGTCGACTGGACGGTCGGCCTGCAACTCGCACCATCTAAGGCAGGGTCCCCGGGGGGTCCCGTAAGTACTCCAAGATCTGTGTTATATAAGTCCGTTTGTGGTATCGTATCCAGAGCACAATGTAGTCCATTGCAACCCAGTTGTGCCCCAGTGCGCTCCAGCGGCGCGTCGACGCACCTGTGGTCTATCTTGTAAGTATGATATGGAGATGCAGCGCGCACAGATCATATGTATCTCCAAAGCCCGTTCACCTTGCGCAATAGACATACCTGAAGGCACACCCAATGCAGGAGGGACTGTTGTTCCGGTCAGGGCCCCGGAGTCCGTCGATAGAATGAGACACCCACCATGTCGACGCAGAAACTCGCATTTGTCTCTCTCAAGCCCTGCAGGCTGTGATAATGTATGTCAGGAGTCCTGCAGATCAAGCCTCCGCGCATAACTGAACGGTACTGCAGTGGAACGTTCGTCGCGATAGATATGGCCTTTGGGCGATCCCTCAGGCGGTGCACACCGTCTCGATCGATGGGAATCCCAATCCCTATCGTCGCGCGTATACACTTTTCTTTTTGGAGAAGGCAATTGGGACAAAAAGCCCTTGTGAGTCGTCATCAGCCTTGCTCTTGCTCAAGATTTCTCATCATCAAGGCTCGTATGGGCATTGAATTGGTATTGGCATTGGCTGCTTTTCCCTTTGCGCTACAAGGAGCGACATGGATCTGCCAGTACTTGGAGAACGTGTCTTTCCATCGTGGGTCGTCGACATGGGTATTATTCTTGTCAGGGACGTTGTATTCCGGATGCGTCACACATTCGGACAAGAGCCCCTCCAGTTTCCCGGTGGTCTGGTACTTCAAGAACTTGTCGGTGACTGTGACGTACTGGCGCACGCCTTCGTGGGCGTCGATCGTCGAGCCGGTCGTCCAGCCCAGGAGCCAGGGTTCGATCAACGGCGCGTCGGTGACTGAAGGGTGAGATGTTCCTACTGTTTTGTGTTAAAGAAAAGAAAATGTTAGTTTGTGTTGTTCCGTGTTCTATGTGTCCGAGACTCTCGCCATAGTCCCATCGAACAAGAAGGTGTAGTGCGTAGTAAACCAGGCCTGCTACTACAGGACTTACATGAAGTGATGAACCAGGCGTCTTTGCCTCGGTCCAGAATGCCCTGGACAATATCTTTCACGACGTCAAAGTGCGGCCGGCCGAAGAAGAGCGAAAACCGTCGCGACCACGAGTTGGAGTGGATGATGAGCGTCGACACTTGGACGTCATGGTTGAGAGGTCCGCTTGACTTGCCCCTACAGATTGCATATTAGTCTTCGGATGTTCTTTCATGAGATAAGAGTAGAGAGGGTGTCGGCCTTACGGATCGAGGACAACGGCGCTCTTGAATGGAAGAATGGCGGATGGGCCGTTCTTCAATGTTTGGAGCTATAGGGGGCCAGAAGTGTCAGTTTCAAATACCACAAGAGGAGAGGGGTTGACCAGTGGATGGTTGATAAGTAAGTAATAATGGGAGTTATATGACCGAGTACTAGGTCCTAGTACTTAGTAGTACATGATCTCGAATGCAGCAATCTCATGAAACGCTGGGTTGCAGTACTCACCGCCAACGTTGCGCCAAAAGAATGACCTGCCATGGTCGCGTTGTTCATGGCAAGCCGACCCTTCCATTTATGCAAATGCTCTCCTTCGCGGCGCGGGTTCATGGAGAAGATCTCGTGTCCTTTACCCTCGTTGATGGACCTGAGCACACGGACCGTTTCTTCGACTTCGGCCTGTCGAAAATCAAGTTGGACCTGTTTGAAAGTATCGCCATCCAAGTTCGAGTCCGCATCGTGCCTATGCGTATGTATCGTTAGTCAACAGTACTCGCGAGAGTTGACTACATGTGTTAAGATATATGCTTCGCCGCCTCCCACCAGCACCCATGGGCATCGGCGCTGAAAGTGGTCAATGTGTGCACAATCTTGACTTACCGTAAATCACGATGTGTAAAAGGCAGCAGATCTCTGTTCTTGGAGCCTGGCTTCATGATCACGGAGCCCGGTCCACTGCCGTCGCGGTGCTCGATGGCCGCAACGACCAGGCCACGACTCGCCAGTTCGCCGCAGTATTGCGTATACTGGGTCCGCGAACTGGCAAACCCGTGCGAGAACACCATGATTGGAAACCCGTCATCGGTGACCACCGGATCATTGATCGGCTCGGGGTACTGCAGCACCACAGTATCCTCGTGGAGCGGAACATCAACGTGTGCTGGGATCTTGATTCCCCCAGCCAGAAACCATAGACTGATGGAGATGATCGCGTCCGTGACAAAGTTGCTGATGTGCGCGAATCGGGCGTATCCTGTGGCCACAATCCCCAGTGGTCGAGGGATCCATAGATGATGCGGTTTGGATGATTCCATTCCCCTCGCTGATGGATAGTACACAGTGAACAGGACGGTCTCGAGCTACAGGTGGTTGCTTGTGTTAGTCCTAGTACAGTTCAACTGTCTTAAAGAGTCATGAGCTTCTGGGTTACAACATACCTGGAAAGCCGGCAGGCCGCTGTCCTTGAGTCGGGCAGCATGGATTGTGCGCGGCTCTGTAGAAATCTCCAGATCGATGGCACCGACTGAGTACTGTCCAGTATATGCTGGCAGTCTGGATGAGAACAGCGGCCTTGAAGCGAATAGCAGACAAGAAGCAACGTAGAGGCAGATGCCACAAGATAGCAGATATCTCCATGTCAGGCGAGGTCGCAGTGCGGACAGCAGCCGCAGCAGCGTCCTTTTCCAGAGCATGGAGACCATCGTTGCGACGAGTTGTGGCACAGTTTAAGGCTCGCAAGGAGCGAGACGAGGCGAGGCGCTTGAATGATGCGGGAGTTAAAGTTTGGGGTTGGTGCCGACTCTGTAGATAAAGGATATAAAATGTAGTGGTGTACTAGTCCTAGTAGTACTAAGTAGTACAGCGGCGACCATTATTGATAGGTGGTAATGTTTGGTACTTAGTACTTAGTACTTAGTATTGCATTTATATCGGAATCTCGGATGCCGATATCTGATATCAACTTAAAACCCCAGACATAAAACTTGTACGTACAAACCTAGTAAGTACGACCTAAGTATCTACATCTACTCAGATCTCCCACGAACATGCCCTGTCTAAGTACTTACTTATTCGTATATACCAAGTATACTACTACTAAGTACTAAGTAAGTATGTGGTGGTCCAAATCCAACATCCGTCTGGCTTGACCAGAATCACATCACAACTTGATACTCTTGACAACATTGGTCTTGATGCCCGTCGCTTCACCGCCGTAGCCCCCTCTGCCCTCGCCGCCCTTGTAGACGGGACGAATCGAAGCCAACTTCTTGAGCTTCTCATCATACTTCTTCCTCTTCTTGACGCGAGGATTGCGGACGTCCTTCTTCCTCTTCGGCGCCAGTCCCTTGTTCTTCTCGATCGCATACGTGATCTTACGCTTGCCATCCTCCCCGATCTGTTCTTCTTCATGCACTTCGGCACCCTGTCTGGCAGCTTCCGCATAGGCCTCCGCTTTCGCGCGCTTCTCGGCCTTCTTCTGCTGCTTACTAGCCACCAGAGAGTTGTAGTATTCACTGGCCTCGTCGTTGAGGTGTCTGCCCGTAGCGGCATCAGGGCCACTATCATAATCGCCGTCGTCGTCGTTTCCGTCGGCACCGAGCGCTTCTTTGCCCTGAGCGTCGGATCTGCCTCGCTGCTCTGCCTCGCGCGTCAGACGTTCCTGCTTGTCGCGCATTCGTTCTTTATGCGGGACGTCGTCGTCGCCGCCGGCCTGTCGTGATGCGGCGCCTCGTTTGTTCGCCTTCTGGGCAATCTGCGATGTGTAGAACCGCAGACTCTTCTTCCGTCGGGCCTTTTCTGCCGCTTCTTCCTGCGTCAGTGCAGCTTCGTCGCCAAAGTCCGATTCGTCTTCGACGGGTTGCTGGAGAGACTTCTCCAGCAGGTCTTGGAGGTCGTTTCGCTTCGTCTTCCTTGACTTCTTTTTTGGTTTAACGTCGCTTTCTGTGGCGAAAAGTTCCGGCATGGACGGTATCGGAGACGGAGACGGGGACAGAGACGGGGATGTTTTCCGCTTGGGGTTGTCTTTCTTCTTCTTATTTTTCTCCTTGTCCTTTTTATCTTTCTTTGGCACCGAAACCGGCTTGTCCGTTACTGGCGCTGATTCAACTTCTGGCAAGACCTGTACTTCGATCGGACGAAGGGCCTCGGCCTTGAGCCAGAGTTCTCGACACCGGACCAAGGACTTCATGACCGGATGATCACGCAATTCCCCTGGCGGCAGAGCCATACCGGTCTTCCCGGACGTGGATGTGAGAAGTGCCAAGTACATGGCAACGGAACCAAGGTATGCAGAGAGAGCGCGGAATTTGGTCACAGACACCGAGTGCCGATTCTCCTCTGCAGCGCCGGTCCTTGCCAATTCAGCCTCCTTTTTCAGTTTGTGGTACGTGTCTTGTAATCGCAGAAAGTCCTTCGTCAACGGTTCATACTCGGGGTATCGAGATCTGAGCATCTGCAATCGTTCCTCGACAGTGGCGTTCTCTGGGACTTGGACATCAGGAAGCTTTTCCACTGCCGCGCGACTCTGTTTCTCTGAGGTTTGTCTGCTGTCGTCGACCCAGGAAGTCTCGTCAAAGCCGAAGTCTGCTTCTGTCATGCTCTTCAATTGTTTCTGCTGTAGCCTGCGCGCCTCTGCTTCTTCTTCGAGCGCATCGGCCTCCGTCTCGATCACGTCTGCGTTGTAATAGTCCGCCTTGGATGTGCCCCAGTTAAGGTCATCCGCGTCGTCGTCTTCTTCCTCGCCTGCTCCATTTTGACGGCGTTTGCGGCCTCCAAGATCGGCCTCTTCATCGGCTGATTCCTGGTCAAGATCATCATCGTCCTCATCCACCGCGGACTCAGGTTCTGACTCTAAGTCCTGGTAAACCTCCTCGTCCGACGGCTGTAGGTCCTGTTCCTGTTCTTCAACTCTCCGCCGCCGCTTTGCCGCAGGTCCCTCGTCGAGGAGGATCTTGTCTCGGCCGGCAAAAAACTCGTCTTGAGAGTCGTCAAAGGTCTCGGCCGCATCGTAGGTATAGTCGGTTTTGGACGCACGAGGGGCGACGCCGTCCTTTGCTTTACCAGCCTTTCTCTTTTTAGCCATGGCTGGGGAAATGTATCTGCTGGGTCCTAATCTCTCTCCCTGCAGACAAAAAGGGTTCACCGCAGGCGGGCTTGTTCACTGCGATCTGATCCTCGAAACTTTTTTTGCCCGGGGGCCTTGGCGCGGGTATGACGCAGGGTCTCAGATTTGGGCTCCGGGGGTTAAGGAGGCTCTAGGGCTCCCTAGTACCAGGCCTAAGGAGCCTAGGGTCCTGATAAGCTTTGGTAAGCGTCTAAAGTTTTCGGTGATAGAGACCGCAGTTTAGACGGCTGTCACTATTATTTTGATTGGGCTCTTTCCAGGTCGTCTTTTAGCGCGTCAGGGGAACTTTTTGGACTGCTCTTCAGGCACGGTCGGAGTAGATCAGCATACAGAAGCTGTTGTTGTCCTGGGTGTGCATAGGGTGTTGATGATGTCCGTATCGACAGCCACTACTGTCACGTCAATCACAGTCGCCATAGTCAGCTTCGTCGTGTTCAAGATGCTGTTTTCCAGAAAAGACCACTTTCCCATTGACGGACTGACTGCGATCGTCACGGGCGGATCGCAAGGCCTAGGTCTCTCGCTGGCTCAACAGTTGGCAGCCAAGGGTGCCAACGTGGTGATAGTGGCTCAAGACAAAGGGAAACTTGAAAGAGCCGTCAAATCCATCCAAGCATGTGCAAAGCGGCCGGCGCAGCAAAGCTTCCTCGATCTCTCCTTTGACCTGCGGTCGCCGGATTCTGCGCCTGAGATCCTCAAACAAGTGACGAGTTGGAACCATGGACATCCGCCGGACTTGATATTCTGCTGTGCTGGCAACTGTCATCCTGGGTTCTTCGCGGATGTGAGCATCGAGACTCTACGAGGGCAGATGGACACGATCTACTGGTCGGCAGCGTACATGGCACACGCAGCATTGAATTTGTGGAAGACGCCGGCATCCTCGTACGGAGCAAACAAGACATCACTCCCGTCCACCTCTACCTCCGCCTCTTCTCCTCCCACTCGTCATATCGTATTCACGGCCAGCACGCTCGCTTTCTTCCCGATCGCAGGCTATTCGCCTTACTCGCCGGCAAAAGCGGCCATGAGAGCTATGGTTGACGGTCTGAACGAAGAGGTGGCCGTCTACAATGGCGCCAGGCAATCCAGCACAGGAGTACCAGCACCGGATGCGGATATTGCAGTACACATACTGTTTCCCATGGGCATTGTCACACCTGGTCTCGACAACGAGAACAGTATCAAACCAGAATTGACGGTGATGCTGGAGAAGGACGACAAGCCGCAGCAGCCAGATGAGGTGGCCAAAATTCTTCTCGACCGACTCAAGGCGGGTGACTACATGATCACTACCATGTTCTTGGGCCATGTGATGCGTGGACTCGGTATGGGCGGCAGCGTGCGCAAGAATATCACGGACGTCTTCTGGAATTGGCTGGGTTCTCTGGTTATTCTTTTCGTTGCTCCAGACTTCGTTGCAAAGTGTAGACAATGGGGCACGGAGAAGGGTATGAATTCCACGAGGCCGGCCAGGTAGTTATTTTTCATATTGATCGTCTCGACAATCCGGGGCTGTCGTTCGAATCACCTCCTGAACAATCCATCTCTTCCAAAACGCTCTCCAGCATGGCGTCCAGGGTAACCAGCAATTCTTCTTTCGTCATTTCTTGGTCAAAGACTTGATCCATGAACGAGTCCGCCACGGTTCGCGCCAACTGGAGCTCTTCTGACTCGGCTCGACTGAGAGCGGAACATATCGCGACGAGGTCCTCTCCTCTGCGCGACAAGCGAGCAAGCTCTGAGGCGCGTTCGACGACTTCTCCAGGGACTCCATTCTGCGCGGCACATTGCACGCCATACGAAGTATCGCTGCGTCCGAGTCGGAGATTGTACAGATGGGTGACTTCGGTGCCAGTGTGATTTTCATGACGGCTGTGTTGTTCATCAACCCGCACTTCCATGTGTGCAAAAGCAATGTTTGGTGCATTGTCGAACAGACCCAGGTCGAAGATTTCGTGGAAATGAGTTGCCACCAGAGCTTTGGGAGCTTCAGATCCAAGCGAGGAGAGGTGCTCGAACACTCCAGCAGCAAGGCCGGCGCCGTCGCAAGAATCGGTGCCCTTCCCAAACTCGTCAATGACCACCAGACTCCTCCTTGTACAGCAACTCAAGGCCATGGCAATCTGCTGCATGTCGATCATGAATGCGGAGTCAAGCTTTGACACGGATTCGCGGGTGGTAATGCGAGTATAGATCTTGTCGGTAATGCCGACGGTGGCCGAGTCGGCCGGGACATACGAGCCCACTTGAGCCAGGTAAACCAGAAGAGCGACCTGTTTCTGATACACCGATTTTCCCGAATAGTTGGGGCCAGTCAGTATCAGCATGCTCGGACCTTCAGACCTGGGATTTTGGTCCGGCCCGCTGCCGCCGACCAGGAAAGTGTCGTTAGGAACAAAGGAAGGGACAGCCATCTCTTGTAGCAAATGCCGACCCCCTTTGATGTCAATGATATTGGCTTCAGTGACCATCGGCCGTGTCAACTTGAGCTGGCGCGCGGTGTGGGCAAAAGCTAAATTGCAGTCGAGTTCGCCGCACAAGTCGGATACGGTGATCAACAGGTCTTCGTCTTCGAGGACCTTCTGGGCGAGATCGTAAGCGATTTCGATCTCGAGATCGCAAATCATGGCATACAAGTCGCCTAGATCCTTGTCCAGTTCGTGCATTGCACCGGTCTTGAAGTAGACCTGCTGACCCGTGTGGAATACACGCTGCCACCCAAGTTCCCGCCCATCGTAGACCGGTTCGCCGGTTATGGCGTCCATCGTTACCCCAAGATGAAAGCCCATATGAGGCAAGTAAGTGACCTGCAGATTGACGTTGACTCCCGGCGGCAGGGTCTGGGCTATCTCAAATGCCTTCGTCGTCAGAAGGCTGTCCATACCGTCGTAGAGGTTCTTGATTTCGTCCAGTTGTTCGTTAACGCCCGGCTTGATGACAGTCCGTTGCTGGTCGGTCGACGCGTCCAGGTCGACCATCTCATACACCATCCGCCCTAGCCTTTGGAGACTATATCGGTCCAGGGCATCTGCAGCAACGATGCACAGTGGGAGACGATCTGCCCCAAGCACTTCCTGCAAAGTGTCCGCTATCTCAATCGTGTGGTAGCAGAAATCGAGGAGCGACGCCCAAACACCGCTCTTGAACGCATTGTGCGTTTGCTTGCCGCTGTCGATGCCCTTCTGGAGCAGAGTAAGTGTGGCCCTCATATTCTTGATCTTGCCGAGACTTTTGCTGAGTTTCCGACATGCCTCTTCATTGTCCGGACGGACGAAGACCGAGACGATGTCAAGGCGAGAGTCGATAGAGTCGAGGTGCAAGGACGGTCTAAGGAAAGCCTGTCGCAACAACACCTTCCCTTGCGGTGTTCTGATGTTCTTCTGAAATAGTCCATGGATTGAAAGTGATTCTTTAGCCGCCGGACCTTGCTTGCATGCCACAGGGCGGGTCTCTGGCTGTATGATCTGTAGCGATATCAAGGTGTCTGCGTTCACCAGCCTGCAAAACGTAAGCTTTGGACAGTATGGAATCTCAATGTTAAGTTCCCTACATTGTTCCTTTAAGGTGGAACATCTCAAGCCTCCTCACGCACCAGGTTGGGTTGGCATCTGGGCCGTACGGCAGATCTTGTGCAGGTCTCCTTCGCTGCAAGTACCCAAGGATGGCACCAGCGCAGCCAATACTGAGTCTGTTGTTCAGGTCAAGCCAGGAGGATATCTGCAATAACTTGCCACGGCGGCTGGTCAATCCTAGCTGGTCGGGTTGTAACTCCTCGTCTAGAGTGACGGATTCGCCTGGAACGAAGAACTCGGAGGCATTCTCGTGGCTGGAGAGGACGGGAAGGTTCAAAAGCTTGTTCAGGGCCCCTTCAAAGCCGAAGTCATGAGAAGGCCGGATCTCCATCTCGTAGGGTAGAGGGTGGTGATTGTCATCTTCACTGGATGAGATTCAAGCCTGCTTGAGGGTGATTATCAAACGTACCACTGTCAACAAGCGACACCTGTCGCCGCACTTGGGTATCAGAGGATCCCGAGACGCCGTCGGATTGGGGTGAGACAATGACCGTCGTAGGCTGAAGATCAATTTTCACTACCACTGTAAGCCTGTAGTCCTGTAGGAGCGTAGATTTCCTACATCTTTCAATGACTTGACTCCCTCCGCCGTCGACTTCTTCCATGCACAAGAGCTTTTCTTCGGCAGCGATGTAGTATGCGCAGCCTACTTTTCCATTCTCTTTGAGGTGGATAGCCACGATGATTCGATCAAGGAAATCATCTTCTTGCACGCGCTGTCCAACAACATGGTTTCTCTCGTTGAAGGAGGCCGACTCGGAGAGAGCTGGTGTTGGTTGATGGCGAGAGATCGCGTCCGATAGAGAGGCAAACGGCGTCCTCTGCGCGTCTCCACTTCGAGGTGTTCGCAGACCATGCTGGCGTGGGTGACTCTGGCGTGCACCTCGGAATGACAGCCCTCTACCCCTGTTGTACCTGTGAGATGAGTTGTGCCCGCCTTTTGAGGAAGATGAAAACACCATTTCTCATGTAGTCAACCAGTGTCTGGACACGTTGCACTGGAGTTGCAGTAAAGAATGAAGGTCTTGCGCATGAGATCCGCCCGAGAACAACTGACAAGAGCTTGCAGTCCATCTGTGCTCAAGACGGAACGTGGCAGTCCAAATGCTCTAAGCAGAAACTTCATCAGCATGGAGGGATTTAAGGAAAGAGAAAGTTCAAAGATGGCCATTGGATCGGCACAGGAAGATCATTAAGCTGCCATCACCATGACTTTCACGTACACTGGCTGCCATCTATGTTGGCATCTGCTCGTTAACATCATTTTTATGCATCAGTTCTGTACTTCCGCATCCCGCCACCCTCCAACAACACGTCCACCTTCAGACCGCTTGACCCGGCACCACATGCCCGCTTCTTTGTCGGTAATGAACTGCCATATGACGAGAGGCCAGCTTTTGTGACAAGGCAGTGGATCATAGAATTCCCGAGCACTCTCGTAGAGCTTTGGCAATCTGGTCCACGGAATTGCGGGGAAATCATGATGCTCGCTATGATACCCGACATTGTAAGTCAGGACATTGAGAGGACCGTAGTATGAAAACGTCTCAGGAACGGGCACATCCTGAGGCATTTTACCATTCTTCGATGTCAATTTGACGAAAACATAATGCTCCGCGATGAAATGAGCCGCGCATGGATGAAGAGACCCAGCCAGGAACGCGCTCATCAGGAAGTAGACGAGTGCCTTTGAACCCAAATATCTAACAATGAGAACATCAAAGATGACCTGCGCAGCAATGTTGCAAAAATGGATCGGCCCGAACGGTATCTTATAGATCATCATCGGTCTGATGGCGTAGAAAATGAGTTGAAAGGTGCAGAAGAACGCCTTGCCAAAAACCGAGTCCAGGAAGATCGCTTCTAATGTAGTGGGGAGATCTGTATCCAAGCCATCGACACCCAGGGACTTGTGATGGGTCAAATGGTACTGTCGAAAGCCGGCAGAGTATGGAACGCCTATGGGCAGATTGGCGAAGATGGCCAACAGTCTGTTGTAAATCGGCGTGCGGAAGGCAAGGTTGTGACTGATCTCGTGGATGGCGAGAAAGAGATTCTGGTTCGCCGTGGCCCCAACAATGTAAGCAGTGAGAAAGAACCGCCATGAGAGTATAGGAGTATCCCTGAGGAGACTGGCACAGGTGACTTGTAGGATGACGACGAAGAGGACCAGGTATTTGGTGAGTGGTTCCGGACCACACAACTGTAGGACTTCCTTGTGTGCTTTTATGATTGCCTGGCGACGAGTACGGTGCGGCTCTTCCGTATAAGTCCAGAAGAATTTGTCCTCCGCCGTCTTTTCCCCGTGCAGTCTCTTATTCTCTCTTGTCTTGCCCTGATCTTCAATTGCAACAGGTGCGTTGGTCGGTCGAAGCCGGTGCAGGGACTGTGTCTCGGTGATAGTGGACATTTTGTGATTGAACCCTTAGGTGAGAGCTAGTAGCGAGCGTGGAAGAGAATGAAAGAGAGAAGGACAACTGCCAGCATTGTCTCTCGAGACCGGCAAATTTCGAAAACAAAAGGCTTGGGACCGGGTTCGGATACAGGTCAGGAGAGGAAGTAGTCGAAAGAGCAGCCAAGTGGCACCAGATCATTAGACAGTTATTATGTAGGTAGGTACGTAGTGCAGTGGTGAGAGACATTTATTAGTGCCAGTGGGGGTTGCGATTATCTTGCTGCCAAAATGCAGGGGCAAAGCTTCTAGTCTCCAGATGGGATCCATGTATCGTCGCTCGCAGCTGCACACATAGCGGAGAGCCTCAGCTGTGATTCGCATTCGAAGTTCTTCAATGTACCTGTGTTCCAGCGACTCGTTGAAATGCTTTGGGGAAGGCAAACAATTGTCTCGTTAAATCTGGGCTGCCTCGAGAGGCCTACCGGTGGGGTTAAAGCCTCATCTACCACGGCAGTGGATAAACCCTTTCATTCATCGTCAGCCCAGACCTGCCCATGGACAATCCCCCCCCGCCTAAGCCGCAACGCAACGCCTGCGCCAGAGAGCTTTTCGTGCTTGAAACAATGGAGAGTAAAGTAATGGACCTACTTCACAATCAAGCTGGCGCTGGGCACGAGCTTCAGGTCCTTCAACGACTCTCCGAAGAACTCCTGACCAAACACCTTCCTGGGGAAGTTTTGAGCAAAGCTTTCAACATCTCGTCCGATTTCCTCGCCCACTGCTGCTGCCACTTCAAAAAGTGTCGTATCGACTGGGAATGTCTTCATGATGTTGCCGCCCGAGGTTTGCAATCGCAGACGGGTCTCCTTGTACTCTGAAGCTGGTCTGGCGGCTGCCGGGGCGGGTGCCGGCGGCGGCTGGGCTGCAACTGGGGGTGCCGTGCCTGCTCTCGCAGCCTTTTCTCGTTCAGCCTTCAATCTTCGTTCTTCCTTGTCGGCAGCAATTTTCGCTTGTATTCGCTTCTTTGCATCGATCTCTGCCTGCTTCTCGCGCTTCTTCTTCTCCGCTTCCTTGATCTGCTCCTTCATTCTCAGCTGCTCCTTCAAGTCCTCGGTCTCCTTTGTCTTTTTCCGGTTGATCTGTTCGTTGCGCTTCTGATCAATCTTGTCCTGCTCCGCCTGCACTGCTCGCTTAGCCGCCAATTTCTCCCGCAGCTGTGCAAGTTTAGCCTGACGTTCTTCCTCGGTCAGCGGAGCGACCTCTTCCGTCGACTCTGAGAAGTCGGTGTGACCTGATTTGGTAGCATGGAACTCTGCTTGAGCAGTCCCTCGGAACTTCTTGCCACACTCGTTGCAAACTAGGCTCTTTGCTTCATCTGCTGCCTGGGCCGCTTTTGCTTCAGCGGCTGCCGCTTCTTCGGCTTTCAGTTCTTCGAGAGTTTTTGACGAGTTAGTGTCTAGCCAATCGATCGCATCAGCCACTGTAATAGATGTTAATATAAAAGAATGCCACTCCAACGGCCCACAACACTTACGTCCGCCTGACTTCTTCAATGCCATCTCACTTCTCTCCTTGTCGAACCCCATCATGACCAGTTGGTCGAGATCTGAGGTCGCCATTCTCGCGCTATGCTATGCTTGAAAGAATACTCTGGCTCTTAGAGGAAGTAAAGGCTTGTCTTGGGTCGGCACTGTGAGATAACTGCCGTGGTAGTGGGTTTCTGATGTGTAAATGCAGGAACCGTCTGTAGGTGACTGTTAAGTGTAGATAGTGGGGGAGAGTTGACAGAGTAGCGATTTAAAGTTGGCGGTCTTTGGAGGCAGGAGATTCCGCTGGTCTGGATGAAAAGGCGAACAACAGGCTTCGACTGTTCCTTAAAGGCAAGATGGAGGAGTGATGCACTTGAACACGTTATAGTGCTAGAAGACACTGGCAGTGTTGAGTGATTCTAGAGGCGCAGGCAGTCCGCCGCTTCAAGTCCATCGCAGTTCAGCGTCATAGCGCCAAGGCCAGGATTCCGGCGTTCGAACATGAGCTCTTTAAGTTCATCAGATGCTCCTTCTGACAAGCTCTACTTTCAGAGAACTTTCACAACCTCGTAGGTAAGTGCTACCCATTTGTCCTGTACCGGCATGCGCCGTCTTGAGGTCCTACGCAGGAGAGAGTGAATTCAATGTGGCTGATGGCGGACCAAACCTACCACTACCAAGAGGGAAGGCACCTGCTGCATAAAGCGCCCTGCAGATCATCCTGATCAGTGTGTAATCACAGCAATTCCTCTATACAATCCAAGGACCAACAGGTGATGTTATATGGTATGGCTCATGACTGCCTTTTGTTTCTCTGGTTTTCACCGAAGGTGTATGAAAATGGCCTGAGGGCCACCTGAAATTCAAACTCGTGTTACCCCTGGCTCGTTTCAGCCTCGACATACTGTGGTAGTGCGGCTGCGCCCGCACGGCTCCCACCTGACACCCGTCTACCCACTGTACTGTGAGGTTCTCAATATTTCGAGGGAGACCTGATATAAGTCTAAAGGGGGATTGACCCATTCAGATACGGTGGCTCATTATGCGAATGCGAGCAAGGCTGGATGCCTGGTACACCGACTGTTTTGGGCCTTAATGGTTGTCCAAAGACGCGACTCTTGACGTCAGCGTGATGTTTACATTTTAGACGTGCCCCCTACTATGGCGCTGTCTTGGAACAGACATCGTACCCACCTGACAATGTATCTTTTCCACCACTGCTCGCATTACAATCTCAAACCGACACCGGGAAGAGTCTACGGAGACAAACTCACTGCCTCTGGCAATGCTAAACCAAGAAGTCGACATGAGCTCGGGGTATGCCAACGGAGACAGCAAACAGCAGAAGAAAATCATTACCTCAATACCTACTGTACCTGTCACAGTCGAGAGAAGGCCTTACATATCGAAGAAGGACGAGCAGAAGCTGCATCACCCTGGTTGGCTTCTTCCTCCATAGGCCACTGGTACGGGTGAAGACTGACCTTTACTGCCAGGCACTGCTCGCGCGAACATTGCGGCCACACTAGAGCAACCCAATGGTACCCTGGAAGAGGACTGGGCAGCGCGTCACCAACATCAGACGGTAAGGCCATCGATCACCTATATGAGCTCCAACAACCTCCAAGACTAACATGTTTCCGTCCAGGTCCTGCAACAACACTGTGACTTCTTCGACACTGACCAGGACGGAATCATCTGGCCACTCGACACATACATCGGCTTCTACAGACTTGGGTTTGGGGTCATCCTGTCACTGGTAGCTCTCTTCATCATCCATGTCAACTTCTCATACGTGACACAGCCGTCCTGGTTGCCGGATCCGTTCTTCCGTATCTACCTCGGTAAGGTGCACAAAACCAAACATGGCAGCGACAGCGGTACCTTCGACAACGAAGGGCGATTCATACCTCAGAAGTTCGAGGAGATCTTCACCAAATACGCCGATGGGAAGGACAGCTTGAGTTTCTGGGACATGATGAGGCTGATCAAGGGCCAGCGGCTGGCGTCTGACCCGATCGGCTGGGGAGGTGCTGTCTTCGAATGTACGGTGACTCTGACGAGGGCTGGGCAATGCTGCTCGTGGGCGCATTTCAGCTGGCTGACGTATTACCAGGGTCTATTACGTACATCATGCTATGGCCGGAGGATGGTGAGATGCGAAAAGAAGACATTCGCCGGGTCTGTGACGGAAGCCTTTTCTATACCATTGCCGCGAGACGAGCCAAGAATCAGCCTGCCTCCAAGGGAGGAATACAGCGGGCGAAGCGTTATCGACTGTTTTGAAGCGATCCGCGCCGAGCATGATTTACTGAGCATTTCATTGGGCAAGCGACAGGCATTGTTTTGCAACGCACCTTTATTTGGGTGGAGGTTCAAAAAGTGGTTTCAGGATATATGTAGTAATGAGAACGAAAAGGGCACCAAGACAGGTATAGACTCTGATACAGGGTACAATAGGTTGAATCCCGAACGAAGGCTGGAGTACCTGCTTCAGTTCCGCTGTGCCTGCTCCTCGAGCTTCCTCGTCGCCAATGTTGTTCGGATACCTTCACCGCCGGCCGTTTTTGAGACGCCAACTCATACGCAGCCTGAGTGGTCTAGCGATTCGAGAGTTCATTATCACTGGCTGAGTGGAAACTGGCCGCTTCCTACCATACCCGTCTGAATAAGCTGTCGCGAGCTTGTGGTATCATGATCCACCAAGGGGTTGGGGATACGTAGGAGATGAGAAGCTGAGAGGGAGAAGGGGGAAAGGGGGCGTCGTCGAATCTTAGATAAAAAGCCTGTCGAATGTAGAAATACTTCGCCGTATATTTTTGTAGCCTGGTATTTGCGGGGGGCATTCCACCACCGCATGCAAATCTCATGCGGCGCCTAACAACCTGAACCTGCCACTATTGCCTCATCAGTGGCACCCGCAGAAGCACCAACTTACACGATCGCTCACCAGCCTCCGAGTCCAGCCAGTGCCAGTGTCCAGCCCGAGTGTCCGCTGCTTTCCACCATTACTACTACTACGCGCTTCCGGCGTCCCAGGGACTGCCAGTGCACTACTAGACTACACTACTACTACTTACTGCCACAGGTATCATCTACTCCTCTTCATCCACCCTCCTCCGTCATACCCTGCTGAGCAACTTGAATCGAAGTCGAATCACTGCAGCCAACTATTCTGAACAATTGTACCACCACACAATCCCATTACAATCAACCCTTTCTAAGGTCTCGTTTGTCTGCGAGCATATCTTCTCGAGTCCACTCGCCTCCATACTGCGCAATCGCAGCTCCTCACCTGCATCATGTCCGTCGAACTCCAACCAGCCGAGCTGGGCTTCAGACGTCAGTGATCTCTGCCACAAGGCGACAAAAATGGAGGAAGACTGACACAATCGATAGGCCCCTTCAATCACGAAGTCAGCGAGGTGCTTAAGGTGACCAACGTCAACGATGCTCCTGTTGCTTTCAAAGTATGCGATCACTCCTCCATCTGTCGTGTGCAGGCACTAATCAACTTCAACCCAGGTCAAAACAACCGCTCCCAAGCAGTGAGTAGCATGGCTGATCCATGACATCGGCAGCCAGATCTCTAATCCTTGATTCAGATACTGCGTGCGACCAAACTCCGGCATCATTCCGCCCCATGAAAGCGTCGAAGTACAAGGTGCGAAAGAAAGCGGCCCTGAAAAGTTGCATCCACTTACATCCCACAGTTCTACTCCAAGCCATGAAGGAAGACCCCCCTCTAGATGCAAAGTGCCGCGACAAATTCCTCGTCCAATCCGTCCTTACGTCTCCCGATCAAGACTCAAACGTCACGACGCTCTGGCAGACGGTTGAAAAAACATCCAAGAGCAGCATACAGGAGAGAAAGATTCGTGTCAACTTCCTCCCTCCGTTCGATGCGACGCCGAATGGCACATCTTCCCATGAAGATCATCCTCCCGCATATTCCTCGCCCAGTCCTAAGTTCGGATCTCCCGCCCCCGAATCGTCTGCTGGCGGGTCATTCGTAGACAGCGCAAAGAATATGGCTACGAATGCCGCTGAGGCATCTGGCTTGACCGGCGCCGCCGCTGCCGTTTCCAACGCCGTCCCGACCTCAAGCGAGGAACTCAAGGAACAGTTAGCAGCAGCCAAAGCCCAGATCAAACAGCTGAGCAGCCAACTCCAGGATCCAAAGCTGCGACAACGAAAGATGCAAGAAGCAAACGACAAAGTTCAGAGCGTGGTTCAGCAAAGCCACGAAACTGGGGTGCCTTTGCAGATCGTCGCGGGTCTGTGTCTGATCAGTTTCCTAATTGCTTACCTATTCTTCTGAGCCGTTGAGCCCGTGGGACGTAAAAATGGGGGCCATCGGGCTTGGATATCTCGGCTGCATTCAGTGACGAACAGCGGCTGGGGAAGAGCTACGGCGCTGCACGAGGCTGTAGAGTGTCCGTTGTCGCTGGCAGGGGTGCTGAAGCGCGATCGAGGCAAGCCAAGTGGTTTTACGACTGCCGTGTCCTTCGTGTCTCACCCGAGGGTGCTGGGTGGTGTTGCTTATGTTGCGTGAGCTCGAAGGAAAACAGTGTCCATCCGACACCATGCAAGTGTCGGTTACGAGGTGGCTTCTGAGAGTCACGAGGAACAAGCCGGGTGTTTTGCTGAGCTTTGTATTTTTGAGCTGTCTGACCTTTCTATGTAAGCGTAGAACACGGCAGAGCAATTGATGGAAAATCCGGAAAAGGATCGCGCCCACGGTAGTTGTCTGTTTCCTAATCGTGGCCGCGTGTGATGCCGTCTCACTTCAAGTGCCCTGAGTATTGCGAACGACATGATATGATTTTTGCTGGATATGTACGGACGGTCGTGCAAGACAATGACTTTATATATGACCAACATGACTTATTTTCTTCGAGTCTGGAGATGGTTGCTTTGCAGTGTGGTGGTTGCGTGTTTGGGTCCGTTTGGAGGGAGGCTCGAGTACCGAGTATATTCTTGCTATTTTCGAAATATATTCAACATACCTACCATACTATGTAACGGCGTATACATCACGATGATCCCAGCCCACCATTTATCGCACACATACACAGAAGACTTCTACTCGTCGACTCGCCCAAGACTCGTACATTCGACCATCGAAGAGAGACCTTAGTTTGTCCACGGCGATACCATCAATATACTAACTGTGTTGTCGTGTTGGGGTCGCTCAGTAACCGACAAGGCTGGGAACTGGTTGAACTGGGCAGGTTCTCCGACCTTCAAGTTCTCGGGCACCAACCTCGAGTTGCACCTCAAACACAGAAGAGGATCCCAAATCCAACTTCAATGCGACCAGCGACGAATATCAACTTCACACGCGACTTGCCGTGACATCGACTACCGCGTGCATAGTCCTCCCTACCACAGAGCAGTGCCTTTCTCATCATATTCCCCTCCACGTACCTCGCGCACAAATAGAGGCCCAGGCTCAGGCTCGTCGCATACTTCCCAGTCCTTTCGCGAATCCACTACGCCGTCCTTCCCCCCTACCCAACAGCATCGCAACTAGAAGGGCTCTGTCGAGCAAATCCTACTCCAACATCCCCACGATGTCGACAGAAATGGAAATCGATTCAGCGCCGCCAACGGCTACCGACATTTCCACGGCAGATGAGGCGGGCGCAAAGAACGGCGACACAAATACTGGCACCGCCTTGCCCATCGACACCAAGACACAACCGCAACAGACCAATGTCGGGTCTGAAGCACGCACGGCGCAAGGGGCTGTCGCAGTGCGCAGTATCGAAGGCTGGATTGTGGTCGCGACCAATATCCACGAAGAGGCCACCGAGGAAGACATCACGGATTTGTTCGGGGAATATGGCGACATCAAGAATTTGCATCTCAACTTGGATCGGAGGACAGGTTATGTCAAGGTACGATACACTTCATGCACCATGCGCGCCGTGATCGAAAGCCCAAAAAGAGAGAGAAAACAGCAGCAGTCATGGTGAACCATACCACGTTGCATTTCCCTCCTGATCCGTTCATCTTGAGTCCGGTTCTCTGGTGTATTTCGGATTCCACTCATGTTTGGCTTTCTGTTATCGGTATACCAGCTTGAATCCTGCCGTATACCCCGTCCCTTTCATATACTTGATTACTTTGTGCTCTTGTTCTCCCTTATATGGTGCTCTAGTTTCAGCGAGACATGTTATGATCCGCCAGCTGACCAGTTCCCGGTGTCTGGGATTACAGGGCTATGTTCTCATCGAGTATCCGACCCAAGTCGAAGCCGCGGCAGCGATCAAAGCTCTGAATGGTACCAAACTCCTCGAGCAGACCATCTCCGTCGACTACGCGTTCGTCCGACCGCCACCGAAAGACAAGGGCCGCGCAGGCAAGACGAATGAGCGCCGCGGCGGCCGAGCCGCAGCAGGCAGGAGTCGCAGCCGAAGCAAATCCAAGAGCAGAAGTCGGAGTAGATCTCGCAGTCGCAGTCGCAGTGGCAGCCGGGACGTGGAAGGACGTCGTGCGCCGGACGAGGACAAAATGGAAAGGGATTGAGCACTTTGCGAAAGAGACCAGCATTCCCTGAACGACGAGTAATAGGACAATGCACAGCTCACAGCGTAGCTACCGCGGGATGTGCAGTCACAACACCGGACAAAGTTGGAAAATCAACCATGCGGTGATGGACAACACTATCCTACCCAGTCTCACTTTCCACTATGTGCATGTTCTCCTCCCGGCTGGGAGATAGGAGATGATGGGTCCCTCAATACTCATACGTCCTTTCGTCAACGGCGGTCTCGATGAGAAAGAAGCATCAATGGTTGGCGAAGCTCCCATCTGTGATCGGTTGGGATGGAAAAAGACAATGCAGCAGATGGAGCTCCGGTCAAGCTCAAGCACGACGACACAAGCATACACTCGTGAACCATCTTGTGCATCTCGGTCCGACTGGAGGAACAAGAGCGAGATGGAAAGAGGGCCGAGCAGACATACCCTCCCATCTCATTCCATTATGGCTCCAACTTGAATGCTGGATGAAAAGATTCCAAGCTTCGTGAAAGCCATATGCTGGCCCTGAATATATCTCGGGGTCGGCATGATAGCAAGTTCTGTTATCCAGGTATGTCATGTCTTGCTCCCTTTGTTCCTCGCCATTTAGCACCTCCTATCCAGGTGTACATGTACATGTACCTGTACCTACCTGAGATACGTACCTTGAATCACTCCCCCTCTCATCTCACACCTTTACTAACGCTGTCGTGTTCAAGTTTAGGATGCCGATTCCATACTCCTATCTGTCCCCCAAACCAATGAAATCTCAGATACACACAAAAGACCAATCTTTCTACTTCTCAAGCACCGTTCGTTCCAACTACAAGCCTTAAACCCATGTAATTTTCTCTTCCTTGTATGCGTCCTGGCCACTATCGCTGAAGAAGATCCATCCATGAGCAACAAGTTTATCCTCTGTTTCCCTTGTCTTTGTCTTTGCCTTTGCTGCCTTACTGCACCCGCACCCAAACTCGCACTCAGACACAAGACACAAGGCACAAGGCACAGACACACATTCATACTCATGAGACACTTCTCCTTTCCAGCCCCAAGCATGTTCACTTCAGGTACATCATGATACCGACACTGATACTGATACCGATACCGATACCGATACTCTGACAAGCACTCTGATCGATGTACTGAAAAAGTGCAGTGTCTGTAGGGGGAATCGGACGCATTTCGTTTACTCGACACGATATTGCCAGATCATCTTGGCGACAACCAACCGCTCATCGATATTACGGCAGGACCAGGGCCACACAAGGTCATCTGACGGCCATTGTGGTATCGTGGTGCTTCAGCCAGAGGCGGAAATTCATACAGCAATCCCGCGCCTGGTTACCGCTTACTTGACGGGCGTACGTCCGCCCTGTTCAAAAGGCCAACAATGGTGTCGATGGGTTGCCAGAGCCCGCCTATTTTAAGAAGGTCAAGTAGGCTGTGTTGTTAAACTGGTAGCTACCTCGTTTAACAAGACTCGGTCATATTGCAGACGATGCTTACCCGAATTCGAGTATTGCTTTTCATCCTGGCATCCTCCCAGCAATCAATACCCAAGTCATGTTTACTCTAACAAGTGCCCTCCCTTGCCTCCCATTCACCGCGGCTCGTTGATAGAAGGATCTACTCCCGAAACCGAACCAGCTCTCCCGATCCATGCAAGAAGACTAGCTCGTCACCCCCAATCCCTTTCCACACCATCTCAACAAACCTCCTCCCCGGCTTTTCATGAACCTTCCTTTGGCGGCGGCTCAATAGTTCGGACAATCACGAGATCGGTGGTGTCGTGCATTCTGGCTTGGAACGGACATCTCGGTCTCCCACAGGACGTGGCATTCGACACATTCGAGCAATGATGACCCCCGAAACAATCATGTCGTCGGCAGTCGGGGCCGATCGAGCACGGCAGGTTGCGAGCCTTGTGGCGTAATGCCAGGTACATACCGTCCGAGATGGGCTCGTGGTCGTACGTACATTGAGGGTTGTTGCAGTTGGAACGCAAATGATGTTCGTTACACAGTCTGCGGTTCCGTGAGCGGAGGTGAAAGTGTTCCTCGTCGGCAGGCGAGGGGCGCGGAAGCTTCAAATCAATACGCTGGTCGAACTTGTTCAGGGCGATTGGAGCTCGAACGGGCCGCTCAGTTGGGTGCGGTTCGGGCGTTGTGACCACCTGCCGCTCGAATGCCGATGGGGAGAAACCGTTGGACATGGATTTCCGCGCCGTCACCAGTCCAGTAGCCGAGGCCAGTGTTGGTGAGGATCCATGAGTAGAGGGTTGGGATCGGGGTTCGTCTTGCTGAATCATATCGTCCCAAGATCCCTCGAATTGCTTAGGAACTCGTCTTCCGCGGCGCGGAGGAGCGTAAGAAGTACCATTAGAAGCACGCTCCTGTCTCCAGGCTGGCGCATGTGCACCGTTGTTGTTGCTACCATAAGATGGCCTTGTGGGATGAGATATCCATGTATCCGTCTGTTTTGAGGGCTCTTGGGTCTCTGCCGCTGCGTTTGTCTGTGCTCTGTCGTCACCCCAGGCGCCAGCGATAGGGGTTGGTTCGTACGAGTGTCCTGCTGGAGTTGTCTCCCAGCCTTGTTCAGCAGTCTTGTTCGAATTCGAAGACGAGTGGGCCGAAGACTCAAGCTTGACAACCGCAGCAGAGCTGGATCCTTGGGTACCGTTGGCAATGCCATTCGGCTCGGCTCGTGCTGGGTTTGTATTCTCTGACTGCGTGGGAGGAGACGATGGCTTCGCTTCGTTCGGTGGTGTGTATTCGACGTTCGGAGCAGAGGGTAAGACCTTGGGATCGTGGAAGGCGGTGACAGGAGTGGAATTCGGGACAGACTTGATTTGGGAGACAGGAGAGACAGCACCCGGGTGTTCAGGGCTGTCTTCCCGCTGATTGACGGACACTTCTCCGTTGGCCTTGTATATGCTTCCTCCAGAGAAGCTCTCTGTTCTAGGAACGCTATCAAGCGCGGATAGGCTGACTGCGTGAAAGGGAATGTTGACACCAGGAGGAAAGCCTTGTTCAGGTAATACTAAGGATGTCTTTGCCTTGGTATAGTCGTCATCGCTGTACAACTGTAGTATGTTGTAGTACTCCGACTCATGGCCGAGGGCCAGGAAGATATGTCTGCAGTGACAATTCTCAATGTACAACTCGTAGAGTTCTAGGTAGCTTGTCAGCGAATCTTTCTTCTCCGAAGGTGGGCATGAGGGTACACACGCTTCACTTTGGCATCCACAGCCTCGTGGCCCGCACCGCAGTCACTGATCGTAAAGCACGGCTGGATCTTGCAGACTTGTTGAATAAAGGTCCAGAGCTGGTCCGGATCAGGAAGGAGATTCGCGGCAGAGAGGTCCTGCGCGAGTCTTCCAACGTCAGAGAAAATGTGCACTACCACCGAGATGTGCTCAGGCAGGTCGTTCTTATGTTGATTCCTGGCAGCCTCCTTCACTTCGGCCAGCAAAGTCCCAACGGCTTCTGCTGCGCCCAATGTCCCTGCTCTTACGAGGCCATTCTTGAAGAAGTGTTGATTACCGTCGAGGAGGACGAGGACATGCTGGACACTTGTCTAGGGACTGGGTCAGTAGGGCAGATGGACGAGGCAGGAAGATTGACAAACGATGCGCGACTCGACGTCGGTTGCACGCTTCTGCCAGCGACGGCGGCTTTCGGTCTGATCGTCAAGGTCGGACTTGAGGTTCTCGATAGTCTCGTCCTTCTCTTCGAGTAGGTGGAGAAGTTTCTCCAACCGTTCAGATCGACAAGCCATGGGGACAGGGGAAGCAGAGAGTTGTACCTCGACCAGTTCATGTTCTTCGGCGGCTTTGACTTTGTAGGCTTCATGCTGCTTTGCCAGAGCCTTCAACTCGGCAGAGAGCTGTACCTCTTGTCCTGCCATTGCTCAATCTACTGGTGAACCGAATCACACGACGGTGGGCATAGTAGAGGAAGCGAGGGGGATCGAGATCAGGAAGGCTCAGATATATTCTGATTGTGCCCTGGGAACGCAAGATTTGTGATGGAACTGGAACGCAATTGTGAACAGAAGGGATACGAGCAGTGTGTAGACTACATGTGCATGACAGAAAGAAAACCTGCAATTTGTAACAATGGAGCAAAGCAGTGTCCGTTGCAGATACAATCAATGGCCATTCAGTTGCTCAAGTGGTAGGTAGCCGAGGAGATGAACATCTGGAGTATAATAAAATAATCATGGTAGAAAAAAGGGTCAGGCACAACCCGCCTCATGCTTTCCCTTACCACTTCTTCAGTTCCCATACTACTTCTTGGGTGAACACACTGCATCCTATATTCCAAGAGGCTCACATTCTTCCGTGAACAAAGTCTTATGTGATCATAGATGCTTTTATTTCCACTATCCAAGGCGTTGATATCCAATGCATATCTAGGTATCTTTCCCATTGGTCATAGACCACAACGTTCCATCCTCTTCATCCACCATTACTGGAGGACCAGCGTGTTGTACAGCTCTCGACGCTCAGGACTGCGCCGTAGTCACCGTCGCTGATCGAGATCGATCAAATTTTCAAACAATTTCGCGTGTCGCTGAATGCCGAATGCCGAATGCTGAGTGTTGAATATAGAATATAGAATATTGATGCTGAATGCTGAATGCTGAATGCCGAAGGCCGAAATACTAATCATTAAATCGTGAAGTTATTCAAAACCAGAGTCACTTCTCGAACGGGCTTGGGTCTGGGAACAATCCCTCGTAGAGTTCAGTCATGGCCTGCTTCACATCCGCAAGCTCTTGGGGGTCGTTGGTGGAAACGTCGTCGTTCAGACACAATTGACCCGCCAGTTCTTTCCTTGCCCGAACATACCGGCTGACAAGGGTGCTGTCGACCTGCTCAGCATCCGTCACCATGACAAACAAAGCATCTGGGTTGATGATGCTATATCGATATCGCATCACAGCCTTCAGCACCAGTTCGCGTTGTGCGTCTTGGGTGCCAGCTCGCGGCAGCAAGGGTGCCAGACCCTTGGGAGTCTTGTTGAGGATCAACTTCAACAGACAGTCTCCGCATTTCGGTTCTTGTCGAGCCAACCGATCAAATACGACGGCGGTTGAAAAGACTGGGTTCCTGGTGCGAGCATCGGTGGAGGAGACTGAGAATCCGGGGGCCAAACACTCGTTGACGTCGAACTCTATACAGTCGGCGTTCTGTATGGCAGCTGGTCCATCAAGAGATGTCCATAAGATGTCCGTGTTGACCTTCGGAGGGGCCAGCCCGGCCTTCTGGAGCAACTGAGGTACGTGATAGTAGTTTCGCTTTCGGAACGTCGTTCGTCCCTCGTTCTTCATTCCGGCTTCCAGATCTTGCATGATCGTTTGTCTCTCATCCCAAGACAAGTTCCCGTCCCCATCCACGTCGCTTCGAAGCATGATATAGCTCCAAAGCAATGCTTCACGGTGACGTTCAATCAGGTAGTGGAAGGTCACGTACCACGAGTACAACTGGAACCCAGGTTCGCCTCGGAAACGTTTGCAAGCGCTCTGCAGTTCAGGACCCGGGAATGAAGAGATGGCCTCACGCATGATGTTGCGTGACAAGGCGTGCCCGAAATGACCTTGCCCTTTACGCTTTCGGATCCCGAACCGTCGATTGAGGAGCCAGGAGGTATAGATGAGGAATGGCTTCTCACCGAATCGATGGGCGTCAACTTCGGTTGGGGGTGCTGTGGCACTGTATGAGTTGGTCTTGAACCCCATCACGGAGCCAAACAATGGGGAATGAATGTCGGCAGCACTGTGCTCCTTCCCCAGCAGCATATCATCAGACAAGGCGTACAACTGCACGAGGTTAGCAACTTGAATGCAGAGAGCGACATGGCGACCGTATAACGTACATAATCCGTGTCCGAGGGTGTGTTGAACAGCTGGTTCTCAATGGTCAGGGAGTTGAAGGTCGGTAAGCACGCGTGCTTTTCAATGTCGAAGAATTCTTCTTGAGCAAGGACTTGCACCACTTCCTTCGTGGCCGGGTCGTCGTTCAACCAGTTGGGTATCTGTTTTCCTGCCTCTGTGCCTTGGACAGAATTCACCACAATTTGGATCTTGTTGCGGAATTTCGAGGCATAACGCTCAAGACTTCGAAGTGAATATCGCAGCTCATCCCAGTCTCGATAACGGTTGATGCCATGGGAGTTGATCCACTTCCCTTCCTCGTCGTTGAGAACCGAGTTCAATTCGTAGGGATACTTGGTCCTCTGGAAGGCCTCGTCCGAACCATTGACCCCTGTTCGAGTTAGCCAACATGGTCCCTGGAGGTCGGGCTCTGGGAGCCTTACACAAATATACGAAATCAATCTTCGGCTCGGCAAGCTTCCCCCATTTCTTGACATCGTATGACGCGTGAGCGACCCAATCATCCTCCCATCCGTGCAAGACTTCATCCTTGACAGCGTCTTCGAATGGAATATGGACGATTTCAGGCAGACTGTCCGCCTTTTCTTCCAGTGAAAGATGGTCGATGGGTTCTGCTTCGATGATCTTCTCCTTGACTGGCTGATCTGGCGACGAGATCAAGGCCGCCTTCTCCGTCTCTGGGTCCAAGTTGGCCTGTACCGCCACCGGTCCCTTGTGAAGGCGATCGGTTGGCACATCAGCGAACTGTGGCTCCATGCCAACGTCCTCAGACCCATCTCCAGGTATCAACAGGACCTCAGGGCCAGATGGGAGCCCGTCCCCGTGCTGTCCCCGATTACTCTGCTGACGGATGACAACATTGTCCGCGAACTGTGTCTCTCCATCCTCATCGGTGACAACCGTCCCTTCAGCCAGCTGGGGCCTCTCCTCTTTGATGAGGTTTGTCTGGAATCCTGGGTCTATGACCTGCTCTTGCGCCGGGGACCAGTCGGAGTCATCCTGGACTGATCTCCTGTCTCGCGAGGAGAACGGATCGGGTTCCTGCTGGACGAACGTTTGCCGATGCGGTGACAAAGATGTTGAATGGGAATGATGCCAGACAATGAAGCAGATGATGGTCGCGACGATGAAGAATAGGGGTCGCCGTGACCGCTGAGCAGCGATCCGAGGCTTTCGCCAGCTTTGCGAGTTCTTGCGCTCCCAGCGTCTATTGTCGAAAGGGAGCGTCGACATACTGGAGATTCACCCGAGATTGAGGGCGAGATTGCTCTATCTCATTCCAGCTGCCGACGACCGAAGTTGCAGAGGCCAAATTTACTGTCACTTATCAGAAGCGAATGCGATGATCACATGGGGATTAGGTGTGTCGGAGGGAGGGGGGGCGAAAGACAACATGGACCGCTCTGAATGGCAAGACGAAGCTTTGACTCGGAAAACAGCACAAGTCAAAGAGATAAGTGTTTAGGGGATTCAGAAATCTCTTTGCCACGTGCAAGGGACTGTCGAGCCCTTCGCCATAGGGATTGATGCATACGACAGGTCAAGCCAGGTAAAAAATGGAATCTGCCGGGCCACTCACTACTGGGTGGCCGGAACATTGCACGACAGCAGACACCGTCAACCCCCCCGAGACGCGACGCGAACCTGTGATACAGTGGCTAGAATATTCAAGGAGGCGAGAGAGTCGAAGACGACTGGCTGATGCCGCGACTGACAGCTTCAGACGAGGCCCAAAGAGGAAATAAGGCATGTGCCATCATGAACCCACTCCGAACTGGCAGCACTGGACTCAGGAACAAGGAGTGACCGGGGGAGCGGCGAACGACTGTTGCTGCCCCCATAAGTCGAAGTAAGTTGATGTGAGGGAAATTGAATCGATTCACAGGTGGTATGTCCTGCAAAGTCAATCAGCGAATTCATCCTGGCTCGTTCTGGCAAACATGACATGAACGTCGATAATCGTCCTGTGTACCGCTACACGGATCTAACGTGGGGAGGCGAGCGAGGAGAAAAGACTAGGTAGGTGCTTGGTCAGATAGGCGAAAAACGGAGACGAGGGATGGAGAACTGATACGTTCGACAGCAGGAGGACCACAACGGATACGTTAGGGCGGTGACTTGCAGTAGACGATAAAGATAGTACGGACGTTGATGCGAGACAGAGAGAGGATGAGGCCATCGAGGATCTGGTGGCTGTCGACTGGGTACCTTCTCCTGCTCGCTCAGTGGTAGGTATCTACCGACAAGGTGAGGTTGGTTAGGCCAGGCGGGGCCCGAAAGGAGAAGCATTGAAAATTCAAATGACAACAATGTGACCCAAGGCCTGCCATCTTCCCGTTGGCTGTGGGGATCAGGCTGTGTAATTTTACCACCAAACAAGACTAGCGTCGTACCGGCCCACGCCAGACCCAATGCGGCTGATGCCAAGCGAATCCATTTTCAACCTCAACATCAAAGCCAGAGAGAAATTTCGTGTGACAGTCGAAGGGAAAAAGGCTCCCTATCAACACCCATCGCCGTGCTCGAGCCCCCTATGAGATTAGTCTACGGGGCATTTCAACAATGGCAGGTTGCCGTCGTGCAGAAGTTTGACAATCTCATTGACAGAATGAGGTGGTTAGCCAGGCCCGTGCGGTCTGGCTTTGACCACCGACTGCCCACCACAAAGCCTCTTAGATTCCTCTAAGGGCCTTAACAACGGACGGCCGGCTGCAAACCCCCGACACTGGGTCGCGCAGTCGTTCAGAACGTGACGGACCAAGGCAGATCATGTTGTGAGTGGATTGACCTCTTCCCGTCTTGTTTTGCAAACGGTTGGCCTTTTGGCGTGCTCTTGGACCATTGACCATTTGCGAAATGCCTCTCATTTGCCAGCGGGATCTGTGATCTTATTTCCCAAAGTATCACTAGCGATGCATAGGAAAAGTCATCCTTGAAGCTCTCCGTTGAGTCTGCTGGAGCCGAACGGTTCCAAAACCAGATGCTGATGACGCGACCTTCTCCTCAATCGGTGGTGGCGGCCCTGGGAAAGAATGGTCCTCATGCGGAACTCGCAAGCTGTAGGATATCCAGCAGTGGGAGCGGATCGGAGCCTTCTCCTTAAGATACGTTACTAATCGCTGTGTGTATCCACTTAGCCTTATGCCTTCAGCTGTCGCGATCTTTCAACCGTCAGTCGTCCTTCCCACGCTGCTTCCTGTTTCTCCGGGAGATTAAGACCGTGTTGCCAGAGCCGTCAAGGACAACATCAGTGGCGCTGTCATCTGGACGTTCGGTTTGTTGGTGCTACATCTGACTGCCGCCCGGCGCGCGGTAGCAGTGCTCCCGCACCAGTTTGCCAGCCGTGGTGCCCCTTGGTCCGTGGTCCATGGCCAAACAACTATACTGTCTTGCTTCCCGCAACTTGTTCCCACTGGTGGGGGCCGGGTGAGTCTTTGCTTTGGAGATGATCTCTTAGCCCTAGGTCCGTGTCCAGAATCAGATCAATCGCAGCTCCTGGCAGAGTCTATCCCCCACAGAGAGCCCACTTGATGCCTCCTATCAACCTGTCAAGACAGGAGACTATAGGAAATGAGCATCAATAGTGGCCCTATATAGGACCCAAACGCTCGCACCCATCCACCAACCTCTTTTCACCACCACCTCTTTGGAAGCAGCACAGGTCACTTGTCCCCTCGTTATAATCAGAAGGATTTTTCCTTCAGCCATTCTTTACACCAAGTCATTCGTTACTGTGCTTCGCCATGCGTTTTTCTGTTTCCGCGGTCGCTTCGGCGGCCTTGATGGCCGGGGCTGCCATCGCTGAGCCCCTGACCACCATCACCGTCTGCCCTGCGGTTACCACCTCGACTCCCCCTCCCATCACGGTGACGGAGCAGTTCCAGACCGTTTCAACTTGCGGCACTACCTCCAAGTGCTTCCGTGGAACCTGTGTGACCAAGTACCCTCTTGAGACGTACGCCTATGTCAGCACAGTCATTCCTTGCGCTTGGGATGGCGCTGAGGCTGCCACCACCACCGTGACTGCCACCGAGCAAATTGTTACCGTGTCTGAATACCACACCACCATCACCAAGACCGTGACACCAACTGTCTCGGTCACCAAGAACGGCACCATCTACTTGATCCCGTCGCCTACCCCGATCGAGCTCACGGTCGCCAAGGAGTTCAAGGCCTCGTTCAACGAGATCGGTCCTCTTGCCATCCCCGGCTATGGTGGCAGCGGCATCTGCGAGGAGTGCGAAGTCAAAGCTGATGGTAGCCGCGAGCAGATTGTCGATGTCATCGAGTGCCGTGGTGGTCCTGGTGGCGCCAAGTGCATGGGTTACGAGGAGATTTGGATTTCCAAGCCAGCTCCGGCCGTCACAACGACTGCCGTGGCCCCGGTTTCGACCAGTTTCGTCGCTCCCAGCGCTGGCGAGTACACTTTCACCTTCACCCTGACGGCTCCTGCCACCATCATCGAGGTTGAGACCGAGACCATCACGGTTGCTCCCAGCCCATACTACTGGCACGTCACCAAGTCATGCCACCGTCCCCACGAGGTTATCGAGTTCACGACCACCATCACCAAGACCATCTACTACACTGTCCCGTGCAGCGTCGTGCCTCCCTCAACCTCCAGCGTTCTGCCCATCCCCACTGGCATGCCATGGTTCCCCCACAGGCCAGGCCCGAACTTCCCCTTTGGCAACAAGGGTGGCCCTGACCCATTCGGCTGGGCTGACTGGGGTAGCGGTGATGTCGGCAACCCGTCTCTCACTCTTCCTCCCGAGTGGGCTGACTGGGCCACCGAGACCACCACGGTTACTGCTACTGCCACCGTCACCAACACTGATAACCCGATTGGCGCCTCGATCACCAGCTCCATGAGCAGCAGCAGCGCCACCAGCGCCAGCAGTGCGAGCAGCGCCTCATCTTCTAGCACCAGCGCCACCAGTGCCAGCAGTGCGAGCAGCGCATCATCTTCCAGCAGCATTAGCTCAGCTGCAAGTGTCGGTCCTATCGGTGGTTCGATCACCAGCTCCATGAGCAGCAGCACCGCCACCAGTGCCAGCAGCGCGAGCAGTGCGAGCAGTGCATCGTCTTCCAGCAGCTCTTTGACCAGTGCCAGCAGCGCTTCGTCGACCAGCAGCTCCTTGACCAGCGCCAGCAGCGCCTCGTCGACCAGCAGCTCCCTGAGCAGTGCCTCGTCGACCAGCAGCACGCTGAGCTCGCTCTCTTCTACCAGCAGCTCGTTGACCACCAGCTCTGCTTCCTTGAGCAGTGCCATCAGCAGCTCATCGTCGTCCTCCTTGGCCTCGTCCACCACCGCTGCTCCCCCTGCCACCACACCGTTCGTCATCACCTCCAACACCCCCACCAAGTACCGCAAGCGAGCTCTTGTGTACATTGCCTTCGAGGGTGAAGATGGTGTGTTGGTCAGCGACCGCACTGAGGCATCTCTGTTCTACCTGGACACTGATGGCTACCTTCGCTCTGGTCTGTCTTACGTGTTGGGAGACTTCAGCCAGCCATACATTGCCTTCCAGCTGAGCACCTCGCCACCGGCAACTCTGTCCAGCTGGACTCTCAGCCCCAACGGTGAACTTACTCTGGATGTTACCAACCAAGGCTTCTGTGTCTCGGCCTCCAGCAACGTGTTCATCCTGTTCTCGCAAGCGCCGCCGTTCACTTGCACACCGATCTTGCTGTTCGCCCAGCCAGTAAATGGTGAGTTTCTCTACTCTAGTTCATATTCCGTTCAATTGCTAACCACTCCTGCAGCTGTTACAAGCTCCACCACGACGACCACTTTCGTCCCGGCCACCACCACGGCTGAGCCCACGTCGACCACCACCAGCATTGATGTGTCTGGTGACCTTGACGCTGATCTGCCCGCTGCCACCCCGGTCCGCCGTGGTGTCCAGTACGGTGGCCGCAAGTACTACCACAACCGTCATTAGACGTTTAATCTGAGGTGGGAGAGTCGTGCGCACCGGGTGATGAGGAAGCTGGAAATGGAGGCGCTCTACGAAGTAAAGTGATGTAGTTGCGATTTGGGGAAATTGGAGTGGCCTCTTGCTTGTCAGAGAGTGTGTGCATGGATATTGAGATGTTTGCTTTCTCTGAACTTCAACTTGTTCAATCAATCGCAATGGCTGTTTCGGGCGTCGGAGTCGGATTCTCCGTTACACGAAGAAGACGTCCCGTGTGCAACGGGCAACCAACCCAGGGATTGAGATCTACTTATTGTGTATAGACTTGTGGTTTTGGTTTTGGGTGTGCTTCTGCATGTGCATGGATGTTGGTTGCTTCATCGGTTCTTCTTATGCCCATGGTCACGAATACGATGAGACGAGAAAAACCGTCAAAATCACCTCACACTCGTTCCATTGCAGTATTCGTGGCATGGTCAAGCAACGCATCGCAACACAGCACCAAGCAGCTCGCTACTACCACAGCAACAGGTATTCCTCATGTTTGTTGGTACGCAGCAATCTCGATTGGAGGATAATATCTACAAGTATCTATACACACAGCTCTGGCTCGCTCTGTCTTTGTTTGTCTTGAACTTCACATCTCTGCTCGGGCTCTCTCTACTTAGTCGAAAAACAAGCAGAGGTCCGTCAGCACAGTACAATGTCCCGCCTGGCTACCGTAGGAAAGGGGGAAGGGGCTTCAGCCCGGTTTGGCCCCCTCTGGCTTTGTTGTCTCTGGCAGGGCTGTCACTTGCAAGTGTCAATCAAGTTTGCTGGTGGGCCGCCGGTGCAGAGTGCAGACACTTGGACCATCAACATCAACACGCAATTACAGCTCGAGTCCACCTCAGCACGCAGCACACCGCCTCATTGTTGTGATTATTGAACGCAAAACAGCAATCGGTTTGCCGAGATGAGATCAAGTGTGCTGTTCTCTTTCTGAAGTGTCTACCGAATACAGACTGTGGTGTGAGACTGAGTAGACGATTGAACCTACAGAGGAGGCTTTGGAGACATGAGAGATATTGTACGTACAAGCCACCCCACTTACTACACCACTCATTCCTGCATGGAAGAGAAGAGAAGAGCAGAGCCGAGCCAACAGACAGAGAGCGAAGTCCACCCAGCCACACGTAATAAGCCACAGCTATTAGGTAGTCAAGTCACAGTCACAGTTACAGTCAAAGCCACATCGGGGGGAAGCAGAGGGTAGAGTCTCCCCCTGCTGCCTTCGACATGGCGACACCAATCTCTCTTTCTTCACCACCCATACGACAGTTCTTCATCCATCAAATCGACGCCAACACCAATCCGCAGTCCCCCAGTCCACTTACTGAGTGAAAAACTGACTCATTGATCAACAATGATACTCCTCAAGTAGGTAAGCTCTACAGTCTTCAATCTTCAGTTCTAGTGGAGGTTGGTTGCGTCGGTATTTCCCTCTTCCGAACTCGGCATGCCCGAACCGGCGACCCCCTGGTCCAATTATAGGCCGAATGTCGCGGAGCTTTGACACCCGTCGAGCGCGAGCGTTGAAACTGTCAGCACTGTCATCCGAACGCCCCAAACTCAAACCCTCAAATCAAATGCGGCCAAAAGAAAGGCGCACTGGCCAGGCACGACACGGCAGAGAAGAAGAAGAAGTAGCAGCTAGCTAGCTACCCAAGAAGCACTGGCCAGCTTTTTTCCCTTCAGAGGGTTGCAGAGACAGAGCACGTAGGTACCTAGATACAAGAGTACAAGAAAGCACAAACACCCAAACACCCAAAACATGTTTTCTTCCCGTCTCAAGAGGTCCTTGCACACCGATCAGCAACGAACTACTGAACATGCAATTCTAAAGACTGGATACATAATTATAGCAACAATAATCACAAATGGACACCAGATACTGCCGCTGGTACCAACAACAGGGATGTCGAAGTGGATGTGGAAGCCTGAAAGGGCGGCGTTGGAAGCCTGAGCCGAAACCCGCACCTCTTCAAGCAACCATGGTCAGAGATCTATCTACATGCACGTATCTACCTCACCCTCTTTCCCTCCCTCCCCTGATGCCGATCATTGAAAAACGCCCGCCCGTTAGGTTAGGAGAATAAGATGAACCTTGTCGATCCAGAACTACTTTTTTCCCGACCCAAAAAGGACCTGGATCACATTGTCCTACTAGTATCCCAACACATATCATAATTGGCGCCAGCCAGCACCAGCGCCAGTACGTACGGTACTTGCAAGCCATCAATGCCATCAATGCCATCAGGAGCAGCCCTGCCCAGACACACAGTCAGCCAGCCAGGGGCTCTAGGTACATCGTACCTACGTATTTGCGTCCCACACAAAGGAGTGCTTTGCAGTAGGTAGTAGCCCCAGAACAAGGTTCGGTACCTGCTGCTCACTAACACAGTAGCCAAATGACGAAACCCGACTAGTGGCTGTCAAAACGTGGAGAAGCCTGTCGTGGCGCTTTCTACTGGGACACCCCCTGAAATATGTATTGGTTGTTGGGAAAACAGACCCAATTCGATGGGGGAGGGGGAGGGGAAGGGGTTCGAGGAGGCAAAGGGCACACGACAAGGAGGTGCACGCATGTCATTGGTGTGCCTTGCATCATCCGTCCATAGATTGGTCTATAGAGTATTGGGTAAGTGGCGCGTTATCGATCCCGATCGGCGATTGGCAATCTTGCGATTGGCGAAGAGGAGATGATGGAGACGGAGATGAAGGAAGATACAATATGGAGATGGAGATAAGTAGTAGGTAGGTAGTACGTTAAGGTAGGTACCTCACTACCTCTGTACAGACTAGTATGGAGATGCGGTCCATATCGGCGAAGGCCGTGCCACTTCGTTACTAGTCGATACGTGACGGAACCATCAGATGAAATGACCGTCAGGTGGATAATCCACTTTTGACGCAGTTTCAGGTTCAAGTTGTCTCTTCCAGACTAGGTAGTAAGGTAGGTAGGTACCTACGACGACGCGTACAAGAGAGAGCCCCCTCATGAGATGCAATGGATCCCTGAAGGCCCCTCTTTCGTGTCTTGTCGTGTTGTGCCGCGTCCTGTGGTCGATGCGTGCTGAATTATTGAATGCTAAGGCCGTGAGTGTATATCTTAAAGCACCGATGCAGCCATTCAACAAGTCATAGTTCCAGCAGTCTTCGTCATTGCTGAAGCTTGCCGTGTCTGAATCTGGGTTTTTGCGATCAGGGAACTTCGCCTCTGTACTGCTACTGTCCGGATCTGGCCAGGCGAGTGGCGGTGATGGCGGTGATGATGGTGATGATGGTGGATGTGGTGGATGTGTGACGTTGCCGCACGACTTGTGCTACAGTTGTAGCTGCGATTGCAGTTGCAGTGGCCGTCATAGTAGCCTCCTGGCTATGGCTTGTCTCTGGCTAGGCATTCTTGCATGGGAAGGCATAGCATGAGCATGAGCATGAGCATGATCGGGGCAGTCCATTGCATACGACGTCTACCACGTGTCACTTGACCAAAGTGCCCTCTATCTTATGGAATTGGCTGGCGCTTGAGCGACATCGATGCCCATCACAATCTTCGTATGTAGAGCGTGTACAGCATGGTCAGGGGATCGTAACCAGTGAAACCAGTGATTGACCGGCTTGAGTGACGACCTGTTGGCCCTGAGCCGGTAGGACAAGAGTCCTCGAGCGATGAGATGGCGGGACCAGTGAGAGATTGCAGGTGCCGTAATACTCAATAGACTGAAGCCTCATAACGGACAACAATATCTATCTGGAACACTTCTCCGTAAGTGTGTAGATCGTGATGCTCCGGCTGAATGACTGGTGGTCTTGGTGGTCGTCATGGCGGGATGGTGACACAACCAGGAGCATGAGGACGATAGGTGATGGATTGGATGCTCAGTATACCATCATACCCATCTGGTCTGCTTAAGCTCCTGATGATCTCCAGATATCATAATGTTTCAGACGATAAAATGAAATCGGTATGGCACACGGCCACTTTGCCTGGCGACTTCTCAACTCAGCCTTCATCAAGGCTTTCAATGTCAGGGGCCAGATATCCGTGCCAGGGGACATGTGGTTGTTATTGGCCCGTCTCTCGGTGGCTTTTCGCCTATGCAAGGTACGCTGCACGACACCACATGGAGTAGCCTGGCAATGCAGGTTCCAGACGACAGAGGCGCCTCAACGCCTCGTGGTACCACATCGAAATACGTGTAGATTGGTATGTCTTTCATGTAGGCAGAATTAGATTGTAGATCGGTGCAACGTGGGCGCGGGAGGTATATCCCTTGGATCACATCCTCGCGATCAGACTTCATTCCTGCGCCACGTTTAGCGCCTCAACGACCGAGACCCGACAGACAGGGTGCTTGTTCACTTAGTTGAGCTGACTGCAGCCTCGAGAAAGCGCGGCGCGGCGCGACGCCAACAGCGCCCACGATGACATATCACAGATCCAAGTTTCATGCTCATTTCGACTCGTCGATCGCCCACATCTATGCTGCTGGAGAAGAAGGAGGCAGGAACAGGAAGGTAGCCATGCGTCGTGTTGTGACCTGTCGTCCTGGAGTAGGGGGAGAGAGGATATTGCAGCTTGCAAGTTGTACGCTACCTCCATTTGATCCAATTGAGCGTTTGCTTGTTTTGTGGGAGGCAATGGAAGATGTCTGCTCGTACGAACACACACTTACCAGGGGCATGGAACTTGAAGTTGCGTGAGCATCGTGTGACACCGATATTGCTGGATCATATCTCGCTTCGTGCGCTGTCCGTTATACGCGATTTGTGCCCCTGGGTGCGTCCACTTCCGCGTGCGCAAGCCGTACGCTAGGAATTATAGTATGCACACCTAGCAGGGTCAGTCCAATGCCGAGTCGAAAGGCTTTTGAACGTCTCTTCGTAGAGGCCGACCGGAGGCGTACCGCCAACGTTCTCCCTCGTCGAGACGACGGAGATACATGCGCATTTCCAGATTGCTGCGTGGATAGCCTTCACGACGGCCATGGGCAAGTATCATTTGCTTTGCTTGCGGAAGGAAATGGGTCTGTAGATCTGCCCGAGCGATGAGGTCAAGCAAGTAGTTCTCCACTAGCAAAGAATAGCCGTCGCCGCTCCTCTTCCAGATTGGACGCTCTTATCAGCCATCCTTGCGATCTCTTCCCATCGTCTCCCCTCAGGATCCGCTCATCGTCGTTCTCGATGTTTTGTCAGGCATATCGTTGGGACAGCTGTTACAATCGTCGGGAACCTTTGGAAAACATTCGATCATGTCTAGTAGCCAGTGCGAAATGGCACCCCATAGTACCAGAATTTGGCGCAAGTCGCCCTTAGAGCGGCCTGCATTGACTGCGGTGGCCTTGACGGGGTAGGACTGTCATGTTGAAGAAAGACCATGTAAGCGGCTTCGTCAGGCATGTACTCTCACATCGTCCAAGAGCATACTTTGCCTTCTCACTGTGGCATACCGGTCACCCACAGGGCCGACCGCGAAAGCTATGCTCGTCGGAGCGGGTAGCGAGTTGGGATTTTCCCCAAAGAAAGTCCGTCGCGCCATGCCTGTAGAGACCCGGACAGAGAAGGCAATCAATACAGCATCGAATTGAGCACTCGCCCATTGGGAAGACGTGGATAGCCACTCTCGCAATTTCGAAAGGATAGGCAATGTTCTGGTCAATAGATAATGAACCAGGTACTTTTCTCTTCGGTTTGCCGCGGGAAGATTTGCAAAGGCTATCGGTGTCCAGAGCAGTGGTTCTCAGTTGCGAGCTGCGTTCGAGATCACCCATCAGATGATCTGTCACGCTGCAGGAGTTTAGGGGCAAAATCATCTTCCAGTGGCCTTGCTGGCTCTCCTTGCTCAGCTGCTCTTGCGGGCTATTTCGTGCTGTCGTTCACTCGGTGCCTGCGTTGTAGGATGCCGAAAGCTTGCGGTAGTTCTTTGGGCAGAGCTCCCAGAGCGTGAGCGGCCATGACCATGGAATTCAACATGATGGAGCACCTTGTTCGTGTCTAACTCCTAAAGCCTCAGACGACTTACCTGAGAACGTGATGCCTGGCATCGCGAGTTATGTCGGCTCTTTCCTTTTCCTTACCATATGAAGTGCTCCAACCGACATGGCATCGACGCAGATCAAGATCCAGAGTCGTAGTGTGTCCCATACCGTGCAATGACCGCTCCGCTCCTCTTGATGATTGATTGATATTTTGCGTTTTTAACATGTCAGCTTCGTCTATTTCCTGGCGTCAACGTTTCGATTCTGCACCCCGGCTCATGGATATCATTCGAAAACCCAACTCTCCGTCCCCGTACTTCCGTAGCCACGGTGCCCTCCAGGACCACATCGCAACACAACACCATGCTTGGCGAATCCCGTCGCGTTCACGTGCTTCCTGTTTGATATGGTGATATATTTGAATCGCGGATTTTCCTCCAACAATCCAGGCGCCGGTGGCCTGGTCGTTACGACGCACGTCACTGCCATGGATTTGTCGGGGGCTCGAGGTTTGTCTATTCACCTTCGGTACCTGCCTAACATCATCCCAGTCTGGGGTTCGATTCATCTTGCCGCCAGATTAATTGAACCCTTGACAGGAACAGCATGCTAGGCGACCGAAGGCAGACAACCTCGAGTCCCCGTCCCTGGCTGCCCATTCCCCCTCCCTTCCTTTCCTTCGCCCCCTCGTCCCCCCTCCTTAAAAAACCAGATACGTTGTTCTGGTTTCACTAACCTACAAGCCTCCAGTCAGGGAGAGGCTTGTAGGCAGGTGTTTTTGGTCCTTTAACCTGTGATTCAGGTTGTGCTTAGCTGGGGTCTCCTGCTTTTGTGCCTTTTTTCTTATTTCGGGCTTTCAATTTCGCTCACTTTGAATTGAACGGGTATCGTGCAGTGTACACGCTGGCTCGGGGTGTGGTCACCAGGAGAGGAGAGCACAATATCGGGCACCTGACAACAAATGGAGTAGGGGACAGTAAGCCGCGTATACTTTCGTTTCTCACCAGATTCATCCACGTGCACCTTCAAGTAGAGTAGACTATGTGATATGGATTCAGAGGTAAGGTAGGTCAAGCCATCTGTAGCTGAAGATATATGCTAGGTTTGATGTTTTTCTTTGTCTCAGTGCATGAAGCTGTTGACCAGACTCACCGCATCATCATCCCTTGCGGGCATGGCTATCCCGCTTCGTAGATAGCTGCAATCATATGCTCTGTCGCCTACATTCCGCCATGCGACAATGATGCTGTCCTTCCCAGATGGATTCGACTGTCGCTAGTGGCAAGAAGTCCACGCAACAATCACGGTCAGATGCCAACCCTCGAAGTGTAGAACAGCCCTTCAGCTATATTGCTGGCAACACGTCCTTTACACTGTGGTGATGATATGATATCAGTTGAAGTTAGTACATACTTAGGACGTGGTTGAGTTCCATCGACGTTGAATTGAGATGCCAAGCACTGCTATTGCACGTGACTGGGAACTAGTCAGTACTACTAGTACTAATGTAGTAGTTTACTAAGTGGTTGCCAGGCCATCAACCAGAAACCCGACGCTGATTGGACAGGAAACTGCGCTGCGCGGTTGTGCGGCATTTTTCGCGTGCTCCGCCCGGCTTATTCTCGCGCCACGGACCTAAACACTGCACCAGCTTGATCTCCAAATGCCCCTGTCAAAGGTCCCGAAAAAGATTTTGTCGCAGTCGCAGTTTCAAGCTCGCAGCTTCAACACTACTTACTCTCTCTCTCTCTCTCTCTCTATCTGTCTTTGATCGCAATACTGGTACCTGTCGTCCAGTCCTTCTCTCGGTTGCTTGCGTTCGCTTCTAGATTTCTTTAGTCGAGTTCCAGTCTTTCAACATGGTTTATCCACCACCGGCCGACACGGTGCCCAAGACGCCCAGTCAGCCAAAGGAGATCTCTGGTTTCGGTCTCTACAGCAGATTCGTATGGCGCCCTCTCCTTTGATGACTCAAGTCCCTGGTCGCTAACTTAATCAGGCCTTTGCTGGTGCCATCTGCTGTTCCGTCACTCACGGCTCTATGACTCCTGTCGATGTGTAAGTCCTTTCGCCCTGGACGACCCAGGCGCACCTCAAAGAGAAGGAATTCCTAGACTAACATCAGAGTGATCAGCGTCAAGACGAGAATCCAGCTCGACCCGGCCACATACAACAATGGGATGATTGGCGGTTTCCGAAAAGTCATCCAGAACGAGGGTGCTGGTGCTCTGTGGACCGGCGCTGGGCCGACCTTCGCAGGGTACTTCTTGCAGGGCGCGTTCAAGTTTGGAGGCTACGAACTCTTCAAGCAACAGGCCATCAACATTCTTGGATACGACTCAGCCCGCAACAACCGAACTGCTGTCTACCTGGCCTCCTCTGCCCTCGCCGAGTTCTTCGCTGATATTGCCCTCTGCCCTCTCGAGGCCACCCGTATCCGATTGGTTTCCCAGCCTACCTTCGCCACCGGTCTCGTCGGTGGTTTCAGCAAGATCCTCAAGACTGAGGGCGTTGGTGCTTTCTACAGCGGATTTGGCCCCATCTTGTTCAAGCAGGTTCCTTACACCATGGCCAAGTTCGTCGTCTACGAAAAGGTGGCCGAGACTATCTGGAGCAAATTCATTGACAAGAACACCGCTTCGGACGGCTTGAAGACTACTGTTAACTTGGGCTCGGGTTTGATCGCCGGTTTCTCCGCTGCCATCGTTTCTCAACCTGCCGACACCATGCTTTCCAAGATCAACAAGACCAAGGGTCTCCCCGGTGAAAGCACCACCTCTCGTCTGATCAAGATTGCCAAGGAGCTCGGCTTCCGTGGCAGCTTCGCCGGTATTGGTACTCGTCTCTTCATGGTCGGTACTATCACTGCTGGTCAATTCGCCATTTATGGTGACATCAAGGTATGCTTCAAACACCTGGACCGTGCCCCGTATTCGTAACTGACCCTTGCGCAGAGAGTTCTTGGTGCCACCGCTGGTGTCGACATCGGCAAATAGAAGTCAAATGTGACGATCGATCCGAACGAAATCGTTTCAGGGGACGGAGTCAACGCATATTCAGATCTGGCGGGCGGGGTTTTCGGCGTGCAAAGAGCATTACGAGCCAGCACCTCGTCATTAGAGATACTACGAATTTTCGAATGACCCAGGTCTAGCATCACCCATAGATGCTGGATCTGGGCAAGCAACTTGGGGAAGCTTTGCAAAATGGCGGGGGATAGAATTCTCAGAATATTCTCTTCCTGAAGACATTCAAAAAGCGACTTTTGCAGAATAGACTGGCGCTGTGTACCAACATTTAATGCATCATTGTGTTCGGTTGGATCATGAACTCTTTTCTGCTCGTGCATCGCCTTTACAGCGTTTCGCTTCCTACGTAGAATGTACTCCCAATCAGGGTGCGAACTCGCTCTGCATCAACTGAGGCAGATGCCTCGATCACTTCGTGCGGCCGGGCAGCCGGGCAGCTGAAGGTGAGACACACGTAGTGCGAACCGGCCTGGGGTGAAGAAGATTGGAGTCGGACGTTCCAGCGTTGCACGACCATTGGGCAGTACCGTCCCGATGCAGTCTGATCGTAGACGGCATGACGGAGGGACTCCTTTTCTCCTTCCATGCAGATAGAAGTGCCCCGTCTCGAAGCACTGGGGAGCATTTCGCACGGTCTGATATGATGAGCTTGAATCCTTGCCCGTCAATCATGGACCGCCATTCTTCGCCGTATCTTTCCTCCTCCGAAAGGCGAACAACGCATCGTCCTTCCCAGCATAACTCGGTAGCGGGACCTGACAGACTTTCTCCCAACCTGGCCGTTCTCTAGCCATATACTCGTCAATCATCATATCCTTGAACCCGGTGTATCCGTTCCCGTTCTGCGTGCCCGCCACACAGACCACGTCGCCGGTATACGCGTTGAGAACCTTGCGGGTAAACTCGCCCCCGACGATCGGATAGACCAGCAACAGCACGCGGTCCGGACACCCGGCGCGTTTGCGCAGATACTGCACGCCGTCCGCGACCACCGTGTCCGGAATCCACGTCGTGCGCCATCGACTTTGCCCGCTGTCCACGGCGACCACGTCCAGGTTGGCCGCGAGCCGCCGGAGCATCAGGGTCCAGTATCCGTTGCCGCTGCCCATGTCGAGGACGGATCCGGAAGTCGTGTCTGCACCAGGTGCGCCGGGTGAGGATCCACCAGTACTGCTAGACTTAGACTGAGACTTGATCCTGGAGTAGTAGTCGGATTGCAGTCCAGCAGCCAGCTTCGCTACGATCTGCAAGGCTTCCCAGGACGGAACCACACAGCCGAAATGGTGCATGTACACCGGCAGCGTGTGGTGCGCTGACTTGACTAGTGCCGTGTTTGCGTTGGGGCCGGCATACTCGAGCGCGTGGCATGCGTAGGCCCAAAAGTCGAGTGCCGGGTTCTGATGGCCCTGGAGTTCTGGTGATGGTGTTGGCGTTGATGTCGAGCTCGGATTCGGATTCGGATTCGGATTCGAACCTGTCCCGTCCGCATTGTTTGTTGAGGAGGACGAGGAAGGAGAAGTCCCAGCTGCAGCCTTCTGTGGTTTTGGAGGTGCTAGCTTGAATTTCGGCACATTGATCGATTTATCCAGGTATCGTTTGCTGAGCAGATATTCTGCCACGCTGGCGCGGATAGAGCCCTTTTTGGCATTCGCCGCCAGAGATTTCAGACTGTTGGCCGCGGACTTGGTCGGGTCGAATAGCGAAATGTACGCCTGCACATCGCTGGGCGGAGGATACCCTACGAGCCGGAGTGACGGGTGTGCCTTGTCCGTGGCGCCATCGCCATCGCGATCGCCATCGCCATTGCTGTCGCTCACAGGCTCAATGTACCACGCGTGCAACCCGTTCGCCCGGCCTGCGTGGAGTGCGGCCTCCACTTGGGCCAGATTCACGCTGGCTGAGGCATGATACGTGAAGGTGTCGCCGGGCGGTAACTCAAAGGCTGTGGTGATGGCCGCTCGGAACTCGTTCTTGTTCAGGTGCTCGTGAATCTTGTGCCATCGCTCCGCGGCGCCGTCTTGGAATAGGTGCGACGCGGACCAGGTCTTCGAGCCGTCTGTGCCTTCATTTGGTGACGGCGGCATGAGGTGTGCGCCGTCCTCGTGAGACCCTCGTCCTCGTCCAGTGTATTCCGGAGGCGTCGAGTTTTATGTAACCGAAGTGAGCAGAACTATCTTTTCAGAAGCCACGAGACGGCCGACCCGGGTATTTGGTGATCCCTAATTGAAATCGACGCCTTCAGTAAACACAAGCTTGGATCCCCAGACTTTGTTTCGCTCGACCATATACGTTGGATAGATTCCACGGTAGACAGTGATGTTGAAAACAAGGCTGAGTTTCAGTGGAAGTGGAGAGCTGTTGATATGTCTGACGCACGATATTGACGTACAATAGCAAGATTCTCTCAGCAAGATTTCGTCAGACAGACGCTCCAAGATATCCATCCTCATGAAGTCGCTACATATGGTGTCCGATCATGCCGCTTTTAACTCCAGTAGTGACCGCCCGGGAGACTTTTGTGCTTCAGCATATGAACGAGATTTCCTCTCTACATGCAAGAAACCGAAGTAGAGACGCCAGAGGACCAAAAAAGATTATCATAGGCGCGGGCTTCGAGGGATCTCAATGTAACTAACTCCGTATAGTTCAGGGAGGATTTCTTAGTGCAACAGTAGCCGTGTTCAGTTTCGTCGCACCAGCAAGGAGGCCTGCTGAACAAGGAATACAAGTGCTATGCTGCTTCGTTGTCATGGTTGTTGTGATGGCTGCAGGCAACCTGTCAGATCATAAGACACCACACCCGTCATAGTAAGACTATTGTCCCCCTCAAGCCCGGACGGGGTATTTGATCACTCATTGTCACACATGAGCAACATAATTGGTGGCTGGCGGCCAAGCACGGGGGCAGTCGGAGTAACAGGCGGGTTAGAGATTGAAGCCACCAAATGGCAAAGGCACGTAGGAGATATAGACCGCAGTGAAGTCGACGGCATGGGATCTGGTTAGCTTGTAGAGGCAAAAAACTTTTTCCACAAGCCTCGTATCTTTGATATGAGGGTTGTGGGAAGTGAAACCCGGGTTCGCTGGGTTTTCCCGTTTGGGGATCGGCGGCTCGCTGGTTGGCGTTAACCCGGGTTCGCAGGGTTACTTTTTGGCGATAGTGAGACTCGAACTCGGATCCCTCGGACGGGTCGCCCAGTACTACTTGGCCACTGAGCCACTGGGGGTCTTTGCGTTGTTGTGAGGAAAACTTGTGAATTTAATCCATATACCGTATTATCTGCGGGTGCAGTGAATTGAGGATCTGCCGGTACCCTTCACGGCAGGGAAGGTGAGGCGGTGCATGTTTCACCCTGCGCTTGTAGGAAAAAAGCCATGCTGCCCATCACTTACTTACATTGTTCGTCCTGGGCCTCCATCCTGCACCGCGCAGGTCTGCTTTGCTAGTACAGCGGACTGTTGCATGATAGCTGCAGCACATCCGAGTACCTCTCCCTCCTAGTGGAGCTTACACGTACCGGATGCCCATTGCAGCGGTTCGTGGCCACGCGTTATCCGGGATTCTCATTGTTTTCGGTGTTGCCCTGACCATGCCGGCACACAGATGGAATGGATCTCCTCCAACTTCATCGCATGTGAAGCTGTAAGGTATGGCCCGTCAAAATCAATGCGTCAACCACCTACTCACGACTCTAAATGCATCATCTCCAACAAGCTCTTCATGTCTAGTCGTACACGGCGCCTCTGCCGCGTTTCCATGATAGACCAGAGAGCTCCAAGAAGCCTGTCGCTAACCGTACAGCTGCGATAGTCAAGTGATCCCTATACCACGCATTTCGGCGCTGATTGGATGCAGGCAGTGAGTACCGGGCGAGATTGAGCGGTCGGTGGCCGCCAGACATGTCGTTCGGTGATGTTGTCAGGGAGGTCGTCCAGGAGCTATTTAACCACAACAATGATGTCTCCAAGTGATGGCCCGTACGAGGGGTGAGTTTCTAACCCAGCACCACAGCGTTTGGATGAATCCAAGTGTGATCCACGTTGTCCATGGGAAACAGCGAAGCACGTCGCGAGCGTGAGAAAAGGGAGTCGGCGTTCGACGTTCGACGTTCGACGTTCGACATCACATTAATCTACCATCCTGCTTATGTCAGCCACGGCTGTTGCCCGCGGAGCGGCCCGTCGCAGCCCTTGAAAAGAACTATACTGATTGGCTCCTATCCTCCCGGGTATGTTGCGCTTTGCAGGGCGGGAAAAAAACAAAATAATCATGGGAGAAAGAGAATCATACGTACTATCACAGTACAATTTAATTGATATTTGCATGCCCCTCACGATTTGGATGGCCCATTGCGTCGACTATCCCCGATATGATCTCGTAACATACTGCATCTTGACGAACACTACCTCCCGACCGTAACAAACCATCTCCCTCCATGGACGCGCACGCCCATCTCATCTCCCTCGGCTGGGCTGGGCCCGGCCACTCGCTTGATTCCCAGCCGTACAAGCAAAAAGGCCACCGTGGCCTAGCCTACGACCCAGCCAAAGTCGGCAACAATGGCAACGGCCTAGTGAAGCCGCTGCTGGTTTCCCAGCGCAAGGGCCGACTCGGAGTGGGCAAAAAAGCCCACGAACCGCAGGCCGGGAATGAATGGTGGTTGAAAGGCTTCGAGAGCGCTTTGGGGAATGTCGGCAAGACCGAGAGCGAGAGGAGCACGAGCAGTGGGGCCAGCACACCTGTGATGACCCAGAGTCAACAAAACATGAGTGCCAAACATGGCTGGCTGTACAGCTTTTTCGTCAAAGGCCAAGAGATGCAGGGGACGATTGGGAGACTGGACGAAATGGATCCGTCGCAGTCATCGCAGAGTTCGAATAAAAAGCGGAAGAGCGATGTGCTTGACACCACCCACAAAGAACGGGAAGAAGATAATGATGATGATGCAGCCACTCATTCATCCAAGAAGCGGAAGAAGCAGACACAGACACAAACGGCGGTGGTCGAGTTCGAGCAAGTCAGCACTTATATCGCGATGCGGGATAAAGCTGAAAAGCGCAGAAAACGGTCCGACAGACCCAGTCCTGTTGAGGAGTTCCGACAAGTCAGCGAATATTTGGAGGTTAGATCGGAGAAGGAGAAGAGGAAACACAAGAAGAAGCGAGGACTGGAAGCACAATTGGCTGAGACGAGCACACCAGCCGTCATAGAGGGTGAAGAGGAAGGGGAAGAGACCTCTGAACGAACAGAAACGAAAGAAGAAAGGCGAGAACGTCGACGGCGCCGGAGGGAAGAGAAGGAAAGGCAGACAGACCAGCGTAAAGACGGAGACGGCAACGTCGCTCAAGCTCAACTGTCCACTTCCCAGTTAGAGGTCGATGGTGAAGAAGGTGCAGCCGCGAAAGCCGCGCGACGGGCAGAGCGGAAGAAGAGGAAGGCTGAGAAAGAAGCGGCCAAAGCTGCGAAGACTGCGAGGACTACGAAAACAACATGAGGCCAGCCGACACCGAAATGGTCATACTGAAGTTTGCCTTACCCTTACCCTTATCCTGATATTGATGATTTTTGATGCCCATGTGCGTCTGTGACATGCTACCTTATGCTATGATATCCGGTCTACAGCCAGAACTCCTGGATAGAAAAAACAGACGTCCGAAACCACGCACCCCTGTTTGCATTGGGTATAAGAACAACCTTCAGACCATGCATGTTCGCTTTGATACAACAGCATCCAGACCGCGCAGATTTGTTGTACATTCATCTTAATGACGGCCTCATGGACCCGTCCCATCATCCATTAGGCAGGTATTCAGATCATGATTTCGCATCCTCCACGACCAATCTCCCCGGCCTCCCACTCTTGATCCACGGTCTCCGAAGCCAAAACTCGTCCTTGATAATATCGACATGTCTGGTGACCACTTTCGCTTTCTGCCTGGTCTTCCTGATCTTCTCGGCTTGTGTCTTTGAGACGGATGCGAACCCATCATCTACCTCATCTTCATCATCCTCGTCCTCTTCGTGTATGTGCGTGGCGATATCTCCCCTCTTTTCCTTGCCATGACGGTCTTCGTCGTTGTCGTTGCCGCTACTGGTGCTGGTGACAGGTTCCAAAGCATATTCTCGAAACACAACGCTTCCTTTACGAAACATCTCAGGCTCGCTGTTATAGTTGATTCCGAACCTGGACCAGAGAATCTCGTTCTTATCGCTGGACACGGTTCCTTTGAGATATTCTTCCGCCGCTGTCGCCGTCATGCCGCCTTGCTGGACGAGGGTCCAGAATGTTGTGTTGTAGAGGTTGTTGATGTGGCCTGGAAGACGAGGGGATTTGGGTTAGTATATAGCCTCCAGCATTTCCCAAGGACATCACCGGTAGAGCAGGAAGCGACAAAGGCTAACAACCAATGCATGCAGAGACCATGAGACAATGTTGTCGCCGTCAATACTCCAAGCAGGGAGTTTGTGCGCAGAGAAAGAATCAAACAGATACACCGCATACATCGATGCCTCTAACGACATCCAAATGCCGCAATGACCCAGACGACACAACACAATCATAGAACGAACAACGCAAAATGGTGATAAGGCAGAAACAAACAAGGATGAGGAGAGACACGTACAATCGACCTGCCTCCAACTCAAATAATCCCTCAAATTCTCCCACGAGGGATAACAAACCGCCCGCCCGTCGAATGTCGGGAGCATGGCAAGATCGAGGCTTCTTCGGCCATGAATTTTACCTTTTGCACCATCGTCCCGACTCTCATCCTCTCTTTCTCTTTCTCTTTTTCCCCCGTCTCCTTTGCCGTCCTCAAACACCGACTCCCAAAGCCGAACATAAGCCGCCGTGAACGAACTGACAACCGTACTGACGAGTTTCGCGGCTCTCCGCTCAAACAGGTTCGTCGACCTATGGAATACGAAACTGTATTCATCCGAGACGCCGTATGCGATGACGATTTCGGGGATCGACTTCACCACATGGGTGGCGGCGAGGTTCATGAGCTGTAGGGCGCGGACGTCGTTTGGTTTGGTGAAGTTGTAGTATGTTGATAGTCTGGAGTGATGTTCAATCAGGTCAGAACAGATCGGGTTCGGGTAGAGGACATGACAGGCATATATCCCAGCATCGGGAAATGTAGAGACACCGAGAATATGCATAAATCCGTAAATGATGAAGGGAGGATGCAGGCAAAGATAGAAGGGGGGAAGGTAGAGATATCTTTGCGGCATAAAGCCCAACCAACGCTGTGGATGATAGCAAGAACAAGACATGAGAAGAGAAGAGAAGCGTGGACTGCCAATATCGTCCATCCATGCGCAAACTCAAGGAAGGGATTTCGTAGTCAAGGGAGAAGAGACACAACCGGCTTCATCGTCTTCTTGATCGTCGTCTTCATCACCTTCATCACCTTCATCACCTTCATCACCTTCATCTTCGCCGTCTGCCATTCTTCACTTGTTCCCTTCCCTGCTCTCTCATGTCCATCCATACTCATCCTCTTACTCCGTCTTTCTCTTTCCATGTCTCTCACGCTACCTGAACCCGAATCCCAAGTACGAATCCGACAGACGACAAAAGAACCAAGTGGAAATGGAACTGGAAATGGGAATATAACTTACTTGTGAAACCCCCGCCCGTCGACCCGGACCACGATCCACGTATTGGGCAATAAGACCTCGTCGCGCTCGAAGGCGCGCACATATTCATACCTGTCGATATTCCGCAAGTTATTGGTTAGCTGTCGCAATTTCACCAGTCTCTGAGAAGAATAGGAGGCGTGCTGATGCGGCGACGACGACGACGACGGCGACTTACTTTGAATTTGCCATTGCTAGTCGGAAATTGTGGTGTCGCGTTGATCGATTCGGTATTCGAGTCGACCCGTCGACCACATGAGCTGATTAATCATCCATTCATATCATCCATCATAGCCGAATATCAGTATCTAGAGTGCGTGAGTTGGTGTGGTGTGTAGTCTGGTCAGTGGTGGTGTATTTGACTCCAAAGTTATGGAGTGGTTAATAACGTGAGTCACGGATAATTTTGATATTCAGGAGACTGCAACGAGGCTGATGGATGGATGATGGCCACTTTTCTTTTATGGACAAGGACGATGTCCCTGATCCTTTACACTCAAAGCCGACGGGGGATTGTGGGATACTGAATGTTACAAGTCATCGATGGCACCTACAACTACTACAGGAGTACACGGTCGAAACAGAATCTCCACTGTTGGGTCAAACAGATCAATATTGAATCCAACTGTTGATCGCAATCATACAAATAAGATATCGATCATCCTCATCCTCATCCTCATCTTGTCCTTGTCGCTGTGCCCATTCTCATTTCTTGGTGTATAATCATGCCTCGTCATCATCTCTCTCCTCCCCAGTCTCACTGGCTTTTTCACTACTCTCGCTGATCTCGCTGGCCGTCAAATCTTCTCGGCCCTTCTTGCTCTTACGCATGAAGTTCCAATTGCTCAAACTGCTTCGGCTCGACTTCTTGTCTTCCGCGCTCGGCGTGGTCGACGTACTCTCCAAACTCTTCCCAAGATGCTCACTGGACCCCTGCTCTTCCTCGTTCTCGCCGTTGGGTGCAGCCGCCTCTCTTCGGGAGAACAGACCTCCCTTGTCCTTCCAACTTCCAAACTTATTGCTACTAGCCTTGCGCGTGAGCTTGGAGATGAACGTCGGCTTGACTGGCGTGTTCTCGAAGGACATTTGGGCACTGGTGCCCGAGGCTGTGCGGTCCAGCGGCTCCGAATCGAATGTGGAAATTGTATTCGTGATGGAACTCGTGTCCCTGGACTTGCGTGATTCGTCAGGAGGCGAGGAGGTTGCTTCCAATTCGCCCACCCGTTCTTTGGAATCCTTCGCCCTCGATTTGTCTTTGGCCTTCTCGCCCCGCTTGCCAAAGAGCATGGTGAAAGACGGTGCCGCGGGGTTCAGCTTCGGCGTGGAAGCTTGCTGTGACGATGCCGGACGGGTGCCGATGGGCGCTTGTAATGGACGACTCGGTACCCGGTCAGGCTCAATGACTTCCTCGTCGGCCGGGAGGGAGAGATTACTGGTGGAGTTGTACACGAACGACGGCCGGCGCGAGTGGCTTCGCGAAAACGAGTGCAGGGAGCCCCAATCCGGGGCCAGAGGACTGTTCCGGATCGGAGGTTTATCACTATTCCACGCCCGAAACTGACTTTCCAGCGACGGTCGCGGCAGCTTGTCGAAGGAGTAGGTGGAAGAAGGCCGAGGCGAGGATGTCTCGGCTCGAAGACCAGGATCGAAGGACCCAGATCTCGCCGCAAACGGATCGTAACTTCCCGAAGCACCAGTAGATTTACCAAACCCGAGAAACGCACGACGAGTTGAGGAGAACCGCGATGCTTCTTGATCTCGTTCTTCCGGGTTGCCGTTCCCACGCAAAAGGGTCCCTGGGAAAGCCCAGTTGCCGCCATAGCTCAAACGCCTTCTAGGCTGCGTACCGGGATCGAACTCGTCCACATTCCGGGGAAACGATCGACTTTGCGCGGCCTTCAGAGATCCAAGCGCCGGTGCTTGATCCGCAAGCGTCTTACCGCGTTGCCGGTTGAGACCAAACATGGACGACATCGACATGTACTTGGGCTTACTGGGTTGCTGAACATCCTCGTCTTCGCCGATCGCTTCTTCAGTCTTCTGATCCGATGTTCCTCCCGAGTCGGATGACTTGTTTTCGCATTCAGCCGCCGGCGCCGAAGTCTGAAGAGGACTGGAGAAAGACTTGCTCGAGGACGAATGCGCAGAAGGCGTGTCGGTGCGACGGGCGATCTCGTGCAACATGGGTGAACCAATCATGGGAAATGGGGTGACTCCCTCCGAAGGACCTTTTGACCGCCCAGGTTCATCTGTGTCTGGCAGCTCATCCGCGGACTCGTCCCCGAGGAGATCGGCCGGCAAAAGGGAGTCGGCCCGAGGACTCATGGGCATCGAGCTGACCGTTTCAGCGTCATCAACATGCGAGGAAGGGACTTCGACCGGCATGGTCAACGTCATCCCGTTTTGAGGATTGAAATAACTCGGGACCATAGTCGTAGGGGATGCGTTTGTCGGATTCGATGTATATTGAAACCCCGAGGGAAAAGGTTCTGGACCGGCGAAAGGACCACGTGGCGACGAGATGCTGCTGCCGTGGGAATTGGTGTGCCTTGGTCTTCGACCCGGCCGCATCCCACGTCGGAGAGCGTCGAGGTCAAGCGTAGTTGGGGCCGCGAATGCGATCGAGTTGGCCCTTCTCGACTCCAATTGAGTGATTTGCTCCCGGGTGTAGCTGACCTGTTGGTTCGCCAGTTGCAGGTCATTCCACAATCTTGCGTACGTTTGCTGGAGGCCATCGAATCTGGCTCGCCAGCGCAGATCCCGTTCACGATCTAAACGTTCCGCCTCTCGGGTTTCGTCAGTCTCGTCCTCGACATTAAGCTGTTGACGCTCTTCTTCGAGAGCCTTGATCTGAAGTGCCTTCTCTCGGTTGTCTTCTTCCAACATCGCGACCTCTTTTTGTTCCTCCTCAATCTTCTTTCGGATCTCCCTCAGCTCGCTTTGCGTTCTACGTTCAATCGCCGCCTTTTGGGTCTCGATCCCGGCCATTTCTTCCTTCATCGAAGCGATTTGATCTTCCCACTTGACAATCTCATCTTTCCGCTTCCTGCGCTGGTTTTCCTTCTGTTGCAGGAGTCGTTCCTTTTTGGTTTTTTCGCTCTGGGCTGTCCGACTCGCCGTTTCCGCTTTGTGGACTTGCTTGCGCAGGTCGTTGCTGGCCTCATCCCTCTCTTTCAAACTCTGCTTTAGCTCGTCACGACGCGCTTCCAGATCCTTCAGAGCGGTTTCGAATTCTTTGTCTTCTTCCTGAATTTGAGCCTCCACCGCCTCAATATCTTGTTGCACTTTTTGGAATCGCTGGGACAGCTCGGCAAGGTCGCCATCCACTTCGTCTTCGACGCCTTTGGATGATCCATCAGGCCCGTGTTGTAAATCAAACCCATGGTTGGCGGGGGAAGGTCTCCGTCCTGAAGTTACTCTCCTGCTGGTCGGTAATCCTCCGCTCAATTCTCGAGTCATCGCCGGAGCAACCAAAGGTGTCAGGGCTTGAGCACTGCGAACCGGGATGGCTCTGACTGTAGGCGTAGATTCGGACGATCCGTCCTGGGAGGAAGTCGACGACGGCCCGGGAAGGCGGACGTGTAGGGCAGCGCTCGGCGTTTGAAAGGTACCGGCACTGATACAAAACACGCGAATATCGTAGATGTGGCCCGGATTGAGATTCGATATTATGGCACCCATCTCATTCTTCCTGGTGGTGCCTATGACCCTTCCGTTGACCTCGATATGATGTTCTTGCACCGAGGTCGAAGGTTCCGCATGTTTCCAGCTGATCTGAACTTCGCGCGAGGAGATTTCTTCGAGCGTGACGAGCGGCGTGGGTGGGATATCTAGGCCGAGCTTTTCCACGAGGATCTCGTTCGGGGTCTTGATGACTGAATAGGCGCGCCATAAAAGCCTGAACGGTCAGTAATCATCAATAGGGTCGACAGTCGGTCCTCAGGGCAACTCACCAGGAGAATGCCCAAATGACGGCCACCAGCAGAACCAGCGCCATGCGGCCTTTGACGTTAACTCGAGGAGCGAGCAGATGATAGGCGTGGGAAGCCCAGTCGAATGGCTCTTGGTGCCATCTAGATGAGTCCATCCACAAGAGTGGTATGGCAGGCATACGCTCAATGAAATGAACGTGTATGTGATCCAGAGCAAAAGAAAGAATGGTGTTCAAAGGAAAGACATAAAGTGTGTCGTGTTTTGACACATCTGATGTGAAGTGGGTTCCGCAGTTTGCAGTCACCGCGATGGCGCCGCAGAACTTGATCTTGATCTCCGAGTCTCCAGACCGTCAAAGACTCGATTTTCCCGCTCCAGATTTCGGAGCCTTGGCGGGGTCGACGACAAGATACAGTGACCAACTGATCAAGATGAAGCACGAAATATAATCATATAGCTAGCTGTATACAACTTGCAACTACTAGTACAGGGCAGAAGTCCCGCAGGGAAATTCTACTGTCTGAATCGTGCTGCGGCTGGGTCGTCCAATACTACATAGGTAGGCAACCGCAACCAAGAAGACTCTGGAGATCGAGGTCACAGTCTCTTGAGAGCGATGGTCGTGATCCTCATGTTCCTCTGGGATATCTTAATTTGATTCATGTCCACAGTAATGACACTGCAGTGTCCAATGCTTCAACCCTGCATCTCCGCGTCTTCATCCTTGTCACCATCGCCGCCCGCCGCATCAGGACCAAAGACATCCTCCATAGTGCCCATGCCTTCTTCATCCTCATCACCGCCTTTCTCGTCCATCTGCATCAGGTCTTCTGGCTCTGGTCGAGGGTCTTGTTCTGACTCGACACTTTCCTCGCCTTCGCTGTCCCATTCATCCTTCAACCCCCAGCCCATGCCAGTAAGACAGAACTTCTCATGAGGAAGTCTAACACCACCTAGTGTTGGTCCGCTCTTCTCGTTATCTCTGGGCGGGGCATTCAATGATATGCGATTCTTTTCATCGGCCAGGCTTTTGAGGAATTCTTTGGGTAAACTGCCCTGGAATTGATGTCCCACCCTCGACCCTATCGACATGCGTAGTGCCGCCAGACTGACGTCGCCTTCTTCGGCTTTGGCCTGGTTTTGTTTCGCGCCCCTTCCTTTGGTTGACGTCCCTGTATCTGCTTGATCATAGGCCTCGTTCTGAATATGTAGAGCGTCAGTCAGGACGGAATTGGTGTACCGATAAGCAAAATCCATGAGCTGTAATGGAACCCGTTGCTGGTAAGCGCTGATGCCATGGGAAGCGAGCAGTAAATGTATTAGTCGATGATCTCGAGGTCGCTTAGAGCTGCCGTCGTCGGACAGGGAAGTCAATGGTTGGGAGAGAAGTGCTTCGATCTGTGGTTGTGCGGTTGTTTGAGAGGGTTGGGACGGTTGTGCGGTTTGTGACGACGGTTCTGCAGGGGGAGTGAGAGGGCCAGAAGGGTTCGCCGGCGAACTCATGGCGCGTAGATTGGGAAAAGGGACGACTTCAAGTGGGAAGTGGGAGGCGTGGAAGGGTCGTTGAAGGCGTTGCTGCTAGTTAAACACCATCGCGACGAGACTGTGTGGGAGTTGAGAGAGGTGGAGGGTCCAGTACCGAGAATCGATGCGCAGTAATTCGACACGTCCCTCTGGGATGATGAAGCAGAGCGTGAGCATGAGCGTGAGTGTAAGATGAGCGTAGGCGTGTTGGAAGTAGGGTGAGAGTATAGAGTGTGCAACGGTATATGGAATACTACTGCGCAAGACAGTCGCCGACTGCAGCACCGCAGTTGAAACATACACCAGCCAAGGCCCTATGAATTGCTGGTGCTGAGGGAAATCCGGGGAGAATAGAGTGCTTAAGTCATCAATGCTAACTCGTCAGAAATAGAGATATTTTGCAGTAGTCGCACTAACATTCTCTCACCCGAAATGGACAGTTATGTCTCACCGCATGGGATTCCGACATCCTCCATTCTCAACCTCACTGCATCACTTCTACAATTTACCATCAATGGACTTCATTCTCCTGGATTTGACTTCAGCTTCCTTTGTATAGCGGATACCATGTCTCTGTGTTGACCTACAGTGTATCATCACCAGCGTTGTGTTCCTCCAGCATCTTAATTCCATCTTTGCAACCACATTTCTGGCCTGCGTCATCAGCTTAAAGTTAGGCATCCAAGTATGTCCATTGTCACCCATCAACTCGAATAATTCACCTTCTACACAGCATTTCCCCGCCTGAAACAGTTCGGTGTCTGTGTTCTCTATCAGAATGCAGTACGTGCGGAGCTTGGGGAGTGGTGTCTCCAAAACATGGAATTCCATCAATCCAGCCACCCTGTCGGGGGCGATTGATGTCATTGTCGTCGAACAAGAAGATGGCAGTCTTGCTTGTTCGCCCTTCCACGTCCGGTTCGGAAAGTTCTCGCTCCTTCGCCCATCCGACAAAAAAGTGGACTTCAGAGTCAATGGCGTCAAGCAGAACTATGCTATGAAACTGGGCGACGGTGGCGAAGCCTTCTTTGTCTTTGAGACCTCCAACGACATTCCCGAAGCGTTGCAGACATCCCCCCTCGTCTCACCCGCCAACAGTCCACCGATTTCCGCCACCGATAGACCACCATCTCCTGGTCTTACTGAGCCGTCGTACCTCGACATCACCGGAACCGGAAAAGGGAACATCGGCCTCGATCAAGCATCCGCAACGCGTCCCCTCCCACTCATTAGACGCGAAGGGACAAACTACAGTGAAAGTGGCGTTTACAGCTCGTTCCCAGGCTCTCGGCCCGAGCTAGGAAGCAGCGCTTTATCGGACACGATACTGGCTGCACGTAATCTGGAGCGGTCCGCGTCGGAAGAGGTTCTACCCGTCACCACGCGTGAGCAACTGGAGTCGGAGAGCGAACCGTTCAACCACAATGGTATGCCCATCCCGTCCAGGTCGAATACAGATACGATAAGCGCACCCAAATCCTCGGCCAGTCCTCCCGCGTTAAATGCCAAGGATGCCTATGATCGAGCCATGACTCTGTCCAAAAAGCTGTCCTCCTCCAACATCCGGTCGCAAGTCACCGAATCCGGCGATCTCATGCTCGACATGACAGGCTATAAATCCAGCGAGGAGGAGGCCCTCCGCGCCGAAGCCGTGGCGCGCAAATTACTCTCCGAGGAACTCGAGACCAACTACGACATTGGCTCTCTGATCGGGACGGACGAACAGGGCAATCTATGGATTTACAACAGCGAAGAAGCGCGTGAAGCCGCCAGCCGCAAAGCTGTCAATCAGACGCTGGAGACGGCCAGTGCAGTGGCGCCAGACAGCGCGTCCGACCCGGGCTACCACAGCGACAGTGACCGCAGCATCTCTACAGAGCTCGCGGGCAAACAACCTCCGCTCGAACGACGTCAAAGGGCGCAATCCGAAGAACTGCCTCCGGCGCCGCGCATGTCTGGCGAGCAGAATCGAAATTTCGCCAAAACCCTCCGCCTCACCAGTGATCAGCTCAAGGCGCTGGGTCTGAAACCCGGCGAGAACCAAATGTCCTTCACCGTCAACCGTGCCACGTGTACCGCGTACATGTTCTACTGGACGTATGACGTGCCGATCGTGATTTCCGACATCGACGGCACCATCACCAAATCCGACGCCCTGGGTCAACTGCTCAATATGGTGGGCCGTGACTGGACGCACACCGGAGTGGCCAAGTTGTACACCGACATTGTCTCCAACGGCTACAACATCATGTACCTGACGAGTCGGTCCGTCGGGCTGGCAGACAACACGCGCGCCTACCTGAACGGAATCAATCAAGATGGATGGAAGCTGCCTCGTGGTCCGGTCATTCTCAGTCCCGACCGCACCATTGCGGCTTTGCGGCGGGAGATATATCTGCGGAAACCGGAGGTTTTCAAGATGGCTTGTTTGCGCGACATTCTCAGTCTCTTCCCGGGCAAGACGAATCCGTTCTATGCCGGCTTCGGCAACCGTTTCACCGACGCTCTGAGCTACCGGAGCGTCAATATCCCGTCTAGTCGCATTTTCACCATCAACACCAACGCCGAAGTCTCGCTGGATTTGCTGACGCTCAACAAATATCGGAGTAGCTACGTGTCGATGCGAGAGGTCGTGGACCATTTCTTCCCTCCCGTGTCGACATTGGTGAAGGAAGGCGGCGAAGAGTACACGGACTTCGCATACTGGCGAGACACGCCGGGTGATCTGGAGAACTTTGCACCTACTGACTCCGAAGAGGAAGATGGGGAGGATGAAGATGACGACGACGAACCTGAAGTCGAGTCTGGAAACGACATGGGCGATAGCTTTGTTTCACGAGATAGCATGGATGAATCCGCTGTGAGAGACTCGATCCGGGAGTCGATCGAGGTCGACGAAGCTGCCGAGATCTTACAGGGGACTCGGGTCATGGTCGACGAGGAGGATGACGATGACAATGACACGGAACAGGATGAAGCTGAAGTGCAAGATTTCGAGCTGGAGCATGGGCCGGAGCCGGAGCATGATCTGGCGGACGATTACCTTGGCGAGAACGAGAAGATGGCCAAGCGCAAAGCAGCATCACAGACAACCACGACAAGACGATAACGGGGTACGCGAATCGCTCAGCTTGCTGGGTATTCATGACACCGGAAGCCTGAGTACGAGCCGTGAATCGAAGGTCAGTCTTCATTGGAACGACACATGACAGACAGTATGGCAAAGCCTTGCCTTGTTTTGCATTTTGTGAGTCGGAGCCGGAGATGGAGATGGGTCTATCTTTATATGCATGGCAGATGACTGTAATATGTATCACCTGGATGGGCCATGTCACGGAAAGGAATGAATGTTGACCAGCAACAAAGCCGCGTTCGATATATATTGTAGTTGATGTCGAGAGCAATGAGCAATGAGTATGCAGTGGAATGATGAGATCTGTGGCTCAAGCTCTCTGTTCTTCTGCTGACTGGGAATGGAACACGGACGATAATAGTCTATAGGATGACAACCATGGACAAGGCTGTGTCCTCGTGTCCCTTTCTGGCTGGTCGTTGTATATTAGCTATCTCATTGACGACAACGGCTGTGCTCATCTATTTGTCTCTCTGTTCGCAGAAATTTCTTTCTCTCCATCCATCCAGCATGTATACGACCTGACCACCCTCATCCCTGATCCCTGATCCCTTATCTCTCTATGGACATCCACCCCCCGGCCCAAGAGATCCCCATGAACGGCTCTCTCTCGAAGGAGTAGTCTGAGCGTCCCTTCCATATATCACACTCACATGCTGTATCTGTCATCTACCATTCGATCCACCAAACATCTCACATACCAACCGACGTAAAGCTTTCCGCAGTCCTATATCTGACTAGACCTCTTCCCCCCCTCTCTCCCTCTCTCTGTCATCAGCGAACACGATCAATGACTCTTCTCCCCTCCCTTAGCCTTCGCCTTAACACCCACCACTCCATCAAATCTCTTCAAACACCCCACCCCTTCCAGCAAACAATCCCCAATCCAAGCCCACCAAACCGCCGACCCCGCCTCAACCCAATGTCTCCTCAACTTCGTCCTAGCGAACCACACCGCCTCCAAGACATGCACGATGACCATGAACCCCAAAACGCCCGGCTGGACAGCATAACACAACCTAGCCAACGCCGGGGCCGTGCCATTGACCGACCAGGCGCGCGCAATCAGCGACCCGGACTCCGGGCGGAGCTGGTCGCGGAACGGAAACGTCGCAAAGATCAGCAGACACACGCCGCACACGAACCACTGCCACAGCCGCTGCGGCGGGACGTAGCGGTCGACCACGACGTCGCTGAGATCCAGACTGGCCAGACACGCCGTGTGCATGGTGACCAGGCGTTCACGGGCTTCGAGGAGCGACTTCATCGGCGGGTCCAGCGGGATGATGTGGCGCCCGTACGCGGAGGTGATGATCATATGCTCCAGCGTGATGTCGACGAGTTCGGCGGGAGTGGTGCCTGGTAGGGGGACGTGGGCGTATTGGGCTAGATAGAGGCGCAGGGAGAGTGAGTGGTCTGCGTTCATGTGTTTGATGATTCGGGTTTTGATGGCTTCGGCGTCGGGGGGGCCGCGGTGGGTAGTAGTAGAAGTAGCAGGGGCGGTGGAAGAACCACCCGTTGCCGATGAAGGGGACGGTTGTGCGGACATTGTGGACATTGATATTGTTGTAGTGTCAGTGAAGGAGATACCGGTGGTTGTAGTTGAAACTGTAAGACTGATGGCGATGGCGATAGTTGTTCTGGATGATGGGACGTAGCCTAAGTGCTCTTTCTTGGATGATGTTGTGAAACAATGAACCCTGATCCCGATCACAAGGCTCCGAAAACTGTATAACAGCCGACTCGGCTCAGGCTCGTATGGACAAATAACGAATAAAGGAGAGCAGTTTCAATATCAGGTGCTGTTTGAAGGTATCCCTCGCCGTCGCCCTTGGTCGCTCGTGTCCTGGTTCTGTTCGCCGTTAGTCCCTCGTACTGTCTGTCGAACCTTCAACAAGGGAGCTTCCTCAATGAAGCGATTTGTCTCTGGTGTCTCGAGTCTGCGGTTGAATCACCGACTTCGAGGATTCAATATCACTCACTGCCAAATAAAGAGTGAAGAAAGGTGGTGGAGTTTTAGGAGTTCTCCCTCGAGGCGGAGGGCGATGTCGGAGGCCAAGAACAGAATAACCCTATTTGGGTGACACCGCCTTGTAGGACGCGATCAAGAAATATAGCATCAAGTATCTAGCATCATCCCAATCTAAGGCGTGCTCGTATTCATCACTGTGGGACACTCTTGGTCCTGGCTATAGGGCATAATATATATATAATATGGATACATCACAGCGGGGTGGATGGCCGACAATAAATCATGCTGTCTTCTGGTAGTTTCCTGATATCGATTCATGTCCGTCCTTCCTCCGTGGACCATCATTATTGTATACGTATATGATTTGCCCCCAGCAGTGTGGGCGAATATAAGACCGACGATGTCTTGGACTAATCACTCCCAGCACGAGGAAAGAAAAAGGTGTCCACGATACTTATACTGTATAGATTGGTCCATCTTTTTGTCTGTCTGCCACCGTCCATATGCCATGCCATTGCGCCATGCCAGGATCTGTTCCATCCCATCCCATATCATCCCACCCCTGTTCCTCTCCTTCCTTCCTCCCACCTAAAAGACCATGCCCTTAGTCTGCTGGAGTTTAGCGACATTGATGTTCTTAATCAATAAGATCCAAATAAACGCCAAGGCCATGATCCCCGTGCCCGCGGCCAACATCCTCTCCTGCGCATAGCCATAAGCCTTCTGGATCGCGATCCGGGTTGGACTGCCGTAGGGATAGCTCAACTGGGTGGACAGATCGTTATAGATGTCATCCAGGTCGGCCTGCGCCGATTCCGGCAGATAGCGCGCCAACGCCTGCGGGAAAGTGTTTGTCCAGATGGCGCCGGAAATGGTGTTTCCGATGGCGCCGCCGACGTTGCCGACGACATTGAGCAGGGCCAGGACAGCCGCGACGTACTGGTGGGGCGCGGCGGCCAGGACGGCGAGCTGTTCGATGATGATAAACACACTTCCGCCGATGGAGATGAAGATTTGGCACATGACGATGTAGCCGATGCTCTTGTGCGGCTGGCGGAAGTAGATCATCAGGCCCTGCGCGAACACGTACAGCGGCACGGCGATGTACAGCTGCCACTTGAAGTAGCCGGTTTTGCGGATCAGGAACCCCACCAGCAGCAGCAGCACGCCCGAGACCACGTCGAACGTGTTGTTGACGTAGCCGGCCTCGGCGATCGAGAGGTCGTTGACCACCTGCAGGAACGACGTGAAATAGCTGTCCCAGCAGTAGTAGGAGATCTGGTACGTCACGTCCAACAGGCACGCGCCGACCACCGTTCGGTTGGTCAACAGGTTGGCCGCGATGAAGGGCACTCGCGCCAGATACGCTTCGTGCAGCCCGAACAGGACGAGCACCACGAACCCGACCACGATCATCGCGATGATGTAGCCCGAGCCCCAGCCGTCAGGGGCGGAATCGGCGAGCGAGAAGGGGAGAAGGAACACAGTGAGACCGGAGGCGAAGAGGAAGACTCCTAGGGCTGTAGAGCACTAGTTAGCCCATACTTTTACTTTTGCTGTCGACATGCAGATAGAGACAAACAGGGAGACAGCCTCACCATCAAACTCGACCACCCAGTACCACACATTCTGCCAGAATGTTCGGCCGCTCCTCTCCCTGATGAGGAGACCCCGTTTCTTCGCCTTGCGGAGATTGACCTTCAAGACGATGAACAAAGGCGCTGCCACCACGGGGAGAATGATGGCAAAACAGCCGAATCCCCATCGCCAGCTGATGTCCTGGTAGAAACCTTCCGAGGCCTTGGACCCGGCAAACGCGGTGATCATGTACGGCGACGAAGTGAAGGCGTATGCGAGACCTCGATTCTTCAACTTCGATGCGTCGGCCGTGATGACATCGATGCTGTAGATCATGCCTCCGAACCCAATGGAATAGAATACCTGGAGACGAAAAGAATGGTTGAGTATTTGGACATGAAGAGAATGTAACGTGCCAGACACAAATCGACAAACCTACCTGTGCAGCGCAAAAGGTGGACAGGGAATTGCAGGATGCCATCAAAATCAATCCCAGAGTCGCAAACGCCACCATGACCAAGAACCCTTCGGCTCGGCCCCAGAGATCGAGCAGCTTCGCCACAGGGATATACGTCGCAGCAGACATGCAGTTCGACACGATATAGATGACGGTCAACAGCGAATGCTCCTCGAAATCGCTGGTGACATAGGGCGTCAAGTTACTGAGAATCGAGGACTGGAAAGCGTTGACGAAGTAGAGTAGAAACATCCTGTTTGGAAGAAATGTCAGTTCCTCGACCACCAGGAGAAAAAGCTGGAGTTTCTCTGCACGGACAAGATGAAGACCGCGATCAAAGACCGCTTCGACCAGGTCAAGGTGACGGCTTCGACATTCTGTACACCTCGTTGCGCATCGTCGGCAGGGAGATCAGCCTCGGCTTTGAGGTCACTGATGTTTTCAGCATCGCCCTCGCCCTGGGCTTCTGGAGCTCCAGCATTTGGCGCGTCAACCTCGGTGATCTTGTCGTTGGTCGTGAGCTCGGTCACAGGCACGGCTGACGACGTGTCGGTGGTGGCCCGACGAAAGCCAGGGCGAAATTTGGGGATTCCGACCATTGTATATGCTCCCGGTTGACGTGATTGAGCACCGACAGTGATGGGAGGTATACAACGGAAGATTAAGATGCCTCGATCACAGCCCAGGAGGTCTCAAGAGCGAAGAAAGTGAAAGCAAAAGCAAACACGAAAAGGAAAAGGGAAACAGAAAGGATGGGGAAACCAGCTCCCAGGGTATTGATGGATTGAGCATATATGATATGGCCCCTCTCCTGGACCGTTGGAACCCGAGAATCTCCCAGGTCGAAACTAGTTAGTTTTCTATCCCCTACAAGGCAATCAGTTCTTGCAATGTGCATGATGAAAAGTCCATTTTGTCGAAGCTCAACGGCCCAAAGGCACATGGTCCGATGGTCGGGCTCGATGGTCCAAACACGGCTGAGTGGGGAGAGATCCCCAGAAGGACGGTAGGTGAGGACTATGTGCGGTAGAATTGCCAAGTAGTCAGTAGTGACAGGGTGTGGACGCGTGAGGAGCTCGTGCTATAGCGGAACAAGACGCAGTAGGCGAGCAGGCAAGCAACGGCGTTGGATGCTTGTGGATGATCAAGACTTTGACCAGAGCCTCGTCCCACGCCGTCGAGAAGCTTATCAAGATAAGATGCAGAGTTTTCCTGCGCTAGGCTCCATCAGGCGGAGATTGTCTGATAAGATTAGATAATTAGCTGATAATCTCCCCACCTCGAGTCTCCACTTCCAGCCCCGTTCTGGACGTGGATGGCCTCGCTCGCTGGTTACAAGGCAGCCAGCCAGCCAGCTCAACCGCCACGCGTTGCGGTGGGACAACGGTGGATATCTCTTTGGAAAGATTCAAGGGAGCAATTGTTATGCTCCAAAGGAGTTCCAAAGGCGCTCCAAGGGCTGGCGATCGTGTTAAGGAGGATAGGTATAGCTGGATCCATGCTGCTGAAGGCTCACAACACCGTCAGTCCAGTCGGGTGGGCGGCTCACTTCAAGAGACGAAAAAGCATACACTGGATCGCCACAGTGGGAATCGTTGAAGGTCTTCTTGCCGAGATGGGTCTGCGATCGCACGCAGAGGGTCACTGGCGAGAAACAATGCGGCGCCCTGGCCTGATCTGGAGATGTGCGTCTTCGTCATCAGTGCTTGCGAAGCACCTACGACCTTGATATCGTCCACTGCTGCTGCGTTGCCGAAGCCGGAGAAGGTCAACGTTCAAGACCCTGGGTAGGTATGCATGAGCACCTTCATACGGACCCTGCGGATCGGTTCTTTCGCTTCTGTCCAGACATTCAAGGCCTCGAAGATGACCTCGAATATTCTTGCCATGTTACTACTACCTTAGATAGCACGCAATGTAATGATGGATGAGTGATGATCAAGCGAAGCGGAAGTCGCCCAATCTTCGCAGAAGACACACATCCATATGTACTGTACTGTGGAGCACAGGTGTATGGACTTTGGTTTATATCACAGTGTAGGAACCTCACTCAAGTCACCAGCATCAGACGGTCTCACTTGGTCCCAGTTCACCAGGTTGGTATCCGCCTCCTCTGTGAACAGCTGACACGCCATTATATATTGCCAATCCCCCGATCTCAAGCATAATGACGAAAATGGTGCCAATAAGGCCAGTAGAATATTCGAATGTCAATCGAACCAACTCTTGTCGCCTGCCAGGACCCCAAGGCCAGCCGGCAAAAGCCTCTTCTTTTGCACTCCTTTCATATCCATACCCGATTCGTATCCAAAAACATCGTAACCCCGTCAATTCGTAGCTCGTTTGCAAGTCATGTTGCCTTCACTCAAACTCTTTGCGCTGTAACACAAAAGGACACAAGTTGTACTGCGTATGTCGAAGCCTGCGCCGTACGCAGGCTATGTCATGATCTGCGTTCTCTCCAATTCGGTCCTGAGGCCGCTTCTAGAGACATTTCGAACGTCTCTGCACCGGTCTGTTCTTCGGGTGACTGCTGGACGTACCAATTCCTCATAGTGCTCCACACATAGTTGTCCCTCATCCTGCCACCACAGCCTCCCCATTCGTTGCATGCGCAAACAACAACAATTCGGCGTTCTGTGGATTGAGAGAATTCGCCGAATGTGTCTCGCCCCAATCGAGCAACGCTTCATGCACTGCTTCGTCACTATCGATCAAGATGAAGTCGCCGTCCTCGTCTCGGTATCGCAGACGGACAGATCCAGAAGCAATCGAATGGTTCGTGAAGCGCGCCAATTTGGCGTCAATCCGATCTGCCAACGACCGAAACTGGATATTGCTGGCAATAATCATGGATACATAGTTTTCGTCAAAACAGACCTTCGCCTTAAGCTGACTCGGGATATAAGGTTCTCCATCACTGGACGGTGACGAGACCGGAGGCGAGAATGCTCGACCCTGAGACAGCGACGATCCATGGCCAGGCCTTCTGGGATCGGCCCCATAGGAAGGATCATAAGTATAACCGTAGGTGGGCATTCCGGGCCGTGGTCCGGAAGGTAAACCGTACTGTTGATGTGGAGTACCTCCCCGAGACGGCGGTGCATTGATGGGAGAGTTGTTCTGGCTTCTCAGCGGGGCAGCCATCTGCTTCGCAACATGCGCTGGAATAGGAGGCACGGTCGGTGCGTGCTCGCCCGAAACGTATTTGCGACTTTGCTGCACCATAGGGTGTACATCGGGACTGCTTGCAGAGCGCATGCGAGGTGGTGGCATGCCCGTGCCAGAGCTGGGTCCCCGATTCCGTCCATTCGTCAAATACGGATTCCCGTTCGACGGGCCGTTCATGGTTCGAGCCATGGCTGGAGCCGTGTTCCGATAAGACGGGTCTTCAGGGCGTTGAGCGACCGCACTGACCGGAGTAGTCCCGCGATTTGGCCCTCCAAATGTGGACTGCGAGCTGGACCGGGCTGACACGGATGACTGTGGAGGAGTATCTCGATCTATGGGAGAGAAATAAGAGCCTCCTGAATAATCCTGGGGAGTGGGCAAACCACGGGTGTTCAACGAGAGACCTCCCATCTCCACCGTTGGCGCTCGCATGCGGCCTGCGGACATGTGTGGATTGCTCCCTCCGCTTCCCCCAGTGGCGGACCGCGACCGCAGGCTTGTGCTGGAGGCGTTTCTGCTCATGCTGAATTCGGAGTATCCGGTCACGTCAGTGCCTCCGTACGTGGTACCGGATAGTCGGCTGAAATCGTCGTCCTCATCCTGTCCCAGATAGGGATTTTCCATACTCATTCCCTGTAAGGAAAGTAGCTGTGTTTCTGATGTCCCCTTGGGCCGGGCCTCAAGCATACAGGATGACCGCTGAGTTTCGATGATGTCTTGCCATTTTTGCAAAGTATCGTCATTCTTGAATTTGATAATGAATGTCTCCATCGTGCCTGCCTCGCTCTTCCATAGGATTTGCAGCGCATAGTGCCCCTGACTGCTGTGAGCCGAAACGGACTTGACGTTGTTAAAGTAGATCCGTCCTTTCAGGTTCATCTTTGGCTTTCCGCGTTGGCTCAGGGCAGGTCTGTTGGCCAGTCGGTTCTTCGGTTTGTTAGCGTTGACGTCCTTGCACATGATCAAGATACGACTGAAAAGGTAGATATGGTATTCCTTCTCCTCGGACCGAAGGCTGCCGTCTTTGACTACATTGAATGTTCCAAGCAGGAGAAGCTCGCCAAGAGCCGTAATTTGTAGGCTTTTCCAATCGTCTATGCGTTCTTGTAGGTCTTGGAGCGCATCCTCTCGAGTTTCCTTGTCGATGGAGGCGTTGGCTTGCATCAAGACGTCTCGGATGATGGCAATGGCGCTTGACAAATCGGACTTGAGACTTTCGTCCTGAGTTTGGTTTCGGAGATCCTAAACAGTCAACGTCATATCTATGCATTGGGCGTCGGTAAGAACACACCTTCAGTAACATTGGATATTTGGTTAATCGCTGGAATGGCTTGAGTAGGAAACCATTGAGGATGGTTGGGTTCGCCAACATCTGCTGAGTCAGGGGTGACCTGATGGTTGCTGCCATCTTCTCCCATTCCTGCTGACAAGTCGCTTCACATTTCCTCTGGTTGGCGATAAACGGCTCGTACTGTCTGAAGGGGTCTTTGTAATGAACAAATAACTCGCCCCAGTTTTGTTGCTCTTCCGGTATCTCGTTCTGTTGCTCCACGCGAATCAGAAACCGTTGTGCGAAGTCCAACAAGTTGTTCAGGTTCAGAAAGATGTTGTGGATGGCATCCCCGGTCAACGCGCCAGATTCTTCCAATTCTTTCTTCAAAGCCTGCAGGTTCTGCAAATGATGGACGTATTGCCTTTCCGTCTCGACCAGTTCCCTCAGGATATACTGTCTCCTCGTCATCGACTTCGGCGGTTGACCGGTAGCGTTCAACCCACTGTCTGTCGCCTCACGCGAATCGTCGCTATCTGTCGAAGGGTGTAATTTTCCGCTCAACTTCAAGATGTCGAGGACGCGATTGACCAACTTGGTCACTTTGACGAAGCCAGTAGTGTTGTCGCTGTAGAGATCAGTGACGGTGAAGGTATCCGCTGCAGGGATATTCATTTGCTGCATGCAAGATTTGATGAAGAGGAACGCAGCTTCCTTTCCAACCCTCTCCGGTTTGTTTGTGCCCACCTGGAGATCCCCCTCTTCAGGATTGGAAGCATTGTATATAGTCAACAGTGGCAACCCACTTCGGAAGCACTGCCATAGAGATGACACAGGATCGGTTTCTCCATCGGCTTCGCGTTCCTCCATTTCATCGAGGTATGGTCTGAACCCAGGAACGCCCGACAAGCGGCGGCGCAACTTGATACATATCTGGTAGAGCGATTCCCCATCTCTTACATTTATGATATTGTTCTTGTCCAAGATCGGACCATGATCACCATGCATTGTGGGCGGAGGGGCCAGCCTGCCCGTGAATTGCGCCGAGTTGCGTTTGTCTATAGCCGTGAAGCGTGCAATCGAAGGACTGTTCTTAGGGCATAGGCCCGAGATCGTTGCCCGGAGTGTTGGCTAGGAGTCGCACGTTGTGATTGACGCGAACAAAGACTCGCCGAAGTGGAGGACTCGGGGAGGGCGCCAAATTTGGGATGCCCCGTATTGACCCGTGCGACAAGCGGTATAAGGATTGTATATCGATTGCGGAATGTCTGAGGCGTGGCAAAGAGCGGACCAGCGCAAGTAGGCGACAGCGAGGGATGCCTGAGACAAAACGTCAGATAAAGAAGGAGACCTGGGACCCTCGTGAGAGGGACCCTCCGACCACAAGACGACCAGGCACAGATTGGGTGGACGTACCACCAAGCAAGGCAAAATTGACAGTTCTTCCCCAGGTTCCACAGATTGGCGACGGTGATAACGAAGGGGGCGGTATGGGACGACGAGGCTTCCACTTAGAACTCGATGCTATTGTTGGCCGTCGTATTCGATTCGAGAGACGCTCGCAGTCTGGTGCTATACCAGAAGGCGGCCTGGTTGGTTGAACCGGTGCAAACAGAACCAATCAATGGGTTGCTGCAAGGGACGCAGGCGCGAAGAGGACAAAAACGAGAGGACAAGGACGAAAGGGATTCTCAAATCAACAGCCCGGAGGTTGCTCAGACCAATTGAATGGCTGAAAGGAGCTCGAGGGTGTTCTTGCTGTGTGAGTCGTAGTCGTGATCGTGGTCGTGGTCGTATGCGTGCAAGTGTGTGGTGCAGGTCAAGTCAGCAGATGAAGAAGCGTGTGTAAAGGTGTAAAAGATAGGGACGTAATTTGAAGAATCATCGAACTGCGCCCTCCAAGCATGGAAGATGGTGGTGCAGTGGGCGAAGATGGAGACCAAAGACGCAGAGCAGAGACCAAACAAAAGCACTCGCGAGTAGTGACAGGCCTCACAGGGGACCTGCAGGGTGCATGCAGTCAGTGGGCAGGGGAGGAAAGGCGGGTGATGGCGAAGGTGGTGGCGACGGATAGTAAGGACGGATACTGCTAAAGGCGTTGATTTGGTGTTGGTGTTGGTGTGGTGTTGGTGCCAGTGCCAGTGCCAGTGCCAGCAATGCTTGGTGGTGGTGGTGGTGTTGTTGTTTTGTTGTTGCTGTTGGTGTTGCTGCTCGTGATAGTGATGGCGGTGGTTTGACTCCCCCAATGGTGGTGTGCTTTGCTTTGCTTTGCTCTGTTCTGCTTTGTTCCCTCTGCTGTCCTGGAAGGGTCCCAAGCCCCTTACTCTGTACTGGTGGTGATGCTATCTACTACCTCAGGTAGGAGGTACCTACTCTCTCATTCACTACTATCCTTTACCACTTATCAAACCCCACTACCACTAATCACGCAGTTCCAGCTCGACTCCGTGCCAGATTGTCTCCTCCAGTCCCATGCTTCCTACTTCTACCGAGTCGCCGACCGCCTACGGGAGTCCCAGGGGCTGTCCCAATAACCGTGCTCCCTGCTGTCGGATTCCTCTACCCTACGAGCCTACTAGTAATCCAAGCATACTTCCTCAGGGGACCTTGTTACCCACATCAAGGATCCATCCCACCGCCCGGAAGCAGTGGAAAGGTCACTCACTAGTAACCCAAATCCATCATCATCCGCTCCCGCGGGACGGCGCTGCATCGGTCATGTCGCACCTTAACGCCAGTCCTCACCAGAACGACGCCAGAAGCTCAGAAGAGGGCCTAAGGGCCCCTGGGAGTTGGGACCCTTACCTCTCCTGGCATAACAAAATGTTCCCGGAGCAATCATCCAGGGGGTTCTGTGTTAAAACCGCTAGCTCTCCGCCTATCACCATACCACCGATCTTCCCCGGAAGTCTGATTCAACAAGCTTCATGGTTCGGTTGCAGTCCTGCCTTCTAAGTTGAAACCCAGATGGGTGGCTTTCATGCCACAAGACTACGCCGAAGGGTAGCTTGACCGTCTTTAGGTTCTTTCGGCCCTCTCCTCTTGTGTGCACAGTATGATTACGCCTCTTTGTCTCCACCTAACGAATACTACGAAGCGGAGGGACTGACTCCCGGACCTTGAGGACGATAGATATCTCAAAAGCGAATTCAAGAAGCATGGAGCAACAAGGGCACAAATCACAAGGAAAGGATGTCGGACACTATCTTCCTCGTTCGGATACGCCAGGTAGGACGCAGGAGCCTCGGGGCCGAAGACGAGGTTGATCATCCATGTGTGTGTGTGTGCATGCAATCAAACAGAGGCCAGGGTCTTGCATGGACTCTGCCTTGCTATGCCCAGCACCATAAGTACGCCATGCCATACCACTTCTCTCGCTGCGAGCAACGAAATCTGGCTAAGTAGCACCACCGTTATCCGCGACCGAAGGATTCAATCTGAGGGCACGGAAGCGGCCGCCGCGTACGCAGTAGATTGTTCATGGCGTCGAGTTCTCCTTGCTTTGAACAGCATGTTGCAGGCCTTTCTTTAGAGCTTGATATACTTTGTAGAGCAGATTGAAGATCGCTGCACTCGGAAGGAGGCTTCACCCGACCCCGGTTGAGAAAGACAAGCATTCCACCGTATTGCCTTTAGCTAGGGAGTTAGAGAGGACCCCCAAAATAAGGGACCTCGGCATTATTACCTAGTCTGTATAGCCCCCGATCATGGTACCACTCGAAGCGGATCGATAAACGTCGAAGATGATACATACTCCGGATGGAGTACTCCATACCTAGCCTAGGTAGGTAAGTACAAAGGTATCAAGTACAACACTCCGATCTCTCCATCATCTGTTACTTACAACCTGCACGCAATCCAAGGAGAATAGATTCAAATCGGCAAGCACTAAATAGACTCATCCAGCTAGGCTATCCTCATCCACCATGTCCTATCTAGACAAGGAGTCGATCCTCGCTCTCGGGCAGATCGACCCCGAATTCAAAGCGGTTCGTTCGTCCCCCAGACCCCTCCCAGCCCATAGCCGTACCTGACGGTCATATTGTCATGCAGTTCATCGGGACTGTGAATATGCCACCAGTGGACTATGAGAAGGTCGACCTCCATGAATTCAAGAGAAGTGTGGAACAGCGCAACGCGGAGGCCATGGAAGTCCTGGGCAGCCCGCCTCCCCAGATCAAGCAGAGCGAACTTCAGTATCCCACCAGGGACGGAGCCAAGCTCCGGGCGAAGCTGTACCAGCCCACCAACCCGCCGAAGAACGGGAGTCCCTTGATCGTCATGTTCCACGGAGGCGGCTTCTGCGTCGGCACTCCGGAAGGAGAAGAACAGACGTGTCGAAACTTCGTCCAGGCCTTTGGTGCCACTTGTATCTCGGCTTCCTATCGACTGGCCCCGGAATACAGATTCCCTTACGCGCCCAAGGATGCGTGGGACTGTCTGAAGTGGGCAGCAGCCAATGCAAAGTCGTGGGGAGCCGATCCGGCCGTTGGCTTCGTCGTCGGCGGCACCTCAGCCGGTGGAAACATCACTGCGGTGTTGGCGCACGTCGCCCGCGACGAGAAGCTGTCGCCCCCTCTGACAGGCCAATATCTCGCCATCCCGACGGTGGTGACGCCGAACAAGCTTCCCGAGAAGTATCGGCCGTATCACCTCTCGTATGAACAGAACAAAGATGCCCCGATCCTTTCGCTTGCCGCCATGGACATGTTCATGAAGCGAGGATATCAACCTGACGAAGATGACGGCGTGTGGTTCTCCCCCTTCAACCACCCCAACGGCCACAAGGACTTGCCGCCCGCCTTTTTCCAGATCGACGGCATGGACCCGCTGCGCGACGAGGGGCTCATCTATGAGCGTGTCCTTCGCGAGGAGAACGGCATCAAGACCAAATTAAACGTATATCCCGGCCTGCCGCATGGCCATTGGGGATTCTTTCCGTTCTTAAAGAGCAGCCAGAAATTCCGGAAAGAGCAGGTAGAGGGCATGGGCTGGTTGCTCGGCAGAGAGCCGGATTTCACGAATGTCATTGTCGCGGGTGCCGCTGCTAGTTTGTGAAGACGCACTCGGAATACAAGGGCTTTCTCATTGCCCATACACCGCACAAGAAGCCCTACGAGGTGGAAAAGACCTTATATTAAACAAATAGATGTACAGGATTTTGTACGACCGTTGTCTCATTCCATCATCATGATATCTTCATTAAACAAAACATTGATTACCCGTCCTTCTGTCTGCCCTCCAGACTGACCATGTTACTTCTTCCTTTCGCGGATCTTGAATTTGATCCCATTCTTGTTGACTCCGCCCACTGTCCTGGCCATCTTGGCCCGTTGTAATTCGAGTTGGTCGGCCGCTGCAAGTATCTCGCGCTGTCTTTTTCTCAAAGCCTCAAGCTTTGCCACCCGCATCTCTTGTATTCGCTTCCTCTTCTTCCGCTCCGCACGCAGGCGCGCCGCTGCATCTTGTTTGGCTGCCAATGCCTTGTTCGACGTTCGTTTCGACGGCCGAGAATCAGAGTCGTCTTCAGGTTCCACGAGGTCTGCTCTTTCCGTTGTCTGATCAACTTCGACGCCCAGTTCGATCGTAGACACCTGAGGGGCTTGGTCCATGACCTCGCCATCAGAGGTGCGCTTTTTGCCTCTTGTCGCCATCACATCTTCGTCGTCGGTGAATACCTTGCGCTTGCCCATGCTCCCGCCCATTGTCACGGCATCCAAGCCCACCTCCTCCTTCAATCGTTCAATCTCCTTCCTGCCCCTGGCCGCCACGGTCCGTAGGTATCCCGCATCCTGAGTCTTCAACAGTTTGACCGCATCGTGGCTCAACGGCCCACTCTGGTCCCCGGCTGCCTTGTGTTTCCCCAAGCCGGCCTTGCCCTGGCTGAGCATCCCAAAAGCGAATTCATCTGGGTTCTTTTCCCGGGCCTTCTGGGACAGCTGTGCGAGTTTCTTCTTCTTGGTATTGTAGTCCTGCGCACGGAGCGAGTAATCTTTGTGTTTCTCTAACAGGCCCCATTTCTCTCGGGACTGAGGCTGCGATCGTTCTTTGTGAGGCCGCCGGGCGACGGCGTTGCGAAGAGACGACATTGCGTCTGTGATAAGGGCCCAGATGGATGTTGAGACCTGAGAGCTAGAGTTTAGCTACCACTGAACACGATAAAATACTGCGAGGAAGCAAACACTAAAATGTTGTTGATGGTTCTGGCGAAAGTCGAAAGTCTCAAGTCTTGCAGTCGGAGTAAATCTTCCCACCAGCCGCCAATGATTTGTTTTCTCCACACATCGCAGCATCTCGGCTCCGTTGCAGTTGTTCAGATGCTACTAACTAAATGCCCCCGTCGACCTCAAGCTGATGAGCTTCATTTCAATGCTTCACCCTATCCACGACTACTTCATGATACCTACGCTTTGAAGGCTGCGTGACATGGCCTGTCTCTGACTGTCTTTGGTGTAACTATAGTCTCACTCTCCATATTTCCGCCGCAGACTTCTGAGAAGAATGGACATGGCTCCTCCAGCCATCCCCGAGCCGCAACCGGCCACAACATCCAGGCCGCAGCAGAACCTGCGCAATCCTCTCCCACTGTCTCCGTCTCAGGAAGCCGAAGTCCGCAAACTATACTACGCCCGTGTCCGTTCGAGATGTGTACCCGAGATCAAAGGTTCGTTTGCAGTGTAGCGAAATCTGCACTTCTCTACCCCCGAGACCTCCTTCCGTCCAAAATGTGGAGTGTTTCATGACGCTGATCGTTCTGTTCTCTCTTGCAGAATTCGCCGATTGCGCTCGCGGTCGGACAGTCAGTGTAGCATGGAATTGTCGACCCCAACAACTCGCGATGAACAGCTGTATGATTCAAGCCGCGACAAAGGCGGAAGAAGACGCCGCCCGAGAAGAGTGGTTTGCCGGCGTGCTTGAACGACGGAAACAACGGGAGGAAGAAATGGCCGCCGTGGAGAAGAGGAGGCTAGAAGTCATTGAGATGACGAGAAAACAAGAGGAGAAGGAACGGCTGGAAATGGAGAAGAAGATGGCAGAAGAGAAGCAGCAACAAACGAAGAAGACTGCTGGTTCGTGGTGGCGGTGACAACAGCTCGAAATCAGCACAAAATGGGGAAGACTATCTGGCCGGCTGACGCTGAGAGGCCCATTGAGCATTCGGGGACAGGGGGTGAGCCCTAACGCGGCTTCGAGAAACGCAGGTTGTCTCGATGAATTCTTGATTCATTCTTGTCCTGCTTCTTGATGCTGTCTGATTACCTCCACCTTCAACCAGAGGCGTCACCGGCGATTACCGATGCCATGCGTGTTGACGAGGAAGATCTCCCTCCTTCTCGTCCCGAATTGAGCTCCGAAAGCACGCCAGCCAGCATCAACATATCCCGAGCGGCCAAAGCTCGCAGTCGTCCCGTGGAGCTACCACTTTCAACATCTTCCCTCCCACTCAGCAATCGATCGCTCTTGAAGTCATCATGGGAAAAGGAGCCCAGACGACAACGACATAGCGCCCGGACTGGATGTGTCTCTCTGCCTGCAACATGTCAACAACTCGACCTTGTACATTATAACTCAGCACCGAATCTCACCTCTCTTTCTTTCCTGGCAAGGCCGCGCCGTCAAGCCTGCCCACGACCGAATCTCGTCATCAAATCTTCCCACTCCAAACTCGTTGCCACGATCGCCGTCTCGTTGCCGGCAGGCGAACGCGCTCTTCTGCGTCGAGCATCTCTCCGGCCACGAGGAGGCCGTTGCTTGTAAATCTGAGCTCGCGCTTCGGCTCGAAGGTGTCGTTGCTCCTGGAAGGCGCGGCGGAGGAAGTACAAGGCCACGAGCCAGACCATGCAGTTGGCGAAGGCGATGACCAGCTCGACTGGCGAGATATACATGGTATGCTCCATCATTTTCAGTATCCAGCCTGGAGCACGTCTTCTCGTACCGGATTTGAATGTTGAAAGAAGAATCCGCTTGGCGGATCTGAAAAGGTCAATAGCGTGAGAAGAAAAAGGATGAAGACGTGTCTTTCTCCGGGCTCGCCTCGAAGCAGCGCCATCTATACATATACCACTACCCATTGTTCCCCTGTGGTGCGTTGACCGTTGACCGACGAACAAACGCGGTTGAACATTCTATTCTATCCAGGGAGTGAAGACCATCAAACGACAAATGACGAACGGAGGAACAGCGCAAGAAATAAGAAACGAATGGAAGTTTGGGCACCAAATCATTGTCATGGAAGACAGCGTTGTCCAAGAGCCCTGCAGTCAACAAGCTGGAACAATACTAAATACTGTTTGTTGTCTCTATGTCAAGGAGTATGGGATGGTCCAGTCCTTCACATAGTCTTGGATAGGGAGATGGGATAATGCAAACTCGAGCCTATTTCACCACAATGGACCTCCGTGCGAAAGAATCAACCTGTACAAGTCACTATGCTAGGCACCTCGTATTAGAAATATTCTCTTCCTTGTGCAATAACACTCACTACAGTGGCCACCGCATCTACAAGCACCTCAACATCATCTAGATGACATTCCACTGAGACGGGCGGCTCATGCACAGCTACCATATTATACATCTCCTTACAAGACGTTAGAATTATGACGGACACCCAATACGGACGTAGCTGGAGGACTACATCTTTAGATCAAGTAGGTGTATACATACATATACTGTAATCATGTCCTTTATATCTATCCTCTTCGTCTGTCAAGGGTCGGTTGCCCGGTCCTCTTCGTTGTCGTCAATGACAATGGCTTCTCGACAGCTTTGTCATAGAGTTTGAGCATTATCCATCATCATCATCATCATCCATCGTCAGCGGTTATCCAGAGAGAGCCATCAGATATCCAGAGAAAAAGTCGTTAGACATCCTCTACATTACGAGCCAAAGGCCAAGAGGCAGTCCTCAGACAGACCAGGCCAGACCAGACAAGACCAGACAAACTTCGAACCAACGTCAGAGAACGAAACAGCAAAGCAAGAAAGGGGAGAAACAAACGGCATACAGAGCATTAATGTCGAGAAATCAAGATAGACGGATACCGTTGATACTCGCTCAATCGTCGAACAAAGTGGAATCAGCAGGGCAGTAGCAGAAACACCACGGTCTAGGATTCGCCTCGTAGCACATAAGGAACTCAACTATCGAAACACGCAACTCGCCGAAAAGCGATCTTAACCTCCACATCCATGGCTCCTTGTTGACCATCATCGTAGTTCCATAGCCCTGCTTCGACCATCGTCTTCGCCTGTCTCAATCAAGTCTCCCCACGTACCTGAGGCTCACTCATCCTCGTCATCATGTTCATCGACACGGTCCCATCCACTGCTCTTTCCACAATCCACAATCCACATTTCACAATTCACAATTCACGTCTGCTGCTTCTGTTTCCTCTTCAACAGAATCGCCTTGACCGGATTCTTCGCCTTGAACCGCAGATACGTGGCGAAATAGACGACGGCGAAATTGAACAGGATAAAGGCGCAGAAGATGCCAAAGTCGCGCCAGATATGGCCGTAGAAGACGCTGAAGCCGCTCGCGAACTCGTCGCCGGTGGCGTACTGGCAGAACTCGCACAGGCCGTCGGAGCCGACCTGCACGTAGCCGCCGGCTTGACGGATATATGGGTCGACGTAGGACTGGCAGGTTTGGCCGGGCGGAGGGCTCTGTAGAAAGTGGAAGAAGAGAAGGTTAGCCAAAAAGGAGTGAAAACAAGTACAACTCGGACCCGAGGAGAGTCAGGTAGAATTGGACTTGGAGAGTCGAGTGATTGTGGACATTGATAGGTAATGATCCCCAAAGTCTCGACTCGGGATCCGAGGGACTTGTTGATTGTTTCAGGGGCTGCGGGGTGGAACTTACAAAGCGCGCGAATTCGTTCTGGTTGCATCGGACGGGTTGGCCGTGGACAAAGGCCTATAGAGGGAGAAGAATTAGAGTCAGTTCGATTGTTCTGATGACGAGAAAGGAGGGGACGGGAATAGGGACGAAGAATATCTGTTTCTTCCAAGATATCGAACAACAAAAGTGAATAGAGCCATTCTTACCCCAAGCATGGATTCCAAAAGGTAATGGAAAGGCGTGAGATACCACATCCACGAACGCCAGAAGGTCGGGAGTTGTTGAGCCGGCACGACGACGCCGCAGAAACTGACGACGAACAAGAAGAACAGCGGCACAAACAGACTGGCCAGCAACTCGTTGGGCGAGAACGAGGCGATCGCTTGCCCGAAGCTCACATAGTACAGCTCAAACAGACAGATGCACAGAAACATGAAGCCGGAGGTGAAGCTCGACGTCGAATCCCGGTAGCCGCTGATCCCCCACCACCAACAGCAGTAGTAGACTCCGCCGGCGATGAGGGAGTAGGGGATCTCGACGAGGATGGCTCCTGTCGTCCATGCGACCCAGCTGTAGATTTTGGCGTTGTTCTCGCGCGATTGGAAGATGTTGCGGGAATTCAGAAATACCGGCTGCAGTTGCTGGATGAGGGGAGGACTGATGGTCAGGGTCATGAAGACGGCGAACAGTCGGGATTGGAAGTCGATCCTTGCGTATCCCAGGTGGTAGAAGGTGAAGCAGGAGAAGAGACCCGTCATGATGTGGAGCATGAATTTGCCAACAATGTAGTTTGGAGTGCGCTGGAATGAAAAGTAGATGTTAGTTAGATGCTCTGCAGGCAGATAGATCATGGGACACCCAAGATAAGACGAAGTGTTGTTCATAGGGACGGAGGTGTTTGGAGCATGGCGGAGAACTTGACTTACCCAGTACGAGATGAACGACCTCCGGACGACCGCCTTGGTTTGGATGGAGAGTGGCATGGCATATTCTCTGTCGTCCCGGATGTTTTTGCTGTGTTCGACACTCTTCCGCTTTTCGATCATGTCGGAGATCTCGTCGGATCGGGCTCTGTAGTTCTTGCTTTGTTCCCATCCATCGGCCCAGTCTTTGCCTTTGTAATTGGGGTCACCTGCGCCGATCACTTCGAGCATATATTCTGCCGGATTCGCGTCTGGTGGACACTTGTGCCCACCGTTCTCCTCGAAGTAGCGAATCAAGTCCTGCGAGTCATGACCTAGGGGGCCATGATATACTACTCGACCACCGGCTTTCAGCAACAGGAGTTCATCAAAGTGCTCGAATAAGACTGCTGAAGGTTGATGGATGGTGCACAGAATCGCTTGGCCCGCATCGGCCAGCTTGCGTAGAAATCGGACGATATTGAACGCCGCTCCGGAATCCAAGCCTGAAGTGGGTTCGTCCAGGAACATCAGCAGCTCAGGCTTACTTGCCAGCTCGACACCGATGGTCAGCCTTTTACGTTGCTCCTGGTTGAGACCTTCGCCGGGGTTTCCGATGGTCGCGCCCGCAATGTCGCGCATCTCAAGCAAATCGATGATCGTCTCGCAATATGCATACTTCTCCTCCACCGGCACCTCTCGAGGCTGTCTGAGGAGAGCCGAAAATTGCAACGCTTCCCTCACCGTGGCTGTAGGTTCATGGACGTCCATTTGTTCGGCAAACCCGGTGGCGCGCTGGAATGACTTAGGCAGTGGGCGGCCGTCGACAAGAAACTCGCCAGTCACGGTGCCAAAATTCAGACGCTGGGCCAGGGCATTGAGTAATGTAGTCTTTCCTGCTCCGCTAGCACCCATCAATGCAGTGAGTTTGCCTGGACGGACAAATCCTTGGACATTCTGGAGTAGTTTTCGTTCGCCTTTTTCGTAGGGAATAACATAGTTGACGTCGCGGAACGTATAGACGGCTTCGTTCTTGGCCACTTGGTCCATCGGAGAGTCATCTCGCTTCGTGCTTGTCGAATCACTGCTTTGATTGGTTGGACTGGTTGGCTTTTCCCCATCAATCGCCGTCGCTTTCCCAGCAGGCGCCGCTTCCTCATCAACACTCCGGTTCTTCTCTCGGCCACCGGTGTCGATAGATTCCTCGAGTTTCTTGGGGACCTGGCCACGCTTGAAGATGGTGATTGAGCCTCCACCAGCATTGGGTTTCATGATCTCCATCCCGAAAGCGGTCACCGCCAGGAAAAAGGCGAAAAAGGCCCATATGAGGCCGAAGTTTCGCCAGAGATGAGAGCGAGAGTATTCAAAAGATGCTTGTATGTATCTTGAACCGTCCACGGTCGTCTGGCCCGGTTCATTCCCTTCTAGTGCACATGACTGGTACTGAGGGCTGGCATTGGGGCCCAAGGGAACCAAATAAGGCGGGACGCAATCCATGGTCAATCCAGTGAACTCGTTGGCCATTAATGCTTCGAACCCAAACTGGAGCCAGTTGATCCTGCGAAGCCAACTAAACCATGGTTTCATTTGGCTTGTAGCTGATGTCTAGTTAGTAAAATGGAACAAATGAAGGAAAAGGGGTGGCGCGGAGGGTGTGGAGGAGATGGGCTCAGGAATAGCTGGGTGTAGAGCGGACGAGTGAAGCGAGAAGGAAGTGGGAGGCGTACGGATGAGATAGCCTGTGTAAACAACCAAAATCTGGATAGACACTCCTGTGAACCGAGTGGCATCGTCCAGTGTCTTGCAGAGAGCCGAGATGGATCTGAAGAAAGCATAAGTCGTCATTGTCGTCGAGAACACCATCAGACATGAGATGAAGAACTGGGAGGCACTGGGCGCAAGCTGTGGAAGAATGTCAGATATTATGTAGAGACCAGAGAGGGAGATCACTTACACCACCCATCCAGTAGATAATCACATTAAAGAGGACGATCTGGATGAAAACCAAGGGTACGTCGACGACAGTCTGAGCAATTGCGTAAGCTGCCGGGCGGTAGAATGAGAAAGACTTGTGCTTCAGGAGAATTGGCTTGGAGGAAAATGCCGCGGTCATCTCAGCCAATGCCAACAGAGAATTGAAAAGGAGGACGAAGAAGATGGCACCGCCACGAGGGAATGCGCCGAGGACTGTCTTGGGCATCTGAAAGAATAGACTTCCGACGATCAAGCCCTGTTGGATGTCAGCAATCTATCATGTCCAACCTCACCATTGTCCACTCACTTGGAAAACGATACCTCCCCACTTGCCGATCAGGGAAGCCCTATCTCCCAGCATCACTAAGAATTGCCGTTGAGTACACGCTATGACCTGCTTGGGGAAGGAGACAGTATAGTTCTTTCTCTTGTTCTTCTTGGACGAGTGCTCCAACCGAGCTCGTCGTTGTCCCTCCAACTGAGACTCGAAATCTGTAATGTCTTCCAGGTTTCGCTGATATGCCTCACTCTTCCGATAGAGATCGGCAAACTCGTCTGCATTCCGGGGAATACGATCTTCCCAGCCTTTTCTGATCGATCGCTCGTGTTCATCTGTCACGGAAGTGAGGAAATCTGCAGTTGTCCATCGTTCCGGGCATTGGAAGCCTAGGTCGATGAAGTACTGTTTGGCAGCGTCCGAAGGACCAAAATACAAACACTTGCCTTGATCGATTAGAAGCACCTTATCGACTAGTTTGTACAAAGACTCGCCAGCCTGATACAGAGAGACCGCAGTGGATGTCTCGGCCATGTTGGTGAGTGCTCGTATAGACTGGACGTACTCCAGGGCAGTGCTGGCGTCGAGGCCTCGACTGGAGTTATCCCACCCTTGGACAGAAGCTCTAGTAATCATGGCTAAGTATGTTGTCAGTAGTGTGTATCAGGGATGACCGGGGACACCTGCCTTCTGCTATGCTAACTCGCTTTCTTTCGCCACCGGACACTCCTCGCACATACTCATTTCCTACCTTAGTGTTCAACGTGTGCTCAATCCAAAACAACTTGGTCACCACACGCAGAAATTCCCTCACGTAATCTTCGCGTGACTCTCCTTCCAATCTTGATTCTTTGCCAGGTGTCCGAGTTTGCAGGGCAAAAGTCAACGTTCGCTTGACGGTCAAGGTGGCATAATGCAAGTCATCTTCAGGGTTGTAGATGATCTCGCCGCGAAAATTCTTCTTCATCGTCCTTGCGTCGGTGCCGCCGTAGGTGACTTCTCCCTCGACGGCCTCAAATCCCTCCCGTTGGTTGCAGAAAGTCTTCAAAAAGGTTGAGCAGCCTGCACCTGGTCTTCCAAGAACCAGCAACATCTGTCCCGGTCGGACACAACCGTCAAAGTGACTCAGAAGTTCTCGTACGGGCGGTTTTGCTGCAGCAGCCTTCGCCCCTTTGGTGAAGAATCTGTTGATCAAACGTGGTAGACCCATGAAGATATCGCCCACGGTAGGCTGAAGACTTGCGCCTAGACCGACACCTTTGACGGTGAGGTCACGGAAAACGACGCCACTGTGACGGGTCTTTTCTTCTTCACTTTGAGCCTGGCGGGCTTTGCCAAACATCCGCGACATCAAGCGTTCGATCTGGTCCTCTTCTTCTCCACGATCAGACTCAGATCTGACGGACGTGTTCGTTCGGCGTTGAGACAAGACTTTGAAAAGGTCGTCCTCAGTTTGGATGCTTTTGCGTTTTTCCAGCACTGGGCGTTTATCCTCAGCGGTAGGGGCTGCTCTAAGGGGCAGATACCTGGAGTCAGATCTCTCCGATATGGAGTCGTCAGTCGTGTCTGAGCCATCATGCAGAGACCCTGTGACCTGATGATGAAAGGGAGCGATGTCTGGCTGATGAGGTTCATTGCCATTGCCATGGTCTTGACCTGAGTGTTCTGGGTTTATGAACGTGTCTTCAGATGGACGGACATCACCATGACCGGATGCCATCACTGGGTTCGTTGTGATGTATGACTGAGTTTAAGGATGAGTCTGAGGAGGGGTTGGTGTGTCTGTGGTCCGATACAAGGCTCCAGAGATAAAGATAAGGATACCGCCCGTGGCTCGAGTGGTAGCAGTGAACAATATGGGAAGGAATAAGAGATCGGCGAGGCTACCGTCCTATGAATGCAGACAATGCCATGGGCAGATGGCGGACAGGGGAAGGACGGACCACTGCATACGATAACGGTGGTAATTGATGCTTTTCTTACCTGAGAAAAGAGAATGTAAACATTGGAGGGGATGGATGTGTTCTGTATAGTAGAGTTCAATCACCCCAGCGAATCGCCAAGCGACAATAGATACGTCAACGGTCAACTCGAGCCGCCAGGCAGCAGAGCAGCAGAGCGTCCCCCCGTAAAGGTCTGCCCGGCCCCGACTGCGGAATGCGGGATGGAAGATTGCAACCCTCCATTTGATGGACGGACTTAATAGATCCTGGTCGACCGATCGATGGACGAGCATGGACTCGATGTCGCGACGTTTGGTTGGAGTGGAAATGAAGTCAGTCAAAACAAGCTTCAGTCTATGATCTCATGTCCCGGATCCAACTGGCTCCGACTCCGACTATGGTATTAGTAAGTACCATACTACTAGTGTGCTAGTACGTAGTACTATAGTAGTAGTATATGCATCCACATTCGGCCGTATACTAACTCCGTCTCCTCGGACGAGTATCATAGTAGAAACATAAACAAGTGTTGATGGACAGGTATGATCCCTACAAGTACGGAATCAAAAGCCACGCTCCTATACCCACAGACATCAGGATCGAGGGTGGCGGACTTGACTTCTGACCACCATCGCGAACATTGTCAGCCTGGTCTCAGTATCGTTGTGTCGAGATAGCATGGGCACCCGACATAACATGAGAGTAGCCCTCAAATGTATGTCTTTCTCAGTACACGGAGCAAGAGAGACAATGCTTGACTCTGAGAGGTCCTTGTGTGTTCTGGCTTGTCGGACGATCTTATCTTCACTAACCTTGTGGGAAGAGCGTCCAGCAATTGAAGCACAGGTAATGTCCTCCCTCTTCCCTTCACTGAAGCCATCACAATAGCCACTCTGTGTGATATTGTTGAGCAATGCAAGATTCACAGCACAGGGAACTTCACAGCCCATTTTCCTCGTGCCCACGCGTCTTAAGGTTCAATTTCCCTTAGCCTTCGTAGTTTCGAAGAACACACGGCGTGTTGTGGATATTCCCGCCTGCCTCTGAATTCACGATTCATCTCGTCCACGACTATCACCATCAATTCCTCGTCTTCGGCATTGCTGTATCCTCGATTATCGCAGGTGGAAGAAGGAGTCCGAATATTGCGACGATCCATTTACCATATCGACAGACCATAAACGACCTGGTCGATTGGGTCCCTGGGGCGTGGCAGAATGGAAGGAACAGATATCGAAAGTAGGGAGACTCGTCGTCAGCGTCGGATGGCGGCAGGTCGGAGCGGTGGGGTGTTCGAGATCGTCCAAGATGGAAACCAGTTTAGTTATCGCTATGCTTCACCGGTCCGGCCATACCAACAGGGCAGCAATGTGGCTTGGGAGAGTGTTGAGTCTGTGGCATCATCCACGACGACCGAGTATCAATCGAACAGAGTCTGCGCCGAAAGTTGTGGACCGGAGGAAACATCGGCCTTGTCTGCCGAGGAGACAAAGAGTCTGAACCGAACGAGCCCTGAGATGGAGTCTGCATTGTCATTGCCCTCCACAAAGACAAGCCGAGATGGTACCGAGTTGGATGAGGAGGGTGCCCCCAGAACAAAGAGCCGAAGAGGTCTGCGGACACTGAAGAAGATTGACCGTTTCGTCACGCGATTCGTGCATCGCAAGGGGATAACCAGTGTGAACAAGGATGATCAGGCAAAGATTGTGGGAGAAACGGTCGAACCGCCAACTCCTAAACCCCAAATACTCGAACCAACATCCAGAAGTCCAGTCAAAGAGCAGCTAGAGTTGGAGAGCGACCGTGACCCTGGTCAAGAGGAGTTGAACAAAGAATTCTTTACACCGCCGCGCGCCATCAAGACAGAGGCTGGGGGAGATCTTGAAGAGTTTCCTGACCCGGATGTCTGTGGATGATAGGTGGAGAGGTCCTGGGTGAGTACTCATGCCCAAATTGCCGTGGATCATTGCTAAGGCCATATAGCTCGGAGGTCTCAGAATGTCGCTTTTCTTGCGCATACATGAACACATCTATGTTAAAGGCAAACAAACGTGACTGACTGTTTGCAGTCAGGTAGTGACTAATGTACACCGAGGTCATTGGACATGGATGGTGTTGGGTGAATGCTTCTGTACGGGAACCTCTTGTGTTAGATATTCGTATGGAACGATACAATGTGTACTCTTGACATCGTCAGCGGGCTCGATGGAAACTCAAGTTTGAATGATGATAAAGGACTTACTGGAGCCGATTTGAGATAGGAAGCTCTCTGCTTTCTGGCATTGCTGCGCCTGTTCCCTGCATAAGCCACCACCCCGAGTGCCATGCGGTACAGAGCGATCATCATCTGCGTGACGTGCGGGCGGTAAAACGTCCATGTCAATCAACAGTTTACTTATCCGTGGCTTGTTATGTCTGCCCCTTTTCAGCTTTCCTTGCTTCAAAGAACGCGGTCCTCTTGGCCACGATTTCATCGATTAGCGGGTGGTTCTCCAGCGCCGCCGCCGCCGCAGCTTGTCCTGCTGCGACTCTGCTCAAACCCTTTCCACTTCCCAGATATTGGTTTTCCCAGCCCCATCCGGTCAAATACACGCCGACGGAGTAAGTCTCGGTTCCTTGGCCATAGTGAATGACGGGTTCCCGCTCGTCGAGATAGTCAAGCTTCACACCCTTTCCTAACACCTTTCTGGCGAGATCATCCTTACTTTTGTTCGACGGTTCGGGCTTGGTGGAGACCGCCTCGAGTCTCGGTTGCCATAGCTGGGTGAGCCACTTTTTGACAACGGCGAACCCATCTGGATGAGATAACACGACTGCTGCAACATAGGCTTCGAAGACATCTCCTTTGATTTTCAGCCACGCATTGGGCGACTCATTGCGGAGCCGGTTGAAGTCCTTGAGTTGTCGGTCTAGGCCATAGAGGACGGAGTATTGACCAATCGTTTCGTTCTTGACCATGGATTCCCGGACTTGTGACATGCGTCCTGCTGAAAGATCGGGTGATCGTTCAAAGATCAGTTGGGAGGCAATTAGTTCGAGATATGCATCTCCAAGGAACTCCAGTCGATCGTAGCTGGGATTGTTCGGGCCAGCCGAGCTCGGATGGATGAAGACAACGCTTTTGTACTGGTCATCAATTGAAGGTAGTGACGGAAGCAATCTATCGTCGACCGGTGGCTTAGAAGGCTGAGGCTTGTAGTCATGGCCGTTCAGAGACCCCGGGCGGCTCTGATGGATTTTTCTGGCAGGAGAATTGTGGCTTCCACCATGCTTTCTTTTTCTTTCAAAGTCAGACATAGCGAGTGGTGGATGGAGGATAGGACGTCAGTTCCATGGCAGACCTTTGCAACGTGAAATGAATCTCGAGAGCGGTCCTAGGAGAGAGAAAAAAAGAAAGGGAATAGGCCTGAAGTATATGCTCGGTCAAATCTGAATTGAGGAGGGAAAGTCGAAGCGCAGGCAGAACCCAAAAGGGAAACTTCTGCCGGGCCGCAGACTCGACTCGGAATTCGATCAATCGAACGATTCTCTACGTGTCGCTCATCGTCCAACATCTACCAAGTCGACACGACACCAGTCTTTGCCAGAGCATAGCCATGGCTTCTGCATCGAGAGGCCGGCTGTTAGAGCTTGCTAAGGTACGAAAAAGCACTGCGCGTTGATCGCTGCCCATTCCCTTTCTTTCCGCACGTCGAACGTCCCCATCCTTTGCACAGCATCTCGCTCCTATAACATGTACTTTGTTCGCCAAACCTCCAGATTCCTCTACTAAACTCTGCTGCTGTCCTGTACAGCTCCAATGCTCGATCTTCTCCACGACTTTCAACCCGAACCGACAACGACTTGGTAACAAAATACTGCGCCAAAGATTAAGAGGCCCGACGCTTGCCGCATATTATCCACGAAGATCAACCACGGTAGAAGACGTGATTCAGGAATTCAAGAAATTCGATCTTGCCGGGTTCAATGAGGATGAAGAGACACGGCTGGAAAGCATACAGATTGCCAAACTAAGAGGCAAAGGTGCTCCTAAGAAGAAGAGAACGCCCTCAGGTATGTATCCTACCTCCTACACAACTGCGGCTCTGGGCGGCTGTTGGCGATAGCCACTCTGGGCTACAAAATGTGCAAATTACTGACTGATACACCCACAGACACTAAAAAGAAGGGCAAGCGATAGGGCTGGCCTGTTCTGATGCGGAGTTTCGAACTCAGCTATGTGTATAACAAGATGAAGATACCCAGGATGAAGATGCCAAAATAAGATACCGGTGTACCAATTTATGTCCATAACCGGGCTTTGGCATGATCTCGAATTCTGGTGACAAAGTGCAATCGTCCCGTCAGCCTATGCGGTTTACCTGCCTCGTCCCTCCCAGCTCACTCGTTCGCAGTTTGGGGCTCCGGCGGCTCGATGGCTGTGATTCTGAATATGTGTTTGTGGTAGATGACTGTCGGCCCTCGCAGCGTTGCCTGGATCTGCTCCATCAACCCCAGTCCAGTCGCCGATTGAGCCGTCTCGCAAAGATCGTGGTGTCTTGTGGAAGACTGTTCCTGTTACTGCTACTGCGACGGCGATATCGGTTGGAGACCTTCGGTCCTTGTGCTTCTTTCGCTTCGACCAGCCACTTACATCTGCTCTTCAAGTTTGTCAACCCGGGCTGGTCGGATCAGTGTGATCAGCCATTCTTATTCGCTCCTCTCCGCACCGAGTTCCGACTGACTAAAGAACTTGAATTCAGGGCATATTTCCCCGCAATTGGTATTGCGCGCCCTTGAACTTCAATTCCCCTCGTCTGTTTTGTTACTTGTTACATCATTTGCAATGAGGTATAGGACTCGGGGTACTGATTCAGGTACCACCGAGGATACCGTGACTCCAGCTTCAAGCCTCGGAGGCCTTCGAGCGGACAAGGTGCCTGAGAGACTGATGCAGTGCGGGGCAGAAGGTTGTCCAACATCCAGCACAATTGCGCATGTTGGAACTACGACCTGAACCTAAGGTATATCTACTGTTTCTGTGTCTATTCTCTCGGCTGCGGCAGACTCGTCCTCTTGACTTCGACACGCAGAGTTCCAGAGTTCCATAACCTCAGCAAGAACCGCTTGACCCTCTTCCAGCCTACCCTATCCAGATATTCTCGCTCTCACAATGTCAGGACTTCATGAAGTACAGACAGGCCACGGCCGTCTAGCTGGGAAGGTCGCTATTGTCACAGGTACGGCACACGAACTGACCCAGGTCAGGTCTGCTACAGAGGAGGAGCAACTTCCAGTCATGAATCACAGACCCATGGAGGAGATCAGAATAGACCAGATGAGATGAGGCCCGTCTTCAGCGCAATCTCAAACTAACATGCTCACCCTCCGCAGGCGCCGCATCAGGCTTCGGTCTTGCCATAACCCAGAAATTCGTCTCCGAAGGCGCCAAAGTCGTGGCCTCCGACATCAACGCCGACGGACTAGAGAAAGCCTTCTCCTCGGCCGCGACCTACGCGACCAACGTGGCGACCATATCAGCCAACGTGACCGTCGCGTCCGACTGGGACAAGATGGTTGAAACAGCCGTCTCGAAATTCGGCGGCCTGGACATCGTAGTCAACAACGCCGGAACAAGCTACAAGAACAAGCCGACTCAGGAAGTGACCGAGGCCGAATTCGACCGCGTCATGGCCGTCAATGTCAAGAGTATCTTCCACAGCGTGCCGGCCGTGGTGCCTGCCTTGAAAAACCGGGGCGGCGGCAGCATCATCAACATTGCCAGCATTGGGGCCATGCGCCCGAGGCCCGGTTTGGTGTGGTATAATGCTTCCAAGGGCGCTGTAGCGAATGTAAGTTGGGTCGAACTGAGTTTATAGTTGTCCTCATGGGAGGGAGAGATGTATTTCCTATTGATTCTCGCAACAGCAAATGTTCACGAACAAATCAACACTGTACTGACATGTCTGTTATTGTAGGCCTCCAAAGGCCTCGCCGCCGAATTCGGCAAAGACCAAATCCGCGTCAACGCCATCTGCCCCCTCCTCTCCGGCACCGGCCTGTTCGAAATGTTCGTCGGCGTTCCCTACACCGACGAGAACATGAAGAAGTTCCTGTTCAATGTGCCGCTCGGCAGACTGACGGATCCCCACGACGTCGCTAATATCACTTCGTTCCTCGCGAGTGATGAGGGCAGGTTCATCACGGGCGTGAACCTGGAAGTTGATGGCGGTAGGGCGGTTGGGGCTTGAGTAATGAATAAGTGGTCATCAGCCTGTCACATGTGTATGTATGCATATGGTCGACTTGTGGGATTGGAGGGAGGTCGAATGACGCGGTGATGGGATGTGCATTCGCAATCGCATTCGGGCCTCACCTTCGAGATTTAGCCCATGCGTCTTGTCATCGAGTTGCGCAGGAAAAGAGGGAGAAAGAGCCGTTGAGAGCAGTGTCCTGTCTGGGGACGACGAAAAGGAGCAAGCTGACGGTCGGTCTGATTTGGACCCGGTGTCAATTCAGACAACAAAAGTAAAACCAACCGATCTCCTTAACATTTTGCCTATATGGACATATTATATGCCGCCAGTGGCCAACAAAATCTTCTACCAGCACATGTCAATCAATAAAATGAGCAAGAGATTATGAGGAAGGCTCCTTTTTTCCCTTGTCTTCTTTCCTGTTGTTTCATCCCTACCATGTACCATCTTGGTCCGCTCGCATTCGCCAGGCAAGAACGGGTAATGCAGAGAGGTAGTAGTCGGCATCGAAGTCGACACCACTATCAATGTCAGTATCAGTGTGCATAGCGATGCAAATGGTGTCTCCATTTCCCCTTCGAGTTCCGGAGAAAGTCGAGAGAGCATGTAAAGAAAAGCACGATGTAAGCAGGGTACACCAAATAATGCAGATGGTAAACCAAGATGAGACCAAAAAGAGGCGTCTGGAGTATATGCGTTTGAGTCCGAGATCATATTTTTTGAGATCAGAGAAATCAGGTTTGGCCAACACGACGTCTCTACTAAAAAGCCGCACGGCCAAGGCCATCCTCTGGCTCCATCAACTGCTGCAGATGCGCCTCTGCGAGCTCGCTGCGTAGCGTTTCCCGCTCGCTCTCGCGTTCCCGGACCTCCCACTCCCCCAGGACCTCGCGCTTGGATCGTTGCTTTTCCGCAATCTCGGAGCGCATGCGCTCGGCCTCGGCCTCCAGCATCTTGATTCGCTTTTCTTGGTCAGGGGGGAGGCCCGACGGGAGGAGTTTGCCGCCGGGCACGATCTTCTCGTTTGTGGTGAGATGGTGTTGCACGGTATTCATGCTCACGTTGGTCGAGTTGTTGTTGGTGTTGTTGAAGCGTTGGGTTCGGGGATAGGTCGTGCTTGAGCTGTTGTTGTTGTTGCCGCGGAAGGGGAACGATGGTGCCGGTTCGCCATTCCCACTCACGCTACCGCTTGCCTGACCGCCAGGACCACCAACTCCGCCACCACCAGCAGCTCCACGACCAAATCCAGCGCCGCCGCTGCCGCGATGACTTCCTCCGTAATCGCCGCGTCCTGGACCGCCGCCGAAATCTCCTTTGCTTCCACCACCGCCGAAGTCTCCTCGTCCACCATAGCCGCCGCCCCGCGGTCCAAATGGGCCTGGTCCACGGTATGTCAAACTGCCTCGACCGCCGCGCATAGGCGGACTGGTGAAGTCCCGAGGAGGAGGACCGTCAAATCGACCCGGCCCGGGCGCGCCACGAGGCCGTGTCGGTGCTCCGAGAGTACCTGCACCACCACCCCCTCGATTATGAGCTGACATTGACATGGTGGACGAGGCCGGACCGGTAGGTGGTGACGCCTGTGTCTGGCCGGACTGGTTGAAACCTCGCGAAGGGCCTGTTGGCGGAGGTCGATCGTAGCCATAGTTGCCATTCCGATAACTGCTCGGGCCGGAAGGTGGTTGGATGGGAGCCGGCTGGCCGTTCGAACGAACATCCTCGCGTGGAGGGCTTACAGCTCGCGGCCGCCCACGCTCGTAAGTATCTCCAGCAGGTCCTGTAGGAGCGATAGGAGGAGACCTCCCCCGGTAGCTCGCCGAGTCTGCTCTGTCGTACTGGCCTCTGGCAGGATATGCGGGTGACCTACTAGGTATCGAACCGGTCAAGCTCAGTCTGTCTGGATGGATTGGTGGCGACGATCTTCTCGAAGTATTGTTCGACGCTGCACCGGAGTTCAGATTTCTGGGTGAAGGAGACCGTCTCCAGTTGTCAACGGGTCTGCGCCGTGGGGGTGGTGATCTCGATCTTGGTCTATAGCTTTCGCCACCTCTTGCGGGCTCTCTATCAGGTTCGGGTGAGAATCCCCGTCTTATGGGTGATCTTGGACGGTCGCGCTCGAAACGGCTTCGGTCAGGAGATATCCGGCGCTCTCGTTTCGGCGAGCGTCGTGAAGGGTCAGGCGAGAAATCCCGGTAACGCTTGGTATCTGGTGGTGGACTGCGAGGTCTTGCACCGTACGCTGACCTAGATCGTCTTCGGGGAGGAGGGGATCTTCGTGGAGAGTAGCGGCGCACGGGTGATCTTCTGTTGGCGAACAGATCTTCTCTGCCTCTGTTGTTTGGCGCCGGCGGCGTCCTTGAGCGACGGCGGAAAGCAGGCGACCTGCTTCTGGGCCGCACCGGTGCTGCCCTTGAACTTGTTACCGGGATGTATGAATCAACCTCTTCCCGTTCTCTTCGATCATCTCTGCGATCATCTCGTCGGCCGTCTCCTCGGTCGGCGGACCATGAATCGGCAGCAGGCCGCTCCCTCATCGGAGGTCGATAGGGGCCTTCCCCTGTGGCGCCACCAGGCCTGTAGCTTTCTCCTGAACCAAAGTATTCGACGTTTGGGTGGTCGTCTCGTTCGCGGGGTCGGGGAGGAGGAGATCGCCGTCTAACAGAGGTTAGTCTGGGTGTGAAGACATGCAAAGAAATGAAAACACTTACCCCCGGTAGCGGTCCATGAGTAAGTCAGCAGACTTGGCGCCCAGTTTGGTGAAAGAGGCTGCGCAGGGGACACTTTCTTCTGTATGTTCCTCTGCAGTAGGGTAGAGTAAGAACACCCGTGGGGAAGTGGACAGCAGGGTACATGTATGGAAGCCCTGGGTCGCTGCAATGTATCAAGGCTCGACATCAAGTTTGAAGTTCTCGATCTCGGGAGAATTTATGCCAAGCCAACCCCGGACAAGGCTGCGGACAGAAGGACCGGGCAATTCTACTACAATAAGTACTCTGTATAAGAGGTACCTAAGTACTTGGGTATTTTGGGATATAATCATGGATGGGTCAAGACTTGTTGTTCTCAGTCGTGGCCGCAATCTCATGCCCATACTTGAGATTTAAAAATGCTGTTCTCCCATTACCAGTCCAGCAACCAAATCCATGCCGGGTATCATGCCTTCTCTGTGGTTTCCATAAAGTCTTCTCGCTTGCCTGCGTGCGTTCCCATCACCGCTTGCTCCTCCTCTCTTCATCACGTTTCTGCCTCTTCCTCGATTCGGAGGCAATCATTTCCGACAAGTCTTCCTGGAAGTCCCACTGGGGATTCTGCTCCGCCTTGCGTTGTTGTTCATATGCACGGCGTAGCTCTTCCTTGTCCATACCGTCGCGGGCGGCCAGAGTATCTGGATCGATAGACACATCCACATCACCGGGCTTCTTCCGCTTCCGAGTATCCTCTTGTCCGAGAACGGGGACATTGTTCTGTTGGGCCGATTTCAAGTCGTATACCCGGTCGCCGCCAAAGAAGCCTTCGACACGCGTTTGGCGTTCAGGGATGACGTGATACGCAGATTTGGGGTGAGACGATTCTTCTGTCTCTGTGCCGCGGCGTTTGCGAAGGTCGAATTCCGAGACTGTCTCAGTCCCTCCAATTTCTGTAGGCACAGCAGAGGCCGTACCACTTGGGGTCTGCAGACCAGCCGAGGACTCGATACCGGTGCCACCTTCTTCTTCGTCGTCGTCCTCCTCTTCTTCATCTTCCTCGTCGTCCTCTTCTTCTTCCTCTTCTTGCTCTTGCAGTTCACCCCACAAGTCCTTCTCCACAGGCTCACCCTGTTGAGTGTTCTGTTGTGGTTGCAGCACGCCAAAAATGTCACCGCCATATAGAGGTCTGTTTGTCGCTTCATCCACCGGCGGCTTGCCCCACTGTCCAGGAGCAAAACCCCAACTGGCACCAGGCGGAGGGGGCGCATTCACACCAGGAACTTTCAGGGCAGGATACGACGGCGGAGGACCATATCTTTGCATGTTGATGAGCCACGGCGGAGGAGCACCGGGTGGCATATTGAGGGCTTCTTTCAATTCGTCGGATAGTTCGCCGGGTCTCAGATGTCGCAGGTTGGTTTCAAATTCTTTGCCTTCGTAGTACACCTCGCCAAACCTCGTCAGTTCCGGCTTGGTCTGGAACCGGAAGAATGCCTCGTAAAGTTTCTGGTAATCAATATCAAGCTTGCCCAGCTTCCCTTGCACTCGCTCTCGCTGTTTCTGCTTCAAGCTGGCCTGGTCCTGTTTTTCCAAAGCGGCATCCCGCATCTCTGCAATACCGGTTTCTTGAATAAACTTGGGCAGGGCAAAAGGTGGCTTTTCGATCCCGCGTTTCGAAGACAAATATTCTCGCTTCAGCGACCAGTGGGACGGCACGGGAACAACGTTGTGGTATGATTTTAGATGAACCACCAACTTTGGATCGGGTGCTGTCGTGTCGGTCCATTCGACCAACTCGGGTTTTTTGACGAGAGCTTTGAGTTCGGCAACCGACAATTGTGTCATCTCTTTACGTTTTTTCTTCGACATCTTGGGTGCTGCGGTCTCCTCTTCTTCATCGGGAATCTCGTCATCGTCATCATAATACACTTCAGGTTTGTCGGGTTCTTTCAAGGACGGGTCCTCTTTATCGGGGTCCCCGAACCTTTCCAGCACATCCTTGTAGAGATCGTAGAGGGGGTTGTCTTCGTCGACTATGAGCGGATCCGTGACGGGGGTTCCACCCCGGGCACCTTCTTCCGACTTGACTTTTTCATCGTGGGCTGTCGGCGCAGGGGTGGGCTCTTCCGACTCGGCTTTGACGGTGGCGTCTGGGCTTTGCTCTGCATTTGGCTGCACGAGATAAGTTTGTGAGGGAGGCGCTGAAGGGTAAAGACGTACCTGGTGCTTCTGAGCCTTCTTCTTCGCCCGCCGAAGCTGGTTCTTGGTTGGCTTCGCAGCGGCAGCCATATTGAAAGAGGATTATCTTGTCGAGCCTCACCGTATGCAGCGAGTAGAATAGAGGACTCTGCGCAGAAGCCGAGACCAGTCGGCGAGGAATGGAAGTGTAGACAAGTGCGATAAATGAAAGGCTGCAAATGATCAGCACCTTCGATCCTTAGCCCTTACCTACTAACCTACCTAGGTCTAGTAATTACTAAAGGCCATTCGGCCGAGTAGGTGTAAAGTTTACTAGCGTCTCGGAGATAAACCTCCGGCCTTTTCAGGCTGACGGCCGAGCATCAGGCTGTGGTCCGTCAGTACGTACTACTACTACCTACAGAGTAGGTATCCCACTGCACTCCAGTCCCTCTCTATTGTCCCCCTACAAAGGTCAACTTGCGCATATATCTATCTATCCACTACTGGCGAGGCTGGCTACTGCTTTTTGTCCCTCCCTCTCTACACTGTTGCTCTTTTCCAACGCCGTCTAATCCGTCTTCCCGTCTGCCTAGTACCGAGATCATACAGGATGGTACGGCCGATGCCCCCTCCCAAACCATTACCCTCTGCATCAAGCCTTCTTACTTCCTACTACCCAACTTGTAACACCAATTCTCGAGCAGTTGTTTGTCTCATTTGATGGATAAGCCGCAGCCACAACGGCGACGGAGACCGGCGCTCGCGTGCTGGGAGTGCCGCCGCCGAAAGATCGGGTGCGACCGCAAACAGCCCTGCACACACTGTGTCCGTCACAAGACGCAGTGTGTGTTCACGCCCTACGGCCATGTCAACGAGCCCGTGTCCGTTATTGGCACAGATCCCGTTGTCTGCCCTGCTGGTCAGCTCGCTCCGGGCCAATATGGGCTTCCACCGACTTCGACTGCGAGTCCACCCGCGTCGACGCCGTCATCTAACTCCCGCGACTCTGCCAGTGCTTTTATGCCTGTCCGGAGCGCTGGAATGATTAGTGCTCAGACACGCACACAGTCCGACGAACAACTTGAACAGCCTGCTCAGTCTGCAGCTTCCACCACACATACCACAATCAGGAGCAAAGGATCTATCCTCGACCATCAAGGCCCTCGTGGTGGCCACCCACCCAGGCCATGGGCCACTGGAGCAACCGCAACGGAAATAGCCGAGACGCCAACGGCAACGGCAACGACAGCTCAAAGTAGCACAAGCGTGATGAACCCTGATTCGTTAACTTGTAGCGGCATGCGATATCCATCGTCGTCTTTGCCGCACCGCTCCATTGACCCAGACTCTCTGGCAGCCTCCGATAGCCGTCTCAGTGATCTCCTGCAACGAGTGCAAAGACTAGAGAACTCCAGCTCGACCATGGGCCGGACCGGCGACAGTGTCGACAGCCTAGCTAGCTCTCTTCCGACTCGGTCGCAGACTAGCTGGGAGGATTCTCTTGCACGCAATGCTCATTCGCGTTTTCAGGTCCGGCCGCCAGAATGGCAGGTCGTCTTGAACAAGCCAAGGGATCTTGGCAGGAATGGGCGGATGGGAGAAGCCCCGGACTTTGCTGCTATCATCTCATGCTACAGTGCCATTGTGGGCAAAGAGAGCCAGAAGTTTCCAGCCCATGAACCCGAAATCGCGGCCCAGTATGCCGAGGCGGGTGAGTTGATGCTCAAGTGCAAGAATATAGCCAGGAGGCTCAAGATGGACCGGCCAAGCAGAGACCTTCCACCGGTGTCCCCTGATCCGGGATTCCGCCTTCATCTCGTCCCTTCCTCCCGCGCGGTGGCTGATGCCATGGCCAAACTCTACTTTCAATGCTTTGAGTCAACACATCGTATCCTTCACGTCCCTACCTTTTGGGCCGACTATCAGAGATATTGGGACCATCCTGAGGCTGTCACAAATCAACTTCGCTTCAAGGTCCTCCTCGTCATTGCCATAGGGTCAAGTTTGTACGACCATGGAGACAGCAACACGGCACTTCGGAATATGGAAATGGTTCGGCCATGGATATATGCTGCCGAAGCCTGGCTGGCGGGCCCATTGGAGAAGGACCGCCTGGACATTGGCGGGCTCCAGATTTACTGTTTGAGCATCATAGCGAGACAGATCTTCTCCGTCGGCGGGGACTTGGTGTGGATATCGATGGGGTCGCTCATTCACAGGGCTATGCAGATAGGCCTCCATCGAGACCCTAAACATCTCCCATCCGTTCCGTTGTTGCAGTCTGAACTCCGTCGCAGACTCTGGGCCACCATTCTCGACCTAGTCGTGCAGGCTTCTCTGGACGCGTGGATGCCACCCAGGATCTCCTTCGACGAGTTCGACACCGAGCCACCTTCCAATGTCAATGATGATGAGATGGACGAGTCCACCCTGGAAATCATGCCTCACCCCAGGACTACCTTCACTACGACCTCCACCCAGCTCGCGCTGCTCGACTCGCTCCCAGTCCGTCTCCGCATCGTCCAGCTTCTCAACGGTCCACACTCTGAGCCATCCTACTCGGGCGTGCTTGCCATCAGCTCCGAATTGACCGAAGCACTGCAGAAATGCAGTAGCCTAGGCATGATGAAGGCCAAGGACCAGGACCAGGGTCCGAGTCACACCATGAACCACGACCAGGAGGCCATGCCATGCCCGACACCCTTCCACCGCAGCCTCCTTGACTATCTCGTCCGCCGATTCATGATCCCTCTGCACTACTTCTTCAGCAACCAGGCGCGGTCCAATCCGCTGTTCCACTACTCCCTCAAGCTCAGCCTCGACGCTGCCCTCGCCCTCATCTCGCCGGAGCCCGACCCGGACGGCACCTTCTCCCGGCTGATGGCCACGGGCGGCGGGCTGTTCCGTGAGGGTCTCCGCTGCGCCATCACCGCCATCAGCCTCGAGCTTCTCGCGCACGTCGGCGCGCAGCAGCAGAACGGCACACTGCACCGCGCTCCGCAGCATCGCGAGCTGATCAAGGGCGCGGTGCGCGATCTCATCGCCCTGTCGGAGGAGCGGATCCGGCATGGTGAGACGAACGTCAAGAGCCACATGTTTCTGAGCATGAGTCTGGCGCAGGTCGAGGCAGTCGAGGCAGGCGTCGACATCAAGTTGCCCATCGCGAGGAGTGCGACGGAGAGCCTGCGGTTCTGCCATGAGATTTTGAGTGCAAGGGCCGAAGCCAGCTTGCCCGTCGAGGAGTCGGAATTTGTTGGTGCTGTGGAGGGCATGGACGGCGCAACACCTGGCAGCATGGGGTTTGAGGATTATGGTATGGATTGGGATTGGGAGTCTTTCTTGCCCAATGCTGGCTTTTCCTAGCGTATGTGGTAGTGGTCTCGTTCTACTAGTAGGGGTCCAGACTTCCCCGCTGGTCATGCCACTGCACGTTGCACTCCAACTGGATCTCACAAAGCTTTGGGTGATTCCGCCATACAGCCACGGGCTTGAACCTATTGCATGTTGTATACGGTTTCATCCGGCGGAAATTTGAATCTTGGAACCGTCACATGGAGTTGTTGACAACATGGTAGAGCGCAGAACAAAAACAGATCCACCGTCTCCTAGTAAACAGAATAGCTCGCAAAAGTTCTAGCTCTTGAAAGATGCACCTCTCAAGAATTGATGGGCGGCGTGTCTGCGGCCTGCATACTAGTACTATAGGTACTTAGTAGTACTACTAGTAGCATCCAACTTCAAGTTAAGCACCTACTAGTCTCGTCTTTAGGACTACTATAACTACACAATAAAACCTTAAACCGACCTCAGGGCGCCACGCAGTCTAGGCGCTCTAATTCTATTAGGACTTCAAGTGGAAGCCCATACTGCTGGAAGGTAGGTACTAAGCCCGAGTATGGAAGAATCGATCAATACACAAGGCTACAATACGGAGGACTTTTACCTCTAGGTACGGTACCCCGAGGTAAACCCCCAGGTATACGCTAGTATCGTCCTCGGACATAAGGTAGTCACCATGTTCGGCCGAGATACCACAACTCTGATCGGCAAATTCCCTTCACATATGAGTTTCCAATACACCCAACCACACCCAAAGGTAGTATACATCAAGCCCGCAATGCTGATCGACTATTGCCAATTTCCAGGAGTAGCACATTCCACCTGCCCTGTCTGCGAGTTTTGTATTGCATATGGCATGGCATGCCTTACGGCCGAGAACTCAAGGGACATTTCTCATGCGGCCCCTTGTTGTCTCCGTCGCCCTCGGGGTTTGGCCTATATGCCATGGGTCGAGAACATCTCCGTCCGGCGGCAGTCGAGCTAGTTCCTGGCGGAAATCATTATAACATGTTACTTCCAAATATCTCCGCCTCGCCCGAACGCGTTGCACTCAACTTGGAAGGTCAATTGTCCGATGTCGACGGACTTAACAAAGAAACTGTCTTGGAACCATCACCGCCTCTCGGCCGTGGCGGTGATGGTCCTGGTCCTCGGCCAACGATGGCTGATACCTCCACCGGACCAGCTTGGACTATTTAATTCATCTTTGGATTTGAGCAGGTCGGAATGCGCCACGATGTAAAAAAACCGGGTGCTTTTCGGTTTCCAAGATCGCAGATTGACATCGGAAGTCACCGAACACTTTAGTATTTGGGACACTGGGGTCAAGGCATGGCGACGGCTTCAGCTCTGGGCCAGGTGTCCGACCCACAGACTCGACTAGGCGAGAGCGCAGTTTCTACCCGTGACGGCGACGGTATCAAACCCCCATCGATGGACTCACGGCACTCCACCGTGCAAGAGCTCGCCAAGCAGCTCTCGCGCAGCAGCGCCGATGCCATCGACTTGGACGGCAAGCCCATTTTCGGCAGCGACAATCCAGAATCGCCCCTCAACCCATCGGGCAACAAGTTCAACGCGCGGGCCTGGGCCCAGAACGTCGCCAAGGTCGCGAGAGAGAGCGGCCTGGACTTCCGCCGTACGGGCTTGTGCTTTCAGAACCTGAACGTCTTCGGATACGGGACGGCCGCTGACTTCCAGAAAGATGTGACAAACATCTGGCTGGCGTTACCGGGTATCATTGCGCGCCAGCTCATGCCCGGCTCCAGCATGTCAGGCCGCACGCGCCTCGATGTTTTGCACCAGTTCGATGGGATACTCCGCCCTGGCGAGATGTGTGTGGTTTTGGGCCCGCCGGGCTCGGGCTGCTCGACGTTCCTGAAGACCATCTCTGGTGATCGCAACGGCCTTCACGTCGGCGAGAACAGCTACTTCAACTATCAGGGCATCTCGGACAAGGAAATGCACACTGCGCACCGGGGCGACGCCATCTACACTGCTGAGGCCGACGTCCATTTCCCAAACTTGACGGTGGGCGAGACATTGTCTTTTGCTTCAATGGCCCGTTGCCAGAAGGAGCTGCCGGAGGGCATATCGCGCGATCAGTAAGTTACTGCAAATGCCCTGGAGCCAAGACCCACTGACGAAGATGGCATTCAGGTACTGCAAGCATCTTCGTGATGTTGTCATGGCCATGTATGGCATCAGTCACACTGCTCACACCAAGGTGGGAGATGAGTATATCCGAGGCGTCTCCGGAGGAGAGCGCAAGCGTGTCACAATTGCCGAAGCTACACTGTCAAACGCCCCCTTCCAATGCTGGGACAAGTAAGTGGTCATTAAAATCTCGTGTCATATCAACAGTTGTATACTGACTGTCGATCTTGCAAGCTCGACTCGGGGTCTGGATGCAGCCAATGCAGTGGAATTTTGCAAGACGCTACGCCTCCAGTCCGAGCTCTTTCACCAGACCTGCGCCGTCTCCATGTATCAAGCCCCCCAGAGCGCCTACGATCTTTTCGACAAGGCCACGGTCCTTTATCAAGGTCGTCAGATCTACTTCGGTCCAGCCTCCCAGGCCAAAGCGTACTTCGAGCGTCTAGGCTTTGCGTGCCCTCCGCGGCAAACCACGCCCGACTTCCTCACCTCCATGACATTTCCTGCCGAGCGCGTCTCCCGCCCGGGATGCCACCCACCACGTACGGCCGACGAGTTTGCCGCCGCCTGGCGATCGAGTGCTGAGTACAAGGCCCTCCAGGCTGAGATCGAGGAGTATAAGGAGCAGCACCCCGTCGGCGGTCCCGACGCTCTGGCCTACCGCCAGCTCAAAGCAGCGCACCAGGCCAAAGGTCAGCGACTCAACTCACCCTATACCCTGACGTACATGCAACAGGTGCAGCTATGCATGTGGCGCGGTTGGCGGCGGTTCTGGGCGGATCCTGGCCCGACTTTGTGGGTCATGTTTGGGAACGTTATGCTGGCGCTCATCATGTCGTCGCTGTTCTTCAACCTGCAGCAGACCACGGCATCGTTTTACGGGCGCGCGGTGGTGCTGTTTATGGCGATCTTGTTCAATGCCTTTGCATCGATCTTGGAGGTTATGACGCTATACGCCCAGCGGCCCATCGTGGAGAAGCAGACCCGCTACGCGTTCTACCACCCCTCGGCTGAGTCGTATGCCTCTGTCCTGGTGGATTTGCCGGTCAAGATCACGAGTTGTATTTCGTTCAACCTGGTCTTCTACTTTATGACCAACTTAAATCGACATCCGGGCAACTTCTTTTTCTACTTGATGGTGGTCTTTCTGATTGTACTGGCCATGTCTGGCATCTTCAGATTTATGTAAGTCAGCTCGATTGATTGCGTGGAAAATTGGTACCGCTGCTGACACCTGTTCCCAGCGGCGCGCTGTCCCGTACCGAAGGACAAGCCATGGTTCCCGCCTCCATCCTCATGCTTGCCCTGCTTATCTTCACCGGCTTTGTGGTCCCCGTCAACTATATGCTTCCTTGGTGCCGCTGGATCAATTACGTCAACCCGGTAGCTTACGGCTATGAGGCGATCATGGTTAACGAGTACCACGCCCGCAACTTCACTTGCTCGTCCTATCTCCCCTCGTACGGGACGCCTGGGACCGTGAATGTGGCGTGCGACGCCGTGGGTGCCGTGCCAGGTCATATGTATGTCAATGGCGACACGTACATCAACTCGGCGTATAGCTACCAACACTCTCACAAGTGGCGAAACGTGGGGATCATCATCGCCATGACTCTCTTCAATCACTTGATGTACTTCCTTGCCAGCGAGTACGTCTCAGCCAAGAAGTCCAAGGGTGAGATCCTCGTGTTTCGTCGGGGCCATATGCCCAAATATGCCAACAAGGGCGCCGGGGACCTCGAAGCTCGCCCGGTGTCCGGGCCCGTCACGACAATCTTGGAGAAACGCGGTGGGTATGAGCCCAGTCAGGAGAAACAGGGCATCCAGGTATCGACGAATGTGTTCCATTGGAATAACGTGTGTTATGATATCAAAATCAAGAAGGAGTTGCGGCGTATCCTGGATAACGTCGACGGCTGGGTAAAGCCTGGTACGCTAACGGCACTTATGGGTGTCTCGGGTGCTGGCAAGACCACATTGCTGGATTGTCTAGCTGACCGCCGCATCGGTGTCGGTGTCCTGACTGGTGAGATACTAGTCGATGGGAGGCTTCGTGACGAGAGCTTTCAGCGCAAGACCGGTTATGCACAGCAGCAGGACTTGCATCTTGAGACGAGTACTGTTCGTGAGGTGTGTTCAACTTCGCATCGGAGAAATCTTCTCAGCCAACCGGTTCACTGACCTCGAATTATATCGACAGGCTTTGAACTTCTCAGCCCTTCTCCGCCAGCCGCACCACGTGCCCAAGGTCGAAAAGCTCGCGCACGTGGACGAAGTTATACGACTGCTCGACATGGAGGATTACGCTGACGCCATCGTTGGTGTCCTCGGCGAAGGTCTTAACGTTGAGCAACGCAAACGCCTGACCATTGGCGTCGAACTAGCTGCGAAGCCACCGCTACTCCTCTTTATAGACGAACCGACGTCCGGTCTAGACTCCCAAACCAGTTGGGCTGTCCTAGACTTGCTTGAAAAGCTATCTCAAGCGGGCCAGTCGATCCTCTGTACTATACACCAACCTTCGGCGATGCTGTTCCAGCGCTTCGATCGCCTGCTCTTGCTTGCCAATGGAGGCAGGACGGTTTATTTCGGTCAGTACCCGCATTTGCCACCCCTTCCCCTTCACCCTGAGCGTTCCATCCGTGGACCAGACGTGACCTAAGACCTTTGGGATAAGTGTCCATACTAACGGTGCCACAGGTGACACCGGCGACAATTCCAACACCCTTGTCGAATATTTCGAACGCAACGGTGCTCAGAGTTGCCCGGCGAGTGCCAATCCAGCCGAATGGATGCTCGAAACCATCGGTGCCAGCCCGGGCAGCTCGTCCGGGGTCGACTGGCACGAGATCTGGCGCTCCAGCCCCGAGTTCGTGCAAGTTAAAGCCGAGCTAGCTCGCCTCCGACACCAGAGCTCCGAAGTTGGCCAATCGACCTCGGCACAAGAAAGCGACGGGATGCAGCACGACGAATTCGCGGTTCCGCTGTCGACGCAGTTCTGGGTCGTGACGAAGCGCGTCTTCCAGCAGGGCTGGCGGACACCCTCGTACATATACTCTAAGATGGCGCTCTGTGGAGCCACGAGTCTCTTTATTGGCCTAGTCTTCCTCGACTCGCCGATCAGCATCCAGGGGATGCAGAACCAGATGTTTGCGATCTTCGAGCTCATGAGCATCGTGGGCCAACTGGTCGACCAACAACTTCCGCACTTCATGACCCAGCGCGCTCTGTACGAAGTGCGCGAGCGACCGGCGAAAACGTACAGCTGGAAAGTCTTCATGATGGCCCAGATCCTCTCCGAGATGCCCTACTGCACCATCGCCTCATTGCTCATGTGGGCCCTCGTCTACTTCCCCGTGGGCTTCTACAAGAACGCCGCGGCGGCCGACCAAAGCGTCGAGCGCGGCATCCTCATGTGGCTGCTGTTCCTGGTGTTTTTGGTCTGGGGGTCGACCTTTGCGCACCTGTGCATCTCGTTCGTGTCGTCGACCGACGCCGCAGGCAATCTGGCCAACTTTCTGTTCGTGCTAGCCTTCTTCTTCTGCGGCGTTCTGGCTTCGCCCGACCAGATGCCGGGCTTCTGGATCTTCCTGTACCGCGCATCGCCGTTGTCGTACTTTGTGTCCGCCGTCTTGTCCACCGGTCTCGCCAATGTCCATGTGACCTGTGCGGAGAACGAGTTCACCACGCTCGACCCGCCCAGCGGCCAGACGTGCGCCGATTATATGCGCCAGTACATCGCCGACGCGGGCGGCTACCTGCTGGACGGCAACGCCACGAGCGACTGCCACTACTGCAAGATCAAGGAGACGAACGCATATCTGTCTGTTCTTCATGTAGATTATAGCACGCGCTGGCGCGACTTCGCCATCATGTGGGTCTATGTGGTGTTCAACATTGCTGCGGCCATGTTGCTGTACTGGGTGGCCAGGATGCCCAAGGGGAAGAGAATCCTCTGAGTGAGTGGATTCGGCCGGGCTCCGGAGACCTCCCAAGCAGAGGGCACACACAAGTCGGTTAATGCCTTTTGTCGACATCCCTTTCGTCTTCAGACTCTGGCAAGGGCAGTTCGACTTTCATCATAGAGAATATAATCAATTCGTCTTCTCACTCACCATACATGCTCGAATTTCCGGGATGGCACAGCCTCAGGTACAAATCCTGCAGGAACGGCTGATCGAGCGTGTCAACACGCATAACGGAGACTGGAGTGGTGCAAGGTCCCAGCGGAAGTATGCTCGAGGGCTTTTCAAAGGGAATAGCAGAGGTTTGGGAGTCGCTGGCGGCGGGCAATTACAACTTATAAGCAGATGCATGGAAACTGTGTCAAGAGTCAAGACCACGTATCATGATGCCCCTTTTCGTCCACCAATATATTGAGTATCTGCGAAGTGTAAAAGGGGTACCTTCTCCACGAGCCAGGAGCCAGCGAACCCCCCGAGCCCTCGATAGCAGCCACCACACAACGAAAAGCACACGTCTTTGACATTCTTCGCTATCGTGTAACAGCACAGCATGGCTAGCCTGCCTCCTGTCTCGTTCGTCTGTCTGCATTATGGCTCTCATCCCATCGCTTCCTCTTCCCAGCCCACAAAGTCCGTCCGTAAGGACAGAGCCGCTTCCTCCCACGTTCTCCGTTCTCCAGACCGCAAAACCTCCCCTATAGCTCACGAAGACAGACCATAGTTGGCATGAACGGTCGGCAACCCGATCAAGACGCCAATATTAGGCGCGAACGCTCCAACATAGTTCCCTGCATGACACACCGAGCCCAGTTAGCGCGCAACATCAGAACAAGAACAAGAACAAGTCCACTTATGAGATATCTCCAACAGAATCCGACATATAGATATTCTCGCAACACATACCAGGCGGCGCATAATTGCAGACAGTGAAATATGGCGGCACACTGCCGTCGACAGCGCCCAACCCCGAGGCCGTACAGTCGGCGGTATAGCAGCCGACCGAGGAGGTACTTTTCCAGACAATCTGGGTGAAGTGGCCCCAGTAGTCGAGCTGGCTGAGGTCCGGCTCGCTGCCGTAGGAGACGTAGTTGTTGACTTCGCCGTTATACAGGCCCTCGGTGACGAAGTTGCCCATTCCGAGAGGTGTTGCGGGATATCCGGCGCCGATGTTCTGGCCGTAGCCGCCGCCGTTGATGTTTCTGGTTGAGAGTCAGTGAATTGAGACAGCAACACAACTGTGGAACAATATAGGGTGCCAGAGGTGGTCAGAGCGTGCCAGAACGTGCCAGAGGTTGCCAGAGGCTGTTCAAGGAGAGGGACTGGATCAAGTGACCGGGACAGAACGAGGCGGTTGGTATACAGGGATTAGGAGTGGATCGATCCAGTGATATAGATCTGAAGACAAACTGTGCTCGAATACTGAAGGTTGAAGAAGATGGGCTGTTCACCGAATCATGGAGAAACCAAGATACAGAAGAAGATGGTAGTATAGCATAGCTAATCGGCGAAAAGAAAGGAACTGGGCAAAACGCAGACAGGCTTTGGATCGGGCTTACGTTACATGGCCATACACACAGGTCTGGGCAAGCACACGAGCTGTATCAGCCAGAGACGGAGACCAAGTCAACGCATTCGCCGAGTGATTGGTCCGATGGATGTTGTGGTGCAACAGAATAGTGTTGATGTAAGCTTCGTTGGTCACGATCGGGGCACCGCTGGTAGTAGTAGTAGTACTGGATGTGGTCGAGATGGTCGACGTGGTGAAGGTCGAAATGCTCGAAACCGGGGCAGATGGAGACGAGTAGCTTCCGGCAGTGGCCGATGAAAACGACGTGGACGTGGTGATAGATGCAGCAATGGTGTTATCTGGAAGCACAACACCAGTCAGACTTGTTGTGGTAGTAACAACGGTACTCGACGAAGGAAAAGAAGGTGTAATGGTCCCGTCCGGCAGTAGTATCGAAGAAGAGAGTGTGGTCGTCGTCGTCGGACAGGGACATGTGGTGATCGTTTCGATGACCGTGGCTGTCACTGTGGCCGTGTAGCTGTAGCTGATGCTAATGCTGATACTTTGCGCGGCAGCACCCAAGGCAAACATGAAAAGACCCAGAAACTGCATGTTGAATGAATGAATGAACGAACGAACGAACGTGATGTGCCAATACGCAAACAGGAAACGAGTGACTTCGGTCAATTGAATAAGCTGGTATGAAGCAAGCAAAACAAGAGGACCGTTGATCGAGGTGTAGGCCGCTCAAATGTCTTGACAATGGAAGTGGTCACATTCCTGATATGTCAACACCCGCCCTTGATGGTTGTCACGGCACAAACCCGAGGAATTCCCTCCAAGTTTTCTGCCTGCAAGGAGAGATGGAGGATTGCATTCTGAAGACACGCCAATGCCAGATGATGCAGAACTGGCAAGAATCTTGAGTACCACCGGCCATGTGAGGTTGGATTGGTCAGCCTTGCTTTATTCAAGGTCAATTTCGTCTGAAAAGCATCCGCGAAATGGCCTCCCTGCCCTTCACTGCACCTGAAACATCTTGATCGTTGGTGCTTACAAGTCTCTCATCGGTTGCGCCCAAGGCAATTGTAAATATCATTGTGCTTCGATAGAATGGAGACTTGACAGTTGTCGGACCGAGAATTGACAGGACCCTCGGGAGGTAGGTCTTTCGAGATTCATAGATCCACAAATTGAGGTCGTTGAACCCCAATGCAATATCAACCTAAGATTAGTAACGCAAGACACAGTCATTTCAATCGGGGTTATGTCAGGGGCTGCTTCTGCCGGCTATGCATTGCTGAAGCTTGCCAGCTTGGGAGAAGCTTACATATATGTTTGCATGGTTACCGTAAACCTAGCTGCGTTGTTCAGGTGCGTTTTCGTTTTCGTTTTCGACATCGGTCATTGCTCACTTCCATCCAGCTGGATTTAGGATATTCCCGTGTTTGTAGCCGGAATGTCCTTAGAGAAAGGCTCGGGTTTCCTACCATTGGGGAAAGTTTGGGACGTTCGAGCGTGGATAGCAGCATAACTCCAACAGGCTGTAGACTGTAGTTGAGGAGTTGGTGAGAGTTTGCTTGGATGATAAATTCGATTCGGGTAGTAGTAGTAGTAGTAGTACTTCCTAGGACGTACATAAGTAATTGATCCCCAGCTGCGATCTTGGCAAGGCTCGCAACCCCTTTTATCAACCACTGCACTGCACCTTGCAGTACGTACAACCACCACCGTTCAAGTTACTATCAATAGCATACGGGGAGCGTGTGCCAAATGCAGTGTCGATCCCAGTTGGAATGGCTCCATGCCCCTCGAAGCTCAGTCTCTGCATCAAAGTTCAAACCAAGATTGACGTTGCTACCGGGGTGGCCATCGTGTCACTACTGCATTACTGCACAAATATACAAATATCCCCTTCCAAGCCGTCCGAGATCACATCACGCGACCAGATACAAGCAAGCTTGAACGTGAAAAGACGGATGTATCCACATTTTCTCACGGCGGACATACGCTACTATAACATGATACCACAGCTCTTGAGCCTGGTGAGTCGGTGACCGGGTCACCTGAGACTGGGATGCATCTGGCATGAAGTCTGAAGTTTGAAGTTTGAACTGCCATTAGAGCTTCGATCTCCGATCTTGAAGGACTTGACTTGACTTGATGCCTCTAATAGTATGATGAGCCAGCCAGCCAGCCTGGAGGCAGATATAAAAAGGTGATCGCGGATCCTCCTCGTCTCGTTCTCGATTACAAGTGAAGGCCCGACTGATGTCTGATGTCTGATGTCTGATGTCTGATGTCTGATGTCTCTGTCTCCAGTCTCCACGACCGTCGACTACGAATGGCTCAAACCTAAAGTTTCGCCATCTTTGACGAATTTCCGGTACAAGTGAGCGGTTTTCACTCTCATCTGTTTCCCCCAAACCACCATGACCAGAAAGACGAGACAGGCAGCCATCGACATGAAAGCCGCGATGATGAAAGCGTCTTGATATCCGAGTTTTACCCAGGGCGTAATCCTAACAACAAAAAGGCTTCGTCAGTATGCCAAACAACAACAATTGAACAAAACAAAAAAATTCGACATGCACAAAGTGTCTCGACTCTCAGGTCTCAGGTCTCGACTCACGCATAACCTATGCCAAAAGCCATCGAGTTTCGGATGACAATGATGGTGACCATGGCTTCGCTGCTCAAATCCTTGTACGTGTCGATACAATAGCTGACCATGGTGATGACGGTCACAGCCACACCCGTTGAGAACAAGAAGGAGCCAACGGCGAGTCCAAACCCTAGTTGCCAGTCAATCATGGTTCATCACATTCACAGTGACACACCCATCAGACAAGGCAGAGTCAGAGTCAGAGTCGGACTTACAATGGACGTGGTGAGCAGCGCCCACACCCCAAAGAATCAGAGCAGCCGGAAAAATGACGGTTGGATAGACATAGATCCACAACCGATGTTCGGCCTCAAGGATCCCTCCGTTGCGCCGTGCCAGCCTCAAAGCGATCCAGTCACTGATGGGGCCTCCACAAAGACACCTAAAAGGACGGCTGTTGTTAGCGGAGAATCATCGCGAGGAACATCAGAACGGAAGAATGTTAGGTGGACAGATGTGCAAGGGCCGATCATGACGGTGTCAGAGAAACCTACCCGACGGCAACCCCGAGCAAGGACGCGATGGAGAACAATCCGACCATATCCGCTTCGAAGCTGTACGGAGGGTATGACAAAACCAGAGATGACGTGCCGGTCATGAGATTGGACCACATGATTGCAGCGCCATATCCGAAGCCACAGTAGACAACCACCGGCAGCGATAGAAACAGGAAAGGTCGCGCGGCCATGGTCAGAAGCAGGTTCGGCCGCGGTTTGTCCAGGAGCTTCAATTTGTCCCAGTACGTCTTTCGATGGTAGGAAACGACTTCTCGACCATGCTCTGTTTCGGTGTCCGTGGAGACGGGAAGCTTGGTCTCTTGTCCGACAGCTTCGGCCGAAGCAGTGCTGTCTGCGTGACCATGGGGCTCATGTGCCGTCGAATCTATGACTGGTGCTCGATCATAATTCGTCTCTTCCATGAGGAAGAACAAGATTATAGCTCCAAGGCCACAGCCGATCGCTGGCCAGTAGAGCACCCACTTGTATCCTTGACCGTCGTAGATGAAACCGGCAAAGATCTTGGACAACAGACGCAACGTTAGTATTGGTCCATGGTCTTTCGATATTAGAATGGCCGGGCTTGACATACCGGTGCCAGAATGTTGCTTGAAGTCAACGAAAAAGCGTACATGGCCATGTACTTGGCGCGCTCATGGGTGAAGTACTGTATCAAGCATCAGCGACTCATGTTGTATGACATACTAGTAGACCACCCAGACATTGGATGAATACTTACCAGATCCGCCACGGAGATCTCACACAGAGATTCGATGGGTGAGCCGACGAAGCCTTGTAGGATCTTATTGGCGATCCATTGACCATTCGTCGTGCAATAAGCCGACCAAACTTGGATTGCCTAGAAAGACACAGGTCTTAGAATCCACTCAGCAGGAGGGAATTGGATGGGCGGAACTTACAAGTGTAGCCAACATGGAAAAGATGAAGACTGGCCTGTATTCCAGACACGGGTGTGGTCAGCCCAAGGTTCGTTTCGTTCTGTTCCGTCCAGAAAGCCCTCCAAAGAAAGGCCAACAAGACATCTCGTATAATTCTCACCTCTTGCCATACTGGAGCGCGAGTGGCTGGAAGACGATACAGCCCAGTCCGAAGAACAAGAACATGTATCCAGTGCCCGCATTGAGATCGGCTACTGAAAGACCCGAGTCGATGGAAAGAGGGACCAGCACCGAATAGACGGCAGCAGATGCCATTCCCACAAAGAGGCAGTAACTAGGAAACGATGGTCGTGAGCCGGGTTCTCCAGAACGGTGCAAACAACCCAAAGACCGATGACCGGACTCACATGAATATGCAGAACATGTGCAGTAGCTTTCTGCGTGGCGTCCAATTCAGAGGATCTTCGGGATCCTGAGAAGGAGCAGGCACCAGCACAATATCCTTGTGTTTCTCATGTGGCGCATCCATCGTCCCCTGAAGGTCGACGAGGTGCGTCGTGCCCGGCACGGAGGTGACATCGTCGAGTGTTGCTGCAGCCATATTCACTGGCAGGCTTTGGTGGCGGATGTGGTAAGTGTGCAGCTGCCTGGGGTGCTCTTCAGATCGGGACTCTGGCAGATGATAGATCCATGTTTCTTTGTTTCCTTTATAGAGCGCCTGCCGGAGTGTCTTGACTAGCAGGAGAGCGTCCGCAGACCGGCGTCAGGTGTGGTCAAGGCCGGCATCAGTCAGACAATCTTAAGTGCGAGGGACATGACAGATAAGGCGGAAATCTCGATGATTCGACGGCAACTCAATCAATGATATTCAGGAGGCCGAAGAAGTCCAGCCCTCCACTCCAGGAAGAAGACTCAGAAAATAGGTAAGAAGAACGATGACAGGCCGTGCGATTATCGGTTGCTTGGATGAAAGCAGGAACACACTCCTTTTGATAGGGCTAAGCAAGCCTTGTGAGGCCGATGTCTCCACGTCGCTCTATATCTTCTCAGTTAGTATATCCACTTTTTCCCAGGGCCGGAAATTACTTTGATTCGCCAGCAAGAGGGTTCGACGATAAGCCCTCCAAGATCCAGCCACCAGATGCTTGGCCACAAGACCTCGTATCTCACTCCTTGCCTCCAGCACCATACAGTCCTCATTACCTATGGGGTATGGCTGTCAGGATGGTCCGTCTGGCGCCAGGTTCGAGACGCTAAGCGCAACGAGTGATTGACAAAACCTCCTCTCGACCACCCCTCGGGTAAACGGGTGGGTTGAAGGGCCATGATTTGGATCCATGTTAGATAGCGCGGGAAGGTACACTGATATAAACCTCGTGCAGAACATCAGAGGCCGGGAAGTGTGTTCTTCCATTAAAATCTCGCATTCATTACCGTTTCCGAGCAAAAATACCTCGTTGTTTCTAGAGACACCCGTGTGCAGCCATGGCAATCCAAGCCTGGGAATCGAAAGCTGAGAAAGCTAGAGAGCGTCTGGCACGTTCCGTCCCAAAGAAGTGGTTGCTGGAGAAGTCTGAACTGCCGTCCCCAACCCGATTGAACGTCATGGGCGTGCCGGAGGAGTCAGGCCGCTTGACACCAGAAGAAATCCAGATTACGAATAGCGATGCCTCTGGTTTGGTGAAAAGGATGAGCACAGGAGAATGGACGGCAGAGCAAGTCACGATCGCGTACTTGAAGAGGGCGACGATAGGACATCAACTCGTGAGGAAGACTCCCTCCTGGCTCTCGAGTTTTGCTTGTGCTGAATTGTAGCGCCAACGTCTTTTAGCTCAACATGGCCACCGAATTCATGATGGAGGATGCGTTGTCCCAGGCTCGAGCGCTGGACGACTACTATAGACAACATAAGAAAGTGATAGGACCTCTGCACGGTGTGCCCATCTCCACAAAGGTATGTGACCCCAGCACCACGCACTCTGGTACAAGGTTGTACCACGTGGAGCTGATCGACGAGCTGCATAGGAGCATGTTTCTCACAAGGGGAGACCGGTGCACGCCAGCTATGTGGCCTTGGTGGAGAACATCGCTCCGGACGATGCGCATCTGGTTCGGCTGCTGAAGGCATGTGGTGCTGTGTTCCATCTTCGCACAAATGAGCCTCAGACGATGATGGTAAGCGCTCTTCAACCCATGAGCCAGGAAATCTGCTCGTAATCTGGTACTCTGAATGGCGTCCTGACATGGGCTAGACCGGCGATACCGAGAACAATTTGAGCGGGCGGACAAAGAATGGCAACAATCTGCGACTTGCCAACGGCGGCTCCTCCGGAGGAGAAGGAGCGTCTATCAGTTTCAAATGCGCCGCGATCGGTTTCGGAACGGATATCGGTGGCTCAATACGCTTTCCTGCGGCGTTCAATGGGTGCTACGGGTTCCGTCCAACTGCCTGTAGAGTGCCGTATGGCGGAGTGTTTCTGCCCGGTGAAGGGCAGGAGTCAATCAGGTGTGTGATAGGACCGCTCACGAGAAGTATCGACGATGTCGACCTCGTGATGAGTTCGGTCCTTGAACAAAGGCCCTGGGAAAAGGAGTTGAGTCTGGTACCACTGCCATGGAAGGCTGTGAAGAAATCCAGCGATATCACCGTTGGTGTGATGTGGAATGATGGGTGAGCGCCGAGGACTATTCCATCGATCCCTCATCTTTTTGATTTTGGTCTGGCTAATACGACTTTTGTCATTCTTAGGATTGTCAACCCACAGCCGCCCATGCAACGAGCCCTAAAAACGACAGTGGAGAAGCTCATTGCAGCGGGCGTCAAAGTGGTCGACTTTGAGCCATATAAGACTGCCGAGGCGATGGAGATCATTTTGAGTGAGCCAGTCTCGAATGGCTACCACCCCTCGTCGACATACTAACATACATTCACAGCTCTATTCTTCCCAGATGGCGCAAAAACTCAATGGGACCTTCTCAATGCTTCTGGTGAGCCAGTCAACGAACAATCTCAAAGAATGCTGGGCATTGCCCGGGAAATCAGCGTGGCGGAGAACTGGGCCTACAACGCCAGGCGAGATGCGCTTCGAGATGAGTTCCATGACTTGATGGCCCAGCGGGGCGTCGATGTGATCCTCACTGCACCGTATCCAGGTGCTGCACCCCTGGTGGGCACCGTCGACTACGGCGCGTACACGATGTTGTGGAACATGCTTGACATGCCTGCGCTCGTCATGCCAGTCGGCTTGTCTGTTGACCCAGCGATTGATCAGAAGAATGCGTCGTACCAGCCCATCAGCGAACACGACAAGGTACAGTTTGATAAATGTGAGAGTCACCAAATCAGTACTCCTGGTTCTTTGAATGCTGACATACCACGCATCAGACAATGCCGAGGATACTGTTGGTGCCCCGATATGCGTACAAGTCGTCGGCAAGCATTTTCAGGACGAAGAGACCATCGCTGCAGCACGCATCATTGAGGATGCACTTGCTCGGTCAACGAAGTCGGCGGTGCTTTAGTGGGTACGGGCTGATTGACATGACCCTCAACCACAAGAATGCTTGGGAACACGGCCGAAGCTTCCCTGTTTTGTCGGACATCCTGTAAGCACCGAAGGTGTCTTAACTATAAAGGCAGCCAAGATCGTGGCTCTTCGACTTGGCTTTCAAAGACTCGTCTGCAGAAGTAAATGCAGTCTCTGGCGTTTCGATAGATTGATGCCATGTTGGTGGCGCCACATACCCTTGACCTTTTGCCACGTCATTTTTACGTCCCCCCATTTGGATGTCTCCCATATGTTCTTCAAGACCTCTTCCAGTAGATTTATCTCATCTTCATTGGTGACGGCATGACCTAAGATCAAAAGGGGCCATCGCAGAAGGAAGCGACGTGCAACTCCCATCGACTCATCTGTGTGGCGAAGATTGGCAATCACTTCTTGCAGACATTTCCACACCGGCTCTTGGTTGCTTGGGACAGCCTCATCTGCCGCATCGATCCACGTCAACAGTAGACGGGCGCAGTAAATATAGAGGGATGCCATCCCGTCGAAATGCGTTTCATCTGACTGCATACTGTTGGAAGCGCGTAATGCATTTTCCCACGTCCGAAGTCCACGATCCAGTCTTCTCAGTTCCCGAATGTCTTCTGTAGTCCTGGGGTGCTTGCGACACAGCCTTGAGATGTCGAGGATCAGCCAATAAATGCTGCGCGGGATCCCAAGCACTGGACTGTTGGTAGCCGGTGAACTCCCTTCGAAGGCAGGCCGGCAGAGAATGGACTCGATGGTTGTCGTCAACATCTCCACAGAACTGGCGGCTGCGGGGTCGTAGAAAATGGACAAAGTGGATGTGTGGAAGAGGACAGATTCGGCCATGAGCACATCAAATGTATGGAGCTTTTGATCATGGCCCTTGATATGCCTGAGTAGCAAGAGCCGTGCAGCACCAGCGAGATGATGGAACACCCCGGGAAATGTACAGTCAGACCGACAGGTCTACACAACCAACAACATCAGCAGCAGATCGCAAACTCGATCGAGCCAGCAGTAGGCACGAATCTGGTCACAGTTTCCGGATGGGCTCGCTCACCTCGAATACATGGAGAAGGATGGTCGTGAACAAGATCCAGTCTTCTTCACCGGTGACGGAGCCATCCTCTATTTGCATCCTCAACCCAGCCAGAGCTCGGTTATAGCGCCTCAGTGCTTCCATTTGAAATCCATCATGAGAGTTGGACAAGTGGATCATGCTGCAGGCCAGCACGGCATCCTTCAGAACCGGGCGATGTGTAGCCAGGCTCCCCAGAAAAGCCGGGTCCTTGAATTGATCGTGAGAGCTTGCGAGGATATTCAGCGGCGATATCATGGTTGTAAAATAGCCAAACAAGGAGCTTTCACGGTCACAGGGCAGGAAATAGGAGGGCGTCCAGATCAATGACTGCTTGAGGTCGTCACCAGAGTCTGGTGTTGTGGAACCGTCAATTTCCTCCGACCCCGAGCAAGATGAGTCTCTACGACTCGTCGCCGATTTGCGTCTTCTTGGAAGCTTCCGGCGGTCCCCCAGTTGAGTTATATCTGGCCACTCACATGGGAGAGAAAGTCTCTTGCAAGTTGAGCAGACGGGTTTGGATTCATCGCATTTCTTGCGATGACTGCGGCCTGCAAGTCGGCTGATTAGCACGAATGGAAGGCCAGTTGGACTCCAGGAGCGAAACATACAGCGTCTACAGCCATTCTGGTTTCTCAAACGAGGGCCAGTTCGATGCATCGTTTAGAGGGGGATGAAGCCAGTAGTCCCCAATCACCGCTGTGTCAGTGCAAAGTTCCCAGCCACAGCAACTCTCGCTGTTCTGCAGAGGGCATGGTCCGAAAGCTCGTCCGCAAAGGCTCAAGACATCGTGAAAACGCCTCGATGTTTCCGGGGTAGGTTAGTCGACAATAACTGTGTGATTGAGGAATGACAGTGGGTTGCAGAGAAGTGAATCCAGACTGGTCGTCGGGAGACATCATCTTCGCAAGTTCCGTGATCCTTATCTTTGGCGGCTGGTTTGCGGCAATCGGCATCTCGAATGCGCTACTAGTATAACACGGCGATACCCACTCGTGCAAAGCGGCAGAGAGTTGAAAGGTGTCCTAAGGTCCCCACCATCCATTGAGGGCAGCCCTAAGTGAGTATGTCAGGCTGAGATTCCCGGGACTCCCTCGTATCTATTGACGGTCTTTGTGATCACTCCCGCTTTTGCCCCATGGAGGGGTATCGCTGGGCACCCTGGGCCAGAGACATAGTACTGTAAGGGGGTGCATCAATCCGCACCTCGCCCCTTACTCGGGCCCATATCATGAAGTTGTCCAGGCACCGTTCGTGAGAAGCGTCTATCTCCTACCGTACTTTGAAGAGGAGTATGATTCGCCTCATATGAGTGTAGCCGCCCACCCTATAGAGTGTAATATGTAGAGTAGCAAGAAGAGTAAGGTAGATTATCTACCTGTAGGCGCCTAGAAGAATATTCGGCAGGTGCGAGACGGTTCGGATAAGCTGTCTTCCGTGTGCCAAGCATCCTTAGATCACGTGATACCGCACTTCACCGACTAATCGATAAGGAGGATTCTTATCGCTAATCAAAATCGTGGCTTTCTTGACGAGACAGTTTGCATATAGACCAACTTGCCTTCGCTCCGTAGGATTATCCGAATATGGTGCGGTACGAACATGGTGCCCTGCACAGGTTCAGTGTATGGTGCCCCGAGACATTCGGCGGCAGAACTGGCGGCACTCATCGTGAAATGCTATGACCCGCCAGCGGTGAATATCGTTCAGGGTTGACGGAGGTTTCATGATCATCATCAACTTGAACAGACCAGCGACCCGGTCATCAATACGTACTACCTTAGGTATGTCATATTTTTGTCGGGGAGCTTTTTAGGCAGATAATACGTCAGTGTGCGAGGTCAGCGTCGAGTCTGCCTTGCCTTGCATTTTGTGCTGTGTCGTGTCTGGGTGGTAGGGCACGAAGACAGACGCCTAACATTCTCGGAGTGACCGAGTTGCTGAGAACTTGAATGGTCCAGACTCCAGATGCAGAGAAGACACCGGCGGAAAGGTTGATCCAGTTCCGTCAGCCAGCATAGCTAAGCCCACAAGGCGACAAGGCGACCTGCCAGTGGTGGCCTATTACTGACTGTACCTGATCTTGCTTGCACGTCAGGCTTATTAGGCTTAGGCTTCAGCCGCAGCCCGTCTGAAACGAACAGCGAGAGATACTACGGGGTCTGCTCGATCGACTACAGACCAAACAATTAAACATACTGAACCAATGGTCTATATACAGACAGAGAGAATCACGGAAGAAGGCCTATGAAATCAGTAATCCATGCAGCCTCGCAACGATGTGGATGGAGTCTGTGCAGAGTATCACCAGCAATGAACCCGACGGGCGAAGGATCTAAAATACTGTGTTTCAATTGCTAAACGGAGGTTTTCAGTGTATCAAGTCTCAAGATCCTGATCCATCAAGGGCAACATCACCTGGCACCCGTATAAATCGATCCTATCGCCTTTCTGCATGAGGAGAAACAAGGTGCATGAACGAGACCACGATACCAGACAGGGGCTAAAGGGGAAGTAATTGGCCATGGCCAGAATACCAGGACCGAGATGACACTTTCCTCATCCCTCCAAGCCAGGGACCAGATCTGGGATTCCTTCTGAATGCAGAGATAACAAAGACCCAAATAGCGACACCCACTTTCTATCTTCAACTCAACTCAACTGCGCCTCTTCTGGACTCGATGCTTGTGATACTACTACTTTACTAAAACACTCAACAAGGCACAGAGAGGTGCCTCTGCTTCCCAACTTGAAACCCTGGTCGCCCAGAATACCGCTATCCCGAGCGAACATCTTCGGCCCTCAGCACTAATATTTGGTCCCCTGGTGAATTTGTCCTATAGCACCATGAGATCCCCTTGACTCACTTGGACTACTATGGCGCACATCATCAATAATATCGCAAGCCGTGAAGCCCGACAAAGCCACACCCTGTGTCTCCGGTGGAGGTTGCTTTGGGTAACTTGATCATTCCTTGTCAGTGGTCGATTTTATATAGCATCCATTCCACATTACTTGCACCACCAAGACCCTCACCTCGACTCACTGCCCACTGTCCATTGACAATTGCAACATCACGCCTTCAAACCTATGGAAGCCATTGTGGATGACTTGGTCCATTGCACCCCTGGTCCACATCGGTCGGGAGTCAGGGACACATGGGTTAGGGGAGATTTGGGAATCAGATAGCAAGGTCCACCAGTCGAGGGGGTTGACTATGATGAGAATCGTTGCGCAATGATACGACTACTGCAGTGTGCTGCTACTACTACTACTACTACGTAGTACGATAGTGAAACAAAAGTCCCATTCCCATTCCATCTCATCCGATCTGATCTCATCCTTCCTGCTTCTCTTGATGGGTCCCTATCATGTCCCTGCCCTTGTGCCTGTCCTTGCCCTGCCCTGTCCTGTCCATGACCTCTGTCTGGCCCGTGGCTGTCAGCCCTACGAGTCAAACCCCCACCACGATTCCCATGACTGTTCGCTGCAATTAGCAATCAACAATCAATCTTCAGGCCTCCTTAGCTTTAGCCTTAGCCTCTTGTCCCTTCTTACCCAAATCCCCCAATCCCTACCTAAGTCACGCTTCTTTCTTTCCTCGGGGGTTCCATCAGACCTTCTAGTGCGGAAACCCTGCCCCCTCCCCTGTCAGTACAACTCGCAGCTCGTCAGCCCCCAAAAATAAATAAATCTCCCATAACTAGTACTACGTGCTTAGGTCATAGGTAGTATCAGCCCTACGGAAACAGTGGGTTCCCTGGGTCCCCCAAGTCCCAGCCCTGTGGATCCGATCTCACACACTGCATGGCACCAGAGAGACTGGCCTGAACTAAACTCCTCATGTCTTCTTCCTCTCTGCACTACAGCAGCAGTAGCAGCCAGTGGAGTGAGTGGTGAGTGGCTGTAGTAGTGGCAGTGATAGTGGTCTGGTTCCCTTCCCTTCCCGCGCCGCAATGCTTGTCAGACCCCTAGCCAGCCCTCGAACTGACTAGAGTCTAGGGCTGGAAGCGAGAGCGAGAGTGAATAGCTCTGATTTCGAGATGGAAAGAGCTATATATCACGAGGCCGTCACGGAGGTTCATTCGCGTTGGAAGTTCTCCTTTCATATCTTACAATAACAACACAAAGCATAAAACACTCTCCTTCCGAGTACCATTTCCTTATTGTCTGCTTGTTTGCTTTATTGCTTTCAATCTGTCTACATTTCATTTTCTTTTCTTCATCGGCGGTCCAGACCACATCATCAGGCTTCAGTCGAGCACCTTTGCAGCACCAAGCACCAAGCACCAACGCCATCAACAAGAACAAGAACAAGGACGACGACGACGACGACGACGACAACGACGGTATAGATTTCATATTCATTTCCTTGAATACTTTCCTTCTTCTACTCTGTGGTCTTGCATCGATCTTTCGACAACTTGAACATCACCGAAACACCAACCAACACAACACCTTTCCTTGTCTCGTCGGTCTCTCTCTATTTCCTTGATTTCCTTGATTCTTTTGTCCGTCTGACAAGCTCAATCTCTATCTCCATTTCCATCTCCTTCTGTCTTCGCCATCCTCTCAGCGACGACAACAAGTCCATAGCGACCACAAGCCATCGCCATCCCTAGCTGTCCATCTCGGCTGCCAATCCCACAACCATTTCTGTCCTCACTTTTCTTCTCATACCCATCATCGCCGTCCAAATGGCCATCACAATCGGACGAGGCGGATACAACCGACACCAACAACAGGGGCGTGGCGGATACAACCGGACCGCCAGTGCTCAAGCCCAAGCTCAACAGGGTCGAGGCGGCTATAATCGACAACAGCAGGCCGCTCAAGGCCGTGGCGGATATAACTAGGAGAAAGTCGCCATGCTGGTATCCCTGACAGACTCGGCGAGTCTTCAGTCAATGGCGGAACCATCGATATCGACCGACGGTCGTTCATTATACACTCTTTTCTCCTTTTGGCTCTTGACGAGCAGCTTTTCATTTTCGACATTGTCTCGACGTTCATTTCCCGACACAGAACCTGGATCAAACAAAGTCACAAAAATCAGCATGTCATTCCAATATTTTCAGCGATCGATCAGCAATTCAGCGGCATGTTTCGGCGTTAAACATCTTGTTTGTTTCGGGTGGCGTCCAACCCTGACACTGCTCTGGAAGCGGTATGGCAATTTCAATTTCAACCTCAATCGCGACCTCGACTTCGATGCCGGATCCCCACACATCGTGCATTTTCAGGCATTTGCGGATTTATAGATTAGAACAGATGGTTCGCAAGACCAAAAAGGGAAGAACAGCTCTGGTAGCGGTGTTTGGGGGAATTGAAGACATAGAGACGCAGGCAGAGCCTCGTATAGAGCGGATCAACAGAACAGAATAGATCAAAGAACAGTCGTTTCAGATAGTGGGTAAACAATATCCCCCAGAATCACATGTGAATAGCAATAGTCACATTTCACAACACCACACTGTTTTTCTGGCACTTTCCGTAGTCCACCAGTTGACATGAAGACACACGAGTTGTAGGAAAGAAGTTGAGGAGGAAAGGAGAGAAAGAACTTACTTTTCAAAGACAACTCCGAGCACATCTTCCACGTCGCCCCCTCCGCCTTTTCCTGTAATCTTGGCCAGACAGTCGGCAGCGAACCGGAGATGTTCTGCAGCTGTGACGATGTCGATATCGTCCTGAACGGCGTGCGCACCAACAAGTCCTTCGTGTTCGTCGAGACCACGACTCAGACTCGGATCGACCGAGTGGTGGTTCTGTGGCTGACACTGCTCGAGGAAATCGTCGAGATGATTCAAGCATTGCTTCAGGTACGTGCTTTGGCGATGCGTCACGGATAGAGACGAGGACCAGTAGGACTGTGCCTCGGCTGGAGTCAAGGAACCTGCGGCCTCCCCGGTGGCCGCAGTCGTCAGATCTCCGAATGTGCGTGTCAACTGTGCGAGGAAAGCCTGAATCCCACCGGGATCCGCTTGGTCGGGTTCCTTAGACTCGGACGCTGTCTCTCGGCATGAGATTGGACAGACTCGGTTGGCAAGGACCATAGGAAACCTTTCACTGACATGGGCTCGAAGGCTTTCCAACACTTCAACCCCATGACCACAATGTTCAACCAGGTCCATCTTGTTTAGGACGACAAGGATCATCTTCCCAGCCGCACTGCACTCCTCAACGGCTTCAATGACCTGCGCATTGACAGGGACATCCAGCGAACCGTCAGCCGTTTTCCCAATCGCCAGCAATGCCACAACGACGTCGGAATGTAAGGCGCGCTCGCGGGCTCGACGAATACCTTCTTGCTCGACCAAGCCGACAGGACCAGCACCTGAAATCATGTCTGTGTCAGCGTCGGCAGTGCTACGCAGCCCTGCCATGTCACCTAGTCTGCAGAGCCAGCCATTGATATCCACAGTAACATCGACAATGTCTCGTGTTGTACCTGCTTCAGCACTGACAATGGCCGCCTCTCGACCGACGATGCGATTGAGCAGAGAACTCTTGCCTGCATTCGGCGCACCGAGCAGTGCAATGCTGATCCCATTTCGCAGGAGTTCACCTTTACTGGCATTCTTGATATGAAGTTGGACCTGTCTCTTCAACGCCTTGACTTGTTCCGAGACCGACGTTATGAACTCCACGGGCGATTCGTCAAAGTGTTGGTCTTCAGAGAAGTCGATCAGAGCTTCCAGCTCTCCACGCGCATACAACAGCATTGTTCGCCACTCTTCGTATCGTTTGGCCAGCCCGCCATCTGTGCCACTGACAGCCAGGCGACGCTGCTGCTCGGTCTCGGCGGCAAGTGTTTCCCCCAACGCCTCTGCTTGCGTGAGATCCAATCTTCCATTGTAGAACGCCCTTTTTGTGAATTCGCCCGGTTCCGCAAGCCGGATATTAGCTCTACCACCTTGACTCGTCTTTGCAATCCCAAGATGTTGACTCCCCGGACCACACGCCGATATTGCCTCCAACACGGAACGTACAATGGCCGGACCGCCGTGGACATGCAGTTCCAAGACGTCTTCGCCCGTCACCGTGTTCGGCGCAGGGAAGTACAGGACAAGCGCGCCACTGTCGATGACGCGATCATGAGAGGGTTTGGCATCGTCGGGATCGTAGAGTCTTCGTAGGGTAGCATTGCGAGGTTTAGGGAGCGGTCGGTTGGGACAGAGCCTTCGATACACATCGAGACATGCTGGGCCGGAGAGTCGAATTACTGCTATCGCAGCACGTCCTGGAGCAGAGGATAATGCGTATATAGTGTCAGAGATGGTATCTCTACTGGGTTCGGTACGCCAGGCTTCCAAATCTGAAGCTACCGCAGAGGAAGCATATGAGCGTCCAAACCGGCGAGGCGCAGCGACGCGGACGACGGTTCGCAGGGTTGGCGTAGCATTGCACCGCGTGGTAACAAGTCTGGCATGCGTCACGACCTGATTCCTTGTTAGATGTCGAGGAGCGATGAGGCGTACCATCCGAACGGCAGTGCCAAAGGAAAAGGAAAGGGGAACGAGACTGATGAATGGGTGAATGGTTGGTGTCAGTAGAACAACCGCATTCCCGAGTGGGAAAATTCATGGCACGTGCACCGTAGACCCTTGCGAAGGAGAGTCCTAGTACTGTAGTTCTTTTGACTTGGGGAGACTCTACAGTCATATTATATGCAACGATACAGCCCTGAAGGTGATTGCTAGCGGAGGTCTTGATCAAGGTTGTTTTATTAGATACATTGACAACCGGACTCGCCAACCCGACAAAATGCAAACTGACAGCAACACCATGACACAACAAGCCTCGAACAGGATCATCTCTCACATTGTCCCAAGCACATCCTCCCGGCCCGGTACTGAAGTACTGACACTGGAAGGCCAACACTCCTAGGGTGAAGTGCCAAAGTGTCTCGTTCACCAACACAACAACCATATAGAGAAGATGGGTCGGGCCAGAGTCTGTCAAGAACTAGTTCCTGTAAATCGTTAGCAATCACTTGGGTGGACTGGGGCAATACGTACAATAGTCCCAGAGTCAAGTCGCCATGGATCTTAGCTTTGAGCTGGACCTCGATGTCGAGATTCAAGTCGAGTCGTAGCCGCAGTTGCTCATCAGTGCCGCCACCATCATCTTTGTCCTCCTCTTCGTTCCCACCCTTGTTGTGGAGTAGTCCTCCAAGAGCTTCGTGAGGCTTGCCCACGGCTTTGCCCACATTTCCGACTGTATCGTTGACAGCGTCTCCGGCGCCGTCTACAACGCCGTTCACGGTCTCACCGACTTCGTCAACGGCATCCAGAGGTCCGCCGCCGCCTCCCTGTTGCTGGGTCTGTGCTTGCGCTTGACCTTTTCCACGGTTGCGGTTTCGGTTCCTTCGGGGCTTTTGAGAGACGTCGCTTCTATACGCACTGTCCGTGTCACTAGGTGGCTGACTTGACTGCCGACTACGACCTCGGCTGGCCTGTCTCGACTTTGAGCGCGATTGTTGTTCCATTTTCTGCGGTTGCGGCGTCGGTGTCGAAGGTGCTTCCTGGTCGCCGGCTCCGTCTGCGTCGCCTTCAGCGCCTTCTTTCTGGGGGGTGCCGTTTGATTGAGCCTTCTGCCCAAGTTTCTTCGGCTTTCGTCTCTCCTCAGATTTCTTCGAGGATCCTGAAGCTCCGAGGCTGGCAGCGCCCGAAGCAGATCCAGCAGCGTCTAGGTTGCCGCCGACTGAGGTTTCTTCGGTGTTTTTGGTTTCTTGTTCAGCAGACATGATGGAGAGCGAAGAGGAAGATGTAGCGGAAGGTGAAGATGAGGAGTATGCAGCAACAGGAAGAGTCGACGTAAGATCTTCCAGGTCTATCTGCCCGAGAAAGAAAGGCAGAGAAGGCACAATGCAGGAAATGTAGGATCAATCCACATCGACGTCAGAGGATAGACAGTGTCGGGTGCGACGTCCATGGTGTTGGAGGTGTACACGCGTTGTAGTGACGTCGAATGCCGCTGCTTTTGAACCAGATGCCGCGTCTTGCGCCACAGATAGACAGCGATGATCGAGGCCGGCTTGCCCTAGTGTCAGTTTGCCCAAACGTGGAGGGCCAAGTGTGGACCAGACGTGAGAAAAGGAGGCATGACTGTGGCTGTTGACGGCAGGGATAAGGACCGGAATGTTACGAACACACTGGGGGATAAGCAGAAAAGGACCTGATCAGGGCTAGCTAGGGTCGACATGGCTGTCTGGCAGGCCTCCACTGGCGATGTCACACCAGCCTTCAGCGCGGCCGGCGACAGGGACGCCTACGGACCGTCTTGTTCTGGTGTGGAGTACGTTGTAGGCGCCAGTGGCATTTGTGGTACACCCTGATTACCCCGGCCGATGGGATCTTCGGCAGACGGCAGACGGCATGAAACAAGTGAGGAGCGTCGGCTGGGTGCAGAATTGCTTGTTCAGACGGCGGTGTAGCTTGGAATTTGGACTGGTAGTGTGGTACGTAGTGACAACAGTGGTCGTGAGTGTTTCTCTCTCTCTCTTGTATCAGGGACTCGAAGGGGGAGAAGTCATAACAGGATCGAGACAGCGAGGGAGACGGGAAACGAACTCGGAATTCGGGCCAAGCAAGTCTCCACCACCAGCCACGTGGCATCTCTCCCATTGGCTGCCATCCAACCTCACGTCATTGTCCTCAGGCTGACCCCCTGGATTCTTTCATTCGATCGACGCCACAATTCCAGCTTCGTCCGTAATGAACCAAAGGAGCTTCACACCATAATTGTCAGATCAGCCACAGACCCATGGATCGTCAACTACCCACTGCTGCTGTCCACCGGTTGACGTCCATCAACCAGGATTGTTCCAAGTTCCAAGCTCATGGCCTCACAATCCCATGGCCGCCATCGTCCCGGAAATCTTGGTCCACAAAGAACATCGACGTCTGTGGCCCCCACAAGTGATCTCGCCGCTTGAAGCAGAAGGGTCAAAGGTAGCTTGACTTGCAAGGGACATGGATCCCCATAGCGATGATGTCGTTGTCGGAAGCCTCAGCTCCATTACACAAGTCCAGACTGACTGCTTTTCCCGACATGTCTCCTCGATCTTGCCCTTCGCTGAGCATGTCCATCTCTTGTCCCTTTACTTCCCCTACTCTCAAAGTCCGCCTTTCATAATTGCATACTCACTCACAGACAGTCTAACCTAAATTACTGCCTCTCTTGCTGCCTCTTGATCCTCTGTGGCCAGAATGTCCGAGCCGCAACAGACCCCAACGCCTGAGAAGACTCCCGGGAAAAAGTCAAGTCGACCTCCTGCGCCAGAGCGTAGCATGTCCGAAGTTTCCACCACGTCCGGCGACGACCAAGGCTATGAGTCACGGTCCAGATCGCAGTCTCGACGGAGAAGAAGACAAAACCAGCGACAGAGAAAGGCGACCCAGGGCAGCGCTCAAGCTGGAAATGCCTCGGCTCAATCCATGGCGTCCATCGACGAGGGCGAAGAGAGTCAACAACAAGTAGCCAGGCAAGAGTCGGCGCCGCAACAGCAGCAATTGCAGAGGCCCGATCCGCGTGACATAACGGAAGCACAGCCGTTCGAAAGAATAAAGCCGCCCTCGCAATCCATGGATGGCCCGGTGACGTACGCGCGCATGCTGCGAGGCGAAGTCCCATGGAGAGGCGCGCCGCCCACGCAGCCGCTTGAGACGGCACAGCCCAACGATGCGAAAGACAGCAGTGGAAAGGACCCCATGGATCAAGATGGATTGAAACTACGGTTGGAGCTCAATCTGGACATTGAGATTGAACTCAAGGCCAGCATACACGGCGACCTGACTTTGGCGTTATTGTAAGTTCGCTGGATCCCCTTCTTGATAGCACTGGTCTTAACGCGCTAACCATAGAAATTGATCCTCAGGGCTTGATTTGGGCCTCCCAAAGGTCAAGCTGCCCAACTTACCCAAGTTGCCAAAACTACCGAAACTGCCGTCCCCGGGGTTATGATGAAAAGATATCACTATCAATTGAACTCTTGCAGTGGGCATATCAGCATGTTGTCTCGTATGAAGCCCTGTTGGACCTGGGCGGTCCTAGGATGGACTTTGGCGTTACAGGCTACTAGCATGGATGTCATCGCAGTTGTAAAACATAATTAAAGCATGGCTAGACTGTCCGGTCACCGTGTCTTCGTTGTCCTTTGCTTTGTGTCTTCCTCCGCCGATCGTGCTCGCCTTGCCACTCGACCCCCCGTGGTTCACTGATCTGGGTCGCTTCCGCCTTCGGTTACTTCTGGACAGCGCTGCCATGCTGTCCAAGCTCGCCACGGGCGCGCTTCACCACTCGTTCGATGCCATCAAGCCCCGCCTGTAGAACATCCATCTTCGGCCCGTAGCTTATACGGACAAAGTGGTGGCAAGGGCTGTCGAACAGATTTCGTCTCTTCGACGGGTTCAGGTCGAAGAAGATGCCCGGCACGACTATGGTCTTTTCTTCCAGAAGCGCGTCGAAGAAAGAGAGGCCATTGGAGATGTTGATGGTACTATCCTCAGGCAGAGGTGGGTCTAGGGTGGTCAAGTCAAGCCAGATGTAGAACGTGCTGTCCGGAATCTCTTGGTCGCCTTGATTGAAGCCAATCTCGTTTAGTCGCTTGAGAACGTAATCTCGCTTCATCTTGAAGTGGCGTTGGAGCGCCTGCATCTCGGCTTTGACTTTGGGCGGGTCCAGCATTTTGACTGCAGCCTCCTGAAACGGGACGTTGGTTCCTCCGTCAAGATAGCTCCCGGACGACGCAAGGGCTTTGATGAAAGCTTTGGGACCGATGACCCAGGCCACACGCCAACCAGGAAGTCTGAAGCGTTTGGTCAGGCCGTCGACTAGGATGACATCGTCCTTGTCAACGTCCATAACGTTGCTGGCGGCCGACATGGTGGTACCGTCACAATCCGAACTGTAAGTGTAGCCTGCGTAGAACTCATCAAAAATCAACGTAGCTCGGTCACGACAGATGTCCTGTATCAGGGACAGTTCGTCCGCAGCCAAAGCATGGCCGGTAGGGTTGCGTGGATTCGAGGTCAAGATGACAGAAGTCCCTCGCGCAAGCTCATCCGCAATCTTATCAGCATGGATGTGGTAGCCATCGGCAGCAGACAAGGGCGTAGGGATGGCCACGAAGTTTCGGAACAAGCTCAACATCTGCAGCCTGGTAGTCAGCATAAGTCGCCAGCTTGACCCAGTCAACGAATAACAATACCTCGTTGTAGGCAGTGTAGTCAGGGATGAAGAACCCCAAGTACGAGTTGCCCAGAATCGCAGCGATCCTGATCAGGCCTGCTCTTCCCCCGGGTACGATGCACACATTCTCCCAAGTGTACTGGGAATCTTTCCCCTTGCGGTAGTTGTCATTGTACAGGTTTGCGACTGCTTCCCTGAGTGGCTTGATCCCCGCGGTGGGTCCATATTCTTGACCCTTCAAGGTGATGGGGATCGATGTCGGACGAGGAAAGCAACCTTCAATATCATCACCAACTTCTGGGGCGCCTTGGCCAAGGTTGGCCCATTTCTCAGGCTCGTCGTTGTACCCATGTTTCGCTGCTTGCTCTGTCACCCTGCTGGATGTTAACGGTAGGACGAGGTGAAATTAGGGAACATGGAGTACCAGATGACGCCAGTACTCGTCCTAGAGTTGTCTAAGCCTGCATGGGCCTTGTGGGAAGGGTGAGATCTCAGATTTTGGTGAGGGCTGGACGAATGCTCATCCTCTGGGTGCAGGGAGAATCGACGACCATCGGAACTGACATGCAATGCTGACCTCAATGCTGACACTCGCTTAGTAGAGGAAGAAGTCATGTTTGAGGAAGCAGTGGCAGAGGATGAGCGGTTGATCAGGTATCTTGTACGTTAGGTACTTAGCACTAGTAGTTCACAGAGATGCAGTGTCCGATGGATGTCTGGGGAAGTGTGGAGCATGAGTGACGAAATGCGAGGTAGTGCCAAAGCCAAGCTTCCCCAAACAGTGGTTAAATTTAAGCTTAGTTTAAAGTTGGCTCACTGACCAGCACAGTCTCAGAGCGTTGTTTCAAGCTTAATAAGATGCATAAGTTTCTATTGATTGTCCTGATGTCCAGGAAGTTGAACTCATTGATTCATCGTCAAACCAAACAGGCTTCTCGCCGCAGTACTCATTTCATCAAGTCGTCAATTTTAACATGTCTTTGATGCAATGCTCCAGCCAAACAGATTTCTTGTCATCCTTTGGCCTTCGCAACTGGCTTCTTTGCAAAGAAGTCGCTCATCTTCTTCATGCCAGTCACATTCACCTTCTTCAAGTCCCGGACGCCTCGCGATTCGCCCAGATTTTTCTTCTTGTCTTCCTCCTCCTGTTTCCTCTTCTTCTCGGCCCGCAAGTCCGAGATTTCTTCGTCATCAGGTCCTCGTTTCCTGCTGAAGTCGCCAATTGACCTAGAAGCTAACGCTTGCGCTCTCATCTCCGCCAGAGAGCTGAGATGCTCCTCCAGCGGCGTGAAATTGACTGGCGAATCTTTCTCGAGTACCCGCTTCCGCAGACGATCTGCCAATGAAGCTGGCAAATACGATGCCAAGATGAAATCGAGTACAGTCTTGCGTTTCTTTAGATCGCGTAGCGCTTGTGGCACGGCTTCAGGGATGACAGTGCTGACCGAGCTAGCCGTAGAGACCTCCGACAGGATTGTGGACGGCGCTGAACTAGCAGCGGTTGACTGTGAGTCGAAGCTTTCAGACGGCGACTCGCCATCCGGTGTTGCTAGTCCCGAGTTCGTGGGCGTTATCGAAACGGTTGACATGATCGTATCCTCTCTCTTTACACTCATCACAGGCGTCTCCAAAGCTCTGGTCACAAACTTCTCTTCCAGGCTGCCTGGCAAACCCTTCTGCATGGTTTTGTCGACTTTCTGCATTATCATCCGTAGGGTCTTCTCTTCGTTGGGTCTGTACATCTGCTCGTCCCCAGCCTCAAGTGTGTCACAGAAACTTGACATGGCTTCTTCTATCATGCTTCGTCCGTGGGTATATATGTATCGCAAATGCTTGTCTCCTTGGATGTGTTGCTCAAAAATGTCGTCGATGGGCTGAAACAGCATCTTGCCTGAAGGTGCCTTTGCCGGCATGACCAGAGGCAGTAGGATAAAAGCCAGATCGAAAGGAGTGGCCACAAAAAATCCCGCGCTTTTACTTATATACCCTCTGCTCACTGGCTGCTCGGCACGGTTGTTGTCGTCCAGCGTTTTTGCGCTGTCTGGTCCATCGCAACCGGCTGGTGAGAAAAGAAGACTCCGAGGATCGATCGATGGTGTATGGACTTTCGTAAATTGAAATAAGCCTCTTTCCGGGCAGAAGAGAAAACGCTCCACAGTAGAGTCTCGAGGATGTGACAGGAGTAGAAATCGTGAGCTGTCGCTGATATCTCTAGGTAGGATGAAATGTCTCAAGGGCTCTCTTTGCGTGTTGGATTCGGCGGTAGATGTGTCTTTCGAGTGATTCTTGACGGGACTATTCACGCCTGAGCGCGTTGCGATAGCCATTTCGATCAGCAGGACTCAACTATCGAAGATACAATGCGGAATCTTCTTTGATCGACCGACGGGCGCATGGCGAGTAAGATGCAATCAAGTCGAACTCGAACTCGACCGTCTCGATGCCAAGCCGGGCGCGACGCGTCTGAATAATCTGAGACGCGTTCCCGTGGGCCAATCGGAGCAGCCAGAACCCTCCGCAAAGGCACTGTCCAACTGATGTCCATTGATTGACACTTTGATCTTTATCCTGCGCTTCATGTCCTAGCAGCGACATGCGGGAGTGGATACGAACGGTCTATGCCTTCAATGATACTCATGATTTGACGAACATTGTGTGGAAGCGTTGCATGATTTAATCTGGGTGCGCCCAGATCATAACAAACAAACAACAGCGGATACACTTCAACTTGGCCAAAGATCCCGTCCGGCTCAGATCTTCAACGAGAACGAAAATCATGTCTGATGGAATCCCGTGGCCTCCCGTTTCCCCCCGTGCAGCACTCCTGAGTTCGCCCAGCGGGCGGAGAAAGTACGAGGCATATCAGAGTTCCTATTCCCCCGTGAAACGAACCGCATCGACCCCTAATCTCCTCGATCAGCTTCGAGCGGCTCGAAAAGACAAAGAGTTCTCATCTCAAGACGAGAACATGGAGGAGGAGATCGAAGAAGATGAAGAGACTCTACAACTGAAACTGGCCGCCATCGAGGCAAAGTTGAAGTTGAAGAAGCTGCAGCAGAACAAAGCCCGAGCAGCTACTCCCGGGAGAGTCTCCTCACAGTCAAGCTCGGCCCATGGCTTTGATTCAGCGGTATCGAAGCCTCATGCCAGACATCAGGAGCCCTTACCAGAGCCTGCAAAAGTGGAGGTCAAGGGATCGCCCGTCAGAAGAGCACAGCCATCCGTACAACCGAGATCTCCTTCGCGTGTTTTGCTAGGAATCGATAAGGGCATGCGCGGCAGCGACATTTCACTCCGCAGGGCCAACACCACGGCCGGGGCTAGTCGCACGAGAACCGAATTTCCCGTGGTTGGCGGCGACCGACCGTCCTCACGATCGTCAGCATTCAGTTCCGCCCGCTCGGCCCTAACCACGAAGTCTACATTCAATGATAGAAGCGGCGGCAAGACGTTCAGCGAGAGAATGGCCGAGGCACGCGAGCGCACGAAGACCTCCGAGCAACGGCGCGAGACGATCAGCCGCAATCGCAGCAAGGGGCTTGAGCTGGACCAGGCGGAACTTGAAAAGTATCGGTTAGCTGCTGAAGAGTCTCGAAGTCGCGAACCTCCAAGATCACCACGACGCATGACCCAACATGAAGCATACAGTCGGGAAGACATCCTCAAGGCCGCAAAGGAAGCGACCACGAAGACGCGCCTGTTGGAAAAGAAGCAGACGAAGTCCAACCACAATGCACCGCTCTCGAGGCCATCACCTCGAGACTCCGATACGGCCGTCCCAGGTCAAGCCGACAGCTCGCTATTCGAAAGGTTCTCGCAACTGCACCTCACGTCGCGCATTTTACCACACTCCTTCCTCAAACGTACCCTCCCCTCGGACAAATTCACAGTGCTGCGCGTCCCCGATCTCCTGAGACAAGTCAAATCGCCCGACTTCGATCTCCCGGAGACGATATGCGACTACGTCGTCTGTGGGGTGATTGCGTCGAAATCCTCGCCTATGGACCAGAAGGCGCCACCACCGGACGGGTCCACGGTCGGCACGAAGGACTGGGAACGGCAATGGGAAGACGGGTCCAAGAACCAGCGACGATTCATGGCCCTGACTATCACGGACCTCAAATGGACCGTCGACCTGTACCTGTTCGGGACGGCATTGCCGCGCTACCACCGCCTCACGCCAGGCACTGTGGTGGCCATTCTGAACCCGGGGATCATGCCGCCCAAGCACGGCAAGACAGACACCGGCGCCTTCAGTCTGTCGTTGAACAGCGGCGACGATACGGTCCTGGAGATCGGCACGGCCCGCGATCTGGGATATTGTAAGACGGTGAAGAAGGACGGCAAGGAGTGCGGCAGCTGGGTGGACGCGTCCAAGACCGAGATCTGCGAATGGCATCTGAACGCCGAACTCAACAAGACTCGCGCCACACGCATGGGCGTCAACACCGGCACCAACGGCTTCGGCGGGACCGGGGCCGGCAGTCATCGGTTCTTCGATAGAACCAGAGCCTTCTCCAATCAGCGCAACAATGAGCTTTTGCCTAAAGACGGCCACAGATACAACAAGTTCACGGGGAGTCATTTCTACATTGCTCGCTCCAACACTGGACCCACGGCAGGTGGTCGTCGCACTGCTGGTGGTGGCGGGGGTCTGGGGTTTGGGCTGGACGATGACCCGTTCATTCCGGCAAGGGAGCTCGAGCGTGATCGAGACGAGCGACTTAGGAAACATTTCGCCACGCAGGAAAAGGAACGCGAGATCGCCGAGAAGCTGGGTGCGGGATGTCATGCGGGCAGTGGCGACGCAGGGGCTGCATATTTGCGCCACAAAGCAAACAAGTCTCGCGCTGGACCTGGAGAAGACTCTCGCGGCTCAGGTCCGAGTGAGAACACCGCCGGTGACTCGTCGTTGTCTCACAACGACATTCCCTTTTCCCGCGGCGCAATTCTCTCACACGATATCAAGGACGCTATGGCCACCGGCACTGGGGGCGGGATCTCTCGCAAACGTACCGCCGCCGATGTCAGGCTGTCACCGGTCAAGAAGACGCGCTTCGTCACCTCTCGAGGCATCAAGGAGGCTGGCCGGGAGAGTCTGGGCGCCAGTGTCGCCGCCGCCGCCGCTATGTCTGCATCTGACTCTCGGAAAGCGCATGCTCGTGGTGATGTAAGTGGTAGCGAAGATGATTTGGAGATTGTCTGAGGGCTGCGATGTGACCACCTAGTTGAGTGAGAGGCGCTCGATCGTCCAGGTAGGTATGCCTAGGCGGTACTATGGTAGCCTGGTCCCTTACTGACCTGTCGATGGGATAAGATGGCTTGTGATGGGTGTGGCATACTATAGTTGCCGCTTATCCGCTACCATTGGATACCTTGATGTTAGTGTATGTTGGGATGCGGTGTGAAGTGCATTACCGGACTCTGTACGGATCATCATCGTTGCCTTTGTCCTGGTCATTGGCTGTCATGCCGTTCCATAGACAGACGACAAGACCTTCTCCTCTTACGGGAGACGACTTGAATATTACAGAGTTATGTCGTGATGCGTTGCTCTGCGCTATGTTGCTTCCACGAGGCTCCATGATTTCCCTTGAGGATGACGAGCATGAACGATTCGATATCGCTTTGGACTCAAGATGGAGGACTCAAACGGGCGTGTCTGGTGTCTTTCTTGGATCAGACAAATTGTCAAAAATTGGGGAAACAGAAATAGCAACGAAGACAAGAAGCAAAGCAGGGATACGGGAAAGGGTTATGGTAGTCTCTCATTGACTAGCTCTTCTGGACCTTCTAGATGACGGCTGTTATCCGTGTAATCAGTCTGATGACAAGTCACTGCAATCTGAGATCCCATCGAGGCTACCTCCAAGCTCCCTCGCCGCCGGCCTGTCCATATTGAAGTAGAAATCCACTCTTCAATTCTCCCCATTGGTGACATAGTGTCCACTACCCGTGGCTAGGATACCCGATACGTGAAGTAGGAATAGTGAATTTCGGTGCCCGGCCAGGAGTACCAGCAGGAGCAGCAGCAGCAGTGGATGCACGACGTTGACCATCTGCAGTATTTCTAGGCGCCGGGCCAGGAGTAGTAGCTACCTGATCGGTCACCGTTGCACATATCACTGCAATGGATGTTACTTGATCTTGCGGTAATTAAAACAACGAAATCAGCGCCTTGACTCAGGAGCAGGCCGCCAGACCAATCGGTACAGCTTCATTTTCATTTTTTCCATCAATTTGAGACCTTCAGATGGCAACCAGCCTCACTTGTATGCAGCTGCTCGCCAATACAACGGCTAAAGGAGCAGCGGCTGAGCATGGAGTTCGGACGTTGCTAGTAGCGAACGTGTATGGCGCACTCGAACTGGCGACTGAAGAGCTGATGTCAATTTGTAGATATCTGTGATACCTGCCAGATCTGGTTTCGGTGGACACACGTGACCACTTTCTTTTTGCCCTCTCCCACGCACCATCGACATGAGGAAGCAAAGCCTGCGTCAGTCAAATCAAGCCGTGTGGACGTTTGAGACTCTTGATCGTATGAGTTCAACTCTGACAAGCCCAGATAGATCTATTTTCATATCGTGAATTCTGTAGAGAGCCTGGCATCCCACCGGTCTATCATGACAGCACCACAAGAATCCCTAGCTCTGCTGGTCACAGCGCTAAAAGTACATCAATGAAACCTCCTTTTTCTATTCCAAACAAGACCATTATATTTTATCATTACAACCTCAGCAGAAGATGTGCCACGCCTTCTTCCACCAGGGCCACGTGGCCTGAATTCTGCGCTCCTCCTCCAAAATCTCCTTGAGGTTCATCTCCCTCCTGCCGCTGGTGATATCAATATCTCGGGCCCTGCGGATTTTGGTTTTCATGATGATCTTGTAGCCGAAATACATGACCATGACGATCGGGGCGGCCAGGTAAACCTCGAAGAAGTTCTCCACTAAATCGGAAGCACTCATGTCGGCGTAACCGATGGGAGCGAAACCCGTCCAGAATTGAGCAATCAGGATGAGAATGTTCATGATCAGACCGAGCCAAGAGCCGTAGACCGTCGCTTGAGACCTAAAGGCAAGTTCATCCAGGGTGTGGCCGGCTAGTTTCCAGGCTCTACGAAACCGGATATGACAGAGGCAAATGGAACCCCTGAAATCAAGTCAGTAAACGACAAGGAGCCAAATGTAGGGATTGAGCTGAGCCTTACCATGTAAAGATGGAGGCGAGACCGCTGATTGCGATCATCCAATTGAATGCTTGAGTCTCCGTGTCCGGCCCAGCCGCGACAATATAGCAGAGAAACCCTAGTAGAGAAGCAACAATAATTGCGACCAAAGGACGCCCGGTGCGGTCAACATAGCCCAGGATTTTGGGAGCCTGGCCCATATCTGCGAGAGCGGCGAGCGTACGGCTGGCGCCATAAATCGACGAGTTTCCGACAGATAGAACGGCAATAAGGATGACGACGTTCATGATGGAGGGAACTGCATCAATACCGGCATTGCGCACAGCAATGACGAAAGGGGAAGCATTGGCGTCGGCGGAACTGCTGCCGTTGAGCAGGGAGGGGTCATTGTAAGGAACCAGTACACCGACAATCGTGAGGGAGACCATGTAAAACTGGCGTGTGCCGTCAGCAATAGTACCTAGTGATTCAAGGGAACACAGATGCCTTACCAGAGCAATCCGCCAAAAGACCTGCTTCACGGCGGTAGGTAAGGACGCCCGAGGGTTTTCAGTCTCCGCGGCAGCCAGACCAACCAACTCGGTGCCCGAAAAGGAGAAAGCGGCCGTCACGAAAACGGAACAAAGGCCTTTGAAGCCATGGTGCTGTGACCCCCATCAGTTCTTGTTTTTCCACCATTGGTGGCTTTGGTACTTACAAATGCACCTGGGTCATACCAGTAATGGGCGCCTATATAGCCTCGATGATCGCCGGGCACGCCGCCCGTATCGATGATAATGCCGAGGATGATGAATCCAAGGACGGCGAGAACCTTGATAATGGAGAAGACAAACTCGGCTTCGCCGTACCCTTTGACTCCGAAGAAGTTGATGGCGATAATCACGGCGAGGAAGATCGTCACCCAGGCGGCACTGTTGGTATCTCGAGAGCCGGGCCAGAATTGCAGCGTGAGCGACGCAGCCACAATTTCCAGCGGCAGCGTCACCAGCCATTGAAGAGCATAACTAAACACCTGTCAACGTCTTGGTTTCGCGCGGCAATCACGTCGCACTTACTTCCAACCCATAGCAAACCCCCAGGCTGGATCAAGAAATCGACTCGCATAGACGGAAAATGCTCCAGCCACGGGAAATGCCACCGCTAGCTCGCCCAAGGCTTGCACGGTGCAGAAAAGCATGATGCCGATCAAACCATACGCGAGAATCAAAGATGCCGGGCCTCCTGTCGCAAGAGCGGATCCCGAGCCAACGAACAGACCAGTTCCTACCATCTAATCAGCAGTGTCCAGGCAAGTGTATCGTGGTGGACGAACCGATGGAGCCTCCAATGGCAATCATTTGTAAATGTCGGCCCTTCAGCTTCATAGCGAGGGCTGGCTCGGCAACAGGCTGATCTGCGAGAGGCTTGCCATCAGCGTCGACGGCGTTGGTGGTGACTCGCGCATTGGGATTTCGCTTGAAGCTGTCCACGAAGCGACCGAACGCGGTGGGTGCAGGCGGCAACTCGACTTTGCCTTGCGCGACCTCGAAACGAGGGCTTGGGGTCTCAGCCCCTGCCTCAATGTCCTTTTCCATATTCCAATAGAGAGTGTAGTTGTAGTGTGTAGTGATCTATGTATATCGAAGATGCTTCAGTGTCTGGCAGTTAATGAAAGCAGTCGACGACCTTGACGGAGCTTGCCCTCATATTAAACCATACGCGAGAGCGGGACCAGGCGAAATAGTCGGCCAGATGCGATGGGCCAAGAATGCATACGGCGAATAGAAAAGAAGAAGGCAATCAGTAAGAGGGGATCCATGGGTGGTATGGGTAAAGGGTCGAGGGTCGAGGGGAAAAATTGCGTAGGAGGAATCTGCGTATGGGAAGATGTTCAACGTAATGGAGGCAAAAATTGGGATCTGATACTCTGCAAGGCTACCTCACCAGAAAAATCCACACCCTTGACAGCCAGTGCCAGGACAGATTTATGCGGAGAGCGGCAAAGCCGGCCGTGCCAAATGGGTGTGGCAAGACAAATTGACTCCAGTCACACCGACATGAGGATCCCTGGCCGTCAGCCTCGTGGAGAAACGCTTTGTAAATTGATTTCTCACGTTATCATTGCAGGGTTGCACCACCATGTCGATTTGCGTTTTGATGTTAGTAGTGAGGTAGAGCAGCGCATGTGCGGTTTGTACAGAGTCATGTTCGGCCTCGTCGGCCTCGAACCGACCAACACGGTAGCCGCTTGCCGTCATGGCTGCTGCGTCAATGGCATCGATTGCATTAATGCCATTCATCCGGGCTAACGAAAATCTCATGGAAGCATCACAGAAGCTTCCACAGAAGCTTAGGCCCGGCCAACCGTGTCGTCGAGAGGCCCATCGATAATAGCCGCAGCACCCGGTACACCTGCCACAATGTAGACCTGGCGTAAGCGCACATAACTGCCAGTCGTTAGATACAGAGTAGACCCTGAAGGAATCGATTAACGCCGGCGATGTACCTCAGCTTGAGGTAGCAGTCAGAGGCAAGACGATGTGGATGCGGTGGAAACTGCCAGTGTATTGGCATTGTGGCAGTGGGAACGTGATCGAGATTTCAAAGGAATGAAGACAACAAACTTTGTCACCGCCGTTCTGCCGGTGGTCGGAATGGAAAAACTCTGTTCCGTGCTGCCGCTAAACTTGGCATCAAAAAAACACCTCATCTTCCTGAGCTTTGGATGAAGGACAATTTCAAATCACAGTACAGTCCAGAAGTACGTACATGGAGGCAAGGTCGGGTCTACTTGGAGCCTCCTCCTCAGGCCTGGTTCGTGACCTCTGATAGCCTGGCACTCACTCAGTCTGTGCATTGGGCCCCCATTCTTGGGGCACATTGTGGCAGGACACCAGTAACCTTCTAACCGCACCAGCAGCTTTGAGAGGACCGGAGGACTCCGTTGACATCGAACTCTACCGCATACCAGGCTCACCGACGACTCGAGCATTGAGAAGCCCTATTTTTGGTAATGCCATCGAAAAAGGGATACAGACAATATGTGCTGGGTGGTTGGATTTACGCCTGCTGCAGCCTGGGACGTGGACGTAATCAGGAAGACTGCCTTTGCTGAGTGTTACTAGCACAGTAGTACAACAGAGACGACTTGTCCAGCTACGGTTGCAAACTCGGCCTTCCCAAGGCTGAACGCATAATCTACTCGAGAATTGGTGGGGGGGAAAGAGGCCGACATTGAGTGGTGTCCCGAGAAGACAGTCTAGCCAGGACTGGAGTCTACCTTCGATCTAGAAATCCATGTGTTCGCCGTAGTTTCGCCCAAGTCGATGGACACAACGAGATCCGAAGCAAGAGCCACAAAGTTGATAAGGTTGTAGGTCAATGAGAACAACAACGACAACAACATCGATGATACCTGTTGCGCCTTTTGCGCCTGTAGCTGAACACCAGCCATTATTGCTGTCAGCTGAGATTGCAGCAGAGTGTGGCTGGGCAGTATTAGTCGAAAAGATCAGCCTTGCCGCGGAAATACTTCTGGCTAGGTCCCCAAAACTTGCCAGCTGGGTTGTTCTCTCACGATGATGTATAGTTGCTCAGAGCGACCGGCAATATGAAGCCGGGGTAGTGGTACAAGGGACTGGAGCAAAACTGGCCGTAAGGTTCTGATGGCAGGTGATAGTGTAGAGGGAGAGACGGGCTGAAGCGGTACATCGTTGGTCTATAGACGTCAATGCGAAGAACATTTTGGGACTCACTTCAAGTGTCAATGTGTCTCGGCGCCGTGCTGGCGAGTACGATTGGCCTTTGAAGTGGAAGAATTGACGAGTGAGAATCGTAATGGAAGAAGGATGAGAGTCTGGCAGCCAGCAGTTTGCATAGTACGACCAGTAACCAAGCACAGCAGCCATACTGTCATACTACCTTAGGTACTATAGTGGTTAGCATCCCAAGCGTGCGGCGGGTGAAGGCGCAGGCAGACGCCGCAGGCACAACCGCAGGCACGGACAGGCGGGGTCGCATCGGATGCATCCTGGATATCCATCCACTGGCGCTATTACGTAGATACCTGTACCTATGCCTACCAGGTACTGTAGCTGGAGTACTACACAGTGGCCAATTCAAACGGCCGTCACCATCATCATTTCTCTTGTTCATTCCTTGTCCCCTCGCAATTTCTCTGATACTCGGCTCGTCGGTACAAGGGCTTCTAGTAGGGCTTCCCGGACAGTAGGGTCGGGGAAGCATACCTAGGTAGGTAGTTAAAGCCTTGCAAGTTCAGTCCCGGCACAGGGGATCCAGCCCGAGGACCCGCGCCTATCAGACATTGGAATTTGGTAGTAGGGTGAACTACAGTTGATCGCTTGCGCGTGGAAGAGCAATTAGCAAGGATAGTCGACGCCTAAATTCATGCCTAAGGTCGAGTCCTACAGAGTTCAAGCTGCAAAGTGACAAGCCCAGATGCGATGAGAATGGGGCGAATGAGGCTAAGGAGCTAATATCCAGCTGTGATTTGGTGATTTTCCTACCTAACGCACCCGTCGACGCCTCAATCCGCCTCAAGTCCCCCAACTTGGATGCCAGTGCTACTCCATACTTCCCATCACAACTCGAGTGTGGCCCGAGTCTGATCTTAGGTCCCCGTCGACGTCGACTGTTCGTTCGCTTGCTGGTCTGGAGCAGTGTTTGGCACTGACATCCATCCGCTCTTGCTCGTCAGCCACTTCGGCGTCTTCGGCCGCTTCCACGATTCGCATGCGACGGGCATGCCATTACTCTTTTCTGCGCCTGCTCTCTCCTCGCAACCTCCTCCACACAACCAACCACCAACCACCGACCATCAGCAATCTGCAACCTTCCCTTGCTTGTTGCCGCGCTCACTTTCCACCTCTCACCACAATCCTGACAAACGACTGCACTAAGAGGTCACATTCCCTCGGTTTTCGCATCTGTCCCTCCATTGAGCGTGCCCTCTCTATTGTTTACGGCGACGGCCTTGATCCAACGACGATATACTAGCTAGCCAGCCGGCGCTTGTCGCATTGCAAGAAGACGGCGAACATCACACGAATCTTGCCGTATCCAACTCGAATCGAGGCTACGAAGTTCAGTAGCACGCCCTCCTGTCGCAATGGATGCCATGCGATAATGCAACACGATGATCACACTCATTCTCTCGTCATCCTTCACCTGATCATGGTCCCGGACGCTTCAACCCATCCGTTACCTTAATTTTCGGCCGCCATGGTCTCAGAATCTACCGTTAGCAGTCACGTTTCTCTGATTTCCCTCGATCCCGTACTTGCCAGTCATATCACGGGTGCCACGACCATTCCTGCGACCTCCCAACAAAGCTCTAGTCCGAGAAAGAGCACCAAGACTCCAGATTCCGTTCTGTCCCGCAGACATTTTAGGAACAAATCTGCCCCCAATGGCACACAGAAGAAAAGATCAAACTCGCTCAGGCGCGCAAAGAATAGCACCGAAGTATTGAGGCAGCGTTCTACCAAATCCGGCAGGAAAACAAGACCTCTTGAACCTATCGCAGACACCAGAGAAGGTCGCAACTTCACGATCGGTAATGTTGGTACCGGAGGCATCCTTTACCTGAGGTATGACTTGCTAAACCACAAGCGTGGTGAAGTCCTGTTGCTGATCTTGTGCTAGACCCTCAGCCCACCAACGACATGTACCGCCTCAGACCCATGTGGTCTCACCAATCGTGTCGGCCGTACCGTTCACCGCCCCTGCGTTCCTGCAAACTGGAGACCAGATTGTCGTCAAGACCAGACGACCGAGCGATCCTTCGGATGTGTTATCTCAGCCGCGCTCCGCCTCTCCGACGAACGGATCGACGAGGCATTCGGTTAGGGCACTTGCAAGGGCGTATCATGGTCGTTCACAATCATTTTCCACGGTGGAAGAGCGTCGCCAGTCCCTGTCCGCATCGAAGTCCAGGACTTTGAAAATCGTCATCAATCGTCCAGACACCGCCCAGCAAGATGCAATGGAGAAGTTCCCTCGGGAAGAAAACAACGAGACGTTACCGACCTTGGAGGTACCAATCCCACACTATCGAATCGGCACCTTTCGCTTTAGTTCCCATGGAACTCCCATGCTGCGGAGCTCCTCCTATACCCGTGGCTCTGCCACCCCTTCGGACGTGACGCCTACTGCGGCTATGATGCAAGCCGACTATTGCTTTGGCGGTCCTGCAGCGTCTGGAATTAGGGGACTCGCGAAACTAGAGACTGGGTCAATGGCGCAAGCGGAAGGCGTCTCGCAAATAAACTCTCACCGCCAGACTTCGTTCAAACCAACGTCGAGGACAGTCTCCACCTCGACCAGCCAGGCGTCGCCCAAGCTGTTTGACGATCTGAACGCCGTGTACGATGACCCATCTGTTGTTCGATATTGTCAGAATGTGCGAGAGATCACTGCGGCAACTCCTGCTCGGATCATTGCTCAAATCTCCTCGGACTCGTTCATGGATTATGAACTTGTCTCTGATTTCTTCCTGACCTTTCGATCGTATATGTCGACATACAGCGTTCTCGACCTATTGCTTGCGCGCCTTCGGTGGGCGATTGGTCGCCTGGAAGAGGATGGGAGGATCATCCGGGTGCGGACCTTTGCGGCTCTCCGACATTGGATTCTGAATTATTTCATGGACGATTTCTTCCCCGATCGTTGTCTGCGTGAGCGCTTCTGTGACGAAATTAACCAGCTATATGCAGACGTCAAGGCAAGCCCGCAACATGGGTTTAGTGACCTCAAGCTTTTGCGTGACTTGAAGCGCTGTTGGAACGGCCGCTGCTCACTCTGCTGGAACCCGGAAGACTTTCAACTGGACGGCGAACAAGAAGACGACATTCAACCAGGAGGTACAATGGATTCGGAAGACACGGTGACACCCCGCGTTAGTACTTATCCTGTCCGTGCACAATCTGGAGCACTCCAGGCAGAAGTCCTGCGTGGTCCCTCTCACAGCAGGTTCGAGGCTGATCCAGGTGTTTCGTCGCATATCATCCGCAGGAAGTCCGCCTTGACTGACAGGGATCCGGATTCTCTGACGACTGATGGTAGTGTGCAAGTCAACTCCTGCTTTGCGCCAAAGCATCTGCTCAAGTCCAGTGGTGACCATGACGTCTATCGCAAAGGCCCGCACCTAGTGTCGGTTCAGCAGAGGCGTAAGAACGCCCCTGCGAATCTTCAGGTGCAGACGCAGCCAACGTCGTTGCCCAAAGGCCCAAGTCACAGGCGAGGGGCGAGCTCAATTGATAGCAACAGGGAGCCTACACCCCGAAAGAGTGATGCTGATTCACCGGACCTGGTTACCGAAGACGGAAGCATGATTCGGGGGCTGCTGTACAGCCCAAGTGCCCCATTTGTCCAGATTGTGTCGTCCGCTTCGACGCAGTCGCTCGATAGGAATGAGCAAGCAGGTATGCGAGGGGTTGCTGCAAGGGAGCATGGTACGCTTCCAGCCCACCATCAGGTTGGGAGGAATATCTTTGGCTCTTTGCGGAAAGTCTTGGGCAACAAGCACGGGAATGTCAACGTGACACTTTTGAATGTTTCGCAATCCTCCCCAGACTCCCCAGTCCGAGGCCACAAAGCGCACCTACCCCTCAACGTCTCAAAATCTCACGACGAGTTACGCCACAAAGCTGGGACGGCAATGTCTAGAAAGGGTGAAGTCAGGATTGATCTTCTGTGTGCCGCGGTCTGTCAGAACTACGAAAAGAAGTTTCCCACGAAACGTCGAATTACTTATGGCCCACTCTTTGCAAGCCACCCTCCTTTCCAGCCAACCGTGGACGGTGTCGACCGGGCCACAGCGCCACGGCAAGTCAGTCACGCAACAGCCGAAAGCGGTTCTATTCTAATTGTGGACGACACCGGTGTTGATTTGGCCACAATGTCGGGTGCCCTCCCAACGGCGGATAGTAGTGTAACTGGACAAGTTAGCGGTATGCTGCCTAGCCTGCCATTTCCCGATGGACATGATGCAGCTACCGTGGACCTTCGAGGTGGAAGCCTTGACGCGGTCGCAACTCAGAGAAGTTCGAACGCCCTTGGGGATGAGATGGACCTCTCAGGAGTTCTCCGAGTGGAAAATATAAGGGAGACAGACGCAGCGGATTTGGCTTCTATCGGACGGCTTTCTGGAGACAGTTCTAAATCAGCAGATATGGGCAGCAGGCCTGTTTCGCGGACGACTGCCAGTTCCAGAACTGTCCGGGATCCCGTGGTGAATATCTCTGAACCGGTCGAAAGTACGTCGGTAGATGGCCTATCAGCTCTCAGACCAGATGCAGAATCTGTACAGAACGAGCAGGAGAAGGGCTCAGGCGGGACAGAGCCGAAGCCTCCCTCTAATCGACTGAGGCGACGACCGGGAGGAGATTTGCGTCATGTGGAGAATGTGCAAGAGCTGGATCACGCCGTCCACCGCATTTCCCATGATACAGCAAGCGCAGTGTCCGACTCATCTCATGAATCCTTGCTTATCATGAAGACAGAGCCCGGCACCCAAGGTGCATCGCCGAGTGGCCCGCCACCCGACAGAACGGTCTCCATGATCAACACCCATTCCTCACAACATCTGCGACCTTCTTTCGAGGCTGCCGTCGCAGGTTTCTCGGCGATTCCCGACGATGACGATGGTGGGCTCGAAGCGACGCTGATGAAGCTGGAAGGGCGATATGAGAAGAAGTCCCCACCACTGGATCAACACCCTCTCGATACCTCGGGGAAACGGCGGTCGCTGCCGGATTTGAGTCCGAGCAATGCACACGATTATGCTCTCCCCGACGCGCCAATGAACCTTCTTGAACCCTTCTCGCGCCCGACCAACGACCAGGTTCGCGCCACAGTCGATGAAGTGGCGTCTGAGTCGTCGCAGGACGAGGATGAGAATCAAATGACGACCTTCAAGGCAGCAAGTTCAAAGCTTCCCTCATCGCGGAGGTCATCCATCTTTGGGCTTCCTACTGAATCTGTGGTAGACTCAGAAGATTCTTATGGCTCTCTCCCTCTCTTGAAGCGCGAGACCGGTCACGAGAGTGCCGGCCCACCCTTACCTCTGGACGTTGATGTCCAACCCGCAGCAGTCGCGCCCGGATACTTTCCGCAAGATCCTCCGCAGTTGTTTCATCTCCCTAAAGGGCCACCGCCAAGTGCAACCAGGAACCGTAGCAGTGTGCCCAGACCATCCACAGCGAACGAAAGTGCTCAATCTTTTCTGCTCGATGAGGACGAGAATCTCTCCGACTTGTCTTCAGAAATCTCTGTTGACATCATCAACCATGCGGATGTTACTGACCGTTCGATTCAGCCTATGCTAGCTGCACCAGGGACCGCTATTTCCGGACTCGAACTTCCAACCCACCCGTTGACCTATGCCTCAGTGGTCAACCTCAATATCCCAGAGGAATCCGCTCGAAGCTCAGACCCGGTCCCGGTCCCTCCGATCAACGCTGCAGGTGCGAAGCAAGCACCATCCCTTGAAGCCCCCCAGCTGCCTCCATCCGAAGATCTCTCTCGTTCACAGCCACTAGCCCGTCTGCCGGCAGGCCCGGCACACGTTCCCTTTGTTCTTGCATGCGATTCCCAGGTCCTTGCGCAACAAATGACCCTCGTGGAGAAATCAGCGCTCTGCGAGGTTGAGTGGTCGGATTTGGTGGAAATGCGTTGGAGCAGCAAAGCCGCAGAAGTCTTTGATTGGGTGGATTGTCTGACAAACAGAGATATTAAGGGTATCGACCTGGTCATCACCCGCTTCAATCTCGTCGTCAAATGGGCCTTGTCTGAAATCGTCCTGACGCAGGATATCCACGAGCGAGCCCGCGTTATCACCAAACTTGTACATGTGGCAGCGCATGCGCGACGACTACATAATTATGCAACCATGCTCCAGCTTACCATCGCACTCACCTCGACGGATTGTACACGACTTACAAAGACGTGGGACCTGGTAGCGGCGCCGGACAAGTCCCTACTCAAACATATGGAAGCCCTTGTGCAGCCCGTCCGCAATTTCCATGAGCTTCGCTTGGAGATGGAATCAGCGGACCTCAGCGACGGCTGTATACCTTTCATCGGTCAGTGAACCCAAGATCCTATATTCACATTGCCTGCTAACTCTGCCACAGGTCTATATGTTCATGACTTGACCTACAACGCGCAGAAACCGTGTCATATCCAGGTTGGAAGTGGCACCGAACCCCTGATCAACTTCGAGCGCTACCGGACCACAGCTGTGATTGTGAAGGGGCTTCTGCGACTGATTGACGCAAGTTCCAGGTATAATTTCGACCCCGTATCAGGGGTCATTGAGCGGTGCCTTTGGCTAGCCGCTCTACCGGACGGGCAGATACGCAGCACCAGCCAAGGGTTGGAGAAGTGACCGGCACTGGAGAAGAACTGGTCTCTTGTCTGTTCCCATGGGTGGTCAGCTCTGGCGTCGGATGTTACGAATAGGGCCACCAGATATTATGGTATGTCTATTACCGAGCGTATTGATTTAGCGATGGCGTTATCAACGGGAGGAATTTTGAGTATGATTTCAAAAGCGCCACGGTTGGCATGACAGTCTCATTGGGTCATGGACAAGAGTGAAGGTCTATGTGAGCCCGGTATTGGATGAGACAGCCTGGCATAACGGAAGAATGCGTATGGGCCTGTCCGGCATGGGCTTGGTTATAAAGGTAATCTTTAGCTCCAGGGGGATATATCATACATGATGGACCACTTCCAAATCACGCTGGGTTGGAAAGACATGTATAGGTCGGGGCATCTAAGTACAACAGACAAGGCTGAGCCTCTTGAGCGTATAGAGGGATTTGGAGGTCTCTCCACTACGCTGGGACGATTGAACAACGAACACTTGTCATGGAAGCCATCGCCACCAGTAGCTGCTCTGTTCGATAGGAATCCTGTTGAGTTTGGCGGCTCCTCATCACAGTAGGAGGTTCATCGAGCCCTGTTGAGTCAATGCCTACTACTATTAGGCCAAATGGTGAAGACGTGGGCAGGTAGCTTTAAAGCGGCACGAGTCTCAGTGAACGCACACTGGTCACGTGAGCTCGGAGTACACAGCAGTAAGTACGTACTACTAGTACTAGTAGGAGATGTCAATGATCGGAATCGAGGGGCCGCCGCCAGACAGGGAGACAGATGGACAGCGACACGGATAGGGCGACGAGACACAGCTGTGACACAGACATCGCAAGCGGGACATGATCGCGCTACAGTGGCACTGCACCGCTGTCACCGAATGCTAAACTGCGACGTGACTGCAAGTCTTCTTCGAGTAACTTGAATCTCATTGCTTCTATGCATGGCTGCAAGTCAAAGGGCCGTTGAGGCTTGAAGAAGATGCCCGCTGGATACCTACACTGGCACTGCACTCCCGCGGCATGAACCTAGAACCAACACGATCTCTGTCCGGTCGACAACATGGACCTCCAAACCCCTACTCCGCCAGCCGACGACGCTCTCTCCCCTTCACCGCCGACGCCGCGCACACTCCCAGGCGACCTACCGACCTCCCTAGATGACCGCCGTGCCTTTCCCAGCTATAGCGGAGAGACCGAGATATACGATGCCTGGCAAGGTGAGGAGTAAAGATGCTTGGTCTGCCAGATCGCTGACATGGCTCGGTGTTTGTTGCAGGCTCTTCCCAATACATTACCGCGCCCATTCCCGCAAGGCCGGTCCCATTCGACCTTCACCTGGACACACCCGCCTATGACGACGAGGACACGTATGCCCGAATCCAGGATAGTGATTCGCGGCTGATGGAAATGGTTGCCGCGCAGGCTCATCACCGAGAAGATGGAAGCCCAGGACAAGACGAGGATGCCATTGCCACGGATGACAGTCTTTCGGCCAGCGAGAAAAAAGAAATCCTACAGAAAAGCCTTAACATGGCCGCGAGCAATGGGGATGTAGCTCGAATACAGAAGCTTGTTGGAGGCCGGGCCAAGGAGTTTGTGGATGTCAACCAGCCCGACGAGGAGGGCACTGTACCCTTGATCTACGCCAGTTGCTTCGTAAGATAGCCCCCGACTGTCTGTTCGCGGCAACCCCTGACACGATCTAGGGGCATTATGAAGTGGTGGCTGCGCTCTTGGATGCGGGAGCCCAGGTGGACAAGCAGGACCGGAATCAATGGAGCGCTTTGATGTGGGCAATGACCAACCGCCACAAACAAATTGCCAAACTGCTGCTCGACCACGGGGCCAATCCCGACATCAAGTCTTCGTCTGGTGGCACGGCACTAGATTTTCTCCAACCCGGATCCGACTTGTCACATTTTCTCCACGAGAATGGCTACCATTTCGGGGCCTCAACTGTGGAAGACGACTTTTACAGCTCGGGCTTCTCCCAGGACCGGTTTGAAGAAGAGATGGCAGAAAACGAAATGAAAAGGCGCATGCTGATGCAGGAGAGTGCGGCGAACCTGGAAGTGGACCTGTCAACCCTGGGATTTGATGAACAGCCTGAGGTGAGTCTCCGCCTATACCGCAAATGGCGCATGGAATGTTGACATCCCTCAGTCGCCCATTGATTTCGAAATGGAAGAAGAGTTCGTCTGGGATCGTTGCATTGGCGACCAGATGTTTGTCTTCCAGGCGGACAAACTTGATTCTATCTATGACCTGATCATCACCAACATGACTCCTCAACGATCACCCTCACAGAAGCCAGTTCCGGCGAATCTGGTCTTCCTAATGGCTCGGTACGCTCACTATCATATGACCGCGTCTCTCCTCGACGAGGTCTTGACGAAAGCCCTGGATCTGATCAACGAAGTGATCGAGCGTCATCAGTGGGATATGACGATGCTGGCCTTCTGGATCTCTAACGCGACGCTGCTGCTCCATTACTTGAAAAAGGATGCGGGGCTCGTGGAAGCGACGGCCAAGTATCAACTTGAACTTGCCGAGCTGATCAATGAGACGTATATTCTTATCATTCGGGACGCTGAGAGGAGAATGAATAAAGTGCTGGATGTGGCAATGCTAGATCACGAGACCATCCCGGGCTTGGATGACATTGCTTTCCAAGGAGAGTGGAAGGTGTTTAAGTCGAAACCGAAAACGAAAGAAGAGCCACCGGAGAAGAGGTATCGACCTCCTTCACCCAAAAGACGAGCCCAGACCTCACCACGGAACATCACGTCTCTGCTCTCCTCGACGTTGTTTGTGCTGGACCTCTATGATGTGCATTCCGTGATTACCGCGCAGATCTTGTCTCAGCTTCTGTATTGGATTGGAGCGGAATTATTCAACCGTGTCATGAACACGAGGAAATACCTGTCTAGAACCAAGGCCATGCAGATCCGGATGAACGTGTCAGCGATTGAAGACTGGGCACGTGCGAACAACCGGCAGCCAGAACATTACGAAAACGGCTCGACAGTCTCGACGGGAGAAAACACTGTGGATGCTGCACGACGACATCTGGCTCCGATCATCCAACTGCTTCAGTGGTTGCAGTGTTTCAGTTCTCTGGGGGAAGACCACGAATCCCTCGTCGCAACGTTGGTTCAACTGCAGCGGCTCACCCCCACGCAGTTGATACACGCCGTGAAGAACTATCGACGAGAGGTGGGCGAGAAAAGCCTACCCAAAGCGCACATGAAGTTCTTAGTGCAGCTGCAAAAGGGCCAACAGTCATTGATCAGGACACCTTCGACGCCAATGGCCGATGCTTCCGGATCCGGCACGGCTACACCTGCCGGGCAGAATGGGACGTCTGGACAGGACAATAAGAGTCCTACCACGCCTCAAGGGGCGTCGGCGCCATCGACATCGTCGCCAGTGGATGCAGACACTGATCCCTCTCAACGTCGAAATGCGTTGACTCTCGATCAATCTCTCATGCTTCCATTCTCACTCCCCACGTCGACTGATATGCTCATCACCTACGGAGCGGGCATCGGCGGCGTCAATCGAGAGCGAGCGCGGAAATATATCCCGACCATCCCTACTGAGGTCTTGAGTAAGCTGAACCTCGACGGCGATGGAAGGCGTCGTGCAGGAAGTACGGGGACCATAGGGACTATTGGTACAACAGTACAAGGATGGCGAAGTGGTGGATTCTGAGTGCCAGAATGGGGGATAGGAATGATAAAGACGAAGGACATATATAACCGACTCGAGTCACAGTGACACGTTGATGATCATGCTGATGATGATTATGCTGGTGGTAGTGTTGAACCCTTCGATCTGGTGGTTAACTTGAAGGGAAAATGGGAGATGTGGTATTGTGCATGGCATGGCATGGCGTACATACCATTTCAACTGGAGGCAGAGATGACTATCTCGATCACGTAACGTCGACGAATCAAGAAGATGTTGGCATATTTTCAGAAAGCCTTCCGATGTCTTGTCGGGTGAATTGAAACCAATATAGAGTGACAATGGCATACAAACTGCCGTCATTAGCTGGTGATACGTATTATGTCTATATATGAGCTCTCGCCATACCTTCCTTCCAAACCCTTCACTTGGTTGTCCTTATACAGAGCCTTATCCAACTACATACCTGAGATACCAAGGCAGGTCTCTTGGCGAAGCCACGCCTTCTTTGCTTCAGGTTCCCTTGGACTTGGGGATTTTGAGCGCACGGGATTTACTCTTCCTCAATATTGACAACGTGCGAAGGTGAGCGCTTGACTCGGGACCAGAGCGACTGGCGGCAACAGTGTCGACATTCCAGACGTTACGCACTGGCCACGCTGGTTGTCAACCTGATGCAAACAGTCAGCAAGAAGACCGTAAGCGGCTCACAACCAGGCACAGGCCGCCTCTTGGGAAGATGCGCTGCCTTTTTGGACACGTCCATTGTTCTCCCTTGTTCGACCGAAGCGGAGGAAAACATACGATCCCAAGCAGGAAGGCTAGCCACAGCTGGAAATGTGGCATCTGTTGAAACACTGCTTCGACACTTGGGTTGCATTGCAATACATGTGGCGGACAATGGTCAAGCTATATTCCGGATCTCTAATGGGGAATTCCCAATTCGAAGACAGTGGACGACGCTCTCGAGAGGTGACAATCCATGCTGATGGCCGCAATATCCAGCTCAACCTTTTGGAGCTCTGGCACGTTGAGGACTCGGCGGGTTCTGGAAAATGAGATAACTGGGGCCTCTTCTACCGATGGTTGACCCTCAGCTCTAGTATCAACCCCAGGGAGTCAGGGACTACAGGATTGCGAAGCTACAGTTCCATGAGTTCGGAGCAGACAAACAAGGCCACGAAGGGACACTCCGATGGTATGTCTCTTTCAAGACCATTAACTCGGATGCAAAAAGCGATACAGCCTCAGGGCGCCACATTCATTACATCCTCGTCGTCTGGACGCTTGCGGAATCCAAGCACGTGACCGTATTCTCGGCCTCGTCCCCCTGTGGACTCGCCTCCTTTCAGCTTCAAGTGTTCAGAAATGCCTTGTGCACCTATTCCGTTTATAAGGCTACCGTCTTCAGCTCTTTTTACCTACAGCGGATGGCGCTTCAAAGTTAAGTACTGCCACTCCCATATTACCAAATGGACGCCGTCTTCAGCACAACAACCTACTGCGTCCCAGTTCTTGCGCCAGACTGACCGTTTCCGGCCATCATTTGCGTTCCCTTTGCTGATCATTGTTTGCTTCACCATGCCAGATGTTGTCGGTAACAGACGTGGATGCAAGCGTCCTGAGCTCTCTACAATGAATGTTCTTTGATCCTTCCTTCGTCGCCTTGTCTTCCAAGTTGAGTCGTATCTGTTTTAATTCATGCCCGCACCTTGTTGTCGTTCATATCCTGTCTCACCATCACCCTAGACAGCTTCGGTCTTACTTTTCATTATCATTCCTTGCACAGCTCACTATGGCGCCGGTGACGAGAGCAGGGGCTGCACAACAGCCTCAACCAGCCCCTAGCGGCGGCCAGGGTACTGGGCCTGCAGCCAGTCAGGAAAGTAGTCGGCATACATCTCCTGCAGAATCGGTTTCTCCAGTCAGTCCAACAGGATCTACTGGACCCGACTTCGACACGCCAACTCCACCGATCACTGACGAGGCTACAACAGCTGCTCGAAATGTAAATACTCACGTTGAGGCTCCGCGAGGATTCACAAACCGCGGCGCGCAGTGCTATCGCAATTGCGTGGTCATCATGCTACTGTCTAGCAAGAGAATCATGAATTGGATTCAGATCAGATACATACCCAGACTGGTGGCTGTTGGGGTGCGAATCGAGACCAATGTTGAAGCAGCCATGGGTACCAATGACTCTCCCGGCTCGCCTACCGCCGGCCCCGCATACACTGATGTGTGGTGTGAGCTCGAAAAACTTGGTGATGTCTATTGGACAGACTCGGACCCAGCAATGCTCATCATTGCCATGCATGCCTTTTGGGATTATCTCGTGGAAAAGATCGAGGCGACGAATATCGACTGGAACACAGACAGCCAGCAGGACGCCACCGAGTTCTTGAGTCTACTTAACGAGATTGCCGAAGGAGAGTTGAAGGCTATATGCCAAACTCTTGAGCAGGATGGGTAAGTCTATCACCCCAACCTAATGTATTTTGATTTATGAGAGAACGTCAGGTATGCTAACAAAAATTGTTGGTACGTGTAGACAATTGACCGCAGACGAGAGAAATGAATATGAGAAAACCAACATCGAAGAAATGGTCTCGATCTCCCAGACCCTCCGGATCCGCTGTAACTCATGCGGTACGCTTGATGGTCTTCCAGCCATGACCCGGATCCAGACATTGAACAAGATGGCTGTTTGGCCTCTCTCGTTCGGAAAGCTGTCAGCAAGCGTCTCGAACGCAAAGAAGCAGAAGGCCAACCCGGTCGCTCTGGAGAAGTTGGTCCGAAACGACGGTAGAGGCCAACAGGACGGCTGGCTCTGCGATCTTTGCCGACCGTACATCATCGACCAAACCCACCAAAACCGCTTGAATGCCGCAGGAAACGACGCCACAAAGAAAGCTGAAGTCGAGGAGACCAATCGCGCCGAACTGGACGGCCTTGCTGCCAACCAGACCCTCGTTCGCAAACGGATCTGTCAGCTCCCAGAAGTCTTGATCCTCTCTCTGACGCGGTTCACCCAGCACACCAGCCGGGCGACCTTCTCTAAAGATGAGACGAAAGTCGTGTTCAATGAGGTTCTGGATCTGGCCCCATTCCTCGAGTATCACGGTGACTCAAAACTCACGGGACCAGCACTGTATAGACTCGTTGCCATCATTAATCACAAGGGTACTAGGCGTGCAGGCCACTACGTCAATCAAGTCTGTACCGACGGAAAATGGGTCACAATTGACAACACAGCCGTCGACCCGATCAGTTTGGCAGAGACTCTCGCATTGCAGGATGACGGATGGACCCCTTATGTCTTGCTGTATGAGCGGGTTGTCGATACCGATGATCTGAAAGCAATCGAAAATGGACAACTGGCTGCCAGCAAGGACGCGAATGACTTCGACTTCGACTTCAAGATCACCATGCCGGAGATCCCGGCCGAAGGTCAGATGTACGTGATTGTCTCTGCAAACATTGGCGGCGTGGAAGTCGACTTCCCCCAGTTCGTGCTGGACGATAAACTGCCTATCAATCGCGACGAGGACTTTACTGCCATCGGGCTCAAGGCGGGCGATGCAAAGGCGACTGTTACTATTCGAAAGCAGCCAATGGACGCAGAACTTCAGGGCCTCCAAGTCGCGTCTAAATCTGCTGTTGCAGCTGACAGTGCTGCCGCTACCAACGTGCCGCCGCCGCCGCCAGCGCCACTGGCGAGGCAGGACGGCAATGCTGCATCCCAGGGCCCCGCAAAAGATACAGACGACAAGACGCAATCCAAGACCAAGAGCAACAAACGTGGCCGCACGCCTTCAGGTTCTGCATCTGATGACCCCAAGAGAGGCCCCCCACCAGCCAAGAAGGCGCGTGTTGACGGTGCCGACGGTGCTGTCAAAGCCACTGCCGTCACCAAGCCTACCGTTATCAAGCTTAACGCCCCCAAGCCTACCGCCACCAAGCCTACCGTTATCAAGCTTAACGTCCCCAAGCCTACCACCGCCAAACCTGCCGCTGCCGCCGGAAAGACCACGACCAAAGGTCGCGGCGCAGCACGGGGTGGTCGAGGCGGTGGTAGAGGCGGACGCGGTGGGCGCGGTGGTCGTGGAGGTAAAGGAGGCAAACCCGCCGCCAAAGGGGCCACCAAACCCCGTACCACCAGCACCAGTCCATTCGAGTACAGCGCGCTCCTACGACGCAAGAGACAGGCAGCAAAGGCCGACCGGGCATTCGAGGCGCTTTTGCAGAGATTCCTCGAGAACGAGAGCGCGGACGCGGACACGACCACCTCCACCCCTGCTCAAGTCACTCGGGGCCAGCCGCTCGAGTCTGGAGCTGATGGAGCGCCTCGCACGCCCAAATCGCACACTCACAGCGCCAGACGCAGAGTGACGTGGGCAGCACACGACGATGTCGCCCGGCCTAGTCCCATGGATTGGGACTCTCATACAGAGGAGTGTGGTTCTTACTATGCTGCTCATGATGATCTCGAGGGAGAGGATACACTTGCTGAAACTGAGAGCGAGATGGAAATTGATGGTGATTCGGATATTGAGGAAATGGATCTGGATCTGGATCTGGATATAGGTATGGATACTGGCTCAGAGTCGGAGATGGGATCAGACGCCCGCGCTGCCGGTGTCAGCAACCATCAACGTCGTCGAGGTGTCGTGAACCATCCCAAGGCAAAGGCAAAGAAGGCTCCTTGGCCAAAAGGGTTGAGGGCGCCGTATGTCGTGTCCAAGAGGGAGAAGTAGTCCAGAATGACTGACTGAAGGAAAGGGATGTGAAGAGAACCTGTACGACAAGGCTGAGGGGAAAAGGGGTATCGGGGGCAGCAGCCAAGAGCTCTCTATTTGTTTGGTTTCCTTGTTTCCTGGAGTAACTTGATCATGATAGACAGTCAACCTTTACTTTCTCGCTCTGGGTGCTCTTCTTTATCCTTATTGCCCTTTTCCATAAATCCTGTCACAATGGTTTCGTCAAGAAGAGAGAGCCCTTGCCGGATTCAGAAGGCTTCCACTCCATGATCAGGACAATATTGGTAGTTCCAGAACCTCAATTTCTTTTCCTCCTGTTTCCTTCTCGATGTGTCTGTCCATTCATATGTTCCCTGATTAATACATGAAATGATTTCATCCGGGAAGGCCTTGGACTTTACAATATCGTCCTCCCAGTCAGAGATTCTGTTCTTTTCGCTCGCTTCGCTGCTACCTGCCCTCGAACAGGTAAGCTTTTTTCAAGACTTCGGTCCCAATCCAGCATACGACGCCTCCGCAAAGGTTCACGGTTCCCTTATAGATATCTGGTGCATTCTACTTCTCCCTTTCTCCGGGATCTGTATCTTGATTCTTTCGTGGTCTCAACGTTTCTCCTTTTTCAAATATCCCCATATTCCAAAATGGCTCCTAGGCTTCCTAACTGTCCCCGAGAGAAACAGAATCAATCTACAGGAGATATACAGGCCAAAGACTCTGTCTTACAGAAAGACACCCAGGTCAATGACCTGACCGACCAACAACACAGCCCAGATCTGGTCGAGTCTCAAGATCTACCACCCTCGATGCTTCTCTCGCGGCTGTTGTCGACCAAATCAGCCATTTCTACCACCACGATCAAGACTTCAGATGCCACTGATCATCCATCATCGTCAACAATATCAAACTCTTGTTTCTACAGTATCGGAGAAGGACGTCTGGGTCGTGTCTATGACTATCCCAATACCGATACGGATACAGATACAGACAGAGGTAGAGACATAGATACAGGTAGCAACAGAGGCAAAGGCAAAGGCAGCGGCAGAGGCAGCGACAGAGACAGAGACAGAGGCAGAGGCAGAGGCAGAGGCAGAGGCAGAGGCAGAGGCAGAGGCAGAGTGGCCAAAATCTGTCTACGCAGCGACGACATTGAACTCCGAATCGAAGCCGCCGTACACCAAATGGTCCGCAGAGCATACGAGCACTTGATCCGCGACAGCACAGCCGTCAACAACAAGAAGATAGAGGGAATGGACACTCTGTGTCAGGTTCCACAATACTATGCCATTGCTACGGACACGGCAGCGAGTGAATGGTGGATTGAACATGAAGCACAGTTTGTTTGAGAAATATTCCAAAGACAACGACAGTCACAATGCTGCTACTACTATCAACAACAATCCGACCCATGCTCTAACAGGCCATGCAATCCTCACATCAGAACGGATCCCTCCTCTCCCCCGTCTCGTCAGGGACGCACTGATCGACACGTATTTCCACGACGGCGACCGCATTTGCGCGAAGTAAAGTTGAGTCTGGAGTTGAGTCTGAACAAGGACCAGTCTTTGACGAAAGTACAAATGCAAATGCAAATGAAAGTCCAGTGACGAGGAGGGTCTCTGGAAACGAAGCTGCTGCCGGATCTTTTCATGCTGGGGTATCTGGAAACCAAACCACTCCCAGATCTTTTCATGCTGGGTCCGTCGCCAGCGCCATGTCATCTAGGGCGAAACCGAAACCGAAACCGAAACCGAAACCGAAACAAAACTCAGCAGACACCGACACTGACACCGACGACAACAACAATCACCAGGAGGAATGTGATCGTTTATGTCTTTGGATTCTCGACTTCAACCAGTGCGGCGAGATCTCTATGGACGAAGAGGGGATGGATTGTGCAGTCGATGCGCTGTTCGACAATGATCCCTATTTCCCGCGACCGTTTCTCTCTTGTTTCGGGACGGGAATGTCGGGACAGTTTCCTGGGGTTTCGTCCGTCGATGAGGCAGAGCTGTATGTCGCTGGGCTTTGGGGGAATTTTAGTCGGTGTTATATCGCTGCTGTTTGACTGTTGGTTCCAGGTCTCCGAAGTCTCATGCTCACGGATCCTGGGAAGTGCTCGGCCAATTCCTCCATCACTGGTACCGGGAAGTCGCAGTACCCCGGAGAATTGATTTACTCACAGGAGAGATTCACTCACAGGAGAGATTCACTCACAGGAGAGATTCACTCACAGGAGAGATTCACTCACAGGAGAAGATGATAAGTAGATCCTTCAACGTCTCTGCATATTTTGAGGTAGATTTCTATATTATGTACTTGTAGAGCTTTTATCTCATCTCCCGAGTCAGTCAGAATGTATATGGGGCAGGTGTTTGCAATCGCATGTCTTCATGATACTGTTGTCAGTCAACGTGGCCATTCTTTGGTATTTCTTCGTAATAATGAGCAGGATCGTGTCGCTCTTCGTAGTGTTTGTTGGGCTGTGACCTTGGCCTTCACCGTCGCCATCTGAGTGTCCCAGCACGATAGTCTCGGGGTGCCCGTTATGTCGTCTCATGCATAATGCATCCGTATGGTCGGGTATAAGGTCAGAGGTATTATCGTCGTGATATAGGACCACTTTTGCAATCACCACGTTCTTGTTCAAGCCCATAGTGATGAGATAGTGGTGACAAAGATCGCTTTGTTGTGTGGCGGCTGCTGAGCTTTCAGCTGGTCAGCTTTCGCCTCTACCAAATTCGGCTTCAGATCTCTGGCTGTGTGTAGTGCCTTATCAGGACACTTCTGTGTAGCGATTGTGGCCACGTTTATCCTTGTCTTGATGACCGGGTTCACGAGTCCTTCGATGTTCACGGTGACGAGAATGATGATGATCGTGGTGGCGGTGGCTATGACGATGACGATGGTGACGGCGACCGTGGTCATGTTCCTCGGGATTATGCTCCTCAAGGCCATGGCGACGATCATGGCCCTCAGGCCTGGAATATCCGTCGTCGAGGTCGAACCGCTCCAAACTGTCCTCATCATCGTCATCGTCATCCTGACGGCGCTCCTCGCGATAGACACTCCTATCATGCCTACTTCTCCGCCTCCTCCGCTCTTTGAGATCTTCATCGTCGTCCCCATCTCTGTCTTCATCCTCTGTTCGTCTTCTTCTCCTTCGTCTCTCGCGACTATTTTCATCCCCCTCCCTTCTTCTTCTCCGCTTCTTCATTGCCCTCGCCGCAAGATCCTCGACTTCCCTAAGATCCCGCTCACGCTGCTCCATCCACTCTTTCCTCAATCTTTCCGCTTCGCGTAGCTGCTTGACCCCTTGTTTCATCATAGCCAGGGGATCATTAGCAGCGATCCGCATCGCATCACGGTCGCGCCGTCGACGAGAGCTGTCTCCCCATTCTGCCCGGGACTCCTCCATTTCGCGATTGACACCGGCGAGAACATTCCCGTCCGATGTGGAGCTGTACCATGGTTTATCCGCCGCGCCCTTACCCCTTCCCGCAGCATGCGACAGATATACTGTATACGGGTCGTCCTCCACTCTTAGAGGTTTCTTGGGTTCTTGTTGCTGCGTCGTCGGCACCGGAACCAACGAGATATTCCCATTAGCATCGACAATCGAGATGTCGTCGTCGTTTTTGTCTGACACTCGTTGACGCTTCGGCGCGGTGGAGGCCAGTTGCTGCGTCTGGCGAGCGATTCGGATGTCCCGATCCGTGTCATCTTCCCCTGCCAATCGGCGCTTCTGGATCCTTTTGATGCGCGAGATATCCAGACTCTCCTTTACGCCTACGCCTACACCTCCATCTGCGTCAAGTCCGTTGTCTGAGGCGCCATCTCTTTCCAGTGTAGCCTTGTCTGTCGTCTTGCCTTGTAAGAGTCGAATCCGCGCATCGGCTTCATCTTGTATTGCTCTCTTTTCTCGCTCTTCTGCTGCCTTCTGGGCTTCGGCTTCGTCGTGCCTCACGCGCTCGATGTTGGCAGGGTTGTAGACGTTCCATGATTTCTTGCCGAGGAGGTGGAGCGGCATGTTTGGTCGTTTAGCAGGAGTGAAAATGCGACAGGAAGGGACGCATCATCTTTGCAACCGGCTCTAGAAAGGGTGGCTCGAGTCACGCCGATACTCAGGGCATACTACTATTGTAGGACCGCACCTGAGGATGCTGCGGGACAGAGGTTGTTTCCAGCCTGATGAGCCTAGTGGAGAGCGAGGCTGCGGTGGAGGCTCGAGGCTGAGACACCGGGATACTAGTAGTGGGCGGATTTCCAAGCCGGCAGGTTAAGCGAAGCCGTTCAATCGCCGCTTTAAGCTACTAGGTCAATCAGGGAGAGAAGTTGAACGATTGCGTTACATATAAATCAAGGGCTAGCAGAATGGTTGTGTTGGATGGAATCGACTAACAATGGACCATCGTGTCTCTCTCTTCGTTATATACTATATGGGGTGTGCCATTGATGTTTTCACATTCCGCCACCAAGGCCTTGTGTATTGAGAAACCCATCATCCAGACTTGGCCAAAGCATATTGAGGTCTGCCCACTGATCAACCCCAAAAGCCATGTTGAATGTGTCCTGCAACGACGCGGTCGTAGCATCATCCAAGACTACATCGCTGTCCGTCGAACTTGCCATGAAGGAGCCTTCAGTAAGTGATCGCTCTGGATTTGATTCTCGGAACCCCGTCACGGACGCCAGTCGTTCTGCCTCGGTGTTTTCCAAGGGGATCTGTCTCCCAGCAGTCGGCTGCACGAGGAAGTCGATCTTCGTGATAAGTTTGCGCACGATGGTCGCTGCACTTATTGCAACCGTGAAGCTGTTGCCAAAGATATCAAACACTTCAAGACAGAGGTTGATGGCGTCTCTGGCAGCCGCTAGCGTCGCACCTCGAGGGTAGGCAAGAACATAGCCGACAAGTGTCATGGCGGCGTTCCATTGCCACTGAAAGGCTTCATGCCATCCATGTAGGATAGTGGTCGTGGAAAGCGCCTGGTGCGTGATTTTGGTAAGGGTGATGGCGTGCAGCGCACATTTGACGGCGTTCTGTTCTGCAAGAATTGAGTGGGGGGCCGTCCCAAAGAAGATGAAGGGCCGATAGAGATTCATGCACAGGTTATGGTAGATCATTTCTAGAAGTAACCGTTGGCGCTGGAGCCAGAGTGGCGCGAAGGGGTCGACGTCTAGTAGAGTAGGCTCGTCAGTGGAGAAAGGACGGCCGTTGTTCTTCCGCGCTGTCGTTAAAGCGCTCGGAACCGCATTGGCCCATTCTTCCAGGCCTTTCATATGCCTGCTTAGGAGCTCGGCATGGGCTTCCAAGGATGGCAGGTCTGTCCACATAGACTGGCCGTTGGCGGAGTGCAAGTCGTTGTCGTAGAATGCGGTATAGGCGGACCGAGCTGCCATGAAAAGCTTCGTATGTTCGACGTTGAAACTCAGCCATGTGAGGTTCCCTCCCAGGGGAGCGAAGTTGGAGCCTGAGTGCATGGCAGCGTCAAGCCCATGGTCCGGGAGGGCCGGTGTGGCATTGGACTCGCGCAAGAGAAACGGGCGACCAAGTTTCATGCCGAGCTTACTCTCCAGCAGATACACGGTCCACCACAATCGCTTTCGGGTCTCCCGCTCCTGCGGTGACATCGTCGCAGGGGGTTCCAAATGGAGGCCAAGCATATATGCTGTTCGGACAGCGCCGCCGGCGAAGTTGTCTGCCATATTCTGGAAAGTCCCGCAGCAGAGATAAACAGCACATAGGATTTGGCATTGCAGCGTCGAGATGGATGGACTTTCCAAATCATATTCCAGAAGCCGTTGGCAGCGAAGATAATACCAGCGACCAGCAACGGTGGCATCCTTGTCGTTGCCCACCACATACTGTTGCCTTGTGGTCGGCAGCATTGAGCCTCCGTACTGCATTCCCAGTGCAACCACGATGTCCACAAGCGCGGATGCGCTCCTGGAATCTCCGCCCGTCACCCACAAAGACCGATAGTGCTCTTTGAACTCGGCTTCGTTGAGAACGGGAGCTAGAGCGGTATGGTATGATTGCCAGTAGAGGTCAAGGAAGTACTCTTCTTGCATGGGACTCAGGAAATTGGCTTCTTGGGCTCTGTCTCCTGCTTGAGATGGCAAGCGTCGGTCGACGGTGTTTGAAGAGTCAGCAGTGATTGGGCCATCGAGCAAAGTACTGGGTGGATTGAGATCCAGCATTTGATCAGAAGAATGGGTTTGTTGATAGGTCGAACTTAGATAGCTTGAAATCCGTCCGATGAAGTAGAATAGTGACGATGGCCCATACCAGGTCTCGCCAGTGGAGCGTGCAGTGCGAATGTTGATCCCGTCCCAGGACCCTCGTGGACTCCCGTAAGCGGAGTCAATTACTTGCGATTGTGACTGAGACTGGGAGTGAGACTGGGAGGAAGTAGTCTTTGAGGAGTGTGGTGTCGCTAATCCGTGAGTCTGACCTTCCAGCCCAACTGCAGCCTTACTGCGCTCATGTTGAAGCTCCCTTTCTAGCTCCTGGACCTTCTGTCGTAGACGCTCGATTTCTCGATAGGCGCTAGGAAGTATGATGGGCGTGACGGCAGCGTTGCTGCATTCGCCCCCTCTGCTTTTGCAGTTGAGGCATGGAATCTGGTTGTCGCATTTGATGCGGTGCCTTCGACACGCATCGCAGGCTCTGACCACCTGTGCTCGCTTTTGTCGCGGCCGGGGCGTGCTCATGTCAGTGGCGTCCCAAGCCGAGCCCTGGAATCCAGCAGACATGCTGAAACATCAATATATAAGGTGACATGTAGTGAAGCCAGCCTCTGAACTACCTACCAAGACCTAGGTTTCATGAGGGCTGGATTGCTGTATAGATCATAACTCGGTGGCGACTGACATGGAGAAGGTGAAAAATGCAAGAACTCTTACCAATCATGATCATGATCAGCATCAAAAACAAAATATCGATATTGATAACTAAGCAGCTCGGTCCCGGTCCCACCGCATCACCATGCACAGGCCCATATTCAATATTCTCCAATGATTCTCTCTTGCTCGGATCTTTTCTAGGTACTGGCTGGAGGCGATCCAGACGGAGCAAATCATACTGTGGTATGATACTCACATCCCCTGTACCTTCCCAAAGGAGTGCTCCGACGACAAGGCTCACCTCCAGCAGTCTGTCCAATAGGATTTCTCCGGATACCAGCCTTGTCTTCAAGGAGTGCTCCGAACCATGGCATCATTACAAACACCGATGGGCGGATGTGAGTGGGAAGTGAGTGTACAAGATATAAAGTATTGTCCTTTTTCGCGTTTGTTCACTACCTAAAAATCTCCTTTCCTCCATTACATCCTTCCCTTTTCTTGAATTCCGTCAACATCAATCACTCCGTGCTCAGGCGGCCGACATTTACCAAAGAACACCTCATCTCTTCTGTTGATTGTCCTGGAGGACCCGCGGGTGATCTATCCGGATCTCAACTGTTTTGCAACCATACATATCAATCATCACCATGACCAGTACAGGCCTCAACCCTGAGAGCAAGCTCCTCAAGCCGCTCAAAATCGGCCATGCTCAACTTCAACACCGCATCGCTCTGGCGCCCCTGACGCGCTACCGGAGCGATAAGAACCATGTCGTCATGCCATTTGTGCCAAGATACTACAGCGAGCGAGGATGTATCCCAGGCACGCTTGTCATCTCGGAGGCCACCGGAACCTCCATGCAGGAGGTTGGCGGGCGAGCAGCCCCTGCCTTTGTGACGGAGGAACAGTCTGCTGGCTGGAAAAAGGTGATCGAGGCAGTCCACGACCGAGGCTCCGTCTACTTCCAGCAAATCTGGGCTCTGGGCCGAGCGGCCGATCCCCAATACCAGAAGGAACGTGGCTTGAAATACAGATCCTCCAGTGCCGTTCCCATGCAGCCAGGCGGCCCCGTGCCCGAAGCAATGACCGAGGAGGAGATCCTGGGCGTGATTCAAGACTTTGTCGATACCGCGAAGAGAGTCGTGGCCGCCGGTGGTGATGGCGTCGAGATCCACGGCGCTCACGGTTACCTGCTGGATCAATTCACCTCGGATTCGGTCAACAAGCGCACCGATCGATGGGGTGGCCCGATCGAGAACCGTGCTCGATTGCTTCTTGAGGTCGTCAAGGCCGTTGTCGCCGCCATCGGTGCGGAGCGCGTAGGCCTTCGCCTGTCTCCCTATGCCACTTTCCAAGGCGCAGAGTCCACTGACATCGTGGGCGATTATACCTATATTGTCAAGGAACTGAAGAACATGAACGTTCCCTTCGCCTATCTGTCACTGGTCGAGGCTCGAGGCGATCCCGCCAAATTGCTCACTCCTAGTGATGACCCGGCCATCGCGAAGCAAACCCTTGACTTTATCCTTAACATTTGGGACAACTTGTCCCCAGTCATCGTGGCCGGAGGATACACTCCCGAAAGTGCAGCCGCGGCCTTGGAGAGCCACTATGCGAAGTGGGATGTCATTGTCGCCTTTGGCCGAAGCTTCCTTGCCAATCCGGATTTTGTCTGGCGGGCCCAACATGGCATCAAGATGAACCATTACCACCGGCAGACCTTCTACATCAGAGGTTCCGAGATTGGATACAACGACTATAACTTCAGTCAGGAGTACATTGATGAACGACGGGCTTGGGCAGTAGCGAACTTGGATTCGGCGACCAGTTAGAGTTAGAACTGTTTGATAGATGGTCTTCATATCAAAAGCCCTGTAGACGGGGATCTCACAAACAATTGAGCTATCGACTACTTTTGCTGCCTCTCCTCACCTGCCAGACACGGACGCAATGGCTACAGCGATGAGTATATTTTGCGCCGATCTGATAAGCCAACGCCGCTCGAGGATCCTAGTCTCTCACTGAATGGAGTTGACTAATGGTCACTTTGGGAGAATATTGTGGGTGGGAGGGAAGCAATAAGCGAATCGTGAGGTGAAAGGAGCATTCCTCTTGCGGGGGAATCTCTTGTACGAGGAGCATCTGAACTCCCTTAATATGTCAAACAGCAAAGGTCGAATGTCGCCAGACTCGGTGAATCGAATCAAGCACGATGGCTGCTGCTCAAAACTCGCGCTCGAAACGAGCTCAACTGAACAATTATCGTAGGGCTCCAAGTCAACCAAGCGAATAGCCTATACTATGAAGATTTTCTGGACTTGTTAGATATATTGCATGCATCGGAGGGTGGAAACTGATCAAAACTTGAACTTGAAGAGTCCAACTTGAACTTGACACTCAGGCTGTAGCGGCCAAGAGATTGCCAAGCCTTATCACGTGCACATGGAGCTAGATCACATGAAATATTATGTAATCATTCTTTCGTATTATGTCATCAACATCCCATTGTCGAGCAGCTCTTGGGACCTTTTCCTCCTCTAATAGAGACTTGACCAGCGCCATCAAGCTTGGAGATGCAGTTCTATATATGAGACAATCAATTCACGATGTATCCAAAGGCCATGACGTCCGCCTCACAAAGATCAATGCCTTTGCCAATGACAAGTCTCGAGGTCGCGTCAAGCACAGCAAATCCCAGCCTCGTCGAGATAATAATGTGAGACGCATCAGGATAGAATATAGGGTGTTTGATCTCAACAGACCTCCAGCCTTTCTATGAGCGGCTTGAACGTGATTGACATACCGCCTGCGCACGGTAGGTGCTCTCGGCTGGACTACCCCATTGCTTTTTCCAAACATCAACCCACCGGTCCAAACTCGAATGCGGATGGAGATCTGAACATCGCGTCAATGCCACCGGCATTCGAGAAGACATATACTCTCCGAGCCCTCCCAATGCCATCATACCGGTGGGTATTCACCATTCTCGCAGACGTATCTCAGTACGTCCAATCTCTTTTCAGAAAGACTTCTCTATGGTTCCCCTATCTATATATCTCTATCTACCGCAGTCCATCGTTCGTCTCTCAATTCCCACAGCATCCCATCCTCCGATTCTGTGATCACCGACACCAGCAATTTCAATCTTAACACTTTGAATCAGACACCCATCATGTCCCCCCAAACCGTCCTCGTCACGGGCGCCAACGGCTTCATCGGCTCTGCCGTCTGCCGCGCCTTCTCTCTCGCAGGCTGGACCACGTACGGCCTGACACGCAGCGACAAGAGCGCAGCAGATCTTTCCAGGGAAGAAGTCACCCCGATCATCGGATCTCCAGCCGACCCGTCCAAGTTCCTGTCCAAGCTACCGGCCATCGACGTGATCGTGTCCTGTTCCGAAGACATCAACAACTACGAAGCGCACTTTAAGGACGTCTTGTCGATGATCAGACAGATCTGTGCCCAGCGACTCAAAACAAAAACACAAAGACAGACGGGGTCTGAGAAGCCCAACCAAAAGCCTCTGGTCATCTTCACCAGCGGATGTAAAGACTACGGCATGACGCCGCGCCACGGCGAGCCCGGACTCGCACCACACACGGAAGACAGCCCGCTCAGGCCGCCGCCGGTGCTCGTCAAGCGGTGTGAGTCTGCTCTGCAAATTCTGACCGCGTACACGGCCGAGTTCGACTGTATTGTCACCCGGCCCACCACGCTCTATGGCCGGACGGGCAGTTTCTACTCGTTGCTTTTCCTGGCCGCGGATCAGGCAAAGACTGCGTCAAACGGTGCCTTGCAGATCCCCTCGACTCCAGACTCGATCCTGCATGGCGCACATGTTGATGACGTTGGCGCGGCGTATGTGGCTATGGCAACGGCCCCGCGCGAGGTCGTCGCGGGGCAGGCCTACAATATCTCGGCGCATCGGTATGAGACGTTGGGTGAGATCATGACGGTCGTCGAACAGGTCCATGGCGTCAAAGTCTCCTATGTCGACTCGCATCCAGGGACTGATTTCCAGACTGTTTTGAAGCCGGTGGTTGATTTCCCTCAGTGGGTGGGCTCGGATAAGTTGCGGAGGGATACGGGCTGGACCGACCAGAAGCCCTTGTTTCATGAAGGCTACCAAGTATACCGAAATGCGTACAATGTCGCCGCCCAGGAAAATTCGGAGCAATACTTGAGAGTGAAGAGAATTGCTAATGGACCAATCTTCGGCAGCGGCAGCGCAAAGGCGTGGGGTCGATGAGGTCTTGCCTGGGTGGCTTCAGATTAGACTCATGTTTTACACATATCAGATATTGTATATGCTGCGGTTGTTATCAGGACACGTATAGAAATAGCGCAGGAATGATGCATATCTCAATATCGCCATCCCCTGTTGAATAATGATGACACCGAATGCAAGTCTTTCCGAACTTCTCATCGTTTTCGAGTCAACCTATCATAAATAAGGTCTATGTGCTTAGATGCCAACTTGGAACACTCTACACAATAGGGAACGATTCATCCCACAGCCAAGATTGGCTTGTATCTCCCAGCATGCCGAGAATATCACCGCCAGGAAATGTGTCGTGCACTTCAACCGGCTCGCCTTGCCACAATTCATTGCGATGCCCCAAATTTGCTCGATGGCCGTCGTGATGAAAGTCTTCGTCACCTAGAGCTGCCCTTCAATGTCAGAGAAACCGGACACATTTCGTGACGGTGCTCCTGCTGTTCGTCGGCAGGCGCCTAGAAGAAGTAACGTACCTTGACTCACAGAGCCTATCACTTCGTCAAACCCTCCAATGGGCGACAAGGTGTTCTGCGGCGGACGAATAGGGTAAGAAGTAACAGAAACGCCAGGCGAGCTCTCTAGCGCCGAACTATCACGACTCGTTCCGTCGACCATGGCGTGAGAAGCAGATGTCTGGGTCCAGTCACCCAGTTGTTGTGGATCACTTCGTGTCGTTGAGCTTAAGGCGGGAAACGCACACCTACTGATCCGCCTCAACGGTATGTCCACATCCCTCTCGTCCACGGTAAGCACCCTCATTTCTTGTTCCAATATCACTTTTAGTAACTTCTCCAAGACGCGACCGCTCTGTTCTAATATAGCAGATGAGGCACCGAAGGTCTTGGAGAACTTGATTAGACGGCCAACACCCCGCTTGGCCTCTTGTGCCTGAGCAGAAAGAGGTTGGGACAGGGCGAAAATGACCAACATGACACCGGCGCTGAATGATTGGATTCCTGCATAGCCAATGATTTGAGTCTTTTGAGCGCTTTTGAGCACTTCGACGTGATCGATCAGCAATTTGGAGGTCCGAAGGGCTGATATCCAGCATTGTTCTTTATTCTCGTCGAGATTCACGTCATTGTCAGACACTTCGGGCACGTCTTCTTCTCCCACAGATTCCCCTCGAGGTTGTGGTGAGGGACCACCCGGGACTTTGTTGTAGACAAGTAGTGGTTTGTGTAGACAAAGCTGGATATTTTCATATGCCAACTGCAGTGAAATTGCTTGAAGTTGAAAGGTTCGGGTCACTGGGTCAACTTCAGTGCTGTCAAGCTGGCGGGCGACGAATGAGCCTGGTCTCAACTCTGGGGGAATGCTTTGTTCCCAATCGACCAGGGCCTGGTGGATCTTGGTCACCCTGGCCGCTACAGACTGTATGGTTCGATCTTGGTGGAAATAAGCATCTCGGGAGATAGGCGAGGCAATGAGATAGAGCTTGAATTTGAGCCTGTGATATGTCATGGTCGTAACTGGATGGTGGCTACCGTCTTGGAGCTGCTCGACCGAGTCAAACCCGGGACATCTATCGCACGCCTCGTCCAGATTTCCAGGCATCGGAACTTCAAAATTGCCGAGTTGAATGCACGAAGAGTTCCCAAAGGTCAGTGCCGTGAAACTGTTGAACGGTTAGCCCGTTCAAGACGTTGGGTTGCCACAGATCTAACAGCATGAATGTGTCACCTACCCTTCACAGGTATACAACGCCCACCAGAGGCGTCTGCGCACTTCTCTTTCGATAGTGCTAATGTTGCCCCAGGATGATTCTCTGTGTAGACACAGCACTTGAGCCCCTCTCAACGCAGCGGCGCTGAGGATGAAACAACGCTTCGGCCGGCGATTGTACAAATAAAACCAACTGAGGAGGAGACAAGTTTGTACCGAGGTGACATCGGCCATATCCATGATCTCCAAAAGGTTCGCCTCGATAACCTTAACAAGTCGTGATTGCAATGAGCGCAAGTCGATGCCTGATAGTTGACTCTCAAGAACAGGTTCATCTGAAGCATAGCCGGCACCGAATGCGAGGATCACCGCAATGAGGTAGAGCAGTGATTTCTGACGATAGTGTGCGCGTCCAGACCTCAGAATCTCTTCCAGATCAGCCTTCAGTGAAGGTGCATGTACTATCATAAGGAACCAATGAACAGAACGGATATAGGTGTCGAACAGCACCGTTGTTGTCTGACTTGGAGGCAAGGGGAATCCGAGCAGGTCAGAGATTGGCAACAGTTTGTCACCTTCGCGTCTGGTTATCGGCGCCCGTTCGAGGGCTGCCCCATCGGGAATTGCATCAGCGTCGCCCAATCTCCCAGTCGCAGAGTCGTAGGTTTTGATGAGCTACCAACTTAGCCTTAAGTATAGAGGAAGGCAACGATAGTAAGGGCCAGGCAGCAGCGATGGACAACTTACCTGATCAGCCAGCCCAAAGGTTGATGTCCGATCACAGTTGAGACCAGGGCTTTGGGAGTCCCGAGAATCTTCGGTTTGTGATGTCCCGGTTGCATGGTCAATGTCGACATGGGCGTTTTGGAGGTGCACATCGCTAGACACCGATGCGGTCCGCCTTATTCGTCTGGACAGGACCCTTTTCGGCCTCGAGCCTGTAGCCGGCTTACGTTCTGATCTGGCGGCTTGTCTTCTACCTGTTGTTAACAGCCATAGATGTACACAGAGCTTTGACTCAACCTAGGAGAGCGTGGGTTCTCCTCGCACCGGAACCCAGAACGCAGACATAAAGCGCATGGCCTTTGGTCGTCACACTATAGAAAGTTTAACCATAATTCACCCCGGCTGCTTTGACCATTTGGCTAAATCGAAGGATTTGTGATTGAATCAAAAGCATATGCTATTTTGCACTTACCCTCAGCTTCTGGCGCCTACATCTCAGACACGCCAGCCGCGCCCGAGCAGGTGGCATCACTGTTTCCAACACAGCAATATGGAAAGTGCGCTGCGACCAATGCCCGGCCACCACAGTGGGCAATAAGGTATGCTAGACCGGTGGGAATGGTATGCAAGGCTAGGTACGTGTCTCACATATAGTATCGTAGTTCTGTTCCGGGAATGGGATAATGGATCTCGGAACAATTGACCTGTAGGTATGGCAATAGAGCGCGTGTATCTTGAAAGACAGGCAACAGCTTGGTCTCGTCATACCAGAGTGAATCATGCGAGTGAGCAAGCTCTAGATTGCCAAAGAGGCTGTATTGTCCCGGTGGGAACAGCAAGGAGTGAGGCTCCGGTACGCTTATTAATGCATCAAATACTCTTAGCGGGCAAGGCTGTGCGCGGGAAAAGGGGGTCCAGCCTTATCAACCAATTTGCCGGTGGGCCGAGGAAGGACGCTTGACATTTCCCACCGGCAATTCCAACACAAATCAACGCAACGTCTGCTTCTGTGCCAATACAGGGACGATAGACTGCCCAAGTCCTGTATGCACAGAGCTCGATATCTGGATGGCCTCTCTTTTGGATCGGTGGTACAAGCCTGTATTATCTATTCTGGACCAAGTCAATGATGTAGGATGCCACTTTCTGTGACAATGACATCAACCTTGAAGCAACAACTCGTATGTCTCTACTCTCTGGCGTTTAGTCCCTCTAAATGTGAAAGTCTCTGCCGATATATATTCAGTCTTCACGATGTGGTAACATGCAAAGAGTTGCTCAGTCAGCATATAGCGCTGCTTTAATCAGACTCCGTGGGTACGTCATAAGCCCTACGCAGGAGTGTGGCGGATCATAGGGCGGCGTCATGACTATTCCGACATTGGTCATGTTGTTGAAGCCACCGCAGTCGGAGACACGGCGGGAAGGACACTTAATAACAGGCAGATTGAAGTACATTTGGGAAGGATAAAGGGTTTCCTACGGAGTTGCAATCAAATCCTCAATCCAGCCACCTCAATGGGTATTTGAGCAGAGGCCCATTCATGCCTTCGAAGACCCTGTGAACGATTGTCCTCTGCTTCCGGGAACACTTGGTCAGCATCCAGCGCAGGCCGCCGCGTCCCTTCAGACAACTATTTGCCTCGTGGCCGGAGTCAGCCACCTTCTAGACAGCAACCTCCCCTTCTCCATTCATAGAACTTTACCTCGCCCTTACCATCCTCCACTATGTCCTTCCTCAATAGAAATAACCTCTTCGGCGGAGGCCATCAGCCTCAACAACCTCCACGAGATCCCTACGGCTCCCCAAACCGGGGGAGCCGTCCTACCCAGAGCGGAGGCGGCGGTTACGATACTCCCATGAATGGAGGCTATGATACTCCTCCTTCCAGGCAGTCTCAAGGATACGGCAGTCCTGCCCTTCCGGCAAGAAACATGCCGCCGCGGCCGACCGGTCACCAGAACAGTCCCAGTAGGGGAGGAGGTCGTTCGGGCGGTGGACACATGATGACTTTACAACCTGCAAAGAGCCCGGACAACTCATATACCTTCCGCAACCTGGTCGCCGTGTCGACGCAGGACCTCCCCCCTTCGCGCGATGGCACCGACATCTTTCTCCTCATCAATGGTACGTATGTGGTCACAGCACGACCTTTGGATTCGTTTCCGCGAGGATATATTGGTTTGTCCGAACCACAGCGATCGTGGATGGGTGTGGCCTTGACGGATCAGGTTCAGGCCGAAGTCTATGACCCGTTCAGCCAGGGCAGTCAGGCGTACATTGGCGCTATGGACGTAGAGATTGGGTTCGCCAGTACAAGGAAGGTCACCGATACACCATACGACCAGGATGATCTTGCAAGAGAAATAACAAAGGTACGGTTGCGATACTGATGATTATCTTTCGGAGTGTGAGCTGACGTGATTGCAGTTGTTCAACAGCCAAATGTTTTCACCAGGCCAAAGATTCCTGATGGATCTGAAGAGTATCCCTCTAAATCTCCAGGTCAAGACGGTGCAACTAGCGGATTTGAGTGAAAAGTCGGCTCCGACGACCTCTGATCCACGCGCGAGAGGCATCTTGACACCACAGACACAGATCAACTTCTTCAAGGACGGCAAGACGCCCATCAACCTCAAAGCATCATCGAGGAGGCCGGCGGCAAACTCCATCATTGCTCCCGACTTCAAATTTGAGGACATGGGCATTGGTGGTCTTGATTCTGAGTTTGTCACTATCTTCCGAAGAGCCTTTGCCTCCCGTGTCTTTCCACCTGGACTGGTCGAAAAGCTGGGCATCCAGCACGTCAAGGGTATTTTGCTGTATGGGCCCCCTGGAACAGGAAAGACTTTGATCGCAAGACAAATCGGAAAGATGTTGAATGCCCGAGAACCCAAAGTTATCAATGGTCCGGAAGTCCTCAACAAATACGTTGGCCAGTCGGAAGAGAATATCCGAAAGTTGTTCGCCGACGCCGAGAAGGAGTACAAGGAAAAGGGCGACGAGTCGGGTCTCCATATCATCATTTTTGACGAACTTGACGCTGTTTGCAAACAGAGAGGTAGCGGTGCTGGAGGCGGTACAGGCGTGGGAGACAGTGTTGTCAATCAATTGCTTTCGAAACTCGACGGTGTCGACCAGTTGAACAATATCTTGTTGATTGGTATGACAAACCGAAAGGATATGATTGACGATGCCCTGCTCCGTCCCGGTCGTCTCGAACTCCACATGGAAATATCTCTTCCCGACGAACACGGAAGAGCACAGATCCTGAAGATCCATACCCAGAAAATGCGGGACAATAAAGTCCTGGACCCGGATGTCGACCTGCTCGAGCTGGCTCGTAAGACGAAGAACTTCTCCGGCGCCGAGATTGGCGGTCTAGTCAAATCGGCCACGTCGTTTGCATTTAGTCGACATATTAAGGTGGGCACCATGGCTGGAATCACCGACGACGTGGCCGACATGAAAGTCAAACGGGCTGATTTCGAGCATGCTCTTGAAGAAGTCAAACCCGCTTTTGGCGTGTCAGAAGAAGAGCTGTCGTATTGCTTGAGAGGAGGAGTCATTCATTTCTCGCAATACATCAAGGATGTATTGGAGGAGGGCAAACTCTTTGTTGAACAAGTACGACAGCCGCAGTCGACGCCTTTGTTCTCGGTGTGTCTACACGGTCCACCAGGCTGTGGAAAGACTGCATTGGCGGCCAAAATAGCCATTGATTCGGGCTATCCGTTCATCAAGCTAATCAGCACCAAGGACACCCTGGAGATGAGCGAAAGCCAGAAGATCTCTTACCTCAGCAAGGTGTTCATGGATGCATACAAGAGTCCCATGAGCGTGGTGGTGCTGGACGATATCGAAGAATACATTGAATGGACGCCGATAGGTCCCCGGTTCAGCAACCCGATACTGAAGACGGCTGTGGCCTTGCTACGCAAGGCTCCTCCGCCGGGACGCAGTCTGCTGATCATTGTGACGGCGACGCAGCGCAGTGTTTTACAGCAACTGGATTTCTGGCGTCATTTCAACTCGGATATTCCCATTGCCAATGTCCGGACGTATGAGGAGCTGGAACATGTGATGAAGGACTCCAAAGCCTTTGCTCCCGCGGACATTCCCAAGGCCATTGCCGAGATCAAGGACATCACCCGGACCGAGGAGGTTGGTGTTGGGATCAAGCAAATCCTGCAGGCCATTGAGACGGCCAAATTGGATACAGATCAGGTGTCGAGATTTGCCGGCACTGTGTCCAGGGCAATTGCAGAAAGAGGCAATATTTACGGTTAGAAAGATGGACTGCTCCGTCTGTATAGATAGATATGAATGAGTGTGCAACCGACAACATATATCAGCCACCAGCTTCTCGCTGTCTCGAGTCCCAGAGTCTCTCACTTCTGACGTGCCACCTCACTCACAGCCCTGCCTTTTGGGGCAATTCTGGTTGACATTATAGTCACGGCCACTATCCCTGTGAGGTCTCTGACAGCCTCGTCGGCTTTGGCCTTTTACTTTATTCGCACCTTTCGACCCGGCGGGGTTTGCCCGCATCTGGCGTCGTGATCCTCCACAAACCAGCCCGCAAAGACCGTCAAGTGGGACGAGGACGGGGACGGGGATGGAGATGGGTAATCTCCCCGTTTCGTTTCGGCATTTAGATTGCGGAGAGCCCTCTCTCTTCTTCGTCAAGGTGAGCGAACAGAAGCACACCTCAAGCCCAGAGAGGGGGCGTGTATGGTGATATACCATGCCATTGTCCACCGAGTCGTGTCCGACATGTGAGTGAGGCTTTTCTGTTCCTTTTCCTTTTCCGTCTCGACCAAGGTTGCCAGCACCGGCACGACGAAATCCAACTTACTGAATCCTGCTAGCAGATACTACGGTATTGCTACATCTCGGCTCGAACAATATCAACGGCCCTTTCCGCCGTTCCACTGAAGACAAGATTCTTGTATCCATACATATATCAAGACTGTTATTTATCCATGCAGCACTGTCACCGTCACCGTCGCCATGTCTTCGGACCAACAACCCCAGCTTTCCTCTTCATCTCGACTTCAATCTGAACCTCAACCTTCTTCACACTCCTCCACGAATCCATCCCCCTTCCCCCATGGCGTCTTCCTCCCCAACGGCCTCCAAACCGACCCTCCCTTCCCTCCCAACCCCAAGGACGACCCAACGCACAACTACAAACTCAACCACTTCATGCTCCGGATCCGCGACCCGGCCCCGTCTCTCCATTTCTACATCACGCTGATGGGCATGCGCACCGTCTTCACCATGAACGTCGGCCCCTTCACCATCTACTACCTCGGCTACCCACAGACGGAAGCGCACCGCCGCAACCTCGCCCGATTCGGCGCTGACACTGCCGCCAACCTGCAACACACTCTGGGCTTGTTGGAACTATACCACGTGCACGGCTCCGAGAAGCAGGATGTCGACTACTACGCCACAGGGACGGGGAATGTGCCGCCTCATTTGGGGTTCGGACATCTGGGGCTCACGGTCCCGGATGTCGCCGTTGCAGTGGACCGATTGGAGGCTAACGGAGTCGAGGTGGTCAAGGGGTTGGGGGTCTGTACGAGGCAGTCGATTCCCATTTCGGACTGGGAGGTCGAGGAGAAGGGGGTGGGTGTGGAGGTGGAGGGGACGGATAGTCAGATTCACGCCGAGTATAGCAAGATCTTTGAGAAGATTGCGTTTGTGAGGGATCCGGTGAGTTTCACTTGTCTTCTCAGAGTCATGTCGAACTGGGAGTATTTGTTTACGACTTTGTCTTTCGAACGGGAGTCAAGGTCGTGGTGTCCCAGTTGACGGTTTTTGGTTTTCATGTTTCATGCCATCGGACCGGTCCAGCCACAGCCTTGCAGCCTTGGAGAAAGCATTTTTACTGCATGTATTTCCTCCATTCTGGGCTGTGTGTGCTTCGTTCTGTTTGTCCTTCCCTTTACTTCTACCGTGGCATATGATGAATTTCCACGAATTTCTTCTGCGTTTGGGTCTGCACGTTGAATCCTTGTATTCCCTAGAACTCAAAACACGAGTCTGCGATCAGGGTCCGGTACTTCCTTCAATGCCTTGCAGAAACCCGAAAAAAAGGTGTATTGTCTCAGCAATATATGGCTAACTGCTGTCTGTCTTATAGGACGGGTATATCGTGGAACTTGTCCCTCAGAACGTCGATCCTCTGGATCCATGATCGGTTTGGTCTCTATCTCTCATATGTGATTACTGATTACCTTCCGGATGCCGCAGTCCGTATTGTCGAGGGACTTTCCCTCTTCTTGGGTTCCGGAGGATTGAGACAGGTCAGTTCTGGTCTGAGCCGAATTGGAATACGGTAGAGGCAGCAGAACCAAAGAGCCTCAGGTGTCTCATAGCCAGTCCGAGTGCTCAGGGACAAATTTCATATATAGCATGTTTCACTTTTACTACTAGTGACATTGACTGGTCGAAGTGTCATTATAGCATTGGCACTCGAAAGGATCATTACTAGTATGCAAGCACTGTTCAAAGGGATTATAATGGCAGATGGATGTGTCGATCTTACTCAGTCTTGCCTCAAGCATGGCTTCCGACCCGCACGATATCGCCAACGTGTCTTCAAGCGGACAGAAATAGGATGGGCCTTTTATCGTGTCAGCCTTGCAGGCAGCCAGGTTTCCTGGCAATGTCAATCGGTAGCAGAGGACAACTCCCATAGGCCATGCGAATCCAATATAACTTTCCTGTCCTTTACCCATGGACCTTCCCTTCCTTCCTCTCTCAATACTACATTGATGGCGCCAGATGTCCCTGGGAAGAACACAACTGGTACGGCGTGACAACTTCGACTGCGGCCACATATTGATATACCGGAATCAGCGCTCAGCAATGGCCATGGAGGCATTGGCTGCGGTTACTTCAGCACCAAGTCTAGACTCGGCACAATCGACTCTGGTCGTTAACAGTTGCGGAATGAAAGACCTACCTCCTTTGCTCTCGTTGCCCCCAGAGCTGCATAGCATGATTGCGCAAGAACTGAGATATCCAGACCTGCTATCTCTGAAGCTCTGCCATCCGTACTTTGGCCTATTGCTTGAGGACCAACCTACGATCTGCGACCGAATACAATGGCTTATGAGCCGGGCCAGGGTGGGTCTGCCCGTTCCGCAGAGCACGAAGTTGTCGTTCCTGTCTGATGTCGCCTTTGTCGCAAAACCCGAAGTCAAGGCTATCTTGAGGCAAAGATTGCGACATCGTGAGTGTATAGAATGTGCACAAGCGAGGAACTCTATAGGGAGGATGCTGGGGATGAGGAAGGGGCGGATGCTCTGCTTCGTTGTGGAAGGCGACTGTTGCCCTCAGGCCCAGATTCCAGAAAAGGAAGAACGACGACCACACGAGAGACGCGGCTGGAGGGGCATGAAGTGGGTGCAGGATATCTGCAGATATCTGAAACGACTGGTTCTTTGGACGGCCCCGGAGCTTTTTGTGAGAAGCTATATCGATTACTTCCAGGTCCTTCTGTTGAGCCGAATTTTGTTGGCGGTTACGGATCAGTCCATTGTCAAGATCAGTGTCAACTCGTGGGGTTTCTGAGGTACCTAGGTAGATAACAGAGGCGCTGGAAATCGTCCCGAAGCTCATTTTTGCTCTGACGACACTTGAAACATGTTTCACACGGAGTATGACCGGTTGAGGAACGCCATGGCCATTTCTGTCATTCCCACCTTGAGCAGTCCTGTTTACGCCCTTCTGGTTGAGCTGTCTGATCAGCATCAAAATCAGCAAGCGGAACCCCGGTCTTCCGAGCGTATGCGAGTCTCGAGAGTCGAGGTATGTCACATTCAGACACCTTGAAATTGGATCAGCACCTTTGGGTAGAAGCTGGTAAGCCCTGCCTCAGGCAGCTACCGTCATGGAAATTCGCGAGGCTCGACACTGGAGGAGGATGAGCGAAAGGATGAAAGTCAAGTTTGAGGCTGAGGAAAAAACCATATGCCCACACTGCGCGAGGTAAGAGCCGTGCTGCTGTCGTCGTTCTAACACTGGGATTTGGTCGAGCACTCTCACTCTAGCAAGAACAGGAGCTGGTTAAAAGGCAGGCTCTTGTCTGACCAAGTCCGTGAAGCTAAGTAACCAGCAAAAAAAAACTTGACAAGATTTACATTTGAAAAAACAATGGAGCTGCTGGGGCTTGAACCCAGGACCTTATGCAGACTTGCAGATAATAGATGCAAAGCATACGCGCTTCCAGCTGAGCCACAACCCCGTTTGTCACCTTGCGGCTGACGCAAGATTAATGACTAATTTTGGCAGTTTTGTTATATGAGGCAAGAAGTGAACTAGTAGTAGAGCTAGATGGTCCTAACCAACCCGGCTAGTACTATGTAAGATACTAGCAACGGTCCCCAAGGTTAAATGGATCTTTTGGGACTCTCTAGAGAGGAAATACATCCCAGGAAGGGTTAGAAAAAAGTCGGCGAAACTCGAGGTCACGTGCATGGGCCCGCAAGATTCCTGCGGGCGGCCAGTGCATGCAGCCGTCGTTTGGCCCGAGAGAACCTGCGCAAGCAAACCCGCCAGGGACAATTGAGTTTATATTTTTTGCGTCGTCTCCGAACTTGTCCTCCCCATAGTATCAGGCTGTAACTTTTCAGCCTACATCAGAGCCTTTCTGCAATCTTCAAGTGCACTACCTGCAAGATACCATGAACGGCGCCAAACAAGGCCCCAGTGTGGCCGACCTGGCTGCGATGTCCACCGAGGAAAGAATGGCTGGCATGGAACACTCAGAAGTCCGCTATTTCACAAGGTCAGATTCCCCAGGTGAGGTTAGATTCTGTTCAGACACTGACTTTGCATAGCTACGACCACCACGGTATCCACGAGGAAATGCTGGTAAGAGACACCCACATGCTCAAGATGAAAATTGACTAACAAGAATCTAGAAAGATGAAGTCCGCACACGATCGTACCGGGACGCCATCTACCAGAATGCGCACCTCTTCAAGGACAAGGTTGTACTTGACGTCGGCTGTGGAACGGGAATTCTCAGCATGTACGAGCCCACTTCGCGACGGTATTACATTCATGCTAACCCTAGCAGGTTCGCAGCACGTGCCGGCGCAAAACATGTCATCGGTGTGGACATGTCCAGCATTATCAACAAGGCCAAAGAGATCGTCGAGGTGAATGGACTGTCAAAGAAGATCACTCTGCTGCAAGGGAAGATGGAGGAGGTGGAGCTCCCAGCACAACACCTGGTAAACGGCAAGGTGGACATCATCATTTCGGAATGGATGGGCTATTTCCTCCTTTACGAAAGCATGCTCGACACAGTCCTCTACGCCCGTGATAAGTTCCTGACGCAAGGAGGCAAAATCTTCCCAGACAAGGCGACGATCTACATGGCCGGTATCGAAGACGGAGACTACAAGGAAGACAAGATTGGATGTAAGTTGACACAAGAGACGGTCAATTCACGGTAGAGGCTAACCCTTGTAGTCTGGGACAACGTTTACGGCTTTGACTACTCTCCCATGAAAGAGAGTGCATTGAGCGAACCCCTTGTCGACACGGTGGAACTAAAGGCTCTGGTCACTGACCCGTGCCCGGTCTTCACGATTGATCTGAACACAGTCACCGCCTCTCAACTGGCATTCTCAGAGCCATTCGAACTCCGAGTGCAAAGAAACGACTTCGTCCATGCGCTCATTGCATGGTTCGACATCGACTTCACCGCCTGCCACAAACCAATCCGATTCTCCACGGGACCCCACGCCAAATACACGCACTGGAAGCAGACTGTCTTCTATCTTCGGGAGGTGCTGACCGTTGAGCAAGGCGAATCTGTGCGAGGTTACCTTTCCAACAAGCCCAACAGCAAGAACAAGCGCGATCTGGACATCAAGATCGACTATGAGCTGGAAACTTCCGACCCCACACGCTTTGCTAGTGGATCATGCGAGTACAGAATGTAAGCAAGATGTCGTCCACACCGTTGTTTCGTCACTGACCTTCTTCACTAGGTGCTGATCCCAGCCAACATTCACGACATCTTTTTTTGCATTTTGTTAGGTGTGATCATTACGGGTGTTACTCTGCATCGCTTCCCAGCGGAGCTAGGTGCGCAATGCCTGGTGCAGCGTGTCACCCAGAGGAGTGACGCGCGCATCAGACACAGGAGACTTGGGCTCACAGAATGCTCGAAAATGATCTCCGGGACGATTTCAAGCGCCTCGTTATTTTACCTTAAGATACCCCACGAGTTGACGCTGATCTTGATAATGGACTCATGATAGACAGACGGACACATTGATCGTCTTGTTTTGCGTGCATTTCGCTCCCGTACAACTCCAGTCCTATCTTGGTGTCTGGTAGTCTTTTGAGGTGATTACTAGGAACGTCGAATTGGTTATAGCAAGCATTCGCTTGTCACATAGTATCTAGTACGTAGTAGTACTATATACGTACCAACCTCCAGAATCGAACCTCGGCATCTTGACTCCCCGCATATTTCCCCGTCTCTGTCTTCATCTCTCGCCAGTTGCTTTTCTTTCCTCACAAGACAACTCCATCACTTGCACGCCCGTCGAGATCCTCAAATCGTTCCTCCTTGTAACAAGGCCACCGGAGTGATCTGAAAACCATAGCCAACATGTCCGGACCCGGCGTCGGCCACGAGTATCCCCCACAAGAAGTGTCATGGCTCAAGCGAGACGTGCTCCTCTTCGCCGTCAGCATCGGCTGCACAGTGGATGAACTACATTTTATCTACGTAAGCGACCCGAACAGAAACGAATAAGACACAGTATTTTTGGCTTGCGCGGAGCGGGAGCGGTGCGCGGAGTGGACATCCTGATTGACCCTGTTTCTTCTTCGTGTAGGAACTGCATCCCAACTTCGCCGTGTTTCCCACCTACTCGATCGTCCTTCGTTAGTCGCCGTGTCCCTGTCCTCCACTTGTGTCAACACGGTTGTCAAGACTAATATTATCTGTGTGGACAGCCTTCAAGAAGACATCGCAAGAAGTGATCGATTTCTACGCCGCCCAAGAGAGCACCTCGATCCCCGGCGTGCCCAAACTCGACTCGAGACGCGTCGTCGACGGCCAGCGGCTGATTCAGTTTCTCAAACCCCTGCCCACGACGTCGGCGGGGCGCCAGTTCGAACTGCGCTCCAAGGTGCTGGGCGTCTATGACAAAGGCAAGCCCGGCACTGTGGTCGAGACCGAACAGACCATCGTCGACAAGGACACGGGCGAGGTCTACACGCGCGCAGTCGGCAGCGGGTTCTTCGTCGGGCAGGGCGGCTGGGGCGGGCCTAAGGGGCCGTCGACTGTCAATTATCCTCCGCCGAAGGGGAGGGAGAATAGTCCTGACAAAGTCGTTGAGACGCAGTTGACGAATGAGAGCGCACATTTATACAGGTGAGGAAGTGCCAGTCTTTTTTTTTTCCTCGGATGGATGGTTTGCTTGTCTGAGAGTAATATGGCTAATCATTTTATGTCCTGTCTGTCAATCAGACTCAACGGCGATTACAATCCTCTACATGCCACTCCCGAACCAGGGGTGAAGATGGGCTTTGGCGGCCCGATCATGCACGGCCTTTTCAGTTGGAACACAGCGGCGCATATTCTGTTGAAGGAGCTGGGCGGCAGCGATCCGGCGAATATGAAGGAGTTCCAGGCTCGGTTTGCCGCGCCGGTCAAGCCGGCTCAGAAGCTGATCACGAAGATCTGGCGCACCGGCGACATCAAGGATGGTTGGGAAGAGGTGAGATTTGTGGTCGAGGTCAATGGCAAGGTGGTGCTCAGCAATGGTCGGGCGTTGATGAAATGTGTCGGGAGCAAGAGCAAGCTTTGAGCGAATGAGTGAGTGAGCGAATGAATAAGTGAGTAAGTGAGTAAGTGAGTGACTGAGACTCTTGACAACGCCAGAAAATTACATGTGGTCGCATCTTGAACGAAACCTGTCTCTTATGTTCTATCGACGATGATGCCTCAGTCTTCCAAAATGTCTTGTAGTTGAGTCCGCCGTTGCACTTTCGCCATGTTCCAAAGCCGGTTCTGGAGCCTGGTGTTATGCGGGAGTTCCCTCAGCCTCGCCTCGCCTCTCTTCATCTCACCTTGGCCGAAGAGCCTTACACTTGCGGAAGGTTGTCAATCTGTGCAGCAAGCTCGGTTCTTTCGCAGAGCAGTTCGTTGGGTTATGGATACAGGCTTTCTTAAACAGAGTTTCCCAGCCAGCTCCTAGCCGTGTAGAGAGGAAGAGAGAGGCGATGTAGATGAGTGTCAGGAAGCAGATACGATTCCGGAAGGGGTTACCATATATTTCGCTTCTCTGCCATGGAATAATAAGACACTGCATATCAAGACCCATAGACAACGAGATAGCATCTATGTAGGTGAGACGTTAATCACGACAAATACTTGTTCACCTAGCACAGAGACCACAGAGTCCACAGAGTAAAATAGCTTCCACGGCTTCTGTGTTCTCTTTTTTTTTTTTGGTGTGTGGAAACGTCACCTCCACCGGAAGAGAGTTTGAGACCACAAGAGTATTGCCTCAGATACTAGAACCTCGGTTCCTCCGTGAATTGAGGCATTTCATCGACGGTATATACTATGTTAGGTAGATATTATATATGATTTATTTTACACAGTCCATCTCATCAATAGATGATCCATATCATCAACGACCCATCACACGGTCTAGTACTATCATCACAGCCCGCCAGACAGACACAACATCCACAGTCGTCTACTAGTATCCAATTAACAAAACCAACACAAGCTACAAACTCCGCTGCTCTGGAAGTCCTAACGTACGTACTAATTTACTTTGTCGTGGGTAAAAGTTTTAATTTAGGTACATACTATGAGGCCGAACCGTTGGGGCTCCGAGATCGCTGGGGTCCGATCGATCGCCGACAGAAGATTTTATCGTTGCGTAACTAGTACGTTACGTCTTGCCTTTCTGACTCCAAGCTGAGAGCAATAGATGAGTAATTGTCAATAAATGTAGCCGGCAACTAACATCCTAGGCATGCTTGCACAGTACATACAATCCAATTCAACTCCCTCTCAAGAAATGCCTAGGTCTTCACCATGTTGGCCCCGTCCGAACCGAAAGATCGTCTTGCAGATTCAGACTCAGACGCGATGATGGAAGCAGCAGCAGAAGCAACAGAGAAGAAAAGATCCAAATGGCTGACAGTCCGCGAAGCCATCTGGGATGGGGAACGGAGTGAAGAGGAGAGGAAATTGGTCCAACGCCTCGATTTGCATGTCATGTCAGTATACCCGTGAGATCTCCAGACCTTCCTTCAAGGGGTGTCTCTGTTTCTTGAAGGTCATTCATTTATTTATCATCTTGTCTGATGTTTTGATATTGATACTGACGAAAAAACAAGGACATGGGCCACCTTCGGCTACTTCATACGGCTGCTCGACTCGGGCAACGTGACCAACGCATACGTGTCCGGGATGAAAGAAGATCTCGGCTTCCACGGCGACCAATATAACCTGCTAACCACGTTCTTTACGTGCGGATACCTGGTCGCCCAGATCCCGTCGCAGTTTTTCCTCACGCGCATCCGGCCGTCCTATTACTTGCCCACGGCCGAGCTGGTGTGGTCGATCATCACGTTCTGTTTCGCCGCGGTGCAGAAGGTCGAGCATGTCTTCGCCTTGCGCTTCTTGGTCGGCATGCTCGAGGCCCCGTTCGCCGTGGGCGTCTTGACTGTCATGGGGAGCTGGTACACGCCGCGCGAGCTGGGCAAACGCATCGCCATCTTCTATTCCGCCAGCTATGCGGCCAGTATGTTCAGCGGGTATCTGCAGGCGGGCATCTATAAGAATATGGACGACCATCTCGGCCTGGCTGGGTGGAGGTGGCTGTTCATTTTCTGTGGTGTCATCTCCTTGCCTGCCGCCTTCTGGGGGTTTTATGCTGTCCCGGATAATCCCTATACCACCAAGGCTCGCTGGATCAGTGCCGGGCAGAGAGTCAAGTACCTGGCTCGCATGGAGGTGTTGGACAGGCGCGGGCCCGTGAGATTGTCGTGGGCCAAGATGAGGAAGATCGTTGCGCATTGGCCTATCTATGTCATGACCTTGACTTTGATGTGAGTCCCGTACAGTACAGGCCCGCCTGGTATCGGCTGGGGACAGGCGGATGGTTATCCATGATTACTGACCTTGGTTGATGTTAAGATTCCATTGTATCGCCACTCAGCCCTTGAATTACTTTTCCGTCTGGTTGAAGTCGTTGAATCGATTTTCCGTCTACCAGATCAACCTCTTCCCTACCGCGGCACAGGCACTGGGGCTTGTCACCACACTGGCGTACAGCTGGATCTCGGATGCGCTGGGAGGGAAGCGATGGCAACTTATGATTCCACCGGCGGTAAGTAGATAAAAAAAGAGCTGAATTGTGCCAGCTCTTTTGTTTTGGCTGAATTCGAGGGCTGACATGGTCAACCAGACCTTCAACTTCATTGGGATGGTCGTGGTCGCTTCTGGACCCGGATACGCTGCTACCTTTTTCGGATACATGATAAATGCGGCGTCGTGGGGATACTGGCCTGTGGTATATGCCTGGGCGAATGAGATCTGCCACGACGACGCAGAAGAGAGGGCCATTGTCATCGGCGTGGCCCAGACATTCGGCCAGGCTTTTATCGCGTGGGTTCCTGGTAAGTTGGCCTTCAAGATCGTCGGTCCGGCCCGAGAAGCAACGTTGTGGAAGCTGATGTTCTGTGCCTGTGCTTGATAGTCGTCATTCTCGATGTGGGAAAATATGCGCCGAGGTTCAAGCTGGGCTTTTGTGTCATGAGCGGCATTAGCGTCTTGCAATTTAGCATGATCTTTGTCTTGAGATATTTCGTCAGACGGGACAAGGCAAGGAAGAAGCAAGAAGCCGACAATTTCGACGTGACCGGCAATCAAATGAGAGGCTCGGATGTTCAAGTCAAGCCGGAGAATGATGGACTCAAATACGATGGCCTCGTCAGGGTGCAGACATCCAGCATAGACTCGGCAGCAGAGAGGTGATCCAGCGAGCAAAGATATACAGTATATTGCACTCTAGAGTTCCGACACCCCTCTTGTGATGGGTTCGATGTTGGGCGAGTCCTTGTGGTTTGCTTTGACGGACCTCGTGGCTGACAACATGATGGAACAGTCAGTCATGATAGTCAGCTATTCGGCCGCCTCAACATTTGGTCGACCTGAGCAGGAACATCTTTGGATATGGTCTCAAGTCGGCAAGTTACATGATGGTCCTGGTCACCGTCTGTCCCAATCGAAGCCGACATCTGCAAGCTAGAAGGGATTGCAGTTCCTTGACAGGTTCATCTGGTAGTACGTTACCAGGACTCGATGAAGACACGAGAAGTCATCAAGATTCGGCGATTGCATTGGACAAGCATCAACAAACTGAAAGAACAGAAGGCGTTTGTCATGAGTCGTCATGCAGTTTCTGCGTCGCTGTGCTAAGGGCGTTTCTTTAGTTTTGCTGGAATGACGAAGACTAACCCTGGTGGCATCCGGCTGATCCTATTCTTCCGGATATGAATGGACCAGATTAGGCCCCGACAGAGGACTCGAAGCACTTGGAGCAGGCCTTTGAGAGGCATTCGAGACCAGCCGATTTAGCAAGAGTGATATGATGGCCAAAACAGTGAGGTGGCTGAGTGGCCCAGTCATGGTTATAGATCTCTTATTGCTGGATGTAAGGGGTGCCCGAGAGAGCAGATATTTACCCATTACCTACCTTCCTTTGCACCGAGTTCCACGGTCATGCCGCGCTGGCAAGGGAAGTATCAACAGTGTGGCAAACTTGTGGTATACATGTAAGTCAGGAGACTGTCGTCTATCCTGTCAAGCTGCCACCAAAGTGTCCGGGTGCAGAGACATTGGCGATGTGCATCCGACACGTCAAACGCGGCTTTCGCATCGTTACACCAGGCTACTGCTGGTGACCAGCACGTGCTTGAGAGTATGAAATGGGCTCCTGAGGCTCCTATAGACCCTGTTGATGGAGAATAGCAGGTATGTGAATCTCACAGTTCGTTCTGCGGTATTTGATTGAGATATCCTGCTTAACCCGCCAGGGGGGACCGGATATAGGACTCTCACGCCACAGGAGGACCAACCGTAGACCTTCTAAACTCTAGACTCTTCTCACCACCAGCGGGGTTAATGAGGAGGTGGCTTTTGCAATCGATCGAATGAATGGAAAGTGGGCTGCGATGGGTTCGAGGGCGTCGCGTATGGCGAATAAACCAGATATGTCAAGTTACACAAGAACCAAACAAGGATTGTGTTAGAGCTCGGTCTGCTTGACGACAGGAGCGTGACAGGGCGTCGACAGCGGTTCGAGGACAGTGGCCTGTTGGGGGAGTACTAGAGGGAGAAGCACAGACAGAAGATCGAGGGTTGATAGTAGAGGTGATCGATCACCCACCCGGACTCGCACCTTCCCTCCATCCATTTGTCGTACTTCGTTCCTGCCTGCATCGAGTCTCTTCCCCTTGCTTCAGGATCATGATGTTGATGACCTGACGGGTGATAGGCCAGCAAGGGGGATGATAGTGGTGTAGCTAACGCTTCAGCTAACGCAGGAACCCCAGGGTAACACGTACAGGCTATGAGCTTTTGCCCACGCTATATGGCGGGAAGTATCTGACTATCCCTCACGTACAGAACTAATAGTTTGCCAGTCCTATTTTCGCCGCCCAACGCAAAGACACCTGTAGGCACCTGTCACAGACCTGTCAGCCCCAGTTTGACATTGGTAAGTCAGGCGTCGGGAGGCGTTCTCTGCGCCATCAAGGAGTTGGCTGTGTCTTTCTGCCAGCGTCGACCACAAGCAGCCAACACTCCTCCCACAAAATCTCAGGGGCTTGACGATCAAGTGTTCGGCCTGGTCGATCTGTACCAAAGCACCAGACGGTGTGGACTGCAACTCCATCAACTTTCAAGACCAGCAAAGCATAACGGTACAGCAGCACCTCGCGAAAAAAGATGTTGGACGGACCCTAAACAGCCCCTAAACGGATGGTGTGCTCGTAGTGAGACCTCCACTGCCCAAGCTCTACGTTTCGCCATCCAAGTCCTGGCCTCTACATCCCTTGGACTGCCGTTGAGAGCACCGCAAGAGACCAGCACCGGGGTTAACTTGAAGATTACCGATTGCTCGATGGCCGCGATGATGAGATAACCTACATCTTGGGTCAATCTTCCGAGCTCACCCCTGTTGCCAATCCATGTTTCGCCAGTCGCGGCTGGATTGGATAGCACCCGCGTCCGAGGGGCAATCCTCGTTCGAAGCAGCTAAAATGCCCACACGCGAGATGGCAAAACGCAATCTCCGCAACAGGAACGAGCGTTGACTCTGACCGCACTAAAGAAACACTCGCGTCTGTCTCTTGTTGTGATGGATCCATATAGCACTCTACAGAGTTATCGCCCTTGTTACCCACCCTCCCTTCGCACGCCAATCGATACAGAAGAAACCCTTGCCTTTTGCGATCCACCTCTCTTTCGGAATGTCCCTCTGGGCTCCTCGTGGGGCGAGGCTGGAATCTTAGTTGGAATGCCGCGCACAGCATAGACGCTTCTGAAGTAAAGGAGATCCCGTCACCACCGGCTGCTTTGGCAATGGCCCGGGTTGGCGATTTCGATATAACACTTTTCTGATCCCGTCGTGGCGCGTGGCTTCTCTTTTCCCCCTCCTTCAGCGCCCGGTCTCCGTGTCTCGACGTTCGTTACCCTGACTCTGCCTCTCCTTTCTCTCTTTTTGTGAGAAGGGACGACAGACGACCATCCAACATGCATTTCCCGGCCTTCGAGAGGTTTTCCGCCCCGGCGAGGATCCAGCGGTTGACTGTTTTCGTCATTATCACCATCCTGCTTTTTGTGTTTTTCCAAGGCTCCCTTTTCCCGGACGTGACAGTACCCAGCTTGCACAAGAATTCGGTATGTGGCGTTCAGCGCCCGGTGTGAATGGAGCACATCAAGCTGATTCTTACTCTAGTATGATTCTGCTCGCTCGGAATATTACCTACAATGGGGCCCCTTCGAACCGATGAATATCCCTGGCTTTGTCAACACAGGCTTGCCGGGCAAGAGGTCTTGCGACACTCTCAAGTACAACTCGACGGTGGGCGTGCAAAAGAGCTTCTTCCTTACCGACGACATCAAGCAGATTGCCATCACGCTTGACTCCCACCCGATCGTCGACTACCCGGACGACATGATGAACGACCCGAACCTGAAAGTGACCGACATTGTGGAGAGAACGTGGGCACGACTGTCGGGCTCGAGTGTGTGGATGCCCGAACACAACGTTTATTTGTCAGTGACGCGAGTCATCTTCTGCCCGAGTCGAACGCGGTCAGTGCCCAAGATGAGTTTTCTTCGAGGCCAACTGTTCAACGCGGATTGGGAACATCTGGACAACTACAACTTGACCTGGGCCGGCAAGCAATTCACTTTCCCCTTGGTCTTCGACATCCCAGCCAATTGGGACCCGGACGGTAGCTTGTACGGACCGGAGGATCCTCGTATTATTCTGGAAGATGGCGTCGACGGCGCCGAGCCGGTCATCATCTTCAACATGATCGGGAAACCATCGGACTGGAAGCGCGCCATGTACATTTTCCGCCCCTTCACCAACTACTCGACCCTCCTGACCATCCGAAACACCGAGCGCCAATGGACGGAGAAAAATTGGGCGCCATTCTTCGTTCCCCAGTACCAGCAGGCGACGCCAAGCAGAGTTCACCTGCCCGGCAGCGAGCCAGTCCGGATTGCAAACGAATACATCCATTTCCTGTACAGCTTCAAACCTTTGAAGATCCTCAAGTGCCATTTGCGTTGCGGAGACTGCGAGATTGTCTACGAGCAAAACATCCCCGAAGGTTTCTTGACCCAACATCACGAAGATGGCGGCAGCCTGCGAGGTGGCACCAACTTTGTTCCGGTTCCTCTTCCAGCCAGCATGCACGTGGACCCGAAGGTGCGGGTATATGCTGCCTTCCCGCGTACCAACATTGAAAGACATTGTGATGGCAGCTTCTACCGACCGGAGTTTGTGGTTATGATCCTGATTGAAGATCAATTCCATCTTGCATTCGCCAGCGAGTCGCTCGATTTCGGCAACGCCATTATCGAGCTAGGTCCGGAAGATGACCGATGTGGCAATGGCCGCATTCTTATTCCCAACAGCATTGCTCAGTGGGACACCAGCGACGGGCAGGATGTCATGAGCGTCACGTTCAGCGTCAACGACGAGACCGTCCAGGTCGCTCGTGTGCAGGGACTGCTCAAATTCGTGCGCAACCTACCTCAATTCAAGACTTTATTGAAGAAGGGTGGTCCGTTGAGGGATGACAATTCGGAATTGATGAATATGTTGACGTCCTGGGTGGGCGACGATGTTCGTGGATGCCTAGTCGAGGCAGCGCTCAACTACACCGAGGCCCAGCAGGAGATCACTCATCCCAAAGAACACAAGGATGAGTTCGACGAGAGCAAGGAATTGCTAAGAAAGATCCATCAAGAGGAGACCGGGGAAGATTTGCCCGAGGTTGTCCCACCCCCAGAGGAGGGTGGAGAAGGAGAGGAGCCAGAGGAAGGAAAGGACCTCCTTGAGCCCATCAATGCCGGTGAAAATGAAGGCATCCCTGACCTCGAGCATCCTGCAGACCAACCAGGTGATTTTACGGGCGATGACGAAGGAGAAGAGAGAAAAAAGGTCGAGGAGCCGGAGCCGGCCCCAATCGACCCTGAGAAGAAACCCAAAAAGGGCAAAACCAGTCTCAAGTCCAAAGTGATAATGGAAGAAAGCTTTTTCGCAGACGAAGGGCAGACTGGGGACGACGACCAGGAGAAAGAAAAGGAGAAAGAGCCGAAACGGGACAACGAGAGTGCCAGCGAAGAGAAGACCCCTGCCAAACGACACCTGGGTCGCTATCGATATCAAAACGGCGGATTTGGAGCTTGAGAGAACGGTACCGGCGTCAGTGACCGAATCAAACCAAATTGCGAAGCAGACGACCGACCTCATTTAGCCACGGCATGCTGTCCCAATCACAGTCCTGGCAGAGCCGATTGGCAGTGGCAGCACATTAGCAGCCATCGAGGTCCTGGGATTTTGCGAGCGTCGCCGATTTCAATCCGTGACGACAGAGCTGCCTGACATGCGTTCCGGGCAGCCTTCTCACCTGGTGGCATGGGAGACAACCGTCCGAGACGTTTCGACTCCTTTATGCCTTCCACCCGCATTTTCTTCTCTTTTGAGTCTGCTTTGAGCGTGTTCTCCCGAGACATCTTTTGTATATTTAACGACCACCCTGTCATGAAACTATAGAGGGAACGAAACTTTTATTGTGGAAGAGTGATCGAGGCAGGGAGAAACTTGAGTTGGCGATAGTTGGCATGGCGGCATCAAAACCCGGGATATCAGATCAGACCCGGAGGCGTTCATCATCTGGGGGCCCTGCTTGTGAAAGGGAGGATTTTCTATCTTGTTGGCGTTGTGTTCACCGGTGGGAAGAGTCTTCATATCTAGAGTGAAAGGCCTTTTCTTGACTCCTTGTTCAATACTTTTCTCACGATTAATGCGAAGCGGGAGTTCATGCGGCGAGGATCAGAGATAGAAAGACCATTTGTACAGAGTCCCAAATATTGCCTTCCCTTGAGACCCAAGACTGTGAATCCATCCATGCCTTGCGCCCACACAATATGGAAGACTGACACTCGCTACCGTGGACTTAGTGGTTGCCGTTCTACTGTCCCGGTCATCAATGACCAGTCCAGGCAAATATGTCAAGTACTATTCATGTGCTGATTTGTCCACAGAACATGTATCCTGAAGTTTCCTTTTCGCTGAAAGGTCAAAGGACGGATCAAGCACTCACTTTCCCGGGCCCTAGTCCCCTCCCAGTCGACCACTTGACCGACCTTGACAGACACGGCCTCCCTTCCAGGATTGAGGTGCCAGCTCTAGTACATAACTTTTGGACTCAGAAAGCCGGGGAGAAGAACCAGAGAGTTTCCAACCCTGTCTTTCCTAAGGAGGGAGCCAAGCAGAACAACAGAATGCTAGGTAGGTATTCTCTTCCCCCGCGAATTCCACTTGTTCACTTCCCGACATTGAATCCCGGGAAAATGGTGGCGTCCTCGGCGTCGCTGGGCGCGCTAGAAAGGTCGTGATGTTGTTGGACGAAGAGCGAAGGGAGAGCGGGTGTGTACAGAGTATCCTGGTCGGTTGTGAGTTTTCCCCAGGCCACCCCTGGCTTCTACTATCCAGGAGGCCATGCATCAGCGGACATAGTCTTCACTCGATTGGACCTGGTGCGCCGTCTGTGCATCATCAGCATGAGGCGAGGAGGGATCTGTGCAGCCAGCTCTGACTCTGAGAGCTCTCTCGGATCGAGTACTCTTTACTCTGTACTCCAGGTACAGTCTCGTCAACCTACCTCTCTTGATGCCATCGCGGTTGTTCCTGTTCCCCAATGCTGGAGCAGAATACGGCTGACCTGGATGAGGCAGTGTCATTTGTTGCTCCTGTCCTTCTGCTGGTCGGTCTGGACAGATCAAAACAGGAGGTAATATTCGGATTGACCATATCCGGGCAGAATGGTCAGCCAGCCAGCCTGCCAGCCAGCCAATGTGCCTGGTGACCGCCCCTCGTCTATGACTATTGCAACTACTGACCATAGGGCGCGCCCCTAGAGAGGAACTATCTACAGTATCTCAAATATCTCCGAAGGCCTAGGGATAAGGGGAGCCTCGGTAAGGCAGCATCTCTCTCTATCTCTGTGTGGCGGGTCTGTGATCCCCCCTCTTTGTCGTTGATCGGTCCGTCACCCCTGGACTCCAGACCGGTCTTGGAATTTCTCACTCCCTCTCTCTCCTCACCCCAGGCTAAGGCCCCGCGTTCGACAGCGGGTCTGGTCTTATCCCCCGGATCTAGGAATCAACCAAACCCAGCCCAACCAACCAAACCAGACCAACCAAACCATCGACCAGGTGCATCATCCGGGGTCAAGGCGGAGGAGAGTTTGGTCGACAGGCTGCTTGCTACACAGCCTATCAAATGTTCAGATGCTCCTTCTTCCGACAACCGTCTCGTGTACTAGCTTCGCCGCGACATGTTGAAGCAGCTAGGTGGAAGGCTCCCTTTTCAGCCGACTTGAACTAAGGTAGTCACTTCGGTCTGGCACTGGCAGTTGTGGCCGGTCGCGTGTGGCAGCCATGCAGTGGACGACTCGGAGTGGCATAAATACTAGTACGGAGAGGCCGCCTTCCTCAGATCCAACTCGTCTCGCTTGACATCCTTCCTGCCTGGCCGACAACGTTTCCCCAGGTTTCGACCCATACTTTCCGAATATGGCTTCCAAAGATCACAGTTTCGAAGAGAGGCAGGTTGATCCTGCTGCGCGTCACTCTCTGCAGGGTTCGGGCATCGACGAGAAAGCAGCCGCCATGCACACCGAGAACGCGCATGAAGCGGCTGCGAGAGGTCATGTGGCCACCGACAAGTGCGTCGATATCTTCTTATCTCATGTCCAGTTGCTGATGGTGGCCCCAGATACGGTCATCCCATCGTCGTCTTCGACCCCAAAGCCGAGGCGAGGCTGCGCATGAAGATCGACCTCTATATTGTGCCCACCGTGGCGCTCCTGTATCTATTTTGTTTCATCGATCGAGCCAATATTGGTAGGTTGATGGTCTAGCCACAATTGTCCTTCCTTCTGTTTCGTGCCATGGTGGCTGACCGCTCGACCACAGGCAATGCCAAACTCGCCGGCTTCGAGAAAGAATTAGGGTTGACAGGATACGACTACAACATTGTTCTTTCGGTCTTCTACGTCTCGTACATCCTTTTCGAGCTTCCGGGTAATGTGGCCTGCAAATACTTCGGCCCTGGCTGGTTCATTCCTGCCGTCTCACTGGGATTCGGCATCTGCTCGCTGGGAACGGCTTTCGTGCACAACATGTCGGCAGCGTGCGGTGTGCGCTTCCTCCTCGGCATCTTCGAGGCTCCCATGCTACCGGGAATCGCGTACTATCTGTCCCGATGGTACCGACGAAGCGAGCTGGCTTTCCGCCTGTCGCTGTACATCGTGATGGCGCCTCTCGCAGGCGCCTTCGGTGGTCTTCTCGCCTCGGCCATCCTCAACCTCGACAGTTTCGGCAGTCTCCACACGTGGCGCATGATCTTTGCCATCGAAGGCATCATCACGTGTGGCCTCTCGGTCGTCGCCTTCTTCACCCTGACCGACCGCCCCGCAACCGCCCGGTGGTTGACTCAAGAGGAGAAGGACCTGGCCATTGCACGGGTCAAGTCCGAGAGAGTCGGCACGACCGAAGTCCTCGACAAGCTGGACGTGCCCAAGATCCTCCGTGGGATCATCAGCCCCCTCACCCTCTCGACCGCGTTCATCTTCCTGCTCGACAATATCACCGTGCAAGGTCTGGCCTTTTTCCTACCCACCATCGTACGAACCATCTACCCGAAAAACTCGGTGGTGTCGCAACAACTGCACACCGTCCCACCGTATGTGGTGGGGGCCTTTTTCACCGTCATGTTCCCGTTCCTGTCGTGGCGCTTCGACCGCCGCAACATCTTCTTCATCATGTCCACGCCGCTGATGATGGTCGGCTACATCATGTTCCTGGCCAGCACGAACGCGCAGGTCCGCTACGGCGCCACCTTCCTCATCGCCGCCGGCGCCTTCTCGTACGGCGCCCTCTGCAACGCCCAGGTCTCGGCCAATGTCGTCTCCGACACCGCCCGCTCCGCCGCCATCGGCACCAACGTCATGTTGGGCAACGTCGGCGGCTTGATCTCGACATGGTCGTTTCTGCCTTTTGATGGGCCGAATTACCATATTGGCAACGGCCTGAACCTGGCCACGTCCTCCACCATTTTGGTCTGCTCTATTCTCTTGCAGCTCTGGATGTATGCCGACAATAAGCGACGAGAGAAGAAGGACGTGGATGCTGAGTTGGATGGGTTGTCGATGAAGCAGGTCCAGGATTTGGATTGGCGGCATCCGGCTTTCAGATGGAAGCCATAAACGGACTGTACAACAGACGGGAGGAATATGTAGGAAAGTGTAGGACTGTGCTGTACTGTGCAACAGATGGCAGGAAAGAGTAGGACTGTGTCTGTACAACAGACGGAAGGAAAGAGTAGGACTGTGCCTGTGGTGTGAGATGGTATTTGGTGGTTAGTGGGTGGTTGCAGGACAGGACAGGGCAGGACAGACTGGGCAGGACAGACTGGGCAGAAATGTTGGTTGGTGTAAATGATCAACCCTGTAAGGTCGCTTAATGTGCTAATCTTCAGGCATGAGACAGTTCGTTTGCCCGCTCACCTCGCCATCAGGTTCAGCTAAGGTCGTTTCTTATCAGGCTGTAATGTCTGTGTTTCCCAGATGAATCATAACCGTGCTGAAACTGGCTTCCGCCTGTTGAGTTCATAGCAGAATGGATTATGGATGTGAGAAACCCCCTTGAACTGCCGACCTACCTCATCGTACCAGGTAGATACCTAGGTCCTTGTTGGTCCTTGATGGTGAGTTTGTCGACAGTGGCTGCCACGCCATAGCCATTATTACCGAGCAGGACTCCATAGATCGTCGACAGATGCTGCTGTTGACAGTTTTGATGAATGGTTGAAGAAGAAGCATATCCTCAAGAGGATGTGAAGTTGGAGCATTATATACTACAGCCCGAAATTAGTGACAAAGGATTAGGGGACTAACCCCGTTCAGTAAGGCGATGTGCTAGTGGTGAACCACCCCTATTGTGACCGATTCTGATGCTCTCTATTCTTCATCTGAAGCGTGTGTTGTAGCACGCATGGTATCAAGCTCGCCATCACTTCTACTGCCGCCTTGTCAAGAAGTTGTGCTCCGTCAAGATGCAGCTCCTGAGTGACTGCCGTCGGACTGTCCTCTGTGGTCTTGCTGTGCTCTGCCTGGTCAATTTGTCTCTAGCATCTCTGGGCGACCGGCTCCCAGATTTTCGCGAGTGTGTCAAGGTACGCAATGCGCCTCAGTCTCAGCCTCGCCAGCAGCGACTCGCATTTCTGACAGGGCCTTGCTGATGATTGCTCGCGCCAGGTTTGCATCGAGGAGAACTGTGATACCGGACGAGGGACACTACGTGAGCACTGTGGCCCCCTTATGTTCTTGTTCTTGTTCGTGAGAGAGACCGTCCAAGCTGACCCGTCCTCGATCAAGCTCTCCATCTTCGACTTCTTCTCTGGAACTGTCCGTCGGAATGCGATTACACGTGCCAACATGTCATCACCGACCGACGCAAGGCTCGCGATCCCCCGATGATCGAACCGGTGGTGCAATACCACGGGAAATGGCCGTTCCATCGGTTCCTGGGCATCCAAGAGCCCTTCTCTGTTCTCTTCTCGCTGCTGAACTTCCTGGCGCACCGAGAAGGCATGGCGCGGCTCCGCGAGAAGATCCCGGCCCAATATCCGCTGCGACCGTACTACCTGGGGTTCGGGTATTTCGGGCTGGCCAGCTGGATCTTCAGCATGCTCTTCCACACGCGCGACTTCAACGTCACGGAGAAACTGGACTACTTCGCCGCCGGGGCCAGCGTGCTCTACGGGCTCTACTACGCGCCGATCCGCATCTTCCGGCTCGACCAGGCCGACGCCACCAAAAAGAGCATTCTGCGGGTCTGGACGGTGTTTTGCCTCTTGCTGTACCTCGCCCACATCACGTACCTGACCGCTTGGAGTTGGGATTACACGTACAACATGGCGGCCAACGTCGTGGTCGGCCTCGTCCAGAATGTCCTGTGGTCCTGGTTCAGTTTGTCGCGGTACCGCCAGCTTCACAAGTCGTGGACCGTCTGGCCTGGTATGATTGTTGCGTGGATCGCCCTGGCGATGAGTCTGGAGCTGTTTGATTTCCCGCCCGTCGGGGGTATGATTGACGCCCACAGTCTGTGGCATTTGGGGACGGTGGTCCCGACGGTGTGGTGGTATAGGTAAGAAGAGAAACCCCTGTTACCTGAATATTGTGACTGATTGACTGATTGACCGACTGACTTGTTACACGTGGCAGCTTTCTTATCAAGGATGCTCAAGAAGACCTGGCCAGTCAACGGCTGAAAGCTTGACGGTTTGGCACCACGAGGGGCCCAGGGAGAGGGAGACTCGGATGACCATGAACCATGGGTCTGTGCAATCAACCCTTCAGAAAAGCATGTCAGTTTTAGTATTGTGTATATATAGAGCTACCAGATGGATATACTGCGGCAATGTATATTGGTGTCTCATGGAAAGGGTGCAGATGTGACATATGAGGTTATACTTGTATGGACAAGGGATGAGCAGAGAGACGAAAGAAACAGTAGAGACAGTCATAGACACCTACGATGTACGCCCCTTCATCGCCTCTTTGTACGCGCCTAAGGAGCCTCAGGTTGGTAACCACTCCAAGCCTCTGGGGTACAAATTGTTACATATTATTGAGCACTTGAACAAGCATCATCAGCCTCCCCACGCGCCGAGACTTAGAGGGTCGCTGCTAGTCAGGCACACCTCCTTAGCCCCCCTCAACCCTTAGCCCTTAGCCCTTAGCCCTTAGCCCTTAGCCGTCTTAAGCCTACCTCCTAGCCTTGAGCCCCTCTAGCCGCCCTCTTACATCCTCTAGCATCCTGTTGACCCCTCTAGTTCCCCTGTCCGGAGAATTTCCTCTGTCAATAATGGCGCTCAGGCACTGGAACTGCAGTGCTCAACACCTTAACCAACCAATACCAAATAGGCCTCCTAGGGATCCCTAGCCTCAGACTGGCACTGCCGCTCGCCAGGACGCGGGAGTCTCGATCAGCCGCACTACTAGTTCTGTCTCTCGTTAGGCGTTAGACATCAGGCGGAGGCGGTTGTTGGGTTTAAGTATAGCTTGCACCCAAACTAACAGACTAGCAGACTAACAAAGCAACGATCGAACTCTGCCCTCTCCCTCTTACGCATTCGCTTTCGCAGATCACGGAATCTGTCATATTTCACTACTCTGTACTGGGGGATACATTCTCACTCCACTTCTCTTGTCTCTATCTCACTGACTTCTACACATCTCAGTGGCAGTGGAGGGAGTGAGCCAGCAAGACAAAGACGCCCGTGTGACCAGCGTCGCTCTGTCGACCGCCCATCATGTCCTTCTCCAACCCTCGAGAATCCGTCTTCAACCAGCCCAAGCCGGTGGTCCATCTACCCTCTGATCTGCTGGCTGCCATCACCAAAGGAGTCGAGCCCTACCCCATTCCTGAGAGAAAGAAATACCAATATGGCACTGCAGGAGTAAGTTGCTGGCTCTCGTAACGCAGCCGATCCGCTCTGACCAGATTGTCTACACAGTTCCGAATGAAAGCGTATGTCTCTGCCTCCCCATCGATACCACGAGTTGGGCCGGCTCTCTCCGCCCTACAAAGTGAAAGCCCTGGAACACTGACAGAAGAGTTGGAATTAGCAATGCTGGGCTGGATCATGTCATATACACCGTTGGACTCATTGCGGCCGCCCGTTCCAAAAAGCGCAATGCGACCATCGGAGTCATGATCACAGCCAGTCACAACCCGGCCGACGACAATGGTGTCAAGTTGGTAGATCCTATGGTATGTCTCCATCTAGAGTGAAGTCAACAAGGCTGACAATCGCATGCAGGGTGACATGCTCGAGGTACGGCATTGCATCGCACGCTTCCTTCCCATCAAGTGACTGACAAGGACACAGCAATCGTGGGAAGGGCTGGCAACCACGTTGGCCAACACGCCCAATGACAAATTGGCGAAAGCATATGAGGATCTCGTCAATGAGACGTTGGTCGACGAGATTCGTCAACTGCATGAGCGGCCGGCCAAGGTCGTGTTTGCTCGTGATACTCGTGCCTCGGGACCATACCTGGTGACGGCGTTGAAGGCGGCCCTGGACGCTGTCAATGTCGAATACACCGACTACGGTCTGTTGACGACTCCTCAACTGCATTATATGGTTCGCTGCATCAACACCCTCAATTCGCCGTATGCTTTCGGAGAGCCGTCCGAAAAGGGGTACTATGAGAAGATGGCCCACGCATTCAAGACCATCATGCATGGTCGGACAATCCAAGGACATATCACGGTGGACTGTGCCAACGGTGTCGGAGCGCCCAAACTGAAAGAATTGATCAAATACCTTCCCAGTGGCAAAGAAGGCGGAATCGACATCAAGGTGGTGAACGATGATGTCGTCAGACCCGAAGCACTCAACCTGGAGGTGAGAATATTGATTGAAGAGAAAGGGAAGTTGTGCTGATTGATTCCAGTGTGGTGCAGATTATGTCAAGACCAAACAGCGAGCTCCTCCCAACTTCAACGCTCAGCCAGGTGATCGGTGCTGCTCTCTGGACGGCGACGCTGACCGTCTGGTGTACTACTACACGGATGAGTCCAAGACCTTCCATCTTCTGGATGGAGACCGTATCGCCACCCTGGGGGCCGTCTTCCTGGCTGATATGACCCGAGTCGCGGGCGTTGATCAGAAACTCAAGATCGGGATCGTCCAGACAGCCTACGCCAATGGAGCGGCGACCGAGTATGTCGAGAAGGTTCTGAAGCTCCCCGTGACCATTACTCCGACCGGAGTCAAACATCTTCACCACGCGGCTGCCCGATACGACATCGGAGTCTATTTCGAAGCCAATGGTCACGGGACCGTCCTCTTCTCCGACAACGCCATCAAAGCCATCAAGGAGGCGGTGCCCAAATCTCCCGGCCAGAAACATGCGCTTGAGTCTCTCTGTGCCTGTATTGACCTGATCAATCAAGCCGTGGGCGATGCCATCTCCGACATGCTGTTTGCCGAGGTGGTGCTGGCTCACAAGTCGTGGACGTTGGAAAACTGGCGCAACACCTACATTGACCTTCCCAACCGGCTGGTCGCAGTGGCGGTGAATGATCGATCGATCTTCAAAGCGACCGACGCTGAGAGACGGCTCGAATCCCCCAAGGGTGCTCAAGAAGAAATCGACCGTTGTTGTCAGATGTACGTCAAAGGCCGTGCGTTCGCGCGAGCGTCTGGCACCGAAGATGTCGTTCGCGTCTATGCCGAAGCACATTCCAAGACCGAGGCCGAGAAGCTGGCGGCTCAGGTGGCCGAAGTGATCAAAAAATACGGTTCAGCGTGAGAGGCCGACACCAAACTCACTGCACACGACGACACAGAATGATGACCACAATTGGCCGACTTCGATGACCCAGAGATGGGAGCTTATGGGAACGGTGTTCTTTCAGCATACCCAGGGTATTGAGGATGTATTTTTGTGGCTGTGGCCCGGCTCGAGACATCCAGAATAGCGTTTGGACAGCATGGCATAGCGATGGGCGTAGGGAATGGATGGAACCCCACGGAGTTGAATGATGGGAGCAGGGACCAATGCAGGATGGTTTTCAATTTTCAGTTCTCAGATACCAGGAATCCAAAAGTGCTGTTTTGCTGTCTGTTTCGACCTCAACTCATGGTGACTGTGGTGGTTCCCTCGCGTCGATTACTTAAGCATCTCTTCTTTGATAAGCAAGCAGGTGTCACAACGAGGCTGCTTGCTGCTTTGATACGCCGACCTTATACCATCAGTATACATCCTCATCCCCCACCACAGGAAAGAAAGAATCCACTCTCTAATGTCGATCTGAATTATACGGAACTTCTCAGGCAGCCGTGATATTTGGACAGCATCATCTGCGAGCGCAAAGAAATAAAAAATCAGTCGTTCCAACAGCCCTGGTACTCTACGTACCATACCATCCATACCATATATCGCATCAGCAACTGATCCTTGTTCGAGAGGATGAAATTGGAGAATATCATTCTTCCTGGACGAGACGTTTGGTCTCGCTGGGATGTGGACGTCGAAGCGGGCAGAATCACCTCCATCAACCCGTCGACAAGCTCATCCTCATCCTCGTCCTCGTTCTCATCGTCCACTCCGGCATCTCTTCTCCTCCCATCGCTCTGCCATCCACATATCCACCTCGACAAAGCGTATCTATTGACCAGCAACAACCAACACCATCCAACATACCCGCAGTCAGCTTCAGCTTCTGACCCAGCCTCAGCCTCACACTCAATTTCGAACTCAGCCTCAGCCTCTACGACCAACTCCAAGTCCACGAATGCCCAATATCCAAACTACAGCGACCTAACCCCCCAAACCGGCTCCTTCCACGAAGCCCTCTCATCCACATCCCTCGCCAAACACCGCTACACCCCAACCGACCTGTACCTACGCGGATCGCAACTCCTAGCAACATCCGCACTGCAGGGCGTCACATCATGCCGGGCCTTTGTCGAACTCGACCACGTCACGGGCCTAGCGTGTCTCGAGACCGCGGTGGCGCTGAAACACGCATTCCGCACCACGCTGCGCGTCCAGATCTGCGCGTTTGCCCAGGACCCGATCTTCAGCACGGCGCACGGCGAGGAGAACCGGCGGATTCTCGTGGCCGGGCTGGACCGGTACAGAGCCGAAATCGAAGTCCTAGGTACGACGCCCTATGTTGAGCAAACCGCCGAGGCGAGTCTGCGCAATATTCGCTGGGCGATCGATACGGCTTTGGAGCGTTCGCTGCATTTGGATTTCCATCTCGATTATAATCTGGACGTGGGGCGGGCGGTGATGGTTTGGGATGTGCTTCGGTTGTTGAGGGAGGCTGGGTGGAAGAAGGAGGAGAGGAGGGCGCAAACGGACAGAAGAAGAGGAAGAGATGGAAAAACGGTCGTCTTGGGTCATTGCTCGCGGTTGACGCTGTGTAGTGAGGGTGAGATGGTGGAGTTGGCGAAGGAAATTAAAGAGTCGGGCCTGCCGGTTGCGTTGGTCGGGTTGCCGACCAGTGATTTGTTTATGATGGGGCGGCCGGTGCAGTTGGAAGGTCAAGGTCAAGGTCAAGGTCAGGGTAAGCCTCGTCTTTCAGATCCAGCTTCAGCTTCAGCTCCAGCTCCAGCTCCAGCTCCAGCTCCGTCAATATCTCACGGTTCAGCGGCAGAAGCAGAGACAGAAGCACAACCACAACCACAAATACAACCCCCCTCCCCCATCACCAGCAATGCACACCGTCCGCGCGGAACCCTACAGATTGTAGACATGATCCGCCATCTAGGTCTGTCCGCCTGTCTGTCCGTCAACAACGTCGGCAACGCATTCACGCCCTGGGGCACAGGAGACCCCCTAAGTCTGGCGTCTTTGGGCGTGGGTATCTACCAGGCCGGCACGGACGACGATGCGAAGATTCTTTATGAATGCGTCAGTTCACGGGCGAGGGAGGCGATAGGGCTCGAAATGGAGAGAGATACGAAAAGTCAACCAGAAGATATGTCCGAAGTTGAAAGGGATCAGAAAGAGCTGGAAGTTGACGCCAAAACCGAAGCTGATGGAGGACTGTCTGGGACTGTGGCCGAGACTGGGACGGATACTGGAACCGAGATTCGGACAGATACAGAGGATAAAACGAATACTGAGACTCGAACGAACACGAATACTAATACTCAAACGAAGACCGAAACGAATACTCATACCCATACTGATCTTGATACCGATACTCTGATACTCGAAGAAGGTCATCACGGCCCATTCCTCCTCATCCGCAATGAAGAGTGGGTTGGCTGTCCTGGCCACTTGGGCATCAAAGTCCCGGCTCGTCAGCGCGTCAGTGTCAGGGATGTGGTGTGGGATGTGCCTGATGTTGCGCTTAGGCGGGTCATATATTGAGGGAGCCATGCTGGGGACTCGGTGTGGACATGAGATGTTGAGGAGGATGAGATGAGGAGGATGAGATGAGGAGGATGAGATGAGGAGGATGAGATGAGGAGGATGAGATGAGGAGGA